GGGGGGGGGGGGGGGGCCGATGGGAGGTTTTAGCTGTTACAGATACAGGGTTCTGTATACGCAAGGTATGATTTACGGCAATCGCAACAAGACTTTCCCCACGGCCTTGTTCTGCTCCATGTGAATATGAGCCTGGGCAACATCCTGGATGTCAAAGACACTGTCCAGAAATTGCTCCTGTCTCCAGATGCCCTTCTTCACCTTGGACACGACGTCGATGAGAACGTCGCGGGACAAGGGCACGTCTTCCACCGCCAGCGTGTACGAGGTGATTCGCCTCTGGTTCGGAATGGCGGCCGCGTGGAAGATGTCCGTCTGCCACTGGAGATTGAGAATGCCCATGTTGACCAGAGTGCCACGAAAGGCCAGGGCGGGCAGCCCGACCGTAGTCCAGGTGGAGACGCCGACGAGCTCGATGACGGTGTTGACCCCGTCGGGACACAGGTTCCGCCGCAGGCCGTGTTTGACCAGATCGTCTTCCAGGAGGACGTGATCGGCCCCGAGATCTTTCAGTTTCTGCACTTTCCCCGGCTGCCGCGTCGACGCGACCACGGTACAGCCTCGCTCCTTGGCCAGCAGGATGCACCACACCCCGACGGCGCTGGTGGCGCCGTGGACCAGCACGCTGTCTCCGGGCTTGGTGTCGCCGCCCACAAAGAGCGACCCGTACGCGGCCCACATACTCATGGGGATGGCGCCCAGGGTCTCCCAGGGCAGCGACAGCGCGTCCTCGCCCAGCTTCCAGCACCGTTCGGCCGGGCAGATGGTGTAGTTCGCGTAACTCCCGTCAAAGGCCTTACCGCCGCCGTAGATGAACCCGGCGACCCGCTCACCCTTTTTGAAATCCGTCGCCGACCCGGCTTCCTCGACCTCACCCACGAATTCCTCCCCGATCACCTTGGGCGACACCGGCTGATATTCGTCTTCGAAAATGCCGAATTCTCGTGGTACCAGGTACTCGTCGATCCGCGCTCGGAGGTCGCTTCGGTTCATCCCCGCCATGTGCACGCGCACCAGCACCCATGAGGGCGACGGCAGAGTCGGTCTCGGGTAGTCGGTTTGGATGGTAAATGCTTCTGTCGCCGGGGCGCCGAGTTTGGAGAGAACGCACGCCGTCATCGTCCCCGAGGGGGTGTTGGACCAGCTCGGCATCTTGGACCTTTCACTTCGTTCATTGACACCGGCCCACGTCTCGTTCCGTTCCACCTGCATTGGGGCATTGTACATCTACTTAAATCTCTCTCGACGTAGGTGAAGGGCTTCTGTATGAGCGTGCAGATACGTCATCCGATCCGATATGACGCCAAGCCACTCCCCCCCCCTTCGGGGGAGATTTTGGTGTGAAAGGTTGTCCGACTCGTTGTGTACGATGGTGGAATTGGTTCGCCCAACCCGCCCGTTGGCGAAGGGGGGCCCATTCGTCACAAGCTAGCATAATGTGGCATATTTAATGTACTCCATACAACTATTTCGGAACACGTGTTATGCCTGTCACCTTCAATGGCACAAGATCCATTCACGAAGCAGCCAGCCGACGGCCGAGCCCTGAAAGTGAAACCGGGCTTATGGAAAAGGCCGACCGTCTCTTCTTCGAAATCCAATCCTTCAGAATTGTGCCCAATCCTGGAAAGTCTGCATCTCGGGATATCTTATGCAATAATTGAGCCAGTCCCGAGCGAGCGAAGCGTCGAAATGGATACTCTCGTCGTCCATGTTGGTCTTGGGCAAGAACCTCGCCTCTTCACACCCAGAAGCTCTGTTCTCAGCCTGGGGCTCCACCATCTCGATCGGCACACCCTCGACGGTCAAGTCGTGGGAGTCGGGCACCAACGATCTATCCTGAAGGGAGAGATCCCACCGTGAGGACACAGGGAAGCTATTGAACCAGTTCTCGCACGGTTCCTCGCTCGGGAGAATTGTGCGATGCGACAGGCGCAGGGTGGGAAAAGACTGGAAAAATTCCGGGAGCAGGACCAGATTGTCCAAATTCTCAATGGCTCGTTCAAATTTGCTGTCCAAGTCCAGAGCCACGCCATCAGGCCGAAGACGAATCGGCGCTGCAATGTCCCCAAGGCTGCCATCCTGGACCCGAAAATGCCGAACTGTTTCATCGGCGAGGAGATTGAGGTCGACGGATTGCCAGTTGGCCAGGAGAGTTTCCCTCATCCACGGCCTATCAATGGATTAGTTTCTTCGAGGAGATAGTCCAAGCCAAAAGACTGGAGGACCGAATGGGGAAGAAGGGCGTACCAGCAGATGTAGTCTAGCCACAGAGGATGGTGTTGCATGAATTGGCACGGGATGGGGCGAAGCCACCACGGGAGCTTTCCGTATAACTCCTCGGTGGGAAAGGAGAAAAACTGCGTTCCGAGCGACACTGTGAGCATCATCCCACGTTCCCCGTCATCACAGAGAAAAAGAGAGAGAGGGAAAGAGCCCCGGCTCAATGACGTACCTGAAAGAGAGTGTACTGGGACCAGAACATCACAATCAGCTCGTTGGAGGAATAGCAGGCCCCGATGCGCCGCGCCAGGCCTGCGATACAACAGAACGCAATGACTCGCATCGACAGTTCAATTTCGGACAACGGCTCATATTCTGGATTCGTGGACAGGGAGAATGGTTTGCGGGAGATCAGAGTTTGGAGGAGTGAGGGATAGAAGGATGGCGTAGATACCATCCTTCGCATGACGACTAGGCGGCAGGGTGGTCAGTCACACCAGTGCCTCGCAATGAGAGCCATATCAAGGGGGAAGGGGCCAATCTACCTGGGTTGAGCACGGCTTGAAAATCGTCCATTGTTGCATGCTCGAGGACGAACTGAGGGCCCAGGGAATAATGGCGGTTGGATTTCCATATGGCGACCGACATGTGCAGGTTCGTCACCGACACCTCGGTCGTGTGAGAAAGCCCAAGTCTCTCCAAGGTCGGGTAGATCTGATTGAAAATGGACCACGGCAGGGATAGGTGTACGCTGGCGAGATCTTGACTACGGAAGGAAACAGGCGAGTAGGAGGGGGACGCGGATAAACAAGGAGATGTGCTCGGTGTGGATTTACGGCGAGGATGCAGACTCTCCTCGGCGCAGCCTAGGATGGTCCTCAGCTGGTCTTGCAGGCGACGGATCCGCGCGTGCAGTGTGGCATTCTCTGCTTCGAGCAGCTTGTGGACGTCATCCTGACCACTTTGGGTGAGCATGCGCACTTTTTCCTCCAGCTCCTGTTGCACCCTGGCCGCTTCCTGGCGTGCTCGTTGCTGCGAGAGTCGGTCTTTGAGGCGTTTCCGCTCCAACTGGGCCGGCGTGAACCGGCTTTTCCAGTTGCTTGTTGCAGACGCGTCTGTGTGTCGCCCCATATCGGGCGTCACGATGTTGATGGTGTGATGAGGAGAACGCGGTTAGGGGGTTGTTTCGATAACGAGACGAGAAGCTTGAAAGTGAAGTGTTGGGATGGACAGACAAAAATTAGGAAGCCATCATATACTGCCCCCACGATGATATTCAGTCCCAGATTTTAAGAATGCGGGGTACAATGGGAGGCGACGGAGGGCAGAACTCCACCCTCAATGCTCGATCGGTGAGTGGCCATTGGCCAAGTGGCCAAAAAGGGACCCCAGACCCCGATCCAGTGGGAGAAACACGAGGGAGGCATTGAACTAGTGAAGTCGAGGTGCGGGACTCAGGACTGTTCGGAGTACGGAGTACGGATATTAGTCCTTGATCACTGTCACTAGTTCTCATTAATAATAATTAGTTTTGTGGCTCCCGCTGGGTCGGAGCATGGAGCCGCGCTAGTATCATGTTGGGTTAGATCTTGTGTTTGCGGCCGCCGCTCGCCGCCAATCAACCAGCCAATCAGACTGCATGCAACTCCAAGCACCGGCAGCTTTAGTGTCCAGAGGCGGGGATACGATCACGTGTCCACACGCTGTGCTACATATGCATTGATATTATTAAGGGACATAATAAACTTTGCCAGGTGCGCGCATCTGTCAGGCCCAGGCACAACCATGAACACTTGCCACCCTCGCACAGCTAATGCCCCGTGGCGGCGAACCCGCCATCGCATCGCAAAATCACCCCCGTGATGAAGCTGGCCTCGTCACTCAGGAGGAATGAGATGGCTTGAGCCTGCTCCACGGGCTCAGAACCTCGTCTCAGCGGCGTCGCGGCCACCGAGGGTTCCAGGAAGACTCGACCGACAGTCAACATGGCGGGAGTCAGGGTCACACCTGGCGCCACACAATTGATGCGAATACCTTTGGGCCCATACTCTTTGGCCGCCGCACTGGTCATTGTGTTGACCCCGCCCTTGGCCGCAGAGTAGAGACTGTGGCCGGGGGTTCCATTGACCCCAGAGCCGGAACTGACATTCACCACAGCACTGCCCCGTTGGAGATGGGGCAGCTGAGCCCGCATGCAGTTGAAGACTCCGCGAAGATTGACGTTGACGGCAAAATCGAAGTCTTGACTGCTCTTCTCCTCCAGGTTACAGACGGTTTCACCCGCGCCTGCAATGTTGGCACACAGGTCCAGTCGGCCGAACGTGTTCACCGTCTCCTCAATCCAGGCGCTCACGGCGACAGCGTCACTGACATCCACCGGTGTAGTCTTATACCGCTGGCCCCTATCTCGGGCGGGTAGGGTTCCAAGTCTTTGTTCGAGCTCTGCCAACGCCTTCGAGTTGACGTCAGACACTGCTATGGTCGCTCCGCGCTCGTAGAGCAGCAACGACGTCGCCAGGCCGATGCCGGAAGCTGCCCCTGTGATTGTCACCACCTTGCCCGAGAAAGGCGTTTCGGAAAGTTTAGGAAGCTCTGTCGCCATCTTTGACTGCGGGGCGGGAGGAAGGAGGAGGAGGAGGAGGAGGAGGAGGAGGAACAACAGCTGATAAAAGCGACAGATCGTCGCGGCGTGGTTGTTGGGAAGGTTGGAGTCGAAGATCAGGTGCTCGAGTCGAAGTCCTTCCCCGACGGGTGTAGCAGCTACGGGAAAACAGTTTCGACCAAGTACCTCAGGCAGGGGACACGGCCGCTATATACATTCGCGGACGGCCGTGATCGTAACTCTACGCACCTCGCAATGGTCCATCCCTTTGGCATGCCTACCTTGACCTGTTGTGGCCCTCGGTGTTGTCGTCCTTCAACATGGCGTCTCTTCGCCAGCCGCCAACAACGACCTGGCTATTCTCATTACCTCTCTATGAGCAGATGTCTCATCAGAGTCGATTCAAATCCCATTTCATATGGCATGGCGCGGAGTTCCTTGAATGTGATAGCTGTTACGCACTCAGCAAACAAAGCCAGCAACGACCGGAGTCGAAAACAACCTTCTGGAGCGGCCTCTGTAACCCCGCACAACGCCCCCGCCGACCGACCCGGCGGCTGAGCTAATAGCGCGAGGTCATGCTTTGACTTCCTTCTCTCGGCGGCCTAGTTTCGTCTCGATTAGGGTTTTACGACGTCGTACAAAGACCCTGGCACCGTCGAGGGCCCCACGTCTGCAGGTGCATCGCTTCTCCAGCACAGATCTCGGTTCGTGGGTCAAACCCCCAGGGGTCGGGGTTCCCGCATTACTGGCTGACCACGGGGTCGCTTACGGAAAAACGCCGCCGAAGGACCAAGACCTGATATTTGGACTTTTCCATACGACTCGCGGTGAACAAGCGACTTCGAACCGGGATTTCGTCCGCTTGCGGATGAAGCCATGGCGAGGGGCCCACTTCTTAAATTCAAAATGTTGATGTGATTTGGGTTGGGTCTTTGGGTGCCGTCTGAACGTCATCTGTGTAGACACCTGGACACGAGGAACCGAAAATGAGCAGCGATAGTCGACTGGACAAACTGATCTGCTGGACCCAGAAGCAGCACACTTCGGCCGCGATGCAGCCTCTTCTCGATCCCAAGAAGAACAAGTTGTCGACGAGATTGTCTGTGTGTGTGATCGGATCCAGTACAGGCATTGGCGAGCATGTTGCATACGCTTACGCAGCGGCAGGGGTCGGCAAGCTTCTGATATGTTCCAGGACCGAGAAGGATCTCGCACCGGTGAAGGAGCGGATCACATCCATCTCACCAGACACAGAAGTCGTCGTCAAGACAGTTGACATTGCGAGCACCGCGTCGGTCCAGGCACTGGCAGAATACATCAAGACCGCGTGGGGTCGTCTCGACATTTGCGTGCTCAATGCAGGCTGGAGTAACCCCAATGTGCCCTTTGGCGAGGCCCTACCGGCGGACATCCAGCGTGCCTTCGAGATCAACACGCTCGGTACCTACAACGTGGGATATTTCTTCATTCCGATCCTCCTCGCCTCGGAGGGCGGCTCCAAGGCCTTTCTGGTGATTGGATCTGGGAGTGCGGCCGGCCGGCGAGGACTCAATGGCAACACGGGATACTCAATCAGCAAGATGGCCCAGTGTCGTATGATTGAATACATGGATGAGACGTTTGCCAGCCAGGGCCTGACCGTGATCGGTGTCCAGCCCGGCACCGTGGTTACGAGAATGTCGACCGAGCGTGTGGCGGAGGAGCACCGACACTGTGAGTTAGCGGCCCCGTAATGGCCCTTTCCCGACTCTCTCATTGTCGGGGGATGGAGAAGGAGACTGACACAAGTTGACCGGCCGTAGTTCTCACCGACGATGTTGGGCTGGCGGGAGCATTCTGTGTTTGGATTTCAGGCAATCTGAAGGACGTCGGATGGATGGGGGGCAGGCTGATCTTCGCGACCTGGGATCTATCCGAGGTGCTAGCCAGGAAAGACGAGATCGTCGAGAAGGACTTGATGAAGTTTGCCATGTTGACCGAATGAAGGGAAGGGGGGAAAGGAAAGGAAAGGCCAATTGAGCCATCCAATTGTCCTTGACCCAATCTAAGCGCCGACGATGCGGAGACGCATCGATCTACGAATGCCACCTGGATGTAACGGGTTCAAGGCAAGAGAATTTGAAGGCACCGTGAGGTTAAATTTCTGAATACAGCTCTTCCTCCTCGACCAACAATCGTCGTTTCCGTGAGCGAGCTCTGAGCCCGGCCGGCCCCCAGCTACCCTTGAATCTCACACCGAATCAGCATGCTCAACCGTCACGTTGTCCCTGTCTTTCTCTGGAGAGGCGTCGACGTCTTGGTTGCGTTCGGCTCCCATGTTGGAGCTGCTCGTGGTGTCACTCCTCTGGTACAGGCGTTTTCCGATGTGGCTGGTCAGGTGGTGCTGCACGTCCTTGTCGTGCAAGCAGGCAAAAATGAGACTGAAGCAACCGAAGGCGATCGCCGTGTAATACACGTATTTGAATGTCTCCACGTAGGCGTTGGCCACGGCGGTTTGAACGGCCCCGACAATGGCGGCGGTGATCCCAGGGACGGCCGCAAAAGCCTCTGCCGTGCCGGCAGCCATGGCCTGGAAGAGACTCGGGAGCGACGCGGTCGGGAGGCCGGCCTCGAGGGCGGCAGATGTCACGAATTGTGGAATATATGCGCCGGCTTTGTTGTTGAGTACGGCGATGAAGATGGCCTGGGCCACGGCACCGCCAAAACTCCGACCAGAGCCCAAGAGACCCAAGGACAAGCCGATGTTGTCGGTGCTCCTGCTGACCGAGGTCCACAACATGCACATTGTCTCGAGGGCGCCGTTGGAAAGGGACGCAATCAGGACGCAGGCGATCGCGGCTCCTTGTTGGGTCCGATCGGTCTGACTCACCCCGACGGTGAAAACGACCATGAGGATGTTGGCCACGACCACTTTGAGGCGGTGGTGAGCGCCGATGTGGAAGAGGATCCCGCCCAGAACGGCTCCGACGCTTACGCCGGCGTAGGCCGTACAGACCATGAAGCCTTGCTTGATGATGGAGCTGGCCCCGAATACGTTGACCACCACTACGAGACGCTCGATCAGCACACGCCGTCTTGGACTCGCGACCTGGAACGTCTTCGAGGCCCAACTTACCAATCGGCCAGACCAGCAGAATACCATAGTAGAACATTCCGCCCGTGGTGCTGACAATGAACGGATACAGGTAGCTCCGTGGCTTATAGACCAAGAAGTCCCAATTCATCAAGGGCTCCTTGATCTTGGTGAATGCCTCTGCGTCTGGTCAGCTGCGCCATCGCCTCATCGCCCCACAATCGAACATGGACACTTACGCCAAAGAAGGAAAGCGACCAGCCCAACAAACCCGATGACAAGCGGCGCGATCACTGCGGCCGAAGTCCAGGGGAGGTAGCCACCGCCCCAGCTGACACCCAAAGCGAACAATACCATGCCTGCGGCGAACAGGATCAGGCCAATGTAGTCGAAATCTTTGATCAGCTCCATCCTGCGGTGCCTTTTGTGCAGATGATCAAAGGATGGTGGCCAGTAGAAGAGGATCAGCAGCACAATGCCGATGCCGTAGCTGATCGAGGCCATGTAATAGCACCAACGCCAGGAGTGGTCTCTCACGAACACTCGTGCTGTTCAGACACATGTCAGCCCATCGGCCTGGACCTCGGGGGACCACATCACACTTGCCGACGACAGGTCCAAACGACTGAAGAGACAGGGTGGGGACCAAAATCAACGAGTTCCAATATCCTCGGTGCCGGATGGGCACAAGCTCTCCGATATAGATCTGGTAGGTCGACCCGGACACGGCAGCCATGCCGATGAAGACGGCACCTCCAATCAAAGTGTTGAGGTTATTCGCGGTGCCCGACATGCTGTGGAACCACAGTCAGTGACACTGTCAAAGTCGGAGGCGGAAACCCGAGCTAGACACTCACATTGCACCGATGAAACCCGAAGCCACCTGGGCGATGAGGAAATACCGACGACCTGGGGACAGGTGAGTGTGGGCGGACGAGGGCAATCTCGGAATGTCCCAGGGCCTGCTTACCAAACAGATCCGATAACCTGCCCAAGGTCAAAAAACACACGGCGTTCATGGCGGTGAAGGCGATGGGGATGTTGACGTAGACGTCAGAAGGCCCTGGGATTGCCAGTCAGAACGAAAGAAAGAAGATCGAAGCAAGGGGAAAGGAGAAAGGAGAAAGAAGACATGGACGCTGTCAAGGCAGCCGCTCGGGCAGATCAGGAAGATACACACCAAGGTCGGCATTGATATAGGTCAGGATGGACAGAGGAGCAAGCACCGCGGCGCAGGAGCCATACAGACCGAAAACCAGCCCGAGATAGGTGCCCCAGAGGCGCAGGCTGCGGCAATAGGACCAGTCGACGGCATCGTGCGCCTGTTGGGCGCGAAGTTCCCGTTGGTTTTGCAGAGGGTTCGCTTCGATGGTCAACAGCTCTGGATCATCGTCGAGTGGAGTCACATCCACATCTCGCTGAGGTTCTTTGGGGTGGGACTGGGACAACATGCTTGAGAATCAATGAACTTTGACTTGGGGAACCATGAAGCAAAGGAACTTGAGGTTGAGCATGACCACGCGGGCTCCCTCTACAGTTAGATATAGTTCTGTCCAGCATATTCGGACCTTGGAAGGGGACGCACGTCGTCGAGAGGTTTGGGATCCTGGCTGGGGCCCCGCGTGGAGAAATGCCGCCGATAGCTTAACCAACACGAAATGGAGGCTGGAAATGTGCCGCCCGTCGCCCTTGAAAGTCGGAGCAGTTGGTAGGGAGCCTGGCTTGGCTGGTGGACTGGGTGGGAAGGAGACTGCGTGGTGCCGCACCAGGCGCCAGGCACCTCTCGCCCCGGACTTGGGCTTAGGCTTAGGCGTGGCCTCGCACTCGAGCACCCTATAATACGACTCGTCATGCCCCGAACTGGAACTCGATCCCTCCAAAGTCAAAAGTGGCGCTGTCCCCACACTCCCCCAAACCTGAATCCTATCTTTCTATTAGCGAGAGACTACGATTCGTAGGACGAGAACTTTGGTTTGAGTTAGCCTCTTCGCGAGCGCATGGTCCAGGCCTCTGGAGTCTAGACGACCGGACTTGACAATACGCAGTCCATAACCTTAGGTAGTCCATAGCTAGCCGTACAATAGAGCGAATAAGTTATACGCCGAAATTGCTGCTCTCACACATAAATCCCGTCCTGGAGAAACTCGCATCCAAGCCATAGTTCTGGTCGTGAGTTGATTTGTCCCGTCCGTCATGGCATCCCCCGATCTAGCATCCAGGGGCTCGTTCAAGGGTCGCACGGTCATTGTCACCGGCGGTGCTGGGGCCGTGGGCACACAGCTGTCACTGGCGTTCGGCAAGGCCGGGGCGAATGTGGTGGTCAACGATATCAGCACAACATCCGATGGGAAGTTTCGTGCACAAGAGGTTGTCGACGAGATCACGGCTCAAGGTGGCAGCGCGGTGCTGGATACGAATTCGGTTGTGGACGGCGAGAGGATTGTTCGCACAGCCCTCGAGAAGTTTGGCAGGATTGATGTGATTGTCAACAATGCCGCCCTCGCCCGCTACGTGCCGTTCGAAGAGGACGATCTGTCGGTGTACAAGCGGATCCTCGACGTCAACGTGCTGGGAAGCATATCCCTCATTCTGGCCGCGTGGCCGCACTTCAAGAGCCAGCGATATGGACGAGTTGTCAACTGCTCGTCCGATGCCATCTTCGGTATGACGGAGGTGACTCCCTACACCTTTTCGAAAGGCGCAATCCTGGCGGGCACTCGGGCACTGGCGATCGAGGGCGCGCCCCATGGAATCCTGGTCAACTGCGTCGCCCCCACGGCCTATGGAGACATGATGTTACTGCACCTGAACAAGATGGATGCCGCGATTCGGGACCAGGCCAAGGAATTTGCCAGCACCACGTATCCGCCCGAGTCCAACATTCCCTGGTTTCTCGCCCTTTGCCACGAGTCCAGCGAGATCACGGGCGAGTTTTTTAGCCTGGGCGCTTACTCTGTTTCTCGAATTGTCCTGGGCGTCCAAGACGGAGTCACAAATCTCAGGACGATGGAAGAGTGTCTGCAACAGCAAGACGCGATTCTCAAGAACCCGAAAGCTCAGATCAATGTCCCACGCAACTGCGACGAGTTCAATGAGGTGACCGTCCGGGGGAAAAGCGCTAGACCTCAAGAGAGTCTGCATGGACATTGAGGCTACGCGGGCCATACCAAACAGTGTAGCTCCATATGGGATGCCGACAACAAAGCCCTTGCATGTACTGCAGTCATGCTTCTACTGTGGCAACGGGGACAGCAGTGGTAACTCACAACAGAGGAGCATATTATACAATCCAGCCGAGTTCACTATGGCGGATCTTTGTCTGCCTTGTCTGCCTCTCTGCCATGACGGCCTGGCTGCCTACAAAGTACATAGTCAATTCTGTGTCCGACACGTGATCTTCACGTGACAAGTCTTGGCATCAATTCCAGCGCGGGGCCGTCATCACAACCTCCCTTTTTGTTTTATTTTGTTTTCTGTGTGAGACTTCATTTTCGTGATGAATAACAAGGCCTGCTCCTATCCCCTGGGGAAACGATTTCGGGCACTACAATCCTCGTAATGGGGATGACATGTCCAGATGATACTAGAAAATGCTACAGCCAAATGACCCTATCTCAAATCGGATGTCACGACGACACTTCTCGGAGGGTTACACTCTTTGACCCTGAGAGAGCTCGCAAAGTCTGAGAAAACCAGCGCCACGTGCCGGTCTACACGCTCCCATCTCCCAACCGACCCGGTCTACTGCTGCCCTCCCGCCCACGACACCTCCTCTCAAATCTCGACGAATAGATGTCGAATGTCGTCGGGAATCAAGTGGCCCCGGTATTTGAACTCGACCACCGGATACTTGATGGGGTCTTTAGTCTGGTTGATCCAGTCGCCGTGGATGATGGCTTCGACGCCACCGGGAAGATTCTGGCAGCGGACATCATACAGCATGATTATCAACGCGAGCAAAGTCTTGATCTCATTGGCGGCGAAGAATCGACCGGGACAGGCATGCTTTCCGTGGCCAAACGTGAGGTTCTTGGGCGTGGTCATCACAAACTGATGCTTGTTTTCCTCGCCTTCAAGCTGGCGTAGGCGGTACATCCTCCACGGGTCAAACTCGCGGGCATTCTCCCACACGTTATCGTCGAGGCTCATGGCCAGGTAATTGCACCAGAAGTGAACGCCCTTCGGGATCAGGGTACCGTCACTCATCTTCCAGTCTTGGACGGTCGATCTCTGCATTTTCACTGACACTTGTATTAGCATCCACTCAAAGCTTAGAGAGAGAGAGAGAGAGAGAAGGGGGCGGGGGCGAATGCTTCCGTACGGGCCGTAAAAGGGCACAGACGCAGCGACTCGGTCAAAAAGCTGTCGACCCTCTTCAGGTGCGTAAGCGCTTGTTTGGTCCAGCCGCCCTCTTGCCGAAATATGGTCTCGATCTCATCGCGAAGGTCTTTGTGGTACTGTGGATGAATCGATAAGAAGTAGAACGCCTCGAGGAACGAGATACTGCTGGTGTGAATCGCGCCGATATTGATGTGAAGCATCCGGTACACCATATGGTCGACGCGTCGATCGGCGGGCGGAGCTACGTCCAAGATCCATTGGATCACGTCTTCGGGTTTGATCTTTTTCCACTCCTCGGCCCGACCTTCGGCAATATATCGATCCTCGTCCCGAATCCGCTGCGTAATTACGGGCCCTAGGTGTCGATTCGCCTCTTTACGTGCACGCCTAATGCCTGTGGACCACCACATGACCAGTGGCTTAAGGTATTCAGGCCATCCTCGGATTTTTTCGGCTCCCCCAAAGAAAATGCCGGCGTAGTCGATCGATAGCTGCTCAAATTCCGGGTTTCGAGTCAACTCAAGGCCAAAAAGGAGGCGATTGGCGGTCCGGGTCACGACGCGAAATCCTAGCGGATACATCTGACGAGGCTCCCAGTCTAGTATTTTGTTGGTCAGTATTGTCACACGAGAGATGTATGGGTTCAGAAGGGTCCCCCCACTCTTTGTCTTCCCGATCTGAGCCTCGAGACTCAGTTTGGCTTCTTCGACAATGTCGCCCAACTTCGGTCCCAGACTCTCCGTCAGCGATTTGCGGAGTGGGATTTCGTGGTGGAACTGGTTGGTCTCCATTTTCGGATGAAGCGTGTGGCGCAACTGGGTCAGCTACTTTCCTCATCAGTCTCTCGCTGTGAACAGTCGGAACTGGAGAAAGAACTTGGTGCACTCACATCATTATTGGCTGGGGTATTCTGAACGTGAGTCTCGGGCGCCCGTCGGACCTCTTCGATGAAATTGGGAGCGACGATGAGCAGTTTTCCCTCGGGTCGCTCCACCAAATAATGCTGCTGTTTGCTGGAGTATTTCTCGTAGCCAAGGAGCAGGACGTTGAGAGCATCATTCACCCAGAGCTTCCTATCCTCCCAGGCCCCGAAGATGCCGGGCTTGGGGGAGATTCGGAGGGTCGGCACATTGGGATATTTCTGCCTCGTGCAGAGATAGGATATCGTCGCCGACACCAACAGCACGGAAGCAACCAGCACCGCGAGGTGTGTCGGAGGCAGAAGAGAGATCTTCACCAACAGCTGATGAGGACGGTCCATGGTGTCGATTGACATCTCAAAGCAAGGACAAGATGCATGAGAGAGTTATGCCAGGCTGCAATGATTTTGAGCAGAGATCCATGGCAGGCTATACGATGCGTGCCGAAGCAACTTGAATACAATTCAATATGTGCACGCACAATGTCCCCACTGCGTGGACCGGGTGGTTCTCGTAAGATCCGAGTCGTTATGGTCTGGGGGGGTGGCGAGGGGGCCCGATCCCTCGGCCCACACATGGGACGGTCCACGGGCCCTGGGGGTGCAAGGGACAAGGGGTACATACATTCATTACAATTTATGGACGAACCTGGGCTTTTCGATATAAGAAAGAAACACACCCCGTGGCCTTTGCTGCGCGTCCGGACGCTTTCGTGCCGAAAAGAAGGAACAATTCTCACCATGGGCAATTCCACATTCATCTCCCTGTTCGCAGCCCACCAGTCGACCACCGACGTGGATGCGCAGATCAAGTTCTACGAGGACTTTGGATTCGTCGTCGACAGGGGCTACGAGGCATTGGAAGGTAGGCTGCTGCCCCAGGCAATGTCATGGCCCATGACTCCACGGACCATGTTGGAGCTCATAACAGTCAGATGTACCTGACAAGTTCTATACCGCTCGGGGACTGTCCAAGTCGAATCTGGTCAAGTCGGTCTGCATGCGACTCCCGGCGGATCCATTCATGCATTTGATCATGTACGAATGGGACAACCTGTCGCGGGGGCCTGCGTGGCCCGCTCCCTTCCACCAGATCGGCACTCGAGGCTTTTCGATGCTGGTGGAGGACGTGGGCGCCGAAGTCAGCCGGATTAAGCAGGAGTTTCCTGAGATCAAATTCTTGTACGAGTCCATGACTGTGAAGCGCCGTTGGGGCAAGACATCTACAGCGCTCTTCGTGGATACGGAAGGGATCCCGGTGGAGCTGGTGGCCATCGAGAAGGGCTCGCAGTACGACGTGGCCAAAGTGCAGGTCCCGGACTTTGACGACATGCAGTGGCTGCACTTTATGTTGAACTGCACCAACTACGACAAATCCATGGAGTTCTACCAGTCCTTCGGCATGTACCACGACTCGGCCGTCGACTTCAGACCGGGCGTCGGTTTCCACCCCTTTGGGAAGGCGTACTACGCCAAACAGTGGATGGACGCCTTCAATTTCAAACAGGACGACCTGACCGGCGTCGGCTTCTTGCGTTCGGACCGCGATCCGAGCGGGATGCACCTGGAGCTCATGAAGTACAACCTAGGTATGTCCCGGTCTCTGTTGTGCTGGGCCTCCCGCCTGCGCACCACGCATTTTCCTTGGTTCACTGACCCTGGTGCCAACGCCGCCTGACAGATGGAATGACCGTCCCGGACGACCGTCCGACGTGGCAGCAGATGGGCATTTGTCGATACTGTTTCCGAGTCAAGGACTATGCTGCCGGACTCGCGAAACAGAAGGCCCGAGGCACCCGAATCTACGTGGCAGACCAACGAGGCAAGTTTTTCTCTCGCAGTGTGATATATATATATCCAATCGCTCACCGACCGTGTGACCAGGTTGTCTCGGATGGGGGGATACTCAGTGGTTCTTTTGCGGCGATGTGGACGGCAACATGCTGACCCAAGAGCAATGGTTCCCACAACGGTATTGGGGAGAGAAAAATTAGTTGTCGATCGTGGGTGGTTCGCTCCAGTGGTCAGAGACGGAGATGGGGAAGAGTCGTCTGGTCTCCATGGAGGTTACGATTCGGATGCTTCAAGGTTGTGACCGGGACCCGCTCAGTGTCCTACTCGTAAAGCGTGTTTGCCGAGGATGAGGATGATTTTCGTAGCCTACGACATCCTGCACATACTGATCCAGCCAGCTGGGGAATGTGAGTCAAACCTTTACGATCTCGAGAATGGTGCTTCTCTCTTCTCTTCCAAGTTGCTCTAGTTCTCGTTGACCGAAGAATACGCCGGGTCCTGCTTGAGGTCCTGCTTGATCCCTTCCCACGTCGCCCCAGCCCCTCCTCCCCAGCAAAAGAAATAGTTGATTTAGCTATGGAGGAGCCCTCGAGCATCCCTGATTTTGACTCGCTCCCCGCCGTGGACCAGATGCCCCGGGGCTGTGCGTGGGGGGTGTTTGACCGAGGCGACCAGAAAGACCACTTTGGGTGTTTGAATCTACTGACACCGGCCGTCGTGAGCGCGGCCGGCAGGGAGGTCCGGGACGGGGTGTCGATTTCACTCAACTGGCCACTGGATGCGATCCGTATCCCTCCATTCGGTCGGAAGGCCCTAGGACATACGGTCCACGCATTCAAGGACACACCATACGATACGTGGTCGTTTGAAGACGAAGTCGAGTTCAACACGCAAAGCTCCAGCCAGTGGGACAGTCTCGTGCATTTCGGCCACCAAGGGACTGGTCAATGCTACAACGGAGGCTAGCCGACGAAAGACCGCCTCGACTAGAATGAACTCGCCCCTGGTGGTGCGCTTCCCACGCTGGAGCATTGGCACGGTCGAGGAGGGGTGGTCGGTCGAGGAGTGCTTCTCGATTATAGAGCATGGGCGGCGCGAAAGGGGATACAATACAGTTGTTTTGAGTCTCACACGATCGGCATTGAGGATCTCGAAGCCATTGCCGCCGATCAGAAGACGCAGCTCAAGCACGGAGACATCCTGATTGTCCGGTCCGGATACACTGAAGACCTCATGGCCGCGGACTCGGACCGGCAGCAAGCATGGTTGAATGGCGGCCGGGCGGTCGGGGTGGAAGGCACCGTCAAGGCGGCCAAATGGTTCTGGAACCACCACTTTGCCGCTGTGGCAGGCGACATGCTCGCTTTCGAGGTGACGCCGCCACGACTCGAGGCGGAGGACGGCCGCGAGGGCGCTGTGCGTGATCTGGGTACGTACGACGACCTGAATTCTCTGCACCTCATCTCCCACTTGGCGAGCCAACAGTTGACTGATCATCACTTGGGCATCCCAATCCTCCAGTCTTGCATCAGTATTTCCTCAGCCTGTTCGGCCTCCACATTGGCGAACTCTGGGACCTCAAGGCGCTGGCCGATACGAGTTTCTCCTAACGAGTGTGCCTTTGAATGTGCCGGGCCTTGTAGCTTCGCCCCCGAACGCCCTAGCGATCTTCTAGAGGACTGGGGAGGATGAAAATATGCAGCGAGACAGGTGGCAGATACTCCGTATTTGCTATGCGATACTTGGCTGCTCCGTGTCTTGAACTCACCGTCCAATAGTCACGTGGTTGCGGATCCTCAAGTTACGACGTCGTATATCCGATCAAACAGGATCTCGGAGGGCCCTGTTTCATTCATCAAATCTTTCGTCCCCTCTCGGTTGCATGTTGATAGTCCTCCTTACGCATCCTGTCATCATGTTTCCCTGCTTGTACGCTGAACACACATAGTCCCGACGACCCTCTCACCACTCTCATCTCCTTGTGTCCGGTTTCCTTTTCCCTTTCCCTGCAACGTTATCGACCCTACCGTCAACACAGGTTCATCATGGCGTCCCATGCTCCTGTTATGGGCAGCAGCGGGTTTCCAGTGTCGATATACACCGTTGTTGTCACGGCGGTCGTCATATTTGGTTGTTATATCTTGTCGAACTCGGAAAACGCTCTCTATCCTGGCTTTGATGCAGTCGGCCTTGATCCCAAAGCCTGGACCTATGCAGACGCTCGCAAGAAATACGCCCAGAATGCAAAGGCCGTGCTCTGGGAAGGGTTGAAGAAGGTGAGCCTTCCCTCGACAATCCCACCTCCCCACCCCGGGCTGATCATAATTTCTCTGCAGTGTAAAGGGGCATTTCAGGTGTACACGATGGCCGGCCCGAGAATCGTCCTCGACGCCAAGTATCTGGACGAGTTGAAGAATTGGCCCCATGCCGATTTTGCGAAGAATAATGCGAAGGTGGGTGTTGCTGCTCAACTTGTGTCGTTGGCGTTTGCCTGTACTGACCCGCGTGACTCAGCAATTTTTCGGGAATTACCCTGCCTTAGGCTTATTCGGGGAGCAAGGAAACGGCGAGATCATCCAAGATACTGTGCGGATCAAGCTCACGCAGTCACTCAGTGAGTACCACGTGGGAGCTTGGTGAACACCCGGGTCTGACAATGGAATCTAGATCGACTCACTCCGATCCTGAACGGCGAAGCGAGAGACGCTTGGAAAGAGTTGGCCGGGGATTCCGAAGGTAAGGACCTCCAGCAAACGGCTCTCTCTCTCTCTCTCCCCTTCCCAATCCGGGGAAACACATTGCAGGCTGACCCTACGCGGCGCAGAATGGCATGAGTTCCACGTGTGGTCCAATGTTCTGCAACTGGTCGCCCGCGTGTCAGCAATCACCTTCATTGGCCCCGAGCTCTGCCGCGACAAGAATTGGATCGATCTCTCCGTGAACTATGCCGTGGAGGCGTTTGACTGTGTGCGTGCCTTGCGCACCTGGCCCAAAATTCTCCGCCCGATCGTGCACTGGTTTCTGCCCCAGCTCCAACGACTCAGGCAGAGACACCGGAAAGCCCGGCAGATCATCGAAGGAGAATGGAACAGACGGCAGCGTCTGGCACAGGCCGATCCAGATGCGAAAGTCACCTACAGTGACGGCATGCAGTGGCTCCACGAGACGGCCAAGGGTCGTCCCTACAACCGAACCGACTCTCAGCTGACGATGGCGTTCGCGGCGATCCACACGACATCGGACCTGATCACCAAGGCCATCTTTGATATTGCGGCCAATCCAGAAATCATCGAGCCACTCCGGGAGGAGATGAAGCAATGTTTGGCCAATGGGTTCACGAAGACGGCCCTGTACACCATGAAGCTACTTGACAGCGTGTTGAAGGAATCCCAGAGAATGAGTCCCAGTTCATACGGTAAGCCAGATCTCCTCACATCGAACATGGTTGTTCAATAGGCCGTGGCCCTCAAGACTGACCTGATCCCCCTCTCTCTTTCTCCCTCCTCTCTAGCCCCGTGCATGAGACGGATCGACGAATCCTTCAAACTCTCGGACGGGACGGTGCTCCCCAAAGGCGCTCAGCTGGCCTTCACGGCGAACCGCAATTTTGACTCCGCCGTGTGGTCAGACCCCGACAAGTTCGATGCCAGGCGATTTCTACGACTTCGGAGCCAGCCCGGCCAGGAGAATGCCTGGCAGTTCGTCACGGCCAATGTCGACCAGCTCGGCTTCGGGGCCGGACAACACGCCTGCCCGGGCCGCTTCTTCGCATCCAACGAGACCAAGATTGCGCTGTGCCATTTACTGCTCAAATACGACATCAAGCTCGCCACTCCCAGTCGGCCGTCGAATTTCACCATTGGCGCTGAGATTGTCGCTCCAGTCGTGGAGCCCATTCTCATCCGAAGGCGGTTCGACCTCGAGGGGCCGCTGCTGGAGTAGCCTCACCGGGAGGAGAGAACCTTGCCATCCTAGCCCCTAGGACTACGGGACCTAATATATATATAACTCTATATATTTACATTGTAAATGTGGAGATTGCAGAATCAGAGACTTTGTGTTGGACAATAGCATTGAACAAATGCTAGCCAATCATTTACAACAGACTAGGATATATTGCAACACTCGCTCAATAAACTGTATCACCATCAACAGGCAGCAATGGCGACGTACGCTCGTTAGATAGATATATAGATGGGCTCTCTCCTACACTCACTCTTTCAATCCACGAAGTTCAACACTTTGCTTGACTCTTGGCGTCGATTTCTGTGTCACGTGTAACTTGGCATGCTCCCAGCCTAAGCCCTATGGAGACTAGTCCTATTTATCCCCATTCCTCCTCCAAAATCGGCGATTCAAAATACCCCACGGCCTACCTGCGTTCTTCCTTTCTCAACGAAGAGCTTTCACATACTTTGTTTGCAATGAACTGGGACTCGCTAAGATCAGTCTACTCTCGCTCTTCTCGGCCCTGACTTCTCCGAGATCATCCCTCCCCGTGTCCTACGTGCAACACGTGTGGTTGTGTGAATGAGCAGAAGATCTCCCTATTTTAGCGCTACCCACCATCCAGGAAAAATCGCCGAGCGTGATCATCCGGAAGGAGAAGAGATAGAAGCAACAAGCCCAGGATGATTCCATATTTCACACTCTGATGTTGCGTGTCACCTCCATCGGGATGTCGGTGTCGTTGAGCACGCCTGGCTGAGCCTTGACCACGGCCGGGATGGCGTTCACGACCAAAGCTCCGGTGTTGTAGAGGCCGGCATCCTCGCCGGCGCGCGACTCGCCCATGGCAATGCGACAATCGTAATCCGGGTCGCCCTTGATGAGGATTGTGTACTCGTGGCGAAGTTTAGACTTGTCCAGATCACCGCCATGTGCTTGCGGCCAGAACGGCGCCGCCTCCATGCACGTGCGGGTGATGTGCTCGAGGATCACAAACGGCTTTCCTCGATAGATGCCCTCCAGACCGACGCGGACCGCGGCCACGGTTCCGGCCTCGATGGTGCCCCACAAGGTGGTGTGCGTCTTGTCGTGGGTGGCATTCTCGAAGAAGAACCGGATGTCCTCGAGCTCGATCTTCAGGGCCTTGGCCACGGCGTTGATTGTGCCTCCCCACGCGTGTTTGACGAATGTGCCTTGCTTCATGACGCTTTGGAACTCCTTCGGCCGGCCGAACCCAAACACATCCGGTAGCCAGGGCACGTCGTGGAAGGCATAGTTCCCCAGCTCCTGCATCCGGATTTCATTGACCTCGTCCGCCCCCTTCAACATGGCGATGGTCAAGAAAGGACTGAAGAATCCCGGGTCACTCCCGGTCAGGAAGCACGTGCTTTTGCCCTTCACACAGGCGGCCTCAATCATGTCCACGTACTTTCCATCCGTCGTGGTCGCACCGGCGTTCTTCTGGCGCACCGTGCTGGGCTCGACCATCCAGAAGAGACACGGCGTGCTCACGTTGATGCCGGCTTCGAGGAATCGGATCGCCAGCTTCACGCTGGACTCGGCCTCATTTCCATTGCCCACGTATGTCACCACGTCTGGTTTGGCCGCGATCAGCGCGTCGACATCCCGCGTCGCCTTGACCCCCAGGTCTCGGTCCAGCTGGCACACTTGCCCGGCGTCCACCCCATCTTTCTGCGCACTGAACACCAGCAGTCCGACCAGCTCTAGGTCAGGATGGTTCAGGAGCGCGCGTAACGTGACCCGTCCTGTTGGCCCAGTGCCGCAGTGGACCACACGAATCTTTTCCGGCATGCTGTATTGCCTTGACCGGGGACTTTGGGGCGGGATGATAAGAGAATTTTCCAGGGAGTGATTGGTTGATTGATTGAACAAACGCTGGATAGCTTGCTTGACACGAGCAGGCTATCTTTATACCAGAGCCCGCAGCTGGTCAGAGCAATGGACTTGCGTCCTGGCTGCTGGGCCTTTCCGACTTCAATCCAAGAAAGTTGAGCAACCCAAGACTAGACTGAGCGGGTTCCGGGGCCCCGGTCACAACTCGAATCGTAAGGGCGTTCAGGAGTTTCGAGTCGAGAATATTACCGAGCTGACAAATGAGCAACTGGGTGGAGAAACTCGCTCCGGGCCCCAGTTCGCCTCCTCCCCCATCCCCCCCCCCCCTCGAAATTACAGGTACGGGGTTCCTGGGGCCCCAAACCCTATCCTCTAGATACATTCTACCAGGTCTGTTCCCCCGGAATATTCGATGGTTCTCCGTGGATCATCTTGAACCACGGACCCCAGTTATCTCGACACACACGACTGGCTTCGCCATTGACTAACGGCTGCCGCGGCACCACATAGGGCTTTTCCGCCGAAACCTCCACCATTTCTCCCGACGTGTCTGCCACATTGACGTAATGGACGTAAGCCTCCACGATGCTTTCGATTGAGGTGGTCCTAGACCGCGAGGTCAGTTGGAAATGACTGTGCAAAGAAGGGGTTTGTGAGGGCGGCACGCACTGGGCAAATCCCACGCCCGCGAGCACATCGGAGCCGGTAATTGCGCCGACTCTTACAATGCTGGGAACGACAATGTTCAGGAGGATATTTTCTTTCTGTGTTCATCAGCAGCGGTTCATTCTGTCGGATGCAAATGCTTTGACTCACGGCCTTCAGAATGGGTGCCATTGCCCGGCCATAGCTCATCACCTGTTTCCCCAATTCATGTTCAGCTTCCATTGTCCCGGCATAGTCAAACGGTAGATCGAGACGAAACTCCACTCGACTCACCGCTGCTTTGGCCGATGCATACTCCGGCCAGAGAGGCAGAGAATACAGCCCTGCACCAGAGCCCACCAACACGATATGACCGCCCGGGTTTCGGTTCTGCCTCATAAAGTGTGTCGCCAGGCGCACCGCATAAATTGACCCTTTGGCCACAACATCTGTACACGCCAGATCTGGGGCCGGGGGAAGTTCAATGCTCCCTCGCCGGTCAAACATCAAGAGCGACTGCTTGTCCACTATCGATCCATTGGCAATCACCGCGTCAAGCCGCCCCCATTTCGACCAGACATCCTGGTACATTTGGGCTTGATCTTCATAGTTGGCCAGGTCGCATTTGATATACATGGCGCGATCTGCCGAGTTGTCCAGCAAACCCTGGGCCTTCTCCTCCTCGAGGATGTCAACGAGAGCAACTCTCCACCCGTCACTGAGAAGCCTTTTCGCCGTCGGCATTCCGATCCCTCCCTGTCGCCTCTATTAGTGACCCTAGGATTTTGCTAGGAGGAGGGGGGGGAGGGGAAACGGTTGGGCAAGCCTACAACATACCAGCGATCCCGACAGTATTACCACTCTTCCGTCGCTCATGTTTTGGTAGTATTCGAGTCCAGCCTGTGATCAATGCCGGTTAGAGTCGCAACACCAGCCCAAATTATGTGATCCAGAGGATGTGCTCAGCCTCCGAGAATGTGGTTAGAATATTCTCATGGCCTTGAGCCTCGGAAAACCCTTCGGCCGATGCTCCGGAGTTCTGACAGGAAATTCTGGGAATGACTCGTACTTCCGACGGGCCGAAGTGGGGCTACGAGTCGTAGACATGGAAGGGGTTTTCTGGATACGAGGCAATGAAGTGGATTCGAGGATGACCTTGCCTTGATTTTTTTTTACACTCACGTGCGACGCGGGGACATATAGTCGCATTGAGAGAGACTGAACGGGCTCAACGAGAGGGCGGACTTCACGCCTCGACATTCGACGTACGCCGTACGCCGTGCACAATACACCCTCTCGACACAGGGCCACAAGGCACCAGTCCACGGCGAATCTGCGCTTTCGGCAGAGATCTGTTTACACCATGAAAGGGCTTGAAGGCCGACGCATCCTGGTCGCCGGAGGAGCCACAGGCATCGGCAGAGCCATCGCGATACGGTTGGCGGAAGAAGGATCGCACGTCGTGGTCGGGGACTTCAACCAACCCGGGGTGGAACAGACAGTGCAAGATATCCAAGCCAAAATGAGTGCCGTCAAGATCAAAGCCGTGTTTTTCGACTATTCCAAGCCCGACACGATCCGAAATCTAGTCAAGGAGGCGGTCGACTTTCTCGGAGGCCTGGACGGACTCGTGAACGTCGGGGTGCTGGGCGGAAAGGCCCTGACCATGGACGTAGACATCCCCGACCTGGACCCGGAGTCCTGGCAATACATCATCAACGGCGACCTGATCGGATACGCGGTGGCCGTGCAAGCAGCACTGCCTTACCTCAAGCAGTCCGGGAAGGGTTCCATCGTCAACACCACGTCCGGGTCGATCTTTGGTGGGATGCCCTTTATGCCCGCGTACCAGGCGGCGAAGGCCGGCGTGCTGGCGCTGACCAAGTATGTGGCGCAGTTCCACGCCGCGGAGGGGTTGCGCTCGAACTGCGTGAGCCCTGGTCCCATCTTGAGCGACGCCGTCAAGGAGAAGACGCCACAATCTCACATTGACGGCGTGGTGCCCACGGTGCCGTTGCGACGATGGGGCCAACCGGACGAGATTGCTTCGTTGTATGCTTACCTTTTGTCCGACGATGCTTCCTACATCAATGGACAAACGTGGAGCTGCTGTGGGGGTAAATATTTACGAGATTAACTCGGATATGGGAGGATTGGAGGGGAAGAGATTGAGTCATGTATCTATCTAGTTTCACAAAAACGAGACATCAGACCCCCGATCCGTGCCTGTCTGGCGCGTTCAAACATACATGTATTACATTCTGCCAGCGACTAGAAGGAGCACTGAGAAAAATGGAAGCTTAACTTGTCGTATCATTTATCGTACTAGAACATGTCGCCCTTTGTAGATACTAGACATCTCACTCCCAACCACCCCCTCGATCACGAAGCTTGCAATGGCTAGGATTTCTTCATCCAGGCCGAGGTCAGTGTGTGTTCCAACGCAGCCACTGCTCCTGTTGTTGCAAGCTGCAACTCACGACGACGACGACGACTATGACGACACCATCTTCTCCTTGACCCAGTCGTCAATGTACCCAACGGCGGTGACCAATGATTTGGGGCTGTCCTCGAAGAAATGCGCGGCGCCTGGAATCAGTTTGAGTTCCTTGTCCTTGCTGGCGACCAAGTCGTAGATTTTGTGAGCGTCGGACGGATACACGCCGACGTCGGCCGTCGCTTGGATGATCAGCGTGGGCACGGTGAAGTGTGGCCCGCTGAGTTCGAACTGAGCCTGCGAGTCGGCCAAGCTCCACATGGACAGCCAGGTCTTGAGGGTGCTGGCGCGGGCGATCATGCTGATACCGCGGTTCGCCTGGACGGGGTCGCCGGCGTAGCAGGCCGGGCACGGCCGGTCGGAGGGCTCGATGTTCGGGTCCATGAACCGGAGGTCGGCCATGGTTCGATAGACGGGGAACACACGGTCGGGAACGCCGGCGTCGTTCAGCCGCCGGAGCTCTTTCTTGGCCCACTCGGTGATCTTCTCGCTCCGGGCGACCTGCGCGCCACGGTATCGTTGGATGAACTCGGCCGAGTACGGCGGTCCGTTCTGCGGCGCGTACATGTCCAACGACGGATCTGTTTTGACGGGATCCGACTCGTCCACCACCGACGGGTCGATCCAGCGTGCCATCACGTCCGCTCGGCCCGGGTGCGCGTTGAGGAAGATGAAGGCATCAGCGCCCATGGCGGACAGGGACTCCCGCTCGGCCTTGGCCTGGAACGCTGCCATCAGGGACCCGCCTCCGGAATTGCCGATAAAGACGATCTTCTTCGCGGGCGTGTTGTTTCGGATCCACGACGTCCCCACGGCCAGGTCGTCCATGGCTTGTTCGAGGACGAAGCGGTCCTCCGCCCCCGTGAACCTCGTGTTCCAGCCCAACACCCCGTACCCGCGCAACGCGAGCGGCACGGCGAGATAATGTTCGGAAAAGTCGGCGATGTAGTGGCTGAGCATGAACACCACCGACGGCGCGTGGTCTTTCATACACCAATACAGGCCCTGGCAAGGGTGTTGGCCCGTTGGATATCGCACGGCGGTGGTCGAGTCCGATGCCACGAACCGCGGTGTGATTGAGTCTGGTATCTCCGACGACGCCTGCTGCCCGGGCTCCGAGCGCGTCGTCGCCTTGCCGGGAAACATCTTTAAGTGAGCAGACCACCGATGGTTAGTAATGAATTTAGACTGTTGTATTTTTTGGCCTCTTGTTTATTCGGAGTTCCCATGGGGCTCTTTGCTGTGGATGGGAGTGGATTAAACGTGGGTGGCAGGTCAATGGGACTTATAAAGGCGGGGTACCGACACACGAATCTGCTGTTCGTCAACACATCACCAGGTCCAACTGCGGGGGTTGGATCGGTATTCCGCCGACTTATCCCATGTATCCTGGGCCGATGGGAGATGTCATGCAGAGCTCGAAAATGCTCCCCGAACAAACAGGGGCATCGAAAAAAGAAAAAAGACAAGAGACTCTGGAGAAGGCATGAGGATTCATTTACGAATCGTACTCGGCATCACCTTTGCCGTGCCCAGCCTCGGCTCTGCGCTTTCGAATCCACGGTCGCGAAATTGTGCATTATGCATCGAAGCATTGGTCTGGTCAATTGCACATTGCACAGCATTTTGTCTAATGAGAGACGCGTCTGGGATTGGTTATGATTCCATGGAGCATAACGAGGGAGATTTCATCTCTGTCTGGTTTTGTTTTGTTTTTGGTTTTTTCCCAGAAATGCCCTTCTTAAAACTCGGAAAATCAATGATTGGCTACAACGATCCTCCAATCAGGTGACCCGGAGCAGTTTTTCCGGATGATGACATAAGGCTCTATCTGGAGAGCATACCGGTTGTCTCAGTCTGCTCAGACCCTGCGGCTACGGGCGCCTGCAGCGCTTAGCGCTCCACGCTAACTTTTTTTTGTAAAAAAAAGCCTTCGCCAGAAGGCTTTTTCCAAAAATTCTTCTGAATTTTTTGATTGGTCGGGGCTAGATTAGCCTCAATCAGCGGCTTGCCGCGGCAACCGAGGATGAGCCGACTGAGACAACATACCGGCCTTGCTGGCTTGTTGGCTTCGCAGTGCGAGGGGGTTGGGTGGTAACAAATCTTCCATTCCAGGCCTCAGAGGTGTCCGAGAGCGAAAATACGTTAATTACTTCGAATATTCAGTTGATTATTGATTGTGATGATACATCTTAACCAACTCGCCGAAAAGGGAGATAAAGCAAATGCATGGCCACCCAACCCCTCCCCCTACAAGTAGTTGCAAACAGGCCAGGAGAGATGGCGAGCGATCCCATCAGCCTTCCACCTGAACTCCGAGGCTAAGACTGGAGTGAATCATCCGGCACGCGTGAATCAGTAGCTCGGTTGCGAGGACTTCGGCACTGTAGCTCGACCACACCACGAATTGTCAGCTTTTCAATCAACTCCAATTCGCTCTCAATGGTTTTGGTTTGGAGGGAGATCTCGCTCTTTGTCAATGTTCTGCTTGACGATCGAGGATACCACCTTGCTGATGTTGGTGACTAGACCAGACACGTGGTGCATGCCTTCGAACCGATGGTTCATTTCATAGAAAAAGCCGCTGAAATTCCAGGAACGGCCCGGGGCCTCGTCGCGCCCATGCACACGCCGCGAACATGCTGTGGATGATGTAGGTTGCCACCGGAAGTACCGTCCACGCGATCCTGTTGAGAGGGGGGGCAAAGGGGGTCAGATTCAAAGCGTCGGCCTTGAAGAAGGTGTACGCGGAACACTTACAGCTGCAACGGAATGTCCTCGATGCGGGGATTCTCGTTGTAGCCAGAACACTTCGTCGGCCACGGAGGTAGAGGCTTCGTTTTGCTGACAGCGACGGAGGTCAATAGCCAGGACATGGAATCGACCACGCCGGGGACTTGGAGGTACCGCTCGTATAAATATGCTTTGACGGAACTAGCAGGGAATCCATCCCCAGAGTCAGCAGCTCCATCGCGTATATGCGGGGGTAAATAAGATGGGTGGGTGGGTTCGACTCACAATCCGATGATTCGAAGGACACGGAATGACACTTTCTGTTGCCGCAGCAGCCGTCGAAGATTGAATCGAGCCAAAGTCGCCTGGAACTGTCGGGTATGCGTCTCAAGGGCTTGATCAAGTTCTCGCAACATGTCGACAGTACGGTCTCGGCCTCGCCAGGTGTCCCAGCGCTGGGACTCGTGGCGTAAAAGCAGGGTCTGCTCCATGATGACCGACAAACGGCACATGTGGACGAAGGCATGGGCACCCACTTGAGAAGCGGTGTTGGCTTCCACGATTCCGCCGCGTCTCCGTGCCGCCATCCTTGCAGGCAGCAAATCGGCCAGGTGAAGCATTGGACAAGGCCGAAGGTTCCGTTTCAACTTGTGCGGTCTTCGCAGAGCCAGCGAAATGGTGCGGTTCCGTACCAGGCAGCACCACCACATAATGCGATGATGTCGTTCAGCTCCAGCGTCCAGCTTTCCAATGACTGCATGATGAAAGGCTTTGTCAACCCAGAAGCTGTTGACATCTTGAGAACAGTCGTACGGGCTCCAGTGTGAGAGAAGAATGGCCGCCTGGACTAGTTCCACCGCGCCTTCATGCTGCTTCGTGTCAAGAGCCTCGTACAGCCGACGCGCCTCGTTGAACAGACAGTGCTGGCCCTCTATGATGGATGTGAATGGGGATCCTCGTAGCTCTGAGACACCCAGGTGCTGAAAGGCCGCGAAGAACATGCACCGAACCCGCAACGTCGTCAAAGATTGGATGACCGGGCGACCTGGGGTTTGCCAGTTACAGAAATATTCCTTGTCCACCACGGGGCAGAGGGTGTGGACAGTTAGAAAGTACAGCATGATCAGTCTGGTCTCAAGGTCACTCGAGAGATATACCAGCGCCTGTCTGAACCATCAATTACTCACCGGCTCTGGCCTAGCCTCGCTGATTTTCTCCACTGGAGGAGAGACGATCTTCAACGAGCTCAATACACCATCCAAGCCGACCAGAAAAATGTCGGATGTATCAGACACGCCTCCGCAAGTCAGTTGTTCTCGCGGCTTGAGACAGTCAGTCTCATCCACCTCCCATCGCATCTCGTCATCCTGCTCTGGGATGCTGTTGGGCGAGTCGATGGAGGCTCGAGAGTTATCGGTCTCGGCCGGACTGAATCCCAAGATGTCAAAGTATGCCTCTTCATCTGTCACGGCGCTCTCATGGGGGAAACGATTGCTCGGGGAATCAAGCAAATGCTCAAGCGTCTCGTAGCCTTTCAGTTCGAGTTCAGTGTCCAGGAGACGGTCGAGAGAAGATTTCCAACTGGTTTCCTCGGCCATCTTCTCGCCGAGGAGACGAGTGTCTGTGGGTGTTTGGCATTCAGGTGGGTTCAAATGGGCCTTGCCTTTTTTCTTTTGGTTCTCTCTTTTTGTGTCTTTCCAAATAAAATACAAAATAAAACGCAGATGAAATAAAATCAACAAAAAGCCCGACATGAATCAAACAAGAATCAGACAAATGTCAATGTTCCCTCGCACCAACCGTCAATCCCCGGGGGTTTGCCGCCCACGAACCTAACGACTCGACACCTCACGATTCGTTCGAGTCACAGCGCCCGTCGCAGCCCCCATCACCCCTAGCATCCAGTTCGAGAGCATGGCCCCATGGGCCTATAACAGCATGATGTGAGAGAACATAGAGGCATCCCGACGTATCGTGAAGGGATCATCGTGGCGGGAGAAATACGCCAGCCCTTGGATATTGTTGCTCTCGAACGCTATCTTGAACAGCATGTATCGGAAATCCCCACGCCTCTCAATGTGAAGCAGGTAAGGCTCCATCTCTCTATGACCATCTACCTAGATGGTAGGACAAGCCAGGCTGACCAATTTCACTGCGTTATTGCAGTTCAGTTTGGGGCAATCCAATCCCACATACCTCGTGGAGGCAGCAGATGGCCGCAAGGATGTCCTACCGAAGAAGCCACCGGGGAAAATCGTGTCCAGCACCGCACACCGAGTGTCCCGCGAGTTCAGGATCCTACGTGCCCTCGAACAGACCGACGTGCCGACCCCAAAAGTATACACTCTCTGCGAAGATGACGGGGTGATTGGGACACATTTCTACATTATGCAATACATCGAAGGCAGGCATATCGAAGAGCCCCATATTCCGGGAGTCTCGCCGGAGGAACGCACAGAGATGTATGACCACGACGTGCTGAGTATCAGATCAGATCAGGTCAATTGATGTGGTTGATGGACAGGTAGCACGATGCCATTCGAACGCTGGCCCGACTCCATCGTCTGGACTTTTCCCGCCTCGGGCTCGCCGGCTTTGGCCGTCATCACGGCTTCTACGACCGACAAATTAAGACCCTCAAGCATGTCTCCGACAGTCAAGCATGCGTGGTGGATGTACACACGAAGAGAGCCGTGGGTGGGCTGCCACACTTGGATGAAATGACCCGATTCTTCAGCGACCCCAGCAAACAACCCCGAGATCGATCGTGTCTAGTGCATGGCGATTTCAAGATTGACAATCTCATCTTTCACAAGACGGAGCCTCGCGTCATCGGAGTGTTGGATTGGGAGATGGCGACCATTGGCCATCCACTCTCCGATGTCTGTCTTTTCACCCTGCCTTGGACAGATCCCATTATGAGGTCGATGCGGTCGCCAGGCCATCCGAGCGACGTCTTCGCCGACGGGGGGACCAATGGCCCTGCCCACCCAGGGGCAGATTTTGAAGTGGTATTTCGAGGAGACTGGCTACGACGTGTCCCACGACCTGACCAGGGGCACCGCCTTTGCAGGATTTCGGTGCGCGGTGATCATGCAAGGAGTCAGTGCGAGGCTTGCTCAGGGCCAGGCCAGTGGCAAGAATGCGATCATCTATCGATCTCAGATCAGCCCGTACACTGAGTGGGCGCTGAGCCCGATCCACCGCCTGCAACAGCGTGCAGAGCGTGTAAAGCTGTAGACTGCGAGACGAAGAATCTGTCTCAAACGCAAATTGATCCAACCGGCCCCGTATCCAGTATCCGGTAGCCTGACCCCTGGATCCATCCAGACGGGCGACCGGCCCCCCCAATGGCCATTACCCTCGGCTCCGGCTACTGTGAATTTCGAGTCGTAGGTGGTCTTTGATGGTCTTGCAGCCACCGCCAACACTCCGATTAAGTTCATATATAATACGTGCGAACCTCACCGACCGCGTTGCGACATGGAATCGGCCTTCCGTCCAATTCCTCTAACCCCCAGGTTTCCCTCCGGGCGACCGCAAATGGCCATCACTTCCAACTACCCCGACATCCAGCTACGAGAAGCGGATATCTTCTCGCTTCTCTTCGACCGACCAGATCGACCCTTTGCGGCGAACAAAGGTCGGTCAGCACCGCATTTCATGCTGCTCGTTCAAAACTTGACCCTCGGCTAATTGGTTTCATGGTGTACAGTTATTTTCCAAGACGCGACTCATCCGTCACGGACATACACTTATGAGCAGGTCCGGAATGATGCTCTTTGGTTCGGAAAGGGCCTTCAGACGTGCTTCGACATTAAGAAAGGCGACGTCATCGGCCTTTTCACTCCGAACGACATCGATGTGCCGGCGATCCTATTTGGGTCCCTGTGGACCGGGGCGGTGATATCTGCGGCCAATCCCGGATACAAGGTGGACGAGCTCGCGCACCAACTGAAAGACAGCGCTGCCCGTTTCGTCGTGAGCCATGTCTCCTCCTTTCCCACAGCTCGTGAAGCCTGTAGTCTTGTCGGCATCCCGGAGAGCCAGATCATCCTGGTTGGCAACGAGAGGTCGGCACGTGGACCGAGCAGACACTGGACCGTCATCCGAGAAGCAGGACAAACAAGCGCCGGTTCCCAACCCCCGACTCAGATCAAGATCCAACCGAGAGAAGACCTGGCTTTCCTCGCCTATTCGTCCGGCACCACGGGGAAACCCAAGGCGGTGATGCTCACTCATTTCAACGTCACGGCCAATATCGAGCAAATCCGAGACCTGGAACCGGTGTCGCACGACAACTCGGTCTCCATTCCAGGAATTCCCGACGCTCCCCAGACGGGCGACAAGGTTCTAGCATGCCTTCCGTTTTTCCACATCTACGGGCTGACATGTCTACTGATCAATCCCCTCTTCAAGGGCGTGCACTGTGTGATGATGGAGGCATTCGACTTCGAACGCTGGTGTCAGGTCGTGGAAACCCACCAAGTGACCGTGGGATACATTGTGCCACCCATCGTCTTACTGCTCGCCAAACACCCGGCCGTGAACAAATACAACCTCAGCTCCCTGCGCGTCTGTAGCTCGGGGGCTGCCCCCCTGACGCGAGAGCTGGTGGAGGCGGTGTACAAAAGAACGGGGATCCGGACGAAACAAGGCTATGGGCTGACGGAAACTTCGCCGACATTATTCGCCATGCGGTGGCAAGACTGGCACCGCAAGGTGGGGACCACAGGCCTGCTGGTACCCAATATGACGGCCAAATTTTGCATTCCCTCCGCCGAGATCGATCACGCGCAAGGGGCTGTCGAGCTCCCCCGAGGAGAAGTGGGAGAACTCTGGGTCAGCGGACCGAACGTGTTTCGTGGATACCTTAACCGACCAGAGGCAACGGCGGAATGTTTGGTCGACGGTTGGTTCAAGACCGGAGATGTCGGCTTCATGGATGATGAAGGGCACCTCACCATCACGGATCGAGCCAAAGAGCTCATCAAGTACAAGGGATTCCAAGTTGCCCCTGCCGAGCTGGAGGGTCTCCTGGTGGACTGTGAGCTCGTGGACGATGCCGCAGTCATCGGCGTCTTCCTCCGCGAGCAATCGACTGAGGTACCCCGGGCCTACGTGGTCAGGAAAGGGGGTCCGTCGGCCGTCAAGCCCGGAGACGATCAGTCAATCATTCGATGGATGGATAGACGGGTCACCAACCACAAAAAGCTGCGAGGAGGAGTGCGCTTTGTGGAGAGCATTCCGAAGAGTCCGAGCGGGAAGATACTTCGGAGAATCTTGAAAGATGAGATCAAAAAGGAGCAGGAGCGGGAGCAAGAGATACGTCTGAGAGGACACAATGCGAAACTCTAGAGGCGGCGAGGGGCCCTCGACTGTCTGATTTGTACGTACCAGAGCACGCAGGCGGAGCTCATGCTCCTGAAACTCCTGCGGGCTCCAGTTGACTAGAACGATATCCTCAATGCGGTCCCGGAACCTCCTGGCCTCGTGATGGGTTTTGTCGTGATGGATGAAGAACATACAGTCATCCAGGCTCTCGAACTGGTATATCAACGCGTGACTGAACCCAGGCTACATCCCCCGTCAGATGGATTAGCATCGCCCACATTCACACGCACAAAAACACACTCATTCATGCGGCTCGTAGCCTGATCTCACCCCCCCCCCCCCCCCACCCCGGGAAACACACGCACTTTGTTAGGAACCAGGAACAGGTTTTTCCCAGCCTGGGCCGAAAGGATGTATGGTTTTTGAGTCTTTTCATGCACGCAAGTGTCCTTCATGGCCACGGATTCTCGAAGCACCTGCTCAACTGAGTCAACATGATGACCTCTCCGAGAGTCACGACCGACCACGGCCGTATCTCAATGATGGCTCTCGAGTTGACCACCTACGTACCTCGTCAATCTCCTCGTCCGTCACCGAGGACTTGAATTTCATAATCACTTGGTGGTACACCACCATGGTGTCTTCTCGCTGAGGGGGCAATCGAGCTCCAAGTCAATTGTGCTACATGTAGTACGATTCGACCCCCTCGAGCCTGTGTTGCAGGTAAGGGACGGAACGAGACGACCTCAAAGACTCAGTGGCTCTAGACAGGTGGAGATCAGCTAACTCAATGACAATTCATTGGGAAACACGGTCCGCAAAGGTTCTCTCTGAGGCGAGATCGCCTCCCCCCCCTTTTGACCTGGGGGGGTATTATTCTGTACACCAACTTTTGTTATTCTGTACACCGGAAAACCTGCTTATTCTGTACACCATGCCTCAACTCTCCTTATTCTGTACACCACCACCTCTCTCTCGCCTTATTCTGTACACTTAACGCTCTCATCCTGTTATTCTGTACACCGCGCTAACAGAGCTTGTTGCCGTTGGCCCGGCGATGGCGAGAAAACACTAGTAAGTGGCGTAGCTGTGGAGGGGTGACGCGTTAAACTCTCCCCGTTATAGGTGGTTGCGAAGCAATAAACACATTTGATTCCCTTTTCCTTGGTAGATAAGTACCGTGCATTTTGAGCTTCTCTGTATACTTTGTAAATTATTGTGGCCTACACAGCCGGATTTGTGTAGAGATCCCCTGCACGGTCGATACCTCGTGCTGACTAAGGTAACAAACCAGCGCCCATAGGCTTGGGTGGGAACCGCCCATAAGCGGGGCAGTTGCCCCCCGGCTTATGGGCGGTTTCCCCCCGGTTCATGGGCGGTTTCCCCCTCCGGCTTATGAGCGGTCCTCCCAAGCCTATGGGCGCTGGTTTGTTACCTTAGTCAGCACGAGGTATCGACCGTGCAGAGGATACCATCGTTAACCATCATTTCTGCATTCTATATAGGCAGACTTAGGTGTTGTGACATCACGTATCTTCGAACTGCGCAGATAACCGGAAAAATAAAAATCCGGACCAATCAAAAGCGGTGTACAGAATAACAAAATGTGGTGTACAGAATAACATTACCCTTTGACCTGCTGCCCTTAATGCAAATCACGTGACATTATGCGCTCGATGTGCTTTCTGCATCAAAATGTATATTATTATGGCTCTCTGTTTCGCATGGTGAACTCGATGATGAATCGTGTTCCAAGCACCTCGGGTCGACAAGTTCCCGAGCATCGACTGTACCATGGACTCGTCACTCGTTGGACTCGGGCACTACAATCGTATCCCCCCGCCATGCTCTTCCCACGGGTACGAATCGTACAGAGTCACCATCCACCTCCACCACCGGTGGTACCATCAACCATCCACACAACTTGACGCCCGAAATCTCTGATCCGAGGGCGATGGTTCTGCACGCCGATGCCGGGCGCTTCATTGGGCCCGTCGAACTTGTGTCGCAGGCCAAGGCCGGCAATGTGTCATTTCGTCCAGGTGGTCTGAATCGTATGGGAGGTTGCCTGGATTCCACTCGATGGCACCACCCCAGCAATTCGTCAGGAATCTGAAATCGGTCCTGGAGGGCTCACTGTCGCGAATACATCCCCCTGTCTTGAACAAGTCGAGAGATCCTTCGGAACTCCCTCGTCGCAAAGAAATCTGAGAACACCACTCGCTTTGCCTCGTCATCGACAGTTGATCCCACCATGGCAAGTGCAAGTCAGGTACAGTTGTCTGCAAAAGATAGTCCTGGATACCTTCATGTGGACAACATTTCCGAGGAGGCAGCGCAAAAAGCCAGTGATTTATTGAATGAAAACCGCGAACAATACCACGCCTACTTGCATGGTGCTGGATTGCACAGTGAGAATTAAGACACTGAAATGCCCAGATGCTTATAGTGCTGATAGAATCTCCTTAGACCACATCCTACATCACCTGCTGGCAATTTACCCATTGGGCGCATCCGCAGCCCAGCTTCAAGCCGCCTATTCTCTCAATGCACCAGGCCAGCGGCCGAAGGGAGATCCCTCCGATGCAGCGCTGGCTGAATTGTCAGAGCTCAGCATCTTCAGGAAGCGCCTCGGTAACGAAAGTTACTACGCAGAATACTTGAAGTTCTTCACGGACGAGATTTCGAAACATGGCGTGGAGGCGACCCTCAATAGGTTTTGCTTTTGCGGCGACGAGCTCGCAGAGGACTTGTTTCCAAGGCTGTTCGGTGGTGAGTTCAACCGGTCTCATCTCAGGAAAACTTCAAGGTCGGACATGGGATGTGCTAATGAATCCTCCGTGCCTTGCCCGTGGTGAACAGGTCTTCTCCACCCGATCATTCATCTAGGATACGGTCTCGAGTACAACCAGCCGTCGATTGTGGCGGAGGCGTTGGCCTCGGCTGCGATCCACGTCACCTTCGTTGAGCCCATCTGTTTCCCGGCCGAGAAGCTGGCTGAGCAGAGACGTCCAGATTCGAACCCTTCCATCATGTCGCTCGTCTCGCTCCTGCGCAACGATCCCGTGGTGATTACCGCCATCTCTGAGGAAGACACCCACAACAAACTGTTGACCGACCTCATGCCTCGCGCGGGGGCTCATGTCCACGACGTGATAAGCAGGTATACAGTGGAACCGGATCGGCTGCAGGAATCTCTCGCGGAAATGCTGAATACGGCCATCTATCTCACAATTGCGTCGCAACGTCCGGGGAAAGAAATCATGTTCGATTTCTACCTCATGCACACCGCCAACTTGGCCTTCTTTTACCCGCTCTTCATGAGTCTGTCCTGGCTGTCGACCGAAAACAAGTGTCGATTGTTGAAATGGAAAGTCTGGCTGGATCTCGCCGTCTATGCTTCTTGTAAATGTCCCGACCTTCGCCTCGAGCGCGTCCTACAGTATCAGCCCGAGCACGAGGGAGGATGGGACTCCATTTTTGTCCGAGCGGCGGCATATCAAGATGATGGACACACCGCCAAACTCATCCGAGCAATCAAAATGGCCGAAATTGTATCGCGACCTTACGACGGACGGCCACAGTTCCCGATGCCGACCGAAGCCTTCTTGCTGGCAGCACATATGGTTATGGACTCGGTGGAGCAGATGTGCAAGCCGGGTTACCGGAGAGTCGCGGTGGACAACTACATCCCAGGGATTCACGAGGAGGTGTTGCGCACTGTTGCACGATGGATCAGATTCTGTGGGACGGAGATAGCCTGGAAGAACGTGCCGTCGCTCCCTTCGAGCACAACGCCCCGAGGGAGTTAGGCTGTAGGATCTATACCTAAGATTGGCATGGCAATTTTCGTGGATTGTACAGTACATTAACCCATGCATTGCCGTCACTCACGCCGGTGAATGTATACACCCCCAGCGTCCCGCAACACAAGTCCATGTCCATGCCCACCACGCCCATGGCTCACAGCCGATTGGCAGCCTTCGTGTTCGATTCCACGCTCAGGCTCTTCGCCACCTCCACCTGGCCCAAGTATTCGTTTGCGCCCAACCGATCCACAAATTCCCGCACCCGTGCGACCTTGGTCTGAGAATCGTCGAACTCGAGAAAGAAGGCATAATCTCCCTGATACGCGGCCACCGCGGGGTTGACGAACTCGATGACCACCGTACACCAAACGGCAATTTCATTTGCCTTGTCGTCCTCGATTATCTGCTTGACGGTGAATTTACTGCGTCGCAGGTGCGGGCGGATCGGCTCGTAGAAGGCCGCAAACTGGGCGTTCGTGTTGATCGGGTTTTCCCCGAGTGAAGTGACGAAGCCGTGCGTGCAGGATTCGGTCCGGATAGCCAGCATTCTGGAGATATCGAAATCCTCGTAGCTCTGTAGGAACTCCATCGCCGTGGTGTGGCGTTGGGAAGCCATTGTGAGCGGGGTGGTGGTGGTGTTGAAGCGGCGGGGGATGATTGTGACGGGAAAACAAAATGGTTCCTACGTAGCTAAGTACTCGGAAAACTGAGAGATTTTTTCTTCTTCTCGGCACAGGTCAATTACACCTACATGTATGGAGTATGTTGTATCAACTTGGTTCACAATATTGAAGCCACTCTCCCCGTCCCATTGCCGCCCAGGAAATCCTGTTCTCCGCGCGCCAAAACCATATCCATGGCTACGAGTCGTATTGCAACTTCTAGTCACCCCTCCCTCAAAGACCCCAACCGCACATATGCTTAAGACTCGCTAGAAAAATCTCCACAATGTCAAAAAGAATAGTGGGAAATCTTGTATCTCAATATAACAACCCTAGAACTAGAGACGACGCCCGATGAGACCATGGGGGAAGAAGGCAAGCCCATCCCTCGCCATGAGTATGAGTACCCGACGGCCGCGGTCGACGGACCATACCAAATCCTCCCCCAGTATCATTCCAAGCCGGCACGATTCAGAATCGCGTGTGCCGGTGCCGGCGCGTCGGGCTTGTGCCTCGCATACAAACTGCAGAAGATGATGGTCCCCGGGTCGTGGGAGCTGACCATCTTTGAAAAGAACGACAGCATCGGCGGCACGTGGTACGAGAACACATATCCCGGGGTGGCCTGTGACATTCCCGCACACATCTACACCTTCACCTTCGACCCCAACCCCAACTGGTCTCAATACTACGCCCAGGGTAAGGAGATCCAGGAGTACTTTGAAGGATTTGCCGACCGACATGGGTGTCGCGAATACGTCAAGTTGAACACGAGGGTCGTCCGGGCAGAATGGCAGCCCGACACTTCCACGTGGAAGTTGACGCTCCGGGATGAAAAGACCAAAGAGAAATGGCAGGATTGGGCTCATTGTTTTGTAAATGGCACTGGTATGGCCGATTCCTTCCTTCCTCGCCCCACTCGATCACAGTGCGCCGTGTGCCGGTACGCCGGTGCGTCCGGACAGGGACAGTATCTAACGTTCGTCAGGCATCTTAAATAACTGGAAGTGGCCCGACATTGCCGGCCTCGACACTTTCCAGGGCACCTTGATACACTCCGCCGCGTGGAATCATGATGTCGACCTCACCGACAAAGTGGTCGGGGTGATCGGCTCTGGATCCAGCAGCGTGCAGATTGTCCCCGAACTGCAAAAGATCTGTAAGCAGGTCCAGGTCTTCATAAGAAGCCCGACGTGGATCTCGGGTCCATTTGGCGCCGGTCCCATGGCCAACGACTTTACCAATCATCAGGCCTCGCAGTATTCCTTCCGGGAGGAAGACAAAGAGAAATTCCGCGCCGACCCCGCGTATCATCTAGAATTTCGCAAACGGACAGAGGCCGAGTTCAACACCTTGTTCGGCGCGTATCAACAGGGATCCGAGCTAAACAAATACTTCCGTCAAGTGTTGACCGACCTGATGACGGAGCGGCTGGGGTCGGACCATCAGGAACTGCGGGACTTTATCATTCCAAAGTTCTCTCCCGGCTGTCGGCGTCTGACTCCCGGCACGGGCTTTCTCGAAGCCCTGGTCAAGCCCAATGTCGAAACTGTCCTCACCGACATCGAGTGCGCAACACCGTCGGGGCTCAAGCTAAAGGATGGTTCAGAGAAGACCATGGATGTCTTGGTCTGTGCCACGGGCTTCAACCCAGCATTCAAACCAGCATTCGACGTGATCAACGGGGAGGGAAAATCCATTGCCGAAGATTGGAGCCACGGACCTAACCTGTACTTCGGAGTGTCCGCACCAAGGTACCTATATACTCTCTCTGAGCTCCTTCCGGGGGGGCCGCCGCGTCTCGTGTCTCGTGTCTTACTAACACCACCACCCCCTCCCCCGACATAGATTCCCCAACTACTATACCATTGTCGGGCCCGGCGCGACGTGGTCGAACGGGACCCTGTTGCCTAGCATTGAAACCACGATCGAACACGCCGTCAAGCTAATCCGAAAGATGCAGCACGAAGGCATCGCCTCGATCGAGGTGAAGCAAGAAGCCGTGGACGACATCTACGCCCACTTGGACGAATATCACAAGACCACCGTGTGGCAAGAGGAGTGTCGTAGCTGGTTCAAAGACGGCAAGGTGAAGAATCGCATCTATCTGTGGCCAGGATCGGTGAGTTCGAACGAGACCCTTCCGTTTTCTCCCGCCGATACTAATCCTCTTTCTCTGGTCAGACCATCCACTTTTTAAAGTCGATCAAAGACCCTCGCATGGAGGACTACAACTTGAAGTACCGGTACAAGAATCGATTCGCGTTCCTCGGCGACGGGAGCGTTCGCGCTTTGGCAGAAAATAATACGCCGGGCCTGGCCCCGTACATCAGATCTACCGACCATGAGTGGACCGTAGATTAGGATGGGGATTTCCCCAGGGTAGAAGACTTGATCCCACGACGTCACAAGAGCCAGAGACTCGTGCTCGGAGGTTTCCAAATTGTTCCCAACCTAATGAAGACATTGGCACGAATAAATCGGTGATTGGCTGGGAAGAAGACGCAATCCTGTGACTTTTACATATTCCTGCACTTTGTAACGGAGTACGATAAGCTCGAGCCACTCTCGAGCTAATCCTCTATAGGCTAGCGAAACTACACCAGCCTGTTCAGGTGCAGATCCCCCCGGAACAAATATACTCCGTTCCTCTTGGTTCTCTTGGCTGCGTGTCCAGTCCAGCAAGGCGCATCACTTTTGTCACCGCACTCCAGATGATGGCAGTGTGGGGAGAGACAGAGAGTATGTGTAGTATAGCATTGCTTGCCATCGTGTCTTAGGTGTCAGCCTTGACCTTCGTCCACAGCACACAGAGAGACATTGACAGGACGTCGCTGAGGCCCAGTGCCCACAATATCCCATCTCAGCCTTAGAGGTCCGAGTCATTGAAGTACGACTCGTTGCTCCGGAGCTTGCCAAAATCGGCCAGAGTGAGAATGCCGAGGTTAGTGTCAGCGCGCTGCGCGGTGGTGCCACTCCATTCATCGCGTGCATGAAACATATCTATGGAGTTACTCATGTCGGCAACGCTCTGAGCCTCCCCACCATCAGTGCTTGAAGGACGCAACCGGTGGGCTTGATGGTGATGGCCACTCCTCTCAATGATGTTGGTCTCCATGACTTCCAGAACATCTTCAGGTTGGACGGGAAAGTAGCCGTGGTGACGGGTGGTTCGAGAGGGTTGGGGCTCAACGTCGCGTCCGGGTGAGTAATTTTTTTTTTTGGCCTGCACACCTGTTGTCTCCCTCTCGGCGGAGATGGACACCTGCTGATATGAAGTCGTGCATCAAGTCTCCTTCAGTCCGGCTGCTCCCAGGTTTTCATTACCTCGCGCAAGGCAAAGGCATGCGAAGAAGCTGCCGCGGCGCTGAATGCACTCCCGAACAAACATCCAGACGCGAAGGCCATCGCACTGCCAGCCGATCTCGCCGAAGTATCCGAGATTCAACGCCTCGCTTCTGGCATCGCTGGTCACACCGACCACGTCGACATCCTCTTTGCCAACGCGGGAGCGACCTGGGGCGCCCCGTTTGGCAAACATCCCCCAGAAGCATTCACCAAGATTCTCAATCTGAACGTGAAGAGCATCTACTACACCGTCCAAGCCCTCCACCCGCTCCTGACAAAGCACTCGACGACAGACTGTCCCAGCAGGATCATCATCAACGCCAGTGCCGCGGGGATCGGCGTGGGGAGTACTGGCGAGCATGCTACCCATGCGTATTCCGTGTCCAAGGCCGCGGCGATTCACCTGGCCAAAGTTTTTTCTGTGGAACTCGGCCCTCAGGGGGTTGTAACGAACGCGATCGCGCCCGGATTTTACCTCACCAAGATGGCGGCTGGATTGATTAAACTCACCGGTGGGCTCGAGGCTCAAGCCGCGCGGGCGCCGAACAACCGCCTGGGACAACCGGAAGACATCGCCGGTCTGGTTGTATTTTTATCAAGTCGGGCCAGCACGCACATTAATGGCGCGGTCATATCCACGGACGGGGGTGCTCTGCACGGGAGCTCAAAACTGTGAAACCCCCCTCCCGCCCCTGTCTCTCACGTTTACGTTCATTGTTCTGGACACTCAAAAACCTTCAGGTCAGACGGGAATGGAATAAATCTCTATAACTTGGAAGCTGCCTGCTCTCCGCCCTGAAGCTTCTTCACCATCTTCCACGCACTATCGAGGCTCTGCTTCGTGTGAGCAAAGTAGACGTAGCTGAACTCGCTGCTGGCTTGACCCGAGATCGTCCGTGCCTGGATTCCATGGCTGATGGTGGCTCCGCGCAGCAGGTCAAAGACCTGCGCCGTCTTCCAGTCCCGCCCATCGCCGTCCTCGCGTGGGTCGAAACCGACAATCTCAGAATACCGGTCCAGCAACTCGTCCGGGTCCGGCATTCCACTTGCCGCTCGATTCTCCGGTCGGTATGGAGATTGCGGTCGGCTCTTTGGGTCGTCGGTGATCTTGGCGTGTTCGTTCCAGAAGGGCCTCAAGGTGAAAACCACGTCCATTAACGGGTGACCGAGCGTGGAGAGCTCCCAGTCGAGGATGCAGATCACCCGTGGCTCGGTCGGATGCAGGATCTGTATTCACCACTACATCAGTCTCCTCCCGGGGCTGGGGGCCGCTAGGGAGGTTCCTACTCCCGACTTACCACGTTGTCAAACTTGAAGTCGCCATGGATGATGGAATTGCGATCCTGTGGGACATTTCGCCTCACAAAGTCCACGATCTCGCCGAATTTCTCGTGTGCGGGTCCCAAGGCCTTGCCCGTCCTTTTGTCTCGCACCGTGGCCTGTTGAGCTTCGATGCGCGAAAAAGTGTTGCATTGCCTGGAGTAGAAATCCTTCTTCTTTCCAAAGCCCGCGAGGCCAATGGAGTCTGGGTCGATCGAATGGAGCCACGCCAAAGTCTCGATCAGGGAGAACCAGCTGGTGTTGCCACCATGTCAGCAAAACCTGTGTGCCACCGACGCAGCAGGCCAATAAACCAGCGACCTCGTGCCATCTAAACGTACAGTTTGCGTCTCTCGGGAGGTGGCAACTCCGGCAGGTCAATATCCTTGAGTATCCGCCCCTGGACACACTCCATGATCTAGGAACCGAAAGGCCCTCCTCGTCAGTCATCTTCCTATACAACCCTGGCGTTCTTTCTCACGTAAAATGGCGTTCCGATCACCGAAGAATCCACACAGAGGACCCAAACCTTGGGAACGGGGAAGTCCTTAACGGTTCCCAAGGCTTGTAGTACTCGGAACTCCCGATCGACCTGGTGGGCCACGGGGCTGATGATGGCCCCGGCCGGCTTCTTTCGTAGGATATACCGCGTGCCCCTACCCGATGATGGTGCCATCAGCCAAAACCGCTCCCTGATCTCTCTCTGGTTGGGATTTGCGGACGTGTTCCCCCCCCCCCCCCAACTTACGATGCATCGTCGACAAAGTATGTCGGATTACTCTGACCGTACCCGACCTTGGTCGTTTTCACCGGAAGCTGGAGGCCTGGAATGACCTTCTGATCTGCTAGATATGCGCTCAGGGCCCCATCGTCCAGGACGTGACTGGACTGTGCCGTCGACATGCCGTACAGCTTCCGGACGGCGGCGAGCGAAGCAGACATCGCTGGGCACTGGACTGGGAGTGTATAGGGTATTTAAAAGGAGGGGCATGTGCCGGTGTGATGCGACTCGCAAAGAACGGAGGGTCCACGCCTCGAACCTCGGATCGCTCTTCTCTGCCTTCCCGAGTCCCTATCGTATCCGTGTCCGAACAAGGTTTAGTCTCCTCTCTGCGTCTTAGATACGCGTTGACATCTTCACGACTCGTAAATTTCGTGTCCGCTGGAGCGTCTCCCGCCGCTGTCCACGGCTTTTTTGCGGGGGAGTCCGGGGATGGTGAACTGGAGGCCGTAGGTGGGAACCCTCCCGGGACGTGGACATGGGCAGAGGTGTTATTATGAGGACTGTGGCCCCGAGAAGGTCTGGCTGTTTCTGTCCCGTTCCCTTTTCTTCCAGCATACCACGCCGCAATCCCACCTTGCACGATGTCTGACAAAACAGAGGAAGCGTGTGCCACCACTGTCGAAACGGCCCAACCGCAGCCGAACCATGCGAGACGCGGCGCCCACATCGACGACGAAGGGGCCCTCGTCACTGACGAGGCTGGATATGTGACCGAAGCCGACGCCTTGCCCCGGAGCTACTATCGCAGCAAGTTTTTCATTGGAACCTTTGCCGCGCTGGGCACCGGACTCATGGCAGGCACCGGGGCATTTGGGTATTCTGCCCCCATCCTCACCACCATCAACCAAGACATCGGACCAGATCCCAACTACATTTGGATCTCCTACGTCTACAACACCTGCCTCGCCGTCACGCTGCCTGTGCTGGGCCAACTGTCCGACATCTTTGGACGACGATACTTCTATATCGGTGGCGCAGGACTGGGAATCGTGGGATCCATCGTCTGCTCTCAGGCACACAACATCCCCGTGCTGATTGGGGGCAACGTGCTCCTGGGGATCGCCTCCGCCACGCAACTCTCCTATCACTATGTGCTGGGCGAGCTGTTGCCGACAAAGTACCGCTACTTCGGCGTTGGTACGCTGTACATGTGCTCCTACGCCGGCTCAGGATTCTCCCCGGCGATTGCCAACGCTTTCATCCTCGGATATCCCAACGTTGGCTGGCGCGGCATATACTACCTCCTGTTCGCACTGAACGCGACCTCATGTGCCCTGTGGACCACCTTCTACTTCCCTCCCAACTTCCGACAAAAACACGGACGTGGGTCCAAGCTCTACTGGATCAAACATTTCGACTACCTCGGCCTGTTCCTCCTCGTGGGCGGGTTTGTCGTCTTCCTGTTCGGCATCTCCGTCGGCGGCACCCAGTATCCTTGGAATTCTGCACCACCCATTGTCATGATCCTTCTTGGGTTTTTGACGCTGGTCGCGCTTGGGCTGTGGTCGGTGTATTTCCCCAAGCGAGAGTCGGTCATTCCTTACCAGCATTTCACCAATTTTGGCTGGCTTGCGTGCGTGATGGTGGGTGGGTTCGCCGCCACCGTTTACTATGCCGGCGCCATTCTCTGGCCGATGCAGGTGTACAGCCTCTACGCCGAAGGAGACCTCACCTATGGCGGATATCTGTCTTCTATGCCGGGCCTTGGTCAGATCACGGGCGGAGTGGTGTTCGGCTGGCTGGTCCAGAAGATAGGCTGGCAGAAATACCAGGTCGTGGGCTCCTTTTTCGCCGGTAGCGCATTTACAACGAGTAAGTGGGAACTCCGTTGTTCAGAATCTTCTTCTCCTCTGAACGGGGAATTTGGCTAACCTCACGTCGACGCTCAGGTCTCGCGGCGGTCACATTGAACAACAAAGTTGCCATGGCGGTTTGCGTATTTGTGGGCAACCTGTTTCTTGGATGGGCCGAGATTGTCTGCCTCCTGAATGCCACCATCTTGATCAAAGACCAGCGAGAGATCGGCTCTGCAGGTGGCCTAGCCGTCGCCATTCGTACTGCCATCTCGGCCATCGGCACTGTGGTGTTCAGCACCGTGTTGACGAATCGGCTGACAAGTACGGTCCCGAACATGGTAGGACCCGCCGTCGTTGACGCCGGCCTCCCCCAATCGAGTGTTCCGGCATTTCTCCAGGCTCTTCAAGTCGGCACCGCCGAAGCATTTTCCAAAGTTCCAGGCGTTACCCAGAGTATCATTGCGGACGGGGTCCTGGCTAACAAAGAGGCATATGTGGCATCATTTCGAACCGTATACCTCGTCAGCATCACGTTTGCGGGACTGGGAGTAATCTTGTCGCTCTTCACGCCGAACATGAAGTGGTATCTGAATGACAAAGTGGCCTCTGTCCTGCAGGCAGATCAGCTTGGGAAGGTGGACGTGGAGACGGCCCCAATCGGCGGCGTAAATGGAAGGACGGAAGAACCTTCCAAGCATGAGCAATGAGAGCCGATGGATCAGACCGTCTGATCGGGAGTTGTCCAGGGGATTTAAGGTCTCATCTGTCAACCTTGACGTCCCTACATTCTGCCTGCATAGCCAGTTAGTTAGGTGTAGCCCTGCACCTGCCGGAGTAGAGAAGAGTTGACGGTAATAGGTCAAAACCGAGACCGATTTGTATGTGGCCAATTACTATCCGTTGACGTCGAGGCTCGTCTGTTCACGCTCTGTTACGAACCATCTCGAGTGTGATTAGTAAAGCTTGAGTGGTCCACAGACTGGATCCGATCCATGGCCCATCTCGATATCGAGGATGTCGACTTCTATCGAGTAGGGCCCCCTCGGGCCACATGGTCCACGGATTGGATCCGATGACAGTGCGGCAATTGGGGGCGTGCTTGCGTTATCACGTGACAGAGTCAATCCACGTGATAAAATGGGATGCCAAGCCATTGGCCAACATGATTGGCCAGCATGACGGTCTTGGCGTCGCCATAACGCCAAGCCATAACCAGGTGATTCCAAAATCCAAAAAAAAAAAAAAAAAAAAGGGTTGATATTTTATTCCGCCCAAAAACTGCTTCAAAAATTGACACCAGATCGTGGTTGACCTATCAAGGACGTAGCCGAGTGGTAAAACACTCGGGTTGCAGTCGAACCGATAGAATTGAGGGGCCTTACTAGTGTTCGATCATAGGTAAGGTAAGAGGGTTGTCCGGCCTAGCTCCATTGAGTTTCTAGGTGCCCTAGATGGGTAACGTAATGCTCCAGCCAGTGATTGTTGATGTCATACTGAGTGATCTGGGGGAGGTCACTGATTCAGACTCTCCTCCAGTTGAACTCGTCTGATTGAAGCTTTCACTGGTTGTGGCGCCCCATTTATCAGTTCGTCAGAGATGGACTATAGGAGGGGCCCCCCTTTGTAATACGAGAACCCTTTTTTATTTCTTGGCAGTAACATTACTGCACTACAGTTTGGTCACTTACGATATTCATTCTATGAAGCTATGGATTCTCGAACACTGACTGTATTCTCCACACCGACAAAATACTGACCAACACTTAGCCTATGCCGCAATAGAATCGCCACTATGAGTGAACTAGGCCGTCGATAAGCGGGTGGGAACCTCTTTGATTTCCTGGCGTAGTCCCGAAATACAAAGCATGTCTCATTCCAATCCCCGATAGCCGTGCCAGATTAGGTAGGATAGTCTGATCAGTGTCAAAGAGTGTCAATATCTCAGAGCTAGTATCGTTTATGGCGATTATTCCGTGGACCGTGCCATCGCCTCCGAGTGTAGGTGTTAGCCTGGCCAGCATGCGTATCTGAAGAAGAAAATTTAAATCGTGATCATCAAAAGGAGGCCGATACTTTGTGAAAATTGTCTTGATAGGGTCCCTGGCCATAACTGTGCGTTAGGGCATACTGATGAAACTTTCCCTCGGACCAGGAGCAATCTGGCCCTTTTAATATCTCCTTTTTATCGATAATCTTTCCGTTCATTATGAAAACTTTCTTCTCGCCATCGATCTTCCCCTCTTCATAGAGCTTGATAGCAGCTTTGATGTTGACGTGCTGCCGTTTGGGTTGATAGTGAGGGTTGTTGGGGTCCAGGAAGCCACGGAGTTGTTCGAGGCGCTTTTGGACATCGAAGGGTGCGGCCCATGGGATCATGGGGGAAAACTTGATTGTGGATTCCATTGCATTGAGGATTGTCTGTTCGCAAAAGGGTTGACGGTAGGCTGAGTGAGTGTGTAGATGGGGGCGAAAACTGATGGGCCTTTTTGGGCCATAAAATTTCAAGGCTTGGCATGTAGTTACTGTCACGTTTGTCACGTGCTTGAATTGCATGACACATGCGAGATACGGCGACGCCAAGGCTTGTAAAGACCTTCGGAAGCGTTGTGCGCTTCGTACACGCTTCGAAAGTATATAGTCTGACGGTCCCTTCGAAGTCCTTCGTATAATCATATATGCGCAACTTTAGGATCGATCAGAGGTATGGGCTCACCCCAAGATGGAGAGAAGGGACAACGTTGCCCAGACCAATATTTTGACTGTCATGGTTGTCGGCATCGAGTTGATGTGGTTCCCTTACCGGTCCTGTTGAAGTCTCCAGACAGAACTTGTCTTGTGCGGCGTCGGCGCTCATCATGGCAAAAGACAAGTCTTGACCTTGCCATCCAATATGGTACATAGAAGGGTGAGACATCGGAGGATATACCCACCAGGGGACCGAGAAAAACTCCGTAGGATTAGCTGGAAAAGTCGAGAGGAAGCCAACATTGCTATATTCTAGTTGCTCACTTGCATTGAACGACATTGACGCACTAGGAAGGGGGGCCTGTTGTTGTTGTCGCTGCTGCTCAAAGCTGCATTGGTCTTGAGCAATCTGCCACGTCGAGGCATTTTCTTGCCAAGGGTTGTCGTGACCCGATTGGATTTTACTATACCGTCGCTTCTCCGCTCGGATGTCTTCCTCATATGTCGACGTGCTCGAATACTCAAGGAGCGATCGAGAACCCGAATCGGCGGTTCTAACCTTGTCCTTAGGTTTTGACCGAGTTGTTGTTGATTGCCACCCGGTAACAGCTTTTGGAGAAGCCTCACCAATGGCTGAAATTACACTAAAATCTGTTGTAGATCGCAGAACATCATCAAGAACCTTGAACCCCTTGAGAATGTCATCGAGTGTTTTGGCCACCATTTGGGACATTCGGGACTCTGGTGATCTCTTAGAAAGCTCTTGGAAAATTTTGAGCATTCTCTCAATGCGCGTGGAGTCTGCTTCCAATTCGACCTCTCGACCCAGTCGACCAATGCCTAAGATCACGGCGGCGCAGAATACGCCAAAGCAGCGTAGCCAGGAAGAGGTAGATTTGAAAGGGTCGAGGGAATAAATATAGTCGAAAATGTCTATAATTCTTCGACTTGACTGAAACGCCTCGCTGAGATAAGTTTTGAAGGACTGCCTGGGTAAATTACCAGGAGCTTCCAAATTTGGGGCAGAAGTATGCCTCTCGATAATTGGTCGAGCTGGTTTCGGTAGTGTACATCGAAATAATTGGCAATTAAGGAACATTGAGAATAGCTGGACCTCAAGTTGGTGTTCGGCTATACATAGTGATACTTCTGTCATTCCGTCTCGTGGAAGATGAGGGAGTTTCGACTGTAAGCGCTGAAGCCGTGACAGGTATGTCTCTAGTGTAGACCTTTTCGCTCTCGAGGAGCCCTCTTCCGTAGGCTGGTTCGAATTGACCTGACCTAGGTATGTCTCTAGCGGAGACCTTAGCCCGTCTGGTTCGATTTTAGACTGATTAGAAGTCACCTCGCCTAGGACTTCTAGCAAATATTGGGAGAAATCCATAATGTTGTAGTGCAAGTCTTTCACCTCGCGTCGCGATATATCGACGGCCGGCTTCGGGACGATTTGAGTAGGGGATATAAGAGGTTGTCGACCAAGGAGGAAACTGAGCTGAGCATCGAGGTTCACAAGAAGCCACCAGATGCGTCGACGAGATTCTGTGTTATCTTTATTCGGAGCTGAGTTCTCGATGCTTTCGTCTCGGTCCACTAGAATCATTAGCGAGGTGTCATTTTTCCTTCTTGTAGACGTAGATAAGCTTACAGCCCATTAGTTGAGCATCTCGAACAACGTTGGAAAAGTTGGCCCAAGCCCGCACAACCTTTCCCGAATCGAGGAGCCACCGTATAGATAGGTATTTTAGATAAAGGCGACGAAGATACGGCGTTAGTTCACTGATTGCATCCGTATCCGTAAACATGCGTGGATCGATTCCGCTAAGTAACTGCTCCAGGTTCCCCCAATCTGTTGGCATTATACTTTCTTCATCGTCGAATTCAGCTTCGAAGACTGATGTAGTTTGGATTGACGCAACAATATCCTGAACCGGTCCTTCATAGGGCAAAAGTAGTTTGAACTGCGCAATAGGTTAGCGAAATCACAAGTGGAGGCATGTGAAATGATACCTCGTCTACAATGCGTGACAGGGAAAAGTCTCCATAGAAAGCATTATTCGGACAGGAAGGCAGATCTTTATCATCGGCTTGATCTAGTCTCTTTGCTAGATCCTGCGGGGCAGTCGCTGAAAACCCTTCTCTTTGGAGCTGCTTTGAGTAACCGTCGTGAAAAAGCTGTCACGATAGTTAACAATGAACTCTGATTAATTGGATCTATACATTGCTGACTTCGCTTTCCTCACCGGTCCTCGTTATCATAGTACGGTAGAAGCACTGAGGTTTTTGTCGCTTTCTTTGGCATGCCGAACAGGGAATGCCTCCAGAGCACTGTGACTCTCATCAGCAAGAGTCATTGTCGATGTATTTTCAAGAGCGGTGCAGGTTCATACCCGTGACTTGCTCTTACGACATGGTAGGCAGGAATTAGCTCGTCTCTTCGGAATTTTGGTGGCGGAGTCGTTTCGAGGCGACTGAGGAGCCGGTGTCGACATTTTTGCCTTCAACTGTCAGCTTCATTGTTCGTGTAACCATCAACTTTCACCAAGTCTCCGGCACAGCCACAGTGCAATGGTCTAGCAAACAAATGGTAGAACGTAGACTGTTTGTATAATTGCAAGCGAATCAGAGAAACATATCAAGTTGACGGAGAGTAATACAAGTCAACTCACCGTCGGGATAAAGGTAATGGTTTGCGCGCAGGGTAGAGGATGTGACCAAACCTGCCCGATTCTTTGATTCACAGATGCAAAGGGCGTAGTATTGAGGCTCGAGGCGAAGAAGTAGACCTAAAATGCAGACCAGGTGCCAACGATTCCAGCGACGTAGACCTAGGTTAGGAGGGCTAAAGAGGGTAAGGATATATGTTGTATGAGAACAGGAATTAATAGCCACTTGTAAGAAATGGCTCTTTTGTTGGTGGATCAAAATTTGGTCAGAGACTCGCCACGATTTACCCTTCTGTACGTAATGCTTAGCAGGGGAGAACCAATCAGGAGCAGCCGTCATCCATGATCGATATCTCGAAGGCAACATGGACAAGTAGTCGAGGAGTCGAGGAGTCGAGGGAGTCGAGAAAGGGACAAGGGGACGAAAGAGGGGGTTTCGACTGCTCATCCCCCTTCCCCCCAATACTGCTGCAGCCAATCGTCCTGCCAAGGGAGCCTGTTGGTTTAAGTTGAAGAAAACCTCCACAAAGACACGAGGCCGGAGCTGGGATGCTGCCGATGAGATGCCCCGGCCTAGAGTCTTGTCGACGCGGTAGTAATCGCCTTGTGTTAGCAGGTCGTGGCATTCAGATCCGGGGATGATCCACCGACAATGGCGATAGACGAGAGATCCTTGAAACTCAGCTGGATCTTGCGCTTTGAGAGACAGGGCTGTGGGTAGGGGACACTGGATCGGCCTTTGCTATTTGGCAACCAAAGTGGTTCAACCCGATTGGCCCTACATGTGCAGCTGATCACTCTTGTTTACATGTTCTCGAGACTCATAGGGACCGATTATTGCAAATTATTGAATCCGGCTGTTGGACAGAGAGCCCGGCGCCCGGTGACAGCACGCTGGTGGCTCTGGAGCATTTCCAGATTGGACCATTGCCATCCTGAGGATCTTAAGTTTTGTCTCTGGAACTTGAAGGTTTGAGCATCACATCCACTCCAGGAGGGCGATGAGCGAGCAAACGTTGCGACGCCGGAGACGGCGCGTTCCTAGCCTGTCTAGCTTGGCTGTGATCTCTAGGGGCTTTCGGTGCATGTACGTAAAATTTGAGAGTAGTCCGAGCTTGCACCTTTGCCACCTCGCATTGTTTGGTACGTAGGGCAAGGTTAGCCACCGCTTGTCGGATCAAGGGACTGGGGATGCATCTAACTCTGTCTCAGTCTCGACTAGAGGCTTCACCGGAGTCAAAAGCAGGAATGGCACTGCGCGCGCTTCGGAATCTGATGAATACACCTCTTGGATCGGTGCAGGCTGCGGGAATGAGTCTATCTCTTCGGCAGCATTTCAGCGAATCATCACCGGCCTAGTGTGAAACCCGTTTCTACACTCAATTTTTTTTTTTTTTTAGAGTGTTATCGGGTCCTCCATGGAAGCAATAATGACGTCAATGACGTCGACTCATTTCGTTCGGACAAATTACCGGAGGCCTTGCTCGTCATCGCTCTCCCATTGGAATACCATCTTAACGGCGTTTGCTATGGTCCGCGATGGCAAATCTGGTAGTTGCAATTCTCATAACTAGTCCAGACGAATATCTGGGCAGAGGGAGGATACATTCCATATCGTACTCCTGTTATCGACTTTATACCTTTAAACGCCGTTTGTCTATTCTTAGATTCGTTGTCCCCTCGATTCCGTCTCTCACTTCCGGCCCCACACACGAATGTTCTTCAGGGCTGGAAAAGGGGTTTGGCTGGATTGAACTACGGAGCACCAGGGCTCAGGACCCATTAGTACGCCGAAATTCTATCGACACCAGTCATAAGGGATATTGTATGTTAGGACTGCTATGCACCGAATCATACGAGACGTAGTAGATTCGTTTCTGCTCAAGGCGAGCAAAGCTTCCACAGGTTCTCTTCCTAATCGCAGCAGTAACGTTCTGCATTCCTCATACTCGGAATCTCGTGGATGGAATTGTTCCATTGCAAGGTGAAGGGCAAAAATGACTTGACTCGTTTCCATTCCACTTAGCTTCTGGCTGTGCAAGTTGCTAGCGGACCTCCAAATTGTATGCGCTAGGGTAGCCAGATTCCTTTTCAGGAGTTCATCTTCTGGAGGTGAGCTTGAGCCTAAGTTTCCTAGTCCACTGTGGATAGTAGGAAGAATCTCGATCCTGTGGTAAATCTTGCGACGAATGGTGCAGATCAAAAGCTGCAGGCCCAGTGCGGTAAATCTCAGTATAAAATGAGGAGGTTGTTCAAGAGAGCTTGTTGTTTGTGGAAGACGGTCCCCCATACTTGTTGCCTGTTGCAGATGCTTCGACTGAAAGGGAGGTTGCAGTAAATACCGCTCTTGAAGATGTTCGATAGCGTCATATAGGTAATTGCACTTCCTCAGAATGGTTACTATATCGTCAAGACAGGATGCGGCCGATATGCTGTCAACTCTCTCTAACAGACTGCCCAAGATGAGTCCAAAGTCGAAAAGCTTCTGGTCGACACTCTTTTCTCTTCCGCGCCACGGCTCAGCTCGCCATTCACGATGACCGAACATAGATGTTTTCCGCAGCACTATGCTCTGGATCATCTGGTAATCGAGAAGTTAATGGGCGGAAGACGAGTACGCGACCGAAATCTTACCAGAAGATATCTACAATGCTCGAACATGGACAGTGGTATAGGCTCACGGTGCCGTTGCGGTCCTCGGAGCTCCAATAAACGAGCTATCCCCGAGAAGTGGTTCAACCAACTGTCCAAACCCGAGGACGTAGAGTGAAAGAGCTGCCGATTAGCCAATATTCGTAACTGGAGTATATTACCTACCTCGTAAAGGGACAAGATACCGACTGTGGCTAGTGTTTCGTCGTGTGTCGCAAGCTCTTGATCATACAACGCTCTTTGGAGCAGCCTCAATGAAGTAACATAAAGCTGTCGACCTTGGCTTAGTACGACAGAGATTCCATGGGCCATCCCGTACGTTGTCACTGATAAAGCTAACAAAGCTTTTTCTAACGCAGGTGGAGGAGACATTATCGATTGCACGTGGAGAAGCCAAGTCCGAGCCCTTCTCTGTGATAAGTCCCCCGGTGACCACCATTGTGTAAAGTGATCCCAGAACCAGGACATGAAGCGAGCCGCCTCTACAGCCTGACTGAGCAATCTAGGAGGAATGGCAAATCCGTAGTTTTCTGGTTGCATAACATTTCTGAAACTCTCATTGTCGCTTGCCAATAGTACAGGGGAAAGTGGCTTGGTCTCTTCCAGTGGCTTTCTCTTCTGGAGACCATCTGTAGTACGGTTGATAAAGACGGGATATCGCTGAAAACCTTCACAAACTCTCCTGGAGCGAAGACAGTTCTTACATGCTGGCTGTCGAAGGTCGCACTGCAAGAATACATCAGCTGGTTTGAGTAAGGAGGCTCGTGTGCCATTACCATAATCTTTCTCCTCCTGCATGTCCTGCATCCCTTAGATTTTCCTGCAACTCCCACCATTATCCGTGGTTAGGTACTAGTCTCGGGGGAGTGGAAAAACAACTCATGCGCACAATATGAGTATAGACTTCAATTTCCACGCTATGCACAGCCAACGTTGTGCGAAATGAAAGAGTCTATTGTATGCAGAAGATGAGAGAACTTGGATCCTTTCACAAGGCCGAATTAGGATTGCTCCAGATTTAGAAGACAATCGAGCTGAGCCGACATTCGCAACTTGAACCCGGAATTGGGTATAGCGGAATTAATGAACTTGGGGCAGGTTACCAGTTTCGGTTAGCTTAGCTCAAGGCCAACGGCACCTGGGACGCTGTCAAACTAGGTGCAACTTGAGATATATTGAATGCTCTGTCTCATTCAAAGAGTGTGGGATAGAGCTTATCTACATATCTATCTACGCAGTGTACGCTGGCGTTGTTGCTTGTTGATGGTGTTGCATGCCAGGAGGTGTACGTCACAGGATGAGTTGGTTTGCTATGGACGATAGGTCACTATTTGTTCAGCAGACGCTCCCACAGTCGAGTCTATCAAACTAGGCGCAACTTGAGATGTCTTGAATGCTCTGTTCTCTATCTACTTGTTGCGTTCCTGACGTCTCATTTATAGACGTGAGAATATCTCGTCGTCGCGCAGTGCAACCATTAGGAATACCACTGTCTATGAAAACCATTTACCAGTGTTTCAGTGGTGGAGCCCATGCATAATAAATTCCCTTGTTCGACAGAGTCATATGGCAGTACAAATCTATTCAACCCACAAGAAGTTCTTCAATTTGTATTAGGAACGAAATCAGATGTCACATCATTCATTCTGAGAATGATATTATTGCACCGCAGTAGATTACTTCATCGCAACATTTACACTGCACATATGTGTCCCACCACGGGGCACACCTCACATCCCCAAGACACTCAAATCTCCGTCACTCCAAAGGCTACTGAATTCCATTCTCTTGATCTTCCATAATTCGTCCTTCTGGTCGCGAACGACATTGGCCTTGTAATGATTTCCTATAAGCAAGTGGATCTTTTTGGCTGGATCACAGCCCTCGCCAGGTCTATAGTGCTGCGCAAGCACGTAACAGGTCACCTGTGCTTCTTCTTCATTTTCGCTCATTTCCACTCGAGCGTTGCTAACGTGGTGTCCAGTGTCCATCGGGCCGATGGTGGATAAAACGTCGCTTACAATGCTTTCCAACCCTTCGAGCCCTGGGAATTCGAAACCGATGACCGATTTGAGCCCAGAGCGGTCAATGACGGCGTCTGTCGTGAATGCAGAACGAATGAGGGCTTCGTCGGAATTGTCGAGGCCTTGCGTGAAACGGTAGACAGCATCGATAGCTGCCTCGCGCGAAGAAATGCCGTAGCCGAGGTTGATTGTGGCGGCTTTCATGGTGGTTTTGGAAGCCATACTCGAAGCGGGTTATGGTTGGAAATAGTTGTCACTGTTCGATTAATCACGACTACGAGAAGGGATGAACAGGTTTAAATACATGTTTTCCGCATCTATGGCTTTGACTTTGCAGATCATGGGTACTGAACCGAACACTTCTTGAGCTCTAGCACCACACCCACTTATGCATTCCACACAGATGTGTCACAATCAAAACCAAGCACAATTACACGGTCTGGGAGACCCTTACTTGAGCTTATTCGCCTGGCAGTTAGTGTAACTTGCGTCCTTATTTGTCTTGCGAGAAAGACATGAATAGTCCATCGTCTAGGTAGCGACAACTATCGTGGATAATACGGGTCAAGTCGGCACATTCGCAAGTTGGAGTAAGAAAGTGGTTAGGCGGATATTCAATGACTCTCGGCAGTCAGCAGCGCAGTCATGTTAAAGGGGCCTATTGGTGACCAAAGAGGGACTCTGAACCTTTTCACTGTGAGCACTATACGTCATATTACGGATATATTCGCACAGCAGCTCAAAGCGACGTCCACTTTCACCGATCCACGATACTCTCGTCCAGTCTCCCGCGCGATATCTGTCGCTACGCTGCAGGCAAATAAACGGCCCCCCGTTCACTCTTGTCACTTGACTCGGACCTTCCACATTCTATTGGGAGGTTTGTGATATTGGTAGGCTGCAAGTCTGCCCGAGTGTGTAAACCGTATCGCTGGCCGGCGTGGTAGGGGTCGAATCGCTCTTCTCGCTCTTCTCGCTACTCTTTAACCAGGTAATGCTGCCGACGCAGATACTAGAGGATTCTCGAGAGTTCGACGGTGGCGTGGTGAGCAAATCGTCAGATGGCGGCAATAGAGGTGCGGCATGGGTCTCATGAGTCGCCAATTCGTACACCGAGTCGCTCAGGAGTTCTTGTGGCTCTTTTGAATCATCTTCGGTAAGACTTTCTCCTGCTTCTGGATCTACTCTGAGTCCGGCGTCAGTGGAGGCAGTGACTCCACGATCGACTTCATTGAGTCCATTTCCATAGTCTTTGACGTAGATTTCGCAGAAGGAAGACCGCTTACGTGGCATAGCTAACTGTTCCCGAGATGCAAGGCTCTTGAGTGAGGAATGAGAACCTGATGGTGTCTTGCTTGATAAGAATGCGACCAATGAACTAGGGAGGTGAGCGGATGGTGTTCGATGACGAGCTTTGGCTGATCTTCCTGATGAAGTCTCGCCAATAGAAGAAGATGATCCGTTGATATGAGAATAACCTGCGTCAGGAGCCAACCGAGACGATGTACGATGAACGGTATGGACATTTGCCAATGAGACGCCCAGCCACGGCATTCGCTTTGGAGGATAACAACAAAGTGAATATGATAGATTGGAAGTGTTGCGAACTTGCTTGGGTGGTTGTGCCATGGAACGGAAGGTCTGAAGGATGGCATAAATCAACATCCACCTGACCTTCCTCCCTTCGACAACCGAGAGACCTTCGAGGTTATCATCGACCGCCCTTTCTTCAAAATCAGAGAATTTCCTGACCAGGGGGCAGTTCATCACCCAATCTCGATTGGAGGCAGCGACCAAAGCTTGTTTATCATGTACTTTTCGGGCCTTCTCATTCACTTTCCGCTTTGAGATGAGATTCCAGGTCGTTTGTCGTCGAATCCATGGACGCCGACTCATGCTAGATTCCGGAGCCTTTGGCAGCAGAGGAAGGGGATGCGCAAGAGGCTCGTACTGATGCTTACAGTCAAAAGCCTGGATATTTTGTAGTGTACATACGCCACCAGTCTGGGTGATGTCGTTTTCGGCTAAGCTGGTGGAAGACTCTGGATCTACTAGGTACTGATAGAGGTTCTGGAAGTCAGTGAACATAGTGGAGCGTATCGTCTGTTGAATGGTCTCCTCCTCGAAGTCATTAGGCGGCCAGCAGCCGTATTGGTAGGTGTAGAATGTTCTGAGAAAGGAGCGGAACCTGTCGAGATGATGCCTCGCTGGCTGCGGCAGTTCGAGGAAACTCCCAGACACCTCGTGCTCAAAGAAATTAACGACAGACTGGTTCACCCGGTCAAGTCTAAGGTCCATTTGGAGGCGAGCTCGGCTGATAAGAGTCTTGGACTTGGCGGCTACCGGCTGGTCGATGTTAGGGCTAAATCTCGGGCTTTGTTTTCCGGAAGAGACTATACTTACTGCATATTCGATGCTTGAGTGGAGGCCACGGTGGCTCATGCCCACGCAGTGGGCAAAGGCGTCCACCCAAAGGTCCTCAATTTGGAAATTTTCCGCGAAGTAGAGTGCTGCCAGAGCGTGATCAACACACTCCCGGAAGTCGAGATATCTCTGATTTTCAGCGTAATACGCCACTTCGATCGTATTCTGTGAGGTAACGTCGGGCCGATAGAGATCAATTCTTCCTTGGAGCTCCACCAAAGCCTTCCCCAACGTTCTACCAGCCAGTGGTCGATTGTAGAGCCAGGCAAAGAAGTTCCGGGTTGTGACGTGATAGTTAAAGGTGTCTTCGAGACCTGCGTCATACGGAGCTGGGAGGTAGAGTTCCTGAAGGGCCTCCTGAGGGTTGCAACCTGGATAATTCGGCAGGATACATTGCGTTGCTGCGTGGACCGATTTTCCGACCACGCAGCGGTCGACGAGAAAATCAAACCCCTTGACTTTGAGGAAAGCGGTATGGACTCGAAAGGCAGGTTCACGATTGGATTGGCCAGGTTCGTGCAAATAGACGAGACAATCACCCGTTAGCCAATAGAGTTCAGGTTCCTAGGGAGATAAATGAGCTCCTGTAAAGAACTAATCTTGATGTGTCACTGCTCACATGAAAGAGGTCAACCCAATCGGTTGTGATTCTTGCTCGACCATCCCATCGTCTAAGGCCGGCTGATCGGATACGATCGCGATTCACACGAGCCCCAATTCGATTCATGATTGCTGAGAGGTTCTGTTTAAGTGATTGGATGTTAGGGCTATGAAGTGGCTGTGCACTTGGAAAAAAAAAAAAAAAAAAAGGTTTCATCCCGACGCGGGGCATGGAATAACGGCGCGTTTAAGAAGGTCGGAATGGAAGGCTTGAGCTTCTTGAGGTCGACCAGCCCATTTCTCTGTTCAGCGCGTAAGTCTAGCCGGCGGGGAGGAGAGTCTTGATCCAGACTTACGACGAATCGCGCAGGAGGCTGGATAACGGCAGCTGTAGGTTTCGGAGCAACTGGCAACAGGGAGATCACAGAGCGAGCGTGCGGATGATGGTTAGAGTTCAGCCCCAGTGACAGAAGACAAATTACCGCAAGTTACCTGACTGATTGAACAAGTCATCTTCTTTCGAGGAAATGGCAGCGGGCATGTTCATGGGATCAGAAAGGAATGATTGCATTGTCGATGATAGAGGGGAACTTTGGAGTTCTCCAGTGGCACCCCGGACATGGAGAGTATTAGACTCTTGACGTGAGATGCCTGGCAATGTCCGCGATCGTCCCGAATTCAAAGTCCGTGCTATAAGTCCGCCCACCCGGTTTTGTACTAGCTTCCTGCGCCTCGTGATTGAGACTGACCAAAGGTATGCTCTGGAGTACAACCTCAAGGATCTCCATCTTTTCTCCTGTATCTCAGCTTTTGGCGCTGCCACTGTTTGGGAAGTCCCTGCCTGGTCTTTCGCTGATCCAAACTTCCATCCTTTCCTGTTTGGGTCCTTTCCTAAATGCCAACTTATGCGCATCCACGATTGAACAGTGATCGGCGTCCTGACATTCTGGTGCCGGCTACGGCGCACAGGCGAGTTGACAACCTTGGTTCCGGGAGATCTACTGGATGAGGGGAGCCTTTCCTCTTCAGTGGCGTCACCCTGAGCGTTTTCCGGCTTGCCAATGTCTTGCCTCACAATGATAAGCAGTGGGAAGGCGAGTTCAGAATCATATGCCATAAGGTGGTGGACTTGTGGTTGTGCGGGGCGATAGAAAGGGTGGGTAAGGCAGAGTCCTCTTACTGGCTTCGTAGGATAGAAATAGTTAAGATGACGGGGTAGCGATCTCCCATAGTAGGGCCGACGGCGGGTTCGGCGTTCATATGAAGTTGTAGTTCTCACGTTGATAACATCCAGCTGACCTGTTCAGGACCATATCAGGTCAGGCCTCTGGAATAGAAAAGAACTGCTGATGGCAAGGAAGACACCACTTCCAAGGAGGAACACAGGGACATGACAAGGTACCACTTCGTGGCTCTTTGGATAAAGGATTGGACTCGCGATACACTAACAGGCAGGCCAGGTGATATGTACCCTTCCCGCGTCGATATCGCGGGGTACATCTTTCTCTTGTGATTGGTTTAGAGGAGGTCATCTAGGATTTCGAGTGCCGTTCTCAAAACCAGTCTTGTGGATTTCTGCGGAGATCCTGCTACGCCGGTCAAACCCTGGATTAGATATTGCAGACAATTCGGCGGAGACCACATTGGACTGGTAGGGGACAAGTGATGGAGTAGTGGACTTCGTCACTTTGCCATACGATCGTTAACGTTCATGTTCAGTGTAAATATTGGTGCTTGTTCGTGAAGAATGGCTGGTTTATTAAGTATGGGACAGTCCCTGCTCATCTTCAGACGGCGTTGGGCCTTGGTAGAGGCCGATGTAATGATGAAGGAGGTGGATGGTAATGGATAGAAGATAGAAGTGGGTAGAAACCGGGGAAGAGAACCTCTGCTGCCTGCGTAGACATCAGGTTGCCCTTTCAACGGGATTGGGTCCACCGAAACCGATTGAGCATCACAAGTTGATGCTGACATGACGAAGCCGAACAGCTGTGCCAAGACCCCGTATCATTCGTCGATGCTGACAATCCTCCTTTGTTTAGAGGGAGTCATCGCGACCAGCGACGACGTTTTCAGGGTCTGCAGGATCTCTATCATTTTGCATTTTTCAACCTGTGTTACTGTCAAACTGGGTGCAACTCGAGATGTATAGTATTGAATGCTCTGTTCTCTATCTACTGTACTTGTCGAGGTACTGAGGCTCCTTTAATAGACATGCGAATCCTACGTCGTCACACAGAGCAACCATCAGTAACGTCGTCGTTTATGCAAACCTCTCTCACCAGTGTTTCAGCGGTGGAGCCTATACACAATAGCCCTTTCAACAGTTACTGTACAGTCTTGACTTGACTTAATTCATTTACCCTGACCTCTCCCGAAGGATATGCAGGATCTAACTACTGAAGCTATCCTTGAAACTCTATTGTACACCTGTTCCATTTCATGAGCCAAGTTCGTGCCTCGTTGGGCCTATCTTATGCTCCTTGTCTTCGGCCCGGCCGTCGAGACCCTTCCGGTGCTCTGGATTAAAAATCTTTGTGACGCTTCCGCAAAATCCAGTACCATAAGTCTCTTGCATACCGTGGCCATGTTCGAAGCGCTGCCAGTCATTCACGATCACAGCCCAGTGCCCGAGACATTCCCCAATTGAGTATAGATCGAAACATGTTATCGAATTCAAGCGCCACTGGGACGATGGACCGCTTGTGCTTTACACTGAACCAGGTAAGGATAGTGCCCTAGGACCGGCTAATTTACGGAACACGCTGAAGAAAGGTGAAAGAGAAATATGTAGTGCGATATAGCACTTGGCGGGTTGGCCACGTTTGCTGCCTGCTATGTCCCTTCTCCAAACTGTGCTCGGCATTCTTCCAGACTTGCAAACAAATAAATCAAATCAAATCAAGCCTCGAATTTGATTTTGACTTGGATTCAAAAAGGATCGATATGATTTGATTTGATTTGAATCGATTTGGATATTTGGATAGCCCCACTTTTCTCCCAAGATGATATACATTGCGCTGCGCCGATAATGTCTGCTCGAAGCCGACTTCTCTGAGCCGTCACCATCTGTCCTGCGAGACTGAATATCTGTTCTGGCTAGGAAGATATAGCGGGAATTGAAAAGAGATCTATCGCCATCCGCGACAGACGTGGATATTGTCATAGGGTGGCCCCCCCGGGAGACATGGTCCACAGATCGGATCCGATGGCTCGTAGCATTTCATCGGATTCAATCCCTGACGTATCTCGATATCGACTTCTATGAGTAGGTGCGGCCCTCCCCCTGTGGCCCCGGGGCACATAGTCCACGGATTGGATCCGATGGCGAGGGTCTTTCATCGGGTCTAATCTACGAAGCATGTCGAGTGTGATCATTAGAGCTTCTCTGGGTGGTCCACAGACTGGATCCGATGAAATACCACGACCCATCGGATCCAATCCATGGGTCATCTCGACGTCGAGGCTTGTCCGTTCACGCTGGTTACGAACCATCTCGAGGGCGATCAATAGGGCTTCTCTCGATGGTTCACAGACTGGATCCGATCCGTGGCCCATCTCGATATCGAGGATGTCAACTTCTATCGAGTAGGGTGCCCCCCCGGCCACATGGTCCACGGATTGGATCCGATGGAGGTGCGGCAAAGGGGTAGTGCCCACGTGATCACGTGACATGCCAAGCCATTGATGCACGTTATTGGCCAACACGACGGTCTTGGCGGCGCCACACAACGCTAAGCCACAACTACGGAGTTAGGCGATTCCAAAATTAAAAAAGATCAAGGTTTTTATTCCGCAGAATCAAGGACGAAACCGAGTGGGCACGCTAGGTTTTAGTCGTACCGATAGAATTGAGGGGCCTTACTAGTGTTCGATCATAGGTGAGGCAAGAGGGTTGTCCGGCCTAGCTTTCTATGGGCCCCTAGATGGGTAAACGTATGTTGGGCCGAGAGAAGATTGAATAAATCTATCTGACCGAGGTGCAAGCTAAAAAAAGGGGCACCGAAGGGTGCGGTGCACGTGACTAGGCTAGGCCCAATGTGGACTGCCAACAATAGTCTGTCAAGCAACAGGTGAGTCCAGACATCTGTCAACATGCTTACCCATGCTGCTAAGCCTGCACTTGAGGTAGCATATAGACCGGGCTTGATGGTATGACTCGAGCACCTGTGAGTGGGCCCTCTCAGTCCTTGTTTCCTCCTGAAAAGTTACCAATGTCAACATAAACCAGTGAACGTGGGTAAGGCCCCGCCTTCGTGGGGTCAGCATGAGCCGCGGGGCACTGACCCACACGAGCAGGGAACGTTGAAGCCGAGGGCCATATTATCATCATGTGCTACAAGACACAGTTGTTTCAATGCTATGCTGTCCAATGCGACGTATCTACATGATGCCCACCGCGGGGTGTCAAGTAAGAAATGAGGGCGGTCAGCGTGAGGGTCGAAATATTAAGGTAAGCGGGGCGATTCGATGCCGCACACCTTAAAACCTTAATCTACAGTACCACGCGCCCCGTTTTGTTTGTTCAGAGGTGAAAACGATAGCCTCACGACGAGGGTATTGATTTTAGTGGACTAGTTATGTCCGAGGACATGCTTATTGGCCTCTAGGTTCTACTACTGACTCGCGAGAGGGGGTCTGGAACGCAAGCCAGCTGATCGTGCTCGGATGCGGCATCCCGCGATCAATATGCGATATGGGTCAGCAGAGAGAGCCCCGTCAACCTACTTCGTGGCTTGACTAGGATTAGGGGACAAGGCAAAGACTGCGTCCTCCAGCCCGAATCGGCATGAAACTTATGTGCGTTGGGATATCGCAGTTGACTTACTTTATTATTCTTTCCTTTGCAAGGCTTTTCTCAGGTAAGCCTTCCAACCTCTGAGACGGCGGCACCGGACCTGAAAATCTGAACCCAGAGTGCGGCTGCTGGCTTGAGTACAACTGAAATTGGCAAAACATGTCTGACGCATCCGACGCCGAGTTTAAACGAGGATCTGGTACAGATAGCGACCCCTTCGACATTGTGATCGTCGGGGCAGGTATATCAGGTGTTAACACAGCCTATCGCATTCAAACACAGCTTCCTGGTACGAGATACACCATCTTCGAGGCCCGAGATGCAATTGGCGGCACGTGGGATTTCTTTAAGTATCCAGGTCTACGCTCTGATGGGTTCTCCTGGCGACCGTGGCTGGAGAAAACCCCCATCGCCACAGCAGGCTCAATTTTGAGGTATCTGAGGTTATCGGCTGCTGATACAGGAATCGAAAGCCACATTTGGTTGGGCAGTCGAGTAAAGAGTGCAAATTGGTCAATGAAGTCGCAGGCGTGGGAGATGACGGTGATCTCGAACAATCGTGTCGAACGAGTCTGGACGAGATTTCTCGTACTCGGTACCGGCTACTACGACTACGAAGAAGCTCTGCCAGCTGCCATTCCGAACCTTAACTCCTTCGCTGGTCTGGTTGTCCATCCACAGTTCTGGCCGGAAGACCTTGACTATACAGATAAAAAGGTCGTCTGCATTGGGAGCGGCGCAACAGCAATCACACTTATTCCAGTTCTGGCGGAGAAAGCGGCCAACGTTACCATGCTGCAGCGCAGTCCGTCTTACATTGTGTCGCTGCCCAACCCCACTTCAGCTTCCTTTCTGCAAAGGTGTATACCAGAGCGTATAGCCTACAGGCTAAACAGGCTCTATTTTATGATATTTCCGATTCTCTTTTATTACTTTTGCCGCATGTTTCCTGTCGTCTCTAGGAACATGATCCGAAAAGATGCTGCAAATCAGTCACCGGGGAACTACCCCATGGACACGAATTTTGCACCCCGGTACAACCCATTTGACCAGCGCCTATGCTCCGCCCCCAACGGAGACTTTTACGCTGCCATTCGCAATGGTGGGGCGAAGGTTGTCACCGATTCGATCGAGCAGGTTGTGGAAGATGGCATCATCCTCAAGAACGGGACAAACTTCGACGCCGACATTATAATCACAGCCACTGGACTTAAGCTACGGTTGGGTGGCAACGTCAACATAACGGTGGACGGCCAACCTTACTCTATTGCCGACAAATTGACCTGGCAGAACGCCATGTTGCAGGACCTTCCCAATACCGTATTGGTGATGGGCTATACAATGGCCTCATGGACTCTCGGTGCCGACGCTACGGCTTTCCTGCTTTGCCGTCTCCTAAAAGGCATGCGTAAGCACAGATTGACCTGCATTGTCCCTCGTCTTCCTGGCGACAAGTCTGTCCAGGCATACCCTCTCATGGCTCTCAGCTCTACCTACGTCTTAGCAGCAGCAGAAGTTTTACCGAAAGCCGGTGATAAGGGTCCGTGGAGGAGGCGAATGAATTATTTCACCGACATGTTCAAGGTCAATTACGGCGACATGACAGAGGGTTTAGAGTCCTATCAGGGGGACTTCGCTGTGACCGGGGTCAAGTTCTGAAGGCAGTCCATAGAATAGAAATTATGGAGATCCCTTCGATAGAGATATGCAAAAGCCATTACTTTCCCCTACTCTTTTTATATGTTCTACCAATTTAATATTCTCCGTCCCCTTTGTGCGATAGACACAGGTAGAATGGATTTCGTGCACTGATACAAACTCAGTTCTCGGTCTGGAACCTACAACGACAACACTTCCTTCAGCTTCTCCACCTCCCTCTCAAAAAAAACCATCTATTGTGCCCAGCTCGAGTCCAAAACTCTTGACACGGTCCAAATCTACCGTGACAGGATTGTCAACCAGGAACTGCCCATTCTGAACTTTGATGGGGTTTTGTCCCCTCTTCTCCGCCTCGTCTGCCGTAACGTACTCGACGGTAATCTTCACATTCTTGCCCTGCTTGGCCAGTGCCCTCTCCATCGTGCGCGTAGCATCCTCCAGCAGTCCCACCTGAGAAGCCAAGTCAATGACCTGAGATGAAAGATCAGGCAGCCCACGTCCTATTCCGGGTCCCAATAAGGCCGCTGCGGCAAATCGCCCAACAATATCGGGATCGACAAAGTAGTGCTTGTAGTCAGCCGGGATGACGGTCGCAATGCAATGTTCGGAAAGCTCTGGATACATAAATGTCGCCATTGGGTTGAGAAAGTTGGAAAGAAAAGTTGCGGGTTTGAAGATAGCCCACACCCAGCCATTCTGCTCGGCGGCTTTCCGGACGGCGATTTCGTTGTTGTGCTTGCCTTGAAAGTAAGTGTAGCGAAGGCTACCCTGCTCAACGCCGACGAAATTTCCCGGGATACCGGGATCTTTGACGCCGGCGGTAGTAGTGTAGACCACCCGCTTCATTGTAGGGATTGAGGAAAGAACTGAGAGAGTGTTCTTAGCGTGACGTTGTTCGGCGGTAGCATCGCTCCAGACCGTCAGGAAAATGAAGAAGCAAGCCGTGCATGAAGTTGCTGTGGCTGTAATGGCGGAGGGATCGTCGTATTCGCCTTTGAACAGCTTGACCGCTGGTAACCCCTTCGCTAGTGCTTGAGCCTGGGGGCTGTCCGGATCACGGACGAGAGCATGAATGGTAATGGGGTTGGTGGAGGTGGAAAGACTGAGAAGAGCACGGATTGTCGCCGATCCTTGAGTGCCGGTAACGCCAGAAACGAAAATCGTGTCCCCTTGTGCTGCTTGAGACATGTCGACGAGATGCGTGCTCTTCGAGACTGCACGGAGAATGCTGGTGGTGTGGACTGGATCCTGGATGACTTCCCCTGGTTGGTTGACGGTCCGGGGAAGGCGTGACATTTCATACTTGGACAGTGTTTCTTGTATGTTCTGGGTCAAGGGAACGCGCCTGTATGCTTGTTGTGCATTGAGATTGCATTTCCTTCTTCGTCCATTGAGGTGCAAGAGAATTTTGCATCGCGCGAATTCGGTTAAGGTTCGAACCACCCTCCCCCCATCCCCGCCTTATCGAACTGTCGCCATACTTCATGCAGGTCTGTGGGGTGATTTGTGTGCATCACTGATCTCGTGTTATACGGAGACTGCCCAACGTACCGTTTATTCTCGGTACGCGTCTCGACGAATCCTCCATTGTGCCAACAGTTTGGAGACAAAGCTGTGGTCTCGAACTTTGTTGGACCGGTTGTTGACGGGTTCATGGGACGCTACGGGTTACAGAAACAGCGTATTACGAACGTGATGCCAGCGGAAATAGTAAATTCGTGCCGAGAGATCAGTTGGGAGAGAAAAGCCTTTTTAGAAGGCCCTTGATTTATAGATAGTTCAGCCTCATCCTGACGTCGCGTGCTTATTCTGTCTTCGTCCTGCTGCTCCCACAAAGTGTGCAACGTCGGTCTTCCTTGTAAAATACCTGCCCACTCACTTCCCTTCAGGTGCTGGATCCCATATGACAACATATCATCGCCGATCAAATTGGTGCGACCAGCATCAATGAAGCGGGCTATAAAGACCACAGTATGAGCGTCCAACGCGGTGGGTCCGGCATCATCGCCAAAGATCCACGTGCTCTTGCGTCCGACGTTATGCTCCAACATGACATCCGCAATCCTGTTCAAATATACTTGCGCCTTTTGCTCTTCTCGCACTACTATTTCCGGAGCATGCGGGTTTGGCCTGGTACGTTCCGCTCAGACTGTCATTCTCTGTCAGCGATTGATCTGAACATTCGCCGCGTCCAGAAATTGCCGCTTCTTGTGGACAGCCTTACAATTGCAATTTCCTCTGTAAAGCGGTCTTGTACTTTTCGGAGGTCGTTGGCTCTTCGATCAGATGCAGAATCATCTTGACGAGACCTTCGGATCGGCCATCTTCTGCGGTGAATGAAAGGCTTACAAACCACACTTGGTGCAGTTCGTTCAACAATTCATTGATGCTGTCACGATGAGCGCTGGGTAGCAGCTGAGGATATCTCTCGCTGAGAAATCTGGTGATATCTAGGCTGTCATCCAACTTGACAGATTGAGGGCCAAGTAACAATGGAACCTTGGTAGAGATCTTGTTAGGCGAGCTGCTCCTCTCTTCACGTTGCTTGGAGCTCCCCTTACTTGGCCTTTCCAGTTCTTCTCCAGATATTCCTCGCGATTCTGCTCCCAGGTGTAAATGTCGATTTCTTTCTCTATGGGGTCGACAGCTAAGTCTGCTGACTTAGGTTCTCCCTTCTACCGAAAGGTCAACAAGGTCATGAGTGAACATATGGAGAAGGAGTTGTAATACAGCTCCCAAGCAGGAGTCGCGGCATTATCTTCACCCATTTTTGTTTTTCATCGGCCGTTGATACGTTCAGAATAATTGTCCGGTCAAGGTTCTTTATACTGCTGTTTTGCCTAGATCGATTAGTAAATAACAGGCACGAGATTCACTGGCCTGGCCACAACTGGGACCAACGATGAAGGCCCGCATGACGAGGTGGGGTTTGTACGGGGCGTGTGGGATATTCATAATGCCCCAGACGGCTTTCCTTTCCCTCTAAGTCATCCTCGAACTATCGTAGGTCAGAGACTATGTTAACAGCGATTGGAGTGAAAAATGCCAAGTTTCTCGAGGATGACGTTGCCTGGTTCAAGATGCACTTCTATCCGTAATTACTAGCCAATATGACTATGTCCAGCCAACAACCTATTCCGTCTCTCTAGTTATTGCGAACAACGAGGACAAGGGACATGTCAGCTCTTCATCAGGGTGATGTTGCAACTTTGGCCCTTGGGTACGCTACCGAAGAAAGTTGACCATGTCCATATCATCGGGAGACGAAAGGGCCAATCGTGCACCAGCACATTCCCGAAAGAGTAACGCAACCGCCATGCGAAGTTCCATGTAAGCAAGATGTACTCCTAGACAGGTGCGAGATCCAGCTCCAAATGCTGCAAAGGCGGATCTCTCTTCTTGTCCAGCATAGTCTTTTCGTAGAAATCTCTCAGGTTCAAAACTGCGGATGGTTAGGAGACGTTTACTGGTGAAATCGCCTAAGGTGGAGAACTTACCATTCTGGATTCGAGTAGATCTCGGACTTGCGGTGCATACTATATGACTGAGTACACACGATGGTCCCTGGTGGGATGAAATGGCCAGAAGTGTGCAAACCTGCTTCGGACACGACGCGAGGAAGGGCCCCAGGAACCGGCCCATATGTCCTCAAGGTCTCTTCGATAACGGCATTCATATATGGGAGGGCTTCCAGCTCTGCGTCGGTAAAATCGCTAGGAAGGGTGGCGACTTCCTCCTCGAGCTTTTCTTGTATCCGGTGGTTTGACAAAACGGCCCATACCAGGTAAGTCAATGTGACGCTTGTCGTCCTACCCCCAGCGCCAACCAGGCCAGTAGCTTCAGTGACAATGCTGTCTCTCGGGATTACAGTCTCATTAATTTCTGTTTCGGTGAGAAAGCCTGTGAATACGGTCCTCCTATCAATAGAGCCTTCCTTCGCCCGGTCTATGATCTCTCTGTCATGCCGAATGATCGTCTTCTCATCTCGATTGATGTCGTATATAAAACTTGGTATGAGGCAGATCAGTCTATATAGGGTGGGAAACTCAGACCGGAGTATGCCAATCATGGCGAAATTTTCAAACATTTGGATAAACTCCGTCTTCTGTGCGTTCGTTAGTACGCTTTGATACAGTCACTGGAGGGGAAGGACAAATACAAGAACGTACCTTGCCTAGCTCAAGCATGCCAAAGGACTCGCCGAAAGCGATTCTTCCGATCACATCCACTGTGTAGTATGTCCACCATTCGAATCGGTCGCACACACCCTTGGCTTTCACCTTTTGAACGGCCGATTGAGCCTTCTCACTCACCAATAACGCTTCGAGAAAGGGCGAGATAGGGTCTTTCGCCTGACTGCGTGGTTCTTCAAGCTTGTCTCCGAGAAAACGTCCTGGTCCGCGAACGCGGTTCGGAACCTCGGGTACCACTCGCTCTTGCGGATGCCATTTCCAATCTTGTGGATAGCATGATAACCATGAAGATCAGTCACGTCGATCTCGTTAGGGGCAGTCCGAACCACTGGACCGTAGATCTGGTGCAGGTGGTGGATGTATTGCACACGCCGGCCCTTAACACATGTAGCGTCAACGGTAGGGACGTAAATTGAGCCAGCCACGGGCCTGGAACGGACCCCAATGGTGTGAAATACGCTCGGCGTATTAGCTGTAGTATCGTCATAAGTCAGCATTGTCGTATCGTTGAGCAAGTCCCAGGATATTTCCCCCTTTGACTGACCTTTCCCAAGGTGAAAGTGACAAGAAACAATAGCAGCGCCAATTGTCAATGTTGTCGACCTTACCTCGGCGGAAGTGATGTTTAATCTGTCCATGGTGAAGATTTGGAAACGAATCTCAAAATACTCCCGTCTGCTAGAAACCGAGTGATTATCGAATCCGAGTTGTGTTATCAGAAGCAACGTTCAACGTGACATCCTAGCAAGAAAAGTGTTTGCAGTTACGCATATTCATGTATCTCCACCAACGCCATCGCACATTAGGCCCACGACAGAGAGTGACTATGTTCCTTGAACTAGGTGTATGGGTGTATACCAAAGTGTGGGAGCCAGGCCAAAAGGCGGGGGCCTAGTCACAGTCATGGAGCGGCAACAAAGAGCAGCCAGGAGAAGTACAGGGTTCGCAGAACGGGAATGGACAAGCGGGATAGAAGGTATTGGGTGGACGTAACTGCATGAGGACAAGACTAGCTGTCTCCCTGTAATCCGTCCCCAACACTACCACCCCAATGAGTTCAAGAGCAAGGAAGAATCGATAAATATCTGTACGGGGTTTGTGATACCGTCCCGAGGCTCATCATGAGCATGAAAGAAGCTATTAAAGAGTTAGGCTCTGCTTAGCCACGTCGCTTCTGTTCGTAATCCCGACACCCAAATTCATGGAGCGCCATCCTGTTGTAGACTTCAAGGCCCATTCATTGCGTCCCCCCCGTGACGAAGGCCTGTATCAGATCTGCAAACTTCTGAGAGATTCCACTTGTCCCAAGCCGTCGGAGAGTTGACTCGAGCACACATAAGGTGCTGACTTTCATTTTGGCGGGATTTGCCCCGAGGATCCTCTTAAGGTCTGAGATTGCCTTGTCGAGAATGTTTGGGGATTGTTTCCAAGGACTTCTTTCATCCCGTAGGAGCCGAATTTCTGGCAAGGCCATCAGATAGTCAGAGGTGTCGTCGAGTAAGAGAGATGCACCGGAGTCGAATGAGGCTGTGCACCAAGGTAAGTATAGCATATAACAATACCAGCAGAGAGCAGCCGAGAACAAGATTCTTGCCGTGTGTATGGCAACGGCGGAATCCACAGTTGTTGAGGTGACTAGATTTTGCAGGCACAAGGCATGAAGAAGACACCGCTTTGATTCCGGAGAGGAGATCCAGGCTCTGACTTGATCCAACTTCGAGGCCGCGATATCGGTACCTTCTCTTCCCACGGCCAGCTCCAGAAGGTCCAAATCTGCGGCCATCGTCATGCACGTATAATGCCATAGCGGCTTGAGGCAGAATGGAAGCTCGGGTTGTTTGAGGGTTCGACATTCCTGTATCCTGCAGCAATTTTTGGTTGAGATGTACCACGTTACAAGGTCAGTTTCAAGCTCGGTAATACGTCGTGAGGAGAGCAGGTCCAGGTGCCGACATTCGCAGATGGTGGCGCCGATACCTGAGAGAGCGGCCCAAGAATTCAACATAGATGGACGGCACGAATCCTCGTCAACCCCTGCTCCCGCCCTGGCGTTTTGCACCTGCACTCGTGCGACCGGACCAAAGCGTGGGTGATCCGACTGCGGTTCTCTTTGATCTTGTCGGCTTTTCTGGTATGCGCGGTATTTCATCGCCCATATTGCGGCGGTTGGTGCTTGGAACAATTCAGCAGGCGCGACGACAGGCAAGCGACTGGCGTTATGGCGGAAGGTCGGTTCGTGGTGGAAGAGAGCAGCGATCTCAGCATCATGGATATGTAAAACCACGGCTGCTCTGCGTACCGTGTCAGTCATGGATGGTACGATTTGCAAAGTTACTAAATTTTATTACCTCTTCATCTCTTCATACCGGGCCCACCGTTTCCAAACTCTTTCGAGATCTTCTGCCGAGACCATATCGCTGAGATCTAACTCGGGAATCTCAGTGAATAACTTGACATGACGGCCGAGCTAAGATATCCAGTTAGCCCACGACGCCACAGACGCTCAGGAGACGTACCGAGATGAGGCATCCGTGGTGGCCATCTGCAATCGCACGGTGAGCTGGTTCACCTGACAAAAGTGCGAAGGTCTGGCCGATTGTGGCTCCTTTGATGTTGTCTCGCGTCAGGTGCGGCCGCTCTGTCAGTCCTCTTTCCCATGAATCCCCATTTCCAGCTTTGTGGACTCGTTCAAAAAGCATCGATGCTATCCGGGTTGCCATACCTGTTGTCATCGTCATAGCACCTGCGCTGCACATTGTGAGGACTAACAGAATATTGTTCTCGCTCGGCCTGAAGGTTGGGCCATGTATGAGGGGTAAAGCCACGTTGAAGCGTGTGAAGAATAGGTGGATACAAAGATTCTGCAAGAGAAGTTAGACGAGGAATTTGCCAAGAGTGAGCATGTCAGGTACCAGGAAGTCAATCGATGGCAACGGTTCATTGCGCAGCGGTGCACGAAGTTCTTCGACCATATTCGTACGATAGATCTCGTCGATGTCTCTCAGAGAATTGACAATTTGTCTTCCTGTCCCCTCGTAGTCGTGATAAAGACCGTCGACGGTCCTTCGGGTCTGGACATACCACATGTGCCGCAGGTCCAGTACCGCCGGTGGATTGTTGCTTTCTTTGATCGATGGCAAAGGTTGAGGCCTTGGATTTGACCGGTCAGTTGGGGGGTCATTCCGGGTCAACTGCCCAATTCCAATGTCAACAAAATTCTCGTCCAAGAGCCAGTTTGTCGCATCAAAGTGCAGGAGAGGATCAGCAAAGGCAGTATAATCTACTGTAGAGTCATTTAAGTTCCTGTACTGATCGCGTGGGAAGACGCCGGGATTTATTCTTGAGTCCGTTGATGCTGTGGTGGTTGACATTAATGCCGATCCGCGATCGAAGACTCCACCTAAAAGTTGCCGTCCAGGATTGGTGACAGTGCTGGTTGACCCTGCGATCCTTTCGTGCTCTGAAAACTGGAATGAAGATGTCTCCATGATTCTGGGCCCACGGGCGCCGGCGATGTTGAGGTCGAAAGTGGCATCATCTGGTTGGAAATCTGATCCCAACGGGGGTGCCGGGAGAAAGCTCATACTATCCTCGTTTGATTCCTGTTCAAGCATGGCTGACGGTGAGGCATCTCGGTGACTCTCGTGAGTTGTGCTCCTAGCCACCAACGGAGAAGATGCTTTATCGCCGCGTTTTATTTTATGGGTCTTGATATGGCGCAACAGTGTATCAGTTCATCGATTAGATGCATGGCATCACGAGGCCGCTGACACTAAACGTACCGGCGAGGATAGAATTTCCCACATATCTTGCAGCCATATGGCTTTTCATTCGTATGTGAGCGGAGGTGTCGATCATAATGGTCGTGTTTCTTGAATTCTCGTGAGCAATATGGGCAAATTCGTGTCTTTTCAATAATCTGCGACAAAGGCCGCTGAATACTGGCGGACTCCCGCGTAGACTAGCCAAACCCTGGAAGGGGATTTGACGCAGACTGCATCTTGTTGACACCAGTTGCGCTCCCTCAGGTTTCTTTCACACAAAGCGCTTTCCTCAGGCGATACTCGAACTACTTTTGAGCATGGCTGAAAGCTTTGATAGAATCACTAATTGGCCAAGAACCTTCCTGGTCCTTGGCGGAGGTTTGGCCCAGCTCACCTCCGCCGAAACCCGGTGGAACATCAGGATCTCCAAGTTTAGGCCACTGGGTCCTTTCATCTTGGAAGAATTTTGAATTTGATGGCTAACGCCGGTGAGAAACGTTACGATGTGTTCGCTGAATTATAACAAAATTTTCCGGAGGACTGTCTTCAGTGGCTACGAGGTAGCATACCTTCACTAAATCAAACGTGACTTGAGCACCTTGGTGGTGCTTCTTGAATCCAATGTGCGCGGTAAATGACTACGAGCGATCGCCTTGCACATTTATTCGGATGTCTATGACCTAGTAGAGAGGGACAGGTACGGGAACGCTTGCAAGCCACCATATTGAAGCGAGTATAGCGCGACAGTAAATAACAAGATAAGGCATCTGCAGTTGCTGGCCCATACCTCCGAGCTAGTTGTTTGAGCGTACGACTTGTCCACGTGAGCCCGACACTGGAAGAACTGCGAGACTCGCGTTGTTTGAGTTTAGACCTTCCGAGGGCTCCTCGGTAAATAGGTCACTCGCCAAGAACAGTCGGTCCGTCTGGTAGTAGGCATCCTGCCACAAGCCCCGTGGGGACGAGGCGACGGTGTTGAGAAGTGAGTTGAAAGCTGAAAAGGATGCATGATGGGTGAAGTGAGAAGGCGGGCTCGCGGGGAAAGTGGCGGGGAAGGTGGGAAGGCGATAAGGCTGAACCCCTGGCTCTTTCCACCAATGAGGCCCATGTCGCTACATCTCGCCTGCCCATCCTTCCTGAAACTAGTGGATATATGGGGACCTGACAGCCTAGGACATGCCCCTGCTGCAATCCAGAGTGACCATCGCTATGGACAAATCCAGCAGAATGTCGGCGCAAAAGGAAAGTGTTTCGGTTTGTGCGGCGCATCATGAGGTTGCAGAGACCAGCCAGGCGAACAGATTGGAGGTTCATACCCAGATCGCGGCCTATGAAGAACGGAAAATCGACCTGCGGACGATCATGGCTATAGCGGTATGAATTTTCTGTCACTACCGATCCATCATGAAGACTGAAACACTGCGTTGTAGGCTCTGGCTGTTACCTACGAATCAGTCGTCCTTTCTTTCGTATTACCCGCAGCGGTTTTGCTCACTATCAATGCTGATATTGGGCCATCAACCCAGTTCAACTGGGCGCCTACAACATGGACGCTAGCTTAAGGAGTGATCATGACAATTGCAGGCTCATTGAGTGATATCTGTGGACGAAGGAATTTCACTCTTGCCGGTAATCTACTTGGTTTGATTGGAAAGAGCTTTGGTCTCCCCTGACAATCTGCACTGACTTGGGGGTTAGGGTGTGTCATCGGTTGCCAGTCTGTCTTCCCGTAATGACAAGATCATTGTTGCAATGCTCACAAACGAACAGAGCGAAGACGATCACGACAGTCATTGCGGGTTTGGCGGTAACGGTTAGTTTACCATTAAGTTTCCTGATCATCGTTACTCAATATAGAGACAGGGAGTTGGCTCGGGATCTCAATTATTTGCACTTGCCTGTTCAAATGAAATTGTTCCCAAGAAGTCCAGAGGCAAAGCGGTAGCTGCCCTGAACATTGCGTCAATGCCGGGTTCTTGTTTTGGATCACTAATAGGTACCTCCGAATGGAACTACCTGAGTTGACATTCCTAGTTCTAATATCGTCACAGCTTACCGTCTAGTGGCAACTCTAGACTGACGCTGGACGTTCTACGTAGGGATTGTCGCCAATGGCCTTGCTCTGGTACTGGTTGCAATTGTAAGTCTCTACCGTCGTCCCGAGGCGTTATCAATTTCGAAGGACTCATTCCTCCTATCATCAATCTCCTTTCAAAATTGACAGAACTTGACAGTTCTACTGGCCTCCTAGCTTTATCGGTCTCCACCCCGAGGGCATAACCCGAATGCAACAATTTCAGGAGTTGGATTTCATCGGTCTTCTTCTCTTCAGTGGTGGCCTTAACAGTTTTTTGATAGCTATATCATGGAGCAACAATCCTTATTCCTGGCGAAGTGTCGAGGTCCTCGCCCCTTTGTCATTGGGAGGTAAGTCGATAGTGACCACTTATCTGGACTATCGAAGTTTGACCTTCAGTAGGACTCGCCTTCATGGTGGCATTCCTATAGCCAGCTGTCCAGTTTCCAAGTTTTCTGGCCTCAGTGTTCGTCAACATACTCTCCATCTTTGACCGATGATTGCTAAGTCTGCACAGAGGTTCAACCGCTCTTTGCCAGCGACCCCAACAGAATCGGATGGTTCAGTGTGGCTTATAACACACCCGTGACGCGTACGTAGGTCGGAACTTGCTCGTGTGGCAACGACTAATAATCACAGTGGGTGGCGCTGCAGCAGCATTTTCATTCAACACATTCGGCCATACAAGATTCCATTTCTTCATTGTGACTCTGCTGCACGCTGTTTTCACTGCATCCGTAGCATCCATCACTCAACACATTCCAGCCCAGGCGATTGTCCTGGTCGTCCTTGCTGCTTTGTTTGTCGGTGCCACATATATGCTCAAGATACTAATGCTACAATTCGGTGCCCCAGACACACATATTGGGCTTACAACTGGGTTCGTGAGAACAATACATGAGTTTGCCGAAGTTTTACTGACCAAAAGCAAGTTTGATGTGCTCAACCACGGCTACCGGTGGCGCAATTGCTCTAGCTGTCAATAGCACGATCATCCGCGACCAAACGAGCATTTTGGCACCTGCCGTCGCAGAGGCAGCAGTTCAGGCTGGTCTTTCCACTTCAGAAGTTGAAAGCTTCATATGTGGTGTCCTCCATCCCCAGGTTTTTAATACTGTTGGCAGATCGCAGTGGCCTTTCTTTCCCATTCCGCTACGTCACTTGAAGCAATCAGAGGTCTCCCTCTGGCTATCCTTGTTGTGGCTGATGACGCTAGCAATACGATCTATTCTCAAGCTTTCAGGCTTGTCTACTTGGTGACGATTGCCTTTGGAGGTGAGAGGAACTCATCTATCTGGATGCATCTAGAGTTCTAACCCTCGACAGTACCAGCATGCATCGCCGCTTTCTTTATTCGTAGCGTCAGGGTTCTCAACGAGCTGAGACGATTTTGGCAAGACTGAGCGCTCGCTTGTTTACATACTCCGCCTATATTGCTGCAACTTATTGTTTCCATTAAGTTTTGTACTCTCTGATTTATTCTTTATAACTCACTGCAAGCTGCGTAGCTAGATCGCTTCTTAGAGCCTTTTTATTCTCTTCTTTCTTGTAGACTTCCTCGAGATATCTAATTATCAAGCACCGAAATGCTTTCCATAACTGATTTGGAATGCTTCCATAGTTAATTTGTAAGTCAAGGTTTCATATCACAGCGGGTGTTACAACAGTTGTTACACTCTGCTACTGCCTATCGTTGCTTGTTGTCTAGAATTACTCCTGTTAAGTATAATCAATCGAGCTTGTCAGGGTGGTCCACAGACTGGATCCGATGGTCGAAGGGGGGTGTTCATCGGATCCAATCCATGGACCATGTCGGTATCGAATGGAGGGCCGCCGCTCCCGGGCGGGGGGAGGGGAGCACATGGTTCCGGAAAATGGTTGATCCGTTAAGGGTTGGGCGGTCCATAGACTGGATTCGATGGGCGACGAGGGGGATTTCATCGGATCCAATCCATGGATCGTTGAGAGGGCGGCCCCCCGGGGAAGCACGTAATCCCGGAAAATGGTTAATCCGTCTTCAGCACTTCCTGCGTAGTATCCCATCTTGACTCTCTTCGTGCTACGTCTTGTACCTAGAACTCGATGCTAGCTAGAATGTATCCTTGACCCCGAACCCTCACAGGGGGCGAGGGGCACATGGTCCACGGACTGGATCCGATGGCGAAGGTCCCGGAAAATATTAGTTAATCCGGTCCATAAACGAGACGAGCTAAGGTTTTGCTCGAGCTCAACTAGTCTCGGCTCGTCCCGGCTCGTTGAGAAGCCTCGCCTAGAGTGCCTAAACCTAGGCGCTCTTCTAGGTAAGCCTTAAGGGTGGGACAGTTAAACTTAGGTATCATGACGCCCGGAGAGACAAATTTAGAGTCACGTGTTGAGTGGGTAATACCAACGAAAATTGGCTCGAATACTCTAGTACGGGATTTCTATGGATCTTATTCTATCTGCTGCTTATTGCTGCCTACACTTGACAAGAGTAACTTTCGTTAGCTCTGCACAAGTAGTACGTGATCTGAGGCCTGCAGTTCCAGGTGACGATAGCTAAAGGTTAGCCAAGCGGGCCCCCAAAATCTTAACTACTAGTGCTGCTTGAGTAAGAGAACGATATGTAAAGGTATAGGTAAGTGGTCCCTAGAATTTAGTTAAAGGTAAAGCCTATTGACCCTATAACGATAGGCTGCCGGAAGCCGCGTGATATAGCTCCCTGCTAACGAAAGTTACCCTTGTTGAGTGTACTGCTATGACTCCATAAGCAAGCATATATGGGATACTAGTTACAGACTCTTACAATCAGAGACAGAGCACTCAATGTAACAATCAATGTAACAATCGAGGGCTATTTAATCTTCCTCGTCGTTCAACAGATTTCTATAGATCTCATTCTATCTCCTCCTATTCTTCTTCTAATGATGCTTTGGCAATGGCTTTGCGGTGTACTGAATTGAGGGTCCTAGGCTGAATTCTAGTAATAGACTCAATCTCTGCACTTGAGAACCCAACGAGCTTTAAACTGACGGCCCGAGCCCTTGTGGCATTATCGTATAAAGGCATGAAGGTGATGGAAACCACAATAAGGAATTTTGATAATTTTTGTGCGTGCGCGCTAGTATGCGCTAGTACGAGCTAAAAATGCCACTTTTGAAAGGCAACCTCCGTACTGAGAAGGGATCTTACTCCGGCTCGATCAATTCTCTCACACACAGTGGAGTCTCCCTAGGTGGTTTCGCTCTCCATATTAAGACCTGCTTAAATATCAGTTTATCTCACACCATGACAAGTTCTCGCATCTCGGCGGCCTCAAAACCCTGAATCACATTTTTAGCAAAGATCCTCCCGACACCTACCCTCCGGAATTCACCGCCAACAACTTCGACGCAAAACAGAATCTCATAAACAGGACGTGACTTGCTAATGTACCCATACGAAATGCCGTCTGGCGCCCTTCTCGTTGCGACATGCACGGCGTAGACGTCATCATGGGGTCCCACGTTGCGCTCGAAGCTACCCCAACCAACGACCAAGCCCGGAGCGTCCGGCGCTACGACGGCGTGCCATCTCGCCTGAACCTTACCCTGGTTGTTGAAGAGCCAACGGGACTCGTGGCTCGCCACGGCTGCGGTCCACATCATAACGCGGTCCAGGCACTTCTTGACACGCACCAGGACACATTTCGATCGGACTGTGAGGCGGATGCAGACCGCGCTGATGTCAAAGTGCTCAGTCGCGTCGACAGCCGGCAAGTAGAACGGCCGGGCTGCATTGTCGCTCTTGTGGACTTCCACTATGTTCTGGTCAACTGGATTCCAATATGTGAGCTTTGCGACGGTCAGATATTTGCTGTGGCTCTTCGCTGGGGCTCTTTCGGGCCACGTCACCTCCGTGAACAGCGACATCCACGACCACGACGGGGCGATGGCGCATTCCCTCTTGATCGGATTGGGACCCGCGGTTACCTGCTCCCAAAGCAGGCCGTGGTGAATATCGGAAAGCCAGAGGCCGGATGCATATTCGAGAACTTCCTGCCGTGTCGACAATTTCGCAAGCACTGCAGGGTGGGGAGACTTTACCCTCCCCTCGTTGTTGCTCTCCTGGCCCAGATCAACTGTTTTGCCCTTGTCAGCCCGTCTTGTGCTCTGGCCTAAGTGTTCTGTCTCGCCCAGAGGCCTTTCCTCATCGAGTACGCCACTTTGTGCGTTCCTCTGCGGCGTTTTGCCTTTCGCAGCTGCTGGTTGTTGTGCTGTCACTGATGAGGATTCATTCAAACTTTCACTATCTTCAGATGGGCTCCCGTCTCCTGGTTTTGCGCGGCCCTCATCCTCGTCGCCTGAGTTATTGTGCTCAGACACTGCATAGCTGCAACAATCAGCAGTCAAGTCATTGGAGTTGATGTTGGACAATGCGGCAAGTGCTTCCTTCATCTCGACTGCAAGTCCCGCCAGCGCCCAAATATGGTCCTCCGGCTTGGTCAGATCAAGGCGAGCATACGACTGTGCCAAGATGTACCATGTACTTAAGGGTTTGTCTCGGCGTACCTTAAAGTTCCTTTTGAAGGCATATGTGTGAAAGTCATACGACAAGACTTCTTCGCCGCCCTCGCGGACTGGTCTGTCTGTTTGACATTCGAAGAACATTCCGGCGGGTGTGTAGAAGATTATTCGGCGACTGAGCAGCCACTCCTGAAACACCCATCCTCTCGTCAGGAGGTCGCTGTCGCGCACCTTTGACCTGAAGTCTTCGCTTGCGCTGGGCCTGCCCAAGACGTAAAAGATGTCCCCCAAGCGCCCTTCGGTGGAACGATACGGCAGCTGGGCCAAACCATAGTAAGATGGCTTAGCCCGGTGAGACAAAAAGTCGTCGCCGCACGAGGTTACCGTGGTAGCGATGGTGAAGTATGCATATTGATAGTATTGTGCCACGCGAATTTTCTCCGTCTGAAAGTCAATGCTGTTCTGAATGATGCACAGGGAGTCGATCCACAGGTACTTGACTCTCAGCATCCGCGCGACTGCTATGGCGCTTTGGAAGACCTTCGGCAGAGATGCCAGCATGATGCCGCAGTTCCGGTCTGTACGATCCCTATAGTTGCTGGAGTTTGTCATGCTCTGTGTTGTCTCAGGTGTTTGCCACCTGTGGCTGAGGGTGATGTATTTCCCTCTGACCTGTTGATCTCTGGGAAACTCGACGAGAATCACTCGACCGGTGCCAGAATTACTGACGTCAAGACACCGTGTGGGCAGTATAGCGTCGTTCGGGTCGATGACGTTGGTCTGGGATAGTGTTTTCTGGCAGTCTGTGTGTTGTTGCAGACAGTTTTCGAGCCACTCTATGGTAGAAATGCGATGTAGGTCCGATTTGGGATCTTCACCGAGGTATCGCCCTGTAATCTTCGTAGAAGCGGCAGTCCCTGGCAAGTCATCAGTAAGACAATGAAAAACAACCGGAGCGCCACATATGAAATGTACAACCGGGATCTGCAGCAATGCTATAAATTACATGGCGGTTGTTGAACCATGCTTTCCTCCGGAAGCTGTCCTGTCCGAACCGAGGGCTCATTGAAATCGTCATGTTGGTAAAACCAGCACGACCTTTTGAAGGTGTGTTGGTGAAGAGTTTGACGTCGAATCGACAATCTGCCGTGCACAATCGAGTCTCAGTCGGCAGCCTAAGGATGGAATCCTCGAAATCTTGATGGAGAAGGCTGCAAAAACTGCAATTCTCATTTTTGCCTGCAATGACCGCCTCAACGCTCAGCATGTGGGTATAATCTTCACTTTCGATAAAGCCTTGAATGTTGAACGCATAACACTGTCGACAGATTCTCCTGGTATCCGCCATCTTAGATACGTCTCTTCTTTGAGCTGAGCACATTGGATGGCCTTTGAAATGCCATACGCACTTTTTGGCTACAAGGCTCCTGAGGTGAGTGTGGACAATAGCTGCTGTCAGACAGCTGGTGCCTAGTGCCAAGAGCCTCTATTCTAGCCTATATAGGGGGCTTCCCCCTCCCCCCCAATCCATTGTTTTCACCTCTTCTATCTGCATCTCGACAGCCGCACGCTGCTTGCGCGTGCAGATCTGACCCCACTAATTTGTCAGTAGCGTGGCGACTTAATAAGTTAGAGCGTCCGATTACTTAAAAGTTTGTCATCGGTTCTCGCTGGGCTGGGACCTTCACTCCGTCATCCATCATTTTCATTATCCCGCGAGCTGCGTTTGACACCCGATACCGTTCTCAAAGAATCACTCTTAGCGCCAGCATGAGATGGCATTTACCAAGATGCATTCATTCTTTGGGAAGGCTGTTTGAAGAGCACCGTTACACAGCAACTCTATGTTTTCTTGTGATCGCTCTTGGAGGCTTTCAAGTCTTTGGAGTCTTTGTCTATTTTTTGATACTACCCCCCTCCAAGAACAGAACCATTGCTCGGTCCATTTTTCTTCTCGGAGAGCTCGCCTTCTCTCTTTTCCTGCCGATCTACATGGTGTTGTTCAATGGGCGAGGCAAGGTTGCGGCTTGGTGTCTTCTAGTATTCGACGGCGCCTTCCTTATCCTCGGTATTGTCTGCGCAGTTCTAGATATCTTGTTCTTCGAATCGGGATTGTTCGCCGTTCCGGCTCTCCTGTTGCTCTGCGTGCCCGCGGCATTAGGCCTTTGGCTAGGGCTGCACAGTTTGTGGCATTCTCAGTCCGCGTTACGGTCTCTCCCACTGTCCGTGCAGCGTCGCCTATTGGACGACGACGGAAATACTGGTCTTTACACTGACAGTGAAGACAATAGCCCCGAGGATGTACATCAGGAAGACACTTGTCTGTTGGCGGACGACGGTGACGGTCCCCTGGCACAAGCGTTTCGGGCGTCCGTCCAGCACGATGCTTTGGTCAGCAGCAACCATCCAGCATCCTCGCCGACAAATTTGCCTGATATTACAACTGCCGGCCCGTCGTCTCAGGGAAATATTCAAAGCAACGCACCGCCCCAGAGGAACCTGTCCGAGGATGCAAAGCGGAAGAGCGTGATCGACGGCACTACTGATAGGGGCGCTACAGATCAGAATATGACATCTTCATCCTTGCCCACTCATGACGCAGATTCAGTTCAACTTGTGAGTAGGACCAGGAGGCACCAGCTGATGATCAATGTATAGCTAATTCGAATATCTTGCTTTTTGAAGGATTACGAAACGGCTCTGGCATGGAATGCTCACTGGAGTTATTTTCATTCCAACATTCCACTGGCGTTTGCACTTCCCTCATTCTTCTTCCTCAGTCTCATTCATCTTTGCACCACGGCGTACTCTGTACGATGGTATGAGATTCATGGCCATAGGATGCCAAGGTGCGAACCTATTTCTTGTGTGATTCTCTACATCGTTCATTCGCTGACCTCGAGGTTTCTCCCAGGCTGTTCATATTCCTCTTGATTCCACCTTGTATAACCATTCTGTACAGCATCACGACTCTCCTATTGCTGCTCACGCTTCGTTTCCAAAGTTGGCTCCTGTCACGAGCAATTCCTGGGATACAGATCGTCCTATGGACGATTACATTATATATCCAATTTGGAGTTACGGTGCCTGGCATGATTTGGTTTTACGCTAAACTTCTATCTTCTATACTCACAGTTGTGCTCTTGGCATTCCATTTGTTTCGGATGGACTTACACCCTCACTTGGGGACGACTATCATCTATGACAATGTTGGTAACGTTATCGCTCGGTTGTTTTAACAACTGTACGAGTCCTAAGTACGGCTTGTCACGGGGTGGGTGTCGAGAGGGATCACATGGTCCTGCGAGTAGCACAAAGCAGCGTGTGGAATAGCAATGTACTGAAGCCTGTCTCTCCGCAATCGACAGCAAATATCGTCCTTGTCTCTTCACTTGCGTTCCTTCGAACGAGTTCCGTCATATTCAGTGGATGATAAATCATCCTGATTGAAAGCGTAGCTTTCTTTTAAATCCCGACCCGTGCACATGAGGACGTGAGCTCGACCGCGAGCGAGAATAAAGAGTACAGTAAGATAACGTGACTCCCCCCCCTTTCCCCCCACAACGCCCAAAAAATCCCTTTGTGTCCGGAACGGCGAACGGATGGCGTCCAAATTTTGCTCTCTGTGCCTCCTCCTCCCTTCTTTTCTTGCAGATCCCTCCAATCTAGGTAGCAAGATTCGTGCCACCTGTACTAACTACCGTAATCGGATGGCTCGAGTGCGTGATAAGAAGAGGGAAGCTCTCTCATCACCCGATCCCAATATGCCTTCTTGTTGTATTCTTAGGGCTGATAGCTGTCAACCCTGCAAACGGACTTTGGGCACTCCCGTCTGCTGCGGCCCAACGCGAGTTTCACTCTCTTCTATCCCTCATTTTCTGATTCCAACACTTCTAAAAGACCTGCAATCGGCCGTATGAAGTGTGCGGAGGCTCTTCCGATCCCTCTTTCACACGGACGATCCGAAACACGCCTGGAAGTCTCTACGCGCTCTCTCCCTCCACCTGTTAGAGGCTTTCACGTACGGAAGGCAAAGAGGGGATGAGAGAGAGTTGGATTCCTTGGATTCTCTATGCCTATGACAATACAGGACTCAACGCTTGAAGAATCCAAGGACCTTTCTATACTCTGCGCAACCTTATAGCTTGTCCCTGTCCGATATCTGTTATATTGGCATGTGGCATTTATGACAAATTGGCCTATGGCATATATGGCAGATACGTTCTGCCTTTGGGCGCTCAAATCGGACTCTGCACCTTCTCGTGGGAGTGCCTGGAAATCTGCTCGCAGGGCCGGATCTCGCACTTCAGGCGCGGTGTCGCCAAGCATGTTCGGCCGGGCGGCGAAATCGGGGGTGATTAACGTGGTTGATAACTTAAGCGAAGTCGGCCCGGATAAGCGGGTCGGCTACTCAATTTCTCACCAAAATTCGCAAAATTCGCAGTAAAATATCTCAACCAATTCTATATAATAATGCTCAGGGCGTTATGCTCAGGCCCCAATGTGTATCCCATCTCTTCCATATCAGTTCCAGGTAAATCTATTTAGCCTATCATAGAGATACCGAGGTTCAGCCCCCAAAATCCGGACCAAACCATAGATCCCCATAGATCCTCATAACCACGAACCTCCATTCCACCAAAATTACAGGATCCAATGAAACAAATGAGAAATATCATGGTTCAAAATTTGGCATTAAAATATTTCCTAACGGCTGAGATATTTCGTTGCGAATTTTGCAAATTTTGGTGAGAAATTGAGTAGCCGACCCGCTTATCCGGCCGACTTCGCTTATCAACCACGTTATCTCATGAGGGTGAGCAAGTGTTGAACAAAGGGTTATTGTGTATAGACTCTACCGCTGAAACACTGGTGAGAGGTTTCCATAGACGACGACGTTGCTGATGGTTGCTCTGCGTAACGACGTAGTTGTCGCATTTCCGCTCGTTGATAGTCACGTGCTGTACACGTGACATCTTGTCTTGGCAGTCGAGCCCGTATTTACTCTACGGGCTCGAGGCAAACCTAGTTAGTCCTCTCTTCGTATAGCAATTCCAGTCTATTCTTCGCATGTAGCGCGGCTCATGGCGTGGCAGTAGTATTCGCATGTCTATAAAGAAGCCTCAATACCTCGGCAAGTAGATCGAGAACGGAGTATTCCGAGTTGCACTCAGTTTGACGGCAAATTAGGTCGCAGCTTCAAGGCATGCAATGAGGGTTTTCTTATCCTTGCTGTCAGCGTCCCAGATTTTCAACGCGTATTGTTGCGGCGAGTACTCGATCCCGTCGCGGTCCACGTAGAGATATTTCTCATCTCTCTCGGGGTCGTGACGGATATCGAGAGCCTCAATCATGGCCTTGGCTGTCTCAAGCCCCTTTTCCATCGCAAAATGGAGAATGGTCATGTTCCTATACCGCCACTTAGGACTGGTTACACCAGCCAGAAGGTGCATCGTATCTTTCTGCCTGTTTCTCCAGTCCGATTCTTCGTTGGCGATCTTGCACCAATAGTGGGGCTTCGATTCGCAAACGCAGGCAAGCGGTACCATGTTGTCGTACTCTTCTGCTTTGTGATTTGGGTCGTGGGTTTTTAGGAGCCATGTGACAAATTTGGGCAGCGCTAGAAGCGCGGCGAGATGAAGCGTTCCATCGTTTGGCGTCATCTCAGCCGTTATAAGGCGAAAGGCTTCGAAGTTGCCCAAGAATATGGAGGCTTCGCGCAGAGGGATCTCGTCTGTGTCACTCAAAAAGTCCGAATCCCCTTTGAATGCTCTTGGAGACATAGCCAGAGGACCAAACGAGGATCCTGGAATCACGTAGTCTGATATTCGGTCCCTGTCCAGATCGAGTAGATCTTTCAAGATGGGAAGGCGCGTTTTGTCCAGCAGGCAGCCAAAAGCTGCAGATACTTTGGTTAGTGGCGTTGAATACGCCGGCAGTGCTGCACCGTATGTCAGTCGTGAGGAAATACAATATGATAAACGTGTAACATACATGCAGATCCTCGAGACAGGAGTAATAGGATGACGTCGTTTTCAATCCTAGGCTTCTGAAAAATAGCCCAGATCAGGGCCGTGCATGGTTCAGGCTTCCAGCTAGCGCAGAGGCAGTGATCAATTTTTGCTGAAGCAGACAGTCCTCGGTCAAGGAGAAGCTTCAAGAGCGTGGTTCCCACTGGGAATTTACTCATGCATTGGAACACCAGCTCGTCCTGATCAATCTTCCCTAATCGGGGTTGTTCCTCTAGACACACCTTAAACCACCGTACGATTTGCCTTTCTTCTTCGAAATTGTTCAGAAGTACTTTCAGAACCACCGGCAGCTTTGCATATTTACTGAGAGCTTGAAACTCTACCAGCGCTCCCATTTTGGCAGCCGCAGCAAAGCAATAACCATTGTATTCGTGCGGATCCGCGCCCCTTGCAAGAAGCGACCGCAAAATGGAGATGTCGGGACAGCCGCCCTTGAAACTGTCTACAAGGGCTTGACAAATGGACGGTTTACTAATGTTCCATTCTAGCAGGGGGCGATAGATCTTCATCCCGGCATGGTTTTTGACGAAGGGAACCGTGCGCACCACGTCAAATGCAACAGTGGCCATGGCGTCGTCGACGAGGTATTGGGTCAGGAGCCTCACAGCGAAAATGGAATTCGGAGAAGTCGTGCGAAGGGCAAGGGAAAAGGGCTTGCCGTTTTGGTAGCCGGGGGAAGCGCCATTTTCGAGAAGTAGCTTGGGAAAAGACAAATCACCAAGGTCATCAGCCTTCAACGAATCAAGGAGAGCCTCAGAAACGTCATCGCTGGGAATTCCTCTGCCCAACAGATGTTGGTAAATCCAGTATCTCCTCTCCGAAGCCATCGTGGTTTTCCTGGCCTGTCTGAACGTTATCACTATTCTGTCGACGCTCTTGATACTGCTAAGCAGCACGTGGAGCAATTCGAAAGAAGAGGTTTCCAGCGCTACATTGAGGGTTTCGAATTTAACTTCGGCGCCATATGCCAATAATAGTTGCGGCAGCTGCGTGCACTCTGGAACGTCCGTAACAGAATGAGCTAGTAATTTTGACATGTCCTGTGTCAATTTTCCAGCACTAGGGACAAGCAGGGATTCAAAGATTTCTTGTTTTTCGTTCCGGCTTATCGTAGAGGATGCTGTTGTAAGACATCCCCTTGTGAAAATGTCTGGAGTAGCTACGGCGTTATGACGACGGAGGAGCCGAAGGCCTGCAAAATCGCCAGATAGCGCACAGTATACCTGTTGCAACAGCGATTCTGATTGTCCAATTTCAGCCGAATTCGCCTTCTCTAAGAGAAGCCTCATGGTATCAAGTTCCAAGCTCCTAGGTTGGGCGTCATTGGCGGTACGAAAAGCTGCTTTTAAAGAGGTAATGCTCGGGTTCGCAGAGAGAATTCTATCGAGAAGAACAACATTCCTTTCTCGGATAGCGAATGAGAGGACAGCCCCATTTCCAAGATTGACATCCAATCCATGTCGAAGGAGACACGAAACGATTGCGGTGATATTAGGATTGCCTCTCAACTTCTCAGAAGGCGGCAAAGCATTTAGCGTAGTACTGACATATGGTGTAGAGCTGAGCAGCAGTTCCAGAGCCTCCGAGGTATAATACCGGGGATCAATAGCTAGGGAGAACGCGGATTTTATGCTCGCTCGGCTAGGCGGGCACTTTGCACATAGTATTTGAAGCAATTTGAAGTTTGATGTCGTTAGCGCAACGCCAAAGGAAGCCCCTCTCGAGTAGTTCGCGTCAGCACCATGTCCTACCAGAAGGCGCACAATCTCCAGTCGGTCTTGCTTAGCGGCGGCCAGGAGAGTCTGATGGGTTGGTAGGCCAGCCGCACCGCTTTGGAGTAATAGCTTGATCATATTCAGCGCCACATCATACCCGCAAGTATCCATCACGCCGAAGGCCACTGGAACAGCCTTAGACAAAGTGTCGTTTCGCGGTCTAGCATCGCATAGCATTTTGAGTATCGATAAGTTACCTCTCCGTGTAGCTACCAAGACAACATTGTTGGTGTCATCGTCAACTCCATCAACGGGTGCTTCATGCTGAAGGAGAAGCTGGACTAGTTCAGAGTCTATGTCGTCATCTTCAGACACTAACCTCTGCAGCGGAACGCCGAGCTCTTGAGGCAGGACTCCTTTCTTGACGAGAGCTTTCATTGCCTGTAGTCGGATAGGCCTTGATTGCAGGGCCATTGCGGTGGGAATGATTGCTGATAGGATCGTTGCCGAGCACTTACTCCGAAGGAGGACGCCGAGGAGTTCCAGGTCCGCATTTTCCATGGCTGTCTGTATGGCGGAAGCTTGTTTAAACTCGATCGACGCACCATAGCGAATCATCGCGCCAATGAGCTGAAGGTGCCGCCTTCGCACAGCACAAATCAAGCACGAGTCCAGTGGCTCACCAACCAGTCCTATCGGGCCCAAAATTTCTACGAGTCGTAACAAGTCCGACTCCGATGTTGAATCGGGCACGAATTTCAATGCCGGTGAGATGGGCGATGAGAACTTGCAACTTTTGAGCAACTCTAGTATGTCAAAGTCCATGTGTGAAACAGCCCAATAGAATGCGTTATGGGGCTCCATGTCCACAATGACGCCAGCGTCCGCCAACAGTTTGACCAGTGGGAATTGACGAGTTTTCACGTCCTTCAGCAACTCTTGGCGAAGGACCAGACTGTCCGCCACGAATCCTGCTTCAACAAGCATCTTGAAGAATTTGTGCCTACGCTCGTCATCCTGGACATGGGACGCAAATTGGCATGCGAGCTTGCGAACGTCGCCGAGGTAGGCACCAGAAAAGCGCCCATAAGCGAGTGTGATCGCCGTGGCCGAGAGATTCTGCGATTCCAGTGCTTTCAGGAGCAAATGCCTGCAAGCTAGCTCGGGGCGGTGGGCGAGACACAGTAGTAGAAGTTCAGGAGATTGCATCCAAGTGGGTTCCAAGCTCTCACTTTTCAGCTCCAAGCAACTCTGCCAGGCTTCGACGCTCATCGCGTTCGGAGCCGACAACAAAAGCCTGACAAGTGCAACGTCGTGAAGCTTGACACGCTCTCGGATAGTCTCTTGGCAAGCAGGAGAAACAACGGCCCCAAAGCTGAGGAGAACCTCCACTGCGTCCATTGAGTGCTTTGAAAGTGCGATCTTGAACGCCCGTGCCAACGCATCTTCACCCAACCCGGCTTGGCACATCAAACGAGTGTATTCAAGGTTTTCTTGGCTGCAAACCTCTTCCAGCCAGGTGATCTCGGGATTCGTGACAGTTGTTGTCTCGGGCGCCACAAGGGATCTAGTCTTAAGAACCGAAGAGGAGTTATTCTTAAGAGCCAGAGAGGAGCCAGTCTTAAGAACCACGGACGATATCGACTTAGGAAGCGCGGCTGACCTGGACTTTCTGAAGCGACTCTCCGTCCTCTTCTCCAATTTTGGATCGTGTAAGTAACACCATAGTTCCTCCAGAGAAGCTACTGATGCATGAGACAGCAGTGCCTGCGCAATGCCTGGCGCTGGGAGCGTTACGCGAGACAGGAGCTCACTAAATGCCTTTGAGACCTCGTGCTTAGTGAAAACCCAATTGACTGTATTGCATTTTGCCTCTTTACTCTTTTTTGACCTGAAGACATGTCGTTTCTGTTGGTCAGGTTGCCGGTAGCCAGGCTCGTTGGTTCGTTGTTGGACGAGCAAGGACCGTGCCTTATCAATATTGCTTGGAAGAGAGGCCTCAAAATCACGAACATCTGGCTCGGCCAAAGCCGGGATACGCCGTGGTGGAGATAGCTCAGCCTCGTGTAAGATGGCCGCGATTCTACGGTTGTCGGCTGTCGCGATATCCGAGTCCAAAGAAGTTCTCGAAGGTAAGAAAAGACCTGGCATGCTTGAAGCTTGCCAGAACACTGAGGAACCAACACTAACAGGCTCAAGAATGAATGCAATGGTTGATTGAGACTCTCCCGAGTGGGAAAGGCAAGACGGAAGTGATAAGCAGTTTCTGGGATATCATGTGACTGTCTGGCTAATTTGAGCCGCAATGTCTAGTGCGGACTACAAAGGCATCACAAGGCGACCAGACACGAGAATGCGTCCAATAAGACAAGGCACCAAGCTCAAAATGAGGAACGGCTTCGCATGGCTGATAGGGCTATGTTGACTGATGATTGGCTAAGAACCAAAAAACACCCCGTTCTCTAACCAGCAAGGCGTTACTAGTTCAATGCAATGATGTCCGAGCCTGTCCATTCGTTCCCGATCCCTCTCGATGCGTAGAGGCCGACCTGACAGAACCCCTCACCAGCTTAAGGGTCGGATTGTGTCCTCTTCCAAGTCGTCTGAGATTTAAAGGACGGCAACCCATGTTTCTTGGAGCCTTGCCTTCGGTCTATAAAGTCAGTAACCCAATCACCAGCTCCGGACAAACTGTGTGTTTTGAGGGCAGTTCTACATCAGCACCTCTCCAACATGGCCTCCAACCCACCTTCCTACACGTCGTCTGGCTCTGTGTCCCGCTCGAAGACCTCACGAGACGACATTCGGTCGTTGGCAGACGAGATGCTGAAAGCGTCGCTGACCCGCGGCGCCGCCTCGCCTGCGTCGGTATCTTCCTTGCCACCCTCCTACCTCCACCCTACAACCCCGGCATTCCCACCTTCATCCCGGCCTCCCAATCATGCCGACATGTTGAGCAGTAAGAGAAATTCCGGTGCCGCCCGCCCGCCAATCCTAGGGTCGGCTTCGTTCATCCGTGACAGCATCACCCGCGACTTCAAAAGCACTAGTGTCAACAGCTCGTCGTCCACACTCTCCATATCGGCTGCCGATGCCAAGGCTCGGGTTCACCATCTACAGCGGCAAGTGGAGTTGGCTAAGGCCGATATGCCACATCGGCAGACAGGACGACTATTTAAAGCAGCGTGCTCAACCGACCTACTGTTCCTCATGGATACCACGGGGTCCATGTATGACTATATCAATGCTGCTAAAGAGCAGGTGAAGAGCATTGTAGCCGACATCAAAAAGACATTTTTCAACGAGCCCGACGTACGTGTTGCGGTGGTGAGTTACAAGGACCACTGTGACCACCCTAATATCGAGTTCCTCGACTTCACGCCGTCAACTGATCAAGTTTTCAAATTCCTAAGTCGTTTGAACGCCACTGGTGGAGCGGACGCCCCCGAAGATGTGCTCGGTGGCGTGCACCAGGCGCTGAACGCATCGTGGAAGCAGCAAACGCGTTGTATTATCCACATTGCAGATGCACCACCACACGGTGCCGGCGTATTGAACGACCTTGGTGCGGGCTCAGATGACTACCCTCACCCCGGGAGTGAGCCGCACGGCCTTACATATAAACCACTCCTTAAACAGTTGATCCAACTCAATACCAACTACGCGTTGCTCCGCATCAACAGTTCCACAGACCGCATGGCCTTGGTCTTCGCCCAGGCTTATGCCGCCTCTGGTGCCGACGTCAAGCTTCTCCCGTCCAACCGGTATTCCAGCGAAGTGAATGGCAAGTACCCTAAAAGTCGCAGTGACCTTTGGAGTGGAGCAAGTAAGAAGCATGCCGATCTCCAGTTTGAGGAGATGGAGCTTGGCACGACGTACGCACAGCTCCAGCATTTGGTGGTTAGGACCGTCGCTGCGTCTGTTTCTCGCACGGCGGGTCGTATGTCCCTGGCACTGACCACCCCACCGAAGCTTAGTGCTATTAGCAGGACAAGAACGAAAATAGCTACCGATCTTACCGCTATCCGGGAGGATGAGGGCAGCGGCGAGAGCGTTAGGGAGATATATCTCGAGAGAGACCCACCGCAGTGGGACACACCTGGCTGGCTCAACAAGACGCTGACGGTCGAAGGGTTCTTTCACGACCTAGTGATACAAAGCGCCAACTCGCTCAACGAGATGATGAACGCCGATGAGAACATCAAGCTGAGCGTTGCACAACTCACCATCCATGTACGGTCGAAGCCTTTTGCCGAAGGCTCGGTGCGCGTCGCTTCTTATGCCCGCACATCAGCCTCGACATGCAAGTTCGTGGTCAAGACTTTTAAAGAGGACTGCAAGACGCTCGCGCACCTCGCAGAGGATATGCGCATCCAAGCTCTTTGCAAAGCCTTCGCTCTCGAGTTCAACAGTCTCCTGAAAATCGAGCCCCCGATTGACTTTATTGTTACGACGTGCCTACAGAGCAAGTCGGAAGGCGGCTGCCTATCGCTTGAGCCGTACATCGAGGGGGAATACGTCAAGTATAACAGCAACAGCATGTTTGTGAAAGAGGATCCTCCCGATGACCCCGACCCATTCAACCAGATAGCACAGGCCTTCTCGCACTTCACCTTCGAGCGCTCATGGGGCCACTTCCTCGTGAACGATCTGCAGGGAGTAGGCCACCTCCTAACCGACCCATCCATCCAAACCCGCGACCACGAAAGGTTCAAGCTGGCAGACACGAACCTCAATGAAGATGGCTTCAAGTTCTTCTTCGCCGCGCACAAATGTAATTCCACCTGCCACAAGCTCGGGCTTAAGAGCAACAGCGGGATGGTAATCTCAAGCCATTTCACATTTCGCGAGTTCTGGCCCACCGTTGAACCCACGGTGTGCTGCTCCAACAAGTTCTGCTGCCGGATCATCCATCTAGCTAGCGCCCATAAGTCCGATGCGTTCCCGGGCCACCACTGGTGTGATGCGTGCTGGGTGCAGCTGCAGGCGTCCATGGACCTCTGGATTTGCGCCGCCCCTGGTCCGAACCATGAGTTTCATATGAACAAGTTCTTTTATGAGTCTCAGGGTCAATTGCCGCCTCACAGGTGTCCAGAACACCGTGAAAGAGACAAGAGTGTGTCGAGTGCGGCGCTGCTGGGTGGGAGCTTGTGGAATAGGATGAAGGTTGAGTCCAAGAGAAGGTCGATTTCTGGGAGGAGCTGGTGAGGTGTCAATAGGGCATCAGAGCATCACTTGAGGACCGAGACTTGTAAGTCGGAATTGTACTGTGTTTTAGTGTAGCGGGGCGCTACGTGCATGGATTATGTAAGGGGCAAGCAAACATGGGTTGGTAGAAAGATGGCGAGAGCATTGAACTTTTCTTGTAATTAGAGCTTGGTGTGTGGTTGCTCAACAGCTTTGACGACGACATCCTCCCTGCATGACAGGCACTCAAGTGCTAAACCGTTCATCACCTTTACATTAGAAATAACAACCAAAATGAATCCCAAGTTGACATTCTTCCCGATGCTGAAGTCGAAGCAGAAGTAGAAGGTAAAATGGGAGAAGAATGCGCAATGCGAGGATGACAGCGACACAGCGTTCCACTGGGGAAGGCCGTCCCGGATCGTAGTCAGTAGAGCTATTTTCTTTCCCAAGCAAAGAGTCGTGTCGAGTCCTGGTAGATAAAAAGCAGACTAGCTCTTGGGAAGGTTGCAAGGGCTCAAGTTGTGTTGATTCATGCAGTATGGTGGAAGGAAATCGCCTCGTTCAATCATCGTTGTCCTTGCGTATCTTCACACTTTGCTTGTTGCGGAAATGTTGCTGCTCTGGACACCAATATGTGATCCCTGGTTTGTAATCTCAGTGTGATGGCGACATACTGTAAATCAAGACTCTCGTGATGATATGATACAGATAGACGTCGTCCCTTGTTCTCTTGTCTGATGTACTTCCACGCTCTTCGCGACACCAGCGGCGGTCTCTCAACAGCCGCTATTCTAGCAAGCAGACGCCTCATCGTACAGGTTCTCGGCACGCGCATCGCTCGTCCTCATGTAACAACGATACCAACGAAGGGTAAGGACCTGTTACGAGGGGTAAAGGGAGAAGGATCATAAATCGTTGCGAGTGCACAAGGTAGAGTGTGGAATAGTAATGTACTGAAAACCTGTCTATCTATTTGAGGGTTCAAAGGCTCTTCTTATACCTTTCGCCTCTTTGCCCACTTTCGACGTCCAGCCCCCTTTCTGCCACTTCTGCGATGGCTGAGAATTCGTTGCGCGATATTCGGCTGTTACACCAGCGGTCGACTTATTCTCCAAGAACTTGTGCAAACTGGGGAACAACTTGAGATGTATTGAATGCTCTGTCCACCTCACAACCGGTCCTGCCAGGTTGCTGGTATATATACACGTTGAGTTGACCCCTTTTCTTCTCCCTAAATCCTACATAGGGGTGATAACCCCTTTTCCAACAAAGGGGCACTTGCTACTATTCGATCGTTCAATGAGACCTTATTCGACAACTTGATATCCGTAAGTGAGCTATCTCAGCATCGGAAGACGTGCTAACCCGGACTTAGAGTCAAGCTGAATGCATTTCATTATGGTATGGCTCACTTGCTTACAGCCCAGCTATCACTAATGACTATAGGGTGGATTCCCCGGCTGGTGGCTCGGAGAGGATAACAATGGCTCCCTGGCACCATTTGTGCCGCCGGCACAGTGGGACGAGGAGCTGCGGGTCACCGGCTTTTCCGGACTCGATGCTGTTGCTTATGACAAAGAGACTCCCTACCAGGTGACGGTCACCATGATTTCTAGAGCAGCTTAGCCAGCTCTTGAAAAAAGGCAGAGTCACTCTTATTTATCGTGAAAAAGTCACATCCACGCTGCAGAAGTTCGAAGATGTGCTTGCGCAAGCCGGTTATATTGTCGATCTTTGCCTGTTCCAAGACGACTGCCGACCTGGTCAAGATGTGATCTTCTTTTTGGACCTCGATGGTCCATTTTTCGACAACATCAACTAGGCAGATCTCTCGCAGCTGTTCAAGATTGCCACGACATTCGAAAAGGAGGGAGCTATTTGGGCGACACGATCTTGTGCAATAGAATGTGAAGACCCGCGAATATGCACAAGTGCTCGGATTTGCGAGAACCCTGCGATCCGATGACTTCTTCGACTCTGCGGCCTCGAGTAAGCTCGCCCAGGTGTACGAGCACATGAGACGACCAGATAACGATGCTGATTTGGATCCGGACTACGAGTATGCCTTAGTAAAAGGGACTATTTACACTTCCTGATATCACTGGGTTTTGTCGTACTTTCTGTGCAACTTGAGATGAAGAAGCGCTCTGTTCCCTATCTATCTATCGAGGTGTTGAGGCTGCTTTTATAGATACACGAATGCTACACTGTTGCACAGAGCAACCATCTGTAACGTCGTTGCCTATGGAGACCTCTCATCATCCAACAGGTTTCTGTCAAACGGAGCGAGACGCGGATAGAAGGGGTGAAAACTCGTGTGTAGATTGCAACTATGGATGGGGGGGGGAGGGGGAAGCCCCCTATATAGGCCAGAATAGGGGCTCTTGGCACTAGGCACCAGCTGTCTGACAGTTTCGGTCTAGGATAAGCTGGCTGTAGAGGCTGAAGAGGCGACCGATAAAGTCCTGCGGATCGGCCAAAAGGGTATGATTGACAGCATTCTTTGGGAGAAGCATGATCGTGTGGCAAGAGTTCCGGGAGAAGGGGGAAGTGTCAAATTTCGTGGATTGAAAGAGTGCTCTAGTTCTCTTAATGAGTGTAGGATAGAGCCCATGTAACACCCATCACGCCACGAATTCCCAGCCACTGCAAAGGTGGCAGGAAGGGGGCTGGGCGTTAGAAAGGAGGCAGGAAGATGAACGGATCGAAGGTATAAGAAGAGCCTTCGAACCCTTAGATAGACAGACAGGTTTCAGTACATTACCATTCCATACCCTACCTTGTGCACTCGCAACGATTTATGATCCTTCTCTCTACACCCCTCGTAACAGATCGATACCCTTCGTTGATATCGTTGTTGCAGCCCATCTATATATCTATCTAACACGTTGGCGAGTGTGTGAACAATCTGACATCGGTGCTGGGATATCAAGGGAAGTATGATGAGGCTGAAGCACTGAATCGCCTGACTCTAGCGGGGAGTCGCTAAATCTTTTTACTGTACCTGCGCAAATCACACTGCGACATCCTGATCTGCTGTCGATTTTCTCGGAAGATTCAGCCTTACCAAAAGTGCTCTAATACTTTTTCCCGCCCCAGCACCACGAGACCTAACTTTACACGACGTGCACATCTAGAGATTAGTGGCCGAATTTTCATTGCCGCTCTTACGTCCGTTCACGGTAGTACACAGTTACGGGAACGGCCTACCCCCTCAATATATTACCGGAATCTTTATGAAGGACGGTACGGTATTAGCAATACCATGATGTAAATGCTCAGCGGTGATTCGTGGTTTCTGGTGGGGCGGACTATCGTAGATTCGGGCAAGCGTGACCAAACCCAGCGGATCAAATATTTTCCGGGCCACCACTGTCGGATTAATATTTTTCCGATTACCATTGTCGGATTAAGTATTTTCCGGAATCATCGTCATCGGATCCAATCCGTGGACCATATGCCTCCCTCGGGAGTCCCGCTCGACGTAGGTCATAGATTGGATCCGATGAAATCCCCCGTCGTCCGCCCCGACATGCTTCGTAACTGTCACAGGACCACGTGCCAAGGATTACGTATTCGGGGGTTCTTCAGCACTTTCTGCGTAGCATTCTACCTTGACTCTCTTCGTGCTACGTTTTGCATCCAGAACTCGATACTAGCTAGAATACATTGATTGTATCCTTGACCCGGAACCCTCACAGGGGGCGAGGTGTGCATGGTCCACAGACTGGATCCGATGGCGAAGGCCCCGGGAAATAGTTAATCCGGTTCATAAACGAGACGAGACGAGCGCTCAGCAAGACGCTCACTACCAAGACGAGACGAGCTAGGGTTTTGCCCGAGCTCGACTAGTCTCGCTCAGTCTCGACTCGTCTCGGCTCGTTGAGAAGCCTGCGTAGCGTCGACCACAAACTGACAAAGTAAGTTCGAGCAAGTCTGACGTAGCGTGACGAGAGCAGAGAATGAGTCTGACAAGCCAAATCAATGTGAAACTGGACGCTCCTCACCTCTTTTGGGCCACGGGAAAGGCGAAGTGCAGGTGCTGTACGACTTGGAAAGCAAGCAAGAAAGTTGACTGTCTGGAACTACTAGCAGTATTACATGTATGTATGGCACGAATGACGACTCTAGCTCCGGTATGTGTAGAGGCGTCAAAAAACAAATGGAAGCATCCTGCGAAAAGTGGTCGAGAATCCTTCCACGGGTTGTATTCAAACAATAGGAGAGTTGAAGTCAATAATCGAGACTAAGGTCCGCTACAGAAAGAACTTGAATAACACTTACTGTGCTTTCTATTGCTATGCCTTTGTTCGGTGTAGGGCACCTGGTAGCTTTGTTGAATTCCGGAGACTTGCCTCGCCGTCTCTCTCGGCTTGCGTCAAAAGCTGCGGAAATTGCATCAAGGGCAGAGGCCGATCTTCAAACTTCTAGCGCCTGCTTCCATCTCTCGTATGTGAATGTTTCTTCTGCATCTTCACAATCACGGGAGAACGTCCCTGCTATTTCAAATACTTCCGACTCGTCTCAACGACATACTTCGCAAACTCTTCCGGGTGCGAGACATATGGGAAATGATTGCCCGGCAGAGTTCCAATATTGATGCCCTCCCTGGCCGCGATGACGATGTTTTCGAAGAACAACTTGGTGGGAGTTGAAGCGCCAACGGTCCAATCTATTGGAACCTTGTGTAGATCTTCAGTTTTCACCGGCGCGGACGGGGGTATGGTACGTGGATAGCCATATGCCCATCGCGGGTAGTTGTCATGAAGCCTTGCGTGGACTTCTGGCCCGAGAGCGTCCCATGCCTCTACATTTCCTGAGTAGGCCCTCGAGTTGGCTGCCATTTCTTGCGAGATTGTGGCAGGGTCGACCTCGTGGATATGCAGAAGAATGTCTGGGTTTTCTGTCGGGACCTCGTGGGGCATTCCATTGCGGACTCGCTCTGGGTAGTCTGAGCAGAGTGCAAGGACGGTCGAGGCTCCTGAGCTACAGCCCCAGACCGAAGCGATTTTGATGTCCAGTGTGTCCAACAGTGTGATAATGTAGCCAGCTAATTTTCGACCTGTAATGTCCTGATACGTTTCTGGTGGTGCATCGGATGATCTTGACATTCCAGGCATGTCGAATGTCGTTACTCTGAAGCCGTTGCTGGCAATTAGAGACATTGGCTTATCAAACATCTGACATTCGCCTAGGCCGTCTGGAATCAAGACAACATCAGGCCCGGAACCCTCTTGCTCATAGTACCATTTTATTCCGTCTTTAGTGGTAACATATCCTCGTGTACGTGTAGCGGCCATGGGGACAGTCCAAAGTCCTGCAAATTTTCAGCGTGAAGGATGCTCGAGTCAGGTGGCGTTTGGGCATCATATAGAGCCGAGTTTGACCGTGGCCCGCATTCAGTCTTGGCCGTAGCTTTGTGTCTCCCCGTTTGAACATGCCGAGTGTCTCATACGGTACGAGAGCGGGTACAAATCACGTCCCGCGTCCCGCCACTATCCCACAATCCACAGAAGTACTAGTATGAGACAAAGCACGTGTGAAGCACGCCGGAAGCGGGTACTGTATAAGATATAAAGCGACTACTGATATTAATACTGCGAAGTACTAGTATACTAGGCTAGAAAATTTTCCTTCTTGTATCTAAATTAGTTGAAGCGTCACCTAGTACTACTAGTGGTTTCCGGATTCGGGCTGTTCGTGTGATATGTGGCTTGTAAAGACTCTTGGAGCGTTGTACGCTTCGTACACACTTCGAAACTATATAGTCTGACGGTCCCTTGGACCGCTTCGAAATAGGACAAGTCCTCCATAAAATCACAAGCCCAGGCACAGCAATCAGAGCAACACCAGGAGTCCCGGTGTCAAACGGGGTACTACTTGAGATGTATTTGAATGCTCTGGTTTTCTATCTATTTGTTGCGTTCCTGACGTCCTCTTTATAGACGTTGCGGAAGTTTCGTTGTTTGCGTAGAGCAACCATTAGAAATGGTGTTTGTTTATGGAAACCTTCTACTAGTGTTTCGCTGTGGAGCCTACGGATGATAACTCCCTTGTTCGACACCCAGCAATAGCGCAGCCGGCGAGAGCAGGATTTTCAACAGACCAGGTAGCAGCCTATGGATTTGCGGAAATGATTAGGATTTTACAAATCCAATACGGGAAATATCAGTAACCGACTGCTGCTGCAGCTCGAGGGCAGTAGTCCGTAACAGTTTCCTGTGCCATCTCAACGGTAGAGGAACCGCACTTCATTGCTTGTTGGGTTTTCTTCCAACAACATAGTGGGGAAACCGCGATCCAGGCAGGACCGATGCTCTTTCAAAAGACATACTGCCGACGGTGGTGCAGTTTACGTATATCATCGACGACGAGACCCTGAACGAGATATTGAAGAATTCTTTCCTGAACCTTGCACCGTAGAAAAGATGGTCTGGTAGAAGTCGAGGTCTCGCAACGAGGCTGTGAATCTGATGATGAAGATAGCAGAGGTCTACCAGTCATAGCAGGACAGCTTCATCTAAAGTACAACATCTGATTAGGCCATTCCGGACTGTTGCTTGTGCCAATGTCAAGTCAATAATTCTAGCTACGCAGTCTAGTATGTCTGCTTCCTCCTCGCTCTCCTGGACAGGTATACTATCATCCGCTGAATCGTCTTCGAAACGACACCTGTTCGCGAGTTTCAGAGTATTTTGCTTGATTCTCTCAGAAGTTATCTGCATGACAGCATTTATCGTTTGACAAGCAACTTTGGCACCAGAAAAACGTTCACCGAGTTTTTTCATTGAAGCCAAGATGGTCGATCTTTGGGTTGCACCAAAAAGCAATGAATCGCCTCCATTGAACTGGTAATCAACCTGGCAGACTGCCACTGGGAATTGTATCCATGCAAATCTGGGCCTCAATCAGTACAGGCAGGTGATGATCGAAGAAGGAAATGGTGAACCTACATCGCTAAAGGAACTTCTTCTATTGGTGATTCGGCGAATGCTTTGTGAACGGATCTTGCAGTCCTCGCCGATGCTTCTTTGACTTTGGTCACGGCAATACCGCGGAAACTGATTTCTAGCGGTTGGTCATATTCGCTATTTCGAAGGTATGGTCGATATAGGGCTGCTATTAGTGAACTGGTCCCAACGACATCAGTCATCGATGGCCCTCTGCGATAACACTTCCCTTGACAAAATTACTCACCTACTTAAAATTTGCAATTTCCTCAGCGGCAATTTGCTCATCCCAATATACTCTTCGTCGGTTCTTTCACAATCTTCAAAGCCGAATTCCACGACCCAAGCGTTAACCCGGGATTCAAATTTGGACGTTTGAACAATTCTTTGCATAATTGCGTTTGTTTCTTCTGGTTTTCCTCGCCACTCTCTGTCAAACCCAGTCTTCAACTGGAATTCTCCAATCTCTGCCATGAGTTCGCTGAGCTTACACAACCAAATGAACGCCCCCATCATCACTTTCTTGGAGTTTAACGGCATGTACTTTGGACAGATTGCTTCTGCACCAAAATCGGCGGATGTCACCATTGGCCAAGTGGAGTTTTTCTCATGGAGTCGATGAAGTCTGCGTAACCCCAACGCGACGAGTCGATCGCGTACTCGGCAACACCACCAAGTTAACTTGCGACGGGAAAACATGGCACCGCTATCACAATCTGGGTCCCAGAGCCGTGCTTGCCTGGCATGGAAAAAGGCACGACCAACCCAGTGGCTGTTGACATAAAGATCAGAGTCGTAGGGGCTCCAGTAACTCAGCAAGAGACAAACTTTGGTCAGAACGACGTGGTCCCCTGAAGGATCATTATCGTATAGGACCTGAAGTAATCAGCAACTGCAGTTTGATATGCGGAAGTCCAAACCTTGACTTTATTCAACAAAGTCTTTTGACCATGCGGAATGGATGAATACGGTGTCTTGTTGAGTTGCTCTTGTCTCAGATGCTACAGAAGCCGTCAGATGCTGGCAGATCAAAGACATCATCTAAGCTTACCGCGAATGCCATGAACATCATTGCCTGGAAGAGTACGATCTCGCAATGGCCGAACAACTCCTCATCAGATGTGCAATTCGAGTACCACGAAGCAAATTCGTATTCGTCTATGACGGGACACAATGGATGCACGTTGCGAAAATACAGGACAACCAGATCGTCTCTCACATCCTTGGGCAACTGCTCTTCTGCCTCTTGAATTGATGGTCTTCTGTCGCTTGGCTTTGGAGCATGATATGTGTTGTGTTGGATGGATTTCCATCGAAATGGTGATTCCTGGTTTTGGCCCTCGTAACCTCGTGTATCCACCAGTGACAAGAAAGTTGTCATGTCCACGTCTGGTTGCCTGGTCAATCGTCCTTCCTCCAGCCAGTTTCCCACTCGACAAACCCACCTGGTGTTGATAGAACAAGTTGTTGGGCATCGAACTCATCATCAAGAGTGCATAGTGGTGGGCATACTTGCTCACTTTGTCCTTCAAGGAACGAGTCACATGGGTCTGTAGGAAAGTCGAGCCATTCGTTGCAAAGGGAGTCTACGATGCAAGAGTTTGTCAGCCTCGCAATTTTATAAAATCCACAAGCTAAAAAAATGCGAACGAACCCTCTGGGTTTGATAGAGTGTCCATCAGACGTTCAAGTCCACAGGACGTTGGGGTGTTTGCATGAAAAATCTCGGATACAAGAGCTTCAAAATTTCAGCGCAGTCAGGCTGCGATACAGACTGTGGCAGGATGCGGAATGGGAGCATCAAAATCGAGTGAGCTGGAATGGACCGCGTGTCAATCTCTTCCGCATGCTTCTATCTCAAATCCGGTATCATCATGCAACCTTAGCCACAGACGTCTCATTGGACCCGTGTGTGCAGGCAGGAAAAAACACTGTCGGTTACCTTCTACCGAATCGCAGAGTATTTTGACTCTTTTTGGTGTTGGGGGGCATAGCCAGGAGACTACCTTGCTCGATTCACTGTCCAGACCGCACTATGGATTGAACGCCGGGAGTTTCTCAATCGGAACATCATCTCCCACATCATTTGCCTACCTATAGTGTATCTATACCTGTTCTAGTCATCGGTAATCTTTATCCGAAGGCATCAACAGGAAGGAAGCTATACCACCTCGGTCACAAACTACGCGGGCTGAGAATACCGTATACCAGTTACCAAGATCCTCTCAATTGCGCACGACTATTATTCTTTACCAAAGGTGCCTCCTAGAAGATTGAAATTCGGGATATTCGAGATTCGAAAGTCCAAAAGGCCAATTAATCAATACCCACAACTCTCTCGAGACTGTGGCCGGTCATGTACGTTCAATCCGATGGTTCAAACAAAGAAGCAGATGTCATCGTGGTGGGTACTGGCCCTGGAGGCCTTGGAGCCGTCGGTGCAGCTGTCGAAGCAGGCTCGGAAGTTATAGTCGTCGAAGCCAACAATCGAACTGGGGGCAATGGAACTTGGTCCACCGGTTGGATCGCATTCGTTGATTCGGCAATGCAAAGAGAGAAAGGACTTCAAGATAACGAAGAGATATTCCTGAAAGATTGTCGAAAACTGGTGAAGGAACATTCACATCTGTATGGCATCATTTGGGATGACACTCTTGCACAAGTCTTTGCGAAGAATAGTTCCAAGATGTACGACATTCTTATCGCAAAAGGCATGAGATTCACCCACTTGATACCGCGTCCGCTACAGGCGTCTGTGGATCGACTTCATGCCATTGAGAGTACAGAAATGTTTTCGGAGGCATTTGAATCTGATTTTGTTGGTCCAAGGACACTGACGTATCTCAACAGCAGGGCCACGGGACTGATTGTCGAAGATGGCTCGGTCAAAGGAGTGCATGTTCAACCGACTGATGGTCGTCCGAGATTTCAGGCTCGGGCTAGAAAAGGCGTGATCCTCGCCACTGGAGGATATCAAGCTAATCCGGCTTTACGAGCAAGACATCAGCTTGCCGAATCTGCGAATGCTCTGTATCCGGGACTGCCTACGTGTGTTGGCGACGGCCATATTCTGGGTCAAGCCATTGGTGGAGACTTGATCAATATGGGGGTTATACCTCCTGTTATCCAGGTTGCGTCGGCTCTTGTCCAAGAGTCCATTGCGGTCAATGCAGCAGGAGAACGCTTCCATGACGAAGCAGGGCCATACTACGAACGTGTCGTTGCCCTTCGAAAACAGCCGCAGCTCGCAGCTCATTATATCTTCGATGCGGATACCTTCAGATCAAAGCGAATGTATGTGAACTACTTTCCCCAAACTCCAATCTCGGCAGACTCGTTGGCTGATTTGGCCACCAAAATCGGTGTTCCGGGACATGTACTGGAAAGCTCTGTTCGCCAGTGGAATGATTTCATGGCATCTGGATCTCCCAAGGATCCATTGACTGGCCGAGTGGCTTTTTCTGAACACCGAAGCCAAATTTGCAAAGCGCCATTTTATGCAGCAAAGATGATTGCTGGCATCAGTCTCACATGCGGCGGGTTTGTTACAACTACGAGCATGCAAGTGGTGGATGTCTTTGGCAACCCGATCCCTGGCTTGTTCGCGGTTGGTGACTGCGCTGGAGGATTCACACCTTCCGCTGACATGGGGGGAACACATTTGGGTGGAGGTCTTGTGTTGGGTTGGGAGGCTGGAAAAGCTGTCTCGACTGGGGAACTGGCTCAACCTCACACAGGGAGCAGCTTTGGTGTGGCGATTCCGTCAAAGATTGAAAGTGAGCCCCGATATCGCAATCCAATCATTGACGTGACTGCGTCGAAGCTCTGAAAGGCTACGGCTTACACAAGTGAGGACTTGACACCACATTCCAGACCGTGCTTCAGATATTCTGCGTGATTCCCATGACGCATAATCATATACTCTTCATGTCAACTTCGTCTGTTCAACATCATCAAGCACTTGGATTCGAATGAACTGACGAGTTACGACTGCAAAGATTTGCCACCACTTCATGGCACTATCCGTTTCTTTGTGTTCAATCCTTCTGCTTACGAAATCTTTAAATCTCGGGTGTCAAGACAAACGTCATAAAATGCAGAGCAAATTGAATATCCCGGGTATTGATAAGCAATGTCCCCAGGCATGTGTCGTGTTCCTGTGAAAATACTGCAGCAGTCTCGTACCTCTGCTAACGAGATCCGGGCTCATCGGCGAAATGTGCCAGCTCTCCCTTACCCGAAATCCGTTTTCCTCTCCACGATTTGTACCCGCAGATTCCCAGAATAACTTCTGGGGTAGGTCTTATCGGTAGTCGATAACCGATCTGTCGGGGGCTCGCGACTCGGAGATTTGGATCCATCGAGCAACCACCTCCTCCGACTTTGATACAACTGGAAATCATGGAGAAGTCAAAGACGTATAAGAGATGAGGTATGTTGTCTTCAGATTCAGCTGCAAGGTCACGAATCACTTGAAGATCCCTCATCGTCGTCCGAAACAGTCGCCGGCCACGTCGTCATAAACAAAGAAAGGCGTTCCATCATGATCTCTTCTCAGCGGAAGGGACTATCCTTGGAATCTCTCAAATTTTTGCAACACGGCGGGTTCGTCGACACCATACTTGCTGAACCAGCCGAATTTGCGAACATCATTCTGTCTCTCCGCGACTCCGAACATGAATACCGACTTGTTGTCCGTGAAGGAGCAATCCAACGAGTCGACATGGACGTACCAGCAATTTCACACCCAGTGGATGTCACCATCTCCGCCCAATCCGAGGCATGGGATGGTTTTTTCCAGGAGAACCCTCCCCCGCCATATGCGGACATCATTGCCATGTTCACCGAAAACCACGCTCAAATCACCGGGAACACTCTGTTGTTCTTCCAGCACATCACGTTCATCACCTACATGTTCCGGCAGCTGGGTCATCGTAAGCCTCTGGTCGTAGCAAATGGGGCATCAAAGCCTGAAGGGCCCAAGCCAAACGGCCACGTGGAGGACGTCGTGGGTAAATACGTCCACCTCTCGCTCGACGGGCACGACTATCGTGTCTTCTTCGAAGAAAGCGGTCCCAAGGATGGCATACCCGTGGTGCTCCTCCACGCCGCCAACAGCGACGCACGCATGTGGCGACACCAGCTAGGTGACTCTGACCTCGCATCGCGTTTCCACTTGTTCGCGTTCGACATGCCGTGGAGAGGCCGATCCGTGCCTCCCCAAGAGCTGCTGCGGACCGAATACAAGCTGACGAACTCGTTCTACCGTCGCATCATCCGAGCTTTCTGCGACGCCCTGCAGCTGGACCGCCCGATCCTCGTCGGCTGCTCTATGGGCGGCTACATCATGTTCTACATTGGCAAGGAAGAGCCAGAGCGATACCGAGCCCTGATTGCCGTGGCTGTCCGCGACTTCGAACCTCGCCGTTGGCTCATGGAGCGTGTCTTCCGACATCCGGCTGTCTCATTCAACCGTGTGCTCTCTTGTGCGTCGAACGGCTTCATGGCCCCCACTGACCCCCCTGGCTGCTCCGACGAAGTCGCCTGGCTATATGAGACAGGATCGCCACGAGCTCTTCGTGGAGACCTGAATTTTGCGTCGCGGGATTGTGACGCCCGACCTTTCATGGCGCAGATTGATACGTCCAAAACACCCTTTTATGTTCTTGGTGGAGAATACGACTGGAGCTGTACTAAGGAACATACCGATTTGATTAAGCAGCGCATGCCGCAGGCGAACGTGGTACGTATGAAGGGCATTGGGCATTTTCCACCCGATGAAAATCCGGGTGTGTTTAAGGAGTATATCATGCCGGTACTCGATGAAGTTCTCAAGAGCGCTTCCTAGAAGGAAGAGGCATTGTTGCATTAGGATCATATAGGTCTTGTCCGCACGTAAATTTCTCGAAGTCATCTATTCGTCTCTCGTTATGATCGCTTCTACTAGGTCTAACGGAGCTGTCAACGTCAAGACGACATCTCTCTAGCGCATTGTGGTCGTGGAAAGAGACGTGAAACGCTAGGATTGCCTTTCCTAAACGACCTGATTGGGCGTAAAAGGAGTGGGCATCTTCTCGTTTTTTGTAAAATGTTCACCCTTCCTACTTCTTGGCCAAGCTCTCATGCTCCCTGTTAGAGATTCTCCTCTGTCATGGCCATAGATTTACAATCTTGCTCCCTTTGCACTCTGCGCCTCAACAGCAGCGTCTGTTCCAGCAATTCTCCCGAGCACCGAAGACCGAATCAGGGATGCCCCAGCTGCATATCCGTGGTAGAAGCCACCCGTGATCTCGCCAGCAGCCCAGAGACCATCCATCGGTCGGCCTTCGTTATTCAGCACCTTTGCCCTGGCATCCGTCTTGATTCCTCCAAACGTAAACGTGATGCCGTTGGTGACGCCATACGCGACATACGGCGGAGCGTCGAGTCTCTGTGCCCAGTTGGACTTCTTCGGTATGTAACCCGCAGCGGTGGCTAAGCCGTCCTTGCGGAACGGGTCGAATTTTCCGCCGTTTTGAGTGGCTCTATTGAATCCCTCGACAGTTTTGACGAAAGTTGTAGGATCGACTCCCATCTTCTTAGCCAGACCCTCGAGAGTGCCGTCCGTGATAGGTGCCCCAGTGCTATATCTGGGCTCAAGAAGATGAAGGACCTTCTGATCAAATATTTGAAAGGCCTTCGCATCTGGTTGAGTTGCAATGGCGGCTCCCATCTTGGAATAAAACAGAGACACCTCATCCTCCCCTTCGTCGACGAATCGATTTCCTTCCAAGTTTACCGTAATGCTGTAAGGAAAAGAATATCTCGACATAGAATCCAGGCCTTCCAGATCTCCCATTTTCGGCGCACCCAGATCCTGTGGGGCAGAATGATATCCGCCCCAATGACCATGGGCTTGAGCGCCGGCCACTATGGCCCTCTCCAGCATGACACCTGTGTTGAAGCGTGTTCCTCGCACAATGAGAAATTCAGTGCCTTCGCCCAAATACTGGCGTCTCATGCGTGGATTGGCCTCGAAGCCTCCCGAGCACAAGATCACGCGGCCGAAAAAGTCCACATATCCGGAGCGGTGCCTCGCACGGACGCCTAGCACCCTATCGCCATCCAGGATCAAGTCGTGAGCGGGGGAAGCATAAAATACCTGAATCGAAGAAGGGTGCTTTTCCACAGCTGCCCACATCGCCTCGTTCAGACCGACGCCATGATCTTTCACCACAAGTGACAAACCGGGCGGCACGTCCACGATCGTGTCTTTGTTATTTTGAGCCTTGTTACGATCAAAGAAGATACTGATAGGCAAAACAAACGGCACGCCATGCCCTGACATCCATTTCACCGTATCATAACCATGTTTGATGATAGTCTCGATTTCAACCCTGTCATGCCGACCGTTGGATTTCATGAGCATATCCGCCGTGAACGTTTCCGCTGTATACGAGCCCATAGTACAGCGTTTAGCTTCCTCTTTGCCTTCGTCGCAGAGGACATGAACTAGATGATCTCTCCCTTGGTGTGGGAAGCGAAATGCTGTGCCTGAAAAGCGGGCGTTGCCTCCCCGTTCTTCCTTGGGTGCAGCTTCGAGTATGGCCACTCGGGCTGCGCCGGCTTCATGGGCTGCGAGTGCGGTGCAGCAAGCGGTGTTACTGCCACCTACGATGACAACATCAAAGTCCTGACGAGGGGTCATGGCTTGGTACTTTTTTATTAACTGTTGTGTTTGAGAAACGGAAACGAGAAGGGCGGTATCCGATGATAATGACAAGATCTTGCGGTGCGATTCGCATTGCGACGTATATCCTCCCACTTCTAAGCCCGAACAACATTCAACCAACGAATATTCAGATCCTCGTCAGTCACCGTTTTAACCTCGCTTTGTAGGCTTGAGATGCCTAGGTACGAGGCAACACCTTCCTACCTTCCCCCGGCGGAGGGGGTTTCCCCAGTTTATCCTCAGTCCCTCCCCATCACGCAGGAGCCCGTTCGATGTGGGTCTAAAGAGCAAGCCGAAAACTCGGCCTGACTTTGCCAACGTGAGATCGAGTAATCGGCACTATCATTTCTTGAAATCGTATCGGCTATGAGAATCTACTTTCGATCTATCTCCGAAACGGATGATATGACCACTTTGCGATGACAGCCAGTGCGAAGGAATTCATGCTTCGACCTTCCCTGGCTTATATGAACAGCAACAAACCAACGCCATAGATGAAGAATTGGGCCTTCTACCCCGGACTGGAATCCATTCTCCTTATTTTTGGTTACCGATAGGAAACACTCAAAGCACAAGGCCTTGCGTGGTACGACTGAAGATCCCTGGCCGAACCCTCCCTGGAGTGGACCATTTCATCCCTGTCACACCATCTAAAAAATCCATCGACTTCGTTAACTCCTAAATCATTGACCTGTCAAAACATAACGATGGATCCGCGACGTGTTCGGAAATGGCAGAAACCATCCGCAGGCCACGACCACCCAGGGTTTCTTCATTCTAATCAACCACGGAATCTCCGAATTTGACATCCAGCGATAAGTGGATACAGGGCAGAGTCGTGCGTTCAAAGCCGATGAAAATAGTGTGGTTGAAAAGGTCGGGAAGGTGACGACGAAGTGGTTCCGTTGAGCTTTGAAGCCTCCATTGTGGACTTGAAGAGTCGCCCGAATGGATATAGGTTTTGCGATGTGGCATATAGTTTGCAATATTCAGAATCAACATCTTCCTCATTGGCCTAACCTCAGAGCTAGGCATCGTAGGATATCCATCAGGAGAGTAAACCGGGAAGTCTGTAGATGGTCCGGCACCCCCCAGTCTGGCCCGCCGTTGAGATGCCAGGTAGAATGCGTGCTCGGGGCATCACTGATGATGATGGTGATGGTGATGAATTCATTCGCGATGCAGCTGCTGCTCCAGTGGATACGCAGCTACGGGCGAGCTCTATGTATTGGTTACGTACAGTATATGCCAATCTTAGCAGGTCCCGCTCCATCTCCACTTTTGGAACTCCACTACGGACCCGACTTCGTGTATCAACCTTGGGTTCAAACAGTCTATTAGATCATTACAGCTCTTCGGAGGCAAACAATTACCAATATCCCATTCCAAAATTGTTAATATTTTGCGACCAGCCAGTACGAGACAGGGCAGAAGGAGAAGAAGGGGAGCAGATCGAATTGCCTTTGTCAAGAAGCTTAGTGGGACATCGGTAAACGATTAGCGAAGGGTCTGAGTGATGGAAAGTTACGCACAAGTAGGCTCCCAACGTCACAAACTCTCCAAGCCTCAATGGTGCTGACACATTGAAGATGTAAATCTCAATTCCATCTTGTATCAAACCACTCTTTTAGTCACTGAGCCCCGGTATCTTCGCGACACTCAGGAATTCCCCTGCTGATTCCACCCTCACCGGTTCTGACGGAACCACGACCGTCAAGAACCGACAGTATTCAGCTGAACTGGGATTTCTCCATGCATGGAGTGTTCCTCTGTACACTCCCTTTGGTCAGTAGTAATCATCAACCATCAACATCGAACACAACCGCAGTGGCAACTGGGGGGAGAGGGTGTGGGTATAAGTGTAGAGGTGTGATGGGATTCCGGGTCCTCACTTTTGCACATAAACATCTCCTTCCCTTAACGTCTCCTCCTCTCCATCATCTAGTATAATGTTCATGCTCCCCTTCAATACCACACCGTAATCTAGACTCTGGTTGCGATGCAAGTACAGCGGCTTGTCTTGTGATGTAGGCGGCAAATCAATGATCTGGCGGACGACGCCCTTTTCGCCTTGACCGCGACGAAGGTTTTCGACATTCAACTCATTACGAGAGCCTTGAATTTTTACCGGGCAGTTTTCTGTGCGGTGGATCAGGGTTATCCCGACTGGTAGAGCTGTTTGTTCGTCTTCAGGTGTGTCCGAAGCTGGAGCTGGAGTTGGATTGACGGGTATTACCTTGTCATCGGATTCGAATATCGCTTTTCCATCGGGCGAGTGACCTGTGACCAGGCGGCGAGTAGGCCGTAAATGGGGGTGAGGCTGCATGGCGAAGAAAGAATGCTAATGATGAAAGCCTTCGTACATCGAACGACGAGTTTGCAGGACGAGCATTATACACTGAGTGGGTTTCCTTGAGACGATGATTTGATGTGCTTAACAACGCTTGTGTTAGTTCAATTGACATCAGAAATCAGCACCGAGTCTGTAGTCCCATCAGCAGCTGATGTTACCGAATTTTCGGTGAAGGTAGGTCTTTTGACGACTCATTCGGTAGTCTATGCCATTCCCAGAGCCCAATCAGGAGTAATTTTGTCTGTACAAGCTTTGCAAAAGGCTTGTGGAAAATGTCCCAGTTTGTACGTTATCACCATGCTCAAAATTGCCCGAAACCCATGGAGTCCGCGGTCTTGATAAACATAGAACTCCAAAGGGTCTCGCTGTATATGCTGCTCGTCGCACACCCTTCCCAGAGGTACTACTTTGGAAATACCAATGCCCCAAGTCTCTGGTACCCAGGCTTGCTTGTTAAATGAGATTCCCATCTTCTTCAATAAGCCCAGTGAAATAACGTGGAAGTCCATGCTGGTGTCCATTAAAACGGGTACCTCAATGTCCTTGCGCGCTTGCGTTTGCACAATTAAAGGGAGGAGCTGGTCCTTCGGTGATTGGATCTTAAAATTTGATGGTCTGTAACATCATCACTTGCACAAAACAGTATTCCTCAATGTCCTCGGCTTGAGCTTTGTGGAATTCTGTAGCAGCAGAACCAGGCTTGGGACAAGACGACAAATCGCTCATATTTTGAAAGCGAGAAGGGCCGTCTTTTGCCCGGCTCTCCATCGATACCTCATTCCGGTTGGAAGCAGATTCACTTACCACGGAGAATCCGACACATCTTGGGCAAAATTTACCTCCTTGTTCTATCGGGACGTCCTTTGGCGACGCTTGACAAGATCGAAATGGGCATATGTCTTCTTCTGCTTCGAGTTCATCAAAACCAATGGTCATTGATAGGTCGTCGCCAGGTCGAATCGCCTTGCCCCAGAACGCAGAGTCAAGTTTGACACCACGACGAATGTGCAAAATAAAGTACTGTCCCATTTCAATGCGATGTAATCCTTTTCGACCGCGGAATATCAGGGCGAGCAGTGTCTTGAAGTCCTCCCATTGGCTAGTCAGGTCATATGGTATCGGTTTCAAGACACCAAAAAGATCTCGAAGTCGTACCATGGGGCAATCGATTTGTGGGGGCCAGCAGTACTCGATGCGGGCAAGCTGTCGGACTAGAGTTGCCAGGGCTTGCTTCATCCCTGCGGTCAAGTCCACAGCAAATTCGATGTGAGAGTCGTGACATCTCCTAGTCGCATCAAGTGTGGTGTGAAAGTCGCCAACGCCTGGATCATGAATCGAAGTATCGAATTTTTATTTTCTTTGATGACCGCGACATCTTGCTGTGTGATTGCTGTTGTTTGATTTATTAACCTTGTTTCAGCATTCGATGAAAGGACAATATTCTGAATTTCATCCATCATTCCGTCCTGCTTCGCCAAATGGCCTTCACGTAATGCAACTTGCTCAACGATCTTGTCAGTTTCTGTCTGGAGCAATCTCATTGTTCCTGCTTGAGCTCTGAGGTCCGCCTTGAGTTGAGTCTGAGTAGTCTCGAGAGTAAAAAGTAATTCTAATGCGGGCCTTTGATCTTTCCTCAAATATTCCAAAAGAGAATATTGGATTGATAGCCTGCACGCTGTTTCTTGAGCAATACTAGATCGATCGGATTCGGCATTCCCGAATGAATCACTACAATCCCTCAGCTCGGGGAAAGAAATACAAAGAAGTGTAGAACTTACATTGCTTGCGTCGAAAGCAAGAGAAAGATTGTGGAGACTTTGCGTGTTAGTTTTGAGCGCAGGGCCTCGACTCCGTCCTTCTATGCGATAGACTATTGGACACTTCGACCGATGCTTCGGACTGGACGCCGTTTTGCCCCCCATGATCCAAGTGTGCTGTGGAACTTCTTTATTTTCTCAAGAAACTCCTCCAACGGCCTCTGGCAGGCCGCCGCTGCGGCTCGAATTGCATCCAATCGTCTCAGATTATGGACCGCGGGGCGAAGTGTATAGATTTCCTTCAGTGCCCGATCAAGAGCCTCAAGCTCCGCCAATAGATCCTGATAGTCTGGTGCTGATTCAGGACTGTTCTTTAGCTCGAGGCCAATTCTGTAAATGAGTTTGGAGATAGTGAGAATATCACCTAAACGAGTTCAGCCTTACTGCCCAGTTTGGAGGAATGGGCTGCAAAATGAGTCCTTACCAACTCCACCGACGGGTACGACCATAATGAGGGTCGGGTCGCTCAACACTACGACCAACTTTAAAGCTCCAGACGTTCTGATTGAAACTGAGCTTGGAGAGGAAAAAGTTGAGGATGATGAACTTGAATTACGGTGAGGCCGTGCCCTTGCAGGATGCTCGAATTAGAGTCTGAGTCAGGCAGGCAGCCATGTTGCTCCGAGGGTTACACGAAGGGGAAGGAAATGATTGCGCAGGTCGTGTTCCAAGAAGAAAGAAAGATGGGGCTCTGGGAGACATTTGCCGAGAGTTGGGAGAAGCGGTGCACTGCGAAATTAAAACTCAGGAGAGCTTACTCATGATCGAGGATAAAGGTCAAATGTTCACAGTGGGAAAGAGACACTGGCATATCGTGACACCATCTTCTGGCTAAGGAATGTATAGCTATAGGAAGCCCACTGTCGCTCTTTCTGCCCTCAAACTATTCCCAACTGCTACAAAATATAGCGGAAAGAGATATAATCCTCACCGGCCTCGCCCAGCGAAATTTCATTCGCAACATGAGGATGCACCTCTCCTCGTGCTGCATATTCTCCCTCAATACGATCCTTCTGGCGATTTTTGTATCTCATCCACAGGTAAACGAAGACCACATTGAGGAGTGCGAAGGCATTCAATCCCAGAACGACAGAATGTCCCTTGATATACCGCGGAGGAGTATTGTAAATGCGGGTTCCCATAATGGAGTAACAGAGGCCGAAGACCTCTAGAAATGCCCAAGTAGCGCCACGTTTGGTATAGCCGATAGTGTTGATTTGTTGCCAGACCGGTGAAAGAAAGGTACAGGTATAGCAGCCAGAAGTGACAAGGCAGGTTGCTACGATTTTGGTGGCGGTAGACTCGACGACCAGAAGCAGTATGTAGCCCAGACAGCCGAGAGAGAAGAAGATGAGGCAAAATGGTGCCTTCCGATTGAGTCGGTCGGAAAGGGCGCCGGCAAGAAGAATAGATACAAACGCACAAGCGTATGGGACGATTGTGAACAGTTGAGTGCGTACTATTGTCCTGTCAGGAATTCCATAACCGAGACCTATGAGGCCGGGAAGCCTACTAGGAGAGAAGCCGAAGTCTTTAATGAAGCTGGGAAGGAAACTTCCGACCACTGATATACCGAGGACGCTCGCCCCTTGCTGGTTGGCATAGAAGTACGATTTGGGATCTTTCAGAACGGCGATTAATTGTTTGGTTTGCACCTTTTCTCCCACGGTGTTGTAGGCTGTCATTGTGTTAGAAAAGGCTCGATGTGTGGGTGACTGCCCAGACTTACATGCAAATCGTTCGACCGCTATGTTGATCTCTTCTCGAGTGAACAGCCAGTGACGTTTCTCTCGCTTTTGCAGGTCATCAGGAAACCGGGGAAGTAACAACCAGGCCAAGATACCGATTCCCATGGCCATCGATCCCTCAACAATGAAGAGCCATGACCAAGGAGCGCGTCCTGTTGTCTTTAAGGGCAGGCCGGTCTGAATACCGTAGGAAATCAATCCGCCAAAAGCCCCCGAGACGACGGCGCAGGAATAATAGATTGCTATCTCCGTCTAGTGTCGACTTGGGAGGGGGACGAGGGGAACCTACCGTTTCGTGTGGCCAGCTCATCTCTTTTGTACCACAGACTCATGTACAGGCTGAGCATCTGCACAAAGGCCTGTCCGAGTCCTAGCAAGATCCGAAGAGCGAGGACCGTCGAGTAGTTTTTGGCCCCTGCCATTCCCACGAGAACGGCACCAAAACCGAGCACAGCAGCACCGACGGCCCTGTTTGGTTTGAATTTTCTTGCAGTCAGGTTCGCCGGTAACATGAAAGCAATATATCCAATGACTGTTGCAGTTGTTAATGGACGCTCGCCAATGTATTGTTTTTTGAGGTTTGGGACGTACAAAACATAGTTAAGCAGTTGTAGAATTGGTTGGAACTCATATTAAGATCTGTTTGAAGGCCCATGATTCTGGCGTTTCCAATGGAGTTCCGGTCCTATGACAGGCTTTAGCTACCGAGCTATCCGGTGTGACAACTTGTGTGCTCTTACCAAGTATGTTACCCACCAGGTCAATCCACACATGGGTAGAATCACACAATCAGCTTTGAGAAGTAGTTTTCGTTCAGCTGCTGATTTCTGAATGCGCACGTTCGAGCCCGCAACGAGGGCCGCTGGGCCCTTTTCATCGTGAAAGAAGTCGCCTGTTTCGGCGGTTCCTACCTCAGTCTTGCTCATTTCAAATGTTGATCTTCGGATGAATTTGAACGCAATAGCCACAGTTTAGTAAAAAGCCCGATTATTAGATACTCAATAATGATGATCCATGTTCGAGAAGAAGGCCGGCAGCAGCAGTCTTTCTGTTTCTTTTGTGTCCATGATGTCCTTCCGAGGCAGGTCCCGTACTGAGCACAATAAGGGCTTAGAACCCCAGCTTTGTGGGGTCCAACCCCGTATGTGAGTGGGCTTTCCATATGGTAATGGCTGTTCTGGGTCAGCCGAGGCCAGATGGTTTTAGGTCTGAACTGGACAATCAGAGTTTCTAGGTGTCTCTTTCTGTCCCAATGGAGTTAGACGTCCGGTTGTCATTTACCGATATGTCGGCTACATCCCGTCATTATCCTTGTTCGCGACGGGGGATTTGTTTTCGTAAGACTTCTCCATTCCCCAAACAACCTCAGGGCTGGATCTATTGGCTGATGATGTGTATGGAGGGAATCGAAGCTCAGGAATCTGAACCGTGGATGTCGAGACGGCTCCCTGACCGGGAGGAAATGATTCCCCTCGCTTGTCTGGGCCATTTGAAGATTGGTTCTGCCGTGGCTGAGAAAACTCGGCACCAAGACCTTAGCCAGCTGGGCAGGGCGAATTTTCGGAAGTCTCCCGAATCCTCATCAAGCATCTCAATCACGTCCTCCGGAGCCCAAATATTCTCTGACTCAGCCGTGTCTGCAATCGATAGAAGGGCTCATCGATTTGGTCAGCGAAGTATTTGCGGTCGTTGATCCTCTTGGGCAAAAGCCGAAAACCTAGCTTCAACATCGCAATTCCAAATCCTCTGCCAAGTCTCTGAACCCTAGTCGACTTGATGGAGGCACCTCCAAACAGCGCGATGGCTTCCGCAAGTGGACATGCTACAAACGAAAATTCCATCCCTGGATTACCGGCTTGTGCTGGACTTCGCAAACTCCTTTCCAAAGAAGGAAGAACCATAATGTGCCTGGCGTTTACGATGGCCTCACTGCCAGAATTGCACTGCAGAAAGGATTTGAGTGTCTCTGTTTGACAGGGGCTGGAACGGCCATGTCCCGTCTTGGACAACTGAACCTTGGGCTTGCAACTATGACCGACATGGCAGAAAGCGTAGGCATGATTGCCTCGCTTGATCGCACCGTTCCATTGATTGCTGACGCCGACACTGGATATGGCGGTCCATTGATGGTTTCCAGAACTGTTTGAGCATACATGGCCGCCGGGGTTGCCCCATTGCATATTGAGGACCAAGTGCAAAACAAAAGACATGGGCATCTTGCCAACAAGGAACCCGTTGACGAATCCGTCTTTCTCAGCTGAATAAGAGCTGCGATTCTGGCCCGAGACGAAGCAAAAGCCACATTCGGTGGAGATCTCGTCGTCATTGCACGGACAGATTCTCTTCAATCCCTTGGCTATGAGGCTGCGGTGGCTCGACTGAAGAGAGCAGCGGATGTGGGTGCGGATGTCAGATTCCTCGAGGGCATGGTGACAAGGGAACAATGCTCTCGAGTATGCGCTGACCTAGCTCCGACCCTTGTGTTGTTGAATATAGGTGCTGGCGGCGTCACGTCCGACCTGAGCGCCGATGAGGCCACCGAGCTGGGATTTAAGATTGTTATCTTTCCTGCTGTGGCTTTGGGTCCGGTGTATGAAGAAGTGCGGAGGGCCGTTCAAAATCCCAAGAAGACCAGAATGGCTGAGGTCAGTGAGTTGCAACGTACTGGAGGAGTCGAGACAATGTTCAACGTGTGTGGGTTGGCAGAATGTATGGAATTTGACCATAAACGTGGTGGGACATCTTTCACAAATGGTGCTTGAGGGTAGAAATCTCCAGTCTGGCCTAAGGTTCGGGATTCGGAGATGAATATTAGTCAAATTGAAAAACTGGAAACTTCAACACAACACTATACTAGTCAGTTAAGCTGAATCTGCCGGTTGTATCACCACAGTGCCCACGCAGACCAGAAAGGGGCTGTCAGCCTCGTCGACGATGATTTTTAGCGTGTGACTGGCGACTTCCCTGGGCTCGCCCCGATAAATTTTATGCTTGTGTGTTGAGACGACCTCTATCGATTTCCAACCCGTGATGTAAGTGTCCAAGCAAATAAGATCTGCTTCCTTCTCTGCATATACTGTAGCTTTTCATAAACCCTCTCCGCACACGGGCGTGGACTGCTGGGGCCGAGGATGTAAAACTCAAGGCAATGCGGGGTACTATGGGATCCAAGAATTTATAATAGATCCGAAGGAATGTCAAGGGTGAAGATCGAAGATCATTATGTCCGTGTCTGCTGTTTGAGTCGAAATTACAGAATAGCACGAGAGATTCGTCCAAATGCCATCTCCATACCTCCTGCACGTGAACTCGCGTCCGCAGCCTGGGGCCGGCGTTGATGATGACCTTTGGGTAAAATGGTACACAACAGAACATGTAGGCGTCCCCCCATCAGCGACCACACCCATGTTTCACCGATTCCGGCTATAATTTCAAGTCAAAAGTTGCTGCTAAGCATGTACCAATCACCAGGTGCCTGACCTTGTACTCGGCCGAGCCTCCACACGGGCAGCCATGTATCGCGAAAGCCACGATTTCGCACTTGCATCGAAGGAGAAACATCCACGTAAATATCTCGTCCTGTACCAAACGGACTTCGAAGAGCCACTGAAGTCCAGTGAGTACCTGGATGGCGTACGGCATACAAGTGAGATGTGGCCGCACCAGAAAGAAAATTCCGAGAACGGGGATTTCGATGCCAGGAACTACAAGCTGATCCAGAATTACGATCCCGATGGAAGGGGAGACGGTGAGTTCGAAATATATATGGAAAGGATGAAGAGGACCTGACTGAACCCGCGAAGCTGCACCGCCATTTATCCTCACCGTCGAAATGGATCCGGTAGACGAAACTGACTTCGATCGATGGTACCGCGAAGAGCATCTCGACATGCTCCATAAATTACCTGGATACCGGCGATCTTTGCGATATGTGATTGGCCCCGAAACACCACTTACCGTGGGACAACCTCCGAAGTATCTGGCCGTTCACGAAATTGAAAATTTGCGTGCCTTCGACGGAAAAGAGGCAGAGGCAGCCAACACAACTCCTTGGACCGTGAAGCACCTCAAGGAAAGCAAGGCCTTTGTCCCCAGAGGTTGGGAGTTGATTTATTCGCAAGGATTTTAAATGGACGAGACCGATTCAAATCGGATAATTCAGAAAATGTCGTCACCAGCTATCTTTTGGTCGTCTCCCAGGATCCCGTGAAGGGCCCGATAATCAGCAAAACTCGTTGATCATCTATGATGCTGTAGCCATGACCGACTCCATCCAGGGCCAGATACACTCATTCGCTGGCGGATATCCCATATGCAGCATTTTTTCATAGAACCGGGCTTCCTTGGGGCGACCGTAGTTCATGAGCAGAATACTATCTTCGATCGGGATGAGACCATCCCATGTACCATTGACAAGAAGCAATCTGCAGCATGGTCCGTTCAGCAGTCCACTTTCAACCAGACTGAAGTCTTTTTGAGCATTTTGAAGGAGCTCCTCCCAATCTTTGTAGCCGTATTTGGATACATAAGCCTCGCTGAGAATGAAGGGATACTCATGATCATCAACATGCTCAAGCCATTCTCGGGAAAGGAATAGATGGGATCCGGCACCTTGTCCGATGCTCCCTGCCAGCCGTGAATGATGCGTGTGCGCAACTCGAATGGCATAGTAACCGCCCGCGGAGAGCCCCCAGGCTATGCATTTTCGCATGTTGAAATATGGCTGATGATCCATCCAGTCGAGGATGGCGGTAAATAAGCGATCTGGAGATTTGGGATCGCGTCGTGCAGCTGGACAATCTGCAGTCCCGGGGATTTCCATGATCACACAGGCCCAACCACGAGCTAGAAATTCGTCCGTTCGCTGTGTGGGTTTGTTTGTCAGTCGAAGTCTGCAGGGAGACTGACCTTTCTTACCCCAGTGTTGTCTGGCCGGTGCCCATCGAGTCCTGTGATTAGCAATACAACCGGGCATTTGTTGGTGTGGCTCGCGCCGGACGGTAGCCTCACAAACAACGGTATCTCCTCACCGTCTTCGCCTTCAGCTGCAGTGTGTGGAATTTGGACCTCCTTCATGGGGGCGTCCCATAAACTGGCCCCTCTCAGATACACTTGCTTTTGCATTTCAAAGGCCTTTCTCTTCAATCCTGTACCAGCCTCGAGTGAAGGGAATCGAGAAATACGGTAGACAGATGCTGCGCGCTTGAAGAGCTCGGCCGCTTTGACGCGATCCGAGGCTTGGGCTGAGAGGGCTGCATCGGTGAGGTTTTCCGCCGCGGGGAGGAAATATTGGGTGTATGTATCCGAGTAAGCGTCATTGACATTATCCTGGATCAGTTTCTGGAAAATGGGCGCAAAGTCTTCGAGTTTGCCGTCATGGAATGGATAGACGCTCAACGAGCAGGGAACCTTCCATTTGGTTTCCCAAAGGGCCTGGACACCACTAAGATGGGGATATCGCTCGTAGAATTTCTCGCCGAGGATCCAGTTCGTCATCTCGGGTCGACAATGGGGGATGTTTTGGGGCAACGAAAGGCTCAACTCGTCCGGACAATGCATAGACGAAATAGACGGTGAGCATTCGTCGATCAAGTTCTCAATGTGTGACTTGTACCTGGCCCCATGGGACTTGGCAAGCTTCCTAAACAGCACACACCTCCAATGCATCTTTCGACATCCGTACATGATACTTTAGGGCCAACCCTCTTCCACCTTCTCTTCCCTCATCATCCCGGGTCCCACCGGATGCTCTACATGTTGTCGGGGATGCTCTCCGCAGGCTCTCCTTCGGAACCGGGCCCGACAATAAGCTCGGCAAAAGTCTCGTGGAGTACTCCGTGTCTCCTCAATACCATGACTGTGGACGTGACACAAAGCCAATCTGAACATCCATCAAACAGCAGGTGTGCTTATTATCTCTGTTTAAGGGTGAAAACAGAGCAAATCAAACCAGAGAACGGCGAGTGTTAGTCTGCAATATGGGTTCAATCAGCACCGCTCCATCACCATCATTCTATAGCAACAAGCACTTCATCAATGGCGAATATGTCAGCTCCATAGCCAAGGAAACGTACACCGTCTGGAATCCCAAGGATGGATCGATCCTCTCTGATCAGATGGCTGCTGCTGGCCATGAGGATGTTGAGGCGGCCGTCAAGGCCGCTGAAGCAGCCTACCTTGGGCCTTGGAGCCAATTCACTGGCCAACAACGTGCGGTTTGTCTGAACAAACTTGCCGAAATTATGGACAATCGGCTCGCGGAAATATTGACCCTCGATTCGCTGGCGTCAGGAAACCCCGTGTCGATAATCCCAACTCGAGAAAAGAATTACATCATTACAGCACTCCGATACTACGCTGGGTGGACCGACAAGCAGAAAGGCGACTACTATCCCGCCGACGACGGCTTTGTCAAACTTGTTCGACATGAGCCGCTGGGTGTTTGCGCCGCCATCAATCCGTACAATGCTCCCATTGCCACGTTTATCTTCAAACTTGCTCCGGCATTGGCCACCGGCAATGTGATTATTGTGAAGCCTTCTGAGAAGACACCCTTTGGATCACTAGCCCTTGGCCCATTGTTTGAAGAAGCCGGAATCCCTCGGGGAGTGGTTCAGATCTTGTCCGGTAAGGGGGAGACGGGTGCACTGTTGGCAAGTCATATGCGCATTCGGAAGATTAGTTTCACCGGGAGCGTGCCCACGGGGAAAAAGATCCAAGTCGCTGCCGCTCAAAGTAACCTGAAGAGAGTCACTTTGGAGTTGGGCGGAAAGAGTCCGGCCGTTGTGTTTGACGACGCCAATCTCGATAACGCTCTGACATGGACCATCAATGCAATCCTGGCTAGATCGGGCCAGGTCTGTGTGGCTGCGACACGAGTTTACGTGCAGCAGTCGATTGCTCGAGAATTTATCGACAAATATATTGAGAAAATGAAGGAGGCCGCAGGCCGTCTAGGGGATCCACAGGACCCGAAGACTGGTTTAGGGCCTCTGGTTGACAATCTCGCGCTCGAAAGAGTCCAAGGCATGATTGAGCGCGCGAAGCTCGATGCCGAGCTAGTAGTTGGAGGAGCGAGAGTGGGAGACAAAGGATGCTTTGTAGAACCTACGGTCTTCTTGAATCCAAAGCCAGAGTCTGAGATCTACAAGAAAGAAGTTTTCGGTCCGGTATCGATCGTGAAGACTTTCGAGACTGAGGAGGAGGTCATCAAGTTGGCTAACGACACAGAATATGGCCTCATGGCTGGCGTGTTCACGAGGGATGTTTCGAGAGCCATGCGTGTCTCCGCTAAGCTGGACGCCGGTGTGGTCGGGGTCAACTGTGTGAGCTATGTAAGTTTCTTGAGAATGTCTTCAAAGTGCTTCTTACTCATCTTTGATTCCAGATGAATATGCAAGCCCCATTCGGAGGCAAGAAAGCGTCCGGATTAGGGCGGGAATTCGGTGAATATGTATGATGGATCAAACCGCAAACGCTTGACCGTTGACGCTGACAACTTCACCCGTTAGGCTCTACGTGCTTTCACCGAACCGAAGACTGTCCTCATCAAGTATGTTGCTCTCTCTCGCCCTGCAGTTGCCTGGACTCATAGCTGATGTATTCTCTTAGTATGAATGCGTGAGATGACATGGAACACACTGTCCAAGGAAACCTGTTTGATCATCTTTGTACTATCAGGCAGATAGGGGAATGAAAAGTATATCAGCCCTTAGCCAGAGACCACCAGAGGCCTTTCTGAAAGGTTTTGTAGGTATCACGAAACGAGGAAGACCAGATTGGCTGTCCGGATCTTTATCATTTTTCCTGCAGTATAATTTGGATTTCGTTCTTTTGATTCACGAATGGCCATGCGGGTTAGCCGAATGTTTGGACTGGGCATCGGGGAACGTCTCTCCGCACACTATCTGACACAGCCGGAGAGATGAGATGTTATCGGAACGTTCAGCATTTGACAATTTGACGGCTACCACAGAAGTTTCCTCGCTCGGACGCCCACTTCTAGTCCGTGACTTAAGGGTAGCGAGGAGAATACAAGAACCCTTGAGAGATCAGCGGAGATACCTGCCGAATCGGCTCCGCCGTCCGACTATGGCACCGAAACCCGAGACTTCGTGAACAACTAAGGAGTGATGTGGATCAAAAAGGTACCAGACCGACATCTTGAATGCTAGCCTAAGTCTGAAAGGAAATTCGCTACCTTTCATGCTTTGATCTTATTGGAACGTTGTCCCGCCCCCAGAAGCTCTTCTGTCAATGTTGGTGGAGAAGGGGGGGGACTCGGCCTTCTTTCTGCTTTCCCCAAGGCTGCTGGTCTATGAATTCATGCAGCCGGGGTCTATGTTAATCCAGCTTCCACGGACCCATGAGAAACCAGAGTGCACCTAATTTTACGCCTTTCTCAGTCGGCCCCGGATAGAATCCCCAGACTGCTGACTGCGGGGGCCCTGAGATGATGGATCTGCTCTGGCACGGCTGCCTCCTTTTCTAGAGCACTTTGGAGCACTCAAATCCGAGGAGACGATCGAGGACTCACCTTTGACATATATATGGATAGGTCCCCACTATGCGTTCTGCGGCGGAACTCCCTTTTCTTTTTCTCTCGGCTTGTTCACAACTTTCCACCGAGTCAATTTTGAACCTCCCTTAACATGGCTGACACACACGGGCAGAAGCTAACGGTATTCAATCTGGTGGTATGTCCTTCCTGTCGTTCACAGATTTGCCTCCTTTGGACCCCCTGACGGCTTTGTAGATTGTCCTCGCCCTCTGCTTTGGCAGCTTAACTTATGGCTACTGTTTTTCCATTGTCACTACTACACTGGGCCAGCCGTCCTTTTTCACTTATTTTGACTTAACGCAAGACCCCACGGATGCAGACCGATATGCTTTCACGAATGAAATCATCGGAGCAATGAATGGCTGCTTCTCTGGAGGCGGGTTCCTGGGAGCAGTCTTCGTTGGATGGGCAGCCGACGCCCTGGGGCGCAAGAAAACCCTCGTGCTCGGATCTGCCATCGGGATCATTGGTGGTGCCTTCCAGGGCGGTGCCGCTCATATTGCTATGTTCCTAGTCGGAAGATTTGTTGGGGGCTTCTCTGTCGGTATTATAACCACCCCCTGATACGTTCTTCCCAGCGCCCTGACTGAGAGTGGCAGGTATTCTGGTCGTCTTGGTACCCCTGTTCCAGTCCGAGATTGCACCACCGGCCGTACGTGGCTTCCTCGTCTCTCAGCATGGTGTTATTCTTGTGCTGGGCTACTCTCTCGCCGCCTGGATCGGGTGCGCGTGCTACTTCACCAACAACGCCGCGTTTCAATGGCGCTTTCCTCTCTGTGTGCAAATATTGTGGCCTCTGCTTATGATTATCCTGGGTCCCTTTTTACCAGAATCTCCTCGGTGGCGTAAGTCTCATTCCCGCACTTACCATATCGCTCTCTTTTCTGTATTTGGACTCAGGTTCCCTCTCCTTTAGTTCTCGTCCAGGATCGCCACGACGAAGCTTGGAAAGTGGTTGAAAAGCTGCATTGTGGCGTGGAAGACTCTCACGATTCCGCAACTGCTCAATTCGCTCGCGAGGAGTTTTACCAAATGAGTCACCAAGTCGCGGCCGACAAGAAAATGTCGAGCAAGGAGACCGTCTGGACGCTTTTCACCAAGCCATCATACCGCAAGCGGATGTTTTGCGCCTTTCTGGTCATGTTTGGGTCCGAGTCGACCGGTATTCTCGTCATCTACAGTACGTCCTCAAAAATCTTCATCAAAGAAAAGCCGTGAGGGACAATTTCTCACCCTGAAAGCAGACTACAGTGTTCTTCTCTATCAAGGCCTGGGTTTTACGGGTTCTCTCCCGTTGATCCTCGCCGGGGCATACGTGACAGTGGCCTGCTGCGGCAACTTTATCAACTCCCTATTGATCGACCGCGTCGGTCGCGTCCGACTCCTCGTGATAGGATGGACCGGCTGCCTTGTCAGTCTCTGTTTCGAAGCAGCGCTGAGTGCAGAGTACATTGGGACTACACACAAGGCTGGATTGAGTGCCGGCGTTTTCTTTTTGTTCCTATACATTACGGTTAAGTTTCCAGCTCCTTAGAGACGCCCATCGAGCGCTCCTTTACTGACTTATTTGTGCACTCAGTTCTATGGCTGTTGCGTCGATGCGACGTCCTGGTGCTACACGGTGGAGATTTTCCCCACCCACATTCGAAGCCGTGGCATGTCTTTCGGCTGTGCTGTCCTCTTCCTCTCCTGCATCGCATATCTCGAGGCCGCTCCAACTGCTTTTGCAGAAGTAGGATATAAATTCTATTTCTTGTTTATCATCCTGACGGCTATTAATACACCAGCACTGTGGTATTTCTGTCCGGAGACCAAGAGGCTGTCTCTGGAAGAGATTGGGGACAGGTTCGGTGATGAGGTCTTGGTGCATCTCACGCATATTACGAACGAGGAGAGAGCACAGCTCGATAAAGCAATCGAAGCGGAGGGGAAAGAGGTTCTTACAGTGGAGGACAAGCATGAGTAGTAGGGTTGAATGTGACGTGCAGCACAAGGATGCCGGGGGCCAGCTTTGGGGGCGAGTGTAGATGATGAGTCTTGGTGGGAAGAAGCCAGAGGGGTTGCTGGAAACTTTTGAATTAATTACCTCATTCGAGGCTTGGCAGATTCTGGAATTTAGATGTCTCGCTGACACTTAGACAACTTGGGAGGAATACTGGTAGTATCTTTAGAAATCCATGCTTACATTGGGAATTTTTCTAGTCTGGACGGATCTATATGAATAAGCGCCGTTTGCAATACGACCTCTCGATGAGAAACTTGCTCCTGCAGTACTCTGCGTGATCATCACTGAAGCTGTTCAAACCATTCCATATCAAGCCCCAAGAGAACTTCATTGGCACCGTCACAACCGTTCCCATGTACATCTGTCTGTAGATCCTGGAAAAACAACCGAAAGTCATCTACGTTTTCCGTCGTCTGCTTCGTCGTATCCATAATGTCTGGAATCATTTCTAGTTGCGCTTGAGCCAGTGGGCTAACACCTGGTAGTATTGGGCCCGCTGCTTGGGATGACGTGTCTCTGGTTGACGTAGCAGCAGTAGTGGTGGCGGTCGGATTTATTGAGTTCAAGTTACCATTAGTCTGTTCCGGTCTCGAATTCTGCAAGTGAGCCTTATACAGTTCCCCAATGGCGCTATTACTCAGGCGAGAGAAAATCTCACATGAGCTACGCGCGTCATCCCAGCGCTCGCAGATGGCGATCAGAATGTTCGAACAATCTCTGATATCCGCAACGGCCTCTACTAACGGCGGCAAGAACGAAGAATTACTGATAGGGTCTGACTTGTGCATCTGCGCACAGCGAGCGACGCTGTAGATGTTCGCTAGGCCGGCCATGAAGATGGTATAGAGACAGACCCAAGAGTAATTGAGCCGTCGAGCCTGGAGGATGTCCTTGTATTTTGCGATCGTGGCGCGCGATGATTCCCAGATGACTTTGGGGACGTTGTCCTCGAGTAAAGAAGTCTGAGGGCCTCTAGAGGGAAATGTGGAGGAGGGACGATACAGTAAAAGAACTGTGGTGTGGTAGAGGGCCTCGTACCAACTTTGGAATGTGAAGGCGGATAAGGTGCTTGATTGTTCAGTGCGTTTCTGGAGATCAAGAAGTTGAGGAATTTGACTTTTCCATTGCCTCAGCTCCATCAGTAGCTCTTTTCGAATCTCTTGTTTGTCGTGCAACGGAAGATCTCGCGATGTGATACTGGTGTGAAGAAAGCGATGAGTCCGAGAAAGGATCCGTCGAAGCTGCACCAATAGAAGAAACGGCGATGTCGTCGGAGCTGTGTTGGTACCCCAGTTCCATCCAGGTTCTCGAGAGCTAGGTAATAAATAATCGTCATCGTAACTCGATGGAAGTGGAGCGTCGATGTCGTCGTCAGAAGGCACAAGAGGTCTTCCCAGCGTGACACTGACAATCCTACAGAACAATGGGTCAGTTGGAAATCCCCTGCCGGGGAGAGCGGGGCTGCACATCACATACCTTTCAAGCGAGTAAAAGCACCAGAAACATCTCGATCTCATCTCCAATTGCACCTCCTCGGGGATACGGCCGGTCAGATGTATATCCAGCCTAGCGAAGCGCTGTGAGGATGCTGAACGATGAAGACCCAGCTCGATGCACAAACGGCCAGCCTTCCCCAATAATTCCCACATCTCCTCTCCCGTATCACGCAGACTGGCATGGATCCCATACTGACAACATAGCAAGTATGCCTGCACCGTCCGAATATCGCGATACTTCAAAATAACGTCCAATGCCGAAGTTGCCCGTCTGAAATGCGACTCTGTATCCTTGAAGGACCATTCAAATCTCTTGGAAGCCGCGGATCCCAGTGCCAGTACGATATCAAAGACAAAAGCACCAGCAGGATTTTGGCGGTAAAAGTCGGGGTCGTCGTAAATGCGATCCACCAAGCTTGAGAAAGAGGGCCGATAAATCAAAGGGAATGTAATGTGCCAGTGTGCAAAATAAGCCGCGACCATTTGCACTGCAATAGCTTTTTCAGGAATGTCTGAGGCGAATACTTTGACGGGAGTCGATGTGCCGGGCTTTCGATATGCATTTGTCACATTGGCAAACATGGGCCCGGATGGGTCCGTGGAACCTAGGACATTTTCTACAATATCTATAAAGTCGACACCGGCGCTGGACCCGAGATATATCGAGTTCGGTTTGGTTTTGGGAAGGTGATTGTGTGGAGAAGCGGAAGAGGCAGCGTCCATGGGTGTTGCAGGTACAGGTGAGTCAGTTTCGTTGATGCTCGTCGTTGAATCTTGAGTGTGAGCGTCAAGTTGTGTGTCGCTCCTGCAGGTTTGATCTACACCATCTTCGCCTTCGCCTTCGCGTTCGGGAGACTCAAGAGACAACATGCCAGATACATTGTTATTGATTTGCCGAAGACGCAGATTCCGATTCTCGTGCTCGAGGGTCCGTAATCTTTGCTCTAATGTCTGCAGATGGCGTTCTCGGAGTTGTCTGTAGTGTGATTTTTCAGGGTAGAAGCATGGCGTACTACGTCTCAAACAGGAGCTGCATCGCGGCCGTTGTCGGTCGCATTTTGTCTTCCGTCGATGGCAATCTTCACAAGCGGGCATTGCATGCAGCTGCTGGTCTATTCCTTTGGGTAGGATTAAAAGAAATCAAAACTTTGACACAACCGAGTTGCGCAGATATGCGAGATGCAGATTGAAGATCCCGCGCAACTCCCGGCCTCTTGACATCAATCAGTACTCCGTATGGGGCAGGGGGAGACAATGGCCTCTAACCGGGACCGGAGGATGGGGAAGCGAAGAGAGAGCATGGAATGCAAACCGTGGCCGTCAATGGTAGTGGTGGGTGATCAGGTGAATATCATGGAGTGGAGTCCGGCAATGCAAAGAATCTTGCCGTTATTGTGAACCAATAATTATGCGATAGATTTAGACTGCGGAGACCCTATCATTCACCGGAGTGGAATCTCAATAGGCCTGCCGCTTTTACATGGGTGGCTCTAACTGGTTCTATCCATTCTCCACAGGACAACGGACCTCGGCCCCGAAAAACCTATTCTTTTCTTGTGAGAAGGTTGAAATTGCCAATACTGCGTCGGAACCCTGAGCGAAATTTGGCTGTTGACTCACGATTGTTCTCTCTAGGTATAGTATCTCTTGCTCTCTCCACCCAGGCTGTGAAGCGAGGTTTCATAATTCCGTCGGGCTAAAAAGAAAAACATGGTCGCAGAGGATCGAGACCTGAATATCTATGGAACCTTCCGTGGGCAAGTATGGAATCTTGTGAAGCTGACCGACAGCAACAATTGCGCGTAACGTCTATCCCAAAAAGGCCGGAACCGGTCTAATTCTTCCCATTAATGGGCCCAACTAGATATAAACGATGGCAATCAGTACTTAACTCTTAACAGCCGAATCTTGATCCTTCTCCCTTAGCTAGAAGAGTGACATTCTGGAAAGAATGGGCGTCTTTATTCCAGATCTGATACTGCGGGGATTTCTCGCATCGTCCCGTATCTTTCGGAGCACGTCCATGCAGGAACGAATAGAGTCAACAGGCGGGAATCCCCCACACGACCAGGAATGCGGAATAGGGGCCCTGGCCAACCTTTCACTCCCCAAGCAAAATACGGGGATCACTCCTCGGGTGAGGATGGCCGAAACGTGGAGAAACCCTGGCTCATATTTCCGCCAGGCCGACGTTGAAGTTAAACAAAGGTAATTGAATCTGCACATTCGCAGGAGATCCTCCCCCTCTCCTCATGCCTGAACTACACAGGATCTTCTCAATCTCATAGAAGAGAAAATGGCAGCATCGGCCATTCAGACCGTTCGTTCCAACGGCATCATCCATGGACTCCCTACTTATAGCGACAGGCCCGAACGCAAAGGACTGACAGCACTTGTCACAGGAGCCAATGGCATTTCAGGATACCACATGGTGAAAGTCCTCAGTGCAGCTCCGGAGAGATGGTCCAAAATCTACTGCGCTTCACGTCGTCCACCTCCCGACTATTTTTTCTCTGAATTGGGGGAAGGTGCAAGTCGTGTAAAGCATGTTGAAGCCGACTTTCTATCGACTCCAGCCAGCCTTGCAGAGACATTGAAGAAGATCCCACACGTGTAATATGCAAACCGAAAAAATCTCCCAACTAATCATGACATATATTAACCCCCTTTTCAGTGACTATGTCTTCTTTTTCTCCTACATGCAGCCACAACAAAAAGGAAATGTATTGGGCATGTGGTCCAACGCCGACGAATTGGCAAAGGTCAACGGTATCTTATTCAACCTCTCCATTTCTCCTGTCTTGAATTGAAAGATCCTTTTACTGACCTATGAAAACAAAACAGCCGATCTCCTAGCCAACTTCCTCGGTGGGTTGAAGTTGGCAGGTTTAAAACCTCAAAGGGTTCTGCTTCAAACCGGTGCTAAACATTACGGATTTCACATTGGGCCTGCCACAAGCCCATCCTTTGAGAGTGACCCAAGAGTAACCCTGGAAAACAACTTTTACTACCCACAGGAGGACCTTCTGTTCGATTATTGCCGCGAGACAGGGACTCAATGGAACGTCGTCCGCCCTTCGTACATTATCGGGGCAGTTCGAGACAATCTTCTGAACCACATGGTTGGACTGGCCGCCTACGCGGCAATCCAGGCACATATGGGCCAACCTGTCCATTTCCCCGGTGACTATGTTGCCTGGGATCGGGAATATTGCCAAAGTTCAGCCCTGCTTAATGCGTACCTGGAAGAATGGGCTGTTTTGAACCCGGAGGCTGCGAACGAGGCATTCAACGCCCAAGATGGCCTTCCTTTCACATGGGGACGGCTCTGGCCATATCTCGGAGCATGGTATGGGACGACGTGGACACCTCCTGAGAGTGATGCTTCGAAATATCAGGAGTTCACGTCTCGTTGGAGAGAGACGCCCCGAGGGTAAGTCGACGTGAAACCGTCTTGGAATACATCCATTTGTACCCGTCACAAGCTTTACGGCTGATTAATTACAGGTATGGCCCACAAGGCGTCACACGATCTACATTCAGTCTTCTCGACTGGTCTGGACGTGACGACGTGGTCAAGGCCTGGGAAGAACTCTCAGACAAGTATGGCCTGCGATTTGACCCGTTCAAAGATCGTGCCCAAGTCTTCGGTATGACTGATTCGGCTATTATTGGAGGATGGGCACTCTCCTTGAGCATGAGGAAGGCAAGGAAAATGGGCTGGCATGGCTGTGTGGACTCGTATGAGTCTATGTTCCACACGATTCGTGATTTGGCGAGGTTGAAGGTCATTCCGCCGATGAAGATGACCGAATTCGTTGAATGAGAGAGACGTTCCACGATCAGATCAGCGCTGTTTCGTCGATATGTTGCATTTTCAATCTTCCAACTTGAAAATCAGAGAGGAAGAGAGTGAATGAGTGTAGGTTGATACAATTCGGTCACGGAGTAGTCATCACTGCAGTACCCAATTTTTCCTTTTCTTGCCATTTTACTGATCTGATGTAAAACCCGCTGCTGAAAAGTCGTCAAGTTCATCATGAAACTTGGGCAGTATGTTCGACCTCCACTAAAGGCGTGGTCGTCGTTAGCCAAAGGAATAGAATCCAGGAATCAGGAAACAAACGTAGACAAAATGCCAATACAACAGCTTAATCTAACCTTGACGGCCACAAGCCTCTTGCATTCTCAATAGGAATTCGGCAACCCAAGTACCCACTGTCCGATGCAATTGCAGATCATCTCCTTACGGGAGCAATGCGAGGAATGAACACCTCCTTCGGATGTCTTTCCACATGGTACTCTTTCGCATAGCCCATACCTCCATGACTCATGATTGACCTCTCTAACGCGCTGAATGCCACTTTAGTAGCAAGACACTTTCCCGCATTGGCATAATCGCCAGCCATATAGCCTTGGTCGTGCAATTTGGCGGCATTGTACAGCATTAATCCGCCCGGCTTCCAACTGCATTCAGCCGTCTACCAATGGATGCCGTATCGTCTGATTCTGGCCGACGGGCGGGCCGAAGACTCTGTACTCAGAGGCATAGATAGAGGCCCCGGTATAGCAGTGTGGCCTAGGCCACGGGCTTCGCAGCGGATGAGAATTTACTCTACGTTCATGCCACGCATGGTCATGTTGAAGCCGTAGCCACCTTCACTGATTCTATCTGCGACGGGAACTTTCTATCCATCGAAAATGATGATGTCGGTATCAACGGCCACTCGACCCATTTTGGGATCTCTGTAATTTCGATTGGTAAACTTTTGTTGATATCAGTAAAAAGAGAAAGACTCTCGGAAGGCCATCGTTAGCATGCTACAAAGATCATGGATTTCTCCTTCATCATCAAATAGTCTCAAGAGCCACGTACATGAATGCCTTTGGATCGTTCTGGTCCGAGCATATCTTCAAATAGCCAAACTATAGCTGTGTACGATGACCGCTTCTCAAGGAAGAGCGAGACATCAAAGCTTGGGTGACAAAAGTCCGAAGAATGAGACAGAGCGGGGCGCTGCTTTTAAGCCGCTAGAGCCTTTGATGTGAGGTCACGGGATATGTATAGGGCGGCATCATTCGCGTCCCGAATTGTACATATCTTGGCGAGCTGATGAGCATGAACCTGAATTTGACGGGAAAAGTGTGGGGTGTAGAAGCTCAGTTTATGCTGAAATATTCGTTCACGCCTAATTATGACGATTTTCAATTAATCTTCGCGCAAACCAATATCTTCCAGACACTGACTGGCCCAAAATGACGTCCCGCGAAGCCTCTGTAGCGCCGTCGGATGGTGACACCATCGATGACCAAATCGAAGACGCGAAGCCCGACCTTGCAGACCTTGACCAAGAACAACTTCAGATAGCAGACGAAGTACCCACTGGTCGATCATCACTCGGAGGTCGTCGCGGTGGTCGTCCCAGGGGGACTGCGGGCAGAAAAGCGAAACCTCGAAAGGGTGCAATATGGATCCATGAACAACCAAATGAGGGCACGGAAGATGAGGGTAGTGTTGTTTCCACATCCTATTCAAGAACCAAAAAGTCAGAAGCGAGTCCTGAATCAGAACCCAAAACAGTTGGCACTGCGGTGGGCACGAGAAGACAAGCGAACGGGACTGTCGGTTCAGTATATTCCGGAAGCAAAATCAGACACATTAAGAAACCAGATGGCACGCCCCTATGGCGAAAGGAAATCCAATACGAATTTCTGAGGATTGTCATTGAGGATACAAAGCCTGTCTTCACCAGAATCAGTGATGGCAAGACCGGCTGTAGCTTCGCAGACATTTATGTGGATTGCATGGCCCGAAGCTCCAAGACCAGCAAAATCCTCAAGGACAGATTACAAGTTGATCGACAAGCCGCTCACAACATGGCCATGATATGCCTCTTGGTCAACGTCGGCCGGATGAACACGACTCTGAACTTCTTCCCCGAAATGAGAGCGCAGTTGCGAACCTACCATTCCATCCCCTCTTTGCAAGCCTACAAAAGCCAAAGAGACTACAAATCACTACAAGATGCCCCGAGACTGAAGAGTATATTGAAGGGTGCAAGTGAAGACACGGACGAACCTCGGACCATAAACATGCTAAAGGCTCGACCGGTTCCACGAACCAATCCTGTTAACCTTGTTTTTGTGCTTTCCCAATTCGCGCCGAAGATCAGTGAGACGCACTTTACGGACAAAGTTGACTTTTTCGACCTTGCTATGCGACCGACCATTACATCTGCGAGCAGGGCAAGAGCCTTTCTGTGGCTAATGTGGTGGTACTTGGAATCGGACTTCACTAAAGAAGACGCTTTGGCAAACCCTTATGGACCTGGCGAGTACCGAGAAGATGAAGATCCTGATGATCCTAATACCATCCCACTCTTGGTTCCCAAACTGGAAATCATCACAGAAGAAGAAGGTGATGCCGAGAATGTTGACCCTCCCGAGGAAATTGCTTTTGCTGAGAAGATGAAAATTGAGAGAAAGAGACTTATGACCCAAGTTGCCAACGAACCTCCCTTGGTCATGGCTGACCCCGGCAATCCTGATCACAAAGTCTTGAAGCGACTCAAACGAAGTGCGATTGGAGACGAGGACTCGTTAATGTCAGACGCGGACTCACGCACAAGCCCTGCCCTTGGAAGATCCCCAGCTCCCGACTCTCTTGGTCACCATGGACATGTGATGTCTTCGCTGGGTGGGCAAGCAGATAGCCTTGACGACGATTGGGAGGCGGTTGATCCCCATCCCGGCCGTGGACGCTACAAGCGTGTCAGGGGAAAGAATACACCTACAAGAACTAGAGGTGGTAGACACAGTGACGGTCCGAGAAGTCTGCTCAAGTCAGGTCGTCACGCCGGTACACCCGATACCGCTGATAGACATCGAAGTACGCCGCAGCCACTCCAATCCGGCAGTGGTAACCATCCAATCATTGGTCAGTTTGCCGCACATCGGTCTTCCCCACGAAAACGCAAAAAAATAAAGAGAGATTGACATGCTAATGGGTCGAACAGGTGAAGCAGGAGTAGGCGGTGCCGGCACCAAATCACGGGCTAGAACAGGCTATCAGCGCGAGTTGGAGGAGCACCGACTACGTCGAGTCGAGTGGGCTTTGAGAAGACGTCGTAGACAGGTGTTGAAGAAAGCAAGACATTCGAGGGAAGGAGGGAATTGGTTTATCATTGCGGCAAGACGAGTCAGTGAGCTGCCTCCAACATACGACAGCGAAGAGGAAGAGGAAGCACGGGGAATTGGTCTTGCCGGCTTGCTTGGCCGCCGATGGTATGGCGAGTCTACTGAAACCGACGCTGGAAGTATTCCTCCTGGGTATGAACCTGACGACTACGGTGAAGAAGCGGAAACGTGGGTGAAAATATTGAAGAAGACGGGTCGACGTTTAGAAGTCTGGGACGGAGATCGTGATGTTGCGGTATTCAACGCGCGAATCCAGCGTCAACATGCCATCGAGAACAGTCTCTCAACTGCAGCCGCAGTCACGCCACGCTCTCTCACCAATGGAACACAGAGAAAGGATCGAGCGCGGGCTCGGACTCAAGAATCCTCTGCACAACCCTCTGTTCCCGACACTGGAAGAGCGGCAAAATCCACACGTGCGGGGGGTAGAGATCTCAATGACGAAATCACGCAAGACTTGCTCGCGGAGCGAAGCGATGCAGACGTGGACGACGATGACTCGGTAGAAGCGGACGGCGATGGCGAAGGAGGAGACAGCGACGTGGAGATGGATTGATCTGTATGATTATGAGGCGTGCTTTGCAAGTTGACAGAGTCGCTCGAGCAAAGCTCATCGAGGGACATTGACTTTCTGCATGTAGATTAGGAGAAGAACAAAGCATTCTGCAGATTGGGGTGTACCTGGGTTATCTTCTAGCGACGTTCAGAGATTCCAATTGCCACTCCTCTATTCGAGAGGTTTGAAGAGTTTCGCAACTCGCAAGATGTTACTACCATAGTCAATGCTGTGATGCTGCGACATGCTGCGGCTGAGCAGTGCTTGATTTCAGCGTGGCGAAACTGTCGGCCGAGAGCTTCCGGATAGGCCCCCGTCTAACGTACTATTTTCGGCTGGGTATCCAGGCATAGTTTTGATCAGGCACCAGGCAGTCGTTCCAGCCCTACCTCTACTCTTGAATGTTGTATAAAGGCCAGTTCGTATACCCTTAAGTCCAAATGATGCCAAAGCCCGCCGATTACGAATACCCCATACATGACCGCGCCACAGAAGAAGTTCATTTGGTGGTCCCCCGGCTTTCAGCCCGCTAACTGCATTTCTAATTACTAATCGGCTTCTCAATTACAGATGGACGATCGGGACGGACGACAGGTCTATAAAGGGTTTGATAATAAAAGAGGAGACATTTATTGAGGAGTCCAGCATTCCTGATTGCTCGGTCCTAATAAGACCGCGGTATGACGAATATTTGGCGCCTGGCCCTCTGGGTATTAGATATCCATCTAGTCTCCAGGCTGTGTCGAAGAAGATGCAAAGTATACTCCATCGTTAGCTCGCCAGCAGAGATGACGAAGAAAATGTACAGCACAACGTCGTCTGCTCTCGCTCGCCTCGAAGTAGTCGAGATAACGGGAGAACTCGCCGAAAGCCGGACTTGGGAAGACATCGCCCTCCTGAAGAGAAAGCTCTCTGCCTATCTCTTTTGCCTCCCTTCGTCCAACTGAAAGTCATGCCTGAGCTCGGCTCTAGGGACTGAGGCCTACCCGTCTCATGGAGCTTGTGTATGGTCGAAGATTGCATTCCGGGGACACGAACTTATACAGACACCAATCACTCCTCTGCTTGTGTTGTCCGTTCTGAGGTAAGGCTTCCCTTTACCCCTGGCAACCCTGAACCATGACCTCCTTGACCGTGTCAAGAGTTGCCACTTCCTGACGACTGAAATGATGCCTAAACTGCGGCACCAATGGCCAAGCAAGCACAACATTTGAAGGACCGGAGACTTTCGTCTGGCTGGCGATCTAATGCGAATGCAAAATTGCCTGGCCGCTCGATTAGTTCCTGCTGCTGCTGCTGGCCCTGTTGAGCCACCGGGGTCCGTCTTTTTGTGTCATGATCATCAGTCCTTGTGGTTCCGTCACCAACTTGGCATGGGGCCTGCAAGAAAGTGCAAGACCATAGAGCTCTCACTCGGACGTCGGCATGGTTGTTGGAGTCCATGTGGAACTTCTGCACACATGGATGGTCCGCCCTTGGTGTCGTTCAAGTTTTGCTTGCAACATTCTCGTTTCTTTCTCTCGCCCTGGTTAGGAAAATGGTGACGCAGACAGGAACGATCTCTTTCCTTGCGAAAGGATCTTTTGTGGGTCTTGGTCGTAGAGTTGCTCGCTTGTTTCTTTGTTCACGAAGCAATGCTGGTTCGTGTTCGTTCATTTTCCGACCCTCGGGTCTCCACTCCATCCTTTGAATTTCGCTGCTAGCAGTCGGCTTAATGCAGGCGCAGCATTAATACGGACAGAGCGTGTCACTACTGCAATTACATGTCCTGTGTCTTGCTGTCAACAGATCCCAGTTCTTTTTGTTTTTTGTCAACACCACCAATACTATCGAGCGTAGTGCGGTATCCTATTCCCGGTGAAGTAGACCTCCTCAGTTCGGTAGCATATGATCTGACTCAAGTTGAATATTGTTCTTCTTGCTCTTGACCAATTATTGGGAAAAACTTTGGGGGTAGGAACTGCCACATCTCGCAGTGGATCTGTTTGTCGAGTATGGATGAGTCTTTGGAAGGGTCCCAGACGAAATAGATGGATCTGATATATTTGCTCTGATAATAATATAGGCTGAAGCACCACCGCCTGTCTTCTGCTAGCTTTTTGATTACCAATGCTCTCATAATGATCAGCCACTTACTCATTTACTGTGTCTTCCCACTCAATGATACGAGGCGGCTCCCAATGAAGTGCAGTGAACCGACTGATCGTGCTATTCAACCTTCACACCACTTCCTATGAAGCCTTTTGAGGACTTCTTTACCATGCTTCAGCACCAATAAATGCAGCCTTGTTGTCATCGCTCTGTCGGATCACCACTACTCACGTGACACTGAATCCAGAGCAATTCACGAGCACCAAACAAGTGGTCCATTCTGCTGACTTATAAAAAGTGGACGGCTGACTCAGGGAAAATCCCGATGCTGAGGTCCGGGGGGTTTCCTTTCGGTAATCTGGGCAGTGGGAACTGGTCCAAGACTCTCTAAAGCCAAGAAACGTCACGGCAAAGGCCAGAAGGGAAACAAGCGCCGACTCATAGTGTCCAATGTGGTCAAGGGTTCAGGGATGAATACCTGTTGGAGGTGGGGAACTAGAACGGATGGCTTCAATAGTACCCAGTGACAGAACAAGACCACCCTTCCCAGCAAGGTGAGACATGAGACAGGACATCTTAAGAAGCTTTGAGATACCCCGTTCGTCGTCGAGTCAAGAAAGATATCACAACGGGCGGGGGCTCGTACGCAATCTCGACGGCCTGTTATGTCTCTAAAACTCTGCGCTCTTGTGTCTTTGCCATAGTCAATCCAGAACGTCCCGTGGGGAAACAGACTGGCAGCTGGCATATCCTTGTCACCACCAAATCCCTGCCCGCACGGGCAATTTACCAAAGTCTCTACCAGGCACACATGCATTTTGGGCCCAAGGATCCATCCTGCTAGGCTGACGGGAGGGTGTGAAAGTCGCAGGCTTTGGCCTCTAGACGGGTTTGTCCCAGCAGTGGCATAGAGTTGCGTGATAGCGAAATTTCCTGTGACCCTAGGGGGGTTATCAATGCCACAGTTTGACAACGATGCATGGTGGGAAGTAACGTCGGTCAAAGAAATGAGGACCGACATCATTACGTATTGTGTTAGCCTTCGGCCCGCTGTTGTTTCTCGATACCAGGAAGATGACTTACCTGGCCCCGTGGTTAGACTTACGGTAGGGCAGTCCGTAGGTTGACCGGCCCTCTTTCGCTCAAACGTTTGCGGCCAACACCCCCCTGCTAGTTCTCTACGACCTTACCGTATCCAATACTCCTTGCGCGTTGAATGGGGTTTGTACATGCACGCTTACCTGGATGAAAACGGTCGGGAAGGATGCTCAGGACCGACCACTCTCGTTTCCTTCAACATCCTCCCAGCCCATTGCCGACTCCCTAGCAAAGTTACAGCCATTTATCCAAGAGGACGCCTGATCCAATAGTTGTGTCTCTACAGGGTTTTTCGTCTCAGCAACAAGCTCCTAGAAACTCGAATCACTTTGCGCACCGGCCCATCCCATATCTTTCAAATGGCCAATACGCTGCGTCCAATGTCGCATGTCCAACTATCCATGTGGCTCTACGCCCACTCAGGGCCATCTTCGGCCCTTGAGATTGATGAGAATGATGTGCCGTTATTGCGCCGACAGGGGAGGTCCGTTGAGAAGCCAGCCTTTCGATGGAATGATACTCCATACAGTAACAGCTCCACGCTGCCGCCCTGCTCTAGATTTAGTAGTCAAGGGCTGCCGCAAAAAGGACTAAGGGCTTCTTACATATTATATCGTACTTTGACATACCGGGGGACGGCCGGTGGGGCAAGCTTCTTCCTTTCTTCCTATCTTCCTGTCACCCACACTCCCTTGTTAGAAACACAAATCGACGTCAAGACCTCAACAAATAAAAGATGAAGATTGTGACTCTGTAAGAGCTGAAACATTTGCGCGCTAGGTGGAAACCGAATACGCGAGTCCTCGTAGTCTCACCACTGGATTCTCTCGATCGCGCTTACAGAGTCTCTTTAAAGAGTGGCTGCTCGCGAAGGAAGGAAATCTGTGAAAGCGTCAGTGTCGAGCTCGGCAGCTCTCATCATCGCACAAAAATGCATACAAACGATCCGTACGAACTCTTCATTTCTGTCAATCAAAGTGGCTGAAACCAAAAACTCCTAGGCCTTCAATAAAATTGAAAGAGCGATCGTCAATCGCACGCAGGCAGGCGCGTCGACCTGTTCCTAACATGGACAGTTTCATTTCCTGTTTTCATGCCAGCAGTCTCAGTTCAACAGAGCCGCAACCTCTGACCAATACAAACAATTATTGTTACATACCTAGCCAGTACTGGCAGACATTGGATTACTATGATATGACCATGGACATCTGCTCGGATCTCCCTACAGATGTAAGTCGACCATGGCCTTGTCGACAAGTGATAATTGGACTGAAAACTCTCATAGACTGTGCAAATACCTCCGCCTCTGATTACGGACTGCAACAGACTCGCCGGGATCGCAGAATCTGAGACGACTCTTGATTTTCCTCTCGAATTTGGCCTGGACGCCAACAGCAGCCCTGGAACGGATTCCCTACAGTTAACCCATACTGCGTCTTCAATTCAAAGAAGTCCCAGCGCCGAACCTGAGTGCCCAGGGCATTCACCAAAATGCAACATTCATAACAACTCGTGTGAGGTCTGTGAACGTGATAAGAAGGAGGTTCGTTTTAAGTCTCTCAGATTCAGATTTGGAGGAGTTTCTGCATCGAACTCCAAGCCGTGTCTCTTTTGGATTGAGATGTAGGGCTGGATTTGCTGACGAAGGCCCCGTTCACAGAGACGAAAAGAGCAAAATCGAAAAGCACAGCGGAACCACCGACTACGCAGTGAAGCCAAAGTGGAGCAGCTGAAAGCAAGAGTCAAATCACAGGCAGAGGAAATTGCGAACCTCAAAGAAGTGAACCAGTCGTTAATGAAGCATATTGAGAGCCTGAGAGGCGAAGACAAGCGTGGTAGAACCCCTGATACGGGTGAAGAGCCTGATACGGATTTCTTTCAGCAGCAAATATCGCATTGCCTTTGAATGTGTTTTCATGGGGAAACGATTGAGCCAAAAGGGCTCTCGGGTCATATCATTGCAGGTTCTCTCTTGGCATCATATAGAGATTCAGGCAGCATGCATGTCCCTCATCCTAAGTGGGGTGCACGACTTGACAAGCGGTCATACACAGAGTGCCTATTGAGTCCCGCGGTCCCTTCAATTTATAGTGGAAGGCCAGAGGCAGTTGCCTTGCTCAGGGACTAAAGTCCTACGCCTTGGGATAATACGGAGCTTTGCGCTGCGAAGAAGACAGGGACTGTCGCCGTCAAGACAGAAGGACAGTCAGCCTTGTAGACGATGGTGACCTGACTCCCTAGTGCCTCGCGCCGGCAGGCTGAGACCTCAATAGCCTGTGCCTCTTTTACAGGTGTCGATACGGAACCCAGACGCATCGTATGTTATATCAGTCCCCGCACACGTGATCGATTAGCGTGGTTCACTCTTTGGAACCTGGATCTTAATTCAAGGACTCGCTGCCTGCGCGTCTCGCCTTCTCGACTTACACCACACCGACAACATCCCTCCGTCCACGGCGACGATGGAGGCATGGGACTTGCCTGCACCAAAGCGGTGTAAAATCTCCCAGGATCTTGACGACGACCTTCCCCTTCCTCCCCCCTTCTCGAACTATGTCACTATCGCAAAGGCAAGTCTCGCAGTTCGAAGCGTCGATGACGCAAACTGGGAGACAGATACCGACGCCCTCAAAATCACCATTCAGGGCCTGAAAGAGGCAGAGGAAGGGTATGTGGTCGAGTTCTCCGTTGGGCGAGGCAGGACTCTGAAACATGTCCACATACATGAACAAGACGGAAGCACGATGCAACTCCTGCTGGACATCCAGCACTTGGAATCGGTGGCCAAATACAGACCGCCAGCAACGCTACCTCTTGCTTGTGTTTATGCGGTGATTCAGCTGACCGCAGGCGAGCCCAACATGGAGATTCGGATCCTCTGGGAGGACACTGCGGCCGTCCGGGACCGAGTAGATCCCGTTCTACTCGAAATTTTGGCGCGTCACTTGCCTCCATCTACCCAGATCTCTCCGAAGTTCGAGCCTTGGGATCCGCGCCAATTCTATGATAATGTCCACGTCCCTGAAAAGTCGGAAGAGAATTCCGCAGAGATTCGAATTCCTCATCTGGAATCTCAACTCTTTCCTTTCCAGAGACGCGCCGTCCGATGGCTTTTGGCGAGAGAGGGTGTCACTCTCCAATCGAGCGGAGAAGTTACACCCCTGCCGAAGCAAGTCGATGCCTTCCTTCCACCCGGGTTCGAGACGGTTAGAGGGGTTAGAAACATGATGTTCTTTGTCAACCATACGTTGGGGATTGTCACCACAGACATGGCCAAACTGGTGAAAACTTTCGCTCCCATTAACGGTGGAATCCTTGCGGACGAAATGGGTCTCGGGAAGACTTTGGAAGTGATATCGCTTATCTGCCTCCATCCAAAACCGACACAAACGCCAACCTCTCTCGATCTGAAACAGTCACCGGCCACCTTGATCATCACGCCCCCAAGCATACTTGAGCAATGGAAAGAAGAGATCCGACAGCACACGCCGGCGTTGCGAGTGTATCATTACCAAGGGGTAAGCAGCTACCGACGCATCGGCGAAAAACTCATCCAAGAGCTGCTGGATCAGGACGTGGTTCTGACAACCTACAATGTCGTGGCACAAGAGATACACTACGTGGCCGAGAAGCCGGACCGAAATCTGCGAAATCGTCCGCGCGCTGAACCCCCGAAGAGCCCTTTGACTCAGGTTTCTTGGTGGCGCGTCTGCCTAGACGAAGCACAGATGGTTGAAAGCGGAGTATCTTCTGCAGCGACGGTTGCAAGGCTGATTCCTCGCAACAATGCTTGGGCAGTCACAGGAACACCCCTCAGAAAAGGGCACAGAGATTTGTTTGGATTGTTGCTCTTCCTTCGCTATGAGCCATGGTGTCGGTCGCCTCGTCTATGGGATTATCTTATCAGCTATCATCGACCTCAGTGTAGAGAAATGTTGGGAAAGATTGCCATGAGACATACCAAGGACTTTGTTCGCGAAGATTTACGGCTGCCACCTCAAAGTCGACATACTATCACCATCCCTTTTACCCCTATCGAGGAACAGCACTATGCTCAACTCTTCCAAGAATTGTGTGAAGACTGCGATCTGGATCGGACAGGCGCACCGTTGAACGATGATTGGGATCCAGATTCTCCGGCAATGGTGGAGAAAATGCGGACGTGGTTGACCCGATTACGTCAAACGTGTCTACATCCTGAAGTTGGTGGTCGCAATCGCCGGGCACTCGGTCGCAGTAACAATGGACCTTTGCGGACAGTCGAACAAGTTCTGGACGTGATGATTGATCAGCATGAAGGCCAAGTCCGAACCGCACAGCGGGGCCGATTGATGGCAGAGATAAGAAGAGGTCAATTAAAAGAAAATGCCTTGCTCTTCGAAGAGGCGTTGAAGATCTGGAGAGGTACATATGCTGAATCATCCGTCATTGTTGGAGAATGCCGAAAACAACTGGAAGAAGAACAGTCATCCTTTAATCTCATCAAGGAGAAGGAGAATGAAGATGAGATGAATCCCCGATTAATAACGTTGAGGGCGCGTTTGCGATCGGCATTGGAGATCCAACACATCGCCATCTTCTTCATCGCGAATGCGTACTTTCAGCTGAAATCTCGGGAGGAACCTGAAAGTGAGAAATACCTCGACCTGGAGAAAGAAGAAACCAAGGCATATGAAGAAGCCAAGTCTATCCGCGGTGAATTACTTGCGGAGGTTCTTCGGCATGTGAACAAATTGATCGCCACCGTCAGAACCAATGTCGCCAATGGACTGGCTCCTATTCCTGAAATGCAAGGACCCGCCGGATACACCGGGATTGAAAGCAGAAAGATCTTCGACAAGATCCACGATTATTGTGAGGTGATGAATATTCAGGCCGAGCAATTTCGTGAATTGCGACAAAAAATGGCAGACTTCTTGAGCCAAGCTCTCATCGATGAAGACGAAGGGGTGGAGTTGCAAGGCGACGAATACGAGAGTTCGACCAAACATCAAGATGAAATGTATGTCTACATGGAAGCACTCAGAGCATTATTTGCCGATCGCAGTGAGGCGATCACCGGACAAGAAAATATGCTCATCAAACAAGAAATGAAACAATTTCTTCGCATTGCAAAGGAAGGTGAAGGCCCCGCACCCGAACTGATGTTGAAACTCCTTGCCGAGCGCGAACAGAAACGAGTCAAGGTCAATGATTTTGGGTGTTTACGTGGCATCACGGCCGAAATCAGACAAATCGTCACTTCCTTACAGTGGCAAGAAGGGAATGGACAAACACGAGCGACGCACGAGCTGGCAATACTGGAGCGAATCCTCAAGCATATTCAACAGCTAAATGTGGCGCAGACCAAGGCTCTCAATAGCATTGAGCAAGAAGTTAATCAATTTCGCGATACTATGAACAGTCGCCTGGACTATTACCGTGCTCTTCAGAAGATTTCAGACACTGTTGCCCCTTATCAAGAGGAGAATGTTGGCAAGCCACTCTCCGAGAGACACTGTCGCGAGTTCGAAGATGAGGAGGCCAAATTGCAGCGAAGGATTGTCTCACTGACCGCCAAACTACGCTACCTCGTCCACATGAAGACAGAGTCTCAGTCGACAGCGCCGAGAATCTGTACCATTTGCACGGACAACTTTGAAGTAGGGACAATGACTTCCTGCGGCCATCAATTCTGCAAAGACTGTGTCCTCACCTGGTGGAATCAACACCGTAATTGCCCCGTCTGCAAAACCACATTACACCCCAACAGTTTCCACGACATTTCCTACAAGCCCGCCGAAATTGCCCTGCAGGCCGAAGAATCCCCATCCAACTCTTCTGGCCTGTCCTCTTCTTCCTCATCCTCGTCCTCAGGGTCCTCCGATCGGCCCCACAACCAATCCATCTACTCGGACATCAGCACTACGATGCTCAACCAGATCAAAAACATCGACTTCCGAGGGCCCAGCTTCGGCAGCAAAATTGACTTCCTCTGCCGCCATCTCCTATGGCTTCGCGAACACGACCCGGGCTCCAAAACCATTATTTTCTCCCAGTACCGCGAATTCATCGACGTGCTCGCCCGCGCGTTTGCCGAGTACAAGATCTCTTCGACGCGCATTGACGTAAAGAACGGCATCGAGAAGTTCAAATCAGACCCGGCTATCGAGTGTTTCCTTCTGCATGCTAAGGCGCATTCGACAGGCCTCAACCTGGTGGTGGCAAGCCATGTGTTTCTTTGCGAACCGCTGATTAATACGGCCATTGAACTGCAGGCTATTGCGCGAGTTCATCGCATAGGCCAGTATCGTCCGACCACTGTGTGGATGTACCTGATCGCAGATACGGTGGAGGAATCGATTTACGACATCAGCGTTGCAAGACGGTTGGCGCATCTGAAGAACAATCCGCAAGCGCAAATCCAATCTCATGCAAATGGATCGGGAGTTGGCCCGTCTCGGTCTGGATCCGGTGCCGCGACGCCACGCAGTTCGAATCTCGAATTACAGGAAAACGCAATCGATGCTGCGAACTCAATGGAACTCCAAGCCGCGGATCTCTCCCGCCTGCTCGCGTCCGGCAAGACTGGTGGCGAAATGGTAGACAAGGAGGACCTGTGGGCTTGTCTGTTCGGTCGAGTCAAGAGGCGCGAGGAAGTCATGGGCTCCCTTCTAGATGTGCAGTCGGCAAATTCGGAGGTGGGAAGGCTCCTAAGGCTTGGGGCCGCCCAGCGAAGAATTGGGGATGATATTAGTGTTTTGTGAGAGGAGGGAAAAGGGAAGGGAAGTGCCATGAAGTGCAATGTAATGCAATGTAATGCAATGAGAAGGAACGCAGCAGACACGGATTTCCCCGGGAACGGAAGTGTTTCAGACAGTGAATTATACGCAATCCGACGGCACGGAATTGATGAATTGAACTTCCATTTGCTACTCCCCTGTTTTAGAGTTTCGGTGAAACCCATCCGCTGTCCCTCATGTCATATTGTGGTCCCAAAAAGTTGCTTCGTCAACAACCCAGTCCAGGCCGAGATACTCGTAACCAGTCGACTCATGTAAGTCGTAAACATCATCCCAACGCCGCTTTTCTTTTTGCCATCTTTCCAGGCCTTCTTCTTGTACCATGCCCGCCTCCGCTAACGCCTGACGGCTGATTCCTAAGATCTATTTTCGCGGTGCTCTAATCCAACTTCAAGTCCTCGTCACGGTGCCGAACTGCCTGCGTCACCCTCGAAAATGACCCAGAGCAGCGCCCAATTGAGGACCGCGATACCGGCAATGGCCCACCAGACGGCGCCGACACAGTTCCCACCCAGGCCGAGGCCTAAACCCCAGCCACCGAGTGTAGGGCCGAGGGTACGAGCGCCGGAGGAAACGCTTTGAGCGAAGCCGTGGATGGTACCTAGTACGCTGGGATGTGGTGTGCAGTTGTTGACCAGGATGGTGGTACCAGGGAGCGCGAAGGTACGGGAGATGACTTGGGACGTCAACACCAGGGTCAGTGTCGGCCAGATCAGTAGCGGCTTGTTCGGGAGCAGCGCCAGATACGGGATGGTCAGGTATGCGACGACTGAAAAGGGGAGAAAGACCTTGTAACTCGGTAGAGTTCCTAGTTTGGCGTTGACGGATGGGTATAGGAGGATCTGCAGCGGGAAACCAATGACACCGATGATGGCGGTAGCGAGACCAACGCGGTCACTACTGAGGCCTAGTCCGCCGGTGAAGAGAAAGGGGAGGCGTGAGTCTTTGTTGTTTGATCGAGGTGCCGGGAGAAAGAGGAAGATCAACGCATTGAAGGCTGACACGTGCAATGCAAGGAGGTGGTGAGAGATCAGCGTCAAGATAACGTTTTTGGTGAAGATCTGCCGAAAATTCAGGCTTGCTTTGAATGAAGAGGGAGGCTTGGGTGTTGGATCTGTGGACGACTCGGGATCTCGGTCTCTGATGTCGTCTCCAGTGGCCACGACGTCTTGTAACTCGACTTGATTGGTGAGTTGAGTGTATTCGTACGAGTCTCGCTGGCCACGGTGGAAGAGGTATCGATACAAGAATTTCCCAAGTTGGCGGCCATGATCTGGGTTGTTCCTCAGAGCGGGATGGGTTTCATCGAGTCCGAGCACGACGCAGAGTGCAGAGACGAGAATGAAGACGGCGCTGACCACGTTGGGGAGAGCGTACGGAAATGAAGACATCCATTTCACTCCGTCTTTTCCGCCGAGAAGGGATCCAGGTCCAAAGATGTGTGGAAATGAGGAGATGGGGTCGGCAAGAAAGCCACCCAAAATGGGACCGATGACAACACCTAAGACATGGTAAGTTGTGGAGGTATGAACGACCTGTGCGACCCATACCGATGTTGAAGCACATTGGCAAGAGAAGAAAGGCGCGGGACTGATATCTGAGTGACTCAGTTAGATGCAGGAATAATTTGGTTCCAGGGGGGTCCGTACTTCTTCTCCTTGATAATCTCGCTGATCATTGTTCTCATCACCCCCACGTTGCCATTCAAACATCCGGCGCATGCACGGAAGAATAACGCTTGAGCGAAGGATTTGGAGAAGCCCACACCAATACAACTCACACAGGTCCCGAACAAGCCAACCATGAGAACCCTTTTCCGGCCGATCCAAGGAGTATCAGCCGCTCGGCCCCACCATACCGCCGTCAAAAATTGTGCGGCCGCGAACGAAGCTGTCAGCATTCCTCCCTGGCTGGCAATCGTACTGTCTGGTAGGGACGAGTCAAAGAAGCGGAGTTGGTAGAACATGTATGCGGCGAGGGACCGTTCAGTAAGAGGCTCAGAAAGTCGTGCAATGGTAAGGACGGCGAGTTGGCTCTTTTTGGGTAAGGACGTCCATGTCACCGGGGCTTCGTTGGGAGATGGACTGGACGGTTCATGGGCCGAAGTTGCTGTTGCTATGGGGTCTTCCTCCTCATCAATGAATGAAGGACGGCGTGCCGTTGAAGATATGCCTGGGGCGAGAAAAATGAGTCTGGTCGGAGGAGCCTGGTAGGATTCATTCTGATGGAATGCCTTTGGCACATCTTCTGTGGTTGAGTCGGCCCTCGAGAGGGCCGAAGATTGTTCATCAAAGGAGATACTGTTTCCAGCTACATTGTGGTTATCTGGGCCGTGAGGGGGGTCCGCTGGCGGTGAGAGCATTCGTTGGGAAGAAGATGCCGGACGATATCATGCGGAGCATAGGCCGCTAAAGTGAAGCAATGAGGGCCTTGTGGAGCAATGATTACGGTTAGGACAAGGAAGATGAGTAGCAAACAATGTAGTGTTGTTGGAATGGAGTGTTGGACAATAAGAGATGACGACGAGAAGGCGAAGCGAAATCGGGATAAGCGGTGAAGATATTGAAGTGGCGGCCATTCGCCGGACGGGCGCGAGTTTTCATGCCTTGCGATCTCGGCTCAACCGTGCCGGCAAGGCTGACATTTGTCTTGGCAAGGCTGAGAGGTATCGTTTGTTCCCATCACGCGTCTCATCAGATCCTATCCCCATTTATCGGTTTCCATAGTCATCACTCATTTTCCAAGCAGTGCTTTTCCCTCCAAAGACTGACATTCCAGTTCCCGTATTGTATGCATACCACATAATCCTGATGCTTGACCATCTCCCATTCCTGTAAATATATAATCTTATTGATGGATGCCCTTGAAAGCCTCAACCTCATACCCGTTATCGGTGATCCTCGATACAGTAATGCCAACCACAAAACCTTCCACACACACACATATATACATCTATAATAACCTTCCTCTTCTTCAGGACGGCCTATCGTCCTTATATCCACCAAATCTGCTTTGTCAAAATTGTCCTTCCTCTTCATCCGATCCTAAAAATCGTACACTAAATCCGCTCATGCTCCCACAATGCCATGGCAGCCATGCAGTGCTGCTAGATGGGTATTTGCTTCCTTCTCGTTCTGCAAAGGGTCGACTTCGAACAAGGGGACGGGCATTGTTGAATCGTGTCACTTGAGTGACTTTATTCTCTGCTGTTCAAACGATGGCTTTCACCAAGGTGAACCAGTGCTGAACCGTTTCCACATCCATGGTGCATCCCATGTTGTCTGAATTCAATTGTCGGCTTGATCACCTTCCGTGGAGTGTCGTTCCTTGCCATGGCTCAAAGATCGGCAAATTTATACATATATCCATGGTGCCCTGTGCCCTGTGCCCATGTTCATCTGCTGCTGGGTCTTTCGGCTTTTGTAAGAGTCGACAGATTCACATACCCCCATCCTCTTCGAATATCATGTCTCTAATAGCACCAGACTAGTCTCAAGCTCTATGCGATGGAAGTTGTGTCCGAATAAATTGAGCGTCGGAGTCGACACTACCAACACCGGTGCACCCGGGTTCAAAAGCAAAGACTTCGGCTTCATATAATACCAGAATGTAGGCCACATGCAGCGGCAGTAAGGCATAGGCATATCTTTGGGTTGTTCAAAGCTGAATACGATGTGTACATGGGTGCTATCCCAGACTCACTCAAGAGTTGACGTCTGCTCGCCAGTCCAAGCGTTCAAATATTTTCCCGCATCTCCAAAGGCTTCTTCTTTCCTCTCAAGCGGAAAGACAAGCGATACCCATTCCGAGACCTGTTGAATCCCAATTTGATACATCTTCCTCAGAAACTCCTCATTGGATTAGAAGGTCTCGCAGTTGACCTCATAATGCTCCCGTAATGGTGTGATCACTGGTAAGCGGCCAATTTGTGGTTCCATAACGTATCGTCTGATTCATTGTTTCCCCCGAGAAATATTGTTGGCGAACACCGCATGGTGCTGTGGTATCGCACAAACAAGGCCATTTTGCCCAACATGAAGTGCCAGGGAGGATGCCGCAGTCTGCAATCGTGAGATGGGCTTGTGATATAAGGGATGGCGAATTCCCCTAAAAGATTTCTGTGTTGATCGTTCGTGGCGACCTTAACGATATTAGCTTCAACACCAAATTTCAATATAGTAGATCGCAATAAATTCTCCTTGAATGCGAGAATAAATTTGAATTCTATCTCAAAGGGTGTGGCGTGGATACGAGGTGGTGTCGTGGTGGTGTCGGTCTTGATTCTTGCATTCCTGGGCCGTCTGGAATATGATCGACCGGCCCTGGCGGTGATATGCAGAGCCAACTTTTGTGTCGTAGTTTTGCTTGTTGTCTTGTTGGCGTTGGGTCGAAACCGACTCGTAAATCTAGCCGTCTTGATTGATATAGCTAGGAGGTATGAAAATCGAGTGGAGGAATCCGTCAAAATGGGTGACCTTCACAACTATCCATCATGAATCCGGCGGTGCTCCTGGAGTATTTTATGAGAAACGGTTTCCTAAGCACTCAGGTATTCAGCCCTCGCCGGCAGGACATTTCATAGCTGGTAATGGGGAATGCGAACCACGTGCGGACTGCGGTGGCCCCCTCCGTAGAGGATGCCTGTGCTAGATAAAAGCGATCGATAGCTAGACGAGATCATTTCCACGATGAACTATTCTGGCTAAAGACGAGTGGCTTGAGCGAGAGAAGCTATTGTGGTTCCAAAAAGAGCTGGTCGACAGCCGAGCCGTCAATTCTTCATATTCCGTTTTGGTGCACGACCTTGTCATACGGGTGGCACCGACTGAGAGTAGGAAGAGCTTTGAAAAACTCAATCTTCCAGAGCTACATGCTCTGTAGGCGGATCGCGGAATGTCACCTCCACAGCATTCTCAACTGGAGCCTCGTATGACCCAGAGATCGTTGATTGAGGCGTTGATTCGTTGAGAAAACCATCTGGTGAATTTCGAAGATAGACATTGAATGTATGGGAAGTTTTCTCAACATCACCTGCGAATATTTCTCATGATTCAGCAAGACTAGATTCAAAGATCGGCCTTCAGGTCGTCGCATCGTTGGGATACCATGCCATAGCTTGTCCCAATTGACCTGCTCCCGTGTTAATTAGACCATGGTCGACGAAACCTGCTTTCTTGTACATAGGAATTCCCTTGACGCTTGCAACAAGGACCACCGGCAGATTGTCCAGCGCCGCGATATCTTTAACCTGCTCAATTAGAGCTGATCCAATCCCACGTCTCTGAAAAGACGGATCGACCGATAAGTGATCCACGTCCCAATAGTCTTTGATGTCGGCGAGAGGGCCTCTGTCACCAGTGGTACGGGCAAATTCCGCCATGTTTGCTCTTGATATCGATTTGTCGCCGTGGCTCAACCAAAGGAATAATTCCTCAACACGAAGAAGTCGAAGTTCCAATGCTGTGGATGTCAATCAAAGTGGATGATCAAATCTACGAGAATCATTCATACCGTTCCAAGAGAACCACGGTTTCTTCGACGACTCTGTGTTCTGCTTACTTGATATGACAGAGACATGCCCCAGGATTTTCTCCGTGCCATCCCACCAAGAATCTTTTTCATCCGATACCGCCGCGAGAAGGACATGGCCACTATAATAACGGTGTTTGGCGCGTCTCAGGAATCCTTGACGAAGACACTCCGGATGCTCATGGCGATAGGGAGCCAGAAATAGGGTCAGTTCGTCATCGAACATGGCGTCTCTCGCGACAGTAGCCACCTCGGAGAGATCTTTGCGTTGGACAGGCCTGATATGCATATTGGATTTCTTGGAATAATGCCGAACTGGGAATAGAGGATGTGATAGTTCTACCAAGAGAGATGGCTGGCACTGAGGAGAGAGGTACGAGAGAACCTTTTTTTTATATCCATAGCTTGTGAGTCAGAATCGGCCTGTCACAGCAGTGGGCTAGTGAACTTCATTCTCTGCCCACCGACGTGCAACGTGGCATCAGGTACACTACAAGATACTAGAGAACGGCAGTAAAACATGATCACCCACAATTTGGACATGATTCTATGATGGTGGAATGGAGGGGACTGACAAGCAGCTAATAGGGAATAACTTTGCGGTAATATGGAAGAGATGATTTGACCGGCTGCTCGGTGGAGGCTCGGGCCCAACCAAATGATCGCTTGACTTTGCCGACCGGCGACCGACAGGTACGTCGAGTACATAGTCCGGGGGACTATTATCTATCGTAGCCTGATCTCCCCACCAAACCTCGACATCCTATCCTCCCCTTCATCATTCACCGTAGAGCGGGCAACGATGAGCCGATGTGTGGCCCGAAGAGCGGCCAAAGGGGCGTCGTCTGTTCGCTACTATAGTATTGTTCACGATGTCCCTCCAGTCGCAGCCAGCTTGGGCCAGACTCTTCCCCCGAAACCCCAGGGTCAGTCTGTCTTCGACCAAGCAGTCAATGCCACCGGACCTCGAAACAACTGGACCAAGGAGGAGATCTCCCAAATACACCAAACTCCGCTGATGGAGCTGGCGCTCGCTGCTGTAGGTCAATCGGCTTAGGGTCTCAGAATCTTCTCTCATGGTAGTCTACAGGGTAATGTTCACCGCCGCTTTCATAAACCTTCGGCCGTTCAACTGTGTACCTTGATGAACATCAAGACGGGCGGTTGCACGGAAGATTGCTCTTACTGTGCCCAATCCTCTCGATACAAGACCAATCTGCAAACAACCAGACTTTCCACCGTCGATTCCGTCATTGAAGCCGCAAAGATCGCCAAAGCCAATGGATCAAATCGTTTCTGTATGGGCGCTGCCTGGCGTGATATGCGGGGGCGGACGAGGGGAATGAAGAATATCGTGGAAATGGTGAAGGGAGTACGGTCTTTGGGTATGGAAGCCTGCGTCACCCTGGGCATGCTCGACAAGCAACAGGCCATGGAGTTGAAAGAAGCCGGCTTGACGGCCTATAACCACAACCTCGACACCTCTCGCGAACACTATCCCAACGTGATTACCACACGAAGCTACGACGAGCGATTACAGACCCTGGAAAATGTCCGTGAGGCCGGCATTCATGTCTGCAGCGGGGGTATCCTGGGATTGGGCGAAACTCCACGAACTGACCATGTCGGTCTGATCTATACACTAGCCACGCTTCCCGAACACCCGGAATCATTCCCCGTCAATAAACTTGTCCCTATCAAGGGTACCCCGATGTTCGGTCAAGAACCCGTGAAACTGGAAGACATGGTGCGATGCATTGCCACAGCCCGCCTCGTCATGCCCAAGACCATCATCCGAATCGCAGCAGGAAGGGTCAGCATGCCTGAGAGCGAGCAAATGCTCTGCTTCATGGCTGGCGCGAACGCGATTTTCACAGGCGAAAAAATGCTCACGACCGACTGCAATGGCTGGGATGAGGATAAGGCCATGTTTGAACGATGGGGCCTGACACCAATGCAGACTGAGGCAAGCAAGATCATTGAGGAGTCCAAGTTTGAAGGTCGAAATTTTGCTGATCTACGTGATGAGAGTAAAACAGCTCCCCAACCACGGGCATAGAATATATGACCGCCAAAAAGTATATAGAGAGAGAGAGAAAGAGGGATACATCATTCCCAAGAAATAGATGAAATGATAGTATCAGTTCCACGTGACAAGTCATCCCATGTGATGGTTCTTTCTTCTCCGTTCAGAGCTGTCATTCATTTTCAGACCTAAGGACCCTATTTTAATTTATGCAGTGTATGTTCCACTCCGCCAACCTCGACCAAAGCAGAAGTCCCGACTAACACCGCCAGTGATATGATGTCTTTCCACTCCTCTTGCAAACTACCAACTTAAATACTTCCGGCCCTTCAACCTCCTTCGCTTCAAGATCTCCCGTCCACTTTTCGACTTCAACCTCGCCAGGTATCCGTGCCGGCGCTTTTGAACACGTCTGGAGGGATTGTAGGTGTCGCTTCGTCTCCGATAGCCGAGCAGGGCAGGAGTTGACGAGAAAGCACGCGATGACGTAGACAGACGGGGTTGGAGGGATGTGGTCGATGTGGATGGGCGGAGAGTGTTTGTGCTGAGCAGTGAAGGTCTTGGGGTTGTGTTATTCTGGAGGGATAGAGCGTTGAATGAACGAGATAGAGAAGCAAATGGTGTCAAAGTACGTGCCGGCGGCGGAGTGACAGTCAGGGTTGGATTTGATATCCATCGAATTGTTGTGAGTGTTCTATTGTAACAGCCATGTTAACGTCGATGTTTCGGTCGTTGTTCTTCTTCTGGGTCCACCAATGGAGTTCACTCACCTTCGGCTGGGGGTGGAATGAAGCCGAGAAGGCATCGTGTCGAAGACGCACTTGACCATGCGACCACATATGCGACACATCCTTGCTGATGGAGGGTGTCAAGGATCAAAGGGGGAAGACGACCGTAGTGGTGGTTGGAAGAAGTCAATGCTCCCTCCGTTGGTCTCCATGTCAGTTTGGAAAAAACGTGCCTCGCCGCACTTGCCTGATTCGGCGCGCATGGATTTCGGGCCTCGTCCTATCCTGCACCCATCTTGACAATCTCATGCCGCCATCTACCTCTCATTCCAATCACTTGAGCCTTTCCGCTTTCGCTTGAGTATCCGGCCTTGGGAATGGCTTCGTTTCTGCAGATGCTAGGTGACTTTCCTCGTGTTGGCTCTCTCCCCTCCCACGATACCAATTCCCGCTAACGTGGTACAGCGCCTTGCGGTATTCCTCGACCGACCAGGTTTTCCGTGGAAGAGGCTGATATTGGGATTTTCGCTGGGCCAATATGTTCTGGAGGGCCTCCTGTCTCTAAGACAATATAAAGTTCTACAAAGGAAGAAGCCGCCGAAGACCTTGGAGGGTGAGATATCGCAGGATGTGTTTGATCAGAGTCAGGTACGGCCTTCCTAAGCATACCAAACGGTGTGCGTGCTCATCTCGTGTCCAGGCGTATGGTCGTGCCAAAGCAAGATTCGGTTTTGTTTCTGGGCTTTACTCACAGATTCAAAACGTCCTATTCATCCAGTACGACGTCTTACCAAAGCTCTGGTCGATAACAGGTGTCTGGCTGGCCCGTTACCTGCCTCAGCGATTTTCCGGCCAAATTGCCCACTCAGTACTCTTCTTCTTGACGTTTAGCTTCATCTCGCAAATTCTGGCGCTACCGACCTCCTACTATGGGACCTTTGTGTTGGAAGAGAAGTTTGGATTCAATAAGCAGACGGTCAAACTGTGGATTACGGATATGTTGAAAGGCCAGGCCCTGATGGTGGTATTGGGGACGCCATTACTCAGCGCTTTTTTGAAGATCATTCAAGTCACCGGCACGAGATTCTTCTATTATCTGTGGTTGTTCGGAATCGTCGTCCAGCTGTTTGCCATCACGATCTATCCCATCTTCATCCTTCCGTTATTTAACAAATTGTCACCTTTGGAACCTGGAGACCTCAAGTCAGGAGTCGAAGCGCTCGCTTCCAGACTCAAATTTCCTCTCAAATCGCTCTACGTCATCGATGGAAGCAAAAGAAGTGCGCATAGTAATGCGTACTTTTTTGGCCTCCCCTGGAAGAAACATATCGTGATTTACGACACATTAATCGAAAAGAGTGAGCCTCAAGAGGTTGTCGCAGTTCTGGGTCACGAGCTTGGACATTGGAGTCTTTCGCATACCACCAAACTATTTGCTATCGCCCAGGTAAGGTTGACCCCTTGGCGGTACATTTGCTCCTCGGACTGATTTGCGCCAGTTTCATATGTTCTACATCTTTGCCCTCTTCAGCATCTTCATCGACAACAACTCCCTCTACTCGTCTTTCGGTTTCCACGACTCCCATCCAATCATTATCGGCTTCATTCTCTTCTCTGATGCTCTCGCCCCAATGGATGCAGTAGTGAAACTGCTGATGAATGTCCTCTCTCGCAAATTTGAATTTGAGGCTGATACCTTTGCAAGGAATCTGGGATACCAAAAGGAATTGGCCAGGAGCCTGATCAAGCTGCAGGTGCAGAATCTGAGTACCATGGATGCTGATTGGATGTACGCCAGTTATCACTATAGCCATCCTATTTTGGCGGAAAGACTGGCGGCCTTGGGATGGAAGAGCTCAAAATCGGCACCCAATGGAAACATCGTTGAATTGGATGAACAAGTCGTCGATGCGGACGTTGTGAAGGCGAAAGATCGAGAGTTGTGATGAGTCAAGCCGCCGAGGTTTGGTGCTTTGATTAGACTGTTGATGTCTTTCATGATGTCAAACTGGGTGGAAAAGTTGAAGTCCGAATTGGAGGAGGAATGGGAGAAGAAAAGTCGTCCCGTGGTCTCTCGTCTCACAAAAGACTGAAGAGTGTACGTCTGTCCCGTCCTACCCTTCCTCGTATGGATCAAGTGGTTTGATCCAGGAAAATGCTCTTTTGGGAAAGAGCCGAGTCCCCGTGTCGAGCGTTTGAGTGTCTGAGAGAGGATACCCATGATGTAGTGCACGTTCGAGGTGCGATGGAGACGATGGAATGTCGTTTGATAAATAGATGCCATAGTCAAGATCCTCAGTTTTATCTTGTCTGCCGGGACAGAAAATCCTTCCGTCTTTTCACTCTTTGTTCTTCCTTTTTGTCTTCTTCTCCTCCGCTCTTTTGGCTTTATTCTCTTTATCCCGCAACTTCTTCAATCTCTTCCGCTCCTCTTTATCTTTCTGGCTTAGGCCCTTGGGGGTCGGCTCTGACTCTTGCTGCCCGTGCCTAGGATCAACGGCTTCCCCGGTCCCTTCAATCTCCACCCTCACCAGCTCCTCTTCCTCAGTTTCATCTGTGGGCTGCTCGAGCTCTGCGCCAGGGTGGCGATCTGTTTGTGCTAGTTCAAAGGCGTCCTTTTCCTGCCAGTCTTCAGATTCTGATGCCACGGCTAACGCTGGGTCGTCATTTTCCTCGTCCACGAGCTCCTCCGCATCGTACACTTTGCGCTTGGACTTCTTTGGCGTAGTGCCTTCTGTTTCTGCGCCTTCGTTGTTGAAAGTTCGTTTCTCTAACTTTTGCTTCTTGTGGCCGTTAGCATCTTCGAGTCTGTCTGCCTCCTCGCCAGTTCTGCCCAGTTCGCGCCCCAAATCGCCGCCAACTCTCTTTCCTTCGATTCCCGTAAGAATACGCTTGAGATGGTGAAGTGTGAGATTGGGGTTCGAGCCGGTCGAGAGAGCCTGAGGCCCCCGCTCCGAGAGCGTCGAGTCCGGACGGTATGCGGCATCTATGTCCGCTCGTTCTAGGAAACAAGAGAGAAAAGTATGCGCTTCGCGGTGAGTAAGGCGGGTCGTATTGTGGATGTGATGGGGGGGAAGGGGGATTAGACCAGCCATGACTCCTAAGTAGTGAGGATGGAAGAGAAGAGGTTATATAGGACTACACACACCTAGAGGGAGTCCGGACTCGAATGCCACACAAAAAATTACACGGTCATTCCCAGTTCAAGTCAAGCTGGGTCAATTCTGCCGACACAATCACGTGCTGATAAACGATCAGATAATATTCCCCACTCCATTTCTCTCAATGGGTGCAGTATCTGGGGGACCTCGGTTTGTCTTCATAAACTCAATGGCATCAAGAAGGACTCCGAACTGTAGGTAGGTCTGGAAAGACGGAAGCACGGTAACGGGAATACTAATCCGGGGCATAAACAACACCGCTATCCTCCTATTCCATTTCAAATCTTACTCGAACGTATCTTCTTTACAGATCTCCGTCCCTCATCCTTGTTCCACAGATTCCAAAAGCCAAGGGCATCAGCATCAGTATCACCAATGCCTCTCGCAACAATCCACCTGATCTCCCTCACGAGGTCTACCAGCATCTTCTCCTTCCTCGAAGCCCTCCAATCCACCTCCCTCCAACCCCTCGTTGTCAGTAAAGTGATCCGCTGGATAATCACGCCTACAAAAATCGACGCGCCAACACTCCTCCGCCCCTCGAAGCCATGGGACCTTCTTCTCATCGTGCTGGGCAACGACGAGTTGTCGCCTTCTCTCAAATCTCAAATTGAATGCCATTGGACCACCTCAGCAGGCATACCCTCGCGACTGACTAAGGGCTTCCCCTCCGCCAACGACAAACTCTTACACCCGTCTCCATCATCCGTACCCGCGCTGACAGGCTCCCTGGATAACCCGCGCATGGGCCCTTCTTCGCAAACGCTCGAGATGTCCTCCGACCTCTCTAAATGGATCAACTCCTTCTCACAGACACACACAGGTAAAGCGCCACTGTCCATGCTGAATCTGCTCGCCTTCAAGCCCGGCATGAAACCCTCGTATCTACAGTACGGTAAAGCGTTCGCCGAAACCATCGGCGCACGGCGCGGAGGCAATGCAAAGCTCGTGGGCAACATTGTCACGCAGACGCCGAGGGAGCAGAGCGGTGGGGTGTGGGATGAATTCGCGCTCGCGAGTTATCCGTCAATATTGCATTTTGCGGACATGTTGAGCAGCGAAGACTATCAGAGCGTGAATCTCAAATATCGCGTGCCGGCGCTCGAGGATACGTTCATTCTGTGTACGAGTGAGATTGAGGTGGAGGATTTGATGAGGATTGGGAAGAGGGCGATGGGGAAGTTGTAGAAATGTCAAGAGTGAAGAATTCTATACAGAGCATCTGATATCTGACATTTGATATCGAATTTGAAGAACCTGCCTCAGCAAAACTCTTTGCATAGACCGAATGACTTACCGGAACGGCCTCCTAGGGTAAGCTGAAAGATGGTGGATTGTACATGATGTCTTCCCGGTACTCTTTTTTCCTCTTCCGGCTGAACCGTGTTTGACCATAGCACGGCCTACTTTTTCCAACAGGTGTGAAAAGAGTCACCCAACTTGCCATATCCTGATCAACATTGTCTTACCTGTCGAGCTTACCGCAATAAAGCTTCGGCATTCACTTAGCCTGGGAACTGTCTTCCTTATCCTCAATCCCCCCTATCTTCACGAGTTTTTCGACTCCTACACTGCATCTCCGGTATCCCACCGCTTAGTGGTTAACTCACCTTTCCTGCCATTCTAGGGAATCTCGCACGATCGGATTCTTACAAAATAGAGGATCACAACTGGCAGGGTGTTGATAATCAGCCTGCCCGAGAGATCCCAACTTCTTTACTCTCTCCCACCTATATTTTCGTCTCTCGACCGGGAGATCCAAGTAGTCGAACAGTTCTTTGAGACTTCGCTTGTCAGTTCCAAATACAGGAGCGTATTTCCAGGCCTGCTGCAGCGTCGGCCTCTGTCGGTCATAGTTTTCTTGCCGGGACACGAGTCGGATGAGCGAAGACGGCAGAATAATCTGGTGTGATTCCCAGTTGGCTTTGCATTCTGCGGCACGCATCAAAGCCATCACGCATATAACCCATTCGGTAACATCTTCAGTTGATAGTGTGCCGTGTCATTGACGGAACTCGGCCGTCTTTTCTCGTCTGAGCGCATGTTACAAGTGTTTGACAAATTCACAAATCTATCACGGTTCGGATAGTTAGACACACCGTCATCCATCAGCGTGAACAACTTCCTGCGAGCAAGCTCTTCGTCCAGATTTTGGTAATCGAAGATCTTGACGAAGGCTTTTTCGGCGGAGAAGGAGGAATTCAAATGGCAGAGATGATGGTTTCTCTTACGGAGTGCAAACGTGCGATTGGATCTAGCCGCCTCACAGCTCTTTGTGTACAGGTAACCTCTGCGTCCGGGGCGGAGGAAGAGAAGGGTAATGGTATCTTCAAACCAGACAGAAATCCAAGAGAGGTGTCTCAAAATCTCCAAGGGAATACCCACCAACCCACCAGACTCAGGGACAGGAGGGTAGGCCGATATGGACATGGACACTGGCGTTCTCTGGGCCAGAGCCGAAGAAATAAGGAACTTTGGGGGGCCGTCTCTTTGTCATGAGCTTGGGGTAATTCTGCACCTCCCCAAGGACTTCAACTTCAGCCCTGGAGCCTTCCAATCTCGGTGCTTTCAAAATGGGAGAGATCGATTCAGGTTGGGACGGTTCCCAGCCTTCATGCTTGTCAACTGTACCTTCTGACCATAGCGACATTTGAGGATCTTATTCAGGTATTAAAACGGCCCTATCGGAGGTTAAATTCCAACGTTTGAAATTGTCATTGTCGTGTGTGGGCATTAACTTGGCTCCAATATCACCACCTCGTCGCCCGGAGAATTGTGGCTGCTTGGAGTAGACCTCGATATTCTTCATGCACATCATTGAAATGTCTGTCTGGTCCAATCTGATCATCATCATCAATGACGTACCTCTGTGGGCGTAATAACTTGTGCCTAGAATTCGTACAGACAAGATGCTGTTGAATGCCAAAGAGAACTTCTATCTCGACGTCAAACGTGAAGGGAAGATGATTTGGTGCTGCAGTTGAACTCTCCATACTGGCAGGTCTTGATCAGTTTTGCTTGATGCGGTCGTATTGATGCTGCCGAGCACAGGACGTACAACGAAGGATTGGTTTGTCGGTGATTGTTTCCCTGTAAAACTGTCTTTTTGAATAGCTGAAAGCGGTAAACAAAGAGGTTGTTCGCTGCAGCTGCTCGAAGTGAGCTCCTGGAATTGCCTGAGCGCAAGCTATGCTTTGTGTTGGCATCGATGTAGTATGTGTCTGTGGTGTGTAGGTCAACCCGGTAGTGAAGACGTTGGAGACGGCTTTCAAAGCGATTTGCGACATAGGTGACCTAGCGGGTAGTAACGATAATATCGAACTGTGAACGCAAGACGGACTCGATGAAAAGCTGCGGTAAACCCCGTTCTCGCTGAACGGTGCAATAGAGTGGTATTTGGCATCGGTTCGGTGTCTTTGACAGACCTATATAACATACCCCACGGCCAAAGTCGCGATTCCACCAACTGTGTACAACAAGTTCCAAGAATTTTATCAGTTGACGTACACTCGTAAGCAACCGTGAATTTTGGTTGCGTCAAATCGAGGTCCTCAAGGCCCTCGAGGCCGCGAATCAGATAGTCGGAGGTGTCTGACCATTCAAAGGTTGGAGGGGTCCGTCTTGTCTGTCGACGACGTTCACTCCATCCTCGATTGACATGACTGGGCTCGGTCGGTGGACACAGCGCTGTTCTTCAAGGGAAGAGCTCGACACGCAGAGTTTCTGAGCCTCCCAGAGTGGCCTTTCCGAATACTACCGAGCATTCGCGACAACTCCCTTTGTCAACAATTGGTCCAGGATTCCCGGCTTCAGTCCCATCTGTTTCTCAACCTCCCGGGATGTTCTGCCCTTTTCATCTCGTAACGTCAGTGCTTCTCTGATATCCTTCGCACCCAAAAGAGTTCGACCCGGGAAGCTGGGTCTGCCCCGGTTATCTATTTCTGATTCCCATTGCTTGCTGATTCTCTGTCGTGCCTTCACAAGCATCATGGCAGGGTTGTTTGGAGAGGATGGGAAAATGTTCTGTCCTAGTTGCATCGGTTGACTGGAAGTTGGAAATGCTTCTTCATGCGGTCGAGCCTCTGAGGCCGGTTTTGCAGGTCCTATTCTTCGCAGTGCCGAACCGAAATGTGGATCACGTCCATCGAGTTCGATGTGTGAAGATTTCTCTTCTGTCGGAGGTGAGGCGGTTGGGTTGGGGTGAACCTGAGATGGAGCAGAAGGTGTGGAGGATGGAGAAAGCGCATTGGGAGCCGAAGGCGCGTTGTTAGTGATGGATGAAGTGGAAGGGTATTGCCGCCGGGCTGCAGCTCCAGCAGCTTTGCTAGCGATTTTGGAGGATGAGGAGCCCATTGGGATGACCTCGACACTGAAGAATGAATCGTCTCTCTGATGCTAATTGTACAAGTTACCGTAGTATCCACTTCAACCCGACGAGGCTGAGGCTCTCTCACGGTGTCATTCTTGGCCGGGCCTCCCAACTGACCAATGGCGACATTCATTTGAAACAACCCAAATGCCATGAGCAACCGCGTTTTCCTCTTTCGGCCACTTTGAACTACTTCAGGTTCGCTCCCCTTGTTATAATCGTTCCGAGTTTTCCACCTAGTGAAGGATATCAACCCTAATACTCTTCTCTCAAAGTCAGCCGAAGCCAGCTCACCCGGACAGGCTCCCGTTCTTCAAATCCACCCGTCCACCCCCCCCACCACCCCGCGCAACGCCTCCATCATGGAGCGAAAGAATAAACCGGCCTCAATCCCCCTCTCACCACACATGGCGCAACCAATTGTCGACGTAAGCGATAACGTCCTCACTGCACGTCTCCCCAGTGGTGACTCTGTTACGGTCTATCTCTACGGCGCCACCGTCACATCTTGGAAGACTGCCGACGGACAAGAACGACTGTTCCTCTCCGATGCCGCAGCCCTCGATGGTTCCAAGCCCATTCGCGGCGGGATTCCACTTGTCTTTCCTGTCTTTGGCCCTCCCCCCAAGTCCCATGCCACAGGTCAATTACCTCAACATGGTTTTGCGAGAAATAGTTATTGGGAATTCTTGGGGAAGAGCAGTAGTGAGAGTCTGGGCCGCAGGGCCGATGACAGTGTCAAGTTGGACTTTGGTCTGAGTAGTTCAATGCTTGATGAGGCCGTGCAGAAGAAGTGGCCATATGAATTTGGTCTCGTGTACAGTGTGACCTTGGGCAAGGGGAAACTGGAATGTCAAATGTATGTTCAGAACAAGGGGGATCAACCATTTGAGTTCCAGTGCCTCTTCCATACATACTTAGCCGTCAAGGTAGGAAGAACCGGGGTCTATAAAGAGGTCATGTCATTGCACTGACAGAGCTTTGTGAACAGGACATCAGCCAAACCGCCGTTACAGGTCTCCAATCCTCGCCCTATGTTGACAAAGTCCGCTCCGCACAGACCTTCACCGAATCCTCTTCTTCCTTGTCCTTCACATCCGAGACCGACCGAGTATACACCCCACCCGCTCCAAAAGACAACACACTTGTTCCGCTCGTCGTGACGGAAGATGGCGTAGAGACCTTTGTAGTGACTCGAGATGCACTCCCTGATGTGACCGTGTGGAATGGTTGGGCCGACAAGATCAAGGGCATGGGTGACTTTGAACCCAAAGACGGCTGGAAGAGATATCTCTGCGTCGAACCGGGGACGGTGAGTTCATGGACGAAACTCGAGGCTGGTGATGCGTGGGAGGGTGGCTGTGCATTTGAGAGTAAATTGTGATTGGGGCCATTGCATACACCACCCAACCCTTTGAACTTTCAATGCACTATCTGAAGACGAGAAGAAGGGGAGAATTGCGAGAATTCCATTTGAGCAAGCAGGAAGTTATCCGGGGAAAAAAGGGGGGAACCGGAGCTGGCAGGACGGGCGATGAATCGGGATATTAGCAAAAACGAAGATATGAGCCTGAGAGATCAAACGAAATGAGATGAGGTGAGGTAAGATGGAAGAATACCATCCTGCACAATTTGCTAGAAAATGTTTCATGACTAGGGCCGCAGGGCAAGTTAGAGCAAGACAAAAAGCCTCTGATAAGTATGGCAGTGGGAGAAATATGTGCTCTTGGAGAATTGTCGAAATCGTACACCTATGCATGCTGAATAGAAAGAGAAAGCTAGATTTCAGACCTTCAGATTTCTTACAAAGTCAAAATCCGATTTGAGCAATGAGCGTTTGGAGCGTTCTGAGTAGAGTATCGCATTTCGAAGCAGAGTCCGTCGATTTCATACATCGCATTACCTTAATTTTTTTTAACTATTCCCTTTTCTTTTCTGCACGATACTCTTGCACAGGGTGCCTGGAAACGATAATAAACCAGATTCGTCACCATCACCATTTTACACAGTATGGTGAGACTGGGTATGTACGTCGAAGAGAATAGAATTCGAGTCCGAGTCCGAGTCGAGTCATGGTCTAGAATTGATAGTCGGATAGTCGCAAAGCAGGGATAGGAAACAATCGGTACCAGTATCAGTTCGAAGTGCCGGGACCGGTCTCCTGTCCCGAGCTCGAAGTATCAGTAACACTGGCAGCTTGGCTCCGAGCCCTCGCTTCACGAGCCCTCAAGGAAGCTTGATTTTCCTGATCTACGAGTTTGTCCCAGGCTCAAAGTTAGCAAATTTACACGCATATAGATATGAGATGCTTAAAAGACGCAGACACACAAAGAAGAAGGGAAAGGGGAAAACTGGAAGGCCGCAACTCACATCTTTCCCAAAGCACGTAACTCGTCACAATCAAGATGGGCAGCCCGACCATTCCCTTGACCCAGTTCCGCGAGAGGGCGCGGTACTTGGGGTCTTTCTTGAGTTCTTCGAGCGGCATTTCTGTTGGTTTCAGCGCCGGCCGCGACCCCGACGGGGATTCCTGTGCTTGACGACTGGCTTGAGCGCCGACTTGAGGTATGGAGGGTGGGAATTCCGGCATGGGGATGTGGCCGCGGCCCTGGCTTGGTCGTTGTTGGGCGGCGCGACGGGCGGCAAGAGCGATGGTCGTGGAGTGCGGGAGCGGGGAGGGAGGATTGCTCGCAGATTGGGATTGAGATGGAGACTGGGAATGGGAGTGGAATTGGGGATTCGAGCCGGCCATCGGAAGTACATTGATTGTGGTGGATGTTGTGGATGGTGTTGGGTGTTGCATGGCCGGAGACGTCGTCGGGATTGACGGGGAGGGTTCTAAACTCACGATTGTCTTTGTGATTGTCGAGGTTGAATCGGGTGTCGAATTCGACTTCGGTTTCAATTTCGATTCGACCTTAGAGAGTGGTTCGGGTCCAGCCACTTCAGCCTTGTTTGTAATCATGGATTGACGTGTGCTCTGAACTATCGATTCTGCGACGGTCTCTCCCGCAGTGATCTTTGCGGCAACTTCCTCTAACGCTGCCAACTTCTGTGGCCGAAAGTCTTGCTGGACAAGACTTGAAGCACACACAGCTTGCCGGTCCTCGATGAGCCGGAAAATGCTTTGATTTAACTCATTCGAAGCCTTGGTAAATGCTCTGACTTGCTGCAGAATCTCGGAGACAGACGCTCCCGGATCTTCAGAGGTTGATATTAAGCCTTTCTGATTCCGGAGACGGCCCTTGACATTAGCTGTAGCTGAGACCTTCCTTTTCGACGTAGGTGAAGAAATGGCACTGGAATCCTCAATGGATGACTTTGCGGATTTCGACTTTGATTCCACTGCTTCCCGCTTCCTTTCCCGTAGTTCCGTACTGACCACCTCCTCACCGGTTGCTGGTGTTGTGGAAATTTTCACAGCTTTCCTCTTCGTGGCCGCTGCAGTCTTAACTTCAGACACATTTTCCACAGCAGTCCCTTTCTTTTCTGTGGAAGAAGTTGACGAAGGAGTTGATGGCGATGACGATGATTTCCTGGCCGAAGTCGCCGAAGGTTGTGCCCGTGACTTTTGCAGAGATGAACTAGTCGAACCCGCGTCCGACTGCAAAACAACAACATTGTCTTCAGCCAGAGTAGTGGCAACCTTTTTCGGAGGTCGCCCTCTCCTCTTCGTCGTTGCTTCTGCCATGTCCCTGTTCCTGTCTCGATGAGGCGCTCCAGCGGAATATACTGGAAATGAAGTTTTTGGCATAAAGACGCGTTCTCGACGCGCGCGGGAAAAAAAATTAATAGTATCTAATTTCGCGGTGGGGCGGCCTAAATCGATGCAAAACACTTCCTGCGGCATCGTGGCCTGCTCTTCATCTGCATCCCTGGCGTCCCCTCACACCCAAGAGATCTGCAGCTGCGATTGGCTGTTATTGGAGTGCCAGTTACAACAAAGTCGTTGTATATGAAGTGATGTGCTCTATGGGGGAATCTTTATACGTTTGAAAAAGGGAAATGCCGGCCCGCTACACAGCGGGAAGACTGCGCAAGTTCATTGCAAGGGATTATCAAATGATTACGGTTCCTACCGGCACTCCATTTCTATCAGGATGAAGCCGAAAGGATGCTATTGTACATATGCAATTTGCTGCTCTCGCTCGCTATGCCGTGTGTTTTTGTTTTTGTTTTTGGTATACAAAAAGAAGAAACAATGAACCTCTTCAATCCCCTTAGTCTCTTGATCTCCTCCCCTGTTTGCCAGTCCCATTCTTCTTCTCGTCGATGTTAATGATTGTTCCAGGTCCTGGTGATTCTCCTCGCAGTCCTCTTGGGTCCACTCTAAATCGCGAACTCTTTGGTCGGCCAGGAGAAGAGAAACGTCGTGGTGGAGTCATGGCCATATCACCATCTTCGACACAGCTCGTGTTATTGACGATTCCATGTCCATGGTTGAAATCCGATGGTCCATTCATCAACGAATAGCTAACCCATGTGTCTTGACGTCGTTGTCGGCCATTTCCAGACTGCGGACCATTGGGGATTGCTCGAGGTGGGAGAAGCATGCCAAATCCAGACGGTGAGCCGTGTGTCTCATGAACATCATAGGTAGGGCCACGCATTTCCGGATGAGGACTCAATATCGGTTGATGTTGATACATTTCTTGTTGACGTTCATCCAGATCCATGAGCAAGGCATGAATATCGTCGAAAGTCATGTTAAAATTCCATTGGATTCCTCGTGCTGCTGCTCTCTTACGAATATCGCTCAAAGCATTGCGATCATCTCTCAGGGGTTCCTCATATGCTTTCTTCATTGGACTTGATGGCTGTGGCGGCTGTAAAATTTGCGGATGTGGATCGATACGGATGGTGCTTCGTCTTCTTGTCGGCCCAACCGGCTCAGACACCAAAACGTCACTCGGTCGACGGTGACCGGTTGTGACCGGAGACGGGTTCGAACCTCGAGCGGCGCGCCCATGCCCGGGGTTTGTGAAGAGTTGAGAAAGTCTTTCTGCGTCTGTGGCACGAATGATCGTATTGACAGGTGTCGACAACAACTCTACTTCGGATACTGACCGCGTGAGATCAACCGGATCGTACAGTGTACCTTCAGACACTTTGTTCGGCAATAGCGCTCGTGCCAGCTCCACAGAATTGGTCCGATCAGTCTGCAGTGGCTCATTCTTTTCACATTGACACCAAGCTTGCGTATAGATGCGCCAATCCTGCAGACTTCCTGGCACGACCTCATCCTCGTCGTCCGAATCTGGCATCTGTCGAGCAATTTCTGCAAAAGCAAGAAGCCGACTTGAAGGACTCAGGCAAGACAGGTTACAAGGTTCCTGAGTGTCTGACGCTTGGGGAACTTCTGCAGCGCTCCCTGAAGTTGTGTGACTGGGCTCTGGTTGGCTTAGAGACTTTCCCTCTGTGGCACTTGATGTGGAAACCCCCTGAGCAGGCTGCGGGGCTAGACCAAAGACGTCCGAAAGCCTCTTCGACTTCAATATGATGACTTTGGACTTCTTCTTGGGTGGAGTCCCAGCTATCTCGGCGTCTCCGAGGTCATCATTGTCGGTATGTGCCGAAGATATCGAGTAGCGTAGCTTTGATGGAACTTTTGGACCAAGGAATGAGATCCTCGCCGATTTGCGGGAAGGAATCTCTTGGGAATCAACCGCCGGACGCTTTTGAGGGGTAATAGATGTCGACAATGCTTTGGCAGTTGGCTTTCTCTCACGTTGAGATAGTCTGCGAGATGGTGACTCCACAGCGGGGATCAACATCTCATCTTGGTCGGCCTCAAGCTTGGGTGGCGTGGTGGCACCATTAACACGGACTGCTGCTGGACTCTCTGGAATCTCCAGGCCGGGCAGAGCTTTGGCGGTGGACTTTTTGGACGGAGGAGTGGATGGCCGCTCTTTGTGGGCAGAGCGGTCTTCCGAGACTGGCGATGAGCTTACCACGATAGTATCGGAGACTGGGTGAGAGTGAGATTTGCTGTCATTTAACGCCTGAGCTTTGGCCGTGGGTTTTCGAACACGGCCAGAAGCTCGTCGGTTTCCATTTTCGGAGGGTGGATGAGAATCTCGTGCTATAGACTTGGATCTCATTGTCGCTGTTGCTGATGACATGGTTTGCAGAGCCCAAGCGTCGGCGTAATCATCAGGGTCGCTTACGGAAGTAGATAGGTTGGTAGAAGAGCGGGAGTCTTGGGTCGAAAAGGTCGGAGAAGGCGTGGCAGAAGCAGAGCCTGAATCAGAGGCAGAGAGCTTCGATTGTGAGCGCTCCGTGCTGACTTGCATAGAAGGTCTGGCCGGAAGCTGTGGAAGTCTCTTGAGGGACATTGCCGTTTGTCAGGGCCGCGGCGGTGTGCAGCAAGAGAAGGAGAGGGTGTTTAGGGGCTGGCCATGGACGACATGGACTAGAGGATGTTCTGATGGCGTTGAGATGGACCAGAGTAGGAGAATGAAGGGAGTTGTAGCCATCAAAACGACGAAAATCGGAGACGGCATCCTGAAAAGTGGCCGAAAGTGGCTCTCAGTGTTGTGCGCTGCCTTCCGAAACAGGACTAGTTCCAGGCCGGTTTGGGACGACTTCAGACTTATTTGCCACCTTTCTCGTCATCAACAGGCTCGGGCTTGATGGCGATAGCATGCAAGACCTCCTCTCAAACAGACCAATTGATATATCCAGCTGAAGTCTAATCTGAATTCGTCCTTCAGTCCATATCTGGACCAAGAGACAGTGGGGTCGGGCCCTGCATTCAAACAGAGTGCAGACAGTGGTCAATCCAATCACCATCAATCACTTCTATGAATGATGCTTGATTGCTGGTTTGTTGGTACGCTCATAGCAACAGTGTCAGGCTGTGGAAGACTACCCGACTTGACTATTGACTGTCAACGGAGACCCCATCACCTTGCCATGTCCAAGCCCATAGCGTCATCTTGATTCATGCAAAACGTAACGCAGGTTCTCGGCATTGATGAGCAGATGGGATGCGATCTATATTCTCTTTCACCGTAGGCAGTGCAGAATGAATAATCATTGATCGTTCAGCCCCATTGTCATCAATTACCCTAGCCCTTATCCCCGCAGTCCTTCTTTGGCAGGGTGAGCACCCATTCTCAGCTGGTTATTGAGTCACAGATAATGCTTGAATGGATAGATGGGCTATCAATACCATAGACATGATGAAGCTTGATTCCGTGAACGATCTGCAGCCTCAGCTTGTTGATTTGAATACGGAAATTGCTTCGCCCACTCTCATCATCCAAGGAACTATCTCTATCACGATATCTATTCTTCTAAATCTTTAGAGTAACGGGGCCTTGCTGATCCGGCAAAGACGCCCTCAGCTCCTCCAATCTCCGTAACTGCTTTCCCTCTTTATCGAAATTCGCATCATCCAACCAGGCCTCAAACGCATTCTTTATAACCGGCCAGTCCGAATCAATCATAGAAAACCACGCCGTATCTCGCGATCTATTCTTGTAAATCATGTGTTGTCGAAAGATCCCTTCAAAAGTGAACCCTAGACGAATGGCGGCCTTCTTGGACGGTACGTTGAAGTTATCACATTTCCACTCATATCTCCGATATCTAAGATCTTCAAAGACGTACTTTGCCATGATATACATTGCCTCGGTGGCCGATGTGTTGCGCTGCATCAGAGGGGTGAACAAAATGTTGCCAATCTCGATGACACGGTTTTTGGCATCTATACGCATCAATGCAGCCCAGCCGAGTGGCACTTTGGTCTTGTTGTGAACGATTGCGAAGAACAGTGGATCTTCAGATTCCGATTTAGCGGTGACGGCAGTTCGAAGTTCTTCCAGAGATGCATAGGACTCGTCGCCCAGGTATGTCCAAAGATGACTTTTGTCGTCGCCTTTAACAGAGTCATAGAGGCCAGGAGCGTGGGTCGCAGTCAATGGCTCCATCGTCACAATCTTCCCTTTCAATGCGACCTGAGAAGGACGAGGTCCTGGCTGCGAGGACACTGCAGGGCCAATGTCCTGCTGCCACTTCGCTGTGACTGCCTCAGCACGACAATTCTCGTCGGCAGATCGAACAACGGGACGTACTTGGGGCCGCAGCGGGATCTCCACCCACATTTTTCATCATTTTTGGTCTAGATATTGGTTGGTATGCTTCGAGGGTTGGAAGTGAAATGGGCTAGGTTTAATTTGGGGAAGCGTCGATGTATTTTTCTGCTAGATAAGAATTTGGGGAAAGGAAGATGGTGAGCGTGTGTGCTAGGATGCTGATATAGGAGAGTTAATGGAGCGGTTATCTATATCCTGTATTGATGAGATAGCGAAGAGTTAAATTATATGTCTGGCGCGATTTGGGCAGGATTAGGTATGACACTGCCTCTAATTAATGGGGGATTTGTGGAACCTTTGGCCTGGCAAGCCCGGACACCCTCAATCAGTCTGGTACTGATACTAGCTAGTAGAGGATTAGTAGAGGATTGATCGAGGTAGAGGCTTAACCATATTCATTTACCAAGAGGGTCTCTTCTGTTCCCGTGTTCCGGGCTATCTACTCGACTGGTGGTTTCCACTGGAAAACATACTGGACTCTCGCAGCATCATATTCGATGACAGCAATTTGGAACTCTATGAACAGCTACAATGGCAATGTCTAGTCGTATTCCTGAGCCTGGTCGTTGCCTGCCTATCCCGTTTCAACCGAGAACATATTCGACTTGACGAATTTCACAATCTCCTGCGCACCTTTGCACTCTTCTTACCTTGTGCATTTCAGTCATCATGCGAAGGCCTGTGTCTGACAACTCAGAAAGGCACAAAATCATCTGGGACATCAGTAGAAATTTGAGCACGGTCGCCACCTTGGTCAATACTGTACCAATGCACTGAAGGAGAGGGTGGGTCGTAAAGACTTGAGGAACAGTGCGGTGGATGGCAGTGTGTAGCTCACCGGTATGTTGAAATTTCAATAATTTCATTCGAATCATCATGTAGATGATTGCGTTGCTGTTGTTTTCGGTGTGTAGCTCACCGCATTCAAGTCCCCCCCAATATTAGGCGACTGGAATGATTTAAGTGGACTGACTATGTGACAAGACTTGCTTGTTTTTTGACGGTGGAGAAGCTCACCGTGTGTCGAATGTATATCCCTTCAAGATCAGAGCCCAGAAGGATAGAGTGGTGTTGCTGATGGTGCTTAAGCATCGCCGGAAGCGTGTACGTCCGCAGGGCTGAATTCCAGAAATGTTGGAGAGTTTGGGGCTCTACCCGAAAAGTTGCTGTTGAAGCTCAGAATTTGACTGATTCTTTGGTAGTCGTGGTCTCGGACCAGAGGCATTGCATGTTGAGAAGCGAAGGGTTGGTGCGGTGTATTATTCATGACCGTGGCCACTTGAAATATCTGTGTCCGTGTTGTTCTCAGGGGAGGGTTTCTTTCTTTCTGAGACCAGTAATGGTCTCTCTGTGCTCTTTCGAGAGTTTTCTTTTCTTCACAAATAGACTGGCAACGACCGCTAGGAAGCTTAGGCATGTGAACATGATAAACATGTTTCTAATGCTCCAGGAAAAAGCTTCTTTGACAACGAGTTCCTGTGCTGGTGGCAGCGTCGGTCCCACCATAACATTGGCACCGGCATTCTTTCCAGAGAGATCTTCCACAATAGGAGCTGGGAGCCCATTTTCAATTAGTATGGAACGTCGAAGGTCCATGCTTTGCTGGAAGACAATGCCACCCACAATGACACCCAGAGAAAGTGCCAGACTTCGAATGAAACTTTGCGTCGAAGTAGCTGTGCCGACATCGTCTTGATCCACACCTTGTTGAATTGCGATTAGAGGGGGCTCGAATAAGAGACCTGAGCCAATCCCTTCGACGATTTCGAAACCGATGATGGTTCCAATGGAGGTATTGGCGTCAAGCATGATGTAGAGACCGGTTCCTAGGGTCATCAAACAGGTTCCGAGCCACATCGAAGGTCTGTATTGTCCGGTCCGGTGTATGATGACGCCGTTGAGAACACCAGTAGTAGCAGTAGCAACAATCAGGGGCACCAATAGTACACCAGACCGAAGCGGCGAAGATTCCTTTACGCTTTGAAAGTAAAGAGGAAGATAATATTCGGCGGCAATGAACACCTGGAGGTGGAGTCATTTTAGTTTCTGTGGAATAAAAGATAAGGCCGACAGATATCCTTACCAGTCCATGAAAGAACGTCACAACAAGGGTGGCAACATTTCTCGTACCAAACAAGGACAACGGTATGACCGGATGCTTGGCCAATTTCTTCTCGCTGTAAATGAAGACAAGAACCATCAAGGCGCCGAAGACAATCAGACAGACGACCTTTGCGGAGCCCCAAGGGTAGACCGATCCGCCCAGATCAAGCCCCAGCAGTAACATGACTGTCACTCCCAAGATCGAAGTACATCCAAACCAGTCGATGGCCTTGACGCCTTCAAGAACTGGTGTTCGAGGGTTGTGGACGTCCAGGAAAGGGACTAGAAGCAAGAATGCAGTACCAGCGATAGGCAGGTTGCAATAAAAACACCATCGCCAGCTGACTCCTTGGGCAAACGCGCCTCCCAGTAAAGGACCGACGGCACCGCTGAGAGCCCAAATGCCTTCACACAAGCCGAGCCACAAGCTTCGTTCCCGGACACTGAAGAGATCCGAGATAGCAACATTGACCATGCAGATCAAACCTCCGCCCGCAGCACCTTGAATACTGCGGCCAACGATCAGCATTTGCATGTTCATGGCGGCGGCGCAGATGACGGAGCTGGCAAAGAACACCACGACAGCTGCCAGGAAAATCGGCTTGCGGCCCCAGATGTCGGACAATTTGACCCAGATGGGAGCAGCAGCAGCATTCGCGATCAGATAGGCTCCTCCAATCCAGATATAACCAGCGGCCGAATGGAGCTCGGCAGTGATCTTGGGGACAGCAGTTGCCACGATGGTGGCGTCCAGGGCTGCGACAAAGAGCGACAGATACAGAGCAATAAGAATCATGGTGACTCGGAAGTTACTTCGAGTTTTGATCTGCTGCGGTGAGCCTGGTTCCTCGAGGGAAAGCACATTGGGGCTTTGCTCAATGGGCACATCTTGGGAGGCCGGAGTAATGGCATCTAGTTCTTGAGGAGTTTTCTTATCATCCATCATGGATGCACTGAAATTGATGAACCTTCGCCCGCTTTGTTGGGGGACAATGAAGCACGCAAGACAAATAGTCGAATTGATCGGACAGAGAAGAAAGGCCCAAAAAAAAGCGGTAGGAGGCAAGAGAAGTGATCGGAGGTAGGTGGGATGAAAAAGAGTCGAGCCCTACAGCGGTGGAAATCGTAGGGTTACATAGCTTTGCAGTCAAAGGGCGGTCGATAGCTCCTTGAGTTTAAGAGAATTCTCGTACAAATGAAAATGGTAATTGAATTTGACTGTGGAGTCTATTCTGCCCCTCGACACCGTACACTCGGCAGTAATTAATCACCAGGCAGAAACCATTTGAATTGTGGTTTCCCTCTTGTATACAACAATGTACCGGGTGAAACGAATCGCCAGATCCATTAAAATTGAGGATGAGGCGTCAGAGAGCCCGGCTTTCCTTCGCTCACTCTTGGAAACCGTCTTGTAAGAAGATGTAGATTGAACTTAGCATCCCCATGGGAGAAGAAGAACTTCAACTTCTTTTGTAGCATGGATATTTGTTCGAGACGGTTCCGGACAGAGATGTTTGGGGTCTGGAAACAAGAAAGGAAGACGTGTAGGAATGTTTTCGGTCGTTGACTTGCCGTAAGGACATGTAGATAGATGAACACTCACGCTTCGCGGCCGTCGCTGTAGGCAAAGAAATGTTCATGTTTCAGCGATGTATTCTCGCCGCTTTGAATCTGCTGATCTTCTTCCCTTGGGCATCCTCGCCACCTTTCTTCCTGCCTGGAGTGATCATCTCGCCATAATTATCTTCTTCTCCGTCACCTATAAATCCACCCTCTTGGGAATGAATTCGCTTCATACGGTGTCGCTGGTATTCCATCGCAATCTCCCGTCGATGAGCCTCATCAGAAAAGTCGTCGGGATCAGGAGCTGTAGATACACGGGGAGTAGGACGCTCAACCAGATCTGCAGAAACTATCTTCGAAGGAGGTGGAGGAGAGGTGGGTCGGTCTTGATTCTTAGTGGACGAGACTGATGGAAATGTCATGGGAGGTGCAAACATGGGGGTCTGTGGCTGAGATTGGCGGGCGGCTTTGAAACGGGACTGTTTGTTCAGGCCTGGGGCGGGAGCTGGCGCCGTGGGCCCATTTTCATTTTGGGAACTCGTCCGCTCGACGATAGAATCATTGACCGGTCGAGTTTTGGGCTCCTTCGTATCTGGTTTGGATGAAGCGGCAGTAGTGGATGTCGTGCGGTTTGTTGTTTCCTCAGATGCAATGTCCAATTCCGAGGAAAAGACAACTTTCTTCTTGCTGAACTTAGCCGTCTCTGCGTCATCCTCTTCCGGGGCCGATTTCTTTGCCGATTTCAAGCTACTTTTCAAGGAGTTTTCATGCCTGGCAATTGCAGCCTTCCGTGCCGCTTCTGCTGCCGGCAGTCGGTGCTTCTCCTTGGGATCCTCTGTTGGGGTTTCCAATCCAAGCTGAGGCCCCGTGTTCTTCAATCCCAATTTCTCTTGAAGCTCTTCCATTTTCTTCCGATAGCTTCGTGGGACTGTGAGGCGGTGTGTGCTTTTCCCGGTTTCGTCTTCTGATTCTTCGTCCTCGAAGTCATCGTCATCGTCAAACTCGGAATCAATCTCCAGATTATCATCATCTTCGTCATAGGAAACGTCCGAGGCATCCTCTTCCAAGTCAAGTTCGGCCACTATGGCCCCCACATCATCCAACCCCCTTGAGTATAGGACCATTTCTCGTCGAAGTTCCGCTTCGGCCTCCGTATCACTTCGATTGACAGGAAAGGTTTCTTGTGGTTCCAGTGCTTTGGAGATCGTCTGTGAGGTAGACACATCATGAGTGTTTTCCGCGGTTTGATTTACCTCCTGACTTGGATCTGGAGGAGGCATTGCTTCGGTGGCGTTGTGGACGGAAGTATCCACCTTGGTGATTTTGCCATTTGACTCTTCTACATCTTTTATTCCAGCCTTCTTCAATACATCTATTAGTTGAGGTGCATCAGACCCCGGCGTTTGCACTGTGCTCGATATCACCTGTCCAGAATCATCGAGTTCCTCGGTGATCTCTGCCAGTGGTAGACCCGCGTCGTCGCGATGATCAGGTTGTTCAGCGAGAAGGAGGGCATTTCTCTTCTTCTCAGCTTCGGAGAGCTGCTTTCGTACTGCTTCGACATTCCGAGAGACGTAGTCCACGCGCTTGGATAAAATATCAGCTATTTGCGCGGGTCGACGAGGGCGTGAATTATTGTCTCTGAGAAGCGTCTGTAATTCCCTTTCGTCAACCAGGTCAGCTTTGAAATCTCTTGCAGCCTGCAAGCACTCCTCGAGCGAAGAATCTTCGGGGATCCCGAGAAACTCTTCCGTAAGACCTTCATAATCGATCCCGAGGGTTTGCCAGTGTCGCAGCGACTTGCGGAGTCTTGCAATACTAGCTTCGAGCTCGATCCGTTGTTGCTCAACTCGAGCAAGCGCAGAGTCGTCCATTTTAGGGAATGACGGACAATGGAGCCCGTCAACACAGGTGATCGAAAAGATTGAAAGTGGTGAAGGTCGCCCCGAAATGTTTCCCAAGGCTATTATGTAATTTGAACGTGCATGCGCCACCGCTTGCCCTGCAAAAGTTTTGTCATCACAACCTCAGCCTGAAACCAAGTATTGGGATTTCACATTCATGCCCTTTCTCATCTGATCTTTTCTCCTTGACAAACGGAAACAGAATTCGATGCTTGCTGGCTCTCAGAGAAGATGCGATGATAGAAGCGTCTTTCTCAAGCAGTAAATGAAGCTGCTGGCTCCTCCCAAGCCACATGGGGCGACGTACTTAATAAAGAGTCAGCATCATGGACGACGAGGAGTCGATCGGTACGTTGCTGACTTTGAGTTCATCGGTTATCATGCTGACTTTGAAATTTTCAGCGGCAAACAAATGCCCGGTCTGTGGGAGTGATCCTCGAACACACCCAGGACTTCGCTTCAAGATCAATACCAAATGCTATCATCGAATATGTGAAGGTTGCGTGGATCGAAATTTCTCGAGTGGCAAGGCAGAGTGCCCAGTGGGAGGATGTCATGTCAACCTCTGGAAACGAGAATGGCGCACGCAGACCTTTGATGACCTTAAGATCGAACGTGAAGTCGAGATTCGAAGGAGAGTCACGAAGACGTAAGTTTGTCGGCCTCTGGCTTCTTTCTTATCTCTCCTATCTGTCTAACGGACGTCACTAGCCTCGATCGTCAGGAAGATGAGTTTGAGACCAAACGCGACTATGACGATTTTCTAGAGCTGAGAGAAGAATTGATAATGAACCTCGTCTTGAGAACTGATGTCGCCGCAACAAACCGCAAACTCAGAGAGTACGCCCTAGCAAATGGGATAAAGACAGACACCACAGATTCGGCAGCGGATTCGGGGGTAAAACCACCCGTGAAACGAAAGGATATCGCCCCTGACGCGGCAGATCCCAGTGGTCTCATCAAAGGACTGAAGAAGATTGTCATTCCCAAAGCCAAGTCTCCCTACGATCCCTTCATGGGTATGCCTCGGACAAAAGACTACTACGAGGTCCAAGACAGCTACGTATCTTGGGCAAAAGGCAAAACAGCAGAAGCCATTGTCGCTGGAGGTTACGACTTTCAGCAGTATGTGGATGAGTGTCTCCTTCGAGCGTTTGCAGGGCTGGGAGTTTTCATTGAGGATGAGATGTCGGCGAAGAACAATACTGCTGTTCTAGGACCAGGCACCACAGAAGTCAAATCTTCAGATGATGTATTTTGAGAGAAAGACTCTCGAAAGGGGGCTGGGTGCTGATGGCAGTTGTGTAAACAATTGGCGGGTTATTGAAGAATCATCGCAGAGAGCTAGATGGGCTCAACCAACTCTTGATCTTGCTTCAGCATGTTAGATACGAATAAAATAGGGACTTGGTTCCTCATTTTGTACGGTGTCATGGGTACCATGATCTAATCTTATCAAGATTGCCAAGATTTGCAACCCTCCAGCAAAGTTACACTGCCCACAAGCCGGAGCGACAACCAGACTCGTCGTCAATAACGAGAGGCGCAGGCACATGAAAGGAGAACCTGAACACTTGACAATTTCTCTTCAGTGAACCTTGAGACCGCCGCCATGCCAGGCCCATCCAATACCCTGCTGATCGAAGGGTCGTTCTCCGAACTCGCAGAAGAACTTGCACTATACCTAGACGCACTCGCCAAAGCAGATGAAGGCGCAGGAGTTCAAGCCGACACAGCACAGCTTTTGAGCAATATTCGAGAAGCAGAGCAGTCGCAGGAACCAGCAGACGGGGCTGCGATCCAGAAACTGAAGGATGAAGTGTTGAAGAAGATTGTGACCAAGGCCGCAGTGCTCAATTCAGCGCCTGAAAGAGGTACAACTCATCTGAGCATTAAAAAGAGGGGACCCATAAAGGAGGACTGACAATTTCATAGAATTCACGGCCGCATACAACCTCCTCATAAGTCTATCATCCCAATCTCCCATCCACGAACAGCTTTTCGCCCGGATATGCCAGTACCTGTCCGAGCAACCCATCACCTCCTCCCCCACATACGGCACTTCTCTAGCCCTTCAGACTCTAACGACGATATTTAACGTCCTCCCTCTCGCCACCGAAGCACGGTACCACGTATTTCTCGCCATTCTCAAGGTCATCCGAGCCACTTCTTCCTCGCAGACCTTTGAGGCGTTAATACCACAACTGGAAACGAATATCCCCGACTGGCTGTCTGCATGGCAGCTGGACGACGAAGATGCACGCAGCCTATACATTGCAGTCGCAGATGTTGCGTCAGCAATGGGCAAGGAAGACCTCACGTACACATATCTCCTGAATGCGCTCGAGACCATCCCACCGGAGTCCGCAGCTGAAGCGGAGTCGCAAGAGCTAGCGAAACGAACACTCCGGGTGGCGCTCACGAATCCGACTGTGACAGATTTCACACCCCTCTCTGCCAACGATGCCGTCCAGGCCGTGCGCAGATCAGACAACAACCTCTTCGACCTGCTCGAAATCTTTTCGTCCGACGACTACTCATCATATGTTGACTTCTTGGAGACAAACGATCTCACAGCGCTAGGTATCCCCGAGTCGAGCGCCGGAGTCCTCAGCAACAAGATCCGACTTCTTACATTGGCCTCGATCGCCGCATCTTCGCAAAGTAGGTCTGTACCATACTCGACGATCGCAAAGGCGCTGCAAATCCCCAGCGAGGACGTGGAGATGTGGGTGATCGACACAATCCGCGCCGGGCTCGTCGAGGGCAAACTCAGCCAGCTGAAGCAAGAGTTCCTAGTCCAACGCGCCACGTATCGTGTGTTCGGGGAGAAACAATGGGCCGAGATCCAGGGCCGACTAATGGTCTGGCGACGAAGTCTCGAGAACGTGCTGAACGTGGTCAAGGCGGAGCGGGAGCGGTTTGCGCGCGAAGGACCGGCCAACGCGGAGGCCGGCCCGGCCGTCAATGGGTACGGCGAATCTGGCGAAGGGAATCAGAAATCTCAGCACGGAGGTGAGAGGCAGAGAAGACAAGCCGGTGGGCGCGGACGAGGCGGCCAGCATCGTGAACAGCGCGAGCAGCAGCATGGACCACGAGAAGTCGATGCTGTGGGTGGTGGAGATTAGTAGTCTTCAACTTCATGTCTGAATTTGGTTGGCAAAGCGGGCCCTTTTGGTTGGGGGGGAGCCAAAAATTCAAGACTCAAAGCGTTTACGATTCTTCCACAACACCTTCAACTTCGTGGAATGTATAGATTCAAGAATCAAGCCCCACGATCGCAGCCAGAAGTTTCTTCGAAAGGGGGGACAAGAACAAAAAGGAGATCTCTCATACCAGGAGGTACTTCACGAGCATTTTCAGATGGTGCACGTGTTCTCAGCCCTGGCATCAAGTGTTGGGCGTTGTGGGGAGAAATGGAGACAAAACATGCCAAAAAGATAATGGAGAGAGATATCATCTCAATCAATCCGTCATTCGGATTGATTACAGTAAATCGCTACGAGACTGCTCTGTTCTGTATTGCCCCCACGGTCCAGGTTGAATTTGCTCCCAAACCCCCTCCGGACAGCCATATATTCTGCCCTGGCCTTTTGCCATATCGCGCGCCTCTGCTGCCCATGATTACGCCTTCGAAACAGCAATCCTCAAAGTGTGATCCATCATCCATGCATAAGCGTCCTCTGTGATCGAATGGCAGGGCTATCCTTCCTTCCTGCCTCCCTACCTACCCTAGCATTGCACCATATCGCTTCAATCAACAGAATTGCGGTACGAGTGAAAACCATTGATCTATGTGCCGCCATCAGAGACATGCGATTCCTCCGAAATTTCGTCCAAAACAAAAAGGGAAATCAAAATAAGCATCTTTATACATAGAGCGCAACGAAGGTCCAACCCCTGATTAGGTTTGCATGCTCTGCGGTGCCTGCCGGGGACTGCTTTGTTGACCAGATCCATTGCCATTAATGTTGCTCTGGCTTGAGCTTCTCTGAGCTCTCGGTGTTGCACTCCGGCTCATCTGCCCTTGATTTGTGTGCTGACTGACAGGCCTGGCCATGTTCATCACAGGAGAATTCGACATTCCATTCGGCGTTGCCCCCATCACACCAGCTTGCATTTGGCCCTGGATTCCTCGAACAGCCTGCTGTTGAGCCTGTTGCATTCTCATTCTCTGATTGTATTGCTGTACCTGCTCATTGGTCATCATCCCAGGGTGTCCGAACTGTGCCGCTGCGGCGGCCGCGGCAGCCGCGGTAGCCGCGCTCGAGGCATGATTCCCTGCATTGACGGCACCAATGGCAGCATTCAGCGCAGCCTGGTTGTGAGGTTGAGGGCGCTTGTGAGATTGCCCTGCCGCCGCCGCCGTGGCTTGTTGCTGGTATGATGTGATTTGTTGGGATGCAAGACGTTGTACCTCTTCCTCAGAGAGATTGGGATGAAGCTCTCGAATCTTGTTGGCGATCTGTGTCAGAACGGGAATGTGCCCGCTAGACAAAGCCTGACCGGAATTGGCGGTATTGGGGCGTGGGGAGGCTGAATTTCCATTGATAGGGCCTGGCGAAGAGGCTACTCCGTTCGCACCAGCCATGGCAGACATGTAAGCAGCGCTGTTCATGCCCTTACCGGTTGCAAGAGCGGCGTGAGGATTACTAGGGGAAGAATGGGTGCCGTTTTGCGCTTGCTGGGCTTGCCGCATTAGCTGCTCTTGTTGTACCCTGCTCGCCTCCTGTAGCATGCGCATCTGCTGTGGAGAAGTTGCCGCACCACGGGCAGCCATTTGGGCTTGCATCTGTGCTTGCATTGCAGGCGTGAGGCCCTTTGGTCCGACCATACCGGGCGGGAGTTGGACATTGCCTTGCATCGCCATCATCGTAGGATGACGAGGATGTCCGTTGGGAATCTGAAGGTTTCCATTTGGCATCCCAGGCATACCCGCTGGGGGAGGGCCACGCATTGCCGGCCCAGCAGGGGGGATACCGTTTGGCATCCCATTGGGCTGGGCATTTTGAGTGCGTTGTTGTTGCGCCGTAGCACGTTGGTGGGCGATCAGTTGTTGTCGGTAGATCTCTTGCCGTTCTGCCAGTTTTGCCTCCCGCTCCTGTTTGAGCAGCGAAAACTCCGCGGGGGTCTTGTAAGAGGGTTTGGGTACATTTGCGTCATTGACCTTGCGCATTGCAGCCAGATCAGCTTGATGTTGCTGTTTCTGCAGCGCGGCCTCTCGCTTCTTGGCCAGCTTCCGCATTGCATCAAGCATGGCAAGGTGTCGTTGCGTCCTCTTACGTTCCACTCGAACAGGCTGAGTGGTTCTCTTTCGAGCAGAGATTGGCACATTGGCACCGGCTCTACGTTGGGCCTCTTCAATCTGAGCAGCCACATGCCTTCCTGCAGCCTCGATCCTCCCGGAGTATGTCTTGAAATAGGCGGTTTTGGACATATCTGCTGGCAGACCTTCCAATCCAATCCATCTCTCGAAACATTCCCATGGAGTTCTTCGGTCGGCGCCGGAGGTGTAGGAGCTTCTCGGTGTGAGGCAACCGGAAATGAGAGACCAATTGTAAGAATAATCTTTGACCAGCTTGCGGAGTTCATCGTCTTCTGCATGAGTCCATTGCGATGATGATCGCGTCTCGAAGAAAGCTTGTGTAGGCATGGGATGTTCTGAAGGGGGGCGGAAAGAGTGACCGGGATGGATTCGATCACGAATATGTTTGTTTTCAGGCATGAACAGCGCAACATTCGTCTCCTCGGGCGGCAGGGGGGGGGATTTTTTCTTTGGTGACGGCTCAAGCTCGTATTCGTATCGACTTCGCCTGATTGGAGGTTTATACTCCTTCAAGGGCAATTTCTCCGTCGCCCATCTTGAGACTGGCACGATGTCAGTCTTCCATTTAGCATCCAGCCGTTGTGCGAGACTAGACTGGGAGAGACCCGGTTCCACCGTGGACGGTTGATAAAGTGGCAACTCATGGAGAAGTTTGTCCAAGGCAGGTGTTTTGTGCACAGAAAAGTTGTAATCTGAGGCACCCAGTGAAAATATTGCCGCAGGAGCACTTGAGATCAGTATATCCCGCGGATCTGCAATGTCATCACTCATGGAATCATCTTCATTGGAAGGCATTAGCTCTGGCGTTGGTTGTGAGGAGAGACTCGGTCCCGGTCCATCCTTCATGTTGACATCTTGGGATTCGTCCGGCTTTGGGAGCATCTTTACCGGTCGGACCCGTACCTGCAAACGCTTCCGGCCTTCAGGAGAGCTTGCTACCCACTCTGCACAACATTCGGCAAGCCCTTTTGCGGCAGCAAGCTTCCATTTGCGTTCCTCCCTGAAATCGGTGCGCATCCACTTCATGTGATCAAGCAGGAAATCCCAGTGAGAAGTCGGTCTCGGTGCCTCATCAGCACGCTTATACTGTCTGAGTGGCCAGCGTCCCTTCTCCTGTAGCTGGTATAGGCGTTTCAATATTCTGCATTGAGCCGACAACTCATATTCAATTAGATGATCCGAAGTCGACAATGTCTTGTGAGCATTTTGAATCAGGTAGGACATCGACGTTTGCCGTGACATGGAATGTGCCTTGTTCTCGAATAACGTGTACAAGTAGTCTCTCTCTCTCGGAGCCGTTCGCTGTGTTTCACGATCATCAACCCGGGCCGGTTCGGGGTTCTCCTCATCACTTGGGGCCTTCTGGGGTTTGGCGAACACCACGGTCGAAAGCCTGTTGCGTTCCTTTTCTCGGCGATCACGATCTGCTGCTCGGCCTTGAGGTGTCGAAAGGTCAAACGAATCGCGGTTCGCAGAGAACGGTGACTCGGTTTGAAGAGTGACCGGCTTTGGCGTCTCACCGAGAATCTCTGAAACCGATTTCTTCTGCAATACACCCGAGGAAATCCTAGTCGCACGTTTTGCAGGTTCCTGCGTAGACGGTGTTGTTGCATTGTTTCCCTTTGGAGAAGCAGCAGCTGTCAAACACGCTGGGCTCTCAACAATGCCACCACTGGACCGGGGTTTGAAATATGAGTCGATCTCGGTCTGCGTTTCTATTCGCATAGTTGGTTTGCGGTTAGTCGAGGCCTTCGTCGACTCGCCAGGCTGATGGCTTTGCTCGTTGGAAACTGTCGACTCATCCTCCAATTTCCCTGTTTCTGTCATTTCGACGTCGGCAGTAAATGCTTGGTCTCCATTTGACTTGTCTTGCTCCTCTACCTTTGCCAGCGATTGCTCTAAATCTCGCAGGTTGTCGTCTAAGGATTTCCTCTCCTTGGCCGTCTCAAGTGTGGTGAGTGGCACATCGGCTCCCGGGCTCGTTCCTGGGGAACCAGCAGTTGGTGCAGGAGTATTCGATGATTCCGGTCCATTGGTCGACGCTGGCGAGGACTGAGGCTCTGCAGGAACAGCAACTGGGGCCAGGACAGAAGGGCTTTGGCTTGATTGACGACCTGTAGCAGCAGAGAGATGAGCACCTGAATCTCCCTCTGCAGAGCCAACCGTTGCCTGAACACCGTTGGCCTGTTTTACTGAACCAGGAGGAGGTATGGGAGATTTGGAGCGACGGTTGGCTTTGGCGTCTTTTGAACCAGGGTGAAGTTCGCCATCTTGTGCGTTCACTGTCGCTAGAGACACTCCTTGCTCTTCAACTCTTCCTAGCTGATCTGCTGCTACATGCTGATCGTCATTTCGCTTAGTTCCATCAATTGCTTCTCGAATGAGTGGAGGTTGGGTCGGTGACAAAGGTTGGTTTGCAGATTTGGGTCGTGGAGATGCTGGCCGGATGGACTTAGAGGCGCCTGGTTGATCTAAGGTGTCAGAAATGGAGAGAGGAACGGGTGGTGTTTGTGGGAGCTTCGATTTTCGTGAATGGAAGGCTAAATGCGACCGAGTTGGGAGAGTTGTCTCGTCGAACAATCGTCCGCTTCAAAAGAGTGAGCCAGCTGCACAATACGAAGGCCATAATTGCTCCAATTCTGCAAAAGAGTAGGATGATGGTAGCGACAGAGGGTTTATACCTTTCTAGGTCATTTGCATCATAGAAGGCTTGAAGTTTTTGGTTGTAGGTTGGGTCGTCAAGCGTGAGAGGGCACGCGGTAACGGAGAAGAGTTCAGAGAACTTGCGCTTTCTCGACTGCAAAAGACTTCTGAAATTCGCCAAATTTGGTCAGTACGATGATAGAGATACAACGAACACTTTGAATCGCTCAATGAGAGTATTACTGACTTTGCTTCAGCCTTCTTCGAGCGTAGTTGCTCGACGTGCATTTCATCGGAGGCAGCGAGATCGATCGAAAATCATTCGAATCAATTGCGGAAAATTGGAGGAAACCAAGATTGAGATAAATGAAGATGATTAAGTCGCCCAGAATGAATTGTTTGGGCGCGTGGTGATTGATTTGAGGTTGTTCAAGTTGGTGGATGGTAGAGGGATGTGTCCAGATAGCCGTGCTCTGGCAAAATTGGAGGTGCCGTGCGGAAGAGGAGTTTCGCGGGCGCGGGCAGGAGGGAACAAGTCTGAATTGGTGACCTGGTTAGGCGTGTCCAAAGGGGGGTGGAAAGCTCGAAGTGGAAATGGGAGTATTGCCCGAATTATGAGAGGGAGGGGAGTGGGTGCTGGCTTGGTCGCAGGCGTGGACGACACTGGCGCTTTATCTAATGAGGGCCCTCAGCTCTTGTCGCCATCAGTGCCCAATATTTGTCGCCTAATGGCCCCTCGTTCTCTCTATGCAGGGGTGTGACCACCTCCAAGACCACCAAATGGTAAACGATATCGCCCACACTCACACCCACATCTACACCGGTTTGTGCTAACCAGCAAACTTCAATAAACTTCTTTTCCTTGAGATCAAAGGCCAATATCAAACATTAACCAACAGTCTTGCTTTGGTTCTGTCCCATTGGATCGGACTGATCTTCAGACTTCTATCAGACACCGGTGCCATCTATCGGTCTGCTTTCTCCAAAAATTGTATCCGCACAAAAAATTTTTTAGGGGGGGAAGGGGACCATGGCCAAAAGAAAACGAGATTCAAGCAACACCGATACCAAAGTCACCGCAAATGGCGAGACCAAAGCCTCGAAAATAAATAAGACTAACGGACACGTCGATGTCAAAACTACCAGTCCCGTTATCCAAATTATTGCAGGTTCATACGAACGAGTTCTGCATGGTACTACCGCAACCATTTCAAACCTCTTGCCATCGAAAGAGTCCTCTCCTTCGGTTCAGTTTGCAGATACATTCCTTTTCAACGCTCACGCCTCTGCCGTACGATGCTTAGCACTATCCCCTCTTCCTGAGCCTGACTCAGGTGAAGCTCAAGGCGTCTATCTGGCTACCGGCGGGTCTGATGAGAAGATCAATGTCTACAGCCTTTCCGCATCGGCCGTCGTGGAAAATGGACAAGTTCCATCAATGCCTTCTTTGGGGAACACCACCATTGCAGAGAATCCGAGGAACAGAGAGCTAGGGACTCTACTTCACCATTCATCCAATATCACTGCTTTACATTTCCCGACCAGATCAAAACTGCTTTCTGGCTCCGAGGACAACACTATTGCTGTCACGAGATTAAAAGACCTCACCGTCGTCTCGACGGTCAAAGCACCGCGTCCGAAAGTCCAAGGTCAGCCTAGCGGAGACACGGCACCACCAGGTGCGACGCCGGCGGGCATCAACGACTTCGCAGTACATCCCAGCTTGAAGCTTATGGTCAGCGTGGGGCGTGGTGAGAGGTGCATGCGTCTGTGGAACCTGGTGACAGGCAAGAAAGCTGGCGTGCTGAACTTCAGCCGTGATATTTTGCAGAGCGTCAAAGAGGGCAAGTACAGCAGCGGTGAGGGACGGAGGATACGCTGGAGTCCTAATGGAAGTGAATTTGCTGTGGCGTTCGAACGGGGCGTCGTCGTTTACGGCGAAGATTCCAAAGTCAAGTGCCAAATCCTCCCACAGCCTCTTACCAAAGTGCACCAGATATGTTACCTCTCCATATCTACTGAGGAGGATGACGAGACGACCTTGATGGCTGTGTCAACCGAAGATGGCCGCATTTTATTCTATGATACCAATAAATCCACTTCAGCTTCATCAAACGGAACCCGCAAAGACGACGCATCCATCCCGGATGCAGCTCAGTGTGCCCAAGTGGGTGGAAAACAAAACGGTATCACCAACCGCATCAAAGACTTCGAAATCCTGTTCCTCCCTTCTGCCTCGCCTCACAATGACATGGCCGTAATTGCGGCAAGCAGCGACGGAATGATCCGGGTCTTCCACCTCAACGGTCCTGACCTGCTCAAGGCGGTGAAGAGCGAGAAGCCAGCACAATTGGGATCAATAATTGGCTCGTATGAGACTGGGAACAGGATTACATGCTTAAAAGCATTTGTGATGTTGCCGTCAAATGCTGTTCAGAATGAATGGGGAGACGAAGACAACGATATCAAGGGCTTCGATGGCCTAAGCGAGGAGGGCAAGAGTGGAAGTGACAGCGATGATGAGTAGAAAGACAATAAAAGGAAACCACCCAGCCTGCCTTTTCAAATTTTCCCACTTTTGAAGGTGGACCCAATGTTGTTGTTGAAAAATGAAGCGAGTTCTGCGACTGGGCTTCTTCCTTATTTGGACGGGGATATTCCCTTCTCAGCCAAACCCTTGACCACATTCTCATACACCTCTTCAACCGAGCCGACCGCAGAGACCTTGATCACCCTGTCCTCTTCCGCAAAATGGTCTACTACGGGCATGCTCGTCTCAACAAACGTTCTGAACCTCTTGACTATGCTCTCCTCGTTGTCATCTGATCTGCCACTGGTTTTCCCTCGGTTCAGCAGGCGTTCTCGCATAACCTCCTCTGGGCAATCGAGGAACAGAGTACATTTCGAGGGGCAGACCGACTCCTCGAAAAAGATAGCTTGATCCATCTTGCGAGGAAAACCATCAATCAAGAACTTGCCCCTACCATTGCTATCAAGTTTCGATCGCATGGCATTTTCCAATAATTTGACGGTGATCTCCATCGGCACGATCAGTCCATCTTTGATATAATCTTTGATCAGCTGTCCATATTCGCTTCCTTCGTTATTCTGCTCCTCCCGCAAGAGGTCACCTGCCGACAAGTGTATGAACCCGTAGTCTCGGCCCAAATTTGCAGATTGTGTGCCCTTTCCAGAACCCGGACCACCTAGGATGTAGACCACAGTCACTTCCGCTGGATCAAAGGCGGGAGAAGTATTGGCTGAGGCGAGTGGTGGATCAGGCTGAATGAGAGGCGAGGTGCCCGACGTCGAATCTATCGCGGCCATGATGGAATGTTTCCTCAATCAGTCCCAATCACCTCTCGGTGTGTGCTTTTCTGCGGTCTTCGCTTGAGACTGTTCCCTGTTGTCCTGTTCTCTGCCTGACCAGCAGAGCGTAGGCGCCACTGCTCAGGAGGAAGAGGGCTAGGAAAGGGAAGAATCGCAGTTTCGCACCCTGACCACCGGGTTGGCGTCTGTTGGTTGTCTGAACAGGGGACTTGGTTGCTGAGGCCGGTGAAGCGTGAAATCGGTTGCGAGGATGGGAGGATTGGCACCGAAGAGGCGACAATGGAGGCCTGCTTAGGGGTCTAGGAGATAGGCTCGAGATCATTACTTGTAGGATGGCGGTGGGTTGCGTGCTCTGGGGCACAGCCTTTAAATACTATACAAACATTGAAAAAAGCATATTGACGAAAGCAACACGTCCGGCCGCGGTCTGCAGATTGGGATTGATTTCGCGGTTGACACGTGATTCCAAAATTAGCAGGGAGCGCGACGAGCTTGGCGCGGATCTTTGGTGGCAGCAGCAAAAAGCACCTGGGTAACTGGCCTCTGGCAAAGTCATCCATCGTTCACTTTCTAAAAAGGTGTCTCCTGCAGCTCACAATCCACAAACCAACCACTGCACGCCTCCTTCTCTTCTTCCTCACCACATTTCTTGTGGGATTCGCCCTTCCGACGTTATCTTCTTCCGTACACACTCTTTTTGGCCCGGTTCATTTTCCACGAACCTAACAGCGACTCGATTACTTTTGGGAGTGCATGAGGCCGCAGGGGGGCCGGTCGCAATCATGGCGCTTCCCATCAAGTTCACTGAACTGGTTCAGGTTCGTTGATTGAAATCCTAGGTCACGAAGATATATCGCTAACCCTTTTGTACTGTAGTTGACAAACCTTGACATTGCGGTAGGGGTAGACTCCCTGAATTCCGACCGCATACGCAGCTTCATTGCCTGCCTGCGCGATTGGGAAAAATTATCTACGCAGTGCTGACCTTCTCTGATATGCAGCCGCAATCGGTATCTTTCAACACCTGTGTAAGTATAACATCTCAATTCGGTCCATCTCGACATGACTTTGCTGAGAACGTCTTCCAGACACTAGAGTCCGACCATTTCGTTTGCGTACGACAGAAACTCAATGAATCAGACAAGCCTCAAGTCATAATTGTAAACCTCAAAAACAACAATGAAGTCATCAAGCGCGCTATCAGCGCCGACAGTGCTATCATGCACTTTTCCCGCGAGATCCTCGCCCTCAAGGCACAAGGCAGAACAATTCAGGTCTTCGATCTGGGGGCCAAGGCCAAATTGAAGTCGACAATGATGAATGAGGATGTCGTCTTTTGGAAATGGTATAGTGACCGCAGCCTGGGCCTGGTCACAGAGACCTCAGTTTTTCACTGGGATATCTTTGACCCCACGCAACAGTCTCCGGTCAAGGTCTTCGAACGAAATGCCAACTTGAATGGTTGCCAGATCATCAACTACCGTGTCAGCGATGATGAACAGTGGATGGTCATTGTCGGTATTTCTCAGAGAGAAGGCAGAGTTGCTGGTACGATGCAACTCTACTCGCGTAACCGTGGCATCTCTCAGCATATTGAAGGTCATGCTGCAGCATTTGGCACGTATCATGCGGAAGGCAACCCGATGCCTCACAAGCTCTTCACCTTCGCGGTCCGAAATGCTGCTGGTCAAGGCAAACTGCACGTCGTTGAGATTGATCCCAGCGAGAATAACACGCGCTTCAACAAGAGGGCGGTCGATGTCTATTTCCCCGATGAAGCCGTCAACGACTTTCCAGTGGCCATGCAGATCTCCAAGAAGTACAGCATCATCTACATGATCACCAAGTACGGTTTCATCCATCTCTACGATCTTGAGACGGCCACGTGCATCTTCATGAACCGTATTTCCAGCGAGACTATTTTCATCACCTGTCCGGACTCCGAATCCGCCGGCATTGTCGGAATCAATCGAAAAGGTCAAGTCCTCTCTGTGACCGTCGACGAGAATACTATCATTCCGTATTTGCTGCAGAATCCGGCCAATTCCAGTCTGGCCGTGAAGATGGCCTCCAGAGCCGGGCTGCCTGGTGCTGATAATCTCTACCAACAACAATTCGAGACTCTGTTTGCGCAAGGTAACTATGCCGAAGCCGCTCAGATTGCAGCCGATTCTCCTCGAGGATTCCTGCGAACTCCCGAGACGATCAATCGATTCAAGAGTGCACCCCAACAAGTTGGACAGCTCTCGGTCATCCTCCAATACTTCGGCAAGCTGCTCGACAAAGGGAAATTGAACCGATACGAGAGTGTGGAACTGATCAAGCCCGTCTTGGCCCAAAATCGCAAGAACCTCCTGGACAAATGGATGAGCGAAGGCAAGTTGGAGTCATCGGAAGAACTGGGCGACATTGTTCGATTGCATGACTTGGAGCTGGCTTTGCGGATTTACCGCGAATCCAATGTTCCACCCAAGGTCGTCGCCGCCTTGGCGGAAACCGGTCGATTTGAAGAAATCCTTCCTTATGCACGGGAGGCCGGATACCAGCCCGACTTCACCAGCTTGCTGCAACACATTGTACGAGCGAACCCCGAGAAAGGTGCCGAATTCGCGACTCAGCTGGCCAACAATGAAGGGGGCCCCCTCGTCGACATCGACAGAGTGGTCGATGTTTTCATGTCTCAAAACATGATCCAGCAAGCAACGGCCTTCCTTCTCGATGCGCTCAAGGAGAACCGGCCAGAACAAGGCCACCTTCAGACTCGGCTTTTGGAGATGAATCTTCTCAACGCACCACAAGTTGCCGATGCGATCCTGGGAAATGAGATGTTCTCGTATTACGACAAGCCCCGAGTTGCTCGTCTGTGCGAACAGGCCGGTCTTCTTCAGCGTGCACTGGAAAATACAGACGATCCCGCCTCCATCAAGCGCATCATTGTTCAAACCGACAAGCTCAACCCTGAATGGCTTCAACAATACTTTGGCCGAATGTCCGTCGAACAGTCTCTTGATTGCATGGATGAGATGCTCAAGTCCAACATTCGCCAAAATTTGGCCGCCGTGGTCCAAATCGCGACCAAATTTTCCGATTTGTTGGGTCCAAACCGCTTGATCGCGTTGTTTGAAAAGCATCGCACCGCCGAGGGTCTCTATTACTACCTGGGCAGTATTGTCAATCTCAGTGATGATGCAGACGTGGTGTTCAAATACCTCGAGGCGGCCGTAACCATGCAGCAGTTCCAGGAGGTGGAGAGAATTTGCCGCGAAAACAACCACTACAACCCTGAAAAGGTCAAGAATTTCCTGATTGAGGCACGATTGGCAGAGCAGCTTCCATTGATCATTGTGTGCGATCGATTCAATTTTGTCAAGGACTTGGTTGTCTACCTCTATCGCCATCAGCAGTACAAGTCGATTGAAGTGTACGTCCAACGTGTCAATCCAGCACGGACCCCTGCCGTGGTCGGCGCATTGCTCGCCCTCGACTGCGAGGAACCGGTGATCAAGAGCCTTCTGGCATCAGTGGAACCCTCTGCGGTGCCCATGGATGAGCTCGTGGGCGAAGTGGAGTCCCAGAATCGCCTCAAGATCTTACTTCCTTTCCTCGAGTCAACATTGGCCGCCGGAAACCAGCAACCTGCCGTGTACAACGCTCTGGCCAAGATCTACATTGACAGCAATCATGATCCGGAGAAATTCCTCAAAGAAAATGATCTGTACGACACCCTGACCGTGGGTAAATACTGCGAAAAGCGCGATCCCAACTTGGCCTACATTGCATATCGCAAGGGCCAGAATGACATTGAGCTCATCAACATCACGAATGAAAACTCCATGTTCCGAGCCCAGGCTCGTTACCTCCTCGAACGTGCGGATCCGGAAATCTGGGCGTTCGTGCTTGCGCAAAACAATACCTACCGAAGACCTCTGGTTGATCAAGTCATTGCCACCGCCGTTCCCGAGTCGAACGAACCGGACAAGGTTTCCGTCGCCGTCAAAGCATTCTTGGATGCCGATCTACCGGCAGAACTGATTGAGCTTCTCGAAAAGATCATTCTCGAGCCGTCCCCGTTCAGCGAGAACAGCAGCTTGCAGAACTTGCTCATGCTCACGGCGGCGAAGGCGGACAAGTCTCGCCTCATGGATTACATCCAGCAACTGTCTGAATACAACACGGAAGAGATTGCCAACATGTGTATCCAACAAGGTCTGTACGAGGAAGCTCTGGAAATCTACAAGAAGGTCAATGACCACAGCGCCGCGGCCAATGTCCTGGTCGACCACATCGTGAGCATCGACCGTGCCCAAGAATATGCCGAAAAGGTCGACCTTCCTGAGGTTTGGAGCAAAGTGGCCAAGGCACAACTGGACGGTCTCCGAGTCAGCGATGCCATCGAGTCGTACATCAAAGCTCAAGATCCCAGCAACTATAACGAGGTCATTGAAACCGCCACTCATGCCGGAAAGGATGAAGACCTCGTCAGATATCTCAAAATGGCCCGGAAGACCCAGCGCGAGCCGGCCATCGACACGGCGCTGGCTTTCAGCTATGCCCGACTCGACCAACTTCCCGAACTCGAGGATTTCTTGCGCTCGGCCAACGTGGCGGATGTCGAAGCTTCCGGTGACAAAGCCTCCGAAGAAGGTTATCACCAGGCCGCTAAGATCTTCTTCACCAGCGTCTCGAACTGGGCCAAACTGGCGACCACCCTGGTCCACCTTGGTGAATATCAAAATGCCGTCGACTGCGCCCGACGCGCCAACAGTGTCAAAGTGTGGAAGCAAGTCAACGAGGCCTGCGTGGCGAAGAAAGAATTCCGGTTGGCTCAAATTTGCGGTCTCAACCTCATCGTCCATGCCGAAGAGCTGCAAGATCTGGTCAAACAATATGAGCGTGAAGGATACTTTGAGGAGCTGATCTCGCTGCTCGAAGCCGGTCTGGGATTGGAACGAGCACACATGGGCATGTTTACGGAACTGGGAATTGCTCTGTCAAAGTATCATCCCGACCGCGTGATGGAACACCTCAAGCTCTTCTGGTCGAGAATCAACATTCCCAAGATGATCCGTGCTTGCGAAGAGGCGCACCTCTGGCCGGAGCTGATCTTCTTGTACTGCCATTATGATGAATGGGACAATGCAGCATTGGCGATGATGGAGCGTGCCGCGGATGCTTGGGAACATCACTCATTCAAGGACATCGTTGTCAAGGTGGCCAACCTGGAAATCTACTACCGTGCCCTCAACCATTACCTGCAGGAGCAGCCACTCTTGCTGACGGACTTGTTGCAGGCTCTCACGCCTCGTATTGATGTCAACCGTGTGGTTCGCATGTTTGAGAAGTCGGACAATATCCCCATCATCAAGCCATTCCTGCTCAACGTCCAGGGTCAAAACAAGCGTGTGGTCAACAACGCTATCCATGATCTTCTGATTGAAGAGGAAGACTACAAGACCCTGAAAGACTCGGTGGAGAATTACGACAATTACGATGCGGTGGAATTGGCACAACGCCTGGAGAAGCACGAACTCGTCTTCTTCCGACAGATTGCCGCCCAGATTTATCGCAAGAACAAGAGATGGGAGAAATCCATTTCCCTGTCGAAGCAGGACAAGCTGTTCCGGGATGCCATCGAGACGGCGGCCATCTCGAGCAAATCGGAAGTGGTGGAGGATCTCTTGAGATATGTAAGTCGAATACTATCGTGCCGGCTGAAGTGACCTAGACTGACTTGATTGCAGTTTGTCGACATTGGCAGCCGTGAATGCTACGTCGGCATGCTGTATGCATGCTACGACCTGATCCCGCTGCACACGGTGATGGAGATTTCTTGGCGACATGGGCTCAGCGATTTCACGATGCCATTCATGATCAGCTACATGAGCCAACAGGCGACGACGATCGAGCAATTACGAAAGGACAACGAAGAACGCAAGGCAAAGGAAGCCAGTCAGCAAAAGACCGAAGACAACACCCCGATCATCGGAAGTCGCCTAATGCTGACCCAAGGACCTACCAACCCGGGACCAACACCCGCGGGGTACGGGCATACTAACGGAATCACGCCTCAGCCTACCGGATTCCCTCGGGCATTCTAGATATGTAGACCCCAGAAGATGAAGGACGGCGAACTTCGGAAATAGTCGGGGATGGTTGAGGACCAAGGGTGGGGCGAAGAACGAAGTTGCAGGGAATGTGGAATACCGGTGCCAGGAAGTATTCGGACAGGACATGAGCTTGCGAGAGATTCGGAAAGAAGAACTTTGGGGAGGAGTAATGCACGAGGCTGATGGAGGGGGGATGGTGAAGATTTTTTGGTCTTCCAAGACTCAATTTTTGTAAGATGTAGTTTACTAGTGGATTGGGGCTCAGCCCAGCAGGAGGTGACTGGTTGACCGGTCCAAGTTAACTGGATGGGTTGGATTGTCGCTTCGAATCCAAGTGGGAAGAAAAGAATTTGAACCTGTATTGTCTCGGGAGAGCGACAACCGCGCTCTTTGATGCTCTTTCAACGACGTCGTTGACCCCTGTTGACCCGTGGCCTCGTTGCCGACCCACGTCAGGGCCGTCCTAACGCCCTGTGAGCTTCCTATGAGTCCCGAATGAATCCCTACTCTTTTGCCTGGTTGTATCTCGCAGTGCGAGTGCGTATTCTCTTACCTCCACCTCCTGCCAGGTACCTTTCCATCGTTCGAACAACGCTCGCATAACTAGGCCGGATTGGTGAATAGCATTGTCGCTGTGGTACGCGAGTCGCTGTGGGTTGTCGCTGACGACGGTGAGCTTGACGTGATTCGGTGACGTCTTGTTTTGATAGGAGGGAGAAAACAAATTGAAAGTGCTCGTCCAGCATTTTCTTTCCGTGCCTAAAATTTTCAGCAGATTCAAGACCGTTTGCATAGTCACCGCGCTCATACCAATTCGTCATGTAGTAGAGCGGAAACTTTGGTAGCAAAGTAGAATTGTGGTAAGTGCTTACTACCAAAGGGACACGTTGCAGCCTCATGAGCCTTTAAAGATATAGAGAGCTCTGTACCCATGATCTGAACGTGGAATCATGAGGCAAATCGCCACATTATCAAAATCAAGCTCTAGACATACAAAAACATGACGGAGCTAGGGATATTGAGATTCATTTCGACGGGATCGAAGCCTCATCTTGGGTACTCCCAATTTGCTGCTACCTCAATGTTTTCTGTTTAGTTAGCCCATGTTCCTTGGGAAATGGCTGCAAAAAAGACAGACTCGTGATGTTTTGAGCGTATGTCTGATGATCATCATCGCCCAGGCCTGGCCACATATATAGGTCGGAAATGTCGGTACCAAACTGTGCGCCTTGAGCTATTTGCGCGGCCATCGTGGATTGCTTGTTTATAGAAGTCAACACGGTTTGCGTACTTCTTCCTGTCGATGTTCCTTATGTCGGTTTTACACTTCCCGCTAATGGCGAAATATGACGGAGGTTCGATGAATTCGAAGCCTTGTTCGATGATTGAGTTGCGCACTTGCTGTGAAGGATCCTGTGGAGAAATACTCTGTCGCGCCGAGAGGTATTGAAGCCTCTCATGGAAAGGATATGCTTTGCTTGAAAGGAGAAAGAAGGTGATGGATACCAGGTAAACAAGAACGCTTGAGCGAGTGGGAGCCATGTCGGTGCAAAGAGAAGCAGATGAATAACGTAGACATATTTCAAATTGATACTTGCCCTTTACAAAAACAATCTCCACACTAGCTCTTACATACGTCGATGTAGCTACTAAGTGTAGATACAGATACTGTTAAATGAGCTGCATAGCTTCGCATAGACCGCACGACTCCTCATGATATTGAGGTCAGAATCTTGTCGCACAATAGAGGTCAAAAAAGCGCTGTGCTCAAAATACTCCCCTTTGTGCTATTCGAGAGACTGGCCAGCTTTGCATGGCCGAGTTCATCTGGGACAGCTAAAAGTGACTGACATCTCTCTGCCAGCGAAGAGCCTGCGGAAGACATGGTCAATCGCAACAAGAGTTGGAGATTTTCACCCCAAGCACCCATCGGTGGATGAACCTTGAGATATGTAGGCCTGACAGCACTTGGTACATGGCATGGTCTGTGATATCTTCGATACTGCCACCGATACTCGAACGAATATTTTAGCGCTATCGTACACGTGGCAGTTATGTCACGTGATCTCAAAATCTGGACTAGTCTATGATGAGTCAGAAATGCCAAGAAGTATGTTTGATACAATAAGATACTGAGAAAGCCACCAGGACACATCATCGTCTCTGCGCGAAATTGCTTCCGAATGCTATCATTCCGATTTCAGATGTTGCTACTGCTTAAAATTCCTCCTTTATGTCCACGAGTTGGGCGAAATTGGGCACGGGTCGTTCTCACCTTAGTGACTCTGATGAGTCTTACGAGTCGCGGTCTCGTTCGTGCCACGGTTGTTTGCGCTGAATGCCGTTCACTTACTCTCCAAGAAGCTCCCGGTACGTGCTGAGAAGGACAATGTTCTCTGTCTCTCAAATCATCCAAGGCTGGATCTTGACGTGGTTTTTCAGGTGTTGGTTTATCTTTAGCACCTGGCTACGGGTATCTGTCGACCTACAAAGGAGATTGGAAAAGTAATCTTGCTGATCAGTTCCAGTTCCGTAAGCATTCAATTTGTCAATGGCACAGTTTCGGATGTCGCTCTTGTGAACGGAACAGAGGCATACATTCGAGCTATGAAGCGTTGGCAGCATTTTGTTTCGGATCCCCCTCCTCGAGAGGGCAAGCACAAGTGAGTACATATTCTTCTACTTAAGGCTCCCATGGTTTATACATCTATGCTCAGTGCAGACGGACAACGTTTCAAGACGAGTATGCCCCTCTCGTCCTTAGAACGCCTTCGATCCTGGTTCCGGGGGGGACTGCAGGACCCCGCGGGACACTCCTATGAGCCCCTCGACGATTCTCTTATGCCAGTCGTGGAGATGATGAGAACACTTTACCACGAAGCGAATGAGTCGGTACCACTGACAAACAACAACGTATTCCTGGCAGTCCCAGACTTACAGTATGCCATATACTATGAGACCTCACGGCACATCGAACCGCTTCTCCAAGCAGTGGGACTCCATGGCCTCTTCCACTTAACACAGAGCCAGCTCTCATTGCTGCATCTCTATAACCTAGAAAACTGCTTTGGCATTTGGCTGGATGAAGTCACTTGGGTCCCAGATGAAGAGTGTGAAAAATACCGCGGCCGAACCATACAGTCGGTAATTTCCATCCACCTCGATGAATCCTCCCTGACCTTGCGATCAATGATTCGCGATGACGGCCTCTTCCCTTACGAGCTCGGTTCAGTCCAGTATTTTTGGGCAAATGAGGACGTCGGACAAGACAACATTGCTTACTGGGACTGGCTGGAGCTTTCTTTGCGCGAGTTTTTGCACGACCGCGACGTCGTCTATGACCTGTTGTTGCTCTCTGGGACTCAGGCCACGACCTCGGACTTCCAACAAGTTATCCGAAATGTGTTGAAGGACCACGAGAAAATTGTGCCTCGGGACTACCTGCGGAGGCCGATCGATCACACATTCGCTGCTGCGAGAGGGGCCGCTCAGCTCGCGAGGGTGTACTTGTGTGGTTCAGCATGTATGCCTGCGCCGTGGTGTCCAACTAGTGAGCACTGTAAGAAGTGGGCGTGGCACTGGGACGATGAGGAGGCGAAAAAGACAGAGTTGTAGGGTAGCTTTGGGCGACAATGTGAAATTCTGGCCCACTGTGATGTGGAAGGGGCACAATTGTCAGTCACAAGTGTTTTCAGTTTATTCAAGCCAAGTTAACTTATTCAAGTTAGCCATATTCCAGTCTAGTCAAATCCACTAAGTTAGTCGAATAAGTTAACCGAGGGGCTAGCAGCTCAAAATTCAAAAAAAAAAAAAACCCCCTTCTTGTATAACTAACTGATAGATGGGGGCGCCACAACCAGCGAAAGTTTTCAGTCAGACCGGTTCAACTGGAGGGGAATTACCTCCCCTGGTATTAAGTGCGACATCAACAATCACTGGCAGGAGGATTACATTTACCCATCTAGGGCACCTAGACTCGATGGAGCTAGGCCGGACAACCCTCTTACCTACACATATGATCAAACACTAGTGAGGCCCCTCAATTCTATCGGTTCGACTGAAAGCCGAGTGTTTTTCGGTTAACGTCCTTGATAGGTCAACCACGATTTGGTGTCCTTTTGGAGGTAAATTAAAAATATAATCCTTGATTATTTTCTTTGGGATTTACCTGGTTGTGGCTTGGCGGGTTGTTGCACGTGATTGCGCCAAGACCGTGCGCCGGCTAATCACGTGAGCACATGGGTTGTCACTGTCACGTGCGGACGAAGGAATACCACCATCGGATCCAATCCGTAGACCATATAGTCAGGGGAGCAAGCCCGTACAGGGTGTATGAATATCGTATCGTATCGTATCGTATCGTCAGGGGAGCATCCTACTCAATAGAAAGTTGTCAAGCTTCTTGTGCCGCTTGAATTGAAGGAGTGCGCTGGCTCTTCCAACGAGTGTAGGATGGAGCCCATCTATATATCTATCTACACGGCGCACGTCATCGCTGTTGCCTATCAATGGTGGTACAACCTAGTGAGCCAGTGTCGCGGAACGAGTTGGTCTGCCGTGGGCGATAGGGCAGTAATTGTTCAACAGCAGATTAAAACGTTGGCGGCAGCCGAATAACTTATCGATAAGCTAATTTACTTGACTAACTAGACTAGGGACAAGTTAGTCGGCTAACCTAGTCGCTTGAATAACTGAGAATCACCTCCCGTTCTCACGCTCGCCACCCAATAACACAGCCAGGAAGCCATCTCTTCCTCTTGTCATAATTTCGCGAGGCTCCTTCCTCGTATGGTCCTATCGCACCGTGGATGCACTTGCGATCGTCTGCAGGTAAATAGATGTATCGTCATAAAAACTCAGACAGCAGATAGCTTTCAGTCTACGCGCATGAAGCACTATAGAATTCTGTTGCTGCTTTTGTTTGTAGTCCACATTGGGACTAGCATGGTCACGTGCGCCGCATCCTTCGTGGCCTTTTGTAGCTTGTCAATCCTCTCTCGGTCCTACAGCTTTTATATTCACTTCAAGATCCATGTCCTCGTGAATGATGGCTTGAGCCACGTCGTATACGTTTTTATACGATTGAAAGATCGGCTCGATCATTTTTCTTCGCACAAGTCCAAGTCTTCGTGTCCTATGCTCCCGAAAGATCCAAGACCTGTTCCATAAACCGCATCTCGAATGCCCTGTCTCGCCCGCGCATTTGTCGGAGTCCGGCCAGAGATGCGGGTGCATTCTCAGCTTGTGCCAGTTGACCAAAGTTAAAGTCTAACCCGAGCTTGATGACCATAGAAGTGACGAGCGCGTACACATCGTCCGGGGGTTGGAGGCCCTTGCCGAATATATTTCTTAACCACTGGAAAGATTCCCATTTCAGAGTGATCGCCCGGTCTTGCTGGCCAGTGAAAGTGGTGTAGTCGTTATTGTAAATCCAGCGGAGAGCTAATGTACCAACCAGCGTTCGGTTGACTTCGGGGTAGTCCTTTCCATAGAGCGATTCAGAGATCGAGGGACTTTTGGACGAGGAGCCTTGGAGTTTCGGAGAAATGTGGCCTTTTTCAATCTTTCCAATTCATCGGGAAATGCAGCCTCGATCAGTTTTAGAAAGTTTCGGTCCGATATGGGCCAGAATGTGCCATCATCGATGACTCGTCGAAGACCATTGCTCCTTGGCTTCGAGGCCGAATTCCGAGGGGGTCATCCGACAAGTGCAAGATGTCATTTTGATACGCGTTTGATGCTTGAGCTCATTATGCTGTCGATTTTACTAGAGTGGTTGGGGATGGATTCTTTAATAGGTGACAATAGGGAAGGATTTAAAGCCAGATCAAAAAGAACTGTCAAACTTCTTGTGCAACTTGAATTGAAGAGTGCTCTGGCTCTTCCAACGAGCGTAGGACAGAGCCCATCTATATATCTATCTAGACGGGAGAAGACACCCTTTATCAGACGGCTGGCGCCTCTAAGATAGGTTTCTCCCCTTTTTCATGTCGTGCGACAACGCCTACGTAATTCGGGGTCCGAGCGCCGTAGCGCAGAATGACATCTGCTGTGGGGGGGTTGCCCGGGGGTCCATTATGTACAACACATACTTTAGATGTACTGTAAAGAACCCCCGTCCAGAATTTTAGGATCTGATGTTCTCACATCAATTGTCCTTGATGAAATGGTGGAGGCGGGTATCACGCATCCCCCTTCGGGCACTCAGCGTGGACTGGTGGTCTGGACCCACCGTCTTCCGGAGCTGCCCGCCATTTCGCTGGGTTACCATGCCAGTCATGGCCCTGTAGTCCTCACATCGCCCACTCCCATATATCGGGACGTTTGGACGGACGTGGAGAGAAGGAGGGAGAAGAAGGAGGGGTTGCGAAATGAATGACCGTGTACGATCGGACGGTTCCTCGATATGCTAAAGGACAACGATGGAGACGATTTGATTTGCCTTTGCTTCAAGTCCAGCCTCAATGAGCTCATAAAATGGATGTTCTCTTTTGTTCCGGACAGCCTAGGCTAGGGTGAAAGCACTCCGAGGTAGTCTGTTCAAATTTGTCCCGAGCCCAACCGACAGCCTTAGGCAGAGTCCTCACCTTAGCAGCTTGGTAGTGGCCGTGCCCGTCGCCCACCGAAAGCTTCGGGACTGAGATCCCAATGCCCCACATCCATCATCACACCCACATTCGTATCTCTTCCTACGGTTCTCTCGCAGCTTATCATCAAGGTCCTAATCCAAACTCCAATCCCATCCCTACTTGGCTCCGACAAAAGAGAGTGCTGGTGCTGTTTTCCTCACATGCCATCCCGTTTTTTTCTTTTCCCCAGCATCGAGTTGAATTCAATCCCTGCTTGATTTTATTGCTTCCTCCCGTCATCCGGCTGTCAACGCCGAACCACCTCCAACAAAACACCTCTGCCGCCTCTTGCCATCGCCGAAGCTAGTTCTCCTCACCCTTTCTTTTTCTTTTCTTTTTTTTTTTTTTTCTACTTTCCTTATTCCACTCGATCAAAGCTCCCTCTCCACTCATTCACCCACCCAATTTTTTGCTCGACGGAGCTTCATTGCCGATAGCTGTCTCTGCCAGCAGCTTCGGCTCGATCTCCTCCTTCATCATGGCTACCAACGGCTCAGCAACTCCAGACCATGAAGACGGTCAGTCACATCACCTCGAACACTCGGTCCACCAGCGACTGAGGGCCAATTCCACCATCATGCAGTTGAAGAAGATCCTCGTGGCCAATCGAGGGGAAATCCCCATTCGAATCTTCAGAACAGCTCACGAACTCTCCCTGCAGACCGTCGCCGTCTTCAGCTACGAGGACCGGTTGGGGATGCATAGACAAAAGGCGGACGAAGCATACATGATTGGGAAGCGAGGCCAGTACACCCCGGTGGGCGCCTACCTGGCCGGCGACGAGATCATCAAGATTGCTTTGGCCCACGGGGTTCAGATGATCCATCCGGGCTATGGTTTCCTGTCCGAGAACTCCGAGTTCGCTCGCAAGGTCGAGGAAGCCGGTATTATCTTCGTTGGTCCTTCCTACCAGGTCATTGAGTCTCTCGGAGACAAAGTTTCGGCCCGAAGATTGGCTATGAAATGCGACGTGCCTGTCGTGCCGGGTACGGAAGGTCCCGTGGCCAAGTTCGAGGAAGTCAAAGCTTTCACTGATCAGTACGGCTTCCCGATCATCATCAAAGCGGCTTTTGGGGGCGGCGGCCGAGGTATGAGAGTGGTCCGGGATCAGGAAAGCTTGAAAGGCGCTTTCGAGCGTGCGACCTCGGAAGCCAAATCAGCCTTCGGAAACGGTACCGTCTTTGTAGAGCGCTTCCTGGACCGGCCCAAGCATATTGAAGTGCAATTGCTGGGTGACAACCACGGCAATGTGGTTCATTTGTACGAACGAGACTGCAGTGTCCAACGACGACATCAGAAAGTCGTGGAGCTGGCTCCGGCCAAAGATCTTCCTGCCGAGGTGCGAGATGCCATTCTCAATGACGCTGTCAAGCTGGCCAAATCCGTCCACTACCGCAATGCCGGGACCGCGGAGTTCCTGGTCGATCAACAGAACAGATACCACTTCATCGAAATCAATCCCCGCATTCAAGTCGAACACACCATCACCGAAGAAATCACGGGCATTGACATCGTGGCTGCTCAAATCCAGATTGCCGCCGGTGCCACGTTGGAGCAGTTGGGCTTGACACAAGATCGTATCTCGACCCGAGGATTTGCTTTCCAATGTCGTATTACCACCGAGGACCCCTCTCAGGGTTTCTCGCCCGATACCGGCAAGATTGAAGTGTATCGATCTGCGGGCGGTAACGGGGTCCGTTTGGACGGTGGGAACGGGTTTGCGGGGGCCATCATTACTCCCCATTACGACTCCATGTTGGTCAAGTGTACTTGCCATGGCTCGACGTACGAGATTGTCCGTCGCAAGATGCTGCGAGCACTGGTGGAGTTCCGGATCCGCGGCGTCAAGACCAACATCCCCTTCTTGGCCTCCCTCTTGACCCATCCGACTTTTGTGGAAGGAACGTGCTGGACCACCTTTATTGACGATACGCCGGAATTGTTCAAGTTGATTGGCAGTCAAAATCGAGCTCAGAAATTGCTCCAATACCTCGGAGACGTGGCCGTCAATGGCAGCAGCATCAAAGGCCAAATTGGCGAGTCCAAATTCAAGGGGGAGATTATCATGCCCAAGTTGCTCGACGAGCACGGCAACGAAATTGATGTGACGGAGCCCTGCACCCAAGGATGGAAATCCATCATCGACACCGAAGGACCCGCCGCCTTTGCCAAGGCGGTTCGAGCCCACCAGGGATGTCTCATCATGGACACGACCTGGCGCGATGCTCATCAGTCCCTGTTGGCGACTCGAGTCCGAACTGTGGACTTGTGCAACATTGCCAAAGAGACCAGCTACGCCCTCAACCATGCCTACTCCCTGGAGTGCTGGGGCGGAGCCACATTTGATGTCGCCATGCGATTCTTGTACGAAGATCCGTGGGACCGACTTCGCAAGATGAGAAAGTTGGTGCCCAATATTCCGTTCCAGATGTTGCTCCGGGGAGCCAACGGGGTGGCCTACAAGTCACTGCCGGACAATGCTATCTATCATTTCTGCAAACAGGCCAAGAAGAATGGCATGGATATCTTCCGTGTGTTTGATGCCCTCAACGACATTGATCAACTGGAGGTGGGCATGAAAGCCGTTCAAGAAGCCGGAGGGGTGGTGGAAGGGACGGTCTGTTACAGCGGTGACATGCTCAACCCGACGAAGAAGTACAACTTGGAATATTACATGGATGTCGTGGACAAGATTGTCCGGATTGGGACTCACGTGTTGGGGATCAAGGACATGGCCGGTGTGCTCAAACCCAAGGCCGCTCGTCTTTTGATTGGCAGCATTCGCCAGAAGTATCCCGACTTACCCATTCACGTCCACACTCACGATTCGGCTGGTACGGGTGTGGCGTCGATGGTGGCTTGTGCGGAAGCGGGCGCAGACGCGGTGGATGCCGCGTCGGACAGTATGTCGGGCATGACATCTCAGCCGAGCATTGGTGCCATTCTCGCTTCTCTCGAAGGCACGGTTTATGATCCGGGCTTGAATGGCCACAATGTCCGCGCTCTCGACCAGTATTGGTCGCAATTGAGATTGCTCTATTCTCCATTCGAAGCCGGATTGACTGGTCCGGATCCCGAAGTGTATGAGCACGAAATTCCCGGGGGACAATTGACCAACTTGATCTTCCAGGCCTCTCAACTGGGTCTGGGAGAGCAATGGCTGGAGACGAAAAAGGCATACGAGCAAGCCAACGACCTCCTGGGGGACATTGTCAAGGTGACCCCGACGTCCAAGGTGGTCGGTGATCTGGCACAGTTCATGGTGTCCAATCGATTGAGCGGCGACGCCGTCCGGGCCAAAGCCAAAGACCTCGACTTCCCCGAATCCGTATTGGAGTTTTTCGAGGGCTATATGGGTCAACCGTATGGTGGATTCCCCGAGCCTCTTCGAAGCGATGCCTTGAGAGGTCGGAGAAAGATGGACAAGCGACCGGGACTCTACCTGGAACCCGTTGATTTCGCCAAGGTCAGGAAGGACCTGAAGGAGAGATTCAATACCAGCGCCGAGACGGATGTCGCCAGCTTCGTCATGTATCCCAAGGTGTTTGAGGATTACCGCAAATTTGTGAACAAGTATGGTGATTTGTCCGTCCTGCCGACCAAGTACTTCCTGAACCGGCCCGAGATTGGGGAAGAATTCAACGTGGAGTTGGAGAAGGGGAAGGTTCTGATCTTAAAGCTGTTGGCGGTCGGCCCTTTGTCAGAAACAACCGGTCAACGTGAGGTGTTCTACGAAGTGAACGGTGAAGTTCGACAAGTGACGATTGACGATACCCAGGCCGCGGTGGAGAATACCAGTCGACCCAAGGCTGATCCTGGCGATAGCAGTCAAGTGGGAGCCCCCATGTCCGGAGTGGTAGTTGAAGTACGAGCGACGGAAGGACATGAAATCAAGAAAGGAGACCCCATTGCCGTATTGAGCGCGATGAAGATGGAAATGGTGATCAGCGCACCCCATTCCGGAAAAGTTGGACATATTTCGGTGAAAGAGGGCGACTCGGTTGCTGGATCCGACTTGGTTTGCAGGATTACCAAGGCATAAGCAGAGGAAATACAAAAAAGTACAAGTTGATCACGGACGACAGGATGAACGACCTGGGAATGGTGGGTGGGTAGGCAGGTAAAGCAGTTAGTTTTCATCATTGTCTATGCCTGTGTATGGCACAAGGCTGTGTTCCTTGGTATTTTCTGTTTGCTGTCGATTGCGGTAGAATAGACACATTGCAGCAGATCGAGATCTGCTTTGGGTCTCCAAGTGGTAAAGTGATATTGACATCGTATCCACCAACCAGATTCAACCCTTTTGTAACCCCGTTTGCTCGAATCGTGTTGCGTCTCGTCGCCTTCTCTCCACATCTTCACGTCCTCTCTTTCGCTCGCTTCATCCATCTACATCCACTTGTTAGTACGCGGGGTAGTTACAATATCCCAGCTCCCTGGTTTGCTCCTTGCTTTGACCTGATTGGAAGAGAAAGTCCTTGGATCCCTGGCCTTTTTCTGATTTGCAAAACCCTGGCCAACCACTCCTTCTTCAACGAATAACGATCACGCTTCAAGCAGACTGGTCTTTGCTCAACCAGCAGCTTTTGTTTTGATGGAACCAATCCTTCCCCGGCTTTTTATTCTCCTCCTTGTCTGTCCTGTGTTCCCCTCTGAAGCTCAACGGCACAACTTGGAGAAAGATGAACAAAGTCACGCGAGGTCCACTTCTTTAAGGTGAGCAACTGAATAAAAACTGGTCCCTACCACCCTCATCTCATTTCACTTACCCCCTTGCTTTCGAATGGGGAGTTCTCATCTCCATCTACCTTTCATCCATAGCCGTGATCTACATCAACAATACCCCAGCAACCAAATTTGGGCAGGCACTACCGCACGTGCTGATTCGCACTTAATTGAACTCAGATTGCCAGTCCACCTGGCCCTCGTATCTGTCAGCGACGTCACAATAACGACTGGGTATCCATGTTGATCAGCAGAAGGTCTCATCAAGCTTCAGCCTTGACATAGACCTCGCTACCCTCCGTCGAACACCTGCGTCAACGTCAGCCAGTAACTCGTTTAACTCATCTCAGCCTCGACCATCTTCCTGTACTCTCTATATCGGAACCTCAACCCCTCACCTCCCTCCTTCAATCCATATCCGTCACGACTACTCCTGTTCAAAATCAAGAGATCAAGAAAAGAAGAACGAAAAATTCGTCAAAAATGTTCTTCAAACAATACAACTACAAGCCCCGCACGGGCAGCTGGTCGTCACAATCCTCATCCAGCGTGGCCGGCAGCTCGCCCAAGGATGAAATGCGAACTACTTCCTCAGAAACCACCGGACCCGCAGCCAGTGCGGGGGCCGCGGGCAGGAGACGGGTGAGTGCGAGTCTTCCTCCTTGTATATTTCCACCGGGGATCTTTTGATCCCTGTCGTTTTGGGTTTTGGGTCGGTGATTTGCGACGCCCATCATGGTTGTTTCTGCTCACGCAAATATGGCTCTTTTGGTTTGGTGTTTGTCGTTTGCCATGTTCCTGTCGCTAACCTTTGGATGATGGACGTATATAGTCCAGTGCCTCAGCCTCCGATAAATTCGCAGGCCTTATGGCCATGAAACGTGGAAGTCAAGACGAACGCAAATCCTCTTGGGCAGAGCAGAAGCCCGGTCAATCGGGGATTTTGAGCGGGATGTGGAATAGTTATACCAAGGGAACCTCCTAAGTCTTCCATTTCGATTGTCACATACATGTGTCAGTGGCGAGGGGAAGAGGAAGGGAAGGGGGTGAGCGGGAGAGAAATGAAGGTTCATGCGGGATATGTATGTCTGAGGTATGTGTGTTGAGATGAAGTGAGGCTGGGGCTGAAGGAAAGATTAATGCTAGTGGTGAAATTTGGACTTCAAGGTGCCACGCAAGTTGCAACCGTGTTTCGAGTTCTCGAGTCGGGTCAGATCATGGTTAGGGTCGTGAAGTGTATAGGAGCCTTATGTACGTTTGATCTATATGTCGACCATCTCAATGAGATGAATGGATCTCTCTCTCGGGCCCCCCCCCCACCAAAACTAGGGACACGATACGTAGATAGCATGCTTATGGTTTATCAAACTCTAATCTACCAAGACAGGTAGAACAAGAGACACTTCAACGATCCTGTATACATTTGAGACCAGTGCTTATCGCTGTATACGTCCGGCCCTCGCGAATATCAAAAAAGGAGCCGAAAAGGAGGCTGGAACAAACGGAAGGCTGTACTGGGTAAAATACTATGTATATGCGTCTTTCGATGACCCGGATAGGCCCCAACGCAACAAGAATAAGGTCCAAGGGCAAAAATCGAATCTAACTTGTCCTTTCTAGGAGAAGACTCCAAGTTCCGTCCCGTCTTGTCTTCATTTCCGAATTTGGGTAGAAAGATTTCCTTGGCTTTTTAGTCCCGACGATGACATGGAGACAGATAGACGACGAGAAGAAACCGAGATCTAGACCCGTTCCAATGTCCATATCGTTTAGGACTTCCGTAGGCAAGGTATTGCCAATGTCTTGCGTTCCCAACGAGGGAGGTTTCCCAGACCTCATGGAAAAAAGGCCAGACACACCGCCATCCAACGCTGCACCCTGATGATTCGTCCTGTCGTACATCTTCCCCATCATTACCTGCATAGCCACAGAGCCTCTGCCTCGACCCTCGTCTCCTCGCCGCATGTCACCGAACCACGACGAACCACTTCCCCGACGTCCCCGTTTTATGACACCGTCTTCTTTACCTCTTCAACTGCGCCGGCAACCTTATCTTTGGCCTGATCAGCTATTGACTCGGCCTTGCCTTCCAGGTTGGCTCTCTCAGCCCGGATCTGAGCCCATCGGTCTTTGCCGCCCATACTACCAACACACATTAAGTCAGTCAAGCTCATTTGATATTCCGGTCTGTTGAGTGTGTACTCACTACCAATAATCATACCACCGATATCCTTGCGTTAATTGTGCGTTGAAGTTGACAAAATGGCAGGCAAAGAGGAGATAGTTTTTGGGTCTGACGGCAAGGGCATAGCGCATGAATGTGCCTGAGTACACTACTAGGGCGGCGGTGAATTGTCCAGAGATACTGAAGATGACGTTAGTCCTGGTGCTGATAGAGTAAAGTGAAGAAGGAGCATGGTGTGGATCAGACGTATGGGTGGTGTCAACTCAAGAGGTATTCGAGGTTTGGAGCGGATGTGACTGTGGATTTCTTCTTGTAAACATACATCTCGGGGTCTTTCTGTGTATCTAGGACAGCCGCAATAGGAATACCGAAATTCGATGCTGGACCCCAGAAATCTAACATATTTGAGTCACGAGTTAGCGTTTTCGGTCGCGCATGTTCGGGAGTACACTCGTCTCAAAGTGACGATGTATTCGTGCGTGGTGCATAGTTGGAGATGGCAGGAGGAACATACGGGTCGAGCAGAAATAATCGAGGACTTTATTGGAGCGGATCTTCGCATTGATAGCTTTGATGGCCGCAGCCATGCTGATGCGACAGTGGTGTAATTTTCGATTGAAATCCGATGAAACCAGAAGGAAAGCAAGAGAACGACCGCAGAAGAGGGCAAAGGAGGCGACTGTGAGGCCAGAAGGGAAAAAAATGAGGAAGAGAAAGGTTTGGTGAGTGATGAAGCTGTCGGCGCAGGATGGGACGGAGATTGAAAAAGGGAAATACTGGGGGGGAGGAGGAGAGGAAAGTTCGGCGGATTCAGGCCTTCGGACTCCTCATACCAGAGGTCACGTGTCAACAGGGTCCGGGGATTAGGGAAAAACATTCTGCCACGCATCATCCATCGTCCGGCTGCCGCCATTCAGTATCTTCTTCTCCGACTATTAGCATTCTGTGTTCATTCTTTCTATGCCAACTCTAATCTGACTGCCGGTCATCGAGTATGGTGGATTCTCGAACCATTCCTCAACATTATCGTATTCCACCAGCTAAACGACCCTCTGTTGAGAAATAACTTGAGCCTGGAATCGAATTTGGAAACATAAATCATCCACTGACCTCAGGTCAATGTCACCAGGATTGGTTGACCGTAGACGATCTAGAATTCCTTGCAGAGAGGATACAACATCAGGCTGAACTGGTCCCTCGGTAGGCACTTCGGGAGCAGTATTGCTACCGTCCGGCTGCTCGACGCCTTCAATGTCAGCTGTGACACCAGTGTTCATCATACGTTCTCCTTCTGGTTTGTGCTCTTCGGCTTCCATAGTCAAGTTTTCTTCTGGATTTGCATCCAGACCTCCGGTTTGAGCGGTTGACTCTTCCTTGCAGTCAGCATGATCGGAACGCGAGGTGCCTATAACGGGCCCAACGTCCTGCTGACGGTGTTCTTGTGACTGAGAATTTCGGGCATGTCTTCTCGGTCTCTCACGCCGATGTTTGGGAGGAGATGTGGGCTCTATTGCCACCTGCTCTCTCGCCTCGGCGAACCCGCTGGCCACGACGGCTTCAGCTGCTCGAGAAGGTGCAACCTCGATAATGTCACACATCTCGCCCACTCTGTTATGTACTCCAGGCCAAGTTTCAGGCTCGATAGAGTCAGAAGACGCCTGGAACAAACCCTTTGATCTCTTTCTCTTGGTTGATGTGAATGTGAAACTGCTTGATTTGCGTTTACGCAAATTCCGTGACGGTGGTTTGGGTTCTTGCCGGTCATGTTGTAGTTCTTGCTGTGAGGAGGTGATATCGTCCATTTCCTTCTGACATTCAGCGGCATCCACAACTTCACCGATATGTCGGTCAAGGTCTTGGGATAGTTGGGACGCACTAAGCATATCGATCTCGTCACTATCCATCCTTGGTTTGGAGTTCGGACCCGAATTGTCATCGTCGTCTTCGGCATTCAGTGTGATTTCCGGCTCCCCCATCAGGAACGGAGCCAATTCGTCTGCTTCAAGATTGGGGAATGTCCCCACAGGGAGGACCTTCTTCAGCTCAATCTCATCTGTGTTTGCCTGAACATGAATGTCAGCCTCTTTCACCTCCGCTGGTTCGTCTTGTGGAAGATCTCGCGCGAATGGGGCCTCGATTTCAGGTTCATTCACGTCCGTTGTCGACTGCTCCAGACGGTCCGTCGATTGAGAAATCGCCAGGTCAATTCCAATATGGGCATCCTCCGCATGTCCCCGAAGCGGAGACGATGTATTCTCTCCTCCGGCATTATCTTTCTCCGCCATAGATGGCGGTGATGAAGGCACCTCGATGTCCATTATTTGATTTGTGAAATGTCGAGCACGAGGAGTTGGAGATGCCATGGTCTCTGGCTCTCCATGGTCGTGGTTTGTCGGTAAGGTAGGTGTTGATGGTCGTTCAACCAGCGCCGCAGCTTTTCGTGCAAACTCACAATCCCCATGATTTTGTGACTTGCTATGGACCCTAGGGCTTGATCTGAGGTCGGGAAATACAACGGCCGGCTCTGACCGTCGCCTATCGCGGACTTCTTTCTGGTGGACAGTGAGGAATTGTGACTCCAGTTCATGTTGTGGGGGTGATGATGATTCAATGGCCACAAAATGTATCTGAGAATCGTCATGTCTTGATCTGGGTCGGGAGACTGGTCTTTCAGGGCTCGTTGGAAGAACATGATCCCGCTCCTCAACTCTTGCCCAAACATCGTGACTGCCCAGTATCGGCGAGGCGAAGCCTGCTTGTTCGAGCTGGCTTGAGCTCGATGACACATTCCTCAACAGTCCCGGAGATAGGGCTTCCTCCCATGCGGCTGGGGGGAACCCAACGCGGTCGGTTCGACTTTGTGCCGGCTGTGGTACTCCGGGAATGTCGATATCGGCGAAATTCCGAAGTTTCAAGAGAGCGTCCAACAGACAAGGCCCGAGCGTAATTGATTGTTGTTGACCGAAGTGATTGTTCCACATATCAACAGCGTCGTTGACCACGGAAACATGACTGCTTTCAAAAGGAGCAGCGAATACCTGGTCGAGCTCTCTCAAGCTTGCGGCCGGTATTTTGGCCAATATATTGACGGTAGTATTCACAATGCTTCGGTATATCTGTCCATCCTCAGAGTCCGCCGGATTCATGAAAAGTCGAGACTCGTCCTTCAACAGTACGACTAAGGCTTTGCTCAGGAGTTTCAAAGTTGGCGCCAATTGCTGGTGCGGTGCAATCTGAAGCACATGATCTAGCGTCCCAATCACGGCGGTAAGAGCCGACATTCTGCTCGTAAGTTCTGACTGGAGCACTTCCATCATGGACGAACCGAGAAGCTCAAGACATTTCTCGTATTGGGATAGGGAAGTTTGAAATGTACTTCTTGGGTTGTGAAGGTGTCGCCGCATGTCACCGTGGTCTCTCGCGTGATTCAAGTCCGAGACGATCGAGTCGAATGTTTCCAGGAGGATAAAGGTCTGGCGTATCGCTGCCATTTCATTCTCCAGGCCGGTCAAGATTGGGATGTATCCGAGCTCGGAGACCGCGCTTCGTGTCATTTGTCGTATCTGGACGCTGCTAAGCAAACATGCTTGATCATCAGTACGATCGGGCTCCTCATAAATCTCCGCCCATAAATGTCCCAGAAAGCGGTTAACCGTGATCAGAGCTAGTTTCGTCTCCGAAGATGGTTTGATCTCCTTGCTGCTCGCTTTTCGAAGGGCTTTGAGGAAATGCGTCCAAGCGACAGCGATGTACGCTCGATCAGATTGACCAGATGCTCCCCAAGAGCTGTATCGGAGCAGGACGCGGAACATATCGACGATGGCCGCGCTTTTGGCTCTGATCCATTTGCAATCCATAGTGGGAAGTTCCTCCGGTTCGATAGGAGTGTTTTCAAGAGCACGATTTTCGTTCCAGACTTTTGTGCTCTGGTTCGAATTCCACAAAAGTGACATGAGGACTCGACAAGCGACATCCGAGTTGGCCGGATTTTTCTCAAAGAATGAGCTTCTCATGACTTTGACAATGTATTCATTCCAAACGCGTGTGTACTGTTTGTGGGTCGCGGCTGGTCGGAATGCGTAATAAAGCAAATTGCAGTAACTCGAAACAGCTGTAGCCCTCGAGCCCTTGACCGTTTTCTCCGCGCTTTGCCGCTCTAACTGGGCGGATAAAGGCTTTGCGAGAATTGTCATCAAATGATCCGGTGCTTCATGGGGTCGGACGACATAGACAAGGCGATTCCAAGCCATATTGGATTGTTGTCTGAGAGCGGACTCGCTGCAATTAAAACATCTTTGGATGACCTTCAACCAATCCTTCAATTCGGGCCAGCGATCGATGTGTGTCTCAGGACCATAGCTGAGCAGAAGCACAATGGCCCAGATCTGTGGTACTTGGATCATCTCCTCTTTAGCGGTAATCATTTTCTCAAGCCTTCGACACATGGCCATACCAAATGTCTTCTCCGGTTCCAGCTCCTTTTCAAGAATAGTTCTGACGGACCCGGATATTGACGAGGACGCAGGGAATGCTGAACATGCCTTCGTGCCCAAAGTCACGGCTTTGGCTCTGATATCCTTCAAAGCACTCGTCATCCCGGTCAACAATTCTTCAACCCAAAGATTTGCCCTTGTTTTCATCGTAGTCCGTGCTTGATCCAACAGCTTTTGGTAGACCAGTAGTCTCTCGGACACGGCGCCGTTGCCTTTCACATGATCGGTGAGAACCTTCAACGATTCTAGAAGTCGGGGAACGCGGTTATTAGAGTTGATAAGGCCTGATCGAAATTCTTGGGTGGCTAGAAGGTGCAGGTAGTGGATGATCACGCTTTTGGGCGCAGTATGTTCGGCAATGACTTGAATCGACCGATCGAGGATGAAAATACGGTATTCGTCGGACAATAATGATGAATAGTCGCGACTCCACGCAAAGATAACGAGCACCTTGAGTGCCTGGGTGACCAGGTTGATGTCGGCAATATGCGGCTCATCGGGCTTCCCTTGTCTGAGAAGGTCTCTTTTGATGTACTTGAGAATATTGTGAATCTTACTCTTCAACGCAGCTTCGTCAGGAACATCGTCATATTCTCGAATTACCGATGAAAGAGTTTGATATGCGTCAACCGACACCGATCTGTCATCTTGCGATAGTTGCTGCACAATGCTCTCCATCATGTCGCCCATTGAACGGTCGGCGTCCGGCTCTTTGTGAGCAGCTTGTAGCATCTCCTCATTGATGGGCGCGGGCTTCAAGATAGACTTCAAAGATGACTGGCATGCTGACGAGGGAGGATTTGTCTTGAGTTTGGCACCGCTGGAAGGAAGCGAATTGGGCATAGGTTCATGGGCGTTTGTCCAAGGTGAGAATTCGACTCGTTTCCGTGTTCCACCGTGGGATGAACCAGGAAAGGACACCGGTGAATCTGGAGTACTGGTAAGATTCACAGAGGCATGGGATCGGAGAGGTTTTTTGCGAGGAGACGTCGAGGGTGGACTCGGAGGAAGGATTTCAGGAGTTGGCATGACTGCCGTGATACAGTCAAACTGAACAAAAGATTTCTATCTTTGGGAGCGGCCGGAAGTGAGACTTGAAAGTCGACGAGGCCGCCAGCAGTCTCCCGTTACTCCCAAAATGGAGATTGGCTCCATGAAGATGTGTGTGAAATAGTATAAGGTCGATGGACGTTCAATGGACGAACCAGCCACCTCGACGCGTCGGTTGGACTGAAACGCGTGATCGTGTGGCGCTTCAAACGGAAAATACCAGTCTGACGGGTGTCAAATATCACGAGGAACCCCTGAAGATAACCCCAGTAGAAGAGATCTCGTTGTCGAAGGTTATACGGTCAGACACAGCCATTTTTATTGCCGACACTAGACTCAAAGCAGGCACTTCATTTGTCTAGCGCTTTAATGGCATACGTCACTCCCATCTAGTATTAAGCAACAACGGCATCACCCGTCATTTCCCCCCCTATCTGTGCTCGAGTGGCTCACTGTGAGCAGACGAGATCACTTTCGTTTCGACCTGCTGTAAAGGCAAACCCTCTCCAACCCGAATGCACGCCAGTCCGGCTCAATCTGCAAACATATCCGGTCGACTTCGATCAATGCCAAACCAAGTCCAACAAAATGAGGCCAAAGCATTGCTCGGCCTCCTCAAAGACAACCTAGATGCGAAGAATCTGGAACCGAAGCGGCTGGAAGAAACGCTTACCAAGTTGAAAATATTGGGACGGGATGTGACCAATATCTCCGCCATTTACGACGATCCATGGATGAAAGTATTAGGGAGCTATGCTTTTGGGGAATACGGCCCCCGTGTCCGTCAAGAAGCGTCAAGATGTGTTGCAAATGCGCTGCTTTTGCTTCCATCCACTCGCAAATCCTCTCTTAACCTGGGGTTCGATAAAATGGCAGCCGATGCACTTCAAAAGGCAAACGATGATGAAGAATTCCTGCTGGCGCGTATCCTGTTCCTTTTGACGTACGATCCCAGCATCGACCTAAAGGCACTGATTGTTGACCATGATCTGGCGGGGAGCATCATCAAAAACCTTTCTCGACATGCAGATGAACTCAAATCAACATCCAAAGCCCGGGTCAATCAGACTGCCACCGCGGCGCTTGGAGAAACCCTCAAGCTGCTCTTCAACGTCACCAATTGCCAGACAGATCAGACCAACAAGTTCAATCCAGCGGTTGTTGAGCTGTTGCAAATTCTCGATCATTCCGATATCCCAACGCCCCCACTGCAGCCGCCGATTAGTCTTCTCATCAATGCCCTGGCAAATCTTGAACTTGGAAGCAACGAGGCTGGGGTGGGAAAAGAACTTGACTCGGGAGCGGAGAATCTAATCACAATTCTAGAGCTGGCACTAGAAAAACATTCCATCACAGAGCTGGACACCATCGCAATATCATTGTTGACCGTTTTGAGAAATATCAATGAGGTTGCAAATCCCGAAGTGAGGGATGTGATGAAAGCACGACTCCTCCCAGATGATAAGGAGAGAGATCAGCCTCTGGGGAAATCGTCGTCATTGGCGTCAAAATTACTCCGCTTGACGACTTCCTCGGGACTGTTGAACTTGTCGGAAGCAATTTCCGGACTCATGTTCGAACTATCCGACAAAGATGCCAACGAATATGTCAAGAATGTTGGATATGGTTATGCTGCGGGATATTTGATGTCTCACAAGATCCCAGTTCCAGACAGTGCAAAGAAGTCTCAGACAGCAGGTGAATCCTCCAATAATGTGCCTATCAACCCCATCACCGGCCAGAGACTGGACAAGGAACCCGTCAACGATCTACCGGAAATGACTCGGGAGGAGAAGGAGCGAGAAGCTGAACGACTGTTTGTGCTGTTTGAAAGGCTGAAGGCAACAGGGGTAGTGGACGTGAAGAACCCAGTGGAACAGGCGAGGGATGAAGGGCGATTCGAGGAGCTGAGTGATTCGGATTGATAATTGCTTTTCCAGTCATGTTATTTGGCGGTTACACTCTAGCAAGCGATGAAGCCATTCCACCATACCAGAATTGCTCCGAGTTACACAGTACAGTCCTGTCCATGTCCGTCACCCCGTACCGCGACCGGTAATGGTAATCGGGGCTGTCGCCGTTGGCTGAAAATGATGGCGATGGTGCCACCCGGAAGACGGCTGCTTAGCGGGGGAGTCGTCACTTAGATGAAGCTAAAAGCGGGCTAAAACACGGCTAACACCGGGCCAGTTAGGCGGCAAAGTGCTGTTCCTGCATCTACCAGTGATAAGCTTAACTCGACTGGGCTGAATGCAAACCCGTCATCCAAGCCGGAAGGCCCATGTTCGCGCTCCATGCTTCGCGCGAGGTGCGCCTCGTGTTCAACCCCAGAAACTTTTTTTCTGGTCGCCATCTGCCCTCCAGGCCGCTTTTCACCCTTTGATCCTCATTCCCGCCCTCCTCTACTTCCTCAATACCTCTGTACGACTTCAGGATGCCCTGAACCCCCTGGGCGTCCTGCTCTTTCGGTCCATCTCACACGCCATGGTCCATCGTGTTGAGGCCATCATGAATGGAACCCATCGAGTCAACGGTGTAAACGGCCACCCTAAAGATGGCTCCCTGCGACCATCCAACGTCTCCGGCAAATCTTCCACCCCCATGGCTCCCGCATTCATGACTTCAGCTCCAGGCAAAGTCATTGTCTTTGGTGAACATGCTGTCGTCCACGGAAAAGCCGCAATGGCTGCTTCCGTCTCCCTGCGATCCTACCTCCTTGTGACCACTCTCTCCAAATCACAGCGTACGATCACTCTAGTCTTTCCGGATGTCGGACTCGATCACACATGGAACATTGATGATTTGCCATGGAGCGTCTTCACCAAAACTGCACGAAAGCCTCGCTATTACGACATGGTCACCTCGCTGGATCCGGAGTTGGTTCAGGCCATGCAACCACATATTGATGAAGTGTCGACCCATTTGAATGCGGAGAAGAGAAAGAGACATCAAAATGCCGCTTCTGCTTTCCTCTATCTATTTCTGTGTTTGAGCACTCCTGCCGCGCCCGCCTGCATTTATACCCTCCGCTCTACGCTACCGATTGGTGCCGGACTTGGTTCTAGCGCCAGCATCTGCGTATGCATCAGTGCTGCCCTCCTCAAGCAGATTCATGTTCTTTCTGGACCACATCACGACCAACCAGAGGAAGAAGTGGATCTACAACTCGAAAGAATAAACAAATGGGCCTTTGTTGGAGAATTATGCATCCACGGTAATCCCAGTGGAGTGGATAACACGGTGTCCACAAGAGGAAGAGCTGTGCTCTTCAAGAGAGTGGACTATTCCAAGCCACCCAGCGCGACACCGTTGAAAGATTTTCCCGAACTCCCTCTCTTACTAATTAACACCAAACACCCTCGCTCCACAGCTGCCGAGGTGGCCAAAGTGACAGCGTTGAAGGAAAAGTACCCCACGGTGACGGAGGCGACACTGGACAGCATTGATAAAGTCACAATTTCGGCGCATTCACTGATCACGTCGGATAAATTTGACCCTACATCCGAACCGAACCTCGAACATCTGGGAGATCTCTTTCGAATCAATCATGGCCTTTTGGTCTCGCTTGGCGTGTCCCATCCCAAGCTGGAGCATATCCGCGAACTGGTCGATTATGCCGACATTGGATGGACAAAGCTCACCGGCGCAGGAGGAGGTGGATGCGCCATCACCTTACTCAAGCGCGATGTGGATACCGAGGTCCTGCGTGACTTGAAAGAGCAGTTTGAAGCGGCTGGATTCGAGGAGTACAAGACGACCCTAGGTGGTAGTGGAGTGGGGATCTTGTATCCTGCAGTCTTGCATAATGGCACCGACGAAGAAGGCGGTGAAGAAATTGATCAACAAAAATTCCTCAATGCCAGAGGAGAAGAAGGCATTGAGACTTTGGTTGGTGTCGGTCTCGTGGAAAGGAGACCTGAGTGGAAATTCTGGCAGTGATGGGTGACTGGGCCTTGGTTGTATTCATGGATGGTCTTATGAGCGCAGGCGCATGGCAGCATTTGTCTAGTGGAACGGCCCTCTGGTTGATGAGCGAACAAAAACCTGATGGACATTTTATAGCGACAGGCGGTAACTCGAGTCAATCCGAGTACCACCACCATTTATTCGTGGAGCTCTCTTAATGGATGGCATTTATGGATCTCACGTGATGGTCCCGCATTTATTCGACTTTCGATTACTATTGTTTCTCTCATTCCAACCCATTCTGCTTGAAAACATTGAATGATTGTCGCTCTGGTTTCTCATTATCGCCACCAGACCAGATCCATCGGCCGTTGCAGAAACTGACTAGGTGATCATGACGTGATTGCACATCACTGTCTTCTCTACGAGCCTGTTCTACATCACAAGACTTAGGCAGTCATCAACGCCTCGGGTCCAAGGGGCTACAGGCACATCCGCCTGGACCAGAAAGTCATTCGTGCAAGCTCACGTAACCAAGGTCATCTGATCTTTGCCAAAATGCCCGAGTCCACATCTAAATCCGGATCAACAAACCCTAAACCCAAGCCCCAATCCGCCAAATCCACAGATCCATTCTACGCCGTCTCGCCGATATGGAAAGACGTTACTCCCATCCCGCTCATCGATGGGCCTCCCAACCAAAAGGACCCAGGCCCCGCCCTGGCCACCATCGCTTACGCACCGCGATACACGGAGGCCATGTCATATCTGCGAGCAGTCATGGCTGTGAATGAGTTCAGTCGGCGCGCGCTCGAGTTGACGGAGGATATCATCGGAATGAATCCGGCGCATTATACTGTTTGGCTTTACCGAGCAAAGATCTTGAAGGAATTGTGGGAAAGGGAGGGGACGAGTACGGAAGACGGGGTCATGGAGGAATTAGACTGGTTAGAGGGAGTAAGTGAACGGAATTTGAAAAATTATCAAATCTGGTAAGATATGAGATTCCTTTCGCTATCGCGTGGTCTTTATATCTCCCGTTACGGATCAAATCTGTTTATGAATCCGGCCAGATTGCAAATTGCTGATCCGTTTTTCATGATCAGGCACCATAGACAACTCCTCGTCTCTCTGCTCCCCAGACTCCCTCCAACGGAAACCGACTTCCTCGCATACATACTCTCCTTCGATTCAAAGAACTATCACGTCTGGACCTACCGCCAATGGCTATGCTGCCGGTTCCCCGATCCATTACTTTCCACCGACGTGGAACTTCAGGCCCTTGACGCACTAATCAACGAAGACGTCCGCAACAACTCGGCCTGGAATCACCGGTATTTCATCTGCTTCGGGGCCGAGGAGCTTCGCGTCATCGAATCGGAGGGTGGCAACAGGAAAGAAGTCCTGGCCAGCGGCAACCTCGTCGTTGATGAGGACGTTGTCGAGCGAGAAATCAACTACGCCAAAGACCATATTGCGTGGGCGCCGCAAAATCCCAGTCCATGGAATTACCTCAAGGGCGTGATTAAACGGGCGGGCATTCCGATCACGGACCTCCAGGTGTATTGCGAGAGCTTCGTGGGTGGCAGAGGGGCGGATTTGATGGGTGACAAGGTTCGAAGCAGCCATGCCATAGACTGGTTGGCGGATATTTATCGCTTGGATGGCAATCTGGAGAGGAGTAGGGCATGTCTCGAGGCTTTGGGGAAGAAATGGGATCCAATCCGGAGGAAATATTGGGATTATCGAGCAAAGCAGTTGACGGCCGGAGACGATAAAGATTCAGTCGGCAGCAAGTGAGTGAGTAATGAGGGATCCTTCTCAAGTTCCGACCAGTCGGACACCCCCTTTCTGGCTGTTTCCCTTTGGAATCTTCTCCTAGGGATTTGGCCCTTTCAGCAGCTTCTTGGTTCGGACACTTTTGACTTGATTCTCCGGACAAATTGTACCGATCGTATGTCCTGTGTGCATTCAAAAGCTCTTCGATTTCCTGCCAGCTTCTTCCCTGAACGATTTCTGAACACCCTTCCAGAATCTAGCGCCGAAATTCATCCAGATGAGGCAATCTGAGCCCCTCCGATTTCACAGAAAGATCGCATGTGTAACAAGTACGTGTAGCAAGCATCCGTTGCATATCCTTTCCATCGTTCTACAGTTGCTCTCCTCGGTCTGATGAGCACGAGTTTCTTTGCACGGTCATTGGATTCTTCCCAAATGTATCTTCAATGTCCGACGGGATGTCTTTGCCAATCTTATACTCTCTCTCAAATCGAATCTCTTGGTCGTGATCGCAGCTGTCTCTCACGCCGGCGTGGTTTGAAGAGTGGCCATGATCCATTTTTCCGAATCTCAGCTCCTGAATAATATCATAGTCTCACGTTAAACCGGGAACAATTCAAGTATGCAGGGATAGCGAGGCCGGTTTGGTATTGCACCAGCCACGGCGGCTATTTCGACCAGCCTCATTAGAGTTGATGCTATATGCAACCGGGGTTCACTTCTACTACAGTTTCCACAGCAGGTTCTATTTGTGTTCGGCTGCCCCGCAGGTTTAACTTGCAGTGTCTTCTCGATAAATATGACGACCCTTGGATGGTTCTGATAGACTGTGGAGTCTAGAGAAGGAATGTGTTGTTGCTCTATCTAAGAGAGAGCAAGACGAAAAGAAGGGCGCAAGTTGCCAAGCCAAACAGCCTCACGTGACGTTGCCAATGCAACCAGTCACGTGACTGGCCAACAGGTTCCCTAACCGCAATTAAGCACTGGCTAGGAAGATCTCCTCAGTGCACACAACGCAGCCACGGGTCCTTGTTGAGGACACCCCCCTAGACATAGATGCTGGTCTTGGGCAACATGACTTTGCAGAAAGCAGGGTATGTTTTTTACCTCTAGCGAGTAATGACAGCTTTCCGCGGCAAAACAGAGGTATTTGCCTTATACGCAAACCCCGAAATCATCTGGCTCGAGTTTGCAACGTCAAGATGCACATATCCCCATATGCTTCAAATTTGCCTCAAACATACTGTCCGCGGCTGAACCTCGTCCAGCTCTCGTTTGATGACGAGGCTGAGGAAATAAAATTGGATCTGCGCTTTCGCACATTGCGCAGCGCCGTACTCCACAGTAATTTGACGGCAACATGTCGGCAACATGCCAGCAACAATTTTTTGGGTTGCATGAATTGGTGACGTTGAACTACCCATGCTTGCCCTCGACAACCATTCACGATCCCATCTGCATGCTCTAATTCAACAAGAGACGTCCTGGTGGCAATATCGATTCAGCTCAGGGCCATGATCGTTTTCTTTAAAGGGACCCATCCTCCGTCCTGGAACATGGCTCTGCTCCAACTTCATCTAGACACTGGGCGACATCGGCCTCCGCCAGCTTCTTACTCAAATTATACCGACGATAAACTGCTAGAATCTGCGTCTCTCCACAATGGCAACATCCTTCCTCACAAACCACAGCGCGAGAAGACTTCTCTGTCGAAGGGGGAGATTCAATTGCCTACTCAGATATGCCTCGACGCGCTCCACATTCAAGTGGGACGACCCGTTGGGATCCCAGAACCTGCTCAATGAAGAAGAAGTTGGGATCCAAGAAACAGCACGATCCTACTGTCGGGAACAGCTCCTGCCTCGTGTCGTCGACGCATATAGAACCGAGACCTACGATCGAAATATCCTTCGCGAAATGGGGGAGCTCGGCCTCCTAGGTCCAACCATCAAAGGGTACGGATGCGCGGGCGTCAGCAGTGTTAGCGCCGGCCTCATCACTCGCGAAGTCGAGCACGTCGACTCTGGGTATCGCTCTGGGATGTCCGTACAGAGTTCCCTCGTCATGGGACCTATCGATCAATTCGGCACGAAAGCGCAAAAGGATAGATGGCTCGAGAAACTTGCGCAGGGGAAACTCGTTGGGTGCTTTGGACTCACGGAGCCAAATCACGGCTCTGACCCAGGATCCATGGAGACGACGGCGAAACCCCATCCGACTAAGAAGGGATACTACCTCTTATCAGGCGCGAAGACCTGGATCACCAATTCCCCAGTCGCCGACTTACTAGTTGTATGGGCGAAACTGGACGGTCAGATTCGCGGTTTCGTAATTGAACGCGACCAATGCCCCCGGGGTACCTTAGAGACACCTGCACTGAAGAACAAAACCGGTCTCCGCGCCTCGATCACCGGTATGATCCAGCTGGATAGTTGTCCCGTGCCAGAGGAAAATATGCTCGATGTTTCCGGCCTCCAAGGACCATTTAGTTGTTTGAACTCTGCGCGCTACGGCATCGCATGGGGTGTCATGGGCGCATTGGAAGATTGCATTGACCGCGCACGCAGTTATGCGCTTGACCGCAAGCAATTCGGCTACCCGCTCGCCAAGTTCCAGTTGATTCAACGGAAATTGGCGGACGCCGCCACTGACGCCGCATATGGTATCCTCGCTGCGTATCAGGTTGGACGGCTCAAAGATGACTTGACAGACTCAAACGTTGATCCGGAGATGATCTCGCTTATCAAACGGCAGAACTGTGATCGGGCCCTGGTCAACGCGCGTGCGTTGCAGGAGATCTTTGGTGGAAATGCAGTTAGCGACGAGTACCATGTTGGGCGGCACGTGGCGAACCTCTTCGTCACCCAGACGTATGAGGGGCAAAGTGATATCCATGCTCTTATTCTCGGACGCGCGATCACGGGTATTCAGGCATTTCGCTGAAAAGTTTTCCCGCTTTCGGAGGGGGATACAATTTCCTGCTTCGCTTCGGGAACAGGATCCGGTAGCATCATGAGTTGGGGCTTTTGTATGACGTTGTTTATGTATGGGACAATTGGAATATAACTGGCAATCTCATCCCAGTACAATAGCGGTGCTTGCGTCCATACCATTTCTCTATAACGCGAGCAGAGTCCAGTATTCTTAAAGTTTGAGTGTTGGAATCTTCACCACTGCGACATGTCGAAATGATCATATCCACCACCTCCTGAATTCGGTGTCCCAAACGACATTGCTGTCGGCATCATAAAATAATTCTTAGGATCTTGAAATCGGTCGTAGAGCTGCGTCGTCAAATTCATATCAAGCTGTCGTTGTTGAGCGGCGTTGCAGAGATCGTGGATCGCCGGGCCCATTTCGAAGGTATTTTGCAAAGCAAAGCAATCGGGGGGGTTCATCATATTGTCGTACATTGCATTTGTATCCGTACCAGGCCCTGTAGTGGCGGATGGTGTTGTATCGGCGGCTGTGCTCCCAGTTGAGACTGCTGACATCTGCTGGTGCTGTTCGGCCGCTGAAGATGAAGCCTCGTTACTCTCCGCCGCACCACTCTTCCTAATTCCCGCAAGGAGGAAATCGAAGATCCGCATGCCCCAGAATGCAGGCTCCCAGCAATTGCCTACCTCGTTGAGCACGATCCGGCAATGATCCAGCGCCGCTTGGCCGAGCCGTGCGATAAGCTGTTTGTGTGGTTGTGATTGCGATCTTTTCATGAAGCGGAAAAAGACGATTCCCGCGACGAAGAAGGCAAGAAAAACCTCTTGCGGCAGCGAACGAACTAGGGACTTGGTCATGAGATGGACTGACGTCGAGGCGATGGTTTGGGCGGCAGATTCGGCGATTTCGGAAGTCTCGGGGTCCGAATCGATGTAGTTGTAGTCACCGTCATCACCGTTGAATATGGCGTTAGACTGAACGGCCTCGCGGCGCGAAAGGTAGACGAAAATCAGATGATGATGAAATAGAATTTTGAGGCTTTCGGAAAAGATGGAGGTCGAAGGTGAGCCGTGGTCAGGCCAATTGATGGCAGAGGGCAACTCGGCGCGCCAGCAGCGAAGCATTTCATGGAGACTCTGCGGCGTTGCAGAGAAGCCCACGTTGAATCGCACGTTGATGATCTGCCTGAGGATAAGGGACAATTTGGCCAATGCGATTTGGTACAGGGTGGAAAGATGGCGCGGGTCGTTTTGGGAACTAGGCTGGGATCCTGGGGATTCATCATCCCCATCAAAATCGTCTACGGTCAACATGTCGGCATCACAGTGACCCATGTTGACTCTGAAGGGTCGGCCGAGGAGAGTACCGCAATAGGCATCTCGGACAGCGATGGTCCACCATATTCTTCTCAGTAATCCTTGGTTTCGATGATGAGACATGGAGAACCCCGTCGAGCGATGCAAGGCCAAAGATTCTGCTATGGTCACTGCCACCCCGACCCACGAGCACGGATTCCAGTAACTCTTCATATCAGGGCCCCAGAAGGTGAGAATGATGATGGCCTGAAGCAGGACGACGCTATTTGTTTCATAGCCCACGTCGTACAGGACTTTAGCTTTATCGTAGAAAAAGCGACGAGCGCTCTGGCGAGTTTTGAAGCCTCCGGTTTTGATGACGCCTATTTCGCAATATGTTGCACCGATGAGACATGCTGCTTGGAGCAGGATCCAGGGAAGACTTCCTGATTGATACTGCTTGAGGAATTCAGACTTGTTGACGATGGAATACAAGGGGTAGAATTTCTCGATGAAGGTCTCGATGAGAGCATTCAAGCACTCTGGCGTTGGTGTAGTGAAGGCACCCTTGGCCTTAAGGTACGCGATGTCTGCTGTAGCCAGGTGCGAGGGATGACTAGTAGACCGATGGTGTCGTGGGCTTCTTTCTTGTTCGCGAATCTCCGGTGATGCCACAGAACCGTCATAAGGGGCAGTCGGCTTAGCTCTCTTTTCAGGCTGTAACTCTTTGAGAGCAAACGTGAGAGGGGAAGAGTCTCCCATCAAGACGAGGCCATATTTCCCCACAAGGCATTCAGAATCACGGCCTTGCTGTTTCAAAAAATTCTCAAACATCAATGCCAGCGAATTGCTTCTGGACGGGCCTGGCTCTTCCACGACGGTCAATGAGCGAGTGTTAATGCCTTGGGCCGGCGAAGTACCGAGCGAAGTATGTCCAGCCGCTGTATTTGGTTCTGGAGATATGGGTGACGGAGTCGTCTCAGAGACGGCATGATGGTCAGCTCTGTGCTGCGCAGTCCCTGGGTCCCTACCTATAACACTAGGTGAGACGTTCACAGGCATAGTTTTTGACTTTGATCGCCGGCGATCATATTTACCTCGTCTTGAGTTGATGAATTCACATCGCTGTGCGCCGTCGACGCGACATCGGGAACATGGTACTCCTGTTTGAGCAGCGTCACATTTCACTTTGCGGGAATTGCATCTTTGACAAGCTTTGAATGCTCGTTTACGTTTTCTCGTGGTGTGGGCAGCGTCATCTGCCATTTTATTCCTGTGTCCTAATTTCCATTGTGAAAGACTGGGAGAGTTGATGTTGCCGAAGAGGGGGAAAAAAGGCCTTTAATGCCGACGCAGCCGACTTATATAAGCGCCTCTTTCCGGAGGGGGTTATGGGATTGCAGTCCTCCTGATTTCTACATTTTTAGATGTTCTGCTTTATTTCGTGGAAAACATCTCATCTCTACGTGCATTGACGCTTCTCATAAATGGCCACCCCTTTTGGCATCACATTGCTATTCCCCGTCGTGCCTTACCTGTAAAATCCATATTTGGGCACGGCATTCGGTTCCAAATCCTTCTTCTGAATTGGACTATTCATTCGAGTAAAGCTCAGGGAAGACTCCTGGAGGAAGGTCACTATCGTTATCCCCCTTGCTCTCCTGTTTTCGTCCGTCAATGATGAAACAGGCGCACTGACTGCTCAATAAATGTGATCCCAAGGTTTTCAGCTGTTTCAAAGACAGCACCGTCGTTCTGTGAACCTGTTGGAGCCGCAATATATTTTACGCCACTTCGAGCAGCCCGGTACACGTTGTCGACGAACGGGAACTATTTGGCGTCAGTCACTGCAAAACTCGAGGCTATGAACCAGCCTCGAACGCCGTCACAGGGGGAGCTTGGGCCCAACTTGGAAATGAGTAGTACTTACGAAAGCATCACTCGACACGGCCACCTCGCTCAACTTATCCAGCCACTCCCGTCTCTCCTCGGCAGAAAATGGCTTCGGAACACCGCCTTCGGCAAAATTACGTTCGTAGTCTTTCGTCTCAAATTCACTGGGAGGTGGCACCTGACCTGAGCAAAGCATGTCGATGGCATTGGACTTTTCGGGTCTCTTGACCCCTTTGGCCCATTGTATTGAAAGAGTTCGCTCATGAAATCGCATCCACCAATTGTCCGCCTTGTCACCAGCTAATCGAGTGCAATGGATGCGACTTTGTTGCCCAGCACCGAGACCGATGACCTGACCGTTCAACGCATAGCAGACGGAATTTGACTGGGTGTACTTTACGGCGATAGTGGCCACTGTGAGATCGCGCAAAGCCGAGGCGGATAATTGGGGAGAGTCTTTTGGGCGGATGATTGAGTTGAAAGACTCATCTGGAGAGATTTTCACGTCATTTCGTCCCTGGCTCAGCTGAATGCCGTATACGGTGCGAGTTTCTTGTGCGGGAGGTTCGTACGTCTCGTCCATTTGCAATACTAGATATTTACCTGCTTTCTTCTTTTTCAGGATTTCGACAGCCTCCGGATCATAGTCTGGTGCAACTACGCCATCGGAGACCTCTCGCGAGATGATCTTAGCGGTGGGTACGTCACATTTGTCAGAAAGGGCAATCACATCTCCAAAGCTAGACATTCGATCTGCGCCTCGAGCTCGGGCGTATGCTTGGGCCAAACCGGACTCCTCGATTCCACGGATGTCATCAACCATGTAGACTTTTCGCTCCGTTTCAGTGAGAGGGACACCAATAGCGGCGCCAGCAGGAGACACGTGCTTGAAACTGGCCGCAGCTGGTAATTCAAGGGCCTGCTTAAGTTCTTTGACGAGAGGCCAGGCGTTCAAGCAGTCAAGAAGATTGATATACCCAGGTGATCCCCCCAGGACCTTGAATGGAAGCTCGCCGTTGCGGACGAACGCAGCAGCAGGCTTTTGATGAGGATTGGCCCCGTATCTGAGGGAGATCTGTTGAATCCCATTGCCGGCGTATTGTTTGCGGAAGAAATCTGAGATGGCCGCATCGTAGTCGGCGGTATGCTCAAAAGCCTTGAGAGCATACTTCTGACGACTTTCTTCTGGTATGTCGCCCTTGTCGAGCTCCTGCAGGAAATGGTGGTAGTCCTCAGGATCGCTGAGGACCGTGACTCGGGTATGATTTTTGGCGGCTGCTCTAATCAGGGTGACACCTCCAATGTCGATTTCTTCCACGGCTTCAGGGATGGTGACATTGATCTTGGCGACGGTATCCTTGAACGGATATAAGTTGCAGACGACATAATCCACTTTGTTGATGTTCTGATCGGCAAGGTCCTTCTCATCGGAGGCGAGATCTCGTGCCAAGATTCCGGCATGGACAGCAGGATGAAGGGTCTTGACGCGACCGGAAAGCATTTCGGGAGCTTTTGTGATGGCGGAGACATCTCTGTTCGGACAATCAGTAGAGGAAATACGGCCGGGACGGGATGAAGATCTGTACTCGACATCGAAACCGGCTTCTCGAATCAGTTTAGCCGTGCCTCCGGAAGCCAGAAGACGGACATCATTTTTGATGAGACCTTTGGCGAGATCCAGGAGACCGGTTTTGTCATAGACAGACAAAATAGCTAAACCGGTCAGCGGTGTCTTGCTTACGGCCGAGGGACATGGATAGGGAGGGCGGTGGAGAATGGCGTACCAATTTTCTGAGAGGTCATGATTGGTATCTCCCGATGGCGATTGATACCGCAGGCAGGAAGGTGACCGGATCGAAGCTGGAGGTTGAGAAGCCTTACGAGTTGAGCTGCATGGAGTGATAGAAATCAAGATTCCCTCTTGAGATGGTAAGAAAAGGGAATGTGGAATGTATTTTTTTGTTCCTGCAGTTTGCGACATTGAATGGATGGGGTGACGAAAAATTGAAAAGATAATCCGATCGGAGCCTCGGAATAAAAATCCGCATCGAGGTTTTTCCGATAAGGCTCCATACTGTTTTTGGTTTAGTTCGAAATGTCAGCTGTGTGTTTTCGAGGAGTGCCCAGGGGCCAGCCTTGCAGCTTGCAGCTAGGGGCAGGGACAGAAAGATCTATGAATACCTAGATCCTCTTGAAAGGCATGGTTGAGAGAATGAGAATGCGAGTCAGAATAAGACTCTAGACAGACCTGACGTCATCTGCGTATATCTCGGAGGATGGCTCGTCCAAGCAGCGGAGAGAGATTACCGCACCACTTTCTCTCAACAAGGGCCCACGAAGCCTCTGGCTTACCAAACATGTTGTGCTTGGAGAAACTTCGTTGCTCAACTCACCAGTGCCACGGAGTGCTAGCGGAGACATGGTTCAAAGTATCAGATGGTTGCGCCGCCCCCTCTCCCCCCAAAAAGCTCTAACGCTTCCCGGACCGCGCCTAGCTCCATGGAGATACATTTGCCAGTGGTGGTCAACTTGACTTCAGTTTTGGATTAGACTCTTGATTCACTCTTTTTTTTTTTTTAATTTACTTTCGCATCATCTGCACACTTTCAATTCACATGCACCGGACCCTCAATTATTGTGCGCAGTGATACCAGACCCTGCTATTGCCCTGTTGTCACTGCGGCTCTTCGAGCCTGGTCATGTGACTCACTTCTGCCTGTCTCTTGCGACTCAATCATATTTAGGTCTTTAACAAACTCCTACCGTGGACTTCAGACTCGGACGTTACCTGGACGGCACTCTCGTACTACCCTCTTCTTTCCCACAGCATCTTTTCTCTTTTGCGCAATTCCTTGTCACCAGACGCTCAACCGACGAGAACTTCCAACATCAACATTGTCCCCCAGTCGGTTGACGGTCAAACGACACCATGTCGTCGCCGTCGCCTGTCCGCGTTTCAAACACGCCCAAGCGTTTTCCTTTCTTTGACCTCCCGGGTGAGATCAGAAACAAGATATACGACCTTATGGTTCCAAAGAGTCGAGTTGTCATCACAGGCAGTCATCCTCAAAAGGAACTGGCGAAGCTGAAGTCCCAAGAGCCGTGGAAGAAACACAAGCTGCCACGGTATCGACTGTCCGAGACGTTCACAGGAGACGCCACCGGGCTCGCTCTCCTCTTCACTTGTCGCCAGATGAACCGGGAGGCCGTCGAATTCATCTACTCCAGAATCACCTTCTGTTTCGATAGAATCGTCACCGTCAACAAATTCCTCAACGTGATTCCAACAGCTGGGGCAAGGAGCATTGAAGACTTGGAGATTGCTCACAATGGATATGGAGAACCGCAATGGATGGTCGATCGGGAGTGGAAATTCAGATACGATGCGAAATGGAGAATGCTACTGGTCCGAATCAAGCAGGAAGTTCCCAGTCTTCAGAGGCTGAGCGTGAACCTGACCGTTTTTGACTGGCCATGTCGACTCGAGACGACTGAAAGATGGGCTCGGCCTCTTCTGGACCTAGCAGGAGATGGACTTGACCTGGCCAATGTGAAGCTGCTCCATGACCGATTTCATCCTGAGAAAACGGAAGCGGCAGCAAGAGAGCTGGAGAATAGAATGATGACCCCGGAGGGCAGGAAGAAAAAGGTGCTCGAAAACAAGAGACAAGAAGAACTTGAAAGGAAGAGAAAGCAAGAGGCACGGAAGAAGGCCCAGGTGCTGGCCATCAAAATCCCATTGCAGAACAAGACCAAGACCAATATGTCCGTCAAGAAGGTGGTGAAGAGCAAAGGATTGCAGCAGTACTCATGGGTGCAACCTTCTGTGGCATATTGCTAGAGAAGGGAGCTGTTGGAGGCAGCTTGACCACCGGGGTGGAGGTCGCCTGATGTCTACATGGATTATTGAGAATCATCAAGAGGTATGTCACGATCAACAGCATGGACAGATCAGGCGTTGAACATGGCAAATTGGCAAATGGAATGGGGAACACTGAATGTGGATGACACTGAGCGGGTGGGGGGACAGACCAATGTGCTGTTGAATGAACCCGGCATATGGCATATATTACCAGACTCCGCCGTAGACGGAGGTTGTACTGTACGTAAGCAGCACAGCGCATTTTGTGACATGCTTTTATCGCACAGAGCATAAAGCTAGGTGCCAGTACCAATAGCTGTGGCCAACACTACCGCGTTCTATTGCATACCACGGCATAACACCAGAATAATCTGCCGATTCCAAACATAGAAAATGGAATACAGAGTCCTTTGGTCGACACAGGTGTCGACCCGATAAACCTCCCGTTGCGCGATTTGAACATCGGCCTGGCTTCCGGGCGGCTACGAAGCCAGGAAGACGTCCAAAAATAGAACAGACTCTTTTACTATCCAGACTTGGTTTGGTGGTCGGACAAGGGGGGAGGGGAAGGGGGGGGGGGGGGGGGGTAAGAGTCTAAAATCTGGGCACCGGCATTTGACTGGACACGACCTCTGGCAGTACCCAAGCTGGATGGGTACCCGATGTAATCCATACCTCCAGTGCAGATAGAGTACATTCTCTGCCCCTAAGCCTACCAGCTTCTTACCTACGTACAAGTACCTCTATACCTAAAGTGCGCCATAACACAGGCAGTCAGCCCCGAGAACCGCCCTCCAGACACACATCATCGTGGCCCCTATTGCGCCGATCAGGCTTACAGGATTGGTATCTGGTATTAGGAACGGAATACAATTCACAGCCACGGCGTCCATCATCTTCCTTTTACTCTCTGTCGTTGTCAAGTGAGCAGTGTCTCTACATAGAAACAATGTTTCATCACTCACCTGACCAACAAGATGGAGTACCTTGAGTTCTTCTTGTTCCATATCAAGCGTCTATCTAATGCAAGGCCACTCTTGCCCATCTGCAGGATGTGGTGTCTGCTATTTGCCCCTCAATGTGATAGCTTTGATCTGTGCGGAACTATTGGCTGAGCCTCGGCGCTTCAGTAACTGCCCGCAGCCAGTCGCAACCAGTCGCAGCCAATCACAGCTCCAAATCCCACTTCCGTCACCCTCCTACATCTCTCGTCCTACATCCCGTTGCATCTCGAGCATTTTACCCTCCTTCATTCTCATCCAACCGCCCATTGACGGCCAAGTTCTCCATCTCAAGCGCCCATCAATCCAACTCTACCTTGTCATTTTCAGAAAGGGAATGGAATGGATGGAATGGAACTACTTTACCATACCAGTAGTCATTGCTTTACTATCGCCTCGTGTCCGTTCGGTTCCTTCATCTTCTTCTTTTTCTTTCTCGCCATCTTCGTTCTCCCCCGTCTTATATTCTTTCAGCTCGCGCAGGCCTCGCTGAGTGTTTTTCTGGGTTTCTGCCCGTGTTACCAATCATATCAGCAGCACCGCCCTATTTCACTTTGCCCTGCATCACTGGCCTTACGACGATCCAAAAGACCGTTTTCCCGACCCGAAAGCGCCAATTGCCACAAGAATTGTTCCACCCTTCGGCAAACCACAAAGACGGAGGTTCGAACCATCAAGAAGGTGATCTTATTCCTGACCATTTGTACTTCGCCAATAGATCAAATCACCCTTCTCAAGCGCCTTGGTCAGCGGTCTTTCCCACAGCTACCTATTACTCGACCGGCATCCTTCCATCTCTCCCATCTACACAACCTCCCCATCCAATTTTTTTTTTTTTTTTTTTTTTTTGAATGATCAAGAGCTGGTTCTCGACGTTATAACAGACAATCTACTTTTGAACGAGGCCATCTCTCTCGTAAATATATATCTCTCTCTCCAATCAAGGCACCCCTGGACCTGTCTCCGTCCCACGTCAGCATCGGCCGCTCCAGTACAGTCCCCGATTTATCTTGGAGAATCCCTGTCCGACTAGCCAGCAAAGCCTACACCGCAATAAGAGTCCTACTCCAGCCATGTCCCCATCCAACTTTGAACCAGTTTCGCCCATCGATATCACCGCCGGGTCCAAACCAGTTCGCAGTGTCAATTTTGCCGAAGGACTCGACGAAAAATCAGATATCAAAGCATCAAGCCGTTCAATTCGAACAAATTCAACGGCTTCCACAGCGCCATCTCTGAACCCGGCGCGGAAGGCCCGCTTCGCCGAAGCGACCTCAGTGTTTTCCCCGGCTTCAGGTCCTGGAGAACATACTTCTCCATTCGCTGATCCTCAAATGGATAACCCGAACAATGAAGGTCCCAAACCTTCAGATGTAGGATTTGGGTACATTTCAGACAATCAACCAGTCGAACAACATGCCACCATCAGAGGAGATCCTAATGGCACAGCGGGTCCCCCTCTCAAATCCGCCTTGAAGACCCCCGGCACGGCCAACAGATTATTGAATCCTCTGAGTCCAACTTTCCGAGAAGAACAAATTCTGGAGAAGGAGGAATTGAAGACTGAGATTCAACAAGCCAAAGATCTGGTAAGTAGTCAAGAATCCAAAGGACATCTCTGTTTCTTCCAGAGACTGATCATTTCCCCCCCAGAAAGTCAAAACCCGTGTCCGACTGGCAAAAATTGTCCTTCGAGGAGTCAACTTCTCTTGCTCTCTCATCGTGCTCGCCATGCTCAGCACTGTCCTGACAATTTTCCACGCTACCAAGAACATCCCTCCGCGAAATAACCTACCCGCATGGGCTCCTAACCAAAAGATCTGGCCCCAAATTGTGGTTCTCTCGATCGCTTGCGTATCTTTGCTTTTCTCAATCATCGTCATCCTCGCATACTGTCGTGGTGGCCACAAGCGCGCCGAGAAGGTTGCTGTGTACTACACCATGTTTGCCGTCGGTTGGTTCATGTTCAGCATCATCATGTGGCTCGTGGGTGCAGGCATCTTGCAAGGCAGCAAGGCTAGCGGTGGTGGTCAGGATCTCTGGGGTTGGAGTTGCAAAGACAACAAGCGTCGACAACTCTTCGAAGACGACGTTCACTACGCCCTTGTCTGCCGCTTACAAGACTGGAGTTTGATCTGCTGCATCATCGAAGTCGTGATCGAGGTGGTCGTCATCGCCATCTACGGTATTGTTTTCTACAGATTTTGGTCCAAGAACCGACTCAGGAAGTCCATGGATGCTCGAGACCGTGCCCGAACCGATCTCTACCTTGCACAGCTCCGCACTCAATCAGCTCCTAACACACCGGGCTTTGCCCAAACACCCCGAACACCAGGCTTCCCTACCCAAAAGTCAATGGACGTCTACTCTTCCGCCGAACAGGGCTCAAGCCCAACTCAATTCGCTGCCGTCTCACCCCATTCCAACACCACATCCTCACCCTTCAAACTCCAAGCCCCTCCCATCAAAGTTCATCACGCCACTCCTAAACCTTCTGTATCAGAAGGCTTTGGTGAGCAACGACAGATGTCTCCGCCTCCTGGACCCCCCATGTCCCCTCCCCCTGAGGAGCGAGTACATGAGCACGTGGGCGCCGCACCGGGCGAGCAACAGTATGAAGCAGTACCCATTCCTGGTGCTTATGCGCCTACGACATCACAAAATCAACCGCCTGCGCCTGGACAGGCGTTTTAAATTAAAAAAAAAAGGCAAGTTATCAGAAAAAGATTGATTGGCGAGGAGAAGGGTGAAGACTGAAGAGGGACATGCACAGGATATCTAAATTAATGTTGAACCAAGCCAGGAGCTCAGGAGAATGAAAACCCAATTCTCATCATTTGTTATGGAATGCATCATTCTTTCTGGATCACTAGCGATGCGATGCGACGGAATGGACATAGGGAGGGCCAGTGCTGTCATATCGAATGTCCAACTAGGATGACCGATCTATTGATATACCGAACCTTTTTTGGTTTTTTTTTTTCCTTTTCTCTTTTAGCTATATTGATATCCATACCGTATTAGCAGAGCGGAAAGGAATGAAATTTGAGAATCTTCAAAACAATTTGGTATCCTAACTTCTCCTGGCACCGATATTCCGCATTGAACTTTACTTGAGCATATCTTGCACCCTGAGGATGATCACAATCCTCATTATGGATATATAAATATGAACAAATAAGCACCATCCCGTCTCATTTCATCCCGTTACTAATGACCCACGCCCTTTCATCATTGTTGAAGTTAGACTTTCACATAAGGCCCGAATACGGATCATCCTGTCTCTGAAAACTATTGTACTTCTGCTGTCGTCTTGCGCGGTACTGTTGCGCACAGTAGGATGATGGAGATGGTGCGATACGGAAACCCAGGAATTTGTACGAGGACATTAATGCATTGCTTCCGGTCGTCCTCGACCGTCTCTCTTGCGATTTTGCCGCTGCGTGTGCGGGAGTGGGCGTCGAGGTAGACGCAGGCGAAAGCGACTGTGCAGTGTGATGTGCAAACATAGCTTTTACCTCGGCGATTCTCGTCAGGTGAGAAGCGTAGTCGAGCTCTAGCACCTGTCCGCTTCTACCGTCAGCATTGGCATTCCTGCCTTGCGAAGTATTCGTTTCGGTCTGAGGTTGTTGGTGCGGTTGAGAGGAGGCTAAGTACTCTTTCACAGCTTCACCTGCGAACTCGAGCACGGCATCGGCATCGAAACTCGCGCCCGTGACGGTAGCAGGCGGTTCGAGAATGCCGGCGCTGACGAGCATGTCGAGTGCGGCGCGCAGCCAGTCGTCTTCCGATCCGTATGTGGGTGTGCAGTAGAGAAGTGTCGAGAGTTTGGGTCCGAGTTTTGAAACAGAACTGTGGTGTGTGCCGAGCTTGATACGCAGGGTCAAGTGTTGTGGCTTACCGGCGATGGGAGAGGAGATGCTTGTCGTGATGATTCGCGAAGCTGGAGCTGTGTTGGAATTGGATCCCAACGGTGATGATGACGAGTCTGACTCGGTTTCTGACTCTGATTTCGTCGTTGGTACGGGAATGGGGAATTCTTGCTGGCGGAGTTGATGGTTGTGCATGTCGAAGAGGGCGGATTTGGATGATTGGCGTCGTGAGAAAAATCTGGGTCTTCGCTTCTCTTTTCCCTTTTGCTGTTGCTGGATGATTTCGGCGGTGGGGGAAAGGAGGATGGCCCAGTGCAGAGCGCTTGAGGAGGCGTACGGGGCAGAAGAATCCGCGGAGGAGAAGCCGAGAACGGAGATCTGTGACATCCTTCTTTGCTTTCCAAGATTAGGATTAGTTGAAAAGAGTAGATTTGATTGAGGATTAGAGGTAGAAAGGCTCAATGTGAGTGTTTCCTTCCTCTCGACAGCTCCCAGATTCTCACGGCTGAATAAGACAAGAGAACAAAAGGACAAGGATTTCCGGTTCCTCAGGGCAATAAATTGCGCCGATCAAATCTGGATGCTGAGGTGATAGTGAGGAACGGGCTCTTGAGAGGATGAGGACGAATGATCAACCCATGTGACAATCCTCAAACCCTCGAAGCTGCAAAGATGAAACGGTCCCTTTCGTCAAGTTATTGCAGTTCTGAAGCGATAAGCTTCGTGAACAATGTAGTCTCGTGCGTTCGAGGGTTGGGGCCAATTTTGATATACAGCCCTTTCTTTGTCGTCGAAGAGATACTGTGATTGGACACCTCGACACGTGCAAATGATGTAAGAAATCAAAGTCTTGGGCAGGGTGGTGTGTTTGTGTCGTCTTTCTCAGCTTACAGTCTGCCTAATCTGGATTGCCTGAGCCCCGTGAATGAAACGATCCTGTATGGAGTGATTTGTAGGGCGACGATTTCTGATAGTTAGGGTGATCTTGCCGGCCCGGAAACGGAGATGGGAAAAGATGATTTGCTCAACCGATTTGGGTATCAACATGCAAAATTGAAGTAATCAGCAGGGAAGAGGGTTCGTGAGGTTTATGCGAGCGACGACAAAATGATTCGACGTGACGTGATATCTCGTTCGTAAAGGCCACATCGAGTTGGAATAGACGCTTAGCAACGGGTCTGAAGTATACAGCCGTTCAAAGAACAGGAAGCAATCAAGTCATGAGGGAAAGGAAAGAGGTAATATATGAAGTCATTGCCTTTCATCTTCACCTCAGAAATTTCCCCTGGTCGATTTTCATATGTGTGAAATATGTGGCAAAGAGTAAACATTGGCTGTCATCAGGCGGACAATGTCCGAATGGAGATGAAATCACTCACCAACATTGTGGGCAATTTGCAGCAAGGGGAAAAGATTCCGTAGAGATTGACGCTGATGTTGGGCTCAGCGGCCAAATCACTTGCTGGAAAGGTGAAGTAGAAGGATAGAAATCCAAAAGATTCCGGCAACTTGTCCGCTCCAGATTTGCTGGGTGATCGATTTGGCAGACATATTCCAACGAATCATGCATGAGTAAAGGGTGGCCACCGAGAGTTCGCCGCAGTGGCTGAAACACATATAAGTCCGCGACGGACTCCCGTCCTGTAGGACCAGCTGATATAGGATTTATGTGGAACCGTGTAGGAGATGAATATCTGCCATCGATGAGAAAATTCCGTAAAGCAACAGGGCTCCATCAATATCAAAGCACCGATACCCACTTCCCAGACATCTTGTTGACCAACTCAAGTGCACAACTGACATAACCATCTTGGAGTCCTCAACATGATCTGGCGATGAGGATTCTCGTTCCTTTGCATCGTAAAAATGTTTGACCACAGCTAGCCACCTGATTTGGGTGTTCTTTGTAAAGACAATAAGGACTTTCTTGGCTTCGTGGAAGGCTTTCCATGGTTTCGGTCTAGCTGCTATATCCAACAGAGTATGCCGGCTTCCTGAGAGAACTGATTGTCACAATGTGTGCAAGGGTGATGGCGGTTTGTATATGCTTGTCATAGACGTTGTTGACCCAGGCGAAGCTCTGCATGCGTATCAAAATTGATAGCCGTCCTTATGATTGGTAATTTGAGTCGAACTGGATTTTTCCACCCAGTGTTCATACCCACTCATCGAGTGGCAAGATATCTAGACAGTGCATCAAGTTGAAGCTCTCCCGTCTCGGGACCCAGAGCTCACTCTTCTTGATCACTTTGGCGCACGGTCGTGGGAGGAGGTTGCTGCTATCTATGGTAGGACAGTTGGAAAATGGCCCTTTGAAAGAAAGGGGCCCAACCAAAGTCATTATAGAGGTACACAAGTTATTGTTCTCGACAATCGAAGGAAGTGTCCCAATAGATGCCAAATAACCAAACGGGGATCAATGGGTGAGCGATTGCGTGTAAAACATCTTCATGACGAAAAAGGGCGAGATTTGCTTGACCAAGATGTACACGCTGGACTTCCCTCTCGAAGATCGGGAATTCAATATTCGTTCTCACGGGCATTTCGGCGCAGCCTTCCAGCCCAATGATATGAGAATCGATAACACCACTTGTGCAACTTGGATGCGTTTGTTGATGAATCGGGGTGCCGAAGGTACCTCATTGTCTTTCTCGTCCAGCTTGAGGAAGTCACCAAGAGTCCTGGGAAGAATACGTTCTGAGAATCTCCATTCCAAGTTTCAGAAGCTCATAGAACACCATTTTGGAGGCCTTGAAATCCTCCATGTTTCATTCTCCAGTTGACACTGCATCAACGACCTTTTCTCCATTGTTTCATTATTTGTGGGAGAAGTGTCGAAAAATGGATTTCACATAAATCGGAAATAGCCGGTGTGCGTAATGAATGGCAAGAGGAGTGACCAGAATCATGGTCTCCCTGTACACTAGGTCAACGTCGGATGTCAGGAGTCGTGCACTGAAGGCACGCTTCAAGTATTCTGATCCCCAGCCCAAGAGGAGATGTCGGTCGTCACAACGGCGTCGCAAAATTGATATTCTTCATCTGCCGTCTCAATACAACGTTCGTATTCTGTCCAAAAGATTGTACTTGAGGGAGTGAAACCTGCCAATGAAGGATAGTAGAGAGTGGTGGCGCCCCAACAATTTTCTCTGTTTCATACAATCACAATTTGAGGTTCGCCATCTCCAAAAAGAATCTCTTTTCGACCTTGCCGACGATGAGAACGGAGAGTTCCAGGATGTAATATGCCCATACAATCAAGGCGGTCGATCCTACCTCCTTAGAGGCGTGAATCTGCATTGTTTCTGATAGTGCTGAGCCTCATAGAGTAGGTATATGGTAGCTTCCATCAACTTTGGCGTAAGTTGAATATAATTGACGGAATCTGGAATGTAAGAATGCCATCTGCAAGTCTGGCTTGAACAGCGGAACAGGAAGGGATCTAGTTGAATGTGGTCGACTGTGGGGCTAATAGTCGCCAGAGGCTTGATAATACCCTTGTCCGCTTTGCTGCCATCCCCAAGTGAACTAGAACTGTTATCACTAGCATTGAGTGCCTTTTTGAACGTAGGTTCAAGTTCTAGCACGATTCTGCCGTCTGATCCTGAATCCTGAAACGTATGAAGAAGTTTTGCACCTGCTTACTCAAGTGAGCTGCGGCATAATTGACAACTCGATCGAGCGGTACAAGATTGGTGACTTCTAATGCGAGTTGCACTCCAAAATCCAGTGATGGCATCATTTCACGACTTGTTCAACTTGAAGAGAGTAGCCGCGCGTATGCTTGAAATGTCCATCGTGCTCTTAGCGTCCCTGAGGAGTGGATGCTTTTTTCCATTGGCTATGCTCACGCAACGTATGGTGATGTCACATTCACCAGCTTCGAAAGACACGGTATGCTAGGATGACATGTTCTGCGAGACATGGTGTTAGTTGTAGCAATCTTTTGACGGCGGTAGAAGATCCATCCCTCGATAATTCTCATCTTCTGGCGCCCGAGGCAGCTCCATTTGAACGTTTAGTAATACCCAAGGGACCAAATTGAAAACTTGGCCATGACAGGCATGCCTGTTCTAACCACAGGTTTCGGGTGTTCCGTAGCGGAATCACGTCGTAGTCAAAACCTCACCGATGGAAAGTTCTCCTTCTATCATAATCGTCGCCGACTCTGGCCCTCTGCCTCAGAAGAGAGGAATTTGTGTATCATGAGAGTTGCCTGTGGTTACAAGCCCGCAAAGTAACCGCGGGAATTCGCACCATCTTTTGCGGAAAGTCGACAACAGGATCAAAAGAGAGGGTAGACCAAAAAGACCTTCAAGGTGGAAACGATAACACATTGCAGTTGAGGAGAAGGGCAGCCGACATAATAATTTGAGTGACAGACAGGGACTGGTAGTATAACATGAAATCATTGCAGAAAGCTGGACAAGCGAATGAGATGGCTTTGTGGAGAATTCAAGACTTTTGCGGAGGGTATCATTTGAGATACATTCAATCTTGCCATATCGGAGTGTCAGATGTTGTACAACGAGGGTGATTCCTGTGATATTACACAAAAATTTCTTCCTCATGAAATGCGCCCCGAACAAAGACGTGATCGGAACGCAGTGGCAATATGCAATCGAAGATCATCAATGACGTGCACAACCTGCTGGTCCCATCAGAATGTTCACACCTCGTCACGACATCCGCTGCGCGACGAGTTGGCCCGGGTATCGTTTCCATTTCGAGTCAATACTGGCGTAACTGCAACAACCCCCACCTATGTCGTGCTGGGATAACTTCTCTCTTTCTTCCTGTTGAAAGCCCTTTGATCCTTCAACCAGCGTCGATACCCGGCCACGCTTCCCACTTTTTCACCGTAAAAGTCAGGGACAGGGTTGTTTGTGCTCGCACCACTTGGGTTGACTCTATGCTTCTTTATTCTTTCGAAAAAGCCTCGTTCCTTTATGGTGAATTCCGGTAGGCGGCTACGATGAAGTAATCTCCAAAGAGAATTCCCAAAGGCTGGGCCGATGAGCCATCCTAAGAAGGTCGCGCCAAATGTGGCAATTCCCATGCTGGTAAAAGGATCGGTAGGAATCAATTTGGTGACGTTATCAGCGAAGCCAGGTACTTCGGAGAAAGCAATCACTGCTGCCGCGGTAGATGCGAATGATGTGACGATCGAGGATGTAAGAGCATATCGTCGTCGGGAGGTGCGTAGTCGGAAGAAGGTATTCCAATCGAGAGCGGAAGAGGTCTTTGGGGGAGTAGATGTCGAAGCATTGCGGATTCGACACAATGACGGAGTAAAGAAGGATGAAGGCGTACTTGTGGAAGAGGGTGGATTTGCTGCAGCGGAGGGCGACTTTGAAGATGGAAGACGACGCTGATGACTTCGTGCAACGAGGGCGGCGGACGAAATATGCCGTCGTGATTTTACGGCAGCTTCCGCCGAGCTCAGAAATGAGCCAGAGCGTTTGAGTGGTAAACCCAACCTCGTAGCCTTTGAAGACATTCTTTGCCTCCGGCTAATGGCGAAAGCGAAGAAAAGGACGCCAGTATTGGCAGCTGGGAGAATCGAATATATGAGAGGTTGCCAAAAGGCAAAAAGACATTTTGCCAGGATCGAAAATTTACCCAAAGCTGCGCCCAATGAGTGAGGTTTGCGGGATGGCGCGGCGCTCTCCTATGCGGTGCTGTGCCACCCAGCACGTGCAATCGTAGTGTCGGCACTTGGAAAATGCACCTAAGGCAGTTAGGAATGAATGCTCGCAGCAAAGTCAACCTAACAACTCCAGGTCAGCTCTGATCCGAGTAGTCATCGAAAGCTTCGTCTGTGACCTTTGCTGACTTGTTCTTGTCGTCAAGATGCAGTGGTCCGTGTATCAGACAAATAGGGGTGGTAAGTTCGATTTGGTCCTAGTTTAGAAGTTGGAAAATGCTGGAGGGTTCAGCTCGCCTATAAGCCGGGGAACTAATTCCTGACTGGCTCCTCATTAGGCCTGAAGCGCCCATTTGCTGCCACTTGCTACTGGCATTGGGGCTACCTACGAAGACTTTTTGGACCGAATCCAGCCCTCCATCCGCCATTTCCATCCAGGGCCATCCACAACCCCCTCCCCCCCAAAAAATCAACAGCCCAACCTTTACTTATCGTAGATAGCCCAAGGACTATGCCTTCTGCCCCGTCCTCACCATTTTCATTCCCCTACGCTTGCACCGTTTGCGTCCCGTGTCTAGGTATGGTCTTCAGGTATTAACCATGGCGAACTAGTCTCCTCGTTCGGGATCACATCTTATCTGTTCATGAGTCTGTCTTCCCACCGAAATGCAGTGTCGGACCACCTGGCGATCTCCTCGATCATATCTTCTGTACTAATGTGGCTGTTCTGCGACCCTCGGTGACACTCACTCGGACGCCATGCCGCGCCCAAAGAAACCCGAACAGGATGGGAAAGAGGTCAAGAAGCGCTCCAGGAATGGTTGCTGGCAGGTGCATTTTCCGGGTGGAAAAACACCGTCGCTGACATAGACATAGGCCTTGCAAGTCCAGAAAAGTAAAATGGTACGATACGCTTTCAATCTGACTACGAAATGCATCCGGACGCTGACAGAATTTCAGCGGAGAGGAAAAGCCCACATGTGCCAACTGTCAACGACAAGGCGAAACCTGTGACTATAGTATCCGATTGAATTGGGACGGTCGAAGTAAAAAGAAAGATGACGGAAAACCCGGCTCTCAAATAATATCCTTCGGTACACCTCAGTCGATGTCGCAGTCTGTCTCAAATGGGTATGCCAATGGCACCCATGACCAAAGTCCCAACGGCCAAATTCCCACTCCTCGAGCCTCCCACCTCCCAATTCAACCTTCTCCTGGTTATCATGTTGACCAGCCCGTGCCGGAGCCATCCTTGCCGCCGATCAACAATTTTGCAAATAATCCTCCTCTTCCGGCGACCGAGTTCAACCCGACCATCCTTCCTCCTCCACCCGTCCTCAGAACTCCGCAATGGGGCGACAGCGCAAGTATTTCTTCACAAGAACTGACAGCGATGCCTTCGTTACGATCATCGCTCTCCTTTCCTGCGTATCCCTCTCCGTCGGACTCGGTGTTTGGAAGTCCAAACCTCCCCAATGGAATGTATCAGGTCAACGGGCATTCCGTGCATATGCCTCCGCGGATGCCCACGTCCAATCCCATGAACTATCAAGAAACCGTGAATTCGCCCTATAACCCGGCGAAGAGAATGAAGCTGAGTCCACGAACGGACAGTTTTGGGAGAACAACCAACTACCAACGAGCTGGGTCGTATGGCCCAAATGATACCGAGGAGCCCGCCCGAGTCCAGTTCAATCCCAATACGCCGACCATTTTCCCTCCTTATCTCAGCAATCCTTTGACTCCTGCAGCTTCGTCGACATCACATGTCTCGCAGGATAACGAGGACCGGCGGATATCCGTGAGCTCCTTATTATCAGAGGACCCGGAGCCGGATGATGCTAAGCCTGCAAATCCAAACGAACAAAATGCCGCCACTGAGGAGCAAATCCCACGGCGAGGGTCACTTCATCAACGCATGGTATCATACTCAGAAACGGAGACCTACGGTCAAGACCGGGGAAATGTTGATCTAGATATCCCGCGGAACAACGACACGATGGCCATCTCAGGCATGTCTCCTTCGGAACATAGTGATTTCGAATCTTGGTTAAATGATACCGATCTGGGAATACCCGAGTTTGGATTTGGTCTGGTCAGCCGAGACCCCGTGTTTGCGAAGGGAGGATACTATGCCACTCCAGTTCCGATCAAGATACCGCGAAAATTGGAACCACTGCCTCGAACGCTCTCCGAGAACCCGATGAACTTATTGTACTTTCATCATTTCCTCAATCACACTGCGAGGATTCTGGTGCCACACGACTGTCCGGAAAATCCCTTCAAGACAATCTTGCCCAAGAGTACGCTCTCCGTAACCCGAGCCCCCTCCCAGTCTGCTAACACGTAGTAGTGGCCGTGGATAACCCGAATTTGCTCAATCTCCTTCTGGCGTATTCCGCGTCCCATCGAGCCAGGCTATTGAATCATCCTGAACCAGCTAACCGAATAGCTCTCTGGGTTCGAGATGTTTTCCCTTCCCTCCGGCAGACGTTGGACAACGTATCGAACACCGAGGTTTCTAATGCGAACTTAGCAACCGCAATCATGCTGGCGTCCCTGGAGATTATTTCTCCGTCCAGTTTCGGAGTTTCCATACCGTGGCAGAACCATTTGAGTATTGCTCGAAGCATTATCCGCGCCCGAGGTGGACCACATTCTATTTCGCGCAAAGATCCGGTCATGTACTTTTTGACAAGGTGGCTGGCATACCTTGACGTCATGGGATCGCTGTCGGGGAGACGCAACGAAGAGCCTCTATTTGAAGGCAACTACTGGTCGAGTTCTCATGAAGATAGTACTTCCGCGAAGGAGCTGTCTTTGACGGACGACGACGATGGCGATGACGAAGATGACTATACGATCGACTGCTTGCTCGGATTCACCACTCGATGTGTCTCGATCCTGGCACAAGTGGCTTTGTTAGCCAGGCAATGCGAGGCGGGCCGAATTGACAGCGAGACCGGTCAAATCAACGAGGCATGGAGACCCTCAGCGGATATTTTGAAGAAGGCAGAAAAGCTGCGGCATGATCTTGAACACGCCCGCAATCATGAACAGATTCAGTGTTCCCATCACAGCCCTCAACTCACCAAAGCACATTTATGCGGCACCGGGATCCGTCGCAACTCGGCTTATATGGAGATGTCGGAGAAGGACGCAGAAGAATCGTTGGCGACCAATTCAGCCTTCCACTGGGCTGGATTGGTGCATCTTCTCCGGCGAATCCACAATCTTCCTCGCAGCGACCCCGAGGTTCAAACTGCAGTGCATGAAATTGTCAGGATTCTTCGAACAATCCGAGAAGGAGGAAGCGCTGAAGCGTGCCTGCTCTTTCCAATGATCACGGCTGGAGTTGAAGCTGAGGATCCGCTTGATCGAGCAGAAATATTGAGTCGGATCAAGGGCGTGGAAGGACTTGGGATGTGCCAAGTCAGTCGAGCTCGAAAGATTATGGAAGAGGTATGGAGGACTGGCGTCAGTTGGGAATGTCTGACGACAGGCGAGTTCTTTGGGTAACTTCTCTGGACCAAATTGATGTATGAGTTATGAAGGAAAGGATGGGATGGGATGGGTGGATGGGATGTGGGACCAATTGCATTCTGTCAATACCCAGCCTGTCTCGGATGCATTTCTTGAGCGTTGGAGCCGCGGCGTTTTATTTCAAGTTGGGACACTCGGGTACTATACCAACCTGTCGTTTCAAGAGAGATACATGCAACATTTTTCTTGCGATTGCGGTATGGAATTACCTCTTTTTTCCTCCTTGCCGTCGGAGTTCATATCCGTTCTTGTAGCCGTGTAATTAACGGAGACGGTATCTTACATCATCCATGCACCAAAGTTACGTTGTCAGCAAGCTGAAATCAGTTTGGATATTTCGTCTCTTCTTCAGGCTTCCATCGCGATTCTATCTTTCGGCTTCCTATTAACCTACGGCCCCTCCCTTTGCATCCCGTTCTCACTGCATTATTGGCGCTCATTTGATCTTTTGCTTTTCGCATCATTCATTTCACTCGTGACAAATACAAGATGGCCAACACCCTAGACACGCTGATCAGACAACATCCTTTACAGAGACTCCCTTCTCCATCTCGAGGCGTCTCTGCTCTGGTCCATACCATTGGTCTCGCCAGCTTCGCTTATTCTTTCAACTACCTCGTCGAACATCCCAATCACATCAATCAGGCTTACGGATGGCATTTCCAATACCTCACCATCATCGGCCTTACATTGGCAACCATCACTTTCAGCTTAGCTCTCCTTGCCGACCTCTCCCTTTCGCCTCAACTGTTCGTCAGCAAAAATGTCTTGTCCATGTGCTCCGCGCCTATGGAAGTTCTCGTCAGTGTCTTGTACTGGGGATTGCGAGCGATTGATCCTGCTCTGGTCGTGCCTAAGGAGCTCGAACTACCTTTACCTGCCGACCTGAGCTTCCACCTTGTACCGAGCCTGCTCTTACTGATCGATTTGTTGTTTCTCAGCCCTCCCTGGACCATCACCGCCCTGCCCGCCGTCGGCTTAAGTACCTTCATCGCCTTTCTCTACTGGTTTTGGATTGAGCAGTGTTACACTTACAACGGATTCTATCCATATCCCATCTTCGCCATGTTGGAGCCTGGTCAGAGAGTTTTCTTGTTCTTGGGCAGTGCAATGATTATGGCAGCGAATACGATCGTTTTGAAGTGGGTGCACGAAAAAGCTAATGGCTTGGGTAAAAAGTCGGTGGCGAGTCCTGGGCGTATGAAATGAAAGGGTTCTTCCAGTGTTTGCGCAAATCAACTTACAGCGGCGACAGGATGGAGGTGGTTACCGACCTGCTCCTAAAGGTGCTTTCTTGGAAAGGAGTGCGAATACAGCCAGGCATCTCGAACCTCTTATTTCCCCCTGGATTTCAGCGCAGAGTTGGGCGTTCAGACTTTCTGGATTTGTTTCTCAATAAGTCATACACCTCGCGCAGAATCAACAGTCAACTTCAAAGATTTCAGCTCTGGAACCTTTCCATCGGCATCTTCGACTCCGACAACCTTGGATAATGGCTCCTTCGAAAGCTTCAGCCGTAGAGAATTTCACCCTTTTACGCCCCTACAACGTATTTTCTCATCTCTCTCGGCTTGTATTTTTTTCCCTGCTGCCTGATCTCCCTCACTGCGCCCAAAAGAGTCTGAACGGCTCAAGTGCTTTCTCATGGTAGGCAACTTCGGGGTCGAATCTTCAATAATGCAGGTGTTGTGATTTCAATTCCAACCACCCCTACCCCAGGAAATGAAAATTCATGAATCTATTCCCCAGCACATAGTATAGCTCATCTCCCTCCTCTCTATTTTCTCATCGGTATCTTCCCTAGAGGCGACAAACTTTCCCATAGCGACAGCCTCCACAACTTTTCTCATCGTTTCCTTCCTTTCTGTCGGCTTCCCATTCCCTACCCTTGCGAGGAATCTCTTTCCACCGTTCCCTTTCCTTTCCACTCCTCTGTCACCTTTCCCACCCAAGCCGTCCCCAAACCCCCCCGTCTCGAAGCGAGAGCGTGATCACGGAAGTCATCACCAACACATACGTTCTGGACGAAGGAACAGGGGATGGAACAGCCGCTCCGCCGCCCACCTCGGAGCCAGGACCCACGTCTACACTGACACCCACATCGAACCCGTCACAGACAACCCTTCCACCAGTCCTTCTCACAAATCGCACCCTTTACCGCCAAATCGACGGTTTTCGTCGGGTTCCACCGTATGGTCGTTGCAACCCGCACATTCCCACACGGCACCCTCACTACCCTCACCTATTGGCACAACTTCTACGTACATAGCCCCCAAAACGAATACTGCTGGACTCGGGTGACGAACATCAAGATGTGTTGTGGTGACTGGGTGCGTGTCTCTGATCCCAACCGCAAAGATTCACCGCACATTATGGGACAGATGAAATCGGCAAGAAATTGATAAAGTCGTATGAGTTGAGAAGAAAACAAAAGGAAAAGTCAACAAGGAAGGAAAAATGATCATGTTGCCAGGCTGGGTGTAGGGCAACTAAAAACATGAAATATTTGCAAATACCAGAAGATCATCGATCGCTGATTTAAGATGGCGTTGGTGCTCATGTTGAGTATATCAAGGCGTGGTATAGTGAGAAGGAAATAGTGAATGAACGGGGAAGGGAAAAGGGGAAACACATCAATGGTCTTCAAAAAGCTTATGGGAGGGAATTGCTGAAGCGAATGGTGTACGTGAGATGGATTGACGATAGATAGTATTGTTGTGTCGTTGAATATTTTATTGCTATTTCGTGTTTTGTACAGCTTTTGTCCTGCGTTCGGCGGAAGAAAGGCCGAGGCCTTTTTCAAGGTAGGAGCTGAAACTATGCGGAAGAGTGGAGAATATACGACGGAGTAGAGAGAATAGGGCCATAGACTAGACTTGGCTCGTGAATGGATCTATTCATTGAACTTCCGAATACGCATTCAACGCCAACTGCCCGCCCAAATGCGCGTACAGCACATTACTTCCCTCGGGGATCTCGCCCCTTCTCACCAGATCCATCATGCCGGCAAGACTCTTGCCCTCGTACACAGGGTCCGTGATGAACGCCTCAGTCCGTGCACCAAACCGAATAGCTTCGAGCGTCGTTTCGTCCGCGATCCCATAGCACCCGGCATGATACCGCGTGTCGAGAATGACGTCTTGCGCCGTGATATCGGATTCGTCAAGCCCGATTTTCGCGGCTGTCTGTTTTGCGATGCGCAGGACCTGCGCGAAAGTCTCGGCCGGTTTGGCTGAGGCATCGATCCCGATAACTTTGCGTGGCGACGATGGAGACAATTTGCTGAGCAATTTGAAGCCCGCGATCATGCCGGCGAGGGTGCTCCCCGTCACGGCGCAGACGATGATGGTGTCGAAGAATAAATCCATGGCGAGTTCTTGTGCGCGCACTTCGAATGCCCAACGTGCGAAGCCCAGGCCGCCTAGTGGGTGGTCTGAGGCGCCCGCGGGGATGTAGTACGGTTTTCCACCGGCGGAGAGAACTTCTTCGGTGAGCGTCTTGAGGGTCTGTTTATGCTCGATGCCGAAGCCTGAGGCGTCGAGGCGAACATCCGCGTTCATGAGGCGAGAGAGCTGGATGTTGCCCACTTTGTCATAGCCGATGTCGTTGTGGTCAACCCATTTCTCTTGGACGAGTTTGGCTTTCAAGCCCAGTTTGGCGGCGACCCCGGCGACTTGCCTTGTGTGATTGGATTGAAAGCCGCCGATGGAAACTAAGGTGTCACAGTGTTGGGCGAGGGCGTCTGGGACGAGATACTCGAGTTTGCGTGTCTTGTTCCCGCCGAAGGCGATGGAGGAATTGACGTCTTCACGTTTCGCGTAGATGGCGACCTTCCCCCCGAGGGCTGAAGAGATGCGTGGGAGTGCATGAATGGGTGAGGGGCCAAATAAGAGTGAGTATCTGGGGATACCGGCGAATGGTTCGGGCAGAGAGATGTTGATTTCGGAACTGGAAGGGTTGTTTGCCATTCTGATATGGATTTCTTGGATATAGGGTACAACCGACGTCGGTTTCTTGAGAAATTTGGTCAGAGTGAAGGTTGAAAGGCTTTATAGAGAAAGGGAAAACAGAGCTGGGGTCAGATATGGCCAATAGAAGGCATATTTTGCCGTCGGACATAGGCTTGGCGGCCGAGACGAGTTCGATAGTGTTGTAATTGGTGTGAGAGGACCGGAGAAGGAAGTGTAAACGAGGCTGACGCGTGGTTCGGCTATTGAAAAGTTACGGTGGGACTTGTAGCTGGTTTGAAATATGAAGGGAACAAGGCGGGGAGAGAGAGAGAGATCGTGGTTTGGTGAATGTCGTTTCGATAACTTGATCTTTCTTCGGTCCCAGGACTTCATGTGATGTAGTCCAGGAGAAGAGAGCTGGGAGAGCATTGTCTTGACAAAACATCGTGAAAGAATAGGAGCTGCTGTAGAAGTCATCGACACAGAGGTGACCACCAGTACCGGTGAGGACTAGATGACGTGTTGAATTGGAGGAATCATCGTCGGGGAAAGAGATATCAATCTGATGGAAGAGATAGTCGATGGTATTGGTACCAGGCTTGGTAAACCAGATGCTTATAGTATGGACATTTTCAGCCAGATTCAAACGCCAGATGTATTTCCGAGCAAAGGAGAACTTGGGCGGATTCGTCCGACCTTGGAATGGAATGGTCATATCAAACTCGCCTTGTTCATGGTAGAGAAGCTCCAGATCGGCGAGATGGAGCCTCCCATCCGCATCAATAACGGGAGAAGGCGGGGTTTTGGTAAAGGTGGCCTGGCCTGAACAGAGACCTGAAGGCTCCGAAGGGTCTGCCGATTGTACCTTACGGTTGAGGATCCAGGTTCCGGAGAGGCTTTGGAAGAGATGGATTAGCAGAATGGAACGAGATGAGGAGTGATCGGGTTCCTGCATGATGTTGGGAGAGTGACGTTGGCACCAGTCTAGAAGATTGAGTCGTAGATCTGAATGTATTGACCATGCAGGAGGTCAATTAAACTAACTCCATCATGACGCCGCTTTATACCAAACGAGATGCCAATATGTCTTGGCATCAAACCTCTTTCCCGCTTTTATTTTCATGATACGGCCTGACTGATCCTTACCTCTCCATTTTCATCTGTAAATGACACATTCAACATGATTGCAATAGGCCTCGAAGGCTCCGCCAACAAACTCGGCGTCGGCGTGATATTACAGCCTTCTAAAGGCGGCCCTGCACAAATATTATCTAACATCAGGCACACCTACGTCTCCCCACCCGGAGAAGGGTTTTTACCAAAAGACACCGCCAAACACCATCGCGCGCATGTCACGGACCTGGTCAAGCGTGCACTGGTCGAAGCAGGCGTCACAGTCCAAGAGGTCGACTGTATCTGCTATACCAAAGGCCCTGGAATGGGGGCCCCATTGCAGAGCGTTGCCATCGCCGCCAGAACTTTGAGTCTCTTGTGGAACAAACCGCTCGTGGCCGTCAACCATTGTGTGGGGCATATTGAAATGGGCCGAGAGATCACGGGCGCCACGAACCCTGTGGTCCTCTACGTCTCGGGCGGGAACACCCAGGTGATCGGCTATAGCACTCAACGGTATCGCATTTTCGGCGAGACACTCGATATCGCGGTGGGAAATTGCCTGGATCGATTTGCAAGGACGTTGAACATTTCGAATGACCCTGCCCCCGGGTACAATATCGAGCAACTGGCCAAGAAAGGTAAAGTGTTGCTTGACCTGCCTTACGCTGTCAAGGGTATGGATTGTTCTTTCAGTGGGATTTTGGCACGGGTGGATGAGCTCGCGGAACAAGTGAAGGCGGGGACCTTGAAGGATCCTGCCACCGGGAACGCCATCACACCTGAAGATCTATGTTTCTCTCTCCAGGAGACGGTCTTTGCCATGTTGGTGGAAATCACCGAGAGAGCAATGGCCCACGTAGGTTCCAATCAGGTCCTCGTTGTTGGCGGGGTGGGATGCAATGAACGCGTACAGGAAATGATGGGCATAATGGCCAGAGACAGGGGCGGCAGCGTCTATGCGACTGACGAAAGATTCTGCATCGACAACGGTATCATGATCGCACACGCGGGCCTTCTCGCATACCGGACAGGATTCCAGACGGCTCTGGATGACAGCACTTGCACACAACGATTTCGAACAGATAGCGTTCATGTTGCATGGAGAGAAGATTGAATTGGACCCCACAGTTCTAATCCTTCAACTTCTGCTTCCTCAGAAGCCGGGCCCGAGAATCAATTCATGGGGCTCTGTCTGTACCCAAAGCGTCCCATCACCACATCGTTAATCCTTGGAAGGCCGTCGTACACCACCCAAAACCCAGCGCCCTTGCCAAAGTCATTGCACCAACAAAAGCTTTACTGAACGCTCTGGAATTTGGGAACCGGCTTGAATGAGATCGTGGTCACATACTCAGAGGAATTAGCCCAAGCAAAACAAAACATGTGGTGATGCATACCTTCTTCTTATACCGAGTTGTCACACTCGTCGCCAGTACCCCGTTCTTGACGCTGCTAGTCATGAGATGATTCAATACGGTATGGTTTGGTAGTGTCAGGACGCTGTTATCGTCCTTCACTGGAAGGATACCGTTCAGAATGGACCTGCTGAGGAACATCGGTAACGTCGGCGGTGCTGGACTTTCTTGAATCACTCGAACAGCGGCTTGATATCTTTGATCATCCTCGGGAAGATCCACGTCGACCAAAGCTTGGGGCACCAGTTGTCGAAAGTCACCCGCCGGGACCTCCTCCGCTTGAGGCTCCTCAATATCCGAGTCTTCTAGTGTCTGTCCGCCTGCATGGCCTTGATAATGGTCATCAGGGGCAAGAACAGTCGATTTCTGACCCGGTTGCGCGCTCTCTCTTCTTGGCTTGGTCAGGTCTTCAGTGGCAATCTCGATATAATTGACCAAGAAATTGTTGAAATCGACCGCTGTTGGGAGGTCTGGGCTGGTGACCATCTCGCCGTCCACCACGAATTTGAGATGGTGTGTTCCTGATGGAAGGTTAATCGTGGTGAACATGCCTGGGGCATTCTTTCTGTGATATAGGTCAGCCACGCTCAAGATATACACGCACGGGAAGATGTGTGTGTAGTAGTTTGGCCTCTGGGGGGGACCTTCCGCCTCTGGATGGAATGGTCCCGGGTTCTTGTCGCAGTTTTGGTTGAATTTCGAACAGGTACAGAGACGCACTCTGCGACGACATCGAACCAAGAGAGAAACATTGACGGGGACATACCTGGGATGAAGCCGATATTTCTTGTCCCAATTGGTGAAAGTCCCCGTTACGTAGACTTTGTGGCCACCATGGTTCCACTCAATGACGGTTGGTACAGTTTGAGTAGCAGTGTCCGCTGCATACGGTTGTAGTTCTTCTCCCATCTCTTCCTCTGATTGTGTAGTCGTGCTCAACATGGAACTTCTCCTCCTGGTTTGAGGTTCGATAGCAGAGAGTGGCTCATCTGTCTCGAAAATGGGAACATCGGCATTTCCTTTATCAACTGGCAGCAAGTTGGGTGATTCGGGGACAGGCACATCGGCAATGGGAAGAGGGAGGCGAGGAGGCCGAAGTTGTGCCACAGGGGTATATCGTCGATCTTGGTATGCCTTGTGCTGCTCATCAAACCGCTCCTCAACCGTGTCTGGCTTACTTCTGGAGATGGGCACATCCATGGGATCCGATGGTTGGGGCACAGGAAGTGATGCTTGATGCCTTGATCTGTGTTCTACCTCATTCCTTTTCTCTCGTGATGTTCTAGATGTGGATCTCTCTACTTTGGCCACTTTCGCATGTTGCTCGGGGGAGGGGGCTTGAAGGTACTGCTGAAGAGAAGGCTTTTCGAAATGTTGAGAAGTGGTCTGTGCAACTGCAGTGTCTTTAGTAGCGGAAGGGTCGACCGGTGTTGCTCGGGCCTGGGATAAGGCTTGAATGGAGACTCTGCGATGGATTTTGCGGTCCTTTTCAGCCTGCGGAGTGCTGGTTCTTGAAGCCGAGCTCTTCTCTGAGGACTGTTGCTGGCCCATTCTGAAAGGAGCAGTTGGGTTTTCACGTGGAACTTGAGGTGTCGTACGACACGTGGGAGAGCAACCTGGCCCGAGAAGGGCCACGTCAGGGAGATAGGAAGTCAGAGGAAAATCTCGTAGGCTCCAGACAGATTAGCATCCGGTGTCTGGAGGAGCAGAGCAAATAGTAAGCAAAAGAGATTGATGGACTGCAGATTCAAGTAGTAATTGGTGACGTTGAAAGTGAAAGTGGGAGCGGGCGTTGGGGGGGGGGGGGGGGGGTTTTGGGCCTCCGTACAGATTTTGGGGTTCTAAGCTCAGGCACCGTTCGCCTTACGACCTGCAAGCAGTCCTCAGTACCACCGTACCTGAAGGTAGGTGGGGTGTGATGACTGATGCAACCTTGAGAAGTTGATTCGAATCTTTAATTAAAAGTCCGCTAAACCGCAATTACTTTAGGTGAAACCCATCAGTTGTGGGGGAGGCAGCTTTAGGTAAGGCTTCGCATGAACAGGTGGGCGACCGCAGACACTTGCTTCCAATTTCGCAGCGGTCATCTCCTGCTGTTATTTTCATTGCCGCACAACACAAGCTCCAGATCGCACGACACAATCGTCTCTCGTCTTCTACTCGACTCAGACTCTCTCCTCTTCATGATGATTCGATTTTTCAGATGACGACCGAGACGAGCTGGCCCCATTGGTTGTCAGTCACCACAACGATTCTCTATTATGTGCTCTATCCAGTTCTTCTTATCGCGAAAGCACTATGGTACATTTTAACGATACTATCGACTCCGTTTATATACATTGGACGCATCATAACCAGTGTCTCGCTGATTCCATGGCGCCTCTTCGTCCGATTCGAGGTCTGCCACCCGCATATCCACATAGAATTACGCTCATATTTGTACAGGCCCTTTGGTATTTCCTCGGTAGCGCAATCTCGCTTGGATTGCTGCTAGGTCTCTTGCTGCATTTCACAATGCGCGCCTTTATTGTCGTATTTCGTCTCGACCGTAAACCTCTGCCCAAGCCGATCCCTCCCAAAGGACACGATGCGGTATCTTACCGAAAGGCGAGGGAAGAAAAGAAGAGAAAACAACGGGAAGAACAACAGAGATTGGCTGTCCAGGCCAGACTGATCGCGTCCCAGCCTCTGATTCAGGAGGCGGTTCGAGAAGCGAGGAAGATGCCCCTGTCAGGTACCTCAACAAGTCCATTGAGCCCGTCGAGTCCAAGTGTTCCAGGACCAAGCTGGCCTGGCCTTCTGCAAGAGACGATCCTTGAACACAGCGACGAAGATGACGACGACTCTGTGTTTTGAGGTGGTTACTCTCACCGCCGACCGGCTTTGGTGAGCGCGTGCTGGAACAGCTCTTTACACCCGACCCGACTGCCTAGTCTTGCACACAAGAGGAATGCACCACTCAGTTTTCGGTGCAGACTATATGTCTCCTCTGGTGGTGGAGCTAGTCTTTCCCTCAACATGACCGGAATGAGGCTACGAACACGGTCGGTGATTGTTTGGTTTTGGAAATCATACTTGTCGGGGGAAAAATCCATGAAGGGTTCGGCGAGTGTCATAACCGAATCAATATGGGCGTTCAGCATGGTCTTAGACTCGTAACCGGTGAGATAGCCCAGCTGGATGGACAAATCTCTGCAGGCGTCTCTGTCTTTTCGCGACGCCGCTTCGAGAACCCGAACATAAGGGTGGATAAATTTGTCCGGATATTCTCTCGAGGCCCCAAAATCCAAGAGTTCCAACTTGTTCGTGCTTGCGTTGTAGAGGAAGTTTGTCCAGTTCGGATCGGTCTGCATGTATTTGAACTCTGTGATTTCTCGCAGACACAGACGGAGGATCTGTGTTCCAATCCAATCCTTCTGCTCTTGAGTGAGGTTCTGAATCTTGGTAACTGCGATGCCATCCATTTTCTCCATGGTCAAGACTTGCTTTCCCGACGCTTCATCGATAATTTCTGGGACGGTGAAGACCTCGTGGTCGTCTGCTAACAACTCACGAAACCGTTTGGCACCTTCCGCCTCGCGGAGGTAATCGCACTCCCATGCCAGCTCGGTGCGGGCATTGGCTATGGTTTTCTCCAAGTACAAGCCTTTGGGGAGAAGACGGGACGCGGTAAGAAGGATGGAGAGATTATTGAGGTCTGAAGCAATCGAATCGGCCACACCAGGGTACTGGACCTTGACTGCAACCCGCTTTCCCGACTTCAACACTGCTCCGTGAACTTGTCCAATAGAGGCGGCAGCCATGGGACGCCCGTCGAAGTGCTCAAACAACTCGCGCCAATTGGGACCCAAATCGGCGGCAATCACTGCATCTCTCTGCGAAGCGGGCATGTAATCTGCGCCATCTTGCACACGCTGGAGCACGTCATGAACGGGCTTTGGCAGAAGTTTGGCATCTTGAAGGCTCATCATTTGACCTAGTTTCAGGGCAGCACCTCGCATTTTCGACAATTTGGTGACAAGACGTTCCATGTTTGCCGCACTCAGCATTAACGATCCTTCAGGACCGCCTGAGCGGCCAATACTTTCACTGACCACGCCAAAAGCCATCGAGGCGGCTAATCCTCCGTACTCGAAGAGACGGCCAATTCTCGACGAAGGAACTCTCGATTCACGCATCTGATAAGGTTGAACGTTCTGGACTCGCCGTGACTAGGGAATCTGTCAGCTGATCGATCAGTCAGGACCTTGTCCCCGTGGACTTGGGGTAGGGACTTACATTTGTCCTCTGTGCGTCTTCAGCCAGGTCTGCTGCTAGTTGTTTGATGCTCTCCGTGTCTGTATCAGACGCCTTTTGCCAAGCCACGCCCGTGGTGTGAAATTGCCTAGACACAACTCCTCCAGGAACGTATCTGGCCTTGCTGCCTAACAATCTTGCGTTCCTGGGGTTATGGAAAAGTTGCGATAATTGTTCTTCCGAAGGTCCCTCCATGTCGTCTCGCTTAGATCCAGAATAATATACATCTGCATTGAGACCGAGGGGAATATGCGAATCTCCTTCTTGTATATCATTTTCGGCCTTGGGAACGCGGACACGTGGTAGTGCTGACAGTACGGGCTTCACACTATCCGGGGGCTGGTAGAAGACATCCTGCTCTTGCTCCACACTAAACTCTAGGCTGTTTTCATCCGGACCTGAAGGTTCAGCTGTCTTCGCGGGTATTTGGTCTTCTGACTCGCGTTGAAGTCTTTTAACTTCATCGGAGGAAAGAGACTGTTTATTGAGCATAGGGTCAGGTATAAGCGAGTTGTTGGAAGGCTTCACATGTAAATCATCTGTTCCCAGGGCTTTGACCGGGTACCGTGGTGTCTCTCCAGCAGGTCCTTTGTCGTAGCTTATTCCATCACTTGTTTCGTGTCCACCGGGACTGTCTTCGGGTGGAATTGTCCCATCTGGCAAAGCAGATCGTTTAGCTTGTACCTGTTCGACATTCAGAGTCTCATCGGGGGCCGGCTTCGAGGGAGAGTTCTCATTTGATCGGTTGTAAAAATGGTCTTGGATGCCTCCTGTCGCTGGCTTTGGAGGGGATGGAGAGGAGGAAAATTGCGAAACAGTCTTGGCTAATAGTGGGAGTCCGTCTTTGTTCCAGGCTTTGAAGATGGAGGACGTCTTGCCATAGAGCTGGACTTGTGAGAATCGAATGTCAATGTGCTTGATTGCGATTTTCCTGGAAACGTTGACCAACGCCAGAGCGTCAAGAATTCGTTTGCCAGACATGATTGTCAAAGGGTCAAGGACCCATTGTCAAAGCAGCGAGCACATGAAGGTCGAGGAAACAAGCCAACTCGAAGAGTGGCTTGTTGCGTAGATAAAAAGAATTGAACGAAACTTTTTGATGCACGCAGGTCGTATTCGCTCCCTGCGAATCGGAGCTTCACGCTTACTCTATACGTCACGGGCGGATGAGGCATTCCCATGTCAAAATATACATAGTATCGCTCCTGACCACCAAAATGTGACTTTCTGAGAGAGGGGCTCCTTCAATCAATTAACTGATGGACGCGGGAGCCCTCCGAGCACGCATCCTCGAGCTCGAGGCCGAGCTGCAAACTACAAATGCCCTGCTCCGGCGAAGACAGGGATCAAGCTCGAACGCGGGAATCAATCCTTTTGCTGCCGCCGTAACAATTCCTCTAGGGCCATCGATGCACAATCTGATGCTCCTTTCAGACTCTGCTCTCCCACTGGGCTCATTCGCGTACTCGAGTGGCTTAGAGTCTTTCCTCGCTCACCACAAACCTTTCCCGTCCGGCCAGACAAGTCTGTCACTCTTCCACAAATTCCTCGAGCTTTCAATCCAGTCGGTCGCGTATACAAATGTCCCATACACCCTTGCCGCGTTTCGAGACCCGCTAGAGCTCATGGATCTGGACAATGACCTCGACGCCTCGACTCCGTGCAATGTCGCACGAAGAGCCAGTATTGCCCAAGGCCGAGCCTTACTGAGCGTCTGGGAAAAGGCGTTTGCAGCCACTGCAAAATCCCAGTTCGAGGAAGGAGTAGAATCTGTCACGGCAATTGAAGTGTTTGCCAGAGACCTCAAAATTGCAGCGGTATCTCCGGACCCTCTACCAGTCAATGGTCATCTCGCACCTCTTTGGGGTGTGGTCTGTCTTGCCCTTGGTTTGAACCTGGAAGAAGCGGGATATTTGTTTCTCCTGAATCATGCCAAAGCGGTATTGAGCGCCGCAGTCAGAGCCTCCGTTATGGGACCGTACATGGCGCAGAGCATCCTAGCGGGACATGAATTGCAGGATTTGATCCGGCAGTCCTTGGAGAAGGTCTGGCTCCGCCAACCTCAGGATGCCGGACAGGTGGTCCCATCTATGGATTTATGGGTTGGAAGACATGAGATGCTGTACAGCCGGATTTTCAATTCGTGAGCTGACACGAGGCTGCCGACAATCGCATTTTTAGCTCTACTTGAAGTCTAGAATGTTTTACCACGTCGCTCGCATGGTGAATCGCCGTTACTCCGTCAGAAGCTCTACTATGTGAGAACATCACCAACTTCGTCACAGCGATACAAGCCTACAATCGACCTTCTTAGCCTTGGAGAATCTCTAGCATACGCACTTCACAATGAAACTTCACCACGCTCACCTACCAGCAGTATCACGATGCTTCTCACGTTCTTCACCATGCCAACTACCGCCGTCTGGGACCAACGACAACCGAACATCGATATTCAAGTGGGCAAGCCAAAAATTAGCTGCTATTGCGAGCTAATCAATCGAATAATCAATGTGACGCCAGGAGAATGTGTGGACTACCGCGTTTGGCACGAGGGTTGGTACTGAGTCAAACATGTCAGAATGGCCTGAATTGTCCAGAGGTATCCATCATGTGAGAAAGGTTACCCTGTTCAGAGGGGACCTTTCACGTCATGAACCGGTAGAGAGCATGGAATAGTGGCTCGGATTGAACTCAATTCTCTCTGAGCATGGGAATTGGCCAGCACTTGTGAGTTGTACGAATTGTAACGAAGCTACCGACTGACCTCATCGATGGGTCCGATTCTTTCCTCCACGCCTTCCATAGGCTTTCTTCCTTTCTTCGCCTGTCTACCACGTCCAGCCGACTCCTTGGTCTTGCGTTGTTGTGTTTGGTTCTTCCGCGGTGCCGCAGCCGCTGCAACAACAGCCTCTGCCAATGCTGAGATCCGTTCTCTTCGGGTACTTGCTGGTTGTGTACTTGGAACGGTTCCAGTACCTGTAACTGGAACCTCATCTGCAGCATTCCCAACCTCATCGCCATCCTGTTCGGTAGACGGTAGTGCAATATCAGCTCCATCAATTTCATACCCCTCATTAGCACGTCTCCGCCGATCCTCTTCCCTCAGTCTCCTCTCTTCCGCTTCTAACTCGGCTTGAAGCTTGTCAGGATCCTCAAACTCCTGGTTCGCTAGCTTTGAGTATTCCTCCAGATCCACTGACTCCTTTGCTGCCACGCATTCCTGCACCCGCGCTGGATTCGCTCGTTCCTCCGCGATGAACTTGAGTTTGACCTGTTTTCGATCCCACTCGGGGAAGAGATTCGCAATCATGCTGAAATCCGTGCCAAACATGCGTAGACCTTTGTAAAATAGTTCCGTCTGCTCCAAGTCCCATTGTTTTCCGCGCCTGCGTCCTGCGTGTTTGCCTAGAGTTCCCTGGTGGACGTACTTATAAATTCGGTCATCTTCGAGTGCTCCATCTGCGTCTTCAATGACCGCCTGCTCTACACCCGCCCCGAAATCGATTTCTCGCGATTCAGCTGCCACGACAATCTGCCCATTGACGATGATTTGCCGGGGCACAGGTGCTGCAACAGGTTCGGCAGCGGGAGGCTGGATGGGTTTTGCCTGCTTCCCGTGTCTGCTTTGCCCACCAGCTTCTCTTCGTCGTTCTATTTCCTCTTTCCTCCGTCGTTTGATGTCTGCCCAATTTTCCTGCATTCTCTTCTCCGTCTCTGATTTCTTCCCCACCTTATTGTCTCTCACAAGATCGCCCATCGAGACCTCTTCGGGGTCGATCTCCAACTCTTCGGCATTTTCCGGCGTAGAAAATCGCGATCGACGGCGACCACCACTTCCACTTCCACCTACAGCATCTTCAATGACCTGCCTTGCAATATCCTTGATGGCTCTTGACCGTTGTTGCTTTTTCTTCAATTGTTTTGGTTGGGCTCTTTCGGTCACTTCTTCACTTTCATTGTCAATCGCCGTTGCCTGCGAAGCCGAAGGACGTGCAGAACGTGGTCTGAGTGATCTCGCTCCGCTCTCGATCGAGTTGGCAAGCTCTGACACAGCAGCTGCTTGGGTAGTGGCATCCTGTATCAATGCATCAGATGTTCGAGACTCGCTCCGTCTACTTCGCGAACTACTTCTGAGGATCAAGGGGGTGTTTTCTGATGGCGGTGGCGTGGTATGCGATCGCGACTGGGTGAGACTTGGAACCGCGTGAGTAATCTTCCGCCTTTTACTCGAATCCGCCGATGGTTGGGACGTCGCAGTGGTTCCGATCTCAGTTTCCCAAGTAGAATCTTCCGATGGCGCAGGCGTAGGTTCATTTGTGAGTCTCTGTCGCCGTATCGTGGAAGAGGAGCTGGACGTGATAACTGTGGGAATGGTGTTCGGTCTGTCATGGTTGACGTTTGAACTTGGGTTATGAATGATCGAGGCTCCCTGACTTGTGCTGCTGGGAACGGTCACCTCAACAGACACAGATGGTATCCCAGTAGTGTATACCCCGGAGGAAGTTCTTGCAACCGTCTCGAGAGGAGTAGGGAGCAGCAGAGACGATTTTACCGTTTGCGACGTTGAAGGTATTTCAGTGGACTCGAGAGCTGTTTCGGCGGCGTCTGCGTCATGATTCTGTGAGCTATCATCAACTGGTTCAACAATAGGGCTCGCGATCTGGCTCTCTGGTGTTAACGAGGGCGGAGCAGCATGTCGAGCATTGTTCCTTTGAATATTTCGCCTCGGAGCGGTCTTGGGAATGATCCTTTGACCCGGCTTGCGAACGACAGAGCTGAACGTGGACATTGTGCCAGCGACCAGTCTGGATGGTGCGTCATATCACCCGGCCAGTCCAATAGGCAAAGGCCATGACCACATCACTATCTTGCTTTCGAGACTTCTAGGATTGTTAACCATTCAAGATGGTCCCGGGCCGTGGATGTCAAAGGTCAAGTCCCAACTTTTGGTGGCGGGTGCAGGCAAACATGCCAAGGCCGCTATCGCGCTAAGAGATCGCAGAGGGAATTAGCGCAGCCCGACTTCAAGGAAACTTTCAACTTCTTTGCTTCTGACTTCGGTCTTTCACCTGTTCACCTCGCGACAACGTCATCTTCACGGCGTCACCGACCCTTATTGCCAACTCGGGCCCCTTCGAGGACATTTCCACCGAGAAGCTAAGCCCGTTCGCGCAGCAGGACTGATGACGGCCGTCGAATCTCTCCCCTTTTCCCTCTCTCAACAGAGTCTAGTCAAGATGGAAGAGCGCAAGAGACCCAGTCCCTACGATCAGGTCGAATCTGCTCCTCCGCTGAAGAGGCAGGCCACTTCTGCCAATGGTGCATCCAAGTCTCACAAGGATGATGACATGCCTTGGAAGGATGATCTTGAGGTAAGTCAAATGCGAAGTCTTGCGGCATTAATGGACCATCTATCTCTGCAGAAATGAAGCTGACTTGAAACTTCGCGGAGTAGAGATTCCAGAAAGATGCGATCTATCGGCAGATGCAGGAGTATCGGAGGGAGAAAAACACCCTTGAATCACAATTAAAAGATATGCGGAAAAAGGCACGATATCACGATGATCATCTCCGGACCATTGATTCTTGGTTTCAACAAGTAATTGATGAGGTCAAGATTATTATCAAAGGAGATGAAGACGTAGATATGGATGCTTCGTCTCTGCCTTCTTCCCTCCTCTTCACAGATCAAGAGCAGTTCGAAGAACATCTGCGCAGCCGGTCCAAAGAAATCAAGGCCGTGATATCGAGGCTGTTCGGCTTCACCAGATCGTATTCGCCTGATGTAACAACACTACAATCAAAAATATCTCGACTTCTGGCCGCCGAAAAAAGTCACGTGGTCGAGTTGTCAAGGTTGCAGGCCGAGAAAGAGGATCTTGAAACTCGGCTAGAAAATGCATCTTTGCGATACATGATGGCGGAAAAGAAGATTGATCGAGCCAAGAGCATGACAGTGGCCAAACTGGAAAAGCAGGCTCTCCTGGGTGCAACCAAACCCACGTCCGAAGAAGGCGGTCCGGTGAAGCGTGAGGATAGCACCGTCAACGGAACGACCGACAATTCTGAAGAGTTGGCCGACATGGAAAGAGAGTTGAATAAGACCGTGCTTGTCTCGGAAAAGCAAAAGGAGCAGCTGGAAAGACTGGAAGAAGAAAACTCCAAGTTGACAGCACAGTTGACCGAATTGTCGACAAAATCGGCGATCTTGACGGATGAAGATTACGCCAAGACCGAGTTATTCAAGCAACTGAAATCGCAGCACGAGGACGTCATCAAGAGAATCAACAATCTTGAAGCCACCAATGCAGAGCTCAAAGAAGAAGCCCAGAAACTACGGTCGGAGAGGACAACATTTCAAATTCAGATAGAAAATGAGGCTCGAATTGCCTTGGCTGAGAAGGAATCCCTTCTCGCAGCGTCTGAAGCGAATTTGGCCCGGATCCGACATAACCGGGACGAATTGCTTGCAGATCAGGCAATCAAGAAATCTTCTCTGGAACAGGATCAAGAGGCAGTGAAGAAAATTTCGGAGTTGGCCTCTGCCCAAGAGGATCGTATCAGAGCTCTTGAATCTGAAAACGAGCGACTGGCCATGCAACCAAATAGCACGGGCGGGGGTAATACAGAATTGGATTCATTAAATCTGGACGAATTGAGAGCCAGATACAATGAACTTGACCGAAAATACGGTCTTTTAAATGGTGAATTGGCTTCGATGTCCACCGCATTTCAAAAGACGTCGAAAATTGCCAGCCAGAAAGTCTCCGAATTTGCCGCCATGGAGGACAAAGTACAGCGACTTTCGGCAGAAAAGGCCAAAGCAGATCAAAAGTTCTTTGCCGCTATGAAGAGCAAGGAAACGCGAGACGGTGAAATTCGAACGTTAAGGCTACAGAACACCAAGTCCGCAGAAGCGGTGTCTCAGCTGAAAGAAGCCGAAAACGCCACCCGAGCTTTGTTGGCAACGATGGAAAAGCAACTGTCTGAACTGAAGGACGCATTAACACTCAAGACAAACGAACATCGGACGGTGCAGCAACAAAACATCATTCAAGGCCTCGAAGTGTCAAGGTTAAACGCCCAATTGAACGAATTGAAGAGCCAATTGACTGCCAAGGACACCCAATTGGCCACGACATCCAGCCTCTGTCGTTCCGCCGAGGTAGAGGTGGAAGAGCTGAAATCTTCACTCAGGGATACGCGAAGAAGTCTCGAGTCGTGGAAGAGCAAGAGCGGCCAGTCAGAGCAGTATGAGATGCTGCGACAGTTTGCATATTGCAACATCTGCAAACGTGCGTTGAAGAACACTGTCATAAAAACATGCGGGCACACATTCTGCAACGACTGTGTCGAGGAACGACTGACTTCTCGATCGAGAAAATGCCCGAATTGCGGAAAGTCGTTCGGCAGCAACGATCACATGCGGATCACCCTTTAGACCCAACCCCCTCCTTTTTGTTTTTTTTTTTTCTTTTTTTTACGATTTGTACCGATATTCTCACTCAACGCCAAAAAACCTTCTGAACTCGCAACTTATGTCAAATTCTGGTTTGGATTCCGGTCCATTGACTGTCAGCCTTTCTTGAAGGTTCTTTTTTATTTTGTACCACAAACCAATCAATCATCATCAACTCGACAAGTGGCAATCATCAGTGACGGCACGGAAATAGCTTAGCGTTGCTCTGCTTTGCCGGAAGAGTTGGACATTTGATGGAAGAACAGGCGGAGAATGAAGATGCCTCGGGAAAGACATTTGACAACAAGGAGGGAGCGCTCGTCCATCCCCTGTTTTCAGCATGGCTCTCACGATTCCGAACCCAATGAATCGGTCCGTCGTCAGATGATAGAAAAATCTCAGTCACATTTTGACATGATCATTTCATCTGACCATCCAGTTGATCGAAGCGCTGGAAGGCCGAGGGCGACAGTCTAACAGCATGCGGTGTCGGGACGAGTTAGTCTCTCGATCACCGACCCAGAATTTAGATAACTTTTTGCTGGAAGGCAATCCCTTGAGTTGGTCATGGCTCACAATGAAAGCCCAAAGAATTGCTCCCCAAAGACGTAAATTTTGTCAATCGTCCGTGTCCATCTGACTCTGATTTTCCTTCTTGATGAATTGCGAAGATGCTCCTTCGTCATCCTGATCTGGTGCGTAAACATCATGCTCGCCCTCAGCATCACCTTCACCCTCACCACCTCCGTCGGCATGCTCATTGTCATTATCGTCAAGGTCTCCGTCGTCCTTGTCGTCCCCATCCTCGCCCTCGGCCGGTTTCTCTTCATGGCCTTCCAACGGCGGGAAACTGAGATGCTTCCAATCCTCGATTTCCTCGATTATGCTCTTCAGCCGGTCTCTAATACTCTCGACCGCGAAGCTACCGAGGAGCAGTCGTAACGGGGGATATCGGCAGTGACCGAGCTGCCAGACAAGCTCTGCCGCCTTGACGACCGACGTAGGCTGATTGTCGCCCAGCCAGTGGAGAGCGCGCTGGGCATGAGCGGCGGGCGCATCTTTACCAGTATACGGCTCGCTGGCCTTGGCCACCTTGAAATGACCGAATATAGGCAGCTTGTGGCCGTTGGCCATGGTAAGCTCGTCATCCCGTCGCAAGTGCGAGGGTTCAACGAGCGTGGCTCGAATGCTGAACTGGTCCACTTCGTACAACATACTCTCAATCAGCCCCTCCACCGCATACTTGGTCGCGCAATAGGGCCCCAGACCGGGGACACCGAGCGCGCCCGATATCGAACTGAAAATCAAATATCGGCCAGCCCGCCGTTGGCGAAAATACGGCAATGACAACTGGATGATGTTCAGCGTGCCCATGAAATTGGTCTCGAATTGATTGCGAATCTCGTGCTCGTCTTGGTCCTCGCAGGCCCCAATCACTCCGTATCCCGAACAATTGGCGATGATATCCATCCGGCCAAATTGCTTCATCGTTGTCTCAATTACGCTGGCGACGGATTCACGAATCCGCACATCGCAAAGGAGTCCAAGATAGCGGTCTGGGTCGTCGTGCCATTTTTGCATGGACGATAACGTGTCTTCGAGTGACTGGCCGACTGCACATACAATGTCGCCATGGCATAGGGCCGTTTTGGTCACAGAACGACCCATGTGTCCGGTAGCGCCGAAGACGATCCATACCTTTCGCTTCGGAGGGTTGGAAGGGGAGGGAGGATCGGTGGTGTGTGGGAGAGAGAGTTTACCAGGGTCACACTGTGCGGTGTTGGGAGAGCGGTGGGTTGATGGTGATGACTGTGCTCCAACTAGGTCGTTAGAGCCTGTGGGTTTGAGTTCGTCCATTGTTGATGTTGACATGGGCTTGCCGTGCACGGTATGGAGCAATTTAGCGTATCCAGATCTGATATGACGAGACTTTTCGATAAACTCCGACCGATTCTGGCCGATTGAATTCAGCGTGCTTCCCCCATTCGACGCTTGTTCTGGCCTAGGCGTTCCAAATGAGCCGGCCAGGCCAATCCGTAGATCAATCAATGGCAAAACGTTCTTTCATCACATGTGGGCCGGATCTATCTTCGAGGTGGTCATGAATGCCCGATATACTTGTCGAATACCGACACGACGCACTCAGTGGGTGTAAGTAAGTATCAGAGCAGAGCGAGATTAGAGAATGGCAGCTGGAATCTGACAGACAGTCGAGCTCTTAGTAGCAAGTGCTTACTTGGACGTGTTGAGTGGCAGTTGGGACAATGGAGGGATTTGGAATGCAGGGAATACGTGCTCGTTTGGGGAATATGTGCTCTGAATATTCAAATCGAGGAATTCCGTCTGCGGATTTGGAATAAAGGCAGCGGTAATCTGGAGTTGGTGTTGGCCGAAGGCTTAGGTACAAAGGTACGAATGATGTCTATAGATGATAGGTTAGTATATAGCTGGTCGTGATGGATCGTGGCGTGGCATTGGGGAAGGATACTGGGTGGACACCGAATGAAACGAAGTATTTGAAACTGGTGGTTGTGACTTGTGGTTGGCGGACCAGCGGCCGTCTCGTTTTCACCCGCAGCTCATAGCGACATTACGCTGCTTTCCCCAGAGTTGGCGAATGGGGCAAATCTGACCAAAGACAAAATGTGTTTTTTTTTTTTTTTTTTTTTTCCTCTGGCCCTTTGCGCCATCGATCGGAAGATTCAGTCAATACTTAAACTCTGACTGTTAGCGTTGTTAGCATCCTTACCCCTCCACCTCAGTAATCACCCAAAACGCAGCCGTCATCATGAAGGCATATTGGTTCGACAACGAAGAGGTACGCTCTCAGTCCCCCTCCGCCTTCTTCGCCTTCTTCAATCCCACCTAACAATCTTCCAGGGTGACCAGCGCCTCACCCACGATTCCGGTCGTGAAGTCCCGGCCTCCTACCTCGCAAGCCTTGGTGTCCTATACCACCACTGCCCTGAAGTGTCCACTGTCGACGAAATCGCCAAAGAGCGTAATTACAAGAATCGAGATGAGATTACTGTTTCTCCCTCCGCTATGGGTGCCGTCTATGAAGATAAAGTCAAGATGTTCTTCAATGAGCACCTGCACGAGGACGAGGAGATCAGATACATTCGCGACGGAGCTGGCTATTTCGATGTCAGAAGTCGGGATGACAACTGGGTCCGTATTCGGTTGGAGAAGGACGACTTGATTATTCTCCCCGCTGGAATTTATCATCGTTTCACCACCGATGAGGATAACGTAAGTGCGAGCAGACAGGTGCAAAGAGAACGGGAATTAGACTAAGCGGACGATGCTAACTGGGAGAGCAGTACATCAAAGCCATGCGGTTGTTCCAGGACGAACCCAAATGGATGCCATTGAACCGTGGTGCTGAGACGGATTCTAACCTCCATCGCAAGAATTACTTGCAGACGAGGGATGTTGAGCCAGTTTCGGTGGCATGATGGCTGAATCACGGAACCATTTTCGACTCCTCTAGATCCGTCCGAAGATGGATTTAAGGAAGCCATTGATGTTGTTGACGATACCACGAATACAAGAATGTAAACGTCAATTTAGCACACCATTCAAGAGAAATGCTGGATGCCATCTCCGATTCAAGTTTATGCTTCGTCTTTTCCATATGAGATGGTTAATTGATCCCATGATGCCCATACTACACAACGATGATCTCGCGCATTGATGATTCAAGATGCGCTGCTATTCCATGGTATTTTAGTGATTGCACCCAGCTCCTCACACGCTGAACATGTAGTGATATCGATCAGCTGTCCATCACCCATGCAAGACTTGTCTATTAGCTAACTAGTCTCCCCAGCCTTACGGGGCCGAGAGGGCTGGCGATGTCACCCACCCCAGATGGCAAAGCCACGAGCGATCAGGGTAGCAAATGAATCATTTTGTGAATAGTGTGGTTGATCCAGCCTCAGGCGGATAACCAGGCGAAGTCGGGTAACGCTCCTTTCTAGCTGGCTGTGCGGACGCCTCCGTGTTCAAGCCAGCTGACTCGGTCAAAGAGCGAGAAAATCTGTTTCTTGTCAGTGAGAATTGATTTGCTGGGCTTTACTCTGCTCAACGCTGGCTTCCAACCCATCTTAGGCCAGCAAACTTCCCGCTCTGGGTGCCGGCCGCTTGATGCTGATATTAATGTGGCCCCCACAAGCAAACGCGGGGTGATTAAGCTAGCTTTGCTGCCCTTGCTGACACATCTTCCAATATTTTTTTTGTTTTTGCTTTCTGAACACCGACTGTGGTCGAGAGCATGTTTAATCTTTGCGGCCACAAGCACGAGGCTCTCGACGGGCGCAAATTATTCTCGATTGTCGGATGAGCCAACTTCTCCCAAGATGGCATGTACTGCCCAAAACCGGTATATGTTCGTCGAGTACTCGGCTCCCGCCCCCCCAGTGAAAGGTCAGAAGAAACGTCGAGGCGGTCCAAGTGAAGTTCGAGCGCATATCACCAAGGAATTTCATCGAAGACTGAGAGTCAAACGATTAGACGCATTGAAAGGAACCGTGCCTTTACCAGAAAGACCCAAAGTTGCCAACCCGACAATTGAACAGGAAGACGAGGAACAAGACTGGAAGCACTCTGGCACAAGATCGCCATCGATCCATACGCGACCTGCTTCACCCAACAAAAATATTCCGCCCGAATTGTATCTCTCCCGTCGCCTTCGGACTGTTTTGGGAGAGGGGAGAATGGACCCATTTGATGTATTACCGGCTCATCGAATGCCTCTCTTCATTCACATGGTTCTCGATCATGTATGTAGCCTGGACGAATCAAGCCCTACTCGTTTGTTCAACCGGTTTGGGAAAGGAAAATTACTGACTATGTTCCCAAGGCTTTGGCGCACTCGTGGCCAAACACCGTTCCGACCAGGTCACCGGCCGTCATGAACCCAGTCAAAAGCGCCTGGCTGAAATGTGCCATGGAATGGCCAGTTGCTTTTCATGCATTCATCTACGCAACGACTCTGCATCTGTTATGCGCGTATAATGGTCGCGAGTTGATTGACTCGGCGCCCGTACTTCGGCTCTCCCACAAGGTCGAAACCATCAAGCTGGTCAACGAGCAACTTCACAATCTGAATGGTCTGCCATCTGATGCGCTGATCATGGCTGTGACAATTCTGGCGATTCATGGGACACGAGACGCCACCGCATATCCCCAAATCCATCCCGCCTCTCCCATGGCGGAAGCCCAAAACCTTCACGTCTACGGAAACATGGTCAACGAAGAAGAACATGTCCCAGCTATTTTGTGGCTGATCATGCAAAAGGGAGGGCTGGACGGGATTGAATTGTATGGAATGGCGGATACCATGGCATTGTAAGTCAAAGTCATTTGCGCTGCCATGACTCGTACTAAAAGTGTTATCAGATGCGACTTGTACTTTGCGTCAAAGTATGCGTACAGGCCAACATTTCCATTACGACGTCCGCATCAATCCCTTGTTGTAACCGGCAAGCACTTACTTGATGCCCCGGCCATCGAGTTGGACTCCAAGCTGGGACGTGGATTCAGATATTTCCGATCCACTCCTGCTGGGCGAGAACTGCTCGACGTCCTAGAATCCTTTTGCGAAGTTACCACCGCTTTGGATCACTACTACCGAGGAGGACCCACGGCGCCAGAGCTGATTGATTTGATAGAAGCTCGCAATTCGTCGCAGCATCGACTTTTATCACAAATTCCAGCTGAACTGGATCTGTCGGACCTAGAGATGTGTCTTCATCAAGCAATCCGGCTGGCCGCATTAATCTTCAGTGACATGGTCCTTTTCCCGTTGCCCGAAGCCCAGCAAGTGAAGCAGAGGCTGGCCCCGATGTTAAGGCAAACTCTTGAAGCTTGCCGCTTCCTGCAATCTTGGGAGTTAAATGCTCAGGTGCTAGTTTGGGCTCTGGTGCTAGGCGGCATTGCCACAAGTTTCTCGAATGGCCAAGTTTGGTTTATCGACCAGCTGCTGCAACAACTGTCGGCTCTACAGGTTCTAGAATGGTCGACACTCGAATCAATTTGCTCGAAGTTTTTGTGGTGGAAGCCGGTATGCAGCGAACCGGGGCAGCGGCTTTGGAAGGAGATGTTTCCACCCACCCATGATACTTGAGATATTCATCGTCGTATGTGCAAATACAACGGAGCATCACGCAGAAATGCTTGATCTGTGCCACCAACGGATCCCACCTCGGTTGATGCTGGAATTTTCAAGCACTGACTGCCGCCAATGTGTTGGTCGGATTTGGAAGTGTTTGGATCATTTGCATGGCCTGGACGAGGGGAACATCATGCCGGAAGAGCACCAGGCATCATCCTCACCGGTGGGGGGGTCGGAGCATCCTCTTCATGTTCGACAGCCTGACTGTTCGAACGACCAAGACCACTTCGCCACCGGAGACCCTCGAAAATCCTCTCTGTCTCTTCTTGGGATGGAAAGTTATCTTCCGGATTCGGGTCTTTCCGACCAACGAAAGAGGAGGTTCGATGTTCATCCTGAGTCGATGGTCTGTCGTCATCCTGGCCTTCTCTAACCCTGGTCTTACCCATGCGCGGCCACAAACCGGGCAGTGGGACCACTTGAACCCTTGGCTCTACCACTCTCTCCTCGAACCACGCTTGGGCTCGTGCTTCCACAAGCTGTGCAATCTTTGGGACGTCCTGCAAACGAGTGCGGGATCCAATCAAGCTTCTCACGGACAGGTCGAGCCGATAATCAGGAAGAAACGAAAAGGCGAGATTTGTTTGGGGTTTTCCGGTGGCAGGGCCTTGATCGTTGGCCGTTGATGGATCGTCTTGCGTAGCCGGAACAAAACTAATGGATAACGTGCCAGAAAACCTCACGACAGAGACAGCCAAGGCAACAGGCAAGACGGCAGAAAACGGTTTGGGATAGTTGAGGATGAGGGCGGTCTCGATGGCCAAAGTCAAATTGTCATCGGAGAGGTCGACATCCATCAAAGCCTGCAATCTTCCGCCGGTCGATGTTGAGGCATCATCTTCGACCGCAATGACTCGAACGTTGCTGAAGATGGGAAACTCCTCCCCCATAGATATCTCGGTGATTTTGATATCGTCTATATAGGAGGGTCGCTTGTCAGGATTGTTGATTGCAGCCTCGAGGCTTGCGAGTATGGTAGGGGCCCCGCCAGAAGAGCTATCCCTGAGATTGTAGGCCGTCTGGCGATATTGTGCTATTGTCTGCGCCAGCAAGACATTGAACCAATCTAGACTCTCCGGTTGATGCGTTGAGTGGGCATGCTTTCCATGGCCTCGGTCGGGAATTTGATAGTAGGTTTTGCGTAGAATTGAAGCAATATCAGTGGCATTGGTAGGAACAGGCCGGAGGACGTTGGAACTAGCTTTGTTTTTCAGAGACCGTGGAGGAGCACTTTTGGAAGAGGCAAGGCCTTGTAACGAGGGTGTTCGAACGTGTTTGTGTGCTCGAGCACGGGATCGAGAGCGAGGCGGAGGAGCTTCACCGAAGATGAAGAATTTTATGAAGGCTCCAAGTAAAAGGCAGACAGATAGCTGACCTAGAAGTAGACCTTGCGTGAAAGTCAATCCCGAGGACATAATGAAAGGTTGAGGAGCAAAGCATCCATTAGAGCTTGAACAGGCCGAGCTTCTAGAGTTCAGACATTCGAATAGATTGCATTAGGAGCCATCTTCTACCAGACGCGGAGAAGGGCCAAGTCTTTTAGGATTCATTAAAGAGAGAGTAGGAGGGCGTAGACCAAAGAAGCGCGCAGGCGCAGTTGAAGTCAAGTCAAATCTGCCTCTGGTTTAGGCGGCCCTGCCCCTTCGGGTATGGTCGCAGACTGCGGGCCTCAACCAACACTTCGCCGTATTTCAAGCCACTGCCTCCGCCTTTCTTTGTCTCAGCATCTCAGGACCTTTCTGGCTTCTGGCCGCGCCAGAAGGGTCTGAGCTCTAATACGTGTAATGGGCCTTTCTTAACGTTCGTCAGATCAAAAGTTTTACTAGTAAAATTCTCTGCATTTTCATAGAACTATACTTCACCGTAGCCGTCATTCAAGTCATTTAAACGTATTTCAAAAATTACTCATACTGATTATATGTCATTACATAATGAACGCGAAGGACAGGGGTTTTCGCGTACTGGAGCTCAGACCCTTCTGGCGCCGCCAGAAGGGTCTGATGTCATCGTGGTGTCGCGGAGCATTAGGACCAGCAGCTCAAAATTCAAAAATTATTTTGCCACCTCGTACTACTCAGTGCGGACCATACATAACGAGTTGCTGCAACAGTTCTACGTCTTTTACATATAGATTGAGAATCATGATGTCCTCTATTGTAACGCTTTTGACTACGTACAATAGTACAGGGATGGCAGCGTAGTGCCTTAGCAATTGACAGCAGGCTTGCAAACAAATAAATCAAATCAAATCGAGCCTCGAATTTGATTTGATTTGGATCCGAAAAGGGTCGGTTTGATTTGATTCGATTTGATCTGGATTGATTTGGATCTATTCGGGGAATTGAAAAGAGATCTGTCGCCATCCGCGACAGACGTGAATATTGTCGTACGGTGCTCCCCCCTGGGGGACGTGGTCTATGGATCGGATCCGATGGCTCGTGGTATTTTATCGGATCCAATCCATGAACCATCTGACTCTCTTCGTGCTACATCTTGTACCTAGAACTAGATGTTAGCTGGAATACATTGATTGAATCCTCGTCCGAGAACCCTCACAGTCTGAGTGGTCCATAGACTGGATCCGATCCATGGACCATCTCGATATCGACTTCTGTAAGGGTTCAAGGTCGAGGATTCAGTCAATATATTCCAGCTAACATCGAGATCTAGGTACAAAGACGCAGCACGAAGGTGAGTCAAGATAGGATGCTACGCAGAAAGCGCTGAGGAACCCCTGAACACGGGATCCGTGGCACGTGGTCCCGTGACACGTACGGGCACAGGACACAGTCATCAACATCGTCTACATATGGTCCATGGACTGGATCCGATGGGAGATATCGTACGGCATAGGACATGGCGATCAACATCGTCTACATATGACCATGGACTGGATCCGATCAAGGGGGTCTAGCAGACAAAGGCGGCATTCTACCCATTCCTGGGTGGGCCATGGACTGGATCCGATGGGGCCAGCCAATCAGAGCAAAGGATTGGCAATTTTCGGATTATAGATTTTCCGGATTCGGGTTAGCCAATCACGTGAAACGTTATGAGGCCTGGGGTTTGGGGGCTAGGCCCATAAAAGACAACTTCCGTAAAATACAGAAGTTACGCTTTTACCCCTGTGAATATCCTATCCGCGGCCCTTAGTTTTGTGAAAGTTAGAGAAGGCCCCTTTCTCTGAGGCATTATTATGAGGGAATCCGGAGGAGCCCTCCCTACATGTTGGCTAATCACGTGACTCTTTGCTTGGCGACATCACGTGAGGAAGCTGGCTTGGCAATGTTGCAATTTGCAACCTTCAGTCTTGCTCTCTTGTTAGAAAAACAATCAATCTTCTCTCGGCCCAACATCGAGGCGCTGTGTTAGGGCCGGTGCGGTCGAAGGTACCCATTCTTTCAAGGAGTTGACAGTTGGCTCCGTGGCGTGACTGTTTCCGGTCCCAGAGATGCTGCGTGAGTAGGAAGTCAATTGGGTGGCAGACCAGGTAGGCGTTCTTGGCATCGAGGGAAAAACGCCTCCAAATTCGGCGGGAATCTCAACTCCCATCGTTCTTATTCTCAACTCATATTTCCTTTACCCCAATTGAACCAATGTCTCCACGAAGGGGGGAGGGAGGAAAAAATATCATTCTCATACGATTCAATTCTCGCATGCTCGCATCGCCCCGTGAAAAGCACAACAAATTGGTCCTCATTGGTATCTCGTGCGGATGCTAAACAGCTTCAATGTCTACAGAGTATGGAAGACAGAGTACATAGTCCCCGCGATGTCCACACCTTTCTTCCTGTTCGAACTCAGATCATCGACCTGCAGCATAGATCAACAAACACTTGTGAAGTTCACCCTGGAATGCAGCACATTTTGAACCATGAAACATGGCAAGTGCATCGAACCGACCAGGCCGTTCTGACATGTTCATCGCCAACCGAGCTTCAATGGCTGGATTCAGAGCTACCCTCATCCTACCTTCGCCTTGGAGATTGAGACAGGTCTTGCGTTTTCGAAAGATTGTCGGCACCCAGTTTGTGTAGGACTTGCGTTGGATCGAATGTAATTTTGACAGGAGGAAATTGAGTCTGTCGATAAGTACTCTGTTACTTCTCCTCAGGTGTGGTTAGGTGGTAGGTAAACACACAACGTAAGTGGTGGTTCAGACCATATACTCCTTGTCGCGTCCAATGGCGTTGACCAAGGTGCTAGGGGGGCGGCGTCTCTGTTATTTTCGCCAGCCTTAAAATGGGAACATCTGGTGATCTTGTAAGCTAGTGACGTCAATTGACGTTTTGGAACTCCGTCAATTCTCTGCAGAGGCCATTCTCTCTTGACTTACGCTTGATGGCAACTTCGAGGGTCTCATCCTGCTGTGTTTCTAGCCAAAGTATTTCTCGGTTAGAGAAATAAGAAAAGCTGAAGCTTTGAGGCGATGATGCTTAACACACATGGCGTCGGGCTAGTCTTTGGGGAGATTTTCCCTACGGCCAGCCCTTCAGGAAACCAGGGCCAAGGTATCCTCCAATACTATCTCGCGGTCAATACCGGATTCAGCTCGACGACAATGGTAGAACACAAATATTTGAGTTCGAGAAATTATGCGATCGACAAGCTCAGGGATCTCCCCGCCATTGTGTGCAACAGGAGCAGCGTCTATATACTGACAGTCCTCTTGAAGTTTTGAATCAACTCGAAGGGATCCTGGTTCTCTTTACTGGTTCTTTCTCTGCAATTACGCACCATTCATCTTTTCAAACCTGACATAACAGTGCGGCGCAGAATGAATCATGTTATCGGGTTCGTTACCTGGGGAATAGGCACTGGGATTGCAGTGACGTCGGAGACGATTGTGCATCACAAGGAGAAAGGGACCCTCGAAGGAGAGGATTCTGCAAACTCAGCCACAACTCGAAGACAAGGCACAAACTCGAATGATGAGGATGACGAAAAAGCTTACGGTGATCGAGAATGAGCCTTCGACGGAGGCCGCTTGAGAAAATGACCCGTCTCAGTCTGATCCCACTGGCGCAAACACAGTCGAGGAAGGTTCTACTTCTCTCCTTCCATCGCATCAGTTTCTTGTTTGAGATTCAAATCACACCAAAACCACTTTCCATGAGTGTGATCATTCCTCTACGACGTCCCCGAGATCGAAGTCGAGGCTTTGTGCGGGGTCGGGAATATTCTATATCCTGCACCATCCTTCTACCAATACTGTCAGGGCTATCAGACACCCCTTACCTACACGGGGGGCAATATCAAGGTCGATGGCTAGCACCTAACACTAATGAAGCGCAAACTAAATATTCCACACCCACTCCTCCTCCTTAACACTCTCAAACAATTCCTTAATGGCCTTCTTGGTCTCATTCACACATTCGCGCTCACTTTTCTTCCACGAATCGACGCGGCCCCACTTCTTGTTGTCGACGATACGATCTGCACCGGTCAAAAGCGCGCTGGCGAAACAGATGCAATTGATTCCTTTTTCGGTGTCGGACGTGTGTGTGGAATCTGAGAGGCGTGAGACGACAAGGGCGCATTTGGAGAAGACGGTGAAGAGATTGATGCGCGCTGAGGGGAGAGAGACATCAGTGTGAGAGTCAGGAACCTCATCACCTTCGATAGCAATTGCCGGTGGAGCTGAGTTGTCGGGTTCGGAGTCGGAGTCGGAGTCGGATTGAGTGGGCGTGGATACGACTGATCGTTGAACTGTGTGGGCGAGGTGGAGGAGGCGGTCAAAGTAAGTGTCAGAGTCAGAAGACTTGGACTTTGACGACTCGAAAGAACGCGATGTCGTTGAAGAGCTGCGTCCTTTCTTGGAATTCTTCGTTTCACTTTGTGGCGAAGCTGACGTATCGAGACTGTTCCAAAGACCGTTGCTGAGATGGTAGTCTTGCTGCTTGATCCTGTACAGAATACAGTCATGTTTCTCTTGTTGCTGCTCATCATCGCCATTCCTCAATCCGAGGCTTAGTCCAGCAGCCCGTCTAGCCGCATGGGGAGGAACGACCATGCACCAACCATCGCGACTATTTCTTTTCTTGTGGCCCTTTTTGCTGTTGAACTTTAACCTGGCCCCGATGTACCTGCTCCAACATGCCCGAAAGTTGGCTTCTGGTTGATTGCCTCCGGGGAAAAACACGCTGCGGAACTGTTCGCATAATTTCTCCAAGATAGGAATTTCTGCCAGCCCGCCGAGTTGTTTGAGGACGTTGTAGGAGTGGAGGACTGCGCCGACGTAGTGGCGATAGTTCAGCAAGCGGATGCCATAGTAGTGGCATAGATCGAGAATTTCGAGCGCATGGTTTCCAGCGACCCAGGGCGATTGAAAATACAAATCCCAGCATTTGTACCGGGCATAGGAATAGAGGTCTTCTTCTAGGTTTTGTAGATGATAGGCCAGTGTTTGGCTGCAACGGCAAGGAAAGCATATCTTGTCGCTTATCATTGCTTTGACCTGAGACGAAGCCTGTTGAGCAAGCCTGAGGGCGACTAGACGACATTTCGATCCCGCATTGGAGGTCCCGATTGATTTGTGATAGGCGATGGAGCTTGTTATTAAGAGATTCAGTCCCAAGACGGCGGACCAGGATTGAGTCTGCTCATCGGGATGGGTGACAAAGTAACCCAGGTCCGCGTATATCGGAGTGCTGTTTCGGACGATGGTGGTGGGAATAGCCTTGCTCGTAACCAGATCAAGAATGTTGCTGATGAAATGATGGATAATGGTGTCATCGTGGATGGAAGATCCCTGAAGGTACTCGTTCGATTTCTGAGTGGACGATGCACTAGAAGCTTTGACCAATGACGATGGGTGTCTGTCTCGATAATGCAAAAGACACTGTTCGATTTTCTGCAGCTGATCCAGCAACAAGTGATTAGTTGATTCACTATTTCCATTCGGACTTGGGGCTTCCACCGTGCCAGAACGGTTGAATGAACAGAACATCTGATGCAACACCGACAGAGCGAGGTTTTCATCACGCCCAAGCAATTCGATCCCGACTTGACGCAACGAGGCAAAGGCAACATTGGTGACGAAAGAGGCCACCGTGAATGAAAGATTACCTTTGCCGGCGAGATGCCAACAATGTTCGACAGACGAAGAGATACCTTGAATACGCTGTCTTGATTAGCATGTTGTTTGAGACCCGTGGACTTCTCATACCTGCACGGCCGCCGCCACTTCGAGCATTGTACCAAGTTCATCATCCGCAAAGTGAGCGTCTAGACCGGAGCCCCCACAATTTGGGGGAGACGTAGCAGTACATTCAGGACACCCCTGTGAGATGGGAGATGTACTTTCTTCGTCTTCATATTCTTGGCATTCTTCGACTGACAGCCCGTTGTACTGATTGACCAGGCCGTCTGAAAGACTTGACGAACGGCTTCTTCCTGAATGCGGCTGACTCTTGGTATCAGGACGACCACAGCAAGCACAAAGATCGTCGTAGATTCGGGCGAGGCTGGAAAACAAGTTAGATCTCAGGCGACGGCGGCTCCGCCCATATATCCATACCTTGTTGTGAAATGTTCATGATTGACTGTAACCTCATCATCGGCAGATTCATCAATGTGACGGAAATATTTGCTGAGTCGAGTCCTCGCTGCGATAGTTTCTCGGAAGTGAAAGTGCACGATGTCAGGGAGAGATCGTAGTTTCTTCGACACTATCTGGGCTAGCGATTCAAGCTCCTTGATGGGCAACTTCTTGACCTGTCGATTTGGTGATGGAGAATATTGGATGAACCAGGTAACCAGAGCCCGAGTGCCTTTTTTGTAACGAACATAAGCGTCCAGGACGTCTGGTGGCAGGCCACTGAGAGTGACCTTGTGCGAAGGATTGAGAAGCATTGCGATATCAATCGCAAGAGGATGGAGAATGAAGGAGGAAGGGAGAAGCAGGAAGCGTTGAGCGGATTCAGGTTAAATACCTCAATTTTCTGAGTTGCTGGAGCCTTGGATATCCCAAAGAGCCTCTGTGAGTTGACTTGCGTGAATCCCATGTCAATCTGGGGGACGTCTTGTCATATAGCATGGTCCAAGCAATCGGACCTTGGAAAAAGGTCCAATCCCATCATTCGTGCCATTGAGGACAGAGATCGCGCGATCCACGAGGCATCCACAAGATTTGAGGACCCGGACCGGCCTGTTACATGTGCCTGATCTTGTGGCAATGACTTAGCTTGCATTTCTCGGAGGGAGAATTGCCTAATATTGATGACCCGACGAGAAAGACTGGTTCGATTGGCAAATGACAAAGGAGGGAGGATTTGAGGACCTTAACGATATCGAGGATCAAAGAATCGCGAGCTGCACGTGACCAACATCACGTGAACAATCGACAACGGAGAGAAGAGACATGGAGTAATATTGTTTGTACGATTATAGAAAGGAAGAAGAGATCAGCATGGGAGTGGCTGAGCCATGAGTTCGGTTGCCAGCCGCCAAAGAACCGCCTCTCCCAAGTTCATTATCCATCAGTCAACCCGTCTCTTTTCTCTCTCCCTATTGTTGTCTGACTGACGCCCGCGAGTGATCCTCAACCATCCGCCGACGACGGCGCACAGGTACACCGTGTTTGCGTTTGAAAAGTTGGGACAAGGCCCGAGCTCGAGAGATATTCTTGGTTGGAGGAGATTCCTGTTCGTAGGTTGTTCGTCGCAGTCTGTGGCGCTGTGTCTTCGCCCTCCACTTTTTGTGGTTTTGCAGCTCATCTTCCTCAATATGCATTGACCAAAGCACGTTGCTATTCTTTCTGGCCCAGTCACTTGGCTTTCGTTCAGTGACAGCGCCCACCTCTTTCGGTGCTTGGGATGAGATGAGAGTCTCAGCGCAGTCACTTGTTTCCAATTTCTGCCCACAACAAGTCGCATGCAAACGAAGAGGAGAATCGAGAGGATTGTGCCAATGACATTTGTTGCAGTAACCGAGGGAGAGAGTGTGTCACGAGTCTGAAGTGGTTGAGACGAGCTGCTGGGGATCTCTAGAGGGACAGGTGTATCGGGAACTGGAATTGGGGCCGTCTCGAACTCGTCCATGAGTTAAAACACGATAAGTAGTTGGCTTCAGAAATGCTTTGGTGTAAGAAATAGTTCCGCTTAACTAGGGCCGGGAAGGAATTGAAGGAGGGCAAGAATGGAAAAGCCATGAGCGAAGCTGGCGATCGAAATGAACCTCAAGAACTGGGCTCTGAGGAGGAATATGATATAGATATAAAATGAACTTGTAGCGCGAGACCCGTAGGAGCAGGAATTAATACTGAGGACGTGTCATATTCCAGATAACGACGTCCGGTGGCGGGAGCCCGAACTCGCTCTCCTCCCGGGGTAAAACGTGAGATCTGGAACTCAGGTGATCCAAGCAATATCATTCTGCTCACATGAGGCCAGAGGGCACCCAAAGAGAACACCCTGGATTTGACTGGTTTCCGTGCAAAAAACTCCAGGTGGGTCCATCTCCAGGGGTCGATTCGGTACGCACCACCCAGATGCAGGTGTTCGACGAAATTCATCGGTTAGGCCGTTGTAACATCGGATGAGATAAAAGATCATCAACGGTGACATTGTCATTTGATTGTCTCATTCCCAAATACTGAAGGTCCAAGTGATTCAGTGGGGACACAGGTGTGGGAGGGTCGGGTGGACGAATGAATGGTACGTCTTGAGCAGGTCGGGCTGAAGTATTCCTTGCGTGGTTGGCGTAGTCGCTGGGACAGTATTCATTTATCACATGTGCTGGTTGATATGGTTGTGATCTGGAATGCGTCTCAGGCGCATTCGGCGGGGGAGGATATCTGGAATATGGTGGAGGAGGATTAAGGTGGTCGGGCGGTAGCGCGGCCGCAATCGCTACGCTCACGCTCTTATTCCCACTGTTCGACTCGTTTTCATTGAGCCCGGGCCAAGGAGTATACATTTCTTGAGCGGATCGTCGACGATGTGTTCGGGGAGTGGGATTTGTGAGAGTACTAGTATTTAATCTCATCCTCGGATCCAACGCTGCCGTTGGCGAAGTGGTTCGTGGGCGAGGAGGAGGGCCGGGAAGAGGTTGATTCAAGTAGTAGCCTTGTACCACTCGCGTCTCAGCTCTATCCATCGGTCGATATTCGATGGGAATATTGTTCCAATCCGGGGTACTCGGCGGAGGAGGAGCTGATATTGGAAGCTGTAGGTTGGATTGAGAATGCCGTAACTTCGATCGAACGTGGCTAAAGATACCGCTCCCCGGCGAAGTCATACTGGACTTCAGCCAATGCAAGCAAAGCCGGACCAAATTGTTCAGCAGACTGGAGCAGGAGAATCGGTGAATTCAATATGGGATTAATGAACTCGAAGTGATCCTGATACCGTGTCCAGAGTTCGTCCGCTTTTCGGAATTCCAAACACACTAGGACGAACATGCAATATTAGTAGCGCTGTGGAATAGCCCGAGTGGAGAGAGTCCGGCCAAAGCCCAGCCCGAGGCGATGTTGGACACCGCCAGGTGTACGGCCAGACCTAAGAGGCTGAGGCATGTCTCAAGGGTACCGAATATCTGCTTGGGCCTATAAATGGAGAAAGGCGTGAGTTGAGAATGGTAAAGGTTCCTGTAGTAATCGGGGTGGTTGGGCCATCGTCAGAGGGGGGAAGAAAGTTGCGACGAACGCTGCCGACCAACCCTTTGATGAGAGTTGTCGGAGACCAACATTCGGGATGCGGTGAGCTTTCGTATCACGATGCGACGATGGATGGACTCGAGGGGGGCCGAGGATGTGACGGGCGCAGTAATTGATGCCATTTTTGCAAGATGCGAGAAGCAGGCTAAGCAAGCTATTAACAGCGGTTCGCTGGCTATGCAGGAGGAAGCCTCTTACACTCTGCTGATTCAAAGTCGCTCAATTTCCCCCGTCGAAAATGTTTGTAGGTGTTTGGTGAAGGTGGATGTTCGCAGAGTGCCGCATAGTAGACAGCATCAACCGACTATGTTAGGAGGTGCTCCTGGTTGAATTGAACCCTTTCGAATGATGCGATGTGGTCGTAGAAGTGTGTTCGTGCGCGGAAGCAAGTCTTATGCGTGACTACCATAACCGGTTAGAGCTGACGAGCTGGGCCGGTGTCAGCACGGAAGAGGCTGCCCCCAAAGCTTGTGCATCTGGGCCGAGGGCATTGGGAGGGTCAAGAACTTCCGCTATCCAAATGGGGTATTTGGCGCAGGGGATTCCGCGAGCGTTGCAAAATCTCAAGCATGACGATAGGAGGAATAGTCGAATATTTGATACCGCGAACTGCCAATGCTGTTCTTGAACTGGAAAAGGTACAACCATCACTTCATAAGCCAAACTGCACTCTGGGGGAAGGGAAACGAGTCGTCCCGTTGAAGGTCACGAGGAAGGGCCGTGAGGCTTTACTGGGAAGCTGGAGGATTTCACATTCTGGTCTTGCAAGACTTTCAAAAGTGCGAGAGGAAGGAATTTCTTCTTGAGGCCGCGAATTTGTGTCTCTACGGGTCTGCCAGCAAAGTCATCGATTTCATGGTCCACGTTGTATCTCAAGCACTCCTTAAATAGCGATTTCCGTGCCACCAGGTACCGTGTGGTCGGGACAGGATCTGATACGTCATTTCCGTTGAGCATTCTAGTTAAGGAGGAGAACATCGGTGAATTGCGCTCTATAGTCAGTGATTCTGGGGTAATAGTCCGACGCCAACAAAGATGTAATTGTTGTTGGACGGCTTGCCGGATTACCGTGTGTTCCATCCTGCGCATCTTGAAGCCCAAGGACTGTTGGAGGGGAAGGTCCTTGAAGAGTATAAAATGGTATCCGCATTTCCCGTCTTTTATTGACGATATGAGCGTCATGTCACTGGGAGGTCAGATGACATGCTTCACCAACAGACAGAAGGAACGGAGCCTCGGAGAAGCCTGAGGTCGAAATGAGATCCAGTTTTGTCGAAACCGGATTGGGTAAACAAATAGGGCCTAAGTGACGCTGCACCAAGCGCCTTGGCAAAGGCTAATTTCAGCACATCTTATTAATTTCTTAATTTTACTCACCCGCCCCCTTCTTCTCCTGAAGACGAACGACGCAGCATGACGAGAAGAGAAAGGAACTGCATATCCGGTAAGAACAGGTATTACGCAATGCTAGCTACAGTGGTCTAGCCGGCATCTCCTTGATGCGTCCAAATAATATGCAAAGAATTTCCATCTCCAATCACATTTGCTTCTCCCATCCAGGAAATGCGCTCCTCTGAATTACACCTCTTCCTCTCCCATGCATCATCCCCAGACATGCTCCTGTCTTGGGATCAAAGCAGTATTCGCTGCAGCAAAAAGGCCATGTGAATCGTGACAAAATTTGACAAAACGCGCGCCAGATCAGATCGTTTATGCGATGACCAGAGCAGCGGCAGCAGCGAGACCAGCAATAGCAAGAGAACCGGCGTTGGCGTTGGCAGCACCAGTGAAGGTGGCCGGGGAAACAGGAGAGCTTCTATCGATTTGTCAGCGCACATACTATGCTGGGGAACCTTACAAACTTACGGAGTGTAGGACCAAACACCAGTGCCAGTGCCCGAAGCTGCGGCAACCGGGGAAGACGAGCCAGCTGGCCAGTATGGGGTGGAGCTGGCGGGAGCCACAGGGGTGGAAGTGGCGAGCGTGCTGGTGCTGTAGGTGTAGTAGCACCAGTCGGCAGGAGGAGCTCCAGTCCACTTGGCCTCGATGGAGCTGAGAACACTGCTAGGGAGGAGAGAGAACCACGCAGGAGGAGCAGTGGCGGTATAGCTACCGCAAGCAGCGGAGCTGCTGGTGGTCACAGGGGAGACCGGGGTGGTGGTGGAGGTCCAGTCACCCCAGGTTCCGACCCAGGTGGTCGAGGTGCTGACGGCTTCGACAGGAGTGGTGGTAGTGGTGGTGGTGGAGGTCCAGTCACCCCAGGTTGGGTCGTAGGTGGTGGTGCTCACAGGCTCAACGGGAGTGGTGGTGGTGGTGGTGCTGGTCCAGTCGCCCCAAGTGTAGTCATCAACTGAGGTAGGAGCAGGCTTGTATGGGCAGTCGGTGATGGTGGGTTCGCAGGAAGTGATGGTGACATCGACGGTGTCGGTGATGGTGCTGGTCTTTGCAGATGCAACGGCAACAAGGCCAGCGGCAATGGCGACAGAGGTACGCATTTTGATTTTTGGGTTGGTGGTTCGAATTACCGGAATCGAAAATATACAGGGGAGCTTCGAAAACGAAGAAAGTCGTTGGCTAGTTATTATTTAACGAGAGTGGTGGAGCTGAACTCGAAAGAGTGGACGACCGAAGTCAAAGCTTTGTGGGGATACTGAAGTTGCAGCTTGAGTATGAGAAAGAAAAAGTCGATGGCGTTGGGCAACTCGAGGTTCTTGTAGTGCTCTCGGTGACCTGGGAGATTGAAGGCCGGGCTAGAAGGTGTCACCGAGCCAGTCACCGGAAGTGGACATAGCTCACACTGGGCTTAGGCAGGGCCCTGGATGGACTCGTGGGCTGTGCTGGGGAGATTGCACTCTGGAGAGGTGCGAGTCGGCGAGGACAAAGACAGGGGCCTCATAGGGGAAAATCCCACAACAGCCAGAAACCAGCCAGTCGGGAGTCGAGAGGCTATTCAGTACGTTCAAATTAAGGCTGCGGCAGCCTTCAGGCTTCTTGCGTAGGTACTGGGGCAGCCAGCCATTCAGAGGAGGGAAGAAGTGCCACCGTGAGCGCTAGAATCTGGCAGACTGCTGGATTGGGGTTAGATGACGATAGTACAATGGATGAAAGGCCGTCGTTTGGGTGTCGCGGGTGCCAGAGCAACAAGGCAACAGGGGTGGGAAGTGGGTCAGAAGAAAAATGGGAAAGGAAAAAGGAGAGCAGGCCGGCAGCGGAGGACTCGCCCAGGAGCTCGACGCGCTGGCGGTTGGGCGGTGGGCAAGCTCAGCAGCCGGCTGAAGAGGGGATGAGGTGCAAAGTATCTCCGATGGTGCCATCAGCAGAGTGGAAAGTTACGCCAACACAGAGAGGGAGTTTCATACTGCTTCTGAATGCCCCTGAGAGCCTCTGTCCGTTTCTTAATTGGTTGCTGGCAGCTGCTTGGCAGCCCGTAAATAACAACAGCTCATTATCACCATCAACAAATTCGATCCATCAGACCCATGATCATCACCAATTCTCCTCCCCTTCTCCACGCGAACGGTAAAAGTTGGGAAAAAATATTGGCAAATCTCGCCTCGGATTCTTCGCAACTCAGTCTGATCTTTCCGATCCCAGCAGTCCATTTGATTTTGGGGAGTTTCTGGGAATCAAAGAAACACTCATTTACTGGACCAAATTGCCTATTGAGAAAGTATGCTTGAATACCAGTGTTCATATCCAGTGCTTGACGAAGGATACCATATTTTGAATTGCCCGAATTGCGGACCAAGCTCTCTAAGGAGATCCTCGGTTTGCATGTGACCTGCCAGAATCCGTTTCAGAAGACTTGAGAGAGCGCATACGTTGGATAAAGACCGTGCTATCATACTCCATATACTCGAGCTCCAACGGCATCTTTCACTCAACTGATAGAACGCCACCTTGTTCATCACACATCGAGCCCATGTCTCCGTGCTCTTGACTTGTGTCTTTCGACCTGTCACCGTCGCCAATATGGTCAGCAGCACTTCCTTTTCTTGCCAGGAACCCAATTTTCCGCGTAGTCACCCGGTCGAACATTTGACTTGGCCGCCGATGATACTGCACATCAAGATCAACTCGGTCTCCTTTATTGGAGACCGATGACACATTGGATTTGATGCGAGGTTTGATGCAGGGATCTTCATCAGTAACGTAGGTCTTGAACTCTATCGATTCTGGAGAGTCAATGCGTGCAGCATCAGAAGACTTTCCATTGATATCAAGCCTGTCCGCGACTTGTAAATGGAGAATCAAGAGCGATAGTGGACCGAATGACCTGGTGAGGTACCCTCAGAACACCACGGATTTTCTTTTCGGAGGCCCGTGATGTCGTCATTTTGATTGGACGTTCAAGGGGACATGAAGCGAACACGATGCCACGAGGGATCAGCGAGAATTTGAGCAAAGCTGAGGATGCGGAGAAGCCAAGACTGCAAGCAGACTTGCACGACTCGCGTCGCCCCTTCTCACTCCTAACCGCGACTTACCCTCGATCTTTATGCCTGGAATGTCTGTGCTTGAGATCGAACGTTTGATCGCTCATTCTCGCGGCCCAAAGTCCCGAGGTCTGAAACAAAAATGCCCTGCACTAGAAACATATCCTTGGTTGAGCCGTACGCGAGGGTTGAACGACTTTTTGCTTCTCGACCTTTTTATTCGAAGGTGATCACATATTGGACGTTGAATGTTCGGACAATCTCGGTTATAAGTCACTTGCTGTTCTGCTTACTCGGTTTTGCAGGGAACATCTCTGCCTCAGTTCCACCTACACACATGAGAGACCGCCTCGGGATCTGTTTCCCATCTCCCTCTGAACCACCTCAAGTTTCGCTCCACAGGTGTGTGGATAATTGGTGGAAAACTTCAGTACTGGCAAATCTAATGGCACTGGTGTTTTGAATGGGAACAAAAGAGGTTGGGGGGAAGGGGGCGAAGAATGTGTTACTGGCTCAATGCGCTCCAGAATCCTGGGATTTTTGCAGATATGTCCATCTGAATATCAAGATATTGAAACCGGGAAAAGACGGATTATGAAAAGAACAACATGCATGACCGTACTTCGAATTGCTTTATCTACACATCCGCCACTTTCCCTGCTACTATCTCCTCCAGACGCACCACTATGCATCGGCTTGAACCAATTAACAGACCTCGAGCTCTCATTTCAACCTAATCGATGTCTTCCTGAGCCTTTATCATCGATGTTTCCCAGCGTGTTCATTCATAGACTCGTTCGTCACATTATTCGTCCAAGTTGATGTCATCGAGCCCTTCATAACTAAGTTCCAAAAAAAACTCAAATCACATCGCCCTCTCTTGCCCGCGCCCAATCGCCCTCAAACCTCGCCCATCCACCTATTTCCGGATCCTCCAGCATCCTCATATCGTGCACCACAAAATCATACGCACCCTCTCTCGGCACCTGGCCCTGACACACATTCCCGCCCATTGCGATATTCAACAATACAACAAAATCCGTCATCCGCCTTGTCCCACTTGGGATAGGTGCCTTCATAACCGGCCGCCCGTCAATCCACCAGACCATCCTTCCTTGACCTGAAATCGGGTCTTGCATCCACGCAAACTCGAACCTCACCGGCCTCCCTGCCTGCATACCCTGCACCGGCGTGCCCACGACTCGATGTTTATCTTTATCCTGCGGCGTGTAAAAGCCCCAGTGCAGGCATGAATGGTTGATTCCATCCCCATTCCAGGTTTCGGCAATGTCGATTTCCCCGTCTGTCGGCCATGTGAAGGGTTCGAAGGGCAGAAGCCAGAATGCTGGCCAAATTCCCGATGCGCAGGGCAGGGTCAGTGTTGCTACCAGACTGCCGTGGGGCCGGGAGAGGCGTTGGCGCGACACCAGGCGGGCGGAGGTGAATTTCTTGGTCGGGTCCGGGTTGTTGGGTTGAGAAATCGCGCGGAGGACGAGAAGGTGGTTTGGCGTACTAAATTTGGGAGTGTGATTAGAGAAAGGACTCGGAATGTAGGGGAAGCTGTTGGAAAGAGTGATTTCTTCGGGTTCTTGCTTTTACAGTACCAACCCGATACCAGTCAAAAAGGTCAGGTATATACGAAGCACCACTGACTGCAGACCAAAGAAGGGGTAACACCGTACTTTGGCAAAGTGGAAATATGGCGTTCGAAAACACAGAGGCATAGGTAAGATAACGAAGATACCTACTAAAATGAATTCACACCCTCGTTCGTATAATGCTGCATTTCATTATTGCCCCAGCCATTATTATTCCCTAGCTTATGCTCCCACTCTGCACTGATGGGCGTAGACGGATCGAACCGCGGTTGCCAGTAGATCTTACTGGTGCCAGGATGATTGTGATTCGGGTGTGTAGTCTGGGGGATTGGTGGTGGGACTGCTCCAGCTTGCTGAGCTTGATATTGGCCCTGAGGTGGCGGAGGATATTGAGGGGCTGAATGCTGGGATTGCTGGTGACTAGCAAGAAATTTTTGGCCTTCTTGTTGGAGGTCCTTGAGTTGGGATTTCACTTCGGACAAGAGATTTTTGAAGGGCATGCTTGCTATTGCCCTTGTGACTGTTGCTGCTCCGATTGGAAAGGCGGGGAGCACCGGGCGCACCTAATACTATACTGTTGCTGGAATGTAGTTATGGTTTCTAAACTGGGGGGTGATGTTCTGATTCCTTGTTCCCTGACAGGGCGTTTGGAATATAGAACAGACTCTTCAGGAGGGTGCTGGACTTTACTATGTATAAAAATAAAGCACGACGAAGTGGGAGAGTAAATGAATTGCTTCCGTCGAATCGTTGGGTACCTAAGGACATAGGCTGGGGTATGACGTCGGCCTCCAAGAAATTATTGACACACCTTTCGGTGAATTTTTTTTTCCGGTTCCAGCGATCTGTGCGTAGCAGTTCTGGCACCTCCAAGTCAACAGATGATCTCTCCATTTAGTCTGTGCTCTCGACGTGGACCACGATCGTGGTGTGAACGTACTTCACGTTTTCAGGCGGGGAGGACCAGCGAATTTGGGGTCCTTGGATCCCCTTCTCTCCCTATACCTCAAACACACTTCGTTGAACGGATGTATTCGTCCTTTTTGGCGCTGTTGATTTCTTCGAGGCGCTTTCGTTGGTACTCAGCTGCGCCTGTTTCCGACCCAGACACGTCGCTTCCTTCCCCGCATATTTCCTCCGGTGCAGGGATGGGTTGCGGGCACAGATGGGCGTAAATATATTGATCTGGCGTCCTACAACAGGTCCAACGGCCAGACACGAACATTTCTCGTCGTATTCGGTTGACAGTCGACGCCCTTGACAGAGACGTTCTGAGGAATTTGTAGCTCGGGAGACGATGAGGTTGATATTTTGATTGCCACCTTCCATGATGGCTCTGATCTCCAGGCAGGAAAATACACCCTAGATGGCTTTCTCCTTGACACTGGCTTCCGCTTTGGAACCTTGCCTCAGGACGTTGCTGTTCTGAAGCGCTTGAGAGCCATATTGGCGAAAGAACGTGTTGAAAAGGAGGAGAGTGTGGGAGGCAGCGTAATGTAGAAAGTGCTAGGTGTGTGACGACCTTCTTTTGGAGCGGTAGCAGCCTGCTGGTACTCATCTCTTCTGAACCACAGCTCTTTCGCAGAGGAGTCTCCATAGGGCAATGATGTCTTGTGTCTTGTTATCATCACGATGATTACCGCTGTAATCGATGGAAGAATGAACGTTGAATGTGGTTCGGAAACGGTATTCATCATGTTGGTCTCTACTTGTTGAGACGTAGGCGACCGTTGAGCGTGATGGGGGCTCATGAGGGTTGGGCTACCGCCTCCTTTATTTCTCCTTCGTGGCCTCCTCTTTGATCTGTTCTACCCTCATGAGGCCCCATCGTCACACGACGACTGCCTCTGCTTCAGTCCGGACACGATTTCCTTCTGATTAGGTGAGCCCGTCACCAAAATAATCCTTCTTCTCCTTCCCCTCCCCCCGCCTCTCCCCCACCCCTCTTTTTCCTCCTCAGCCTTCTTCCATTCTTCCGTCTTTGGTGCTCCTGCCATACCATCGGTGAGAAGGTATGGCTCATGGAAAACGATCCCTCAACTTGCTTGTAACGCCCTTGATCACGACACAAGTCTCACATCGATTCTCTGTGCTGCGTCAGGGATTTCAGTGGTAATGGAGCATTGGAGGCGGTCGGAATTCTCGTATGCCTCGCGATATTCGTATATTTTTTTCCCCCTGCTTACAGGAGTCGCACTTGTATTTGAAGCACATTTTGGCCTTTGACATCGGCTTTGTGTTGTTTTTGCGATGAACTCGAGAGCTTGTGTGGTATTCGAGCCATCAGGAGGATTGCTGATCCATTCAAGGCGGTTGTGGATGTCTGTTGATTTATTTGGAGTTTGAATACGCGACACCGAAAATGAGGGCTCGAATCCTCTTTCAACCAGTGTGCGGTCTGTTGGTTGATTTGGATTTGAACACGCGCCGGCGAAGAGGACTCGGGCTCCGCTTCAACAAGACTGCGATCGAGTCTGTGGGAAGAGGTGTCAGATTGCTTTGTGGAAAGACTGAACCGAAAAGATTGTATGATCTCTATCATTCTTTGAGTCTTGCTCCGGGATCTGGTCGAACTCGATGGCTTGGTGAGCCATCTTTGGGAATTTAGGCGGTACGAGGCCCTTTATCTGCTGATACGGTGACTTCGTGAGGGTTCCAAAGATTAGCACCTTTGTTTGACGTGAGCACGACTTTGGGGTTGGGCACTTCTGATACAGACTAACAAGGCTAGATAGACGAGTTGGTGTGCTGATGTGAAGGGAAGACTGGACTTCAAACGGATGAATTCGTGAACGCGCAAGAGAAACATTGCGGCTCCTCAGATTGTTTGAACTGTTTGATACAGACGCCGAGAGCTGAATAATAGGCGCTGGAAGGGCATCGACAACATTGTGGAATGTGCCGAGCATGAATTGTGGTCGTCATAGCGACAGACGTTCTATATCAAACAAACTGGAGATGTGGCATCGACATTTTGTGTCATTCAACGACCAAAAACGACATTGACGATCGTTCTGGGATAGCATGCCTCTAGGGAAAGTTCATATTGCATTGCTGCCCAGCCTGCCTTCGCAGATATCTCGTTATGCTTTCAAGACAACCATGGTATTGCGGCCGGTTGAACTGGCCATACCATAGGGGAAGAGGCTGTATATCTCAAAGCATTACGAACCTGAGTCATACGGGAGACTCGTCAGGATCGCTCCTTGAGCATGATATATGAGTAGGGGCATACCAGAGTCTGGAGAAGGACACGAAGCAGTCCTCACAGTCATCACTGTACGCAGGCTGGGGGACAGATACGGGGGTGTCAGTGACAGTTACAGAGAGAATAAGAGGACAAGCCTAAATCTGCAGGATGACGTAGAGGCAAGAATGTTAATGGATCACTAAAGGGACAGGAGAAGGTTAGGTATGGTGCAGCGGAGGGAATAGAGAAAAGGAGAAAAAGGGATGTAATGCCAAGACTGTGGCGTTAACTTTTTCCTGCGCCACATGCTCCCAACAAGGTATGTCCTGCCCAGACAAAGTGCACCAGCCACATTTCAAACCTTCCAACTTCAGCCTCATCTCCATCCTCCATCTTCCATCTTCATCTTCATATCCCCATCTCTTTGGCTGTCTGTGATCAGCACCATTATCATGATCGGAGTGATCAGGTTTCCTGAGTGACACGAACATCTCTCTGTGTTGGTATATCTACGCTTTCCTCCTCCCGACCATCCAACAACCATGGTCGACATCGAGAACCATTTCACAGTCTTTATCCGCTTACCCTTCAACCGCGGCAACTTCGTTGATCCGCCCCCGGTGGCTTGGTCAGCCGCCAAGGAGCGTGCTCTATGGGATATTATGTCTCGACAAGGCAAAGGAAATGAAATCGACTGGCGCTCTTTGTCGGAGAGATTCGAAGTCACCCAGTCATTCCTCCTCCAACAGGCCGCCTGGCTCTACGAGAGACAACTTTCCCAAGTTCGAGCCCAGATGCGTCGGGTCGGAAATAGGCAGTCTGCTACTCCATCTCCTGCCCCTGGATCAGTATCAGCCAGCATGGTGGGAGGCCAGGCCATGAAACGAGCCGGAAGTGGTGGGTCACGTGTTCCCTCCCGCTTGTCCACCCAAGCACTGGGCAGTCCTGTTACTGCGGGAGGAGGAGCAGGAGGAGGAGACAGTACCCCTGGCACACCGGCTAAGAGCAGAACTTCCCTTCCATTCCGAAGCTCTTCAGGCGCTGGAGGTGCCATCACCTCTCAAACTAGAGCGGCTTCCGGTTCTTCGAGACCGCTTTCCCGACAGTCCTCGAAAGACGCAGACACGCCGGTGTACACCACGCGGTCTAGGCGCGGAAGCATCCAACATCAGCTGGCAAGATCACCGGGTCAAGCAAGAAACGCCCATCCTCAATCCTCCGATTCTGAAGATGACATGACTCAGTCTCGCATCACGGCTCGTCGCCCAAACCCCTCCTCCATCCACCGTCGAGCCCTTTCCTACCGCAAAGATCACCATGCTCAACGAGGGACCACCACGAATCCGACCGATCCCAATCAGCCTCCAAAACAAGCCTCGGACGAAGATGACGACGATGATGACTCGCCCTCCTTCCTCCCTTTTGCAGCACACAGTCCCACCCTTCCCGAAACCAAGGGCCGACCATCCTCTTCGTCCCAACAAGACCCCGGTGCAACCTTACGAGGCGCCTTCAACTGCCAGCAAGGGGCACAGGCTCAAAATCCAAGGCCCAACATTCACCGCCGTGCAACATCTGAACGCATATCATCACCGACGGTTGAACCACCTACTCCCGTACAGACTCAAAGAACTCGGGATCTCGCCTCAACATCCCCTCATTCCTCTCCCACGCACTCCTCTCATCCATCCAATGCTACAAGACCCAACAGTACAAATCAAGCACCGTCCACAGCTGCACGCTTCTCCACATCGAACCCATTATCCCCTTCCCACCGCACCCTCCTGCCATCTTCCCCACGTCGACATCCCGGTCCGGGCTCCGATACATCTCCTAGCATGGGCTCATCATTTTCGGACCTCGACGATGCGAGCGTAACGCAGAGTGCCCTGGAAGAAGCCTTACTGAGTGGTATGGGAAACACTACCATGACGATGCCTGGCGGAGGTGTGGCCGGGAGAGTCAGTGGGATTAGCCAGGCGCTGAGGAGTCGGTATTTCGATGCGAGAGGCGAGGGTCACGGACATGGGCAAAGAGGAGGAGGAGGCATGGGAGGTGTTAGCGAGAGGTAGAATGGGACACAGACTTGGGTCCAGGGAACAGCAGTCCCGTAATTCCATTTGTGCGGAAGTAGATGCCATAGAGTCAATGTATCCAGCCTCGTCTATCTTATTTGGCAACTACGCTAGTATTATTAATCTCCATTTAAATTCTAATCCGAATTACATCATATCACAATACAATTTATAACACCAGTGCAATCTCCTGACATGCTGCATGCCGGCCCCCCCCTCTTTTTTATTTTCTGATATCGTCTTTTGTGCGTAGACAAGTCGCTCGTCTACTCAGATATCCCCCTATGGGCCCTCATCGCTAATGATCACAAGACTCGCAGATTAAGTTTAGACTTACACTTCGTCTCTCTTCCTCAGACTCTCGGGAATCATGTTGCGCTCGACCGTGCCGGTGCCCTTCTCGCCCGTCCACGGCTCATAGTCAATATGATGATGATCCCAACCTCTCACGCCACGTTTGCGATGCTTATCGACATGGCTGACATGCCCGCCCTTACCGCCCTTCATGAATTCGACCATGCGCTCCGCCATATTGCGCTTCTTGAGCCCATCAAGCTCCGTCGTCGGATGTGCCGATTGCCACTGCTTGAAGATGTCGCAGGTCGCAGAGACGGCATCAGGGACTTTGATTTGAGCTAACTCCTCGGGCCTCTCCAAAATCATGATTGACATGCCCGCGCTCAAGTGCCAGGCCATATGACAGTGGAGGGGCCAGATGCCCGGGTTGTCCTGCTCGAATTGGATGACGATGTAGTTGGGAGGGGCGGCGTTAGCGCCGCCGACGCCGGCCCAGAGCATGTGGACGTCGCGGCGCTGGGGGTTCGACGGGTTCACGATCGAACCGTCCCAGGTGCCGGAGCCCTCGGCGAGGACTTGGAAGTCGTGCCCGTGCAAGTGCATGGGGTGGGGAGCAGGGAGGTTGTTGATGATGACGACGCGCACGGTGCCGTTGGTGCCGGTGTTGTAGACGTTGTTTTCTGGTGGGAAGGCGGTTTGGGCTTGGACGGCTGCGAGCAGCAAGGGCATCTCGAGATTACCGACGTAGGTGACACCGTTGAATAGCCAGTGGAACACGCCCGTGGCGTCGGGGGCACCGGTAACAGTCAGCGTGATGGTGGTGTCGGGATTGGCAACTGGAATCGCATACTGAGGCACGGTAGTGGCGAGGTTGTCGTTCTGGCAGAATCGGTTTTCCGGCGCTGGGTTGCCGGAGCTGGTCGGAGCGGCAGCGGGATCACCACCGGAATAGTAGATAATACCGCGACCGTCAGGAGCGTTGCTGTCGCCGCATTGAGGGCTGTTCCAGGCGCGGAGCCAGTAGTTGCCCGGTGCAGCATTGGCAGTGACCACGACATCGACGCGTTGCGAGACGCCGAGAGTCACAAATTCGGTATCATACGGCTGGACAGGGACAAAGTCGTTGGCAATGACTGTCATGGTATGCCCGTCGATAGAGATGGTTTCGAAAGCCGTGGCGCCCGTGTTGATGAAACGGAGAAGATGCTTCTTGCCCGGCTGAAACTCCCACTTTGCATATGGGACAGTGGTACAAGGGGTACCGTCAGTGATATTGGAGCAGGGATACTGGCCAACACCACCGACGAGGTTGGAATCAGAAAAAGGTCGATAGGGAAGATTAGTGTCGGTGGGAGCCAACACGAGATCAACGATGTGGTCGTATGTATCGTGAAACCAATCCGTAACTACAATTGGGCCGAGATCAATATCGTACTCGACGTCATTTGGACCGTGAATCACAATCGGTCCCATAACTCCCGAGGAGTATTGAGCAGAATAATGGCTGTGATACCACGAAGTACCGTACTCATCTGCACGGAATCGGTAGGTCAAGCTGGACCCAGGAACAATTGGGCATTGATCCACGGTGGCAACGCCGTCGTAGTATGGTGTGCCAGGCTGGTTTAAGCCGTGCCAGTGAATCATCGTCATGTCTTCGGGGCCATAGATTTCGTTGTGAACGTTGACTTCAATCCTGGGAAGGGCGGGGTTCTTCAGAAGGTTGCACTGATTCTCACTGTCGTATCACTCACCAATCACCCCAGTTTGCTTCGATCATTGGCCCGGGAAATTGTCCGTTAACCACGATCATGGGTACCGAGACTCCATCAGGAGCCATTGTCGCGCGAGCAACAGTGAAATCATAATATCTTGTCACACCTGAAAAGTGTGTCAGACCTGTCGAGGCGTATGCGATGTTGCACATACCAGTATCTGGGATGTCTCTTTGAGGATGAGATCCACTGGCTGTTTTACCCCCCCAGGGGCAATCACCTCCCTAACAATCTTGTTAGCGGCATTGTTCACGCATAGCGAACCATCAACTGACTCCCATCCATTTCCCAAGATCTGCCAGAGCAAAACCAACAAATGCAGAGCCCAAAAGGGCTGAGATTAGGCCGTGCTTCATTTTCGAACCGACGGAGGGACAAATTGAAGCCAAATAAAAGAGATGTCGGGAACATCATCGACTTGTACAACGCCTGGGAATTCATGATTGGTTTTTATATCGCCGTATAACTGTATGCTGACATGCAACACATGATGCTTGGGCCCCACTTCTATTTCCATCTTCGGGCACTGTAAGACTTACCAAAATATAAACGAGCTACGTGTGTACGGAGAGACGAATCGGAACAAGGACTCATGCAAGCCACCAAGCACTGGGATGCTGAGGCGAGCAGCCTTATTTTTGCCAACAAACCAGGTATCAAAACGAAGCAGGCCGATCAATCCACAGGGAAAATTTGAAATTTAGAGGACGAGAACCTCCAAATAAACCGAGCTTTTCTGGATGAGATCCAGGAACTGTGAGAGTTGAATGTTTGAGGGAAATCCGGATCACTCCGTAAAGATAGGCGACCATGTGAGGTGTCCCTGTCCTGGGCGGCCAACAGCCGCAGGCAAGAACGAAAGCTATTTCCGAGATGGCGCAGGGTGATAAGTTTGGAAGCCCCAAAAGGGGAAGACTGCCACAAGCCCTATAACGGCAACAGATGACCAACGAGCTTCTTGTCGCGGAATGAGTTGTTAGCGCAGAGATGGACAACAATGTTGGGCCAATGCTGCAAGCCGTAGCAATTGAAGTGGGCTGAGACAGCACAGAACGCCTGACTTCTTAGCCCGGAATCTGTCGTTGGGCTGACCGCCTCTAGGACAGGTCAGGCTGTTGAAGGTTGGAGACACCTCGTTATGATCCAACGGGGATATTTGAAGGTCAAGCAGGTGGTGAAAACCCCAAGGTCAGCGTGAGCAATCCTCCCCAGTCGGGCTTCTATTGCGAGCTGAGCGGCCCGAGGCGCTCTGAGTTCCCACTCAGAGATCTAGGAACCAACTCACACTTTTGGCTATCGATGCCAAGAGGGAGTCCCTCTAGGCTATGCGATGTTTTGCCGTCAACGTCGGTCAAAAGCTTCATGCAATTCGAATAGGCTCGGATCAACTGCTGTTGGACCAAATAACTCGTTTGCGGATTGACTGTGTTGGATGCACGATCTCAAATCGAACATTACATTTATATATAATATCTCACAAGCAAAGATTACTTTTCGATTGCGGACTACCCAAGTTGACAAACTCGAAACCTGATCATGCTCTGCATTTGTACAGAGTGAAGATTATGATTGAAATCCTTTTCGGATTGCTCCGAACTCGAATAGGACAGTAGGAGTCATATGGGTGACAATATATACCGTACATTTCGACACGATCAGACCGTTCATAAAAAGATCGAATGCCGTAGAAGTCTCAGGTCTCGATGTTACCAGGTACGTGGTTTCTGACCTCCCGAAGATCTGTCCAGATGCTGCGGATGACTAGTGATAACGTTCCATGCCAGTAGCTGTCAAATTGCTCTCTTCGGGGACAGTTTGGCAGCAAATTCGGATTCTTGCCAGCGGTAGACGTTTCATCCCGGCCTGATGCTATTCATGGGTCCCCATTGTTTTATTTTTCAACTTCCACTTTTTTATTTTTTTATTTTTTCCTGTACAGATCTGGTTTTTGTCGAGGTTAATGTGTTAAAAGGTGAGATCATGCCCATTCTTTGGGATGCCTGAGTACTTCCATCATCTCCAGTTCTTTCTCGTGATCTGGGTCATCTTTAACTTCGGCAACGCCAGTGCCGCAAATCGGGTTCATATATTCCCATCGAGCCGTCAATGGTAAACTCATCAAGATGCTTTCGATTCGAGCACTTGGGGTTTGAAGACCGAAACTGGTTCCCCGGTCGTTGAGGAGATTGAATTCGACATACCGCCCTCGTCGAAGCTGCTGCCATTCTTTATGCTGAGGTGAATATGGCATGTCTTTTCTCTTCTTAATGATTGGGAGATACGAAGGTAAGAACGCGTCCAGGCCGGTGACCACGAACTGGAAAATGTCTTCTTGAGGGTTTCTCGAGTTTGGCTGCTTGGAAGCGTCCAAATCGTCGAAGAAGATGCCACCAATACCTCGGCATTCTTTTCTGTGAGGGATCCTGAAATATGTGTCGCACCATTTTTTGAATTGGGGATAGTATTCTTTGTCGTGTTTGTCACAGGCGGCCTTGAGAGTCTTGTGGAAATATTTTGCGTCTTCTTCAAATAGGTAACAAGGAGTCAGGTCGGTCCCTCCGCCAAACCACCAATTTTGTTGTGATGTCCCAGTTGCATTGACGGGGTCCCGGGGGTCTGATGTTTCAAAGTATCTGTAATTCAGATGCACGGTAGGAGCCATCGGATTACGAGGGTGCAACACCAGAGAAATGCCTGCCGCAAAGAAATTCAGCTTCTCGACCCCTGAATCGACAAAAGATCTGTGGTCGGCTCGCATCTTCTCAATGGCTGAACGAGGTAACTCGCCGTAGACAATGCTGATGTTGACTCCGGCCTTCTCAAAGACATTGCCGTCCTGGAGGACACAAGAGATGCCTCCTCCGCCGTTTGGTCGGCTCCATTCATCTCGTCTGAACTTCTTGCCATCAACGTCCTCCAGCGCAAAGACTATGCGGTTTTGGTGTTCTCGAATCAACGCTTCCATCCGTAGACGCATCGGCGATTTGCGTGTAATCTTCGACTTGCTCTTGGTCACTTCATCCACCTCGGCCAGAGACACCAATTGCGTCGGTGGTGAGTCATTTTCAGAAGGAGGGTAGGGAGTGTGATAGTACATGTCCCAAATGATGATGCCCGTAAAGCCCGTGCTAAAGACCAGAATCGGCCAAATTCTTCGATTACTTCGGAGATGGAGCGGGACCTTCATCTTTGGTCGAGACCTTCTCCCCGGCCAGAAAGAAAGGTATGACTGTAGAGGAGGGGAACAGCTGCTCCATGTAGGGCGAGGTCTCGGTTGCGAGGCATGTATAGCTCGGAGTGAGCTCGATGCGAATCTAGGGAAAGACATGATTGACGATTGACGGAAAAGAAATTGGACGCCTGGGACGATTTCGAAGTATTAATACAGGTGTAACGCGGTCAGATGAATAGGAGAAGTAGTCTGGCCCATAGGGAGAGGTTACAATTTCGGACTTGCCTGTGACTAACTACTCCTAGTAGTTATATGGACTGTGGGCATGAAGTTTGCTGACTGCACTTAGCAAAGCACAGCAAAACAGCGCGGAGGGAGAGCAGAGCTGTTCTCCACAAGCACGTGACGCTGGGTTTCCTCACACCACACGCTAGCGACCATCGGGAGTCTACCACGGGTAGATCGACCGGGAGAGAAATAGTTGGGAAAGGTTGTTTGAGTTCAAAAGAGTTCAATGCATGCCGCTACAGTACAACGGTGAACGAAGACAGCCACGATCTCGGATTGGTCCATAGCTCGACGCCTAGTGACCAAGATCTAGATTCTGAGTCAACAAAAAAGCCCAACGCCCCCAATGCCCGCACCAAAGAGATGGCACCAGGCTCGAAGCTATCTCTTGTGACTGATATCCCGTGCTGCCGTTCTTAAATCGCCTGTAGCGTGACTCACTCCTGGGGCCGAACCTCGTGGCCCGTTTTGCAACCCTGGTGATAACCGCCCACCTGCCCAAAAGTAATCAGGTTGAGCCACTGTACCCAGTCTCGTGACCGCGGCAAGTGCCAAGCCCCAGTACTTTCAGCGGGGCACTGGCTTGCAACTGCACTTTGTTAGGACTCAACCCTACGGGCAAGGAGTGCGTATTGCGCCTCTTGCCTATTGTACTGCCTACCGCCCGCCGCCTCCTCTCCTCTCACCGACTAGCTATTTCCATTCATCTTCCCAACACCAACTTCAAACCATTCTTCAAACGACTGCATCACCTCTAAATTCGCCTCGACTCCCCCTACGACCGTTTTATCTCCATCACCACCATCATGCGTTCGAAGTTCAAGGACGAGCACCCCTTTGAAAAGCGCAAGGCAGAAGCCGAGCGCATTCGTCAGAAGTACGCGGACCGTATTCCGGTATGTTCTCCCTTCACCTCATATCTCCGTTTGCATGGTGAAAATGTCGTTCTGACTCACTTTGTCTTTACAGGTTATCTGCGAGAAGGTCGAAAAATCGGACATTGCTACTATCGACAAGAAGAAGTACCTCGTCCCCGCAGATCTAACCGTCGGCCAATTTGTCTATGTCATTCGCAAACGTATCAAGCTCAGCCCCGAGAAGGCCATCTTCATCTTCGTTGACGAAGTTCTCCCTCCCACGGCCGCCCTCATGAGCAGCATCTACGAAGAGCACAAGGATGAAGACGGATTCCTGTATATCACGTATGTTTCCTCGCCCCGCCTCTCCATGTTGCTATGGTGCATCTGCTGACAAATGGTGTAGATACTCTGGCGAGAACACCTTTGGTGAATCTTAAATACGAAGACCTTCGGGCACTACACGCAACGTGTCGTCAAAGCGAGTCACGATGTATTCATTTGAACGATCGGGAATTCTGATTCTGTGCTACACACCGGCGTTTGGACACGACCTTTCATTCTTGTCGGGTGGACCATACACGAAGGAGAGATGCAAGATGCGTGTGGGATCAAGAGAGTATATTGATGGCAAGCGACAAATGACCAGTGAGGAGGTTTTGAGGCCCTTGAAAATGATTTGTATTTGTGCATGGTCACAGAACAATTCAAACATCTTTCTCCCCCGTCCTACCTGCAACACCCCATGTACTTTTGGCAGTCATTACTGTTCTGATTCATAGAATTCAAGCATCAACCAATGCTGCTTCTTTGCGATGTAGCCCGAATTGATCCAATGTCAAGGCGAATGGCCGAGCCTGACCAATGATTGCTCTCCCCTACACGTCCTTCATAGGAACCTGTCTATTTTTGAAACGAGTGGAATCTGGAGTGCAATCGCTGTGCCATTGTGAGTCTCTGTTTCTTGTCTTGTTCAGTTAGTGCCTTGCATCTTTCCGTTGCAGCTTGATGGTAGGCTGCAAGGTACATATCACGTGTTCTCATCCACTTGGCCCAAAACCCCCGGCGCAACGTTCCTCCCTCGTCTTTGGTGTTTTTGCTAGGAACGGCGAGTCCAGCACTGGGGTCTTTCCCACTCAGGGAGCCACTGTTCATTCACAATGCGGATCACAGGATGACATCTGATCGCTGTCCATACTGATTTATCAGGCTCCCTTGAGGAGGCCTGCCCCCCCAAAAACACCAGAATCAGCAGCACTGATCCTGCTAGTACTGTTATTTATTGCGCAAAGGATCATGCTCTGCCAGACCAGCAAGGAAGAAAAGCCATCGAGACGCACATTGCAGAGGACTCAGTCTTGGATTGTCAGCCCTCCATTTCCTCGACTATTTCCCACACAAGCTGATTTCTACGTCACTGAAGTGGACTGATATTCCCTTCAGAGCTCACACGGACATAGGTGACCATCCAGAAACGATCAATTGAGAATCCGATATCGCTACCACGAGGTGTATGAGCTCTCATCACGCGGAAAGAGGGGCTTTGGACAAGGACCGGTGGAAGGCCAATAAACCTTCAGTTTATCAGAAGCTTGACTGTCTCGAGCCGCTTCTGTCGTCTTCAGGAATGGCTTCCCTGGGACCAAAACAACACAACCAGGGGACTGGAATCAGGGTGGCTAAGCTCTGCTCTATGCCCAGAGCTTCCTCATCAGTCACTCAGGCAAGTGTCAAGTCAGGATACGGGATCTACGCGAGCCCGAAGAGAATTTCTAGTCCATGTAATCTGAATTGGTTTTCGTCTGGTTCAAAGCTGGTCGACAAGACGGAAATCCATGCCCCCTAAGTCTTGCCGACTTGACGAGCCCCGAACTGTAACAAAAGGCGAGGACGCTACCAAATTTTCTGGAGCCAAATAAATGTCGCCGAAGCATCCGGTATTTCGGGGAAAATAGAAGCTCATGAAGAATGTTCAAGCTTTGGGTCGGATTGGACCCGAAACCTGAAGTTTCTGACGTAGTAGCGTGAGAGGGAAAGGACCATGTTTGACTGTGATGTGCCTTGATTACTCCTGGGTGACCGTCCAAAGCTTACAGTATCTCTTTAATTGTATTGCTAACTAACAGGGATGCCTTTCAAGTGCGGCGCAAAATCAAAATTTGCCGTTGACGCTCCTATGACAGATGATTGCCAATCTTGAACGCACAAAGATCGATCAGGAATGTGGATATGCCGTTGGGAAATCCGCCCATGCCGTTGCACGCTTGTATATTCTAGGTGATGGGAAGAGACACTTCTCCAGTTATTGATCCTTGTACTTGGTTCTGGAAAGGCAGCCCCTTACCCACCCTGCTGAACACAATTCTGGATCCACATGCGAGATTATGTTCCACACCACTGAGAGCGAGAGCAAGAGCAAATGTGCCGAAGTTCACGCCGGATGGCGATCATTTATGCGCGCCTGCAGAATCAAAGATGTGAGAATTCCATGTGCCAATAGAGCAGGGCTCTATATCCATCATGAAACATACGCCCAGTTGGGACAATCTTTCCCGGCAACGTCTCTTCGTATTTCCGGTAATAGACCTTGAATCTTGTCAAACAAAAAGTCACTAAAGGGGTCTCCCATGAGTTGAGAGTTGCATTGTCTCTCTAGATACCAGTAAATCCGGATCGAATAGTATTAATACATTTTCTAATTTATTTCGGTGCCTATGTGAGGGGGGGGGGAAGAAGAGAGCCAACCATAACCTGGTCGCCGAATACCAGATAAGGCAAGGCGCCTGCATGGAGAACTTAATCAGCAACCCTCCCTCATTCCATTCATTCATTGGATCAACGTCATTACTTTCCGGTCAACTTCCATGGTAGGATCGAAACCTCCTGGGTCCTTCGTCAGACCCAAAACGAGTTCTGTTAGTGAACGTGAACCAGGTACTAACTATCGGGGATTGGTAAAAGCCCTTGAGAATGAGCCCCCGCTCCGCTAAAATCCATTTTTCCAGGCGCCTCAAAGAAATTTCGATTCCACTCCCTTTCCTTACTCGGATACTGTCCAATGTCTTCCCCACCATATTCTGAGGTCAGCTTCTTATGAAGCAGAGCACATTATTCGCCAAGTTTACGTTTTACCTGGAGCATGTTCGGACGCCCCGAATGACAAGGAAATTTCCATGTTCCTAGAGAAGCTCGACCTATTCGGCTGGGGAAGACTTTGGAGCCGCTACCTATCCAGGTGCCATCTGCCAGAGTCAGACCACAAAGGTAATTGGCGTGGTTTGAAAAATTCAGGGAGCAATTGCTCTCTTGATCCTGCTTGACCTTGCCGTAGAAGATGTCATTCTTGCCCAGTTCCATTTTCATCGCCGCACCAACATTCACTATCAATGGAACCGGACTACCCTCTGACCTATTCGTGCACATATTCTCATGCTGTTCCGGTATTTCCTCAGGAGCATCCATCACTGGTCCTGTAGGGATACGTGCTCAGAGGTCATCCATGGCTAGGAGGTATAGTCCTCCTTGAAGGTGGGAACCAGGATGAGGCAGTCCATCGTTGCATAGCAGGGATCAACCACCTCAACCGACCACCAGTACGATATTGTGACCTGTGTGGATTATACAGGGGTATCATCCAATGCCCCCCCCCCGAATATTCCGGTGATTATCCCGAACTCCAGGTTTGTGGTCGAAGCCGATGCGTTTCTCACGAATGAAAAATGACCGATATGTTCAGCCAATCTAGTGGTATTGGAGTTTGAGCGAAACACGCAGACTCGATTAATGCAGGTGCATATCCATGTTTCAACCATGGATTATTATGAAGGAAGCTTTGAACAGATTGGGATTTGTAATGTAGAAAGGCGCCCAATAAGTCCAGGGTCTTCTTCCCTGAAGAAGACAATCTGGTGCCTCGCGACCACTTAAACTTCAAGAACGGAGCTTCCACGGTCGATGGGAGTGGCAAGTGGCAAAAACAATGCAGCTATGCATCACCTTATCTGCGATGTCTTTTTGGAGGTAGGCAATGCCAGCGATGGCCGTTTCTGATTTGGTTCGTGTTGAGAAAGATCACAGAAACGAATACCAGCAACAAGGGCCTAAGCGGACAAACACACTCGCACAGAGCAAAAATGGAGGGAAAGGCGAGATTGGAGAGAAGCCAACTACTGGGCGACTCCGAGATGCTCTTATGGCGATACTTTCTGGGTAGTACAATAGAGGCCGAATTTTCGTCCGTCTGGCAGCAAGTGGAAAAGCCTGATCAGTGATAGACTTGATGCAAACGAGGTTGAAACTCTTGGGTTCCAAGTCCATGGCTCTCTTAGCCCCGTGGCCTGATTGATGCTCTTCTCGCTGAGACGACGGGGAACAGGACCCGTTTGGGGTAAGCCTCTCTGCCTAGGAAGCCTATATTATCGTGGGCCGGTCTGGCAGACGGTCATTTGGTTGGTCATCAGCCTGCATCTCGGCTTACCTGGAGAGTCGGTGATGGGAATCCCTGGCTGCCCACGCTACTTTTAAAGCACTGAAAGACTTCCAGGCCGTCTAACGCTGAGCATCCTCTAACCTATCGACTCATCTCAGAAGATCCTTCTTTGTTCAGCCCTTCTATACAAACTTGTCCTCACCCTCAAACTAACGTGATAGTGTGAAAATGCCTCCCGGTTCCTGTCCCTCCTGATCCCAGGCCCAAGTAGGCTCTCGAGGAAACGACGAAACCAGACTAGGACCAGTGCGCCACTGGGTAGCAAAAATCTTCTTGAAATTTTGTTGCGAGAGAGTCAGTAGTCACACCTCACACCTACTTATGTCGCTCGCAGAGCTAACTCGATCTTGCAGTTGCTCTGCTTCATCCTTCGTCTCCCTTCTGGTCTGATTCCTTGGCCTAATCACATTCACGGCCAGGAGAGGGGGGGGTTAAAAAGAAATAAAAGGCCCGTCATCACACCTCCCACCACTGACGACCAAGTCCCTTACTGAACTAAGCACCCTTTGGGATTTCTGGTTAGCGAGTACTTTTCATCCCCACCGCTAATATTGGTGCCTCGCTTCGGCCTCGTATGACGAGTATTGCCCCTCATCTTTTCACCTCAACTCATCGGTCTACCCTGATGATCGCACTCCCATCTCATGGACAACCATGAAGCATCGCAATACCAATCACACAGATGGCCAGGTCTTTCTTTTCGTCAATAAGACTCAGAAATCCAAATCTCTGTCCAAGAGCGATGGCGCTATTGCCAAACAGATCAATCGCCATGCTCAACACTTCCGAAGTCGCAAAGTCGAGGCTCAACGAATAACCTCTGCTCGTACCAGTTCATCATCGGCACGTCGGATCGCTTTGGATGGATGGCATCGAAGAGAGACGGCCCAGAGGTAAGTCCTGTATTCGTTGCCGTGGTGCACAAATGGTTAAACGGGATGGTAGTTCAAGCAACGACGAGTCATCGCCAACATCCTCCCCCACCGAGAACTCGACAGGTGTCTTAGGTATACCTACTCCGACAACAACTCATCAGTCCTCTTCGCCACCGGCCATTCCCACGCCACAACAGTCGACTAATGGGCATTCATCACCACATACACCCACATCAACTATTGATGTGCCCCAGGACGGCACGAACCGCCACGACGGCCCCATCCATCATCATGATGGACAACGTGAACAGGACGATCACGTCGAAACGCTTGAGCTGACCTCACCCATCTATCGGGCCAATTTTAGCTCCTACGACTGCGTCGATCCCTTTGGCAGTACTCCCGTCCGGATCACCAGTGATATCCATCGGGTCTTGCAGTATACCCTTCAAATTTATTCCTATGCAGGCAACAACTACAAACTGGCCTTTTTGCCCAAACATGTGCGATCAACAATTTCTCAATTCCCCATTGGCGCTGTCGTTCAGCGCAGTGTCTATCGGGAACATCATCTATACTCGTTGATGGCGGCGATGACCGCTCGATTAAAACATGTCTTTGCGGTGACGCCCACACTCGACGACCCTCAGACAATTCGAGCCTCGGCCGAATACTTTCTCAAGAAGGAGCTGCTTCGCTGTTCTCGATCCGGCACTGTCGATAAACAAACCATCTTGGACATTTTGTTTCTCTCGGTGAATCTGTTGCAGTATGAGCTCTATGACGATGTCCGGAAGCATCTCATGATCGTTGCCAAGCTCTTTCATTTGCTCGACTTGAATGAGCATCTTGACAAATGGATCTCCGAGACGGCCGCTCATGTCGACAACCAACTTGCACTAAGTACAGGAAAACGGCCCGTCTTACCGAGAGATTTCGATCCCGGCCCCATGCTGCCTGAGCGAATGGCCACTCTCCGGAGGGAAGCGCAGAGAATGAAGACCTACGGATATCCCAACCCTACTACGCTCATTGTCCCGCGGGGCCCCAAAGCTTCCTTGGGACTTACTGACGTGGTTTCCGATCTTGCCGCCACGCTAGATATGCGGATGGGAACGCGATTTACTCACGGACTGGATGTAGGCGCGTTCCCTGGACGGCTCGGTCAAATCGTGGCAGATCTGGTGGACTGCATTGAAATAGCCAAAGTGGTCTGGTTATCTCCTCTGGCGGTCTGTTTCGATGCTGAATGGTTGTGCCGAAAAGCGCGTGCAGTCCTTCGCGCCTTGCTGGCTCTGGCCCCCGAACACAACATAGGACCATTGGATTTCTTCAGCAAATGTTCCGAATGCAAACGGATGTGTCTGATGATCCTCATGACACATGCATGCACTCTGATCGGGTTTCAAACCGCCAAATCCAATGTCAGAAGACTCAAAGAGGCCATGGCGGTGGCCTTGAAATATTGGTGTGCGTCCTCCGGTTGGACGGAAGATTGTATCCCCATAGAACCCACCAGACGCCTACCTATGTTCACCGAGGTACAAGCTGGGTTCGTTCTCTGGTCCATTCTCACGGGACTGTGGTCATCAGAGGGTCTTCCTGAAGAAGAATGGTTCCTTGTTCGGGCATTGAATGTATGCCAATATTTCGGTTACAAAACCTACGACGACCTACACAACCACATGGCGCAATACCTTTATTCCAAGACATTGCAAGAATCCGCGATGCGGAAGACAGCCAGCAGACTTGAGATGCTGTACGCGATCCCCCAAGGTCCGCATTGGACCTTGAGTGTGGCTTAACTGGCCAGTATTTGGTGAGAGTTGAAGTGGGATGATGGTGTTGCTTTACCAAGTCGTTCGTTCTGGGGGACCCCATGAGGACACGCGGAGCCACCATTCCTCCGAATCCCAATCCAACCTGCAATCTGTTCTATCCGTCCGGTCGCGTGCTTGGTCTGGCGATGGGGTTGCGCTCAAAGCTTGAATCGCCATACCGATGGGACAAAAACGACGGATAACTCTCGTTTGCCTCTGGCATGATACTGCTATCTAAGTTGGTGTATAGACCACTTACACACTAGAACACTCATTGTCGCCGACCAAAAGGCATGTCAGTCACTCATTGCCAAACTACAGCTTACCCGATCCTCTCAATTGGGTAGTTCTCTATGTGAATGAATCTTATACAGTCACCTGGAGCTTCGTCATTGCCTCATCTGCGCAGTTGCGACTCCCCACTATTGCTGGCGCCTGTTCTGCCACCGGCAGGGTCATTCTCACATCAAGATGTCCTTCCTCACGAGATAGGATCCCCGAGGATGTGAAAAGGTCTCATCACAAGACTGCTGGGGACGCAGTCGAGTATCATCGTGGTCGAGTGAAGATACTATTATGATGAGTGAAATAGCGGGAGACCGAGAGATGGAATCATCTTGCCCAACACAAGTCCAAGGGCCATAGGGATAATTGACTTCCGGTGGGGAAACAGATGCGGTTTTCGGTATGGTGGGATATACCACGAGAGAGCTAGGTAAGTGCGGTACCGGTATGGAGTGATTTGGGAGCAGCCCTTACACTTTCGTCTGCCCACATTGTTTAGGTGCCCAGAGTTAGGCTCTTGTCGGGGTAACTTGTACTCTCACGAAGGCTGAATTGTCACGCTATTACGTCACGGATTCTATACATATACCAAGACATTGATGTCCTGTTGTTGCTTTTGTGATACCCTCTGCAATTTATACTGTCATTTCAGTCCCGGTTTGTCGCCGTCTTATGAAATTTATGTCCTCGATCACCAACCTCCAATCGATACAGCCTTACCATTTCGGCAAGGAGAGGAGATCTCACCTTTCTGTTCACCTCTCCTTTGGCGCCTGCGCTGTGCTGTCGACGTTCCTGGCACGAAGAACGCTTCATTCAAGCGCACTGTTCCGCAGATTTTACTATCGGCAATCCGTGATTGAGCAGCGAAATGATCGACCGGATCTCCAGAGTCCGCACTCCGGAGATCATTCAGCCTCCTAAGTTTTAAGCGACTCTTCTGCCGCGTAATTGGTGCTTTTGGACACCTGGCTATATAGTGAATTGAGAATGTATTTAGATCTGAAATCCGGGCTGGCTCGGCAATAGGGGCTTCCAACCATCGTCCAAATGCCCACCGAGCTTAACTTGGTTTGACCAACAGGGTTTTGTCTGCATCTGAACGTTCTCTCGCGTCTCGGGGCACGGTGCTGGGCCTCCGAATTGAGGTTGAAATTCTGGGTTGTTCGATAATCTTCTGCATCAGCTCTCCAGTTCGCTCACCTTGACAAACATGCCCTTCTGCACGAACAATCCATAATTCGTGTTCTTCTTAATTGGGTTGACAGGGTCAATCAAGCTCCAGTCGAACCTTCTGATCATCTCGAAGAAGATCTTGTTCAACTCTAACCTTGCGATGTTTTCGCCCATACATCGGAACCTGCCATGACCGAAGACAAGATGGTGTGCCTCTTCCATGACAGCCAAACGCTCAGGAGAAGCCTCTAGCCAGCGCTCAGGTCGGAAGATTTCCGCATCGGCACCATATACCTCAGTATTATGACGGTGCATATTCCAAGCGCAGAAAGCGACTTCGGTTCCAGGAGGAAGGTAGACGCCCTTGTGTGTATCACCTTGTGCGCCGACGACGCGAGGGAGTAAGCCGGCCGCAGCGGGGTGTTGGCGCAGAGCCTCCTTGATGCAAGCTTGCAGGTAGGGCAATCTCAGGGCTTGAGCGGAGGAGATGATCGTGTCCAAGGGTGTGTCTGTTGCCGCCACCTCAGCTTGGAGCTTTCGGTACACGTGTGGATTGGCCAAGATTGAGAGGAAGCCAGTACGGATGATGGTTGCTGTTGTATCAGAGCCGGCCAGGAGTTGGAACAGCGACTCGTCCGAGATCTCGAGTTGTGACAAACCATGGTTCTTGAAAGAAGTTACCATATCGTAGCGTCCTGCTTTCTCACCAGAGAAACGACCCGCTATGATCTGCCGAGCAACTCTACAAAGGCCGTTAGTCTCCCGGTTTGACGAATCAGTCTCGATACGCACGCTTTCACCTTTCCTAGCCCAGTCTTCTCTTTCGGTGAAGGTACAAGGTTGGCCTGGACTGTTGGGATCCTCGTAATGGCTGACAGCAGCGGCACGGCCGAGAAGACATTCATTATCGGGAAGTTGTCTTCCATGGACTTCACATAGGTATACTTGTCGGTGTCCTCGGAGAAAAATCCAAATGCTTCCCCCAGCGACAAATATGTAATCACGTCCAGCGTGAAGTATTGTGCGAGCTCGGCCCAGTCCAGCGGCTTGATGTTAGATCCCACAGAAAGGTATTTCCGTTTGATCAAATGCACGACGTCCATGACTATCTGATTGATACTGGGCTCACATTCAGGGTTATCCTTGCCCGAATACAGTAGCCTTGGTAAGTATTCGGGCTCACCGAGACGAGCGTTCTGCTTACCCCAGGAGACAGCTTTGTACGCATCAAAGAGTGCTTCTCGTCATTCAGCTCGGTGAAAAGGTTTTCTCGCTCGGCGTCCATCTTGAACGCCTTGTACCATGGCCCACGAGAGTAGTCATTGACCCTGTGAGCATTGGCTTTGCGGTACAAATCTAGATCCGAAGTCACCACCATATGCGGGGTAATTCTGGCCATCGATCCTGGAACGCTCGTCAGATACCTCGTCCACTCTCCTACGAGAACTTTATACCATAACGATCGCAAGCATATTTCAGGGCAAGATGCCCTTTCCCAGAGATTGCCGCGTTGATCCACCACCAATTCGTGAAACCAGCCAACGGTGGCCCAGGAATATGTCGTAGCTTGTTATAGGTGACGAGCGTCGAGATGCCAATTGATGGCAGCTAGCCAGCTCATGCGCGTCTCGTACGCAACACTTTCAGTTCATCGGCCCTGTGAATGTATCGGTTAGCGCTCACGCAGTGGCTGTCATCGGTTAGCGGGACATTGGAACAGTCTACGCATAGGGTATTTCAAAACCAGTTTCCGCCATAAGGGCTCTACATTTAATTAAGCGTGGTGCAAAAGTCTTACGACACACTCCGAAAGACCTCAAGCTGTCCTGATAGATGTGATCCAGGTTTCTGCTCGTCTGCGTAATTTTGGTCCTATTCTCTCGTCCACATCATGGGTACCAATTCTCAGGTCAATTGATCAACCCCGAACCGAAAGCCGTCCGTCAGGCTCTCAAACTTCTCAAAGTGACGGTGCGCTCCCGTCCAAGCTTGCTACAAGGAACTACGCTGTCATGGGGAAGGGGGAATCTCTGACCACCCTTGGCCAAATTGGCACTGGAGCGAGGAGTTTTCTTACGAGATGAGTGTCATGACAGCTCAATATGGGCCCGGATTCGATGCCTCTCCTTAATGCTCTTGCATCCAGTTCAGTTTCTGTATGTTAAGCGAGAGACGACACGGATCGAGATGAATTCTGACAAATAATCGTGAAATTCGACGGCCAAAAGAGTGTAGTAGACGGTGTTCCTCACAATATACCGCAAGAACCCCTCCTCCGGGGTAATCTGTTGATGCACAGCATTTGTGGCCGCCCGTACCGAAATGGGCGGACGAGAAGATTGTCCTGCTCTGACGCCTCATGAGGCAGATCAAGCTGGGCCCCCTAATGGGCGTGTCTGGCTCTCATCAGGGTCACCGCTGCAGCAATTACAGGAACGACACTGACAACCTCGCCGAGACCGGCATAAGCGGGAGGGATGCGCACCTTGACAAAAGCGCCTGCCGCGAGCAACATTGCCAACACATTATAGAAAGCCGACCACGCAAAGTTGAAGGCAATTCTGCGGAACGATCGCTGCGATAGGTTGAGAAGCACAAGAAGACCATCAAGGCCACCCAGCAAAACGACATCCGCCGTGGCTCTGGTGACATCCGATGCAGCCCCGATCTGAAGGCCGACGTCGGCTTGTGCCACAGCAACAGCATCATTAGTCCCATCACCACAGAAGAGCACGACCTTTTTGGCGGACATGAGGCCCTGCACGTAGTTCTGCTTGTCCGTGGGAGACTGGCGTGACGCGATCTTCGAGAAAGGTACGCCAACGGCCTGTGCGATGTCCTCCACGACTCTTGGGGTGTCGCCGCTTACAATGTGACAAACAAGACCGCGGCGTTGGAGATCCGCAATCGTTTTAGTAGCTTCCTTGCGAATGGTACTCCTGAGCCCGAACACAGCTACAGGTTTCGATTCAATAGTCACGCAAAGAAGCGTCATGCCCTGGTTGATCAAGCCAGATATTTCGGGACGGTGATCAATGCCAAGCCAGAAAGGATTGCCCGCCAGGACTTTTTGTCCCTTCCAGGTGCATCGGATCCCAGCGCCAGGAACGGATTCCAAGTTCTCGACTTCGGCACTCCTGATGTGCCTCTTCTGCAGCTCGATGGAAACGGCTAGGGAAACAGGGTGTTGGTTGTCTTTGGTGATGGCCCTGGTGACGGAGAAGATCTCATCCTCGGAGCGGCCCTCTCCCGGGAAGGCTTGTCGGTGAATCGTCGCAAGGTCTCCCGTGGTGATGGTACCGGTCTTGTCAAAGATAACGTCAGTGACTTTGTAGCCTCTTTCGATTGCATCGGCTTGCTTGATGATTACGCCATGTCGAGCAGCGACGCCACCAGCTATGACAAGTACCATTGGAACTGCTAGACCAACGGCACATGGACAGGACACGGCCATGACAGCGATTCCATAGGTAATGGCCAGGCCCATGGCGCCGCCACCTTCCTCGCCACGGACTTTGCGAGCGACGGCCATCCAGACCGCGAACACAATCAGAGATGTCGTGATCACGGCCGGAATGAAGTAGCTCGCGATCTTGTCCGCCAGGTCTTGAATACGAGGCTTCGATCCGAGGGCATTCTCAACGAGGCCGGCGATATCTGTTATACTGTTCTTGCCTGGCAGGCGGGTCAGACGGACTGTCAACGCCCCTGCGCCGTTGATGGTTCCTGCAATCAACTGGTCCCCAGGAGATTTGGGCACAGGCAGGCTTTCGCCGGTTAACATAGATTCATCAACAGCACTCGAGCCACGAAGGATGTCCCCATCGGTCACAATCTTGCCGTGTGGTGGAACGAGGAACACATCTCCCAGTTGCAGCAGCCTTGCGTCGATCTCGGTCGTGTTTCCGCTGGATGGATCAACGAGCAGGGCCTTTTCCGCCTGTAGCGATCGCATGGACACCGCAGAGACGGCTCGGACCTTGGCGAGAGCTGCGATGAGCCGTCCCAGAAGGACCAGTGTGATCAAAAGGGCGCTTGTTTCGAAGAATGGCCCTTCTTCCAGGGTGTAGCCGGCATGGGTCAGTGCAAAGGCCACGACTGAGTAGCCGAATGCAGCCGTGATGCTGATAACTACCAGCATATCCATCTCGAGAACTCTACTATAGACGAGAGACTTGATGGCGCCGGCATAGAATTCCGGAACGGCGATAGCCTGGACCACCGTGGCCAGTACCAGTTCGATAATGGAATTTGTCGTGTCGGGTAGCGGGTTATCGGACCATGCCAACACGACAACTGGAATGGTGAACACTGCCGCCAAAGAGGTGCTCCATGCCGTGCGCATAAGCTTGCGGCGTCCATCGGCCCGTTTGGCATCATTTCCCGGTGGCGCGAGCCGAACTCCTGGAACGCTGGAGAGGATAAATCTGGCCCCGATGGCGGTAGGGTCGTGGCTAACGCGGTAAGTGGTCTTGTTGACCTTCTCCACCGATTCGCACACATCGCGTAGCCGCCCCAGGACGTGCTGAGCAGCGGAAGGATCAACCACAACCTCCAGTGTCTGATAGTCGCTCGCAATCTGAGAGAATTTGAATCCAGTTTCCTTCTCGATGCGTGGAATGATCTGCGGGAGGTTTCCGACTTTCGGATCGAGGTCGAATTCAGCCATGCCTGTCACAAAGGTGACTTTGATGGCCGAGACACCATCGACATTATTCAGAACGTTGGTGACCTTCCTGACGCAGCCGGTGCAAGTCATGCCCGAGACCCCGAGGATGACATGTTCGCGAGCAGCATCAGCCTCGATGTCTACTACTTTTGCTCTGGGCAAGGGCAATTTCAGTGGAGCAGCGGAGCTAATCTGGACTCGATCCCGGGAGCATGACGATAGGTCAGAAGACCTCCTCGCTTCGACTCGGGAAATTTTCGCGTCACAGCAAGGCTCTCGGCAAGACTTCTTGGTGGTTGAACGAAGACTGGACATTGATTGGGTCGCAATAGAAGTGGAATAGCCATAAGACTTTGTAGAACCGGCCGTAGTTGGCTGTTTTACCGCTGGGTTTCCACAGCAGCCGTCCAGTCGATTGAGGACACTTTGACAAATGCATCGGCCGGTTTCGAGATAGCTCGCATACTGATTAAAAGCCCGTTGGAGATGACTTCCACATGCTCCGTCGGTCCGAGGACGCTTTTTGCCGGCGATCGATGGCGTGGAATTTGGTTTTTGAGGAGCGTTGCTACAGGTCGCTTTCTTGTCTGCGCAGCAATCATCATCTTGACTGGTATTTGGGATAGCCTCCTTTGTAGTATAACAATCGTTCTTGACATGACCGCGCAAGGTCGCTTGCTTACCACTGCAGCAAGTGTGATACGGAACGTCAACACAAGAAGCCTTCTTGTCTGAGCAATATTCCTTATCTTTAGCATCACATGTTGATTTCTTCTCAGGACAGTAGTCGTCCTTGTTATCGACACAGACGTCGCCCTTCTTGTCAGCACAGCAGGTGTCTTTTTCAACGCTCTTACAGGCAATCTTCTTGTCGGTGCAGCAATCTGCCTCCTTGGGGGAATTGCCGCCAGAGTCGCTCGCGCCACAGTGATGGCCCTTGTCCTTGGTATAGTAGGTGTCTAGTATGCGCGGGCCGGTACCACTGGTCTCTTCTTTGTCAACACAGCAAGGCTCAGTGCAATCGTCAACGTTCGCAGCGGGCTGCTCGTGAATAGCGCCGCAAATTCTGCGACATTCTTCGGCGGCAATGGCGCGGATGCAGATATCTAGTGATGTGCCAGTTAGAGGTCTAGAGCGTCGCTCGATGATTGGAGACGGCCGTACCGTCGCATGTTGTACAGCCATTGTCACAATCAATGCAACAGCCTTGACCTAGAGCGGTGGACATGTCTCTGTTTTGGAGATTGCTCCTGATGGGCTGACCAGCGTCGTGCTCACTCATCCTTGTGACTTAAGGGTTTGCCAGAATTAAAGCAAATACATGATGCACACGCTGGCGTTCAGTTCTACTCCAGTGCTCGGGCCGATTAGACCGAAAAAGGGTTTAGCTGATACCCTCGGATCCTTCTCTCTCAGCTTGAACGTTGAGGCAAGTAATTTTTAAGTTTAGCCGTGATCATCTTTCGGCATGCTGTTAGGCAGTGTCCTTCTACCGTGTATTAATTCCACACGCTTTGCCCATCGTATCAGAAATCGAACATGGCTTCAACTCACCCAGAAGCTAATGCCCATGAAGAGAATCAAGTGGCTGACGATTTAGAGGTAGACCACGGGGTTCGTCCAATGCTTCATCGCACCTTTGCTCAACCTGACCATTGCCAAAGTATGACACGGAGGACTCTGGCTTTGAGCAAGACTCTGTCTTGACACAATCTGTTCGGTCGAGTATACATCAATACAAGGTCGAAAATGGCCGGACATACCACGCATATAAAGAAGGCCAATACTTCATGCCTAATGACTCGGCCGAGCACGAACGACTGGAATTGCAACACCGTGCAATGTTTCTCGCTGCTGGCGCCCAGCTTTTCTATGCACCTGTCAGAGAGCTCCAGAATGTCTTGGATCTAGGCACCGGCATTGGCACATGGGCCATTGATGTGGCGGACGCGCACCCCGAGGCCATAGTGACAGGTGTCGACTTGAGTCCTATTCAACCCTCGCTCTCTCCGCCCAACACCAAGTGGGAGATTGATGATGTCGAGGACGACTGGACATGGCCGCCAGACCACTTCGATCTATCTACAGTCAATTTATGCTAAGCGGAAGTATCGCGGATTTTCCAAAGTATTTTCGACAGGCTTTTAGGTAAACCCCACGCGATATACCAATTCCTCGCACCATTTTTCATCTGACGCGTGCTTTTCTGGCATAGACACTGCAGGCCGGGCGGTTACTTCGAGATTCGCGACCAGGCCACATACCTGCGGAGCGACCATGCTCCAATTAGTGAAGACAACGCCGTCGACGAGTGGTGTCGTCTCATGCGACAAGGTATCACCAGCATGGGACGTAGGCTGGACCTAAACTTCGAGGAACTCGGTGATCTGATGCGAGAAGTGGGCTTCGTCGATGTGGTCGTTCGGCCGTTCAAGATCCCTATCGGTCGATGGCCGTCTGATCCAAGGTTGAAGGAGGCTGGGCTATTTCAACTGTACGCAATGTTGGAGGGCGTTGAAGCACTCACTCTTGCCGTCTTCACGCGCTGTTTGGGTTGGGAGCCAGAACGGGTTCAAGTATTCCTTGCTGATGTGAGGAAAGAGTTTAAAGCGACGAAACGCTATACGTACTGGCCATGGTACGTTCATGATCAAGTTCCGAATTGATGAAGCTGACGTCGGACTCGCAGCGCCGTCATCTATGGCAAGATGCCCGGACCTGTGCCTCAATAAGCTCTGCGCGATCAGCGACCGTGGTGACAAGAAAAATCATGGCGGGCAATGTCCTCTTCGGCAGCAGTTAGCTGCAGGAAGTTTTTCGAGAGGCATAACGATGGGAGAGAATTCCATATGGGACGGCGGCCGGAAAAACACTCCTATACATTTTGGCGACCCATGCCATATACAGTACTCCTGCATTGCTCACTCGTGCCCCTGGAGCATCGAGTCAGGGACCAGCGCGGAACGGATAACACAACGTCTGGACGTGAGATATTTCCAACAATGAGAGCTTCTGCAGCTTGCCGTCTCTTGCTCTCCTCTATGGCAAACATGAAGTGGCCGATGGTGTTTCGGTACATGGGTGAAAACGTTTTGATCTCGATAGGCAGCACAACCTTTTCGCCTACATAGGTGCCAGTTACCGCGTAAACTTTTTGTGTAAATCCCATGAAGCACACTTCTTCGGGACCAACGTAAAGGCCGCATTCGATAGCCGCATTCTCACCGCCGCCAACAAATTCCTGGACTTCTGGAGCGAGGACGCCGTCGGTGAGGCCTTCGAAACTGCGCATGCAGCAGAAAGCTTCATTTCGAAACAAGATAGCAGCTGATTCACCAGGAAACGAATGCACCTTTCCCTCAACACAACCGCCATCGACAGCTGTAACCGGTCATTTAGTGACCGCATCTCTGTTGACACTTTGCTCCGTCCTCACATGAGCTCCTTCTTTGTAAATCTTCTCCTCGAAATCCTGTCCATGGCCCTCCTACATATCTTGTTCCGCCTTCCCAGCCATGTTATTCGAAGAACTTCCCAAAGGGGAGGGTTGTGCCTCTGATACTACCTGGCTGTGTAGCCCTGGTATGGACCGAAATTTGCGGTGACGTCGGATTCGGAAAGGTCTGTCCAGGATCCGAATATCACAATATAGAATCCTTGTTCACGTTCATTCCCAGCTGTATCAATTCTCACCGGTCTCGTAAGACGACGTTCATCTCAGACGACAAGTTATGGGTACCTAGCCTTCGCAGAGGTTGCAGATTTACTCTAAGTCCCTTGGGTTTGGGCTGAGAAAGACAAACAGGAACGGAAAGAGTTGAAGCCGGTAGAACAGCTAGACGCACTCCAAGCCCGATTGAGCGATCTCTGGGACAAGCATATTGTCATGCCAGCGGCATTGGAAGGGGTGGGTTGGGGTCAAAGAACCTATGTGGTCTTTTATTCCAGGATTCTACGGCTGCCTTTGCTGAGAAGCAAAGGGGATGTCAGACTCCACCACGTCTTTGAAGATATCACGTGGTCCAAAGGTGAGTAATTTGATTGGTGGGATCCGTCAGCTGAGGAGCCCACTCCTTAAGAATCCAACCCTAGTCTTCATTACAGAGAAGAGATTCTACTTGGTGGAGATAGACCCAGTCCACTCGACCCTCCATTGAATCGACGCCTTCTGGTCCTATATCTTCCCTCAATACCCTTCAACGCCCAAAGCCTTGTATACCTTCTTGAAATATTCTTCGGTGCGACGGTTTCCCAACACTCCCGGGCCCATTGAGTTCCTGTTTAATGGCATTAGTAATGTGGCTTAGCCAGCGGGAGTGAAAGAAGGACAGGATTTGTTTCATCGGCTCCTGAGACAAGTTATGAGAGACACCTACATTGTGTATGCGAAGGTGATCTTCCTGTCGAGATCCATGATTCCAGCGCTACCACCCCAACCGGCCCAGAAACAGATGCGGTTGCCTGGGGGCAGCCACGGAACCGTGCTTCTGGTGGTCTCATCTGCCAGGCCGTAGCCGATGCCGAATGTCAAAGGCGCACCGATGACCGCATCGACGCCGCTGGACTGGACGCGGAAGATCGAGTCGATGGTCTCGGGAGAGAGGAGCTTTACGCCGTCGACCGTTCCCCCTAATGTGATAACAGACAGCATCCTGGCAAGGCCTCGGGCATTGGTATGCCCGTTCACGGCCGGAAGATCCGCCTGTCTCCATGCAGGGGTATTTGCGACGTTGGCATCGATGGGCGGATTTGCAAAGGTTTTACGCGTTAAGGAGTCTGGATCAAGTTGAGAGAAGTCAAACATGGGTGGTGGTGGTATAACGGGTGAAATCCGCGACCAGTCTTTCTCCAGCGCACCAATCTGGAAGTCCGCCTTCAATGGGCCAGCGATTTCTTCGGCCACAAACTGTTTCATGGGCTTGCCACCGGTCCTCTTCACGATTTCGCCGAGCAAATGGCCCATCGTCACAGAGTGGTATCCCGACTGCGTCCCCGGCTCCCACCAGGGAGCCTGCTTGGCCAGGCGCGACACCGAAAGATTCCAGTCATATACCTCTTCATAGGTGATCGGGCCTTCCCAGCCCGATACTCCAGAGGTATGAGAGAGGAAGTGACGGACGAGAACACCGTCTTTGCCATTCTCCCCGAACTCAGGCCAGTATTTGGAGACTGGGTCGTCCACGCTGAGGGCGCCGCGCTCGGCTTGGATCAAAGTGGCCAGGGCTGCGATGGTCTTGGTCGACGACCACACGTTGACAATGGTGTCTTGAGTCCAGGGCACGGTTTTGGCTTCGTCCGACCAACCGCCCCAGATATCCACGACATTTTTGCCGTCGATGTTGACGCAGATTGAGGCCCCTAGTTCTTCGCCCGCGGCAATTTGCTCTTCGAAATAGGAGCGGAGTTCCGAGAATTGAGGGTCAGAGTGTCCTTCCACTTTTGCCATGATGTTGGTGTTCTGGAACTCACACTCGTCAATTCCAGATATTGCTGTAGAGAATTTGGTCGTCCAAAACAAATTCTCCCCGTCACCTGTCGTACAAATAGTTCAACAGAAAGAAAAAAGACGTTCGCTGCTTGAAGAACGAACCGAGGCTTGAGGGGGGAACAGTTGAGAATACCCACGGCCGTCAATCATTCGGTTGTGGGTGGGGTGTGTCTAGTTAGAGAGCCTCTGTGTCTAAGCATAATTAATCAGCTTTTGTACCAAAAAAAAAGAGGCTTTGGCGCTAGGGACCAGTAAGCTCCAGCCATTTAACAGCTTTCAACTCTGCGGATATTTTTATGCAAAGTTGTCATAATTAGGCGTCCATAGCTTTTCCTTGAAACTTGAGTATCAATCGAAGTCTTTTTCCTGTAGAAAGTACTTTAGTTCTGACATATTACGTATTGGGAGCCTCAGGCCGGGGGTTTTGGGGGGGAATGGAGTCACAACACAAGGAACAACTTTTGATTAGTTCATTGCTTCACCGCCATCTCAACCAGCTGTGCCACGGCTCTACTCTCTCACGCTTTACCAGCCCCTAGTCCAGCCCATGAGGAGAGCTTTATCTAATGCTTGCCTTACAACACCACTCCCCCGGCATATCTTGGCAAGGCACAGTTCCCCGGGGATTCTTCCGTGTCGTATTTGGGAAATGGTAATCTTGGAGTGCATGAGGGACTTTGATCCGAGGTGTGATAAAGTCCGATGAAAGTTCTACGAGCGGAAAATGTAGGCCATTATGCTGCTGGGGAAGTATGTCTTATATCCATCATGGTGCGGATCGAAAGTTTGAATGTGTGAATCTCAAATGGCTTCTCATATTATTCCTTCAAGAGGCCACGCATTATTCCAGATGCCCAGGGTCCGCAGATCAGAAGTCATGATGCGCTTCGTTGCCACGGCGTGGGCCGAAGGCTGGATGAACCCCCATATACGAGCCTTTGAGGCTCCTTCGGAAAGCAGGGCTTGACCGGAAAAAGCGGCTATATAAGTGCCAGATCGAGACTGTTTATCTAATTGATTGAGAATGTTCATCGACAGGTTCTCCGATCAATTGAATTCGGGATTTTTTTGCTCTCTTGAATTTAGCTACCCTCTGGAAGAACACATCAACTCTTTCTTGCAAGTCTTCATCCCCCTTTCCCAACCCCTGGACGCTTAGCCAACACCAAGAACTCGCTGGATCAACTGTTTCTGATTTATAACCTCCTCAATGACGAAGAACTCCCAGACTCTACTGCTTCTTCTGAGCGACCAAGATCTAGAGGCGACACAACCGGCTTTCGAAACAATCATCATGATTGACAGCCGACAGAATCCAGGTAGGAGAACGGAGACTAAGTGTGTCAACTCGGGGACCAATGATTTCTACTGTTTACCCAAGCAGAAGAATCCATTTGTCATATTTCATTCTTGGTGCTGGGGGAGAAGGATGGGTGACGACGGCGGAAGGTCTGCAGAGATTGGTCTGGCGAGGCAGACGTCAGTGCATATGACTGGATGCTTTTTTCAAAGGTTCTCTATCGGCGACGTCGCACCAATGGGATGGCGAACAGGAAGGTTCCAAACATGAATGTAGCGAGCGCAGAAGTCCCTTTGTGCGAAAACTCGTGATGATGCGAACCTGAGAGAGTATGTATTGAAAATGATAGCACAGCTGGCTGAAATGGCAGTAAGGAATGGATCAATCGGAACCGTTTGGTGTCGCCTTCCTATCATCACTGTCCACCGTTGCTTTAGACTCTCTTCTTCCCCCCCTGTCCCATCTTCAGTCTTGCGATCAACGTGAATCCAGCCGCGGCCAGGGCGACGCCGCCGGCATAGAAGATAGCTGGTCGATATGGATCGATCGAGGTGCCGAAATTGGCCTTTCCCTGTCCGTGCTCTGCTGAAGCTGACCCGACACCCACGCCCGAGGCTTGTAAAAGGTAGCCAGCGATCGGAACTCCCATCAAATAGCCGCCCGTCCAGCCGGTAATTACCATCGACATCGCCACCGCTGGACCAGACCCTTGGCCATTCCCGATTCCAGTAGCGGTACCAGTCACGACAACAGGGTAAAGGGTGAACCAAGCCCCATCCGCGAGCCCGTTCAGCATAGCGAAAATAAGCAATGGTCCCAAAGAGCTCGATACGGGCCAGATGGCCAGCATGCTCACGGCATTGAGGATCATTGAGGCCAGAAACACGTTCACAGGCACAAAAATGTCGCTCAGCCACCCCGAGAGGAGTCGGCCGACGGCGGTACATGAATTGAATCCCGCAACTAAACCGGCCCCCGTACTGGAGGACAGGCCAATACTTTGAGCGACAAGCGGTAAAAAGAACGGTGGGACAAAAAGGGTGAACGATCCTACAGCGCCCGCACAGAAGACCGCCGAAAGAGGCAAGTGTCGAAACATTGATAGGTCAACGAACGGCACCTGCCCGATTGGTACTCGTTCTTGGATGAACCAGGCGGCCGGCAAGCATGTCGCGAGGATAAGGAAACCTAAAATCCGAAAGGCCCAGGCTATTCCTACACTGTTGATGAGAGCATCGATGGTCAGGCTGAGGACTGCTGCACCGATTCCACCCCAAGCTTCACAAGGCACGATGCGAGTCCCAGTTTTGCCGCAAAATACTGCGTCGGGAGGGTGTTGCAGATGGGAAAGCAGAAACAAGCACCGAGCCCGTAAATCGCTCCTGAAAATGCAAATAATCCCCCCACATTGCCGGTAGGAAAGCCGGAAAAGATCTGCCGATGGACATGAGGAAGACGCTCAAAAGAGTGGTCGCTCGAAATCCTAGTAAACGAATCAAACGAACGTCGACGACGCGAATGCCACAATGCAAGCCAGGCCAGCGTGCCGATGAATGAGACCGTCGAGGTGGAAGTACTTTCGAGCTTGGATTGGAGGAGAGCTGCCTGAACTACACCCCAGCTGCCACTAATGCCATTGAACCAGAAAGTCAAGACTGAACAGATGAAGACAATAGTCCAACCGTATCCTCCTTCGGGAACAGAGGTGGCGACATTCGTTGGAGGTGACTCGGGGATTGAGATGATCTCATGAGAGGGTCGACTTGATATCCGGCCAGGGTCATGTTGACTTGATGACCTAGATGTCACATGGCGATTTGATTGTAAGATAGTATGAAGTTCGGTATCGGTTGTGATTGTTGATATTTGGATTGAAGATGCCTGTCGTATCAATTTTCCTGGTCTTTGACAGAAAGTCATCCCGGGAGAAGATGGTCCTATATAGAGTTCCCCCCAGCATGTAAATTTTCCCTCCCGCCCGGGCAGAGCAGGAAGTGTTTTGCCGACCCACCGGATCTACTTAGTTTTCAATGAGTAAGTCGCCTGCCTTAGGCATACGATAAATACCACGATGTGGGAAAATGGGCCGATTTGTGGCTTCAGACTTCACAGAATCGGCCGTGACCGCAAGACGTTATTATCGTCTATTTGTCAGTGTACCTGCTTGAAATCTGCGGCCATGCCTGGGTTATCCCCAAAAAAGAGTGGTATTTCTTTCCAAAAAGTCGGATATTCAAATCCGGAGACACGGCAGGAGGTCGACGTCTTGACTCCATGGGGTTTGAAAATCATCCCAACCCTGGCCATGCACGGCAGCGACATTGAATCAAGTCTCCATGGCAGTATCGTAGAAAGCGTCATCGGCGGTAGGGAAGAAGGCGTCCATCGAGGTGTCTTGTTCGGTCTCGTTTTGCTGCTGAAGCATCGGAAATGATAGTCGCCGACTATCAATCGAATCCGTCGCTTTCAATAATGCTCCCACTGCAGACTCGAGGATTCCACTGGCAATTTCCAAAAATTCCGCGCTCTTATTCGACACTCTCAACGTCCATCGATATTCTTGAAGTCGTCTCTGGTAGAATTCAGCTTCTTCCTGGCTCACCGAAGTGACGAAGCAGAGGCCGGCAAATGTGCCAATGAGAGCAAAATTGAACTTGGACGCAAAATACCAGAAGGATTGCAGATGTTCGGGCTTGAGTCGGTTGAAAAAGTCCATCGCGCTAATAAGTCTCGCTTTGGCCGCTGACCGGCAAATTTGAATCATATAAGGATCCGTGTTGTGCGAGAGAGATCGAATTACTCGCCGATGTAGAGTGATCTCCGTGGCGAAGTAGGCGAGATGTAAATACCCCACCGAACTCAGTTTTCCCACTCTTGTGGCGTCCATTCGAAGTGCTTCAGGCATGTCAGCGTACCATGATCGAAGTTTCAGTTGTATCGGTTTGGCTTTTTCGAGGATGGCTTTGGTGCTGTCATAGGAATTCTTAACTTCCATTTCAGCTTTGAGAGAGTAAAGGGCATCCAAAACTTCTGCGAGCATTTTGGTCAGTGTTATCATGGCACTGAACAGTGTACGGCCCTTTTCCACTTCGGCGCTCCCGTCTTCCTCATCCTCATCTGCAGCACTCTCGGGAAAGTCACTGCTGATCACCGGGTGGACGGCCCAATTGGTCGAAGAGATGTGTGGAGGACGTCCGTAAATCAGGGCAGACCAAGTATCTTGCATGAAGAGAGCCCAAGCTAGTCGTTTGCGCAAACCTCGCTCCCAAGCAGGGATTCGCCAATTTGAGCAATCGAGATGGAGTCCGAGGTCTTGACCGATGGCAACCAGTTGGCTGGTCAACTGCCACGCTTGGTTGCTACCCGGTCTTTGGAGCAAAAGAAGCCCGGCTTGAACAGTGGATAATTTAGCCCGTTGCGACACATCTTGCAATGTACGATAAGCCACATCTTCGAGTTGGGCAACGTCCGGCTTAGCCGACTTTGCGAGCTCAGAACTGTAAGACCACCAGTTCAATGCCAAAATATACACGGCCGCCAGCAAAGGCGGGGAAAATTCTCGATGAGTCCGGCCATATTTCTCCAGATAGACCTTCTTATGTAAGATTGGAAAGCTCGGATGGACGATCCTGAAGTAGAGTCGGATCAGAGCTTCACCATGAGGGGCCACGATGCGTTCAATGTTGTCAAGCTCTTCGATCTCTCGGGCATGGTTGGGAGAATCTGAGTCGGCATACTGGTGGAAGAATTCATTCGGACCGACTTTGCGAAAGGAACCTTGATCGGCAGGACTTTCGCCTTTGACATTATCATAGAGTCGAAGATCTAAGAGAGTAAAGTCATGCTCGTCGGTAGGACCAATATACTTTGCATATCGGTGGTTTTGTAGACTGGCCATGGTCAGCCAAAGAGTTAAGAGGGAATAGGAAAGACCATATAAAATATCCAAACACACCCCAAGGTTTTTTTCAACAAAGACTCCCCCTGCAAGTTGGCATAATCGTCGATGACGGGCCCAGTACGAATGGATTCAGCAGATTGCCGTCGTGGGGCGTGGGCATTGCCATCGGAGCCTCTGTTATCTACTTTAGCCTGATGATAGGGGAGATACAAACATGGGAGGTGGGTGGGAAAGCCTCACGATCGTCTCTGCCGAGCTAGGGAAGCTGCCGACGCGGTAGTGGAATCGGAGAGAGCGACAGGGTTTGTCTGTTTTCGTCGCCTCGGAACTGTATCCTCAACAAAGGTACAGGCCTGTTTATGGAATTGACACATCACACAAGCAGTAGCGTCTGGGTTGATGACGCAGCGGCTCTTGCGACGTCGACAGGTGTCACAGGGACGATCTGGTCGTATGCCCGGGTTAGGGTCGTCCCCCAGGCGAGCACTCGTGGGCGATGTCATACCGCCGATACCACCTGGGCCTGGAGAACCATCAAGAGTAGGGTCGGGCTGGAGAGGAGGTGGCATGGTTGAGTGCATGGTTATTTAGGGGGGGGTATGTTTACGAAACGAACGGCCTTTATTGGCGATGAGGAGGGGCGAGGGATTCCAGGCCGGAGCATTATCAAAACTTGTGTATCAGTTGTATGTAGTAGTTGCTTTGCTTCTTCCACTCTTTAGGCTGGGGGGAGGGTCATTTCTTTTTTCTTGATTTGTGCGAGGGGCGCGCGTCAGGATAAGCTTCTCTCATCTGGTAGGGAGTTGAAGCTATTTGTGACTCTGGGGAGGCGACCTGAACTGGATTATGTCGATGATGGCCGGGACTCAGAAACTGGCGCTGGGACGATCGAAGCGGACCCCGTCGCGTGTCATGGGGCATTGGGCTCATAATCTTAGTCGACCATGCCATATTGCGCTGGATCGAGTTCCCAGTATAGCGAATGGTGCAGAAGACAAGCAATTGATTGAGTAAGAGTTTACAACCAGAGTCGTGGGCGAGGGTTAGTGGCATTGCTCCAAGAGATAAACAGAGCGACGCCCATTGGGTGAATTGGGTATGTGGTCACATAGCGTTTGTTGCAAGTCCACAGCCAGTCCGCAAGTTTTCTCGGTGGGAATTCTGGTCATGCCCGAGTGGGTGAGTAGGCGTAACTATCGCACTCGATACGAGCCGCCATCCCCCCAGTCCAGCTTTATCAATCCCGCTGAATTTCAAACACACAGAAAAATACAAATAAATGCGAGTCACTCCCAATGCCTATCGCTCCATGCAAGCAAATATCCGGCAAGGAATTCCCATGAACTCAAAAATATGTATTTCCTCATACTTCCCGCGGCATACCCTCCAGGAACCGACTGGCTATCTCCAACACCTCACTATCTAAGCACCGACACCCTAAAAAGGTGATGCTGAAGGGCAGTCGTGGTCCAGCCTCGCCGGACAAGTACTCTGCTGCTGGACACGCCACTCCGCACATGTCCAGCACGTTGGCAAAATGTGTAAAAGTCCCCATCTTTGCATTCAGTCGGATTGGATCTGCCAGCATCGCCTCAATGGTTGGATGCTCCGGCACTGTCGGAACCACCAAGACGTCCATCCCCAACTTGTCCGCGGACGCAAACTGGGATGTGGCTTGTCGCGTGCACAGCGCCTTGGTTTGCAGGTCGCGGAACAACTGCACCGCCGTGCTCTGTCGTGCCACGACTTTCTCAAAGAGCTCTAAGGTGACCGGGTGCAGGTGAACCCTATTCCTCTCCAGAAAATCATCCGGTAAGCTGGCCAGTCTCTCTGAGACAAAAGTGCCCTCGTAGAGCAGATCTCCAGCTTTTTGGAAAGGAGTCCAGTCAATAGGCACCAAGATTCCACCCATGCTCTGTAGCCGCTTGATTGCTTCGTTGAACAATTTGCGGAAAGTAGGCGAACACACCTCGAGAAGCTCAGGAGGAGGGATGCCCATGCGGAATGCCTCATGTTGAGTTCCCAATGCGTTGACATGTCGTTCAGCGGGAAACGTGTCTCTTGCGTAGCGGTCATTCTCATCGTACTCTTCACAGACTTGCCACAGCGTCCGAGCGTCTTCCACCGTTTTGGCGGTGAAGGCAATGCAGTCGAGTGACAGGCAAGCTGGGGTAACACCTTCAAATGACACCAATCCACGCGTGGGCTTGAATCCCACCACACCATTGAAACCAGCTGGCACACGTCCAGAACCAGCTGTGTCTGTTGCGATCGAGAATGTCGCAAGACCAGCACCCACAGAGACGCAACTTCCAGAACTGCTCCCGCCTGAGATGTGGTCTTTGCTGAAAACGGAGTGAGGGACCCCGTACGGGCTTCTACAGCCGCTCAGTCCGGTTGCCAATTGATCTAGGTTGACTTTTCCTAGATACAGAGCGCCCTGTGAGATGACTTTCTGGTAACATGCGGCTGATTTGGTGGCTACAAATGCCAGCGGGGGACATGCCGTTGTGGTCTCGATTCCCTGGACGTCAATGGAATCTTTGACTGTAAAAGGAACCCCAAATAGGGGCGGGAGAGCGCTCCTGTTTGGATAGAGCTCGAGCAGGTGCCTGGCAGATTCAAGAACGGCATCTCTTGATTCTCGCTTGATCCACACCGCTGGATCAACGTCATCGTATTTCTCAATTCGGTCAAATACAGCATTGACCACTTCCATCGGCGAGAGTCCCTTTCGGTATGCTCTCTGCAGGTCGGGAATCCCCAGCTTCCCGTCCCAAGTGGGTGGTGTTTGAGGAGGAGTGCTGACTCCATTGCTCTTTTTCTGCCAGGGAGAAAGCGCATCCAGAACAGGTTGAAGGTCTGCCACAAATCCAAAGAGACCTTGTGACCAAGAAATCATGTCCAGTGATGCAGTTTTGAAAGCCGGGTTGTAGCCCGCCGTGCTCTGAGTGATACCACAGCACTCGAAACCTCGATCGTTGGCCTCTCTGATGGAAGTAGAAAAGCAGCATTCAGTAGTGACACCGGAGACTAGAAGATGGGTGATACCTCGAGCCTTCAATTTGTGAAGAATCGGTGTATTCCAAAAGGACCCCTTGCCAGGCTTGTCAATGACGACCTCGGAGGCCAGTGGTTGAAGTTCGTCCACTATATCGTGGCCGTACTCTCCACGAACTAGCAGACGACCCATTTCGCCCTTGTCACCAATGACTTTCCGATGCTGCGTATTGCCAGGAGCCGCAGCTTGTCGAATGAGCTTGGACGAAGGACAGTCGGCCAGAGAAGGAACTTGGCCTTCTCTGGTGTGGAAGATTGGCAATCCAGCATGGCGGCATGCTTCCAGAAGTGATTTGGTCGGGCCAATCGAAGCCTGCACGGCCTCGAGATTTCCGCCTTGGATCTCTCCAAAGCCTCCAGAGCAGATGAAATCGCGCTGCATGTCGATGACCAGCAATGCTGTATGTTTCAGGGGGAAGGTAAATGGGTAAGGCTTCGCCTCGATGGTGAGGAAACCTGGCTTGTCATTGGCCTCTCCCATGATGGGATTTTCGATTTCCAGTCTAAAAATGAATGTCTGAACCACTGAAAGCGCTGAATAGAAGTATTCAGAAAACCACACCTACTGTAGCGGAGATGTGAGCTTTTTATACACGACAGAGACGGTTTCTGCTGTCTTCGAAAGTTCTCCACGCCCAACAAGTAATTATGGTTGCAAATAACGAAGCTTTCTTTAGTCAAGCATACGAGTCTGAGCGCATAAGACTGACAGACTTACCAACGTGGAGGATAATGACGGAGCCTTGACACAAGAATAAGTCGACATCATACCGTCCATTGGGACCTGACAACTGATAAGGGCGAAAGCGCCCACAAGTGAACTAGCCTCGTAATGAAACCTTCGTAATATTTCGCTCGTTAGCGACCTCGGCCTTTACTTTTGCTAGATGGGCCGTCGGCGGTATCGTAACCGGTTTGATAAACGTGGTTCCGTATTGTGGCCGCCCGCCGACGGCGCCTTCTCCCCGGGCGGCGGCCATATCTCCACCACTCGCGGCTCTATCAAGGTGTATCTCAGGGCCATCGCCGCCGTTGTCTTGTCGAATACCCCCGATGCAGAGCTCACTAGTCTGGATCTGTTGTTCCCATGTGGTCGACGGGCCTTCGACCCGTCGCCGCCGTGCCTATCTCCCTTGTCTTCTCGTGGCACCCATGTCTATCACAGTATCTCTTCTTGCATTCGTCTATCTAGCGAGATTTCAGCCTTGAAGATGAAGCCATGTGGAAGGGGAGCGAATGTCTATATAGATCCTCTTTCACCTTCAGCTTTCGCCAGAAGATCCTCAGTCCCTCAATCCACTTCACTTGAATTGGCCGTAGCATTCAGAATTCCAACGTCAAAATGGTCGACTTCTCCGCTGAGCGCTTTTCCCCGAAGCGCCTTTCTCCCCAGCGCATCAAGGCTAAGATTGAGCCCCAACTCCACTGGCATGTTCCAATGGAAAAGGGAGTCTACCAGGATCCGCGTTGGTCTAACCCTGATCTCGATCCTGTGAAGCCAGAGGACAGAACTTGGGGCGCTCTGGTACGCGCTTACCTGTAAATTTAATATCTCGTGTGTCGGATCGATGAGCTAACCTCAACCGGGTAGGATTACTGGGTATGTTTGTCGGACATCATACCCTCTAACCATCTTCCTGACCATGTACGACAGGCGTACTGGACTAGCGACATGCTCGCACCTCCACTGGCGTCGACAGTGTCCTCAGTCATGAGTTTGGGATTCACTGCCCGCGAGACCATCCCCATTGTTTTCTGTGGCTTTGCCTTGTGCTCCGGAGCCTTGACGTTGACCGGTAAAATGGGCGCTCGCTATAGCATTCCATTTCCTGTCCTTGTCCGTTCCATCTTTGGCATGTATGGAAGTTATCCGGTCATTGTGCTGCGAGTGAGTTTCAACTTTGCCGCTAACAAGCCTTCGTTTGGCCTCAGAGGCTTCCGAGATTTCAGAGAACTTCGGATATACTGACGATGTCCGCAGGCTTTTGTCGCTGCGATGTGGACTGCAATTCTTTGCGTTCAAGCAGGAGACTTCTTGAACAATTGTATCACGGCCATCTGGCCCAGTTTCGCCAATTTTCCAAACCATCTGCCCGAAAGTGCGGGTATCACTTCAGCTGGCATGCTTTGCTTTGTGAGTGCTCTCCAGAAGTTCCGATGAGAATTTCTAATGCTTTTCCTGGTTGTAGTTTATCTACTGGATCTTTCAAACCATACTTGCTATCATGCCAATCAAGAAGCTACGCATTCTCTTCTTGATCAAGGGTGTTGTGGTCCCTCCAACCTTTCTTGCTCTCTTCCTTTGGGGAGCCATCGTCACTCATGGTGGAGGCCCACTCGTGACGTGAGTCTATCCGTTTTCTTCCCATCACTCAGAAAATTTCCGCAGACTTGGCCGCCTTTACGCAAGGCTGACCAATCAGAGCCTCTTTATCTATGATCATGTGACCCGGCCTGCTACCTCAGAAGACGGGATCGGAATAACGTTCCCCCGCCAGCCCGCCTGGTGCCCATTTCAGTCATGTGACTGGAGAATGTGGACTTCTGATTGGTCAGCCTTGGGGCATACCGACAACCTTTCGAATCTACCAACCCCGATATCATGAACTTTGGTCTCGCGATGCTAACTTCACTACTCTCTAAGTGGCCACGCTAGAATGACCTCAACCTACATGAACACGGCCTATTCGGCATTGACAGGTCTCAACGTGATCATCGGCCTCTTCAGTTCCATGGCGGTCAACTTCCCCGATTTCAGTCGATTCTCCAAGAACAATCTGGCCGGCTACAACCAATTCTTTGCCCTCCCTGTCATCGGAACCCTGGGCGCATTGACTCCAATCTTCGTCACCTCCGCCCACCAATACCTACACGGAGAATTCAACTGGTACATGCCCGCCGTGATCGCCAAGTTCGACTCACGAGCCGCCAAATTCTTCACGGCCTTCAGCTTCATGCTGGCCACCATCGGCAACCAGATTGCCGCAGGCACATATCCATTCTCAAACGACATCTCCGGTCTCTGCCCCAAGTACATCAACATCTTCCGCGCGACGTTGATCATTTCGATTTTCTGCGTCATTTCCAACCCCTGGCAAATCATCAAAAACGCAAGTGGACTTTTGGCTTTCCTCAGCGGGTATTCCATGTTCATGGGTGCCGTTTGTGGGACCATGTGCAGCCAATACTATCTGATCCTGAACAAGAAGCTGAATATCCACGAGCTGTACAATGGGCACGGTATCTACCGGTACTCGAAGATTGGGTTTAATTGGAGAGCGTATGCGTCTTTCTTCGTTGCGATTGGACCACTTCTGCCTGGCTTCTGCAAGAGCATTGATACTACTCTCGACGTCGGTGGTGCGTGGAAGATCTACACCTTCTCTTGCATCTACGGATTCACCGTTAGCGGGCTGGTGTACTACCTCATCTGCACGTATGTTTCGGATGTTGGTCCGGCCAAGATCGATGAGGCTGTCTATCCGCCATCGAAGCCACAGACTGGCGATGTCGAAGTCGGAAGTGCTGAATCTGAACAAGGCTCCTATGAAGAGAAGAAGGGTGGGGTGGAGGTTCAAGTTGGAGCCGGGGAATTGGGCCATAACTAAAGTCATTTATCCAGACAGGGCGCGTTCACTGGGAGAGTAGTCACTGAACGCAGTTGAGATGCGTTTGGAGGCTTCCCACGTTGCTGATGGCCCGACACGGAACGAATAAAGCAGATACTGGGATCGATGCCGGCTCTGAATCGAGGATCTGTGCCGGGATGGCTCAAGGTTGTTGGATGAAGAGTTTAGGAGACACCATACGCCAGGTAGTTTGATGATGCGGATTTCTTTAATGGTTCCCCGACAACGGTCATCACTCGCATAACCATCTTAATTGGAGCCGACTCTGCTAGCTCTGTAAAGAACGTCATGTTTGATGTTAGCGACAAAACGTTTCGCAGATTTCACCAATCGGAATGACGAAGCGAACGTTGTAACTCATGGAAAATTTTGTGGTGGCCGTATCTAACGATGATATTCTTTCGTCTTCTTCACCTCAGTTTCGTACTCGGAGAATGTGGACCGATCATCATCATTCCGATGGTGACGATGCCGGCGGTGGCGGGAATATCCCCGTTGTGGCGGATAAGCGGCGCGTTCTTCATCTTCATATTCATATCGTCGCATTGTTTCTTCTGTATACGTTCGTCGATCGTCGTCGTAGTAGTCATCGTTAAGTCGCGGATCACTCCGCCGGGGACCGTAGCTGTCTCTGCGGCCGTTTCTAGGACGAGGCCGATAATCATCGTCAAAATCATCGTTGTAGTCTCTTCTCAAATATCTGCCGGCAATATGTGCTTCGGCGCCGGGGCGTTCATGTCGACTTTCACTGGCGTCATGATGAATGATTTGGTCACGGTAAAAGCCGACACTTTGAGATCGTCTGCGTTCCAATCGATCAGGTGGGGAATTGTTCCTACCTCGCATAGAGCTGCGGAGGCGTTTTGGAGGAGCCGAATCATCAATATAAGCCTCTGGTGCTCGGCCGCGACGTCTATATCGGGGGTCATCGTCAATGTCCTCAATAACTTGAACGTCTTTGTAACTGGATTGGGCTACCGCTCGATCACGACCGCCAGAGTGCGAAGATTCGTACATAACAATGTCATCATCCCTGACCGGCCTCGGAGCTGCTGGTGGCATGTCGTAGTACCTCGTCCGCGGTGGCAAGTCATAGACCGGCACGTCACGGTCGACATAGTCACGAGAGCGTGGACCGTCCACATCGACGACAAAGGTGCCATCATCTCGTCTTTCTGGTCGGAGCACTTCATATTCGTACCGACCAGCCTCTCTTGGACGTTCAATGACAAGGGCATTTGAGCGTTTGACATATGCTTCGGAGTTCCTGTCCCGGCCCACCTCATAGGTCGTCTTTGTTGTAGCTGGAGCATGAGGCAATGGAGCAGGCGCGGGATGGCCTCGTGGATCGGTGGCTCGCACTCTTCGGTCAATTTCAATTCGATCATCTCTGTAATCACGAGAATAGGATTGTTCCATGGGATAGTCATAATCGTAGTCGTGGTCACGTCTGGTTCTCTGGCGAGGGATCGGATCATCAATTGGGTCTGGATCCCGGGTTCGGCTGGAATAAACGACTTTGTAAGAACGATCCTCTCCTCGCGAGGACATCTTGGGCCGGTCCACTTAAGAAGGGAAATTCCTGTGTTTTGGCTTCACATGGGAACTGTCCGGCTCTTCTCTTCCTGGGATGATTTTGTTTTGTGAGCTTTGTGGTCGGGCTGGCCGCGTTTTCTTTTCGCCCAGCCCTTGGACGTTGCACCTGGTATTTGAGACAGGCTATTGCTGACGTCATCAGCAGTGGACTGATCGTTAAGTTTAGATGCTGTGATGACCAGCTGTTTGTGTACACTTATCGGCGATTGATTGTGCTGCTGAGCAGTAGAGCTGGAGGTAAAAAGAACGAGGGGAGGTAAGCGTTGAGAGCTCCAGCATGTAGGCAGTAAAGATATAGTAGCACAGTCTGGCCCTTAAAAATCATATCCGATGTCAAGAACCCACCTATGCCCGGTGTAGGAGGAACATGACCATGCAGCTCCCCCCGCCTCATCAGGGGGCAAGTGTTTCCCAAAATTTGGCGTGCCCACACTGCGAGTTTCTGCTAATCCACACATTTGACCAGCACAACTCTATTCTGCAAAAGAACTCACATATCATGCCCCCCCAGAAAAAAACCTGTTGGTCCTTACCGCTATGTAAATTTGTCCTACATTAGTATCCCCCGTAAATAGCCGAGGTTCAACACATATCACGACAATCAAGACGATCAAGCATTCAAGGAGAGGGAGAAGCATGAGAAATCACAGAACCTGTGCAGAAGCTTTCAATTGCTCGCACTGGTCTAAGACGTGCTGTTTTCCCATTGTATATCTAGGGTATCAATGCTCTTTGTTTCATCCCCTCAGATTCGATGTCCATTGCCAGGCTCCTGGTCACAATCTCTCTTTTTCACCTTTGACACGATACGGGCCACTATAGCCATCCCAGTTTCCGTGTAATGTCCCACACGGGTGTCTCATTTCCCTCCCTTTCCTAGTCAGGGTCCTGGTAGGACACTCGATCTTCTCCTTCCGGGCCGCAGGCCTTGACGCCTTCGTCAGAAAAAGAGGGCTCTGATCGTTGCATTTCAGAACTCTTCTCCGGCTCTTCCAAGTTCATTTCTTCTTTCACACTGGATGCACGGCTCAAATCGGCGCTGTCGGGCTCAGACTCTCTCAGACCCAGTTCCTTCCCCAAAGTCCTTGCGCCTTGATGAACCGTGGCACTCATGGTGAGTGCTGATCCCCCTGTTCGCCCACTGTCAACACCATCCGCTGGCCGAAATTCTTCGTCTTCTTCACCACGCCAGTTCGCAGGTTGATTTTCAGGCACCGGCTCGCCTTTGCCAGGCTCTGTGATGACTTGCTCCAAGGGAGCACCATCATCACTCTTTGCGTACTTCCAGACCACTTTCAGGCGATCTAGCGCTTTGGTGCCTTTTCTGGAACTCCCTTTGATACCATCCATCGCATCCCATTCGATTTCAAAGACGCCGGAATCATGGCCCTCGTGGCCTCCTTCGAAATAGGCGTTGAACCAAACATGCGCAACGGATGTGACCATAGTTAACCCCGTATAGCCAGCCTTGTTTCGCCGCTCGAAATCGATATTGACATCGCTGGTCGGCAGTACAACCGGCGTCAAAGGCTTGAGGATGACTGTTTGAGTGGACCCGGAAGATGAATTGTTCAGATTCATAGTGGACGATTGAGGCGTTCCTTCAACAGGGCTGTTCAGCATTTCATCGTCCTTCTTGGAATTGGAAGGTTGTCTTGTTGGTCTGACCGACACGTGGCCATCGTCGACCACGGTCTTTTCTTGACGGTTGAAGGTATGAAAATGGCGAATGTGACGACCATTCTCGACATAGCCTTCGACTGAAACTTTGACACCATCTCTTAACCCCCAAACATGGACCTCAACCACTTCAACAGGTCTTTCGATATATCGTTTCCCCATGCTATTGGTCCAACGATCGACATAGCCCACCCAACGTAACTGACTAGGGATACTCACGCCGAGGCCAAAGCCAGCTCGCATTCGCCGGGCGGTAAACCAATCAAGAGCATCGACTTTTTTCCAACCCTCTTCACTAATCAGGTATGAGCACGCGACAGTGCCACTCCTTCCTTTCCCAGCTTTGCAGTGTACTACAGCGACCCTCTTTTTCCTTTCTCCAGGATTCGCATCGGCGTCGTCGTCGAGGCGTCTGATCCAATTGCGCATCGCGGCCATGAGATTGGGAATTATGGCAAACGGAGGGGGATGGTGATCAGGCCAAGGGAAGTGGTGGATTCTGTTGTACACCTCCGAGTCGGGATACCCGGTCCCTTCCGCTCGAAACTCGAATATTGCCCAATCTTCACCATGTTTCCTGTCTAGAAAGCCGACCAGCTGATCAAGGGGATTTCGATAGGCTTTCCTGGGCCACACGGAACTTGGCCCAGAGGTGACGACAACTAAACGGACTTAGCACAAAAGCACGGCTCGGTTCCGGCTCCAGTCGCTGACCTACTATAATCTGTCACATAGCACAGGTCCAACCCTGCTTCTGGATGTCTGGCACGGGGACCGGCCACGATTTGTCGAAGGATTGAAGCCTGTCGCAGTCAGACGAGTTCGGATCGACATTGCTCCAAAACTACCTACCATCTCGTTTCACCATGAGTTCGGACTATCGGGTCATGATGAAAGAGTGTCTGTCGGGCTTGAAGACCTCGACAGTCAATTCAAATATCTCTTCGACCATCAAGGCAGGTCACTTCGCCGGAACTTTGAATTGCATCCCAAAGACGCAGGACACCCACAAGTGGCCCCAGTACCGGGTCGGAGCTTTCAAATGACGTCACGAAGACGGATTTAGGACACAGCCAATCATCACGTCTTCATCTTACACACTTGTTCATCCTCTGTCCTCATCCTTTCGAATGTGGCATTATATTCTCTTCTCGAAAATGGAGTTCGGTATGCTGCAGTAGCGGCCGTTAAGAAGGATGCTTCCCGGCAATTCAGATGATCATCATGCCGGGCACCACCTGGCCTTGTGGTCTTGGAATCTTAACTGAATCGTCGATAGCCCGATTTGCAGATAGGGAAGCATCACAAGTGTTCCGGTGGCTCTCTCACCGGTAAAACGTCTATGGACCCTTCATGAGTTGGCTTAATTTCAGAGTCCAGGGGTTGAATTCCCCCTTGCTGATATTTATAACGCAATGTCTCAGATATCACACGCATTTATGTGCAAAAAAAAATGGACATGCAAGGTATGATTGGCGGCTTGCTCTTTGGCTTGAACGGAGTCGTCGACTTCCAAGCCATGATAGCTTCAGGATAAGGAGCATTCCATTCGATGCTTTTGAGGTGGGATGCTCCGATGACCATAGCTACTTTCTCCTCACAATTATACCGTCCTATCCCTGGTTCTGCTCGATATGGGGTGCTCTTTAGCTTTCTGTTAGTGTGGTGGCTTCCACCGCGAGTCTCGACCAAACTTTGACCAAATGGATGGAGTTTGCTGGGTATCTTAACTGTCTCTTTGTTTCCAAAGTTCCTAACGGACGATCCCCTTATTGATGAGTTCCCTTGGGCAGATTGCGACTTCATGAAAACCGACCCTTACAATACAATACACCTCCAGATACAAGGGGGGTGATTCGAAAATACAGTTACACTATGTCTCGTGGAATTCTTGCCCCGAAAGAAGCATGCTCTTAATCAACGGAAAGTATGTCCAGTTCCCACTGTTGAGGCAAACTGGGGTGATACGATCCTGGTGACTGTCATCCATAACGTTTCCAATGTTGCTGATGATACATATCTCGATCCAGTGGCACGGTTTCTGACAGCATCAGCTCAATGGATGGATGCAACACCAGGTAAGCTTCATTGTGTCCAATTTCTGACCAAATTTGACATCCTGATGGCTTCACCCAGTGCCCCACGGCGCCGTAAGGGCTGTTCACTTACAAATTCTGTGCCGAACTCCTTGGAACTTTATGGTACCATGCGTATCACTCTGCTCAGTACGCGGATGGCGTTCCTGGACCGATCACGGTGTATGGACAAAACCAAGAAGACTACGATATAGGAATTGGACCACGTACATGTCGGCTACTATTCCAGGGTTAAAAACATTACAACGCCCAGACCAAAACAGTCACCACGAAAACCCGCTAGAGATAACAATACGATCAATGGCAACACGAATTTCAACTGCAGCGCCGCGACCAACGAGACTGCCAAATGTTCAAACAACGCTGGTCTCGCCAAGTTCAAATTTCGGTCGAGGAAGAGGCATAAAATCCGACTGATCAACGACCGGTAGAAGTGTCCCGTATATTTAGAGTTGATGTCTTCATCGTCCAGCACAATGATTTAAGTCTGAGATATCGGTTCCATACTTTTTCTGATAGTTGGACTGCGATACTAATTGTACGGTCCCATCATAGCCGATGTTAGTCAACAATTTTCGAATTGACAACCGTACGACGACTGTGGTGGTAAATGATTTCGTCACACTCGAGGTAAGATTGTATTCGACTCCACTGTTCTAGACTATCTCTGACCAATTGGTGCAACCGCACACCACTGCTCTGGGTACATTTGGAGGTGATCAAAGAACGGATGTCGCAGAAATGCCACCTGCGTCAATTCGAATGAACCATTCGCACTGCTAATTCTAAACTACGAGGATTCCGAGAGCAACGGCCGGTCCAAGCCCCCCCCAGCGACCACGCGTTAACCGACCTAAGGGGTAATTAAATATCTCGGTCTGACTAACGATTTAGCACTAGAAAAGATGTTCTCGCTCCGGGAGCAACCAATCTGCAAGCCGTCAGACCGGAATATCGAATCGATTTCCCTTCAAGGAGCTCCACTCTTGTTCTTCTCCTTTGATCGGTCTGACAAATAACTCAGAGACATGATGTCGAGCACTTGACGACATGACGGAATTCATCCCGGCGTATCTCCGAAATATCCGGCTTTAGAAACAACGAGTCGCCGCATGCACTGTGCGATCCCATTCAAGGCCGCGACGCTGGTAGTTCGCCATGACAGTCGAAGAACCTCCACAAACGCGCAGAGCGCCTCAGCCTTCCCAGCAGACACATAGGAAGAAAAGATTTGGAGATTCCAGTAATGCATCACTCGACGACAAGGCACTTGACTTTGGCGATGCATTGATGCAACAACGTTCCAGGTTCAACGCGCATGAGCTCCCGCTCGCCCGCGAGATCCTGTTCGTGGGAATTGTCTGCCTCGCGCAATTTACGACCCAAGTCGGCCTGGGACAGACCTTACTCATTCTCCCCGTGATAGGTCGAAGCTTCAACCTCACCGAACCCAGTGAACTTGTCTGGCTCATTGCCGGATACAGCCTGACGGTTGGAACTGGCATTCTGATCTCGGGCAGGTTCGGAGATCTGTTCGGCTACAAACGCATGTTGATCATTGGATATTGCTGGTTTTCACTCTGGTCGATGGTCGCGGGACTGAGCGTTTACTCGGATCATGTGCTGTTCGTGTTTGCCAGGGTATTCCAGGGCATTGGGCCGGCTATTACTATGCCTAACGGAGTGGCACTGTTGGGGGCTTCTTATAATCCAGGTCCACGGAAAGATATGGCATTTGCTTTGTTCGGAGCTTGTGCTCCAGGTAATATATCCGGAATTTTCATTATACAAATTCGCCGACTGATTTGTTCTTTTTTTCTTTAGCTGGTTCCATAATTGGCGGTGCTTTCGCTGGACTCCTTGCACTGGCCTGGTGGCCATGGACATTTTTCTCGTTCGCGATTACACTGGCTGTTATCGCAGTCGTTGCGGCACTAGTTATTCCTGATCCCGCCCCAAAGCGCGAATTTGAAGAGATATCTATTCGAGAAAAGATCAGACTGCTAGATCTCCCGGGGGCCGTTGTGGGCATCACAGCTCTGGTCCTGTTCAACTTTGCGTGGAATCAAGCTCCGATAGTGGGCTGGTACAAGGCATATGTCTACGTGACCATGATCATCGGCCTTCTCTTGGTCCCGGTGTTCTTCTACATTGAATTTCGAGTTTCCCCATCTCCACTTGTCCCTTTCGACGCCTTGACAGTTGACGTTAGCTTTGTCCTCGCTTGCATTGCCTGCGGCTGGTCATCGTTCGGTACGCATTTTACCTTATAAACGTACGGATAAAGAGATTCATTGACTGATGAATGGTGGCCAGGCATCTGGGTATTCTACCTGACCAGCTTCCTCGAAAACCTACGAGGGGCGTCCCCTCTCCTTGCTACCGCATACCTAGCCCCTGTGACAATCTCTGGCTTTGCTGCCTCTGTTTGCACTGGTCTACTTCTGTCTCGACTACGAGCAGCCTGGGTGATGACAATAGCTCTTACATTTTTTACAGTCGGCCACATTCTCATCGCCACCGCTCCAGTTGATCAGACATACTGGGCTCAAACGTTCGTTTGCACCATCGTCATTCCTTGGTATGTGATTATCCTCCTCCCCCCAACCCCTAAATCCCAAAAATGGCCCTTCCTTCCCACTAAATTGAACTAATATCTCTCGGCAACAAGGGGCATGGACATGTCCTTTCCAGCAGCTACAGTCATCCTTTCCAATGCCGTAAGCAAAGAACATCAGGGCATAGCCGCCAGTCTTGTCAACACCGTCGTCAACTACAGCATATCATTAGGCCTAGGTTTCGCAGGTACCGTGGAGGTCCATGTGAATAATGGCGGCCACAATCCGCGCGACATCTTGCTCGGATACCGCGGAGCGTGGTATTTGGGTATTGGCCTCGCAGGCCTCGGATTGTGTATAAGCACCATCTTCCTGCTCAGAGGGTATTGGAGAGATCGAAACACGGCACATACATGACTGTCTCGAATTGAACCCGACAATCTGCGCGGAGTCGAGTTATCAAGCCGTCGAGTAGGCAGAACTTCGTGCATCGAGGAGACAAACGGCGAATCCGAACCACCACATCCGCCTCATGTTCAAAACTTGAACAACAACCATGTTTGTGTTCTGCCCTTTTACTACTTAGTGTCTCCCTTGGTAAACAATCTCACTGCCTCCAGCCTCTGCCTCTTCACCGGGCAGGTGGTGGTAATTGTCTGTAAAAGTGGCCATGGTTTCGCGTTATCATCAACATTCCCCTGAGCATCTTGACCTCGAAAAAGCACACGCGATACGCGCACTGTACACAAATCAAGTTCGAACTTGTTTTATCACAATCGCAGTTCAATTCAAAAAGCCAACAAACAATTGTCAACTCTTGAACTGAAGGGAAATGAAGTCTACGACTCGTGTCTCTATCTCAAAAGCTGCTCTCGCTCATGCACTAAAACCACTAACACCACGGGCAAATACTCGATCACTTCTCAGTGCTCGCGCACCAGGCTGGCCAAAATATGAGATCTGTTGTGAGGGGCACGGCCACACACTGCTTGCTTTGAGCAAAAAATCCGGTGACATGAAATGATATGATTGATGGGCCGATAGGAGGTGACTGAATTGGGTGCACTCGGAAAATGAAGAGGCAAGAGAGAACGTATGGAATATGGGACGGTAGACTTTTTCAAGAGGGTAAAGGGGAATATGGTGCTTGGACGTGGACTTGAGTCTCGACTGACAAATAGGATGGGTTCATTCAAATCAGGGTCAAGCAAACACAGAGGTTCAAATTCAAGGTCGGGTAATGTACAACGTCTTTTGATCTGTGTATACAGAGCTTCGGAAGAATTGAACAAAGCTACCGAGAAAATTCAAGTGGGAAGAAACCGAAAATTTCAAAGGTTCAAGGAACAAGCTGATGTAAAATTGATTGAATCGCTGAGACTCAGTTCATTGTCACTGTAAGATCAAGCGCTCAAGCTCAATGTTTGTCTCCAATGCTAGCAGCTAGGTGCTCATTCCTCAGCAAGTTTCGATCCGAATGTGCCAGCTCCATGCAAAATTTCGATTCTCAATTAAGATAGGAATCCAGGTATCTTATCATGCCTATGCCCATGAGCCATTGCATCTCGAGAGACTCAACCCTTTCTATTCCACAAAACGCCCATGTCGCTAAATGCACGCACTTCGTAGCATCTGTTGCCGTTCCCATTCTTCGTCATATCTTCCTTCCTCAGAATAATAAGGCCATGGGAAACCGAGCGACGATTCAGTTCAGAGAATTTAGCTGACATGTTGCTGTACAGCTTCCTTTGGCACAACGCCTTGCGCGATGAAGATGTCAACAAGTCCCTGAAGTGGCTCCATATCCTTCTTTGGCAAGAGATCGTAGTACATGGCGACGGTGATAAAGTGAACGAAACAACTGTTCAGTTCAAGGTGACGGTTGATATGCCAGAATGGATTGTCCCAGTGACAGTGGTATAAGTGAGCGTAGCATCGGAACATCTGTTTGATAATGCTCTTGACATCTTGATGATAATGTTGAGGGAACCCTGACGGCTTGCCCACCCACTCATCTGGAACGCCTACCAGAGAGGTCAGGGATTGGTTGAGATTGGTAGGGCCAGCCGCAATGGGAGTGGTTGCTGATCCTGGTGTGGAACCTGTGTCTCCAGATGCGTAGGCTGTGCTGGCCACGTTCGGTGGTGGGCTAGTTGGGAAAACGTTCTCGTCATGAATCTTGCCGACGATCCATCTCTGAACTCGAACGATGTATGACGGTGCTGGAATTTTGGCGGGCCTTCCGTTTTCAAGCCAGGTGTACGTGAGACTAAGATTAAGTCAGGTGTGCATCTTCAAGATCTCAAGGTTGACATTACCGGCCGGCAGACATTGTAGGACAACCAACTTCGTTGCATAAGGGCATTCCAGTGTTGGTGTCCACCTCTTGAATGACTTGAATCATACCTGTAAGCAGTCGGTTCATCTCAACCACTGTAATGATATTAGTCTCATTTGCTTCCGAAAAGACAGATCGAACACACGTTGATGGGCCAGCCATTCTCCCAGTTCGACATTTTTTGGCTGCGCAGCCAGAGTCAAGAAGTTTCCTTTCACCGAGCACTTGGCGTATTTCTCATTTAAAAATTTCTTAGGTTCCTGCTCATTGTACACACTCTCCTGACTGAAAGTGGAGGAAATCGAGGGTGAATTGGTCAAGGGGGGCATGGGGGGGAGTTGCTGAGAGTTGGGTGACTGGGAGCCGTTGTACTGAGCCTTGAGGTTTTGGGTGCTCTTGGTATTGCCTCTGGTGAAGCCTTGACGACTAGGGACAAGATCAGCATTTTTGAATAGGCCGAAGAAACTTGCGAATAGAGACATTCCACTTCATGATGGCCTTGTGTAGTAAATGTAGGGGTGGTCGAGTGGCCGGGTGTAGAAGTGGTGGGAGAAGAGTAGAGGAAGTCGGAGAAAGGTTCGTAACGAGGGGGAACACTTACACACTCTGGAAGAATGTCGCCATATTGCGCAGAGCAACCTGCAAGGACTAGACCACAAACCACAATACTGAAAAGGTGACGCGATGTCGTGAATCGTGCTGTAAAAAAGGAGTAAATCGCACTTCATATGAAAGTTGGGAGGCGGAGAGCGTTCACATTGAAACAGGAGGCCTCCTGGAGCAGGTTTGCCGGTCGACTCGCAATACGCCACAACTTTCCCCATTATTCTATAGCCACCCCTTCGCTCTGGTTTCCCGGGGCTCCATCCTCATGGCTTTCCTCCATATTAGCTTTACGACTCTCGAACTCCGCAACTTCCCTTCTCACGACTGACTTCTTCCCCCCATTGTCAAAAATGTCTGCAGCGGTGGAGTCGGTGTCTCGCAGCCAGGATCTCGAGGATCAAGATACACCACAAGATCTCAATGGAGACGACGCGTCAGACAACGATGAGGATCTTTTCGGCGATGATGACGAAGAATTGGACCCAGGCAATGAGTACGGACCTTTCCACACAATCTTGGAGCGCTTACTGATTTCAAAAGTCTGCATAGGAAATTGGATGACTCCGAACTCGACTCCGGTGACGATGAAAGCCGAACAGATCGAGTGGCCGCCACCGTGGAGGACGATGAAGAATTATACGAAGAACAGAAACAATTGAAATTGCTCGATGTGGACATGGCAAGGGTGAAGCCGCCAGAGGGAGATGAGGTTACCCATCCCCGGAGAGAATACGTCCGAAAACTATACTGATGAAGATCAGCTCTACCTCCTCACCATGCCACCGTTCTTGGGAGTTAATCACCGCAACTTCGTCCCAGCAACATACGAACCTCCAGAGAAACCACACGACGGTCGAGATCCCTCCGCCGACCCCACCGTCAAGTTCTCTCCGTTCTCAACAGCAGCTAGTACGATTTTCTGGCGTCGCGACCCCCAAAACCCCGAACTGCTACAGTCAAATTCCCGCATAATTCGCTGGTCTGATGGTAGCTTGACCCTTCAAATCGCCTCATCCCCAAAAGATCACTATCGCATCTCTACTACGGCCTTACGGCAGAGCTGGCCGAAGAAGCCAGGCTCGTCCCAACAAGAATATGATCCGAACAGAGACACTCACAACTATCTTGCCGCTCCGCATGCGACGGCCGGTATCGACCTGCAAATAATATCCCCGTTCGATGCATCCATGAAGATTCAACCGACCGGTGACCTGATCGACGAATCGGTGTTGAAATTACAACAATCTCTAAAAGCAGCTACTCAGATACATGATCCACTTGCGACATTGAAGCAAGTGAAAGAAGACCCAGAACTCGCGAAGAAAGCAGCAGAGATGTTCGAGAAAGAGCGATCGCGGGCCAGTCGCAAGCGAGAGGTTGCGGAAGATCGACTGCTCATGCGCAAAGACCGTGTGCTTGGTCGCTCTGGACTCGGACGCAGCGGTGGGGGCGGGCTGAGCATCGCCGGTCTAGAAGATGACGATGGCATGCCACTGGCTCGGGGTAAGAAATCCAAGGCTAAACGCCGTAAGACTAACCGCCGTGGCGACATCTACTCGGACGATGAGGACGAAGACATGCCACGCGGACGCGGCAGAGAGGACGAATACGATCGTGAAGACGACTTCCTGGCCGCGAGCGATGAGGAGCCAGAAATCTACGACGACGGTGGCGAAGAAGTCGAGGCCGAAGAGGAGGATGACCCAGACATTGACGACCTCGAGATTGAGGGCCGCGAAACGGTTATCGAGAATCGCACACGAGGTGGCAATGAGCGTGACGGCTTGGAGCGCGCGCGCGAGAGAGTCAGAGATCGAGGCTCGCCAAAGCGTGCTGCCGACAATGACGACGAAGACGAACCGGTCCCCACAGGCAGTCCGCAGGCAAGGAAGAAGAGACGAGTCATTGATGATGACGATGACGATGACGAGTGAGCTTTCACGGCACGATGCACGGAGGAGTGGAACACGGATGGTACTATGGACACGCAACATAAGGGCGCGTGGTCATTCGGAATTTTGGACCTTTCGGACTTGTCTTTGATACCCCTTACCTCGATAACCGGCACATCTCTGGGGGGTGATTGATGTTGGATAGAAAGGATATCTTGCATCTTGCGCGACTCATCAGGCGATAACATATGGAAGATCGAGACTCTGGATCGAGAACAGCTCGGACCCAAGATGCTCCAGGAATCTTCCTCAAAAGCATCTTGTGCAATAAAAACTATTTGGAAACCTTGAATTCTTCATCCTTTTCCGTCAGAGTATACGATACACTTGGACAAAACGTCAGTCTCATCTACGAACAGTATTTCTTTTCTTTTGAATTGGAACATTTTCATATTTGCACCGCATGTCCTGCAGTACCTTTTTTGGCCACCCATCTCCTTGTCTATGAAATGATACAAGAACATCGTAGTCTTTCCCAAAAACCAGAGACAACCGCCCTTACATGCAAACCCTGCGTCATTCGAAACCCTTGTAATCTATGTAATACCTGGTTGTGATAGTAGTAGTATGTTCTGATGATGATATACGCCGAATGTATACAAACTCTCCTCACCCAACTCGCTCCGACCACCCATGTCAGAGTTCCCTCGGACCTGCTAGGCCACTAGCTCAACAAATTCTTCAAACTTGGACTTGCACTGGCACCCGGTCCATCTCTCCTATCTTCCCTTAACCCTAGTCCGCTGGATGGAGTAATTGGTCTTTGTTGTGGGCTTTCAGGGAAAGGTCTCGGTCCAAACCTCGGAGTCGTCCCCGCCATTTCGACACTAGTTTGTCTTGAATGCGGCCGCCCTGTTTGTTCACTAGCTGCCTGGGCAATTTGAGTAAGCGATTGTGCCGATGGCGAACGTCGGACGACAGAAGGCGGCGGAGGTAGCGGAGGTGGAGGGGGAACTTGATTATATAGTCTCTGCGCAGAAGAATGTGGTGCCGAATAACCATTGACAGGTGAACCTGAGGCGGGTTGACGAGCTGATTCAGGAGCAAATGATCGAGATAAGATAGTCGATGATCCTAATCCAAGATGAGGCGAAGGGACTGGTGGACGTTCAGGAGCATACCGTGGAGGAGAAGGCTGACGGGGTGGTGGTTGTGGTGGTGTGGAAGATGACGGTGGAACATGGGGGTGAGGGGGTGGCGGTGGAGGAGGATGCCCATAAGGTGCAGGAGGAGGTGAATGTTGAGGTAAAGGCCCTGGAGCGGAGGGAGGCGGTGGTGGAGGAGGTGGTGGTGGCCCAGGCATATTCGTATATGGAGAAGGATGTGCTGGTCTACTATATGGAGATTGATTGTATTCCGGTGGCGGTGCTTGTCGATATAGCGGTTGTCCATAAAGTCCTCCGACAGACGGAGGAGATGGATGACGTACAGCTCGCACTCCAGGAGATGACCATTGCGGTGGAGGAGGATTCTGCCAAGGTGAATGATGAGGAACCGGGGCACCTAGTGGATGCGAATGTGAATGAGGAGCTCCTTCAAGTGGTGGCCGATTCAGCGGATACCCGGTCGGTGGTGGGGGGGGATAAGATGGCGGATATGGGTAAGGTTCTTGAGTTGGCTCTGGTGGAGGTTTTTCACGAGGTTTGACCTGTGACGGAGACGAAGGGGGTGTTCGTTTCAGGATATGGCATTTGTGACACTGGAACATCGCTCGATCCTTGCCTTCCACAATGGCAGCAAGGGAATCGCCATCGGCGGGTTCTGCTTTGACAATGCCGTTGGTCATCACGGTATCACGAGAGCCATTGAGAGAGCTGTGTTCACCGCCGTGCTCCAATGGTGTTCCATTCACCACAGATGAAGATTTCTGCGACGGTCGTAAAGGCCACCATCTGGGACTCACGTCCACAAGACAAGTGCAGCACTTTTTCTGTCCGCTGGTCCTTTTGGCTGCATTTTCAATCATTCTTGATTCATTTGGTCCGTCATCTGAATCCTGAGGCGATTCGGCCGCAGGAGACGTTCTCAGACTTGGACCACCGGTCCTCTCTGATGGCATGGTCGTGCCGTTCGTTGCGCCATTGATAGTGGAACTCCGCCGCGGTGGAGGCTGAACTGCAGACGCAGAACCGGTCAAGTTTGCCGTAAACTGTGCTGCCCGACGGACGGTACCAGTGATGGAATTATCGACCTGTTTATAAGTACGGGCAAATAACTGCATGGCAGTAAGCCCAGATTCTGTGGGCTCCAGCATGTTGTGAACGACAGTGGATGGAAGATGGTTTGGGCACCAGATCCCAGCAGTGACAATGCCGGTTTCTAACTCCAGTTTCATCACATTGACCGAGTCGCGTCGACTGCTCTTGACCGGAGCTACATCAAAGCCAAAAGTGTATTCTGCTTGATGCGCACAGCCGACGTGGAAGTAGGTGTTGCAATTTGACTGGTGGCATTTGACTGTAGGATACCCAGTTTGCTTGCAGATTTTGCAGACCGGCTCAAATCTGTCGGCGGGGATGAAACCGACACCTTCGGCATCATCAAGCAATTCTGAATTGCCAAATTTGATCTCCTTGGTCCAGAGAGCGCATGTGATGTGAATCCAATTGTTCCACGCCGTTCTTTTTAGTGCCTCGCGTGGATTGACAGGGCGGCCGGCCGCTTCTTGCTCCATACGCCATCGACGACTAGCCTCTTGGATGATTTCTCTTTCGATCCGCTCCTTTTCGCGTTCTCGATCTGACTTCTTTTTGTGTGACACTCTGAGCGGTTCCATGAGTTCTTGGGTCGTATATTTGACTGGACAGAGAACACATTCGTACGTGGTTGACACCTGGAGGTTGTGGTCATTCCGGCACATATCACAAAACCAGGGCTTGGTATTGGTCTTCAACCCCACTCCGTAACATGAGCCATGTACGTGAAGTCGGCAGTCGCGACATTTGAGCAATTCCTGTCCAGGCACCTCGATAACGCGACACACGGCACAAGGATGGATTTTGACCTTGGGAGGATCCGGCTCGATCGGAGGAGGCTCCTGTGGCTTTTCGGGCGCCTTCTTCTTCTCGGGCACAACATCTGGAGTTCCTTGGCCCGCATCTTTGTCCGTCTTGCCTTTCTTCTTCGGTGGCTCATCCGGTTGGATGATGTTCTGCGGTACTTCCAGGCCGGCTTTGTTGACCTCGTCAACCGCTCGTGGGGGGATTGGATCTCCAGACATTTGATGCGCCTCAAGAATAAGACGCAGCAACTCCTCATCGACCTTGCGCTTGGCAGCGCGGCTGCCCGAAGACGCGATTTTCTTCGACACCTCCTCGATGTCCTCATACTGTACCGCATACTTGCGCCAAAGATACGCGCATCTTCCACATAATGCCAGTGTAAGCCATTGACTTTTGTCTTTGCTATTCTTTGCGGAAGGATCTTTAGGTACGAGTGTGCCGGGGGGAGTACCCGGGGCGCGCCGCCACTGTCGAGAGTGGTGTGTGCCGCAGAACTTGCACTCAAATCCGCGTTTCTTTTGCGCAGCTTTTTCATCATCAAAAGCAGAATCATCATGATCATCGGCGACGTCATCCAGTAATTTGGTCACGTTTCCGTCCTTATCAGCTCGCTTCGATTCTTTCTTGGAACGTCGGCCCTCGAAGTTACCCCAAATCTGTCGCCCTCTCTCTGTTTTCTTCCACATGTAATAGAAACGAACAATTCGCGACTCTTTGACACTCGTCCCCACATGACGAGATACAGCATGGAGCTCGCTGCCGTATTTGGCAACTCCTTCTTCGAAACGTTTGATCTCTTCTCGGTTCAAATCAGGCTGTTTCAAATCAGCCCTCAGCGAAAGTCCCTTCATTGCTTCCAACGCCTTTTCGACGTCATATTCATTTTCCTGCAATTTCTCTATCGCCTTGGTCAGGAAGTCAACGGAGGAATCCAGCAAATTGTATTGCGCAGCAATGGGTTTGACTCTCTTCATATAGTCATCTACCAATGCCTCCGCATTTTCGGGTGTCGCGGTGTCATCGCCACCTCTTTCCGGGAGCTGCGAAGGTTCGGGCATCTTGAAAAGCAGTTGAGCCGTATGTTCCTTTTTGCCCTTGATTTCGATCTGTTCGTCCTGCCCACGAGGAACATAACCCACGGGCTCGTCCACGACCCATTTAGGACGTTTGAGCCGTTGATCTTTGTCAGTGTCGGTGCCGGTATCTTTCGAAGGTTTACCGCCCTTCAGATGATGGGAATTTTTCAAATACTTGCGCTTGATTTCGGCCGGTTTGACCAGTTCAACCGGTCGGCCGTGCCACACATTGACGTTGGCCTGATGGCGAGGACCCAGTCTAGAACTGGCACGAGGATATATTCGATCATCGTAATCCAACGCATCTTCTGCGCGTGCGTGAACACCCAGATATCTCCAAGGCCAGAGATTCGCTTGAGCAATCTGGGCCGGGGTGGGTGCTGGATGTGATCCGGGAACGATACTGCTCTCACGAGTGTCCTGGTCTTTGGGGTGAGCGTCGTCCTCATCTTCGTCCATCAGATCATCATCGCCTGGCGCGGTTTCTGAGCCTGCTGGTGTGTTTCGGGCATCCATCTTAAGCTCCTGGGCCCTGCTGCAGGCAGCACACGCCCAGGCAAAGCCTCGAGCCGGCTTTTTCAGCAATGGTGGCCTCACACATTGCATGTGATAGGTTCTTTTGCAGACTGCGCAATCCACCGAATCGTGGTTGCTGGCAAACTGCTCGCATTTTGTACATTTCTTGCTTTCACTTGTCAACTCTCGTCCCCGCCCAATTTCGACCAGGACAAATTTCCAGCGTTGATCGAGAACGGCCTTGACCTGTTGGGGAACATTGACGACTCGGTGAGTCGGAATGACTTCGTAATAACGAAGCATGTATCGATCATACAGTTTGTCAAACCAGAATGAATCCTGCTGACCACGATATTCATCCATGTTGGAAATTTCCGACAAATGATGTATATTGCATTTCCCACGTATCGAAGTGAGCGGACAGGTATCTGAATGCATGGAAGCGAAGACGACTCGAGTATCTTGAACACGCCGAAGTATATCTTTTGGTCGATAATACCAGTTGACTCGCAGGGCATCAACCGGACCTTCAGAGTCCCCTTCGGTGTGGAGGAACTCCATGATTCGTGCCAGATAGTAAGGCTCTCCGGGAGGTTCGCAGACGAAGTAAACATGGTCTAGATGCAAAGTTAGTATGGAGCGAGAATGGGTGTACTGTGATGATGCGTTACCATTTGCCTGGACAATTGTGCCATCATCGGCGACTAATTGCTTCTTTGCGTTCAGTCGTTGGCCGCAACGGGTGAAGCTCATCATATTGGTCTCGACGTAACCTTTGAAGGGGACTGAAGTGGTGTGTCGGGACCGCGAGCTTGAAACCATGTTTGAGTTGGAAGCGACAGTATGATGACTTCCTGGATGCTTTCTTTTCTTCGACAGTGCCGGAGTCGAGGCTGGCGTTGGCGTAGACGAATGGCCCGCCGGTGCATGCTCAGGCAGTTGGTCACCATTCGAATGGTTGACCGATGCGAAGCCTGAAGGCGCAGGTGGCTGTTCGCAGGCGGTGGCCGAGGGCCTCTTGCTGGACCGGCTGATTTTGGGCAATGTTTCCAATTCTATGTCCAACTCCTTGTCTTCGGCATAATTAGGACGTGTACCACCGGTACGATTTCTTGAGCGAGTTCCGTAAGGGCCAGAGGCAGGACCATCTCCGTTTTCGAGAGGAAGATGTTGCGAGGAGGAGGATGCGGTAGCAGTCATTGGCTGTGACTGGGGCGTGTCGAAGGGAAGGGCAGTCTCGGGTGCAGGCGACACATCCATACTGGTGGCCGCAGCGCTTGGCGGTGCATCGTTCTGAATGGCCGAAAGTGCATCTGACTGTTGTCCGGGGGGGGAATCTGAGGGCGCCGTCGCGACTTGAGGATTGACGGGAGCCGACATGACGAGTCGAGGCGAGGTGTGCGCTGTGATTTAGATTCGTGGAGTCCTGAGTTTTATCGCATGGCGACCTGAGACTGGAGGGATGGGCTGCCCTGCGTAGGGCTGCGGCGATAGTTCGGGTCAGCTAATCAGCTGAGGGATATCTCGACAGCAGGGGCGATAATGGTAGATATCCAAGGCTGCCGTGATTGAATGGAACAAGCGGGAAAAATGTGCTGGTCGACGGTGTTGGAAGAAACAATCAAGTTTGAAGTCGGGCGGCGGAGTGGGCGAAGCGATATGTCGGAGGCACACGCACCAGGACGAAAGAGCTTCGCGGTGTTAGCGCCGTGCCGGGAATGGGGCGATCAAAATACCCGGGACAAGGAGTGATGTAGCGGGAGTTGCGAGAAGGGAGGACAAGTCGAGAAATCGCCCAAATCATGGGGTATTTGTGAAAGGGAGTGGAGGAGGGAAGGAGGGAAGAAAGAGGAAAAAGAGCAGGAGGCTGATGAAGGGAAGAACAAAGGAAGTGGATAAGAAGGCGAAGATGGAGGATGAGATATGAATGGAAGGAAGGGTGGCAGACGGAAGAAATGTGGCCTGGGGCTAGCAGCATTAGTCTAATAGTGTCATGGTAGTGTAGCAGAGGAAAGTTTAGACTGGCAGGTCGACCAGGACGTACTAGCAGGCATGGTGCCTGTGCTGTAGAATCAGTGACAAGGGCGGACACCGGATGGAGTGCCGAGATATTGGACTGGAGGAGTGAAAAGATGAGGTGAGGTAAGAGAGCCTGAGCAGAGAGGGTCCGGCCTGGCTGGAAGGGGGAACGAGTGGTAGAGCAGAAATGGTCGGAGAAGGCGCGAGGCGGACGGATCAGATGGCATGGAGAACGAAGAACGCTTAGTTCCAGTATCGCGATTAGAGTACGTTGGATTGGATGCGGGAGATCAAGGTCACGTTTGCGTTTAGGTGTGTCGAGAGAGCAGACGACAAATGAAAAAACTTCCAGGGCAGAACAATGTGGATACCCGACGAGGCAAGAGACAGCCCAGGACCATGCCACTCTATCGCGGTTCTCAAGGGGATATTTCCCATGCTAGGGTATGTCTTTTGCATATGGCGACGTCGGCGGGCATGGCCTACATCACAGAATTGGCCCTGGGCAAACTTATCTCTCCTCCCTCCGGTCAAGGCTGGCCGTCATCTCGGGACAATGAGAAGGGGTTCCAACTCATTGTTTTACCTCTCTGGAGCCGGGCATGAGGAAGAGGAGCCCACCAGCCACTCTCTGCTAATGTAACTCATATCTTGCTCCCCAAAAAGAGACTCGTATTTTGGTGGTGAAAGACGGTCTCCCAGTCCAGAGGTGAGGTTGAAGACCAAGTTGCAAGTGCAGCAGCCCCACAAGGGTGTGTTTTAGTGCCCGGTGTGGCTTGGCGTCAGGTGACCACGATCTTCCCTGCTCGCCCTCTCTAAATTTGACCACATCTCATCTCGAGTACCTCTGCTTCCACAGTTCATAAAGCTCTCAGATCGGCTTGGGAAGTCAGCAGAATTGATGCAAAGTACCAGGCAGCACGTCATGCGCATTTGACATAAATTTCTGGTGCCCCTTTGCTCCCAGAATTCGTGCCTGGCCGTGGTCGTGTTCTCGTCCACTCTCCGACGTCCCTGGCTCTATGAACCAGCGCAGCTCCTTGTCTTGTGTCATCCAAACAGCCAACTCATCGCCAAATCCTTTCTTCTAGGCTTCCGTGGCTCATCTCCCGCCTCATTCCATGACGATGCCGTACATTTCGCCACTCTTCCATCACGTTGCCTACGCCAGCTGTTTAGGTGCCTCCCTTTACCTGGCGCCGAATGCGTGTGAAACAATATTTCCATTCCCAAGTCATTCTGATCCATGAACACAGGCTTGCTGTCCCATGTTTTTTGGACTGCAATGTCCTTCTAGTTGTGGTGACAGTGGGACTCGCCGCAAGTGAAGTTTTCCGAGTTGCACCTTCAAAAGCCAGTTCGGCGGAACTGGAAGGTCGGTGGCTTGGCGGGCCCAAAGGTCGGGTTTCCCGCTATCCCCTTTTGGGACTCCCTATCAGCAAGTATTCACCTCACGTGTCTCGGGTCCTGCAAGTCGAGGTTCGATTTACGTTCATGCTTTCTCCATTTTCCCTGAATATTCTGCGCTCCATGGCGACTTCATGGCAACAAATCAACAACTATTTATGACCAACCCACTTCACTGGTCCCCATTCGGAATCAAACCTACAAACCAGAGCCCGAGCGGGATCAATACGACCCAATGACCAGATTCAAGATGGCCCTTGGCCGCTCGCACACCATAACACTTGGTCGCTCCCTCATTTTTCCGCCGCACACAAATCTGTTCATGTCATAGGGCGTCCACCACAACGGCTAACGGCAAGCCGAACTATCCAACTGCCAATATAGACCAAGCCCACGCCATAGAAGATGAAGCTCCTGCTCCCTCGTTCCCAATTTTGACTCCTACCTCTGGGCCTTCTCAAAATCCACTTCTCATTCTACGACATCCGCGGTATGACCTCCCTTCCAAATTGGTTGGGCAATCTGAAAGCCAGTGGTGTATGCGCAATCTATCCACGGCTGTCATCGTGTCTTTTGGGGAGAGGCCTCTTGAGCGGAGAACAAAATCTGGCTTAGACAGCACCCACAGGAAGTGATAAATCTCTGGCTGCAGACATTCTCCTCAAGCGCTTCATTGATTCTCCAGGAACGAAGTCTACCTCGGCTCTGCCGTCCGTTGCACTTGTGTAAGAGAGGCTCGAGTGGCTACGCGCCCCTGCGTGGACCATCTATCGGGTGTATCTCCAATCCCAACGTGACGCTGACCAAACAGGTCAATTCGTGCAAGTTTTTTTTGGGGGGGGAGCAGATCGTCCCGCAAATTGGTCAGACTGGGATGTGGCTGTCTGCGCCATTGAGAAGGCCAATGCCATTGTGAACATTGTCATTGAGGAGGGAAAGTCCGAGGATATCAGAGTGGTTGTTCTCGATGAACTCCATATGCTAAACGATGAGCCCGCGGGTATATCATAGAGCTTCTCGTCACCAAATTGATGTTGTTGGGCAGTTTCGTTCAGAGTTTAGCATTACGAAGTACCGCCCAATTCCCATCGAAGGACATCTACCGTACGAAAATACCATCTATCCTACAGCCAATGCCCAAAATTTTTTTTTTTGCACAGCCGGTCAATTGACTGCCGATGACGCCGCCCCGGCACAAAACCACAGGCCTGTAGTACCATCACCAAATCCGAACATCAGAACCTCCAAAATCCTATAGTTAATGCTGTCGTCGCATTGGCCATTGGGACAGCTGGAGCCGGTCATGGAGCGCTGGTATTTTGCCGCAGTCGACTGGGTGCAGTAAAACGGCTCATTTAATTGGTGACGCGATGCCCACGAATCCTCTAGATCACGATATCCCGGGGAAGCGGTAGGATTTGTTGGCATCTCTACAAGCCCTTCCTGCCGGTTCGAAGCCTGATTTGCCAACTGTATTCCATGTGGGGTCGGATTTCAACAAGCGGGCCTGACCATTGAAGAAAGAGATATGGTTGCCGAAGCCTATGATGCTGGCATTCCGAAAGTGATGGTGGCCACGTGCCGTCTTGGTGCAAATATCGACCTCCCTGCTCGAAGAGTCATCCTAAATGGAGCTCGGATGGGGGCGAAATTTGGTGGGACCTGCGATGCTTCGACAAATGCGTGGTTGAGCCGGCCGCAAGGGCAAGGATGAGGTCGGCGAGACTACCTGGGCTGTCAAAAATCGGGTCTTGAAGCTGTGGCTGAACTGCTCGAGATTAAAATGCCTCTTGTTGAAAGCTGTCTGACCTTGACAGACGAGGCATCAAGAGAGCTTTACTCGAGGTAATTGGAAGTCGAATGGCCTCAAGGAGGATCACGCTCGAGCAATACGTCCATTCATCTCTGCGTTGGCATCCCATGGGCTACGAAGTTGTATTGGAAAAGGCACTCACAGACCTGCTTGTAAATGAACTGATCCAAATGACGCAGGACGAGGATTGTTTCGAACCGACCCAACTAAGTGTGGCCGTCGTGGCCGCCGGGCTTAGTCCCGAAAATGACTTTTGGTTCACTCAGAACAGAGACGCGCCCTTGAGTTGTTTGTGATGGATGGTGAATATGCACATATCCTACCTCTTCACTCCAGTCCAGACAATGGCGCTCGCTGAAATATCCTGGATGACTTTTCACGATCAGCTTGACGTTCTTGGCGCTCTTGACGAAAGCGGCCTCGGAGCCATTCGACCCGTCGGAGTCAATCCTGCTTCGGTCAATCGACTGGTCACCAGTGGTGCTGAATTGAAAGAAAACACCGTAGAGGAGACTCGACTGGCTCGCATTTATCGCCGAGCTTATTCGGCGTTCCCATTGCGAGATCTTTACAATGAGATCCCTGTTCACGAGATTAGTGAGAAGTATTCAGTCCCTCGAAGCCAGGTGCAAATATGGGCCCAAACTTGTCATGGGTTTGCTGGAGAGACGATCATATTTGGTGAAGGATGGGCTGGAGTATGCTCGCTGCGGTGCTCGAACATATGCTAGACCGATTTCGTGCAGGTCCCGGGCGGAAGTGGTTAGCGAAAGCTGAAATTATGGTCAGCAGCATCAATAGATTGTGAGAGAAGTAGCAGATGATTCAACGGGAGGAGTGATAAATGGGAATTTATGAGCGTGTTGAAGAATGAATGCCTTGATGTCGAGCCTTGGCTGGTGCGGTTAAAAGTTGGTGCCTTGCATTAGCAATCGTCGTGGATTATTTTGTTTTGGGCAGTGCGCAACTCGAGCCTCGAACTGGTGATAAGTCATTGCCATGCTGGGAATTTGCTCCTAGCAACGCGGTTGGAGGAGAACTCTTGGGTCAGCACAGAGGACGGTTTGAAGGCAGAGCACCATATCGTTATGCATGAATCCCGGCGAAACGAGCCTAGGTATTGAATGGCCCAGATAATAATAGGAAGGAGAAGACGGATGGATCGTGGGTGAAGGTGGACTTCGCTGGCATGGCGATTACAAACTGCACATTGGCTCAGCCAGTTCCACAATGCGAAAGCGGGTGGGTTTCCATGATTGGCTTGCTTGTGCAATTCTATGTCAGCTTTCCATAAGCATCTGGGGGCCTTTTGCCAGGGAGCTGCTCTTCAGCTGCGTCACTCGTCTCCGGGCTCCATGGCTTAGCCTAAGAGAAATGGGAGGATTAGAAACTCCTTCTACCCTAAGTACTCATCGTATACTCAGCTTGATTGTATTCATAAGGATTACTCGTTGCAGGGAGCAAAAGGGGAGGGGGATAGCTGTGCTTTGCAATCTAAGGCGGAATAGATTGTTCTGTATTGTGGGGATGCATGTACAAAATTTGGTAATGCTGCAAGCCAGGGTGCGCGGCTTGCGTCACTGGCATGGGCATAGGCCACGCCGCGCCCCGCTCGTTTAGAATCTGCCACGGGGTTCAGTAGTATCAGCATCAAAGTTGCAAAACTGGCGAGCGAGGTACCTAGCAACTAGCCCACTAGTAGATAGCGACTTTGAAAAGTTCTGTACCTGGGTTAGTCAGTCGGGTCACAGACTGGTGGCTCTTGCCCTCATTGGGCTTGTACTCGATTGGAAATCTCAAAATCCCTGACCTAAATCGACACATACAAATACCTCGACCGGTTCCTCTCGTTCTCCTCTACTCACTAAATCCTCCACTCTTGATTCCTTCTTATTCACTTCGTTTTCTAACGACCAGAGACTATTCACCATGGCTCCCAAGATCGCCATTGTCTACGTAGGTCCCTCTCCGATCCGGCCATGCCTGTGGCTAATGCTCCTGCTAACGATGCGTACTTAACAGTACTCCATGTATGGCCATGTTGCCAAACTTGCTGAAGCCGAAAAGAAGGGCATCGAGGAAGCTGGCGGCTCCGTCGATGTCTATCAGTACGTTCTCCGTCCTCCTGACCAGATCCTTGTTAGACTGACAGCACATCTCCCACAGAATTGAAGAAACCCTCCCCAAAGAAGTCTTGAGCAAGATGCACGCCCCAGGCCCCAACACCAACATCCCATTCATCACTCCAGACGTTCTGAAGACGTACGACGCATTCCTCTTCGGTATCCCCACCCGCTACGGTAACTACTCTGCGCAATGGAAGGCCTTCATCGACAAGCTAGGTGGCCTGTGGCAGCAGGGTGCCTTATACGGCAAGTACTATGGCATGTTCATCAGCACCGGCACTGCTGGTGGTGGGCAAGAGTCGACCGCCCTCGCCGCCATCTCCTCCTGGGTCCACCAAGGCATGATCTACGTGCCTTTCGGCTACGCCAAAGCCTTCCCCTTGCTCGCCGACCTCTCTGAGGTCCGTGGTGGCTCTCCCTGGGGTGCCGGCACCTTCGCCTCTGCCGATGGCAGCAGACAGCCCTCCGCAAAGGAGCTCGAGATGGCCACCATCCAAGGCAAGGCCTTCTACGAAACCGTCTCCAAAGTCAACTTTGCGTGACTAGATGGCAGCACCGCCAACAGGACCGAGAACGTCGTCTCCAAACAAGAAAAGAAACCTGAGTCTGCGCTTGCTACGAAGCCCTCTCAACCAATACAGACCGATCCCAAGAACACAGACGAAAGCGGGCCTTGCGGACTGCCGAAGAAGTGTGTCATTTTGTGATGGAGCGATGCTACTCAAACATCTTGAAAATACGTGATGGATATTTAAACAGGGTCCGGGCAACGAAAAAGAAAAAAGAAAAAAAAAAAAAGGAGATAAAAAGACAAGACGACCAAGATCCGAGTACCATACTATCCCACACCGTGATGCGTAGAGCCAAATTTTTTCCTGTCCCACACGGTACCATATACCAATGTCAATGTCAGTTTCAATCTCGACATCAATCTCCGGTTGTTTAGGTGAAATTTTTTTTTTTAAAAAAAAAAAAAAAAAAATCTGAAATTGATCATGCTCGTTATGAAACCTGCTCTCCTCATGACCATAGCCATTGCAATTTGGGAATCAATCCATATGCCACATCCACTGCCTTCTACATTACCATATTCATAGCTCGACCCTTGGAGGGCCCCCTTCCAGACTTCTAATCAGCATCCTCGAATGCTTGACGATGCGGAGACACAGTATGCCATCGTCGCCTTGTGCTCGCACCTCCGCTTCGCACTCCTTAATCTCCTTCAACGTCATACCCACCGTGTGTCCACGGGTCAAATCATTCGTCAACCGTGGAGGGAACTCAGTCGACCCTGGCAACAGACCGTGCCATTGTTTCTGCCTCCGCTCGAACGCATCGAACAAATCACAGAGCGTGTACGGGCGCTGATTCGATAAGCTCGAAAATAGGGAATTGGTGTATGGTACCTGGGGTATCGGTGCGTCGCCAAAGACATATGCCCGAATGAGATTATACCCGAACGTCCGCCACTCAAGATCCTCACGAATTGATATGTTCCCCGAATCCAAATCCGCGGTCGAACTAGAATCCGTGTCAAATCCACTTCTTAACTCCTTGGCGGTGGCCTTTTTCACCCGTTGCCAGTGATCGGCCAGTACAGTGATCAGCACGCTACCCAGCATGACGTTTTGGGAGCCTGATTGGAACTTTTGAGGGCAGACACTGCAGTAGACGACTGAGCGGCCGGTTCGGTGCGCGTTAAGCAGGGTGTCGATTGTGCCGGACGACACTGGGAAGGCGGAGAGGGTCGATAGGGTTGAGAGCGTAAGGTAGAGGTTCGGGAGGCATGGGCACGCGGGAACCGCGGGAAGTTGGGTCAGAGTGCTGGGATCCGCATCGAGGTCGACGGGTTGAGAGGCATGATGGTGAGAATGGGTGATTGAGGGGTCGGTAGAGGAAAAATCGTCCTTTTCATGGCTGTCTTGAACCGGCATCGGCAGCATGGTCATATCTGAAAAGTCGGGCCACAGCGAGACATCGGTCGGATACGAGACGCTGGACATAACATCACCATCGGGCGGTGTTCGAGGAGCGTCAGAAGGAGAAGCATTACTCGAGCCTTGTGATGTGACTCCGCTGCCGCCGCCACTATGATTGAAAGAGCTTGATTCGGGAGCACTTTGCGCTCTCGCGGTCGCGCTGGATCGTTTAATAGACTGGGTTATCGGCGCGTTGCAAATGTTCTCAAAGTTGGTTCTTTCAATAGCATTTCCAGACAATTCGGGGTCGATAGCTGGTTCTGGAGCCGGTGGAGGTGGAGGTTGGCTTTGACTCGAAGTGGAGTGGGGTTGGGTAGTGGTCGTCATCGTGGCTTTGTGGGAAAAGTCGTCAATCTTCACTCTCTTGCGCGGCCGGCCCATCTGCTTCTGCGGCGAGAAGTGGCATATTAAGTTCTGCTTGATACATCGTTCACAGCCAGTCGGTTCACCAGAACACTTCAGCTTTCGTTTTCCTGGGAAATTGTGAGTGTTATGAGAGGCCAATGCGAGCATGAAGACATACTGCATTCGTCGCAGGCGGCGTGCCTTTTCGCAGAAGGGTCGGCGTCAAATGCGGCGCTGTAGGCAGGAATGTCAGATTCCGACAAGTCAGGGACTAAATCATTGGATGCGAAAGTGTTGGAAACTGAATAGTTGCCATATCTTGCGTGCATGTCGACAACGTCTGTGTACGCCATTGTGAAAGGTAGCGCCCCGGCGTTTGGACCTCTCGTTCGTGAACTTTTTAAATCCGGACGGATGTGTCCAAATTGAGGACCTTGAGTGATCGGGTGCAAGACAGCGAGGAAACGACTTGTTAAAGTAATAGTCAATTGGAGTGGAGGCAGTAAGCCCTTTTTGGGAGGGGAGGGGGCACGCCTGGCAGTCAGAGGACTTCAGACATGCTCTGGGCTGACATAATATTCTGCCACACCAGGCGGTGAATGAATCTTTGATAGGCAGGGGAAGCGAGCCCCGTCTTCTGGCCGAGTTCGGAGGCACGGCGCATTTTCTCCGATCCAAAAATTCCAGTCCCAAAAAATTTCCAGACTGCGACACGAGCCTGGCATGGCCGAATCAAAGAAACGAAAGGCCGTCACCAAAGACGTCGATGAAGATGCCGCCGTGGTGTCGGGCGATGAGTTCGACTTCTCTCATTTGGACGGTACCATTTCAGACGACGGTTCTGTGAGCGGGAGCGACGAAGATGGCTCCTCCAGTGAAGGTGAAGACGATGACGTCGAGGTATCAATCGGGGGTGATAAACTACCTTTGGAAAGGGATGAGGAGGACGATTTCTTACAACCGAAGGAAAGGGAACAGCCGCTCAATGTTGAAGCTGGGGTAATAAACGGAGACAAGGATGAAAAATCCGAGCACGGAACTCCTAGCTACCAAATAGTCCAGGATGCAAATGGAAATGACAGATATATCTACGATGAGATCGACCCGGGAGACAACTCGGATTATTCGGTTCCAGATGACGAAGCGAACACGGTTGGCAACATCCCGTTGTCCTTCTACGATTCCCATCCTCACATTGGTTACAACATCAATGGAAAAAAGATTATGAGACCGGCAACGGGAGAGGCATTGGACGTCCTTCTTGATAGTATCGACGTCCCTAAAGGCTGGACAGGCTTGACCGACCCTTCTACCGGAAAACCGCTCGAGCTCTCTCGAGAAGAGTTACAGCTGTTGAGGAAAGTGCAGATGAACGAAATACCGGCGGGTGACTATGATCCATATGAGCCAACTGTGGAATGGTTCACTAGCAAGACCGAGACCATGCCATTGAGTTCCGCCCCAGAGCCCAAACGACGATTTGTCCCATCCAAGCATGAAGCAAAGAGGGTGATGAAAATCGTTCGAGCTATTCGGGAGGGACGCATTCTACCTTACCGACCTCCACAAGAGAATGAAGATGAGGATGAAGAAGTTCAAAATTATGATATCTGGGCCGACGAACAACCTCGACCGGATCATGCTATGCATATGCCAGCTCCCAAACTTCCACCTCCCGGGTTCGATGAAAGTTATCACCCACCGCCCGAATATTTACCGGATAAGAAAGAAAAAGAGGCATGGGAGAAGGCCGATGAGGAAGATAGGGAAAAGGACTACCTCCCGACTGACCATACTTCGTTACGAAAGGTTCCAGGCTATGATCGCTTCGTCCAGGAAAAATTTGAGCGCTGTCTGGATTTGTACCTTGCTCCTCGGGTTCGCCGAACTAAACTCAACATCGACCCCGAATCTTTATTGCCCAAACTTCCCAATCCCGACGAATTACGGCCGTTTCCCACACACGAGGCGGGCCGATTTCATGGTCACAAAGGACGTGTGAGATCTCTTGCAATAGACCCCTCTGGACGGTATCTGGCAACTGGTGGAGATGACGGAACCATGCGTGTCTGGACACTCGAGCCTCAACGAGAAGTCTGGTCTGTTGACCTGGGACCTGATGCTGCTGTCAACGTGGTTCGGTGGCGACCTGGAAAAGACGTGCCGGTGCTTGCGGCCTGTGCTGGAGATGAGATCTACTTATGCATCCCCCGTCTGGGGACAGATTTCGGCCCAGAAGCCGAGGAAGCCCAAACAGTGCTTGATGCTGGATGGGGCTATGCTACATCAGAGAGCAGGACCTCGAAGTCTTCCAGTGTCAAGTGGAGTCGGCCGTCGCCAGGTCGGAGAGAAAAGGGCGTTGCTGTCATCATCCACCTTGGACATACAGCCAAAACATTGTCCTTTCATTCGGGGGGGAACCATTTCGTTACGATCTGTCCAGCAACAACGGTGCCAGCATCACAGGCAATCGCCATACATACGATTGCAAAGCATCAGACACAACTACCTTTCCGAAAGCGACTCAAAGGCGGAGGAACTCCCCAGGCTGCACACTTTCATCCCAGCAAGCCGGTCTTATTTGTCGCCAACCAGCGCGTCATTCGAGCCTACGACTTATCCAAACAGTCATTACTCAAGATCATTCAGCCCGGTGCACGGTGGATCAGCAGCTTCGACATTCACCCCACCAGTTCATCAACAGCGGGCTCGGACAATCTGATTGTTGGTTCCTATGACCGGAGATTGCTTTGGATGGATTTGGATTTGTCGCCGCGGCCGTACAAGACTCTCCGATTTCATGAGAAAGCAATCAGGTCTGTTCGTTTCCATCCTGCTACAAACAGGTACCCGTTGTTTGCGGACGGTAGTGATGATGGAAGTATCCAAGTTTTCCATGGCCAGGTAACGAGCGACATGATGAGCAACGCACAGATTGTCCCTCTGAAGGTACTGCGGGGGCATAAGATCACAGGAGGGTTGGGAGTCATGGATTTGGATTGGCATCCTCAGCATCCATGGCTCGTGAGTGCTGGCGGCGATGGAACATGCAGATTGTGGGTGTCTTGATAGAAATATAAAAAGCCGATTCTATCGAGTCATTGAAATATTCGAATGGTGATCACGTGATACCGCGCGATCCAAAGTCGCGTCCAGCGCGCTGACTCACTAGTCCCCACATCATTTGAGATTTCGACCAACTGCCTTTCCATCATTCCCTGTTGTAGAAAATCACTGCCAACATAGGAGAGCTTTGTTCAATATCATACTGTCACAATGCCTGCGTATGAGAATGCCGTCCACAACTGTGTCAGACTGTCCTAGCTAACTACTCTACAGCGTTGGTGATCAACATAAGCTGAATGGCAACAACACGTCGAACCCCTTCGAGGAGCAAAAGCCACGAATCGCAGAGTATACCGCTCAAGAGATTGCCACACTACAGAGTCGACTAGATAGACAATTAGGACCAGAGTTTATCTCTACGCGAGCGGGACCGGGAGGTTCAAGAGTGCACTATTTAGCAGCAGACAAGGCAATAAGCCTCGCAAACGAAGTGTTTGGCTTCAATGGCTGGAGCAGCTCAATTCAAAACATTCAAATCGATTTTGTTGACGAGAATCTCCAGACTGGCAAGATCTCCCTCGGCCTCTCCGTTATTGTCCGCGTCACATTGAAAGATGGCACTCATCATGAAGACATTGGGTATGGACAAATCGAGAATTGCAAGGGAAAAGCAGCAGCTTTTGAGAAAGCCAAAAAGGAGGGCACCACAGACGCATTGAAACGGGCGTTGCGAAATTTTGGCAACGTACTGGGAAATTGTGTATACGACAAAAATTATTTGGCCAAAATCACCAAGGTGAAGGTTGGAGCTACGAAATGGGATCCGGAAATGTTGCATCGACATCCGGACTTTGCCCCCAAGAAACAAGAAGAGGAGATGAAATCAAATGGGCCCGCTCCTGCGCAAGAAGCCCCAAATGAATTCGATGACACCTTCGACCTGGCCGATTTTGAAGAGGTGGACTTTGATGGTGTTGATATGGAACATCCGGAGGAAGTGGCGTTGCCCGCCGAACCAGCAGAATCAAACGGCGGACCAGCTAATGGTGCTCCAGAGCGGATGCTCCCTCCGGCGAGGCCAGATTTGACCACACCATCCAAAGCTCCTGTTGTCAGTGGGCCAGCCCCACGGCCTGCATCAACAAGATCAGGTCCAAGTAATGGTTCTCTCAATATCATTCCTCAACCTCTGCCCGGTCACCGGCTTCCAGCTCCCATGGCTCCAGCTCCCAAACCGACAACAGGGACAGATGAAACATCTCGGCCATCCTCTCCGGCCGGAGGCCCGCAACATTTGGCTCCTCACCCACCCGGACAAGGGCCTTCTGGAGCCGCAGGATTTCCTCGTCCGGCAGGATTCTATTCGGCGAGAGCGGCTGGAAACATAGATGCCCACAACAATGTCATCACATCCGGGCCGGCCACCGCCCCCAAGTTCAATCCTCACGCTGAAAGTCCGTCGATCCGCAAAACGACGGGTGTGAATCACAACAAATCTGTCCCATTGAAACGTGATTTGACGGTTGACATCCCCAAACTTCCGGCGCCCAATGTAGTCCATCCGCAGTCTGATCAGAGCAGAAGAGTTGGTGCACCGGGTCCAAATGGACCATTTTCAACCGGTAGGGGACCTAACACATCTGCATATCGTCCTCCAACAAGGCGAGGGCCGGATTCGATAGCTGGGCCCACGACAAATCCAGCCGAGCCTGAATGCTTCGATCGGGATTTATCGGCAGCCAAAAGAACACCGCTTGGGGATGTGAGCAATGTACAGCACAATGTGACGGCAGTCACAGCTGATGGGTTAGACGCGAAAAGGCAAAGGGTGTCGGAGACAGCCATAAATGGAAACGAGGCCACAAAGAATACTAACCAGAGCAATGGTTGAGAGAAGGAAATGATGTGTTGACATGCTCATATGAAGCAGGCGAGTTGCGAGGCCATTTGACGACGAGTCATCGGAGCGCATCAGACGGATTCTGAATCCTTTTTTCTGTCCTGTGGCGTGCCCTTTGAATTCCTTGCACTCACGAGTCAATGATGGAAATTGATGATCTTAACATAAGCATTTCATATGCACAAGCGTCTTGTCTTGTCTTCGATGCTTGTACCAGCCACCACCTAGCATGAGTGATATGCTTGATTCACAATATCCTGAAGTACGCTCGACTTGGTCTTTTTTAATTGAAAGGGCCGACAAGGTATCGCTGATTCGTAACGCTGATACCTAATAGCCACTTTCTTATCTTGGGAAGGCATTGACTGTGATAGGTTGACTTTGAGAAACACATCTACTGTAGAGCAATGCGGAGTCCCCCCACTGGAGGATTCAGCTCCACAAAATCCTTCCAAACTGAATCTGATTATGACCATGTCCACGATAGGATAAGCCACATGTCGAGCTCCCCGAGCATCCGATGGGAATGATTATTCAAAGCCACTTGAAATTTCAGACGCTTCAGACGAGTAGTCTTTGCAAAGAAACCGAGGGTCAGTCTGACATGGTGGTGTCTCAATGGACACGCGATAGGTCTCTGGATTTCAGGGAAGCTCTGTCGTCAATCTATACCACGTTTCCTGTCTGTCATCTCGGCAGGCTGCACGCTTCTTAAGCTACCAAATAGGTCCCTCGCCTCCAGCAGGCAGCTCTCGGCCGCGGCAGGATGCTCTGCAAATGAAGATCCTATATCTGCAGTGCTCCTGAGTGGATTTCGCTTTCATCTAGCCTTCATCTAGCCTCCATCCGGCAGGTCAACCGCCTTGTCTTCTCTCCATGCAACCTGCTAATCTGAACCAATCCCGAGCTCCATTTCCATATCGGATTTGGACGCCCTTCAATACGTTCCTTCGGAATTGACTAATTATCAATCCAGTAGCTTCACAATAGTCAATCGATAGGCAACAGCTGGGGTCTCGCAGAAGATGTCCTGAATACAAAAATCTACCCCTTCCGGTAAGTAACTAAGACTTCCGACCCCTTTCGTCAGGTCAAATTTCATTCACGGGAAGTATTCGACATGCATGGGCGAATTGTCTCTTCGGCCCTGTTGCTGCCCTGCGTGCTAGCTGCTTCTCTTCCCGTCAATCTACAGGTGAAGCGAGCTGTCGATTCAGGCCTTGCCAACATCCACGTGTCTTATGACGAGCCTATTCCCTCCGAGGTCGTCTTCACCTACGGCCCTTGCGAGGCCAAAACTCCGGGAGAAGCCCATCATCTGGTAGCTCGCTCGGAGAACTGTGACCATGATAGACTTTTGTGGAAAGTCCCGGAATATGCACCGACCGGACACTGCCTTTCGGCGTGGGACAGGAAGCAGAGTTTGATCGGTCGGAGTGCTCCGATCTCAATTATTCCCAATGCAAAGACTACAAGGAGGCGTCTCCGAAAAAGACAGGAAGACTTCAGCGTTCCGATGGACAATTCGAGTGGCATTGACGCTGAAGGTCCTTGGTTCGACGGCGTGGCCCTATTAAAGAACAAGGAAATCACTGCCGTTAACGTCCGAGAGGCGAAATCGAGAGAAATTGCCATTGTGGGCGCCGGAATGGCAGGCTTGATGACTTGGTTGGCACTGAATCAGTCGGGCATGACCAACTTGAGTCTTATCGAAGCCGGACAACGATTGGGAGGAAGAGTCCACACCGCTTACTTCGGGGCCCCCAGCGACAGGCAATATCAAGAGATGGGCCCAATGCGATTCCCATTGTCCATCACTTCCTCCGAGACCAACGAAACACTGCAAATCCAGGACCATCGGATTGTCTTCGATCTGGCGGCCGAAGTCAACCGGTTAAATCACGACAACACCAACTTCACCGTCCACTTTATCAAGTGGTACCAAAACAGTCCCAACGGCCTGTACTATGTCAACGGCGCACGGAAACCCAACGGCCAAGTTCCGACGATTTCGGAAGTTCAAGCCAATGCCTCCCTTGCCGGGACTTCATCTTCTGACGAACCCGATGACCCCAGCCTAGACCAACTGAATCATGACATCGACAGCATATATTCGAATGCGACCTTTCTCGCCCAAATGGCCAAGAACGTCTACAAGGCTCACAAGATCTTCCTGGACATGGGGCTAGGAGGTCTCGGAGGAGACGACTGGTCCGAATTTGCCTATGTGCACAATTACTTGAAGTATGCACTGAACGACACCTTTGTCGGCCTCGGCGACTCGGGCGGTGAGAGCTTCTGGGACAATCTGTACGAGTCCATGTATTTTTCAGCGACGGATTGGAGGACCATCGACGGCGGTCTGACTCGTCTTCCGTCTGCTTTCCACCCTCTAGTAGACAGCGTCACACACATGAACCGCAAGATCCAGCGCGTGCAGTACAACGAGACCACCCAGCGCGTCACACTACAATGGAAAGCGAAACCCCTAGACCGCACGTTTCAGAACGCCAGCTATGATCTCGCCGTCGTCACGGTGCCGATGCCCCTGGTCCGGACCTGGCGTCTGCCCGCTTTCTCGGAACTCCTCACCACCGCCATCGACACGTATCCTTACTCCCAGGTGTGCAAAGTGGCGCTGCAATTCGAAACCCGCTTCTGGGAACACTTCGCCGACCCGATCTATGGGTCTTGCAGCACCGTGACCGATATCCCCGGCATCGGTAGCATCTGCTACCCCAGCTACGACATCAACTCGACAGGCCCCGGCGTGATGCTCGCCAGCTACACCTCTTCCGACGATGGGCTGCGCTGGGCATCCGTCCCTGAAGATGTCCACGTCAACTACGTCGTTGACGCCATGGCCGAAATCCACGGGCAAGTGGTATATGACCAGTACACCGGGAACTATAATCGGCGGTGCTGGATACTGGATCAATACGAGACGATAAGCTGGGCGAGCGCGGACGTCGGGATGCGCAAGGCGTTTATTCCGGCGTTCTTCAACACGGAAAAGGGCGTGGTCATGAGTGGTGAGGGGACGAGTTATACGAGCTCGTGGATTGCGAGTGCGTTGGAGAGCGGTGTCAGAGCCGCGACACAGGTGTTGCTGGAGTATGGGTTGGTGGATGAGGCGAAGGCCGTCGTCGAGAAGTGGATGGCAAGGTGGATTGATGTGTAGAACCAACAAGGAAGAGAGGATGTCTTGCATTTTGATGGATATGACTACAGCAGATTCTGAAGTCGCCCTGGAAATTCAAGAGATCGAAACAAGAGTCCTGTTTTCTCTTCCCTTTGGCTTAATTAGTCAGCGTTCTTTGCGACAGCGCTTCTATAGAGTCAGTGACCGAATTGGACCTTTCGTCACGGACGAGTTGGGCCCTTATAGGATGAGGCTGAAACCGGGATTGCCCGTACATGCTCCTTACCTTTTGATCAGGCGGCAGTGTACCAGATAGTTACATGCTTGGGTGGTTCCTTGTGTTGCCAGGCAAAGTCATCCGTGCGTCCTCTTGTCAAGGTTGTTTTGTCCCCACCTACCGCATATGGGAAGTAAAAACGTGCGATGATTGGCTGGGGTCGCGAAGCACTGGTCCACAAGGCTTAGGGGGATGCACTTGGGTGGTAGCTACATTTCAATAGACACATGGAGCGTATACTATTCACACCGAGCTCGATAATTTACTTCGACGCCAGACTCAGATCCTATTCAAAAGTCCCTTACCCAGTCGATCCCCCATGCACCGAGATCACGCAGCAGGAACCCCCTCCCCAGATCGAGATGGCATATACGAGGCCACGGGGGCCGGCCATTCAGAGATAGGCGGATCGGCGGCTGCCCTCCCTGGTTGGTCTAGGTGCTGGAATCGTGTACCAGTTGGCCTGTAGAGATTGCCTAGTCGTTGCCCGTAGTGTCTTATGTGCTGTCAGCGCCAATAGTCAATGTCAGTGGAGATTGAGGATGTATGTGTCCATGCATGGCGCCGAGAGAGTTACCAGTGGCTTTGTTCTGCGAAGAGTCTTGTGTAGATATACATGAGGTCTCAAGTAAGGGAAAGAGTATATATATCCAAGCTTCTCTCGCTCTCAGACTTACTATCCATCAATCTCGGTCAAGAGTCCTGTTTTCAGAAATCTCCTAATCAAAAATGATAGCTAGGTACTTTTGTATCACCAAGTCATCTGAGTCCTGGGTCTGAAAACCCTCTTAGATGGATCAGCCTTCCGACTGTCTGTCGTCTTTACTTCGACATCGACCTCGGCGACTAACGCATCTGGAGGACGAAGTGCTTGTTGAAATTGTTTCAGATCAGTCGCGATTAGCTTGATCAAGGGATGTTCGTTTGTCAGTCTCGTTCTCGCTCTGTCGAGTGCGATCTCACATGTCCCGACTGCTTCTGCCGTCTTGTCCTGTCATTGGTACAAAGTCGACAGTTTTCACAGGGAGTAGAACGTATCGGGATGCTCGAGTCCTCTGGATTCTTCCAGACGCCGTATTGTGTCGGAAAGGAGCTTTACCGCATCGTCGAGTCGACCTTGGCGAGAATAGACACGGGCAAGTTCACCATTGCCCATGAGAACGCCCAGATGGTTCTCGTGCAGACTTCGCTTACCCGCTGCTATTCCCTCGTCTAACATCTTCTCTGCCTCATCTACTTCCCCAATTTTGACCTTGATCTTCGCTAGATAGCATAGCGTCCACAATGTCCAAGGATGTTCTTTGCCAAGTTGGTCCTTTCGCTCCTGATAGACTTGGTCCATGAGAGCTTGCGCTTCGTCAAAATGCTTGATGCCCAAATGAGCCATTGCTTCGTTCATCATAGAAGCGAGTGTGTTGAGGTTTTTAGGATCATGTTTATCCTCGCGGAGTTTGCGTAATTTCTTATGAATGTCGAGGCTCTCTTTGAATTTGTGCCATGAACCAAGCGCCACTCCAAGATTGTCCAGAGCAGCCAGCAAGCGATCATCCTCTGGTTTCGAGATTTCTTTCATTTTGGTCTGTGGTCTGCTGTGCCAGACCCAAAGCTTCTTGGTATTGTCCGTGTAGCCAATGAGATCTCCCAAGTTCGTCCATTGCTAACAGCGTGTTAATGTCGGTCGGGCCGAATACTTGTTTCCGAGCCTCTTCGACAGTAGTTTGCAGCTCGATAGCTTCACGAAGTCGGCCTAGTCCCCACAGAGGCTTTGCTAAACCTAGCATGGCTTTCATGGTCAGTTCATGTTTATGTCCTAACATTTGAAGCAACAAGTCTTTCACCGTGGTTAAATGTTTAGCCCCTTCATCAAACATGCCTCACTCCGTGTACACATAGCCACATTTTGCGGCCGTCTGTGCTTCGTCGCGAAGGGTTGATAACATGGTCGGCACCAAGAATTTGCTCAGAGACAGTTGTACTTTTCCCAACCAAGAACTGTACCCATACAGTTGAATTGGGCACACAGCCAAGCAGGCGTCCAAATGAGGAAGTAGATCCCTGTGAAACTTGCTGTGTTCTTCCTCCTGACCCACATTCTTGTCGTCTTCGCCGTCCGGAGGAAGTACGATAGCCTCCGTTAGAGTGCGGAGAGCAATTTTTGCCCAACGGCCCGATGGCCTCTGTCAAGCCTACCTCGAGCACTAGAGTGGTGTCGAGGTCGGTCTTGGTTCAGCCTGTCTCGAGTCCAAGAGTGGACGAGAGGGTGCAAAGAGAAAGTAGCATCCCCACTGTCCCAACTAACAAGAGAGAGCGGTGCTAATTCAACAACAGCGTCCCGTGCTCGATACTCGTCTGTTGATTGCGTCGCTGCCTTCAAAAGCTTGGTAAAATGGGTGGATGTCGCAATCGATTATGGATAAGTTGAATAATCTTTGCGCCAGGTGACAGTGTCGTCTCACTGTCGGAGGGCTTCATGTTGTTCTTCACAGCTCGCGTGAAAATATCCATGCTTATCCGATAGAAAGCAACAATGTTGAGAATTTCCATGGCGTCTTTACTCGCAACAGAGTTATCGTTCTCTAGGTATTTCAGAGAATGGTCAAATGTGGGATATGCGATCTCATTGTTTCTCTCCAAGTCAGATTCTGTCGGGCGATCTGTGCTGTGAAACAACTGATAGGCGGTTCGACGATGCTGATAGTGGTCGAGATAGTCTTTCAATCCACAGTTTTGTCTGTATATCGACCTTCCAGCTAGGACCAATGCCGACGCAAGGTAGCCGAGAGCTTTTGATATTCGATTCCCGAGGTCGATGGTGGATTCGCTCCACGGATGTGGGATTTGAGCACAGTGTAGCAGAAGACGTAGAGCTTCTTTCTCTTCTAGTCCCTTGAACTCGAGAGAACCGACATTTGCGTGCTGACGAAGGTCCGGATTTCTGGTACAAAACTCTGTCTTTCCCGGGCCCCATACCATAGATGACAAATCTTTTTTGCTTGCGGTGAAGCAGTACCTTTCCTAGGGTCAAAGAATGCTTTTTCAAGAATTTCGACGGCTTTTTTTCGACCAACAAACTGAGTGGACGTAAGTGGAGGTACGTCAGAGATGTTGGATCTCTTTCGATGTGACTTGGGAGAAAGAGAGGAGCCCGTTTTCGGGTTCTCGATGTCAACAATCACGCCATACGTCTCAAACGCCCTGTCGACCCGAGCATCAGTTAGCTTCTCACGACTGCGTCTCCATCGAAAAGCAATTTTTTCCGGTGCGGCCTCACAGGAACGGGACAAGGCCTCAATCACTGTCCGGTAACTCGAGGACTTTGTGCTTGAGAATTTGACCATTCCCGCATGATTGGCGACAATACCAGAGGAGCTCCCGTTCCACGGGGGAGCAGCTGATGGCGGCTTGACAACGTAATCATAGCGTCCACCAAAACGAGTCCGGTCCTGTTCCCAAAATAAGTAAATTTGGAACTCATTAAGGATGCTGACAAACTGTTCGCCGATCTGGGATAATGTCTCTGTGTCGATGTCTTGTGTGCTATGCACAAACTTGGACCAACTGACAGAACGTCGGTGAGATTGATCCAGCTCAAGCCAGGTGGTTTTGTTGATATGATCGTGAGGGGTGCCAAAGAATAAAATGGCATGTGTGCAAACGTAAATGCTATGATCTTGTTCGACACGGGCCTCCGTCCGGCTTCTGGAATAACTCCGCCCAAACCATGGCAGATAAAAATGATGGGCCGTTGTGTGCAGCGTTCTATGCTTCGATTAGACTGAAGATGACTGACAAGGTTTTGTGCAGCCGTCCGTATTTGAGATGTATAATCCGAGTCTTCACTAAAAAAATTTTTGGCACAGCCATCGAATTCAAAGCCTAAAACGCGGGCAATTGGCACATCCTTCGGTAGCAGGTCTCGAAGCCAGAGAGTTTCCTAGTCCGAATCTGTCCAGGCATCATGTGCATCTTCATTCAGACCATGGACCGCAACGACACTTGAGAGAAATTATGAGTAAATGCAATGTTAGGAAGGTACATAAACTCACTCAACATGGGTTTGACTGTTCGTTTCCCGACCATTCAATCCTCGAGGGCTGTCCTCCTCGTTTTCATACAGGCAGATCAAGTTCGTGCGCATGCTCAATTAACTCCACGAGCCATTCAGTCCGGAATGGGACGGACACTGAAGTGCCGTTAAAGGCCGGCAGCTCTCTTGGGGAGGATGGGGGACCCGCGAGATGCTCGAAGAAAGTTGAGCCTCAAACTGGAGGAGATAGAAGATCTATCATTCTTCTCGGATCGAGCATGTATTATCCATGGATTGGCCTCGTCGACTTTTGTGCAGGGGTCCCAGCTGGGTTGGGATCTCAGGCGCTTAGTGCAGAGCTGGGAACGGCCCAGCGCTAAACCGGTGCCTTTGTTGTGGGCGCGTAACCTGAACCACAAGGCCCCTAGAAAGGCTCTCTCGAAAGGACATGTTTTTGGACCCGTGTTCTCCTGGAAATTTGAGCATTGCGAACGTCTTTTTTCTCCAGTCTTGCGACGGAAATGGTCAGCCAGGAGGATTCAGTGGCTGCGGCCGTTGCTGGATGGAGCCTGCCGCTTCTCACCTTATTCGTTCCAACTTCTGGAGATTCACCGAATACAGAGTGAGACGAAACGCTACAATGTCTTGCATCCGTCTGTTACTGAGCAATTGATAGGAAGATTCGGCATTTGGCCGTCGAAACCACTGTTTGCCCCCTCCAGAGCTCCCTGCTAAACTTCCGCCCAGTATCGATCGGATACAGCAGCTGTGGAGCTCCAACACTGAGGGTCGCCTCCTCGCATTTTTGTGCTCAATTGCAAAAGACTATGAACCTCGCAATATGCTCTCGCAGCATTTACTCTTTGGGCCACGAGCATTCCATATCCTGAATCCTCAAAACTTGGAGGCCGTTTTGTGTACGAACTTCACTGGCGAGTGTCTCTTGGGGAATCCACTAACTGTCTCACGTATGCTTCTAACACTCTGACACTCCAAATACAGACTATGGTTTCGGTGTTCGTCCAGAAATCTTTGCTCCCCTTCTCGGTCAGGGCATCTTTACGCAAGAGGGTCCCGCCTGGAAGCATTCCCGAGAGCCGCTCCGAAAGCAATTTGTCCGGGCACAATACCAAAACCTCAGCGATTTTCGGGAGCATGTCGACAAATCTTCCCACCCATATCCCTGGATCGGGTGTTGTCGACCTGCAACCTCTATTCTTCGGCTTGACGTTAGATACCACCACTGCCTTGTTGCTGGGACGGTCGGTGTACAGCTTGAGGGCAGACATTGATCAGGATGCGGAAAAAAACTCTTCTCAGAGAGTTTCAACATAGCCCAAGAGGGGCTGGCAAAGCGATTTCGTATTGCTCCCTGGCATTTTCTCTATAGTCCTCCCGAGTTTCGACAGGCTTGCAAGAACGTCCATCGTTACGTCGAACGATATATTGAACAGCGGCGTTCTCTTGACCAGACATTTGTTACAGGAGACGACTCATACAGTTTTATCGACCAGGTCGCGAAAGAGTCCAACAATGCCAAAGAACTTCGCAACCAGCCGATCAATGTACTGTTGGCTGGTGGCGATACCACTGCATGTTGCTTATCATGGACCTTGTAAGCTCTCAACTTCCGCACAGAATCACCCTCTCCACCGATATTGACTGTGGAACCAACCGTCTACTCGTCCGCTATCCTCTGGTTATGGCTCGGCTCCGAGAAGAGGTGACCTCAGTTATGGGAAAATGTGATCAACCCACACGCGAGCAAGTCCGCAGGATGCCTTTTCTGGCCTGTGTTATAAAAGAAAGTAGGTGTGATTCTCCCTGAATAACCGTCAAGCGAATAAAACTACCATTCTACCAACTGGTGGTGGACCCAGTGGTGAGAATCCCATCTTAGTGAGAAGAGGCGAGCTAGTCGTCTTTTCGCAATATGTAAGCTTCCGTGTGAAGAGCATCTATGGTCCGGATACAGGCAGATTTCGGCCAGAAAGGTGGGAGGGAGATGAACTGGCCAAAATTGGCTGGGCATATTTTCCTTTCAATGGAGGGCCTAGACAATGCCTGGGTGAAGATTTTGCCCTTCTGCAGGCTTGTCCGCATATTAGTTTGCCTGACGGGGATCCCAACGAGCCCTCAGGACTAGGTCTCGAAGTGGTCAACTTTTTCAAACCGAGCACAATTTAGATGGGACGCAAGAGAAATAGACCATGGCGCTGAGTCATGTAATCAACAGCAGGCAAACTTTTGCTAGATCAATAGACGTCCCACCTGGTCAGCGTTTATCGAATGGCCAATGTTGACCAGATTAATCGACCTCCTGAGTGTTGCACAGCCGAGCCAATACCGTGGCGCAGCACATTGAGTCTGATAAATGGACATCAACTTTGCTGGGACGTGTTCCTCGCAGAAACCTATTGGTTCTGTCAGACAATCTTTTCACGTTGCAATCTGCCTGCCTGACTATCTGTCCGCCTAGTCAGAAGCGTGAAAAGGGTCTAAGTTTTCTTCCAGGCGTCTACTTGCATTGAATCCCTTCCATCCTGGTGACCCCAGCCCAGTGCCATTAGCCATGTCGACAAGCTTACCTCGAAAACCAATGTTCGGCATCCAAGAGTTGTATAGTCCCCAAGACGAGGAACCAGAGATAGAGTGCGACCTGACACTCCATATTCACTTGACACTTTGCAAATTGAAAACTAATCGATCCTGGATCCCACAGTATTGTTGCTGTCCACGGCCTCAATGGCGATGCAATCAGGACCTGGTTCAGATCGCATACTGCAGCACGCCCAGACGCTGATACAGCATCTATACAGCGATAGAAGTGTAAGTAAACCGATGTCAGCTCACTCTTGTCTTTGCTTGGTCCCTTCCTATTCTGTCGGCTCACCATGATATTCCAGCTTCATGGCGCGCTCGACAGACCCATCATATTCATCTGTCATTCTTTAGGTGGAATCGTGGTGAAACGGGTAAGCGAACATTGCCTTCCCCAATGATCGACGCAAAGCGCATCCCAACATGCAGTTGCTGATCACAGCGCATTTCCCTTAGGCTCTGGTGTACTCAGAGAGTCGGACGTCGCCAAGTACATCGCACCTGCATTCGATTTTCACCTGTACCTATAGCATCCTCTTCTTCGGTACACCACATCACGGGACCGGTAAGGCCCGCCTCCTCGGAAATTTGCAACAGATCGCGGCGACGATTATCCCCAAGAGAATCCTCCACACGGAGTCGAACCTCGTAAAGGCGCTTGAAGAGGAATCCGAGACATTGCAGAAAATCACGGACCATTCTGTTGCTCTGATGACGAGATTCCGAGCCCTTTTTCTATGGGAGCAGGATCGAACGGCTATTTTAAATGATTACGTCGTAGAGGAAAGCGGTGCTGCACCGAGCGTTGCGGTATTGCAGCGGACCACAGAGGGATGTGCAGATCCAACCGGAATAGTGACTCGGGGTTTCGCACTGTGGTCGAAGCGCTATGGAGGTACAGCCTTCAGGCCCCGAAAGAGGTCAGGAGGAGAAGGGAACAGGAACCGGCGATGTTGAACAACAAACGACGCGAGGAAGCCTTGGAGTTGGTGAGAGCACTGTAACGATAGTATTTAGATACTGAACGGGGACACATTTGCTTCAGAACACATCGTTTTCTGCGATTTCGCTCTGAATGACACCTCGAGGCCGCGGTGAAGTAATTGTGGACGTTGAAAAAGATCGAATCGGAACGGCTCAAACAAGACGGGTAAACGTGTGGTGGGCTGCTACTTAACAGCCTAAAGTTTTCGCGGCAATGAATCTAAAATAAACAGCCCCCGTCGAAAGTCTAAACCCACCAACTTCCGTATCACTAATAAATTGTTCCGGCTTTGGTTCTACGAGCTCCGGCACTCGGGAAGTTGAGAGTCTCAAATTCGACTCGACTCCCCATCAGCGGCCATGTCTTTACCACCGGAGCGTATCAGCATCAAGCGCAGAAGACAGGATGAACCAGTGGACACTCTGTGTATGCATTTTCCTATCCCCGCTTTTGAGCTACGTTCTCATCGTTTACAGATCTAGAGCATGGGACTGCCCCAGATAAGAAACGAAGAGTGACCGACTTCTACTTCCAACGTGTACGAGACGAGATCATCGCACCCATATCCTCGCGAGAAAAGACGTTCTGGCCCAAATCCCCACAGCCGACCCCTCTTGGTGTTCCTGCAGTGCGATGGACATCGCCCGGAGAAGAGAGAAGGGATTTGAAAAAGCTCAAGGCATCGATCCAAGCCAAGGCAGATACAGATTCAAGTGGAAAGGCAAAAGAGAACCAGGAACAATCCACAACTCCCGCGGTGGACACAGGCGGCCCATCCACGCCTATCTCCAGCGAAACCTTGCAAGGTGCCAGACGTTTTCATCTCACCAGTCATCTCTCTTCGGCGTTGAGTCCTCACGCTTCCGGGGGGATCCGGAAACACAAGACTTCGATACGTCCTCCATTAGCCACCTTTGTCGAGAGGCACGTTGCGACATTCAGCCACGAGCAAAACCCTCTGTACCGAGACAAACCCGTCGACAAGCTGTTGGAGACTCTCAAAGGCAATGATGTCGAAGACCTGATCTCGGGTGCAGCTCAAGAGCCTCGCCTCGAAACCTTGCAGTCCTCCAACCGAAAGACAACTGCCACTTTCCTCCAAGCAAGTCACAAGACGGTGAAGACTGGTACTTCGATCAAAGACCACCCCAGTACTTGGGACCATGAGTCTGATCAACTTGCCGACGAACTTGCCGCTTTGGCTATGGAGCTCGACCCTGGTTTAGTTCAAGAGGCCGGCCCAGAGAAATCATCATTGACGGTTCCCGACCCCCCGGACATGCTCATGATTTCCAAAGACCAAGAAGACGACTATGTGTATGAGACCTACATTCGCGTCCGTTATGATGATGAAACTCAGAATCCACCCCATGGGGCAAACCCACGCACAAATATTGGCCTCCTTATTATCGAAGAGGAAGACGAGGGTTTGTGGCAGAAGTATGTTGACAGTGAGGATGACACCGATTGGGACGAGGAAGATTCAAATGGTAAGTCAAATCTTTGAATATCTCCCAAAGATTTCCAGCTTAGGTAAAATAGCTGAAGACAATCCATCAAATGACTATCCGGAAGAGGAAATCAGCTCGGATGACGAATATGGTTACAACGTCTATAAATATCGCCACCATGGATCTGACGACGAGGCTTATGATGATGGCGACGACGACGACGACGACGACGACGGCGGCAGAAATAGCCAATGGTAACCACCCTCCGGAGAAGACCTCCCATGCGCACCTCATATCAAGCAAATTCCCCACGCCGGCAATTACAAGAAGTCGCGTACATACAGAATCAATGAGATGAACTTCCGAGCCAAATTCACAACATCGACCGCAGGAGAAACCTGGTTGAAGGTGGTTGTTGACGGTGTCGGTCGAGCATCCAGGGGAATCTGAGATTGGTCCTTTCAACCATACCGAACCTTTCAACAGGATATCCTTTCCTCTTCTTCGCCATTTGTTCCCTAACCTTGAGAATCTGGTGTTCACCGAGCAAGCGGTAAAACTTGCATTGAAGGCCTCCCTTTCCCCTTTTTTCATTCCACACGTGACAATAATCGTCGGTCAGAATATCCCATGGCCGATCTAGATCGATGCGATTGTACCAGATCCAGTACGCTCTCTCGTCGCCGTATTTCTTTTGCGCTTTTCGGCGGATGATTCTGTGTTTGATTTTGCGGCGAGTATTCTGGCTTGTCGCGCCGTCGTCTGTCTTCGGCGACGGTGAATATGAGCAAGGTGGTGGATTAGGACTACCATTGTCTTCGCTCTGAAGAATGTACGCGTGCCTCATGTCTGTGGAAGTTGGCGAGCTAGGACCATCGTTGTTCCGATCGTTGCCCTGGTCGTTCAAGATGCACGAGATCTTCATTTTGTTCACATGTTGGACAAGATCACTGCGATCTTCGGATTGACGAATGGCTCCTTTGATTTCCATCTTGAAGAAAGTGGTTCACAAGTCAAGGTAACAATGACCCAAGACAAAGTGACTCAACCAGAAACGGTGATAAGAAGTGAGCCAGGGAAGAGACTGCAGATGTCTAGCGCGAGAGAGGGAGAAGCGAGAGGTGCAGAGTGTGAATTCCATGATGCTCAACGCCGGGGCCTAAATATACCCGTGTTTCGACCCGATGGAATGGCTCACATCCCGGGCGACGCATTTCACGGGAGCAGGTGTATTGTGGTCCAGCCAAACAGGTAAGAAAACTTTGCTTATTCCAAACGGTCAGTGGCTGGTTCAAGCTTATCTGAAGTACACGGGATGAGCGCGGAAGTGGGACTCCATAGATGTTCTGGTTGATCAAACAAATATTGATCCAGTCTCTATTGCAGAACCCGGCCGGTCCTCCTAATCTGCTGCAATGAGGCGCACCCAGGTGTGAACAGGTTTGTGACCATCAGTCCAACCCGATCCCTTCTTCCCCTTGGAAGACGTGTGGATCGCCTCTCGAGGATTGTCCTTTACGACCTGTCTTTTTCCTGCGTGGAGACAGATGACCTTACCGTCACCTGGCGCCAATCTGGTACAGGCGCTTGTCATGGACCAGGCTCTAGTATACCACCCCCCACACGAGTGGTATTCCTTTATATCTACCAAGAGATCCATCTTCCAACTTCCCTGGTGTGGGGGCAAACGGGTGCCTCTCGCCTGGAGGCAATGTCCACACAGATTGTCTTACACAGAACAACAAGGAGGAATATTGGTTAGACAGTTTAGCACCAGACACTTCAGTACTTCCCCGAGACTCACGAAATCCGAGATTCAAAAACACTGCACTCGGCCTTTTGTCGGATTTCTCGGCCTTCGTTGAGAAGGGGCTCCAGTATGGCCCCAAAATCAAAGGCGTTGATGACTGGGAGTATGGTGCTGTGGGACATGGACCGGGCTTCTTTCATGTATGCAAATGTCCTGTACGTGGTACATTCCCCAGTCAATCTAACGCCACTTCAGATCACGGGCCCAACAACCAGATGTGAGCAAGCCAGCTATGCATTCATGTCCGTGCTAAGCGCCTCCACGACAACTGGCATATGCATAAAGGTGACGAGTCTCCTATGAGGAAGGCAGCCACGAAAATTACGGTTCATTCGGCCGCAAATCTTTGCTATCATCGTGTTTGGGATGCTTTGTCAATACGAAGACAGAACAAATCCACATTCCCCACAGGTGGCCTATCCGTGAGGAGATGATCAAGTCGTCGTCAACCTTGTTAGGCACCTCTGTCTAGACTGGATCTGTGACAACCGTTTCATCACGCCTCCTTCCTTAGTTTTGGAGATTGAGTTTCGAGCTTTCGCTCTATTAGGGATGATGAACGAACTAGGAGAAATCTTCCCGCACCCCCTGTTGGACGAGCAATTCAAAAGAGTTTACGCTAAATCCGGTCGCATCTTGGTTCGTCTCGCGCTACCAGGTTGGGTTGAATCTTGATCAATCATTGCGTCGACCACGCTGTTGGTAACCAATCCAGTTCCCGAAAACAGTCGCTAGAGTTGGGTTTGAATCTGGGTTTCCCTCGCTTCAACCGTCAGCCAATTCATGGGCTTCCGCGCAAACGGCGATGAAAGAGGTCTTGTACTCACTCGTCGTTATGAGCCAGTATTAGTTACGAGAACAGTCGAATCTCAACCCTCAACTGACCCGGGAATGCAGACAATCTTTAACCGGCGCAAATTTTTACCGACTTCATCTTTGCACGCAAAGCGTCGGCCAAAATACTGAGACCATTTCTGTTATCTTGATCGAGGAAGCCTCACGCTATGGATCCGCTAGATCCGGGTCTCACTGGTGCCAAATCTTTTTGCGTGGTATCCGGCCCCGGTCGATCACTGATGAATCTTGTCCATCAAGATTTTCGCCCCCTAAATTCGACACGATCCTTCTTGCGGGGATGTCTGTACTTACATCCAATCCGACACTACTCTTTCAACCAGGATAAATCTCCCTCCTGTTACCCAGAGAACCATGGTACTGAGCCGTCTCCTTGTCATTCTAAATGAGCTGAGTCCTGCGGTAAGGAATTTGGTTGCGTCTGGGCCCCTGTCAATCTCACAAAGCTATTGTGTACTGGGATAGTAAAGACGCGGCCGGTCGTTGTTCTGACAAGAGACGGCATTCCCATCCAATCCTCTGCTCAGAGGGAACGGAACGCATCTTGGGTGACCAGGAATTCCTCTGGATCATACTGTCCACAGAAGCGATCCTTTCTCGGCATCGGATAAATCCTGCTCTCTTCAAAAGAGCGGTATAGGGAAGTACGATCGCCATTTCACCCAGCGCTAAAATGCCTCATACAGGAACCGGGGGGAACTCATGCTTTCCCTAGGTCCACGAATATTTACTCGGTCAACTCATCATCAGGCTTCAGACGGGCCCAGCTGGGTGTGAATCACCAAGAAACCATCAGGCTACCCATAGGGCGTAGAATCAAACAAAGAAGTGGTGGTTGGTAGTTCTCGCTCAGGAATGTGTGTGACCTGAGGAGGCAAGCGGAGTCATGCACCCATTTCTCTGCGAGCCAGGAGGTAGGGGCTACAGCAACACACGACCAACCTTTCCACTAGCCGTATATCAAGCCTTGGTTTAGAATCTTCGAAGTAGATAAGCGGGGATGACTGGACGGTACTCGGAGACAGGGTGTGGTCATGCTTGTCTCTCTTCAGCCGCAGCTGTGCGGCACGCCAGTCACGATCCATCACAAGATTCCAGCTTGACTTTCTGCAAGAGTTCGAATTTGTTTTGCCAAAACAAATGACTAATAGAGAACGACTCAAATGGCGTTTGAGCAGTTGCAGTTCTGCATCGCCCCGTCCATTCCCAAAAATCTCCTTGCCACCCTCCACGAAGGTCTCACTAGCTCGGTGGTTTCTATACAGCCCTCACGTTGGGCTGCTGTCCGGGTTGATACGTTTCTGGGCTCCAAGAACAGCATAACTTGAAGGCGTCCTCATCTGTACTGAACATCCTTGCGTTAATTCGATCGAGCCCAAACCCATCAGCGCTTGGTTTCCTCAGGTGTTACGACTGGCCGACCTGCGATCACCGAGTTCAGGGCAACAGCGGCCTCCTAGCGTCTCTGCCTCTGCTCCTCTCCTATCTTCGCCACCAGATCGAATCCTTTCGAAGCCTGGACGATGATCAGTTCTTTTTGGCGCAATATGCCCGATGTTTTGTCTTCTTGCAAGCCTTTTGGTTCGACTATTTTTTTTTTTTTTTTTTGGCGAAATAAAGCAGTTGTGCTAGATTTTCGTGGAGCGGGCTTGCCATCCAGCTTTACAGTTCACAGTGTGACATGTGAACTTTGGAAGCCATGCATCCTCACATGACGCCGGTTACCAGAACCATTCAAATCACGCAAAAGTACGATCCAATGCACATCCTCACAAACAAAAGCAACTTTTCCCTCCAGAAGACTTGCCCGGGGAACCCTGTCTATGTACCGTTTGCCTCGACGCTTTCAAAAGTCCCATCAAAAATACTCCGAAATTAGCTTTCGTCCGGTCGGGTTCGAACCAAGCCACGATGCGGTACAGGGCCAAAAAGCCAAGAGCCGGCCAAAGACAAAAGCCCCTTTTTCATGTACCAGGGTGGGTAGTACAAGAATGGAGAGATAAGAAAGTCGGGGATTTCATCATTTTTCTTTCCTTTCTATTTGACGCGGCTGTTTACCTAAAGTTTTCCATCATCTCATCATGAGATTCTGAACCTTTGTTCAGTACTCACTACAGGCAGGCAAGGCAGGCTCATCCACGTCGAACTCTCCGTACAATCACCAACACGACGACTATCGCTTTGACGGCAACAGATGGCATTGTAGAATAGAGACGAAGAATGCATGAATGGCCAAGACAAGAGCAAATGTAATTTGAGCTTTCTTTGACAAAGGAGATTCATTCCAATTTGTAGGTAGATGGATGGCTTGCAAACCACCAATTCATCAAGCTTTCGAAACTTGGATCTCGGGGCAAGATCGAGTTTGAAATCGCTCTCAAAGTGTCTCCAAATACGTTTTGTGCAGGTTTTCTCCACTTTCAAATCCCAGTTTCATTTTGACAAGGTGTGCCCAAACGGGCATACATGTTGTGACGCATTTTCTGAAGTAATTTTTGCCCCTTCAGCATCTTTCCTTCCCTTTCGCTATTGCCCTGCTGCTCCTTTCCCCTTGGTTGGGAGTCTGAGAAATCTTTCCGTCTCAAACATGCATCTAAAAGTAGAGAGATTCAAAGTCGTTGGCCGTGAAACCGTATTCATAGACGAATGAAATGCAATGGATCAAAACATGATTCGAATGCTCAATGCCAAAGGAATTTCCACAGCCCGTAATCTGGAATCCATTCCCTCTTTTGGGGGGACAAATCCCACCTTCGCTTGTCTTGTGTATCGCATATTTGCCGTCCCGAGTAGATTGCACAAGAATGTTGTATGCTTCCCAGAGGCCCTTCCCCCGAAAAGGGGTTCGATTCGCACCATAGACGATGGAAGGAAAGTTCGGCTTCGTTTAATCAGACAAGAGATTGGTGGTACAATGAAGTGTAGATTGGTTCAACGTGAAGAGGCTAATGTCCTATCTCTTGAAGGACGGGTTAGCACCGAGAATGAAACGACGGTCAAAATTGACCCACCCTTCGACCACGTCCTCCTGAATGGACGGTTTGCATTGGTGGTGAAAAGAAAAATTGTTGTTGAGGATAATTGTACATGTTGTTGGGCACGTTCTGCGGGTAATTCTGAGGAGGAAATGGCGCCGAGCCAATGACCGGACTCATTTGTGCAGAAAACGAAAGAGGGGACGAAGATGGATTCTGTAAAGTACGGAAAGGATCGACAGATGAAGGTGGCGTCGCATAACCAGCATAGCCATTGGGCATAAATCCACTATTCGACCGTTGTGCGGGGCCGGGATAATTTTGATATTGAGATTGAGGTGTCATCTGTTGATATGGAAGTTGCGAATACGGTTGCTGTGTCTGGAAGCCGTTCAGGTTATAAGGTGCGAAGCCAAAAGAATCGGCCGAACCCGTTCGAATAGGGCTCATACCATTCTCGAAAGCATTACTATTGACGTTGGGTACGAAATTGCCACTGAATTGACGTTGAAAGTTTTGCGGTGGCAATCCATTGACCGGAACATGTTGCGGCTGAGACATTTGGCGGCCTCTGTCATTGACGGGAGGGTGTGAATGAGACGGAAACTGTTGCGTCGCCGGTTGATTAGGTCGAGAGGACAAACCCACTTCATCCATAATTCTCTTGTAGCCTTGATTGGGCTGAGCCTTTATCTTCGTCAGGACTTTGGAGACATTTTGCACCACTTCCGGCCTCATGTTGTCATCAAGGAACGGTGTGGTCAAAATCTTAAAGATCAAGGTCACACCCGACGTTTGATCGCACAAAATCTGCTCCAGGATGCCGTCATGGGGGCTGAAGAACAGAGCCTTCAACACCATGTCTCTGGCCTCGGGTTCGTTGCGTTGGTTGATGACCTTGAGCACGGTCAGATAGGCCACTTTGTGGGTGCAAAGCTGAACAAGATGGGGCATCAATCTTGGCGCCAAAACAGACCGCCGTCGGGGAAAAGTGCAAGTGTCGAGGAGCCACGTTAGCAACAAGGCACCGTTAGCATTCTGAGCGAGCTGAACACTGTGTAAGGCAATCGCAGCAGCCAACATGCGCTGTTGGTTCTTGGTAGCGTGATGGGCTTCTAAACAAGCACGCATCGCTCTGGCACCAAATCGCCCCTGAGCGATTTCCCAAAGCCGACTGAGCATGGTTTCGAAAATGAAATCATTGTATGGCGGCCCAAATCGCAGACAGCATTGGAGGACATAGTTGCCATATTGATCAAGGAAAAGAGGAACGGTGTAGGGATGAAGGGAATTGACAATCATTCGAGTTTGGGTTTCGGTCTTGCAGACTTCGATGATCTTTTGAGCGGCCCATGTTCCGTTTTTATGCACTCCGATCTCAGCCAGGTGAGGAGATATACGAGACAACATCTGCTCCTTGGTTTGTTCGGGACAAAATTCGAACAGTTTCTGAACCACGGTATTGCCCAAGTAGTCTGAAGAGAGCTCGGCAATCTCCGGTAACATGTCAATGGCGATTTGTTCAATCTCTTGCAGTCCACATGCTCCATTGTCAATTCGTTTGCGGATATCCCGCAGTCGGGGGGCGTCGTACATTCGAGTGGGGCTCGGCTCTGGAATCGCGGGGATTTCTTTCTCCAGCTGCTGGAAACGGATTGCATTCTCGATATTGGCAGAAATGACGGGTAGATCAGACTGTTGTCCACCGAAATCAAGGACAATCTGCAGGATTTCAGGTTGCAACTCGGTCAAGCGATCCGGGGCAGGCATGCTGAGGGTCTGCTGTGCATTCGTGGAACCAGTCGGGCTGCCGCGTCCATCCTTGACCTGCGAACCAGCGGCCGGATCTGTGACGCCATTTGTCCCGGGCGGAGGGGTGGCATTTTGTACAGGGGTCAGCGACACTGAGGCATTGGGAGCTTTCGCAAATCCAATCCTAACTGGGCCGGCACCGGGGAATATCTCCTTTCCATTCAGAAGTTGACGGGCACGAACGGCATGTTCGACCGTCTCAAAATTGACGAAGCCACAGTTTTTGTGAGTGAGGACTCTAGTCGATTCAATTGGGCCATATCGACTGAAAATGGCGTCCAAGGAAGACATCGTGGTTGAATTTGGGATGGAGCCGATCCACAAAGATCGCGAGATTTGGACTTCGGAGTCGTCCATTCCGTCGTACGACAATTGCACGTTTTCGCTCATGTTCAGATTCTGGAGTGCGTCTGCGAGACCAGGTTCGTCCATGCCGTTCGTTCCCTGAACGTCGAAACCCACGTGGGCTCCATCTGGCGTTGCTTGAACCAAGGTGCGAAGTGAAGGACGCTGTGGAGTTTCCACAAGCCCAGCAGTCCGGGCGCGTGGACGTGCAGCGCTGGCATTCACGGCAAAAGCCTGAACTGCCTGGTTGTGAAGCCGGACCTTTTCTTGGACAAGTTCATATTCTGCCTCGAGAGCGGCCGCCGCCGATGGGGTCAAGGTGCCACTTGGGAAGAGTGGATAGCCTGACGAAACATCTGGGCCTTCAGCCCCGTATTTGGGCTGCGTGTTGACGGAGAAAGACCGGAAACGACTGGAAGAATTGCGCATACTGTAATTTCCACGTGCGTCAGACAAGCTTGCGTCTGGAAGCCGAGAAGGGTCGTCCGTGGCATGGCGAGTTGCATCTGTCCTTGACTGTTGCGGAGGTTCTGCGAGGCCAAGATAGTCGAGTGTACGAACTCCTGAATCTGACATTCCATCTTTCGGGAATCCTAGTTGCTGGGGAGAGGCCGGATCCTCTGCAGAACTGATACTGGTCAAAGTGGCAGCCCGGGCTCTGGCGCCCCAACTAGAACTGAAGGTGTTCTGCCCAAAGGAGCTCGAGGAACCAAGCAGGGAAGATCGCTGAGGCATGCTCCCCGCTCGTAGCCTTGACAACAGCGCGGCATTGCCGGAGCTTCCCGAGTTCGATGTTGTAGAGTAAAAGGCCGTCTCTGCAGCAGACGTGGAACCGGGTCGAAAGGGGCTGGAGGACGGTGTAGGTCGGGATGTCTTCGAGGTCAGGAGATTGACGCCATTGACGGTTCCAACAGGAGAAATCCGAGAAGGAAGTGTGCCGGCTCGACCTCGCCTGGCGGGGCTATTGATTCCCGTTTCGGTCAGGGGAACGAGGTCAGGAAACCCATCTTGAGAGGGAGATTCAGGAATCTCAAAAAGCGGAGTTGAGGTTCCACTGGTGGGAGGTCCCCAAATGTTAGGAGACAGCGAAGTCTGTGACTGCAATTCTCTTGTCCGCTTAGGAAATAGTCGAGAGGCTTGTTCGTGAAGGGGAGAACCAGCTCCTACTCTTGCACTGGACAGGCCTGCCAGCCCCGAGGAGGATTTGGTCCCACCGAAGGGAGATTTGGTGGTTGGAACCGAAGGAGGCTCCGTGATTGGGGCCAAGCTCGACAGATTGATATTGAGCTGCCCATCCGGCCTCGTAGTGTGAGCCATGATTAGTCCCTTGTATGAAGCAAGATTAATCCGACTTTTGTTGGGTGAGGGGGAGTCGCAAATATGTCGGCCCAGAAAATTTGTTCGTGCAGCGGCTTGTATAGATAGCACGACTATGAATTATAAAAATCTTTTCACCCTTTTCAACGGTACAGATGAAGCGGATACTCGAGGGCGTCGAAATGGAATCGCCGTGGTATTGAATTGTGGTCGGTTGTTTCGACTTCTTTGGGGTGACGTGCCAAATCTTCGTGGGCGCCCTCAATGCGGATATAGGCGGAGCAGAGGATATTTTCCCCAACAGATCAAATTGTGAATGCTTATAGAGGAGGATAGTCCCAACCGAGTGAAAGACGTCGTCAAAGGGATAGTCGTGGGTCAAACGCAGCTGGTCTGAATTCGAAGAGAGCTGGAAGAGGACGGGTCGGGATGAGGAGGGTATTACTTTAGTGGCAGCTGAGCATGATTGATTGGTAAGAGATCGTGGTAGGTGATAATAACACAAAAAGATGGAGAGAATCGAAACAGCACTCCAGGGCTGATTGGAACATTAGAGGAGGATGGTAAGGACGCGGTTGAAGGTGAAGGAGAAATGAAAGAAAATTGGTAGGTAAGGTGGTGTTTGGCGTAGAGTCGACGATGGGAATTAGGGGGCAGAAAGTCTTGTAAGGTGAAGTGCAGGGAGAGGAGTGAAAGATGCCCACCGCGCTACCCAGTGTGTCTGGGGACTACTACGGGAGTCCTACCCTTAGTTACGGCTTGACTTGAACTCGTAAGTCGGAGACTGAAAGCGCTGGCAAGCTTTTGGTTCCTCTACTTCTTCCACCAATCCTCAATGATAGGCGAGTTACCTATAGCATGATGAATATGGACTGGCGCCAGGGTTGCAACCCAGACTACTATGGAGGAGAAATGGTGCGAGTAGTCCTGTAGCAGAAAAGGACGGTGACGCAGAGCGACCTTCAAAGCCCCAGTCTAATTGACTGAAATGAAAAAAACTGAAAGTCTCTCGAGCTGTTTGCTCCCCAGGCATGACTCGTTCCTGCCAAGGCCTTTCCCGGTGCGCTCTGCGGCTTCACCCCCATCCAATCGAGCTGCGTACATTGCGATTTCTGCCAGATGCTCTACTGTATCTATAATTTCATATTTCTTCGCTGCGGCACACAAATTCCCCTCTTACCGTCCGACAGCGGAGACGGAACAGGCCGGAAAGAAAGCAGATGGAGCTCTCCACGTTTTCGCTCATCAACATGTCAGCCTATAACGGCCTGCGCTCTCTTCAGCCCAAACCACCACGCTCATCCAACGTCCACTCATGAAACACCTTCTGTCTGTCGACCATGTTCTTCAATTTCACTTCATCATCCTGATTTCCAGATCTTGGAAAATCCGACCGATCATATCCTACACTTCGAGCAGAGCTGCTCTATGCGGTTGAGCCGAGAATCCAACTCTCTCCACTGTGACTCGTTGGATGCTGTAATAAATGGAGTACACCCAGGACTCGCATCACGTTGGGCTCTGATCGTGTTGACACAGAGGCCTGAAACACTGGCGCCCGACTTAAACAACCAACCATCTTCCGCCACCCGAGAGAAACCCACTCTGGCATTTTGACTTTCACGCACGCGACTCGTTGAATCAGGGCGCCTGTGTGTCCCGAGTTGCCCTGTGCGTCCCAGCGTTGCGGGGACCCTTTAACCATGCAGAAACGCCCCTGAGAGCTGCGTCCTGTCCCTTCCAGTCATTGACTAACAGCCTCTTGACCTCCATCAACGCGTCGAATGATGGGCCGCCGTCATTCTGCCAATATCTTTTGCTATATTATCGCCAAAAGGACGCGCGTAGGGGTTTTTGCCAGCCTGCGACGACTCTGAACCACCTTTTTGCCTCAGCAATTGCCGATGGTCACGTGGTCAGACAATGATGGGCACGAGGCAATCGAATCTTGGTGACAAAACTTTTCACAGGAGCCATCCCAAAGTATCTCAAATATCTGGCATGATCCGAACTCTATTACTGAACATCGGCTTCCGATTCTCGTCTGTAGAGGGCACATATGAAAAATTGCACGAGGACGAAGAAATCTGCACTGGAAGTTGTTAGAAAATCTACTGCCACCCCGGCAGTCAAAAGGCCCTGGTTCTTCATTTTTTTTTTGGCTACTATCTATTTGCCGACATTCGGGTGATGCTTCCACCCTTTGAAACCCTGCTCCGTATTCGCCTGGCAAAAGAAGCTAGCTACTAACCTCGTGACGGGAACCCCGAACAGACCTGGACGGCAGTGAGCACGGAACACTCCACTGTGCGCCCACTGCAGATAATTCGACCCATTTTATGAGCTGATCTTCTTGATGAGAACCAGAGTCCCCTCCAAAGATGGATGCGTGATTGACACCGGGAGATTTTTAGAAACCGGCCATTGGGCTCCGAATCGATTTGACATAAAAACCGTGGTCGATGGCGGGCCCTTATTTTCGCTAGCTTTCCGTAGGTGCCCAAGCGGTCGTGCAGAGATCCCCCAGGGTCCCTCGGGTTGCCCCTAAACCACAATTGTCGGGCCGAGTCCTGAGAAGGCTGAAGTATTCGATGCATTGTGAAGACGGCCACCCATCCAACACTCACTATTGTGTTGGCCCACCTGGACAAATGATCTTCGCCATGTTCTCCTTCAGTCCTTATTTCCCATCGAAACCGTTAGCCGACGTCTCACTTGGACCAAGGTGACTTCAAAAAAGTAAAAAGTTGCGATTGGCAGCGTAAGAAGAGGCCCAAAAGTCCTGAAGATTCGGACTGATCTCCTTCAATCGAGAAAGGTTTGAGACGAGACAGGCAGGGCTAGGATCCGGGGATCAGCAGCGCCTCGAACGAAAGGCCAGATCGTAGGGCGCATAAACAGATAGGCCAGTTTGACTCAAATGGACCACAGCCGACGACCATGGCGAAATTGTACGGAGCAGGACATTCGTTCGAGAGGGCAGAGTTTTGTTACAGAGGGACAAGGCAAGTGCATCATTGACGGTACGGAGCTTGAGGTCGAGAAAGGACCGGGCTAATGAGGCTATCTTTCTCCGGAGTCGCCTGGGATCGGGCATATTCCTGCCAAGGCTGCCCAACTCCGTAGCAAAGAGCACTTCAACTTGCAGCGGTAATATACCCTCAATAAGTCCGCGATAGCATTGCTACTTTGATGGGTTGGTCTCTCACGTTGTATTCACCACCACTCGCCCTCCCAGCGCATCGACAGGCGTCTTCTCATCTCTCCCCTTCCAACCGTCTTCCTCGTCCACTAAGCTTCCCCCGACGACCTTCTCTAATTCTTCATACCATCCCCTCTCACCGGCTTGGACGATCTTTCAAGAAGACCCTTTATCCCTCCTCACTCCCTGACGCCTCCCACTCTGCGATGACCTTCTCCAGCCAGTATGAACGGCATCACCAAGCCGTTACCCGGCCTCCTTGATGATCCCCAATTCCAAATAACTGATCTCCCTGCTTTGACCGATTTTCAAATTGCTCCTCTTCGCAATCCCGCTCCGACCCGCCATGCAAACATCCCTCTTCCGTTGGAGCCTTTGGCCAGCAACATCCTCAACAACAGTCGAAATACGAAGAAAAACACACAACCTGAAGACCACGGTGAGAAACGGCGGGCCCCAAAGATTACACCCAATGACGTCTTGCTCGCTCGAGAGTCCAAGAAACCACATCTGGCCATAAGTGAATTGCTGGAAGCCAACGATGGTCCAGAAATCGCGCCGACACACCTGCCCTCATTCATCAGCTTGTCCGTTGTTGAAAAGTCCCCCATCCAAGCACCAACGGAGTTGGACGAACAGCACCATTCTCAGAAACGCATAAGACTCGATACGGAGAATGATCACATAGCTTTAGATCTCATTAGACGACTTCCTCGACCGGCGCAGAAAGATGAAAGACAAACCAGGCCAGCCCCTTTACTTCCAGCCATGGTAACAGGCTTACATGAGCCTCCACCCTCTGCAGCGTTATTGCCATCGATTGATGTCGACTCTCGACCGAATGTCTCGCGGACGACCACAACGTCCAAAATTCACGTCAAGGACATCCTCACTCAGTCGGATGAGAATGGATCGCCACCTCCACCAGCTCGACAAGTCACTCTTACCGGAAAGGATGTGGCCAACGTCAAGCAGTCTCTTGGATCCCATGCAACTCGCTCGCAGGAAGTTAGCCCAGTTGCTACGGAGCCACCTCAACCTGTCGGGACCTGGAAAGATAACAAACCGCGCCGAGCTCGACGCAAGTGGTCAGAAGACGAGACCAAAGATCTCCTGGCCGGCGTCAAAAAGTATGGCGTCGGTAAATGGAAACAGATTCTGGACGATCCATCATTCAGCTTCAGCGAACGGAGTTCCGTCGACCTGAAAGATCGCTACAGAGTTTGCGCCAATAATGACTCGGTCCCCAAATTAGATACTGCCCCGGCCAAAGTTGTGCCTAACACGGATCCGACCACTGTCGCTGAAGCTCGTGGAAATTCGCCGGACACAGCATCACCGGATAAAGCCACGGCATCTATCTCGCCCATTGATCAAGGCCAGGCACCGAAGCAGCGTCGCAAGCGGCGTGCCTGGACTGCTCTCGAAGACGAAAATCTCCTGAAAGGGGTCGCAAAGCATGGATTCCAATGGACCGCCATTCATGACGACGTGGAACTCGACTTGAAACATCGACGCGCAACTGACTTACGTGACCGCATCCGCAACAGGTTTCCGGACGGCTATAAACATGCCGAAACGGCGCCGTTGAGATCAGAAGTGAAAAAGGCAGAGAAGCTTGGTGTTTCCTCAAGGGCCACTGCTACATCCGCCATTGAGAACGCATCCACCCCGACGAGGAACTCCGCAACCCCAAGTATACCACAGAATACACCTACGCCTCCTCAGACCGACAGAAGCACACCGACTCCAACTCGTGTTGTCAACGGACCAATCAAGCCACCCCTGACGTCTGCGTCCATGACAATGTTAATCCACAGCGTGGGTAAAGATGGAGAGAATACCCGAGAAAAGGACAAAGCCGACAAGGATAAAGACCGAGACCGGGAGAGAGGACTGGAAAAGCCAGGCGTGAAATTACCTAGCCTCACGCTAGACGTCGATGATGATATGGACTGGGAAGATAATAGACTTCCTCCTCTACATGAGTGGGATGAAATTGGGTTAAAAATCGAATGACCAAGAATCAAATATGGGCAGGGAATATGGGCACTCACTCTAGATCGGAACTGTATGGGAGTTGGAAATGGTACAGGAATGGGGACATAAAAAGTTTGGAATAAGTCAAACGTTCACCGGGTCAGGATTCGCGAAGCTTGCTGCCATCCACACCCCATGTCTGGCTTTGGATTTTGGGGGCCGGGATTTGCATCAAAGGCCGAGCTGTGTATGGACGGGACAGCATCGCATCGCAAGACAATAAGCCGAACACGTCAGTATGCGGGCAACGGAATCTACGGAAACTCGGCTTCGGTTGGACTGGGACACTCCTTTTTCTCGACACTTTGGTTGAATTCGATCGGACATTAATACTGGTTATTAGCTCTGGGCTTGGTTGCGACATGGAATTTGGGACTCGACTCGACGTTGAAGCTGGAGTTAACAACGGAATTGGAAACGGATACCTACGGCCTTGGAAACAAAATTATCAACAATACCCCCTGTGATACCCACGATCGCCTTTTATGCTTCTGTCTTGGAATTGGAATGGGTATTGAGTATTGAACCGGGAGTGAAAGATTTGAGATTCGGGTGAGAATGGAACTTATAATGGGATACCCTTTTGTCTTGAGCGTGACGGAATAACTATGAGCGGATATGGAGCGTTTTTATAGCCCTTGTAGACTAGGAAATGGTAATGGGACGATTTGCTTTCCGCATAACCTGGTATTCCGGGATCGGCGAGTACAGAGAATGCTTGAACAATAAGTTTTTGACTGATTGCAGCGTTTCGTGCCACGGAACCTATCTTGTCATCGACCATCGTCTTCATCCCCATCTCCATGATCGCTTTCATTCTAGGAAAAAATTGCCTCCAAAGTGCTTTTCGGCCTTTTAGATTTCGTATTGATTGGACCGATACCAACTCCACGGGGCTGATAAACTCAACACAGCATGCCAACTCCCAGCTGGAACCGAAATGAAACGAATCTTGAATTCGCATGGCTCCCGTTGCCTCCTTCCACTTTCCCTTCGTATTCCCCCTCCACAATTCGCCAGGTGCTTCATCATTCGAGACATATCAAATTGAAGCGCAGCTTGGAGAACATGGCAACGTCGAATGGATGATCCTTGCCTTGAATCACTCGTCACTGCTTTGTTCCACTATGTCTGGTTTGGTCCAATCTCGTTGATAGCGTCTTCGTCACTTCATAATCTCTGACGCGTTGGCGATTTCACCAGGCGTTACGGTCCCAATTTGGATCTAGAGTTCCCGATGTTAGTTATTGTACATGGACAGGGAGTTTCTCTTCTCACCCTGTATGAATGCACCGAGAACTTTGCTGCCTGTTTGCAAAAGTGGATGGCCCACCACAATCTGGAGGAAGCGCTGGAGTCCTTCTCTTCTGTGCTCGATCACATCGTCCGAGAAGCGATTTGTGAAGACCTTTCCAGGCAAAGGAGGAATAGTGACTCTCGCGCTTTCTCGCTCCAAAATGTCTCGGAAGTATTCGAAGTCGGAGTAGCGACGACGTACGACGGAGTGGCGGAGTTTGAAGGCAGGTATGTTGGTACGTGTGTGGATCTCGTAAGAGGTGTACATGTTCCGAGGGGAAGATCCATGGGTTTGTGGGTTTTTCACCTGGGAGAAGAGGTCAGTGGAGTTTGGTTCGCGATTTCAGAGTGCAGGTATTTCTCAGAAGGTAGCCTCTGAAATCTGGGAAGGCAAGGACATACTTCAATCTCCAAGAAGTTCTCTGGTGGCCCATAGATCTCCTCAAAAGTCTGTTGACGAGACTCAGGCAAGGCCTGCATGGTTGCGGTGATGGAGACGGTGGAGTCGACCGATTGACGTGAGAGGAAGAAGATATGTCGCGTGCACTGATGAAAGAGAATGGAAGCAATACGAATCAATCTCAGACAGGTCCTGGCAGAATAAATGCAGTGAGACTTGCCCGTAGAATGGAACCTTAGAGATGTGATATCACTTTTTGGTCTGCGAATCTGGAAGTTTCCTGCACCGCACTGGAACCTGACAAGAGGCCGTAGAGCTTCCCGATTTCGCGCTGTACCCCGCGGTCGCTCTTGGCAAGAAGCCAATGCCAAGCCAATTTCGAACGTTTGCATGGTATATTTTTTCCCCCCCACGAGGCTACCTCTCTTAGGACCCTTTACATTGATTTACGAGAAATCCTGTCAGCACCATGTCGAAGAAGAGAAAGAGAGAAGTCGATGTAGAGCTTGTCAAGGTCTACGAGGAGCTGACCGATAACGATGAAAATATCCGACTGAAAGCAGCCCATACCTTGGTATCCAAAATCTTCAAACCTGGTGTCACGAACGACGAACAGACCATAACAATTTTGACCCGTCTCTTCCGCGGACTATGCAGTAGCCGTAAGGCTGCTCGTCTCGGATTCTCCGTTGCTTTGACCGAGCTTCTTTCACAAGTTTCGTTGGACTCAACAGGATCGACGAATCCCAATCTGTCTCTTTCCGCAATAATTGACATCTTCGAAGCTCAAACTACACCAGAAGGAGGCGCCTCCGGCCAGGACGAACGCGATCATTATTTCGGAAGAGTTTTCGGCGCCGATGCTGTCCTTAAGTCAGGTGTTCTCTTCAAGACGTCAGAGCCGACTCAGTGGAAGCGTCTCCTCAATCTGATTTGTGGTGTGGCCACTAAAAAGCCGTGGCTTAGACAAGAATGTGGCTGGGTACTGTTTGTTTGTATCACGTCGGACCACCGGAAAGACGTGCTCAGTAACTTCGCCGTCATGACCATCGAGACACTGGCTGAAAATAAGCTGATTCGTACCCCTGAGGGAGTGGCAATATGGCTAGCGGCAACGAGGGGATCTCCTCAATCACCCAAACCGAAATCAATGTGGAAGAATGGTGATCCGTTAGCTAAATCAGACGTCCACGTCCTGGCCAGTATTTTAAAGGATGCGCGGACGCAACCTGACCAAACGGACGCGGACTCAGAAGCTCAAGGCTCAGCTAGATGGTCAGCTAATCTACATTTTGCGTGGGACATTGTGCTCAGCGAGGTATGCCGCGAGACGCACGCGAAGCGTCTTGACACTGGAAATGGAAGAAATGAAACCAGCAAAAGCGTGACGAGAGTACCTTTTGACCTGTTCTGGAGAGTTGTTGTCGATGGTGAGTTATGGCAACACATCTTCACCGAAGTCGCTAATCCTTCGATTTAGAGGGCCTTTTCTCACCTTCCAGCAGTACAGAACGAAAGGCTTGGGGATTTAGTATATGGAGGAAGGCATTCGAGACATGCCCTCGAGATCTGCTGCGATATACTTTCACGCCTCAAGCCACGTCCTGTCTTGTCAATTCGCTCAAGAGTTCCGAGAGATTCTTGCAGAAATGTGCTTTGAGAGCATCTCAAATCTTCCACACTGGCTTGACCGCTAGTGATGCGGATGCCCCTGATCAGGGATTAACTGGTGCCTGCTTCAGGACACTGTTGGAGAGCGTTTCATACGGCGATTTTGACCATATTACGAAGTCAAAAACAATCCAAAGCTTGATTGATATTGATGATTTGAAGGTTTTGAGAGCCATCAGCTTGACTCTGGCTTTTCTTGCTAGAAAATCCATACCCGAGGAGGATGATAAATCTCTCCTGGCTCGACAGAGAACTCTGATAGCTCTGCAATCCAAAGTTGTTTTCGCCTCGTTCCGACGTATGGAGAACAAAGAACCAACAGACGAAGCTGCTCTAGACCACGATGGAACACAAGTTGCCAGAACCATTCTGAGTGCGTGGATCAGAGGGGTATGCACCTTACCCTCTCCAGGTATATCGAAGCCAGGAGATTTTTGTTTTAAGCCTGAACTGCTTCCTGAGGCCCGTGAATTTGTGAGAGAGCGATTGGCTTTGGGCTTCGAGCAAGCGCTGAAGCTCGGCGCTATGGGGTGTGGGGTGTTGCAGACGACTGTATTTGAAATCCGTCTCCTCGAAAAGGATCACGAGTCGATGTCTATTGTTTTCGAAAGCGATATCAAAGGCCTCGTACAGGAAGCTTGGCGGAGGCTGACGAAAATAACAACTTCGTTTGGCAAACAGCAGCCCATTGCTGGAGACCAATCCGTACCGCAAAATATCGGCGCAAAAGCAGAGCAAATTCCCAGGTATGAAGGGTTTCCGACATTGTCAGATGGTTTGTATCTGTTATACTGCCTGGTCCTCTTCCAGATCTATACGGGGGAAACCGATGCTGTGCAAATCCTTCAGGACCTCCTCGAATGCCACGATCGGTGGCACGCGAGCAGGGAGGAAAAGTTATCAACGGGTGAACATCTTGACTCTAGTGAAGCAATCGTCGAAATACTGCTCAGCTTTGCATCTCGACCGTCAAAGTTTCTCAGGCGGATCACGATCCAGATCTTTGAAGCCTTTGCCAGGCAAATGACCAGCAATGGTCTTCATTCGTTGTGCCGTATCCTAGCAGCGAAAGAGAACACACAAGGACAACAAGAAATATTCCAAGTTGAAGATATCAATATGGACGGTGCAGAGGAATCGAGAACTAACTCGGGCGAGGAAGAGATAGACTCGGATGTTGAAGTTGGGTCAGCTTCATCTGCTGAGGACACCAGTTCTGAAAATTCCGCGTCCACGTCCGAATCTTCCAATGTGGATGATGATTCGGAAGAGGACACGGGAAGCTCTGAGCGGGAAGAAGACGACGATGAGCTTGCCGTATTTGATGCTGCCCTTGCCTCTGCTCTAGGCACTCGACGGCTCGATGAAAATGACTTGGCGGCTGGATTGGGCGCCTCTGATTCTTCCACAGACGCAGACATGGATGACGATGAAATGATGGAACTGGATTCAAAACTCGCCGAAGTCTTTCGCGCGCGGAATGAACAACAATCCAAGAACAAAAAGAAGGAAGCAAAAGAGGCAAAGGAAGTGGTGGTGAACTTCAAAAACCGGGTGCTTGATCTGGTGGAGTCTTATTTGAAGCACCAACAACAGAATCTTCTGACCATTGACCTGATTGTACCTTTGTTGACGCTCGCAAGGACAACTTCGACGAAACAACTTGCTGAGCGCGCATGCAACATCCTGCAACAGTTTTGTTCACGGTGTAAAGGATCCAACATACCGCGACTTGGCTCCCAGATTGACCACGCCACCGAGGTCCTCAGGAGTATTCACGAAGAAGCAGGATTGGAATCTTCGAATGCTCATTCCCACATGACCAGCCAGACAAGTCTCCTAGTGGTCAAAGTGCTCGTCAATGCCCACCCCGATAATGTGAAAACTGCAGTTGGCATATACATGGCGACTCGGGTGAAGCAACTGACCAAGAAGGACTGTCGCGTACGGGCAGGCTTCTTTACAGACTGGAACAATTGGTGCCAGACTGCCCGGGAGAAGCTGGCCCAGTGAAAGAGATGTAGAGGAAGAAAGTTCTTGCTGCACTCCCGCATTGAACGCCGTCCAAATGCCTGTGGCAACAGAGGTTGTTATTCACACAAGTCCGCTTGCTCCGTCTGTTTCAATCTACGTCCCGTAGAAGATTGCTCGGCGGTCTAGGATTCGGATTGAATTTTTTTAGGTACTGGGCGATCATCTGCAAGGCTGTGGCGCAGCCTCGGCAGGGAAAAGTTTAGAATCACGCCAGCTTCACTCCGGAATCGATTCAGGATGCGCGCAACACGTTGAACCATGCGAACAACCTTGGAGTCCATGTGGCTAGGGAGATTGCAAATTGACGACGTGGTTGGTGCGGTGTTGTGATGCGTTTCAACCATTTGAACAACAGGCAGAATGAGCAATCAATAGGTCGAACTGGCATGCATCTACTGTGGACGTCATTTGTTACCCCATAAGGGGCTAGATGAGTAAGACCAGGTTAAACCTAATCAGGCTAGCTCCCGCTGCCGAGGTTGCTTACTGTGAAACTGTAAAACGTCGGCGTCCAACGAACATCCGGCAATTCATCGCCATTCTCTTCTCCTGGCCTTTGCTTGCTCCTTGCACAATATGCACAGACATCACAAGAGGCCTCCTCCTCAGTCCAGGTGCTTGGACTCTGTTGTGATCTATGAAAATACCTTTTCCCATGGCCCTGTCAAGGCTATTTTCTGCCAAAGCCACGTCTACCGGGTATCGTGCATGTCTGGACCTAGCCAGGAGCAGTCTCACGAGCCTTGCCCCCTGCCAAATCCGGTATATTATGGTTGATTAGCTTATAGCTTACCTGAGCCAGATGCGTCCCTCAAGAATCCACTCTTCGCTCAGCTCACACTGTTCGGTTTCAGTCCTCCACCATCCTTTTACGGTTCCGGGCATGATGCGAACCCCATCTCTGATTCTTTGTTCCACCCTCCTTCTGCTCTTCTTTTCTATCCTACTTCCATTTCTTGATTCTTCACCTGGTACTTGTATTTGCCCTTCCCTGGCACCATCCAGCCCAAACGTCAGTTCTCTGCGAAATAGAACCTTTGGAGCTCGGATTTTCACCCTCTTCGGTTCCCCCGGACGTCCCGATAAATTTCGCCTTTGTGTCAAGCTTTTCATTCAAGGCCACAGATATCATTTGGTCAACGCAGCAACACACAGGACGTATCAGGATCGACGTCATGGCCACCCAAAAAGGCCCTTCAGACCTCCAGAAAATCATGAACAAGCTCGGGTTGAAGTTGAATCTTCCCACTTTATTGCTGATGTTTAAGTGTGTTCCCCGGAAGAGGGCTGTTTATCTTTTCTGGGGGGGGCGTACAGCTAGGGAGCCTGGATCTCAGGCTACCGAGGTACGTCTCTGCCTAACATCAGACAATGCTAACACAACATTTTCAGAGGAGCTGTTGCTCCCACAATCGGTCTCGCCATGTATTCATCCTTTCGCCCAGCCTACTTTCAGCGAGCTCACGATTGCTAGATATCAAGATGCTGGCGTCGCCAGACACTATTCGACCATTGGCTACCTCATCCCTATCATGTCCCTCTTCGTCGTTCCTATCCTGCCTCGAGCCAGATTTCTTCAGAATTTTTTCGTTACCTGCGTACGATAACCACCGTGCAACCCCTTTAAGGCACGACTTGACTAACCGCTACCCAGTTTCTGACTTGCCTTGCCGCTGCTATCTCACTCCTTTATATGTGGACCGCTATCAAAGCGCGACAAAATACCACCCACCTTTCAGAAGAGCGAAACAATGGGCCAGTTCCTGGAGCCGAAATTGTCCCATACAATGCTGCAGCTAGTGCCTGCCTGGCTGTTTGGTTCTTCTTTGTGCTATGGCTGTACAATACGTATGTTGCGCCCAGGATAATTACTCTCCTATCGAACAGAGATGCTGACATTGGTGCAGCTTTCGTGCATATCGACCCCAGTACTTCCTTCCTCTTATTGTTTTCTCAATCTTCATCAACATTACTGCCACATATGGGTGCATCTTCCCTACGATGGAACAGGCCTATTCCTTGAGTATTTAAGCCCGTCTCTTACCCCTTTTTTTCAGCGGATACTCAAGTTACATCGCTGACAATGACGGTTTTTAGCCAGGTTTCTCCTTGATACCTTTTTCGTCGGATTCGGAATTGCCTTTGCGGTCCACTTTGTGGTTCTGCCAATCACCACACGAGACCTTGTTACCCTCATGCTGAATGAATACCTCCATCACCTTAAAGTGGTTTTCGATGCCCAAGGCGCGCTCATCCATTCCTTACCCGCTCGAGATTGGGGTGTCGTGAGTGGAACTAGCAGTCTTGAGGGCGAAAGTGATAACAGCAATCCGGATGAGAGAATCACACCCTGGCCGGAAGCTGATACCTGGAGGACTGCCACCGCGGCAGCAACGGAATCTCAAGTCAAAATCCACTCGGAAATGCGATACGTCAAACGAGAGTTTGCTTGGAGCAAACTGGCCGCAACGGACTTTGTGTGCATCACGAAATTGCTCAAGAATATCCTCGTTCCTGTTGCTGGTATGGAGACCGTCATTCAAGTGGGAGATCGTGTGGAAAAACAGGGCGGATGGGCTTCTATGAAACCCCCTAAAGATGGCTCTAGTTCCGGTGTTTCCGAACCGTCCATGGATGAAGAAGAGAAAGAACGTTGGGGTTGGTTCTTTGATCAAATCCACGAACCTTACAAACAACTCGAACGAGCAATGATTGACGGTCTCGACTACGCATTTCACACGATGGGAATCACCAAGAAGCCAATGTTCAGCACAAGCCCGGAACTGGAAGCGAGAGGAGCAGATTCTCTAGATGGCAAAGGGTTTGCCAAGTACCTTGAAGGAACCATTGACAATTTCTTGACCGAGCGAGAAGGGCCTTTGAGGGAATGGTGTCGGTTGAATGGCATGGACGACTCCAAGGAAACATCTTCGAGGAAGCTGCTTCATCAACGACATCGATCTCAACTGTACCTCATCCTTGACCTCGAGTACTCCGTCGTCACCACTGCGAAAGGAATTCTGGATCTCGTTCGCTTCGCCGACTCCAAAGTTGAAGACGGAACCATGAGGAAGAAACGCCTTATTGTTCCAACCTGGAAACAATTGAAAAAGTGGGCCTGGGCTCTCATTACTCGAGAAGACGGCAACCTGGACTACCACACCTACAGCTACCGTAGCGGCACTCCGACTGTGTATCTCGGCAATGCTCTAGGCGTGGAACGAGACCCTGAACATCTCCTACCGGAAACTTGGTTCGAGAAGTTTACGGATTATTTCCGGATGATCCCCAAGATCTTCGGCTCCAAGGAATCCTGGTTTGGCTTCAAAGTGGCTACGGGCACAATGTTCATCGCGATAGTCTGCTACCTACGCAACTCTCAGGAATTTTATATCAAACAGCGTCTCATTTGGGGCGCGATCATGGTCGCCATCAGTATGACGCAGACGGCCGGATCCGGCATGTACGGACAATTCTTACGTGTCTTCGGCACGTTCCTCGCCATGATCTTCTCCTACATTGACTGGTACATCGTGGACGGGCATACCGCGGGAGTCATTGTCTTTGTCGGCGTCACCATGTTCCTGTACCACTACCTCATGGTTACCAAACCCGACGACCCCGTCATTCCTATGATCGGCATGATCACTGTGGTTTTGATCGTGGGCTATGAACTCCAAGTGAAACAAGTCGGCATACCTATCTCTGTTTCCAATGGCCAAGTCTTTCACCCTGTGTATGAATTGGCACCGTATCGACTAGCTTGTGTGCTCGCTGGCGTGGGTATCGCATGTCTCTTGACTTATTTTCCATCCGTCACGACGGCGAGGAGCGAAATGCGGAAAGATCTCGGAAATACCATGTATCTTCTAGGTCATTACTACAGCTCCACACACAAAGCCGTGTCTCTGCGCCTCAAGGGTCTGGAAGGAGATATAAGGGACAAAACCAGCCCGATTAGAAAAGTGGAGAAGGCTCGGAGCCGGTTGTTCGCCAAACAGTTGATTCTGATCCAAGCTATGAAGAATCATTTGAAATTCATCAGATGGGAACCCACGTTCGGAGGTAGGTTTCCCAGAGAGACCTACGGGAGACTCCTCAACCATACGCAAAAGTAAGTGTCTCAATTCTATATCTGAATCCAAAAAAGAAAAAAGAAAAAGGTATGGCAATTTTTCTAACATGTTTACAAAATAGCATCCTCCGCTTTACTGGCATGGTAGCCCATGTGACCAAAACCTTCGAAGAACTGCCCGAAAACACCCACAGACACCCCCCGGTGGCCGAGGAGAGCATGAGCGAGACCGTCAAAGGCACCTGGCTTAAGGAGTTTAAGGACCTTATCGCCTCGCTAGAGTTGACCTCGCACGACGTCACTTCATTGCTTGCCATCATCTCTGGCGCCATCGTCACCGGCAAGCCTTTACCGCCGTACCTCAAGGCCCCTGAACACTACCACATCGGCGAAACGCTCACGCGGTTGGACGCTGATATCTTGAGTGTCAAACACGTCTGTGAGCCCGGGTACTCGGCATTTGCTGTCATGCAGGTGAGCACGACGATGTTGGCGCAAGATCTCGCGGATTTGTTGGTCGAGACAAAGAAACTGGTCGGGGAAGCGGATTTCAGTCTCGATGTGGTTGAGGGTGATTATGAGAAGAGAGTCGGTGTCAATACAGTTTCGGCGACATTCAGGGCGAAGGCGGATTAGAGAGAATGTCTATGAGTATGAGTGAGAGACAATTCTTGGACTCTGTCGGACATGGCTGGAGAAAATGCAGGTTGGTCATTGTCGATAAGTTTTGTGGACACTGTACTGGCGGTCATGCGCGTCTGGCAGTAGTATTGCCATTAGTGGGAGAGCCATGATGGACAAAAAAAAAAAAAAAACTCCCGGAAAATTGAGATGTACTTACCCTTTCCACACTCTTGAGAACAGGGGAAAAGAAAAAACATGTGTCTGTAATGAGACTCAGGAACACATATTGGGAGTTGGTGCTTATATATTCACAAGCAACCTTAATCTATTGGTCTGCTTAGGCCTCCTCCAAGCTCGAAACTAGATGAAGTGCTGTACAATCCTGGAAATGAAAAAGTCTCCTATGCGTCTCATCCTGGTTCGTGGAGTTATATGCATAGCACGTCTTGAACAGTGTCGTCATATCGTCGAAGACGAAATATCCGAGTTTCCGGGCCAACACGTCGAAGCGATTTGAAAACCAGCGCGTAGAGGCTTCGTTAAGGTCTTGAGCACCCAGCGTAGGCCTCTCGGCCGAGCGTCTGGAGATCATCTCGTCCTCGACATAGGATCCGATCGCAATGACGAATAAAAGGTCTCGAGCACGGTCGTGGGTCGAATCAATGGTTGTCAATGTCTATTTCCAGCTTTTGTAGACATCGCATGAGCAGTCCGAACTGCCCACAATTGTTGCGTGAGAATCAGGGGCTGTGCAGCCAGGCAGAGACACATGTCCATTGAGGCCTGGCGTACCGTTGCTGAGGTATGGAAGCCGTCGACTGTGTCAGGTTCGACGGCATTTGCAGGTTGGGTAAGATCGTACTAGTAGTTGCTCACTTTAGCTTTGAGGGCTTGTTTGCGCAGGAGAATACATCGAGACTTGTGATCGCTGACATCGTGGCTGGAAGTTTCTTGTTGTGGCTTCTTTAGGTTCTCGATCTCGATCGGCCCTCGTAGGCCCGCGAAGATGTCGGAAATTGCCTTGGGATGAACGGGGGGTTGAGGGGTAGGCCCACCTGCAGCTCTTGATGTATGGGGCCGATGGTCTGTGGCTATGGTTGCCAGGGACCAGGATCCCAAGACGCTGGATCGAGCTGTGTTCGTGATCGTGTCATGGCTGCCACATGGACGAAGGTGTGGATGATGGTTTCTTTGTAGATCCAAGGGACTTTGTCCATGCCACCGAGCAGTTGAATGATCCGTTTCAGCGCTAAAAGATGTCCAAAGCTGGGCCACCACGTAGTTCCGGTAGAAGTCTGTACCGTATACGACTAGCAGAATCCGGAGCAGTGTCAATAGTTGGGTTTCCTGGTAATCTAGATTCTCGATCATTTCACGAAGTGCTCGAAGACAGGGGATTGAGTGTGTCAAAGAGAGTCGTTGATAGGATTCCTTGTTCTCCGGTTGGGCCTTGGACATGATGCCGAAATGTATGCGAACAAAGCGTGCATTTTCGCCTGTTGGGAGAAATAGCCCTTGTATATTAATTCATATTCGTTCGATACGTCGGTGTCTTCTTTTCGATGACCCTTTTCATCTGGCCAAATGACTGCAAAGGTCAAGCTTTGGACATACTTTACAAGTCCGAAGTCTTTTGCTGAAAGAGGTACAGGCGCTGAGGCAAACGGATCGGAATTTCCACCGCGTAGAAGGCTCATCAGAGTCTGAGCAGTGATTGTTGTCGGATTGTCGGATGATCGTTCACTCAAATTGGACCGTTGGCAAGAGCAGCATGCCGTGCCTTGGACAGTTATCACCGTCCCATCGACGAAGATATTGCCACAAATACGACAAATGCGAGTATCTTGCTGAGGTCTCTGCCTGGCCCGGAGGACGAAAATACCAATATGTAAGCTGGCTTAGGTAGCCATGGGATGCGGAGGGCCACGTTGAATATTGTCCAAAGAACGTACCAAGGGCCGACTAGTTCGTTGACTTCGACCAGAAGCAGGCTGAGGGGCCTCTAACGCCCTTTTCGCTCTCTCTACTCTTTTCGACGTCGAGTAAGACTCGGCATTCATCGCTAAAGCGTGGGCATCACGCTTGTCTCGCCTGGAATGGAAATTGTGTGGAGTTTTGGTGCTAAGCCATAGAATCTCTTTTTTCATTTTGACTGAGAACCCACCGTGGACTCAATTCTTATGGTCGCCGACTCAATTCTGAGGATTGGGCTGAAATAAAAACAGGCCGAGTTAATCGGGCATAGGACACGGCGCGGATTTCTTTAATTGGGAGCCAGACCAAACAATTTGGTAGCGACGGGATTTCTCGACCCTGGTCGTTCTAAGGTCTTGGGCTGGTGGGCGGATGAGTCAGGGGTAGCCCAGTCCGCTGGATATTGCAAAGTCCTTTTGCACCACTAGGTGCAAGCGACTTCTCCAAAGAGGGCCTGAGTCCTAGGAGACTTTGTCATCAAGCTCTGCTTAACAGGCTGCCTCGTATATGGCTTGCAGTGAAACCTGTAGATTTTCTCGAAGACTCCCTAGCGCTGGGCTGGGCAATAAGGCTGCAGTTCTCCACCAAGGGAAAGAGAGTGCGGAGAGAAATCAGAAAACAGAAAAAATCAATACATGCACAATCAACAGTGATGCTCATTTATTTGTTTTCGTTCTCACATGTCAAAGTTCATAGTCTCGTAGAAAGACACTGGAGAATAGTCCATTCCAGCTGGTCAGTGCAACTCGACACGACAGCATTGGCGTTGTGTGCCTGTGTTCTGTATCTAGCTTTCCCGGGCTGCTCTCATCAGTCTCAATATGTGCAGGCATGAATCAACACTGGACCGAATCAAGCAAAAACGGTCAAATACCAATATAACCACCCAATGGCCTCCTTTTCAAACGCCTCTCCCAAAGAAAATGTTCGTTCTTTTCTGTTTTGCAAGCTTCCATCTGTATTTCTTTTTTGGTCGCTTTCAAGTCTGTTTGTCTTGACTCTCACACATCCATTTTGTATTTTTGAGGGTTCATTCTGCTCATCTCCCCTTTTGTGGCCATGCAAAAGTTCAATGTCATCAAAATCAATGCAATAATTTTGTTCACGCCAGTTTGATCTAACCAGCTCCATCACCGTCCGCCATCGGAATCCTGAATGTAGCCCAGAGCTGACATGGCCTTTTCGTAACGCCATTGCTGATGATTCAGCTTAAGGAGAAGGAATAATCGATCGTGACAAAAACAAAAATCATCCCCAGAATCCACCAAAAAAGAAGGATAAAAGAAAAAAAGGGGTCGCGTTTCCAGGGAGGTGCAAGACTCCATTGCTCTTAAGCATCACATTTTCCAATCACGTGAAAGGATCATCTCTCGATTGTTGATCCAGAGGTGGTCGCTGGTAGTGACTGGGATGAAAAGTACTAAACATAGCCAACCTTTCTCCAATACTCATGCTACACGGATGTCCATGGCTGGGAGAAGTCCCAAATGCACTCGTGTTGATGAATGGGTCACTCAGGCTCGGTACGTGTCTGGGGTTTTGCGCACGATAGCTTCTCTTATTGGGATCGAGCTCGAAAGGACTGCCAAGACGCTTTTGAGACGAATCGACTTCGGGCGGAACCAAACCGGATGAGATCGTTGGGACATTGGGGTGTGCCAAAGCCGTAAGTGATGGAGGTAGTGTTGGAACTGAGGAAATACCGGCACTCTCCGTGGTGGGAGTTTGTCGAGTGGGTGGTGTAAGGAGTCGTTCAATCTGTTCTCGATTGTTGACAGCACCCAAAGTAGCACCTCTATTCCGAACGCGTATCCTCCGCTGATTAATGTCTCCCGCTCCAGTAAAGACCAGTTCCGGTCGAACTTGAGGTTTTCGCTCAAACGGGACCGGTGGGGGGAGATTTCGGTTGAGGTCGGTACCTAGCTGATGGATGTTGCTTCCACTGGGGCTCAACTCATCCTCTAGATTGTGTTGAGCACGTCGCTTGTGGACGTTGAGCGAGATGTCCGGTTCGAGTTTGAAGGGAGAAAGTAATCTTGATCCCGTAGCATGGATGGTATCAAATTGGTTGTGACTGATATGTCGGCGATGATGAGGGTTCGAGTTACTAGAACCATTCCAAGTCCTATAGTTGAATGGTGAAGCGAGACGTGGAATACTGCTTGCAACCTTCAACGTGTCCGATTCAGTCTCAATTCCCAGGCCAGGAGTAGAGATAGACATGCCATCCGAAGAACTGTTGACGGGGGTGTTGAACCAATCATCGGACATTTGCTGCGCCAGAGGGGAGTCTCCCGTCGCGAGCTGTGCAAGGGGAGCGGTCGCACCACTGGCCACCAGTGAAATACCCAATTCTCGAGTGGTGTATGTGGTGGTGGATGCTTCTGGATCAGCCTGTTGGGTCATGGGCCGATTTAGTCGAGAATGTCGTCGAGTGAACTGTTCATGGAAAGGCGACGGGCTCCTCGATTCGCGTAATCGCTGATAGTGGGCTGAAATGATGAATTTTTCCCTGCACAGTTGTTTCAGTCGTTTCCTAGTGGCTGATTCAGACGGCCAGATCGCCCTTGCATCGTGGCTGTCGGTGCGAAGAAAATCGGTTGGTTCTGGTGTCTTGTCCCTCGCATTGTTTCGGTTTTCCATGACGTTTCGCATCTTGTACCGTCGAATGATGGGTCTTGAGATTCGACTTGCTTTGGGCCATGTCTCTTTGGCTCTTCGAGCAACACGATGACAGACACCGGTCGGAGGAATGCTGCCAGGGACCGTTTTGAAAGGTGTGACTGTAGGATCTGCCAGATACATTTGATAGACATTGAACAAATGGTTGTCCATCTCAATACTCCATTGGACATTAGTCTTGGACATGAAGGCGTTGATCCTCAATTTCTTGCTCTTCCGTGACGGAGTGTCTGGGATGATGTTGACCTGAGTTGAACAGAACGGATCTCGAGACTCGAGATCCGGACTCGTGGCACTGCCATCGAATGAAGTTGGTCGAGTCGTGAATGTTTCCGAGGAAGAGTATGACGAGTCCGAACAAATAGAGCATTCGGATGAAGAACGATGCATATCCCAAGCACTGTTCTTGTATTCGGTTGGAACGAATTTCGTCTGCGCCACGGGTGTTCGAGGAAGTTGTGAATCTCGGTAGGTAGACAGTTTTAGTTTCTCACTCGGAGAGGGATCTGTGACACTGTGGACGTAGATCGGTCTGGAGATATGATCCTGTCGTTCAACCGAAGGTAGAGGAATGTCGGCCGCTGCGCGGTAGTCTGATTGAATGCTAGAGGGGATGGGGATATCCGAAGCAAAAAGAGTCGTGGGTAGAGCATTGTTACGCGCTTGGAAGTTATGCATATTGATTCGAGATCGTCGGAGGCAAGTAGTCGAGTGGTGAGGAGGCGGAGGAAGCTTGAGTTCTGCGAAGGTCTGATCTGGAGTTTTTGGATTATCGCTGCTGTCGAGTCCCAGCGGAGCGAAGTTTCGGGGAAGAGTTATGGACGTATGTAGTTGGCGTTGCGCCGAGGAGGTTTGAAGGGTCGGAGAAGGATTGCGGTCGGCCATGTTTTCTGCTTGGAGGCGGCGCAAGGGTTGGAACTCGAAACAAAGGCGCGAAGGTGACGAACTGTGTAGAGAGCAGCGTGAGGCCAGGCCTGTTGTCTATTGAAAGTTGTTCATGGATTCATGCTGTGCACGCGTGTGGACTCGGTTATGCGGTCGACCAGATGATGGATATGTGATGGTGACGAATGGACAGCGCTACAAGCGCCTGGAGGATATTTCGTGGGTACGGGTGTAGCGAGAAGGTCGAGGGCGGGCGCGTTCAAGAAGGTAATTGTAGATTGCGACCGCGGAGAGACGTGTCAGTGATGTCGGACGCGCAGGTTATCTGTCTGGAGCAAGGTTTTTCGCAGTCACCTGGAGTTGAGAAAATGACGGTGGCTGGGGCGAATGGCCAGAAGAAATTGGGAGAGCAGGGGTTGTATGGCGGAAGGACCAGGGTAGGGGAGTTGGAAACGACCGACATGAATCAGAGGAGAATCGTTGCACAGTTGTATAGAAAAGTGTAGAGGACGGGATGTGTAAGTTCTTGCGAGGTGCTGTTGTTTACTCGACTAATGTGATGGTGACAGGAGGAAGAAGAGGAGGAGGATTGGAACTTGGACGGGAGGAAGTTTCGGGAGGAGAAGAAGGTGGTTTCTGCTGTGGCTTTGGCTCAGAGTCTTGGTGGAAGAAGCGAAAGGGGGACGTGCGTGGAGCCTATCAAGGAGGAAAAGTGGGTGATGGGAGGGGATGGAGGTTTCGAGGCCAAGCCAGGAGAGTGGCATCTGGTGGTCCCCCAAAAAAACAAAAAAACATATGAGAGATGGAGAAGAAGACAATTGAAGTTGAAATGAATAAGTGGAGGGAAAGAAGGGAGAGTTACAGAATAAATTGGCTCATCGAGAAGAGTTGAACACTGGCAGTTCGCAATTTCGCAGTAGTTCAGTTGTAGGCGCAGAGAAGCAGTGCTGCGTGCAGGCCTCATAATAACTCACAGCGTTGACCACGTACTCTTTTACAGCAAGTGGTTGCAGATACACTGCAATCCAACCCATCATCATCCTCTTCACCGGTCCATTTCTCCATCGCTCCATTCTAACTACATGATGGACCCGGGATCCTTCTCCATTTATTCCATCTTCCGGCTTCCCAGGCATATCTTTTTCTGTCTCACCTGCAATGCACGACGCAGTCAGGTGGATTCAACATGCCAATCTTTGACTGTCACTCCATCGGATCGTTAGTCTCCCTTCTCCCTCTCTCGTCCTCCACCTGTCACTGCCTGCCTCACTCTAAAGTTCCACGTCCTCATCCTCTCGCTTGTGTCCTTATATTTCTTCCTATCACTACCAAGCACAGACTGGCGTGTTCGGGTGCGTGCAGCTGCAACTGTCAGAAGACCACATGTCCTCATATCCACACTTGGGCATATCAAAGTGGATTCCACCGGTCAGCGTTGAGCCTTTTCTTTGTCGTTTGCTCTTCTCGGTGGACGGAAAAAGACGCGTCAAACTGAGCTGTCCCAGCCGACCTGTCAATGGCGATATCAAGATTCGAGGTGCATGTCAACACGCGACAACGACGCGCTAAGCAAGCGAGGCTGAAATCTGCTTTTGATTGGGTTGAATTTGACGCCCTTATTGACCAATCAATTCTTTCTCTCATCACCTCCTTTGCCAATTCAAAACTCCAACATACAATTGTTGGACTCGACCAGAACATCCCCGTCTATCAATCCGGCTTGTCATCCTTGCACCTCTCCCGTCAAAGATACCTTTTTATCTGGCTTTGAAACGCTCTGTCCTGGCTGTTGACCCAAGAAAAATTCTTGACACTGCCAAAACAAACAACACAGGAGGATGTGGCGTTCAAAATGAGAGTGGAAACAATCCATTTGGTTGAAAAGTCTTGGACCCCTCTCTCTCTCAATCCATGTTGCCAGAGAATAAGGACGTCTTTTCCAGCATCCTTTGTCTGAGGTAATTGAATCAGGGTGATTGAAAACCTTCAGTTCCCGTATGCTTCCCGCACCAAACTGGCCCCAGCAATCATCATCGCCATAATACTCCATAACCCAATGCATCGGAATTCTCAACTCAAGTTTTACTCTGGGTCAAAGTTCAAAGCCACATCGTTTTATCGATCGGTCGCTTCGATCAAGATGCAGTCTGGGTTTATGAAGCATTAATTTGCGTCATCCAGTAGGCTTCTTTGGCCTGTGATGTCCATGGTCTCAGTTCGACTTCCAATACTAATCTGCTGTTTTCTCTTTGTCAGCGGGGGAACTTGTTACCCCAAACCGTGGCCTATCCGTAACTTTGTGCGCATAGCCTTCGAACGATCTGAATTAGCAATGTTATATTATGGTATGCTACGCTTATATGGTACAGAACCAAGATTTGATTCTGGATCAAGAAGGACGAATACTTCTGCTAGCAGCAGCAGCGAGTATTATCGCTCATACCAAGACACATCGTATATACGACGAACATTGTAGCCTCGTACATCACACAGAGAGCACTGTAGAATCAGCATCTAGTACTGCTTAACGTAACGGCTTGGATTGTAAGAAAGGGCCTGGTGGTAAATAAGTTGTGTTCATCTTGATTCAGTCCATCGGCATAAGACCTGGGATTAGTAGTACCTTAGTGGTGCTTTGCCTTGTCCATCCTATCTATACTACTGATATCATAACTCAGCCTATGTTCGTTCACTCCGTATCCAACCATTCAACCACCCACACCAATCTCGCACCGCAAACACATAGCATAGCCCCTTCATCTCATCTCCATTCTCATATGGAGTCTTTTACGCCTCGGAATGCTGCGTCGTAAACGCCCCTGCACTCGCAGTTCCACGACCAGAATTAGTTCTCCGCCGGCCGTCCTGCCAACTACCTACCAGCGCGCGAATGGCTTCTTCCGCAATCACAACGCCGCGATTAATGTCTTCTACGCATGTCCAGCCAGGGACGTGCAGGAATGCTACTTTGCCCACGCGCTCGGCCGCGAGATCGGGGTCTATGAGTGTAGGAGATCCGGATCGAGAATGAGGGGCGGGGGAAGATGATGAGGTTGTTGGCGATAACAGCCCCGGTTGTTGCTGTTGCTGGTGGTCAGGCAATGACCCAGACTCTGAAGGTGGACGCCGACATCGCTGCGCATCGAGCCATCGCCGACTCAGACTTTCGAATAGAGCGTACTCGCACAGGAATCGACCTGCGTCTCGCGATAGCTTGACAACGCCCTTCTTTTTATTATCCTCGGCCCTCATCGACGAGGTGCCTACGTTGCTAGTTCCCCACATCAGACTCAAGCTCACATTTGGCCCAACGCCGCCGCTGACGCCGACGCCTCGTCCGGGGACTGAGATAGTTGCTGTGTTCGAGGTATGACCAACCCGACCGAGGAACCCGCGTTCTTTGAGACCAGCATCCACGCCCGTCTCCCACCGCCTCAGCACATCCTCTTCATCCCACCCGACAAAGAGGATGTCAGGGACGCCTTGGCTTTTCCACACGCTTTCGCCGCAGTTAAAACCGTCGGATTCGTCCACATCCTTTATCCTGTACCCATCTCGATGGCCGCATGTTTCCAGAGAATAGCAATCTCGTCCGCCTGCCATGCCAATGTGGAGGATGAAGTCTGGGTTATGTTGCATTATGAGGGTCGGAACCAAGGTGGATACTGTGTTGTAAGCGACTCGTATTGGCGACGGATGAATTATTAGTGATATTTTATATTTTGGCGTAATTGACCGAGGGTAAAGTTCTTCTGATAAGGTGGATGCGATCAGCCATGAAGGGTTGATGAGGAAGGATTTGAATGGCTATTGCATTGAATGTGTTAGTATCAGTACGAAATCAGCCACGGGGTAGGTGGCCGGGAGATTGTGCCGAAAAGAAGTGTAACCAGATATCAACTTCGGCTTCCATAAATTTCCTTTGTTCGGTAGCACCATCTTCGTGGTTCAGTGCAACCAAGGACTTCAATCGGAAGATCATTTTGCATGTTCGTTACTCTTTTCTTTTAATTTTTCCCCCCCCCCCCCCTTCACCTACACAGCATGCCCCTATCTCACACAAGACGGCTTCTGTTCCATTTTTGTCTCCTCTTCAATTTAATTCAACCGAAAAGGAACGCCAATTCGACCCGACTCGCAAAGGAGCAAAACAAGAAAAATAGAAATCACCCACGAAAAAAAAAAAAAAGGGAACCTACCCCAAACCCCGTCACCAGCACCTTGATCTCCCTCAGCCGCCGCACATCTTGTGTATCCAGACTATTTATCGAAGCAGACTGCTCCGTTAACAGGGGAGGCGGTGTAGGCGGCCCTGCGTCGCCCATGTTGTATGTACAACGCCTGTTTCTTTCTCCTGTTCTCAGGTCGCTGGTATATGCTCGATAATACTTGGAAGATGTCTGGAATGTGTTGGCCAAAGGGGAATGTGGAATTTATGCGGAGAGCCCCGGACCGCAGAGGAAGAATGTTGAGGTATGTGGTTTTTAATTTTTTTTTTTTGTGTGTGTTGGTCAGATCATCCGCCTTCGAATTGCACCCTGGGGATATCTTGATCGAGAAATGGCTCGTCGCCGGAAGGGGAAGTCTGGGGAGACGTAGGTGTGGTGTGAGGATCGTCTACTATCAACCTTTTGTTCACGAGATGAGTGAGGACCAGAAGTCAATGTCAGCACCAGAATTGGAAGTGCATAATGTGTGTCTCTCTGCTCTATCCTATCGTGAAGTTGACCGGAAAATTGTCAATTGCAGAAAAGTTGGACTTGAAGATACTCCGTAGACACAATGAAGTCGAGGGGCAACGCAGTCTCGGTGATTAATTGGGGTCGATCATTGGTAATTCCTCCGCATTGTTGGCAGTGACTTTTGACATTTTCGATCGAAGCCGCCGAAAATGTCGATCACGGGGGGAAGGGTGGGTTGAGTGGTGGCATTTCGCCGCTGACTCGTAATTGTAAAATGTACTTGTAAGTGATCCGCCTCCGGTTTAGGCGATCCTGCCGCTTTGGGTATGGTCGCGGTCTGGGCGCGCCGCCGCTTTTGACGGCTATAAGAACATCGTCTCCCATCCCCATCACTCTCTCCCTCTCTTCCAACCTGCTTGATCCCTTTCCTCACCTCCGTTCTACCCTGACGCACCCTGTCGTGCGTCACTTCGACACCGCCTGAATTCTTCCCCCCTGCCGCATCAGGCCCCCCATCGTCGATTCTCCCTCTAGGCTCCTTCGAAATTCGCCTCTTTATCCGAATTCTCCCCTGCCGCTTCGGGCTCCCCTCGATTCTCCTTTCCGGCTCCTTCAAAATCCGCCTCGTCTCTTCGAGCGCGCCTCGATCAGCCTCCCAATCCTCGGTCTTCGCGGCCCCCTCGTGCGCCTAATCCCTCCCTGGCGCATTTGGCTTCGCTTCCCTCATGGCGTGCAGGCCCAGCTGACCCCGTCCATCATCTACGCCTCGACCAGGCTCCTGAGGATATGGGTGTCGGCCTCGGCAAGTCTCCTTGTGCTTCCTTGTGAAGGTGACTCCCCGTAATGGGCTCCCTCTAGCGTTTGTTCCAGACCTGCGAAGACCCAGCGAGATCATCACCGACGATAGCAAAATCGAACATCCTCCGGGGCGCCGTGGTAGGCATTCAACTTTCCATACTGTATCATCGGGACCGGGGTTCTACATCTCGACTTGGTGGAGCAAGACATGGAAGGTGGAAGAACGCAGCGGATCTTTTCGCACAGGCCGGTGCAGTAATACTGAGTGCCGCACCTGGCGCATCCAATGACGAAAATGCCGCACACGGTGATGGGCGGTGTGCAGGCGCACTGCTGCCTACGCTCCACCTCGAAAATGCAACGCTGACCGGGGGGGGGGGGGGGGGGGGGGGGGGGGTTGAGTCTTCCATCTCGGCCCTCGGCGGCTCCGAGGAAAAGAGTCACCATCCGACGACACGGACACGTCAGCATGTTGCAAATTGATTCTCCACTGCTGTCTCCTCGTTTGAGCAGAATGAAGTACAGCGGTTCCCCAAGAGGGGCTTGCGAACAGCCCTATGAAGGGAAAAAAGGTGGGATTCGCAAAGACACGATTTCGCTTGGACAGAATGCAGAGCAGATGTTGATTCTCCGTTGCAGCCGATCCCAATAGCGGGCGGGTGTGTGTTTGTGAGGTTGGCCATCAATTTCGAAGAAGACTGAAAGGTCGTCGGAGAACAACTGAAGGCGGCTGTCTCGGTCCAGAGGGCGCATTCTCATCATCCTTGAACCCTCGGGACCTGGGAGAACGGGCCAACGCCCCATATCATCCCCTCGTTCTCGAGACCACCGTCGCCGGGGTCCATCCCACCCTCAGGATGACGGTAGCCCCATGTCTCATGATATGCCGTGGCATGACCCGCTCCACTTCGTTGCCGTGATGGTCCTCCCTCTCCCCCGTCTCACCGGGCCTGGAAACACCAACAGAGAGACCTTTGGCAGGCCAGGGTTCGAACCCGGCAGTTGTGATAGACTTGGAACTGCGCCCTGTGAGGCAAGGGGAAGCAGGGAGGCCATTGGGTAGTGCTGAATGTCTATTTGAATGGCACCGGTTCCCTCGCTATTCCCTACTGTCAAACCCATTCTTCTGCTTCACACTTCTCGGCACAGTGCGCTCCAATCATAGCGATTTTCATCGCGTATCAACATCGGACAAATGAACCATCTATCGGAAGTCAACCCTTCGGTAAATCTTCCGCAGTCGGCCTCTGCGGTCGGGTGTCGAGCAGACGAAGCCCAAAATCTCCTCAACAGGCACGGCCTGTGAGCAATCCGGACTTCGTCGATTTCGTGGATATGACTAGTCCTGACCAGGACGCCGGTCGAGAATATCTGGTGGTGCGAGAGATTTTGGAGCCAATGGCTCATGATCCCGACAAACGCGGCATCCGAGTTTCCAGAGCCCGCCGCAGCGGCGTGTTCGACAGTGACAAGGTTGAAGACGATGAGGAATGCGACAGAGATGACGACATTGACTGCGAAAGCGAAATCAGCGACCTTCCATCGCTCACGGATATCTTTCTGCGGAGCGACTCAGGATTCGGAGGAAGTGCCGACCTCAACTGCAAGGCTTCCGCATCGTCCGCTCCCGTTGACAGGACCGGCAAGGAGTGTTGTCGCGAGGGCGACTGTGAGAGTAGTGGCAATCCTACCGCGACGACTGCCGCGGGCATTCGGCTCGGTGCCAGCCAAGGTAAGTAATGGAGATCCCATGTCGTACGTGTACATGAACGGTGCATACTGACGTATTTCTCCAGACAACCCGATTGTGCTGGAGGATGACCAGCCAGTTGATATCTCCGACGCTGCTTCCCCTGACGACCAAAACCCCAACCCTCGAAGTCGCGGACCCGGCCCCTCCCAGCGGTTCCTCCCCAACTTTGCCTGGAGGATTTGCCGAACCAGGCATAGAGGATGGAAAGGATACTCCAGACAGCCTGGCGAAGTACAACCGAATGACCCTGTAGGTGACGAGAAAGAAGGAGGAAACAACAAATCGGAAGAAGACGACGCTGCCCGCACTCGGACTCTCACCAGAGGCAATGGCGGCAACGAGTGCAGTGGCAGTGGCATAGGTTAAGATGCACCATCATCTGTTGGCCAAATCCACGACGTCTTTGCAGAATTTGAGGAGACCTTCGGCCTGGCTAGGCGGAAGCAGAAGACGGTGGTTGCGACTCTGCGTAACTGCCCAGTTCGTGACGTTACGACAGGCTCCATCCCACGCCCTGTCAGTCAGGGAGAGCCTCGGTCGGCTGCGGACGATAACCCCGCAGGGTCTGGCTGTTCGACAAGCTCAATCGCATATCCTGGAGCGCATAAGCCGTACATGTCCCGGCGTAGCGTCCTAGACATGACTTCGAGCGATCTCGAGAAGATCCTATAATGGATCTCTCCCTTCCTAGATGGAAAAATCTCGACGAACGCCTTTGCGAGGAGATAGTCCTTTGCTGACTGATGCACAAAGTAGACTGTTTTTTCGAATAGTCAGGAACGAACCACAAAGACCAATGATCTCCTGCAATGACTCCAGGGTTCTGAACGAGCTGGGACGAATTTGGCAAGACTGAGCGCTCGCTTGTTTTACATACACCGCCTATATTGCTGCAACTTATTGTTCCCATTGAGTTCTATCTATGAGGGCAGAGGAGGGGTATAATAATTCAAATCCTCCTGCCGGGAGGCTCTATCTGATTTTATTTAATTATCAAGCACCGGAATACTTCCATGGCTGATTTGGAATACTTCCATGGTCGATTTGTAAGTTAAGGTTTCATATCATAGCGGGCGTCACAACAGTTGTTACACTCTGCTACTGCCTATCGTTGCCTATTGCCTAGAATCACTCCTTTTTGTATACATTAATAGCTAAATACCTTCGTTAACAATCAACTCACTCATCACCCTCTTATGCGCACTGATCGTCTGCAGACTGGGATCCGATGGGCGACGGGGGATTTCATCGGATCCAATGCGTGGATCATGTTAAGTATAATCAATCGAGCTTGTCAGGGTGGTCCACAGACTGGATCCGATGGTCGAAGGGGGAATTCCATCGGATTCAATCCATGGACCATATCGATATCGAATGGAAGGCCGCCGCCGCCCCCGGGGGTGAGGGGAGCACATGGTTCCGGAAAATGGTTGATCCGTTAAGGGATGGGCGACGACGGGGGACCCTGGGGGAGCACGTGATTCCGGAAAAAGGTTAATCCGTGAAAAAGGGGGATTTCATCGGATCCAATCCGTGAACCATGTCGACGTCGAGGCTCGTCGTTCACGCTCGGTTACGAGTGATGTCGAGTGTGATTAGTAGGGTTATTTTAGGTGGTCCATAGACTGGATCCGATGGCGAAGGCCCCGGAAAATGGTTAATCCGGCCCATAAACGAGACGCTCGGCAAGACGCGCACTACTAATGAGACCAAGACGAGACGAGCTAGGGTTTTGCCCGAGCTCGACTAGTCTCGCTCAGTCTCGGCTCGTCTCGGCTCGTTGAGAAGCCTGAATGACTATATCATGAGACGTATCCTCAAGCATGTCGACAACCGACGCCAATTCAGTCAGACTGATGGGTTCGTATATAATCGCGACGGTGGCAAGTATCCGCTTGCAGAGTTCAGAGTCTTCCGATTCGCATATTTGTTTCACCATTCGCTTGTAAAGGGAATTAAGGCCAGGTGGAAAAGAGTTCAGCCTCGCGCGGATTCTTCCGCGTGGGGTATTCTCGAGGTTTTCACAGACCAAGGCCACCCAAAGAAAAGCGTTGTCTGCGTTGAAGATCAGATGGTTAAGGACAGCCTCTCGCGTATCGTCATCGAAATTTTTCTCTTACGCCAGTTGATGCACTTTATACCGGATATAGATGCTGACAGCAGCAGACACAAACTCTGCATTCAGTTCGAGGCATAGACTCACCTTACTTTCGGCCTTGTCTAACCGCTCCTCAATAGGAGGCCAGTTGCGGCTCGAGACAGGCCATTTGACACATGGAGACAGCGACGAGCTATACGCGATAAAGCGCAGTAGCTTCTTCCAGTCTACCGTGCATTCATCCAGCGCATCGATTATCAAATAAGTAGGTTCCAGGTTCGGGTCCTGCAAACGTTGGTAAAGATCTCGGACAGAGCGACTCAAGCATTGACGTCTTTGAAGAGATCTTCGCCGGCATGGTCATGCTGCTTTTGGACGTGCGAGACTAGGGAAGGCTGCTGGTCGACAAGCAAGAACAAGAGGCCTCGCTAAACTGCCGCGGCGTTGTTGATTCGCGAATCGGTTGCCTGACAGAAGAAGTAGGACAGGGGATGGGATTTGGGCATGCTAGTCTTTAACTCGTTGATAATTCCGCAGAGAAGCATCGTCTTGCCCTTGCCTGGGTCGCCTTTAATCCACAGCATGTGACTCTGCTGGCCACCACGCCATCGTTGAAAGCCACTATTTTCCAGGATCCAATGGTATGAGTCCGCTAGCAAGCCACCTTTGGTGTCCTCAATCCGTTTCTTTGTCATCGCGGGGATCCGTGACGCGTAAGTCTCGGATACACTTCATCTGCTTATTGATCTCATCTTCGAGCCTCTTGAACGCATTCGCTATGCCTTCGCCATAACGAATAGGGATGGAGACGTCGAAAATGCCCAGTAGCGAGTACGCTTTATCTTCTTCCAGTGTGGTCTTGCGGCGTTCTATCCATGAGAATCGTTCGTTGATGCTGAACTAAGATAAGCGTTCTCCTTGAAGTGCTCGAACATCAACTCCCGTTTTCTGCTGAATCGGTTGCTGTAGCCAAACTTTGTCACCGAGTCGTGCGCGGTTGCGAGAGAAAAATTCGACCGAAGCTGGGGCTAGCAGCTCTTGGAGTGTCCAGCCCCGAGTGAACCATTTGCTGTTCTGGAAATCCAATTCCCAATGCTGCAGGTCATTGTTGTCACCGGGAGATACAGGAACATCCGACAAGTAGACATAGCATCGACTCGCTCTGCGGTACCAGTGAAACATGGGATTGGTTAGCTTTCTGATGTTCACCCTCGTTTGATTTATCGATGCAACAACTGTCCACCCAGAAATATTGTAAGTCATCTCTGGTCGCCTGTTCTCCACAGAACTGGATCTTGTCATATCCAGCCTTGTCTCGACCCAAACCTTTCACCATGTCTCCATAAGTGACTTCCTGATCATCATTTTCCCATCGATGTGAGAGGATGGCATAGAGAGGGACCGCGTTGTCGGGGAGGTTCTCGGTCAGACGAAAGCCTCCGTTTGGCAATGCTTCTAAAAGACGCATTGTCAAGTAGGGATGTCGTGCGGCTTTGGAGGGAGGTGGTAGAGGGTTCGAGTCCGACAGCGACGGCGACGGCGACGGCGACGTCGAGAAGTGTGAGAGTTGCTCTCACATCAGGTTCCTAGACAGAGGGTAGATTGATAGATTCAGCTAGAAGTTTGAGTGAAGGTCATGACTCCGGCTGGGATTTTGTTCAGACAAACCCAGCCGCATCAGGCTGAAAGGGTGGGCTGCAGCTGGACCGATTGGCCAAGTGGAGGGTAGGGGTTTTGCTGCGGACGCGGGGCGCAGCTCATCTGAACATCGAGAACTAGCTTATCGTCCGGAAAGTGCCAGAGACGACATACTGGCCATGAGACATTGCAGCAGCGGCCGCCGGGTCAATGAGAGCCGTGACTCGATCTCTTGCCAACATTTTGCCTCTTTCCACATGCTTCTTTCGGGCTTTGTCTGGTCCTCCCTGGGGGATCTTCTGGTGCAGGCTTGCGTACTTGGACATGATCTCGCTCAGTTGCGAGCTATTGTCCTTGAAGTCTGCGCTGGTCTTGTCTACCGCGGTAGGGAGGATCGATATAGCCTGGGCATGACGCCTGTGCGTGAATGTAGCCGCTGAACGACGTGTCTTTGGTCTGATGGGGAATATGGTAGGACAATGCGGATGGTGCTCCCGGAGAGCGTAGCTCAGACTCTTCAAGAGTGTGTTGGTAGGGACGTATTTGGGAGCCATGGCAATATCAATTGTAGCACCACATAGATGGCTCTCCAAGGTAAGAATTTCCGTTCTAAATTCTCTGGAGAAGCAATGTGCTCGCGAAGGGAGTTCCCAAAGGCGGCCCAGTGACCCAAGTGATCAGGGCGAGATTTGATAGCAAGAGAGGCCAGCAGTGGAAGTAACATGGGCAAAAATTGGGCGTTTGGCTCAGAGAGGCTGCCCAGGAGAACATCACGTGACTGCGGAGATTTTGGCTTTGCCCATAAGTGGAGCCCTGGCCAAGCGCGTCACGGCCCGAGCTCAAACGCCCTTGAGATCAAAACAATTTTGTTGAATCCTTTGGCGTCACCCGGCCATCGTCCCATCTCCCTTGTCAGCAACTTTGCGAGCTTCTCAAGTCTATGGCACTGTAAGCTATCAGCTACTGTCCATATCGCCCACCGAGTCGTTTTACCGCAGATTTCCAACACCCTCCCGATCTTCGCTTCATTGCGGTCCACCCACCAGCGTCAGAAATGCCTCAGTCGACACGACAGCAAGGTAAATCATCTTCGAAACCAAACTGGGCACCCCCAGCTCCGATGCTCGTCAGAAAGCACAAGGCTCAATTTGACGACGCTCCTCCCCAAGATCACGCGCCAACAAAGCGTCGAACTGCGCCTCAACTCAAAGACGATGGCCAGAGTACCACAAATTGTGTTGCAAGCCACAAGCACTTGAAAACACAACGGAAGGGCGATGTAAGGCTTGCCAAAAGAAGGGTCATAAACACTGCCCCTATTCAACCTTTGGAGATTTATTGCTTCGGAGGAGGAGAGGCTGGCGAGCTCGGCTTTGGCGGCCAAAAAGGCACATTACGGATATCCCGGCCCCGGTTTAATCCGCTGTTGACCCCGGATCGAGCTGGTGTTGTGCAATTTTCCGTCGGCGGAATGCATACTGCTGCCATCACCTCCGACAAGAAGATTTTGACCTGGGGCGTGAATGATTTGGGAGCCCTTGGGCGAGATACAACATGGGAAGCTCCAGTACGCGATATTTCAGAGACCGATGGTGTCAATTCGGGATCCGACGATGACAGTGAGGAGGATGAAATCAATCCATTCGAATCTACACCCACCGAAATCGACCTTACAGCACTTCCGGGAAGACCTACTTTCACTCAGGTGGCATGCGCAGATAGTTCTACCTTCGCCGTTACTGACGAAGGCTTAGTCTATGGCTGGGGAACTTTCAGAGTGAGTTGATTGTAACTTTACTGTTATTCTAATGCCTACATTGCTTTAGGGAAATCAGGGAGTTTATGGGTATTCCCCAAGCGTGGAGGTTCAGAAAAAACCCGCACTCGTTCGAGGCCTACAGAAGATCACGAAGCTGTGCTGTGGCGAAAACCATGTCCTGGCATTGGACGTGCAAGGACAAGTCTATACTTGGGGCTCAGGACAACAAAACCAGCTCGGGCGTAGACTCATTGAAAGACACATGGATCAAAAACGCAGCTTGACGCCTGAGAAGGTCTGGCTGCCTAAAGGGATCGTCGATATAGGCGCTGGACAGTTTCATTCCTTCGCAGTACACCAAAATGGAGATGTCTATTCCTGGGGGCTCAACAATTTCGGGCAAACTGGCCAACCTCTTCGACAAGATGAAACAGGTTCAGATGCCCATCTACCCCAAATAGTGAAATCACTGCAACAGATTGGCAAAATCATTTCTGTCACAGGTGGTAATCATCACTCCCTGGCAATCACAGATGGTGGCGAGTGCCTGGCTTGGGGACGAGTCGACGCTGGCCAAACGGGACTCAAACTTGATCGACTACCGCCTCAGCACTTGGTCCTGAACTTTCGAGGCCACCCAAGGATTTTGACTGTGCCAACTCCCGTGCCGGGCATCGACGCTGTCTTGGTTGCTGCAGGGACTGATCATTCTCTTGCCCTAAGTCGTGAGGGAAAGGCGTATTCTTGGGGCTTCAATGAATACTGTCAAACAGGCGTCAGCTCGGAGAACCAAGTCGACGAAGCTACCATGCTGGACTCGAAAGCGATCAAGGAGAAAAAAGTGGTTTGGGCAGACTGTGGTGGACAATTCAGCGTGATTGCGACGCTGCCTGGAACCATCAATCACTCGACGACAGCCAACGGGATTAACGGACAGATGTAGGATAATAGAAGGGTTCGCAGTTGTGATTTATCATTGGATTGCTTCTTCAAAGAGACTGCCACTGACCAGTCTCCATACCGTTACGGTCCACACCGGGCCCAAATGGGGTTTAATTGTATGTAAACATATGAGCGCTTTTATCCTCTGTGCCTCCGCTACCTTCCACTTTCACCATGCAATCAGAAATAAAGTATTCCCTCCGAGCGATATCATTAGATCTTCTTACGAATCTCCGCCCTCGACTGCATAATCCTTTGTTCCCAACGCGCCGAATACAGATGCGACGGATTGAGTCAAAATTTCCCCTCTTACTGGGTTTCGCTGGTACTGAGTCTGTCATAAGACACTAACTGGCGGGATAAACGAACCTACACGGCAGTGATTGGAAATGCGTGATACGACATATGGACTGTCACTGCATGAGTTTTGGAGCATGGGAACTGGAAGAAATGCAACGCGTTCAGGTCCGATCTTAACCAACTCCTGCGTATCGTACATGTGGTCCCATCAAAAAGATCTGATCCAAACTAACGCCTGCAAATTCCCACACATATGGTCCCATGAAGTGACAAACGGATCTTCAAGGCCGACAGACTGATGTTGATGTAAAGGCTTCCAGCGCCAATACTGCGACATCAGATGTCGTTGTTGTCGCACAGACAAAACCGGGTCGGATACCGGAGAGACAGTTTCAGCGATCGGGGTCGTATCGACCGTCCCTCCGACGACGGTTGTATTCAGTAACATCTCGGTTTGTATGTCTGTTTCAAAAGGAGGTATTGTCAGCACCTGGGAATGTAATTCACGGGGTGGAAAACTGCTTGCGTTGCCAAAGTCCTGTCCGTCATGCCATCGTTGTATCGTTCTCGGGCTCGTCGAAGAGCACTTTCCGCTCTTGCCACGTCACGTTCAAGTGCCCTGACTTGTTCTGCGGCACGGTCTCTTGACGCTCTCAGTTTCTCACCTGTAAAACAATAAGTGTGGGCGTTACTTATGGGAGATAGCCAATTACTCACGTATAGAACGCCTGGCATCAGAACTGCCAGATCTTGCTTCACGTTCGTAAGCTCTTGCTATATCATCGTATTGCCTCCTTGCGCTTTCCAGGCGTCGTCGTCTTGCATCACTCAAAGCTGCAGAAGCAGTCCGGTAGGTCCTTTGCCGCACCCGATGACATTGTTTTGGGAAATGAGGTTGTACAGCACACAGAGGCCTTGAAACAGGGTTCAATATAGTGAATGATGAAGCTTTCTGAAGGGATACTTCGAGTGTTGTTGAGAAACTGGTCCATCCTTTCGCCGTGGGACCAGTACGCTCTTTACAGCCATCGAAACCATCCTGAAAGCGCTCTGCTTACTGAAAGAGCGCTTATCTATTGTACTCCTAACCCGCTAGCGAAAGGCCGTGTCGTAGAGACCGAAATCTCCGCGTATGAGAAAATTGATATCGTGCTGAGACAAGGGTGTGATAAGTGGCGAAGCCAAGGCTTGTAAAGACCTTCGGCGTCGTTGTACGCTTCGTACACGCTTCGAAGCTATATAGTCAGACGGTTCCCTCGGACCCCTTCGAAATAGGACAAGTCCTCCGTAAAATCACAAGGACTCCGACAGTGTCCACATGATGGAAGCGCTGGCCTTAGCGTTCGGCCGAGTTGTATCGTGTAAATTGGGCATCAAAATAGCCACCGGAGCCGCAAGTTATCGGGCGAAGAGGGCTCGTCTTTAGCTCCAGCCGCGCGCCTGAACCAACCGCGGTTGACCACAAGCTCTGCCCAAGACGGGGGATGTTAGGAACAGCCGAGTGGAATAAGCCGAGTGTAGTTGCAGGATCTTCAACAGTGTATTCGTGTTCCTTGACGTCGGGTCTCTACAAGACTCGAAATATGAGAGAGCGAAGCTCTGTCGTGCGAGGGTGCTCTTGACAAGGGTACTGAGATCTCCCCTCATATGACGCCCCTGCAGCGGTGCGCTTGAAACCTTTAGCTCCAGTATCAATGTGGTGGAGGAGTCCGCCATCGGCGAATGCGTTCTCCCAGGCGTGACATTCTTGGAGCACATCCCCGACGAGATGCGCTCACTTCCCTTTGTGACGCGTATAGCTCACCTAGGAGGAGGCTTGGACATTCTCTATTCTTGATATAGCCGACGGCAAGCGAGTGCCCCAAAACATTGGTGAGACTTTTTGATTGACGCGCGCCAACGGTCAAATAATGCTCAAGTGAAACGAACACTAGCGAAGTACGAGGCATGTGGTTGCACGTGATATCTTGGTAGTTATATTGAATTGGAGGCACTAGATTTGGAGCCCAGCCATCCGCACCTGTTGCGAAGATTAAGGGTGGCAGTTTTCGGTCATCGAGAGCCAACGATTTAGCACGCAGCAACACTGACCGCGGAGGCAGGAAGTGTCGAAGGCAACTGGTTGGCTGGTATCAGCACGCGAACCCCCCTGCCTTCCTGCACTTCGAGCATTCATACCTCAACGGTTTTGCGGACTGGCCAGTTGTCTTGTTACCCCCGTGGTGACCGTCATGGCAACCATCACCAAGGACTCGGGCAGAGAATTCTGCACCTTGCTCTGATTGGCGTTGGCGGCTTACATGAATACGTTTAACGTCACTGATTGGAGATGGTAGAGACTGCTGGCTGGTTTTTGTTGAGTGTCATTAACCTGAATCAGGCGGTCCAAATGGGCGCTCCGTCGAAGAGGATTTGGCTTTTGTCCCTTCTTAATGCCTTGAGGACGTTACCCTTTGCTGGTTAGTCGAGCACTGAAAGATGGAAGCGGATAAATGACCTTGATGTGGCAGCTTCAGGGACTGCCTTGATCATGGATGGAAGCAGCCAACATTTCTGGGGGCTACCGGAGTGGATACGTTATGCCAAGCAAGAGGTAAAAAGAAGAACACGGAGGTTTCGTCGTGGTGGAATGATCGCTTTCCTGACGTGCGGATTATTCAAGTGGAATGCAGAATGATAAGAATCTCGGGATCCGGTCGAGACATCAAAGTTGGGTAGAGCCGCTGGAACGCATGAGAGGAGATAGGAGACGGGACGCAGTTGGAGTCGAGTTTACGAAGGTCGGACAACGCCCTCTCTGTGTGTGTGTATCCATAGGGACTGTCCCTCCAGGTCCTCGAGGCGCCATTGCCAGGGTGGTGCAGTCAAAGTCGCCCGTCATTTCGAAGAGTTGGATGGATCCCTTTCTGTTTCTGAAAGTTGACTGTTTCTGGTCCCTAGCCATGGTTGCGTGGTGTATGAGAAGGTGGGTTTGATTCTCGAGACGACCTAGGGAAGGTCGACCGAGGAGGGTACGGCCTGACGTAAACTGACCAGGGGAACGATCTTGGCATGGAGGGAAGAAACCCGCCAAATTCGGCGGGAAATTCCCCTGCAACCTGCGTTGGACTGCCAATGGGCTTACAGAGGACATGGCCACCACCAAGACGCCGTCGACGATAAGATAAAAGAGACTGCGGTTGAGCCGTACAGGGGATGTGGATGTATCACGGAGTTACCGAAACCATCGAGTGTTGAGTATCTTCAACTCGACTTCCTTGGGCATTAGCATGTCTAATCATTTCTCTCCTTCTGTCTCTCCAGTCGGTGACAGTCCTGATGTGCTGATGGTCTTCATAACACCGCCAACGCCTTGCTTGCAAAATTGTTCAAAGTCAGCCAGCCAACCCCCTATCACCGTGATTCAATTGAGCTTCCATTTCAGTCTCTCACTTTTCCACAAACCAACCGTTCCATTTTCCTCAATGCCCCTCGCAAATCCCGTCCACCTCGCTCTCCGTCCTCTGTTAACCATTTCTCCATCTTCATTCTCACTCGTCTCAGATTTGCTTGAATCGGCATATCCTCGTGATCGCTCACGCAGCCGGGATTCAATAAAACCATAAAGACCTCCTCCCAGAGCTCCTTCTCCCAATATCTTTTGAGATTGTCTTTCAACTTCCACTCTTTCTTCTGTCCCGGTCTCAGTCCACTGCTTGCGGCCGGAATGGTTTCGATGTATTTTCCAAATAGCAGACTATGGATCACACCTGCAGCGCCGTGGTAATCGATTTGCCATTTCCAAGGACGGCACTCACGAATCTCTGCACAGTCTTGAGCGCTAGATGGCCAGTCGGCGATGAACTGTGTGTTAGGTTTGAACATGCGGACATCAATTCCTCGGCCAAAATCGATCAATTTCAATCCTCTCCCCCCCCAACCATGATTGCCTTCTGAATCAAATGGGCTAGAGAGTTCAATTGCGGGGTCGAAACGAACGAGACAATTGTCACCTTTCAGGTCACCGTGTAAGATGCCCACGCGGTGCAGGTCCTCCAGTGTCCTCAATAATTCCACGCCAAACCACATGGCCAAAGTCTCATCAAGTCCTTCAGGGAGCTTTCCAGCCTTGACGCTCTCGCTTCGAGCTAGATTGACCAAATCAAGCAAGGTCCCCTGGGGGCTGTATGAGAGAACAATGTACGCTTCGTCCCGGTACAGATGACATTCGTGTGCCAGAATGATGGACTGCATTGTTCGGGACGCAGGGCCGAGTCGTTGACGTATGAGCCGTAGGATATGGAATTCCCAGACCAATGTCCCTGGAGGACGTTCAGCCTTGAGAGCTTCGAGTTGTTCACGGCCGGGATCATTCGATGATGCTCGGGGGGCAGTGTTTTCCTTGTCCTCCTCATCACTATTAGGATCGTAACTGTCGACCAGATACACTGGAGCAAAGGCACCTTCTCCCAACTCCCGCTTGACGGTGTATACTCGAGTTGTTCCTCTAAATTTTAGGATTGGCAGCACAGACTTGGTAAGTGTCTTCTCGCTCTGAGTCTTTCTTGGACTACCCTTGCCTTTCACCTTTGCCATCTTCTCTGCATAAGACTTCAAGGTCTGGTAGTGGTTGTACGCGTGCTCGGACTGACTATGGTACCCACTGTATGAAGATAGAGGCGGGTGTATCGCAGTCAGAATCTGCTGTCGAATAGCTTCGTCACATGGATTGCACTGTAGATCGGTGACAATGGGACCTTTGCGTATTGTTGTTGGTTGCAGAACTCGTCTCGCCGGGGACTTGTTCGGCACTGCTGGAGTTTTGCCAACAGCATTGTCAGACTTTGGCTGAGATGGACCCGACTTTGTGATCGGGAAGAGAGGTTGAGAATCAGATTTAGCTGGAGGCTCAGATCCAACAGCCTCCTTCGATTGTGGAGAAGAAGTCAAAACCTCCTCTTCAGTAGCTCCAGTCTGACCGAACCTTCTCTTGCCTGACGATGGAGGAGTATCCTCTTGTTGTTGGGAACTACTCGTCAACAAACGATCTACCTGCGACTTCGATGGACTCTCATATCCTCTCTTCGCTGCTCGGCTCGGTGTCTTGAATGTGAAGTAATCAGTTTTATCAAAAACAGTCGAGGGAGCAAACGAGCTCTCGGTTCGTTCCACAATGGGTGTCATAAAGGGCAACTTGTGTTGGGCAATCATAGCTGGGTCTCGGTATGGTCGATTCGGGGTGGGCTCATAATCCTCTGGCGGGAGAGGGACAAAGCAAGGTTTGTTTGGGATCTCTCTGTGTTCGGTGAATATATCGTTCACGGGTGTGGCCAGATCGTGCGCAGTTGCATCGTTCATGTTGTCATTTCCCACCTGTCCGTCTTCTCTTCCAGCCTTTGCGCGCACAGCTGCATCTTGCTCGTCCTGAACTTCATCCTCTCCATCGACATCGACGTCAACATCGATATCAACATCTCCAGCCATGATCGCTATTGCTTTGGTGTCCATGTCGTCGAAATTACCATTTGCGATTGCAGCAAGAGCTTCGGTATCAAACCCTTCCATTCCGGACGTCTGTGTTGGGTTGTGGCTTGATGAACCCATATTTTCTGTTGAGTCTTCACTGATCACATCTCGGTGACGGCGCTTGAGCCTGGATTTACCTTGAGCCTTGACTGGGGAGGCTCTGTTCTTGACAGAAGAGGAGAAAGATAAGGCAAGGCGAGGCAAGTGCTTGTTGGCCGTGAAGTCAGACCATGGAGAAACACTGTCGGGTTGACTTTGGCTTTGGCTCTCTGTGTTGTCCTGTCGAACTGAAGCTAAGGTATCGTCACCGAATTCACTATCAGGTCTCGATAAGAGACCAGTCCCTGTGCTCTCAGCATCACCAGTGGTGCTGTATCCATCATCTATTTCGCCCTCAGTGAATTCTGTGTCGTCGCCGCTTTGAGTGTCATCTCTTGCCATCGATGCTGGTCTACGAAGTGGTTGATTAAACATGTCGTAAATCTCATTCGTAGCTGCTTTGGAATGAAAGGTCATGGTTGGTTCGGTCGCTGATGAATTTTTCCTCTTCAGTTTCTTTCCTGAAGGTGACTCAAGGCGAGTCTTGACGGTTTGAGTCTCTTGTTTGACTTCTCTGATTTTCGTTCTCTTTTCCTTTTGTTTCTGGTTCGGTGGCAGTGATAGTGACAGTGAGTCTGATTCTGGCTTGCCGGCCATGGATTGTGTTGACACATCATGAATACTGAGGCTAGGATTTTCATCACCGTTCAGACTAACTCTTTCTTGGAGCGAATGGTTCAAGTTCTCAATATCCTCTGGTTCTTGAGATTTTGCTGCTCTTGATTTTGGTTTTCGAGGTGTTGAGCCTGCCACGTTTCCTGTCGTCTCCGTTAACGGGTTCAATACTGGGGGGGGTGATAGCTTCCAATTCCTCTGTGCCCACCCCCGCGACAGGGCTCGAAGTTCTTCAAAGCTGAACTCTTGCTCAGAGCGCGGAGGATACACTGCGTCAATGTCCACGAAGACGCGCTCTATGCGGCCGGTACGGGGGTTGACCACTTCGCTCCGTTGTGTCGAGCCGTGAGATGGAGATGAACGCCTGTTCGCCGGTAACTCGTTGGATTGCCGTAACGTCTGTAGTCAAATCAGTTTGGTCAAGTTAGTCGCGGAGTTCACAGAAAATGAGCCAAAAGATGCCTTGGAAGAAGGAGTTGAAATTTGATATTGTTTCGAGCTAGGTGTAGAGAGAGAAAAAACAATCATACCGGATCCTTGAAAATCTCCATCTTTGGCACTGTCCCAACTCTCCCTCCTGCCTTCAATTTTTCCCCTGCCCAAGGCCGAGCTTCGACCGTGTTCTCCTTTTTTCGTTCTTTCATCGATCCGATGCTATCCCATCCTTTGGTTGTGTTTGATGCTTGTGTCGGCGCTGGTGCCACACTGTCGGCGTCTGAAAAGATCGCCATCTTTGGCTTTCCCGAGCGTGAAATCGGTGCAGCATCATGTCCTCCAGCATTCCGCTGTCGAGCAGGTTGTGGGTCATCATTACGATGAGCTGGAGCGAATGGGTCGATCTTCGCTGCCAAAGCCGGGCGAACTGTTGGAAGTGCGGGAGAACTTGGTTCATTTTCGACTCGGGGTCTGGCGTCAAACCGTTGTTGGAATTGGGCGTATTTTCGCATCAGCCTCTCTGCCGGCCGGGCTTCTCTTTCGATGCCTAGTTTGTACACCTCATCTGCTTGCACCCATCTATCTGCACTTTCTAGCCATGCTGCAAATTCCTCATAGAACAAGCCCAATGATTCCCCGATGCCATGGCGCGCAAGAAATGCGAAGGTTTCTCGAGGGCTGTCTGAGAACAGGCGGATGTAATGTAACCACAACTTCAAATATCGCGGGTCATTCTTGTAATGAGACGAAGTGAGGAAGGCTTTTGTGGCGCGCTCGAGGAGTGGAAGGAGTTGCGACTGCGGGGTCGCTTGCGCTGAGGGATAGGCATTCAATGTCCATTTGACATATCGGTCGTAAATATCCAAAGGGTCGTCGGAGTCGCTTATTGACTGGATCTCAATTTCATATTCTTGTCGGATGGCGTCGTTGAGTGTTTTCGTTTCCTCTAGTGTTGGCACTGCATTGGTACCCTTGGCTTTGCCAGAAGGTAGAGGCGAAAGGATGGAGGCCAGTTGTTTTGCGGATCGACCACTGGGTAAGGATTGGATATTCTCTTTATGGTTCTCTATGATGTCGAAATTGATGAGATCGCCATCGGCGGCAACGGGCACGGCCATTGTTGTTCTATGGGTGCCAACTGAAACCCTGTATGGTTGATATGCGGTTGAGCACCAGTGTGGAAAGCTGTACAGCACAGGAATGACAATGGCGGATAGAGGATTGTTTTTTATGTTTGTTGTTGTTGTTGTTGCCAGGGCAGTCTGCGACGTCAGATTCGGCGTAGCCAATAAGAGGATTGAGGCGGCTCGGCCAACCTTTGGGTCTGGCAGTTTTGGTGGCGCTTTCTTAGGCCCTAACCGAGATCTCTCGTGGTTCCTGCCTTTGACCGTGCTTGCATAGTTGCGAATTGTCCATGTTTTTTGCCAGCCATTTCAAAGCCACGAGAGAAGATAAAAGAGATCTCCCATATCAGCCGCCATTGCCGTTCGATGTGCCCTTTTGATGTTGACCTTCTAAGAACAACTGCTTCCTGTATGCCGCTGGCCTTTGAATGCAGATGTGACTTCGCGGGGATTTTTGGTCACTCAGCATCCACGATTACCTGCTAGTATCCTCAGAACTGAGGCTGCTCTTCTATTCATCCTCTCTTTGAAATAGGAAGGAAATGTTTCCATCGTTTGCCATATGTTTAAGGGCATAACCAATTGCTTTGAGAACAAAGCAGAACAAAAGACAATCTCAACGCCCACACTTTTGCAGCAGATTCGGATCTCATTCATCTCTTGCCAGCTAAATGTATACTGAAAACCCAGCGTGTTCAAGCAATTCAGCCTCTCATTCCTTCACATTGGACTGGGAGGTATGGGTGAGTTAGGAGATGACTGTTCTTCCTCATTTCGACTAGAAATTGATGATGGCGAGGGCAGCACCGGGAGCAAGAGGGACATCATCATCGACGGCGGCGGTGGTGGCAGGGACAGGAGCGGTGGCGGTATCTTTCTCAGCTTGTCAGTATCCCTATCCCTTTCCTATCCTTCGTACTTACTCTTCTGCTTCTGCTTCTGCTTCTTCCGTTTGGCGGCATTTTCTCTCCCGCTTGTATGTTTTAATATATCCATCCTGTCGAAAGGCTAGGATGTTTCAATTCGAGGCGACAAGGAATACTCAGAAGGCTTCCCCTTTCTCCCTCCTTTTTGCTGGTGACGAAACTATGGCCGCTGGTTAATATTCACGCAATTCGATGGGATCTTACTGACAGGAACAACGACCGGCCGGGGCAGATATTTTCGCTGGGATATTTGCAGAAGTTAGCATCAGCATGGCGATGCACATGGGAATTTGTTTTGCGAAAAGAGGAATTGTGAAAAGAGGGAAGAGGACGATGCTAATGGTCGGTGAAGACTCCTGCTATGGACAGTAGAAGCTAGCTAGAAATTAGAGAAGAAAGCCTGCTAATCAGCGACGTCGATTCCAGAAGGATCCAGTGTCGATTTCGGTAACAGTATCAGAAGGAATATGATTTTGATCCAGGTAAGTCCAGTTCCAATCCAGTTCCAGCTCCAGAATCGTCCAGGTCGAACTCATGGAAGGTCTCCCAAGCTGGCTACCTTACTTCTTTGTCGTCCTGATCGTTTTGCCAATTGAGAAGAACCTAGTGTTTATAGGTGTACTTCCTCTTTTGTTTCTGTTACCACGGCCCAGGAAGGAGTCCGATAAGTAGGTAGAGCCGGGTAGGAAGGAGATTTTCAGGCGATGGAGGGTATGGGATATTGGTATTGAACGTACCAAACTCGGTGGACTTTGACGCCGACGAATCTCACGGATGAGACGCTGGAATGCAGGCTTGGGGATGAGCAACTCAGTGGACTCTCTGGCATCGACGAATCTTATGAATGACTTTGTATAAGGTAGAGAAGAAGCAGAGTCTTCGGCGAGGTGGGTGGTAAAAAAATGGGACCTACCTACTTTATGCAGTAGTATGGGAAGCGCGCTTCTTTTATATCCTCTTCGCGTGGTATGCTTCCAACTGACAGAGACGGGAACACATATCAGGACAACCGCCCGGAGGAATGTCAGAAGCTGATATTCTCAGAACATATCAAAACTACCAGGGCGATTACACCGGAGTAGGAGGTCCTAGTATTTCAATGCTTCCTGATCACTCATTACAGCCAATTCCTGTTCCTTTGACTGATGCTACCTTTCTGCTCTCTGCTTCTTGTTCCATCTAACAATGACTCGCTGGTTCTTGCCTTGTCCATGCCACACCTTGTGCATTGTGGATTTTGACAGCACATCGGCGACTCGACGGTAACTTGCACCTCACTACGTCGATCTGATCCATGCTATTCCCGCACTGCCAGAAGCCATGACACCTCCACACAGCTGAGCAATTCCGTTCACAATTGCTGCTCCATAACCTCCGGCGCCCGCGCTTTGAGCAATCGCGAAGGGCGATCCCGCGACGACGTTTCCGATTCCGCCTTGAATGGTGGCAGCCACAGAACCTGGGAAATCGTCAAACACATACCAGGACAGAGTAGATGCAAGCAAAAGAAAACCATGCAAGAGAATGCCAGACTGAGACACCACACGACTTACTAGCTTGGACACCACCGGCTCCGAAGCCCGCAGCAGATAACAGCGACGTAGAGAAAATACCTGGTGCAGCAACCACAGAAACACCAAGAACGGTGAGGCCAGTGAGAACGGGGTTTTCGACCGCAAATGTACCAACCTGTCATAATTGGCAAGTCGTTAGCACGAAAACTACACATGACCGCGATATAGCATTGATTTGAAGCGAAAAACCAACCACGGCAGCAGCTTTAGAACCGTGTTCCATGACAGCTTTTTGCACCTGTTCCGCGGTTTGAGACCCATATCTTGAGGCTACCCGGCTTCCTTCCCGGACGTAGTCGACAACATTCGTTTGAAGAAGGGTGCTTGAAATTCTTCCGGACGCCATACTATCCGAGTCAAAAGGACCGTAACAGGAAGAGGTATGAGATATGATATGTGATGTGAAGCATGAACACTTCAAGTTCATCCTAAGAGACTTGATCTGATGGGCCACGGAGAAGGAAAATCCTTATCGCATTATCGCAAGTCTTACACCGGTTCTTGGCAACCGATTCTGCGGAGTCGACCCCTTTTTCGTCTAACAGGAAGGCGCAGCTTCTGTGCGGCCCTCAGCTGCCTGACCGGTTGGTCACCCTTGCTCAGCCTCAGACCGACAGGCAGGTCTCCTAGGCTGAATGGTGACGAGATTCAGAAAGGCTAGGAAACAAGGCTGCAGTGTCTTAAAGGGGATGCGCAGTTCTCCAATGCCTCGTTACTAATATAGGCGCCAAATTGCCTAACCCATTCTCAAGATGGTGACTATGGCGTTTGAGGCTTAGGGCCGCGTCCGACATTTCGAGGGGAAGGGGAACTTCTGGAGCCAACCTGGGTAACCGCCTGATGGAGCTGACAAGCACAGAGATTATGAAGTAGAAGGGGGTCCATGGAGTAGATCTGCCCGCTGGACTCCGTCTTTTCTTGCCTGTGCACTCCGACCTCTGTAATCGTGTGCTGGCCGCCATCAGCTCATTGCAAGGATTCCTCCTGGGCGCATCAAGATCCTCCATGCCCCTCCTAGATCATTTGTTGTCGGTAGGCCTGAAAGATGCAAGTGGAATCTAGAGCAGGAAAACGTTTTCCCACCTCCTCTCCTTTGTTATATTTTTTTTCATTTTCTATCAGTGCGTTTCGTACTTCAAGTTCACGAGGAACTCTCTTACCACCCCTCCAGGAGCTTATAGATGGCGTACTCTACTCTTCCCTTGTGGCCCTTGATCCTCTTTGGCATCCTGGAGCCCGCTGCGATGTAAGTTACTCTGGACCTATTGTTCCCACACGACATAAGTAGATGGGATGGGTAGTATTTTTGCTTACGGACACTTTGGCTTCCAGCATCTGGGGTTCTTCGATCGTATTCCTCCATCCAGACCAATACTATGCCGCCCAAGTCCCTCAAAGTAGTCTTTCGACTCTTGTCTTCGCGCCCCAAGCCCTTACTGTCACCTTGCAGCTGGGGAACGTCTTCATCCTGCTCGCCCTCTTAGCGATTGTCTGCTGTTGGACACCACACCCTGAGGTCGCAATGAGGTATTTGATCGCGGTTGCTCTCGCCGATTTGGGTCATATATATGCTGTGTATTGCGGGGTAGGTGATGAAGTGTTCTGGGATGTAGCACAGTGGAACGACATGGCTTATGGAAACATCGGGTTCACCGCGTTTCTGAATGTCAATCGATGGTTAACGGTACTGGGATTGTTCGGAAGGTTGGGCCCTAGAACCAATCAGGTCAAAAAGAACAAATGAGAAACATCTGGAGAGAAAGGACCAAAGATGTGATCGGAAAGGGTTCGAAGATCTTGGGTATTTTCTTTTCCTATTCCAGTCATAAAGGCCAACAATTTTAAGTTTGTCTTGACTATAATCTCTCAATGGCTAGAGTAGAAAATCTTTGGGCATAGCATCAAAGTTCTCTCCCACTTCCCCTCCTTGATCTTTCGCACCTCCCCAGTAGCGGTGCAGTCTCGGTCCACGAGCCACAATCCATTTTACACGCGTGGGTTTGCCATCTGAACGGCACGACGACGATCTCTCTCTTCGGCAATGGACAGCTGCAACATGTGTTGGTACCATAACGGCCGTACTAGGAGCACTAGAAGACGTACCTTGACACCCTTGCCCTTGGGCAGACTGATCCATGGCTTCTCCTTACCAATGATGAAGACGTTGCTCTCCCGGGTAGCGAACGAGTTGTCAATGGCATCCTTGATGTGCACGATGGCGAAACCACCATCATGTCTCTCACGATGAGTGATGACACCAACACGACCCATGTTGCGACCACCAGTAACCATGGCAATCACACCAGTGTCGAATTTAATGAAATCGGTAATCTTTCCGGTTGCAAGGTCGATCTTGACAGTATCGTTGACCTTGATGACAGGGTCGGGATATCGAATACTATTAACCCATCAGCTTTCCTTACGTTCTTCTTCTTCTTCTTCCTTTTTTTCCGACCACATCTTGGCCCAACGGCTGATAGACGCAGGCGACTTACGTGCGAGCATCATGCGTAACCAAGTATGGGATTCCTCCTTTGCCAACTTGCACCCTCTTGACCTTGCCAAGTTTGTATTCTGCCTCGGCCTGTTCGATGCGGTGAATGGCGAAACGACCCTTGGTATCGTAGACTAGACGGAAGTTCTCGCCAGTCTTGTCAATGGAGATGACATCCATGAAGCCAGCGGGGTAGGTAATATCCGTTCGGACCTTGCCATCAACCTTGATGAGACGCTGCATCAAAATAGCAACGGTCTCCCGATTGTTCAGCGAGTACTTGAGGCGATTTCGAAGGAAGATGATCAAGGGGAGGCAGTCACGTTGTTTCTACACGCCCCGGTTAGCAATTCTGATCAGAAGACGAAAGAGGAAGACCGACATGAGGCCCAGGAGATGCCTTCGGGGCGTAGGCACCCGAGAGCTTATCCAAAAGCCAGTGCGAAGGCGCACTGAGGCGTTTTTGGTGTTTCTTTGGACCGCGACCCATCTTGATCTAAAGTTGAAGTGGTGAGAGTAGACGATCGATCTGACGGAGGAAATTCGAGAAAGCGTTTGTGGAAGCGAAAGTTGTGTGGGAATATGCCAAGTTTTTCGCGCTCTATTCCTCAACGGGAATTTCGACCAAATCAAATGACCGATCTGTCTGTCTTTTGAAAGCAGTACGATCGCCAGCCAGGAAAAGTCGGAGGCTCATGACTGCCATAGGTGTAATGTTCTGGATTCCACGAGGCCGAAAGAATTTTCCATCTTCGCACTTTGAAGCATGAATATCAAATCTCCTCTGCATAAACTTTTGAGTCACCATTTACTTTTTCTGCCTATCCCTACAAAAGCCAGGTCCACTTCTATAGAAGTCCCTGTATGATCGCCGCCTCTGCTTCAGTATCGAGGATCCCGCCGCCCCAATGACAGTGTTATGGCTCAAAGCAGCAAATCTGATGTCAAAATGTGATCCCTTGGCAGCCTCCCGCACCCTGCCCACGCTGACAGCATACCCACCAGATATGTCTCGACCAAGTCGGGGCTGTGGGCGGTCTGGTTCATCAAAAAACCACAATAGTCTTCTCTGGGGCTGAAGGGCATCCTAGCTTCTGCGCTTCGGCCACATACTCCCTCATGGCCTCCTTGACCTGCTCAGCGCTCGGTGGAGGTCTTGCTTGAATCTCAATGACACAAATGCCATATGACCGTCCGTCACACCGACTCGCGTGCATGTAGCACCCACCGTGAGTCCCTTTTGTTCTTCAAATGCCGTTGCGTCGGAATTGATCGATCCTAAAATCTTTTGAGCTTCTGTTCCAAGTTTGTCTTCCTCTCCAACGATATACGGGATGACATTGTCCATGATATCCATGCTCGCGACACCCGGGTAGCCGGCTCCCGACACAGCTTGTTCTGTGAATACTTCAAACATCCTCTACCGGTCCAAACTTGGTTTGTAAGGCTGCGAAAGGGATCACAACCCCAATCACGGCGCAATTAGAATTGCAGACCAGGAATCCTCTCCTCAAGCCAAAGTGCTGCCGCTGATGAGGAATGAGCGCGAGATGTGGGAGATTAACCGTAGGCACCACCGACGGCATAATAGGATCCCTCCTGTAATTCTTTGCGTTTGAGAAAACGGGGATGTCTGCTTTTAGAAACTCCATTTCTAGAAGAGCAGAATTAGTCCAATATCAGCGCCGAATCAAATCTGTCGCTCGTACCGACTTCGCCAGCAACATCACTGTCGAGACCTGAGAATACGAGGTCACAATCGGCGAAGTTTCTCGCTTTACATTCCCTCACCTGCAACTCCGTCGACATTGGCCTCGCTTGTTTCCACCGAACGGCATCTTTGTAGGGTTTACCAGCAGATCTTGACGATGCACCCACAGCTTGTAGATGAAGCATCGGATGATCCGCCAGGAGGAGAATGAATCTTTGGCCAACAGATCCTGACCGGGGGCTTCGGCTTCATTAAACGCCTTCACTGCGACAGTACACACCTGTTGCGCCTAAAATGGCGCATTTCTTCTTGTTGTGAGAGCCCACCGCGGCCATCTTGAGTTTGGATATTTCTGAGTTCAGCTCGGGCCAGTGGTAGATACTGGCGTTGAAAATCTGGAAAGGTTCTCTCGATGCCCAACCGGAGATAGAAGAGTTCGACTTGAAAGCTTCGATTTGGAATTATTTTGGTTCGGTACAAGGAAATATAAATTATTGCCAATGTTTGATAGAGAAAACATTGCCAACATGCCATGCAACCCGGGGAAAGAAATTGTCAATGCACGTGATTTTGATTCCTTGGCGAGGATTATCTAATGGCTTACCAGCTTTGTGCTCCTCGTCTCCTCTTGCTCGGCAACCTACAGGAGGGAACCTTGGAAGAGCTCCATCTACGACTATCCTATCAGCAACTAGATGATTAGGATCAGGAAACTGATGGCGGCGGAAAGCCTCACTCATACAGGACAGGCCCTGGAGGTCTCCGCAATAACGGAGATGACCGAATTGAGAAAGTGATGCCGTTGATGCCTCCTATCACTTTCATCGGGACGACTCAACTTCCTCAACAGAGCACATGATAATGACTCCAGGAAGGGCGTTTCATCACGGCTTCTGAATGCTAGATTGGATGGCTCATCTTGATGCTGATAAGGGATATTTAACAGGTGAATGTGGGAGAATATTCGAACCTTTGATACTATTTTCATTCCTTCTGGTCTAGGACTTTTGTTCAAGCAACCTCTTCACCTTTTCATACTTTACATCTTCCTTCCCATTTCCATTTCATGACTTTGTCATTGGAAACAATGACCGTTGCCCTACCTCAGGTTCAGCGCCTACAGCGCTCTGATACAGCCAGTATCATCAACGCCATCATCAAGGATGGTTGCTGCATTGTGAAAGGCTTCACTGATCTGGAAACGATTGAAGCTGCAAACACAGAGGTGAAGCCTTATCTCGAGGCAGACAAGCCTTGGAAGGTACAGAGCCATTCCCGTGGGAAGAAACCCCCTCCATTATTGAGCAATCAACAGGGCGATTTGTTTCCTCCGGAGACACGACGCTGTCCGAATTTGGTTGGACGAAGTCCTACCGCGAGAAATAAATGGCTAGTGGATCCACTGATTCGTGCAGTCAACGCGACATTTATCGACAAAACAACATCCAACTACTACGGAGAGACCAAGCACACCTATACGAGCGAAGCTGTTTGCTCAATCGCGATGACTTTCGATATTGGGCCTGGAGCCAAGGCACAAAGATTGCATCGGGATGACAAGAATTATCATGTTGACCATCAAGACCAAACGCAAACCGGCTATAAGGTGGGCTCAGATGTTCTTGTTGGTTTTTTGATTGCCGGCGTAACAACGACTTATGAGAACGGTGCTACTTTGGCAATTCCTGGTAGCCACTTATGGAGTGGAGATCGTGTGCCCCATCTCCACGAGGTGACCTATGCAGAAATGGAGCCTGGGGACATGTGGATTATGCTGGGAGGTCTCTATCATGCTGGTGGTGCAAATATCACACAATCAGAGCGGAGAATTGTTCATGGATTCTTCTTCACACGTGGGTACCACAGGCAAGAGGAGAATGCATATCTGGCAAACGCACCAGAGGACGTCCTCACTTGGACTCCCGAGGCACAGAAGGCTATGGGTTTCACTCTCTCGAGTCCAAATATTGGGTTTGTCCTGTTTAGGACGCCTCTACAGTATTTCAAGGGTGAAGGCGGAGATGAGTTTGGGGACTTCGACCCTTCGCAGGAGAAACATTAGTCAGAGAGAACAACATGTAGTTGAAGGGCAGATGACATTTAGCTACCAGATAATTGAATTCTGTCACCCCAGATCGAAGGAACGCGAATTATAGTACAAACTTGCTGCATGACGCCAGGGTTCCCGCTATGCTTATCTGGCTCCCGGTCAATTTTAACCCCCACCCAAAACGAACCCCAACAATAGTACTCGATAAGGGCGAATGGGAGCCCTCCTTACTACTGTATTCGCCTCCGGGACTCCTTTTCTTCCTTACCGATAAGAGCTTTCTGACAACCAAACCTGTGCTGAGTTGCGTGCAACTTATTCCAAAAAATGCATTCAGCGGAGTACAATAGCGCTGCAATGTACGAGGCTAAGTCAAATTGGACGTAAGCTTGGTCCGTCGTCTCCACAACATGGGAACCCGTATTGCTTCGTGTGGTCGTTGTCGGGCCAAAAAGTTGAAGTGCGATCGCAGACCTACGACATGTACCTCTTGTTCCAGAGCAGGAGTTGCATGCCTGCTCCCTAATCCACCTCCTCGACTCGTTTGGTTGAACCCGGAATTTGGGCCTCGATTGGACGGCGAAGATCCCAGACAAAGTACAAAAAGGGAAGCTTTGTATACCAGTAGGTTCTTCTCACCTGGTAGCACCTCACTGACGTTCTCACTAAGCTATTCAGTTCGGGAACGAGCCTTGGAATGCTCCCGATTGCAGTCATGGGTCAATCACCAGGGAATTGACTCGCTTCTTGACCAAATTGATGTGCAGAGTCGTGCCCTGAATGCAGATAAATCTGCCACTATTGGATTCTTTGGTGCATTTTCAATTCAGCAGGCTCGAAACAAGCCACCCGAACACGAGTTGGAGACGCCTTCATTCTCGAATGTCACAGAGACGGAATGTTTCGACTCCCACGAGTTGTTTGGAGAGGCAGAAAATTCAAATCTCGACGATGATGACGTTGCATCTCTGCAAGAATGTCTTCAACGTTCTCCCTCACGCAACGCCGCAGTGAGTCAATCCAAACATGGAGTCGTGTCAGGGGCATGTATCCTACCCCAACGATCGGACTTTGATATTATGCCTCTCTTAGCTTCTCCGACTGCTTTCGTGGTTTCCGCGGTCTACGCCCAAGATCTTGCAGACCTAGATCCTATCACATCAAAAACCCTGCTCGATCACTACACCGGCACTCTAGTATCACGACTCTCACCTGCTCAAATACAGTCCAAATCTCCTTGGAAGACACTACATATTCCAAGCGTTCTCCAAACTCTCGGAGAAGTTATGCTGACCGGGACTGGAAGCAATGCACGAGTCGCATTAATGTTTGCTATATTTGCTACAACTGCTTTCAATTTGCATCACCTCGGGTTGTCGCAAGATTCGTCCTCTACGGCGTGGCACTCAATGGGTGAGATCTATCGGCAAAGAGCTAAAGTGCGACTAAAAGCCTGCCTCAGGAGCTTTTCACCTACTTATAAGAAGGAGAAGAACAAGGAAGTCCTCATGGCATTGCTAAGCATGGTCACAATATGTGTAAGACGTCCTCATAACTCCACCGCGGTGTTATCTATTTCAAATATTAATTGTGACCGTAGGTGGTTAGCGGGGATATGAAAGAAGCCAGAGCTTATCTGCTTGACGTTGAGAACTTCATGAGAATTCAACATGCTAAAAAGCCACAGATGTCCCCAAAGATGCAGATGCTGCACAGCATTTATCTTTATCTCCGAACCTTGGAGGAGACTACCCATAGTTATCAACCCAGCGGAGTAGGCGAGGACTGCTCTTCCCCAATCACCGCTTGGAGACGGCTTGGAAGCGGCTCATGGGATCCTGGTCCAACTTCGTCTTCCTGGCGGAATTGGTCTCCTTCTCGGGGTGCCGAGCACGAATCAGCCATGACCAGCCATGACCCAAAGCTTGTCCAGAACGACGACAATAATGCTTCTATCTTTGAACAAATTTATTCGATTCCAGAGTCACTGTTTTGCCTCATGTCACATGCAGCCTCCCTAGCCCACGCGATGAGTCAAGTGAGAGGGATGAGAGAAGATGACTATGTGGCCCATACGACATTTTCTCAGCAGATAAGGCAGACAGAGGCGGATATCTGCTCGTGGAAGAACGTCTACCAGCTCCCTCAAGCATCGAAACAGTCCTCGAAGTTCCACTCAGAGATTTGTTCGGGCAGTCCACCACAGACCAACCACGCGGAGAACGCTGAGGACATTTCAGACTTCAAATCTCAGCGCTCAACATTGCTCCATCACTTCAATGAAGCCCTGCATGCAGCCATCATCATCTATTTCTACCGAACGGTGAAAGACGTCAACACTGTAACATTGCAACCTATCGTCGAAAGAGCTCTCTATCACCTGCTAAAACATGAAACGTTAAAGGAAAAGTATCACGATCCTTCCTCAAACACCTGCTGGCCAGGGTTTATTGCTGGATGTGAAGCCTTGGATCCCAAGCATCAAGACCAGATCTCTGGATGGTTGCAAAGATCAGCACAACAGAGTGGAATGCGTATGTTTGAGGTTGCTGATATGGCAGTAAAGCAAGTATGGAAAGCCAGGGCGACCTCCGGAAATTTCGGTCTTCACTGGAGCGAGGTTTTAAAGCAAGACACGTCCTTCAGTGTTTTGGTGCTTAGCTGAGTTCAGCAAAAATCCGGAACCAACGTTGCGCAGACTTCGAACAACATATTGATGATAAACCTAGAAGCCGATTATTCCTAGATCACGGATTCTTCGTCACAAGAAATTCTACCCCTGGAAAACGCTTAGGACCTATCTCGGGGGAGGCTTAGAACTCGCCAAAAACAATAAGTTCACCACTTGCCAATGATGCTCCACTCTTATCTTTTGGGGGATATTCGCCCTGTCTTGATGGTGGGGCTCACATGGTCGAACCTGATTGACGGACTCGCCTTCCCAAATAAATTCTTGCTGCAGAACGAGAAATGTCGATTATCATTTCTACTCATACTATCACCGTACCGAAGGATCGCAAAGGTTGTTATCGACATCACGATGTTTAAATTCCTCACCATGCCCTACCGAATCACTGCATTCCCGGACACTGTCGTCCCTCCTCCCCCTCCAAATAACACATTCAATTTCTGTCAATCGCTTGAGAGTGCGGTCAACGTCCAAGAAGCACGCGGCCAGACAATATGGCGGCGGAAGCGATGAACAGCTCTTCCTCTGACATGTCTGCCGGCATTGAAGAAAAGAAGACTCCCTCTGGTGCCGTAGAGTCGGCAATCGGACCAGATGAAGGCGCTCTACAAGAAGTGAGCGGGTCGGGCGACTTCCATCGGTCATTCAGTGCGAGACAAGTTCACGTGAGTTCCTTCTCTCCGATTAATGGAGACTCCTGGCCGCTTACTTGGACCTATCTGCTAAGCTTCCTGCCTCCTTAGATTATCTCTCTCGGTTCCAATATTGGAAGTGGCTTGTTCATAGGTACCGGAAAGGCATTGGCCAACGGCGGACCAGGAAACATGATCCTTGCATATTTGATCGTCGGCACCGGTGTCTGGGCCAATCTACAAACCTTGACGGAAATGACCATAGCATTTCCAACATCAGGAAATTATATCGACTACGCCGGCCGCTGGGTTGATCCTGCTCTTGCTTTCGGTGCTGGCTTTGCAGAGTGGCTTGGTAAATATAGAAGTTCTTTTCTTGTCAGACTTTTTATTGACCACTCTCTACAGGTTGGACTGCGGTATTTGCTGCCGAGGCTATGTTCTTCATCGTTTTGGTCAATCTGTGGGCCGAAGGTTCGGTCCCGGAAGGGGCTTTGTGTGCGTGACTTCAGCTTATCCCTCTCTGTCGACAATCTTGCTGATATCATTGTCGCCAGTGACGGTATTCCTCGTCCCCTGCCTCCTGCTCTTCCTTCTGCCGAACAAGTGGTTTGCATGGGTAGAATATTTTGGCTCCTTGGTCAAAATATTCCTATTTGTCCTAATTGTTGTTCTGTCCTTCGCTTTGATCGGAGGCGCTGGTCCGGATGGCTACGTCCATCACGGCGAGTTCTGGACGGAGCTCCCGGCTTTCAAGAACGGATTTTCGGTAATGAACCCGAGCCTGTCCACGGCATTTCAGTGAGCAAAGCTAACCATGTACGCAGGGCTTTGCGAACGCCGGGCTTCTCGCGATCTGGGCTGTTGGGGACCAGGTTTTTATTGGAGTCATGGGCGGCGAAGCACAATTTCCCCGGATGTCTATGGCCCATGCTGCCAATTTGGTTCCCTTCAGAACCAACTTCATCTACATGCTGCTGATCGTCTTCATCACAATACTTGTCCCGTCGGACGACGATCGATTACTTAGCGGCTCCGGGGTGGCAGCTTCACCATTTGTCATCGCGGTGAAAGATGCTGGCATCAAGGGGATACCTGATCTTCTCAATGCCTGCATGATCATTGGCATTGTTGCTATTGCGGTGGAGTCGATCTATCTTCCCTCCCGCATTCTACGGGAGATGGCGCTTCAAAAACTGGTCCCTGCATTCATTGCCAGCGTCGATGCACGTGGTCGACCTCGTTGGGCTCTATTGATTACTTCGGCGATTGCAACGACACTAACTTACATGAGCTTGAGCAGTAAGTTTGTCTCATGGTTCTAAGCGGCAAGTTGAAGGATGAGGACTAACTCTTTTAAATTGCAGCCGATGGCACGACAGTCCTAAACTGGCTAATCTCGATTACGAGTGCCTCATTCTTCCTTAACTGGATGATTATTGCATTCACCTCATTGCGCTTCCACGCGGCGATTCGAGCCCAGAACGATCCAATCTTTAGTGAAACTTACTCGTGGCGCTCAAAGTTCTGGCCTCTTGCCCCCATTTGGGTCCTCTTGGTGTCGACAGTCTTGCTGGCGTGTTGTCTTGCGGCTGGCATCGATCCACTGGTGAGTTCCCTGTGTCTGGGCCCGTTCGCTTTTTTTTTGCATGGAGTTATTAACCAATCAAAAGGGCGATGCCGGATTCACGGCAAACAACTTTTTCCTGTATATCATTGGCATCCTGATCATTGTTGTTTTCACTCTCGCTTATAAGATCATTTACCGTACAACATGGCAAGATCCTGCAACCGCCGATCTCGTGACAGGCAGACGCACAATTAGTGCTGAAGAGATTGCACTTCTCGATGCGTACTTCAGCATGCCCCTTTGGCGACGGATTGGTACCTATGTCAAGCTATGGTGAATGGAATTTCGAGAAGAAATCTTGAGAAACCCGAGTAACGGATTCCATGCCTACGACAGCCTCAAATAAGGAACAAGAACTTCAGCGAGCGAAGCTCTTTCTCATGCCGCTGCAGTTTCTTATGGCTGCAGAAGTACCAAAAAGCCGATTTCTATCAAGCCGAGCCTCGGCCAGCAACGAAAAATCGGTGGCAAGAGGAGAAACAGCGGTAATCTTGAAACTTACAGAACCATATGCGAGCATCCAGACAGTTTCAATGACGAGGAACGTGGATGTGCTCAAGGCGACCGTGATAATGGCGATTCAACGTCTACGTCTGCATTTATAAGTGATCTGTCATCTGATGTGTAGTTGCTTTATGAAGACCTTGATCCTAAAATTAGCAGGGCCCAACAGTTCGCTCGGAGCGCAAATTATTACACGACTGTGAGCCTGTTCTCATGGCAAATGCAACCTCCGAATGCTGACTGCAGAACGAGATCTATTTCCTTCTCTTGCTGTCATTTACGGAGATAGGCATGGTGCATTTCATTGTCTCCTCCGGGACACCACTGAGCGGCAAGATATAAGAAAGCTATGTTTGGTTTCAATGGACTCTGCTCTCTGCCGAGATGTCTGCAATGGATAAGACATCAGCTGAGAAAACAGTAGCTGTCCTTACCCGCCAGACATATCTCTATTATATGAATTCCTTGCTTGCGAGATCAGACTTGCACTATTTCAGATTACACGATCACAGGCCTTTACTTTGCAGCTATGATCGAGAGCAAAATTGGGACATCTTACATATGCTAGGCGACATCTGGCGGTCGTGAGGGATGACCAAATTCTGGAGCGAGGAGGCATTCAGGCCTATCACAGCATATCAATCTGCCTGTTGTATATTCATTTGGGTTGGACCAGAATCTCATGCATGCTTTGGCAGTCTACCCCCGTACAAGTTTATCAGATTAATGCCGCAATAGAAGTCAGATCCATCTTTTTCACATTGCAGAGACTGTCCGATCACCCCAGCATATGAAGGATGACTCGCCGTCAGCAAATTTTCAACAGTATCCAGCTTCTCGTGCGCGTATATTCAACCCTGTATCGCTGTTGCACCGAACAAGCGTTATCCAAGTGAGAAGCCATTTGACATTGCCATGGGTCATCAACCAGATTTTATTTGAGTTGGGAGAAAACTTATCAACCGGCTTCAGATTATCCGGACGCCTTACTATCAGTACGTCGAGTCATCTGACGAACAATCACCATTTTGCTCTCGGCGGACGACGATATCGCCACGGACTTCGGCCCTCAAGACATTGACCATCGTTGGAATCATCGGTCTGTGTTCTGTGTCATGCTTACCGAAGAAGAATCTCCACGCAATCGATTGGACATCGAGTGGAGAGATGAACGGAGCTCGACACATTCCGAGATGGTGGGAGACCATCGATATGCTGGAATTGGTGCATTTGCTTTCAGAAACATGTCGACTGAGGATACTCAGGCAGCTTTTCGCCTAATGCACAGACTGTAGAACTAACTTAAAACTTCCGTCTAACAGCGATATCGTCTGGTCCAGTTCATTCGTGTATCTCCAACAGTTTGGCAGCTGTCCAATCATGATGACGAATTGACAACCAGCGAAGGGACATATCTGAGTTGTAGTGATTTGGGTGTGGTTGGTTGTTAAGCGAAGGCTCGGGTTAACCGGCTGCTGCTTAGTCTGCGGGTTCCCCCTGCCCTGCAGCCATACCTGCACCCCATCATAAATTGCCCCGCTCCCCCATCCTCTTTGCCTTCATTCGCAACTCTGGATTTACCAAAGGCCTTTCATATTTCCTACAATATTAGCTTCTACAGCGTGATGAGACAATGTCGCAGAACGACTTAGCTCCCCGCCGGATCCAATTCTCTAGTTGCGACGAATGCCGAAGATCGAGAGTCGCTTGTGATGCCGCAAGGGCTCGCCGCAATACAGAAACCAGTCGAGAATCGGTGTCCTGCTCTAGGTGCCTCCATCGCCAACGCCAGTGCACCTTTGAAGTGAGTTCAATCAACGACGGACCGACAACTTCTAATGTATTGCAATGTTTCCAATAGTGGATGAAACATGGCACAGGAACCTCTTCGGCTGCACGTTCAAGCCTGCACGGAAAGTCCAGGACGACACGGACTCGGAGGCAGACACATAGCACAGTGCTCTACGATGACACTCGTTCGTCGATATTCGATGATCCCGGGATTGCCTATAGTAGACAAATATCTGAGGTGAGCGAGTTAGGAAGGTAAATGTGCTCCGACATTTCATCCAGCCCTTGTTCCTGACCCAACCATCCAGCAATGAATGGAACTGGTCCTCAAAGGAGCCTCCGCAGCCTCAGGCCTCACAATCCGCCCTGTCCACCGAAGAACTTATCAGCCCCGTCGACCGGCAGTGGCTTCATACCATTTACGAAAGTGTTTTTGAAACAATCTTCGGCTCCTGGATGGGAAGATATAGCAATCCTTTCGCGTACGTATCGGTTCCTGGGAGGATCATGCTCTTTGTCTAATGGCATCAGGTTCGGCGAACACAGCCTTTCAGATATGTCGGTAAGTATACGTCGGCTCTGTCGCCAGCTTGATAAATGGATGGATGAAGGCTATGATAACCCTGGCGCCATTCTCGATTTTGGAACTCCTTCAGACTCGACCAAGCGTCAGATTGACTTGCAAATCGATCAGTCCCTCGACCATGCCATTGAGGCTTTTGCTGCTCGTTGGCTACCTTTGACTTCGCGGGCGACCTCGTCTGAACTCTCCTCCGCCGTGGTCATCAGGGGGCTTTGGCGATGTGCGCACAAGGATATGCTCAAGGTCATCAACAGGCCATCCTATCGATCCATGCTAACTCTTCTCTTGTTTGCTCTTACTCCCATTCCGGCAGGCATATCGGACGAAGAGGAACTTGACAGGGTCCCTGGACAGGTTTGTGTTCACGCTGCACTACAGCAAATCCAGGAGCTGCGTGCTCATCACAGAAGTCTGCAATTTAACGGGAATCGGGTCACTTTCAACATTCCAACGCGCGCCCCTAGTGCCAGTCCTCATTCACTCGCGATGGCCAACTTTATCAATGCCGAAAGTACCGCCTATTGGGCCGCCCTGACGTTTGATACCTCCGCCTCTTTAACCCTGAGTTGTAGACCGTTACTCTCGTCTGGGCTTTTTGGATTTGAATCAGAATCGTCCTGGCGCATGGTTCGAGCCTGCATGGAGATATTTCGTCAAATGACCAAAGGGTGGAATGATGCCGAGTTCGAAATGACCGATGAAAGGGCCAATATAATCATAGCGGCCGGGGCAGCGTGGAAATTGCTAACGTGGAAGCTCACGGCCAATCTCAAGGAGTCGCTGAGAGATGGTCATGATGAAGCTGAAGTCAGCAGGGCGTTTATCTCTGTTTCGGACTCCATTGACCGGTTTAACGTCACCTATCGAGACTTGCTCTGCGCATGTCAAAGACGTATACATTTCCTCAACCAGGAGACGAAATTCCGCTGGTGTAAGTCATCTCTCATGGCGCGGTTTCTCGAAGATTCTGACTCACCTTCCCACCAGACGAACTCATGTTGCACTACCACTTGTGCATTTTGATGCTCGTGGACATCGTGGCGGCAACAGACCGCCAGGATCTCCTTTCCCAATTTTCAGCAAAAAGAGTTGATGCTGAGAGCTGGGTGATGAATTGTTTGGTGTTTGGGTTGAACAACAAATACACCCTAACCCTGCAACCTGATTTCGCCCCTGCTGATCCGAACGCGGGACATGTCCCTCCATTCGGCATCACTGCGTCACTCATCGCGATCGATCCTTACGCTCACCATGTTGTTGCCGCCGTTAAGCTCATGCAGCAAGCCGTAGACCGAGATTTCGCAGCGGGTAAGATTAGCGCCGATACTTACCGCAACCTTCTTTCAACCCTAATTCAGACTTTGGGACAGCTGCCCCAGGGTTCTAAATCAGTGCGGATTGTGAGGGCTGAACTTGAGAGAGCCGAAATTCCATCACACCCACTCTATAACGAGAGATGAAGTCGTTTGCTAGGTTAACGATGAAATCCTCGCTAGCTGCTCTTTGATGGATGACTGAAAACACTTCCAGACTCTTGTGCCAGAATCGGAAGCGCATCACCAACCACGAGCCCATATTAATATTTACTCAGTTTTCAATCCCGGCTGCTACTATGACCAACAAAAAACCCTGGGTTTGTGAACCCGGATATGGCAAGAGACTGAGCTGCCAGGCCCATTAGGCCAGGTCGAAATTGATTGGACCAATTTGGAACGACTTCCATGGTAAGATTGACAGTCTACTATCTCAAGAACAGGGATGGTCGTGACCTTCATCGGCATTTCCAATGTAACTGCCTCGGAAGAGAATATGCATGGTACACGTCGTAAGACTACACTTGAAGGCCAGAATATTGGGGAAAAGGGCTAGACATCGACTTGTATATCTCAGGTCGGTCAAAGAGGAACCTGGGTCTCGGGCGCGTCCTATGGACGACCTCGATAAGCGGTAATAATGGAATGAGGGGCTCGCATCGACCGTCTCGTACCGGGGACAGAAAGCAGGAGGAAATCCTTCACCGAACAAGGCTATGGTGTAATAGGGGAGTCTCCCACCAGGTGGAGAAGAGTACTACAGGGAGTATGTGGCGGCGTCCATGTTAAGCTTATTCCCCCCTCCTTTTCTTCTTTCCTTTCGCTTTCTTTTCTTTACGCAAAGCGAAGCTACTACTAGATATGGGGCATTAGGCGAAGGGGCCTGCCATTCAGGTAAGGATCCCCGAAGTCCGGGGCCTGGGGCATGGTAAATCATCAACCAACTATGTTCCATCGACGGGGGAGATCAGGAAGGAAATCCTTGGCACGGATCCGTCGGTTCCGATACAGTGGGCCTGGGGTTGAGGGAGCCCTCCCATCTAGATTGTAGGGTTGTACTGATATCTGATGGAGTTTGATATGTCACATGGTCGTTAGACTTATGAATTGAAAGATCTAATTTCGTATGCTTCAAGTTACGCGTGTCGCGGGAGGGGATATGATGAAGCCCGGCATCTGTCGTATAAGATATACAGATATTCAAACCGAAGCACAAGATTGCGTTCACTGGTGAAGTGAAATATTCCGCGTTTTATAACTGGTATCTTCGAGCAGTCGTCTTCTCAACCCAAGTCAACTCCAGCTATTCAACTCTCTTGGCTCTTGATTCTGTACATGGAGCACAACTTCAACTTGCTACAGAGTGTATCTGAAAGTCGGGCTCCTGTCACCCAAGTCAGAAAGCTGCGCGTCCGTGAGACCCTGTTCCTCTCCACCCCTCTCGCGTTTCGCATTGATACGTCCATAGCAGATCCTCAGGATGACGACAGCGGCCATTCCCAAGACCACGAAGCCAATTTCCAAGCCGTGGCCCAGCAAGTATTTGGGAGCGTCCTGGCTGCGATAAAAATTGCTTGCCATTGCCCCTCCCAGGTTTCCCAAGCCGATTTGGAACGCCATTCCCGCGGCTCGTTTGTAGCTCCCTGCAAGATTGTTGCTGATCCAGGTGACGTTGCCAGGGAAAGCGGGATAGATCCCGCAAGTCGCGATGAAGACGCCGGCATACACCACGCCCGGGACACCACCTACTGCAGAGCTAGAAATAGCGATAATGAACCCGACGAGGATGGCGCACATCGGGACGAAAATGTACGGCCATCGTGAGGCACCCCGCTTAGTAGCTGCATCGGACAACCAGCAGACGATGATGGCGAGGATGGCGGCCGAGATGTAGATTGGGATCGTCAGGAGCTGTGCAGTTGTTGTCCGATAGCCTAGTAGCTTGATGATGCTCGGGAGGAAAAGCGAAATGCCGTAAAGAGGGCAGACGATACCCCAGTACATTAAAAGGGACAGGTATAGCTGCCAGTCGGTGAGTGCTTTAAACCTTCGTCAGTTCGGGACTCTAATAGCACCAAATGTGAGGTGAGGTCACTGGACTCCTTGGTCCCACCGCACCTATGTGGCTGTACTTGCCTTTCGTGACATATTTCCATTCAAAGTGGTCACTCTCGGCGATTGCCCTTCCACTCTTTTTGCTGCCCTGGTACTTCAATCGATGGACAACCCATGCCTTCTCTTCCGTGGTCAGGAATTTCGCGGTGTCGGGGAAATCATGGAGCAGAAAGAACGCAGCCACGGCTACCACGACGGTCAAAAGGCCTTCGAGAATGAATATCCATCGCCAGCCTTCGTAGCCACCGACTCCGTCCATCTTGGCGATGGCATAGGCAAGGAGACCCGAGAAAGCTCCAGCCACGCTCGCCGCACTGAAGAAAAGCCCTTGGCGGAATGCAAGCTCGTCAACGCAGTACCACATGGTCAGGTAGTAAGCAACGCCAGGGTAGAGTCCGGATTCAGTCACGCCGAGGAAGATTCGCGCAATCAACAAGCCGTGGTAGTTTTGCACCAGACCCATCAAGGTCATAACTGTGCCCCAAGCAACCATGATACCGGGCAGCCACACAGACGGTCTGAAGCGCTTGAGGAGCAAATTGGATGGAATTTCAAAGACACAGTAAGTGAAAAAGAAGACCGTGGCACACAAGTTGTATTCATCACCTGTGAGCTGGAGATCCTCCTCCATGCCTTGAATCTTCGCATTGCCAATGTTGCCCCGATCGAGGAAGGAGAGCAGATATAGCACTGCCAGCATCGGGATCAGGCGCAAGTCCATCTTGCGGAGTGTCTTGCTGGGGTCCACGTGGGACGTGTCCACGCCGTCGCCTGTCCAGTTGGGGTCATGGTGTTTCGGAAGAACCTGGCATGATATGAAAACTTGTTGTTAGAAATGCGAGAGAATAAGATCGGGCGGCGTCGTTTTGACTCGCTTACGTTGTGATCATAGGGCGACTCGTACTCACTGAGAGTTGGCTTTTCGACGCGGGACTCTGTCGAATGTGTTGTAGTGCCTGGCTTTAGAGTGTGATCAACGATGGGTGAAGCAGTCATTGTGGACAGGAGGAGACTTAACGAAGTCACCACAGTGAAAGACTGAAGAGCACAGCTTTGTCGTGGTCGAGGTAATATATACAGTTGTGATTAGTCTTGAACCTCGTTGATCGTATTATCGTATCCATGGGCCATTTCCCCAGTGTCTCCGGGTCCGAACAACCCTGTTCGTTTTCCCCCATTCACGTTCCTCACTTCGTGGGGAAATTTCCCGTATTATTTGGCATAACCCCTTTATCGACCAAGTGGTGGATCAGCGCAATCGTGGATTTCGGATCCGGAGGGGTTCTTTAGTGATCAACATGGGGTTGCAAATTGGGGCTTGATTGTCCTCTCAATGACGTCCGATACCACGTTGTACAGGGATGAACACGAGGAGTTGAGCTTTAACAAGGTTGCTCGGACACGCGCGGGAACTACTGTACCACTAGCCTTTCACTGCTTAGGGACCTCCCAAACGTCCTAAGCCTCCGTGGAGATGGGGAAATGGTTATAGGACGAAGCATTCCGGGAGCCAACCCGGTAGGCTCCCAGCTCCATCGCGGTATTGCTTTACTGTTACCCCTCGATGAAGGGAACCCAGTTCTCGATGGTCTCCACTCGCTTAAAATGGTTTGGATTTGGCATTATCTATATCTAGGCTTGCCCGACAAAAGACCGCCGTAGTCATAAAACCCCCGTCCTCCCTTTACGCCTAAACGACCGTCGTTGATCAGGTGCTGAAGGTATTGCCGTGTCTCTGAAGGGATATCTGAGCGCTTCGCTGCATAGTGCTCCTCGATATTTAGCACCACATCGAGGCCCACCACGTCCATCTGCTCAAATGGTCCCTTGTCGGTTTTCAGCACGTCCTTGAATATCTCATCTATTTCTGTTGGAGTTGCGACGCCCTCTGCGGCCGTGAGAAGAGCTTCCCTTTTGATTGCCGCCCAGATTCTGTCTTCGTGAGTTGACGTTCGAGACTGAAAAGGCGAGATAGGGTTCGTCGAACATTGGACGGGGCAAATCTGACCTGTTTGTATATGTAACCCATTGAATCTTGCTTCACATGGAATGGGCTGAACCCATGTTCCCGGCACTGCTGGATAAGGAGAGAAATGGAGGCGGGCTCGGTTCTACCATGGCCCATGATTTCTATTGTTGACACAGACATTAGCCAGGAATGGCCAGGAGCCGATGGGTAGGGTCGACCTCACCAGGAGTTTCGGGTGGCCAATCTTCATCGGCCACTGTTGTCAGTCTCGATGTTCAGGGTGGGTGTTGGGATGGAGGCTTGCTTACAACTGTGAGCATTCAGAATTCGCCGTTCATTTGACAGGCTCAAACTGCGTATCATCTCAGATATGGTGTAGCTACTCGAATTGGACGCAATGATGGTATCTTCCGGAGCCACTTCGTCCAGCTGCGTGATTACTCGTCGCTTGAGTTCTACTTTCTCTGGGACGCACTGTGCCCACTCATAACATCAGCCATTTCTTCGTCGCGGAGGCCTGTAAATGGACCTTCACTCTCTCGTACATCGACAATCAGCCATGTCTCCTCGAGCTCGACGCGCAACATGTCCAGCGTATACGTCTTGATCTTTCCCGGTGTAACGCCGGATCGCTGCGGCCCAGATCGAAGTTTTTCGATGAATTTCTCACTTTCCCGAAGCTGGGTTTCCTACGCATCAATGAGATGAACACTCCGGCCCCGGCTTGACCACTGGTTTGCGCCAACGACGTTAGTGGAGATGGGAAGTGTATTAGGCTTCACTGCGGATACCATGTATGCAAGCCTCCTCCCTTGGGAACCGGCGCCTAACAGAGCCACGACCTTTCCCGCTAATGGAATTGCCATTCTCGAAACTGTGTAATGATCCTATATCCACTCAACGGAACAGGAAGAAATGTTTCATCTTGTTGATTGCTGGAAGAAGAAGAGACCAACTGAGGAGCGAAATAAAGGCGCGGGAGTATTTGTCGGTCCAAAAGGTCAGTCAACGACTCAAGGGTACATATAGTTTTTTGTCATTAGACCGCCCCTTCAAATTTGTCCAGGTCATCCATTATCCGGTCATATACATTGACAAGTGATCTGCTTGAAGGTGGAGAGCTGAGTCTCGGATCCGATTCGTGAACGTCGGTGGCTGCTATTCTGATGGCGAAGACAAAGGATACGGATCTGTATTGCGATCGTCTCGATCGTCCTAACCCGACTCTGAGCGAATCTCGACTCCCTGGATCAATAGGCTGGGATTGTGTTCTTTGTTCGCTTCTAAGTCCATTGCAGCATGCTACACGGGTTTGCTTGAAGCTTCCACTACCATGGTTCGGTCGTCAGGAGAGGTAAAAGCTAATGTGTTTGAACGTTTGACGTGCTGCATGATCAATTATTATGTTGCTCTGTAGAAAGGGATAATTGTTGTCCTGTTCGTAGGGGTCGGAGTCAAAGATTGCTTTGCCACTGATGGTCTTGGATGACTTCGTCCTCGTAAAATTGTGCCACGTCTTTGACTGGGAACCAGGTCACACTGCAACCAAAATCGGTGAGTCTGCGTCTCGCAACACATCTTCATCGTAGTCTGCAGAGAGGACAGACCATAAATGATAAAAGGCGCGCAACCATAAACATGTCCACCGCAAAACTTAGGGCCCCTGCTTGCCAAAGCAGTACCTTGGAGGAAATCGTCATTACCTAGCACTGTCTCAACATTCTGGATCATTCACTTCATATGCTGTAGTGGAGATGGGAACGGTGATGTTGCTGAGAATCCCTCTTCGCACTTCGTCGCATTGGTCGAGAATCTCCATGCCTGCCTTGCCCGAATAAATGCCCAGCAGACAATATGCCAGGCACTTACATCTGCGATGTAACCCATGAGACCGAGGCCGCCCTTGAAACAATGCGATCATCGTTGGTACCTGAACCTGTAACGTCCATAAAGGGAGACTCCTTAAACAAGTTTTGGAAATCGAGAAGGGCGCGCACATTGGATTGGGGAGATGGGCGGCATCCCCGGCCAGGAGAATCCTTCCCACTCTTATCTGAGGCACGCATTTTTGGTGTGTCTGGAACCGGTTACACTCTTGATTTGACCCTGGACCGGCTCTGGGTTTCATGGCAGGATCGTACACAGCTTTTATGGGAGTTGTTCCCTGAGTTTCGAAAATGCTCCAATAACGATGACTTTCTTGGAGGGGACTGGACGCCGCCTTTCACAAGATCGCAGCAGATGCAGTTGTGCGTATTCAGAGATCTTGTTCTGTGGACAAGTCGGGGACGTTCACGAACTTAAGACTCTTCCTCGCCGCAGGCTCCAGATTGAAGCTTGAGGAGAGATATATATATGTGAAGTGGATTGTCAATGCCATGTACGGCTTGAGATTATTTCGCGACCGAGGTGGGTCCAGCGGAATATCCAAGGGTGATACTTGTTGGACATCTTCGCTCGGGTCTTCAGACGACTTGCATCAGCTCCGAGGGTTTCTGACGAAATACTCTGAAACCTGATGGCGACATTCCAACGAAGGAACAAAGTCGATGAAGCTTAATGCGTACCGGACAAGCGGGGATGTTCATATAACAACCTGGCGGAGCTGAAGTGAGTAATTGTCAATGGATCTTTTCGTCCACCATTTACTTTTCAAAAATGGTAGAGTTCGGGATGCCCCGATTGAATTGGGTATAATGTTTGACTTACCGAGGATCGACTGGAATGGCTTGACATATGTTTCTCGAAGTGATGGATTGCCCAGAAGACCCAGCTTCGATGGCTTTTTTCTGGTTCGGGCATGCTGTCTGCGAAATCATTTACAACATGTGTTATCATAGCGGGTCCAAGCCTTAGGTAGCATGGTCCAAGGTTGCAAGGGTTGAATTTAAGGACACTCCATATGCCCTACTCGGTCTGTGCATACCTATCTATATACCATCTCCACCACTACAATTGCACGAGTTTTACAGCTTCAATCTACTCTATAATCCTCATGATAACATCTCACTAAAGGGAGTCGACATCGTTCCGCTGCTTGTGGGACCATGTCAGGTTTCGCGCAGCATCAATCTTTGGGCTCGCTATAGAACTGTTGTCTTGGTTGGACCTCTGAATTTATATTGGAGTGCAAATGACTTCGAGCCATTTTCAATTCCGCCTAATCGAAACATGTCCTTTTCGACATGACCAACAGCGGTCTACAATCCGAAAATGCAGATGTAGATCATCAGACGGTGAATAAGATCTTGGAAGGCGTTGTTCGTAAAGATGAACGTGGCATCCATCCGCAGAAGACATTTTTGCATAAGACCTTCGAGCTAGCAGACAATAGAGAAGTGTATGAGTATATGAGGAACAACGTAGCGGTGGGAAAAGTGGCTACGTGCCTGCGGTTAGTTGCGTCCAGGCCTCAGTTCCAGGTTCGGTCATCGCCTGTGACAGGAATAAGACTCCCGTACAAGTGGCCGGTCCCCGCTTTGACCCCCCATAACAAGACCCAGGTCAACGAGGCTGGACAAGGCAGCCAGTGGGAACTTGGCAACGATCTCAACTTCGCTGCCTCCTATCTACACTACTTGCGTCCGATTTGCTTATCAAAAGGCACTGTCTTGTCCACAGTCTACGTCTCGCGAATGCACGGCTTGTTGGGGCTGGGAATACGCCATGGCGGCAACTGTTCAAACCCAACAAGACGTCAATCAGTCTGTGATACCTCTTCGAAACCATGAATACCTCTCCCGGTCCCATCTGCATTAGCACGTCCATGACAATCAATCCGAGCTGTGAGACTCCAATTCGACTTCAGCTTCCAGTGGAAAGAAAAGTCTTTCTCAGCGCGGCCACTGCCACCCCGGGCCTAGCACTGCCACCAACATGGAGAAATTATCTCGAGAATGCAGCTGTTGAACGGTTGAACAAGTAGTCAGTGCCCATTTTTGGGATATAGGGATAGGAATAGGAGAAGAGAAAGGGTCAATCAGACGTGTATATATATACCAGCAGCCGATAGAATCCTGGATCGAGGGGCCTCCATCCAGGGGGGATTCATGAAGACTTGTCGATCAATCTAGTCTGAGGCCAATCAAGATGAGTACGACGAACCACGTCGAGGCGATGAATCCAACAAGTCCCGAACAGCGAAACCACCGCGTCGAACACCATCTTCAATCTCCGTGATACCAACCTCTGCACGATTTCATGAGGATGCCACAAAATATGATCAAGCGCGATGGAATCCTAAAGCAAAGTGGTGATGCAATCATGTATCATCGCCACTCGAAGAGCACCTCAGAGGAAGTGGACGAGTTCTGGGTCGATTACAAGGACCACTGGCCTGCACAGGTCTGGATCAACAGGACCGCCAATGGGAGTGATTTGATTCAGAAGATATATATCTCCAAGTCTTGGGGATCCGATACATGTAAACAAATTGGCTCGTTAACGCTCAGTCCAAGGCACGATACGTTGAAGAAGATGTGTCTTCGTGAGCCGCCCCGGACGGGTCACCAGTGGTAGTGGAGGGGGGTATGATATAGCTTTCAGGTCACTTTTTCAAGGGGAGATAGTCTTGAAGCATTGTCCCTGAGTTTCACTATGGTCGCCTTCGCTCATGAATGGATGTGGGATGAGGGGGAAAGAGGTGCAAATGGCAGTGAATGATAGTGATGAAAGGGTTGGCTAATGTAATGGAGGATAAGTCGTCATTTTCCATATGACGAGGTGATTTCTTCCTGCCTGACAGGAGTTGTTTGCCAGGATTTTCTTCGCCGATTACCCTTTACTCTTGTATATCAATGACGAATAAATGCGGGAAATACAGGCCGTACCCCTCAACTCCCGGCCCTGGAACTTCCCTCAGACCTTCTCCCAGGTCTTCGCCGTGACAAGGATTTCGAGACGAATCTCGGCTAATAACTGCAGGTATGCTGCACACGAGTGGGGCCAGCGAAAAACCTCATTGCTGTCGCTCCGAGACACACCGACTCGGCTTTCAACACAGACTTCACTCCTCCCTGACGACCAACAATGCGGGATGTTAGATGCGGAGAATGTTACAATTTTCTTCACCCGCAAACTCTGTGTTTCTGGACAAGATCAGCGTGCGATGATGGCCACAAGACGGCAATGTGGACTCCTCACTCATATACAAATAGCTTCAATGGCTTTGGGTGGTCATGACGTTTTCAGAAGGCCAGTAGAGAGAAGTTCGGGTAGGTGTTCTCTAGGCTCAGTATGGCGCTCTCATTACCCTTATTGTTCTTCCTTCTCGCACTTGCTGGTGCACAGCAACATTATATCCCAATAACCGGTCCGACTACTAGGCCTCAATGTCCAGCTTCACTCCCTTTTAGCCAGCCCACATATCGATATGGATCATTTTCATATTCCATGAGTGAGACTGTAAGGACAGCCACATCAGTGCCTCCACCTACAAGTACAGCTACGTACGCACCACCCGCAGAATCTCTCACATCCCTGATTCCACCCATATCATACACAACATGGGGACGCTGGGATCCCAACGCGGCAACACGGGCATCCGACACTAATAACTCCTATGGAAACGCAGCCTGGACATCACTGTGGGAATGGGCCAACCCTCCCAACTTCACCGAGACAGGCCTCTACAGCACAACCGTCTCGCCCACCCCAGTTCCAACGGAGGAACTCGTTCTCCCACCTCCTGATCCCTTTGGACCTACAGACTGCTACGTCTTCCCGTCCGACTTCATGTTCGGCGTCGCGAGCTCGTCCTCACAAATCGAAGGCGCAACCGCAGACGAAGGCAAATCTCCATCCCTCATGGACATTCTCGTCCAAGGTCCCCTGCCCAAAGATTACGTTACTAACGAAAATTACTACCTATACCAACAAGATATCGAACGCCTCGCTTCTATGGGCGTGAAATACTATTCGTTCAGCGTCGCATGGACTCGCATCCTCCCCTTTGCATTACCCGGCACACCCGTCAACCAGCAGGGCCTCGACCATTACTCGGACCTCATTGACTTCGTGCTGCAAAAGGGCATGATCCCAACTGTCACACTCCTACACTTCGACGTGCCGGTACAATTCTATGCGGACAACATCACCGCAGCCCGAGAACCACCTTTGATCGGCTACGTGAACGGCGGCTACCAAAACGAGACCTTTATCGACGCCTATGTCAACTATGCGCAGATCGTCATGACGCACTACGCGGACCGGGTTCCCGTCTGGTTTACATTCAATGAACCCCTATTGTACTGCGACAACGGGGCCTCGGTCAACAACGTCCTCAAGGCCCACGCCCAAGTCTACCATTTCTACAAAGACGCGCTGAACGGCACAGGCAAGGTCTCGCTGAAACTCAACGACAACTTCGGCGTCCCTCGCAACCCATCGAACCCATCGGACGTCTATGCGTCCGAGCACTTCAACACCTTCCAGCTCGCGACGTTCTGCAACCCCATCTTTCTGGGCATTGACTACCCAGACTCCTACAAGCAGACAGTCCCTGACTACGTACCCCTGTCGGCCTCGGACCTATCCTATATCAACGGCACCGCTGACTTCCTCGGCGTGGACCCCTATACCTCAACCGTCGTTTCCCCTCCGGTTCCCAACTCCATCGACTCCATCCTGGAGTGCACGACTAATTCGTCAAGTATCTATTTCCCGTACTGTGTCAACCAGTCCACCCTCACGACCACCGGGTGGAACATCGGCTATCGCTCGCAATCCTACGTCTACACCACGCCGACCTACCTGCGCCTGTATCTTTCGTACCTGTACAACACCTTCCACACGCCCATTGTCATCACAGAATTCGGATTTCCCGTCTTCGCGGAATCCGAAATGGTCGATCTTTCCGACGCCCTCTTCGACACGCCCCGCAGTCAATACTATCTGTCGTACTTGAGCGAAACGCTGCGTGCGATCTGGGAAGACGGCGTACATGTCATGGGTGCATTTGCGTGGACTTTTGCGGATAATTGGGAATTTGGCGATTATGATGCGCATTTCGGGTTGCAGACAGTGAATCGTACGACAATGGAGAGAAGATACAAAAAGAGCTTCTTCGATTTGGTGGATTTTGTTAATGCGAGGACAATTTAATGAACTTGGGCGTTAGCAGGAGTAGTAGCAGAGGTAGATCGACCGCTAGCTCGTAGGTAATAATTGTCAAACTGAGACGGACGCCCTTGGTATCCTGTCACTACTATATAAGGTACCTCTCCTAGTTAGATTTGGTAAGACGGGCGTGATGACTAGTATTCATTTCCCAAAGATGATGACGCGACCGACTCATAAGCCATAAACTGGCGATGCTACATGTCCTGGGTTATATTCTATACTGTTGTTCAACGTGGAAAAAGGCTTTCGGAGGTTCATATTTCTTGTCTCCTAGCTATTCCCGTCCCAGTAACTATGTCATACATATATCTCACATATCTAACATCTTACGTCCCCTATATCGTCTCTAACACTTTTATATCCGGCTGATGTCCTCCACCACATCTCATCACGACCCATCATACGTCGAAAATCGGCGATAACCGGGGCTTAAATTTTGCCAATATCTCCATCTCCCGACCACGGTTGTGGTCGGGAGCATATTGCATATGTATTGCTCCCCGGCGTTAACGGCTCGCCTGCAGCTCTTATCTCCATGTGCGCCAATAAGAACCCTTTGGAAAGTGGGAGGGGGAACCCATCACCCCCCTTCGTATTTACCAGGACTACCATTCACAAACGCTGCTCTGGACAAGAGCTGGGGGTTGAAAGTGGGATGATATATGTAGGTTAATATTTTGGCGGAAATGCGAACTTTCCTTTCCTTCCTCAAACAACTTTGCACACTGCAGTGAGAGAGACAAGAGTTTTACCACAAGTGCGCTCCTTTGAGAGGGGATTGATCCCGCCTCCACCTCCCACCCCCTATTTTGCCCAGCCTTACCTAGGTCCTCCCTTCCAAAGCCTTCTTTCTCACGGCCCAGCAGCCCAAGCCAAAGCCAGAGCTGAAGCCATGTCAATGATAACTACCACCGGCGCCGTTTTCAACCCCACCGACCCCGGCTCGCCACTCTCCAAGTCCCCTTCCGAAACCGCCGTCTTGTTAATGGACTATCAGAACCTCGTGGTCACCAAATTGGGTCCCGTAGGAGACAGCGTCCTCAATGTCGCCGCGCAACTTCGTGATTGGGCACTTTACAAGGGCATGCCGGTCTTCCATTGTCTCGTTGACACAGGGGCAAGACCTGCACCCCAATCCAAATTGTCTGCGAGGTGGAAGTGGTATGAGGATAAATTGGCTGCGACACCGGCGCTGGGCCGTGAGAATGAGGCGATTGCTCCGTTAGGCCAAAACGATTGGGAGATGACGTTCTTGAGGGCACCGGGTTTGGTTTCGGCGCTGGAGTCAAATGGGATTTTGGAGGCATTGGAAGAGAAGGGCATCAAGTCTCTTGTTCTCTGCGGCGTTTCTACTTCGGGTTGTGTGTTGAGTACGACTCGTGCTGCGACGGATCGAGGATACATTGTCACGGTTGCCGAAGACGCTTGCTTTGACAGTGTTCCTGGTCTGCATGGGATGTTGGTGACACAGGTCTTGCCGACTACTGCGCATGTCGCGACGGCGAGAGAACTCATGGATGCATGGAAGATTTTGTGACAAGGGGGGTAGGTGGCTGCCCACGTGGCATTTCTGGTAGATCTGTGAAATTGATTTCGAACAGCCTCGATGGGAACGATTGTCGACATGACTGACCGGCCGAGGATCAAGCGATGTATTCCTTGCAATCTCGTGGTCGATGCCGTAGTCAGAGGGAGCTGTTCTAGCTCCACCAGCCCCTTAATCAGGTCGTAGTAAGGACAAATACATCTAACAACATAATAATCAACAACCCCCACCGTCATCATAGCCGTCAGAACAGCAACACCAAACGAAGCAGCAGAACGGAAAACCTCCACAGCACTGACAGCCGTCACAACTACAACAGAACAAGAAAGCGTGATGCGCACACCAATGATGGCAGTCGCAATCGCAGCAGTGGCATCCATCACGGTGACCACCCGAGCATCCTCCGCACTGGCAGAATCTGACAGACAACAAGATGACCAGAACCAAAATACCGAGTCCTAGGACAACTGTGCCTATTTGGATCAAAATCGAACCGTGCGCAACCAAGAAGGCTGGAATCAGAGCTCTCACCTGCCTAGACCGGCTGTCGTGTCTGTTTTCGTTTCTGCCATACGCGATCGAGATCCTCCTTCTTAGCCTTTCCAGTCGTCGTTTTACTAGATCTTGCCGATACCGGCGCTGGCACTGGTATCGTCGCGTGACCACAAGCAGCCCCTGTTCTACCACATTCGTTGAACCAATGCACGATTTCGAAGCTGCGAGGATCAAGCACTGCATGGCCAATATCACTACCGCGTGCAGGCTCACGACGTCTTCGATCTTTCTGAAACTGCCGACTATGCGACGACTCCCATAGATTCGGCCGTTGACTGAGTCGAAATCGCACCCATCGTGCCGCGAACAGCCTTATTGGTGTACCGGCTGGCACCTCTTCGTAGACAGTCTCCATGTCAAAGACATCCAGAAGACTGGCATATTGAATGACTTTTCCCAACGCAAATTTTGCAAAATCGGCCACCAAAAACTTGTCAGCTATCATGGAGGCTTTTACGGCGAAGACCTTCCATGCCTTGTCGTCAGTATCTGATGTCCCAGCCACCGAGAAATCTAAAGCGTCTTTGTTATTACTGTATAGCCAGTCGAGAAAAAGCTCAAATGCAGCCGGGTTTTCGTTGGCCAAATCGAATCTTCCTGTTCGCGATTCCTGAAATCCGGTGGCAGTAAAAATAGTAGTCGTCCCCGGTGCAGTATTCATACTGTCGCCAGGAGTAGTCCGAGGCACTGTGCCATTTCGAAAGTACTCTGAGTACCAACAGATCAGGCCTTCATGGACTTTCCAGCGACGAGATTTTCTGCCTTTTCCAAACTTAATGTCAAGATGTTCGTCAGTAGTCCTGAGGATGTCACTAAGTCATTGTCGGAGGCTATGTAGGGGGATATCGTACTTAATTGGCCGAAGAAATGTATCTGTTGACGGGCTGCTGAGGAGAGTAATCGACTGTTTTTGGCCATGTAGATGTATCACTTTCACGACAAGCTTCAAGATCTACTGCAGCTGCCCCATTTTCCAACCTTTTGGATGGCAGGGTGTACTTCCTGCGAAGATATTCTCGTAAGGCCATGAATCACACAAGTCCGACCCGCAGCAGGAAGTCATGAGAGAACCGACGCCTTGAATAGCCGACATGTCTCGAGCCGTTTTTCCGGACGTACATCGCAGTTCTACACGTGAGGAAATCTAGATATCCGGTTGCTTTCCCTTAATCCAAGCCCAGCAAGACTCTGCGATATGACTCGGGCAACATCGCTTTGCCCTGTTTGCGTGGCGTCGGCGTATTGTGGTCGAAACGTGGAGCTTGCCTGATAACCCAGCTATGAATGCAGCCGCGCTCGATGGCGTTCACCTTCGGGCGCTGGCCACGATTAAATCAGGTGACTTTGGCTCTCGGCAAGGCGCTCTTTGCAGGAGAGGCTCATTATCGAGCATTCTTCTTTTCAATGCGGCGAAGGCGTGGATCGTCGTCAGCTCTGACGTTGGATTGTCAGACATGGCAAGTACATCCGGAGTAAAGGAGATTAGGCTGTAGTCATTTTCAAATTCGTACTAGGCTGTTCCATGCTCGGATTTCCTTCTCTTCTGATTGGGAGTAATGTGTGGGTGAGGCTCAGAGAGAGATATCTCCGTCTCTGCAGACGGGGGGCCTCAACGGGAGAAGAATACATTCTTTCAAATGTTATTTTATTACTTGGATTAGCAGTCATAACTGCTATCATAGGTATGTTAACACACGTGGTATCAAACTTAGCGATCGTAAGGTATGCGTGTATCATGACAGCGCGAAATGCTCAGGGTATTTCCACCTCTTTCTGTTTTGCTCATTCTTCCTTCCAGCCTCGATGAAAATTCCATTTTTTATCTTCCTCGTCTTTTGTTAGCGTGTTTGATTCTTTCATCTCTTCCCAATCCGACGACACCCTTTCTTTATTCGTGGTTGCATAGGTTTTTTTTTTTTTTTTGTCTGAACGAATCTATTCGTGGTGCTCCAAGTCCTTCTCTGCATTCGCATCATCATTGGCTCCATTGGCAACAGGGGGTTGGCTTTCTCCAGCTTCTGCAACGTTATCTTCGGTGCCGGCTTCTCTTCTGATCTTGGTAATCTCCTCGGGGGGTGGAGCTACCCACTTACGACTCTCCCATGGCTTGATACCAAGGATATACATGGTATCCAGCTCCTCGAGGGTTCGGCCTTGACCTTCAATGACGAAGAAGTAGATCAGGAGAAAACCGACCAAGTTACAGCCAGCAAAGACGTAGCCGTAGAGGAAATCGATGTCGCCAGTGATGAACGGAGTAAAGAAGGCGAGCAGGAAGTTCCAGAGCCAGTTGGAGGCGGTAGACAAAGCCATACCTTTGGCGCGGTAGCGGGAAGGATAAAGTTCACCGCATATAGTCCAAATCATGGGGCCCCAAGTGGTGGCGAACCCGAAGATGAAAAATGAGGCCAAGACAATCATCGCGGTGCCACTGGATTCGGTGTTTGGTGGATTATCACGGTCCAGAGAGAAATGGCCGACACTGGCGAAGATCATGAACATCAAGAACATCCAGAACGAGCCGACCATGAGGGATCTGCGACGACCGTAATGTTCGACAATGTAGAGACCGTAGAAGGTGGTGCCAAAGTTGATGCCATTCAGAATCATTTGGGTGACAAACGAGTTGTTGATCCCGGTGGCCTGGAAGATGACAGTGCCGTAGTAGAAGAAGTAGTTGGCGCCGGTCAACTGTTGGAACATTTGTAGTAACATTCCAAGGAGGATGCGGTAGGCCATCTTGGGAGCAGAAAACATATGGATCCATTCTCTGATGAGCCCCTCTTGGACTGCTTCGGCTCGGAGTTTGGCTTCAATCTCTTCCAATTCGACATAGACACTGTAATGGTTTGGAGGAGCACCATAGACCTTGTACATAATTTGTTTGGCCTCCTCTTTCTTTCCTCTGCGGTAGAGAAAACGGGGAGTATCAGGGAAGAACAAGATCCCAGCACCGAGAATGAAGGCCCAGATGAAGCCAATACCCATAGGGATTCGCCATGAAGCGGATTTGTGACGTTGGTGCTCATAAGTCCCATAGTTGATGCAAGCCGCCAAGAAGATACCCAAAGTGATCTGGAGGACACATTAGTACCGATATGGAACATGCAAGTGGATTGGAGCCGGGACATACAAAGAGCTGGTATGTGCTGATCAACGCTCCACGAATGTGACGAGGAGCTGTTTCGGCTATGTGGATATTAGCCGTGGGTTCAAGTTAACTGATAACGAACAGACTTACCCTGGTACATGGGCACCAGCAATGACAGAGCACCGACACCAAGACCAGCGACCCATCGACCCATCATAATTTGATACCAGTGATGTTCGGATGCGATCATGACGATATTGCCGACGCAGAAAACGCAGCACCAAAAGGTGACGCTCAGTCGTCGGCCGATATAATCGGCAATGGGAGCGGCAATCAGAGCACCGATCAAGGTACCAATTGAAAGCTGTACAAATTAGCCGACTTTCGCCAGTAGAGAGGACATGACCCACCATCGCCACAATAAGACCCGATCGGACATTGCTAAAATATGCTGTACCATCACTGTGATGCTGACCAAATCTCTCCAAGAAATCTGGCATGGCCAGGAAACCCGAAATTTGACCAGTATCGTATCCGAAGATCAAACCGCCCATCGAAATGAGAATACCCATCCAGAAAGACGCCCATGTTACTCGTGGTAGTGGTGAAAAATCCAAATTGCCCAATGATTTTCGGGCATCCGTCGCGCCGGTGGAGTGAGGATTGTATCGGTCATAGCTGACATAGTTGGTGAGGCCGAGTGACTCTCGAGTCAGCTTGGGCCTCTTGAACGTGAATTTCGGTGACTTGAGAAACCCCATATTTCCTTTGGTCTGGTTCAATCACCCTGGAAGTCGAAGTGAGACTGAGTCATTCTGACAGGACTGGAGGAGACATTGATCTTATACTTGCTCAAGGAACCTCCACAAAGGAGCAGGGGGAAAGTCATGGGATCGCACGTGGACAAGGTTGTTCCGTCAGGTTACTTCGAGAAGTGGAGGAGCGCGGATGACATTGGGTTGAGTACGGGGGGGAGGATTCATCCTCCCATCCAATTGAGGAGCAAAATGAGTGACTTCTCCAGGAGTTCTGTAAGCAGACGGCCAACTTCTTGATCGCGTGACGTAGTAATAAGGCTCCTGGGCGTAGCTTGAGAGGATGGATCCATCTGAAGACCATCTTTTGATCCACCAGACCAGCAAAATTATTGGCTCAACGTTTGTAGCCGGGGTAGACATTGGTTTGATGCTGCGTTATCCCAGATCAAGCTTGATCAAGCCTTGTTTGTATATGTGAAGTGCAGGGGACAATGGTCAGCCTAAGTGGACCGTGGCGTGAAAGCTGCTCGGCTTAAGTGGTCCCGGTGATCTCACAGCAATGGAGGCAAAGGCGATCGGGCCTACCGGAAGGGCGCGGACACGATGAAACATGTACATTCCGCCTCTTGTCAGCTTTGCTTGTGGATCACTTGACCGATGACGAGCGATCCTATCTAGAGAAAAACTGTAGAATATTCGATGTTCTTGGGCGTGAGAACATGCACATTTTACCCCGTGGGGGAGGCGAATACGAATAGCACGTAAGCCGAGAAAGCAGCGAAGGAAGACCTGGGTTTGGAGAGGTCGAATCAGGGGGGAATTCGAAGTGCACAGAAAAGGTAGTTGTGGCTTGTGTGAGAGAGATTGATTGTCGGTGCCGCAGTATGGTGCCGCTTGGCCCAGAATGCTACCTCAAGGGATCTTTTCTGACCGGCAACTGACGACGAAGCGGCAAACGCTCGGCTTTCGTCGCCATTTCGCCGTTTGATGTGCCGAGTCACCTGATGTCACTTGATATCAAATTTTCTGGTCGGCTGAACCCGGTACTGCAGTTGGAGGTAGCATCGAGACCGCAGATAGATACAGAGGGTACATGGCGCAATGGTATCCTCAATGGACCTGCACCCGCTTCTTCGGTCAAAGATGTGTAAGCACCGACAACACAACCTCATAATCAACCCATGTTTTTCTAATCCACTTCAAATTTTAGGCTCATGGGATTCTCTTGGTGTATTCGAATGGATAACTAGCTCATTTTCGCCCTTGCACCTGGCCATCACGAGGCATGGACAAGTTTTTGAAATATCCGTGTCCACCCGCCACCGTTCATCAGGAGAATTGCTCAATTGACGCATTTTATTTTACAGTTCTGAACGTTGTCCGATAACGAGATCGTATTGCTACCCTTGACCCTACGTCATCTCAGTGAGTCGGGACATGCGAAGGCGAATCCGGAAGCTGGACTTCCCTCGCTTCGACAATATTAGCATGCGCAATGTCTGAGTCGGTCTGGATGAGGAAGTCCTGAAATGCCCAGTTGCACTAAGATATTTTGCTGGTGCACCTTTAGGCAGGATAAAAGCGTGTGGCTACCTTCTTCCAATATGTTCAGAGTCTCGGCTCTCTAGTGTATCTTGACAATGATCTTTCCCTTGGCCCGTGAACTGAGCATTCTTTCGTAAGCCTGATCGTGAAATCAGCATTTCGGATTCGAAGAAGCGATCGAGGAGCACGGACCTTGTAAACATCCTCAAATTCCCAGCATGAATCGATAGGAACTGTCATTTTCCCATCGTCACAGAATTTCTTCAGCCTCTCAAGTCCTTCCGGAGTCACAAGCGAGGATACTTGGACATACTTTCTTGGAGGTCCGCCGAGGAACCGCGGTACCAGGACGTTTTTCAGCATTCGACTTACGGCAAAGAGCATGCTGCAGTACGTATACTCCTTAAAGGCAATGCCGACGGTGACAAATGGTCCGCCTTCCTTCAAAAAGCGGTGGCAATTGTCAACTAGTTCTTGCACGCCATACGCGTCAACAACAGCGTCGAACTTGTTATTCGAGTATTTTTCGGCCAGAAACTGATGGACGGGAGAGTTTGCTCGATGGTCGATGACCTTCCTCAGATCAGCGCCAAGGCCTGAAAAAGAATGATAAAGGCAGGCTCTGGAAATCTTACCATGTCAGCGCCTATGTCTTTCAGCAACGCAGCCTTTTCTCCAGAACACGTCGCGACGATGTAGCCTTCGTCTCCTATAGCATCACGAATCATCTGTGTGACCATCGATCCAATCCCTCCCAGAGCTCCGTTGATGAAAACCTTCTGGCCTCGCCCGAGCTTCGCACTGTCCAACAAAGTCAGGGCTGTGTGGCCGGCCACTGGCAAACCCGCAGCTTCCTGCAGGTCCACCTTCTCAGGAGCCGGCAAGATGTTCGCTGCATCCACAGAAACAAATTCACTTAGGGCACCCTGCCCGTTCAAATGTTCGGGAACAGGGATGCTGCCAAAAACTTCGACGCCCGGTTTGAAGCTATGCGTTGCCGCGGCATCGTCGCCCACTTGTACGATTTCCCCGGCGAAATCCATTTCTGGAATGCAAGGCTTTGTCCGGAGAATAGAAGGGCAGAGCTGCACCATGATCGAGCCCCCTGGGTTCAAGGCTGCATATCGCACACGCACTAGGACCTGCGTGGGGGATTTCAGTGCAGGTCGGGGCACTTCGTTGGAAAGAGACAGGACTTTCGACGGAATTCCTTGGACATTATGCGTCCATGCACGCATGGTCAGTAGCGGAGACCGAGTTGAATCGCTCATTTTAGCGCAAGATACAAGCTCAAGAGAAAAATTTCCGGAGCTCGAGATTCAGGGACGTTCCACTGGTTTTGGGACAGAATCCCGAGGCCAGAGAGATGGATGCTAGAACCACCTGTCGAGTGGGCTAGCTAACATACAGTATGGCAGGAGGCGTGAAAAAAAAAGTTTCTGAGCCTGATAAATGAAGCTGAAAAATAAGAATGATGGCTGCCTGCGAGCCATGTTTTGAATTGGCCCAGTCCGCCTTGCTAATTCGTTAAGGTGGTATTTTTCTCTTGTAGTTCGTCTTGGTAGAGGAGTTGAATTGAGACGGGTAATGTTATTCTGTACACCACATTTTGTTATTCTGTACACCGCTTTTGATTGGTCCGGATTTTTATTTTTCCGGTTATCTGCGCAGTTCGAAGATACGTGATGTCACAACACCTAAGTCTGCCTATATAGAATGCAGAAATGATGGTTAACGATGGTATCCTCTGCACGGTCGATACCTCGTGCTGACTAAGGTAACAAACCAGCGCCCATAGGCTTGGGTGGGAACCGCCCATAAGCGGGGCAGTTGCCCCCCGGCTTATGGGCGGTTTCCCCCCGGTTCATGGGCGGTTTCCCCCTCCGGCTTATGAGCGGTCCTCCCAAGCCTATGGGCGCTGGTTTGTTACCTTAGTCAGCACGAGGTATCGACCGTGCAGGGGATCTCTACACAAATCCGGCTGTGTAGGCCACAATAATTTACAAAGTATACAGAGAAGCTCAAAATGCACGGTACTTATCTACCAAGGAAAAGGGAATCAAATGTGTTTATTGCTTCGCAACCACCTATAACGGGGAGAGTTTAACGCGTCACCCCTCCACAGCTACGCCACTTACTAGTGTTTTCTCGCCATCGCCGGGCCAACGGCAACAAGCTCTGTTAGCGCGGTGTACAGAATAACAGGATGAGAGCGTTAAGTGTACAGAATAAGGCGAGAGAGAGGTGGTGGTGTACAGAATAAGGAGAGTTGAGGCATGGTGTACAGAATAAGCAGGTTTTCCGGTGTACAGAATAACAAAAGTTGGTGTACAGAATAATACCCCCCAATTGAGACTGCACGTGGATACCACGTGATGCTAGCTTCGACACGTGATCATGATTACCTAATACACCTATTATTTCCCCTTTGTTTTTTTTTGGGCTCCCCGGCTCTCTGCAGGCGAATCAAAGGAAAAGGCACCTGAAATGGGGACAAAGGAGACATCAACTCTCCCTCCAGTAGCCAGCAAAGGAACTCACCTGGAGACTGCCGACGATCGATATTCGAACCAAACGGCAAAAGCACCTGCGTGGCATATGTTGCCCATCCTGATCTTCAAACGTGTTGGCTCCTTCAAGCTCAAACTCTGTCCGCTGTTTGCTTCGAAACCAAAAGGTAAAAGGCAAAGGCAAAAGACCGTGGTTCAATGCATCTTAAAGGGGTCTCTAGTTAGCGCAAATGCCATGCATGGCAATGATATCCACGAGAGATTGAGAAAGAGGAACACTTTCTTATGTAGTCGTGGTCGTATGTTCGTAGTGACGTTCTCTCATACTCCAGGCACTCAAAGACTGTAATTTACTCTCAGGTTTCGCATCCGCTTCAGTTTGGCCAACCACGGTAACTGTCCGCGTGGTCAAGATTCAAGACACCAAACTCTTTTCAAGATACTCAATAGTATTTTCGTGGGCTCCTCCGTTCTTCCCTTCCTCAACTGCCAAGCTTCATCCTGATTTCGTGCGACAAGTAGTCTAGCCGGGCGCAAGAAGAAACATCACACCGAGCACGGCAGGCCGAAAGCAGCGGTGCCTTGTCATCACATTTCCTTTCCTAGCCTTGCCGTTTGCCGTGTCTTGGTATTTGCTTGCTTCTGCTCTCGATTATCTATCGTCTATCAACTGTGCACTGTATGTATGTACCTGGCATGGCCACACCGTGGTTGTAGAACTTGCTTTTGCTCCTGAGGGCCTGCGCGAGGCACTATCGGTAATTTGCTTTGGACCCTCAAGGACACGAAACTGGAGTCCGGCGAACGCATAAGCTACCAGTACCGGCATAGTGAACCCCCACTGCTCTGCGCTACACTGCCCTCCAAGGGCCAGCGCTTGCTCGGATGGACTGGTGTAGACATGGACCGGGGGCACATAGAATGTGTCACTGTATCAGAACGACTAGGAAAATTGTGATTTTACTTCTCGACTAGATATGTGATCCAAAAGATGGACTCAGGAACGGTGACGTGGTTTGTTCCCAGTTGGCCAGCTAACATGCCTGCTACATTGCTGCTGCATGTTGCAGCTTGCGTCAGAATCGCTTATTCGCCCTTCCCATATCAGGTACGGCGTACATCCGGAGTGAGGTACTTGGGCCAGGGTCGGAGCCAGGGCCATGACCCGGACCAGGGCTTCCGCTAGGGTGAATTTGTAAGGTTATGTGAGAGAGGGACCGGAAGCGATGTGGCTGTTGCTGTCTCTTTCTCCTTGAGGATCATCGAACCGTTAGACGGATCACAAGTTCGCAACGCAGACATGGGAATTAAGAAAATCAATCGAGTCAAGACTTTGTCTCAAAAGTCGGAACTCGACTGTCCAAGCTCATCACACCTCACGTAGGTGTTAGACCGGCGATATTCGTATTCTGCTCCATGCATGGCGTGGAGGCACGGAAAAGATCGTCCTTGGTGCCGTAGTCGATCCGGAGTTCTGACGGTCATGCATGAGCGGATACGAGAGGCCAATAACCAAAGGGGAAAAATAGAAACTAATCTTGAGTTGTTCATAAGATATATTTCTATCATTCCGTCTCTAGCTGTACAGCAAAGGATATCCTGAGTACCAGCTTCATATCCTTTTTGGTTTTTCCTTTTCTTTTCCCTCAAGGCCCTGTTTCCTCAACATCCAGCCAACAAAAAAAAAAAAAAAAAAAAATTCCCAGAAGCAGGAGGGAGATCAAACCCATATGTCGTAGAATACATACACACAATCCTATACGCATACCTGCTGCAACGCATTCGCTTGGACGACACACCAGTCTGTAGGACCCAAAAACACAGAGAAATTCGTAGAACACCGAAAGGAGGATTGACATCTCCCATCATACATCCTGGTATCTCACGCTCCATTCCTTTGTGGTCTTAATGATCATAGCTTTGCTGCCATCACTCACATGACTTCTGGCACCGTCAGACCCTATACTTTCACTCCTGTTCCTCTCCGGTACTGATCCGGTGCTGTCCTTTTCCACCTTCGCACCGCCTCGCACGGTATTGATCACGACGCGGTTACTGCTGGTCAGAGCATGGCCGATACCATGACGGTCGGCGGCTTCGACCCCTTTAGTTCTCTGATGGGGAAGTTCGAAGCTATCACTTCGAGCCTCGGTCTTGAGAGCCTGGCTTCGGATCGCAGAGGCGGCTTTGCTCTGAGCCATCTTGCCCATTAAATAGCTGTCGTTGCCATAGCCGAAGCGTCCGTCTCCTTCTTGGATCACCCCAGAAAGATAGCCGGCCTGGATCGATTCCATGAACGGTCTCAGATGAGGAACGCATGCTGAGAAGACGCCGAAGAAGACTTCCAAAATGGTCGCAATGGTTGGTAGCCAGCTGTCCAAAGTGATGTCTGCGTCTCGGTCGTAGAATTTATGCATTCCGCTCAAGCGCCATATCGTGCAGCCGGCAGCGAAAATGCGGAACGAGAAGGCGAAGCAGACTGCGACTTTCTTTTGCAAAGACAGCTGTAGATTGTAGACCAATATCACGGGAAGAGCCATGATGGTGAAGTCGCTTAAGATATCCATGACACCGATTGCGTCCCAGAACCCGACCTGACTGAAACACTCGTTGGTAGTGATGAAATACGGGTGTGGAAGGTCACATTGGAATGCACTCCCAATGACGGCAGTGAAAGCCCAGACAGCAATAAGCCCACCCACGGCCAGCATGGGATCACGGTAGGTCCTATTTGGTGACAATGCGATAAGAAGGGAGAGGGTAGAAGCCTTGCTGAAGGCCAAGCTAGCAATATAGAGGATATTCCACGCATATCCAGCCTTTTGAAAGCCCGCGTACTCCGCACTTGAGACGGTCGACAATTTGGAGCCTAGACCATGGCTTACTTGGCTATTGATGGCAATGGTGAATCCGATGGAAGATAGCTTGAAGAGATAATTAGAATGTGTCGCATGTCTCCAATGCAATCATTCTGCTCGACTTACCATGGCTGCAATGATGATAGCATCATTCCACACCAGTCTCCTCAGAACGATCAGTTTACTAATGAGGACAGTAATGACCGCCAGACATGTAGTAGTCATAGCAACCCATGACACCAAATTGACAACAGGACCTTTCTGGGTGGCGGATATCACAGGTATCCGGGCGAACAGAGTATGTGCGATCTCCATGACGAAGGCGGAAAAGTCTTGCGAGAGTATGAATTTAAATGGGTCCACTCGCAGATCGACGAATTCAATTCATGGAGAATCGGCGATGTGAAAGCACCCAAATAAGAGTACTGACAGATGGTTGACAGCGACAACGACAATCGAAGATAGAAAGATGGAGGTTGAGAAACTCGACTCTCCGGGAGTCGTTGACATCAATTAGGACCGGTCAGATGCGATGTGGCCCAGAAGCGTGATAGGTTATCGTCTTGCAAATGCCGGGGGTCAATGTCCAACGTTCATCGAGAAGCTATGGAAGTCCGTTACACCTCTAAGCCAGGTTAGTTTGCAGGACTTCCCTTCTCAATGGTGCTGGAACATAGCGACCCCGGGCTGGCAAGTTTGAATCTGATGGTGAACGGTAACGCGGCTAAGAGAAGGGTGATCCTTGCTCGCAGCCACTAGCCAAGGGAAGGTTAATGAGTCCCTTGAGCTGTTGGTGGTGGAGGCCACGGCGGTCCACAGGGTCTCTGTATGGCCCCGCCATCAGCCAGACTTTGGAGTTCCGGCAATGGCCAGCCTCTCGAACTTAAGCGTGTTCGGTGGACGTTTTGATCAAGTGTTCCTGCCCAGCAAACGGTCACGGGTCTTGGGAAAAGCTCATGGGGCCGTTTTAGGCGTGTATTAGTGAGCGACTAAGCTCAGTAGCGCTTCGAATTCTGTTGAATAGATGGCCTGCGATCAAGCACATGTGGGATTTGGGAGAAAACCCGCTCTTGCTTTTGGGCCTCCCCAACTGAGTTCCTTCCCACGTTAGCCAGGACAATGTCTTTGCGTAATTTTTTGTCCAGGACTCTGCATCCTTACTAGGGCATGTCCCTGTGGCTGAGTGTGTCTTCCAGGAATACCTCTTTCCGAATTGACCTCTTTTGTTTCATATGATGAACATAAAACTCCGAAGTTGTGTTGCAATTCCGAACCGTGGGATTACAAAACTCGGAGGTCAATGAGCTTGTGATAACAACTGCCCGTCCAGAGGGGACCATAGTTGGTGGCTTATCAACGGGGACCTGGCAACGGGAAGATGGCGGCCGGGACCATAGTGTTCCAGTGGGATGGCAAACTTTCCCCCCAAAATAGACACCCGAAACTGTTGTGATAGACATACAGCGACGATCCTTTTTGTTAAGCCTGTACTTGGTAGAGCTTTGACCATGGCCTTGTCATGGTCTTATCTGAAGCAAGCTCGCCAGGCTCCACTGAAGGCACACAAACTCGTTCCACAAGGAAGGCTTCTCGCATTAGCAAATATCTTTATCAAAAAATGCTAATTCAGTCTGATTCATGGACCTTGACGCTGCATGGAGACAGAGAATACCCATTGCGAGACTTAACACCGATTTTTCGTTGTCGAACGAATCATGTTTCTTCTGGTTGCAAACGACCCCGGATCACGGCAGAGATGCTCTTTCAGGCAAGAAATGAATGATCAATCTGTGACGGAACGGTCAATGGTGTTTGCGGAAATGGATCCCTGTTCAGTAGCTCACTCATCACTGACATCCATTGTGTCAGCCAGATCAAGTTGACTAGCTTGCGCTTTGACTTGCCCACGCGTTCAAGCATTTTTAGAGGACTCCACAGGGGTTGATAGTGCCTCGCTCGTGGAGTCACACGATTGAGTTCCCGAAAGTCTACCAGACTCAAGCAAGCGGCTGCCGAACTTTGTCTAAATTCCCCGAACTCGGCTTTGAGCCTGAGCATTGCAACATCAACGAGTGCCTCCTGTTGGTGAGATGATAGACTTCGATTTCCGACGACGTTGACAAAGATGAGCTGCCAAAAAGGAATTCATTGGTAAGTATCGAGAGAACCTCGAGCGCGAGGAAATTATGTGAAGTACGACCGTGCCAAATCCAGCAGACGTTCGTGTCGATCACGGATTGAAATGGTTACTTGCAGGGACGCCACCAAAACATGCGAGGCAATATTGTTCGTTTCACTTCGTGTGAGCAAGCAGCTAACCATGCAGGGTGTCCAAGCAGTATTTGGCCTGGTTCAAACATTTGAATAGAAAAAGAAATTCACTTCAACCACGTCGAAGACACGTTCAACCCCCACTCGATGACCTGGCCCTTCTGCAAGCCACCCTCCTAGGCAATCATCCTGGAGGCCCTTTTAGCATTGTTCTCCTCAAACGCAACCCCCATCCAGGGTTTGCTCGAACTGGTAGATGTCCTGGATAGTCCTTAGCCCGCCGATGTGATCGTCACATTTGTCCGGCTACCACCCATCTTCGACCGGCCAGTCCGCCAGTAAATGCGAGATCTCTTGTCCACGGGGGCCACGTAAATCACAGGAATTGCGTACTCCCTTGGGAACTTCGCCGCTGTTTAGAATTTGCCAGGGAGGTCGTTCCTGGAAGGAAAAAGAGAGAAGAGCTCAAGATCCGCTCTTTGCATGGGAAGAATAGGGTAGTTCTCTACCCACCTTTTTTGCGCCGGTGAAGTCTTACGATACCGTCTTTGCACCTCACTGCCTTCGCTTTCCTTGCTGGTTTCGGCCATTTCTCTCCTTTTCAAGGGGCAGGCAACTCGTCGATCACTGCTCAACTGCTTCAATCATTCAACCCCCTCGCTCTGATATCGTTGCACGACAAGACCATTCAGCTAGCACTTTTCTTTAAAAGAGCACCAGGATGGCGGACACATTTGCCATGAAAAGCGGGAGCAAGCTCGCTTCAGAGATTCACCATTCCAGATCATCTTCGTCTGAACAGCATGTCGGCGAGAAATCGGTCAATCGAGATGAACAGGAGATGGCGAAGCTGGGAAAGCGCCAGGAATTGAGGGTACGGAGTTGGATCTGCGCCGGGAATTCGAATGACTGACTTTGAATAGCGTAACTTCGGGTTTATGAGTATGTTGGGATTCTCTTGCACATTGATGATCACTTGGGAAGGTCTTCTGACCGTGTTCGTGTACGGATTGACCGATGGCGGACCGGCGGGCCTCGTTTATGGCTATCTTTTCTGCTGGCTTGGATATTTCACGGTGGTCGCATCTCTGGCTGAAATGGTGTCAATGTGAGTGGACGAAAGGGCTCAAAGTTGACTTCCCCGCTGACTGGAATAGGGCGCCCACGGCTGGTGGACAATACCATTGGACTTTTCTCTTCGCTCCCAAATCCTGCCGGAACTTTCTCTCCTTCATCACTGGCTGGCAATCCGTTCTTTCATGGCAAGCTTGTTTAGCATCGGCAGCCTATCTCGGCGGTACCATTATCCAGGGTCTTCTCGTCCTCAATTACCCCAACTATGACTTTCAACGGTGGCATGGAACACTTCTGCTGTATGCAGTTGTCCTCCTGGCAATGCTTTTCAACACCTACCTGGCGAAACAACTGCCAAAAGTCGAAGGTGCAGTCCTGATTGTCCACATTGTTGGATTCTTTGGTGTTCTCATCACTCTGGTGTATCTGGCACCTCATGGTACTGCCCATGACGTGTTTGTCAAATACCTCAACAATGGAGGCTACGATAAGGGAACATCTTTCTTCGTTGGCTTGATCACGACAGTCTTCGCGTTTATTGGAGCCGATGGAGCCATTCACATGAGTGAAGAGATCAAGAATGCTTCAACTGTCGTTCCCAACTCCCTGGTGGCTTCGATCGGGTTAAACGGCACTATGGGCTTCGCTATGCTCATTGCCATTCTTTTCTGCATCGGAGACATCGACAATGCCCTTTCGACGACAACCGGCTTTCCATTCATCGAAATCTTCTACCAAGCCGTTCAATCAAAAGGTGGAGCAACCGTGATGAGTGCGGTCGTGCTTTCGTTGATGATTTTTGCCACAATTGCCGTCCTGGCTGCAGCTTCTCGAATGACGTGGGCCTTTGCCCGTGACAATGGCCTGCCTGGCTCGCGGTTCATTTCCAAAGTCGAGCCTCGGACAAAGTTGCCTCTGTATTCGGTCGCTCTTTCGGTCATGATCACAATGCTCCTTGGCCTCATCAACATCGGTTCGGCTGCAGCTTTCAATGCCGTCGCTTCGCTTGTTATCTCCGGTTATCTCGGCAGTTATACCCTACCCATGGTGCTCCTCTTGCAGAAAAAGCTTTTCAATCCGTCCTCAATTCATTTCGGGCCTTGGACCCTCGGTCGTGGTTTCGGCATTTTCTGCAACGTCTTTGGACTCATGTGGATCGCCGTCGTGATGACTTTTAGCTTTTTCCCGTCTGTACGCACCGATTTGACCCTGGAGACGATGAACTGGTCTTGCTTGCTCTGGGGAGGTACCAACATCATCGGGCTCGCCAGTTATTTTGGGTATCTCCGAGGCAGATACAATGGCCCCATTGTTGAAACTGATATAATTGAGCAAGTGCAGGGTGTTTAAAATTCGTATGTCCTTGCAAGGGATGACCTCTTCAGCGAAGCGTCTAGTTTCGTATAAAACAATGTATGGGATTTTCTGGCAGGTTGACTTTTCGACAGTATCAAGTGTTGGTCTCTCGGTTTTATGAAGAGCGCAGGTTTATGGGTCTTTCCCCCGTGTTGCGAGTCAGACTTGCGGGATAAATAAGGTAACGGACTCACATATATATGTTAGATGGATTATGGAAAGGTGCATAACAGGTTTCCTCGGGCTAGCTGAAGGTTCAAAATCGATCATGACAGATGAAATCTTTCGAAGAATATGTGCTAATAGTCTGACTTTTCCCTGGATAAGAGGTTGACATTATTCTCCGAAGAAAGCAAAAGCTCAAGCTCTGACCCTGACAAAGACTTGGACATCAACGCGTTCCACTGTCCTGTCAACGTAGATGCGGGAGGAACAAGCCTCCACTCGACTAACATTGTAGATCTTTCTCCTAATGGAGGTTGCGTTGGACTTCGCCTATCTGTGAGATCTCGGGCAGGCGTTGTCATTGGTGGAATAAGGCTTGACGGTGTTCAAAACTGGGGAAGTGGAGGGTTTCCAGCTATGGCGGAGAGTACGGTGGCGGTCTTAGCAAGCATTCTACATTAGGCCGTCTCTGTGTTTGAGTCGTAAGAACTCTTATGAAGGGCGTAACCGAAGATATCAATTGTCAAGACGCTGGTGGGAATTTCCCTAGTCAATCCCACAACAGGCGGCAGAGTATTCGCATACAGACCGTAGTGTCCATGGGCTCTCAGAACCGCAAAACCTAGCTTTGTGAGAGATACCAAGATTTTTGGGCCTTTTGGTACTGCTGTTGTTTGCTCCCTCGTGGATATGCTACCAGCAGTTGTGGGTGTTCTCGTGGAGTAATTGCAGCACAACGGTAGGAAAATAACGGGACGAGGCTCGGCCAAAGAAAAGTTCAAGAGTTCGACAAACCTGCCATTTTGGCTGGACGCGTTGGAATGTGAAACCGGTCGACAAGGGCCAGCTAAGACATCGTCAATGCAAATTGCCTCTTTTTCCATCCTGGCATGGTCAACGCTAGCCCTTGCATTTGCAAATCCATCAAATCAAAGGCCGGGGAAGCTCTTTGACGATTCTAACTTTGGCCTAGTCTTTTACGCCAAATTGGGGGATCAGAAGCGGGCTGTTATGGGCGGTTCAAGAGATGCCACCTCCTTTATGTTGAGCTACTACACCGTGAACGCCTTCTCCGAGGAGCACCGGTGCCTTTTTAGCTCCAGTCTTTCATGATGCCTTTAAGATCAAATATGGCGTCAGGCCCAAAGAGAATCCCCCGCCTTTTGCAAATGCGTTGTTGTGGGCTTAAAAAATTTGCCACAGAACCATCGAAGCTCGAAAGGATCAGCTGGACCCACGCAAAAATTGCGGGTTTTGTGGAGAAACATAATCCACAGATCTTCTGACAATGCTGTCGGAGTGTCCGTATTTATTATCCCTGATGTTGCTGATTTCTGCTTCCGCGGTGGATGTTGGTGATACTTCACGTGATTCTACTTTCAAGTCTTTTGCTGTCCTTTCCACCTTTTGGTTTCTTTGGAATCTTGGTTCTGCTTGGCCTTGAGATGCTCCCAAAATCAGTGCCATATCATGAGCTCGTTCAGCCAATCCACTTCGCGATTCAGCATCGACGAATCTGGGGTTGGGCTCCTCAGCGAGAAATATGACTTCGCCTCCGATGAACACACCACTCGAATTGCTCCTTCGCTAAAGAGCTGCATGTCTAGCAAGCTCGTCATCACCTCGCCTTGCTTGCTACTTCGATACTTTGCCCGATCACTGAGTCAACTGTTCTTTCTACTCCTCCCCAGCTTTCTTCATCCGCGACACCAAAATGGCCGGAACAAAGCCGATAAACTCCCGCCCACAGCGTTCCTCGACGGCATGCGAGGCCTAGCCGCCTTCGTTGTTTTCATCTGCCACCTGACATATGGCTCATTCGACATCGGCCATGCATGGGGCGCCGACCCAGACTCCGACTCTGAATCTCGACCTCACAACCAGTCTACATACCGAAACTTCCTCCGCCTCCCTATCGTCCGCCTTTTATATTCCGGACCACCGATGGTCGCCATCTTCTTCGTTATTTCTGGCTACGCGTTAAGCTACAAACCTCTCAAGTTGATGCGCTCACAACAACACGAACAACTGATGACGACGATGAGCTCGTCCGTCTTCCGCCGCGGATTACGACTCTTCTTGCCTTGTTTCGCTTCTACCTTTCTCGTTATCTGTTTGGCGCAGCTCAACCTGTACACAATCACCGAGGACTTTGCGGGGCAGATGCGTGCTATCCCGGAAGATCATTGCTACACCCAGCCGGATCCATGGTTGCAGTTCACGGACTGGCTGCAGCAGATGCTCATCTTCGTGAATGTGTTTGACTGGTCTTTATTTGCGGGTTCAGTGGAACTAGATAGGCACCTCTGGACTATACCCGTGGAGTTTCGTTGCAGTCTGGCTCTTTTCTTGACACAAATGATGGTGGCAAGGATGTCGACCGGGCTCCGAATGACCACATTTGTGGGACTAATGACATGGGGAGTGTCTCAGGACCGATGGGACCTGTGGCCGTTTTGGGCGGGGGCAGTGATTGCAGAGTTGGACATCATTCGGACCGCAAAGACGTTGGGCTCATCCTCCTTGTCTTCCACGACTCAACCTCTAAAACCGAAATTCTTGACTAAATTTCTTTGCACGTTAATGATCGTCATCTCGCTCTTTCTCCTCTCCTACCCCGATGCTGCCGGCCATGCTACGCCCGGCTACACCAGCTTAACACCGCTCATTCCCTCGAAATTTACCGAGAAGCACCGATTTTGGCCAACAATTGGCGCGATTATGATCGTCTGGACCACATGCCATTTAGATTTTCTACGAAAAGACGTTTTCTGCTGGAGTCCGATACAATACTTGGGTAAGATCAGTTTTCCATTATACGTCGTGCATGGACCTATTATTCATACTCTGGGATACATGGTACGGTATATCGCTGTAATTGGGGCGACCAATCTGCTGACCCATTCACCCTAGACCCTCCCTCGCACTCCTGAGGTGGAAACGCCGGAGATCATGCACCAATTCGAGCTCGACTTCCTCAAGGCTTCGGTTGTGATTGTTATAACGGTCATCTGGGTCGCCGATGTATTTCTTCGAATTGTCGATACACCATGCGTTAACTTGGCCAGGAGGCTTGAGCAAAGATTTTTGAAATATTGAATGACGATCATGAAAAATAGAATGTTAGGATGGTACGTCCATTGGCTCCGTTTCGTTGGTCACGGAATGTTGTGCCGCCACGCATAGATCATGATACTGAAATTCGTTTTCCCTCGCCATTCTCTCGTAGTGCAGCACGGAGAGAAACCCCGGCACTTATCTTGTCGGCACATTACCGAAATGTGCAAAGTTCATTCCCCAGCAGATTTCTTACAAGGATTTTCCAATCTTCGCCATCGTTATATTGGGTGAGCATCCCACCCTCCCAGATACCACGAGATCGTCATCCTTGGCGTTGATTTCATTGATGATAAAGCCCTCCAATATAATACCAAGGAACTAGGATATCGTGTCAGGGCGAGGAAATTCGGGATGCTCTTCGGCTGTTGTCAAGCAAACAGAATAAATATGTGGGGAAATACTTGACGACACACGCAGCAAATATGTCACTGCTGTGTTCGCATACGTCCACGCCATTTCCCAGCTACGAATGACGCATCTTCATCTTCATCTGCTTTTTCAGTTTCTCAATCGTCGAGGCTGCAGTTGTTTCCGGCTGGCTTTTGGTATTCTCTGCGTTTATCGCGTCGAAGATCTTGCCGGGATTCATCAACCAAAATGGATCGAGGCTGTGTTTTAGCGTCTGCATTATTGCAATAGCGTCGAGACCCAATTCGTCGATCAGACTTTGTTTTTTGCCCAGACCGATGCCGTGTTCACCGGTACATGTTCCTTCCTATGATGCAGCAAGTGAGAATGTATACACTTTCGAAGAGGGGATATAACGTCACGTGCCATTTCAAGAGCTCGATGCACCATGTTATGCACGACCCGCTCGACCCTTTCTCGTTCTGCAAGATCTTTTCGATTGTACAGGATCGAGGTGTGAAAGTTTCCGTCTCCAATGTGGCCTAGCACACTGGCGAAAAGGCCGAGGTCGTCGATTTCCATCTTGGTTATTTCTGTAGAGACATCAGCTATTGGACTGGGTCTGGAAGGGAATATATGTACCAACAATATCGGGCAGCCTCGAGATTGGCACAGCCACGTCGGTCGACCAAACTTCATCTCCCTCGCGACGTAATGACAGCATGCTCCAGAGTGAATCTTTTCTCGCCTTCCAGAGGTCGTGGGCTTCTTGCTCATTGCTCGCGTAGATGAAGTTACCACCTCTATTCTCCTTGGCGATATGTGTCGTGGCTTTGATGTTGTCCTGAACCCCGACCGACGTTCCTGAAAATTTGAAGAAGATGGTGGGAACCTCTTTCCATGTCCTGTTCGTGCCTCCGGCCTTGTTTATTACGGACATTTGAACATCGTCCATGATTTCCATTGCCGCAACTGGAACTCCCGAGCGAATAACCTGCATCGCTGCTGCGGCAGCGTCCCGGATGGTTGGAAATGTGGCAACAGCAACCTTTGTTTCTTGGGGAATAACCGCTAGCTTGAGAGTGGCTTCCGTCACAATCCCGAGAGTACCCTCGGAACCGATAAAGAGGCCGGTGAGATTATAACCAGCTGATGTTTTCCGAGGCCTCTGTCTTGTTTTGATAATGCGACCATCTGGCAGGACGACTGTCAGATTAATGACCCAATCCTTCATGGTACCGTAGCGAAAGGCGTTGGTCCCACTGCATGAGGTCCCAATCATCCCACCGATCTTTGCCGATGGCCCAGGATCTACAGGGAAGAATAGACCTGTGGATCTGAGCTTGTCGTTAAGGTCCATCCACTGAATGGACGGTTGTACGACAACATCCATGTCTTCCTGGTGAATGGCAAGGATCTGATCCATGAATGCAAAGTCGATGCTGAATCCTCCGTATGGCGCCGAGAAGTGGGCCTCGAGCGAGGAACCACCAGAATATGGAATCATGGGGATTTTATATTTGGAAGCAATTTTGGCAATCTGGGAGACTTCCTCGGTAGTTTTGGGGTAAGCAACGGCCACTGGCAGCTGGTCGATATTGACCGAGGACCACTCCGAGTAACCATGAGTTTGAAGATCGTCATCGTCGGTGCTGATGGCGTCTTCACCTAGCACCTTACGAAGCTCGATGATGGCCGTTTTCATTTCATCTTTCGTCGCATATCTGGGAGCTTTGGGTTTTCGTGGCCCCGGCTCGTCGACATGGTTCCGTGCATCGTTGACACCCACCGCATATCCAATGGAGCCCAACGCGCCAGCGAGGAGTAAGGCTCTGCCGGTGGTCCATAAGGGAAGATTAGGTTTTGCCAAAGATTCTGCGGTAGAAGATCTTGATGAATAACACATTCTGCCTGCTATTCTTTTGGGAGTAGCGCATCCTGTCCTTTGGCACCAAGCACGAGCGGTGGCGAAGCGACATTTTGTGGAGCCCACCAGCGCCCATGCCTCTGATAATTGTAATCTCTGTCCCATCTTCCCCGCCATTTTCACGTTCCTCTCTACCCTGCAGCCTTTGATGAGATTATTTGAGGTTTTCAAGAGCCTCAACCGCGTAGCGGCGTCCAAGTCCAAGACGAGAGAAGTTGTGGTCATAAGAAGTTTGATCATGACGGAATTGAACCCGTGTTGCCGGAAACTTTGCAGTTGGGGGTGACCCTCCCCCTTAACGGTCCTGACATTCCGTCAAGGGTGAGGGCCACCCTTAAGGGCCATCTTCCGCAATTTTGAGGTGATGTCGTGCTCGGTCTCTTTTCGGCCGACGTAGAAGGTTATCTGGGGCTGGCCCAGGGAGTAGCGTCTTGGTCGAGAATACTGTACCTCGACCCAGACTGCTGGATAAGAAGTCCCAAGACTTGTAATTACCTGAAGAATGTCCGCCGCCGGCGCTCTCTGCATTGAGCGAAAGCAAGGTGCCCACCTCTTTCCATCTGTCGAAATGATTGTTGTTTTTCACCTTTGACTCTACAAACACAGAGATTTATAGGCTGCATTTTATCCGTGTGATGGCCGTTCACCTTGCTCTCCGTTTGCGAAGATCCGCTCAACTAGCCGATATGTGACACAGGAAGTTTCCAAAGCACCATCTGGCCGAATCTTTGAGAATGATGGACTTCCCGGGTCTGTATCGAATGCTCTCTCTTTACTACCTGGGTAGTTCCTCTTGCACCGTACCAACATGACAGTGACGGCCTTCGTAACTCCCTCTCATTACGATCCCTTTCAAGCGGCAACGCGGCAGGCCCCTCGGATAGCTCTAAACACCACCTTTCGCATATCTTCACAGATACATCTTGCCGACGGCAACAAAACAATCAAGATCAACAGATCAAAAGATCAGAGCTAAGGTGAATGAAGCGGAGTGATGGCCGCCGAGGGAGCCTTCGCTTCATTCTACTACCACAACGGACGTCTTTGTTCGGTATTCAGGTGCCAGGCAGTTGTGGATGGCTATGGACCTCCCTCTTAGATCCCTCCCTCGTCGTGATGTACATTTGCTAATTCTTTCCTCTCTGCTACCCCCATCCTGTCGTTTAGTTGAGTTGTCGCAGCCTCGTCTCGTCCCGCGTCTCTGCAAAACTGCCCAGCCGCTAAGCGTTCGGCGACAGGTCTATCCTCTTCCTGCCGTTGGCTGGCTTCGACTCTAATTCACACGCATCTTTCACCACCTCGCGAGACTTCGTCCTCTCTGCTATTCTGCTCTCTTGTCACCGCTGCTTCTCTTCTCGAACAGGACTCATACACTAACTCGCTTCTGAGAAAGAGGACTCGCTCTTCTCAGAACACCTAGCTAGGAGAGATCGGGATGCCATAATGGACCCACGACCACACGCGGCGGTCAGCCGATCCGGCCCACAAGTAGCAGTGGCAGACCCAACGCGTCGACCTCCGGCTGAGGAATGGCGGAAGTGGCCCTCCGTCAGAGCTTTCATTCCTAACTTACCTCGGGGAACCACCACCTACGATATCCACAAGAACCTCCAAAGATTTGGAAAGGTCGAATTTATTCGGATCGAAGAAACCCGCCAGGGTGTCTTTGCAAGAACAGCCCATGTCACCTTCAAGTATGTACAGTTGCACTCAGTCCACGTTGCGTCTCGCTGACCTTTTTGGACCACCACCTCCTTACAGAGCTCCGTGGGACCCCATTTACAGAAATGGAATCGAATTCCGCATTCGAGACGGAGGCCGCGAGGTTCGCCATCAGGTCAAAGTCAACTACGCATACACCCAAATGTCAGCACGTCCGATCGAAAGCCCCATCCGGAAAGGTATCAAATACCACCCTGAAATGACCTTACACGCCGAGGCCATTGATTTCGGCTACCTAGAACGCCCTACATCAATGGTAATCAAGGCGACAAGGGGAGATCCCCCCATCAAATTATTGCTCAACCTGAATCGACTGGAAATCGAAGTCCACTTCCCTATTGTAATGCAGTCTAAAGGAAAGTCAACAACACGAGCTTACCGTTTCTTTGTGGCTCTGGATGATCAGATCTCTCTGTGTGAGGTGCAACAACATGGTGTCACTTCATTGGTCTTCCACCTCAACAACCCTCCGTGGTATTCTAGACAATTAAAAGAAGCGATGCAGATGAGCCACGCCCCAGATGCTTTTAGGTGGTCGGCAGACGATACTTGGTCACGCCAAACTGACATTGTCGACGATAAAGACACGTATGCAAAGATTGACAACACCCCAGTCTCTGTACGAAAGCTGTACAACAGTATTGACATTGCACGCTGGACTACCTTTCGTGTCACTGTGAGACCGCGTTCGCCGGTGAACGACAGTCTACGACAATTCCTTAGAGCGCTTGAGGATTTCAATGTGCCGGTCACTCAAAACTGCTCGTTCAAGATTACTCCATCTCCGGGGAAGGAAGCACCAGTGTGGAATTTGCTCGATGGTCCACAACATCCTCACTCTTTGACTGAACAATTGTCTGCTGTCTATTTACCATTCGAACTGCGCTATCAGCTTGAAGTCTGCATCTCTCAAGGGTGGCTAAATGAATACACCATCAATGAAGCATTCCTCCAGCGCCTCATCAGTCTACCCACCCAGCGTGCCAAACAAATGCTCGTTCACGTTGATTCATATCAAAAGCGCGTCTACGATCCCATGGAAATCTTTACGGATTTGAAATACTCTCGGCCTGTTAAGGCCCGTGCGCTTCCTTCAAACTGCGTCGAACTCTATCATGCCACGGTCACGGCTACGGGCATTCTTTTCCACACTCCCTCTGTTGAGGTCACCAATCGAATTGTGCGCAAATACCAGCGGTACAGCGATCGATTCCTTCGGGTGCGATTTGAAGACGACGCCTGCCGTGGAAAAACTCGACTCTATTCGGCAACCAACGGCAGAATGAAGCTGATCTTTGACCGAGTCCGACGAACAATGAGAAAAGGAATCGTTCTAGGAGATCGGCGCTACGAATTTCTTGCATGGGGCAACTCGCAGCTTCGAGAGCATGGTGCCTACTTCTTTGCCTCTATCCGCAACCCCCACATCGACGCTGACTCGATCAGGGAAAGCATGGGCAACTTTGATCGTGAAAAGGTCGTGGCAAAGCGCGCGGCGCGGATGGGCCAGTGCTTTTCGACGACTAAACCCGTCTCCTGGGTTAGCAGACGGTCATGGAAAAAAGATCCAATTCCGGATATCATCGAGGGTCAATACAACTTTTCAGATGGGATTGGCATCATATCCGGACTGGCCGCAAACATTGTTTCCACCTCTTTGGGTCGTAAGGGTCGCACACCGTCAGCATTTCAATTCCGACTTGGAGGTTGCAAAGGAGTCCTAGCCGTGGATCCCAATCGCAAGGGCAACGACATCAGGATGCGACCGAGTCAATACAAGTTTGATTGCGAATCAGATGAGCTGGAAATCATTCGTGTGTCTGAGTTTTGGCAACCTTTCTTGAATCGTCAGCTTATCCTGGTGCTCTCGGACCTGGGTGTTCCGGATAAGGTCTTCCTGCGAAAGCAACAAGAGTGCATCCGGGCCCTCGATCGTGCCATGGTCGATGATGCAGCCGCACTACGGTCTTTGCGTGAAAACGTCGACCCCAACCTTATGACACTGAACATTGCTACCATGATCGAGAATGGTTTCCGTCAGACAAACGAACCATTTGTAACATCCTTGTTGCGGTTATATCGAGCATGGACCCTGAAATACCTCAAAGAGAAGGCGAAGATCCCGGTTGCCCAGGGGGCGTTCGTCCTGGGCATCGTGGACGAGACCAACACACTAAAAGGGTATACAAAGCCCAAGGCTAATGATGATCCCACTAAGCCACCGCAAGAACCACCTTTACCTCAAATCTTCATCCAATACACCGATCAGCATACCGGTCAGCCTCGAATTGTGGAAGGGATCTGTGCTATCGCCCGAAACCCATCCCTTCACCGAGGCGACGTCCGAGTCGTTGTGGCAGTTGACGTACCAGAATTGCACCACTGCTGCGATGTGTTGGTTATGCCAGCGAATGGTGATCGTGATTTGGCCAGTATGTGTTCTGGAGGTGATTTGGATGGCGACGACTATATGGTCATTTGGGATCCTGATTTGATTCCGACAGAGTGGCACGCAGAGCCATTTCTTTATGAACCCCCGGATCCAGTGACCAAAGAGGAAATTTCCACCGACGACATCATCGATTTCTTCTGTGATTATCTTCAGAATGACTACCTTGGAAGGATTGCTCATGCCCATCTCGCCGCAGCTGACTATCTTGACGAAGGTATCCGAAGCAGTCAATGCCTGGAACTGGTCAAGTTACATTCTATGGCCGTTGATTATCCCAAGACAGGCGTCCCCGCAAAGATGGAACGACATCTTGAACGGAATAATTGGCCCCATTTCATGGAAAAGAAGAGAAATGGAGTGTACCGATCTCGCAAGATACTAGGTCAATTGTATGATGCCGTTGAAAAGGTGAATTTTCAGCCAAATTGGAGCGGTGCATTTGACCGTCGTATCTTGACGCACAAGCCTCCCCCAGAGCCGGTTTTAGAGCAAGTAATCAAACTCAAGAAAAGTTACGATGAAGCTATGCGGCGAATCATGGCCCAACATCAAATCCGGACCGAATTCGAGGTTTGGTCGACATTTGTGCTTCATCACAGCAAAGCAGCCAGGGATTTCAAATTTCATGAAGAGATTGGCCAGCATGCGAAAACACTCAAAGAGCAATACTATGAAGCAATTTCTCAGGAGGCTGGAGGAAATGAATTCGAGAAGCTAGCCCCCTTTGCCCTGGCTGCGTATCACATCACGTACAATGAGGTTCGTCAGGTTCAGGAGGAAGCATACAATCCTCCAAACTCGGAAGATGTTGAAGGACCCACGGACAATACAGTAGAAATGCCTTTCATTAGCTTTCCCTGGGTTCTTGAGGATGTCCTTGGGAAGATAGCGAATCACACGATTCTCGAATACGAGGTCGCTGTCTCGGAACCGATGGAGAAAGCGGAGACTACTGGTAATGAATCAGATCGCATCAAGACACTGTTACAAGCTCTCGACAACACAGAAGGCAGCGGCAACTTGATGGATTCTAATGATCGACCTTCACCACCGAGCGTCCAAGCAGGAAGTTCGCCGGACCGAGGTGTCATCGGAGAAAACGAAGTCTCGGTGTTCCAGCCCCTTATCGAAGATCCGACACGATCTAAGCAACACAATTTGAGCGATCTCGCGCCATTGAAAACAGTCACCAATACCGGAGCCAGAATTTTCGATGACTACTCAGCGTCTGATAACAGTCCCCTCGTCTCTACCGTCAATTCGACGTTAGGCGCAACGGAGAGCTCGTCTACCAGCCCAGATGAAGCGAATGCTCCACAGTCATGCTTGTCTCAGTCCAAGGGTGTGTCAGGAGTATCTCTTGCCAATGATACAAGCTCGCACAAGGATGCAATGCCATTTACTCCGGCTGATTCTCCGACGCCAGCTTTCTTGGAGCATTACCTGAAAGATCCAGCGATGATGTCGAAGGAGGAGGCCATTGCAGCTGGCGTTCTCGGTGACAGCGACGACGATGACTATGGCTATTGAAACGGATGACTAGATAATGACAATGATGAAATAACGAGGACATGAGGGCATTTCAGTGAAAATTGCGGACGTCTGCGTGGAGTAATCGTGCAGAAGTTGAGCTAGCCTTTTTCTTTTTTGTTTGGGACCTTCTCAGCGCGCATGCACGGAATCTTGGGGTACCTAAAATGGGTGGAAAGGGTGGATATTAAAATTTTTTTCAGCAACGCGTTAGAGCTGGAGCGAAATGGCATGATACCCAATTGCATGGCAAAGGCATTTCAAAGGATAAATGCGCATATTGAAAGCTGGATCAAAGTCACGAACAAATGACGACGAGTGGCGATGAAGGTGCTCACGATGCTGAAAATGGACACGGAAGCAAACAGTGAAAGCAAAGTGTATCGTAGCTCAGAGATAGCTGTTTAAATGTCAGCATCAGCGACATGCCTGTGGCACTGCTGGGCAATTTCCACTCAATCGGACTCCGTGTGTGAAACCTGCGAGCTGAAAGCTGAGGAATGATAAATTTCTGGATAAAAGTGCTCTCCCCCGGCGCTGTGTTCGAGTAGATAGGTGATCTCGCCGGTTTGCCCCCCGGTAAACAGAGGGAAAGAGGCTGGAACAGTGCTGGCTGTGCGATAGAGGTTTCCAGAACACTCTGTGCGAATCATGATGGCAATTGGGCTGGAAGAGTTTGGATGAGACACAGGGAAGAAGAGGAAGATGTAGGAACGAGGAAACGATGGTCTATGGGATGGAACACCGCAAGGCAAAAGAGGGCGATTGTCGAGGGATACATTGCATGAAATGATTCCAATTCTAGTGCTCGTAAAGGGAATACTCAGTTTCACAAGGAACCCATGCTCCATCGTTCAGCCAGCCAGCTTTTGAAATGCCCAGTGAACCTCGAGAACGTACCAGGTCAAGTAGATTTCGATGGTGAGTCTGATTTGCTTGGTCGCCTCTTGAGATCAAAATCTGTCCACTTCAAGTTCCTTGACCAGCACTTTCCTCGAGGCCTTATGGGAATCTTGGAAAATTGCCTGCACCATATCACATCCGCTGCCGGCCCATGCAGAAGATTTAGTCCATCGACACCATCCTAACTAATCTCGCATGTCTCTCACTTCGTCATAACTATTCCCTATCTTCCCAGGCCCGACAAAACGCACACCGAACCAAAGCAACCTCTTCGACAAAAATAGTCGTTTAGATATGTGTATCGTAAGGTTGGGGAGCGAGGCTTTCAACCTCAGTGAGTTTGACGACGTGCGATTTTCTAGGGCCGACAGGCAGACGCTTGAGTTGAACGGATTCGCCTTTCTCCTTGGCTTCATGGCGGCGCTTTGCATTGGACTTAACTCGGTTCAGGACTAAGAAACACACCCACATGTCAGTATCAAATGTCTTTTCTCTTGTGTCGTCTAGTTTCTCCGATTGGGTAAATCCTTCAAGGAGGGAATTTTTTTTTTTTTTTTTTGGATTTGCTATTGCTTACATTCTTCTCTCGATCTCGAGTGTGCGATGTGTTCAACACGGACATTGACTCGCTTCTCTATGTATCGGTTGCCGACTTTCTTGTAGATGATCACACCCACGGCGGATTTGGTCACGTTGTACACGACGCCGGTCTTGCCGTGGTAGACTTTGTAAGGCATCTATAAAGCATAGCCGCAAATATCAGCCACTTGGTCTCTTCTTCATTGTCTTTCCTCTTGGGATGGATGTTCGGGAGCTTTCTTTTCAAGAACGGTACAATGGAGAGGACAGGTAAAGGTCCGTTTTGTACATACACCCTTCTGCACGGCGCCGTTGGCTTTGATGTCGACGATGTCTCCAACTCGATATGTTTTCATGTATGTGCTCAGAGGGATCAGGCCCTGCACAGCAACAATTAGTCCTCATACTTTTCGCATGTTTCCGTGAACTTAGGTTTTGGAATTCTGTACCTTCTGGCGAAAACCGCGACTGAACGCATAGCGCGTGCCGGACCGGAGACCTCGAGAGTGACCCATTGTGCCGGTTTAATTCGAGGAAACTTGTCGGTTTGGAGGAATGTCGTGAGAGGAATTCGAGGTTGGTCGTGAAGTGGATGCCAAGCCATTGTCCCGAATCGGCGAACAAGCAAATTTGAATGTGCGGCTGCCAAGACGTTTTCTTCTTGCGCTTCAATACCTATTCATTTTCGCACTGAAATCGTTCGTCAATTACTCTTCTGCAACGACAACGACAACACCGTTGGATCGTGACGAGCATCTTGATTGCGCAGTTCTCATCGCATTCATGGCACCGCGATCATACTCCAAGACTTACAAGGTCCCTCGTCGACGTAAGTCCATTTGCTGCAATGGTATTTCGCTCAAGCAATGGGAGACTGACAAAATTCCCATACAGCCTTCGAATCAGCTCGTCTGTATGTGTATCCTGGCCACTGAACACTAGCTTGCCTGTGCTTCATGTCTGAGATAACCTTATCTCCTAACGCTTCGTCTGCTATAGAGATTCGGAATTAAAGATTGTCGGCGAATATGGCCTGCGCAATAAGCGCGAAGTCTGGCGTGTCCAGCTTATTCTGTCCAAGATCCGTCGTGCTGCTCGGTATGAAATTGCCTCCCCAAAAGAGATATCTACCAGATGCTTGGGCATTTTTTGGGATGCCGAGGTGGAATTGAACGAGTATAATTAACTGACAACTTCTACAAACAGTGAGCTCTTGACCCTCGACGAAAAAGACCCCAAGCGTCTCTTCGAAGGCAACGCCCTCATTCGACGACTCGTCCGTGTCGGTGTGCTTGACGAGTCCCGCATGAAACTCGATTACGTGCTGGCCTTGAAGGTAGAGGACTTTTTGGAACGTCGACTACAAACCTGCGTATACAAGCTGGGACTGGCTAAGTCGATCCACCATGCCCGTGTGCTCATCAAACAGCGCCACATCCGCGTCGGCAAGCAGATTGTCAACGTCCCCAGCTTTGTCGTCCGTTTGGATTCCCAGAAACATATCGACTTTGCTCTCACGAGTCCGTTTGGTGGTGGGCGTCCTGGTCGTGTTCGGAGAAAGAAGGCCAAGGCTGCAGAGAAGAAGGATGATGACGAGGAGGAGGCTGGTGATGATGAAGAATAGATGCCTCGCCCGTATTGCTGTCATGTGTGTCTCGGCATCGGCGCTGGTTGGGTTACGACTCACATGGGGATTGAAATCATGGCGATCACGGGCCTTGACTGACAATGATGGAGAGTGACTCGATGTTGAAGAAAGGCCAACAAGACAAGCCAAGCCAAGGCTAGAAAGTGTGATACGATACCATTAAAAAAAAGAGATCAAGCCTTGGACTGAAATCTAATCGGCCAGCAAACAAGCAACGCGTTCTGTTGTGCAAACTGCATCGTCCCATTATTGCCGATGCCATTTCCGGAGCTGCTCATTCCCAACTCCTTGCAGTGAAATAATCCCGCCAGAAAAACCACTAGACTCAATGTCCCTAAAGCCATGCAATTCGTAAAGGCCAGCCATCGTCGCCATTCAATTTTCCCAATCCAATTACTTCAACTCTGCACATCCAAGAGGCACCTCAACACGCTCTCCGAATCTCGATACCACTTTCCCAAATCCTCCATCTCGTCTCTCCCACCAAGTTCTCTCCGCCTCCTAACCTCCATAGCTAACCTCGAACTCTCATTGCGCTTCTTCTCCAACTCCGCCAGCTCGCGATCCATTCTTTCCACATCTCTAATTTTCCCGGGCATCTGGCGCTGAAGCGAGTCGATCTGACGATCTATCTCTTCGTTACGGCTTTGCAGCTCCGCTAAAGCCTGTTCAGTCTCGTCCAGAGACATATTCATTCTCGGATCTTTGGATGGTTTGGGACTATGGCCGTCATCATGGTTTCCTCTCCGTGTCACGATTTCAGATTGCAGTTTCTCGATCTCATTTCTCAGTCGCTCGATTTCCGGCGGTACTCGTTCCAGTGTCTGCATCCCTTCATTGACGCTTTCGTAACTCGTCGCAAGAAGCTTGGCCGTCTCTTCCATCTCCGCGACTAGGGCGTCGACTTCTGCTTTCTTGCCTTTCAGCTCGGTCTTCATGCCGGCCAACTTGTCTTCGAGCACGAGGTTGTCATCGTGAGATACAACAAGGGGCGGGTCCCCTACGATGCTGCGCAGGTATTTCTCCTTGGTTACTTGCTCGAGGTAACTGAAGCGGAGTTTAGAGAAGAGGTTTTTGTAGTGCGTCAGGTCTGCGGAGAGAGACGCCGATGTTAGGAGCGATGGGTCGGGGTCTGAAGCGGTTTGGGACAGGGAGTTGGATGTGTCTGATGGGCGGGATTGAGGGTGGGAAGTCGATTGAGACTGTGATTGCGATTGGGATGCTATAATCGGCTCAGCCAGGGCGAGGATCGAGAGTGGTTGCTCGGCTTGTTGGGCGCGGAGGGCCGCAAGGACGCTGCTGTAGTCGACAAGTGGCATTTTAGGCTCTCGACTTGCAGGATTTCAAATAATGGCGTTTGGGGCTTTGGTCAAAGAACAAAAAATCTCGAGGTTGAAATCCCGTGTTCGTTCAATGGCTTTGGCTCAATTCGGAAAATGTAAATAAACGTCACGCCAAGCCTTTACGAAACTTTGACTTTTTGAACGTTTCGGAGCAACAACAGTTGACACCGTTTCAGCCTGAGATCTTGGTAGGCTGAAGAAATGTAAGACAAGTCAATGAAACCTCGAATTCAAGAGGGCTCTTGTCATGCCGAGTTCAGGACAGATTTCGGCGTGTCTTCATCTGATCTGTCCGGGAGCTCAAATCGGCAGCCTTATTTTTTTTTTTTGGAAGAGGATGATGAGAATAATTTTATCGTACAAAGATCAGGAGGAGAGTCTCTCTTCCGCCCAGGACATATCCTTCTTCACCATTCCAGAATGACTCCAATTCTATAGCAAAAAGATTTTCTGATTTGATTCAAGCATGAGAAACGCCCCTGTTAATGCCGTGATTGAAGGCGATGATGATATGAACGCTACGGTGGTAGTTTAGTAAAGGCATCGTGATGGTACAAATGCAAGGACGACGGTATTGCCGGAGGACATGATGCGGCCAAGTCGGTCTATGAGGTTGTACCGAAGAGACGTAGGATAAGTTCATACCTGATTGGTCAGCTTGTGATCTAGTTCATGCCTGATTCATACTCACATTCCAAACATGATGGCGGCACTGGGGACTGTCCGAAGCAAATGCGGCGTCATGCCTCCATACAACCCCGCAAGACCTTCCTCTTTGGCCACCAGTCGGAAGCACTGCACCAGACCAGTGTACTTGAGGGTGACTTTACCGGTTTCCGTGGTAGTTGTGGGCGCTTGTCTTAATCTCGTCCTGACCACTTCATGGGGGTAGGTAATGACTGCGGCGAAGAGTTTGGCGACTGCAGCTGCGGTGAATTTTCCTCCCCACTCCTCTGTATTATCGAACCATGTCCGTTCGTAGCCCGGAATTGCTAATCTTTTGGCTTCTCGTCTGGCTAGAGACAATTTCAAGCGCTCATACAAGACCCATTGGATAGTTGATTCGGTGACGCCGAGATACGAGGCGGACAAACCACGGTAAAGTCCTCTTATCCCTTCATGTCTGACGGTTTGTTTGATACAGTCCCAGCTGTTTTTGTATTGTCGTCCACGTGTAGGGTTATTGCTTGCATTGTTCTTGTCTAACTGCAGCCTCGTCTTTACCAACCAAATAGGATTTGTCGCAGTGCCAGTAGCAATGCCTGCCGTGGCTGCTGCCGCGAGGTGGATGCTCCAGACATTGTCACGGCCCTCAGGGTTGAAGTAGTTGTTCAGTATCCTCTTGCCATTTCCATAGACATAAAAGTTGATGCTTCGTGCGGGAACCACGCCAACCAGATTTGCCCCTAGGCCACGGAAAAGCGCCCGAAATCCTTCATGTTGGTATATTGATCGTAGGATCTGAACGGTCTCTGCAAGGTGGAAATAGGCGGATCGGGGGAGTGAGATGAGGGTAGTCTTTTGTGGTAGTGGATGTTGAGCGTGAAGCGCTTTTAATTGCGCCTGGTAAAAGTCTGATTGCAATCTGGTCTTCAGAACATCAAGAGGAGAAGTCAAAGCCGCCGCTGTCATGCCACCAATCCTAGAGAGATCGATCAATCAGTGTGGTCGATTGACGAGAGAACTTTGGCTTTCATACCCTCCCGCAACAAGATGAGCCCACGGTTTAGTCGCAGGCCCATCTTTTGTCACCGTAGTGGCATTTGCATTCTGAGTCCCTGGAACCACTTGCCCAGTCTCCCGGGCTTGTGGAATGTGATTTTCTTCTCCTTTCGTGGTAACCCGAAAAGGCTTTGGAGAAGCCGCAGGAAATGTCATGAACGTTATTGGAGTCCCGCCCCCCTAAAAACAAAAATTATACGCGGTGCGGGAGGGGGAGGCTAACGAGAATGGCAAAAATATAGTACAAAGAAAGAGGGAATAGGGAATGTTGGTGGATTGCGACGAGAAGAAAACATGCCTAAAGGATGAAGACGAAAGCAATCGCAATTGCTCTCGGCAGGCATTTGGAGTCGCCGTCCTCCGCAGACACGTGGTTTAATCACGTGATACTTATCATGTGACACGGTGAGTATTCGTTGCGATCCAACCACCACCAAAGGCCATGAAACTGTCAACTTCTCATTGAAGACGGCGGGAAGGTGATAGGGATATATTTTATGCAAATCCAGGTTGGTTAAGCCTGAAGCATACAGTAATAGTAATTGGCTTTGGGATCCCAAAGACTTACCGTGGTGAAGACACCCTTCTTTTCAACCGAGGCTCAATCAGTTGCAAGCTCAGCCCTTTCCACCGGAATTGGATGCGCCCCCGGTTCCGGTGGGTTCAGTCTCTTGAATTTCGGAATCATTTGTGAATGACAAGGGGTATTGCCTCGAACGATCTACTTGCAGAGAGAACACATCCAGCCTTTGATAACCCCCAACCACGTCGTGATATTGCTTGCCCTCGACGCACTCGGTCAAATCGAGCGTTGCATACAGGATACCCTCCTCGTCTTGCAACATCTTCTTCTCGGACCACTTGCCAGTTGCTACGTCAACAACAGCGCCCATAACCGTTTTGCCGGTTGGATCGAGGAATTGAGTGGCAGCTCTTGGGTAGGTCGTGAGCATCTTCTTCACCTCATCCGGTCTCCCGGTCATTTGGGCAATCTCTTCCATTCCCTGCTCACCAAGATGTCCGGCGCACATGATTCCAAAGCATTTCGCCTCAAAGCAATGAGCTGCTGCTCTAGTGTGATTGGCCGCTATGTTGTCATAGTTGCTATGTCTCTGGTCCGTCGAGCTCCCCTTGCTCGTAGCTCTAGTGGGCCATATTGCTGGCCATGTGGAGATATGGACTTGTTCACCTTGGGCCATGAGAGTATATCTCGCCAGGGGATTGGTGTTTTCGCCACAGATCAACGCTCCAATTTTGCCATATTTAGTGTGAGCGATTCGTAGACCGAATCCATCTCCTGGCGACCAACTCAACTTTTCAAAGAATGTAGGCATCAGTTTGCGGTGATGGACCAGGATGTTCCCATCTTCACCAATGATCAAGTTTGTATTGAAGAGCGTTGCAGAGCTGTAGTGGACTCTTTCTGATATCCCTAGGCTAACGGTCACGCGATGCCTGAAGGCCGTCTCTCGAATAGCCGAGATTTCTTCGCCCCGGACGTCCAACGATTCGGTTGCCAGACGGTGAAAGAAGTGATGCGTTTGAGTGGGGGGAAGGATCGATGACCACACAGGGAATCCAGGTATGGAAGCCTCTGGGAAAACCACCAGGTTTGCCGAATTGTTGGCGGCGGTCTTGATGAAGTCGATGGTCTTGTGCGTAGACTCTTCAGCAGACAAGGTCCGAGATGCGATGTGGCACGCAGCCACCCTCAGCTTCGGCAAGCCTCGAGGGACCGACGAAGCCATTGCTCACTATTCAATAGCGAATTTTGCCATTAAGCGGAGAGTCAAGACACGAGCCTCGTTTCCCTGGCCGTAGTACCAAACAAGTCACCAGTGGCCTGATTAGCCAGCACCAAGTGCTTAGGTATGTGGTGATCTGGGGTAAATCAGTGGTATTGTCAAGTGGAACAGCAGGCAGTGGAGCAATCGGAAGTCAAGATCCTCAGTAGCTGGGTTGTTAGATGACAAGTTGTCTGTTAGACCGCATTGAGGCTATTAGCCTCGGTTCTCGGAAGTGGCCCAAGGTAAAACAGCTTGCGAGTAACACAAATTTCAGCCTTCTTTGTCTTCATCTGTTGTCTATAATTGTTCAATCAGCACTCTCTTGTGTCTTTCGGTCATCAGTTCCCTTCCCCATATTTCCCTTCCTCCAATTCCTCCATATGTCGGTTCCTTATCTCCTCAACAGCCCCAGCGGCTACGTCCCCGCATCAGAGAGAATCCCGGTTATTGCTCGGCCTTTTGTGAGCGAGCGAGCGAAGCAGACGTTGGATTTGGTAAATACTTGCTCCTGGAACTCTTGATCTCGTGGACGTCGACGCCAATGGTGTGTCTTGCTAGGTTGAACGCTTTGTTGAAGAAGAATGTATCCCCGCCGACGCCGTCTTCTCGCAGCAGATTGGCGAAGGTACCGTCAATCGCTTCGATGCTCACCCCCAAATCATTGAAGACTTGAAGGCCAAGGCAAAGAAGCTGGGGTTATGGAACATGTTCCTGCCCAAAAATCATTTCAAGGAGGGTGCTGGATTCAGCAACCTCGAGTATGGCCTCATGGCAGAGTACTTGGGCAAGAGTTTTGTCGCCAGTGAAGCCACCAACTGTGCTGCCCCGGACACCGGCAATATGGAAGTCTTTGCCAAGTACGGTACCGAGGAGCAAAAAAAGCAATGGCTGGTTCCATTGTTGAATGGCGAGATCCGATCAGCTTTCTTGATGACCGAGCCTCAAGTCGCCAGCAGTGATGCTACCAACATCGAGCTCCAGATGAGGAAAGACGGAGACTACTATGTTCTCAACGGCCAGGCATGCCCGAACCCTGTCCTTGTGTCCCAATCGCGACTGGTCTAACGTTACAGCAGAAATGGTGGTCCAGTGGCGCTGGTGATCGCCGCTGCAAGATTTACATTGTCATGGGCAAATCTGACCCAACAAACAAGAACGTCTACCGACAGCAATCAGTCATTCTCGTGCCGGCTGACACACCTGGCATTACCATCAACCGAATGCTGTCAGTCATTGGCTTTGATGATGCTCCTCATGGTCACGGCCATCTCACGTTCAACAACGTCCGTGTGCATAAGAGCAACATGATCCTTGGGGAGGGACGAGGCTTCGAAGTGGTTCAAGGGCGACTCGGCCCAGGCAGAATCCATCACGCTATGAGATCCGTGGGTGCTGTAAGTTAAGGTATCTCGAATGGAAGCGAGCAATGGCTAACGACAATCTCGCAGGCCGAAAAAGCTCTCGAATATTTTCTAGCTCGCATGAACGATCCCAGAAGGAAGCCATTTGGCAAACAACTTGCCGAACACGGTATAATGCTCGAACGGGTCGCCAAGTCGCGCATCGAAATCGACGCTGCCCGTCTCGCAGTTTTGAACGCCGCCATCAAGATCGACCAGTCCAATGCCAAGGATGCTCTCAAAGAAATCGCGGAAGTCAAGGTTCAAGTTCCATCCATGTTGTTGGATGTGCTTGACCGGGCAATTCAAGCATACGGTGGTGCAGGTGTTTCCCAGGATACACCATTGGCCAACATGTGGGCCAGTGGACGGACAATGAGAATCGTGGATGGCCCCGACGAGGTGCACATGTTGCAACTCGGTCGAAATGAGAATAAGCGCGGCCCAGCCTTGGTGAAACGAATTGAAGCTCAAAAGGAGAAGACGAGAGAGTTGCTTCAGCAGTATGGATTGGAGGAGAGGGATGCATTGCAGCTGAATCGAGTAAGTGGTGGAAAGTCGAAGTTGTAAATCTGACCAGCTCTTTTTGGTGGTTGTATAGTTTGCGTGCCTTGACAAAATTGTCAATATATTCTCTTGGTCTCTAGATTTCATGGATTTCACACTGCATTGTAGCCTCGTGTCTTATTGAACATGTTTAACATGACGTACCGACCTTTTCATGCTCTTTTCATATCAAGGAGGAATCATGGCTCGATCTGCGCTCAGAGACAGGTAGGATACCTGTTGACATATATGGCTTGCCTTCTTTGTTCTCCATCTCCTGAATCCTTCTTGGTTGTTGTTTCAACTCCGGCTGGTACTTGTTGGCGAAATCATACACAACGGATACCGGAAGGAGAAAAAACCTGTTGGGCCGAGAGAAGATTGATTGAATGAATCTATCTGAGCGAGGTGCAAGCTACAAAAAGGGGCACCGAAGGGTGCGGTGCACGTGACTAGGCCAGGCCCAATGTGGACTGCCAACAAAAACCAAGACCTTTAGAATATACAGGTGATGGGTAATTCACATATGTGAATATTCATCAGTAAATATGTACCGACTTACAGTACCTACGCTACCTGTACCTACCCGGTAAAGAGGCCTAGTCGCTAGTGTACCTCTCCATCCAAAATTGCCTCACCTTCCTGATTCATCCAACCCTTGTGATGTGTTACTCCCGACCTCCACATATCTGGTAAATGTCCGCGCGTCAGTTGGGCCAAAGCTATCATCCAACTCATTACCAATGGTCTGGCATTTTGCCTCTCCTTACGCCGTCGTTCTTCTTTGTGTTAGCATCCTATCCTCTTCAGATCCGTTCTCGAGATGATTCCAGACTCGAGGAGGCCAGGCGTCACAGAAGGCCTCCATCCAAAGGTGGCAGGGGCTAGCTCATCACTTGTTCGTCGGCACACTCATCGAGAACGTTGTGAACCGTACGCTCGGGTCTATGGGCTGGGTTTACGCGTCCTGCCATCAACAGCCACCTGGTCACGGATCGGTTATCCAGGGCCCTGACACCCCGCCAATCATTCAGTAGTATTTACTCATCAGCTATCTCTAACTGCTCTCCTGAACTTCAGTCTTCGCTTTTCAGCCGCTGATCGGGCCTACTCGAACTGTACCTGTCGATCAGCACTGACCTCTACGCTCCGTAAACTTATATCTTGTCCGATCAGGAGACGGAATGTGGATGTTGATCAGCCCATGGCGTCCGAAGGCAGCGATGGGCCTGCTGCGCCCAAGTCCAAGCAGGAACGTATTCGTGACAATCAACGACGCAGCCGTGCTCGGCGCCAAGAGTATCTGGCCGAGCTCCAGAGGCGGCTGAACGAATGTCACAACGCTTTTCGGGAGGCTGAGCTTCAACGGGAGGCATTCGCCCACCTTCAAACTGAAAATGCCCGGCTACGAGAACTATTGAATTTCGCTGGTGTCAGTCCTGAGGTCGTGGAATCTTATGGCCGGCAACACAATCACCGTGCGGACGATAGCACAGCAGCATCGCTTCGACAAATTAAGCCCAAGCTACAGTCGATGGACGCATCCGGACATCCAAGCCCACTTCACATACCCAAACTGGAATCCAATGGCGCTTTGTGCTGTCCGACATCCTCCTCATGTTGCACCTCCCAGCCCGGATTGCCCCTTGAACACTTCCACGGCTATGATGGCCAATTTCGCCGTCCTCACCAATTTCTCGACGCCCCGGCTACAATTGCAACGACGCTATTTCAAACGACGGCAATGTCCCCAGCAACCTCGTCCCAATGGTTGATTGACACAGGCAGCGAAGGCCCGGCCGCATCGTACGACGACACCTTTTCTTGCGACACATTTCGTGTCCCGCCTAAGGGCCCTCTCTTACCGGATGATGGCAACACTACACTGTGCTCGATGGCCAAGGCTCTGATTGATCAGTGCAATCCAACACCATCAGAAATGGAAGAAATCAGAGCCCGACTTGCCACGGCTTTTAGTCGACCAACCTTTCCCGAACAAGGCTGCAGGGTCAACAACCAAGTTTTGTGTCAGATATTAAGTGAAATGAACGCAAAGGCCAATGCAACGATGAAGACTGATTTCTAAATCTATCCTGGAAATTTTCAGGTCTTATGCTGCCCAACTCTTTCGCTTCCCATACCATTTGACTGCATAAACCAAGCCCAGCAAGACAGGGACCTCTATTAAGGGGCCAACCGTCGCTGCCAGGGCCTGGTCACTATCCACACCGTACGTCGCAATGGCAACCGCAATGGCCAATTCGAAGTTATTGCTGGCGGCAGTAAAACTTTGAGTGCAAGCCAGTCTGTATCCAAAACCAAGCCTTCTAGTCGCCAACAATGTAGACAGGAAGATCACCGCAAAATATAGCACAAGCGGTGCAGCGACTCTCACAACCGAGACGATCTGATGGACGACATGCCGGCCTTGGGATGCAAACAAGACAATAATGGTGAACAGCAGGCCAATCAACGATAGCGGGCCTATCCATTTGAGAAATTGGGTGTCGTACCATTCCCCGCCGACCAACTTTCGAAGGGTGAATCGAGTGATAATAGCAGCGCCCAGAGGGATACCCAAAAACACTCCCACACTCTTGGCAACAGGGGCGTAGTCGACATCGATAGCCTCGGAAGCTTGACTGATGACTTTGATGAAAAGAATGGCCAGTGGAGCGAAGAAAATCATCTGCAATAGAGAATTGATGGCGACGAGAATGGCGCAGTACTCATTGTCCCCTCCGGCTAATCCGGTCCAGATCAGAACCATAGCAATGCATCTTGCTATGCCGACCAGGATGAGACCTTCACGCAGGCCTGGCTCATCTGGCAAGAAGGCCCAGGCTAACCCTAACTATATTCCATTTTTGGTCATCAGTCTGCGGCCTCACGAATTGGGGACGGGAAGAGACCTACCATGAAAAGAGGAGCAATTATCCAGTTGACAAGAATACTAAACGCTACCTGCACCCACAGGCTCTTCTGTCGAAAGGAATGGTGCAAGGTCTCGAATTTGATCTTGCAGAGGATCGGATACATCATGACAAGGAGACCGATTGCTATGGAGGATATTAGCCACCGCCATGGTATGATATATGAGCAACTCAGGCATACCGATGGGAATGGATACTCCTACAAATTGGCCTCTCTGCAACGCCGGACCAGTACTGGGGACGAAGTTTCCCAGCAAAATGCCAATAAGCATAGCAAGAAAGATCCAAAGGGCAAGGAACCGGTCGAGAATTCCGAGGCTCTTGAAGGCAGAGGAGTGAACGATGTCGAGTTGTTGGCCATCTTGTTTCTCGATGTCCGGAGAGGTGCTAGGTGAAGAGTCCTCGGAGGCCAGAATGACCTCCCTGTTTTGGGCATCCATCTATTGAAGTAAGAATAAGTAATCGATTGTCGCTCTATTTCGAACAGTCTCTTTGCCGATCTTGGGGGGGAAGAAATCGAGGACAGAAATAAATGCCTGGAGGATAAATATGAAAACGGACGATAATCTGGAGACTTCTTTTTTTTTTCGTTTTGGACCATGCGCAAGGCTGAACGACCAATGAAAATCCTGCCGTGACACACTGAAAAAGAGATTATCAATGCCCGTGATTCTAGCGAAAGCGTTTAGAGATCGCTGGGATTGATGAGGCATGGCTTATGGGCTTGATCGATTGATAATTGAGGTGTACAGTGTTGTTGAGCAAGGACATATTCCACCAGCTGCTTTTGTCCGGCTTATCCCATCATTTGCACTTGCTCTGTATCCTTGCTTAGACTTGAAAGTTCGCCAGAGGATGATGGGTCGTGATAGGAACAGGCCTAGCGCCCGATGATACGATGGTTCGTGCCCGTGGGGAGTCAGCGAACTGCCTAGCCGAGGGATGCCATCAATTTGCCTGGTCACAAGAACCAAACTGAGCAGGAAATGCCGTCATTAGAGATGGGTCCATACTAACGATCGATCGGCTGACACCCTGAACCCAGAAGAAGATGGGTGTTTTGTTTCGAGGGGCGTTTGTCTCGCTGGGTCGCCTGCTGTCTGGCCTCTCTCCACATCCACCATTCTTAATGCTCAGTATAGTTTATAACTCATCCTCTCTGTCTCTCCTCTTTCCATCCATAGATTCTCTCGTTCTCCTCGTCATCCGTCGCGGCATTGAGCTTGTTGTCGCTCTCCATAGCCTGTCATGCGGCTGGCTTCCGCTTGGGCAATCCTGGCGGCCGCGCTGCCCTCTATCGTCCAATCCTCCCGATTGACACCTCCCGTGCTTCCTCTGATCGTCCGAAATCCCTATTTGAGCACCTGGCTAGCCAATGCCAGAGATTTACCGTGGGAGAAATGGCCCATCTTTTGGACTGGTCAAGAAATTGGCTTCTCCGTCCTGGCGAGCGTTCCGGATCAAAGGACGGCATACCCACTGCTGGGACGACCTCACGACTCTCTAAAGAAGGATGATGAGAAGTAAATATCGAGAAATCCACCTGCTCCATGCCAGAACTGATAGTCGTCGCAGCTACACGGTTGCGTTTCCCATATATCGTGGTGCGCAGTACGATGCCTCGACGACCAACCTATCCTATTCCATTCCTCTACCATCCTCATACTCCCCTTCAAGCCGACTTGACATTACTCTCTCCTTCTTATCTCCTATAACACCGACCTCTACCGTCAGGCAATCTGTCCCTGCAAGTTATATCACCGTCTACGTTTCAGGCAATGTCCCGGTGGATATTTACATGGACTTGAACGGCCAATGGGTCAGTGGTAATCGAGGAAGCCAGATCGCCTGGGGTCTTAGTCACACAGCTCTGGAAGGTATAAGCTACGGATTCAAGACATGGCAAGTTAAGAGAGACATTGAGCAGCTCTTTACCGAATTCCAGGACCGGGCTGAATGGGGTACATTGCACTTTTCAGCTCCGACCAACGTTCGACATGAAGCTGGTACATCAGCTCTGCTGAGACAGCGATTCTCCAGGACCGGCACTTTGCAAAACTCGATCGACCACCGATTCCGTTCGATTATGGACGAGGAACCGGTTTTCGCCTTCTCAAAATCCTTCGCTTTGAACACCACGACGGGTTCCATGCAACACGATAGTGTCACCTTCACGGTGGCTCATATTCAAGACCCCGTTGTGCAGTTTGCTTCTGCTCGGGGGTTGACTTTTATGCGACCACTTTGGGAATCATATTTTCTGACCGTTGAGAGGCTGCTCACCTTCCACTATCTTGATTTTGTGCATGCGAAGGAACTGGCAGCCAGCTATTCGGCGCAACTCGCAGTCGATGCCTATAAGTCCGGTGCGGACGACTATGTAGACATCGTGGCCCTCTCTGCTCGACAGGTCCTTGGAGCTACAAGTTTCTCCGGCACGCCCGACAACCCAATCCTCTTCTTGAAGGAGATCTCTTCGAACGGCAATTTCCAAACCATTGATGTTATCTTTCCCGCATTCCCATTCTTTCTCTACACTAATCCGAGATGGTTGGGATACCTGCTCGAACCTTTGATCGAACACATGCTGAGCGGACAATATCCGAACAAATACGCCATGCATGACCTCGGTGCTCATTTTCCCAATGCGACCGGCCATCCGCTCGGACGAGATGAATATATGCCAGTGGAGGAATGTGGGAACATCCTTATCATGGGCCTGGCATTGGCAAACGCAGTCAAGGATGGTGCAAAAACTCCTGTCGCAACCACGTGGCAACCAATGGGCGGAGTTCCAGCACCAAAGCCATCCGGAGATGGCCTTGCTCCTCTCATGGTGGGCGATCAGGATGGGCGACCCTATATTGACGATGCCTGGGTCGGTCACCCACAAAGCCTGAAGCAAGCCAAGAAATGGGTAAGCAGGAGCTATCGGTTGTGGAAACAGTGGACTAGCTATCTCGTGGAATTTTCCCTGATGCCTCACAACCAATTGTCAACGGACGATTTCGCAGGATGGCTGGCACTTCAAACAAACCTCGCTCTGAAAGGCATCATTGGCATCAAAGCCATGGCGGGACTTGCTGAGTTCACCGAGCATTACGGCGATGTGAAAATCTACAACAATATATCCAAGGTCTATATCGCAAAATGGGAAGAGTATGGCATTTCTCGTGACAAAACACATGCCAAAGTGGCCTACAATTGGTATGGATCTTGGACGACTACATACAACCTCTATGCCGACAGCTTGTTATGCTTCCACCTGGGTTCAGACAACGCCACTGCCGGTTTTACCAGTATTGGGGGCCGGTACGAATACCAGAAACCGCTTAAGGACATCAAAGGCGACCAAGATGGATTCGTTCCGAAACATATCTACCAAATGCAAAGTGATTGGTACTACGCCGTTCGACAGAAATATGGAGTACCGCTGGACTCGAGGCACCTGTACACGAAGACGGATTGGGAATTCTTTGCGATGGCTGTAGCAGCGCCCAAGGTGCGAGCAGAGATTCTGCAATCGGTGGCCAAATGGGTAAACGAAACCATCACAGATCGGCCTCTTACAGATTTGCATATGACTGAAGGCGGTGGAGGATTTCCCGGCCCCAATTTCTTTGCACGACCCGTTATTGGTGGGCATTTTGCATTTTTGACGCTGGGCCAAGCGTGCAATGGCAAGGCTATGGATGGCTTGAAGTTTTTGAATGATAGCGTCACGAAGAGGATGGATGTGCAGGGTATCCTGAATACTGAACGAGAAGAAGCTGAATGGGCTTCTATGGAACTATAACTTGATTATCGGGTCCCGGTAACTTGATTATCAATGAAAAATGGACACAAAAAATGACAGGATTGAGTGTATGCAATCGACCTGTCAATTGAGCAGACTCCTCTCCATCTCCCCCTTCAAGACTCTTGACCAGGCTTTATTCTTTCCTCTATCTCCTCTCTTAGGAACAACACCGTCTCTTCCCCTCTACAACCTTCCCATCCGGCTCGCTTGGTATTACTGAATCAAACCTATCGTTTTTCAGACCTCTTCATGGTTCCCCATTTCCAGGTGGTTCAGCAAGCTGGTCCCCCGTCCGTTCAGTCACATAATCAGCCTGACTGAACGGTGGATCTCCATGACAAGTATGGCGACCACGAATGGAACGCGGCCTACTGGTAGATGCGGACCGAGGCGCAGATATTAATATGGGGCTACAGTCCCGTGATGTGGTCGCAATTTTGGCCGAGAAATGAACATACGAAGGCGGCGCCGTTCGGTCCCCAAAATTGGGACAAAATGCGCCCGGTGCCTTAGCCCCCCTTACTACTTCTTCTGGTCAGAATAACCTTGTGCCGCGGATGTCCTCGTGGACCCTGACCGTAACGGCAGGAAGGCAAAAATGGTCAAGTCGTCAAGTTTGGCAATCCCACGTCCTCAAATATCCCCAAAAATGTCTACCGCCCGAAATGCGAAGGAGATGCGAGATGAGTCTCCTTGCACAGGTCCAGAACTATTAAGGGATAGATTGGCTCGAAATAGGACCACCAAGAGCTTTGTGGATAACACCGACTCTTTCTAGGCTAGAGGAAGTGTGTGAGTCTAGTATCCGAGGTATTTGCTAACTACATACCCTCATACAGCCCCCTACTTCCACCAACATCCGGCGTTTGAGGCAGATAACGGACATCGACTCAAAATCCCTTAGGCCCCTGCAATAGGTATACAAATCTTGACCTAAAGATCTGGATGACTGCTGACCTGAATATGAGAGCTTCATTGGCGCCATTCTGGGTCTGGGTTGGAACTGCTTGGTTTAATTCGACAGGACAATTGTTTTGACCATTGCAGAACACGTCCCTTACAGAGTTCAGCAGAGTTGTACCAGGTTTACGTATACATTTTCCGCGATATCTTGGAGAAGCTGAAGCGATACAAGGCCAGGAATCTCAAGCAAAAGTAGGCCAACTCAAGCTATGTATGCTCCGTACCGGTTGTAAGAACAGCCGAGGACATCGCTCACCAAGCTTTGACTATTGTATATCGAGCACCGATGAGGAGAGATTTAGACGTGGGAGTATTAATTTAGATGTAGATTTGATGAGGCTTTCCTTCGCCCCCCAAACACCCAACGGCTGATAAGAAAGAATGTGGAAAATAATTCTGCGACCCTTACCTACACACCATTGTCAAAACGTCACCACGAGTGCACGAAATGGAGCTGCAGATTGAGGCAAAGACGACCGGACAGCGAGAAGCACGAGCTCGAAAGAGAGCATTGAAGAGAGCTTCTGAAGCATCTTGAAGACTAATAGAGACAATAAGATATATATATATATATATATATCTATCTATCAGGGGCATGGTGTTTACCTAAGCAAGGCTCCTGACAGGCGATGAATTTCCTCACTCTACGTGACTCGCTAAAGCCTGGAATCTGGAGCCTGGCGGCTGGATGGGCCCGAGATCTAACTGTGCCTTAACCAGCTGCGAAGCAACTCACGAGGCTGCTCAGGACCCACAATGCCCGGGGTCGCAGGGCCCAACTGGTTGATCCTCGGAGTTTTTGCCCTTCTTTTCTACCCACGCATTGCGCATCCTTGGACGTGCCACCGCGACTTGATTACTTGTTCTTTGTCCCTTCGCGTCTGCTGTTTGAGCGGTAAACACCAAGCCGCCCTTGCACTCGTTGTCGACTTATCTGGTTGATTTGTCTGCATTTCCACACCTCCGCTGTTCGCATGTTTGATCTACAGTCGACAAAGCATTCCTTTGCATCAACACTGCAGAGCCCTTTGAGATTTCTTTGCTAACTAGCTTCAGCTAGCTACTCCATATTCCTCTCTCTGTGTGTCTCTCTCAAATCAATCTCCATTCGCTCAAAATGGCCACAACGACCTCTCCTACACGACGCGTTCTCGGCGACAAAGACCCTAACGCGCCTCCACATATGCGGTCACCTCGAAAGACATGGCCTGGCCCGGATGTGACCAGCCCCGTCACTCACGCATCCTCCGTGAAGCGGCCTCTCTCCCCAACCGTTTCCCCTTTGACAAGTCCTCGACGCGGTCAGAAACGCAAAATTGATCGGGTGGTTCATGAGGAAACGGACGACTCCCAGCCGACAACTGCCACACACCCTTGGTCCCAGATGACCGATTTGTTGAGCGATGGCCAACTAGAGCATGTATCGACCCCCAGAACATCAATGACTCAGACGAAATCTACTCCCAATACTGTGTATACTCCATTCCGTGCCTCTCAAGAAGAACCATTCCAAGTTGAGGCTGAATTCCAGATTCACGATGAACCAAGTCAGCAAACATTAGACAAAATGGGACGGATCCTGACTGATATGCAAGTTCTTATGCTAACTATGATGCACAGCACGCCGTCACCCTACCCCAGAACACCTCGCAATTTGTGCCCCCTCTACGATCCAATCTTGCCAAAGAAACATCTCAAATTAGCGTCAGCATGTCGAGTTTAATTGACTTTGACAACAATCTATTATCCCAAGGAGATGACATGCAGCCCATTGAAGAGGCTGATTTGATTAAGGATCAGAGACCAAAGACGGAGGAAGACACTAGGAAGAAGATGCTGTTTGAGGTAATTATTGCGTCCCCGAGTTGTGGCGTCACTTACAAGGCTATAGAAAGCAGAAAGTCTCCGCACTAGGCTTCAACTCGCCATCTTCAAGATAAATACCAATCAAATCTCCAGACCATTCGCGCGCCTCCAAGTTCCCAGAGCGAGATCCTCTTCACCAGAGTTGCCCGTTCTGTCCTCCTCTCCACTGAAATCTTCATCGACTCCGAGAGGGGGCTCCGTACAAAGAGCCACGACCATACTTGAACCCAAAGTCGCAAGAGCACGTGCGCGAGCGACCATGGATCCAAAATCTCGTATCGCGCCACTCTCTAGTTTACCAGTTCCGAAAATAGCTCCCACTACATTTTCGGCCAGACGGAATGACGACCTTGATGCAAACCAGGAGAGTCAGAGTAGTCAAGTGGAACCCGCATATATTCCTAGTAGTCCTCCGGAACCACAAGCGCCGACAGCGGCGTTCTATATGGATACAACAGGAAATCGAAGGGAAGCTGAGCCCAGAACCCCCATACAACCGTCTAGCCTAATAGGGGGTGACCACGGAGATGATGACAGCCAAAAAGTTGGTTCTCAGCAGAGTCGAATACGCCATGGGGGACTAACTAGTAGTGTCGTTAAGGGCGAAGCTGCCAGCAGTCTGCTCGAGCTTGTGAGAGGTGGTGGTGCAACGTCTGGTGAGGTTGGCATGTGTGGTTTGTAAAACCCCATTACTAAGGGTCATGTATTTACATTCAAAGGTCGAGACCGGGCGTTGAAGAGAGCTCTGACCAGCTAGTAAGGAGAATAAACGTGGCATTGCGAAGCACTCAGCGTCATCGAAGAGTATAAAAATCGCATCTGAAACTTTGCAGCCAAGGCCGTTTACATTGACTATCGATCTATTAGAGTCAAATGGAGGATTAATAGAAGGTGGAAAGCCCCGAAGGGCCTTTTTTTTTTTTTGGATGGTTGGAGACGTATGTTGAATACTAGCAAATATGGACCAGAATAGGAAACTGTTGACCCATTGTTAGCGCCAGGCTGCCGCATGCTGTGGGGTGGTTGTATGCCAGGCTACAACATCATTGACAGGCTGCAACACAGGCAGCAGCACTGATAATCACACTGACTACTTCAAACCAATAACACTGTACAGCTCATACTTCTCCTTTTCTCTCTGGATACATATCTATTTCTACTTCTCCTTCATCTTCTTTTCCCATTGCATTGAAAAGCGATCGAAAATTGAAAAGTTGCCCCCATTCACATATGTTCGTAAGTCCTAACTTTCCGATCTCTTTAGAGGTGTGACGTGAAGAGTACCCACGTTCCATCGCAAAGTCCCGCGCAATGTCTCCATCTCCCTCATCCACAACCCTTAAACGCAGCTATCCCTAAAATAGTGTGGGCATGGAGAAGTTGGAGAATAAAAGGGTGGTTGCTTATTCGGGTCGAACGTGTGATCGTGTGGGGCAGCAAGGCTGAAATGCCTGAGGTTTTTGTATCCTAAAGCAGCCAGTCTGGGGTAAATTCACCCCCTCCTTTTGTCAGATTCGCTGCTCGCAGAGGCAAACAATTAGACAGGAGACAATTTAGACGGTCGTAAATCCCTCACGAACCAAGCACTACCGGATGTATTTCCGAAGAGAACGGCGCAGGCAAGTTTGGCATTTGTCCCCGAGGGATTTGGCCGCACGATCCGCAAGGATGTATTGAGTTGTTCAAATGATGCTATGGACCAAACATCCTGTCATGGAAACGTTGCCCGGTTGACCGCGTATCCGCAGAAGAAGACCAAAGAAGTCGGTGGAGAGACTCTGGACATCATTGGAGAATCGCTGTCCCCATTCTAGCTCTGGTTAAAGGGCGAAGTAGCACCCTACAGCAGTAATGCGTCGCCTCGATATCATGGTGCTCTTGACAGATTCTTCTCAGCAGCAAAACCACATTGACATGTGGATCGGATGGGAGGGGAGACTTGGTGGCATTTATCAATTGCATGCCGAACGGCGAATTCGAAATCGAGGTTTCAGAAGGCAGCTTCTTTCTGATCTAGGGCACGTAGGCGACAAGATCAATTAGCCCCCGGGGCCTGGGGGGTTGTTGGGGGCCGGACTCTCCTGCATCAGATGAGTGTACCGTTTCAACTCCTCCTCAGTAGCCCATGCTCTGATCATGTACTTGACGTCGTCACGATGGCCAATGGCCTCGGAAGCACTGAACATGCGCGGTGCCGAATAAACGCACTTCAACAAGACGCCGAATTGTTCCTGGGACTCGGTCTCTATCTCACGTCCGGATGCCTTAATCCATCTCATCTCAAAAAGTGCGCAGATCTCTCTGATCTCACAGGCCTTTGTACAGAATTCATTCACGGCATCTTTGGTAATGACGGCGGCCTCTCTGCCGCTATAGTAATCCAATCTCCGAGAAATATATTCCTTTACTCTCACAGTAAAGAGCCTTCGGTATTTGTGCTTTCTTCTCTGTTATTTCCTCTGAATTATCCGTTCTGACTGTGACGCCCATGAATCCTGAACAAAATCCACAGAGACAATCTTTGTTGAATCTCAGGTCGGACTGTGAAGAGGAGCAGTCAATTTGGGCGAATAAGAATGTATTCTCTGAACACGACGGCAAGGACTGGTGGCCGGGGAGGTCAAATTGGTACTGGACAACTCCGCCATGATATATTCAGTAAATTGACTGTATCCACGAACAATACTTGAAAACATTCATCGATTTGACTGGCCGATTGCCGTGTCTCCACTGGGCGGAAATTCTTCAATATCCGCGACAAATGAATTGATATGGAAGAAATTTCGCTTGAGCGGAGCCTTGATCCTTGTCTCGTGTCATGAGCGTCCATTGTTGAGGAATTAATACACCTTTTGCATTGAGATGAGTTGATAAGCTGTTATATTCCATATTGAGAGCCCCGGCCCACGAGGCTGGGCGCCCTTGATTCATGTCGAAAGGTTTGTCATGTTAGGCCCCCAAAATTGCGTTTTCAAGTCCACTGAGGGAGGCGGGTTCAAATTCTCCAAGGGAAATAAAAAGTACTTAGCGAAATCAGCTGGCTTTGAACTTCTTGTCGCCAGCTTGTTGGAGAGTGTCTGCTGTTTTGGGTATTTTTGACTAGGTTTCACGGAACCTGACTCTACTGTGTCAATTGGCATCCAGGATTCGCCAGGAATTTCTCAACTCCACGTCGGCTTGTCACATTTCTATGGGCTCGCTTCGATTCTCTCCCAAACCAAGATCGTCTCTTCAAGGGACAAGTTTGTTGTCACGTGATGATAACAACGTGAGGATTCCTGGGGGTATTTTGTAGTGTAAAGCATGCCTCAGAAAGGCCCTGCAGTAGTAGTCGATAGGAAGAAAGCAGATCCAGTCATGGGTATCTCATTTTTTTTCTCCGAGCGATGGACGTACAGCCCCGAGGACTATAAGTTCCTGATTGAATAATTTTTTAGAACCGATTGTACATGAAACCTGTTCACGTTCAATTGTGCTCCTTTTTCATCCTCTCATCATCTCCTGCTTGACGGCTCGAGTCATTTCACAAGCACGGCGCTGGTCAAATTAAAAAGCTTGTAGTTTCGTTGATGCCCATTGCTCAAAATGTTTCTGGTTCTTCAGCACCGTTCGCTTCCAAATCTGGGATCTCGAATCCTTCCTCGGTGCTATAGAGTATGGTTTGGATATTTTTGACCAGTCCATTCTCATCAGCTTCGAGGCTTGGATCCTGTTCGACCGCATTCTGGAGTAGGAGTTCAATATCGCGGAGTTTGCTGAAATAAAAATCCCGCTCCTTCTCCAAACCTCCGATTGCCTCTCTCAGTTGATCATTTTCTTGCTTCAACATAGAAGAACTGGCGGTGGCAGTTCCAAGGGTGCGTTGGGCAGTCCGATTGACCGGTGTCGTACCGACTTTTCGTGTGGTACTTGCGCCACTGCTGGTTCTTGCAGCTGGAGCTGGCGCCGGACCGCCGGATCCTTTCCTTCGTGCGACTGCATCATATTCATGTCCCGGAAAGTATTGATCCCAAAATCTCTTTGACCATTGTAAGAATTCCAAATTGTCTTGCATTTTGCATTTCACGAGAGCCTCGACCGGCACGGTTCGTTCGATGCCATGTTTGGTGAAGCAGTCTATTTAATATTGTCAATCAGTAATGTCGAAGCCGTATGCGGGGCGCTTGGTTTATCTCATAAGATTCTTGAAGGTCCCAGCACATACTTTGTAATATCTTGAAGTTTTGTATGTATGCGTACTCTGTATTGACGTTGAATTTAACTCGACTCATAGGGATGTCAACTGTAATATCAAGTCAGCAGTGACGGAATCTCATTGTTGTCGCTTCTCGATGCATTCTCTCGCAACGTACGGAAGATAGAATCGAAGAGTTGACACAACGCAGCACTGCGAATTCGATACATTAGCCTTGGTGGTGAGAATCCCACTCCCCATTGTAACTTACCCCGTGCCGCACTGCTCAACTTTGGTAATGTTGAGCTGGAGAATGCCATTGAGCCAGGCCAGCAATTCTTGCCTGCCTAAAAGTTAGCGACAACAGATGGGGGGAAGAACAGATCAAGCCAGGCCAAAGGTGATCGCTTTCGTACCTGGATTCACCCATGGTCAGTGCAAGTTGAAGAACTCCAAAGGTTTGAAATTGGGCGCAGGCTGACGATAGGTGAATGACAGAAAGTGTGGAGAGCCAAAAGACCACCGTGGAAGAAACTCCTGTAACAGGACAAGGCGAAGAAGTGAAACGCAATCTAGCGAAGCTGATAATGGTGGTCGGTGGTTGAAGGTCGTGGAGGGGTGTTTTTAACGTGAGCAAAGTCATGTTTTGTTTCCGTTGCCGCGCAGTTGTTGATCTGCGGCAAAACTGGTCGCGGCCCCGGTAGGCGAGCGGGCGAGTGGGCAAAAGGGGGGGTGCCGACATTAACCCCTGACTGAGCTTTTGACGCCTAAAGCCCTGCTCCAAAATAATCGTCACCGATGTTTCCATGTAGATTGTTGTCTACTACTTTGTGATTTACCATGACATTGCCGCAGTCTAAAGACCATCCTATTGACCCAAGTCATCTATTTCGTCCCCTCACTGGCATCACTTGCAGGCTTTGCCTTTCCGTTATTGCCCTTCTTTACCGATCCCCCTGCTTTGGCATCCGCGGGTTGGTTCCTCGCTTGTTCTTCCGGTGTCCCCTTCGTTGATGGATTTTGTCCGTCCACATCTGGATGATCCGGTGCCACTCCAGAAGAATTGACTTCGTTCCCGTCCTCGTCCACTAATCTCGTACGGGTCTCGTATTTGGTTTGGAAAGAAGCTTTGCCCTCGGCCAACAGAGCGGCTACTTGTGCTTCATCCAACAGATTTCCATTTTGATCGCGGTATTCAACGCGCTCCTCTGAGCTGATCACATTTGGTTCCCCAACGTGCGGAGTCACAGCGGAAGGATCATCTTTCCTCCCAGAGTCCACTTGGGCAGATGGGACGGTCGGGGTAGCCTCTCCCAGCGACGGAAGGGGTGTCGAATATTTGGCATACTATGACCCCTGTTAGAACGGAAATTGCCGTCTGGTCAGCTTTAATGACTTACATCTGTGTGGAAAGTATTGCAGTCAAAGTCCCATGTATCAAATAATTTGACCGTCCTGCATTGATCCTGTGTCCATGGATTGCCGTAGATCAAGGGAGCATACATGGTAAACACTCCAATGGCGAAGGCGACAAAAAGGGCCGCGAGGGTACGGCCGATCTCGGGATACGGTTTCAATCCTAACGACGAAATCCGGTTGAAAACAAAGTCGAAGATCTGACACATGGCTATGATTGCGAAGTAGAGGGCCGGGAAATAGTGGTGCAAGAATAATTGACGCGCCATCAAGTAGAAGGGGAAATAGTGGAATGCCCAACCCAGGACAGTCTGACCAATCTCATAATCGAATCGCTTGAAGTTGACGTTCGAGTAATCGTTGCAACTGCGTTGCCAACGGAGGATGGCAATGGCCTTGAAGATGACGTAGGACAAAATGGCCAAACTCGAGGGCCACCAGATTGCCGGATTTCCGAGGAGGTAGATCTGGCGATGGTCCTTGCCCCAGAAATTGATACCACGTCTTAAAATCGGCCATGAGCCCGGTCTAGAGTCCCAAGCATGCGACTCGACCAGTCCAGCATTGGTTCTCCACATCACCTTTTGCAACTCCCAGAATTTGCCCAGGAATCCAGGGTTCCTGTAGTTGACCTTTTCAGAGTCGTCTCCCAGTTGTGGATGGTAGTTTTGTTCAATATACCACACACTGTTTGGCAGAGTGCCTCCTTTCGCGCAAGTCACCTCCTGTTGTTCGAAACCCCAGTCGGGAAGTTTGACTTTGTGCGAGAAAAGAACGCAACCGCTCATGATGTGAATCAGCCTGAATTTGGTCTGAATTGTCCTTAGCCGGGTCTTGGCCTCTTCTCCGTCAGACATGGATTTGATAATGTCCACTCGGAAAAGATCGTTGGCATCACCTTCGAATCCTTCGTAGCCATACGCCGTGACTTCATTCTGCCATTCGGCTTCGGTCACGGGGGGTCGGACATCATGCGAATGAAGGCGGCGATGGGTCATGATGTGGTAGAGTCTGATGATGTCGCCATCCTTGATCCATTCAGTGGTCAGATTGCTCCATGCCCGTGGGCCTGGAATGGTAACATTATCGGCGGTCACCGGCTGGGTTTGATTCTCGAGCAGAAACACGTTGTTCTCATCCTTGTGGGGGTAAAGGGTAATTTGTTGTTGTTTGCTGCCTCCAGGATACATATGTGGATGAGAGTGGAGATAGCCACCCTGAGTGTTGTGATGTCGGATGGTCACCTCGCTCCCGAATGCCACGTCCGCGGGAGTATCAGCCATGCCCTTGTTGTTCAGCGTCGCTTGGAATTCCGAGGACATGAAACCATCTCCATCGCCGGGATTGACCAAACAGATGAAGTGAATGCCGAACATGCCCATATAAAAGGCGGTGGGAATGACAATGAGGCAAAAGATTCGGGCAAACAAATGTTTGAACCATTTCCTTGGAGTGACATTGACATTGTCGCCGAGTAACACCCATAGTTGTAGGATGGTCAGGCTGCCCACCCAGGCGATCGTGAAGAGACCGACCCATTTCACACTGACCGTTGCACCGAGACCCAGGCCTGTGGCCGCCAGCCAGAACCACCAGCTCACGTCAAAGGCTCGTTCAGGTCCGAGTTCGTGTTGATTCGAGAAACAGGTAAAAGCCAGCACGGTGAAAGCCGTGCAAATAACCAATGGCGAGTCGAGAAGAATGAGTCGAGATTGCGTAACGAGGCCGTTTTCGAAGATCAACAGTGCAGCTCCCAGGGAAGCGGTCACTGTCTTGCATCCGGTCGCCTTCAAGGTCAAAAATATAGTGGGTATCGTAAGGACACCGAGAATGGCAGGAAGCAAGCGCATGGAGACGTAGGGAACCTTGGGCTCGAGATAATCCTTTCCAATGTCTTTGAAGTCGAAATCTCCTTTGAAACCTGCGGCCCAGCCGGCGAGCGTGATTAGAAGTTTCGCCAAAGGGGGATGAACGTCCATGAAGAATCGGCCCTTGATATACTTTGTCGCGAAGCCTCCAAAGCTACCAGCTCGTTAGCCCACACCACAACCATTGGCCCATTGGATGCTTACTGGACTTCATCGAAAACGACACTGGTGGGTTGGTAGATTTTGAACAAGCGAACCACGGCGGCCACGATGGTCAATAAAGCCATCATCTGATAATCGGAGACTGGGAGGAGGAAAACATCGTTGTCCGTAACTCCTTCAGATGCGTAACTCTTCTTCTTGGGCGGCGTAGTTCGAGCCAGGCCGCCGTTCGTGTCTTTGGAAGGAGCACGGGAGCTCACATTTTGTGGAGCCGGAGGTTTTCTCAGAGGAGCAGAGGACATGATGAGGAATTTGAATCGTGATATCGAGAGAAATATGTAGTATTTCTGGAATCGAGGAAAAGGGTAGTCGGGAAAAAGGGAAAAAAAGTTCGAGGGATTCGGCCCCCTGGTTGGAAAGAGGACACTTGGGATCAAAGAGAGACGAGAAGGAAGAAGGAGCTCATTAGGGGATTCAAAGAACCATCTTGGAGAGGATTGAAGAAAAATACAAAAGGAAGAAAAGAGCAAAAGTGATGAAGGCTGAACTGAGGGCAAACGCTCAGGAGTGACAATTGAATAAGACAACTTGTTTCCCGTTCTTTGCTTCCTCCGCAGCTGCACTCGCACATGCACCTAAAAAGCCCGCGCAAAGGCAAAGTTAGTCCTTTGGGTTACTCGCCACAAACGTTACCAGCCACAGCATATTTGGCAGAGTCAAAAGTTCGCATCCATTTTCACCTCTCCAACGTTCGACAGAACCATTATTGCGCTCTCCGTTCTTGGTTTGCACGAGCTCTAGGCGTCCCCGATGTCCTTCCAAACTTCCGAATAATCGACATCGGCCACATTAGGTATTCATCAATAGAAAACCTCTGCGCTGCACGATTTTCTGCTTTCTGGCCGGCAGCCCAGAAGAGCAAGGGATAATGGCACAGAATGGAGCAGTTCCGGAGCTGCCAGAGGCTGTTTCAAAACCTCCTGAAGGTGTCGTCCTTCCCCCTAAGGACATAAGAGCAATCATTGAGAAAACTGCGGGTTACGTGGCTCGAAACGGTCCTGTATTTGAAGATCGAATTCGCGACAAGGAACAGGCGAATCCTAAATTTTCTTTCCTTTCACCATACGATGCGTATGCACCATTTTACCAGTGGCGACTATCAGAGGTGCGGTCAGGACGGGGAACCGTGGTTTCGGCGGGAAGAGCAGGAGATGCTACACCTGTGCCAGAGAAGCCCAAAGGGCCGGAGCCTCCTCCAGAGTTTCAGTTCAGTGCTCGGATGCCAAATATTAGTGCATTGGATTTGGAGGTTGTCAAGTTGACGGCTCTACACGTTGCACGCAAAGGAAAGAGTTGGATGACCGCATTGTCACAACGAGAGGCGCGAAATTTCCAATTCGACTTTCTCCGTCCACAGCACTCTTTGTACAATTTCTTCCAAAGACTGGTAGACCAATACACGATCCTCCTCCAGACCGGCCCCGAAGGCCAGAAAGCTGAACAAGCACGGATACAAGCGCTCCAAGCCAACGTACAGGACCGGTTTCGTGTTCTCAACCTGGCCAAGAAACGTTCGGAATTTACCAAATGGCAAGAAACGCAGAAGCAGAAAAAAGAGGAGGCAGAAGAGGCAGAAAGACTTGCCTATGCGCAGATTGATTGGCACGACTTCGTGGTTGTCGAAACAGTCTTGTTCACAGAAGCTGACGATCAGGCTGAACTCCCACCCCCGACAACATTGAACGACCTACAGAGCGCGAGTCTCGAACAAAAGGCAATGATGAGTCTGGCTCGACCCGACATGCGAATTGAAGAAGCAATGCCCACGGATGACATGGATGGGTACTCTTATCCCGGCTACAACGATCCCTATACCCAACCCCAGAACAACGGTTGGGCCCCGGAAGCAGCAGCAGCAGCAGCACCGCCACCACCAGAAGCAGCAAGGCCAGCCTACACACCATCCTCAGTCCCCCCTCAGGCTTCATCTTCTCCAGCACCAATACCATCCTACGCACCAGCTCCAACCGTACCACCGCCAGCAGCGGTGCCATCTCCACTTCCTCCTCCATCGACCGCCTCGCCGGCACCAGCTCCAGGCCAACCTCCCATGCGCATTAAATCAGACTACATTCCGCGGGCACAACAACGAGCGACCCGCGCCGCCACTGCTCTATGTCCGAACTGTGGGCAGCAAATTCCTGTGGCAGAACTCGACGCTCATTTGCGAATCGAGCTCCTCGACCCCCGTTGGAAGGAACAACAGTCCAAGTCTGCGGCACGGTTCTCAACCACGAATCTTGGTGGCACAGATGTTGCCGCAAATCTCAAGCGTTTACGGGCCAGAACCGATGGCACTGGTGCGAGTGCCGATCCTGTGGCCGAGGCCGCGGCGAGGGTGCTTGGCGAGCAGGAAGAAGAAGAGGAGGAGGAGGAGAGACGTAAGAGAATGCGCCTTGATGGCACCACTGATCCTGGAGTGTACCCTGGCGTCGGTGCACAACAGCAACCGATGAACGTACAGGAGCAGATTCGGCAGATTCACAACAAATATAAGTCATGAAATGTAAGACTTGCAATAACCACGGAAAAATGCATCCTCTGCTTAATTGCAGCTAGATATTGGTCAAACCCCGAACCACGCAATTTCCCACGTGTCTCTCTGGGTACGGTGTGACAACTTCAGCAGCGTTCTCCGTCAGTCGGGAGTGTGGTTGCATCAATAATGACTTGAACATTTGCCAATGTTCGAATACTTGCAGCCAACAAAATGCCACACGCCTCAAACGCGATATAGGCCTACATGTAAAAGTCAGTCTACTCACCAACGTCTTCGGTTACCCGCGCATTCCCCACTGGTCTGGCCGCAACATCAAGCCGACCTAGATACAGCTCACCGACAAAACGGCTGGATTCATCTCATCGATTTCACATTCAACCTCTAGGGTCCCGATCACGTCCGACTTAGGCCACCAAAACGTAACAAAAGAGCCGCGCGAAGCCTCTCGAACATCATTGGAACCCGAATACAATCAACGTCATCTTCTATGGGTATTCGCGTCGAGAAACGTCTAGATAGTGTTTGCACCGCTCAAATATGCATTCACACCCTCGTCACCAATTTTGGAACTTCGACTGTATGGTTCAATTGCTTTGATAGCAGCCAAAAAAAAAAGGAAATATTAGCTGAGAAGAGCGTCCTTTCTGTTGATTACAGGCCTTGAGACTAGTTACCAAATTCTGTCCTCACGGGGTCTTGAATGGACCAAAATCAATACGTTAGAGGAGATGACGACTATCAAATCGATAAATGTATTGTCATATTAAACTCTTCTTGCTCCATGTATTCTCTGGATGTTAAGATTACTCCTATACTCAAACACGTACGCATGGTGTGTCCTGTGACCGTTTTATTCATACTCGGCCTTTCTCAGAGCGACAGGGCATGAATCGCTCTAAGAAATATAGATCTGATTTTGCCAAAAAGAGAGTGAGAATCATAATCTCGCAAGCTTGCTTGAACGTGAAGGCAGGGGCAAATTGAACATCTCAATCACCGACGTATTTTTAAAGATGAATTGTTGAACTGTGAGACAATATGGGGCAACGATTTCAGCGTGGCAATGGATGTTCAGCTGGACAAGGGTTTCGTCTACGAGCTGAACATGGAGACACCGAAAGATGGCGACAATCTTTGTCTATATAAACATGCGAGGCAGGACCTCAATTTGATAGAGAACAGAGCACTCCTTCAACTCAAGTTGTACCACAAGTTTGACATGAATTCGCCCCACATATCGAGACGAAACGGGTAGAAAAATACTCTGGAGAATCAAGGCGTGGAGATATGAAGCTGAATACCGGAGCATTCACGGATCTAGGGTGGTTCTGTGATGTACCGCCGGCGTCCCATTGGTGTGATCAGGGCTGACGCTGTCAGAAATATCTCTCGAGTTGGCCAAAGCGGGGTGGATTGATCGTCCACCGAAGTTCGTGATGTGCCGTTACGAGATCCGGCACGGTCAACCACAGCAGTTAGGCTGACGACAAGTCGAGTGATGTCGTGGATCGAGAATGTATGCAGAAGCCTCAAGGTCGTCGAAATCTTGGTTAGTATCCACGGCTTTGGGATGAACCAAAAAAGTTTGGCCAATCACGTGAGGAATTTGGCTTGGCATTGTCGCAACTTGCACCCTTTCAGTCTTGATCTCTTGTTTAGATAGAACAGCAACGTATTCCTTCATACCTCTTCTCTAGACTCCACAGTCTATCAAGAAGCCCGAGGCAATAGTGAGTCCAACAAAGGACCTAGCCAATAAATCCAGTGTTCGCTCGGGAAGCTGTGGTTGGCAACACACAGTCCAGAAACTTCAAGCTGGAATCAAGGAACCTCCAGTATGGTACACGCCTGGATGTTGTTAGCAGGAACGGCGCCTCGGATCTGGGAACAGCACCCCGACCAGCTCAGTAACGGAAAGGAGAAGCCGATCCCAACCGGGGCGAAGAATGTTCCTTTATGCTTCTCGATCTGGGGAAAAACGGCCGGCAAGGTCATCACAGCGTCCTGAGAAGACCATTTACAGCAAGCATGAAAATGATGAGCACTAGCTGCACTGTCAAACGCAATGAAAAAGTTGGCTTCCCCTTTCGGCAATGTTTTTGTGAAAGACCGACCATCCTAATAAATAGTCCTTACGTCTTGTTTGTTCTCGGCCAAGAGAAATCGAGACTGCCAGAGAACACTGGCGGATGTCAAAAACTAGACCACTGCGAGGAAACGAACAGCACCGATCAAACAAAGTCCGAATGTCATCTGCAATGCTATCAGTCTCCTGCTCCCTCCATACTCAGTCTTGTTCACGTCCTGCCGGGTTGAAAAGTCCTCCGGAGATTCCGAAGAAGATCCAGGCACCGACGGCGAGAGAAAAGCCGAAGCACAGGCTGATGTAGAGCAGTGTATGTCCAAAATGGTCAACAGGCAAACGAGGCGATGCCCAATGCTACAACAGAGGATGAAGTCAGTCTGGAAGCCGAAAATTCTGGAGAAGAAAGTATAATCTGCAGATAGACGAGCGGGAGACATGCTGCAGCAGGGAATTCTCGAGACGCAGTAGATAAGAGGTGTCTTGATCGACGATTTGTGATATGTTCGGTGGGCATCATGATGGCGGTCAGCCTTTGGGGAAAGTTTAAAGAAGCGACAAGAGAGGTATTTCGTCAATGGACCATGGGGATCGACAACATGAACGATACCGATAGAAGATTCGCATTGACTGGAAGGGAGCTGGTATGACGAAAGAGACAGACAGACGGAGATTCAATAAAGGGGATGGCTGTGCGTCATGCACTATCTTAGCGCAGCTTAAGGAAAGTCGAAGACAACAGCACAAGCGCGTTTAAGTGCATTTAGGGCACCTAATTGGTTGTACCCCCCCGTACTTTGCTGCTGTACTGTAGCGATCAGAAAGACCGTCCAAGTCAATCGTCTCGCCGCGAAATCCAAATTGGACAGGTTGCATTTGAGATACTCATATTGATTGCTGATCCCAACAGCTCGTATGGACACAACTCTCCCCTTTGTCAAGGTGTCACGGGAGCGGGTCGATGTCCAAAAACTAATACTGATTACCGTGCAACACGCAATCGTCCTTCCTCCCCCGCAGGACACAAGGAGCCAATCAGAATGTCTTTTATATTCTAGATTTCTTGGTCGTTGAGAGGTTGGGAACCGGCACTAGGTGCGAAAAGATGTCATAGCTGAATAAAATTCTGCCATGAGAAGTTCATTCGGATAGAAAAGCCCGGTCCATGACGCCCCACTCATGTGATGTCAGGCGAAGGTCATGTGACTGCGCTCTTTCTTCTGCAGGGGGTCAGCACTGCAGGCGAACGAACCCTGGAGCCTGGTCAGGCACGACAAAACTTGAACACCACCTCTTCTTCATCGCCTGCCCACCTCGAAGACATAATCCCTCGTTTCCAACATTCGAATTTTGGCCTTGTGCGCCTTTTGTTTGTGCCACATCCATCGGTCGTGTTCAATCCACTTTCTGCTTTTGGCCTTGCTCGCTATTCAGGCGCATGGCGTTTCAGTTTGATTCTCCTTGACGACTGGCCTTTTGCCAACTCAGTCCCACACCCCGTCAACATGCGTCCTCTACGCTTTTTACTCTTACTCGTATTCTTTATCGCTCTACCGATAGTCTTGACATGCTGGTCACTATTCTCCTCATCTGACAGTGCCGCTGATTCCTTCCATGCCGGTTACAACACCAGATCAAGTCGCTTGCGAGCCCTCTTCTCCTTCTCGACGCCCTCCTCCCTTTTTCCGCCTTCGGCCGTCATCAGCCTGACCAATGACAACTCGACATTTTTTCTGGCCCGACCGGCTGCTTTTGGTCCCAGTCTTCCATCCCGAGGTCTCAGCGGCCAGTTGTGGGTAGGAAGGGGATTTGGAGATGACGCCCTATTGAAAGAGGAGAACATCCACATAGCCGGATGGGAACTGGGATGTTCCGACGTACCGGGATGGGGTGAAGCTGAATCAAAACGGATCAGCCACCTCCCATCTGTTGATCAGAATCCAAGAAAGCCGCAGGAGGTCCGAGATTCGGATGGTGATGGCCACTCAAATGAACCCAGCCGTGATGGCTCCGAGACTCCCTCGGAAGGGGTCATCCCCCCGGATGACGGCACCGACGATTACCTGCACCACCCTCTTCCAGATTCTAATCCGGCAACGCCTGCTCCGCCAGGTGAACCGGCCAATATTGATCCGTCCGATAAAAACAAAAAGACGACTCATGCCGATATCGAGTCCTTACAGGAGAGTGCAGACATCGCCGGCAAGATTGTCATGCTCAGCCGTGGCGGATGTGGATTTTTGGAGAAGGTCAAATGGGCTCAACGTCGAGGCGGTATCGCCCTGATAGTGGGAGACAATGAAAAGGGGGCCCAGCTGACAATCATGTACGCCAAAGGTGATACATCCAATGTGACAATCCCGGCGTTGTTCACTTCGTATACTTCGGCACACCTCCTCTCTTCCCTTGTTCCACCAGAAAAGGGTGAGGACGAAGATGGTACAGCCAAAGGGGTGGATAAAGCCTCTCGAGGGCCCTCGAACACCGAGAAGAGTTCCAATCAGAAACAAAACAACAAGCCCGTTTTCACCTCCACCAAGACGGGCGTTCAACAACCCACCATTGTCCCTGCCACAGGTTCTGGAAGATCCGATTCAGACCAGGACAAGAACTGGATGAAGAATGTTCTTTCCGCCATAGGATTGAGCGAGAACTCTCCATTTTCGCACTCTGAGGATAGTCGTCGGCCACCGAGCAGCGGAAATATCGATTGGGTGTTGCTGGAAGACTGGGATGACGAGAAACCCCCCAAATCATCGAACAAGGCCAACACGGCCTCTGCTCTGGTGACGGCGTCGACATCGGCGTTGAAGGCCCAGTCCACAAGTTCGAAACGCCCCGGAGGAGATGACTTCGTCATCGGGGTCCAGGATTGGCGAGACACTGATCTCATTGCGCCCAAGCCGACCACGGCGGCGGAAAATGCTCCCGCAAAGGCGAAACATGGAAAAGACTCCCCCCCCGATCCGGCTGCCTCGGTCAAAACTTCGACTGGTCTGGAGGCGACGCTCAAGGGCGGCAGCATCACTCCTGGCAGTGGTGAATACGACCATGATCAGCCAAGTCGCTTCCATCGAGGAAATGGACCTTCCAAGCAACAGTCTGGCCACTGGCATGTTGATAATCACAACGAGCCAGGTTCATCCAAAGACTCGTGGCTCCATATTTTCAGATCGGGCCACTCATCCAAAGACTCTTCTCCCGGAGCCGGAGACGGTCAGGACAACAAAGAGCACAAAGAAAAGAAACCCAACGCTCCGGGGGATGGCGAGGGCGACGAGCACTCGGGCCTCTGGGTCACTCTCACCCCCACCAGTGTTTCTACCAGCCCGTTCTTCGACACATTGCTTGTTCTGGTTGTGAGCCCTCTGGTCACCCTGACGGTCGTGTACGCCTTATTACTCCTTCGCTCACGAATTCGACGAAGAAGATGGCGGGCACCCAAATCCGTTGTAGAGCGACTCCCTGTTCGAACATATCACACAATGTCCACGACCTCATCGACAACTTCGTCACAAGTCGCCTCACCGGATACCTCCTCCCCGACCTCACCACTACTAATTTCCACCACACAAAACGTCTCACAGAGGCCCCGACCTCGCTCTCAAACGACGACAGGAATCTTCCCCGGAGCAAGCTTGGATAGCCAATTATCCCACTCCAGGAGTCCTACGACAGAAAAGCCAAGCGCCAAGTTTACCAGGCGGAAACGTTATGCGAGCCGACAGGTCGAGTGTGTCGTCTGTCTTGAAGAATACATTGACGGCGAAAGTCAAGTCATGTCCCTGCCTTGTGGCCATGAATTTCACGCCGAGTGTATTACTCCGTGGTTGGTGACCCGCCGTCGGACCTGTCCTATCTGCAAAGGTGACGTGGTCAGAAGCCTCGCCCGGGCCAATTCCGCACGATTCGACGATGACACGGAAGAGGGGATGACCGGTGACGAGGTCCAAAACCGGGTTGCCCAAACTGTCAACGAAGAACCGAGTGCTGCTATTCCCATCCCTTCTCCGGCCCGAGATCATGAAGCCAATCGAGTGGATGTAGATGAGGATGTGGAGCGAGGGCAGGACGCCGATGTCGACGAACCATTGTTAGGTCAGAGCATGACCGGTCAACCACAGGAGCGAGAGCGGCAATCCATCTGGAGGAACATCGTCAGCGCCAGCGTCAATCGTTTGAGCGGTGATACGCTTTGGAGGCAAACACCTGTGGACCGGAATCGGTAATTTTTTCCATCTGCATGTCAGTCAGGAGGCAAAAGGAAATAATTCGGGCCATCCTCCTCCATACCTAAAGCGTGGCTATAAGCTACCAATTTCTACTGTATTGTTACTCCAGTGCCCCGTTCCTGTTTCTCGACCGAGAATTAATTGGGGCAGAAAGTGTTGCTTTGCATGGAGTTCGGGGAAATTGGGGCCTGGGTTGGGCTCACAATGGAATAAAGTGAACCAAACCATGACTGTGTATTATCCTTGGCGCCGGGTTTCGGTCCTTTATGTCTTCAAAGACCAGGCTTTGACATTGTACTGTATTGCTTAAATGTGCTCCGTACGTAGGGTATAAAATCCGAATCCCAGTCCAAAAAAAGAGGCAAAACACGTAAATGAGATAGATATAAGACGAAATATTCCCCGGTGGATTTAATGTACGTTATGTCTATGCATTGATCATGGTCTAGATCGCGTCGCTGCATCTCACATTATTTCGTCTGTATCTTCCATCCCTTAGACCTCAGTATGTGCATAGATGTGATGTACATGACAGAACCTCAAGATCTGATCCCGTCACAATCATGCGCAGTGGATACCAAGTCCTTCATCGAGTATCTGTAGGATCAAGTCATCTATATTGGGCTGCGCCGCAGGACGGTACGGCATTGGCGGATTTTCCCCGAGGATTGAAGCCTTATCAAAGAAACCTTTCTGGATGGGAAAACAACTTTTTTCTTGACGGTTTCCCAATCTCCGGTACTACATTGACAACCTCAAAAATTGTTCGATAGCGCTCAATAGTCACCGAAAGCTTGGAGAAATGGTTTCCATCACCCGACTTTTGGAAATGGAGACCATTTCGCGGCATGCCTCGCTTTCGCAATCGACCTCAGCTCTTGCGCACTTTTCTTCTTTATGTTCAGAGGGGGGGGCTCTAGTACGCCTTCAGGATACGGCTCGTTGGCAAGATACTGCTTTGTCACTGGCAACGGGTTACTCCCGTCTGGCCCAGGAGGCTGCAATGATTCCGGCATCACCCATCCTTCCGGGGTTGGAATTTCAACTTTTTGTCCCGTTTGCTCATCGACGAGAAAATGCCGCGCAGGTAGAATTTCCACGGCTTTGATCGGTTGTACGTGGGTGTAGTAGTGATGGACATGAATCTCCCGCGTGACCTCTTCTTGAATTATTTCTACCGTGTGTTCCCTCACGACGTCTTGGGTGATGGCATCTTGGACATGAGTTCCAACTTCGGTAAGCGCGCTGGTCCCCAGTCTGACGCTCGAAGGAAGGACCTGTTCGATTGGTTGAGGAGGAGGACTTTGTCGGACGGGAGATTTTGCAGAAGCTCTAGACGTGACTGGTCGTTCGTTGACCATGGTTGGAGATGTAATATGGTACAATGGATTCAAAGGGGAAGGGTCATTGGGGGCGAGGGGTAGATGGCGTGGTGTTCTTTGATTGACGACAACGGGAGCCGGTACAGGACCGGCCGGATTGGTTGAAGACAAAGATTCTATTCCGAAGGTGCTGATGGTGGTATTTTCAATGGGTGAGGTTTGTGGCCTCGTCGAAGATGCGCCGTCGACAGTGGATGTGACTTTCAGATTGTCCGGGGACTTGGGGCCGCCCCCCCTCTCTTTGACTCGGTCGGCTGTCTGAGGGTACGCCCTTTGGCGTAGAGAGGAGGAGCGATCGAGGATGGATTGGTCGGGGAACTGAGGCAAGGCTGTGAGGTCCTGCTGATCGAATGATCGCCGCTGGAATGTGGCAGGCGACCGGGCCATGGCCGGGGCGCTGGAAGAGGTTTTCAGGATGCGCGCTGACGGCCGCTTCTGCAGACGACTTCTCGATCGAGTTGGACGGACGGCATTGTCGGCAGGGAGAGCCGTCGTTGGCCGAAGAGGAGCTTGAGGCTGCGACTGGTATGGGGGGCTGCTGTAGCTTTGGCTGCGCTGGTGATGGAATTTGTCTCTTTTGCTACCGCCGTTGCGTATGCCCGTGATGTATGGGAAACACCGCAGCCGATTCCCCTCCCCGGCCACGCTGACAGTGACACTGGACGTCTCATCATCAAGTAGACCCTTGGTCTCCATGTGCTCGTGTGGCCGTTGAGCCGCTGTCAGTATCATGGTGTCTGTAAGTTCATTTTGTTGATTCGTCCACCAAAAGTAATGAGCAATTCGTCAGCCAACAGAGACACGGAAACACAAGACAAGTCGAGTCGAGTTGAGTCACGAATGAGGATGCGACTTATCCTCCTGTTTTGCTTGCGAAGCGAAAACAGAGTCAGCTCTCATGGCTAAGGCCTGAAAAGCTAAGCCCGTCGTTTGGCTCAACAGATATGGCCCTAAGGGGCATGGGTAACCACCACGGGGGAAAGACATTTTTCAAGGGACCCCCATGATCGAGAATTCAAGTCCAGAGCACTTAGAAACCGAATGGGACTTGATATCTCCTAGGCGATTGGACATCAACCAGCACTCATTCACACCAGACTTGATCAGGCTACAAAGTCTTACACTAACACAAGACGATGGTTCCTTGGTGGATTCATCTTTGAGAGGAGAATATTTGGGCGAGATTTTGGGTTTTGGCCTTGATAGACGACCTAATCTGTCCACGGGAAGGGGGGGTTTCGCAAGACAAATTCCCACGCGTCTCGAAGGCTTGGGAATTCAAAACTGTTGCTAATCTAATTTCATTTTCCCCCAAAGCACCTCGGCTGGTTAACGAACTGAATCCTGTGGGTCTGGGATGCCCCGGCCGAGCAAAATCCCAGGGTAACCGGCTCTGCCAGGGGGGTTTGCAATAAGTGTTTTTCTTTTATCTCACCGGTCACACCTGATTCGACAAATACAACAACAAAGAAGCAGGTTGCAGGGAAATCTGCCGCCGCTTTTGCCAGCATTCTTCCCCTCAATATCAAGGCCTCCCTTTCACATGTACCCACGTGCCAGAAATTATCCCCTTTCAGACATACCAACGGAATCCTTGGCTCTTGAAAGAACGATGCATTTCGACCGTACCACCTCCGAGAGTGGTGCCTCTAGTACATATTGTGGAGAGTCGAAATCGGTCTTGCGCTTGCTCCCGCTTTTGGCTTTGCATAGGCCATGCCGAACATTACAGTTCAAAGACAGGATTCCAAGACAATGAGCATTGGATTCATTGAGACAACCTCGCAAAAAACAAGAAGCCACGATGGTCGACAACCCACAAGTCGCCGATTGGCACTACAAAGCATTGTCAATCAACAGATTCACCGTGGTTTTCGGTAAGCCGATGACAACTGATCGATTATCCAAATGATAAAGCTTGGCACAGAATAAGTCACGTGCCAACCCCCCTCCATCGGATCCAATCCATGGACCACCTCAGGGGGGTGCGATTAACTAGAGCATTTAACTAGATTCGCACAACAACCCCCATCGGATCCAGTCTACGGACCACCTCGGGGGGTGCGATTAACTAGAGCACTTAACTAGATCCGCTAAACAACAAACTCCCACATCGGATCCAATCCATGGACCACCTTGAAGGGGGGTGATTAACTAGAGCATTTTACTAGCCCCGTTCAACAACAACCCCCCATCGGATCCAGTCTATGGACACCTTCAGGGAGTGCGATTAACCAGAGCATTTAACTAGATCCGTTCAACAACAATCCCCATCAGATCCAGTCCATGGACACCCTCAGGGAGTGCGATTAACCAGAGTATTTAACTAGATCCGCTAAACAACAACCCCCCATCGGATCCAGTCCACGGACAACCTCCGGGGTGGGGGAAGGGATTAACCAGAGCACTCAATTACTATAGATCCGTTTAACAACAACTCCCGGCCCTTGGTCAATAAGAGATTTAGTTAACTATCTCGAGGTGCTCATCTGGAATACCACTTCGTTTCCAGGGCTTTAAACACTCGACCTTCTCGATGATCTCAGCCCCTAGCTGCGCCCTTTCTCACGAGATCGTACGGCGTGCTCCCGAAAAGACTCGCTCTGGGTCGTCACTCATGGCTGGAATTGACAGGATATCAATTGCCGTATAAGATAACCGTGGCCAACGCTTTCTTTGTTGGTCCTGACACCCACCACCGAACAGCAGGCATGTCACCAAAATCGAAAAGATATCCTGAGTGGTGAGGAATTATCGAACAATTATCGACATCTCTAACCTCATCCTAGAGTCGATCACCACGTTCGCACCAATGATGACTTCGGTGTAGGTCTAGGCTTTTTGTTGTCCATGCATGATTCTGAACTCGCGGTCTCCAAGCAGACAAGACGAGGATCGCCGGAGATGTCGCCACGGTTATGCAAAGTGCTTTGGACCTCCGATCATTCTGGGCCACATTTTTCCTCATTTTCCGCTCAGGACATCTATTGTTCTAATCGTTCTCTGCGTCCACTTCCCTCATCTGCTGTGATAAACTCGACCAACAGCATTCGCTAGCGCGCCTTGGATCACCTTGTTATAAATCATGTCATGCGTCCACTTCTTCGGTTTCTTCCTCTTCTTCCTCTTCTCCCTCTTCTCTAGCTTTCTCCGCTTTTTGATACTCGGTCCAAATGTCCCTACTAATCTCCTCGAAAGGAATATAATGCTCTCGATGTTCAGGCCACGGTGAATGGGGCGGGTGTTGTTCAACATCGCGCTTATCCGGGGTGATCCAGAGAAATTCTAGTTCTATATCAAACGTCGATCGACAGTCTATGGCCCACTGGCGGTATTCACGCAAGAATCTCAAACGAGAATTCGAGTAATTCTTTGCCACTGTGATCTGGATGGGGAAGACGAGCAATTTTTGCTTTTCCCCCTCACGGGGTCTTCTTTTTGTCTTGACCGAAATAATCATTCCATCTATCGTCTTGTAATCGGTCCGTTCGGGGCGGTAAAGCACCGGCGTATTGAGCATGTCGAACCGGATGTAGTATTCGTTCCTGAAGAATCTTAACCCCATGCCTCTGTCACTACCGTCGCAAACCTTTAAGCCTTTTGACTGGATGGATTCGAGAATGGCGTATTCCACCATAAACTTAAGGACAGATCGATTGTAGATAAAGTCGCGCAATGAAGCCAGAGAGCCGATGTCGTTGAAAGTAATATCCAACTCGAGAAGCTGATTTGCTACCGCGTCACGAACTAGACCGCAGGTATATCGTCCAATGTCGAAGTTATCCTGATAGAAGAATCGATGGTCGACCAGTTCGATGTGTTCCGTCCATTTAGGTGGCACCGGCCTGTTACGAATGCAGGCCCTCGTGTAGGCACAATACCTAAAAAGTTAGAAATGTTCTAAGCATCAGATCAGTCGAACATACCACTTCCAATCAAGAACCGTAGCAGTAGTCCAGATTCGCTGCGCAAACACCATAGATTCGTTATAGATTCCGCTCCATTTGCGGGGCGTCATATCAATCACCCCATTCACCACACATTGCTTCAAGAGCAATGGGATACAGCCCGTAACGTCTTCAACCTTATACCGGGAATACCCTCCCATTTTAATGTCTTTATGCTGCTTCCACCACTGCTCCATTTCCGTCTAAACAAGTTAGAAGCCTCGTTGTGACACAAATTTGACACTACTTGCCTTAGTGAAACCGCCATAGACGCGTACCACCCTGTTCAAGGTCTGAGAGTTGATCTCTTCAAGGTCGTCCGTAGAATTTGCACAGGTACTGAAGATTGCTTTATGGAAAGAGGTGAAACTAATTATCCAACGACGTACCTTGGGGGCTATGTCCAAATACCCGATCTTGGCCTTAAAAGCATTCATCTCATCAACGACAAATATAACGTTCTTTTGAAGCCTGAAGGATTCCTGAATCTCGTCTTCGGTGTATAGGGCCATAATCTTCTTTTGGGTGGCGAAATCGTCTGCCCAGGCGAACAGCATTGCTAGTTTAACGTAGTGAACATGGTACTCGAGCAACTCCCAGCAATTCGGTAGATAGACGACCCGTTCATCTTGAGCAGCAAGGTAGCAAACGAGGGCGGCTAGAAGGTGAGACTTCCCAAAACCCTCGTTTCCATAGAGCCAGATTCTTCGATAAACGCGACTCTTTCGCACTTCCCTCACCTCATTAAGGAGATCTTTGAACATCGTTCTCCCCATATAGGACCACTTTGCTTGGGCTCTACCAGGTCCTCGGAAACGTGGTGGTATATGATGGCTAAATGGGAAGTCGAGCGTGTGGTTTAATGTAGGGTCTGAAAGTTTATCGACAGCTCCAGGAAGAGGATCAACTGAATTGGAGTGCTGATCAGGAGAGTCGTTCATCTGTGTAATCATATCCCTAATGGCCTTCCTTCGCTTGTTCGCTTCGATGGTCCATTGTATCTTGATTTCTTTATATACTTGACATCTTTTTGACGAAGTGAACGGCTCTTCAGGTGCGTCTATTTCCTCCCCTACAACGTCGTTAGCTGGCTATCGTATAGCACATTAAAGGCGTTATTACCTTTTCTCCTTCGGCCGGCTATCTGGTTCGGTTGATCGTCTTAACACTGTCAGCTGGTGTCTAAGTTGCATCCACAGTCTAATCCTACTCTGTCTGCGGACTTCTCTCGCTAGAGACGCAAGACCGTAATAGACCCCACGTGGTAGATGAGTTCTTCTGAAGAGGTCTAGGTCCTCAGCACACCTCAAGAAGGTAGAGCCACTGATTTTTGCCGCTTTGAATGTCGAAACGTTCTCGTCATTGGCGAGAAGGTGTGGTTGTGTTTGCTGAATCCATTCGAGCAATTCCTCGTAGTCCCAACTTTTTATCTCTTGGATTGTAGGGATTCCCTCCTGGTCTTGCCCAGTTTCCTTCTGATTAGAAGCGTTCATTGTGACCGATGCCAAGGAAGGTCACACGAGGGAGAGGGGATGATGTGGCGGCTCGAACACGCACGCAAGTTGTGGGGAGTTCAAACTCGCCCAAAATGAGCGCACGCGAACTGCCGTGGGACAAGCGTTCGTGAAGTTGGAGGCAGGAGCCATGACGAGGTAGAGGAAGCAACAAGTGTGGTATACACGCTAGAGAACTTGTAGGCAGCAATGAGGACGTGAAACAAGGACGGGCAGGGAGATGGCACCAGGCGCGTTTGCTGGGAATGCCTCGGGAAAGCAACCAATTGATCCTAGTTGATGGACTCCACCAGCAACGGGAATCTGACTCCATAGAACAGGAGAACCGTTCACAAGGTGTGGAGCGCACCCTGAGGGCGCCCGCCAGAGGTCGCCGACAATGAAAGTGGACATCCAGGCTGCAGCAACAAGAGGGGTTCAAAAGGGTTAAACAGGACTCTGCAACACCAAGAAAGTCTATATAAACTGCGAATCGAGCAACAATGTGGTGAAGAGCCCGTACAATGCTAAAGGTATGTGAACGCCTCAATTCTAATGTTTGGGTACCTCGATTTTGAGCGACTTTAGTGGAGTTTTGGTGGGGCTTTCACAAAAGCAAACCGACTCGCAAACCAGGGGGCTTACTATTCTGTGCACTCGCGCTAAACTATTTTTGGCCGTATATCTGTTCCAGTCCAAGCAAGAATAGAGACTGTTCGCGAATGGCGTGGTAATTTTGTTATACTTGGTTAGACTGCTGCATCTCCTCACCAGCTATGAAATTTTGCTTTAGGAAGCTACTGGCCTTATACACGACACCCTTCCTTACCGTCGCCTCCTCGAGAAAATTAATATCATGAATCATGAAGCTGTATATATTCGTTAAGTTTCGACAGTGTTCTGACTTGGCCCGGTCCGATTGCTGAATATTGGTGTCATTTCAAAGCTCGCCGTTGGACCTAGTCAGTTCGGGTCCCGCGGTAATATATTCGCGAATGGCGCTTGGACGTGAACAGTTCTTCTTCCCTGACCATCCACTCTATTGCCTCTCTCTAACTGAAGGGTTACTTATTAAGCGGTCATTGTTGGCCAGAATAGGCAATTCTGGCTTGGCGTTGTCACCGTGACTGGCTTGGCATTATCACTCTATAGTGATACCTCTATACCCTCAACCCTTTCCACCTACTTATGTTGACATTCATCTGAGTGTGCTTTGAGATAAATCAATCAATCAATCTTCTCTCCATACAGATCATCATTCATAATCTCTCCTACCTCAGTGCACCCACCTCTCGCCTCAGTACACTCCCGATTCATCAACAACTTTCCCTGCTTGATTCTTCTACCAGCCTTTTCTACTCCTTCAACATTGCTCCTTCCGGCCTTCGAACCTCAACATGAATACAATTTGCGGACCCAGCGATGGGGCACTTGCGTGTACACCCATGTCAAGGTCATCCTCAAGTTCAACTGCATCAAAAGAGACTACGGCAGTGGAGAGTTCAACACCGGAGATATCGCCCTTGGAAGGATTGGAAGACGCTCGTATGTATACGTACAAAGGGATCCGAGACCTAAAAGAACGTGTCAACTCGCAGTCTGCTGCGTTGATGGACGGTCGCACGAATCACCACCTTGAAAAAATTGACCATCAGCGCGCCAGCATAGGGAAGCATACTCGGATGAGCCATTACGTGGATAACAATCTATTGGTTATCAAGCTGATGCCCTCAAAGGCACATGAAGGTGCGCACCTCACACTAGCAGTGAGACTTCGTGACGAACTTCCTCCCACGAGAGTCCTTATATCCTGTTGGCGGGACAACGTACAAACTCCCTAATTCCTCTAAAGAGGGTGATATGGGATTCTGCCCCCTCCCAGCCCGGGAAAGGGAATCTGACTGGCCGACAATTGTTTTTGAGTCTGGATTCTCTGAAACGCCCCCTCGTCTAAGACATGACGCAGAATGGTGGATTGTCAACTCTGGAGATGTCAAGATTGCCATCATCATCTCAATTAAGCGAGCACAGAAGACGCTAATAGTCGAACAGTGGTGCCCTTCTCCGCCTCCTGCATATAGACCAGCTACCAGAAGCCACCCAAATCCCAACGCTCCAATTCCGACAAAGGTCCAAGAGCTTACTATCATTCAAAATCCCACTCCACAACTAGGTCCTACTGCTCAGTCGAACACCATCGGTCAGCCAATTGTCGCCGTTCAGCCAGGCACTGTCTCAGCCTATGACGTTGCTGGAGCGCCTCTGATTCTCGAATATGACAAAATCTTCCTCCGAGCCGCTGTACCGCCAGAAGGCGACGTCGTCATTAATGTCGCGGATCTTGCGGTCTGGGCGGATTACTTCTGGAAGGGCCTTAAGTAGAGAGATCGCAAGGGTTATGGTAGGATCAAGGGAACACATTGTGGGACTGGCGACGGCTAATGGTGGGTCGGGCTATGTGCTGCGTTGTTGAACAGCATACAGGACAACGGAAGTGTCATCACTTTCCCAGGGTTTTTCTAAGGGCTTGTTCGGGGCAACGGAAGTACCGTCCTTGCCGAGGGTTCACTTAGGAGCTTATTCAGGACAACAGAAGCGCCATAGATTTCTGTCAAACAATGAATGCCAAAAATATGAATTGAATGCTCTGCTCTTTAGCAACTAGTCTTGCCAGGTTGCTGATGTTTATACAGGTTTTGTTGACCCCTTTTCTTCTCCTATTCCTACCCTTATATTCTACATAGGAGTGATAACCCCTATTCCCGTTCAACAGTTTCCTAAGGGTCGGGAGGGCCGCGGAAGGGCGGATTGGAAGGAGGCCTGAGAATGCAGGGCGCCGGCTGATCATGTGAGGTAGGGCAGAAATGTAGGGGCCCCAGGATGAAGAGAGATGAGGATGATGGAGAGGTCGACGTCGAGGAGGATGGGAGAGCGGTTCTTGTAGCGACGTCAAAAGCAGCGGGCGGCCAAGAACGGGCAGACTGCCTAAACCAGGGGCAGATTTCCCGGCAACGACATTACGAGGTAAAAGAGGAAGAGAGGCAAAGTGGAAGTTCAACGCTACAACAGGTAAGATCGTTCGCCGAAAAGGAAATGGGGGTCGATTGGTATCGATATCGACGGTATATTCTCAAGCCAAAGCTTCTTCCTCTCGCAAAGGAATGTATGAAGACTCGCCCTAATATGATCGTACAAGAAGACAACGCCCCATCGCATGCCTCGATGTATCAGAACATGATTTTCGATCGTGGAATCATCAAGCTTCTATGGCCAGGAAATTCACCAGATTAGAATACGATCGAGCCCTGTTGGCCATATTTCAAGCGTATCACCATGAAGAAAAGCGCGCCTTCGAGTTCGAAGGCTGCAAGCAGACATGGGTGGGTAGAAAGTTGAGGAGTGCATCGAACCTTCCTTAGTTGGTTTTTTCAAGGATACACACATACACGCGAGAGACACGGAACATAGAGAAAGGAAGCAATTAGAGCTTTGTGTGTGATTGCTCAATGAGCCTGACGACGACATCCTCCTGTCAAACTTCTTGTGCAACTTGAGATGAAGGAGTGCTCTGTTCTCTATCATAGACATGCGAATGCTACATCGTTGCACAAAGCAACCATCTGTAACGTCGTCGTCTATGGAAACCTCTCGTCAATGTTTCGGTGGTGGAGCATATACACAATACCCCTCTATCCAACACCTCCCTGCGTGACAGGCACTTAAGTGCTAAACCGTTCATCACCTTTACAATAGTTATAAGGAAGGAAGGAGAGACTCGAGAATCTCTACGGAATTCCTGTACATATCCCTGTGAGTTCAAGGCCACGTCCCCGGGGGGAACTTTTGAACCGACTTCCGTGACCGCTTTATTGAACTGACGATACAGAGATTAAGTAGAAACGGTCCATGGAATGGATCCGATCAGAGGGGTATGAAGTACGTAGACATGGTCCATGGACTGGATCCGATCAGAGGGGGCATGAAGTAAGTAGATATTGTCGAACAATGAGCAGTATCCCTTTACTGGGAAAAGGGTTATCACCCTTATGCAGGATATAGGGGAAGAACAGGAGTAGAAAAGGGTTCAACCAAGTTGCCAAAGGGACCGAGCATTCAATACATCTCAATTTGCACACCCCCCCCCCACCCAAGTTTGACAGATGGTAACTTATCGTTCGTGACAAGCCGACTCATTCCGCAACACTCACCCACTAAGCCGTTTTACCATTGACAGGCAACAGTGTTGACGCACACTGCTTGGATAGATACATAGATGGGCTTCTATCCTACACTCATTAGGAGAGCTAGAGGATTCAATACGTCTCAAGCTGCACCCCGTCTGACAGATATGGTCCACGGACTGGATCCGATAGAGGAGGTATAAACATGGTCCATGGACTGGATCCGATAGAGGGAGATGAACGTTCTAAGGATGCCATTTGAAACCGCTCATTTATTCCGTTCATTCATCCTATTGGCCAGAAATTCTCCGAGATCATATTCTGCAAAGATGATTGGTCAATTTAAACCCTAATCCGGTGGGCCTGCAAACGCTAAAAACGCCACAGTCTTAGCCAACAATCCCTCTATCCATCCCCCCTTAGCTTCCTATCTAGATTCTACACTCAACAAGGGTAACTTTCGTCAACTCTGCACACGTAGCACGTGATCCGAGCCCTGCAGTTCCAGGCGGCGATGGCTAAAGGTTAGCCCAGCGGGTCCCCAAAATCTTAACTACTAGTGTTGCTTGAGTAAGAAGAACGATAGGTAAAGGTATAGCTAAGTAATCCCTAGAATTTAGTTAAAAGCCTATTGACCCTATAACAATAGGCTGCCGGTAGCCACGTGATAAGCTCACTGCTAACGAAAGTTACCCTTGTCGAGTGTAGACGCTGATTCGTTTTGATTGGCTCAAGACCTCGGACCCCTTGATTGGCAACAGCCTTGCGGCTATGATGTCAAGTCAGATCAACAGCCCAGTACCAGGTGTTTAAATCCGCCTCTTGGAGGAAACAGAAGTAATATTTTCATGATCAGCTGATGACTGCTTCTGCCCTTCTTGCATATCCGTAGCAAAATTTTCTCATCCCCGTTAGACACTTGATTGTTCATGAGTTCCCCGAAAAGACCCACTCCCCGTCCATGAGCTCGCCGAACATGAGAAAACCATAACAATCCCAGCAATCATCGACTCCATCAACTCGTCCGGAAGGTTCTAGTTCGGAAAATCCTGAAGACTTCTCACCGGTTCTTGCCGCATGTCTCAATCCTCTTCGACTACAGGATAGTTTCCCTTAAGAAAAACAGGTCACGTTGCCATTCTAGGACCTAGGACGAAGTCGTCGAAACTCGCTATAGACCGCAGGCGCCATGGCTAAACGGCAAATACTTGAACAAGCTAAGGCTCCATTCTCCACGACAGGAAAGGATGGGAATTCTACTTCCGGTCCATAGTCGACCCATCTACGGAGAATTAGCCTCGGTTTCTTATTCCCTAATTAGACGTGGCCATGAAGGATGACATGAACGAGGGTTTGAAGCAACTCACATCATTGCGAGCATGGGGGGAATTGGTGGATCAAGTCCGAATCGTATTCGCACGAGGGTGCACTCAGCATAGACCAGGGTTCCTGGATGCCTAAGACTTGGATTTTAAGGTTTGTTGCGGGTAGATAGAGTCAAGGAATCAGCTTTCATGGGTAGAAGGCTCGGTATAAAAAGACCTGCAAAGAATGAACATACCCTCCAGCAGCTCCATCTCCAGGATTGCCAAAAGACGAAGTGACGAAGCGGACTCTCTGTCCCCCGTTCAAGATGGTTTGCTCTCACACTCTCCTTAGAGCTTCTCTCTTCTCCCTCCTCCCAACAAGCTTTGCAGCTCTGGCCATGACCAAAGAAGGTCTCATTGGTCCTGAAAATGCCATGCTCTTCCTGAACGGCTTCCACTTCATCAGCGGCGAGCCTGATCACTACCTCCAAGCAAACCACCACTGTAGTCTGGTGGGTAACACGGGATTCGATGCCTTCATCCAATGCGCTATCTACGTGCCCGGTACCCAACCAGCTCGACTCGCAGGCATCGAGTACATCGTGTCCGGCGACGCTTTCGCCTCGTTTCCCATAGAAGAACGCCAACTCTGGCACAGTCACCAATTCGAAGTTTCGTCGGGTTACCTCATTGAACCCGGACTCCCAGAGACCGTGGACAAAGAGATTATGAAGATCCTGGTCAACTCGTATGGCAAGACGGTGCATACCTGGCGATGGGATCAGAAAAACAACACACTGCCACTCGGCATCCCGGAACTTGTCAACGGGTATACGGGACATGGACAGCTACCGCCGGATTTCGTGGAGGAACGCGATGATTACTACGAGGTCAATTCGACCAAGATTTCGCAGTCACGCCGCGACATCGTGGTGCCGGAAGTTCAACGTGGTGCAGATGTGTGGAAGGAAGGAATCATCCTCACGCTGGGTCTCGTCAACAACACCGGTTCCACCAATTTTGATGTTTGAACAACGAAAAGTCGGCATTGTTCAATAGCCCTGGGATCCTCGAGGAACATCTTATGTGTTTGGAAAGCGGCGTCATGACTCCGCTCTCATGGCTCGCAGCATATTTAGCTCCTCTTAATTGGTGAGAAAGACAAGCGCAGCTGGTGTTGTGATGGCAGAAATGTCTCTGTAGGATAGCAATGAAAAAGGCATCTTCACTCAACCTATGTTTGACTTTGTACTCCTGAATACCAGGGCAAGACCTTTGACTTCTGTCAGGCCGACTTTGCTGAGAATATGATCTCAGTTTCGGTTTTGTCGGCTTTGCCGCTTCATCCGAAATTCATCAGGCTTACATCACTTCTAGCCCGTCGTTACCGTTGCTTACAAATACGGCCCGGCCTCATTTTTGATATAACCCGACTTTGAAAGGCAACGGCGAATAGTTTGCGCCGTTCTCCACTGCGGGGTTGGATCTTCCATCCTCCCTACCAGAATGGTTCGCTAACCGACGACCTAGGTGCTTCTATTTCGGACTGGATGAGAGAGACTTGGAGACGGACATCTTGCGTTCGCATCGCCGTGTCCACCGAGTACGACAGCGATCAAAATATCAACGTCGATGCCCTTCGAGGCCTCGCTCTAGGAGAGTGGACCGTTCATTTGTCCCATCACTCACCCATACATATGAGACAGGGTCGTTACTATATATTTTAGAAGGAGCACGTCTTGGATCAAGTTACGTTGTTCTCCCATCCCGGACAGAGCATTGAACAAACAAGACTTTTACCGGAAATACATCCCTTCCTTGCAAACATGTCAGAGGAAATCATCCTTTACGATCTTGCTTCCAAGCAAGGAAAATGCTGGAGCTTGAATACGTGGAAGAGTAAGTGGATTCATTCGTCCCCAATCAGCTTCATGGCTCCCCGAGTCCAATTTTGATCTTCGTTGGCTGATATGCTATTTGATCAGCTCGACTGTACTTGAACTTCAAAGGCATACCCTACAAGACCGAATGGATCGAGTATCCGGACTTGAAACCGACGTTTGAGAAATTGTAAGGTTATTCATATCTTGATGAAAGGCTCCTTTTCAAAATCGGCACGACATTGTTCTTCATGTCATTTGACTATCCCTCTTCTAACCCTCCTTTCGCCTTTGGTTCCAATGAATCAAAGCAACATCTGAGAACACCGCCGCTCACATATACGATGTTTTCACCAGAGGAATCCCACCCAACGAATCAGGCTTCCAATACACCTCACCAACCGTCCGCCTCCCGGACGGTACATGCATAATGGAATCCCGCAAGATCGCCGACGCCCTGGAATCCAAGTACCCAAATCCACCCCTGCACCTGGACTCGCCGTACCAATCACGCATCGAAGCCTTCATGCCGCAGCTATTTACTCCCATCCGACCCGTCTTCGTGCCCCTGGTGCCCAAGGTCTTCCTCAATCCGCGCAGTCAAGAGTACTATATCGCGTCACGCGAGAAGTCCATGGGTATGACGCTAGACCAGTACGCTCAGGGCAGGGATAAAGGGTTCGAGGACGCGAAACCCTTCGTCAAGCAGCTTGGTGAGATGCTGAAGGAGAATCCCGGCGGTCCGTTCTTGATGGGGGGGGAACCATGTTATGCGGATCTCGTGGTGTTGGGGTGGGTGAAGATGATGGATGGGTTGGGGTGGAAGGAGAAGTTCTTTGCATGCGAGGGCGGAGAGGAAATTAAGAGGCTCTATGAGGCGGGAGGGAAGTGGTTGGAACGGGATAGTTATTGACATGGAAATCTGAGTTAAAGTACACCGGTCGAGGGGAATGATTCATGAGCTGGAATGAAAAACCCTCCAAAGATCTAAGTGCACGTTTTCGTTGAGTGCAAGGACATCCAGATAATTGAAAAAGGGGGGGCGCGCGCTGAAGGGAAAGCATATCAAGGTAGCATGCGATAAGACACTTGTCGGTCACTGAGCTAGGACTATACACTTCGTGACAGGACCTCGAGTTGGTCGACGAGTCCAGTCTACCGGTTGCTTATCTGCATCGATGACCGTCATCTCGTCACTGGTCTTTTCGGATTAAGGTCACCTCCAGCATCGTTATTACCCACCATCCAGTCTCACCGGTGCGTCATGAATCATGCCACTCTAATGACGACCTTTCCAAAATTCTTCTGCTGCCACTGGTATTGGTAGGCGCTAAGAGCATCCTCAAAAGTGAATGCCTTGTCGTCGACGATCGGGTGGATATTGTTTGCAGCAATAGCACGGTTCATGTCATTCAGTTGCGTCTTCGAACCAATCAGAATGCCTCGAACGATCGCACCCGTACCCAGTGCGGCGAGCATGCCGGGCTCATTCTCGGCTTTGAAACCTTCCAGGAAGCCGATGACAGAGATCACCCCTTCGAGTTTCAAAGCTGAAAAGTATGTCAGCATATGAAAATGTTAATCGGCCAGGACCATTTCTCGGGGGAGAAAAAGACTAAAAAGAAAAAGGGGCGAAATGACGAGGCTGCAAAAGACCATGCTCACCATTTAAGGATTGCTGCATCGTGCCTGGTCCACCAACCTCAATGACATGATCCACGCCAAGTTTACCCGGTGAGAGATTCTTTGCCGTCTCGCCCCAATTGGGGTCCTTCTTGTAGTTGATCACGTAGTCGGCGCCGAGTTGCTTCAGACGCTCGGCCTTCGCGTCGGATGATGTGGTTGCGATGACAGTCGCACCACCAGCTTTGGCAAATTGGATGGCAGACAAGGAAACACCACCGCTACCTTGGGTGAGGACTGTATCACCAGGCTTCAAAGCTTTGGATTCCAATCCATAAAGAGCGTTCCAGGAAGTCAAAGGAGCACAACTCAATGTGCCTGCTTCAACGGCATTGAGATTGGCAGGCGCAAGAACAAGTCCAGACTCAGGGAAGACCGCATATTTTCGTAATGTACCGTCGACGCCTCCACCTAGCGAGGACGTCATTGCCGCTGGTGTGGGAGGCCCGTGCTGGTGTAGCTGACTGAAGAGGGTCACAACCATGTCGCCCGTGGAGAATTGAGAGACTTTTGAGCCCACGGCCAGGACTGTGCCGGCGCCATCGGAGCAAGCAACTACGGGGAGATTCAGAGTCAATGGGTATCTGCCCTGGATACCGTGTTAATATGATTTCTCTCAGCATCAAGCACGTTTGGAGAGCAACAAGATCGCCTACCTGAGATATGATTAGATCTCTGTAATTCAAAGAGACGGCATGGATCTGGACAAGGCAACCATTTTCTCCGAGCTCCGGAATTGGGATGTCTTTCTCCAGTTTTAGATTACCCCAGCCATTCTCCGCATTCGCACTGTGAATGACCCAAGCGTCGGTGCTTTTGGGCAGAGACATACTGTTGGACTATGAAAGAGGTGATTGGGAAAGGTGAAGAGTATTTAGGTAGAAAGAAATATGATAGACAAACGATGTGGCAGAGCCTCCCATTTGGAGTATTTATCCATTTCTCCATTCTGATATGACGCTAGGCTGGGTAGACAGGGATTCCATAGAAAAACCTGCTTGGCCCCCCCGGCCCGTACGTGACGACGCGTTTTCGGTACTGATTTGAAATCCGGAACGGAGGTTACATTTCTCGACGGAAATTCCTGTTTCCGTGAAAGATCGTTCATAGGGACTTGTTTCGAAGCTTGACTTGGACATCAGAAGTCATCTCTCTGTGCAGCCAAGGTACGATTTGAAGGGTGAAATCGGTATCCAACGTCATTTATCTGCAAAATTCCCAGTGTTGGAGCGTTTCTAACTTTTCGGCAGCTTGTATCTGATTACGGTATGTAATCCGAGAGGGTTTTGAACTTGATGGAGGCGGAAACTGCGGTTGTAGTAGTGTTGTAGATTGGTAAGCTATACCTACCAAAATCAATTAATCGCTTCATAAGTCGCAGATTTTGGCTATTAAATAATTCTTTGCCCTGGTGGAGAACGCATGGTCGTAACAAACGGACATTTTACCGGGTTGTATGGAAAATGACAAGTCACGAAATCTGAAGCAAGAAAAGCGCCCGATGCCATCAAGGGAAGAATCGATGGTGTGATGGGGGGGGACAGATCGTTCAGTGGAGCATTGGCTTCAAAGCGTTCTCTACGGCCAGTTATAGTGGACCTTCACGCAGCCTTCTCTTTTCGGCGGTTAGGGCTCGAAAATCTTGGCGCGCGAATCAATCTGAATTCCAGTTGCGGTCGAATTGAAACGAGACCTCACCACCCAGCTCCATTAATTTTTCACCACCAGCCTGCAAACTCGAGACCGTTTCGCGGTTGGCAAAGAGCTGAGAAACTCCCGGTCGCCAACATGTCTCAACCTGCCCTCAACAAGATCGCCCACAACAGCCCTTCGAGGCAACATCCTTCCGAGTTGGAAACTAGCATTGCCACCGCACTCTATGAACTCGAGACCAACATCCCCGACCTCAAGTCTGCCTTGAGACCGCTCCAATTTGTTTCTGCTCGCGAGGTATGAAACCCCAGAAATCCCGTGAACGGTGTCATTGGGGAATGAAACCAGAAAACTCACAGATCTCCATCAACCAGCTCGAAGTGGGCCACGGCAAACGCGCCATCGTCATCTTCGTCCCTGTGCCTCTCCTCCCTGGCTTCCACAAGGTCCAACAACGCCTGACCCGCGAGCTTGAAAAGAAGTTCTCCGACCGCCATGTCCTGATCCTCGCTTCGCGCCGGATTTTGCCTCGCCCCAAGCGCTCCCACCGATCTCGAACTTCTCAGACTCAAAAGCGACCTCGTAGCCGAACTCTGACTGCTGTCCACGACGCCATCCTCGCCGATGTCGTCTACCCCGTTGAGATTGTAGGAAAGAGACTCCGAACCAAGGAAGATGGAAGCAAGGTCTTGAAGGTCGTTTTGGACGAGAAGGAGCGTGGCGGTGTGGATTACAGACTCGACACTTACTCTGAGGTCTACCGAAAATTGACGGGTCGTGTTTGTGGCTTTGAGTTCCCGATGAGCAGTGCCACAGATTACTAGACGGTGAAATGGAAAACATAAGTTGGAAGGCGTGATTGGCGGCGATGATAATTGAACCTGCACCGCTCAAGCTGAGAAGTGTACATTGGGGGGGGGGTTGCCGACGAGGATTGTTACCTTTGCATGAAAGGCCCGGGATCACAAGATACAGTGCCACCATTGTAGCGAGGTCGGGAGCGAAAGTATCGTCCAATTCAAAAATTGACAAAGAGAAATACTACCATTCCTCTCCCCCCACCCCACTTGCCTTTGGCAACCAGGCAAGTCATATGGCTCGACGCGAATGATGGCTTTCAAGTAGGATTCTTTGTACGCGACATCATGTTGCTACAGTCCAAAATCCCCTCCACCAAGAACGTCCTTCATGTTGACTTTTCCACTCCCTCTTTCCAAGGGCTGGGCCTGACCTTCACCAGCCTTCCACCCAATCATGTATATCACTCTGAATGTGGCCGGTATCCGATCTTTTTCATCCTCATGGCAGTGTAGTGCTCGGTATATAGCTTCATTGGCCAATAACACATCTCGATTCATGGGTCCACCCATGGATTGAAAAATCGCGTTCCCCTCGCCCATGGCTTGTATATCCGTCATCAGGGTGAACGTGTCCGGATACTCGACAATAATGTCGTCGACGTCGACCGTGAGCAATTTAAACCCCGCTCGTCCCAGGAGATTTCCCACATCTCGGACGTCCGCCAAAGGAGATATGTGCGGAGACACACCACCGCGTCGCTCAAGATCAGCCAGCTGTAAAGACGAGCGCAGTTCGAATAGAGTATCTCCGCCAAACATGGCCGCGAGGAAGGGAGAATCGGGTTTCAGAATGTTGTTGACGCTGGAGAGAACGGAAGGCAGATCGTTGATCCAATGGAGAGACAGAGATGACAAGACAGCGTCAAACGTGTTCGCATCAAACGGTAGCGTTTCGAGAGAGGATAATACCGTCGGCGTGATCGGAACCAGAGGTGCGGGGAGCGAGTCATCGCGGTGAAGAGTGGTGGGGGAGGTGTCGGCGCAGGTGAGGTGCTGGACTCGCTCTGAGAGGGGGATCTTCGCCTTCGTCTGTCCTTCCGGTATCTTGGGTGCAATGAGCGGTGGCTTTGAAAGGGCTCGTGCAATGTTGCAGCTGTTGGCGCCCAGGTCTAAGACCTGAGGAAATTGTCTGTCGATGTCAAGAAGACGATCCACCAGTCGCTGGGCGACCTCATCCTTCAGATAGTCGACTTTTCGACTGTATTCCGCATTCGAGGCAGCTCGTTCTTTCTGCAGGTACTTGACATTCTCATTGAAGATTCGGAGAGTTGGGACTCCGGGCGATTGGACGGCATAGAGTCTGCCAAACCCTGGCCGCCTTGGAAGAGTTGCCGTATGAAGCCAGGGCCGTAAAGCCGGTGGCTTCATCGTGAACTACCTGTATAAGCTCAGACAAGTCAATGCCTGGCCTTACATAAGGAAATAATTACATCCATCACGGTGAAATAATGTCAATAAGAGAAGACGCGAAGTCGCGATTCGCAGAAGGGGAAAGTTTCCCGACCGCGCCCTGGCGCGTTTACCTGTATACGAGAAACATTCGAATGAGCAGTGGAACACGTGCAGGGAGGAGGTAAGTGTTTTCTCGGGAAAATTCAAAAGTTTCATGTCCTTTCTTCTATGAGTTCTCGTCGGCGAGCTGGGCTCCCCCGGAGTGAGGTGTAGCGTTCACCAAAATTCCGTTATCATGGCAACCACCTTCCCTTACACCTTCATCTCCTGCCCCTGCTCAGATGCATCAAGGCGAGCATTGACGTGCAAAAGATCATCACGAGACGTGGACTTTGATCGAGAGATCCAAGCGGACGAAGAGACGTTTGATCCTCGACACCCTCGCTCTGCTTTCTCTCTCTTTCCCCCAGAACATCTCTTGTATTGCGAAGAATGCCACGAGATCAAATGTCCTCGGTGTGTGACTGAGGAGATCAATGCGACATACTGTCCCGACTGTCTGTTTGAAAGTCCGAGAGTGATGGCGAGAGGCGAGGGAAACAGATGTCCTAGAAACTGTTTTCATTGTCCCATATGCACGTCTCAGATGATCACGACATCGGTCGGAGATCCGAAGGAGGGCCCCTTCATCCTGAATTGCAACTATTGCATGTGGAACACTCTCGAAGTTGGGATCAAATTCGACAAAGGCACAGGCATTCGTGGTCAGCTCGACGAAATGGCGAACGGAGGCAAGTCAAGACAAGGATCGTGGAAATCTCCACTCCCGAGTCAAGATGATCCTCCTCGCAAGTCGTCTCTCTCTCATCCTCCCTTTTCTCCTGGCGACGATATTGGAGCTGAAGCCCGAGAAAAGGCAGTGTCCAAAGCCCCTCTAGACGCAACGGCCAGATTCAATGCCTTGAAAGCCTTCTACAAACAACAAATCACCGAATCTTCCGCGACAGACGCGGGCTTTCCAACGTCAGCCCTCGACTTGGCCTATTCTTCACCATCCTCCCTTCAACGAATAATGAACATCTACACCAACCGCGAAAATTCCCTGAAGCGAGCCCGGCAAAAGCTCACCATCATGCGCGAAGCTCGAACAGCCAACGAAGGTCTGCAACTGACGGACGAAACGTCGTCATCTGCTTCCTCTAGGATCGAATACGAAGAAACCACCACCTCTGCACAGAGAACATTCCAGCTTCCTTCCTTCGTCGGGAACCCCGGCGCATCGACAGTGTCTGAACTGAAACCAATGCCGACCTTAATGCGAACGAAACGTTCCAAACGCTGTGCAAGCTGCAAACACATCCTGACTCGACCCGAACTGAAAATTAGCTCGGCACGCTACCGCATCAAACTGATCGCATTAAGTTACATCCCCTTCGTGACCATCAAACCGCTACCTATTCCCGGTGGTCTCCTACCCCCGGGTCCTGATGGATCCGATATGGTACTTTCCGCCGGCAGACCCGTCCAATTCATCATGACACTCCGCAACCCGCTCTTCGACGATGTTAACGTCTCTCTCGGCAGCCCCAGCATCACGCCCGGCCGGCGCGGGCATCGAGTCACGATCCTGTGCCCGCAATTTCAAATTGGAAAGAACAGCGACGCCTGGGACGACGCGCTGAATGCAAACACGAATACCAATACCAATACCAATACTGTCACATCAGAGCGCACAGCAGGCAACACGGCGTCAGGAGAACAGATTGCCGGCAAACTATACGATCAGGGCCGGAATTGGGCGAGCGTCGTGATTGAAATCATACCTGCTGGTATAGTGAGAAACCAAACCGAAGAGTTGGAAGAAGACGAGGATGTGATTGAGGTTCCCATACGTGTTAGGCTCGAGTGGACGGTCACGGACGAGGAGACGGGGATTGTGGAGAGGAGAAGAAAGGATAAAATGATGGAGGAAGGGGAGGATGTTGCGGATGATGGGAAGAGGGAGTTGAGTTATTGGATGGTCATTGGGATTGGGAGAGTTGCTGGTTGAGAGTTGATGGACCATTAGAACCACTCTCCTGATGTTATCTATGGTGTTTCATTGATGTGTGGGCAGTTGAAGAAGGATATTTCTGTTACAGCGATACCCCCAAACGATCAGTATCACAGGTTCAGGCCCCCCAAGGGGGATTTTTATTCCCATCACCATTGACTTTCGCTCTATTTCGGTCGATGTGGATTTCTTTATCTTTGTCGATTTTCATCGTGCCGTCAATCCTCTTCATGCTTCGTGCGGCTGCTCTGCATGATACCTGAGTTGAACATCTTGACATTGAACCATCGTCAAGTTCATTCATACAGTTCTTCGATCGCTCATGACCCTGACAATCCCGCCAACGCCGACGACCTCTGTCAATTTCTCATGCCAACTCAACAGCACACTCATGACTTGTCCACCTCCACCCTCCCCAAAATTTCTCGCCTGTATCTGACTGAACCCCGACCCCGTCGCTTGAGGACTCATCCCTTTACTCCCACCGCTGCTGCTTGTCCCACTCGCCATGCCCTTGTAAATGTACTTCATCAATGTATCTCCCAGGGCCGCACCACCAGGCTGCCTCAGCATTTCGGTCAGGATCCGGCTGACATCGCTCTGTCGGATGCCCTGTAGAACTTCGAGGACGGTGGTGAGGTGGACTTGTTTGGCAGATTCATCGCCGGCCAGCGGAGCAGTTTCGAGGGCTGATTGTAATGCACCGAGACTGTCTCCTGCCCGGAGCAGTTGGCGGATTTGTTGCCCGATTTGTGCGGATTCGGCGGAGGTGGAGGGTGCAGGAAGATTAGCGGGTAAGAGAGTGGTGAGAGGGAAATTAAGGGCGGACTCTGGGTCGTAGGCGTCGATGTTTATCGTCCGCCAGTTTATGCTGGTCATGGTGAGGATTTATGTTTGGTGGAAGGAGGGCTTTGCGGTCAGACAGAGAGAGGTCGTATGGTGGGAAGGGGGCAACTTTGTCGTGCCCAGAACGGCGTTTGTGTCCGTGCTATCAAGCTTTGCAAGGACGAAGCAGATGTTCTCGATTGAAAGAATATCTTTGGAGCACCGTTGAGGCAAATTCAAACTATGATCTTCAGTTGTTATCTTATTTAGCGGCAGGTAGATATTGATGCGGTCCCGCAGCCGTCAGTGCCGGGAGAGGCATATTACCCGATTCGGACGAGGCTGACGCCGCCCTGTGCTCCCCCTTCCCCCAAAAAGCTGTTCGAGACGCAGTATGAATAGCAATAACTGGCTTCAGAATGAGACGTGGACGGATTTATTTTCAGCAGAAGCGACTGTCACGATGGCAACTAGAAGTAGAGAAGGGGCATGGTGCGCGGCGAATGACACCCTCTATGCCGTCCATGCTTCCTACTCGTGAATCTGGCAGCAGGGTCTCATGAGTATGATTTGATTGCAGGGACTATATGATAATGTTTGACTCAGAAGAATAGTGACACTAGGATATCCGTGCCTTGGCTGGTCTATAGCGAAACCGACAGGATATTAGCGATCCGCAGAGAATGCATAAGCAGAGATTCTACGCACCGTATCATTTATACTCAAGCCATATTACCAGTGGCCACCAGAGCCATCCAATTCAATGGCATTGATGACCATGGATGTTGGCCTTGAAGCGATGTGAAAGTGCCATGGGACACATTTTTGTCGATGTTGACCATCAATCTACACGCCTCGACTGGGCCTTCACTCAGCTTGCCTCCATGAACGTTTATACCAGGAGACAGCTGCAGCCGGGACCGACCACATTGACTTTGAAGCCTTCCTTGCCAAGTTGCACAGCGTACTGCGAACCAATCATATTCGATGCTGCTCGAGATGCGGAGTATGATTTGGCTTTGTAGCCGTAGTATGGACGTGGGATAGTCCAAACAGGAGGCGATCGAGGCGAAGAAGGAGGACATAAAGACCAGCTGCGGAATCTCAGCGGCTTAAGTGACACCAGCGGCACTAGTGGTGTCCAAATGAACGAAGACCACTTATAAAAATTGAAATTTCTCAACCAAAGAATCCACCTTTTTTGCACTCATGCCTCCTGGATCTAACATGACTGCGCTCATATCGGATGTAGTTCTGATACTGACAAATCTGTCACTCGCATCGACTTCCGGTACTTCCATGCAGAACAAGTAATGCATGAACGCCGCGATAGCATGTCCAGCCTGGTCATCAATCCAACTGAATAATCCCCCCAGTCTTCGAAAGGCATTGCAAGTCTCTTCATCCAGCATGGGGGTTTTAAGAAGATCACTAACTGATATCGAGAGTTTTTGGTGTTGCGTTTTTTTCTGTCGTCGTACCATTCGTCGCTGTAAGCTTTGTAAGAGATCTCGGGCATTTATAACAGACAGCTGGCGCATTCGATCCAAATCTAAAAGAGACGGCGGAGCATTTGAATCGGTCCCTTGTTGGAGAATGAGGATTTTCAACGCTTCAAGAACTAGCCCATCACACTCGGATGCCAGTAGCTGATACTGCTCTGCTAAATGATATAAGAATCGAAGGAACACAACCCGCTTACGTTTCTGAGCGCTTAGCTGGATCTTGTGCCGTGACTCTGACAGTGCGACGTTTGCCACGACAAACCCGTCCAGTGGATACCTGAGGAGGTCAACAAATGAAGCTTCGTCAAGCGTGTTCTTGAATATCTGGAGAATATAGTCCTGGAGCAGCCACGGAATAGAGAGTGTTTGTGGGTGTGCCTTGGGGACGATGTGGACCTCTCGAAGAAGATTGACGCATGCCCATTCCAGCCCCGCCCTTAATGTGAATGTCGTTTCGACGTTCTCCTCATTTAATATTCTTTCCATTTTCGTGTACATGATGGAAAGGAATACGAGGGGAAGATCTTCCATGCAGAATCTTTTTTGTGTAGCAACGTTAATCGTTTCTAACCACGCAAGTCGATTCTTTGCGAATGATACCAGAGGCAGAGAGGCCACGATTGACTCTCCAGAGGGCAGGGTCCCCCGTTCAGCCATGCGAAATGAACAAGGGTCGCAGGCAGGGACTGATGAAATGATATCTGTCTCCGGGTAGTTTCCCATGGTAAGTGGATACACGAGATTTGAGGAACTTTGAGGCCGTGGAAAATTCGCCGTCACACTGCCACCGGGTGGAACTCTCAGAAGCAGTGCCATGACATGCTCATTGCTAGCACAAAGGTTGCATCGGCCTTTAAAAAAGTCTTTTTGGAATTCTGGCTTTTGGAAACCTGGAGTAAAGAGAGAGGTCGAGCTTAAGCGCCTGCTGTACGCCGGGGGCGCCTGAATGATCGGTTCTAGGTTCGACGATGGGAACCTTGATCTATGACCATAAGCATCCGGAGGGACTTCATACTCGACCCCACCAATATTGTCCTTAGCCAAGTCGAAGGAGCTCAACGACACTTTCCGTACGTGGTTTATGCTAGATTGTCGCCGATGAACCGCAGACCTAGCCGTGTCTAGCCGCGTCTGAACCTCAAGAAACTTGATGTCCTGGGTATTCGCCTCGCGTGTTTGGGTTTGTGCGCGTTTCTGGCCTTCTTCAGGGCTCTCGGGCGCCAGCAGCTTCGTCATGGCGTCTACCAACAGGTCTGATTGTTGCCCACCGTGCAATTTTTCCACGTTGGCTAGATCCCAAGTCTCTGCGGAGGCTTTTTCGACAGAATCAAGCCAGCGGCGAAGTTGTTCAGTCTGGCCTTTGAGCTTGGCCGTCAGGGCAATCGTTTTCAAGTTATCTTCGTTGTCCAGGATACGGTTCGCCATGCTAGTGTCGACCTCCGGGCTCTCAAAAAGTTTCAAGAGGTTCAGTCTGGTGTTGTCTCCTAAAACCACCTCGTCTTTGCTGACGGATTGTGGTAGCGGTATCTGAACACGAGAGAGATTTTCGTACGATGTCCTTGGTAAATCGGTCCAGCGCGTAGCTTGAGTAAGCCTCGGGTTTGACTTGCCTTTTGGTAGAAGAGCCGAAAAGCAACCCTTCGTCTGCAGGACATACGTCTCGTTGCTTCCAATGTCCGTGTACAAGAACGCACAATGTGGGCTCACCGCAAAAACAGAAAGACCAACGGAAACATTGCAGTTCGCTGGAGTTTGCTCCCGCTCTCCGAAGATGGCTATGACGCAAGCGAGACCGTGAAGGCCATATTCGACTAGTTCTCGAGCGAACTGGCGAACATCAGGGGCCAGGATGTCTCCATCCGTCATAAGAAACCAGAATGAGGACCGTTGTAGTTCATAACGGCAATCGGCATCGTGGAGGAGAACGCTGGGCTTAGTGTCCCCGTCAGGGTCGAGCTCGTCAAGGTCATCCAGTGATATTGGTCGAGAAGCATAATGACTCCAGGGTAGAATCCTAATATCTGATCTGGCGGAACGTGGGAACAGAGAGCAAATGTCTCGAATCGCTCGTGCTTCTGCTGCTAAGCCTGGTCCGTATGTGCTTCCGGAGACATCCACAGCTATGGATATCCTCGATTCACGAAATAATGGAGCGATTCTGTTTGACGTAATCCGAGGAGGTTCCGGCCACTGTCTACTGTCTGTGGAGTCCACCGGTGAAAGCTGAGGTTCTTCAGTTGATGGTGCCAGAGGTAGTCGCCGTGACATTTGTGATAAGTTGTCGACATCATCAGATTTTAATATTTGAGCTGAAGGAGCCCAGGTTTCAAACTGGTCGGAATCTTCTTCGGTATTACCAGTCCCGGAGGCTTGTGTTCGCTCATTTGACGAATGATTGATCTCAGCCTTGTCAGAAGGTTTGTCCGCTCCACCAGCGCCTTCTCCATCTTCTCCCCGATCTGCTTCGACAGATGCATTGGGAGATCGCCTAATTTCCAGCAAAGCTGTTGTGACGCCAAACGTATCCTCGGACGAAGGTCCATCCATCTCGAACTCGACCTCCAACAACTCACTCTCTGAGCCGGAAAAATATATGCACTCAATGCATATGATTATTTGTAGCAAACAGTTTGCATATACATTGATGGAATGGACGAGAGAAGAGCGAGATTATGGAGTTAGGGTGAAATCCCAAAGCGGGACTGGAACGCAGAAAAGGCGTATGTTTGCACGGAAGTAGCCGGTCGATAGAGAAGTTCTAGATGCAAAGTTGAGTCTTGACCGAGCCCCACAATCGCGGCTCTGTACGGTTGATGGGCTGAGCTCGAGTTGCCTTGCGGCGAGTGTTGCAGAACGCCTGGGAGGCGCAGCAAGCCCCAGCCCTCGCCACCATCGTCGAGGGGGTTTCGGTGGGTCCCGGTGCCGTGAGGACTTCTTCCTTGCTTTAAAGGCCGGTAGAGCGTGTTCGACAGTCATTATGCAGGATGATTGCTTGACGTACGTTTTTCTTCCACCCTTCTCAATTAACGGCTCAACCCATTCATAGTTCTGGTCCTATTCACAGAGAGTCATCAAGGCAAAAAGGACTTTGAACTCTCCCCCGGAGGGACATTAACAGGTGGTATTTGCGACCTGGTCGGAGTAGCTACCTATTGGATCTTCTTTTCGTCCAATCTAAATTCTTGGATCCCTCAGGCTCTGATGGCGAACACATAACCGAATACTGGGAGAAATTGCTACTACTGGCTTTGCTTTCTCTGCTTTCCCGATTTTCCAGAGGTGACTGCGCATTTATGGTTGACGAAATAGTATTATCCATCGCCACTCCCGACTGGATCGTATCGAGTCCAGGTCGTGACCTTGAATAAGAACCAGGTCCACCGTGTGCCGTTGAATATTTCGAAAAATTGCTTTCGCCGCTGTCATGTTGGATATGTTCGCTGATAAAGTTGTCTGAAGTCAGATGTGGCGTAGGTAGAGCGTGCATTGGCAGTGCGAAGGTAGAAGATGTAGAAGGATGTGTCGATAGAGAAGACTCTTGAGAGACCGTCCAAGCAGGATTGTAATAGCGGGTATAGCTCAGCTTGTTAGCCACGAAACTGCTGGACTTTGCTTGATCATTCTTCTTTTCAATTGCTTCAGTAAGTTCTGGCGTCGCAATATCTTCAGAGCTTGCCGTCGAAGCTATAGGTGTAGTGAACGATCCAGCTTCTGGATATGCGAAGTCTCGTGTAATGATGTCGTTCTGCCTCTGAGCCTCTTTGTATTCCATGACTATCGATGTTGGACTATCGTCACTTCTGTCTACAGGCAAGGTTTGGGGATCTCTTTCCCCTTCCTCACTTGTGTCCGTCCTTGGGCAGTGACAACATTTGGGCTTGATTTTGCAGCAACTTCAGGTACAGAAGAAGTTGTCCTGGTCGGATTTAAATTGTGCTTGAGGGTTGTAAATGTGAAGGTGAAATAAGTGAGATGACGGCGCTGTCAGGTGGTTTACTGTAGCATTTGTGAGTCCCAGAGGACAAGGGAGGCTCTAACGATGTAGTACCATGACCCAAAGAGGCTTTATGACTTTTGTACTAGTGGAGGGGCCCGAGTCGGCTGGTGAGGCTGAGCCAGTAAGTCCGCCCTTTGAAACGCATCTGTCTCCACTGCTGGAAGCCAATAACTTTGGGCGGCCACTCTCCGGGGGCCGCAGCGCTTCTAGACCTTGGCCGATCTGCCTACTTTGACGCGGGCAACCTGGATCACCAAAACCCCATCGTGGAGGAGTATTGCATCAACCACAACAAGCCATTTGGTTCAAAGGGGGCATCGGAGTCTAGCAAAGCTTCATTGGACGAGAGATCGACCTCCACCATTCATCAAGACTCTGAAAGCATCGTGGACAGGTGATCCTAAAAGTCTACCTGCTATCGTTATCCGCCGCTACGGCACGACCGGACTTTGAAGATATATGGCTTGAACATGGTCAATATCGACTGGTTATGGTTGCTGCAGTGACAATTAGTCGTTGAATGGATGTGCCAATTGCGCCGTACTCTCCCAAGGCATCCATGGCTTTGCGCCAGTTGACTCCTCCGACATCTCTGAATGGATGGACTCAGACATGCAGTAATCAGTGCCGTGGCGGATGTGTAGAGGAATAACACAGAGTATCACTAAGCAGATAGATAGTCTGTTCCAGATATGTTCGCTGGGTGTTTTCTGTTGTCTATTGAGCCACTTTCACGCAAACAACGACGCATTGAAGTGATATTCGATTGGATAGCATGTGTCCTACATAGAGTGGTTGATCAACCGGTTTCATGGAGGTGATGAAGTTTGATAGAATAGGCATAGCAATCGAACATGGATATAAAATATGTATTTTTCGGTATGCCGCCATTAAGCTACCGTCTCTTTTCCGCGGGGGGAGGACGTCACTAACTCGCTTTGTCTGGCCTCCATGATTACCTGTTTTCTTTTTGCCTCTGCGTTCAGTGTCAGAGCTTTGTCGGTGTGCATGATGGAAGAGAGAAGTTCCGACAACATCCATTGTCTGGCCTCTCCGTCAGCTTCCAGATAAAATGCAATCTCGACGAGAACGGATCAAGTCAGTCCTGCGGATGATCACTCGGTCCACGCCATTACCGGTGCAACTGTAGATGAGTAACAGAAAGAAGCCTTTTGGAACCTCCAGCGCGGCCAGTTTTATGCAAAAAGTGAAAAGACTGATGGAGTAGATCAATACCACCTCTTTCATCTCAGTCTAAGCCACGCAGCGCTGGAGCAGGCAGATCTATGGAGGATGAGTGACCGGCCAAGCGACTTTAGGTAAGTTACCTTAGGTGCCTAGATACCTAAATTCCGGCGCATTCGTGGGGTAACTTAGGTGTCCAATGCCCAAATCATTGCTGCTAGGGAATAAGGAACGTGGGGGTTGTTTTGTAGAGACCTATGAAATCCATGGCCTTCAAAAAGCTTGTTCGACAGATACCCTCAAATTCTATCCTACTTAGAGGTGGCCTGCCCTCTCATACTATTCGCGCGTAGCCGGAATCAGAGTTTGACACATCTTTCTGGGTTCCAATAGATAGGACAACGGGCCCTGCTTATGTTTGAATTGTGCCTTGATCATGGCTCTCGTTACCACCAGGCCCTAGGTCAGCGCGTACGCAGCCTCTTCGTCTCGCACCGCGATGACGAAAGTTCCACCAATTTTAAAGCGGAAATGGCTCTAGTATACTTCCTAAATAGTACTAGCCTATCACGCGTTAGCATATCTAAGCCTAATTAGGAATTACCACTGACCGGAGGCGTAGAGCACGGCACAGAGCTTGTCTGTGGGATGTTTCCGACAGGTTGCGGCTCACTGTTGACATGATAAGCTTACTGGGAATAAGTAAAAAGTCTGAGATGGAGCGAGAAGCTGAACGAGATTGTTTACAGTGGAACGATCAAGGGTGTGTCCCCGGTGCACTTGGTGCTGACTATGCCAGCCTTGAACTGCCAAAGTCGAGAAACAATAGGGCGGGTTTCAGTCTCGCGATAAATGATCTGGGGAAACCATAATTGCAGATGTTGAGGCAGCGTAGGCCAGCAGCTAGCTGGCCATGAACATGTAGACGATGCGAGCACCAGCTATGAGATAGCCGTCATGGTATGCGGTGATGAGGGGTGTTCCCTTAGCTGCAATCGTGGTGGGATGACAATCTCCCCTTTGACTGGATAATTATCAACTTCCTTGTAGCTGTTGCGGAGGGTCAAGACAAACGATCGCCAGACTGGTGACAAAAGACTTACATTTCAATTTAGGATCTGGCAGTCAGGGCAAGTTTCGGAAGCTTCTGCAACGACGAAGCCGACAGGAGAACACCTACTACAGAAGACACGGAAATAAATCAGCCTAGCCCAGCCCCGCGTCGGATTTTGGTGGCCTGATAATGGAATTCACGCTTTAGCCGCTGAGCTTGCTCGTGCTCAACGACAGCAAAGTTCGACCGCAATTCAACCGACCTAAGCGCAAGGGCAAACGATGGATGGAAAGGTGCCAGATCTTCAACCCAATGGATTCTCAATTGCAACTTCTATACCAAAGCGCCTTGAGAACCTACACCTAGCATTTCCTGATCAAGCAGCCGCCAGTGAAACGTAACAAGTACAAAATTAAGTGAAATACATAACCATGTCGGCCACTCACGGACGCTAAGCGGAAATGAATCCTTTGTAGATGTCGATTTTACTGGCCCCAATCTTTGAATCCGGTGCCTCGCAACTTGGAAGAGAACGGGAGCCGGGGCCTCCTTCAGACACGCATCTAGCAAAGTACATACCTGTTAAATGCGACATTCCTGGATGTGAAAAGCTTATGCGGAACGATGAGCGCATGCGTCTGAGCTGCACGACTATGAACCGCGTCTTCTTTGTACAAATTCCGGACTGTCTCCAATCTTGGATACCCAATGATTTCCTTCCCCAGTGGATTCATGATGAGCATGTGAAAATGGTTCATACCTTTGTCAAAAAATACAATTCATTGAAATTTCAAGAAGCTCTTCTACCGGATCGGAATATACATTGAGCTCGTCGTGATGCTGTCCAGTTGGATCTTTAAGTTAGGAAAACATCCAAGTAGAGGAGCGAGATCCTATGGAGGAACATGGATCTTGCTACTTGGCCCGATCCTCTACAGGTTATATAATGCAAAACCCGGTCTCTTGTCCGCAGGTGCGTTGAGTCCCCATGCCTGAGTGCTATCGTCATGCACCGTGGTCCTTCTCAAATCTCTTCTGAATTTCCCAGCAAATGACCCACCCTCAGCTCTGTGCATGACGCAGGTATTGTCCCAAATAATCAGATCACCAGGGTCGTTCCAGGGGATACTCAAAGTGTATTTCTCCTGAGTTGCATGCGCCATGAGTTTCTCCATCAACTCCTTTGATTTCTCTGCGGGCACGTCTACCACATGGTCCATGTGCGCGGCGATATACAGGTTCATTCGACCAGATGGCTCATGTTTCTGCACAATGCGATGTTTGTGCATCGGGTACTTCGTGACGTCCAGGTCTTTGAAGTATTCCGGCGCGGCTTTCTTGCGTGACGAATACAATGAGTGGGCGCCAATATAGTCGTGCTCCAATAATTCATCCTTTAATTCCGGATCGAGCTCTTCAAATGCTGTTCGAGTGTCGGCAAACCCGGTGTTACCTCCCGTATTGGGCGGTGGGAGTTCATGGGCCTTTAAAATCGAGTAAGATGCTCGTCGGGGATTGAAGGAGGAGTCGACGTGAAACAAAGCATTGCCTTTGTTATACTGAGCACGCGGACTGTCGGGTTTGAGAACCGAGTTTGTTTCGGGATCAATGTTTCCAGCGTCAAAAAGCTCGTAATACTCGTACCGAGGTTTTCTTCCATTTGTCATATACGGTCTGATATCGTCCAAATCACCGAAGCGGCGAGAAAATTCAACATGGCTTGTGTCGTCCAGCCCAGTCTTGCGGAATACGATCACTCCATACTATGCCCAGAGTCAGCTATCGAGCTGTGCCGACGAAAGAAAGTCCTTGTCGGCATACTTTAGCAGAGGCAGCGAGAATTTCATGGAACACATCATCTGGAATAGGCTTTGAAAAATCAACGCCTTCGATCTCAGCTGCAAAAGTCGGGTGAAGCTTCTTGATCTGAAGCGTTTTGAACTCGGTGTCCGGATTCAGCAGGAGGCCGGGCATTTCGGCAACGACCAGAGGTAAGAAGGCACTTTACGATGTGTTCAAGGGGATTCATCCACGATCCGGGGAATCAAAGAGCCAAATGGTCGCTTATATCTCGAAAAGATGCCTTGAATTGAAGCATCCGAATTCGTTGACTCGGCAGTTCTCCTTACCGTTCTCTCTCTCCATCTGCCGAAGCCCCATATTCTCACTCCCATTCTCTCGCTAATGTATATCGAAGAAATCCGTTCAGCCTTGACCGTCTCCGCACAATAGACAAAACAATCTGTGCGGGGAACGCTTGCTGGTCCCGCCTTCGTCTTTGTCGGATGGAGAAGATACATTTACAGTACAACGAGAGTGAGCGAGCTTGGAGAAGCACACAAGATTCGAGGGAAATTCTTTATTGGTCATCTCCAACCTGGGAGGTCTTCGGTATTTGCTTGAGAAAATTCAAAGCATCCTGTGGCGCTCGTACAACAAACGTCCATGACCTCTGCCGAGTTCCGAAACCCTTTGTTTCACAGACTAACGATCTCGAGGATCATCTTTTCCTCATTGGGTCAGCAGCACGTTCCTGGAGCCTATTCGCGTGTCTTGATTCGAACTCTTTACAACCGATTCGAAGAGGCATGCTAGGTTTTCTTTTGTGTCCCGCGGTCATCGTGACACAATTGTGACAAGGCTGCTTCAGTCACACTTATCCAGAAGGAAAGTTTTGAAAAGTCCCAGACAATGTTTGCATATCTGATACCCCTTTAGTAAGAGATGGAGAGGGCCTTGATTTCAGTCAGCGCTAGTGATGTGGTTGGGTTTGTGATCTCCTTATCATCTACTCTAATGCCGCTGCTTCTCTGAAAGAGGTCCAACAGAATGCATCTTCCTCCAGAAGAATAAGCATGCGGCAACACCGGTGTGCAAGCATGGCAACCGCTCTTCTCCCAAAGAATGCGGGCAAATTTTACTAATTTCAGGCAGCATTCCATTCACCCCTCTGAAAGCACAGACTCTTGCAACGACGATCGCTATGAAACTGATCGGCGGCCTTCTCTGTTTTGGGACTTGCAGTTATTTGTACAGGTGTGGTTGTTTATCCCCAAGTTCCTCTCTTCACACCTAGCGATAGCGGGACCGGATTCAGATGACCCTGACTCTGAAGAGACATCACCTGTATCACCTGCAGAGCAGGCAAACCCGGAGACCATTCGAGGCCAGGGCCTAGGGACCGTCTAGTCTCGACAGCCAAGTACAACAGCGGAATTAAAGCAAAATGCCGTCAGAATGGCTGGAGAAAGAGTTTCGCCCGAACAATCCACCGAATGCAAGCATCAAAGAGGAGGCTAACGATGAGCAAGAAGAGCTTTCGACCGAGAAAGGACTCCCTGAATATTTCCCAATACAGTTCGAAGGATCGGGGAAACATCAGTATCAAACGAACTTTGAATTCGACAGAAACATGCCGGATGCAGAGCAAATACCCCATTCCCGAAGGGGGCCGTCCCGTCGCGCCACGCAACAAGTTCAGCCAGAGATACCTAAAGAAAAGCATCATCATGCGCGCCAAAAAGCCAAAGAAATATTGGACGATGAGGAAGAAGAACTTTTGCCGGATCAAGTTAAGAAAGAGAATCTTCACGACCGTCAACGTGACCGTGATGAATCAGGCTGCCGTTGTCAGTCTCTGTATTGCGAATGCCCAGGATGTAGCCATTCGGAGCAAGTCAAGCAATTGAATGCAGAAACACGGAGAAAATGGGGATCGGAACAAGCCCAAGAGCAAACCTGTGGCAGTGGATGTCAGCAGCAGAAGTGTTCCTGTCTTCCGGGGCTGCATTGCTGCAACAATTGCCATACGCATTCCAAGAAAAGCGTCGAAGGGCAGGACAGTTACGAGGGCAATTTACCTAGACAGAAATGCCAATGTCAGTCCAGTAATTGCCAGTGCAATGATTGTCCCGAACATATAAGGGCGAAAGCCGAATATGGACCTTCAAGCGAAGAACTCGTCCAACAATCAGATATATGGGTTCGATGCTCAGAGCCTCCGCCTGACTGGCAGGATCAATTTCCAGATGGCGAGTTGGTGTGGGCCAAAGACGGAAAATTTTCCATCCAAAGCGGTTTAAACTGGGGGATGCCTCGCGAGACGATCGAAAGATTCGACAAGGAAATCGTTCCTGGGAGGCCAGATATGTCCCGCGAAGAGAGAAGTAAAGCGCTGTTCGAATTTCACCGTCTCGAGATGGAAGAAGAGAACAGATGGAGGGGCCAGCATGCAAGATCAGAAGAACATGACCCTAAATCGGCCGAGTACAAATGTAAGGATTTTGCGTACATCGAAGCCCAAGCCTTTTCGTGCATTCGTGGTAGCGAGTGTGCTTGCTCTCCAGGTACCTGCAAATGCGGCGACAGGCAACATGAACCTCCATCGATCATGGTGGAGGAACCCGGAGAGATCAGACCCAACAAACATGATGCATCCTTTCCACAGCCACAACAAGTGACAAGACTCTGCCAAGAAGAGGACGTCGATCGAACTGTGACTTCGAATCTGAACACGGGAGGCCCCTGTCCGGAACACCTTCAACTGCCGGAGTTAATGAGCGAATCGTCCACTCAATCTTCCTCTCGAGTTGGAACCTCGATTGATTCTGTCCGTCAAGGGTCGAACATATTTATAAGCCGACCAGACACTCCACGACCTCCTGCGACCTCGGTTCCATCGACACCGTATGCTTCGGACGTCCTTCAAGACCATATTCAACAAAGTGTAGAGCCTAAACTGCCACGGCCGAATTGGCTCCGGGGGTCAACGCCTGCATATGAAGATCGCTCTCTCACTCCGTCTCCTATCTCTAGGCGTGGAGCTGATGTGGCAATGCGAGATGTCTTGGGAGAAGTCTCACCCCCGGCATGGGACCGGGAAGAATCCTTTCCACCAGCAACGCTACAATCCGAATCCCGGATGAAAGTGAGCCCACATACTTCACCAAAGAAGCCGGTCCTACCCCCAATACCCACCGGCACTAGTCCGTTGAAACAGCCCAAACGTGGGGATAGACGGAAATCCGGTGTTCAGGGCGCCAAAGTCGACAAAAGATCTGTGACTGGTTCGACCAAGCCAACGTCGACGCCCACGAGCAGGAATGTGGCCAGGACACCTACAGCTGTTCGTCAGCCCACAAGTTCGGTTGGAAAATTGGTCGAGCGGGCACAGAAGGTTGTCGGGGAAGACGGAGGGAAAAGGATTACCGGAGCAGGGAAGGGCAAGGCAAAGGCAGGTGACAAGGCCCCCCGGGCGGTGGAGGAGATCGAAAAGCAAATAAGGCGTCAAGAGGAGGAGGAATATAGGAAGCAGAAGGACGGAACCCCGGTGCGCAGGAGTGCGAGGGCGAACAAAGGTGTGAGAACGTCGACGGGCAGTCTTCCTTGAGAAAGAGATCGCACGGGCTAGCGAGGAGAGAAGTAATTCTTGCCTCGGTATCTCTAGCGACAATAATTGAGATACTCTAATTCATATTATGCGAACTTCATAATCGGTGATGTTCATCAGAATCAATATGTAGCAAGGCAAGACTGGGCGGGTCAAAATCACGGCAAGCGAAGGGGTTCATCCGTCATTTGAAACTTGAGGTCATTTTATTTTTGCAAGTATGATGTCGACAAGCACCACCTCATGTCTCATCGTGACAGTTGCATTCCGTCAACTTTATCCGGAGTATTATAACCATTAGACACTCAAGAAATCGCGACATCCTGAGCCAACAACAACCATACCAATGGCGCTTCCCATGCCCGACCCCACGGTCCCACCCCTCCCATTATCTCAGTACAAAGTCCTCTCCTTCGACGTCTACGGCACACTCATAGAATATAAAGCACACATCCTCAGCTCATTCCAGCCCTTACTCTCACGTCTGTCCGCATCGTCACCCTACCTCAACACTACACCATTATCAACTACAATCCCCGACTCTGCGACTGTCGGTTCCGTTGAATTCCTCAAACTCTTCCAAAAGACCGAAGATACCATCAAATTGGAGAAGCCCGTCAAACGCTTTGACGAGATTCTCGCTGAAATCTGGAAACGTATCGCGAAGGAACTTGACGTCGAGAGCAGCGAAGATGAAGCTCACGCCTTTGGAAGCGAGGCCGTCATCGCCAGCTGGCCTGTCTTTCCAGCTACTTCGGAGGCCCTTAGCCAGCTTGGCAAGCACTACAAACTCGTGGCGTTGTCGAATATCGATCGCTATGCGTGGTCTATCACAGCATCGTCACCCGTCAGTCGGCTTGGAGACGTGGACTGGTGGAAAGTGTTTACGGTAGAGGACTTTGGCGACGATGTCAAGCGCACCGACGAGATCAAATTGGAGACTTTGATTCATTTCTGTACGGATCAGGGTATCAGGAAGGAAGAAATCCTGCATGTCGCGCAGTCGCTGGGTCACGATCAGGCACCGGCCAAGAGGTTGGGGTTGAGTAGTGTCTGGTTGATTGGAGATGGACCTCGATGGGGGAAGGAGGCAGAGAGCAAAATGGCCCTGGAAAAGAAGTTGGTGGGTTATGCATGGAGGTTTCAGAATTTGAAGGAGTTTTCGGAAGAAGTCGAAAAGGTCAAAGGGCAGTCGCAGTAAGGAGGGGAGATCTTTCGAGGGACACAGAGCATGCGTGGCTTCATCGATGAACATCGATCTAACTAGTCACTCCTTCCACAGAAACATCTCTGTGTGTGCAACTAGTTAGTTGTCTATCTCTCCTTCAAATCAATCCACGGGGGGAATTTATGCCACAACACCAAGGGATATTTTTCTTTTTTTTTTTTTGGGCCGCTGTACTCACTGCTCCATCTCTCCCTACCTTCATCCTCCCCAACTTTTTGCAAGTCACCGTCAGTTGGAGTAATCGGATCAGCAGATCAAATCTCCATCACAACCTTGCCAGGATCAACCTATCTCAGGATAAGTCAGGTTTCGACCTATACAGTTTCTTGGTCTGACACTGAAAGGAAAGAACACGCATTTAGATTGTCATTCTCAAACTCTGGGTCTCGATCCTCCAACCATTCTCAGGGACATATTGATGGGATCTCGCGAAGTGGGAGTTCAAATTGTACACCACGTCAGGAGGGAAATTGATGATTGTTCCACCCGGCAGTCAGACGCCACCTACTACATCTCCGGGTCCGGGGACATTTCTGCGAGAATAGATCGGCTTAGGAGGGTAAATCCTCATAGTCTCGTTGAGAATGGCCAGCATGTACGGGAACTCGGATGCACAGTGTGGTAGTATTGGTTTTCAGCTCCCCTCTGTCAGTCCCCTCCCTGTCACATAGCCTACAGTCTTTTCAAAATCTCCATATTTCAAATATTGTCCAAGAAGTCTCTTCTGTCCTTCCAAACTTTATCTGTCGTTCAACTTTCTCGGAGCCGTACTCATAACTTTCAACTCGTTGACACCAACGACGTTCGGGTACCAGAAATGGTATGAGAATGGTAAGACGGTATTTTTGGACAGCCGCTAGGAAAAGGATAGATGTCAATGATCCCGAGACAGCATCTATCCAAGGATGACAACGAGAGTTGTCTAGACAGCCGAAATGTCCTCTGAAAGCAAGGTCACCGATCAAGTCCAACGTTACCAGTCTTTGGTGTCGAAGAGGCTAGAGGGCGAATGAGAAGATCCATGTATTTGGATGATACGTGATTCCTGTGCTGAGAAGGCATGTGGGGAAGACGTCTGAACCTCTTATGGTCCTCTCTTTTGACAGAAACAATTTTCCCCGTACCCTGTTCACTGAGGTGTTTATGAGCTCTTTGAAGAATTCATCGTAACCTTGTCGTGTGCCCAAACGTTCTTCCAGGCTTGTGCAGTCGTAAAGGAGAGTTGATCTGTGCAATGCAGAGGGACTAAGGATGATCCTTTCACGAAAGATAGCGGATGAATTTTTTGGATGTGGAACCATCCGCAGGCATCAAGCGCCTATATTTGCTAGATGAGGCTGAAACTTTATCCTGAGATCATAGCACGGTGAACGAGTCTATGCCTATGAATCGATGAAGAGAGTTTGTTTTTCTATATCGATTTTGGGATCATCCAGAACGTTTTGTTTCCGCCGAAACTTTTTTCCGTGCTAAGAAAGTCGGTTGAGAGTGACAAAACTGACCCTGTTTGGCACGGCCTTCCCCTCTCCATGATTGCAGCCTTGCTGCATTTGCTGACTTTTTTTTTTTCTTTTTTGTTCAGACATCTTTACAATTGACAACGATTCGCTCGCGAAGAGGACCATTGCAGTCAGCAGCAGGTAGCGCATGCAGCTAGATAGCAACCGGCCTTCCCGGGCCACACTCCGTGAGCATCACTCTACCTGTTCCCTGGCAAAAAACCCCCCTTCTAGTCTGAATACTTCAGCATGGCCAAGCATTATTTGCAAGAACGAAAGATATCAAGCATGTCTATCAATTGATCCGTTGAGAAACTTTCCTTTCGTGTCACCGAAAGGCCAAAGCTTTAGCCAAAAAGAGACAAAATGAGCTTCAACATCTTGCTATCTATGCCAGTTGTTCTGGGATGCTGTGGAGTCTTGCTTCTCTATTACATTGTCACAGGAATCGCCTCTTATCGTCATCTCAGCCACATCCCAGGTCCTATCCTCTGGGGTTGGTCCCTCATCCCCCTCTTCCGTCTCCCTAACTCAGGAGAAATCTACAATAGAACTGGCGAACTTCATGCTAAATATGGCCCGTTGGTTCGAATTGGACCAAATTATCTTCTCGCTTCAGATCCAGAGGTTCATAGACGGATGGCAGCGCCTCGGTCTCCCTACAAGCGCTCAAGCTGGTATCGTGGTACTCGCTTAACTCCAGGTGTTGATAACGTGTTATCCGAAACTGACGAACATCGTCATAATGATCTTCGGAAACGGATGGCTGCCGGCTACTCGGGCAAGGAAAATGCAAGCTTGGAGGCTGACATCGACGGATGTGTCATAGATTTTATGCACCTGATCGATAGCAGATATGTCTCAAAAGATCGTCCTGTTCGAATGGAGTTCGCGAGAATGGTTCAATTCTTCACAAGCGATGTCATGTCTACGCTCTCATTCAATGCTAAATTCCACGATCTTCGCGATGACCATGACAACTACGGATATATCCATGAGGTGGAAACGCTGTACCCAAACATCTTCGGCGCCGCAGTCATTCCCAACGTGATTGAATTCCTGACCAACCTGGGAGTGCTTGACCTGATCACTCCCAACGAAAATAGCAAACTGGGGCTAGGAAGGATTCAATCCATCGTCAAAACGCAAATAGCTTCAAGATTTGATTCGGCAGGACTGCCGAAAGACGGTCAGCAAGATATGCTTGGAAGTTTTATCAGGCATGGCTTGACGAGAAGGGAACTTGAGCAGGAAAGCATGATGCAATTGTGAGGGTGGCGACTGTCCAGCCTGGGGGATTTTTCCATTGACCCCCTTCCAGGGCTGCTGGTTCAGACACTTCGGCAACAGCCATCCGTGCAACGGTGCTATGTATCATGAGAGACCAAAGGGTGTATGCGAAACTCATCGCTGAGATCAATCAAGGCATAAAGGAACATAAGATCCCGTCGGGGCTGGGAGACGTCGTTTCCGACGAACAAGCAAAATCATTTCCATACCTTCAAGCAGTGATAAAGGAGGTAAGCCTTCCCAATCACCAGTTAATTGCGAGACACGATGAACTAAAAATGCTCCCAGGGATTGAGAGGGTTTCCCCCCCATCACCGGACTGCTGGCAAAACAGGTCATTTGTAACACCGTTGCACCAGAGAAACTTGCCCTGATTCTTGTGAATAGGTTCCCCCCGGAGGCGACACGATTACCGGTTATTTCGTGCCCGAAGGAACTGCAATCACGTATGTCAATTCCGAGTCCATCAAATTAACACCGATCCTTCTAACATTTCTGGACGTTAGCTACTCAGCAAATGCAATGCACCATTCTGCACTCCTTTTTGGCCCTGACGAATATTCTTTTCGACCGGAACGTTGGATTCACGTTTCGGAAGGCGGTGATGAGCCCTCAAGAGAGAAACTCGCACGGATGGAGCGAAACAATGACCTCCTTTTCGGATACGGTAAATATCAGTGTCTGGGTAAGGCGGTGGCGTTTATGGAATTGAACAAGATCTTTGTCGAATTACTTCGGAGGTTCGAGTTCACGCTCCTGGACCCCGAGAAGCCGTGGAAGACGAGGTGCTATGGGATCCATTTGCAAGAGGGTCTTTGGGTCATGGTGAGGAGAAGAGGAACATAAGACATGAATATCGGTCGATGAGGCCAGTGGACGGGAGTTTTCGCAGTGCAATCAGGAATCTGTAGGCATTTATTTCTGGGTACTGCCTGTTGTAGCGGCGCGAAGAGAATGTATGAGCTAACTAGAACCATCTGTTGGGGGTGGCCGCTTTATTTATATATGCTCCGCAAACGCATGTTAGTCTAGCATAAGCTTGAGAGTTCTTTGGCTGAAATCAACATGCCACGTGACTCCGAAAATGGCTTGCTCTGATTGGTTGGAAAATTTATGCAATTTTAGATGTATCTGCCCCTTTTTAACATTACAATTACCCCCTCGATAACACCGTCACGACGAGGCCTCTAGCATCGTCAAGGGTCTCTATAGAATGGTCCCAACTAGGATTCAATGTGTTCAAGGTACGATCGTATCTCAGCCCTTGAAACCCTGGGAAAAAATGATGGCAATGCAAAGGGGTGCCATAGATATGTAACACCCAAATATCACGCCACGAAATCCCAGCCATCGTAAGAGTGGCAGGAAGGGGGCTGGGCGTCGAAAGGGGGCAGGAAGATGGAAGGATCGAAGGTATAAAAGGGGCCTTCGAACCCTTAGGTAGAGGACAGGTTTCAGTACATTACTATTCTTCACCCTACCTTGTGCACTCGCAACGGTTTATGATCCTTCTCTCTACACCCCTCGTAACAGATCCTTACCCTTCGTTGGTATCGTTGTTACAAGATACTCTGTATAAAAACACGAGGCGCTGGCTCCAACGGCCCTCGGAGCACTCAATCTGATCAGGTTGACAATGGAATCACCACTTATCAACTCGGGCCGACGAAGGGACCATGGTTGAGCTCATCTAATTCGAAATTAAACGATATATTCTTCCGCAGAAACTGACCTCGACAAATCCCAATTCCATTTTCAACCTAGAGCACTTGCTGTTGTCGCTTTTGAGTCATGAGGAAGCTATCCTTGGGCTGTGGTGTGCAGTCCCGCAGTCATTTCCGAACCAAGTGCCGAATGGCTTGCTGAGCCCTTCGAGCGTCCCCATTTTCCGCTCCTACCTGGCTGAAGGCCCTGTCTCTGTCATGAGAGAGCCCCACGTAAGCCCGACGTCGTACCCCCTAAGAGCCTTCTCCTTCCTGTTCCATGCAACACTCGAATTTTTGATTTCCTCCTGCCCCTTAAGTGCAGTGAGTCGATACCATCAGAACTGCCTGGCTGCCATTTATCGGTTCGGGATAGCCAGCACGATCATGCGCCTAGTGTTTACTCGAGCATTCTGACAACATTGCAAAAGTACTAAAATATGAGCAATCAGGGCTGGTGCGTGCTTATCACATTGCCTAAATAGCCGGCTAGCCCCGGTGTGAATGAATGTACTAAGGTAGACTCAGGCGGAAAAACCTGTGACTTGTCCTATTTCGAAGGGGTCCAAGGGACCGCCCGACTATATAGTTTCGAAGCGTGTACGAAGCGTACAACGCTTCCGAAGGTCTTTACAAGCTACATATCACATCCCCCTTGCCGCCCCGTCATCGGATCCAATCCGTGGACCATGTGGCCGGGGGGGCATCCTACTCGATAGGTGTCGATATCCTCGATATCGACATGATCCACCAATCGGATCCAGTCTGTGGACCGCCTCAGACAAGCTCTACTGATCACACTCGAGATGGTTCGTAACCGAGCGTCAACGAACGAGCCTCGATGTCGAGATGATCCATGAATTGGATCCGATGGGTCGTGGTATTTCATCGGATCCAGTCTGTGGACCACCCCAGACAAGCCCCTACTGATCACACTCGGTTGTCTCAGCATCTCAGACGCTCTGTTTGCCGCGCGCCAATCAAAAGTTCGAAGAGCATTTTGGCAAACGAGTCTGAGCTCCAATACGTAAATGCCGCTTCTTCGCGTTCGTGCTGTAATCCAAAAATACACCCACCAAAAATATGGTATTCAGGTGTAATGCTCACTATTTATCCATTTTCACTCTACCATAGCCCACAATACCGATTTTCTTAAGGTTCGCCTTTGGCATAATAACCTCAAAGTTATTGTCGTCGACATCAGCACCGGGTATACTGCTGAGAAGGTCGATATTAGCCCAGTTGGCTAAACTAAAACAAATGGCGATTGATGTTACCGAGCATGCTCGAGGAGGTGGAAAGGCGAAGGGGTCGTCCTTCCACTTAATATACTGTTGAGTCTCGATGGGAACAGGCTCGTTAAGAGGAGTATACACTCGAAAACGATCTTTTGGATGACAGAGTGTACAGCATCTAACCTCTTGAGGACGATAACGAAATGGTCCAGCTTCAACCGGCGCCCAGAGCGCTTTTCGAAGGCACTCTTGTTCGGCGAAGATTCTTCGAAATTCAGGCGATAACGCTTTCTTTTCTGCCTTTTTTATATCGCTCCGCGTCGAGTCTAGTGTCTTGAAGAGTCTTTCGAACTTAGAACTCGCGGATGATTGCTGTAAGTCTATGGATTCAGGGCTTTCGTCTAACTGACTACTAGTCACCTGAACCTCCTCTTCAGCCGTGATATCGAGTCGTTTCGAGGTCGGCATTAGGCTGGACGGTACGAAGCTTAGGATTACGCCCGGTTCGCCCGAGACGCCGTAATAAAATATCGATATCGTCCGGTAGGTTGACCTGCACGACAATCTCAATACAAGAAATATTGATGTCCATACCTACTGCATCCGTCGCAAGTAAGATCCGAATATTGGATGTCGAATCGTTGAATTGTCGATGCAGCTCTGTTTTGGAGTTCTCGATGGAGCGAAGGGAAACCACGGTCTTAGGTATGGCTTGAATGATGCCGGTCGGCGTGCATGCAGACTGTGAAGATGCCCATACATCTTGAACCGTGGGAATAGGAGGAAACAGGAAGAGCAGATCTTTGGTCGATCGAGCCGGAAACAGCATAGGCCGTAAGTCTCAGTATATGTTCTGAAGGTTCAGGTTCTCGTATATGACTCGAGTATTCTCTTTAAAGCCACCTTGCTGGATAAAAACCTTTACGACATCTGGCCTCAATGTTGCTGAAGCACCAAACCAAGGAATATGTCGGGCAATACGATGTCGAAGAATATAGAGTTGACGATACGCTGGCCGAAAACTATCTCCCCATGACGCTATACAATGTGGTTCATCGATGGACACAAGGCATAATCGGTCCGTAATGGTAGGATTCTGAAGTACAGTCTCCCTAAATAGAGGTGAAATAGCAATCTCAGGACCCGTGAAGACTAGGAATACAGTTAGTTCTACCGGCTTTACCAGATCCAAGCATGGCGGATCCGTGAAATAGGAACCGGGCAAGAGTGGTTACTCACGGTAGGTGCACTGGCCTGTTGTCAGTGCACTGCGAAGCTCAGTCCGCTGCTCGGGCGTATTCGTTTTGTCGTGGAGTAGAAACCCATGTAGGCCAGGTAATGTCGTGATTTTCTTGACTTGCTCATTCCCAAGACGGGTTAAGGGGCCAATGCAGAGTACCCAACTGAGAGGGAGAACCCGTTGAATAAGACTTTTACCAGCATTCGTGGGAGCATATAGTATAGTATCTCGACGTTCGGCTATAATCGAGTAGAGTGACTGTAGCTGACGGTTCCTTGGAGAGAACTGATATACACGCTGGGCGATCTCGATAATCTTCGATTTGATATGGTCTTCTCCATCATTGCTGAGAACATGGTTGAGTGTCGGCCTAGTCAAAGCATTCGGTATAGGCTGCGAAATGCTTAAGTTTAGCTGAAAACTCGAGACAGCAAACTCAACTGGGGTCGCCGTTTTCGCAGGCTTGATAGAGTGATACTATAGATAATCCACTACTAGTCAGTATAGAGCTTTACAGTCAGACGAATTTTTTCATGGGTCGGTCTTATCTAGAAATTATCATATCTTGATAACCACACAACTTTCGAAAAATCTGAATAGTGCGTTTTGTGGACACTAGCAAGATAAAAACTTTTACATACACGACTTAAGTTGGAGCCTTAACGTTGTTGTGGAAAGTAGGAAAGAATGTTGAATGCGACGGAAATGTACGTGTTTGCACTGACGCGAACGCGAAGGTAGCCAAATTACACCTCAGAACCCTTCTGGCGAAGGCTTTCTTTCCAGAAAAGGCTAGTGTGAAACACGAAGCGCGCTAAGCGCCCGTGGCCCAAGGGTCTGGGATGCTGAGACAACACACTCGAGATGGTTCGTAACAGAACGTGAACGGGTCAGCCGAGCCTGCACGTTGTGCAGCCGGTGAATGTCATAGAGGAATTGGGGGTTTGAAGTGGCGGCGGTGAGGGTCGTGGATTGGAAGGCGATCAGGCGTGCTGGGAGGGGTAAGGCAGATTTTGGGGAGAGAAAGGGATGGGATGGGAGATGGGGGTTCTTAGGGAATGTCTCGGGAGAGGGACTCTTGGCAGAGAGTTTCGGACAGCAGAGAGTGGGTCTAGCCACACAATCGATTGAGGCGCTCACATACCTTGGTCATTTGTAGGCTCTTTACCTCGTTGTTGCTCGATTCGCACTTTGCATAGACTTTCCTGGCGTTGTAGTGCCTATTTTGACTTTGAGCCCCTCTTGTTGCTGCCGCCCTCATGGCCACTTCCTTCGTTGACGACGTCCTGGCGAGCTCCCCATTGGGTGCGCTGAGCACCTCCCGACAACGCTCGCACAACAAGAGCCAATTGGGTGCGCAGTCCAGACCCACTCTCCGTGTCTCTCTCCCGAGAGGCTCCCTAAACGAGCGCTCTAGTGGGCTAGTCCAAACTAGGCCTAGCGTTTCACGTGACAATGTGGTTACGCCGTTGTGACCATAGGTGGCCCACGTGACCCTTTTGACGGTCTGCCAAGGTTTGTAATGACCAGGGGTCTTCGAAACACGCTAGTAACCCTCAGATACTATATAGTCGGACGGTCCCTCGGACCTCTTCGAATGCCAACTAAGTCCTCCGTGAAATCACACCGTGGAACAACACACCTTAGTGGCACGAAGGCCGATGCCGAGGGTGCACCGTCTACATCGAGTCGAGTCCCTAATCCACGCAGAGCTTAAAGAGTACCGGGTGAGAGAACCTTATTGCGCACGTTGTGGAAAAAGCCATGTTAAGTAGTTCGACGTCAAGCCCGAGTACGCGTTGACGGTGGTGGAAGAGTGGATACGCTCGTCCTTATAGGCATTTGAAAGATAGTTTCACAAGAGCCGATATAGAGAAGCTGTGCAAAGTGACAGAAGGTGATCAAAATTTTAAGCCAGGACCGCCAAAACCGTGTGGAATGGGCTTAAACCTGGGCAACCATTGGGGGTTGGGGGTTCGAATGGACGTCAGAAGTCGTGCACAAAGAATAAGTGGGGGTGTTCTGCGCCAATGTAGCGGCAAAAAAGGGGAAGCGCGCTTGTGCGGATAATACTAACGTTTTACTCTCTTTCGATGACTGTGTGCCGAAGCCTTGCGATTGTGATACTGGAATTATTCCCTGAAAGAACCAGACCTTCTAATGTAGTTTCACCCTTGCTTCCCACGTCTCTTAACAAACACCACTCCTGCATCTTCCGGTCTCTTCAAATGCGCACTAATATTGAAGTACTTCTGATCCAGCACGCCCATGAGGCGCACCTTCGCAGCCTCTGCCGTCTCGCCTGGTGCTCGCAGAACCTCCACTCGATATTTCGAGAATATCTGCGCAACGACCCCGACAAACTCAACCTGGCTGAATTTCTTTCCGGGGCACACACGCGGCCCGAAGATCCACGGCAAGTATAGAGGACCCTCAGGCACGGCCACCTTCTCTTCACCCGGGCTAGAATTGGTCGTGATGAAGCGCTTCGGATTGAAAGAGTGCGCATCGGCACCCCAGCGCGGAGAGAGATGGGCGCCGTAAAAATGCCCGCCAACCATCGTCCCAGGTTGGACCGTGATCGTAGTATTTCCCTGTGGAGTCGTGATGGGCAGGTCCTGCGGAACCGTGGGCGTTCGCACGAGCAGCGGTGCCGGACTCGCAAGTCGCAGTGTTTCGTACATCCATGCAAGGCAGCGAACAAGCTTTGGGTAGGTAGCGGCGTAGTCGCGATCATGACTCCCCGCGTAGTGGGCATCGATCTCTTCGATCACCCAGTCTTGAATCTCGGGGTGCATGGCGAGGAATGGTAGTGCAAAGGTCATGGTCGAAGCAGTTGTTTCATAACCGGCGAGATTGAACACGAAGAGATTCCCGTACAGTTCGGACTCGGTCAAGCAGGACGGTCGACCAGGGACTAACAATTGCTGCTTCTCGGCTTCATTCGCGTTTACCATGGCCTCTAGAAGGCTTTTGGGTCGGCCCGAGGGGGCTTTCGAAGCCTGCATCTGCCGCAGGACCGACTCTTCCATGTACAGTCTGAACTCGGCCACAGAGACCTTCAGGCGACGGAGAACGCTAGGGAGCATGAAATCCGGGGCTTTGAGGCCGTTGAAGATGAGAGTGAGGACGACATGCTGGAGAATGAATCCCAAACACTGCATCAATGACTCTCGATGGCCCGGTGGGATTGAAGTCAGCGGAGTGTCTTGTCCAAAGCCCACGACAGCAAGAACGTGCATGGCAAGGACGTCAAACGTGGATCGGATCGCGGCAAGCGTGCGTGTTCCGTGGCCAAGGTCGAGATCGAGATCGCTGGCTCGTTTGATGGACTCCTTCCATACTTGATGCATGCTGTGCTCGTTGAATGCCGATGCTGTGATCTTGCGATGTCTCTGCCAGTCTGCGCCATTCGTGGATGAGACATTCTGTCCATAGAAAGCAAAAATCTGAGACTGCGCCTCGGGCTGGGGCCAGTTCTTGTGATCTCCAAAGACACGATCGATACCGGGAGGGTAGCAGGTCACAATCTGGTTACTGGATGGCGAGCAAAGCACGAAGTTCTCGCCCAGCCGCCTTGAAGTTCTGTCCTCATCGACGGTAGGCCAGCCCATCTCGGTGTAGACATACCAGCTGCCGAGTCCGAGCGGGAGACTCTCAACCCAGGCAAACAGCGGTCGTAAAGGTATCCACCACGCATCTTCGAAAGAGACAGGAAGAAGAATGATCGGAAGGCCCAGTTTCCGCGCTGCTATGTAGTTCCGTACGAAGTTAAAGCCGCGTAGAGCGGCGAACAGCAAGACCAGAAGGAGCGTGAGGTACAAGAGCATGTTGACAAGACGTTCTGAAAAATATAGAAGAATGCAAGATTAACGTCAAGCACCTGGAACGTAAATATATTTGGCCGCGCGTGCTTAGGTCCTAGTCAGCTACGTAGGGCGCCCAAATCTAGGCAGGGGGCCTGACTGTGTAATCGCGGTGATGATACTTGCCTCATTTGGCACGACTCAAGAGTGGGGGAAAGTTGGCGTGTGAAAGGAGAAGAGGCCAGAATATGGAAAAGAAGAAAGAATCCAAGATACACCTCATAGCTGAGCCCACCTGCGAACTATCAGAGCTTGAGTGATACAGCCTAATCGATACCGAACCTATCCTAATCTAGGTTCGGGCGACGGGTCATGGACCGCCAGTTCGGGTTGGGGAATCTACCAATAGACCAAAGTTCTTTCGTTTGTGAAGATGTCTCCTTGTCAGATCTCAATCGCAAGGGATCACTGTGACAAGTAAGTTTGACTTGTTGATCTCCACCACGTACTCGTATCTTTGCCGAATGAGAATCGAGGAGCGGGGATGCAGATCTATCAGATTTCGGGAACAAAACACATCTGAGTGACAACTCTCTACCTGGCTTTTCGCATCCTTGGAACGATTTTGAAGGTCCTAGTGTAGGACTGAACCTTCTCTCGTAGCACTCGATTCAGTCTCTTCGTTTTCCCTTTTTCACGTGCTGGCTTAGGCATCAACCATGATCTAAAAACAGCAACCTGGCCAGTTCAAAGTCCTGTCCTTCAGAGGGATAGGTGACTCCCTTGGCCAAGCGCGTGATTACAAGACCCGGAAATCGCATCAAAACATAAAACAGTGTGGCGAACAAACACCAACGTGTCAGCAATGTGTGAAGAACGGCCAGACCTGCAGAGATGGCCCGAAAGGATGCCAACAGAGTTTGTGGAAATCTTCCAAATTGACGAGTTTTCAACCTTTGACAATCATCCTCGCTTGCGAGTGCTGAGGAGATTGTGTCGCCTTCTCCCTTTGAATTCCAAGGATGACTTGAGGCTTCTCAAATATACGCAACTTGTCGAGTCCATCTGTTCTGGTTTCCTCACATTGTTAAATGCACTTGACTCCAAGGCTCTTTTACTTCTGTCGTATTGGTTGAGTCTTCTCTGCAATACGAATCGATGGTGGTATAGGTAGCGAACAAGGATGGATTGCTGGATGATTTGTGCACATATCAAGGAAATAGGAGACAGCCTGTTGTGGAAGGACATGGATTTTCCGGCAAAGTCGTGCGGTTATCCCTACACCTGCATATTGTCAGTAGGATAGGACTTGGTATAGCATTTTAGAGATAGTCCATAGTCATGACGCAGGGTTCGCTGATTCTGGGGCTGCTGCCAGATCATATGCTCTATTCTCAATAAGGAAGTGGTGCCCCATACGTAGGGATCTCCGTTGCTTCAGCCGTCTGACGTATTCGCTTGATGAAAGCTCGAATGGGTCCGTATGCTGGAAAGCCCACTGGACAAAGAACAGAGACCGTATTCTTCGAACGAAGGGTTATAAATTGGTCTGGACATCCCCTTTTGGTGTGGCTCGATAAGTCTCGCAGATCTTCTATCTTCACCATGTTTCTCTTGCACAGTACAATTCTGATCACTGCTTTGGGTGCACTCGGCGCCGCAACAGTAGATGCTCCCACTCCTACGATAAAAAAGGCTTACGGCACCTTCCTGGGAACTCCTGCCATCGAAGGCGTCGACTCCTTTTTAGGGATTCGCTACGCTCAGCCACCTCTGGATGATTTACGGTTTCAACCACCGCAGCCGCTCAATGAGACTAAACCATATCACACAGAACCCAATGGAACCATCTTTGCAAACAGTTTCGGTCCAGGATGTTATCAAATTCATTACACAAGTCTCATCATGCCGCAGAACCTGCAAGGGAGTATGATCCCAGACGAAGACTGTTTGTTTTTGAATATATGGCGGCCATCGAATGTCACCGGGGACGATGCCATCCCAGTCATGATCTGGCTATATGGTGGATCTTTCTCGGAAGGAGATGCTTCTGTTGCCGGTGAGTTGTATTCAAGGTTTTTCGAAGAATGTTCTTCTGAATTCATGTGGTTTAGTGTACAACCCGGAGATTCTCGTTCAGCAAAATCCTTCCGTCATGGTTGTCACATTCAAGTAAGAGATACACAGCTTGTCGAGACACACACATGTTCTGACACACACCTTAGCTACCGTCTTGGTATATTTGGATTCCCCAATTCGAAAGCCCGTCGCGGTAACCTTGGGTTGTTGGACCAACGAATGGCGGTTGAATGGGTTCGTGACAATATACGAGCCTTCGGCGGTGATCCCGACCAAATGGTCCTTTTTGGCGAGTCAGCGGGTGCTGTATCGATTTCAGCGTATTCATACACATACAAAGACGATCCTATCGTGCGTGGACTGATCCAGCAAAGCGGCGTGGCACAAGGTATCGGGGATGCTGATCCGCTCATGTGGACATTGGCAGCCATAAACGTGGGATGCAACAATACAGACGACCCGTCAAAAGAACTCAGCTGCATGATGCAACTTCCAGCGGAGACCATCATCAAAGGTATTTCACCGAGCAATGTGAACCCAATTGGTTCAGCTAATGGCGGATCGCCGTTTGTGGACAATAACACGGTCTTTTCAGCCGAAGGGTATATCGCAAAGGCGGAAAGAGGAGATTTTGCCAAAATCGTACGTTTCCTACTCGCTGTGCGGGCAGAGACTGAAAAAGAAATGCTGATGACTTCATAGCCTGTCCTGCTCGGGAGTAATGACGACGAAGGCAACGGTGTGGTCAACTTCTCAGGCGAGTTTGGGTTGAATGAGTCTCTGGCGGATGCAATTACCGTGTCCAAGTTCACCTGCCCGGTCGCGATGTTAGCAAGGTATGTTTCCAATTGGCTTGCTGGATCCAAAAGCCACCGCTGATGGCATTCTCTCAGGCAACTCCACGACAACCAAGTCCCAGTCTGGCGTTATCGTTACATGCCAGTGTTCCCAGCCGTGACATTCTACCCCTTTTCTGAAACGTATCATCTTTGTGAGTGTCCTCTGTTTTTTCCCATCCTGATTCAAACCTACCTCCTAACCACCTAGTAGCGGAGGTCCCTATCATTCTCGGATCGTTTCGAAAGCTGGTACCTTACCAAACTCCCACCAAAGTCGAACTCCAGGCGAGTCAACTAATGCAAAAGGCCTGGGTTAGCTTCGCTCATGATCCTCGTTACGGATTGTCAAGGTGGATGGAGTGGCCCATGTACAATCCAGATGGTGAGCCTGTGTAGACAGAAAAAGAGGAAAAAGGAGAGATGTACTAACAAGAATCTCGCACAGAACCAACCCTCATAACTCTCTTTCAGGATAACAAATTCCAAGTGAAGACTACTGATCAAAACGTTTATGATCGCGCCTGCACCAATCCCCCATCTGTCTCTTGGGAGGATGTGGCGGCTCCACCTCCAGGACCTACATCGTGAGGCACTGAGACCATTGTATACGTAAGGTTTCTTTCTCAAAAGGAAATGTTGGCAATTTGGATGGCAATGATGAACAGGAATAAGGATCCTCGTTCTCGGAACGGAGATGCTCGAATAATTTTCGACCTTGTCATACCAATAACGCACATCCATTAGCCGGGGATTTGGTTTCCTGTTCATGCATGTCAAGGAAACTTTCGTTAGCAAATCCGAATCCGACAACCCAAGAGAATAAAAAAAAGTACAAAAAGGAGGGTCTTGATATAATAAGAATACGGAAATGAACATACTATTGATCCAACTTGCTTCAGGACTTGCGACAAAAGCAACAATATTAGCAATATCCCGAGCCCCCCAAAGCCTACCCAGTGGACTAGGGCTGCCTGCATTTTTCCTATGCTCATCGCCATACTTCGTAATCGCCCCCTGAAGAGACGTCGTATTCCGTAGCACCTGTCCCCACAGAATTGATCGTAATTCCCTTACCAGGCCAATAAATGACAGCGAGATTACACGCGACTGAGTCCATGGTAGCCCTGAACACGCAGCGCGTCACCAATGAATCGCCTTTCCATCTTGCTGTCTGCACACCAATGGAAAATGATGCGACCTCCGGCATTCACGTAAGGGATGCATTCGAGGGAAAGAGGTATCGGGGACCATGCCATAGAGAGACCATGGCACGTTCAAAGTCCTCTATTGGGTTTGATCGACAGGTTTGAAGGCGTTGATGTCCCGTAGACTGGCGTTGGAGACGAGGTGTGGATATACTCGGTTTTTAGGCCATGGAGACTGTCCTACATGGACTTGCCTGCTGAAGTTGCCGTCGCAGCAGTCGCCTTTGATGGCGGCTGTGGTGATAATGGAGTCGATATCGCGGAGTCGTAAGAGCACTGAGTTCGCGGCGGTGTCGTCTTGGAGGGAGGTGATTGCGATGGCGGTATAGCCTTTGCGGACAAATTGGGAGCCAGTTGATTCGACGATTCCTTTGCTTCCTCTTGTGATGATGGCAGTCTTGCCCATAAGTGGCGCCGAGATCGTTGACACGACCATCCTGCTCGATGTTCTTATATGTCTCGCCATGTCTTTGAAGAACGATGTGCTTCATAAAATGTATTTGACTGGAAGACGCAACCACGAATTCTCACCCTCTCACTCACACCATTCTTTCAGCGGGGAAGGACCGACGTCTTTATGTGTCTTTTGAGGAAGGCCCGAGATGCTCGGACGCCTGATGATGCCAGTATCTGGATTCAACTCATGGGTGGCATCACATGACTAGCCTCAAATACTGGGGGTCGGATGTGGTTTGTTCCGCAGACGATTCGCCTGGATAGTGTACGGTCAGCGGAACGATATGGCAGAATGACTACCTCTATCCAATTCCAAGCTCTACCGCCCCTGGACTGCTGCACATTCGATGGCTAGGTAGATCAAGCACCTTGTGCCCCTTCGAGGGAGGAACTGCGCACATGTACATTGCAAGGACGTATGGAGCTGATTGTGTGGACATGAATTTTGGTCTTAATTAGCTCTTGGTTTTGGGTTGCCATTTCTTCCCATTTCTGGGCATGTGTCTTTTAATCTCACACCAAAACACCCTCAGACTGGCTCTCAACCCACCAACACCATCTCCAGCCTCGCGCCAGTAGTCATTAGACATGCCCAGCTGTACATTTCCTTCAACCTATCAATAATCATCCAGACCAAAAGATGAGGACGGCATGCCTCACCCTCGTCGCCCTGTCGTGCTTATACCCCTCTACGCTCTGCCTCGGCGTCGAAGATTCCCTCTATCACATTGAACTCCAACAGCTCCTCCAATCCGGCGAGCTCGACTTACATTTCGACGAGTCCAGCGACTCTACCGCGTTTGGGACGTGGTCCTACGAACCCACGTGCACGCCGAAGTTGGACGCTCTCGACAGCCCACTCTGCGTCTACACGAACAAAACCTTCAGCCGAGGCCGAGGAATCTCAATCTTCACCACCCCTCAAATCGCAGAGAGCTTCGCCGCATTGCCCCCATTTCGCGACGCGAATGTTCTCGCTGAGCACGACATTAACGGCTTCCGAGGCAATTGGTACACACGAGAAGTCTCGGGCAAGGGAATCGGTATGTTTGCCAAACACGCCCTCGACCGCGGGGATCTGATCACGGCATACACGCCGGTCGTGCTAGCTTATGCGGAGAATCTGCTCGCAAGTCAGGAACGGGAGAAGTTTCTACAGACAGCTATCAACCAGCTGCCCGTGCCGACGGCGGAGTTGTTCGTGAATCTCGCCTCCGTCTACGGAAACGGTCCCGACCGAAAGATCCAAGGTATTGTGGGCGCTAACAACTTCGCGCTGCAAGTCGGCGGGAAACGACACCTCGCCGTATTCCCCGAGACGTCGCGTATGAACCACGCATGCACGCCCAATGCACAGTTCTACTTGAACGACTCGCTCTTGACGCACTGGGTGCATGCGACGCGCTCGATCGAGAAGGGCGAAGAGATCACCATCGCATACTACGATCCGCTGGAACCATATGTCAAACGGCAAAAATATCTCCGCGACTCATTCCACTTTGTCTGCCAGTGCCCGCGCTGCCTTCGCGGCGAAGCTGGCGATGACGCGTTGACAGAAATCGACGCGCTACAAAAGAGTCTGGGGGACTGGGGGATCGATTCGTCAGCCAGCGTGAAACAGGCCGAGCGACTAATACAGACATTCCAGGACCAAGGGCTGGACGGGTACTTGGATCCGGCATACTGTCACGCAGCACTTACATACAACGCTGCAGGAAGTGTGCGAGGGGCCAAGAAGTACGTTCAATTGGCAATCGAGGCGATTAAACTCAGGCTGGGACCCTGGGCACCAGACTTGCCGGTGTGGAAAGAGATGTTGGATAACCCAACGGGACATTGGAGCTGGAGAAGAAGGAAACGAGGATGAAGAGAAGGATGAAGCATCGCACCCGAGCGCAAAACCGTTCGCTTTCGCCTCTGCGAACAAATCACTTCCTCCCAGACTTTCGAACCGCAGTACCACCATCCGCTGCCTTCTTGACGCCCTTCCCGACTTTTTCCAGGAAAGTCCAACTATCCCGGTCATCTTCGAAGGCCAAATACCCATCAAACACCCGCGCTTTGGTATATTTGAGGACTTTGTTCACAACTCCGTCGAGACCATCCATTTCGGTGTCGGACACCATACTGTCTGTGGTGGTGCACTGCCTCTCGCCACTCATCGAGTAGGAAGGGCTGACGGGGAGGACTTGGATTGCACTGCCTCCCGCGCGGGGAAGGCGCGAGATCTCGCACACGCGTGTGCTCGTAATATGCGATTGCGGGACTAGGTAAATCAATTGCGTGTGCGGCGTCATAAGCAGTGTGGAAATGGTGGTCTGTGTTTGTGGATAGCTGATGGAGGATATCGTGGGCGAGGAAAGGAGGTATGTTCGCGTCTCGGAAGCCGTTCGGTCGGATTTTGTTCTATGCGCCTGCCACGATGCTCTCTGTTCAGTCTTGCCCTCAATGAGGCCAGGAGTGTCGGCGACGTCACGTTCATCTTCGTCCTCATCCTCGACTTTAGCAGGCATGCCCTCTGCTCGCAGCACACACGGGTGTGGTGCAGGTATCGGTTTCGTTTTTGATTTCCGTCTCGTTCTCATTGCGACACGGTTCTTCTTGCTGCTTGTGGCAGTCAAGCTGCACCTCCCCGTCGGATAAGCAAAGTCCCAACATGCGATGCCTAGGGATTCCATTTTCGCTTCAATGCAAGTTGTCGATGAGGAGGATTTGGACTTCATCTTGCATTGGCTCTGCCAGGGAGTGCCCATCTTTGGAACGAGAGGAGGTTGTGTGATGTTTTATGCTGCGGCGCGTGATATCGCAATCTGCTTAGGTGTTTTGATCTCTTTTTCCTAACCGGATACGAGTATGTGATATAACTTCCAATATTGGCTGGCCTCGTGATGCTCATACTACTCCGTATAGTGGCGAGATCTTTTTTCTTCGAATCAAATCAAACAATCAACCCTGTTCCGTGACTGGACCGGACAGATCCCGTACTATGACGGTGAATAGTGCCTCATTTTGGTTATTCCCTTCATCCAAAGGTTGAAATATAGTCAAGTCAAGACGACCATTTGACTAGAAAGTTAGAAAGGATGGTATGAACACCATGGCGCCGAGTGTCCCTTTTTTTACCCCCTCTCCCTCATCGGCAGTACCATGAGCGTGAAAAAGATATAAGGACGTTCCACGTGGCATAAGATGTGCGGAAGCTAAACCGATACATCCTCATTCGGCCGAAACGATGTGCCGTCCGATCTGATCCTTCGATGAGCCGATGAGCCGATAAGGCAAGGAACGGGGATGGTGGAAAGCCAAAGGGAGGTTTTTCGGAGAGTCCGTGTTACAGCGCTTCCTCCCGCAGATGCTGAGGGAATTTTTGTCATGGGAGGTATTTCATTCGTTAAGTGTGTCGCGTGATAGAGAGCTTTGTCATATCGAGATTTGAGGCCGTGCTCGTTCCCTATTTGAGTAGAACCGAGTTAGATCGGCGGTGGCGGGGGAATGCAGACTTTGGGAGCGGAAGGGCGGAGTGAGTTGCTAGTTGGAGTCAAGTTCTGGTTATCGCTGCTAGAGAGGCCGAAGCCGAGGTCGACGAAGGTCGCCTTTATTCGGGCGCTGAATTAGATGAAGTTGAAGGCAAATACGCGACGTGAAAAGGCTAATAGGCGGATGGAAAAGAGGACGGAAAATTAAGCGTTTGATAGGGTAGGCTTTTGGCCCCCTCCTAGGGTGATCGAGACCGAAAAGACGGTGGCACGGCAGGCCGGTTTAGCTAAGATGTTAAGGAACAAAGAAGCCGGGAGAGAAAAAAATGTACGATTCTGTTTCTGGATCGATATGCTGTCTTGAGGGACAATAGTTATATACAGAGCTTCAAAATTTATCAATTTTCAATAAGTGGCTTCTTCTGCCGATTAGAGGGTTCGCTATGAGATCAATTGATCCCGATGTACCCTCACAGGAATGGTACTGCTGGGTTTTTCAAACGCTTTTCCGCCTCCTGTTCATGCACTGCCGTGACCATTATCTGGATGCAACTTCATGCTCAGTACGTAGGCAGTTTAACCTTGAATACCAGGACTTGGTTGTCAAGGCTAAATCCACTTTCATCGGCATAAGGTAACTTTCCGCCGTCCATGTACCCGTTTTGTGTGATGAAGTCGTTGTCGCTCAAACTGAACAGAAAATACTCGCCATCTTTTTTGGTGTAGCCATCCTTGCAAAGACCGCTGGACGGATTAACGGGGACCAATGCGATGCTTTCCCACTTCTCGTTCAAGAGCCCCGAGTCTTGATCACCACCGTTGTGGAGGCCGAAGCGATTGAGTTGAGAGTTGACGTTAAAATCCAACCAGGAGCAATACGTCGACGGGGTAATGGCAGAGTCGAGGACACCATCCTCTGATGCTGCGGCGCAGGTCGTGCAGTCATAGGTGTCACCCTTGATGTTGGTGGCTTTGGCAATGTCGAAGACGTCCACATAGCGATAGATCGATTCCGAGTCGTCCTGGCCATGGCCGGCGCCGGAATCACGAGCTAGCACAAGAAATTGAGTGGGGCTCAGATAATGCACTTCGGACTGGGCGGCGACTTTGGTGTCGTCAGAATATTGAGGCAAGGGCACCATATATTCTGCCTTGTACACAGGTTTGGTGGCGTCGGATATATCGTATTCGAGGAAACGAGTCCAGCGGCGAGTCGCGCCATCGAGGCCACCTTCTTGATCCAAAGCTGACTGCATCAGAGCATAGAGCGTCTTGCCGTCCGGGGAGGCTGTCAGACCTTCCATGCCTTGGTTGTTGGCGCGTCCGGTGGGATTGTCTTCCGGGATCGTCTCGATGTCGGGATCGTAACGGGGGGGACTAGCAGCCGAAAAGGAATCGGTGCCATTTCGTTGAGGAATGACTGCTGGCGGTGGGCGGATGGCCGAGAGCATACGACCAGTGCGACTGAAATGGTAGATGTATGGGCCGTATTCATCCGAGATCCAGAACGACGAATCTGGAGCCAGTACGATACCTTCCGCGTCCAATGAGACTCGTCGTCCTCCAGGTCCATCCAGACCAAATCCGTCGCCATCGTAAGTGGCGGAAGGAAGTTCGGGAAAGCCAGAGAAAGTGAGATAAGGACCGTGACCATCAGGGTCGAGACCAGAGAGAGGTACACCCGTTGGGTCGGTCAAGCCGATGGTGTCGAGATACTTGAGCTGGACATTCGGGGCACTGGGGGCCTCAGCAGTGGAGGTGTAGTCGGGTGTGAAGGTCACTCGGAATTTGTGAATCCGGGGCTGAAAATTTAAAGTTCCCTCTGTATTCCAGCCACGATCGGGAAGAGAGTAAAGGATGCCAGTGTAGACGCCGGAGCTGTCGACTTTCCAAGATCTCCGGTCAAAAGCCGCGGAACTGCCTATGCCTCCTGCGGTATCACCAAACTTGTCCCGGGCGTCCGAAGGTGTGAAGCCATAACCAGCGAGAGCCTCGTACACAAAAGTTTGACCGTTGCAGGTAGTGGTGTTGATGGCTGTGTCGGCTCGTGGGGTAGGAGAAGCGACTGCGAGGCTGATAACGAGCGTGGAGAGAAGCAGACTCATGACGGTCATTTTTGATTGGCGAACCAAAGGTATTTCCGATTATCCAAGATATTATTGATGTGCAGTAAGCTGACCCAAACGAGCGAGGGAGGAACGTTTGATGCCAGGGAGCGATTGGATTTCATTCAGTGTTGTCTTTAATAGTAGCACAGGTTTGCGCAGCAAATGCTGCGGGTAGATTGGATGCGACCTCGCTGCATGCACGTGTTTTGCAGAGTATACGTGATTCGTGAATCCATACTACGTGTGTAGTTACTGTATAGGAAAGCTGCAGATCTAAGCAAATTGGAGGGTTCAGAAAAAGAAAAGCAAAAAAAAAAAAAAAAAAAAACACACCTTAGTTTTCCATCTCAACGGTGCATTTGGAGCTTAACAAGGAGGGGTTGCCCATGGACAAGTTATGTTATCCAAGCTCTTCAAGGGTTATCCTTGCAAGGAAATTTCGCTGTCAGATCTGATTCGAGCAACTTGTTCCTGCAGCGTCTCGACTGGCTTTTCAAATGGAGGGAGCTGTGGATGACGATAAATCGAGCTCAGATCGAGTTCAGCTCGAGAACGGTTTGTTGCTGCGGTACCGAAGCTCTCTTGAGAAAAACAACAATAAGCATTTTGTGGGACCTATGTGTCAAGATTTGCTTGTTTCTTCTTAGGTCGACGCAGCTAGAATCGGCGCGGAGATCGAAATGAAGTGATCGGAACTTGAGGGAGATGTCGGACCAGGAAGAAGCTTGTGCGGCCGCCTCGATTCCAGTCACTGCCAAGGCCCGTTCCTGGCTATTCCCACGTGATCGGTGGTCAAGGTAGCTGCTGATTGGCTGCCTTCGCGTTATTCCATTGGACAAATGACTTCGAATAGCGTTGCCTCTGAGATGTATTTTGTCTACATAAAGAGCGGGGATCTCCTGTTTGAGGAAAGAGTCTTTCGTCCAGGGACAGACAGAATCACACAGAGAACCATCGCTGAAGAAAGAAGAAAATCACCATAAGCTTTACAATGGAAGCCATCAAGTATGCTTCACGACGCTATCTCCGATTGACGAACAAACACGCAGCCGCAAGGACGATGTTCACCGGGAGGCCGCCAAGCACTGAATCATTCCAATGGCATGACATTTGACAGGAGTTAGGATTGGAATACATGGGGATACATGAAATACCCCCTTACGCTACCATCGTAGGACAATTGATAAGAATAATGATAGGAATGGCCTCAATAGTTCGGTAATCATGGTCTAAATACAAAGAGAAAACAAAAGCCCTCAGAGGAATGGTCTTGAGTTCCCCTACTTGTTGAAGTGAAACTTATGTTCTCTCTTCTTTCACCATGGCAGATCGAAACAAGATGACCACCGTCGCACGTCCAGATGCTTAGACTTGGCTTTGATTGCGTCCTTCAAGCGCATCAGCTGCCAGGGTCCGCATTCGTTCTCGCTCTAAGGGATGGATATTTTCCAGCGCCGCATCGACATCTCTGGTTTGGCTTTCAACCACCTCGGTCACGCCACTCTCAGATAGATAGCTGGGAGGTCGATAGCCCATTGTTTGCTGAACCTGGCTCACTGCTTCTTCGTAAGTCGGAGTAAGTGGCGATGGAGGTACATGTTTCCAATGGACGAGGTCTGGGTTGATTCTCTGTTGAACCGCCATTAGTTTTCAGTCCAGTCACATCCTGTGTCTCAGAGGCACTGACCTTGCTGGTCCGAAAATTGCCATACACGGGCGGTGGAATTCGAATTGCGGGATGATCCCTACCCATCTCCACATCGGGAGCAAATTCTAGATCACCCGCCATGTGGATTTGAATGGGTTTTTCTGGAGGACGGTCATCAAATGATTCTGTGTCCATATTCGCGCACTCTTGGCGGCTTGTACGCGCTTGACCTCGAGCTCGTTGGCGTCGGGACTTGTGCGCGGTTCTGTGTCGAGATCTTCTCGGTCGTCGCATAAGCACGAGCATGCGGATCACTTGATGGGAGAACACTCCCAATAGCGTGAGAATCAAGAGAATTGACAGCACATGGAACATGGTATTCCTGCCAACCCCAGTGACAGCGAGGGCCAAGTCTGGAATACTGTCAGCTACGCTTGTTGGTACCAGTGGACTCGACTTACAGATGATCAAAGCTGCCAATAGCGTAATCCCAAAGGCTAGACTGATCTTTGCCTTTGCATTCACTTTGGGATCACGAAATGATCTTCTGGACACGCCTTGTGGCATACCATGGCGCCTCGATGAGTGTTTGCTGCGGCTTCCGCTTTGGATTGAGCGTGTGGCTCGATATGTTGAAACCGAAGGGGCGTCGTCCAAGTTTCTCGCAATAGGAACTGGCATTGTATGCTCTTCGGTGGTACTCTGGCCCTGTTCGCTGCCTCCGTACATGTCTGATGACTCTTCTGGACCACTTTGTGGTACCGACAATGGTTGAATACCTCTGTTTTCAGGAGCTCCGGTCTCGATGACGGAGCGTGTGGATCTCGTGGATCTCGTGCTAGTCGGTAAGGCCCCTCGGGCGAACAGTGCTGAGGACCTCGAAGTTGATAAAAACAAGGGAACCACGAAAGTCTTTGCCGGAAGTTGGCCTGACCTAGAGGAGCCGTTCGACCCTGAATTTGACCTCCAGAAACGCGACGCGCGACTTGTGTTACTTCGTCTCGCACCCACCGACGGAGACAGGGCTGGCCGGCTAGATGTCCGGGCCATCTTCGATAACGCTGCGACAATTCCTGAGTTTGATCGGTGTCGACGACTCTTTATCAGCCCCAGTATGAGCAAGACATGAGAAGAAGAGTTGTCAAGGAAAGATCACGCGCAACAAGGGGGATTTAATGATCATTGGAGGCACTGCGAGGGTGAAAATACAGCTGTAAATTCACGTGCCGCGTAGACCATACAGTCTCAAGACTGACCGTTCCGGTCACCAGAGACTGCGATGAGAGGACATCCATCTTGTACGAACGCTTCATGATCAACAGGGAGCAAAGGAGAAAAATGGCACTTGGAGGCAGAATGTTACGGTGGTGATGAGAGTGAAACATTGAGAGCACACCATTGGGAACCATGGGAAACTTGACAGGCTCTCAGCCTCGCTCTTCCCGGACAGGAATTCAATGAGATGTGATAGACCAGTGTCCCGTAGCATCTCTTCCAATATCTACGAGAATGCAGGTCGACTCGATGGTTCGATAGAGGACGCGACCTGAAACAAGGCCCCCTTTCAGATGCGCGTCTTTAGAAGTTCCTTGGCACGTCTTCCTCTCCAATCATTTTGGGCCTCGACCACTGCAACCCCAAATTCCAGCTGCGGCTGTCTCAGCTTGCTCAATTACGGCACACCTTACTTACCAAACTCCTCGAGCTCCATGTTCGGGTTCCTTCAACCGGGTGCGCCTTCGATGGGTTGACCCAAGCACCCAGATACAAGGGAGCAAATGGCAGCCCGTTCGCCGTTGATTGACTTGCCTGGACTACTGTTCGATGTCGTGGAAAGTCCTCTGCCTGCTCCTATCCGACCAGAACTTGCACTCAGAATTTCGCTTTTAGCAAAGGAGTGAATAGTCGGTGCTGGAAAATGACGCTGATCTTGTCCCATCTGCTGAAATATTGAATCCTAGACGCTTTGTACTACTTCCCAAGTTCGCCCAAGAGGAGATTCCGATCGGTGGATCCGGAGACAACTTACACTCGTTAGTATCAGATGACGCTTCCACTGTGGAGCTGGGCTTACTGATTGGTTCCTCGGTCGGTGAGAACCGTACATCATTCACGGTTCCCTTATGTCCCGGTAGTTTATAGAGCAGCTTGCCAGATCGAGTATCCCAAACCACCACCGTACGATCTCCGGCGCCGGCACAGATTTTATCTCCTATAGGACTCCAACTAGCGCGAATCAGGTTCTTTTCAAAGCCGGCCGGTGCGCCGTCATAAGTCTGCACAGATCGATTAACCGGCGCAAAAGGCCTGATATCCCAAGTTCGTACCGTCGAGTCGTGGGAATTCGAGAGTAGTGTTTGCGAGTCAGGCGACACCTCCAGTGAGGTGATCGTATCTCCATGGCCAGTCAGAGTGTAGGTGACCTCCATCTTGCGGGCGTCCCAAACTTTAATGTCGTTGTCAATTCCGCCAGAATAGATTTCATGACCTTGCTCAGCCATGGCCACCGCAGTAATTGGAAAGTCTGTCTCAATGTAGTCGACCGCGGCTCTCTGACGAGGATCCCATATCCCAATACAACCGTCGTCACTGCCACTCAATATCAGATCTTGACCTCGTCTGCTTAGATCCAGGCAGTTGACTACCTCCTCGTGACCGACATGTTTTCGTATCCTCAGACCTGTTTCGAGATCCCAACTTGCGACAGTCATGTCCGCGGACGCAGAATATATCGTCCTGGAATCGCGCGACCATTGTAGGTCGAGTACGGCTCCTCGATGGCCCGTCAATATTCCATAGTTTTCACATTGTCCGTAGGTATTCCACAGCACTAGAAGCCCGATCGTTAGGAGGTTGCGAAGCACGAGGGGGGGTGGATACTCACTGATCGATCGGTCCATTGAGCCAGAAGCGATATGTTGACCGGTCGGGTCAAACCTCACCGCAAATATCTCGCCAGAATGACCTGCGTCTCTTTAGCCGCAGAACTCTCCTATTCAAAAGTGAATCATGCCTGTCAATTCCATGATCGGTGCGGGGAGGGCGCTGGTGCGTAGGACCTGTAGCGATATAGTCAGCATATCTGTATGAGCAACAAAGTAGCGCACGTACGGATGTCGTGAGCGTGCCATTTTGATCCGTCTCGCCAGCCGTGAGGGCTCTGCTCTCGTTCAGCTCTGAACTGGACTTCTGTCGCTTGACCAAGGCTTGCGGCTGGCTAAAGCTGTCGGAGGCTTGTCGCTTGATTGACGGCATCATGATTATTACGGCGCATCCGAAACCTTAAAGAAGTTGCGGAAAGCGATACAATGATGGCTCAAAACCTTGACGAGGGCATCCTCAACTTTTTGGATTTCGGGTTTGACCGGAATCAGCGAATCAGATTCTCCGAAATCCAGGAAGCCTTGGCATCTCTCATTTCTGAACGGGAATCCAAGTCTCCTTCCAACTCCTCAATTCTTCAAGGCTGACCATTCTTGATCCATTAGATAGGCACTATTAAAGGCCTTTAAGTCGCATTCTGATTCGATTTGAGATGCTGATTGCTCGGTGATTGTCCAGTTCGAATTTCATGGCGTCAAGCCAGAAGGCCGCCCGCCTGGGAGACGAGTGAGTAATCGGTCCGCTGATGTGTGATGGTCCTGCTAACAAAATGCTTTGGTAGGGTCTGGAAGTAAGTTTGACATTCTTTCGACTGGAATTTGGTTCTCAACTGGTTCAGGACACGAGTCGACAAGGTCAACGCCGAGCTGGTGACCCTTACCTATGGAACCATTGTGGCTCAGTTATGTACCGACTATGACTACGACTATGCCCAAGTCAACCAACAACTCGACAAGATGGGATATAATATCGGAATGCGTCTCATCGAAGACTTTCTCGCAAAGTCCAACACTGGTCGATGTGGAAATTTCAGAGACACTGCGGAGATAATCTCCAAGGTTGGACCTGTGACTGCTTTCCACAAGGACAAGTTTGACTGACTTGCGTGGTTCCAGGTTGGCTTCAAAATATTCCTGAACATAACGCCGACTGTCACCAACTGGACTGCCGACAACAAGCAGTTTTCACTATTGTTTGATGAGAATCCTTTGGCCGATTTCGTCGAACTTCCGGACGATGGTAGAGCCCAGGATGAGCTGTGGTTCTCCAATATCCTCTGTGGCGTGCTACGAGGGGCCTTGGAAATGGTACAGAAGCACATCCCAAGCCTTCCTTCAAAGGTGACTGGCTTACCAATCCAGGTTCAAATGTCTATCGAGGCCCGTTTCGTCAGTGATGTTCTTCGGGGCAGCGATGTGACAGAAATGCGGGTGACCTTGATCCGTTACATTGAAGACGAGATGCCTCCAGATGATGAATAGGGGCACTCAGCAACTCTCTACGACACGAACCAAACCACGGCAGGGAAGATCAGTCCCGCTCTCACTCATACTCTTGACTGCCAACGGCGATGGGTAGAACAAATCGCGAGGGGATCCAAAGTCACGTGCCGGGCCCCCCCCCCTCCCCTTTTTTCTTTTTTCCCGCCTCATGGTGCGAAAGGAATCGGATCAAACCCCCTGAGACGGTTTCAGCAGCGAAGTCGAGAGACAGGGGCAAATCTGCCGTGACAGAAACAACAAAAGCCTCCACAGGCTCATGGAGAAGGATATCTCAATGTGGTAGAATACAATGATTGTGCAATGGTCTAAACGGAGTGTGGTTTTGGTGTGGTTTTCCGGCCTCGATACTATTCTTCAGGTCCTCGAGGTGAGGTTGTTGTATGAGAGCCAAGCACCCCACCATTGGTTGCCCCATTTCCAGTAAAGCGTGCTGCACTTTACGCGGGCCGAAACCGTAGGGCTGGCTCATGACGCACTGTGAGTGGCTGGCCGTTAGGTCAGATTGCCTGCCTTTTCGCCTTCTCGTCTCTTCGCCGGTGAGGGTGCGTCTCTCTCCTGTGCTCCCCAGTTCCAGAGTTGTAGAATTAAAGCCCACCGCAGCCTGACCACCACGCCGACCACCGCTTGTCGACCACCGAAACTATTACAATAGTCTGCTGCCCTTTCGCCCTCCTCCCTCTCACCCAAGCCACCTAACTCACTACTAGTAATTGACTGACTACTTGTCACCCCATCAGTCCTTCCACTTCCCACTTTTCTATCAGTGTCTTGTTCCCATTTTCCCTCACCTCATCTCTTGGTGTTACCACCACATACTTAGACCACTGCATCTGCTCTACTGTTGACGAAGGAAAAAGTCTCATTGCTTCCCTGCAGTTAAATTGCTTGCGCTGCAGATTTAGCTGGCTCGCCAACCCATCCCAGAATTTGTGGCGGTCGCGTTTTCGTCCCAAAGGGCTTCTCTTCCTGCACCTTAAGCCAGATCAATACTCAACTATCACCAACCACGTCCTACCGTCGCTTCTATCTCTATTGAACCTCGCAGAAAATGAGGCTTGCTCTCCTCTAAAGTCGCTGTCGGTTTGCGCGACCGACTCTCCGCACGCCCGTTACAAACTGGTCCGTATCTGCTCGACTTGTCACCTTCAGACCCACCTGACACATCTCCTACGATCAAGGTCCACGCTCTTCCACGCGCCTCACTTTTTGTTCCTCTTGCCTTGGTGACCCTCCTCATACGTTCCCGACTGTCCTATGACCATGATGAATATGGCCGGCATGAATCAAGCAGCAATGGGTGGAGGTCAAGCCGGAGGCGGAATGATGATGATGAACAACAACGGGAGCCCAGCCATGCAAGTCAACTCCAGCAGCTCGCCAGAACAGGTCAAGGTTCAACTGAACACCTATATATACGAGTATCTTCTGAAGCTCGGCCACTACGACATTGCTCGAAGCCTGCTGCGTGAGGAGAAATTCGAACTTCGTGTCAAGCCGTCAGTCAAGCAAAGTCCTGGTCGCCGCAAAGATGCCGAAGTGAACGGAGTTGACGGAGATGCCATGGACGCAGATGTCAAAGATGATATCCCTGATGACCTCCCCCGTCCGGTGCATGTTGGAGATGCGAGCACACCCGGAATAGGCTTCCTCTATGAGTGGTTCAGCATCTTTTCCGACCTCTTTACCGCCCACCAACGATCAAGCAAGATGCAAGGTAGTCAAGCTGGAAACATGGGTCCCGCTGCCCAGTATCTGATGCAACACCAGGTAGATTATTCTTGTTCACCCTGGCAATTATCTTTTGGCTGACGATTTGCAGAATATGCAACGTATGAGAGAAAATCAGCAGAACCAAAACCTCGCGCGACCTGGCATGATGCCTAACCAGTTTGCAATGCGTAACATGCGCAACAACATGATGAATGGGAATCTTCCAAGAGATATGGCCAATAAGATGTGTGTGCACGTATTCTTTTCCAGCAAGTCCTCCGCTAACATCGTGTAGGACCCCTCAACAGGTCCAGCAATTCAAACAATCTCAAATGCTTCAACAACAGCAGCAGAACATGCAACGAGAACAGGGTGATGTAGACATGAACGGTCGCGCCTCATCCCCCACAGAAGGCGAGAACGGTGGGTCTCCGTCCAAGAGGCCACGACTCGACGGTCAACAGTTCAACGGTGGTATGATGCCTAATATGCGGCCAGGAATGCCCAATGTTGCACCTCAAAACATGATGATTCAGAATGCCTTCAACCCTAACATGAACAATGCGCAATTCCGACAAAACGGGGCTATGCCTCAGAAACCCATGCAGGTACGTTGTATTCGGCCTTGTTTGTTGAGCAAACCCATTGACCGAGTTAAAGGGTGGGATGGCCAATGGCATGATGAATATGGGAAATGCGGGCTCCCCGATGATGCAAGGCATGAATCCTGCCCAGTTCGGCGACAACATGCAGATGGAGATGTACAACCAAAGGATGGGAGGCCAACAAATGCAAGGCACCCCCGGTGGAGGCCAGAGTGGGAATCATGCTCTGCAAGATTATCAAATGCAATTGATGCTGCTTGAGCAACAAAACAAGAAGAGATTGATGATGGCACGAGCAGAGCAGGACAATGCTGCCAATAGAGATGGCGCCCCCATGGTCGGTATGCAGCCTGGCGGTATGTCACCTTCCGGCAGTCGGACTGGCACCTCTCCCAACCCCGCAGATCAGATGAAGCGGACGCCACAATTGGGAGGAATGCCTGGGTCGCCTTCAGCTGCAGAAGCAATGGCAGGACGGTCGCCCGCTGGAGGAATGAGCTTCATGAACGGAATGCCGACATCTGATTTCAATCCGGCCATGTTCATGAAAGAAAATCAAGGCATGGTAGGACCAGGTGGGCCGAATATGAGACCACCTACCTCGGTGAACATGCAACAAGCTATGGCGCGTCAACAGCAGATGGGAGGACAGTTCCAAGGAGGCCAACCAATGGTCCAGCAACCATCGCAAGGCCAACCGCAACCCATGGGCACTCCGGGACAGAGAACCGAAATGCCGCCTCCTCAAGCCCCTGCTGGAAACAATGCCCAACGGAATCAACCATCGTCACCTCAGAGCGGGAATGCACCGCCGACTCCTTCGACAACCAACAAACCCAATCCAAAGAAGAAAGCCAAGGAAGATACCAACAAGAAGCGACCGGCCAAGAAGAACTCAACCGCAAATGCCCCCAGTTCTGAGAATGAGCCTCCCCCAACTCCCACACCATCGACACCCATCACTCCAGTCCATCCACAAGGATTCAACTCTGCCGGCAAGGCTGCTGGCCCTGGAATGCCTAATTCGAACCAAGCTCCTCCACCCAATCAGGCGATGCCACCTAGTCAACCCCAAATGCACCAGCCAGATCTCTCACAGCCCAATGCATTCTCCGACTTCGGTGGTGGTGGTCCAGAGAACTTCAACTTGGATTTCAGCACTTTGGAAAATAGCGACGTACTGGAGAATTTTGATTTTGACAGCTTTCTGAACACGACCAACGACGACACCTTCAATTTTGACGCTCCCATTGGGGTAGGAGGAGACTTTGGTTTAGATGCGACCGGTGAATAGTAGACATCTGAGATGTCCTGTATCATTTATTAATCCTCTGGCGTTCTATTGACCACTTGTGCCTCACGCATGGACGGCGCAGGCGTGCCCGGGTTCCCTGGAGACGCGCTCCCTCGAAATACTTTCTTTTGATTACAATACCCGCTTCTCAGACGAAAATGATTGATTGACTGAACATAAATTGACGGGTCAAATGCGGAAGTCTTGGGATTGGAATGGACAGGCGCGTAACTACGGTTTTTCTTTTTGCGGTTTTGTGCAGCATTGCTAGAACTATTTGATCTACAAGATTCGTTGGCTTCTTTATGGACATTTATCTTTGCTGTTTTGTCAAAACTGGACCCAATCTCAGAAACACCTTTCACGATCAAATCTGATTGTTTGCTCCCTTTTACCAGTATCAGTGTTTGGCTGACCATTCATTGCAGCTTGTGGCAGTTCCTGCCTCCAAGACCAAGATTGCAGGTCTGTAGCTACCTCTTCAGCTTCTGTTGTCTCGCCCGTGCCGCTCGAGCCTAAGATGAGCAAAAGTGTCATCGTGACGATTGTGGAATCTACACAAAAGGCAGCCCAAAACGTTGTTCCGTCCTTCGCTGTTTTCGCTCAATTCTGACGTGCGGCCACGTCTCCTACCGTCATGAGGTATCAAAATTGGGACGTGCTGCTGTTCCCCGGCGATTCTAGGGTTCCAATCCAAGAGTTCGACACGAAATACTACGTCCTGGACCAGGGTGAGTAGCGGCAATCATTCGAAAGACAGCGCTGACCAGGGTAGGTGTGCGTGTCTTCTCGCCACAGCATACGCGAGGCACAGATCAAAATACTTTCGACTCAGTGACGCTCGTTCCTATCCTTACCTCCTTCGTGGCAAGTCTTGAACCGGGTCACCCTTTTCGTGTTTCCATTCATAGCTGGCAAAGACCAACACCTTCCAACTTCCTACTGAGCTACAAAACAGCCGATGAAGCAATTTGGTTCGAGGCTCGAGTCTATATTGACGGAGTCCTGATGGCGTAAGAAATTTGGTGAGACTAGGTTCTTCTGGAGGTAATGACCACATCCAGGCACCGCGCATTTGATGAAGGGGTGTGGCCGGAAGTTATTGGTATCTGAGACTCTACGTTTTCGTCTTGCGATACACTTGACTAACCACTACACAGGAGACACCGGTGAATTCGTTTTCCATCGCGGTCCCTTACAAACTAACTTTGCAGATCGTGGCGACCAACGTCTTCGATTTCCATCCTTTCACCAAGACATTCTTCAACAACCACATTGGGAGCCAGGCGAGCCTGTTGGCCGAATCAAGATTGTCATCTCGGAAGGTGTTCTTCGAGTGCCCAACCCTCTAGTTGCTTCCGACGCCATGTTCGACCGACGGCGAGATGTTGTTATCTTCTCGTTCCAGCATGCGCCGCAGAGTAGGGTGATGACATAGCCCAAGTGTCCGTCACTTCAAGACTGAATAATAACGGCAGACATACTTGAATACTCGGGTATCGCCTGGCCCAATATGAGGGTCTTTGGGAAGATACCCGAGCGACGAATTCGGCCAGGCCAGATTGGACCTCGTCTACCATTTGTATCAGGTCACGAAGCTCATTCAATTCGAGGTGCCAAGCCACCGTTGAAAAGTCTGGATGGCTTCCACAAATTGTTGAATGCTCAGATTCTCTCGGATTTGCAGTCTGACCCTGTCATCAAAGCGCCGACAATCGATATAGCAGGCAATGATTCTCCTGAACGGCGTGGCAATGCAGAAATTGTAGCCCAGAGTGAAGATCTTTTCATCTGCTCACAGCCAATATCGACACAACAATGGCGATTGCAATTGAGGTCAGCCAGCCATGACATTCCCATGCCAGACTACATTTCGAACAAAATAGACAGCAGTGGAGCGTATACGGAGATGATGTTGGGGACCAGCTTTCCGCCGAGGAGTTTCTTGAAGCACATGAATGAAGTGAACCCGCGAGAGATAATTCAACCCCCGAGTAACGCGAGACAAGGGTTACTCAAAGTCTTCGGTGCATCAGAAAACCCAGTCCGAGGCACGCGAGGCCCAGCAAATTCACCACAGTCACTGTCTGGCGACAGCTTTGTCCCACCGCCCACTGGTAAACCTCCAACCACAGTAAGGGACCACCTCAAACTTGACGAGCCTATAAATCGAGACGACCCAGGTGACAATTCTTGGTCACGGGCCTTGCCAAAGCCTGAAATTAGCCGTCGAACGTACCCAGAAAGTAGCCTCAGGAGCATTTCTGGTCAAGGGAATGGCAGCCAAAAGGGACATATCAGTCCTCCTTTGCCTGTGGAGTGCGTGGAAAGGGCAATTCCGGAAGGTCGGCGCCCGTCAGTGCAAGGTCTCTACCCCTAGGCATTAATCGACAACGGTGGGCTTCAAACGCTTCTAAACGTAAACGCAGGTCAACATCTTCGGCATTGAATGCAGTCAAATCGCAAGACGGGATTACTGTCGGTCGCGGGAAAGAGAAGCCGATCGATGGAAGGCCGGGCCCTTGATGCAGAATGAGCCTGGTGGGCAGGAGTACTGATTGACCAGAATTATTATCGGGTATCTTCGTCGGGGACTGTATGAAAAATGGGGCTAGTGACAAGGCTAGAGGACCGATTGACGTAGGGAACAGGACCTAAACATAAACATCATGGTGCATAGCTAGGTCTCATATTTATAGACAAGGAACAATGGCTTGTTGTCAAACCAAAAAGCTGAAAAGGTGTATCCTCGGTTAGCAACGGAGAAATTGAGCGCCCTTCGGTTTCTTGCCCCGCGTCAAAAACTTTCGGGCAACGGTTTGACTCATACAGATGCTCAATTCAAACATTTTTATGGACCTCTATTGTCCTCCCCTGTATTGTAGAACATACCCCGACACAGCATTGACACAACCGAGTGCTCTGTCATCAATTTATTGAGCCAAACCGTCCATCCCGCCGCCTTCAAACCCTCTTCTCCAGGTGACACTTTCGCTCGAGACCGGGTGTCTTTGCTGTAAATACTGTCACGATGCCTATGTAGGCCCGGACTGACCTCGAGTTCCTGAATGTGAGACATCCGACTGACCATTTTGTCAACAGGCTCCGGGAGCCCTGGAAGAAGTACCGCAAATTTAAACCCCTCGACCTGCCCAACCGGCAATGGCCCTCCAAAACAAATGACAAACCTCCTAGGTGGCTGGCCACCGATCTGCGAGATGGAAATCAGAGCTTAGTTGATCCTATGGTATGAAAGCATCAAGAGACGGTTACCGAGACTGACAAAGTTCCAGGATGGGGAACAAAAACTACGCTTTTTCAAGATGCTGGTTGAGCTGGGCTACAAAGAAATCGAGGTCTCGTTTCCTTCTGCATCCCAAACCGACTACGACTTTACGAGATATCTTGTTGATACACCCGGGGTGGTGCCCGACGACGTCTGGCTGCAAGTGTTGTCCCCGTGCCGTGAAGACTTTATCCGCCGAACCGTCGAATCTCTGAGGGGCGCAAAGAAAGCCATTTTACATTTATACCTTGCTACCAGCGAATGCTTTCGAAGAATCGTCTTCGGCATGACCGAGGAAGAGAGTATTGCCCTGGCTGTCAAATGTACCAAATTCGCTCGATCGATCACCAAGGACGATCCAAGCCACGCAGAGACGCAATGGCTCTACGAGTTTAGTCCCGAAACCTTTTCAGATACCTCGCCCGAGTTCGCCGTACGAATATGTGAGGCTGTCAAAGAAGCCTGGGGACCAACGGAAGATGCCAAGTTGATCTTTAATCTCCCGGCCACGGTGGAGATGGCCACTCCCAACGTATTTGCCGACCAAGTCGAGTATTTCTGCACTCACACGACCGAGCGTGAGAAATTTTGTGTCTCGGTGCATCCGCACAACGATCGAGGTTGTGCGGTGGCCGCAGCAGAACTGGCACAGATGGCCGGTGCCGACAGAGTGGAGGGAACTCTGTTTGGCAATGGAGAACGAACTGGAAATGTCGACCTTGTCACGCTGGCCTTGAACCTGTATACGCAAGGAGTCTGGCCCAATGTGGACTTCAGTGATATCAACAAAGTCATCCGGGTCTGCGAAGAGTCGACCAAGATTCCGGTCAATGAGCGGTGGCCTTATGGTGGGCAGTTAGTGGTCTGCGCATTCAGTGGTTCTCACCAGGATGCCATTAAAAAAGGGTTTCAGGCTCGAAAGCAGGAGGGCGCTAAAGCCGAGGATCCATGGCAAATGCCTTACTTGCCACTCGATCCGCAGGACATCGGCCGCACATATGAGGCCATCATCCGCGTTAATTCACAATCCGGAAAGGGCGGTGTTGCCTGGGTTATCCAGCGCAGTCTGGAACTGGACTTACCTCGTGGCCTCCAAATTGCTTTCAGCAAGATCGTCCAGAAAGAAGCAGATGCCAAAGGACGAGAATTGCTCCCTCGAGAAATTCAGACCCTATTCGAAGAGTCATATCATCTCAAGAAGAACCCCCGATTTACCCTCATTGACTACAACATCACGGCTGTCAGAACGACGTCGCCCACTCCAACCACCAAAGCACCGGTCGGTCAACAGTCGCAAACGGTTGTTCCTGTCCAAAACACGTCGACAGCGAAACGGCAATTTGCCGGAGTGATCGCTATTGATGGCGTTCAGCATCCCATTGTGGGTGTGGGGAACGGTGCTCTTTCGTCTTTGGCCAACGCTCTCCATTCCTTGGGTATCGACCTTGACGTGGCTGACTATAAGGAGCACGCCATTGGTGAAGGTCGGGATGTCCGAGCGGCGACTTATATCGAGTGCACGGCCAGCGGTTCGCACGAGAAGGTGTGGGGTGTTGGTATCCATGAGGACGTGGTCCAGGCATCCTTGATTGCATTGTTGAGCGCGGCCAGCTCGGTGAGGGGATTCTAAAATGTTAGCGGAAGCTGAGACTAATCATGTTTACAGTTCTTGACCTCCCGAGTTTCAACTCCGGTGCCGTTCCGTCCTAAGCATGTCCGAGAATTTTCTGAAGCGGAATTGGAGGCGCTTGAGCGTTTGAATCTGAATAACTCAGAAAGCCCCAACAGCCCATTGAAAACATCGATGACAACCGAGACGATCACGACGCCCTCCCAATTGAACATGGCAACCACTCCTGGCAGCATTGCGGCAAAAGTCATCGACATTGACTTGTTGGAACAGAACGCGCAGGTTGTTAATGGACACACGCCGAAAAAGCCATGAGCGTTGCGATACCAAATGGGCGCCGAAAACAAAAAGGAGAGCGGTTCATGGATAAGACAGAGATGGCGTGGGGTTTATTGCTGTGACTTGGGACGGAGCCCTTCCGATGAATATTCCAACCAGATTGACCATGGACATTAGGATAACTGTCTGCATTTGTTTGGGGGAAGATCAAAATAACCAAAAAAGCTAGTACTACTCCGTATTGTCAAAAGGTAGCAAAAGCACATGCCAGTGCAGAAAAATAAATGGGTCCTCGGGAGTCATTTGGATGCTTCACATGTAACGGGGGAGGGGCCGAACAGGTGCTACATGGAAGTGGTACGGAGGACATGTGGGCGTGGGGCGAATCACCCCGGAGTGCCGTTCTAGGTAAGTATATATGGGCGCTCCAGGCTAACTGCGAAGAAAATAGCCTCCCCTTGAAGTGGTTCCGTTTCGGTCTCTCAATACCGACTTGCAGCAAACAAGATTTAATTATGACGATTGCCATGCCGCCGCTTCATCAATCATCACCGTGAATCTGGTTGAGAATCAGATGCTCCTTGCACAAAGACCGAGCTCCTCTGGATCATCCCGCCTAAACAACCTCCGACGTTTCCCAATTCCTGTTCCTCCATGCACTGGATCCCCGTCCCCTTCAATGTCGCTTCTCCTGCCCCCCCTTGCTCTTCCTCCTCCTTCTATTGCCAGGACTTACTTGACATAGCTGCGATTACATAGAGCTACAGCCATCCCTTTCCCACACTCCTGCGGTGTGAGAGTTTGGACCATGGCTGCGGAAGAGGAATAATCTAGATCTACAAGCCCAAAGCGATCGAGGCCGCCGCCCATCGCTGCCCTACGATCAGACCTACTCTTCCCTTCCCCTCCCGATCATGGCCTCCGCCGGTCGTCCTGCAACCCGTCGATTCCTCAAACCTCTTGTTTACTCTGCAGCCGCCCTCGCTGGTGTCGGCGGGACGCTAGTCTACCTGTCCTATCGTCCCATAAACGTCCCTGGCTCTCAGGGAGCCATCGTCCCCCTCCGCCGGACAGATGATGGAACAATCATACCGCCAACCTTCCCCTTGATCAAGGCTCGCGCGGAGCAGATTGCCGATTTGAGAAAGAGTGGCGGTTTGGTTGGAGCGGCCCCTGAGACACCTCTCACGCAACAGTTGAGGAACAGCTTTGATCGATTGAGAGGCGCGACCAGCGACGACAAAGACGAGGCCTTGCCGGCGGAGCAAGAAGCCGGTGAACCGTATGATCTCTTGATCATTGGAGGAGGAGCTACAGGATCCGGTATTGCCCTTGACGCGGCAACCCGCGGTCTGAGGGTCGCCCTGGTCGAGCGCGATGACTTTGCCGCGGGCACGAGCAGCAAAAGCACGAAACTCGTCCACGGCGGTGTCCGGTATCTCGAAAAGGCTGTCTGGGAACTCGATTACAATCAATATGCGTTGGTCAAGGAAGCATTGCGGGAAAGGAAATATTTCCTCGAAACCGCCCCTCATCTCTCAATGTGGCTCCCCATCATGATTCCCCTACAGAAATGGTGGCAGGCTCCTTATTTCTGGGCGGGCACCAAATTTTACGACTATTTAGCCGGGAGTGAAGGCATTGAAACCAGTTACTTCCTGACCAAGAGCAAGGCTTTGGACGCGTTTCCCATGCTGAAAAAAGACAACTTGGTTGGCGCACTCGTATACTACGACGGAGCACACAATGACAGTCGGATGAACATTTCTATCGCCGCCACGGCTGCTCTTTATGGTGCGACGATCGTAAATCACATGGAAGTTACGAGCTTGACGAAAGATGAAAATGGCAAATTAAATGGCGCCGTCGTTCGAGATGTGGTCGCAGAAAAGAACGGTGAATTCACAGCGCCTATCACCGTACGGGCCAAAGGGGTTGTGAATGCGACAGGCCCATTCTGCGATTCAATCCGCAAGATGGACGATGGAAACGCCCAGGATATTGTCGCTCCCAGCTCTGGTGTGCACGTGGTTCTTCCTGGATACTACAGTCCTCAGAAGAATTCCATGGGACTGATAGATCCTGCAACATCAGACGGCCGTGTCATCTTCTTTTTGCCTTGGCAAGGCAACACGATTGCCGGGACCACTGACGCCCCATGCCATATCACTCCACAGCCGATAGCCGGGGAGGAAGAGATCGGCTGGATTTTGAACGAGATCAAGGGATACTTATCCCCAGACATCAATGTGCGACGAGGGGACGTACTAGCTGCCTGGTCCGGCATTCGTCCTCTGGTCAAGGATCCTAAAGCGAAGAACACAGAATCGCTCGTTCGAAATCATCTCGTGACCGTGTCCGAGTCGGGCCTCCTTACGTGTGCTGGAGGTAAATGGACAACATATCGTCAGATGGCGGAGGATGCAGTTGACGAAGCCATCAAACAGTTCAAACTGCAAACGAAACCTCTCACCGCTCCGAGAAGAATCAGTGGCACAGAAATGGTCGATGACGCTGCTCCTCTTGATGGGACGTGCCAAACGCACCAAGTACGACTTGTGGGAGCCCACGGATTCTCCAAAACACTTTTCATCAACCTGATCCAGCACTTCGGAATCGAGACCGAGGTGGCCAAGCATCTCGCTGAAGCCTACGGTGATCGCGCTTGGACAGTCGCGGCACTTTCAAGCCCTACCGACGAAAGATTTCCCGTTCGCGGTAAGCGACTGTCGCCACTCTATCCGTTCGTTGATGGAGAAGTCCGGTATGCGGTCCGACATGAATTTGCCCAGAGAGCCGTGGATGTCATTGCCAGGAGAACCAGACTGGCATTCCTCAACGCCCAGGCCGCGTTAGAAGCGTTGCCCAGGGTTATTGATCTAATGGCCGAAGAGTTGAACTGGGACAGGAAGAGGAAAAATCTAGAATGGAAAGAAAGTGTGGCCTTTTTGGCCTCGATGGGTCTACCCACGAGCAAGCTGGGCGTTTCCCGAAGAGATGTTGAAAGAGGCAAAGCGGGCTTCGCAGACGAGTACGAACGAAAACTGTACTCGAGATACGGTAAGGTTTTTAGAGTTGTGCTCCCCAGACACCGTGCTAATAAGGAGCAGGTGGCCCGGCTGATACTCTTGAGAGCGATTCGAGATTGGTATCAGGGCAAAATCCTGTCCTCGGGTAATGATCGTCCGCCAACAAAGAGTGGTTGGAATAGCAGGCGATGCTGGATGAGTCCGTCCGCCTGAGTCTCAAAGGAAGCTCAGGACACCGAATTTTCCGGGGGCAAAGTTTGTTTTCTCTCTATAAGGCTCCCTCCCCAGTCTGATGGGGAGCACAGCTTGAGGGCTATTGCATGGGAAATGGGGGAGACATTCTGATACCATCAGCTTCTACGCGTCTTATTCTCATAATAACTTTTTCACATCCAGGAAAACACCCCAGATATCTCTGGTCGATCAGGAGCTGTTGCCTTTGCTCAACAACACCGCGTGGTTGCCTGCCCTGTGGTACACCCCATGGTTCACCAACGATGGCTGCATCTCCCTCCCAACACTCTAATACTTTCGTCTGACCCACAGTTCAACATTAACCAGCTCCCGCATAAATAGGGTTGTATTGTTTTCCTTCATTTCCTCATCTCCTATTTATTCTCTTGTTCTCGCCTGGTGCATGTGCAGAGTGGTACCTCTCCCTTTCACACAATGCTTTACCAAATACATTGTCGAAATACCCCTCGCTGAGCTAAATACTATCTTCTGTGAGTGGTTCCAAGCTAGCTATTGCCTCCCTTACTAGAACGGAGCGCGTCCTCAGCCTCCTCCCATCTTTGCTGCTTGAAAACCGTCGGCCATGGGATTTGACCGCATCTCTGGCAAGAGGCCTCATGGACCAATCTATCGCTTCCTATTTCCGAAGAAACTCGAAGAGGAAAAGAAAAAAGAATAACTAAACCATTATCAATAAAAATCTCCCGTCCTACCTCTACCAGTGATGCTGCCAAGAGAGTTGCATACGGGGTGGCCATTCCGACCATCGTCATTGCGGGTGTTGTCAACGGTCAAGTTCTTGTATGTACGACTATTGCGAAATAACAAGAATGACGTGACGCACCACAAATCCTGGAAATCGCATGGAATTTGGAGCCATAAGTAAGCCATTGGCTGCGCAAACAACGTGGGTCATTGAAGAGGTGATGATGGGACCGGATGGCCACCAAAGGAGCCAAATGCATGAAGGTCAGCAAGCTCTGTGACGGAGGATTTGGTCTCGGCCAGTTCAGGAAATGGGGAGACGGGAGAGGATGGGAAATAGAGGGACGCTTTGCCTGGATGGTTAGGGTATAAATGCGGCTAGTGGTAATTGTAATGCATCACCAGTATGGAGTATGTTGCTGATGTGAAAATTGGATGAAAATGCCCTAGAGACAGACATGGCATAGGGCAGGTCCAAAAGTCGATGCCAACACCACATTTGTATCCATAGAGAAAGTCTTGAGTGTTTCCCTCAGATGGTCGGATGAGGCTGTGGCTCTGCAGTACCGACATTCAGACCCGAACCAGCAAGGCCCTGGATACCCCCTTTCCGGTCTCCTCACGGAAGTGAACCAGGCCCATGTCTCCCCGCCACTTGGCAGTCGGATGAGTTCTGGGGAAGCAAACAAATCAATATAAATATGTAGGAGTTATACCGCACAAGATCAGGTCGATTGAATAGGCGCCAACTACGCTATGCCTGCGGGCACCACCATTCAACTCATTTGCTTGTCGAAAATGTCCGATACTCGAGATGAGTCCGTTGACAGAGGCCCTTTGACTGATCAACCATTGTGGAGCCGACACAGAATTGAAAAGAAAAGAACGAGTCTCACACGAATCCAGTTATTCAAGCCTTGACAAGCGGAGGGATACCCGGAGACCTTCCCGTGAACCCGCCATACACGCCCAGAGCTTCTTGGGCGATTGACAGCGGAAATGTCCACGTTCACGATCCTACTGTATCCCTCTTCAACGATTTGGCAAGGACCCTTATAAGGAGACCAGATGGAAATGGAAGCTCTGTCCTCATTGAACTCTCCGACGAAACCCAAAAACAGGAATCGGAAAGGGAAGCGAACGGAGATACTAGACAACCGGCAGTCACTTTCGGCAACCCATGCTTTGGGTGGATGATATCGACAATTCTCCCTGGCGACCCACGCTGGATCTGATCAAACAAACATTTCAGCAAGACTCTAGAGGTAATGGACTACTTTATCCTCAATCACCTCCTGCCTGGCAACCCCACGCTGGAATCAAAAAGCTCCCGTCCACACCTCCACGAGCCTTTTCTAGTTGGGTTTCTCCCTGCATGCACCCTCTTCGGTGATATCGGTGCTCGGTGCAAACGCTAATGGACTGGTTGCCAATAGATGATGGGTGGGTGATTATTGGTAATAGGGGCTCCACGCCACCAGAGTCAAGGCACTCAGTGATGGAGCCTTTTTGCCCTTGCTGCACCCACGTCTCCCTCAAGTCTTTTTACAGTGCTGCAGATATGGTTCTCCATCGACTTTCGGGAGTGCAACACGGCAATGTGAATCTGCGCGAGAAACAGGTTGGTATATCAGCATGAGGGGTGATTTCTTTTCATTCATTTTCCTTCGTTCTCTAATATCCAGGTTTCCACGGTTCGTTTGACTTGGTCAATTTTCTCTACTGGTTCCATTTATTGCAGCGTCGTGACAGACTGATAGAGAAGATTTTCAATTTCTAATCTCCAGGTTCCCCGGCTTTTTACAGAGTAGGCCCTCTTCGAACTTGTGGAGCCCAGAACCTCTGCCTAATCCTCACACTCTTACTGGGGAACGGTATCAGCTCGCCAGGACTGGATTCTACTGTGCTTCCTGCGACTTATTCGGCAGACAGAATCGCACTTTGGCTATCTATCACATTATCGGGAGGCGATATCCAAGGACAAACGACCGCCGGTATCGGAATTTTTTTTTTTTTTTTTTTTCCCCTTCCGGAAACTTTGTTGCGGTTCCTTCCACTCTCGGGGTTTTCGGATTTACGCCGCCCTCCCCCAATTTCGCAGCCTCGAGGTTTATCGTTAGTGCCAATTCTGGACAGATGGAGAGACCCAAATTTCACGTCGGCATTATTGGGGCTGGATTAGGTGGTCTTGCGGCTGCCATTGGAATAGCGAGAGCTGGCCATAAAGTGACCATTCTTGAACAAGCCCCGGAGCTTGGCGAGGTCAGTACTGGCTTCAAACACTAGTTACGTCCATTGTCCTTACCACTCAGGATCCAGGTCGGAGCAGGAATCCAAATTCCTCCTAACAGTACTCGAATCCTCTCGAGATGGGGTTTGCTTCCCGCTCTAGAGGAGGTATCGGTTCGACCTAACAACTTCATCCTTCGTTCCTACCGAGACGGCAAGATCCTCTCGACTCAGCCCCTGATCCCACACTGCGAGTCCGTCTACGGTTATCCTTACCTCCATATCCACCGTGCTGATTACCACAAGATTCTTGTCGACCAAGCCGTTCGTCTCGGTGTCGTCATTCAACTCAACAGTTTCGTCACTGGCATTGATTTCGAACAACCGGCCGTGTACATCAAAAACCGATCGAAACCATTCCTGGCGGACCTCATTATCGGGGCCGATGGACTGAAAAGTATCTGCCGTGAGGCTCTCCTTGGGCGTCCTGATCCTCCTCATCTGACGGGTGACCTGGCATACCGCATCGTTGTTCCAGCGGACAAAATGAAATCTCACCCATTGCTGGTCAATCTAGTTTCAGTTCCCAACATCAACTACTGGATGGGCCCGGATTCGCATGTTGTCTCTTACCTACTCAAAGGCGGTAACCTGTACAACATCGTGATCGCTTGTCCGGACAACCTACCGGAACTTGTCAATCAGCAGAAAGCCGACTTGGATGAAATGCACGCACTGTTTACGAATTGGGATCCGCAGCTGCGGGCCCTGCTTGGGCTCTGCAACGACACTTCCAAATGGCGTCTTCAGAACTCTCGCGAGATGAACTCCTGGTCCCATTCATCGGGCCGGTTTACACTGCTCGGCGATGCATGCCACGCTACCCTACCGTATCTGGCGCAAGGGGCTGCGCAGGCCGTCGAAGATGGTGCCGTCCTAGGTCATCTCTTCGAGAAAATCCGACACCCCCACCAACTTCCCGATCTGCTCGCCATTTACGAGGCTGTTCGCAAACCCCGCACCACCCGTGTCGTTCAGGGCAGTTCGCATCTGGGAAGAAATATCTTCCACCTCCACGATGGACCGAGACAGATGGAGCGCGATAGACAATTGGTCGCGTGGCAAGATGAGCCGTTTGAGGGCTATCAGAATCGGTGGCGCGATCCAGTGTTTCAACAGTTCTTATTCGGGTATGATTGTCGCGAGGTCGTGGATGAAGCCTGGGATGTTTATTTGCAAGGGCAGTTCCCGGGGACGGTGGGACGGTTTGGTGCGGAAATGGAGGTGGAAGGTGAAAACAAGGAAGACGTTCGGCTTGTAGGAGACCGTGGTGCGAGTCCGAGTACCGGAGCGAGAGAGGCTAGGTTGTAATGCAACCACTTTTTCCAGCAGTTCGCCTTGAACTCTACACTTGTAGGGCTTGGGCGAGTATTTGGTCATCTTCCAGAGAGGTATCGGAGTCAGGGAGGCTGGGTTTCGGGATGAGAAAGGATAGAGACACGACTACATAATTACAGATAGCGTAGCATAGCATAGCGGACGACCTGGAGTTTTGGTCACTGTGCAATGACGATTTGAATTCATCCTTCTCCTCTCAATTACCTACCTTGACGCTTGAGAGGCAGCACAGTAGACTTCCACGGCTCGTCTCGGTACCGTCTTCTCGCATTTTCGCCTGAGTCGTAAGGAGCGACGTCGTTTCTCGTTTGCCGTGGTCAAGGGAGCTCTGAAGACTGAGACTGAGACCGAGGTGGAAGAAGAACAAGGTTAGTAATATCAATAATTTTTTGCCCAGGGAATCGCCTCGGGAAGGGCAGCGCAGCGCCGCACTGTACACTTTATCTTCAGAATTCCATACCTGGATCATTCTCATCAGCATCTGAAATCCAAACAACGACTCTCCTATCACGAGGAAAGGCTGCCCTTCTCATGATTACTTACCTCCGTCAATTTGTACAACACTGCCATTCATATACCTATTAACCCGTAACATTAGCTCCTCTGTTTCAATTCCTCTTTTTGTTCTTCTTCCACCGACGTCTAGACACACACATATACCCCCTTCCTCCTCCCTCCATATTTCTGTCGTAAAGTATCACACGTACATGAAAAACTTATGATAATCGTAAAGAATGTCTTTCAGCAGCGAAAAAGAAAGGAAAAAGAACATGACAATCAGAACGGGAAACGCTGTAGAAGAAACAACAAAAAAAAGGGGGGGAGAAATAAAATAACAGGCACGTTCGTACCTTGCTCCCTCACTCATCAAAAATGCCACGACATCTGCCACCTCCTCTGCGGTCCCGAACCGTCCCATACTCACATCTTTCTCTGCCCTCTTTACTGCGTCTTCTCCCCTCCTCACACTCCCATTCGTCGGCGTATATATATACCCCGGCGCTACGACATTGACTCGGACCCCTTTTTCTCCCAACTCGAGCGCCATGCTCTTACTGAAGCCCACCACTGCATACTTTGTTGCACAGTACGTCGCGACGTTCTTCGACGGTTTCAGCCCCGAGATACTCGCGACATTCACAATACTTGACCCCGCGTGCTGCGGGAGATGCGGAATCGCGAGACGCGTAATGTTATACACCCCCATGACGTTGACGGAGAGCAAACGCTCGAAGTAGCCGACCGGTGTCTCCGTCAATGGGTACGCGGTGGGGTTGATGCCGGCGCAGTTGAAGACATGGTCGATGCGGCCGAAGCCGACGGTAGCCTCGGCGATGGCAAGCTCGCAGTCTAAGTCGGAAGAAACGTCGATGCAGCGAGTGCGGTGTTTGTGTCTGTCGTGAGGTGTGCAGCAGAGTAATGTCGCTCCTAGACCCTCAATAGAAATGTCGGTTAGATACAAAATGGCGCCGAGAGAGGAGAGCTTGATGGCGGTGGCCCGTCCAATGCCTGAGCCTGCACCGGTGATGAAAACGAGCTTGTCTTTTAAACTGCTGGAAGAGGAAGAGTCCATCTTAGATTCCTTTTTGTTGACAAAAAGAGGAGGTCCTTGACTGCTCTGCGCTGAAGACAGGTCGGTCTCAGTCTCTGTTTGCTATTAGTTAGTACGCTCGATGAGGGACAGGGCATCGCATCTGATTGACACTGACTCAGTACTCAGAACACAGTAGTATGAAATTTTGTTGTGTTGTGTTACTCTCCTGGAGGCCTCTTTTTGTAAATGCGTTGCGGCTGGATACTTAGGTTTCGTTTCCCGAATCCCATTCGGAGATGGCCTTCACGTAGAAGATACCGCCTCACAGATATGACACGACATGAAAATTTATTAACCCCAGCAAAAATCAAGACATTGATGGGAAAGAGAGGCGTAGAACTTCGGCATCTGGATATTCTAGGGAATGGGAGAGATGACTTTCATTTTCATTTCACGCCAAAGGTCCTGATCTTGATCTAATTCAAGGCACACGACAAACACCAACACCAGACACCAATGCTCAAGATTCACAAGTTGACAATTGAACTTGACGTCCACTTTTCTGTCAACACAATCACGCGGGAAACATTCGCCTTCTTTTGGCGAAAATCATCGCTGGCAATTTTCATCACGGTCTTCTTGGAACAGGATACCCTGCCTGACCAGGCTGATTCTGCGCACCACCAAACCGAATCCCCATATCCGGTGACCAAACACCACCTCCACCAATCGTCCCTCCCGCGACATTGACCGGGAACGGGGCGGTCGAAGGCATAACCCCTGGCACCGGATTTCTCGTCGGCACCGGTGCCGTCATTGCCTCATGACCTTGAGGTCCCCCAAGATGCCGACTCCTCGTCTGAGGCAGATTTGGATTTCCCGACCGATTCTCCTGCGCTTGTTGCTGCTGGCACTGTTGACTGGTCAGTTCCCTTCTCGTCTCTTCAAGATTCAACCTTCCCATATCCTGCCCGGCGAGTTCGGCTTCTAACTGGCTAGCCTCGACTCTTCGTTCAGAGACCTGTCCCTTGCAATTTTCTCTGAACCGCGTGACGTGGCTAGCTAGATCGTTGTAGAATTTCCTCCCGGTGTCGAGGTTACTGATGAGTTCTTTATATTTGGCATAGCCTGTATCCAAGGCTTGTAGCGCTTTCTGTCGATCTCGTGTACTTGTGTCGCCGCGTCGAGCGTCTAGGAAGGCTTTATTTGCCTCGCGTAGTCGTGCTACTATTTGATCTTGATCTTCTTGCTCGGTTATCAGAGCTTCACGGTCGGGTTCGTAGGATTCGAGCCGTGTTTCGAATAACTTTTCGAATTGTCCGGGTTCGATCTTTTGCATGGGATAGTCACGTTCAAGTCGAGCTGCCTCGGATAGGAGGGCGGGGTCGATGTTGTCGGATTTTGCCTTTTCTTTGAGGGCGTTGATGCGGTTCTTCCGCTTGGTTTCTAATCGAGAGACTTCGTTGAGGCATGTTCGGAGACGAGAGGCGGTTTGTTCAATGGCTGGTGTCATGGCCACTTGACCGGATGAAGGGACAAAGCGTTCAAGGTCTCGATTCGTCCCAGTCAATACTTGGAGAATGTGTTCGTTTTCTCGAAATTTGGATTGAACCAGGCTATCGCTTGAACCGGCGGAGTTGAGGTAGGTTTGGAGTTCTTTGGAGGTGTGATAGAGTTTGGCTAACGCGGTCGTAGAGGGTGGGCGACACCACCTGTCCGTACCATATTTCGTTCGGGCTCTGTCATCCTCGGCTTTTTCAGCTTCGAGTAACGAGACGCCTTCTTGATAGATTGCCAGATCATTTGCCTTGAGTTTGGTGGTGTCTTCCATTGATCGCTTGATTCGGTACAAGGCATCTTGTTGTCGGAGTTCTTCAGCTTTCGATACTAAACTTCCCGGGAGACCCAGGGGTTTCTCCAATGCTTGTAATGAGCCGGGTAAACCGAGGGATTCAAGAACTTCTCGGAGTTTGGCCGTCATGGCTTCCAGGTCCACAATGATAGATTGATGGACAAGACGATCTCGTCGGTCTGCATAGATGGATGCAGCTTGGTGAACTGCGTATGGGACCAATTTTTCGAATAATGGCCTACCAAATGGCTGTCCTTCACCAAGGAGGGCAATTCCATTGGCAACATCGGAGGGGGTTTTGGCCGCCACCATATTCGTTCGATCCAGTATCCTGAGTTCCGACTTGGGGGTCGGCGCTTGTAGGTAGATCATATCATTGTCTCTTTCCGCTCTCTTCAATTCTTCATTGACTCGTGTTTTGAGCCCGTTTAGATCTCCGAGAACAGTCGCGTTGATCCATCGAGCTTCCTGCAATCCCTCATTCACGCAAACAATACTGTCTTTCAACCGGGCGATTTCTTCGCCATACTGTTTGTTTTGTAGACAATATCGCGACTGTCTGAATTGAGCAGCGGCAGCGAAATGGTGATGCTTTGCTTGAAAATGATGTATCCACTCCGTACTGACTGCTCGCGATTGACGAGCCGCGTCGGCAGCCATGATGTAGTAATCCGAGACTTTCGCCGCGAGTTTCGCAACTGTTCCGTCCGACATGTTCTTCTTGACCGTGATTTGCCAGAAACACTCTTGGGCTTGAGCCAGGCATAACTGCTGCAGACTGTCCAATGTGATATCGTCCATATCCTCCGGGGGGGTGGATCGCATGTCCGGTATGATTTCGGTGCGCATGAAGGAGAACGTTCCTGCAGCGGCCACGCCGTATTCGGCTGCGGCTTTGAGTCCATCGACCGTGGTTCGGTTGGTGTTAAAGGCAAGCTGCGAATATAACGCGGCCAAGTTGAAGAGGATATTGGCCAACTCGAATCGGACATTGTTTTGTAGCACGGGCTTGTCTTTATCATATCCTAGCGCAGGGTACCAAGGGAAATCCACACCGATGTCGATGGGGAACTTTCCCCCTATGTAGCGTAGTTGAGCGGCGTATCGGGTCAGACGCCGGATCCCACTGACATGGGCTTCATGAACATTTATAGCATCCGTGCGAAGGTGGCTGATTTCTTGTAGGTCATCCGCGAACATGCCAGGAGACTGGTCATATTTGGTGGAGATGTACTGTTTCACGGCGGAGGAGAGGTCGACTGGGTGGGTGCGGCGGAAGGGAATTTCGAGGACATTTCTGGGCATGTTAGCAAGGAAGCCGAGGGCAGGGACGGCGCGGAGACTTACGAAGCCATTGTACGTCACAGGAGTGAGACTGGATGCCACAAATGGAAGACCCAATGGTTTCTTGTTTGTTTGTTTGATTCAAGCTTCCACTTCGAGAGAACGGTCGAGATTTTCAGCCTTGAGGTGACGTCATTGCTCAGCCAAGATATCAGAGGTCACGTGCAATCACGTGCCACATCCAACCCTACAGCCTTATCAAATAGGTAGTTCATGGCGAAAAATACTGGAGCGAGAACGCCTCTCTGCAGCCACGCGGAGCCCCACGCCCCTCCCCGAGCCAATGTCATCGAAACACCTGGAGCTGGATGCGGTGTAAATCCTATATCGATGGAGTCCAGGAACATCTCTTCCAATGGTAGTCAGGCGGACTTCTCCACGATGTTGGATGCTTTTGTCGAAAGACCCCACATCAATCCAATGAGATGTTCACCTCTGCACGACTATTACGCTCTTTTCTTGCTTTCTCGCATTACATGGTGGAGAGATTTCATATATAAATAGGGGAGTGCGCTGCCAGAAAGCACTTTAATATCAGGCGAACCCTGCCCAGAGATTGCCGCGCAATTCGGCCTCGTCCCGTTATCGATTTCCGTATTCTCCGTGACTCCTAAAACACCAGAGATTTCAACTCAGTTCTATCGTCTACCGGGAAACCCAACATGGCACCTTCAGCCATCTCCGACCTCCTCCCGCCCGGACCACTGACCTCCAAGTCCGTCCAACCCGAAAAAGAACATCATGAACATGGCATGGAAGACAAAACCCCGCTCGCAGCCATTTCCCACGGAGACGTGATGTTACCGGGAGTGCCGAAATTCGACAATTTCGCAGCTCAGCGACAATGGCAATTGGAACACATGGCCGCAGCATTCCGCCACTGGGCTCGTGAGGGATACGTGGAGGGTATCTCGGGACATATCAGTGTAAGAGATCCAGAGAACCATGAGGTCTTTTGGACGAATCGTACGCCTAGAACCCCCTCCAGCTGAATGATCCGAAAGTATATACTTATCATTGATAGCCTTGGGTGTACATTTTGGTCTTCTGAAGGCCAGCGACATGATCGCCGTCAATCTCGAGGGCAAAGTCGTCGGTGGAAACCGAACTCGACCACCAAATGCCGCCGGCTTCCTTATCCACAGTGAAGTACACAAGGCACGACCCGATGTCACAGCCATCTGCCACGCACACACCGTCTACGGCAAGGCATGGAGCGTGTTCGGCAAACCAGTTGAGATGTTGACGCGTGAGTGACTACCCTTTCACCGGCGGTGCCTCTGGGGGCTGACAACCCCAACAGAGGACGCTTGCAAATTCTACCACGCGCACTCCGTATACAACTCATACGGCGGTACCGTATTAGCATCGGCCGAGGGCGCACTAATCGCCAAGGCATTGGGGCCGACTAACAAAGCGTGCATTCTCCGCAACCACGGTTTGCTGACGGTAGGCAAGACGGTGGACGAAGCGGCGTTCTTGTTCCTATCACTCGAACACGCGTGTCAGGGCCAGCTGCTCGCTGAAGCGGCCAGCCAAGGCGGCAAGCTTGACAAAGTCCTCATCACCGACGAAGAGGCCGACTATGTTTTCCGTATGGAGAGCGATTCGGAGACCTGCTATGCCGAGTTCCAGGCCTATGTCGACTGGGAAGATTATCATTGCAAAGGGGAATTTCGAAAGTAGAATGCGGAATGGTAAAAAAAGATGTCGAGTGTCATGATAAGCTCTTGGGAATGAAGGAGGAGTATGCTGGTGCCACATCAAATCTTCGTGCGATGGAATGTGTGCGTATCCATTCATTGGTTGATATCAGCTCCATGCCTGGGTTTAGATATTGTGATCAAAGCACATCATGCACAATCTATAAGGCTCCTTTTCCCCTGGTGAAGTATCTCTTCAATTTCTCGGTTCCCTCTGCGTCAAGATCGAGGCGAGGGGTGAGGGGAAAAGAAAGTACCGGCCTGGGCATGGCCCAATTTCAAGCTCTAGTACGTCGACTACTTGAAGATGATGGAGAAGCCCACGCTACCTCAGGGGAACGAGTATTGAAGCCCAATAGGTGTATTGACCAAGGGCACATCCGTAGCCCGTCTCGCGCGTAAGGCGCATTGCCCTCAACATCATAGCTGCCTTTGTCATTGCTCTCTGCTCTCCTCCCTCAAGCCAGAAGCGTGCCAGGTCTGTTGTCGGCCCGGTATATATTCTTCAAAAAACTAGTGTATAAACGCCACTAGCATGACGCTAGCGATCATATGTCACCGCATGCCAAAAATCCCCAAAAGCGCCTGTATAGATCAAATTATCGTAATTTCTGCCCAAAAACCGCCTGGTGGGTGAATCTTCCCCTTGACAACTCGCTGTGCCGCTTGGTCAGTATGTTCTGACAATTAATCGGTCCGCCAAGTCCAAGGGTTTATTAGAGTGGCTGATTAGATCGAAGAGAGGTACTGCGACAAAAGGTCTGGGATTCGAACGACAATCAAACCATTTGGTTTAATTGTGCTCTTTCTTCACCCCACGTTTCAGCATAGTAGCAGCATCCCTTCGGCTGCCTCAATCGGCAACCATTTCAACGCCGAATTGATTCGCTTGGCGAAAAAGTATTCGCTATTCTTTCTTTCTTTTTGATACAATTCCTTCTGTGTATGTGTATGCATGCGTGTGTTTGTGTCTTGTGTGGGCTTAGGGCCATTGGTCCGAAGTGAAGGTCCAAAAGGCCAAAGCAGCAGATAAGGCAGAATCGCTGATACGATTCAAAGGTCTGTATCGACCATAGGCACGGTACCTGTAGTCATCCGGCTCAACAAGATAGGTACTGAGTGATCCGATTGACAAGGCCGGGAAAGAGTAGGCAAGGGTATTCGCTCTTGAGATTTTGCGTTCAAAGTTTTCGTGTAGATCGCACTTTCAGTATAACACCACAGAATGAATGTTATAGATGACTGAGGCGATCAATCGGACTCCGATACTCGTACAGGTCTGAAAATGACTCGATAGGCGGGCTCGATCATATAGCACCATGACAGATTCAAGCCACTTGCAGCTGTTCTCGTCGGCTGAGGGACGGTAACCGTTATCATTAGCCGATTTGTCGCTCAGCGCCAAAAAACAGTCATTCGAGTGAGCATGTCACATCAATCGTCGCCTGCATTTTGACCTACTCCCTCTTCATCTTCCTCCCCCCACCCATTCAATGTCCAAGTGATCGCACAGGTGACTAGAATCCATCTAGAAACAAAACTCCAGCATGCTGCTTTCCACAAGGCGACTCTCTCCCACCGTGGTCGTTTCATCACCCCTGCGCCCCATAATGTCGCTGCAAATAGCAGGGGCGAAGAAGCTCGGCACGCCAATATCAGTGCTTGTTGGAGATTGGGATGGGCTCGTCCAAATGCCGTATTTTTCTCGTCGCGTGTATCGGACGACTGTCGAGGAGGCATTTTGAGGCCGCTTCACGGAGAAGAATTCGATAGGGTTGAATGGATTGAAGTGTATGCAATGACAATGGCCGAATATGGGGCCTCCAAGTTGAACATGCAACAAACGGAGGTGTAGGGCCAAGACCTTCTGAGGATAGGTCGATAGGAATCAAATTCAGTAAACGTCTGCTTTTAGCCTTGATTTCTTGGGGGATTATGGTTCCACATGAATCAAAGCGACGTCGAACTAGGTGGCAGCGGTCGTTAGGCTCCGAGGTTTCAACGTATGGATATCTTTTCTCGTGGGACCGCCGCGGATGAAGCGAAACACAAATCTCACGACCGCATCCTGGTAGAATTTGAGACTGGATCACTTTAATTGAATGCGAGGGTTTCAGATAAGACCATGGCAAGAGCAAGACATAAAGGTGGAGTGAGTCGACTTGGCTGGCTCAGAAATCGCAGAATGGTTTGCTTGAGGATTCAAATCAAATAGATCATCAAACTTGGGAAAGTGTTTCTATGACAGAATCAAGATCAAGAGGGCACTGCCGATGATCCAGCGAGAGATTGCGTGGATGGGAGGTAGGTGAGTTGGTGATGAAGACTCACGCGATCAACAAAAACCTGACATTGGAATCGGTATCACAGGCACGTGACTTGACCTGATATCACATGACTCTCAGTAGATTCCATGTGTCCTTGGATCCAATAGTCTATTGAGACACAGATACTCCGCTGATGTCATATCCGTCTTGCTGATCTTGTCTATTTCTTGCGCTGTCTTTACTCTAGATCCCATTGCCCTCTAAACTCAATTCCCAAGGGTAACGAGCGGTGTGAAAATCAACGTCAAATATAGTACTTCTGTACATGTCCTGATCACCATCCAAATCCCTCTTCGATGAGATCCAAATTTGTCCCATTGTTGAGCATCAATCGAGACACACGTCTCACTTCATCCGCCAACTCGCCACCAGCACAGGTACTCACCGCAAGACATCCAATCTTCTCTCCAGCCTCGATTCTCATCAATTCTTCGATATTGGGTCTTCCCCGATACATTCGGACCATCTCACTGGGAGATCGGATGGATTGACTCAGACCAGCTCGAGTAATGTACACCAGGATTTTCAGAACCTCTCTTCTTCTCTCCATTGCCAGAATTTCATGCATCCACGGTCGAATCCAGTCGAGGCATTCTGTACTAGGAATGACCCAGACTAGTGTAAGTCTCTTTGTCGCAACCGTGCCTTCGGCGAAGCCCGCAACAAGCTCTCTGACATAGCCCAGCTGATGCGTAATGCCTACTCCGCTGGTGAAAAGCATCACTGTCCCATAACTGGATAGTTTCCGTTCGTTGCCATACGGCCCTTCGATGTAGGCCGTGAGAGGACGAATCTCGACGGCTTTGTCTGCGTGGTTCCATAGTTGTCGTGTCAGACCCCTCTGCTTCTTAATAATAAGAGAAATAGTCGGCTCCCCAGGAGCTTCGACGTCGATAGACCGGCTACTAATGGCCGGCCTCTTCTCATTGAAATGTGATCTGTCCGAGTCGGATAGACTCGACAGATCTTCGATCCCAGACCAGGCCACAGAAAAGGGATGTGCAGTCCATAGCCCGATGGAGGGCACTGTCAAGTACAAAGACTGGCCAGGTCGATATGTCCAAGGGCGTGGAGTTTGAAGGGAGATCTTGATGGCATCACCCTGCAGTAGATGGATCCTTGCCGCAACGCCACCTCTCCCAACACTCCTGTACATCAACGTAGCCAATCTCCATGTTCTTGCGACACCCCAAATAATGATTGCTCCCAGCAGAAGGTATCGCTGTGGCAATTCTTCAAGATGTATCCAGAGGAACGCTATGATGATGGCCACCAGGACAAAATGTAGGTGCAAGAAGAATTCATAAGCAAGGTTTCGAACGACTTTGGGGCTTTGCAGAAAAATGACGGTGAATCCAATCACGGCAATCAAGCCGCTGTAAATGAATGAATGGTGCACAGATTCTCCGACTGCTGCCCAACCTTCGGAGTCGACCTCAGCAATGAGCCAGCACAAAGCATGGACAATGGCTTCCAGAATAGAGATGCGACCCAACCAGCGGTGCATCAGGTTGAAGGTGTCGTAGGAAATGTCCAGCAACGATATCAAGGGATTTTTGACCGTTGCCATCGTCATAATGGGGATCAAGTTGACCACTGCCATCGTGCCCGTTCGGTTTCGCAGGATAGGCAAGACCTGTAGCTCCGGATCGGACCATGGTATGTTCCAGGTGCAGGTGAAAACATTGGTCACGACGAGGAGGAGGATGAATAGCGCCTGGAACCGTGTAGGGAGAGGTCCGAAATTGACATTTCGGGAAAACTTAATCTCTCGCGCTCGTCGATAGTAGAGCATCGGCGCATAGAGGAGCTTGCTCTTCAGCATATTGAAGGTCGGCGACGCTTGTGAGAAGTAGCGAAGTGCACCCAGGTTGTTCATTGTCGCAAGATGCCTGATATGCTTGGCCACTCTTTGAATGATGGAATAGATGAGGACCAGTGCAATGACACCGAGCAAAGACCAAAGATAGTTGTGGCCGAGGTCCTCGTTGAGCATGTTTAGGTATCTTTGTGTGGCATCATTCTGGTATTGCGAACCGCCAGAAGTGGTTGAGTTGCCTGTCACCGATGACTGAGCACCCACAACAGACGCCATCGCAGCAAGGGGGAGTAAAATCATGTTGTTCATCTTAGCAATACCAGATAGCAAGGGAGCCGAGCACAATGAGACAAGTCCAGCTCGTCAGTTAAGGGGGGAAGAAACGACCTGTAGGTAATGAGGCAGCCTGTGCCAAAGGAGCAGTGGGTGAGAGAGGAAAGAGGCAAAAAGCAAAGGTGATTAAGTCCCTGATCATGTATAATTTGGCGGTCGTTGGGATTCAAGATTCCCCTAAGATTGGCCCACCAAAAAAAAAAAAAAAAATATTGTCGAGTTGGCACTTCACCAGGCAGTTCTGTGGAGAATTGACCTTTTCTGAAACCAGCGCCTGTCCGAACAAGCTGGGTCCTGCTTGTTATTTATCAACAGCTCCATGAGCTCCATCAACTTACCTGTCCCACAGGATTGGGCTCGAACAGGGACATTGCCTTTGTCACCGTCAAGAATGCTTCGGTGTTACCCTGCAAGGACGACTAGACACAAGCATGGAAGTTCCTGCATCAGACACCGGTGGGGAAAGGCATGACAACGGAACAACGGGGGATACATCCTACCGGCCACTGTGGTTGATCGAGACGGGTTGAACGCGTAAAGCACATGCGTACTAAGGCCCGAACGGCTGGATGCGGGCCAAGAACGTGAAGCAGGAGAGAGATGGATTGGCATTGCAATGGAGGCTGGAAGGTAGAGAGGGAGTTCTGTAGAGGCTGATACGGAGGAGTGAGGAATCAGGTAGTCAGTAGTAGGTGATGGACAAAGGAATCGATAGACGAGACGAGCAACGTGGTCAAAGAACAGAAGAAGCCCGCCAAGACCAGATCTACGAATGCTGATTGGCCCATTTCAATCATCCCCACTGGGTCCAGTCCGCTATCCATCTACTGAGGTATACGCAACCAGCTATCCGCGTCTACCAGTGGATATCGGTCAATCAAAAGCTCTCTCCCAGACCAGCTTCCCTAGCTTTCATCAGGGTACGTACATTGGCAGCCCCACCGCAAGGTTGGCCTCGCTATCTTATGATTGCCGATACCGCAGTGAACCTTGCAAGGCTAGAACGCAGTCCTCAGTTGCTCTCAATTTTCAAGCTCAATATTACTGCTGAGTGCTCAACACTCATCCTCGCGCGTCTTGGCTCTACATATTTTACCTTTGATCTAGCCTTTGTGCATCTGAACGTGGACGGATCATTCGTCACCCTTGCCACACAAGAAAATCTGGCCTTCGTCATCGGAACTCCGCCCACAGCGCTTTTTTTTGTCTCGTCGCACCATGCTTCCTTATCAGCCAGGCAAGTGGCCAGATGCACCACGGACACCAGCCGACTGCAAGGGCGCTGAAACACTAGCATATTCTCATTTTCAACTGCTACTACATGAAACCGTTACTCTAGCAGGCTTAGTTCGTCCTCAGACCCATCCTCTCCGTGCACTTCAGACTTGCTCTTATCGAAACTTTCCATCAACCTTATCGATTCCTGTCCCTCGGGCATCATCTTGCGCCCGACCTTCCTGTATTCAAAATCGCACGTCGTCGTGTACTTCAGAGTCATCGCCGAGGCTTCTTTCACTCTACTCCGTTCCTGTCAAGTTGTTTCCCGTTGAAATGACGACGCACAAGGGGACTTTTGCCATTTCCTGTGCACAGAGCCACGATGGAGCGGGTTCCATTTTCAGGGCTCCAAGACGTTTTTCGATCCACCCCTGCAGACCTTCACACCACCGATATCCTTCGGACAACGGTCTCACTGACGGCGTTTCCAGATCTGTATCTCTATCTCGCACCCTTTGTTGCCATACTTTATAGATTTCTGTAGGTTAGAGTAGCAAATCGTTATCTTTTTTTTTCCCCTCCCTTAGCAGCGTAATCCATCCTCCCCAATCATTCATCAAGAAATGACACAGGCGGCAAAAGAAGATCTGAGCGGCATGGTAGTTTTGGTACTCTGACATTTTAGATGTTGATCAAGCTCGACGCGTATCTGCGCCTTCCCTGACATTCTCTCAAGGCCGTCGATTACTTGCCGGGGCCTTATGGCCACGAGAGAGGGAATACATGATATTCAAGTCCCTCCTGAGCGAATCCCACATCTCTTTGAACATTCGCTGGTGTGGGGACTTCTTTCGACACAGTTGTCCTTGCCATTCTCAAATCAGTTGTATCTGTCCCCTCGGCCGCAAAATAGAGCTTCAACGTAGAACGCTTCACAAACGTCATCAACGCTCCTATCGTCCAACATGCTACCAACCCTTGTAGCATGGGGAAAGGGCTTGAAGCTGAAGAAATGAGGCAGAACGGCAAATGGATCATCGTTTCTTTGTACCAACGGCGACGTCCGATACTTATCCAGACCTACCAAAGACCTTACGCCCCGCAGCAATCTTCCAGACATGAAAATCCCATTATGGCATCGGGGGTCTCAAGCAAAGCGCCTGGCGGATCCGGAGTGTTGATGTGAGCTTCGATCAGTGAATCTGAGACAGAGTCTCCAAAATCCCAGTGAACAAGACGTAGGTACCAGCGGAGGGCTAGTTCTGTCACTGCGAATTCGGACAATACTTCAGTTCTGACCAGTTGTGTCACCATGTATATGCCACACCAACCAGTTGCTTTCCTGAGTGGGGGCTGTCCTGTTCCTGAATTCCCGAAATCGTCTTCGAGCTCTTGTAGCCCAGTTCCAACGACGTCGTACAGACCATCATATCAGTTTTTGTTTGTATCACCTTCCCTTTGTCCTTCCACTATTTTTGGGAGGCGTTTTCTAGACACATGTCAAAGAGCGATATTGCTCCTTGCAATGTAGTTTCGCCATGCTCCATGTCTGAGGACCTCATAGAGTCAGTAATGGCGGCGAGAAAGGCGGGAATGACGGTATAGCCGTCTCTAATCATACTCTCGTAGTCCTGGGCGAGATGAGCAATGCGGGAAGTCCACCTGCGGGACCATGTCTAAGGGCTGGCATTTTTTTGCGGGCAGCCTGGCCGCAGTGGTTGTTTGCGTGCCGTTTGTCAGACTATTTTAGAAGAGGTGGTCTTGATATGCTGGTAGAGGAACAGCGGGTGTGATCTATGTGCCTTACTTCGTCATCGCTGCTACTATCTTGACCCCGGCATACTTGCGCTCGTCGAGTTGTATCGACAGTCAAGACAGCAGTGTTTTCTCGAAGGGCTAAGTCCGTCGGGCGAGAGCCAGACAAGCTCCTGGCCAGAAGAGCCTGCGGTTGTGTCTTCCTACAGGAGGAGGTGTATGCCTTTCTGGACTTCTGTCCCGTTTGCGAAGTATTTTGCGCCAGCCCCGCAGGCCTCCGGTTTGGCTATCAGTCCTTCCCTCCGATGAATCCTCTTTTTGCGCAGCCAAACCTTGTACTATTTCCCAAGTCAGTTCACGAAGGATGTCAGCCGCCGAAGGATTCTGTTGCATTTAGACGCCGTCCAAGTGATTGTGACGGGAGGTCGTGAGGGAGCCTGCGCGAGCTATTGCGACGACTTCGACGGTAGAGGCGTTCGATCTATGGATTAAGATCGGGGCACGGAAGATTGTGAGCAAGAATGTGGATATTGCTTAAATGCGAAATGAATGCATCCTCCTTGAAGAAATAATGTTGGCATGCAGACATAAAATGGATCCTCTTCCAGTTTTCAATTGTTTACGTTCACTTCCCCCATTACGGTTGCCATGTAAAGCAGCAACCCAGAGCGGTCTCTCTCGTCTTCCAGTATTTCGACTTTTTGCAATAATGATCCTCCCTCAGACTTATGCAATCCGGCAGACAAATTTCTCACCTCCGGCATGTCCGGTTTTCAGTCGGTTCAGGCCAATCAAATTGTGAAGGATCGCAAGTGGAAATTGACAAATGCCATTGATAGATATGATGAGAACAATAGCTGGGTGCATGTCAGCCAGATGCTGGGGAGTGGAATTGCCAGCGTTTTCTCAGGAGCCAAAAAGTACCACGAGGAAGACATTCCTAGCGGTGTGCAAATCCTCTACACTTTTGTTGGCACCGCGCATGGGGGCACCTGCAGACCTGGCATGCCAAAGCAGCAATCGAAAGAAGAAGCGCATGGAGGTGTCGAAGAAGTTCTTCAACTGGGTCCAAGAATTGCTAGAGCAAGAGAAATATGAGGGCCATCCCTTTGAAGTTATCCCTGGAGGTCTCAACGGTATTGCTGAAGGGTTGGCTGATTCTTTCGGCTTTGCTCTACCGGTGTTGTAATCCAGGAAGACGTCTTCTCCACCGAGTAACTTCTTTAAGTACTCGCTACTCCCTCCGCCAATTGCAATAATGGGACCGATCCCCGCAAGTTTTGCGAGTTTGAGAGTGTAAGCACCCAAAGCAGTCGTGGCTGCGTACACAAGTAATGGTTTCCCATTCTCGGCGACCGCCTCGAGATTCCATGGGGCCCGCAAAGCTTTGCCTTCGGAATAAAGTCAGTGCAGCTGTTAAACTGACAAGGGGAATGGCACTGGCTTCTTCAAAGGCCATTGTATCAGGGATCTGAAAGACGGTTTGAGCCGAGATCTGTCTAACTTCACAAAAGCCGGTCTCGTTTTCAGATTGAGACACCTGATAATTTGACCCGAACGGTGAGCCAGCAGCCCCTAGGCATCAATCAAGAAGCCATGTTGTTTCGCTAGGACTAAGTCCTTCAGGAATAGGATGAACTCTGCCAAGTGGCTCCGCGAATTTTCGATACATGAATATGGCAAAGAGAACGCCCTGCCCAAGGCCGAAGATGACGTTGTTCAGCCACGGCCAAGCATTGATATAATACCAAGTGAATGGGTCGTACAAACGCCGTGGAACTCGATTAAACCCTCTCCCGCGTGGTCCGAGGCGACAGTACCGACTCATCCTAGGAGAATGAAGATGACACATTGGCTGGCGAATGTAGATATGCTGAGCGATGATATGCTGAGCGCAGAATTGTCCATTCCCCATAATCTCTTGATCTGAGATGGAAACTGCGATGTGACAAGGACGATCGAAATCGAGATGCAGATCATGTCGCACAGTCCCATAAAGGTCAGCGATCCCATAGAGCTTTCGGGATCGGGTTGCAATAATATCGAAATGGCAGGAACAACCCAGATCAGACTATGACAGATACAAAAGCCAACGATGAGTTTGGAATTGCCCTAAAGAGCGCAGTTAGTCGTGGAATAGGTAAAGGAACGAGATTTTGCACCGGGCTTACAGCGAGAATGATCCAGACCATTGCACCATGATCTGTAAGGCCCAAGGACGCTCCGCAAGTCCCACAAGCTGCCTCTCCCGAACACACCCGATCACGGGGTAGTGTGCACAAGAGAGCAACAGGATCGTCGTAAACTGTGTCGCGGCGAACAGGTAGTGGAACATGACGTAATTAGGCGCAATGCCAAACGTGCTGCCTTGACTGACAATGCGGAAAATCTGAGGCATGTACGATATTATGATTGCAAACAACAGGATTCTGGATTTTCATCAGCCCAGAGCCCGGATATGATGGATTGAGAGGGTCATCGAATGTATTCAGCGCGATGTCAATCTTCGGTTTACACAGGTCGCGGCATGTTGGGGGCTCCCTCATTATGGATGGAGGGATTGATAATATACCATCACCGGCAGAGACACCGGTGAGATATGGCATTTGCTAAATAGGTAGGCAACCTTTTGGGACTAAGAACATAAGCTTGGAAAGAAAGACGACGAGAGAAATTGCAAGGCAACGTATACTTATTATTTCAACCAGCCACTAGTACTTGGGTGTTCGCAGCCGCACAGCCATTTTCGCAACCGGGGACAGCGCGCTTACTAGGGCCAAGGACGTCTCAAGTGCCTTTCCATCTATCTTAAAAAAATCCCAGACTCGGTTCTGCCTCGCCGGTGGAAACATGAAACTACTGTTCACACTCGGATGGATGGCTTTGAAACTGCTTCTGGCTCTAGCCTGTGATCATCGACATCGGCCAGCCGGGGGAACGGTACTGGAAGCACAGCGTGCCTTGTACCTCGTTGAATGGACAATCCTCAACACATTCGAAGTTGGAAGTACCAGTTGACGGATATCAAGATACAGAAGGTATCGCCATCGACTCTCGCAAACCATGAAAAGCTCTTTGTTTCTTCGATATATGTGTGAGAATGTGGGTTCACATCCGCGACCGCAAAGTCGCCATGTATCGTGGTTGCGATGTCATCTTTAAATTTGCCGTCTCAGCGACTGATCTTGAAAGGTCAGGGGCAGTCAGGAGTCGTCTTCGAGGTGAGCGCTATAATCTGATCATGTCTTGACTGCATATAATATGGGATGATATTCACACTCAACCTCGAACATCCAATCATCCAGACCTACGGAGTAACTTCAAAGCAAACGTTCTTCTGAAATCGAAAACCTAAGTCGAGGTCATATCCTCCGCAAGAAAGACATTAGATGTTTCGGGATATCTGCTAGAAAAAGCTCTTAACGAGCTCGAGAACATTCATTCAATAGCTCAGGAAGTCGCAGCCAATTGACTCCTAAGCTGCTGAACACCAACAAGCAGAGGTACATCAGAAGCTATGTGGACAGGGGAAGGGTTTGCTGTACCGCTAGATGCAGATGTCTCGAGCAGAAATGGGCTGCTAGATGTTAGAAGCCCAGATACCTCGACATCAGCTCGGCCAAATCCAATTAAGACAGGATATGTCGCTTTCGGAGACTCTTTCGTAGCGGGAATCGGGACAGGAACGACAGAGAGGTCCGGCTGCCGTCGAGGGGAATTCTCCTATCCAAATCAGTAAGCGGCCACCGTTGCAAATATTGACTTCCAAAATCATGCCTGTTCCGGGGCTACAGTTGCGGATATCGGTCCCCAGATTGATCAATGGCAAAACCCAACTAATGCTGACATTGCCACAGTATCTATTGGCGGCAACGACCTGAAGTTTTCCGACTACTCAATGCCTTCGTTCTGTGGTGGGGTGGGCCGAAATTTTCTGGGAATTGTGACAAGACAGTTCAGAATGTCATTGGGATCCTTAACGGTAACCAACTCTACCCAGCTTTATTTCAAGCTTTGCAGCAGACAGTTATCAAGTCTGGGCGCACCGATTTCAAGCTCTATATGACAGGCTACCCTGCCTTTTTCAACGTGGACACAACCTACTGTAACGACGTGGCGTTTCATTACTGGTTCCCGCACCACAGAATAACACCGATAGAGGGAACTCTTCCTTTCCTGGATACCGCGCTTCGCCTCAAGCTCAACAACCTAGTCCAGAGTCTGAACTCATTTCTTTCTGGGCTAGTTAACGATTTCAATAACCAATATCTCAGCAATCCACCTGTCGAGATTGGAGTCGATGATGCTGTCACCTCAGCCAACAGCACTCTCCCGGACCCTGACACCTGCGACCCTGAAGCTGCAGACATATACGACATGATGACTTGTATGACAACCAAGGCTGTCAGCGTAGACGGGTCATCCGAGCAAGGTGTATTTCCGAACGACACAGCGATTATTGCCGACGGAGAGTTTGATGCCGTAGAGGCGCCGTGGTAGTTGGCGACGAGATAGGCCAAGTCCTTCAACCCAAAGACTTTGGTTCACTTAGCATATAAGAATACCATCACGGGGGTGTGGTGAGGTCGTTCAGTGCCCAGGAAATGTTTGATTTGTGTTTAGAGATGGGCGTTTGTGGTTGCTCGTCCGACTGCTTGGTCTCATGTTTAGTACAGTTCACCTTACTTGATATGAAGTCTGAAATAAGTGCAAAACCCTAATAGCTCCCATATATCCTTAGCGCTCCAAATGTTCCATAACGGGATAGGCATATCATACTAATAATTATCATCCGGCTCCACAGGAGAAGATTGCCCGTAATATGTCCTCTCATAGGGTTCTGAGTATTATATTATCATCTCAAAGCATTGCTGCTTCTGTTGATTTCCCAGGCTGATGTGTTCAAAGAGTGCTCCGATGCCTTATTCCACCTTGCGGCAAGGTGCTTGCTCAATCGAAAGTCAGTCCAACCGGGGTTTGAGGAGGGTATTGCCCAGTGTTTAGCGAATCGAGGGAGCCATCGAGGTTACAACATCTAAGGTTAGCGGGTGAGGTGAACTACTACTGCTCGGATAGCAAGTGTAAAGATGAAACTTTGGAAAGTAGAAAGGGAGCCGTACCAACTCCAAATACGTGGATAGAATATAAGCCGTTTCATCCTCGACGGCCAGCAGTTTGGCATGGGCAGTGTTTGGTGTGGCTTGCTAACGACCAACAGTACGAGTTTTATTCCCGAAACCACAATGTAATAGGCGGCATATTATTCAGCGTACATTTCATGATGGTGCTTAAATCGACCTACAGCTCCCGCAGTTTCCTTCAGCCTTGTTCCGCGGCAGCTTTGGACATTGAGCTCCATCACACTAACTGCTATCTAGATGGCCTCTGACCTGACGCACACATGTAAGCAGAGACACAGAAGGCATCCACCACCAATGTGGGTTTGTGGGAATTCCAGATCTCTATGGAGTTGGAATCCGAATTGGTATCTATGCACAATGGCTTGCCACAATGCTTTCTAACCTCCTCCTTTCCAACCATCGAGAAGACATTCATTCGGCATATTTCCTCTTTTCCTTTGCTTTGGCGCTTGCAACGGTAGTCATCACGGCAAAATACGGAGTATATTGTGTCTTCTTCGCCGAGGTGTTTGTGCTTGTCAGCTTGTTCTTTGGGGGTTACTTTTGCGTGCACCTCTTCCCGCTGCCAGCGGCGAATCGGAATCGAAACGGTAATTCGTCATCGTGGAAGAGAGGACGTTTGATATCGTTGTCTGTTGTGTATGGGGCGATGATATCTTACAACTGTTGGTTTTGGTTCAGGGGTCGTGTCAAGACATTCCAGCCTATACCTTGTGGATCTGCGATCTTTCTCTTTGCGGAGTTTTCAGGGCATAGCCTTCATAAGGCAGTCTCATTCTACAAAGCATTTTCGGTCATGATGGCCGTATATTATCCCTTCGGGGTGTTCCTTCTCTTGCAAAATCACCCTATTCTGTCAGAAAAGCTCCGTCGGGTTCTGCCGATACACAGATCCCGGGAAGCGAGTCGACCGTGTGATCGCTCGCCGAAAAGGCTGTCGAAATCATTGCTAGCCATTAACTGTTTCGGCTTCGGGCTAGCCATCGTCGCTATCGAACTGACCCTGGTGTGGAATTTTGTGTCTGGAATCAACTCGATGAACTCTGTCGGACAATTGATTGCTTTCACCGTGGGAATCGGCGGATTGGTACAGGTGCTCTGGGCGGCTGTGGGAGACTGGGTGAGCCTTGCACTGTCCAGATCACTGTTTTGCCGGTTTAGAATGATCATTACGACTGACCATGACAGCACTTGGTGAGAAGATCTGCTCGAGGGACAAATACCTCATCTAGCATGGAAGACCCCTATGATGAACGCTCTCCTCCGTGCCATCGTCAAAATATCAGCTGTATGCAGCAGGCGGATGGATGCTGGCGGTAATCCCCACGGGTGTTCTCAACTGCACCGAGGGTGTGAATTATCCTACCTCTCGTTGTTTTCGAAATCCATCGTTATTGAAAGATACTTTATTGATTTTCAACGATGCAGACCCTCTAGATTTGAGGAAGTGAATTTGCCGAATTCATACTGACTTGCTCGGTAAGGGACCGTGGCAACGCTCGGAGCTAGCCACAGCAGTCCCGTGGCCACACAAACTGTCAGCCCGAGGGTGGGTGCTCGTCTCCCACTCTGGACTCTCCCGGTACAACTCCTCCCTGGACCAGTCGACAGTCAGTGTGATAGGATCTAGAGTTAATCCAGCAACAACAAGAGGTATTTCTCTGATATAAGTCGGGCATCCTCCCTATATAAATTTTCAGCTAGGGTGAGGGTCGAAGGAGCGAGCTATCCCCTATGGTGGTATATGACTCACCATGAGTATTGACAACAGCCTTGGCCCTCCCCTCGGATGTCGGATCTAAGGCCGATGCAATTCAGCCTTTGTACGAGACTGTGAGATGATAAATTCAACAGGGGACATTTCCATAGCGCGTACAACAAAGCAAGACTGTTGCTATTTTCTCACACGAGTGCTCTGTATCTGGGGGTGTCCAACTTCCAAGGGTCCCCGACGAGGCTGAAATCGGTGAAGTAGCCGATATCGGACCAGAACTTACGCCCACAACTAAGTCGAGATTGTTGTACGATCTGAATCCCGATTCAAAAACCCGTTTGCAAGAGGAATGACATCGCATCTCAATATTCATAAGCAGGAATTCTGAACAGAAGACGCCACCAACGCGTGCTCCTGATAACCTTTCAATCGGATTGGGCTGGGCGGAACAACAGCCGCCATGGGTCCTGAGATTTCCCCTGCACGGCCTTTTCGTTTGGCACATATTGTGGATCACTGCTTGGATAAGCCGGTCTCTGCTTCATGGCTACTCCTTCCCTCATCTGAGAACCTAGCGAGGTTCCACGAACATCGGTTGCCCCCACCTAATGACATCGTCGTTGTCAAAGTTTTAGTTCGAGATCATTTGGAGCCACAACTTCACCCGGTCAGACATGTGCAGATCGCATCTCGATGCCTTTGGCAAACGGATATATCTGATAAGACTCAGCGGCGACGGTGGAGCTCATGGACTGCCTATATACGGTCGGCTTCGGCGAAGGGAGGGGACGGGCAAAAGACCGAATCTCTTTATATCGAATCCGGGAATCCTGGATCCTAGCCATTTCTTCCAGTGCCTGGTTCAATTTGTCGTATTCCAGCGAAGATAAATTTCAAGCCCCGGAAACAGCCAATTGTGTATTGGAGGCCGAGACAAAACAACACAGATGTCTGAAAAGAAAGAAGAGTCTATCGAGGTGCGGCGAAAAGACGATTGCTCAAGGACATCAGAACAAGATCCGAATCCAGATCTCGAAAAGGTGTCGGAAAAGGATCTTGATGTCTGCACGCCTGAAAGCCCTATCCAGAAACTCTCGAGAGCCAATCGGACTGCCAGTTGTTCAGACGCTCCCCGAACATGCAGAGCCAGCACAGATCTTGCCCGTCATGAAACCAGAACGACAGTTCTTTCCGTCGGTCGACAACATAGCCTGACATCGACAATCTCTCGAGTTCCCACGGCCACCAAGCCACCTTCTTTTTCTCGTCTGCATGAAATCCTTTTCGTCGCCGTCATCTGTTCCTCGCAGCTCCTCACACAAGCGGGCCTCACGCAGTCTATCGCACCTCTCCACATCATCGGGCGCTCCTTCCACACGACGAACCCGGGCCAGCTCTCATGGCTGCCCGCCGCGTACTCATTGACCGTGGGCACATTCATCCTCCCTGCAGGCCGCTGGGGAGATTTGTACGGCCACAAGAAATTATTCGTGATGGGTTATTTCTGGTTTGCGCTCTGGTCTCTGGTCGCGGGCTTCGCTGCCTTCTCACACTCGTTAGTTTTCTTCGCCTTCTGTCGCGCCATGCAGGGTATTGGGCCGGCCCTGTTGCTACCGAATGGAATTGCGGTGCTGAGCCGCACCTACCCACCAGGCCCAAGGAAGGATATGGTTCTGAGCATCTTTGGAGCGACAGCTCCCGGGGGCTCGGTTATTGGATCTGTCTTTTCGGGAATTTTCACCGAGTTTGTTTGGTGGCCTTGGGCGTTCTGGACTTTGGGGATGGTGTTGATCTTGGTTGGGCTGATGGTGATCTTCGTCGTACCTCATATTCCGGTGGTAGGCGGCAAAGCGACGTTCAAGGAGTTGGATGCTCCTGGTACTGTGCTTGGAGTGGTCGGCTTGATTTTGTTCAATTTTGCTTGGAACCAGGGTCCCGCTGCGGGATGGGACAAGGTTTATGTTTACGTCCTGCTGATTGTGGGCGTGATATTTTTGGCGGCCTTCTTCTGGTTTGAGAAAAGAAGAGCCACATTCCCGCTTGTTCCTATGTCCTCATTCACAGCCGACACGAAGCTTGTATTTGGGTGCATTGCTATGGGATGGGCCAGCTTTGGGATATGGCTGTACTACCTCTGGTCCGTTCTTCCGAATTTTTTTTTTTTTTTTTTTTTTTTTGGTTGCTGATGTGCGTCATTAGGCAATTCCTCGAGCTGGAACGAGAACAGAGCATCCTGCTTGGTGCTGCTCAATTTGTCCCAACCACGATATCTGGCGCAATGGCAGCGATCACCACCGGAATTTTGATACGGAAGATCCAGCCTGGATGGATCATGTTGATTAGTATGCTGGCTTTCATGGTTGGAATCATTTTGATCACTACCATGCCCATCAACCAGACTTATTGGGCTCAGACTTTTGTTTCAACCCTAGTAACTTGCTGGGGAATGGATATGTCGTTCCCTTCCGGAGTCATTGTGCTCTCGAACCATATGCCGCCAGAACATCAAGGTCTAGCCGCATCTCTTGTCAACACCGTGGTCAACTATAGCATTTCCATCGGGTTGGGAATGGCCGGTACAGTTGAAGTGCAAGTGAATTCGGGCGGGTCGGATGCATTGCGGGGCTATCAAGGAGCGTGGTATTTGGGCATTGGATTGGATGGTCTGGGTGTGCTGTGTGCCATATTCCTGATCATCTCGTGGAGGTCGACGTTGAAGGCCAAAGAAAAAGCCGAAAGTCAGAGGGGGGAAACTTAGATGCTGAGAATAGGTATGAAATCTTCATCATTTTATGAGTGGTGAGCTCATTGCGCGACCATGAAAGGCGCAAGTCGAGCCCACGGGATAGACTCTAGGGAAAGACGCATATTTCAGTGGGCCCCCTTGCCCCTTAGGACCATAAGACGATTGTCGTCGGAAAGCGGGAATTTCCCTTACCACAGCTATCATAGAGGAAGCCATCTACGCGCTGTATTTTCATCACTAACCCACCCCAGCCCTCGCCCGGGGGCAGCGGGGAAGGGAATGATTGCGCTGTGAGGAGCCGTGTACGACCTTGCCGGTAGGGACGTGCTGGGAAATTTCGACAGCCACCACAGACCATTGCAACGGTCGGTGAAGACTTGAACTCGGGGTTGGGAAGCAGGAAATCGAGGAGTTCATTCCGAATCTGAGGCAGATCCACCAGGACCATCGTCGTCATCGGGTTGAATGTCGACGTTCTTGAGTCCTTCATTGAGCACATATTCCTCCTTGATTAGGATGCTGCGAAGTTCTTCTGTCCTTGGAGTACATATCTCTGCAGGTTTTCTGCCGTGTCCATCTTTGACTCTGGGGTCGCCTCCAGCATCGATCAACATCTTTGCCATAGCCTGCCCTAATTCGACCTCTCGTTCATTGGCATATTTGACAGCACAGTGGATTGGTGTCTCTTTGTCCCTCCTGGTCAACGGATCACATTCAAGGAACTCAATATTGAGTAGTTCGTCCATCACATCGTCTGAACAAGGATATTAGTTCAGTCACCCAGATGTTTCTTGATGCTCTGCTTACAGGCGCCATAGTTCGCACAGACGTGCAGCAGATGATTTCCCATGGTGTCTGTGGCGGTGTTGAAGAATTCGGCTATTTGTTCTTTGTTCTGATCTTTCATGTCATCCAGCACTTCGTGGAATAATTCCACGTTGTCTCTCCGACAGGCTTCGAGTATCTGCTCCTTCGGAGATGCGCCCTATACACCATTGATGGTTAGTTAGAACTTTAAGTGAGGGCAAATGTAGTCTGGCTCACGTCGACGTCAGCCATTGTGTTTGCCTGTCACCGGCCCGGCCGGTAGAGATGTGAGGAGGTCGGCCGATCTTCAGCGGGTAAGACTAGGGCCCCGAGTTTGAGATCCAGACGCCGTTCGGAGGAAGGAAGAGATGAACAGCGGTGAGAAAATGGCACGGGAGACTTCAAACGATGATCTCTCTGGTGAACCACCTTTGCAACCGGGGGAATGAGTGTATCAGGCAGATTGCATTCCACCTCGTCGTTTCTGTCTTTGGCTGCGCCTCGAGGATGCAAACTGGCCAAGTCAGGGAACAAAACTCGCCAAGATAGGAGTTTCATATCCCAGCGTTGCTGCCAATTCATTTCACAAGCGCCGACGTTCCCGCTGCTATCGAGCTTCACAACCCTCAACACTGGCGACTATGCCTTTGATGACGAAGCTTTACAGCTTTATAGCGCTCTTGGAAGCAGATTCGAGGCTATGATGAACCACTCAGAAACTCCGCGCGTCCTTACCGTTGTCCTAAACGGGAGAAAAGGGTCAGCTCAACTTCCGAAGCCCTTAGCGCTTCGACACCAAAACTTACTCAATTCTTGGAGGTGAAAACCCAGCTTTAAAGACCTTTCTGAGACTTGTCGAATCGTTCTCATGGTCTATAATGACGTGGTCGCCTGGTCTGTACCGTGGGCCGCAGGGGTGAGGCGGCAAGTTGCAAGAGGATTGCGAGAGGATTTGACCATTCTCTTCCCACCCAACGACAATGATTATACCGATTTTGTGATTGGGGTCCTGCTTCTGGTAGGGATTCCTTCGACGCGCCCACCGTACTTTGGTCTTGGTTTGCCCGTCGGCTTATTTACATGGCCAGGAGGGATGCTCCACATTAGAAGATTTCACCCAACCGATGTCGACCTCTCTGTGGTGGGATTTCGTCTTCTACGAGCCAGCATCTACACCCTGGTGGGAGTCGTTGTGCTGTGTGTTCCCAGAAGACTTTGAGAATGGGATAGTTGAATCTGCAGAGTCAATGGATGAGAACCGAGATCACTCCTCTTCCAACGGAAATGAACGTTGATGTACTCAGAGAATCTACTTCATCTCGACAACAAAGCGTCGAAGGTGATCACGAACCTGGAAGAGACAGCTGTACAATCTAGATTCTGGATGGTGCAACCTCTCCAAAATATGTTCCAGCCGCCTGCGGTCGCTACCATCTATGTGCTCTCCAGCCCCTGACCGGTTCGATACTTTCATCAGAGTGGAGATTCTAAGATCGGGTGCATGAGCGCCCTTTGGCCTCGATCAGCGTCCACCGTTCATTCGTGCCATATTGCGAAAACAATCCAGTTTGCCCTCCACGTTGAGTTCTTCCAGCATTTGCTGGCCGAAGAGTCTTAGGGGCCTCGACTGTGCCACCAGGATTCTTGTCATGAGGTAACTCAACAATTTGATGGCATCGGTAAGCCCCGAATAGATCTTGAATGTCCTCGGGAGAAGGTTTATTGTGATGGAAAGCCGATTACCAGCATCGCCAGGGGGGCCACTCCTCACGAACAGAAGTACATAGAGACGTCCAATATTCTCCTCGGACGTAGTTCCTATACTTAATGGCAAGCCTTGACTTGTATGGCTTTGAGATGCACTCGCAGGGGCATTCGAGTTCACATCACTTCCCTACATTCTTTGTGGCACGGCATGGAGAGCCTTGCTTACATAATGAGATTCCCCGCAGAGAAATTTGTTTGAGCTGTTTGCACGAGTTTTACTCAACCGTACCAGTATCGCATCCTTTTCACCATGGTCGGAGCGAATTTTTAAATGAATACCCCTCGGGGGCAGTCTTTACGTCAGCAGTTATGCCTCCGACATGTGAGATAGTACCATGCAAACTCAGAAACCATACTGACGTGACGTATAGTCTGTCCTTACTGTTGCAACAGTCTGACCGTCGCGAGGACTCCTGGGACTACCGAGCATCCACAGGGTCTGAACGCCTTCAGTTGTCGGACATGCCCTTACCAGTTCGTTCTCGACCAATCGTACTACGAGCGGACATACATGAAGAAGAAGCAGAAGGATGACATCCTAGGCGAGGAGCAGTCTGACTTGCCCGTGAACGAAGGTATGGATGAATGAAGCCCAGAGGATAAGTGGCCAGACATATTGACTACTTTTCCCAAGTCCCTGGAGGCTGCCCGAACGAGAACTGCAATTCAAAAAAGGCATATTTTTATCAGCTGCAGACAAGAAGCGCAGACGAGCCGCCCACCTCTTTTTTCAAGGTATGACCAGGCTCGAGAAACGTGTCTCCTGCTCACATATTACAGTGTGTGGAATGCGCTAAACAATGGAGAGAATATTGAATACCGCGATGGATGTTTCTGCCCTTCGAACCGTCGATTCGACTCGTCCTAGATTCAGGTTGTTCCCATCTACAAGAGATGACTCATTACGGGAGGAAGAGCGATGGAGGATTGTGAATCGTCAGGACTCTGGGAAGGTTTTGCTCTTCGATCATACCACTGTAGATGATCACATATCCACTGGCCAGAGCAGCCACGAGAATAGAGCAACGGGGAAGAATAACAGAATCCCCCAAGAGCCATTGTTGGGGCTGGATGGTCTGACAAGTCGGCCTGATTGATCTGGTGACTCTTAACTCCGAGATGGCAATGTACGCAAACAGCGTTTCCACGACGAGGGAAAGCCTACAGAAATTCCAAGGGAATAAGGTTCTGGTACAGACAGGAATGCCATCAAACCGTGACGGTGGATATTCTAGATGGTAATTGCCACGATCTCTACAGCCATGGGGAGACAAATTTGAGCCTGGAGGCGAATATTTTTCCAATCTTCAATTGGTGGGAATGGCTCTGGGGCGAAGGACAGTAGTGGCACACGCCCAAGGTTTTTGCTGGTATAAATCTCTAGAGGCGGGGCTTTGGGAGAGGATAAGGAATTCCACCTGGCAGCCTAGCCCCGTACGCCAGTGCTCTGTATCCAGTCCGAGCAGCCTGTGGCCCTGGGAGTGGTATTGGGACGGTGATTCACACTGCCCAAACGCCAAGCCCTGTCTCCCGCCGCAGCCTACAAAATCTTTCGCACACTCTCGTCGACCTGATTCTATCTTTCTTCGTCGCTCAGTGAGTTCCTTCATCCCCCCCCCACCCTTTGACATCAAAACTAATCATCTCTTAGCACCTCTACGCAAGCCGTGGTATCTGAGCATTCTCTCTGAATTCTTCTAGTATCTGCCACAGAACTACAGGACTTCAACGACTCGATTCAAACTCACAAATCTGTCACCATGGGGTAAGCAAATTCTCAATCTGCCTGCGCTCGACTCCAAACCGAGAATCAAGCCTCCATTTGATATCAATGGTCATCGCTGACATGTTGTCGACCGCTCCAGTAAGGAAAAGACTCACATCAACGTCGTCGTCATCGGCCACGTCGACTCTGGCAAGTCCACCACCACCGGTAAGAGGAAGCCGAGCTGGCACAATCATGACCATACACTCACACAAGAGTAGGCCACTTGATCTACAAGTGCGGTGGTATCGACAAGCGTACCATCGAGAAGTTCGAGAAGGTATCTGCCCTCCATCCCCCTGGTTTGACTCATTCGTGGCCTTATCACCACTTCCGACCCAAAAAAAAATTTTGGTGGGGGAGGGGTGACCGCACCATCACGTGATATCGCAAATGGTCTGAGCCAGAATTAACGCCCACCACAGGAAGCTGCCGAGTTGGGCAAGGGCTCTTTCAAGTATGCCTGGGTTTTGGACAAGCTCAAGGCCGAGCGCGAACGTGGTATCACCATCGATATCGCCCTCTGGAAGTTTGAGACTCCCAAGTACTATGTCACCGTCATCGACGCCCCCGGCCATCGTGACTTCATCAAGAACATGATCACGGGTACCTCTCAGGCCGACTGCGCTATTCTCATCATTGCCGCCGGTACTGGTGAATTCGAAGCCGGTATCTCCAAGGATGGCCAGACCCGTGAGCACGCTCTCCTGGCCTACACCCTCGGGGTCAGGCAACTCATCGTCGCCATCAACAAGATGGACACCACCAAGTGGTCTGAGGATCGTTTCAATGAAATCATCAAGGAGACTTCCAACTTCATCAAGAAGGTCGGCTACAACCCCAAGACCGTCCCATTCGTGCCCATCTCCGGCTTCAACGGTGACAACATGATCGAAGTCTCCTCCAACTGCCCCTGGTACAAGGGTTGGGAGAAGGAATCCAAGGCTGGCAAGGTCTCCGGCAAGACCCTCCTGGAGGCCATTGACAACATTGACCCTCCCACCCGTCCCACCGACAAGCCCCTCCGTCTCCCTCTCCAAGATGTCTACAAGATCTCCGGTATTGGAACCGTGCCCGTCGGTCGTGTGGAGACCGGCACCATCAAGGCTGGTATGGTCGTCACCTTCGCCCCGGCCAACGTCACCACCGAAGTCAAGTCCGTCGAAATGCACCACGAACAACTGGCCGAGGGTGTTCCCGGCGACAATGTCGGCTTCAACGTCAAGAACGTCTCCGTCAAGGAGGTTCGTCGTGGTAACGTTGCCGGCGACTCCAAGAACGACCCACCCAAGGGTGCCGACTCTTTCAATGCCCAGGTCATCGTCCTCAACCACCCTGGTCAAGTCGGCGCTGGTTACGCCCCCGTCTTGGATTGCCACACCGCCCACATTGCCTGCAAGTTCGCCGAGCTCCTCGAGAAGATCGATCGCCGTACCGGCAAGTCCATTGAGAACAACCCCAAGTTCATCAAGTCCGGTGATGCCGCCATCGTGAAGATGATTCCCAGCAAGCCTATGTGCGTTGAGGCTTTCGCCGACTACCCACCTCTTGGTCGTTTCGCTGTCCGCGACATGCGTCAAACCGTCGCTGTCGGCGTTATCAAGAGCGTTGCCAAGGTACTTTTACCATGACCCCCCCAATTCGTCTACACCTAGTCTCCCCAGTCCTCCGCAGTTATATTCAGATACTAACATCTCCTCTAGTCCGAGAAAGGTGGCGGTCGTACCACTAAAGCGGCTGTGAAAGCACAATCGAAGAAGTAGATGGGAAGTAGGATGGGTGGGATTCGGATTTTCCAGCACAATTTGAAGATCTGAATGCATCCGTGGTGCATATGAGACGATACGGAGGGTAGCCAGCGATGAAGTCAAGAGCAATAGATAGCATATCACGTCTGCTGCAGGCGTTCAAAATGGGCCGCGTTCAATCAAATCATGGTTCATGAACAAGGCCTTGTCGTGTTTCCTATACCTTGTAAGACCGAGCTACCAAGGTTCTGGGGCTGTCGATTCTCTGCCAAGTCATACGGTACGTGTCCAAAAGTTTGCGCACACCCCACCTTTTACACCAAAACGCTTTTCTTAGGTGACAAATGTATTGTTTTTGTCAAGTTTAAAAACTTAGTAAAACACCTTAGGTCTCCTTGGTAATTTTTTCTTGAGAATTACGTTGTTGTTGCGCTATTCGGGTTCGAAGCTGAATTACTTTACGCGCTCATATATAATCGCGACTTTTATATGGGCGCGTAATGTAGTTCAACTTCGAGATCAAATAACTCAACGGCGATATAAATTGCTCGAAAAAGTTCTATAAGATATCGTAATAGCCTGTAAATATCTGTTGGAAACGATTATGTTACGTATGGATTGACGCCTAGGTTGTTGCGGAAAATTGTAATGAAAAGCGTCATTTTTGGCGTAAACTTTGGCGTGAAACTTGGGATAGAATCTTTAGACGTTACGGGACGACGCTTGTGATCTACATACATACTTTGTGCCACAGCTCCTCAAATCGCAGTCAAACTTGAAGATAACAGATGCTAGCTGCTGGAATGGCAGTCAACAATGAACAGAGTGGAGGACGATGTTGGCTATCTAAATAAGCAATGGGAGATTAACGAAACACATCTAAGAATCGACTCGGTCGTTCTTGGCGTACTCCCAATACTTGGTAGTGTGTCCTTCGGGTGCGATTCTCCAGAGGGCATTTCTCTTGCGATTGTCTGTGTGTGTGATGTCCGCGAGTGGCTGGCGGTGGATTTGACTATTGGGAGGGTTGAATGGTGAGGCGATCTTAGAGAAAAGGCTCTTCAGATCTTGTTGCCCACTTGATTGTAACTTTTCTGCCTTTTTGCGATTATTGAGCTCCTTTTTATAATTGGGGTTATTAGCTCGAAAGTTCCGATTCTGTTCAGCCACCTTTTTGGCATAGTTAGGATCCTCTGCCCGTTTCTTTACACGGAAACGTGCTGCCTTTTCCCGGTCCCTCGCTTTTCGTGCCTCTTTCTCCGCTGGAGTCTCAGTGGCCAATTTCTTCTTCATGTATTTATGATTGTACAGACTCTAGGCAACATCATAGGTTCGTCGATCATCTTCATTGAGCCCATTACGAATCTTGCGTTTTCGGGCGATATTGTGAGCATCGGCCGGGAATGTACCGGGGCAGCGACCCTTGGCAGCGACATTCGTACCACAGCGACCTGCTAAACACCAATTGAGCCTAGTTGTGCGAGGGTTGCCCGGAGGATGGCGAGGTACCTCAAATCCCTAGGAAAATGGGGGGTTTTCAGGTACCTTTCCATCCACTTTGCCTCCCTCGCATAGTTGGCCCTTTTTGGTGTTCTTTAAGGCCTTTCGACAGAGCTATTTGCACTCGACTTTAGAAGCCTTTTCACACTCGATTTTGGTGTTGTGTATCAGGAGCTCTCTGTCGCCTATTTAGTCTGTCTAAAGTCCCCCTTCCCCCTCTTGCCTCCTGACCTCGCTGTTGACCACCTTCAGAGCCTTCCTGATGCTCTGTGAGCCTCTTGTGAATCTTGTATGAGTCCTTGCTCCTTTGCCTCTTTGTATCTCGCCGTGTGGTTGCGCCTTCTCTTTCCTCTACCTCCTCCTAGTGCTGGAGGTGCCGTAGACGCTGGTAGATCGAAGATCTCGTCGTTGACTGTCGGAGAGGCCTCAGGGGTAGGAGATCGACGCGGTCGTGGTCTGTCTGGAGTGCGAATTGGTAAACGTCGTGAGAGAGGAGTAACCTGAGGCGGAGGAGGTGTTGTCGGTCTTGCTGTCTCTGTCACTGTTATGCTGGCTCGGGAAGTAGACGTCAATTGAACTTGTTGTCGTCGCTCGTCGGCGCGTTCATCTTGACGTCTTTGACGCTTTTCCTGGCGCTCTTGACGTTCTAGAATCTCGTTCGCTGTTAAGCCCCGTGCTTCACGAGGTCCGTGGGGGGCCTTTTGAACGATTCGTCGTCTCACAACAGGGTCAGGTTGGCCGATGGGTATTTGCTGCAATTCAAGGTGTTGTTGACCGATCATTGAAAGATCCCTAAAGACTTGCCTGTGGAATTCGCGAATTTGTTGCTCTCCACGAGCTATTTGAACATCGTAACGATGGCGCTCCTCAGGATTTAGCTGATTTCTGATTTCAGCGAGTAGTAGAGCCTGCTGAGCGTCTTGGTTCGACCTCAGATCTTCTTGAGGCGCCTTAGAAGGGTAGAATGGCTTCCAATTACGCTCCGTGATTTCCGATCCTGACAGCCACCAACGAGGGTGCAGAAGAGTTTTCGGTAGAGGTAAATTTTCGAGAAAAGCCCAGAGTAGATGATGTCTGCAGGCAATACCGAACTGGTAGAGAATCGGGCACTCGCAAATCTCGCTCAATTGCTCTCCCCTCATCATGAATTGATTAAGTTCCGTCCATTCCTTCTCAAGTAAGGCGAGTGCCTCATTCGAGACCTTCATTCGCAGGGCTTTGAAGACGTCAGACTGAGGTAGACGAGGGTAGTGACGATGAGAGAGCACCTCATCGTCCTGAAGATCCTTGAGTACTGATTTGACCTTCATCGCAAGCCATTTAGCCGCATCTTCGAGGCTTAATTGGCCATTTGTGATCTCCCTCATAACACCGTGATATGACTCGACTCTTTGACTTGCTCTGGCACCGAGATTTGCGTAAAGGCGTGTGTTAAAGTGGGCAACTTTACGCTCCTTTGGCAGCTACTCCTCGTTGATGTATTGCCTGAATTCTCTCCCTCCTTTTGCGCAGGCAGTTTCGCGATTGGCGTTCAGATCTGCCTCAGCTTCGGCCTGAAGGTAAGAGTAACAGAGGCTTCGAAGCCCTTGAATCTCTGTGCCCTGATCGTCGAAGTGGCTATCAATCTCGTCTTTCTTGATTCCAAGTTTTCGCGCCTTCAAAATCATTGCCTCAACGGCGTGCCAGGTGCAAAATTGCTGTTTTGCATCGAGAAAAGCCTCAGGGATTGACGCTGCTAAACCACCTGCTTGATCGCCTAAATGACTTCGGGAGGTGCGATTTGAGGCTGCCCGGGGGCCTGGAGACAGAAAGAGATAAAACTGAGCCAGAAGGATAGGTAGGAGTCCTTGTCTTCGCTTCGACACCAGGAAAAGGCGATTGGAAAGGTTTTTCTTGAATTTAGCTGACTAACGGCAATGGGTAGAGGAATCCTGAACGAATTCGTATTGAAGGCGCCATCTATCACGACAAGAAAGCCTCCAACAAAACGACTCGCGAGTGCCAACAGCGAGGGATGAGTAAACCAGACTCGAATCAACTTTCTACTTACGACTTCATTCTTTTCTTTTAATCCTTCCTCGACACGAGTGCTGTATACGAATCCCTCGTCTTAGGTGGTCCACAGATTGGATCCGATAAAATACCACGACCTGGGAGGGTTCGGGGTCAAGGATACAATCAATGTATTCTAGCTAGCATCGAGTTCTAGGTACGATACGATACGATATTCATACACCCTGTGCGGGCTGAGCCCATAGGGGACTAGCTTTGATCTTGCATTATCTCCCGTTAAACCCGGTTCATTCTGTGTCCTGCATAGTGTCTCTGTCTTCAACAAGCATTCCGTGGCTGAATCCGGACTTGCGCTTAATGTAATCAAACTTGCAATTCAATGCACTCCTATCCCTATTGTCGCCCCCATCCGCGCGGTATTCCTCCTCTTTCTAGATGAGTTGCATCGGGGGTTGCCATTCCTTTATCATCCTGGCAGCAACAGCGAAAAAGCTGTGGAGCGAGAAGCGGAGCAGATAGATGTGAACGTTGAAATCGAAGTTGGTCATGGTGGGTAGTTGCTTCGTGGTCTCGTTGCGTTTCGCTAGCACGCCGATGGACGCGCTCCGGCTGGATTCTTCTTGGTTTCCTTCACTCAGGATCCTGAGCGGAGTACTTATAGGGAGCACCACGTAAAGGTGGGAATCCGTCGCTCCCCGAGTTCTAGGTACAAGACGTAGCACGAAGAGAGTCAAGATGGGATGCTACGCAGGAAGTGTTGTCTCAGATAAATCAGACTACGGTTGGCAAGCGCGAGCGCTGATTGGTCTGCTTAAGCGCTGAAGTGCGAACCAATCAAAAAATTCAAAAATTTTTTTTGCCAAACAAGTCTGAGCACCGATACGTGAAAGTGGCATCGCGTTCGTCGCGTAATATTTAAATTACCACCACCAAAATGAACGTATTGAACCGTAATCATAGATTCTCACAATCTTCGGTTTCGCAGATCCTCTTCATGAACCACGTCGAGTGAGAGGCCGCGCCCCCCCGGAAAATGTTTAATCCGTTAGAAGTTAGGTGGGCGACGGGGGATTTCATCGGATCCAACCCATGAACCACGTCGAGTGGAAGGGCCCCGGGTGGTTATTTAGTCCACGGATTGGATCCAATGACGGTGATCCCGGAAAATATTTAATCCGTTATGGTTAACCGGAAAATTGTTAATCCGATAGGCGACGGGAGGGGATTTCATCGGATCCAGTCCATGGATCATATCGAGTTGGGAGGGCGCCCCACCGGGGAGCACGTAATCCCGGAAATGGTTAATCCGTAGAGGGTTGAGTGGTCCATAGACTGGATCCGATGGGCGACGAGGGGGGAATTTCATCGGATCCAATCCGTGGAGTTAGGAGGGCGCCTCCGGGGGTTAGCACGTGATCCCGGAAAATAGTTACGTGATTAGCCACCTCGTCGCTCTTGGCGTCGCCGCACAATGCCAAGCCCTAACCAGGGGAGCTTACAGTCGAACCGATAGAATTGAGGGGCCTTACTAGTGTTCGATAGAGGATGCCGTTTTGGTTAGAGTATGGCGCTTTGTATGGTTCCAGCTGAATACAGCCCTGATACGGTTGTAGAATCTTGAGGTGTGAGTTTATTGTGGCTGATGGAGTTGTTGTGTTTACAGTTCTGGAAGGGATTCAAACGGTGACGCGCTGGTCAACACGTGACTCTGCCGCACCTGACGGCCTTGGCCCCGCACGCGTGTCCAATCTTGGCGTGTGTCCAAAATTGGCCCACCTACGGAGTAGTCGTAGCCAAATAGAATAAACTGTTCCTTTCTCTATCTCTATTTGCGGCCATGTCAGCGCCAACTGAGTTCCAAAACATTAATTCGGATGGTCCTCTATCGAGTATTCCACCAAGCTCTCCGCCGGAGATCGCCATCAACAAGCGGCTGCGCCGCGACTCCACGTCTCCCGCTTTTCGACCACAACCCACGACCAGACCTCAAAGATCACCAATTCTCTGTGCCCGATGTGCGGCTTGTCCAACTTGCCGTGGCCGACGACAGCGAAGCGGATCCCCTCCTCAGGACTCGCAGGCTGATCCCCAACATGAACTCAGCAGGGACTCAACAGACGAGAATGGCACTGACGAGCCGAGACCGCAGCCTCGGAGACGTGTTCGAATATCCGCCCGGGCTGCACCGATCTCGCCGGCGCAGAAGATCGAGATGACATACAATACATATTGGCAGAAGTGGCGCTGGGGAATCGGAGAATTTGTCCAACATTCATACAACTGCCGAGATCTAGATAGTGCACACAGAAGGCGTTGGCAGCGCTTCCGGCGGTGGCTTGCAGAGTCCTCTGCCAGCCTCCAGATTTGGGAAGACCTTCCGCCCGCACAGCGAGAACTCATGTTTCAAGCATTTGGAGGATGGGATTATGTGATGCAATGCCTTGACAAAGAGCTCTGCGCCCTCGAATGCCTCGACGCGTTTGGGTCGTGGAATATTCATCGGAAAGAGCAGCTTGCAGACATGATTGTTGGAGTGGGCCAGCAGACTATTGAGACGGCTCCCAAGTTTGGTGCGATGCTCCATGGGTTGGTCATCAACCAAAGAACAGCAAAGGAGAGCAAAAGGCCAACGAAGAAGAACGAGAAGGAAGAGGAGCGGGCTGCAGCCAAAGTGGCCACTATTGCAGCCATCATCCTATTCTCACGCCACAGCAACAGCAACAACAACATTCCAGTCAACGTTGGACTCCACTGTCTGGATGCAGGTGTTGGGAAACGGACCATCTCGATCCTGCAAGGTATGGGTCTCTGCCCTTCATTTGCAACATTGAAGAATAAGGAGGAGGTTCTCCGAAGTGCTGCAGCTGCAGAGATACGTCGAGTAGGTCAAGGACCCCATCGAATCTACGGCGCATGGGATAACTTTGAATTTAAAGACCACCGCCAGCATGAACGAATTGGAGACGCCAGCACATTCCGATCTACCACAACGGCAGTTATCTGCATAGGGGATGATCATGAAGAACCAACCCTACTACACGATATGTGGCGACAGAACCAACCAATCAAGCCCACTACGATCGTCAAGAATATGATTGCTGGTGACGCCCTTCGTGATGTGAGTCATGTACCCTCATTTTCTATCCGTTCGGTCTAAAGCGCTGTCAGATACAGATGTTCTTCCTTCGACGAGCTTTCCAAAATGTCTTCCCCCAGCTAGTGTCTGAATGTATTTACAAAGGTGGCGACCTCCCGAAGATTTTGTCCACGCAGCTGATCCGGCCTGCTGCCACAATCACACTTCCTCTACGAGCAATTCTGGTGAATGAGAGCACCAATGAGAACACGATCAAGATTATTGATGACATCTTTTTAAACCAACTTGGTTTCGAGTCTGATAGCGAGGTGTGGAAACAAGAGCTCCGTTGTATGATTGGGGACGTCAAGACAATCAACCGCATGCAGTCTGTACGAAATATACGCCAGTCTACCTCTTCCCGTTCATACGACTCACTATCCTAGCTCGTACCTGTTCAACGCCTGTTTCACACCATGGTGAATTACCTCAACGTTATATATGACCAGCACTAGGGCTCTCAAAATGACGAAACATCACCTCTCCAGGACAACTCAACACTACAGTTTGCATGCGATCAGCTAGGGAGAGCAAAAGCTAGCAATGGTAAGATTTTTGAAGAGCTGGCCCAGGATATGTTTGATGCCAAGATCATTGCACTTGCCATTGTACAAAGACTCTGGTCTCCGTGCCGACCGGTTTGTAACTTACCAGCAGTTCAAAGAATGGTTAAAATCTCTGGATGTCATGGCATTTGAACTTTTAATCAACAAACTTTACACCATGATCTTCAAGACCGATCTTACCATTCAGGGCCGACATCATGATGACCAATACTCCAACAACCTCTACTTCATTCGGCATATGATGACATATCAACTTCTTGACTATTCAGTACATCATGGGGATCTCTATTTGCTGCGAGAGGCGCTTCGACAATGTTGTATTATCTTCCAGGCACCAAGCGCTAGGAAGGGAAATTATGCGCGCGAAGTGATTCGATTCCTTGATCTAATTGATGGCGAAGCTACTGATGCCGTCCTCAGTGATGCAATCTTGAAGTCAGCATTGGTCAATATCAAGGGTGGTCGAGGTTCATTTTACCCTACAGACAAGCACCTTGAGCACATCAATCTGGCTATTCGTAATGGTCTTGCTGACCAAAGATCAAGTTTTGACAAGACTGCCTGGATCCAGAACCGAATCCTGAATATTCCCTTTCGGCAGCAGTTACGAGATGTTTTTAGCCGGGAGTTTGGCAAGATCTCGAGTGAACATCATACCAAGAAGGACGCTGGACAGGACGTCTTCCATTTCGCTGCACGTCTAGCCTCCAACTTCATGAAGAAGAAGGATGACCGCGTTGCATTTGAAGTCGTGGACCTTGAGTATGAAGGCCGACGGGCCTACCCCGATGCTGTTCTACGGTATAATATTCGGTCCGGCCATAACTGGAATACTACGGACGCAGAAGATTCGTCTTGATTGACTGCCTGGACCTCCCCCATGATATGGACAATTGAAGGACAGACGACAAACATTAAGACTTCTGTGGTAGAGGCGTGCGCTGGCTATGTCGCTGTACGTAGCGCATTGCTGGACACGACGAATGGAGCACTTTGATTGGCTGTGACAATCGCAGCTCCCCTCCGCCTTCTTCCGGCAAACCTCTCGTCGATGGGCCACGAAGGGTGTGATCCTTCCTAGCAGGGGGACGGAAGGAGAACAGGCAGCAGACAGGAATAGAGTGAAGCAGAAGCTCTTGAACAACGCGACCTTCTTTCACATAGCAGCCTCTTTTTGGATAGCCGCTGGTAGAAGCCTACTTTGTGACATGTTTAATGGCACGGGACTAGTGCTGATTCTGATCTTCCTGGTCAAGCCATTCTGTCGCAAACCTGGTGGATGTAGAGGATGGTCAAAATGGCGCTGTTTAGGGCTGTCATCATAAAGGTATATGACCCTGCGCGGATATACCTAACGTGAGAACAACAAGTGAACACCTCAGGTCTTTACCCTCGAGTGTTCTGGCGCGCGCCCAACTACTTTTCATTCAGATGTTTTGCTTCCAAACATTCACTTTTCACTCATTTTTCGTTCACTTTTCATACAACTTTCATAAAATGTTTTGCTTTCAAGTCCCAATATCACCACAGCCGCCACCTCTTTATCGATCACTCGAAGTTCCAAACAATCGAGATGTCTTCAAATCCGCAATATCGCCGCATCCAGCCGAGGCCAGCGACGTCGTCGCAATCTCAAGTAGCTACACAGGAAGAGGCACTTGTTATTCTGCAGACGGTCGGCGATCGCACCTTCGAAACACTCGCTCAAACTGCAGAATACCTCAAGCAATTGACTCCGGAAGACCGCTATTATGCTATTAGCTCACAGGCGTCCAAGTTGATCGACGTGCAAAAAAAAACTGATCAATGTATGGCATATCTCCTCACTTTTGCTCGGGAGGATGAGGCCATAAGTCAACGAATGATTCGAGACCCGGGAATGTGGCAGAAAATATCGGATGGTGCTGAAAGACGCCGCAAAACAAAGGACAAGAAGCAAGAAGCCATGACCGCAGTCTTCGAGAGGTGGGGGAGAGAGAATGTAGAGCGTTATTTCGCTCACATTATGAACAATGGAGGTACCACCTGGGCTAAGATTAGACGCCTCGCGTTGAAGACCACTCTTGAAATCGCCATGGTGGAGCTCCGCAAGGCTTGTCTCTGGAGGCTGACAAATCCCGGACCCGGAAGAGACAATAAAACGCTCGAACCCGTTGCTGCAGACTTCGAACTCCTCCACTCGCAGCCTGAGAAAATTGCAGATGTGTCAACACCCATTTCTTGCGGCTACGCTGTCGGAGACAGCGGTTGGCTGGTTCCTGCCGAGCGTGTGCTCAATATCGCCGATGCTGATGACCTAGCTGAAGAGGACGATTCTTCTTTGTCTGAAATCGTCAGCGACACGAATGTCGACAATGTGGAAGCACTAACTGGTGCTAATGATGATGCTGAGATACAGTCGGCACCTCAGAGTGAAGCAGAAGACGTCACGGATTGCAGCCCTTCCGCGAGCGACAAGGGTGCTGCGAGAGACACGATACCTGCAACATGCTCAGCAGCTGAATCGGTGACTGGAGATTATGAAGTTCAATCCGACACCGATTTTGACTTGAACGATGGCTCCGATGTTGATGGTGATATCGACGACTCTGCTGATCTGGATTACAGCCCAGATCAAAAGAAGCGCAAGCGAGACCACCACGATGAAGGTGGCCGGGAAAAGCGTAGATGTGGCTGCGCGTCTGGCATCCCAAACGCATTCATCGCACGCTGTACTACTGGCAGAGCTGTTAACCCGGCTGGCCAGGTCTCGCTCATCAAAGGCTGGGCCCAGCACGACCGTGCTGGGAGATCTGTCTGCTATCACCATGCGAGGAACATCGCATTAGTTCTTGGCATGCAAACCAGGGGCATTGACATGGAGATGTTGAAGGCACGGCTCAGCATGTACTACGAAGCCGCAGTACAGAATACAATCGGGAAGTTGAAAGTGGACAAAAGCACTTACATGTGGTTCAGCCTGGATTCTCGGCCTAGCCGGCCTGCCGATGGTCTCGGACCTTACAAATTGATGCCTCTAAAAGAGGAAGCATTCTCCATCACTAGTGAGGACCAGGAGCGCCTACGGACTGAACTCGGAATCGACGCCCAGGAATGGCATGCAGTTGGTTCTATTGTCCTTGACTGCTTCGAATGGTGGTCAATCGTCACATACAGTGGACCGTTAGAGCACCTGCGGGGGAAGACGATCAAAGGCGTCATTGATGAGGAATTTGACATGTATCTGGCTCACCTGCGGAAAATCAACAACAAGAACAACTATGGATGGCTGCGCAATATGCTCCACAGCCTTGGTCAACAGGTGATGAGGCAGGACCCTCTCTATTACATACTGTACTGTGCTCTGCGTCCAGATCGAAACACTAACCTTGTGTCGTATCCATACTATGCGAAGTATGCGAGGCCGGGTGACAGCACTGCCTTCAGACACATCGACCTGAACATCAAGCAATTGGCCCAAAGCCGACGTGGTGCAAGCATGATCCAGGGAACCGTCTCGCTGGACAATGAAGAGGAGGATGACTGCACAATCATCCTTCCTGGTATGCACCACCACATTGATGAGTGGGCTAGGCAAATCGAGGACCGTGGCCTGTCTTCAGATGCGTTCGTACATCGTATCTCCGCCGACCACTTCAACGAAGACGATGCTAAAGCATTTGGAACTAGCTGGACATCACAGCCTTGTTGCGCGGGTCAAGTGCGCATCACATTACCGCACTTACCGCACGGCGCGCTTGGACCCACCAAGAGGACTCGAAGGACAATGTTGCCATGGTATGTGGGCTTGCAAGCTGATATGGAGACACTCGAGGTGGCCGAGTCAGGGACATGGTCTGATTTGTCCACAGCACATCGAGATCTCATCGCGGCTCCACTGTCTCCATCGGGTCTAGCCAATCGATATGACACTATACCATTTGCATTTCCTGCCGCGGTAGAGTTAAATGGACTTGGTGCTATATCTGATGCTTTGGTTGCTCGCCGTCGTCACGACAAACCGGCAGTGATTAGTGAGAAGACGATCATACTCAAGGGTACTGCGGAACAGCGTCAGCAATTTATCGCAGTATGGCGTCAGAAGGCCACTAACATGGTATGCGAGGCTTTCGAAATGGTTAAGGAGGTCGAAATGCGCCTATTTGGGGAGAAGTCCTTCTTCGTCCGCAAGTCACTAGGCTTGCCACCCACTGTTCCAGATGATGACCCGGATCCTGGATCGCCAACAGCAGACGGATACATCCATGGGTTCGAAGAACCTACGCCGGATGGGCTAAGCAAGGAATGAAGACGCTCGCCATACCACCAGGTAGCTTGTAGCTCTCACATCAATTGAGGAGTGGCAATGCGGGTTAGTGCTAGGGATCATTCCTCCATTGGCAGAATGGCGGTAGTAATTGGTCATTTCAATTAATTACCGAAATTATAGTAATGTTGGCCACATATACGGAGGTTCTCCCAGATCGCCGAACGGCTGGAGAGGTATTGCTATTGCACACTGGTGTCCCTGAGGGAGCCTTTTGTGAATCTAGCGGCGCTCCACCAAGTTGTCGCTGCTTGTGAGGTGTACTGGGGACTGCTCATCGAGACCATTTCCTTCCAGCTACAATGTTGTTCTCCAGAGGTGTCAGTGGCAGTCGATCATCGTTACCAACGGACTGTTGAGAGAACTGGACGGCGGAGGGGCCGAGACGTGGTGTGGACAACGGTTCTGCCGATGCGTCTGACAGAGAAGATGGACTGTTCGATGATGGATGTTCTCGCAATTGTAGCCGTGGAAGATGCTAAAGGCGATATGTGAAGGTAGTTGTCCTTTCCAGTGGAATATTTAAGCGCAAGAGACAAAGTGCAGGCAATAAGTGTTTACGTCCCAAATGAAGAGCCGCGTCACTAGCCTATAGTGGAATAGCGCATGTTGTCTGAACTAGAATCTTGTCACGTGGTCAGAAAGATATATTTGAAACTCGCGGGGAAAAAGTGTGGCTGCGGTTGTGGCGTAGCAACTAGTCGAACGCGAAAGTCTGTGAATTTATCTCTGCCCATTATGGCCTGATTGAAAACCTTCACGAAGCTTCGCTCATGGACTACTCTTGCTGCTCAACTTTTCCAGATCCTCAATACACTCAGCAAACCACCCATCAATGCGCTCTGTGATCTTGGTAACTGCCTGCTTAAGCCTCTCGATGGCTAGGTCTTTCTCCGACATCCCGACACCTCCTTTGTCAGTCGAATCATTGCTTTTGCCTTGATTAGTCTTGTCGGGCTTTTCTTCCAAACTAAGCCCTTCGATGCCTGTTTCTACTTCTTCAACTTCCTTCTCAGCTTTCTCCCAAATTTTCTCGTTAGGGACCGCAAACCTGGGCGCGTTGTATTTCGTCGAGATGACTATAAGTTCACTCGCCGCGGCAGCAGCGACATCTTTAAAGGTTGCTAGACGATCTGGCTCCTTTCGTTCGTCGAATCCAAACAGTTCGACCCTTAGTCGATGCATGAGCCGGATAACTGGGAATGATGTCTTTCCAAAGAGACTTAATCGTTCATCGCCCACCCATGTATCCCAGGTAGTACTCACGATAAGGTTTTTTCTGGACGCTAATCCTACGCCTTTTTCGGCTTCTGTGAGCTGAATTGCCCCAGCTGAAGCAATGCGCTTTAGTTCCTTCGCGCCTTCAGGAGTCCGATTCAGTTCCCCAAAGAGCAGAACCCAGTAGACACTCTCGATGTCATGCCATGGGTTGTGCCTAGGGTGTTTCGCCATCAAAATGTTGATTGCCATGTAGAGGTAAGTGCCAGTGCGCCAGGGAGCTCCGGAATGGGGGTCTCCATATACGCAAGCCATGTCGAGGTCAATCAGCCGTCCGGGTGGAGGGGCGCCCTCCCCGTTCAGTATATCTGGCGACGTCACCATAACATTCGCTGGAGAAATATCTCGGTGAATAATGGGCCGATCCCTGCAAAACATTTTCCGAATGGCACGTACAGCAGAACGTAGAGCCTTTATACGCTCAAGTTCAGTAACATCTCGAGGATTGGGATATTGATGTTGTGAAAGTCCATGCGGTGTGGTATCCACAGAAACGCCGCAGTACTCTTCTAGGTACCATCGCTGCCTTCTCGTATACGAAGACTTATCGGCTAACTTGGTAGCGGTTCCCTTCACTTCCGGCATAAACAAGCCCTTCTTAGCATCTTTATTCTGGGTTTGGTTTGTCATGACGGAGGATGTACTATATGTCACCTCTATATATCGATAGTTCGGTCCCATTTTGAGATATTGTCTTGAACGTTTTGCTTCCGGTAGGACGTCAAACTCGGTTGTTAAAGGTCCGTCTTTCCACTCAAAAAGCTTTGGTAGTTCCTCGATATCGCTAAGTTCACTAAGGATATCAGCTTCACTCGTGCGCGCCTCGTAGACCCAGGCCATTTTCAGCGCTGCAAGATCGTCACCTTCTGTAGGTGAGCTCTCTGTATTCTTTTTAGCCTGTGACTTTCTTGATTTTTTCTTTTTTGGCTTCGGTTTCTGCATTTTAACAGGCCATACCGTAGTGCCGCGTGTCGTGATCATGTCGACACCCACACGCACGAGTGGCGATGGTATCTTACATCCGGCAGGAGTGAAGCTGATGGCTCTTCTACCGATTGCAGAAGGTTCCTTTGCTAAGCCCTGGGCGTCGTCACTGGCCAGCATGAGCCAGTTGACGAAGCGCAGAAAACCCAACGTATTCTGCTCGATATTAAGCCCACTTTCGTAACACAGCACCTGCCCTCTGTTCAATTGATAGAGACGCAATGTCCTGCCGGCGACGTAGATGGAGTATATGAAGTGACGAAATGGGTCGTCTCGGAACACTTGGTTGTATCTCAAAAGAGAGAGTTGTATTTCGGATTGTGCATATGTCTGATCGGCCGATTTCTTGAGTTCCCAGGTTGTCTTCATATCGCAAAACCTCACATTTTTCTTGTTGATATCGGTGGCAATACTAGCTAGGTCGGGTTTGAAAAGCTTCAGGCCTTCCGCGTACTCCTCATTACTAATCACGGACTTGGGAACTTTTGTTCCGACATTAATGAAGACGTTCTGAGCCTGTCGTGTCTTTGCCGTGGATTGTGCTTGAAGGACCTCTTGAGCTTTCCGAAGCATGCGGAAAAATATATTCCGAGAAATTATTCCCGAGCTCTTTGAGGCCATATCCGACCGCCATTTTTTCCATTCATTGGATGTCTTGAGTGCCTCCTCTGCCCTCTTAATTTGGGTTTCGGTGAACTTTGCGTTCTTGGACATCTTATTATGAAGCTTCCCAAAAATGGAGACCTTTGTGTCCTCCACGTGTGTCATGCAGCCAAGGTTAGATATGAAAACGGGTAAGCGATGAATTTGAGTATCGTCGTGAGGCACAGAATTTACTGCCTTCTGGGGTGTCTCATTGGCGGCACTGCTTTTGATTGTTGTCTTCTTCGGCGTCTGGGAGATAGGCATGACGGGTGATTCCTTCTCTGGCGAGGCTATATTCCCGTCGGGTGGTAACCCTCCTCTTCGATCTGGAGAGGCTTCAAGGGAAGGTATTACACGCGTTCGGCGGCGTTTTGAATGAGGTATCGAGATCTCGATGCGAAGTTGGTCGGAGTTCGGTCTGGGCGCCATATTTAGCATTTGACTTTTGCAATTCAAAGTTCGAGCCTTACGTATGGCCGCAGTTGGGGGTGTGGCGTGCCTTTTGTATGGTGCCAGACTAGCGAGACATGTTATCGGCAGTGGCGCGTTTGATTGATGTCCAAAGTTGCCGTTGCCTAGGCAACGAATACCGTAGTGGATTTTTGTCACTCTTTTCGCAACATTGGATTGTCGAAATCTCAACAACGAGTGCTCTGGAAATACTGTGATTCTTCATATAGCTACTGGGTAGCCTTTAAAATTGAATCGACCAAAAACCTTGAGTTTTTCCACGTCGTTGTTGGGTAAAAATGGTTGAGGGAAAAGGTTGCGTTTCATGCGGTAAATGGTACGACGTACCACTTTTGGACCATTACGCCAGAATAGCACTTATTTTACCACCATTCTGCAAGCGTATATGAGCGATTTGAAAGCTGGAAAGACATTTGCTCATTAACTAAGATCTATCAAAACTATGTCTTTTGAGCAGTGCTTATGGCGCTCTACTAGCTGGCGTACAGAAGTAACACCTTTCGATATCGACTTCTGGCCGGCTATATGGGGAATGTCTCGGGAGAGCGACAACCCACAGCGACTCGCGTACCACAGCGACAATGCTAAACACCAATCGGGCCTAGTTGTGCGAGCGTTGTCCGCATGATGGAAAGGTACCTGAAAACCCTCCATTTTCCCTAGGGATTTGAAGTATCTTTCCATCCACCTGGCCTCCCTCATATAGTTGGCGCTTTTTGATGTTCTTTCCACGACGTCGTTGACCCCCTTTGACGGAGTCCTTTGCATTTGCCTTTCCACGCCTTTTTGCACTCGATTTTAGTGGTGTGGCATGTCAGACCCTCTCTGTCGCCTGTGTAGCCCGTCTGTCGCCTCCGTCGTCTGTCGCCTCCGTAGTCTTCCTGCCGCCTCGTGACCTCGCTGCCGACCCCCTTCAGGGCTGTCCTGACGTCCTGTGAGTTTCCTGTTAGTCTTGAATGAATCCATGCTCTTTTGCCTAGTTGTATCTCGCAGTGTGAGTGCGCATTCTCTTGACTCTACCTCCTGCCAGGTACCTTTCCATCGTTCGGACAACGCTCGCACAACTAGGCCCGATTGGTGTTTAGCATTGTCGCTGTGGTACGCGAGTCGCTGTGGGTTGTCGCTCTCCCGAGACATTCCCGCTATATGGTCCACGTATTGGATCCGATGGCGGTGGTGTTTCATCGTGTCGAGTGTGATCAATAGAGCTTCTCTAGGTGGTCCATAGACTGGATCCGATGGGTGGATCATGTCGATATCAACATCTATCGAGTAGGTTGCCCACGGGATTTCATCGGATCCAATCCGTGTCGATAGATGTCCATGGATTGGATCCGATGACGACGCGGCAAGGGGAGTGCCCACGTGACACTGCCAAGCCATATGCTTACGTGATTGGCCAGCACGTCGCTCTTGGCGTCGCCATACAACGCCAAGCTCTAACCGGACGATTCCAAAATTAAAAAAATAGACAAAAAAAAATCAAGTTGATATTTTATACTGCCAAAAACTGCTACAAAATCGTGGTTGACCTATCAAGGACGTAACCGAGTGGTATAACACTCGGCTTACAGTCGAACCGATAGAATTGAGGGGCCTTACTAGTGTTCGATCATAGGTAAGGTAAGAGGGTTGTCCGGCCTAGCTTTCTAGGTGCCCTAGATGGGTAAACGTAATGCTCCAGCCAGTGATTGTTGACGATGTCGTCTTGTTCATACGTTGGGAGGCCACTGATTCAAACTCTTCTTCAGTTGAACTTGTCTGGTTAAGCTTTCACTGGCTGCGGCGCCCCATCTATAAGTTCGTTAAAGATGGACTGTAGGAGGGGGCCTTTCTTTTTTGATATTTTCCACCCTAAGTCCTATATCGATGGAAGATCGCGCGAGCCATAATCTATTTCACAGATCTAGTGTCTTCTAGATCGGTGAAATGGGGGATAAGTAGAAGGATTACGATTTATCTATTTGCAAGCCTAGTGACAATCGCAGCCCCAGAGCATTCTATTTGTCGCGTTTAGCATAAGCATTAAGTAGATCCCTAGACGGCCGCAGAGACGCTGGAGAAGTGGTGCTAACTAGAATAGCAGACTCTTGCTAAGTGATGTCTTTGCGATTAGAATAACGTCTCGATGTCTAAATCAAAAGATTCTAGTGCTTGCTATTATTGGTCATGCAAACACTGAATACCAAAGCCATCTCGAGCATAGCGATATGTGTATTGCTTCTTTGATTTATCCGATAAACGTACTATAGAGGACATAGTGCAAGCTTGTCACCTTATGGGGTAGGTACGATAGGCTCTTCAGATTTATCGACTAAGGAGACAAGCTCAAGAACATCGGACAGTCCTCTTCTCCTGACTTGGGCTGGTCGTTCTCGAATCAGGAAATCACCAGATATCTGGGGGGTGTCTTGGTCAGGAACATGTGCAGACAAGTCCTCAACGGGTCACGTTGGGGCAGGGCGGGCTCAACGGATTCCGAGGTAGCCCCAAGAGTCGACAATCCAGAGCTATTTGATAATTTCAAATATTAAGAAGGATTTAAGAAGCCATAGTAGTCAAAAGTTTCACTTATCTTTCCCGTAGTCGGATGTAGTTGGATCGATATTCAGTCCTTTCAATTCTCTTTGACCGATGTTTTCTTTCCCATGAACAAAGGTAAGGATGAGTACTTTTCTTTCTCTTTTGGTTTGACTCCTCAAGCGACCTGCCGACGGTGTAGAAGTCAGGGCATCAAATTTTGGTAAACCTCAAAGGCAACGAACCTCGTTCCCGGCAGAGAGACAGTGGCCGGAAGGGGTCTCCGCTGGGTCACGCCTCGGTGTACACTTGCGTGAAGCGCAGATTGCCGAAAGAAAGAGAGAAAGAGGATCAGCTAACCAAGAACCAATGTGGGCACTAGACAAAGGGAGCGTTGCCACCAGATTCTCGTATCTGAGATAGGAGAGCGAGGGAAAGGAAGAATGGGATATCGTAATGGCAGAGGTTGACTGAAGGAGTCCGTATTGTAGTTGTTGTCTATCTATTGGGTTTTCCTTGAGGGTTGCGCGGTAGTCGACAAGTGCTGTAGAGAGCTAGTACCAACCAGGCCTAGATGTGTGGCCTTCGGGAGCGTTGTACGCTTCGTACGCGCTTCGAAAGTATATAGTCTGACGGTCCCCTGGACCCTTCGGAATAGGACGAGTCCTCCGTCAATCACATGAGGAGGGGTATTTCAGAACTGGCCCTAAGGGCAGTGCACAGCTTCATTTACCAACGGCTTGTCCGGCCGGCGCAGCAAGTCACGATACCAGGCTAAAGGGGACAGGACTCAGGAGTCCTCCAGGTTTGTCGAGGGTATTGGAGTCGGGTTTGAGGAAATCTCACAAAGATGGACCTGGATAGAGCATATGGATGCATGGAACGGCATCTTGAAGATCGTGGAACCTAGACACTTATTCCCTGAAAGTCGATTGGGTTTAAGAAGCGAGAGGCCCGTTCTTCGAGAACGCCCCCCGCGTAGAGTTCTGTCGTGTGGGGGAGCATGATACAGCACCTTGGTGGACACTTCGGGCCATCTGATGCCGTTGGTATAAATCTTCAGGGTAGAGCTCGAGAACTGCAACGGCCGCAGAGCTTGTAAAGAGCCTGAAATGGAGGTCGGATGCGGCGACACCGAGCTGAACATCCAACACCACCATTCGGGCCAAGCGAAAGTCGTTGTTTTCGAATCTGCAGCCCTAATGCAAATCTCCCAAGTAGGTTTGGGGGCCGTTTTACTCTGCAGCCAATGTGAGTGTCAGAACGAAGGGGGAATGGCGGCTTCTAGCCGACCAATTTTATGAGAAATGCGCATGACTGTACTGGCGTGTTCTCCTGATCTCTTTCTTTCTTTCATCTTCCCAAGTTGAGACCGAATCGCGGCTGGCCAGAACAGGTCCCCGTCAAGTCGGTTCCAGGCATCGAAAATGCCGTCCATGCTCGAAGTCCGTGACGATCGTCGGTCACGATCGAAATCTCCGAGCGGACGAGACAGAGGTCGATCGAGATCTCGTTCACGCGACCTTCGGGACTCGCCCGACAGAAGCGACAACAGAAGATCGAGCAAGAAATATATCCTATCGGAGCCGGAGTCGGAGTCGGAGTCGGAGGACGACCAGAAATACAGACACACGCGGTCCAGCAGAAAATACTACGATTCCGATGACGACGACCGTCAGAGGCGGACCAAGAATTCAAAGAAATATGAGGATGACAGCGACGAGGATGAAAGATACCGTTCATATAAATCCAGCCAGGACCCTTGGAGACGAGATGACCCACCCTCCGACGACGACAGGACGTATAGAAGATCCAAAAAGAAGTCAGACAGTGATTCCGACAGGCGAAGAGACGGAAGGGAAAAATCAAGCCGGAAGAAATATGATGATTCAGAGGAAAGTGGTTCAGAGGCCCATCGACGCAATTCTAGAAGCCATGACTATGTGAATCAGAATGGCCGTGGCTCCTATGGATATCCCCCGGGAGCATATACGGAAAGTCGCCCTCATGAAACTCGTCATATGAGCTATGTGGGCGCCGATCCTCGATATGCACCACCTGGAGGATTTCCTGGCGATGCCCCCCCTCGTCCTCAACAACGAATGTCCTCATACAGCGGCCAGGGCGGAATGCAGTATGCAGAGGTAGACCGATTCCAATATGCGCAGCCGGACGGTAATGTGTCATACAAATACAATGACGGCCGGACGAACGTACCAGCTCCGTACGCAGAAAGGAGACCAAACCATGAACGGTCTCGGCCAAAGGACTACAAACACAGGGGCGATGACTACAGGCTCGAAAAGTACGAAGCACGCGAGCGGAAGGACAAAAGAGACACTGAAGACAAATATGAAACACGGGAGCCGAAGAATAAAAAGCTCTACGATGACGACAACAAATACGGCTCTTCCCCTGAAAATGTGACCAAGAGAATGTCCACTTTGGCCGTGGGTGCTGGCCTTGGAGCTGCAACATTGGGAGTCGCTCAACATCACTCTCACGATGGCGGTAAACCACCGGCTTCGCCTTTGCTGGAAGCATACAAAGGGACATATCAATCCATCTCACCCATGCCTTCAGCATTGGTTCTGGCCCATCACCAGGACGACTCGGATTTGTCTGATTTGGATCTTGACCTGGACGACGACTCGGATGATCCTGGTTCAGACATTAAACGACAGATCCGCAAGCTCGAAAAGGAAAAGGAGAAATATCTCCAAGAACAAAGGCAGAGCAACGGCCTCTCCAGCAATACTCGAGAAACCCGGCCGCGTCGCCTCTCGAATCTGGACACAAATTATGAAATCCGGGAACCCGGCAGCGGCCAACGCGACCGTGCCAACTCCAACGTGAGCATCATATCACCAGGAGGTCCGGGAAAGAAGAAGACCGTGTCATTCTACGACCCTACCAACGACGCCAAGCGCATCGCCGCCGCCTTATCTGGAACACGCTCGGCGCCGAATCCCAGACCATTGATTGAAATCCTGCCTTCTCTCTCGACGGACGATCTTTTGGCCTTGCGCGCCGAATACAAGAACCACGCCAAAATCAGCGGCCAAGGCATCAATATCGCCAAGCACATCAAAATGCGCATTCCTGGCAGCCTCGGCAAAGCCTGCTACACGACGGCCCTGGGCCGGTGGGAGAGCGAAGCATACTGGGCCAATTCCTGGTATCAAGGCGGGGCGTCGCGCCGCGAACTCCTCATCGAGAGTCTCATGGGCCGCTCGAACAGCGACATCCGCGAGATCAAGAACTGCTTCAAGGACAAGAAATACAATGATGACCTGGAAAAGTGTATCCGCACGGAATTGAAGGCAGATAAATTCCGCGTCGCAATCCTGCTGGCGCTCGAAGAGCGACGCATGCCCGAGTCCTCGCCGCTCGATATCAACTTGGTGAAAGAAGACGTGGCGAATTTGGCACATGCATTAGAGTCCGCGGGCGGCGAAACCGACATGATCAAAATTATCGTGGTGCGCAGTGATGCGCACCTCCGCGAAGTCTTGAGAGTGTTCGAACGGACGTACCACATCAATTTCGCACGGCAGATGATTTCCAAGTCGCGCAACCTGGTCGGTGAGACGTTGGCCCATATTCTGAACGGCGCCCTGAATCGACCGATGCGTGACGCGCTATTGTTGCATCAGGCGATTAGTGAGACGGCGCCCGGGAAGGAACGCACGGAGCTCTTGGTCTCGCGGCTCGTCCGGTTGCATTGGGAACCGAAGCATTTGGAGAAGGTTAAGAATGTGTTTCAAGAGAGGTATGGAAAAGGCGTGGAGGAGAGCATAAAGAGGGAGGTGTGGGCACAAATGAAGACGCCGGAGGGCAGGATGTGTGCCGAGTTCTGCGTCGAGTTGGTCGAGAGTAGTGATCCGGATAATAATAGACGGAGATGAGGTGAGAGACCAGATGAAAAGCTGTGCTCGAATGGGTCGAGAGAAGAGGATGTGTATGGTATGGGATGTATTGAATGGTCAAAAGGAAGGGTGTGATGATGGCGTGAATGACTTGAATTTATGTGGCGGTGATGGTCTTGAGGTTTCCTTTTCCTTTCCTTGTCACAGAGGAGGATGATATTCATCATCCCGACGACACGAGAGTATCAGTATGAGATGAGATCAGATCTAACCAATTACTCCACTAAATCATGACTCTCGACAGGAGACGTGACAATATGGGAATGTTGTATTGGTGGTTGAGAGGATATTTTCCATTTCCATGACCATTTCGCGCATTCCACATCGTGCAACATGTATCGACAATTCCATCACTTCTATGTGTCTAGATTTTTATGTACAAGACCCGAGTGGTAAAAATACCCCCCCGGTGACCCATCTCACAGCACCATGCTCCACAGAGAGCTCACCAGTGCCACGCCAGACAGGATGAAAATGGAACCTGTCTCAGCCTTCAAAGACACTATGATTCATTTCAATCCCATAGTCCTTCGCTACCCTTCTCATCTGCTCTTCCATATCATCATCCATACCCCGACCCCTTCCCAGCGCCTGCTTCAACTTGCTATACCAGAAATAAGCATCCGTCGCCAGCAAGACAAGTTTGAAGACGAGATGGCTGCCAAAGTATTTCCATCTCTGGGTGAACGTGAGCTCTCTATCTTCGGCGAGAGCTCTCGATGCCCAGTTCCCCGTGATCTTGATACGATTCACCGGACTGCCCAGGTACTGGTTATTTCCTTGGACGATACGCATGTTGCGACCAATAAAAATAAGTTCGCGAGGCCACTTGGTCTCGTCGCCCAGGATTTCTTTGACACCTTTGCGCATCGCCTGCTGCATTTCGTACTGGCGCCTTTTCTTTTCCTGCTCGCTGAGACCCTTGATGCGGTTTGCAACGGTGTGGTCACCACCCTCGTAGGGTCGCATTAGCGTAGTGGATGCGAAAATTTCGGCGTTGTTGACTCCCCATTTACCGACGACTTCTTGGAGCGTTTTGTTGTCGAAGGTCATCAGACTTTTCCAAAAGAGGGAATATTGGTGCCGGAAGTGGGGAGACATGTTGATATACAGGCCATGGTCGATGAGGACCAGTTCGGAGTGGCCGTTGGGAAGGCGGCGGATGAATATATTTCCCGGATGAGGATCGCAGTGTACCCATCCCCAGAGAAACATTTGGGCCGAGAACAAATCGACCATGGTGGTCATGACTTCCTTCAGATTGAGGCCGAGACCGCCGGTGCCGTTCTGACCTCTCCAATACGTCCGGTCTGGTTTGAGTTCCTCGTCGTCCGATCGGGCTTTCTCTTGGAGCACGGTCATGGGCGTTTGAGGAGGGTCGAGAGCGGTGCCGTGACAACCTGGACTGCCTGTCCGCCAGCCACCTTGCCACGGTCGAGTTATGGCATCCTTGTCCCATAGCCGGACACCTTCAATCCACTCCGCAGTCATGACGCGCTTCGTGGTGAGATCCTCGTAGACCTGGGGAATGTATACCCTGTCACGCAGTCGAGGCTCGCCCGTGACAAGTTCGGCCATCTTTTTAGAGTTGGCCGCCTCGTTCAGAAAATCACACTCGAGCAACAGCCTCTCCGTGATGTACGGCACCAGCGAGTAGAAAGGCAGATCGAACCACCAAGTGTAGATCCTGGTGACGACCATGAAAGCCCAAAGATCCCAGCCGACCTGTTGGGCAATTTCTTTCTTTTGAATCTTGATGGCCACTTCGCGACCATCTTTTAGCCTGGCCCAATGAACTTGTGCCACACTGGCACTCGCTCGGGCCTTTCTTTCCATGACTCCGGCGTCCGGCTCTCCGTCAAAAGAAATGCCAAACACTTCTTCCGGAGTACGACCACCAAAGTCTTCCATGATGACCTGCCGCACATCGGCCCAGTCGTTCTGTGGAGCATCGTCGAACATTTTGGCAAACATTTTCTGAAACTCGGGCGGCAGAATGGCCGTCTGCATGGCGATGGCTTGCCCAATCTTCAGATAGAGTCCGCCGTTGGTCCGCAGAAGATGGAACAATTTGGCCGCATTCCGGGCATGTAATTCCGCGATGTCGTTGGCAAAAGGAGGATCCTCTCGAAAATTGATCTTATAATCCAAGGCGGCCGTTAACCCCAGGACAAAAGTCCGGGTGCATCGTGTGAGACTTGATGCGTAAAATCTTTGGTCCACGGTATATGCTATGGCTCCAAACAACGTCAAGGACACCAATCTCCTCGCCCACTTTCTAGTTCTCTTGAATTGCTTTGCAGGGACTGCTTTGCCGAGGGAGGCGGGAGTGGGTGGTGCGAAGGCAGCGTGAATCGGCGACAGGGAGAACGCTCGTTTCTGCAGGGAGGTATTCAACCATGCAGGCCGACGAGAATGGCGCCGAGACAGTGTATGGACACAAAGGCGCCCTGCCGCAGGGGCCATAAAGAAAGAATCAAAGGAGCGACGATGACCTGGGCAGTGTGGGAGGCATGGGGAGATTCCAAGATGGACACGCGATACATAAAAAGTGATCTGCCTGGGTGACAGGCGGGTGCAGGTGGGGCGAGATCGATCTTCGGGCCCGGGAATCGCGCAGCGCCGACTGGACCCTCCGCGGCTTTACCGGCCCTTGGCGGAGCCGTTGCTAGTAGGCGTCAAATGGGTCAAATTTGTCGCTTGCAAGTGCTGTACTCTCGAGCTGATGTCTCGAATGAGAAAGACTTTGAGCACGTTGTCATAACGGATGTGATGGAACAAGATGGCTATGTAGAAGGCAGGAACTCGGTCTCCCGGGATGGGCGCGTGACCCGCTTTGAGGGAAGCGGGGAGAAGGGATGCTCATTCACGGAACCCTTTGTAGTTCCTCTCTGACCAGACGTCGCTTTGATGCACAGGCGCTCTCATGGCGGAGAGGTCGACATTTCTATGTTGAAAAATAACCCATCCAAGTCAAGAAGCCTCCCATTGCGGCAGTTACAGCAGTAGCCATTCTGATATCCCGCACATCTGCTCTTCTGACACTGTCCAACAGCCGCTCCGGGATAGCCATACGCATCAGACCAAGCGCCACATTCCCCCAACCAACCAGGGTAATTAGAACTGGCCAACCTCGACACCAGGTATTGTGAGCTTGGACGATCGCCAGGCCAGAGACGAATATGACAGACCCGTTGAGGAAAATCGTGGGAGGAGTGTTGGTGGCCCAGATGTGTGCATTTAAGGCTTCGGTGAGGGAGATGGCGACGAGGCTGGGGCCGACAAGGCGGGCGAGACGGTGAGAGATGGTTGTCATCGAGAGCCCCGGATCGGTGTTTGACTGGTGACTGATGGGGCTGCGCTCTTGCATGCTAAGAAAGTCATTGCCCCTTCAACAAGGAAAGTCAGCTGATAACCAGGTTGGCCATCGTGCAGTCTGGCATTTATTCCCGCCATCACCGAGCTATACTAGCGCCTTGGATTATGATTCGAATTCCCTTTCCATGGTATGTACACTGAGAGTTAACGTGCAGAAGAGGAACTCTCCAGACAAACCCACCTCAAACATGGGAAGGACTATGTTGCTCGGATCGCAACATCGCCGGGGATCCTGGTGGTTTCATTCGAAGCCTTGCATATTTGATACCAAGCCTTGTTCATCCGAGGTATTAGCACTTGTAAAGCTAAGTCATCTGGTTGGATATTGTGGTAGTATCTTTGGACGGAGTTGGATAACAAAGTCGGCACGCTCTTGAACACTGGAGAACGCTGAGAACGCCGGCAAATGAACAGGAAACTTTTTTAGCATGTCGAAGGTTTAACAATGAGAAAGGAGAGGGGGCGAAAACTAGAGAACTAGGTCCGTTTAGGTAGAAGAATTTCCAAATCGGGACGGAAAGGACAATCGCGGTCTCATTAGAAAAATCCCAGAGACTTTGCAAGAAGAAACCGCCACCTGTTCGTTTGAGAGGTGGAGAACCAAGTGTGCGGCCGGTGCGGCCGCTGGACACCACCCCGGTGCTAAATTGCTAAACTCCAATCTCTCCTAAACGCCGGGGAATTAATCCAACGAAGAAGGGGTCTGTTGGCGATCAGGTCGAATATATCATCAGTTCTCCGGGAGGGGATCGGCTCTTTTGGAAAGACGAACAAGGGAGCGGCGAGAAGGCGGCCCCTCCGGGCATCAAAAATGCATGACATCACGCGTTGTTCGCTGCGGGGAGGCAATCACAGACACTTACAACCATTTCCCCCTCCCCTCGGCAATTATATATACATCGGTCCTCTTCTGCCCCCTTCATACCGCTCAAGACAATCTATTCCAGCATCTCCACCACGTCCTCATACCCACCTCCCAACGCAATGGCACCACAGCTCGCAACTCGCAAGCTCGGCAAGAATGGCCCCGAAGTCACCGCCTTAGGATTCGGGACCATGGGTCTTTCAGCCTTCTATGGTACCCCAAAGCCCGACGAAGAGCGCTACGCCCTGCTAGACCATGTCTACAATTCTGGCGAACTTTTCTGGGATACGGCAGACATGTACCAAGACAGCGAAGATCTCCTTGGTCGCTGGTTCCAGAGAAATCCTGGAAAGAGGGAGAATATATTCCTGGCCACCAAGTTCGGAAACTATGTCGACCCTGAGACCAAACAGAGAAGCGTGAGAAACGAGCCCGAATACATCCGAGCGGCCTGCGATAAGTCTTTAAGGAGGTTAGGAATTGATCAGATTGACTTGTATTATGCCCATCGACTGCAGGCCGACCAACCGATAGAGATCACGGTAAAAACCATGAAGGAATTGCAAGATGCCGGCAAGGTCAAGTACTTGGGTTTGAGCGAGTGCAGCGCTGAAAGTCTCAGGAGAGCCTGCAAGGTGAGCAATTTGGAGACTTTTCACTTTCCACTCACTGATGCTGGGGGAGACAGGTCGCGCACATCGACGCAGTTCAGGTGGAATACAGCCCCTTCTCTATGGACATTGAAGACCCACAGATCGATCTCCTAAGAACATGTCGAGAGCTGGGAGTCGCAACTGTTGCCTACTCACCACTGGGTCGAGGTTTCTTGACCGGAACTTTGAAAGGGCCCGAGGATTTTGAAGAAGGGGATTTCCGTAAATTCGCGCCACGCTTCAACGCAGAGAACTTCCCCAAGAACCTCAAGTTGGTCGACGAAATCAAGGCCTTGGCCGATGCCAAGGGCTGCACTCCGGGCCAACTCGTGCTTGCATTCTTGATGGCTCAGGGTGATGATATCATCCCCATCCCCGGCACCACCAAAATCAAGAATTTCGACGAGAACATGGGATCTCTGAACGTGAAAATCACTCCGGAGGACAACCAGAAGATTCGAAAAGCTATTGACGCGGCCGAAGTCCATGGCGCTCGTTATCCCGAATCCTTTTCCAAGGCTCTTTTTACCGACACTGTACCATTGAGGGAGTGAACACCCAATCAGCCGGATGATGGAAATGACCGCAGATGAATCAAGTGATGGAAATTTTTTTTTGGGTGGGGGGGAGTGGAGAACATGGAAAAAGAGATTTTCATGGAGGCTATCAAAGTCGGAGAGTCCATCAGAATAAACGAGTAGAGTGATTCATCCGTAAATATACATCCATCGAATCCCAGGGTTTCGTATGATCTCCTTATCAAACACCTCTAATGCCCAATATATAACCACCGTGAGAGATTGAGACAGCTTTTCGTCATTATTCTTCAATGTGCCTCATCTTTGGTACCTGCCACTTTCTCTTGGGCCCCAGATCTTGGATCCTGAATTGTGGGACTCGTGGCTGATTTCGCAGGAAGAGGTGATAGTTTGCTTTAACTCGACTCATGGCTCGACGAGTCTGGATGGCTCGGTGGTCTAGGACAATGCTGTTGTATGCAAAGCTGAATTTGGCTCCTCGAGCCATGATAGTTTGATTTGAAAAGCAAGAGGGGGAGTGGCCTAGTAGTTCTCGATCTCCAGTGGTTTGAAAAAGACGCGAATTGAGAAACTCCTGTGCCGCCAGCGGCGATTCCAAGAAAGGATGACGACGTTCAGCGCATGAGATTAGACAAAGCTGGGATTGAGCGTGTTTCGTTTCACCATAAAAGAGAGATACCGTAGCCCGTCCCACCTTCCCCGATCTAGACGCTCCCCAATGTCTGACTGGCATATAACTCCAACACCTAAGATCCGACCAAGTTCGCAATCCCGACCAAATATTCCTCTTCAGGAACGAAATATCTTTACAAAACTTGTATCCTCCGCTCACTTCACAGCCCACCATGGACCCATTCTCCGGCGAGGGCGGTATGCATCCTTCCTGGCATTCTGTATTCAGCCGTTGACACCTAGCTAGAACTCCTGAACATAACCACCGCATTCTACACGCACGCATATCCAGCCGTCCTGGACTTTGATACTTCCTCCCTCTCCGCAGAAAACAGGACCACCGCGCAAATCTTGAAGTACCGCGCACAAATAGCCCTAGGGCAGTCATCCGCAGTCATCTCTTCCCTCAAACCTTCTCAAGATGCCGCATCTCGCTCTCTAGTGGCTCTTGCACGTCAATCATCTGGCGACTCCTCCGCCGTTGAGACTGCCTCTTCCCTTGCCGACTCGGATCCCGAAGACGCAGTGGTGCAGATCTGCGCTGGCACGGTACTGGCATCCGCAGGCGAATATGGCAAAGCAATTGAGTTATTGAACAAACATCAAGGGAATCTCGAAGCCGTGGCGCTCCTGGTGCAGATCCACCTCATGCAGAACCGGACGGACCTTGCCGTCAAAGAGGTTCAGGCTGCAAAGCGCTGGGCCCAAGATAGTCTGCTGATCAACCTGGCCGAATCTTGGACAAACCTTCGTGAAGGGGGCAGCGACAAATACCAATCGGCATTCTACGTATATGAAGAGCTGGCTAGCGCACCAGGCAACACGTCGCCGACGGCTCTGGTAGGACAAGCCGTTGCAGAGTTACATTTGGGCCGGACAGAAGAGGCAGACGCAGCACTACAGCAGGCCCTGGCCTTGGAGAACGCAGATGTGCAGGCTATCGCCAACAGTGTGGTGTTGGGAAGCATTATGGGTAAGAAGAGTGAACTGATCCAGGAACTGCTCAAGCAATTGCAGGAGAAGGACAAAGATCATGCTCTCTTGAAGGATCTGGAGGAGAAGAGTCATGCATTCGACACCGCGGCTGCGAAGTACAGCGCAAAGATCGCGGTGTAAATGACACTCGGCGCTGTCGAAGAAATATTCTTTAAAGGGGGAGAAGGCAGAACTCCAGGTGAGCTCGCCTAGCCTCTAGTTTCACCGCGAAGAGTCGGCATCCTTTGAGAAAGCAAAATGTCAAAGGCCCAAATGCAGAGAGATCCCTTCCCGTCAAGACTACTTGTGGGCTAAGAGGCCGTCTCTTCACGGATGGAGTGACGAGAACCCAAGAGAGCCCACAACATACACACTTCACGAAAGAGACGACAATTGAGGATGCGCTCTGCCTCACGAAGATGAGAATCCCGGCGCCCGAAAATGCGAATTTGCTAAGTGGGTTGCTTTTCTCCAAGTCCCATTTCGCCTAGAGCAACCATCGATATGGAGCAATTATGAGAAATCAATTTCAATTAGATGTATTGTTCCACATGAGCACCCCCCAGCTTATTTGCAGCTTGATTCCATGTCTCGTTTCCACCTGTTTCGAGTATTTCATATTAATGAAGCCATACCTTTCAACTACGTATAGCTTGCGAATTGACTTTTTCCATCTCATATCCAATTCCCTGACCAGAACGACGAATGCTGGTAGGCAGCTACTCCATTCATGGAGATGATTCGTTAAAATAGGACACCACAAGGGTTAGCCAATTAAACTGGGATTTTTCAGTCACCGCACCCCTACCTATCGATTTTCAGCCATGCCACACCGCAAAAAATGAGTTCCTCTATTAAAAACCCCCAAGGTTTGAGAACTTTTTGACTCTAATTGCTGAGATTGGGAAGGAGAAGGTGGTAGTGGCAGACTTGCTGTGCGCCTAGAGGGGAGGATCCTTAGGTTTAATCCGCGTCGTGTCGACCAGCGTAGGAAACGCTTCCGCAAATGCCGGTCCGACGGACCAATTTTCAATGCGACGAATATGCCTCTCAAAAGCAGGGTTCATGAGGGGATCATCCTTCTCAGAGTTCGAAATCAGACAGTCAACCGGATCATACGGCCAATTGACGCTGAGGTCGCTGGTGAAAGGGATGAACCAGTTCTCAAACGGGTAGTCCTGATAGTGGGCTAAGACTTTGTCGCGCATGCGCGGCCATGGGACGTGATCGATCCAGACTGGGTGAGGCGTAAAGAGTTGGGCAGGCGTAGGACGAAGCCATTCGGGCATGCGTTCATAGTTCTCTTGAGTCGGGTTTATGAGCCAGCGCATAAACATGAACATCGCAAATAGAACGGCGGCCTGTTCGGGAAGGTCGGAGATGTTGGGGAATCTGCTGATGATGTCGGTCATTAGTTGCGAGACGGGGTCGAGGCGGTGGCTGCCGGAAGGGTTGAGAAGGGAAGAGACGCTGGGGTACGTCGGGTTAAGTAGAGGGTTGATCCCGGACTCCTGGTTTGCCTCGCGTCGGCGGGAATGCAGAAAATTCAGTAATAGGCCGTCGAGAGGACATGTCGGCGGTACGTTCTTGGGAAGCACGGTCCATGGGGCTTGGGATTGTTCAGACAAACCGCGTGCCAGCGTGGGGTATGCAGGGCGACGAGACGGAGAAATTGTTTGCGGAGGCGCTGTTCCCGATCGCTGTCCAATACTGTCGAGGAGAAAATTAAAGGATAGTCGCTCTCCGGAGTCATTCAGTTCCATGCCTCGCTGGAGATTGTCTCGCTGATGACTTAGTGCATCTCGGGAAGGGTGCCATGTCCTATTCTCGACTGTGTCTTCTGGCCCAAGTGGAGGCGAGTATCCCGTGGTTTCTATGTGACTTTGAGGCATGTTGGGAGAGGCTGTGAAGGGTCGTCCATTTTGCTGGCTGTTGAGGTAAGCATCTGAATGGGGAAGGGTGGTCGGATGAAAGGCGCTGTTCTGCTGTGCCAGTCCAGCCTGGACATTGTGCTGAGCAGCGGTTGCAAGTTCTGGGTACAGTGAGAAGTGATCTTGACATTGAGATAATCCGCAAATACCTGTCAAGCCATGAGCTCCGACAATTGGTTGTATTATAGACATAATCGAGGCCAACCTCCTCTTGATCTCGTCATTTTCCGCCTGGATGGCATCTTTCTGTCGGGTAACAGCCTGAAGCTCTTGATATGGTTGTTGAGAAGTCAGCTCTTGTATCCGACGCTCGAGAGACTCGATCTGCTGCTTCGTCCGTTCTCGAATGGCACGCTGGGCTTCGCGGTCATTGGCGCGCTTCTTGGCGAGTTGTTCGGGGGTGAGGCTGGCTACGCCCCGGGAAGCAGAGGGCGCTTTTCGTTTCCGACCATGCTGGGGCGGATTGCCGGCCGACGAGGGGGCATTAGAGGAACTTGTGTCAGGCTGCATTGTCTCCCTGGAGTCCCGGCTGACCAAATGACGGGCCGTGGAGCTGCAAGGTCGTGCATTGCGAATATTGGCGGAATGTTCGAGTCAGTTGAAGGGCCTAGTTCAGCGGTGAGCTCCACCGCAGGAAACGACCATTCGGCTCACTTGCCAATTTAATACCACCCGTGTCAAGCCCTCGATGAGGCGTACAAGACTGCAGAGGGCTTCCAATAGTTTACGAGGATCCATTTTATTCTAGCAATTTGATCTCATCGCTCTCTTCCATGGAAAGCTAACTAATGCCCTGTGGATTATGCTCTGCATGTCTCCTTGGCCCCTGTTGAGTGAGAAAAACTCAGTCCTTTTCTTTCGAGCACTTGCAATCGTTTGGAATTATATTTTCTCTGTGAGGGATGCTGGGGACGGGAGGGGGATTTTCCAAGTGTTTGAGTTGATTTTCGATTTTCGATTTGAGAAACATAACCGGATGAAAAGAAAAGCCCTTGCGCTTGAATTGCAAGGCTACTGGAAGTTGTCTCGCCGTCTGCCACGTAAATCATCTGCATCAAGCATTGAAAAGTCAACCGTCTCCTGGCTAAGCCAATGACGCTTGAAGCCGTGTTTGACATCTTCGACCACGGGGTAAACGCGGAACTCCATGTCCGTGACGTGAGCGACAGGCTCCATGTGGAAGACCATTTCAGCCGCATCGTCGTTTCCGAAATAGACATTGCCCTTCAGTCCACAGATCTTCAGCAACTGGCGGATGGTCTCGACTTTAGAAGGATGGGGTGCTCGATTGATGTTGCGGTCAAGGTTGAGAGGGGGATTAGTATCATATCCGACGAATGGGCCGATGACCTTCTCTGGCAGCGGTATGAAACTCCCTTTGAGATGAGCAAGATGTTTATTGCGTTCTTTGTCAAGCACTCTAGCATTGAGCCTCATGAACTGAATCACATCATGTCCAATCGGAACATGAGATCCGTCCGAAACATCGAATCCGTCGCGAGGGAGTTCTTGAAGGCATTAGACACCCTTCCACGAAAATCATGTGCCCCATCACTAAAAGCCGGTGACAAATTCGACACCGGAGTGACCAATCCCGAGTGACTCTAAACGCGACACTCATGGCAAACGTGCTGATCTAGGACACATCAAACCATAAACATTGAGGACATCAGAACAGACGACACAGGAAGTGTCGGTCGACCTAAGAATTGCTCAGAAACTTTACCATTCTCAGAAGAATGGGTCAGCATAACCAGTGTCCTCTCTACAAAAGCCAAACACCCCATGTTGGGGCCTTTTTGCCGAGTCAACCGCAAAGAGAGCAAGCCGGACAAGGCTGAAGAAGGATACCTGGAAATCAAAAGGAGAGCTCTCAAGTGGGAAAGGCGGCCCATCAGGATCGTGGCCGTCCGTATCAGCCTTCGCAATCTGGTAGCTGCATTCAGGAGTAGAATCTTGGAACGCGTCGTCGGGATGGCATCAAGCCCACGACTCCGAGCTGGAGAAGCCCAATAGCTTCCCATCAAATCATGACGTGGCAGTTTTCGTCCTTCTCAATGCATTACCCGGGACCCTCAACTATCAGTGCAGGCCTACTTACTCGAATTCATCATAGTCACCATTGCTGGTGGTGCCTGAATCGTCTCCATGTTAGTACAGAGCTGGAAAATGGCACAGTGAATTGAGGGCATCTTCCTCGATGACGTTTGGATTCTCGATAACATCTCGTCAAGTCTACTTGTCCAGGCAACCAATCATTTCCGGTCAAACACTCCCCAGGCCAAATTCCCAGTGGCTGAAGTGTCACGTGATCATCGGCATCGGAACCTCGGGCTGTTTTGAACTTTTGTATCTTGGGTATTTCTCTCCTCCGCGAGGGATGGTGTAGGATGGCTGGAGGTGATGCTGGAGAGATCCATGTTGTGGCAGCCCATGAGGCCTAAGTTCGTCCGCCCATTCAGTTCTTCTTCTAAACGGTCGGCAGCTCATGCTCCTCCTCGCCTCGACTTTCGTGCGATTGATTCAAAATGGCAGCAGAGATGGGCGTCTCAGCCCAAACCAGCGAAACAAGCCGTACCATCGGGGAAGTCCTATATCCTTCCTATGTTTGCCTATCCGTCCGGTTCCTTGCACATGGGCCATTTACGTGTCTATACCATCTCCGACGTAATCGCACGTTATCGGCGGATGCGAGGTGATGAGGTCCTCCATCCTACCGGTTGGGACGCGTTTGGCTTACCGGCCGAAAATGCTGCGATCGAGCACGGCATTGATCCGGCCGTATGGACGGAAGAGAACATTGCGAAGATGAAGAAACAACTCAAGAGCATGAACACGAGTTTCGATTGGGATGCCGTACGTCAAGAGCTGGGGGATCCTGGTATATAGTGCTGATCGGTTGTCTGTAGGAAATATCAACGTGTTCTCCGTCATTCTACAAGCACACCCAAAATCTTTTTCTCAAGTTGTATCATCGCGGGTTGGCCTATCAAGCAGAAGCGTTGGTAAACTATGATCCCGTCGACAAAACTGTCCTTGCCAACGAACAGGTAAATGAACCGTTGCTCGCCCGGATTCTGGACTAATGACGTGCAGGTTGACAACCATGGACGCTCTTGGAGGTCTGGGGCCCTCGTGCGGCAGATCAACCTTCGTCAATGGTTTTTCCGAATCACGGAGTACAAAGAGGCTCTGTTACGTGACCTTGACTATTTGTCTGAAGGCGCGAAATGGCCTGAAAGAGTGATTCTCCAGCAACGGAATTGGATTGGTCGCTCCGTCGGTGCTCGAATCCGATTCGGTTTGAGAGATCAGACAGGAAAATCAGTCCCCGTCCATATTTTCACGACGCGACCAGACACATTGTTCGGAGTAAAATATATTGCTCTGTCAATGAGCCATCCTCTCGTGCAGCAAATGGCTACAGGGTCTCCCGAGTTACAGCGATTTCTGAGCATGCGTGCTTCTTTCGCTCCGGATTCGAAGGAAGGGTTTGAATTGCCACTCCAGGCAGTCAGCCCACTTTCGCAGATGCTGGACTCCAACCAAGAGCCTATACCAGTCTTTACGGCCCCCTACGTGCTTGAAGACTATGGTGAAGGCGCTGTTATGGGGGTACCCGGACACGACTCTCGCGATCTGAGCTTCTGGAAACTTCATAGACCTCTAGAACCTATCTCCGTGGTCGTTGCTCCATCGGCCACCGACGCGTCGACCATCGACATCCCTGCCGCTGACGTGAAAGACGCATATACCAGCTATGGTATACTGACTCCTGCCTGTGGACCTTATTCCGGATTGGCAAGCAGCGATGCCGGAGCAAACATTGTGAACGACTTAAGAACCGTTGGCCTGGCGGAACCCTTCGAAACATGGAGGCTTCGGGACTGGCTGGTGAGCCGACAAAGGTACTGGGGAACTCCAATTCCTATTATCCATTGCCGGAACTGTGGTACTGTTCCCGTGCCCGAACAAGACCTTCCCGTGGTGCTACCTAAACTTGATTCATCGATCAAGGGCCAGACTGGCAACCCTCTTGACAAGATCGATGACTGGATCAATTGCACATGTCCTAGGTGCAACGGGATCGCCAAGAGAGAAACGGATACGATGGATACCTTTGTTGATTCTTCATGGTACTTCATGCGCTTTCCAGATTCCACTAATTCCGTCGAACCATTCTCACGCCAGTCCGCGGCCGCCATGCTTCCCGTTGACACCTATGTTGGTGGAGTAGAGCATGCCATCTTGCATTTGCTCTACGCTCGTTTCATATACAAATTCCTTTGCAACGAAGGACTGGTATCCGGCGAGACAAGCAATGAAGAACCCTTTCAGCGGTTTGTGGCTCAAGGAATGGTTCATGGAAAGACCTTTTCCGATCCCGATACCGGGAGATTCTTACGCCCTCATGAAGTGGAACACGATGGCGAGCTCGCCGTTATAAAGTCAACGGGCAAATCACCCACTGCTACTTGGGAAAAGATGTCAAAAAGCAAGCACAATGGGGTGGATCCGTCTGCCGCCATTGAGAAATTCGGTGCAGATGCCTTACGTGCTCACATTCTCTTCGCCGCACCCGTGAGTGAAATTCTGCAGTGGGATGAAGAAAAGATTATCGGAATACAAAGGTGGTTCCATCGAGTCCATCGACTCGTGTCTGATCTGGCTGCAGAAGCACCAGGGCGTGAGGTCGCCAGTCCAGAAGGCGGTATACCTGACCTGGGTAATGTTATGGACGACGATGTGGATGCCCTCCTTTTGACCCAAACCACAAGCAAGAACATTTCTCGTACCTTTTCCGACGACATTTACAGTCTCAATACCGCGGTCTCAGATCTCATCAAGCTTACGAATGGCCTCCACGATATCGGTGTGAAAAACCTGACACCATCTGTAGCAGACCACACAATCACAGCACTGTTGAAAATGATGGCACCAATCACGCCCGCTTTTGCAGAAGAATGCTGGGAAGAATTGATGACGAAGAACGATGCAACGAGCATCTTCAACACCCCCTGGAATGGCGATATAATCACGGCTGAACAAGAATCCGCCCTCCGAAGCCGCAAAAAATCAATGACATGCGCCGTTCAAGTGAATGGTAAACTGCGGTTTACTACACAAGTGCCTTCAGCCGGCCCAGAGGGTAAAACTGGATCTAATAAGGCGGCCCGAGAAGAAGAAATACTTGGTGCAGTTCTGAATACTGACGAAGGGCGAATGTGGCTTACAGAGAGAAACGACTGGGAAAAGAGGAAGAGGGTGGTCGTCGTTGGTGGAGGAAAAGTATTGAATGTGGTTTTTTAAGGTCGCAACACGACATTGGGCTTCTCCTATAGTCTTGGAGGCCCCATATCTGTATTATTACAAAATCTTAAATGGCTGGATCAAGCCAGGTCAAAGCCTGAACCAAACTCGTACAATCACGTATTCGGAATGCTCTCACTTGTCGCCGACTGAAGAGATTTTGATCATTGACCATCCATTGTAAACCGAAACCTAGCGATCATTCTCAGCCTCATCTATCAAATGCAGCCTGTGTGACAAAAAGGCTAAATACAAACCAATTTATTAGACCTTGGACATATAACCTTTGGCGTGCCCACCAATCACACCCGCCTTCGCGAAGAGTCACGTGCTTATTTATACCACGCGGAGAAATCGTTTCCCTCCGCATTGATTTAGTACGAGTATTTGAGGAAAACCTCACCCATCGAAATAACGTTGGACTACACCTCTTCATGAGGCCGATACTTTGGCAATCAGGCCCTTTCCGATGGGGCCACACACCTCGAGCCAGGTCCCGCTTCTTGCAGCGCCGCTTCTTTGCAGCAGTTGCGGACGTAGTGAGGTATATATTCAACTCTTCTCATCCCTTGGAGCATTCTATTGACCAAGTTTAGACCATACGATGTTATCGTCATCGGCGGTGGTCATGCAGGAACTGAAGCCAGTGCAGCCGCCGCTCGATCAGGAGTCCGCACCGCTCTCGTCACTCCCTCCCTCTCCAACTTGGGGGTATGTTCCTGCAACCCGAGTTTCGGCGGTATTGGCAAAGGGACCATGCTTCGCGAAATCGATGCTCTAGATGGAGTCGCGGGCCGAATCATTGACAAAGCCGGCATTCAATTCCGAGTTTTGAACAAGAAGAAAGGCCCTGCTGTCTGGGGACCACGAGCGCAGATCGACCGGGACTTGTACAAGAAATACATGCGGGAAGAGATGTTGTCAACACCCAATTTGAGCATCCTGGAAGGCAAAGTCGCAGACATCATCGTGTCCCAAGACAATTTGAACCAGGGCGATCCTGTCTCCAAGGGTCGGATAACGGGCATCCGACTCGAGGATGGCCAGATCATTCCCACCTCACATGTGGTTATCACAACAGGTACTTTCCTTGGTGGAGAAATACATATTGGGCTCGAAGCATATCCATCGGGCCGGATAGGTGAAGACGCCACGTTCGGTCTGAGCAAGTCATTACGAAGTGCAGGATTTACGTTGGGTCGACTCAAGACTGGGACTCCTCCACGCCTGGACCGAGATACGGTTGATCTCAGCCGTCTGGAGATCCAACCAGGTGACTCGCCGCCAAATCCCTTTTCATACCTGAACCGGACCGTGGAGATTGGGGAAGATGATCAGGTGGGTTGCTGGATGACCTACACTAACGAGGCTTCTCATGACATAATTCGGGCCAATCTTGACAAGTCCATTCACATTCGAGAGACAGTCAAAGGTCCTCGATACTGTCCCTCGCTTGAATCCAAGATCATTCGATTTGGACATAAACCGAAGCACATAGTTTGGTTAGAGCCTGAAGGACTCCCGCCGAACAAGATCATCTATCCAAATGGAATCAGCATGACAGTCCCGGCTGATGCGCAGTATGCCCTGTTGAGGACCATAAAGGGATTGGAAAACGTCAAAATGCTCCAACCGGGATATGGGGTGGAGTATGACTACATTGACCCTCGAAATTTGTATCCCACCCTAGAGACCAAACTTATCCAAGGCCTCTTCTTGGCTGGTCAAATCAATGGGACCACCGGCTACGAGGAAGCGGCAGCTCAAGGAATCATCGCCGGTATCAATGCCGGTCTGTTGGCACAAGGCAAAGGACCTTTCACCCTCTCTCGCGCCGAGGCTTACATTGGCATTCTTATCGACGATCTAATCACCAAAGGCGTCAGTGAACCATACCGAATGTTTACCACCAGGAGTGAATATCGAGTGAGCTGCCGATCTGACAATGCGGACCTGCGCTTGACGGAGAAAGGACGAGAAGCGGGTGTCGTAGGCGACCAACGCTGGGCTCATTTCACCAGCGCTCGCAATCAAATAACAGAACTGCAACGGACCTTGGAAGATGCACGATTCTCGAGCCAAGACTGGGTGAAATTCGGGTTCCTATCAGCGGCTGACTCGACCAAGCGAAGCGCATTTGAAATACTTCGATTACGGGAAGTGGACGTTGATACTCTGGCCAGGCGCGTCCCAGGTTTCGCCGCGATATCAGATTATGATGACGAGATCAAGTCACGAGTGCTGATTGAAAGCAATTACGCCCCATATATCATTTTTCAGCAAAGAGCGGCGGCGGCTTTTGAGCGTGACGAATCCCTGGCACTCCCCGCCGATATGGACTACGATAGCGTGTTCGGGCTGAGCATGGGTGAGAGAGAGGCGCTGAAACTCGTCAGGCCGGCGAGCGTGGGGATGGCGAGGAGAGTGGAAGGGGTCACTCCTGCAGGGGCGCTGCGTCTGCTGAAGTATGCTCGACAAGCTCGCTCGCGGGCCCGAGCGGATGATAGGCTCTCGACCGAGGAATTGCTCGAGGCAGAGAAGGTAGAGGCCGATGGTGCTAGTGCCTCAATGTGAGGACGGTTTCCGGATGTCCAACTTGTATCAATATTGATGAGGGACTTTGGAACTGGCAGAGCAGACGGATGTGGTGCCTGGTACGATATTAAGCCTGAGCGGGTAAAATGATCTCGTCCCGTAGAGACGGCCAGAAGGCTGATTCTCAAAAATATTCGCTGAAAGTTAAGCTCGAGAGGACACGTCTACTCGGACCTAATTAACCGTTCTGACCCCGTGTAGGACCGGCTTAGTCATCTGTCTGTCTACAAGCAAACTTGACACAACAACGTCTGCTCTCCAATCATGAATTCTTAATCCACTCGCTTCTCTTCAATCTTTCGACTTCACCAGTCCTCATTCCCCTTTCCTTTTCCCCAATCGACGCATGATCGCGATTGCATGCTCCCTCCGTCACGACACAATGTCATGGCCTCAGCTGCCTGGGCGGCGAACGGGCGCGGCGTATTGCCCCTGATGGGGAGTTTCGGTTCCTCTGGAGTTGTTGGTGCCGGTATCGCATCTTGGGTATGGAGATCTTCGAGTCCAACCCCTGCGTTGGCGGTTGGATATAGGAATAAATTGGAACGTTGCCGACCAACTTGGCGTGAGATTTGGTCTTCGAGCTCCATATGTTCAAGTGCCAGTCCTGTGAGATCAAGGTACGCATCCTTCGGATTTTCTAGATTGAAGAGAGATCCTAAGTGTGAGATGTAGGAACTCGACGCGTCTTTCTACTTATAATTCCCAGACAAGATGGACGCAAATATATCAGGGGCGACAAGTTCGAAATTTTTCGACATGGCCGGAGAAGCCAGAACAGAGCTCAAAGCAAGGAGCTAGCAGGTGAGGACCCTTGTTTGACACCTTTGGTCTTACCGCAGATGTTGTTACGATGAAGTTCTCCTCGGCCACCAGAGATGGAGACTCGGCTACGGTGATTTTCCTCTAGATCATCTAGAAGGTACTGGGGCATTCCAATTCGGACGAAACCATTCGCCGTCCTCGATAGCCCTCGGTTCAATTAGGATCCACCAGTTCCATCCCACCCAAATTCAAGTCGAGAGGAAATGTCGAAAACTAACAAACCTGTACTACAGCACCAGAACGGGCGCATCACCATCGCCCAGCCCTGCTGCCCTACAACCAAAGTTGACAACCCTCCTCCCACGCCTCCCTCCCACTGTGCATGAGAACATCTATACTCTCCCCAATATCCTGACCTTCACGCGCCTCCTCGCCGCCCCAGCCGTCGGCTATTTCATCCTACACTCGGAACCCATCTGGGCCTTGTCTCTTTTCTTCTACGCCGGCATCACGGACCTAGTCGACGGCTACCTGGCGCGGCGCCTCCGCTCGCAAACGGTCGTCGGCACCGTCATCGACCCCATGGCCGACAAGTTCCTAATGACCATCGCCGTCATCACGCTGACGGCCAACGACACACTTCCTATCTGGCTCGCGGTGATCATCTTGGGCCGCGACATCGGATTAGCGATATCCGCCATTTACTTCCGCTGGATCAGTTTGCCACCACCCAAGACGATGGCGCGGTACTGGGACTTCAGCCTCCCGAGCGCCGAGGTGCATCCGACGGAGATTTCCAAAATCAATACCTTCCTACAACTTTTGTTGGTGGGGAATGCGATGTTGTTGCCAGTCCTCCCTGACGTGTGGGTGCAGACGTGGAATCTCCAGGGTGTGTTTGAGGGATGGATGTATCTTGTGGCGGGGACGACAGTGTGGAGTGGACTTAGCTATGTGGGGAGTAAAGATGCGGTTAGAATTTTGACGAAGAATGAGATTAAAGCTGAAGAGAAGATGGGAGGAAGCAAAAGTGAAGAAAGATAAAAGGACATCAGAGAAGCCACTGCACCACGAGTATCATCACCACGAGAACCGGGGCATCTTGGATTTCTCCTAGCACAATATCATATTGGGATTCAACTTCTGTTCGAAGTCGGCTTTTTGGTTTTCTTTTTCCCCGATGGCATCCATGCTCTCAATTCAGTAAAGAACACGCTGGAAAACTCCAAAACGGCCTTGTGGGTCATGCAATGCTCGATTGCTTGCTATGAAAATCGGATCCTTTAACAGCTCCGTTTTCATCGTCCAACGGCTCTGCCTAGCCTCGCCTGCGCCGTCGCTGGGGTTCGATCAGGCCAGCTTCCAACCGCGTCATCGACCTCCTCGAGAAACGTCGTTGAATTTAGCACATTTGTCCCACCCAACACCACTCGGACTCCAGGTACAGAAGCGTTGACCTGTGCCACCATCTTGGCCTCCTCATACGTGACCCCGCCCACCATAAATACGATGATATCCTGCGGTTTATCGCGGGTGTGACCTTCGAGAAAGGGATATTGCAGCTCCTTTAATCTTCCTTTGATGAGGTTCTGTAGGGTGATTTCCAGCCGAGGAGAGTGCTGGGTGTACACGTTCTCGACGCCCTTGAGATTGAGGTTGCGCCGGAATTGGCTGAACGGCGAAGATGCTGAGTCGAAGAGGTCGGTGAAGCCGCCTGCCACGCCGACCGGTGCCGGTTGAAGGCTATGGTGGTAGGCGAGGAGTTTGGGAATGATGGAAAGTTTGTGTGGGGAGATGTCGGCAACCGTGGCGAGCAGGTCGAGAAGGACAGGGAGTGCATTGTTCGGGTTTCGTTCGTAGCGGATTGCGTATATGGCTACCAGCCGGATTTTGTTGTCTGCTGGTATACTGGGGTTTTGGATGTGCTTTTGCAACGTCTTGAGGTCGGCGGCATGATTGTCATTACATACCAGACTTTGCTCGAGCTCGGATACATCAAGTAACGAATCGGCCGACACCCTCCGGCTGAGTTCGCTGACCAACGCTACGTGTTTAGACACGTTGCCTGAGAGCTTACGAAATTCTGGATAGTCTTCGACGAATCGTTTCATATCAGCTATTGATTCGATCTGTGCACTGGATTTGGTTCGTGCTTGGTATTGGTCGACGTAATCTTTGATGTTCCCGCCGAGATCACCAAAGTTTTGGTACATGTTCTTCTTGAAAAAAGGGTCCTGGTCCTGAGAGAGGACGATTTCTTTCAGTTCAGGACGAATGTCCGGGACGGCACTCAAATCTACACGGCCGTTGTTGATACCGAGGAGTTCGTGTACTTGAGCTTGATAGGTCCATTGAGTGAGTAACGGCGTGATGGGGTCGTCTCTCCGGTCCAGGAGCAATAATATCGGCGGGGTGTCTGTTTTTCGAAAGTCGAATAACTGCTCTTCTTGAGTGATCTGATAGCGGACCTCGGTGGCGAGCTTCTTCGCCATGAGACTATTTTTCTCGTACCGGATTAATGGATTCTTCTTCAAAGACAGTAACAAGGCAAGTACCCCTTCTGTTGTCCTCTGCAACGCATCCGTATTCCAAATGTCCGGACTATGGCTCCATAACCTTTGCTTGGGGAATCCCAAATTCAAAGACATCAAATCCGGGTTGACGACAATGTAATCTGCAAAATATTCCTGCACGGCTTTGACCACCTCATGATCGTCTGCTTCCGCCAGTCGCTCCAGAGAAGATTTCTTGATGATATTACTGAAGTAGATATTGTACTCCCCATATTTGGGTTCCCGTAGCTCGTCAATGAGAAATTGTATCGAGTCTGGGGATGGTCGAACGAAACAAAGACATCGGAGGTGTCGCATGCGCTCCCGGGCAGGATTGTCCAGCCGATCAATCAGGAAGACTTCATGTTTGAGGAGGGCAGATTGGGTGATGGCGGTTGATACTATAGAGACTGTGTCCGAGTCTAATAAGAGGATCTTCATTTTCGACGATTGCGTGGCCGCAGCGCCTTCGCCGACTCCGGCGATCTTGGAGATGTAGTTTTGAATAGCTGATGCTACATCCATCGTGGCTAATGGTGGTGATTTGAACTGATCGTCACCCACTCATCCTGATCATGAGGTTGGACTATAGGCAGAGCCTATTTAACAGAAAATAATGGAGCATGCAATGTGCCCAGAGGAGTGCCAGACCAATTTGTTGTTGTATGATGAATACAGATGTCTTGTTGGAAGCCTGCGGGTGGGCCGCCTGCACATGCGAAGTGCAGTGCGTGTGTACTAAAGTCAGTGGACCGCTCAGGCCCCGGCACCAATCCAGGGGTGCCGGGAACCCTTTCCTCCTCAAAATGGCGTCTGACCCGGACGTGCTAATTCATAGGCTGTGGCTACCTAGTCGCTCCAGTTTACGAGAATGAACTATTGACACCTACTATAAACCCTAGAAAGTTGCCATCTGCAGGACATCATCTACACGATCAAACAATATACTTCAGTATTGTGAATCATATTGGTGTGAGTCTTAGATTCAACCATCTATCTCAATGTTGCTGGTTGTTCGGACATCCGTGAACCAATATTCACAGCTTCCCGCCAGTTTGGAATGTCCACTGTAGCCGTCTCAAGGCGATCTTCATATTCGAGGTATGCACTGAGTGAGTGGTGTTACTCTATCAGTGTGCAAAGGATCTTCTTACCAGAGTGCCAGGGCTTTCTTCTGAGATCGAAGAAATCAACGCCAGTGCTGCTGGACAAGAAATCCAATCAGACGAGCATGTCCACCCCAACCTCCATAAGATCACGCTCAGAATTAGGAAGAAGGGAGAAATGTGGGCAATAGATCCCACGGGAGCGCAGTTCGGCAACCTTCGTCACCGATTCAACCTGCCGTATCCTCTTTTCACCTATTAACACATGGATGCTCTTGTGACTGAAGTTCAAGATCTTAATACCGAGTTTGAAGAGAAGTCCCTGGCCCGGACCCAGGAGCACAGGGGCAGGCTGAGTGCTCTGTTGGAAGGATCGAATCGGGCTTTCTACCGAGCCAAAGAGAGAATTGTGCTGGAATTAGGGAACCATCTCAAAGCGAGCGTGGTTAAGTTGGACACTCCGGAAGCGATCGCTGAAAGAAACAAGAGAATTGAAGACTGCCGCGTCGGAAACATGCCAATTTCGGCGAGGGAAACTGTCATATGAGGATCCAAGAAAGTTGTTCAATGATCGAGCACTAAATTGAGCTCGCAGGACTATCGAATTGAGCTGTTGTTGGACTCCTATTCAATCAACACAAGATTCTGTCCCCAGCCGTGTGTACCGCCGTTTCGAGCCTGGATCGTCGATAAATCGGTTCCCATCGCTCACCCTTGCTGGCCACAATATATGTCCATGTTTGTCACGGGCGAATTGCGACAGCGAACCGACTAGTTCCGCTGTGGAATTATTAATATCGACTATCCGACATCATCCCGGGAAGCACGAATAGGTAAGAGAATCATTCAGCCTAGAGCTCCATCTAGATATATGAACACCTGCAGCGAGAGCTTTCTCAATACGACCGTGCACGCCAGTATAGCAGACAGAACACCTTAGCCTTGTGTGGAATACTTCCCAAGTAAATTTCAGGTGGGTTATGGCCTCTCCCGGTCTTTTTAAAATCAATTGACTTGAAACAACCCAGCACGAACTGTCGAGAGGCCATGCCCAAGGGAGGGGTCAGTTCGCGGATATGGCCCTTTCTGGGTGAGGTTTTCCCATATCAAATTTGACTGAGGAACAAAACAGGGCTCATTCGAAAAGGTATAGTAATCGTTCTTGTTGGAGTTTGTGAAGCTTGTATTCCATCCCTGCGTACCACAGGGCTACCATTCGTGGGTACTTCTGCCAATGGGATATATCTGCTAGCATGCACTTGTGAACTATACTTGGACGAATTCAACTGTGCGCTGAGCAAATGCTGGAACGAGGTTGGTAGCAGCATCTCTTGCAACCTCAGAAATGTCTCCCTCAACGGTTCGAATAGTTTTCATGGAACGGGGCACACACCTGGGAGCCGAGTTGGATGGAGTGGATGGCTGCATCCGTTGTGTAGAAGCAGCTGTTTATAGTTCGTGAGTCTGCTCGGTTCCAGCAGCGCTCGGTGGTACCAAGCTCTACGACATACGTCCAGACACAGACCCCTAAAGCTCATTGGCGACGACGCGGTCACCACCAACCTTTCAATCCAATGTGGCCCGTATTTAGACGAACTCAATTGCCCCAACGGCCTTTAGCCACAGTCTGATCGGCACCATATCTTTCTTTTGTCAATCCATTCCGATGCTGTCAGCCGGGACGAATTCGCTATCGACCACTGGCGGATCCATCCTGAGTCCATTAAGTGATGAAAACATTGACTTGGACTGTGATGAGCAACTCTTTCACGGTGGGTGTAGCCAAAGCAAGCGCGGGAGGATCGAGGGCTTCGTCATCCTCCTCTTTATCGACCTCGTCATCTATAAATTCTGCATGGACGGGACGGTCTGCTCAGAATGACGCACACAAGGGGCTGCTAGTAGCAATGGCGTCGTATTCCTGTATAGTGCCCTAACATCCTCCCTTAACAGATTGATAGTACTTAAGGCGATCGAACCTAGATAGAGCTCAGATAGATGTCGGTCGTAACAAGACGTTCTTCTAATGATGTATATCTTGCATCTTCTCTTCGTAGGTTTCTATTGGGGCTGATGGGCGTAAAAATCATGCTATCGTCAAGACAATGTCCTTTTCACTCGATGGTGAACAACCCGTTCAATTCTGTTTGCACCAGCCCGTGGGCGAGCGTCGAGTTACTCCGGACTTCGAGGTCGAATGGCTAAGCTGGAGAAGAACATTTGACAAGAGACTCGTTGAAGCAAAGCACAGGATAAGAATCAACCAACCTGCAGGAGGCAAAGGCTGGGCGATGGAGTAGTACTGCTAGATGCCTGCTACTACTGTGAGCAACTCAAGCCGCTAGCTTGTCAACTGACCCTGCCGATGACCGATGACATCGTTGCCCCGTTCCACACGCTGCCCGAATCCTCCAACGTTCTTTTTCAACCAAAATAAAGTCATCTGCGATCTTCGTCTCCCACCAATATTTCGGCAACATGGATGTCATCCTCGCTGGAGGCAGCTCAAACCCCTACATGAATTTTGAGAACATGTCTACAAACTCTCCTTGAGCGCTCTCTCATCCTCGATGCACCCTAAGTCCCTGAAAGGCGTCCAGTATGTTTCCTGGAATTAATATTCGTATGTCAAGCCGCTCCAGTTTCTCCCTCTTCGGCCAGCTCCTCAACTAATATATATCCAGCATATCTCTATCTCTCCAAAGCCATCGGAGCATCCGTCGATGAGGTCAAATTGATCAGCATATTCCTCTTTTCGTATCCTCTGGCCGCGGCCCTGAAACGAATTCCCGATGTAAAGCCATGGCAGAAGAACTTGTTTATCACGGCGGTGTCGCTATTTTACCTCGTGGGGATCTTCGACCTGTGGGATGGAGTCCGGACGCTGCTCTATAGTTCGGTCGGAGCCTACGCAATAGCATACTACATTGATGGCTCCCTCATGCCCTGGATTGCGTTTGTCTTTCTCATGGGACATATGTCAATCAGTCATATTCAGCGGCAGATGCTCAATGACCCGTCGGTCATCGATATCACGGGGGGGCAGATGGTCTTGGTCATGAAATTGAGCGCCTTCTGCTGGAACGTTCACGATGGACGTCTCAAACCCGAACTCATGACCGACAGCCAGAAAGAGCGCGCCATTTACCAGATGCCCGACTTCATCGATTACGCCGGCTATGTGTTCTTCTTCCCCTCCGTCTTCACGGGGCCAGCGTTCGATTATGTCGATTATCGTCACTGGATCGAGACCACCATGTTCGACGTCCCTCCGGGTACCAAAACGCCTCCTCCGACGAGGGGTAAGCGCCGCATTCCACGTTCAGGCACTCCCGCAGCGTGGAAGGCCATCACGGGCCTTGCCTGGATCGGCCTCTACATCCAATTCTCCGGCTGGTATAACGTCGACGTGGTCCTCTCGGATCAATACATGAAATATTCCTTCCCCTATCGGGTGTGGCTCCTGTACATGCTCGGCTTCACTTCTCGACTGAAATATTACGGCGTTTGGACCTTGACTGAAGGCGCTTGTATCATGGCCGGAATAGGCTATAACGGAATTGACCCCGCCACGGGCAAAGCGAAATGGGACCGTGTCCAAAATGTGTATCCATGGGGCATTGAAAGCGCCCAAAATTCACACGCATACCTCGACGGCTGGAACAAGAACACCAACAAGTGGCTGCGCAACTACGTCTACCTGCGCGTGACACCGAAGGGCAAAAAGCCAGGGTTCCGCGCCACCCTGGCGACCTTTATCACATCCGCATTCTGGCACGGCTTCTATCCCGGATACTACCTGACCTTCCTCATGGGCGCACTCATTCAGACCGTGGCGAAGAATTTCCGCCGATACGTTCGACCATTTTTCCTCACGCCGGATGGGAGCAAGCCGACAAAATACAAAATTTACTACGACATCGCGGGTTACATAGCCACGCAACTAGCATTTTGCTTCACGACGGCGCCCTTCGTGATTCTCGGATTCAACGACTCCCTCACAGTTTGGGCGCGAGTCTACTTCTACGCAGTCATTGGCGTCGCGCTGTCCATGGCCTTCTTCGCCTCCCCGGCGAAGGCCTATCTGATCCACACGCTGGACAAACGTAACTACCCATATGTGCACAAAACCGTCGCTCAAGAAACAACTCGGCCACCCACACTTGGTCTGCCGGATGATCCGGAAAGGGAAATCGACGAAGCCATTGAGGAGATCCGGCAGGAAGTCGAGGTCCGAAGGCGCAGCGGCAGTAAAGTCACCATGCCCAGCGGGGAGGGTCTCAAGGCTGCAATTGAGGGGAAATTGGGTCGGAAATTGAATTTCCCTGAGTTTAACGTGGGCCCGAGTGCTGGTGCCGACGTTGTCGATGGCAAGACTGCGAAGGAGAATGGAGAGAGTCTCAATTCGACCTCGATTACCGTGGGTGAGAGTGACAAGAAATCGAAATGATTGATGTGGTGATAGTGATCAGAATACTGAACGTTGGGGTTGGAGAACGTATGATAATTATACCACGAGAAGCAAGGGATTATACCTACGTTACGATGATCATGGTGATCAGGATACATGGTATTGCATTACATCCTTTTCCGCTGTCCCCACTCAGGGGGTCTCAATATAGAAGACGAAAGTAATCCACAAGACCATGATTAACATATTCCGCGAGTCTATCGTGTTGATGTAAACAGTTTATGCGTCGAGTTAAAAATTCTCCGCGATTGTCGCTTTCGGTGGACTCTCAGCATTGGCACGGTTAGCTGGGTCGAGTTTACCAGAGTCGGACACTGACAGAGATCTATCTCTCGGGGTGATCTGATTACACTGCATGACTTGGACAATAAAAAGAAGTTCGAAACCCAATAGCTCGGTTGCGAAGAAGGGTGGTTTGGAGCCACCTCATAGTGCGAGGCGGAAAGAGGCAGGGTTCTGCTTTCAAATTGTTCATATTATCTGAAGGTTCTTTCGAGTCAAGTTCTTTTCTCGCAACATTAGTACGCTGGGCGAATGCTCCGAGGGAAGCTTGAAGCTTACGCTTTGGCGCTACCGTAACAAGCGGATATCTCCACAGCGGGTTCGGAAAGGTAAAATGGAAAGACCAAAAGCATAATATTATCTGATAAACTTTCCCTGGACGACACCTCTGGGTTTCTGACTGTGGCGCACTGGTTGTACGATGCGCTAACGTGAATTAGAAATTGGTTCCTCAGGTTTCGGGAGTCTGGCTGGATGAATACGCGAGGAGGACCAGATAATCAGCCGAGAGGAGCTGACAAACGGCGCAAGAGAAAGCAAAGAAAGCACAATGGGAAATCAAGAAGTGAGGCGGAGATCCTTGTCGGTGAGAGTGCGATTGAAGAAATATCAACGGGGGGGGCTGAAGGAGCCGTCCAGTCAGGAAACTCCAGGTGATTTGAAAATCTCGATTGCTAGTGCATCGTCGTCAACCTGGTCGAAAGGAAGAGGCATATAGTATTGGATTTCGGTTTCGAGTGATACCGGAAACCGGATGCGAGTTTTCCAGGCGAGTTCTCCGGGGCCTATTGGGCGCTAGAGAGAAAGAGTCCGACTTTGACTTGCCTAATTGCATCGGCCTTTTCTTTGGCTAGGCTTGTTCGGACATAGGTCCGTGGCTCGGTTCAGGCTCTCTGCATTGGAAAGTCATCTATACCAGTCACCCGTCCAAAGCCTTTTACAGAACACTTATGAGAAGTGGTGGAGGGAGGGAGAAAAAAAAAAAAAAGGCGGGAGCTGAAGGGAATACAGGTGGTCGACAAAGTGACACCCAGAAGAACTTGCTTCGAAACACGGCTTCAACGTGGATTGCAAGGTTATGGGATCCAACCACCGTCTCGGTATCCAATCAGTGACTGATATGGCTTAGCGAAAAGGACTCGGTGGTCACGATCTGGTCAGAAAAGGAAGAATTCTTGGACCAAGCATCAAGATTAGTTGGGTAGGTCGTCGGGTTGCAGTCCTCCGTGAATGTTCCCTGAGAGCGGAAGCGAGAGAAATCGGAGCATGTTACCAGGAAGCCCCTGCTGCAGGAGGAAGAGGAAGCCTCTTGCAAGCACATCTTGTTTGGCCAATGAGAGATACTCGGACTCGCGAAAGGATCAATCAATTCTCGTGATTAGTAGCAGTCTGCCTGCGAGAGTAGGTCAGTCTCGCGCGCCGATTCCATAATTCAAATCAGAATAGGCCACGCAGTACTTATTGACCATGATCATTTCGGGCAGGTTGTCGACGCTACCATTCTTGATTGGTCAGGGAGACCGAGTCGTCTGCATGAGTGTATATATACGCGGTCTTCCTGGGGTGACTTTAAGGGTCTTTGGCTGAACGTTCTTGGTGGAAACGGCTGGAAACCTTTTATTAGGATGTACTCGTGCGCGGCGACGCTATCGTACGGTATTTGATAGCTTGCAACTGAAGAGCTGGGCAGTTGTCGAAATTGAAAAGGGGCGATCGCAGGCGAGTATTTGACCGAAAGTCCAGCGACTTCGGGGGAACAGAATCTGCATGAGCCATGAAATCAGAATTGTCGAATTAGTGTTTGGCGAAAGAGATTATTGTTCATGTTCCTTGCCTCTGATTGGAATTTGTTGCTTGGGATTGAGATTATCTGCGTAGGAATCACCGCTCCCTCGTCAAAAGGTCCCAAAATTCGAGGCATGCAGGGACATGAGATGAGGCCCCAATGCACCGTCCCCTCTCAGGAAGGACAGCGACAGGAGCACGGGGGACGTAGCCTCGTGTTACAAAGCCGTTTTCCTTTTCGAGGGGCACTGGCATTCGCCCGCCTAGGAGGCCTCCAACACCGTCCCGGAGGCCTCGATACACATGGTTGTCGATCAACTTTTCCCTACAATATTCTGGGACCACCGCTGGTTTCACAGCTTTGACGCAGGGATCCAGTGCCGTTGCGTAACCGAAGAGGACGGACGTGTGGAATGAGACATTTTAAGGGATCGCTTCAGTTGAAGGTAGCTACATCTTCGGATGGATGCACGATTTTCATGATTTCACATTCCCAGCTGTCAACACTGCATGTTCAAATGCGGCATGACCTTGATGGGCCCTCAGATTTAATCGTGGCGAGGCATCAAATGGGATAATGCATCGTACATGCATGTTCAGCTGGACAGGTAAATGATATTTGCAGTGTATGAGACCTCCGGAGCTGCCCGCCTTGGAGAGCGAGCAGATCAAATCCAGATTTGGTCTAGGTAGCAGCTGACTGCCAGCACGGTGCCTCCATCTGAGGGCGATAGGACGGTGTGCGCTGCGAATCAAATCATCATCCTCGCTTAGGAATGATGCCCCCATCTCTCAGTTCGATCTACAGGAGCTCGAGTGGCATTTCCAAGTGGCAACAAGGCCTCGACTGTGTGCGTTAGCGTGATAGATGCAATGAAAGAGCCATGGATCTACGGTGACTGGTTGCGCTGTGTCGGATCGAGATGTGGATGGATTGACGTAAAATCCAGGGCGGTTTGGATTACAGAAGCCGAGAAGCGCCCCTGGGAGCTGAGAAACGTTGGATATTGGGTTGCTTCAAGTTTGTGGCGTTTTTTGGCCTTCTATGACCGAGATGTCATTGCTAGGACACGTGTAACACGTGACATCAGGATACTGTCACGTGAATACCTATGTCCTTCAAGGGCTGACACCAAACATCCCTGGTAAATGTGTACTAGCACTCGTCGGATATCAGGGGAACGTGACTGTCCAGTTGATCCAGCCACATACCATTTGTTGCATTCTATCGAAAACGCCACGCTTTCTGCGGTGATTGTCGTGTTCGACGTCTGTTAGTAGAGGAACTGCCTTGGAACGGATCAAGCAAAGCTCCTTTGGTCGGAAAGCGCAGGAGTTGGCGTTTGGAACTAATTCATAGCCAAAGAGACCTCCGTACAAAGAACACTCCCCCCAAAAAGCACAATGCCTCCATCATCAATACCGTTCAATTTTTCCTGTTTGCTCCATTTCGGCCGTGCCTGTCATTAAACCGCCCGGTCTCCCCTTTTTTCCAGAACCCCAACGGACCATTTTCCTTTTGAAAAAAATTATGCGCAATGTCATATCAGCCTCCTCCTCAAAGACCCGCGCGCTTCCGAGAGTTCGGCACCCTAATCCTCCCACATTTCGACGGCAATCGTAGCTCTCGCAGGAATAATTCTCAATGGGACATGGTGGAATCAGAGATGGATCGATACTCCAGCAGACAAGATATGATCGTAAGAAGTGGTGCTCACTTGTCAAGTTCAGTAGTTCGGACATGCATCATTTGTCTTCGGAGACTCTTCAGGAGAACTCGGAACAGTTGGTCGAGCTCAAAAAAGTGATCCAGAAATGTACTTGACCAGATCAACGAGAAAAAAGCCCCGGTTCGCTCGTCGTGACAAGCGCGCAACAATATCAGAAACAAATCTGCAGCAGCTGAAACCACTGTCCTCTGCCAAAAAGCCTTCCGACAATAGTAGTCGGCATCCGCTCAAATTGGTTTCCCCCTTTCAATATACGGTGTCATAGCGATCTTATTGTTGAGTAGGATTTTGCCCGGCCCACTGACCCATTTGAGGCTGCTGAGGATATGGCGGCGGAGCAATAGGTTGCCCCGCTCCATCCTGATAATACGGTTGTCTCGGGCTTTGATATAGCTGAGATTGCGGTTTCCCTGAATCCCGGCGATCGTCATACTTCATCTCATGGGGAGAAGGCTGGCTCTGACGGGTGTGATCCATCTGCGCGGGACTCGTATTGACCGGGTACGGGCTCGGTCGGTATGGCACAGGATTTCGGGGATCCGCTGACACAGGGCTCAAGTTGTTGATCGGTCGTTGCATATTTATCGGAGGATACATGCTTGGCTGAGATTGGCCTCGATCGGATATCATTGAAGGCATGGTCGTTGGAGTCGCCGGAATGGACTTTGATGACGAGGGAATGGAGTTATTCAACGAATCATAAGTTCGATTATATGCCGACTGGTCGTACTGGCCGTAGTCGTTCCTTTGCTGCTGCAAATGAGGCGTGGTCACGGGTGACTGCAGGTAAGGTGTCGGCATGGAGGGTACTCCCATCCCATAAGGAGGAGCACCGGCCTGCTGCGGCATCGGGGGGAAGTTCTGGGGTAAGTAGTACTGCTGCTTGTTGTAATCTTGAATGTAGCCTGCTGGATTGACGCGATAATTATACGGAGCGGGAGCATTATCCAGCTCGTCAACATCCTCGATTGGGGACCGAAAGCTTTGCTTGGTGGTCAGTTCTGCACGCGGCCGAATGTACTGCAGGTTTTCCGTCTGGCTTGGAGTTCGCAGTTGGTTCGACAGGACATCGTTCACATGATAGTAAGACACCAGGTGATGGGTGACGCCTTGCACGGTTACGCTCATTGTCTTTTTGACCAGCCCGTCTTGTTTGAAGCCATACGAGTCCACCAAAGAACCGATGAGTTGTCTTTCCTGTTCCGCCGTGGTGGTACGTTCGGGGCCATATGATCCAGATTGTCCGTCTGAGAAAGACCCGGCGTCAGATCTCGCATACGACTCTCCGGGTCGGCTCGGCCGCCTTTGCTGCTTCTTCATTGCCCGCTTCTTCTCCCCCGGTGGAAATGGCTTGTCGAGCTCACGGTAGACTAGGAAGTTTCCGAGGATGCGACTGGGACTCCAGGTAACGCCATCGGTCCATCTCTTGATTCCGGACGCGTTTTCCTCGTAGATGAAGATTGAACCGCTTCTGATGAGGGTGCTTCGTTCTCGATCATGCGGTCTCCGGGGGACATGTGAAAGATGGCCTTGCAAGCAGGCCTCGAACAAGATGAGGGCATCTTGCGTCGTCGCCACATGGCCTTGGAAGGTGGGCTGGAGCGCCGCTCCGCCAGAAGACATGATGGAAGGTTTTTGTCGTGTATTGGATTTCTCGCAGGATCGAGTCAGCCCTACCGTCCTAGGAGTCTGGAGACGGAGAGTTTGCGATTGCCTCAGACTTTAATCTTAAGCGAAACTCAGTCCGAAAGACCGGGAGGCATACGTCCGTAGAGATTCCGAGGAACGAGACCCTGGAAACCCAGTGCTGAGCTGAAAGTAATTGAAAGTCAACAGGGAGTGAGAGGTCGATATACGAGCTGTGCTGTGCCGGTTGAAGCTCTGGCGCTCCCGTACAAGGCTCCCACCTGATCTCGAACCGGGTTCGGTTGAAAGAAAAAAGGTGGGATCTTCGATTTCGACGTGTCGCGAGACGGCCAGGGCCCCCAAATGGGGTCGAATACTAAAGATAAAAATGGCCTTGATGGTGACGTGAATGCAAATGGGCGAGCACGAGTTAGGAGAGAAGCCAGTGCTCGTGAAGTCCGAACACGCTTTTGCCCACCCCCAAGCGTGCTGTTTACCACAAGCGTGATGATGGCCGGATGGTTTCTAGGCCACTGTGTGATCCGCCCCAATTTGACTTTGAAATATGCTTTGGATGAGCTGCAGGATCGACCAGGAGTGAGGCTGGACAGAGTTTCAACCACAACGGTAATGATTGATGGAGATATCGGGGGTGCTGCTGGATGGGATGGCTGCCACTGAGGGGATCTGGAGGATTGTGGACTTGGGTACCAATAATGACAGATGAAAGATCCGCCACCTCGAGCAAACGCCAAGTCAGATGCCTCCAAAGTCAATAAAAAAGCAGCGACCAGGCAGAATCTGGAAAGCTAGCTGGTATAGACTTTGGACGTGGAGCAGTGTTTGGCTGGGAGGTTGAGGCCCTCAGAGGAAAGTTTCCCGGTGTGATCCAGAGAATACACCGCGACAGTGCGCAACGGGATACAAGTATGTTTTCCAGGCAAAGCGAAAAATGTTCGGTAATGGCGCTAGCAGAGTGTGAAAGGGTCGGGTGATGTAGACTTTGCCGTACGGACGACAGGGACGCCGAGTAGTACCAGCCCCCGTTTGTGAGGTTCGCAGCAGTGACTAGTGACTGTAAGGGGGGCCTCCGAAGCTGTCGTCGTAGTAAGAAAGGAGCTGTGAAGCTGTAGCTAGCTAGCCGGGCTTCTGATGGGTATGGGTGCCCAACATCGGGAGCTTGGAGCAACGGCCTCGTTGCAATGGCGAAATGGAGTTCCTTGGAAATGAGCGAACCTACGAATCATAAGCCCACCCGCACAGGGCTTCTGGCGAAGAGGTCCTGCAAGCGGAGTCTCATTAACTTTGGCCTGCTGGGAGACAGGGGAGAGCGATTGAGTTTCCCGGAGCTCGGGGAGGAGTGCTAATAGTTGCAGGATGGGCGGAGGAGCCTGGCGGTCGCCAGCGTATAATGTTCTGCAGATGACGAACAGGAACCCAGGTAAGCTCCCAACGTATATACGCACCAAGGATTAAACGTTGCTTGAGATGTGCGCTCAGCCGAGGAATTCGCCAGCATTTGTAGGTCAGGAGAGTAAATGAACCTGGTGTTCACGCGTGGAAAGAGCAGATCTCTTGCCTCTACGATCTGGTGGATTGCCGTGCATCCTCAACAGGAAGAGGAGACACAGACCATCCCAGGGCGATGAGGGCCTGAGCCGCCGAGCAGACTAGGAGCCTGCTGAACCAGTCGACCGAGAAAATAAGCGGGTATTCGGTCACAGGCTACCAAATGCTGGAACAAGTGTGCGGCGCCGGGCCACATCCGATGGGCTGATTTGGGTTTGCGTATCCGACGCGAGTAAGAAGCACGATTTGGCGTTGCCGAAGTCCACCATCTCACGCCTAGCAAGTGGGATGGCCAGTGGATAGTGCGACGACGACACTGCCAGAAGTTAGAGAAAATGTGCGCGAGATGTCCATCCCTCTTTGGCTGATCATGTCTACTGCGTGTCGAGTATGATATTTCCCCCGGATTGCGTGCTCTTGTAACGCGCTGCGGGGGGATGGACCAACAAGTTCAGGAAATCTTGGAATCGGCTTCATGATTCTCGATGATCCCGTTCGAACAATCGAAGCGAGGCTAACAGAAGCCCTCTACAGAGGTTCTACTTTGGGTGACTGGCAGGGAAGCCCGGTAACGTCTTTTCGATGGCCAGTTGAGTTCGCCGGTAATGGGACAGGTCACACCAATCCTCGTTGTCCTGGTTGGCGCTTGATGGGACTTTGCTTGGATTGGGCGCGGTGCCAGTGACAGACAGAAAAATGACGGCTTTTTCCAAAATGCCATATTTAGAGACTTGTAGGTTAGAACGACCTGATGGGGCCCCCTTTGGCCCGCACCTCATCAGCTGGTTTTGCATAGTCACACAAAGAACCCCCTTCAGCCACGCAGGGGTACACGCTACACCATGAGTCCACCCTGCCGCTTGGACCTTGCCATTCAAGCATCAGAGGAAAATTCTCCGCGCACTGCATCTCCAGGTTTTGGCGGGTCAAGCAAAGCCGCGTAAGGCAGCATTCAGCTTTCCTGTATCTCCCTTCAACTACCTGTCACCTGTCAGTGCCCTATATCCGAAATTATCCCACGGCTGGCAAGTGGACCCCTCATGATGAGCCCTGAAATGAAGCCTCCATAAGTCCAGGCCCGTTGTGTCCGGCAGTTGCCCATCTCTGTGGCTCATGGATGCCCACCGCGAATCCTTGCTGGCCCGTATCTGGGTGGCGCGCCACTCCGTCCCATCAGGTTGGTCCAGACTGTTCCATACCACGTTCCCCGGTCCTCGTTTCTGATGTTGAGCCAACCAATTCCCCTGTCCTGATTCGTAGAACTAGAAATGGGTCACCGAGAGATATGGGCGTTTTTTACCCGCCGCGGTCCATCATTGAAAAGGAAAGAGAGGATCGATGAGTAATGGAAGGCGATGGCAGCCTTGGACCATAGTGGATAAATCATGGGGCATGATGAACTACTCCGTACAAGAATCCGGCGGTGCGCGACTTCGGCGGGTATTAGGTCGTGAAGCAGTCCGACCTCAGAAAGAGAATCACCGTCACGGAAGATGAACTGCGCTATTGCTGTGGATCTCGAGGTTACAGCATGGGAGATCTGCCTGCTACCTAGCATTCATCTCCATATGGTATGTCTCATGGACAAGCTCAATGTCGACTTCCACAGCATACCCAAAAATATTGAATGCGCGGCTCAGCTGTGAGGTCTGAATAAGTTGCCCCTCGGATCGAGGCCAGGAGAGTTGCGCTGTGCGACGTACTCGACTCGGGACATGTTTCATGCATTTTACAGACGTGCATCGAGGGACTCGGAGCCGCCGTCCACGTCCGGTCAAGATGAAGTGACCCGAGGTAATGGTACGGGTGCAAGCCATTGTGAGAGTGGTATGAGTGGGTTCTGACGGTGGGCAGCAGAGGCCAGAGGACAGTGGCCGATACAATGTGATCAGTGGACAGTCTCCACCAGTCTGGAGATGGAGAGCAATAATATAATGTTTATTGCCAAAGAGGTGACGAGGCGAAGGGCGATGAGGCCGCCAGGTGATGGACTGAATAGGGCAAACCACCTGCCTACGATGGGCTAATACGGGCGAGGTTCCAACGAGGTTTCTCGCCATCCCCAGGCTGGTCGCTAGCCGTCTTTGGGCCAGACTGCCTCCTGTCTGCGCGCCTGCAACACGACTACAACACCCACTCCTCATCTCTCGCTCAGTATTCCCCTGGGTATTCTCCCCCTTCCAGACTCTTCCACATCATTCATCCATTTACCGACCAACATCTAGTTTCCAGCTACATTCATTTAACAAATCTATTACCGACCCGACCTCAATCGCCGAAGCACGGAACCTCCTTTGCCCTGATTCTGTCATAAGCCATCCACCTCTATTCAGATGAGTGGTCAGGTCGCAGAATTCCTTGCCTCGGGTTGATCAGCCCAGGGCCCCCCGGCCCCCCTCAAAAAAGAAAAAAGGGAAAAAAAAGGAAAAAGAAAAAGGACTCTGCCATCAATGGTAACCCTCCGGCCTCCGCAACGGTAATGCCTTCATACGTACCAGACCTCTAGTTCAGGTTTATTTTAGCGGCCGGTTTGACATCGTTGACGGCGCAATCTGTGACGCATCCTTTCTCCTCTGTGGCAATATCGTTTCTTGATGGAAAACCAATAGACCTTTGAAAGGGCAAGGATTCCCCGGCTGGCAGGACCGGGGACATGTGAGTCCTTGAGGCCAAGAAACTGAGACCCATACCATGAATCCGACTAGTCCTTCTGAGCACGAACATATCTCAAGTTACTGTGGCTGAGTCGAGATCGTCTTTCTCATCCCTGACCAACACATACCCGGGGTGGTATTTCCAGCGATCAGCCGAGATGCTGTGTGGATTACACCATTTGACCGATAACGACAATACCTCCACAGAAGGCTGGGGAGACTCAGGAAGGTCGACCCGCCAAGAGCTGCATTCTCAGTCAGCCTATCCACTCGCCGTGACTGTACCCACTGCCCAGGACAGTATGGCTCGATTCCACAATACGCGAAAGTCAAAGTATATTGGCTCTTTTTCCGAAACCTTCCTCGGGCAACCATTCACTCGTACCGAGAGGGCGAACCCAACGAGTCATATCCGGGCACTCTGAGAAGAGATTATCGTCGCTGTCCCGGTTCATGAGGTCCGTGACATTTATGAACGCAGGGCGATAATCACGACGTCTGGAACGCGGAAGGGATCGGGATTTCGCCATCAAATCGAAGAGTCATTCTAGGCGTAAATCATCGACAATACGACCTTGTTCGATTGATCGACATGTGGGCATTTGGGCGGCCCCATACGTAGTCGGCCTTTTGATGCATGCCATTTGGGGGACAAGGTTGTTCCCATTTATTTGAATACCTACAACGAGAGAAGCCTGTCATATTCAACCGCAAGCCGGTTATACCGTCACCCGGTCCTTCGCTGCTACACTACTTCGCCAAACTTTCATTCTCCCTCGCTTCTTTTCTGTTCAGTGTCGATCATCGTCTTCCTTCGGCACATGGATCCTCCAGTGACGACATCGATATTTTCCCTCTGGATCGTACGCCAATTTGACTGGCAAAGGAATTGCCACGGCGGGCCAGTATCACGGTCTTGCCATCCAGTTTCAGGTGAATGTGGTCCACGGTTTCTTACCTTCGAAGGTCTCTGCGGGATACTTCATCGGGACCGGCACCAGGTGATCAAACATGGCAAGATTTCCGGCATCGGTGCCGTTGGGCGCCCTGATGTTGGGACTGCGAGAGTCTACTGGAATGATCACTCCACATTCCCAATTGCGACAATTCAGCCGCGGCTCTTTGGTCGATCTGTCTTGAACGAGTCGACCCCTGTGAAGCCACATGTCAGTTGAAGTGCCTCGCTGCTGTGTTGGAAGAGAGGGGTTTACCAAGCACTCTCGGACATGTTCGCACTACCCACATACGCCCATCCAATCCTTACTGACTGACAGGACTCGACCGACCATGCAAATCTAGCAAACATGATCTACTTGGAAAGTTAGTCGATATCGTGACACCTTAACGATATTTGGGCAATCAGAATGCGCCAGACCTTGTTGTGCATGAGCAAACCCTCGCGAACGCTAACGCAATCTCGCATGCATGAGGTCGGAAACTTCCCACTCTGCCACCATCTGGCCGAGGAGCAGATGGTCCCCGCATTCTGAATCCCCCCCTTCGATTCCCTGACGGTCTTGTCGCTGGGAAAGTAGATCCGGAACTTATTTCTCCAGTCCTCCCATGTTCGGCGAACCTGTCTAGTTTGCGCTTCTTTTTGGGCCGTGCGTGTCGAGTACTCGGTCAGGCTGTCGTCTCCCTGCGCAGCGAGATACATGGAGGTCATGAATTCGTCGTTCAGGTTCCCGGTAGAGGATGTCACATAATCCAGCTGAATAGATCCGCCAGCCGCAAGTCCCAGTTCAGAAATGGTTCGACCCAGGCCGCCGAGCCCGGTTTCCTTCCAGGCCTCCCCGACATGCATTCCCCCGATGGTGTGCACAAAGCCTATCCGGGCCGTCCTGCTGAAGTCGAAATGACCTAGATTTCTGATCACGTCGTCCGGGACGGTCTGGGCCTTGAGGAACGCCCTCAAAGACTTCTGAAATTGCGTTTCGGCGCCTTTCGAGCGGTCACTGAGGCTGGCGGACGTTGTGCCCGACTTTGCAGGCAGGTCAATCAACCAGACCGTATTCTCCATGAAGCCGCCAACGCCCCAGTCGAAGCCAACAAGATTGGCAGTAGGGACGACAATACGACATCTTTCTCCTTGCCAGGTGGCGCTGCTGCTCTTGCCGGAGTCTTCCTCTTTGAAAAATAATAACATTAACTTGCTGTGCATGCAGTTGACATTCGCGTCCATGGACGGGAAACACAGCCTGACATTCGGTATGCCTTTGAAATCATTCGTCACGGCGTGTCGGTCGAGGTGGGTCTTTGCGTGTACCACGAGCTGGAACTTGGTGCGCCGCGTCTCGAAATGCGGGAGAAGCCAGTCGAAGTCCCAGATGAAGGAGGACAACAGACAAGATGCCAGCGATGAGGCCGGGGAGATGAGGGTAGTGAAGTCAATGGTGTTCGTGGTAGGATATCCAGCGACATAGGTTTTGAAAACCATGCCGTCGGGATACTTATTGGGTGCGATAATTTTCGTGGTGGATGTTTCCATCGCTCGGTCCTTGAGCCCAACACCTTTGCTTTGAGTCGTACCACCAATCTTCTCAGACGACCCGTTGGCATCGGATCCTCCTGCCGACGTCGAGATATGACGAGCCAGCGAGACCATCGGCTTTTTCGCTTGCCGAACCATCGATGGCAGTACCGTCACCTCGGTCAATGTTTCGGCCTGCCGCACACGTGCTACTTTGCCGCGTTGCTCATCCTCGTCATCGCGCTTCCGCTTCAACTGCGCCAGACGATCAAGACGATCCGCTTCCATTTGTTTGCGATTCAGGCTCGCGAGACTAAATGTGGACGGCACGTTCAATGTACTGGCATCCACTGATCCCGGGTTCGGCACCAACTTAGAGTCGGCGGATGAGGACAAGGCCGGAAGTTGCTTGGGATTCGAAGATGCTTGCGGAGAAGGAGACATGGTTTTGGCGTCATCGTTGTCCCCCAAATTCGAGGATTGAGGCATTTCTCTCTGAATCAATTCTTTCTCTTTCACCTTTGCAGTTTCTGTGCATTTTCCCCCGTTGACCTCGTCGTCTTTTTCTCCGTCTTGACTGCTTTCTTTACCTTTCCCTGAGCCTGAGCCACCATTGATGTCATTCGTCGTCCGTTGATCCTGAAGAGACAGTGCAATTGCTCTCCTCAAAGCCTCGTCTCCGCTCCAATCACCGCTATAATCGTCAAGGTCGTACTTGAACCCCGACTCCGAGTTGGATATTTCATCGTCTGAGTCCAAATATGACAAGTCGACGGTGGTGATTTCTTGTTCGCGCTCTTTACCTTTGCCTTTGCCTTTGCCCCGGTCAACGGACTTGATTCCTCGTGTGGGTGTGACTTGGGCTTGTGAGGCCTTCTGGAAGGGCGTTGAGGTCGATACGTCATGTACGTCGTCCTCTCCGCTCTGACTGCCGCATTCTGTACGGCTGCCGCAACTTCTGGTGTCGTCAAAGTCCATTTTGGCAGTCTGGCTTATGACGGTACCTCCGGTGACACGGGTATTGGCGCTGGCCTTCGCAGTCGCATTCACACGCGTTGGGTGGGGTGACTGGGAGGGAATATTGATCTCGTCCTCGTTGTCGGAGGTCAAGTCGACGATTTCTGGAAGAGCTTGCTTGGATGGCATGGTTCTTGTGAAAATGACAATAGAAGACGCCGTGGGCGTGATCTGAGACCCTCTTGGACAGGTTGGTGAGACGCTTTTAAATGCCGCTTATCGTACAAAGGGACACGCAGGATCGGATCGTGACGCGATGCGGTTTGAGAAGGCGAAGGAAGTCCCTAGTGCGAAAGGAAGCAAAGAGAGGAGAATGAGAGAGATTTTGAGAATCACAGCACGTGGCCTTGTGTTGAAACAAAGCCGGGATGAGAAGTTCAGCAGCTGTACTTTGGTTGGACACTTCCGTCAGACCAGCTCGTTCTGATGGGTTTCCTTGCTTCTCAAGATGGTCATGGACAAAGGTTGTGTTCATGAATTTCGGCCGCAAACCCACACAAGGTAGTTTCTTTTCCCTTGCATCGACGCCCTTCAGGAGTGTCACGGGCGGCTTCGATATATTGGGAAAGAGTCGAAGACGTCGTGAGCCGAATAAACTAGCGATCTTGGGACCGATTCTACAAAACGTGATCTTTAGGTCCAATCCTTCTCGACCGCAGAGGATTCAATGGCTAGAGGGAGAAGGCTAGGATGGCGTTCATGAGGGAAAATATATATGTCAGAATGGCGCCGTGGACGCCCTGATGTCCAAGATAAGTGGAATACAAACCGCTCAGGTCCGTATCCAATGTTGACAGGTCTATCCAAGAAATGCTTTTGTGGAATATTGGGTGAGGAGCCCCAATAAGGCCGCTGGTCGCCGTTGCCTGAGATGACTGCCACGTCGCCTCTACGTGATCATTGCTCTTCCGCTCGACTTGAAGTCCAGGAATTATCTGGCCCCAGCACCGACTATCTCGGGAGAGGATGAAAAAGAAGAGTCCATGAAGCTTGGGGAGACGTAGGAAAGAAGAGGTGAGGTGAGAGTTGAGGGATGCCTATGCGGGAAAATATAACGAGATCACGTGGTTACACATTTCGACGCGTCATCTTTACGAGAAGACCAAAAGCCTCATTTCGTGGGTCGGCTAAGGATGGGTATATGGTATCTGTGATTTCAGTTGAGGGGACTCGAGGTTCAAAGACAACATGTCCGAAGCATGTTCTACGAGTTGATCTTGCTGGGAAAAAGTATGCCATCTGACGATAGTACATCCAGGCATGGACGGTAAGGAGCTGAACGCGCACAAGTACGAAGCATTTCGCATCTGTGCGATCCATGCAAGTCCCGCCGAGTGATCCGGCAGCCGCCCATGACTGCTGGTGCGGATTTCACTGACGTTTCTGCCAGAAACATGGGACCATATCCTAACAGCTCTAGCGTCGACTGGTCCCCCCAAATCCTATGCTTTCGTGTCTCGCACTGGAATAGCTCGAACTTGAGCTGGCACTGGTTGACGGGGACGGCGCACCCCTCGTAGCCCCCCTTCCTCCAAACCATCCCCCCGTGGCAGGTCGTGTTTGTGGCGGCTCTGGCTGCGTGCGTGCACCTCTCCCTGCGAGGTAACCCGCTGCCGCTCCTGCCGCTGTACCAGTCCAAAATCCGGGGCGCCAACCTTGGTTCTCATTTCTTGGTGCCGAGAAGGTATACCCCGACCTCGAACTTGACGACCAGGTGGCTTTCTTCGGTCGTGGTGGAGGACGTGGATCATACGGGGGCGGAGGATCGTCGTCATCACCGCCTCCTCCAAACCCGCCGAATCCGCCTCCTGGTGGTCTGGGAGTCCTCCGGGCGGCATCGTTGCGCCATGCTTTGTAGAATCCGTAAACGATGGTGAACAGGACAATCACGAAGACAGCCATAAACAAGAACCCAGCAATTGCCTCTCCTGCATTCCCATTGCTAGTGACGTCCCAATTGAAGGTTCTAGGAGAGCCATACTTCTCTTCGCCTTTCTCTGTCAGCAGTAATCTGTATTCGACGCCGCAACTGCCTGATAGGACATATGGGTCTTCGCTGCTCTCGTACCCTTCACAAGTCACGTCGGTGCTTCCTAGCTTGAATTCTTCTGGCAACGACGCTTTGCAGCTCCACTGGATATTGTTCTCATCGTAATCAGCCCCCTCGTTTGTGCAGCGCATGGCATCGACGGAGTAGAGCTTGCATATTCTCGACGGTCCAACACACCGTAGCTGAGGGACCGGAGCAACCCGGCGAGACGTGGTCTGCTTGCCAGCTCTCACTGTGATCGCAGAGACTTTGGAGAGGAGGACGGCATTCCTGGGTACGCGTTTGGGGTTCGTGACTCGGGCGGAGAAAGCAGTGCCTGCAAAAAGAAGGGTTACGAGTATGAGCAGCTTTGTTTTGATTGAATCGGTGGTCATGACGAAAATCGTGCTCAGGCTTCACGTTCTAGCCTTGGACAAACCTGAAAAGATACACGCCGGTCAAACACCAGAAGGCAGTGAGGTTCATTTCTAGCAGGGCTCGTCTAGTATCACGGCCAATGAATGCACGAGACAATGGCAAAGAGACACTGTGGCCATATCACAGGAACCAGCAGTGGGCGGAAAGTCTTGTTGCCTGTTGCTTCCCCACAACTTTCACTGGTTGACCTTCGCCGCTCCTCGTCACCCCTCACAACACTTGAGTTTCTCGCATGTTGGTGCCCCATTAGTAAACACGAGGATACTATGCAGAGCCTTCTCGGGCCATAACGTGCTCTCGCCAGTACCAAACAGCCGCCACCGCCGCCGCCGGACCAACACAAACAGAACCTAAAAGGAGGGCCGCGACGGCTGCACTCAAGGAAACTTCTGTTTTGGCTATTCTTTTGAGATCCCAGATGGCAAGAAAAGCCCAGACCAGAGAGGAAGCGAAGATGATCCAGAAATCAGCTTGAAAGATGGCGCGAAGACCCTCGGTCAACGAAGGCTCCCTGATTCCTGACCGGGAAAAGAAAATATGGTTGAAGGAATGCTGCGGATCTCCGGAGAGCAGGCAGACGAGGAGGGTCCCTATGTGCGAAAGTGCTGAGACTACAAAAGCAACAGTGTAGATGGTGTCGAGATAGGCTATATCGAGTAGAGACGCTTGCTTTTGCGGGGTCTGCGAATCCATACTTGAATAGACTATCGACAACACCCATCCAAGGGCATCAACGAACCATGGACACGGCTGCCAAAGAGCGACCATGGCCTGCGTGGTCCAGTGATCGGTGTCTGAGTAGGGTAGAAACATCAGGATAGTCGGCACCAAGTAACCGAAGATCAGCGCGGGGAGCAGTGCTTTCGCATACGGCAGCGGTACTTGTCTCGACTCCGCTGACCAATACTGACTTCCACTGCTGTCTCGGAGGTACGCAAGATAATAGAGAGGTACAATAATAGCTCCGCCAACAGTTTGATAGAAGATTGCCCAAATGCTGGTGCTGTTCAACAGTATCAGTCAAAACTTGATCAAGGCCGTTGACGAAGGCCAGACGCACAAGCTAATCAATGCAAGGCTGTTGCGTCTCCTGCACGATTCCACTGTCCAGATGGCAATAACAGGGAAGAACGAAATCAGGAAATAAACCTGGAGGACATAAAAGCCTCGGTCCCATCCAGCGGCGCCGTGTAAGAAAGCTGCCACGAGGAATGAAAGACCTTTGTCCAGGGGGGGAATTCTCGTGTAGGTCGTTCGAAGAGGGATCCCTTGTTCCGGGAATCTGGCTGTCTTTGCGATATACTCCATTTTTTCCGACACTCCGGAGGTTATGGGCATAACACGGAGCAGGTAAGTAGCAAGCAAGGAGAGAAGGAGAAAGATTCCTGCTATTAACCAGCCAACCCCACCTCGGGAAGGAATATTCTTTGTTTTCGTCATCTTGGATGGACTGCCTGTCTTGACCATTGCACCGAGATATCTGATGCGGATTCAAACAGAGTGATCAGACCCAGCATCGGCGAAGATATAGAGCAGTATATAAAGCGGGGGGAGTTGGTTAACGTCAACCACGTGACATAATACATGGACGGGGGGGGCCTGATTCCGATATTTGCCCATTCATCAGATGTGCAGAGCTTAATTATCCTATGACAGGACGCCTCCAAGGTGAGTACTTGTCAAGCCCAGGATTGAGAACCAGTTCGAAGAGTCGTGAGCGCGAGCGAAGCAACACTGAATGACGCAAACTGACAGAAGGAGGGGAAAAGCCGGATTTAATGAACACAGTGAGAACATCAGTGATGATGACCACACATTTATCCAACAAGAGCGACCTGACGTCGGCGGACTGGAAATCCCGATGGGGTCAATTTGTATGAAGCACCTGTGTTTTGGGGGGAGGCTGAGATACCGAGGGCCACGACTGCAGGGATAAGAACGACTGACTTCAAAACAGGAGTATCGACGAAACCTTCACGGCAATGAGAAAATCGATAGGACGTTGAGGCGAAATTTGAATACGCTTTAATTGCGAGAGATGCTCCTCATCCTGCAAGGATCCCGAAACCTGTAGGTCGAGAAGGATTTGCCTGTCAGCCTTGCATGAGACTTTGATAAGCAAACGAAATACCAGCCGGAGTCTCCCAGAACTGATCTTCACCAAGTCCCCCCAAGTCAGCTCGGTGCATCACCCCATCTAGAAAGGACATACAGTACCTCCGTACAGCTGTCTGACATAAGAACCTAAACACGAATCTTGCAGCTTGTCAACTGCCGAGTTTGCCGGTTTCCTACACCTCTCTCAGAGCGTCCCTGGAGAGGAATTATTCATTTGCCTCGGTAATTAACGGCCGCTCCTACCCCGTCTTTCGTCGTTGATTCGTAACTGAGAGGCTGAGGGCGGCTCGCAGATATGCGCTGCCTGATGGATACACTGTCCAACAATCAGTGGATGTACATTGATTGTTGTTGAGTGCTCTGGAATTGACAAGAACAGGTGTCCATGGAGTAGATTTGCTCGCTGGACCCTCTATATCCTTAACAGGAATGATATCCCCTTTTCCAATAACGGGGCACTGGCCACTGGTCAATATATATGCAGTCGGCATCGCCTGTAAGTTGATTCCGTCATTCTGTACAAATTTATCAATGAAGACGGATTGTGATCCCAGCCCGGAGAAACTTCGACACAATGATTTATGGTGATCATCTGCACAATGGATCCAAAGGCGACTTGACTGCTCCAAGAAGAGATTCGAATACAAAGGTCTGGGACATCCAAATCAACGGGTCGAGTGCTTGTATCACCCAGCCCCAATTGGCCACTTGAAGTCTATAGGAGCACATTGTTTTGGAGGGAATGTTTTGTCCGTTGTGGGCAGCGTAGAATAGTCCCACCCTTCCATACGTCAGGTGCGGGTGTCTCTCCGGGAGAAGGTATTTCACTTGCTATGGAAGGTGACGGTTCGTATGGAGTGCTCCCTTTTCTTCCGCCTTTGACGCCTTTGCTTGTGATCTGATATTAGAGGAAAGGATTCGCCTGTCGCATCCGGTGAGTTGAAATGTTGCTTCATAAGAGGAATAGAACTGATGCTGTTGATATGGCAGCAATCAACACGTTCCTGTCTCCCCAGGAACTACTTAAAGCTATGGGTTTCACCAACTTTCGAGTGATCATATCAGGTGGTGGAATTGCGGGGCTCACTCTAGCCGGTGCTCTCGAAAAAGCAAAGGTGGACTATGTGCTGCTGGAGGGCCGAGACGAGATTGCCCCTGTCGTTGGTGCTGGAATCGCTCTCATGGCAACTGGTTCGAGAATTCTGGATCAATTGAAGTGCTTTGAACCGATTATGGAAATGACACAGCCCATTGATTCCATCTGTGCTTGGAAGGATGGTAAGTTATTTGGAGTGAAGGACTTCCCAGCCCTCGGTGCAAAACGGTACGTTGACGACTCTCCCGTCAGCATTGCCGTTTCCGCTCTTCTAACAGGCCGATTAGGACTGGTTACCCTGTGATCATTACAGACCGACATTTCCTTCTGCAGACACTCTACAACAGTATAGAGGACAAGAGCCGAATTCTGCCAAACAAAAGAGTGTCAAGAGTGGACCATTGTGCTGACAGGGTAGTTGTTCAATGCCAAGATGAATCAACGTATACCGGCGATGTCGTGGTCGGTGCCGATGGAGTTCACAGCACCATTAGAGATGAAACGCGGCGTCATATGGACATTTCGCAGTGGACTCCCAACACCGGACTCGGAGGTGGCCATGCCATCGAAACCGCCGCAACCACAGCCAATGTCCTCCAACGGCTTGCATACTCAAAAACACCACCTACTCAGAAAGAGGTCGAAGAGGCACTTCAAAAAGTCCCTGAAAAACAAAAACCACGAACCAAAGAGGTTTTCACCCCTTCGAATCGTGCCACAAGATTCGAAGCACTGAAAGGCAATATCGAGTATTTCATGGTGCTCAATATTCTCCCTCTTCTCGGAGACTTGTTCGTCAACAAAGTTGCGTCGATAACGGTGGGTTCGGACAAGATTGAATTCCTCCCGGATCCGCCGACGTGCTTCACAGGAACGATGGCGTTCAATCCAAATTACGGACCGGGGACCAAGTCTCATTTCGGGATCAGAGTGCTCCTGGCGCTGCCTTTCCTGCTGTTGGCCTTTGTCGCACGCACGATCTTCACGAATGTCGTCGCAGAGCCGGACCTCCAAAGTCACCTCGGGCAAATTCTGACATCAGGGCAAATCGAGTTCCACGGGCAAAGGTGGGGTCTTCCAACACTGGTGAAGCCGTTCGACTCACTTGTTGCCTCCTTCTCTCCCTCTCTGCTCAACATTGATCCCCTGCAACGGATCCAAATGCTGTCCTTCCTGATCGACCTGGGCCCATTGTGGCTCATTTACACATTGGAAGCCTATCGCCGAGCGAATATTTTCAAACCAATTTCCCTCCCCATCCTCTTGGAATCGCATTCCAAGTTAACGGTATTGGAGTTGTCGACCCCATCTATTTCTTCCTCCACTACATCCAGAGTCCTCCCGCCGACTACGCAGCTCTTGACTGGAGACTTGTCAATGTGGCCGCCGCCCGGACAGCAATGATGGCCATTATTCTTTCACTCACAGTTCCTACGTTCGCCATGTATCTACTTCCAGATCTGACACAGCGATTGAGCATCAATGTGATATGGCAAGCGTTTCCGATTCTGACCAGCATGGTCCACGGCTTTCTACAAAACGTAACGGTCGACTCGACCAACCTTGACCGGATCTTCAACGTTGAAGCCGACTTGCCTCATACACGATTTGCGATCAAGGTCTTGGCCGCTGTTTCAGCATTGACTTTCAACTGGGCCCGATTCTTCTCGAACGCTTCAACGTCGCAAATCTTCCTCCCCAGCTGGAACGATGTCAAATCTGTTCTCGATTCGGAGGCGGCGGGCCTGGATCTTGTTTCTGGCATGAGGTTATGTCTACAGATCGACGAGATTGTTTGTTTTGTTTCAGCATACTTGTGGCTCGCTCTTCTCGTGCATGACCTTAAGGAGGCCGAAATGACCAATACCAGCTGGATCCAACTTGGATTGTGCGCCGGTATTGGGACATATTTGGCGGGTCCCGGTGCCGTCGTGGCTGTGGGATGGCTGTGGAGAGAAGGAATCCTCGCTACGAAAAAGGCAAAAGGTGCCGTTGTTCCCAGCAAGTGAGAGCGGTGGTGGATAACCACGGGGTTTCCTGTGAAGCGATCGATGCTGTGACAGTTAGCACGGAGTTTGATGAAGAATTGGGATAAAGTCCCAGATAGGTTGGATGACGTGAACGTGGCCTTCGGGAGGCCGTGTCGTCCGAAGGCGACGAATTGCGTTGAATATAAACGGAGATGACGACAATCTTCATAACAGAATGTTTCATTGCCAGAGCCTTTCCAATCACCTTCTGTACTTTCCGGGCCCAATCGGGCGCCTGACGGCAGACATTACCTTGCGCGATGCGTATCAATCGGAGCCTGGCCTCCAATCCCTCGCCAAGCAAATGTCATAAAAGGGCGTCGATGGCCAGGTATAAAATATATGTAACAGGGCGTGTCACGTCTCTGTTCCAACGACTCACCATACGGATTGTACGCATCACATTTAATGCCGGCCCCGTCGTCATTGATTGACTTGACTGATCTGGTCTGCTGGAATTCGCTAATCTTATCGCAATGGCACAATTCGCGACCTTCGAACTCCCCAAGGCAGGTAGGTCCCTGGGCATTTGTTCCTCTGACTCATCGGCTAACATCAAAGAACTTTAGTGGATCAATGCCAGGTCAAAGGATGCTCAATATGTTCTCGGAGGAAGTGCATCTCCCAGTTTATCCATTGACAAACTCATCTCGCTTTCCAATGACCCTGCTAAAACTGAAGATGCGCTGCAATTCCGATCATTGGACCTGCATCTCGGATCACCGCAAGGCTCCCTCAACCTTCGCAGCACAATCGCAGGCCTCTATGAGGAAAGGAAAGGAGAAAAGATCTTGCCAGAGCATGTCATTACCGCCATCGGTACCACGGGAGCCAATTTGACTGTCTTCCAAAGCTTTCTCCATCCTGGCGACCATGTCGTCTGTGCGTACCCTATCTACAGCCAACTTCTTGAATTCCCTCGAGTCCTGAAGTGTGAAGTATCCTTATGGAAGCTGGACCCTGAGAATCAATGGAAACTCGACTTGGAAGAACTTCGACGTTTAATCAGACCATCCACGAAGATGATCATATTGAACAACCCAAACAATCCCACCGGATCACATATGGATGCCCAAATGCAGGGGCAGATTCTAGATATTGCTCGTGGAAAAGACATCATCGTCTTCACGGATGAGATTTTCAGACCTCTTTTTTATCACGACGGTGAAGTCCCTCCCTCGTTTGTCGAGCACGAGTACAGTAAGGTGATTGTGACAGGCTCCATGAGCAAAGTTTGGGGTATGTCTGGCGTTAGGATCGGATGGATCGTTTGCAAAGACCGGGTGCTTCTTGACGTTCTTCTAAACGCACGGGAGTATACTCTACAAGCTACCAGCTCCATCGACGAAGTGATTGCAGCGGAGGATCTGAGCGACCGCTGCCGGCCCATCATCTTGAAACGACACCGCGGATATGGTAAAGAAAATGTCCAATTGCTAGATGCTTTCATCAAGAAGAACAGCGACGTGTGTTCCTGGACAAAACCGACTTGCGGGGGTACTGGATTTATCAAGTTTCACTCCGAAGACGGTAGCCCGCAACAAGAACTGGAGTTTTGTCAGACACTTTTGAAAGAAACAGGCGTGCTCCTCAGCCCAGGCGGTCTCTGCTTTAGCGCAGCAGGATGTACGGATTTCCAGGGATATGTGCGGATCCATCTCACAGCGTTGCCCGATAACATGCAGAAGGCTTTGGCATTGCTTGACGAGTTTGTGGATGCAAGGCGCCGCATTTCATCCTAGACCGCAAAGATGCTGTCAATAGGTCCACCTGAACGGTAACATGGAAGTAACGATCGCAAAAGATTGGAATGCTAAATATAACCCGATTTGAATGAAATCACGATGCTGTTCGGGCTTGTGCCCCGTGCGCGGTATGTACACACGTCAAGGTATTTGCTGCTGGAAAAGCGTCGCCGTAAGCGTCACGGTGTAGAAGAGGAAACTATCTGGCGAGTGTTGAATGCGATAATTTTGCCGCGTTCCATGACGATCTGAATTCTGCGGTCTAGAGTTTACTTGTGTGTACGTCACGAGTAGAAAGACGAGCCCGTGCCACAAGAGCAACGGCTTCCCCCTCGGGCTAGTCGGCGCCCAAGGGCCCGCCGGTAGGACTGCTGTTGTTCGCATGGACAGCACGCGCCGACATACACTGGATCGTCCCCGCTGCCGGCATCGCCATCTTCGCCAGGCACCAGCTTCCTCGTCTTCCAGAGCTTGATTTGCTGTGTTCCGCTGACATCTCCCAGGTACATGGCCTCGCTGTTCGCAGCCGGCGACTTCGCCAGGTCAATGCTGGCCGCGGACTTCGTCCAGTTTTCTCGCCAGATGTAACTCATTCTCGGTGTCAACCGCGGTGTCACACCCATGGCAGGTTTATATGGCATCGGCGTCGCCAGCATGTACGGGTTGCATTGTCACGGCGCATTCTTGAGGGCGAAGAGTAAGTTCACTGGGTGATTTGTGTTGGGAAGAGGAACTTCGGTTGGGACTCCACCCGTGCCGCCGTTCAGGTAGTTGTCATTGCAGCCAGGGTTCATGTCCAGTTCAGTAACGTGTCTTCAATTTCGGAAAGATGGCAAGAAAACGTTGGCCGCAGAAGGAGGAAGGAGATGAGGAATGAACTCACGAGAAATGAAAGAAGCAATAAGAAGTCGACATTCATGTTTTGTCGCATTTCCGTCGGTAAGCAAGGCATGTCAATAAGGGGAACAGATGCAATATCGATGTTATATCGATCGAATCATCTTGTGAAGATGTTTTGTATTCAGGCACGTCTCGCCCCATGGAGAAAAGGGACAGATGTTCTCCAAGCTGTCCTCATTCACGTTCAGGAGAGATGGAAATGGATTGCTGCGTCCTTGGATGCTACCCATACCTTCAACAGTTGTCGTGCAGAAGGCTTGGCCCCTGGAAAAATTTTTGGGCTTGTCATTACAATCTCTGACCATTCTTTCATATTCTAACACATCGGCGGGTACTGCGACGGGTGGCTGATGACGGGGAAATACGGGGAGAAGCAACAACATGTGAGTGATTCGCAAGAGGTCTTGGGTAGGGTTGGGCAGCCTTCCCATTGATTGACCAGAATCATAGGAAGCTTGCCGCGGCCAAGTGGGTATTTTTCCTTCTGGTTTCGAATTGCCCACAAGAATTTTTCTCTATCCCTTTTGCCTCTGGGTTCTGTCAGTGTGGTCTGGTCGCCGATACCCGAGCCCGACCGATAGAGCACCAGCGGTTGCAAAGCCTCGCTATTCATTGCTTGTCGTTGGCCCTTTTCCCGTCTATCCGCCTTTTTGCGGTCTTCTTTGGTCGACAAAGTTTCCGAGACATGCAGCCAAAGGTAAATGGCCATGGTTGCGAAACCCCGCGGGCCGGGCATCCTGTTGTAATGATACTGGTTGACGACGTCAAGATGTCCCTCCATTCTATTGATGAAGGAAGACATGTTGATAAGGAAGGATGAAAGATGTTGATCGACAACTGCCAGCTTGAGAAAGTGAAGGGTTTCGTCAGAGTGATCCATGGAAGGAAGCAAGACGCAAGTTATACGACGGTATATCCTATGAGACGTCAACTTCCTTACCGCATCAGGCCGGACAGGAAATACGATTAAGCGATTGAGACTTCATTAAGAGTGATGGTGGCTGCAACAACACATTAGGGGCATCTTTCAGTGTTTCAGCTACTACACCGACATCAGTAGTCACCACTGCCGAACAACCTCGAAAGTCAGATTCTCATGTCTGCAGTCAATATCAGCATACTCGAGGCCATGGGAGCATATGGCGATTTCCAAAGCTGCTTAAACCTATTGAAAATTCCCATTGATCTTCCTTTCCAGCTGCTCGTACGACCTTGTTTGAAGTCTCTGGATTTTCGTAACAGGTTGAGCACAACGGAGACAGTGGCAATGTACTACACCCACTATTAAAGAAGGAACGCGATTTCGACTTTTGCTTTTGTCGCTAAACTATTTGTTGTAGAGCCCACTTCAACTCTAAGGCTAGTTGGCGAAACGACTGCGTTGTCAGGATTTCAAATTTCTGAAGCACGACGACCAATAATTTGATCCACGTAGTTTGGGGCAAACTCACTCACCTATCCCAGTTACTGGTCAAGTCTGCTGAGAGGGTCTTGTTTGCGAATGTTTAGCAACATAAAATGTAAGTACCCATCTTGCTCTGATGTGTCCTGGTGCAGCCGAGGTCTTCTAAATATCAGTGCAGCAGACCGCCTTCAACGAACAACAAAACGGGGAGGATACCAAGGGGTAACTTGGAATTGGCAACGGGTCCAGAAGAGACGTCATTAAGTTGTTGTAGCCGGTCATTCGCCACGGCGAGAATAGCGGCAGATTGGATTTCCTGTCTTGCATCAGATGGTTGCTGAAATTGTCCAATATGATCGCTCCAGCATATCGCGCATATTGACGAGGCCACGATTGTTAGCACCCAAAAAAGAAAAGAAGAAAAAAAAATGGACCACTCTTTCTTGATGAAGGAATCCAAAAGACATCGTTAAGTAATGAACCGGAGAATGAAACGCGAATTCCAAGCTTTTCCTTGCACGAGAGTCCCATGGAACCAGTAATTCTTGCCGTAAGGTAAGACATGGAAAGAACAGTTGACCAGTCTACACTGGTACAGTTGAAATCTCGATGTTTCAGTCACTGAGAGAATTATGGAATCCAGTACTCGCCATCGCCTAGAGGGAAGTCGGTAGTCGGGAAGCTTTTTCGGTAGTCGGTCATCCCAGTGATGCGGATGGTGCTGGTTCCTAGGCAGATTAGATGCTGTGGGCCCGTTTAGTTCGTCCGTGCGGCCAATGCATTCGTGGTCTGATTCGCCTCCGAAAACCCTAGCCGTCAGTAAATGTTCCAGAATGGCAACCATTGTATCTGTCGCGTAAATGACAGTAGTTTGACGGACAGAATCTTTGAACGGCAGTCGGCATCGTTTGACAGTGTACTCGGTGGGCCGAAATCCAAAGCCCACCAGCCTTGCCTGGCGATCGGGAGCCTCCCTGTAGTGGTGAGTGATCCTTTGATTCCCTAGAACGTCACTGGACAGCGAACGAATGTGCGCGAATTTTTTTTTTTCTCGCCCTGACCTCTGGTCTCTCCGTTTGTGCAACACTGCCGCCTGGCGTGCCTTTTTAACCCAAAGGTACTTAAATTCTGTATCCCAATCACTTGGTTTCAACTTCTTTTGTCACTTGACTCACGAATCATGGATCCCACCAACGAGAGGCGGCCAAACTCGACCGAGAAAGGCCATGACGAACCTATGGCGCAGGCCGACACCAATGCGGAAGTGAAGGCGTCGGGAGCAAAGCATGGCTCATTCGCCCTCAAACAACATTTGACCGGCCACATTCGAGTCAACATCTTCGCCGAAATCGAACTTTTGATCCTCACCTTTTGCACAGGCATCCAAGATGTCACCACCTTCCCGGACTTCCACTGTTTCGCCTCCAACCAGACGGGAAATACGGTGATGTTGGCCATGGCAGTCCTCTTACCGGAAGTGACAGGCGAGTTATTCGTCACCGAAAACATTGGCATATCCTTAGGGTTTTTCCTTGCTGCTGGTTGGATAACAGGGCAATTGAGTCATATCATAGGACCTCGATCTCGTCTCTGGATTGTGTTCTGCAACTTCTTTCAGGCGGTATTGGTCTTCGCTGCAGCGGCGGTTCAATATTCATATGGGGTCGAGTTGTCAGGTACAACCACTATGATAGTGTTGGCCTTGCTGGCATTTGCCGCAGGAAGCCAAGTGGTCCTATCAAGGTCGCTGTCGATGACGGAAATCAGTACTGCGATGGCAACGGCTGCCTGGGTTGATCTGATGATTGACAAGAACCTATTCGCTGCCCAAAACCGTCCTCGAACAAGGCGGGCAAGCTTTCTGGCTGTTTTAATTGCCGGTGGATTCTTTGGTGCTTACATTTATCGAAGCCTTGGATCAGCCTCGGCCATCTGTGCTTCCGGTATTGGCAAAATGATTGTGACCCTTATGTTCCTGTTCAATGGTATGGAGAAGGATAGGAGGGAGAGTCTGGTATAGTCGGACATCTTAGGCGACGATGAGGAAGCATTGAGGGATCTGAGTCCCTCTGACGATTTGCTGTGAGTACATGTTGCTAGAGAATGTGTGCGAAGCGAGGAGCTGGTTGGCGTCGATTTGCCGAATTGGATTTGCATTGCAGGACAACCAAAGCGGTAGCTGTGATCCAAGCATTACCCGGGGGAACAACATCAGCGACGGAGTCATCAATGGGGGGGCCCTTTTTATCTTTGGAGGACAGCTCAATTCGTAAGCGGCATTCTGCACAATGGCGGTGACGGTGTTCATCGCCCCGAATTTGCCCCGCAAGTGAATGGCAAGAACTTGGTTCGGAGGTGCACTGCAAACAAAGATCCTGACTGGTCGAAAGGAGATTCATAGGAATGCTTAAGAAATAGACACATGAGGCTGAGATAGAAGAAGAGAGACGTTGAAGACTGTCGATGCGTTTAGGACAAACTTCACGCGCCTCGCACGCCATTTGTCGTTTTCCGGTCGCAATGCTGCGCAGTATCCAGAGCATTGTTTTGCCAAGGAAAACCGCAGCTTCTGCCCGAGAAATTTGGAGATCTTTTTTTATTTGCTTCCTCCGTACACTCGAGAACTTTGAAGACTTTCAGGCAACACATCTCGTTACATTCGTGTGACCATGAACCCGACCATGCATGGTCTTCGATATCTGAGCTCCGCTCCCCGGGCGCATCTCTTCACCTGCGCATACACCAGCCTCCGCCGTCTCAGCATCTCCGTGCCACGAAGAAATGATTCAGGCCGCTCACCAAGTCCGTTCGGCTTTGGGGGAGGACCTTCGCCACCACGCCTGCCAAAAGAAGAACAAGAGATCTTTGAGTCTCTCCAGCGTGCCTCAACCGGCGCATTTTCCACGCCGCGGACTCCTGCGCGGATACACCAATCACCAGACTCGTCCACGTCCAGGGTTAATGATGCGGAATTAGCGATAGAAGCGAGAGTTGAAGAGGTTCAATCAGGCGGGGGTGAGAATATGACTCCGGTGTCGGAGGAACAGTCGCCGCTCAAGGGAGAGTATGATCGCATGATCGAGGCTAGGGCACAAGGTGAAGAGCTGCATCCAAATGTGGCGAGAGGTGCACGACCCGAATTTGAGGGCGATATAAATCCCAAAACAGGAGAGATCGGTGGTCCAAAGAACGAGCCTTTGAGATGGGGTGCAGAAGGAGAATGGAGTTACAACGGGAGAACTACAGATTTCTGAGGTATCTGCAGTTCTAAGACTTTATTCAACGAGCCATCATGTCCGGGTTGATTCTTATGAGCCCAGCCCCCCCCCCCCCCCCTTTTTTTTTTTTTTGTGATGCTCCTATGATCCTTCCTAGCACTTGACCGTTATCGGTCCAAGATTCCAGGTGCCATATGTCTAGCCTTGCAAGCCCGGTGCTCCGAGTCCATAATTTGTCTGTCGTCATTCCAATCGTGATGGCATATATGGTATCATGGAGAAATCATGACAAGGTCCTGAGCCTCTGTGCTTTCTCTTCACCGGGTCTTGACGTCGCTGTCCTGCTCGACGTGAATGTGTTCGTTGGTTTGGAGGACTCCGACTTTGTCGTCAGGAAACTCGACACTGGTATCATCAAAGTTAGATGGGAAGGCAATGTGTAGATATGCAAGGGTGTTTCGGACTTACGTGAAGCCTTTGATCAGAGTGAACTCGTGCTTGATTTCACCTCCATCAGCCTTTGCCTTGTCCTTGGCTTTCCTGAGCTCCTCTGGGGAGGCGTTCTCTTTGAGAGTGACCTGGCAATATCAGTCCTATACCAAAAGTAAAATACGACAGAACTGAGTGCCATACATTAAAGAGAGGCATATTGATAGCTCTAGAGATAGGGCAGGGCTGGTGCCTGGGTCGATTCCACGGAACTGGAGGACAGAGAAGTCGGCTGCGCAACAGAAGTCTGGCAGAGCGACGCAGGATGGTTTGCAAGGCGGATAGCTACAAAGAACAGCAAGAGTCAAGGTTGGGGAGCACCGAAGAGAAGAGATGAAGAATGATCCAAGACCTCACAGTGAAGGCGTCGTGTGCTTTTGAGTGAATCGCAAACTGGAACGCCTCTGGTTAGTACCGACATGCCGCTCACTCCCCACCCTGCACGGCACTGCACTAAGCTGCATCTCACCCAGCCAGCTGCGGCTTCTCCAGACAATGACGCCATCGGCCCTCCGGCCATCGCCGTCATTCGACCCCCACGTGACCGGCTTCCTAGCTCCCACCCCCTCTACCAACGTTTCTTTTTCCAAAACACCGTCTGACATTCCCCTAGCCTCCGATCTGAATCAACACTAACGCTGTCTAAACACGAAAATGCGCTGTAGCTCCGACATTGGTTATGAACTGCCCTTCCAGAGGCTGTATAACACTGGCCTTCGGGAAATTTTGGCGTGGGCATCGAATGAGTTCCCCCTATTCCATGTCTAATTTGATTGGAACAGTGCTTCATCAACCCTCCGTTCGATGGGTTTATCAAGTCATCGTGATTTCATTAGCAATTACTATCCGTGTTTACATCTCACTTTATCAACGTTCCATCTTGCCAACAGAGGGTTTTCCAATCTTGAGTTCTAGAAACTCGTCAAACCTCGAGAGCAGTGCCCGGTGTGGAGGGATCTTTTTCAGATCCCAGCCTTCTTTCGTCGCCTCCCACAACCTCATCTCCAATTGGCACCCGTGTCTTTGCGGCATGTCTCTGCAATATTCTGGTGAGTTCTTCTTGGTAGGGCCACGCATGAATCCTGATCCGTCGCTTCTCAGAAGCGAGATCCGCATTTTCCATCGTGGCAGGCGTAAAATTCCAGTCGGTTCCGGTGTTGATGCGTGGGCGTCGGTGAAGATTATGTCGGCCGGTCCAATTATCATTATGACCCCCTTGTATTTCTCCTTCCTCAAGCTTCGGCCGCACCTGTTTCTCGGCTTCTCGCAGCCATTCTCTCCAAGCATCGTTCATTGGCGCTATTGTGGTGGCTTCGTTCAGCCATTGAGATGTACCGGTGAACACGATCGCAGTCCATAAGGCGCCGGTGAAGTTTCTTGCTTCGGCAGCGACCATCGTTTTAGCCCTCTTCTCCGCCCTGTCTCGCCTCTTTGATAATATCCAGGCGCTCTCGAATCGTTGCCACTCACGCTTCACAATGCCTTTGAACTCTTCAATCTTCCCAGTTGGCGCAGGTGGGTCTGTTTTATGCGACGGGAGAGGCTCTATTGGAAGGATCTCGACCTTATACGCATGTTGCCAGTGATACTTACACGGGTTGAGTGCAGATACAGCCCAATATATACCATTCAGCAGGAGATATGATGCGGCGAAGGCGACTTGTAGAATGTTCGAGGAATTGGCCAGGGAAACTACTCCGGTCATCAACATGACCGTCGATAGCAACGCTAACGTGCGATAGGGTGTATCTGTAAAGCCCATCAGTCTCATCTCGTCGGTTTCTTCGCCGCATGTAGCCGCACCATCAATGATGTACTGGGCATGTTCTGTCTGGAAATATAGACGGGCAATTTGTTCAGACTCTGGTCTGATAATTCGAATCGAGCCCTGCACAAAGAGTCTCATCAGTCCGTAACCACATGCCGAGACGGAGTTTTTTCAAGAAACTTGAATTCAGTGATGGGACCACACTCGTATCCACCGGCAGAGAAAGGTCCTGCTTGGACAAGAAACCCACGAGCTCTGTACTGGCCACTTACATTGGGATAATATATGATCACGTCTGATCGTGGGATAGCGGCCTTTCGCTCCCGGGAAATGGTAGGTTCCTTGAAAACCAAGGTCCAGTGCGTTCCGAAGCCCACAAACGAGCTCACCATGGACAGCATAATGGTGGCGAGGAGGGAGAATCCATCATGATAATGTGCCGAGAGACCGATGAGAGTCAACGCCATCAAGCTGCCCAGAATAGAAACCCAAAATAGAGGACCATACTTTCGTGGACCGAAGGATCTTTCGCCCTCTTTCACACATTTGCGAGTAACCTGAACGAGCTCGACTTGATAATCGTCCAGAGGCTGATCATGTAATAATTGAGCAAAGAAGTTAATTTCCCTTTTGACCAGACCGCTGTATGCTCCGGCAACGATGCCTGGAGCGGTGGGCAGTCGATATTTTCTCTCATGCTCGAGCAAGGCTTGAGGAGCCGGCAGGAGTCGAGGAATAGTGGACCACCAGGACAGGCTGGTAACTTGAGCGTTTCTGGTGACAGATCCTTCTCCGAGAACGGCGATGATTCCGACGATATCCAATTGCAGGTCGCCAAAATTATCTATCCAATGCATCTTGACGGTGTCGGGAGGGCCGCAGACATCACTACATTCAACACCTGGTGTCGGCCAGGTCCACGTTCAGACGCCAGAAAGCTCAGCAGAGGAAGCGTCGATTTCGAGTGATCAGCTCCCGGGCGGGATTGATGAGGGACAAAATCATGACGTCCAGCCCGACTGCTCCGGTGGCTAGCCATGTCATATATATTTGAGCAGTTGCGCCATCATTTCTCGCTCGCTGGCTTGCAGGCTATAGTTGCATATTGTGATTTTTTGGTGGATCTTTGTTGGCAGACCACATCCAATGAAATCGATCACCGTTTTAAGTCGCGATGTTCCTTTGCCTAATCGGTGATGTTGCGATACGAACACCCCCTCCCTTTCCAGCCTGACTTGACGCCGTCATGCCCATGCACGAGGTAACACCCGACCATTTTTGACGAAGAAGGAGAAGATCTCAGAGAGAAAATGTGTGGCAATTTGCAGTTCCTCTCGCCGAACCTCATGGTGAAATGGGCTGCTGCGCAGTGGGCCGAAGCGTAGTTCCCGCTAGGTTGAAGGCCGGGGGCCATTAGGGGTCGAGTAGCCCAAATGGGTATTTGGTCAAGGCGTCAATTGTTTTACTAGATCCCAAGCGAATGGGTGGCCTTACAGGCTCGACTCGATGAGCGACCGTCTCGGGGCCGCAGAAGTCTGGCCAGTCGCAGCTGTCTCATATCAGCCGCAAACCGGTGGAGAATTCGCTGGGGAGTGGACGCCACACTGCCTGGGGATTTGGTCAATGACAAGGAGGGTAGCGGTGAGGGAGCCTTCTTGACAGAGGCAAAATGACCAAAAAGGAGAGAGAGAGAGAGAGACGAGCCTCACCAGGATCTACTGAGTATCTCTACTTCGCTCGCTGGATGGATATAAATTGAGGAGAGGTTACGATCTCAGTGACTTCTTGGGGAGACCCGTTGTTTTGTATGACGTTATCACCACTGAGCTCGTTCACCCACGCCGGGGGGTAAATGGTCTGCGGCTTCGGCTGCGGGCCAGTCCTTTTTTCTATTGCCCATCTCCATCTGCTGTGCATACGCATCCTTAGTATCGCTTGTCTCCCCCTCTCCCCTGCGACCACAAAGAGACCTCCCACCTTCGACACTCCTTTATTTCCACCCATTATCTTCCTGTAAGAGCCTGCCCATCCTTCGTCCAACTGCTCTTACAACTGACCACGAAATGCATTCAGATGTCGACTCTGGAACCTGCCGAGGGTTCTACTGCCGCGATCCTCAGTCTCACCAAAAAGTTCCGACAGCTTGGTCGACTTCCCTCGAGTTGGGTTAAAGCAGGGGTACGTTCACCTTTACGATTGTTACGGAAAGAAAAAGGTTGGTTAACCAACAGGTCCAGGATGATCGGAATGCCCCAGAAGAATCCTACCTTTGCGATATATGTCAGCGTCTTGATTTGAGAGTGGAATCGTTCTGCGTCCAACCCGGAGACAATGAGTACGAAAGACAACATAAATTCCGATATTTGGGTAGATTGTCCCAAATTCGGAGGCGAACACACTGTCCGTTTTGTCGGCTCGTCCTCGAGATTGCAGACCGACCTCCTGACCAACGTACCCCCAGTTTGATTACCGATGACGATCCGGTCTGTTATGCCCGATGGGTGGTGGATGGACAAGAAGACCTGGGACCCGACCCCGACAAACCCGGCGAACACAAGTTTAAACCAAAAACACGACGGCTGCTAATATATAGCGATCCTCAAGCATTCAAAGACGGATACATAGTTCTGCTGGCGGACGACGCCCCTAGCCGTGAATTCTTCGGCCGCAGAGTCACGTATCCTGATCTCCTCGATTCCCGAATCCTTCGTCAGTGGCTTCACGATTGCGAGACCACACACGGGGAGGAATGCGAAGAATCATTGGTCCATCCAGACTTGCTTGGACAACCGAGAGATGTCTTTCGGGCAATTGACGTGAACAATATGTGCATTGTCGAGACGGCCCAGAGCTCGCGATATGTTGCGTTGAGCTATCTTTGGGGGAAAAACTTCAACCAGCTCTTCACCACCTCCAAGAATCTCCCCAAGCTGTCACAGCCAGGGCAGCTCGAGAAAGAAAAACTTCCGAGGACGATCAAAGATGCCATCAAGCTGACGAAAATGCTAGGGGAGAGATACTTGTGGACAGACAGCTTGGCACTCCTACACGACGACGGCTTTCAATACCACGATGACTGGGTTTATGCTCGTGCTGCTCTGACGGTGGTGGCCGGCTCGGGCAAGGACGCCAATGCGGGTTTACCTGGAGTGAGAAAAGAATCGCGAATGTTCCACCAAGAGATCGAAGAAGTCAAGCCTGGTCTACGGCTGATGGTATCACATCTCGCCGAAGGTATGTTTTGGCCCCTTTTTGGGGGCTTTGGGCTGGCCGCTAACCTGACCCAGACTATATCTCGACCTCACAATGGGATTCCCGTGCTTGGACGTTTCAAGAAAGAATGCTCTCGCGGCGGTGCCTCCTTTTTGTCAATGGGCGAATATACTACCAATGTCGACGGACGACTTTCAGCGAGGACATGGAGATGCCACGACATAACGGCTGGTCATTAGACTCGATCGACATGCCGACAAGAATCTTCCGAGAAAAGCCATTTGTTCAATTCACGTCAGCGGTGGAGTTATACACACGCCGAGAATTAACCAACCCTACAGACATCCTCAATGCGTTTGAAGGGGTGCAACTGGTGTTGGAAAAGAGAATTGGATCCAAGATCTACTATGGGGCAATGGAAACGATGCTCGATTCGTCATTGATCTGGGAATCCACCAAACGCCTCATCCGGAGACCAGGTTTTCCCAGCTGGTCTTGGTCCGGCTGGTTTGGAGAGATTCAATGGAAATATACCGAAACTGCCCGATCATGGATTGAATGGCACGCTGACTCGGATGGTGGAATACATTCATTTCCAAAACAGAATTATGAGCGAGTCACACCCCCCTTGGAACGACCGGACTATCCGGGACCGATGTCCAGCCACAACCAGAGCACCAAGTTTCCTCTGTTGCACTTCCGGACGATAGCGGCGTTATTCCCACTCACCTCTCCCGCATTGATTCACAAATCGGTTATTTCACCTTTAAGAAAAAGGCTCACAGGTCCGAGCGCCTTGTCGACGGTGAGACCGGCTCCGGCGGACCCAGGTCTGATTCGAGCAGGCATAGCGGATCGAAATGGATTATGGTGTGGCACAATTGACCTCGATGTTTCTTGGATGCCACGGGTTGGCACTCCCCTGGAGTTTCTGGTCTTGTCTAGAGTCAGTCGGTTTACCGAGGATGAACTGGCCATCTGGGAAGGATCACTGCCAGATGGTGTGGAGGAAACTTTGTCACGACGGGATTATGGCGTTTATAATGTTATGCTGGTTTCACAACAGGGTGGCATATACTACCGGGAGGGTTTGGGACGCATATTGACGGAGGCATTGGATAGGGCCCTTGAGCCAGGGCTGGTCTGGAAGGATATAGTGCTGGGTTGAAAAAAATGGGATGCTAGCATACCATTGCCGTCGCCTGGGGTTTGGGCAATGATACTCGAGCACGAAAACCTAATTACCATTTACGGTTTAATCCTAGAGGGTGAGCGAAGGCTACTTTAACCTAAGCTTTAACTGAGCAAACATACCGGGGGCCTAATCTGACCCCTTACGATCGGCTATACTTACCTCTCGGCTAGGCATCTAGTTTAGACGGGCGTCTAGGAACCCAGTAGATTCCCTACCCTTACGCTGCCGCCTAAATTTCCTTGTAACCTTTAGGTCTAGTAGTGCGACATAGTGCGCGATTAAATCGTACGCCGTACTGAGCTGAGAGTAAGGAATCTGATTAGTGGTCTAGGCGCAGAGACGCCTAAAGTCTCTGTTAAACTATAAGTAACTAGCTACTATAAACTATATTCAATCATGCTGTACACACGCTTATTCATCTGTGTCCGACACACCACACACCCTATCAAGGAGCTTGTGGATTTCCTGCGGGAGAGAGTCACCCCGCCACGCCACCATGCCGTCCGGTCGCACCAGTATCAGTCCATGTTCATATAGACGGGCTGCCTCTGCATCATCAATCCTCACAAATTTCACAGGCATACTTCTTTAGCTCGCCACATGGAGTAGCTTTTCTTCACCCAGATCACCAGCACCAAAGCCAAGCAAAACAAATCCTGTGCCGTACAGATCTATGATGGATTTATCGCGGTCCAGCCAGCAATGCGGTGCGCGATGACCAGGTCGTGATATCTGAGTGTACGTGCTGGGCTCGTCCGGGGGTGCAGGTGAACCATCAACGGCGATCGCTGGCGAAGCAGAATACTCATAGCCCATGGCGATACCCAGAGAGCGAAACTCCTGCTCAAGGCCGGCGATCATCTTCTGTCAAGAACTCGTTGTTTGTCAGCCTCCGGCGGGTGACATGGTGTGAGCAGAATCTCCGCACAGAAAAACACGGCCTCTAGCGAATGTCTCGGCCGTGAATTGACTCCGCCGCCAGGGATGTCATCTCGGCCAAATGCTCTGCGGACCAAGCCATACATATCAACCTGTGCAGGGTCCGGCTTCTCCTCCGAGCCAACCACAGTGAATCGAAACAATTGACGCCCATCAATGGCAGTAAGATTCGACCAGACACCTTCTGGGCCAATGAACATATATCGCTCACCCATCCGCAGGGGGTGATATTGACCGAGGTTGTCGACTTTGACAATCACGCTGACAGAATAGCCAAGTTGAAGACCGCTCCACTCAATGCCGACAGCCTTGCGGACCCGACTCGCGAGACCGTCACAGCCCACGAGATAATCTGCACGGATCTCTTCATCCGCGCCATCCTCGCCTCGCCTAACTCGACAAGTCACTCCCGTGTTGTCCTGCTCGAGACTGACAAACTCGGTGCCGTACTGGATGCTTGTCATCCCTTGCCGGGCAACAGCTCGGGCGAGTATCGGGTCAAACCAAAATTGTGGACACCTCCTGTGCATCTCTCGACAGGATGAAGGAAGCATTCGATCTTGCGTAGAAGGCATCTCTAAACGACCGATAAAATAGCCATTGAGCGACGTGCAGAATACTGTATCCCTTGAGACGTCGTCGGGGAAGCCAGCATTGGCGATTTCATCTCGAAGCCCGAGTGTTCGGCAAATCTCCATACTTCGCTCATTCAGATAGTCGGCCTTAACCAGAAACTCGGTGCCTGTACCGCTGTTACGTTCAATGAGCGTCGAACGCGACCCTCGCCGCCCTAGATCAAGAGCGAGAGCCAGTCCAACGGGACCACCACCAACGATGAAGACCTTGTCCGTTGAAGGCGGGCAGACTCTTATGTTTGTCGTGTGTTCGTCATGACTTCAAATGGTTTGCTCGTGTGGGCTGAGATGTCCTCCCAGCGGACGCTCCCCGACTAGGTCGTGATCCACCAACTCCCGATTCCGTCTTCATCACGGTCAGCATTTGGAGATAGTCCATTTCATCACTTATTGTCGAAGATGTCTGCATGTCCCGTGCTTCGTCATGTCTGGCCTAGGGACAGCATCTCGATCTCTTGCTGGGCATATGGGCACGCTAGTTCCGAGCTTCCGGAGGCTCGCATATCGACCCTTTGACGTTGGAACGTCTTGACACTTCGAATGTCGGAAGCAGCATATAATCCCAGCCCTGCAATACTAGAAGGAAATGATCACTCGGTGCACGAGCGAGCCATCAGCAAACCCATGTCCTCCGATCTGGGTGCCGGAAGCACTCATGCGAGACTATACGCTCCAGCACGGAGCCTCACGGGGAGATGGAACGACAACCTCCCACTATCGCAACAATTGCTCATATACGTATTTCACGTTTAAGCATGTTCTGCACCTCTGTCTCGATCAACTCGCAGCTGCGCATCCCCTCACCAACACGGCTTACAAAGTTATATTCTCGGCATCATGATCTTCCCGGTCCTCGTCATCAATACTGCGGCAACGGCGAAAGCGATTCTCACCCAGAACTCTTCCGCAACAGCCTCGAGACCAGAGTTCTATACCTTCCACAAGGTAGGTGCCCTGGCGCATGTTTTGTGCAGTGAGATATTGACGAAAGCCCAGGTTATCTCCAGGGGTGCTGCCCTGACCATTGGGTCCTCGCCATACAGCGAGTCGCTCAAGAGACGACGCAAGAGTCAAAACCCAGACGCCTCTGTTCCGCGAAATCGTCTACGTCGAGAATGCGATCAGCAACTTTCGAAGCACGACCAGTAATCCTCCGGACTATATTCCCATTCTCCGACTCAACCCATTCAGCGGCGTCTCTACCACCGCCAAGGACATGAGTGCTCGTAGGAACCGCTACATGGCCGTCATGGATCAGGATTTGGATGAGCGCCTCGAGGCTGGCTCATATAAACCCTGCATCCGTGCTAATGTCAAGTTGGACCCTGACGGCAAGCTGAATGAGGTCGAGTTAACCTCACTGAACGTGACCATGACAGCAGCCGGTCTGGACACCATGCAATCTACGGTCTCTTGGGGTCTGGCCATCCTTGCAATGATGCCCCATGTCCGAGACGGGGCGTTGAGGGAGATAAGGCAGAAGTATTCCCAGTCCGAACCCCTGTGCGATGCCTCGGATGATCTGAGCACACCCAAGATAACAGTGGACAAGGCCAGAGAATTAGGGTACCGAACTATGATCTTCCCAATCACCGGCTTCGGAGGTGCTGTCAAGGGAATCAAAGAATCATTCGCGGCAATAAAGCAGAGTGGCGAAGAGCCTGCAGATCTGGTGGGCGTGAAGGAAGCCTTTGAGCTGTGCGGACTGAATGACTACATCGAGGTAGACAAGCGAGCTCGTGGAAGGTTCTCGAGCGGCTGTGGCAGGAGGTACCTCCCAGTCACCCTCGATGACGAGCGCCATATTTATCACACGATGAGGATTGATGAGAGAGACAGGTGGTCGCGAGCGATGAAGGACCTTGTCAGAGGAAAAAGTCCAAGTCTTGTTCAAGGCTCTACGTGACGGCGGTTCATGTGTGATAAAGAAAGTCTCCCCGGTGGTCGCCTTGTAGGCGCCAGGACACAAGAGAAAGAGGGAAGATTAGGCAGAACTCCGGTAATTAAAAGGGGACGACGAAGGATGGGTTTTTCGTTCGATACCACCATATTATTCTACGAATCCAGAATCAAGCTAACCTTATTTATATCGCCCCTTGGTCCCTTGTCTTGGTCTCGTGTTGCTCGTGCCAGCAGTGTAGCAATTGCAACCTGACCTAGGCAGCAAATGGAAGCGAAGCTCCTATTGGACCCTCTTTGGCATGATTGGCATGCTGCCCTTTTGATCCCGTGTTTCACTAGCTAACTTAGGTTATCTTCCCAAGGCTGAACCAATTACAGTAGTTTGCCTGCCATAAGGCCATGCCACCAAACAGCAGCACTTGATACTCAAAAAGGTATGGAATTAGTAACAAGCCTTCGCATTCGTATTTTCACTTGAGACTAAAAGCTGCTGCCAATAAGTAAACCAGAGGTGCGCCCCCCTCATCTCATCTTCTCTTTCGCTCATCTAGCGATATCAAAATAGATGCATCGGATGCGCCCGTATGCTGCTCACAGAGGAGCGACGTTCAACACATGCGCTCAGCTCATCCTTCCCTCTCCTAACCTCGATGCAATGGTGAAACGCAGGATTTCCCGATTCTAGCAATGCACAACCAACTCGCGGCCAAATAGCCACGTCTATTCTCCATCTGTGGAAATCTTCCTGGAGCTTTGGAGAAAATGTCGTCTAATGGAACAGGATTGGACGGTGTCGACGGACGAGTTACCCACATCAACTGTGTCTATCCAATTTCTGGCACCTACGGCCTCCTCCCACGGTTGTTATACTATGTCACCCTAATCTTTGCAATCTTTGGTCGAACCCGAGAATGGCTCATCATTGGTGCCCTGGTCAGCGCCCTCACATATGCTGGTACCTCTGCGATCCACCTGATGGCACTCGTAACAAGTAGAGCGGACGTCTACGATCTCGACATTATGGCCGCCTGGGCGATCTTGAGCACTGGTGCTCTCGCTTACATTGGCATTATCCATTGGAGCTCGACGCTGCGGAATTCGCGAGCGCGGATTGTCATGATTTGCTGGGGTTTCTTGGTGGGGGTATCTCTGATCTTTGGTCGCGCCATATTGTTCGACACCCCGCTCAGCGAGCCGGAACCTGCCTGCTATTCTTCCACCGGAATCCTGCTCCAATATCCGATCGAGCTGGCTAACCCCCAGTTCAACTGTACGTACAAGTGCTTTTCTTTGACGAAACCAATGCGGTACCACTCCGAGATTATGGCGGTTCCGCGGCATCTTCTGGAGAACCGATATTCGGGACTGGCGTACGTCCTGGTTGGACCAATCCAATTTGCCGCGTACGCTGCCGTCAGTTTGGATACCATCGAACATTCCCCCTCTCAGATGTGTCTCCGAGGTGTTATGGCTCACCTAATCCACCCCAGATACCGCGAGGACATGACTAAAGCGGTGTACAAAGCATCAATGGAAAGCTGGTATGGGGGGTACTTTGTATTGATTGGCTATTTCAAAAGAGCACAATGGACGTACAAGAAATTTCTTGTCCTGGCCTTGGGTGTCCCCTGGATGTTTTTGAGCTTGTTGATCGACATCCTGTGCCTCCCTCTAATGGTGGTCAACATCGTTCTCAATGAAATCACCCTCCTGTCTGGAAATCTACCGGTGAACGAGCCCGACGTTGCCATTGGCCAGTGGGGTCCGATCGTCAACTCGCTGCTTGTCGTCATCGCCACTTGTATCAATAAGGCCTTGGAGATTTACGAAAGACGGAAAAGCGCCAAGGCGCTGAAAGAGACGGTAGAGGAAGTCATTACAGTTTCCCCGGATGTGGAGCGAGGTGTCATGAAGGATGAGCAAGAGATTGGAGTGGTCAAGCCCAAACTGGCTCACGTTCAGACCTTGCAGGATGTGGACGATATCATGACGAGACCCAAGTGACGAAAACAACCGACCGTATCCTAGTTCTCGCACCAGAAACCGATGAGGGGCCGGCATAATTTATCTCCGTGTGGCCTCAAGGCATTGGTGAGTCACAGCCGTGAGATGAAGACGCAAGAGGGACGATACCATTAGATATCCTTGAGCGGTCGGCTGCCAAATTACGGACTGGGGCATTAGCCGACATTAGAATTTCTATGGCAATAGTACCGTGGTGTGTATACCATTAGATCACAGAAGACGTACTTTTTATAAAATGGTCCACACTCATTGATAGTTTCTTTGGGGGGTGTTGAAACTTTGCCTAACCGAAAGTGGGCTCCCTGTTGTTGGGCAAGGCTGAGCGAAGGCCGCTGGGCAATAGCCGCAGGTGGCGGGCCGTGAACTCCCAAAGGGGGGGTTGTCGATACACTTATGCAGGGACATTTCACTAACCATAAATTTTTTTTTCCGGAGCCATTCGCTTGTTTAATGTTCTCATGTTTGGGTCGAGTGACTCAACATTCCTCACCCACGGTCTATAAATTCCTCCTCCGAGCTCGACGTTATCCCTTACACTCGCTCACATCTTCATCCTCCGTCAGCATGGAAGCCATCAAAGAGACCTTCGCTCAATGCAAAAAGGAAAATCGAACTGCACTGGTGGGGTATTTCACCGCTGGTTATCCCACCGCAGGAGAGACCCCAGATATTATGCTGGGTCTTCAAGCTGGTGGCGTTGGTATGGACACTCTCCGCTTCACATGCTCTGTACTCTGACCGTGGCATCTAGACATCATCGAACTTGGACTTCCCTTTACCGACCCCATTGCCGACGGACCGACGATCCAAAAATCAAACACTGTCGCTCTCGCCAATGGCATCACCGTATCCTCTTCCCTCCAATTCGTACGAGATGCTCGGAAACGAGGTCTACGAGTTCCTGTCCTCTTCATGGGCTACTACAACCCTCTCCTCCGCTACGGTGAAGATCGTATGTTGAAGGACTGCAGAGAGGCTGGAGTTAATGGATTCATTATGGTGGATTTGCCTCCTGAAGAGGCAGTCCGATTCAGAAATAATTGCACGACAGCCGGTCTGTCATATGTACCTCTGATTGCGCCCGCAACGTCAGAAAAACGAATGAAGCTCCTCTGCAAGATCGCCGACTCTTTCATCTACGTCGTGTCGAGAATGGGCGTCACGGGAGCTACAGGCACATTAAACACACAGTTGCCCGAACTGCTTGAAAGAGTGCATCAATATTCCGGCGGCGTTCCTACTGCCGTTGGATTCGGTGTGAGCACGAGAGAACATTTCTTGAGTGTATCGCAGATCGCAGAAGGAGTGGTCATTGGGAGCCAAATCGTGACGACGTTGGGTCATGCCAAGGAAGGTGAACGGGCAAAAGCTGTTCAAGAATATTGCGCGCAAATCACGGGGAGAAAGGCTGGCGATTTCAACGACACGAATGGCATGGCGAAAGCAGGGGGAACGGCCGAGACAATGACCGCTGCGAAGGAACCCAACTCTGCGGCCAATGGCTCTCGGGTGAAAGTGGACAAAGTCATAACTGATGCCGATGTCCCTTCAGAACCTGGTCTTGCGGACCAACTTGATGCTCTCAACTCGTCCACGAATGGCACAGCCCCCAATCCCGACGCCATTCCTGCTCGATTTGGTCAATTTGGGGGCCAATACGTCCCGGAGTCACTGATGGACTGCCTGGCAGAACTCGAAGAAGGCTTCACAAAAGCCAAAAACGATCCCGAATTCTGGAAAGAATACAGATCCTACTACCCGTATATGGGCCGACCTTCGTCACTCCATTTGGCTGGCCGCTTGACAGAACGAGTCGGCGGTGCTCAGATCTACTTAAAACGAGAAGACTTGAACCACACGGGGAGTCATAAGATCAACAATGCTCTAGGCCAGATTCTCGTCGCGCAACGACTCGGCAAGACCCGGATCATCGCCGAGACCGGTGCGGGTCAACATGGAGTGGCGACAGCGACCGTCTGCGCCAAATTCGGCATGGAGTGCGTGGTGTACATGGGCGCCGAAGATGTTCGTCGACAAGCTCTCAATGTGTTCCGCATGAAACTCCTGGGTGCGAAAGTGGTGTCCGTAGAGGCCGGATCCCGCACACTGCGAGACGCAGTCAATGAAGCTTTACGAGCCTGGGTGGTCGACCTCGACACGACCCACTACATCATTGGCTCAGCCATTGGGCCTCATCCATTCCCCACCATCGTCCGTACCTTCCAGAGCGTCATTGGGCAGGAAACGAAGGAGCAGATGATAGAGCTCACCGGTAAATTGCCGGATACTGTGATGGCCTGTGTCGGGGGCGGCTCCAATGCCGTGGGCATGTTTTTCCCTTTCAGCTCGGACCCGTCCGTGAAGTTGATCGGCGTGGAAGCGGGTGGAGAAGGTGTCAATACCGAAAAGCACTCGGCCACACTGTCGGGCGGATCCATTGGGGTCTTGCACGGCGTGAGGACGTATGTCCTGCAAAACGAGCACGGTCAAATCAGCGACACGCATTCCATCTCCGCCGGGCTCGACTATCCTGGCGTTGGGCCGGAATTGTCAAATTGGAAAGACAACCAGCGGGCAATATTCATGAATGCAACGGATGCTGAGGCGCTGATTGGATTCCGCGCCCTGAGTGAGACCGAGGGTATCATCCCTGCACTCGAGTCCAGCCATGCTATCTTTGGGGCAATGGAGGTGGCCAAGAGGATGAAGAAGAATGAGACTCTGGTCATTTGTCTCAGTGGGCGTGGTGATAAGGATGTCCAGAGCGTTGCAGATGAGTTGCCCCGGTTGGGACCACAGATTGGCTGGGACCTGAGGTTTTAATTGACCAAGGAAGGCAGAGAGACGATTGACTCTGGGGCCGGGATACCATGTCCAAATTCGTCCGCAGAACTAGGTGGTTGGATATCTAGACCTTTGCAAAATTGGTTTTGTGTCCTGATTCAATCTGATGAGATCACTTAACCCCTCTTTCTGGCAGAAAAGCTCCTTCCGCGGCCAATGGGACTGATGGACCAAGGTCTATACAATCGGCAAGGAATAGTTTTGTAGCTCTTTGAACGTTGCAAAGCCGTCGGAGTGTACCGCAACCGCCTCGGCTCAGGACTGGACGACTTATAGCGCCGATGACCACGTGATGAGGAGCTTTTTCCAACCTCCAGAACCGCGATTCCAACTCTCCTCTCACTCTCCTCTCTTCCAAGTTCCACCTTCTCACCAGAGTATCTAGAAAAGAGGCAGCCGGTACGAATTTTCTGGTTCGCAAGTGGATATCATGTCTCCAGGAGTCTCTCGGTAGCGAGAACTTGACTTGAGCTACCCGCGATTGACAAAAATCTCACAGCCTTCCCCGCACATAGTGACTCCCCCGTGGGCATTCTCCGTGTTATCTTGACACTCTCCACTCTGAATATCATGTTCCTGAGTCAGTACGCCGAATCCGAGTCTCTGAAACGACGGCAAGTGGAGTCGAGACAGGTGAGATGACCGACACATTTACTTCCGAGCCCCTCGGAATTCATTTTTCCCTCGGGATACGGTTGGAGAATTCCTCATGGCAATGGTAAGGCCTGAAATATATGCAGGGAGGACGTCTGGCAGGTATGATTCAGTCCTTGTCTCCCTGTACCTCCTTCATCCCTGTCTTTCCCTTCTCTGTTCGGGCCTTTGGTTTTTTGCCCCTGTCCACTCAGCGCATTGTCAAAATGCTGCACAAAATCATCGTCAACGCGTATAACCTGTGGGTTGTCGTCTTTGTCGCCCTAGGTACCATATCTACAGCCTACGGTCTGGCGATCATCGGATCGACTGTCGGCCAGCCCAACTTTTACACCTATTTTAACCTGGCGGTCCAAGGAGAGCCTGGCTATGCTCACACAACCAACATGATCGGCGCCCTGAATGGCGTCAACTCTGCCGGAGCAATTGCTGGATGTATCTTCCAAGCTTGGGCGGCAGACAAATATGGTCGTAAACGGACCATGCAGATGGGATCAGTCATTCTCATCCTCGGCGGTGCTCTCTGTGCCGGTGCTTATGATATGGCGATGTTTCTTGTCGGCAGGTTCATTGCCGGTCTCGGTGCCGGCATTCTCGCCTGCGTCGTCCCAATCTATCAAGCGGAAGTGGCTACACCCGAAACTCGTGGTGCGATGGTCTGCGTCACAGGCATCATGTATGCGCTCGGATACAGCCTGGCGGGCTGGTTGGGCTACGCTTGTTTCTTCATGTCCGCCAACGACCCGGCCGCCCAATTCGCATGGCGCTTCCCCCTAGCTTTCCAGGTTGTCTTCCCTATCATCCTCCTCGCCGGAAGCAAAATGATACCGTATAGTCCACGTTGGCTCCTTTCTCAAGGCCGTCGACAGGAAGCACTCGACATCGTCAAGAGACTGCACCGAACACCGTCCGATCCGGAAGATGTCACTGCCCGTCGGGAATTCTGGCTCATGGAGAAACAATACGAGATGGATGCTAGCCTTCCAAACCGCCGATTTGAGCTCTTCCGCACCCCGGCCAATCGAAAACGTGCCCTGATGGCCTTTATTTTGATGTGGGGGGACCAGTTCTTAGGTATTTTTGTGATGACGAACTACGTGAGGACAATCCTGAATCTTCTCCCTCCCCCAACAGAAGCATCACGGAAGTCGTCGGCTAAACATCTCAACAGGGTGTCTTGATATATGCAAGCTTGGGACTCACCGGATCCGTCCCCCTCCTTCTCAATGCGTGCTGGACTAGCTTCACTATCATTGGCAACACGTGGACCGCCCTCTTCATCGACCGCTTTGGCAGACGGATCTTCATGCTCATCGGCTCCATCGGCTGCGTTGTTTCGGTCATCTTCCTCTGTGCGCTCACGGCCGAATTCCTCAATACTGATAATAAGGCGGGCTTGCGAGCTGCTGGTAAGTGCTCCTCCCCATATACTTGGCGTCGATGCCTCCGTCGCTTCACCCAGCGGCCTTAGGTCTGAGACGTCGGTTTCAGACTCCTCCCTGATAGCTGCATCACGTTCTAATCGCTCTCCTAAGTGTTCTTCGTCTTCTTCTACATTCTCTGGTGGTGCTTCTTTATCGATGCCACACAATACGTCTACGTCGCGGAGATCTTTCCAAATCACCTCAGACCACACGGCGTAGCACTGGGACTATCGGCATTCTACCTCGCCAGCGAAGTCACGCTCGTCGGCGCCCCTGTTGCACTGAACGAAATCGGTTGGAAATTCTACTTGGTCCTGATTATCCCCAGCGCCCTGTACATCGTCATCATATACTTCCTGTTTCCGGAGACCAAGGGGCGAACTCTTGAGGAGATTGGAGACGTGTTCGGTGACGATCTCCATGTTGCGAGTCATTGGTACAATGCCACAGAAGAAGAGAGAGAGAAGATGGCAGCGCAAGCTCTTCGCGAAACCGAAGGAGGCGTGGTGCATGAGAAAGGGTATCGAGGGTCAGTGGAAGAGGTGGCGAACTCGATCGACAAGGGCGAGACAGATCTCCATGAAGATGTCGCGAGATAGCGAATGGACAAGACCAATTTGCTCCACGCTGGCTCAACAGCTCTCATCAAGAACATGCTCGAATCTAACCTAAGAGCTTCGAGAATTGTTGCTTCTGGATCCAGTTTCTAGTCTCTGACCAATTTTCGCTCTTGGCCTTGGTTCTTGGGTGAACGCTCAGGACAACGACGATGACAAGACTATCTCTACATACCTTCCTGGCCACCTAGGAGACGAGACGGGAGACCTGACAATGATATCCAACCCTTTTTGGGACTCGATTTATTTCCCCCACAATTGCGATTACCTAGGTTGTACCATTCCCATTCGCGTTCTTATCATCCCCCCTTCTTTCTTTCTTTGGTACGCGGCTGCCAGCCGTTCTGTCGAATCTCCTCTCTGTTCCACTGGTGTGGCCCTCGTAGCTCTATTATCACTGGCAGCCAACTTTGATTTTGCAAGATTTGGTTCAGGCCAAGACAAAGTTTTGTAGGCAATACCTTGTACCGCAGACGAATGTCACATCGGCTTCCGGTGGATCCGGAGATGCGAGGCTAAGGTGGCTTATTCTTATACCCTTCTGTTCTATCAATCTCCGAATACCCTATAGAAATCGCCGAATCCTGGGTTTAATATCATCCAATTTCCAAGTTGCCAAACATGAAGTGAGTAGGGATGGTCAGTAGCATGGGATCTCTCGGTTAGGCCGTTGTGCAAGCTATCCTCAAGAAAATGGACTTCGTCCATTTCATTCTTCTACAACAGTATGCCACTACCGGTACACTACTATCTACGAACATTTCATCCGTGTACGATCTTGTATAGTGGAACAAGAATTGCTGGCAACAGCCGTCCATGTGGGCGTTGCAAACAACCTCAAGCTACACTTCGTACTCTCCTAGTATACGCTGGGTGCCATGGAGCGGCGAGGTTGAGGGATGGATTGAGATTGGCTGGGGAAAACACGCATTCAGAGCAGGGGGATTGGAAATTTTATCGGAGGAATGAGTCGTATTCGGAGTACCATAGTATTGTGACCGAAGCAAGCTGAACCTGGCGGTAGGTGAACGGTTCAGGGAGCGCGAGAATGAGTCGAGGAAAGATGGAGATGAGTCTTAACCAGGAGATTCCATGTAAGGAGGGCGCTGCCAGAGGCGAGTCCCGTGCGGCCGAGAAATGTGGGCAAAGGAGAACCTCTGATCACGAAGCTGAGATTTAGAGGCCGGGCGGGACTGGGGGGAACAGGAGGTTTGGATGTAGGATAGGAGGATAAGTGTAGGATATAAGATACTGCAAGTCTGTCTATCCAATCAAACACAGCCACTCACTCCTAATTCTCGCGTGCCTCGTCCCTTGACACGTCCAATACTCTCCGGCTCCTTGTTGCTTTAATCCTTCAAGACCTTGACTCTGACACCTTTACTGTCCATCTTCGGACTGGGCAGGAAAAAATCATGTGCGAGCTCGACGTCCGAGATGTCCGTTTCGTACAATTCAAAGGCAAAGTTGCGAAAGACAGCAGCGAGAGTCATGTAGAGTTCGGCGTGAGCTAGGCTGGAGGACAGAAAGTTAACTGGATTAGCAAGGCGCAAGATGATCACTCGTTCACTGGGATCCAATCCAGAGGTGAATGGGAAGGGAAAGTGACTCGTATATGTCGGACCGAGAACGGCTCAAACACACAACGAGGAGAAATATAAAGGATGTGTTTGGTTTTGCAGCAGAAGAGGCGGGAAAATGTGGATCGTCTTGAACTCACTTGATCCCCAAACAGCTTCTGGTACCCTTTCCAAATCCAATGAAATATCTCTCCAGACTACTCCCGTCCTTGGTCTTGGGCGGATTGATCCACCGCTCAGGTTTAAATTCCCGGGCGTTGGGGAAAATTTCCTCGTCGTCATTGACGTCGACGATGGTCATGGACACAGGCGTGCGTGGTGGAATCACCCAGTCTCCATACGTGAGCGGTTTGGTGAATATGCGCGGGTTCCGCGTCGTTACGGCATAGGACATGCGTACGGCCTCGCGCACGCAGCCGGCCAAGTACGGCAGTTTCTCGAGCTCGAGCCACGAGAGTTCAGCTGTGGAATCCGGGATGGCGGTTTCGAGTTCAGCGCGCAGTTTTGCGAGAACGGGCGGGTTGTTGATCAGGTGGAATGCGGCCGTGCTGAGGGCCCAGCCTGTAGTGGTGACGCCGGCGGCGACGACGAGTTGGGCCTCGTCTTGGAGGCGGAGCGTTTCTTTTTCCGACGGGGGGAGGTTGCCAGATATCAATTCTTGGAAGACGGTCGGGTGCGTGGATTTTTCGAGCACGCTGTCCATTTTGCCTTCTTTCATCGCCGTGATTTGTTTACGGAAGTCCTGTCGATCCGTGTTAGATTTCCCTTGTGGAATTTCCGACAGTGAGAGCGCGAAACTGACCGCCTGCATTCGAAAGACCAAGGCGTAAAGTGGCTCGATCTTGAGCAGGATCGATTCTGGAAGTGTGAAGAGAATTTTCGGCACCCATGGACACTGAAGCGAGAGATGTCCACTGATGCTGGCAGCCATAAATGGTTCATGTAGAGTCTTTTCGAAATTCTCCAGCTTCAAGTGGTCGTAGCTCATAGAGAAACAGTACTCCATCACAACATCCCCGGTTAGAGCCATGAAGGCCCGGTTGATGGGGAGGATTCTTTCATCTTTTTGAAACTCGCGGATACGGCCGAGAAGAATGCCGATTTTCTCACGAATGATGGTTTGTAGGTCGACGATGCGAGCACGAGAGAACAGTGGATTTAAAGCACCACGTCGGACTCGATGTAAATCGTCGGGACCTGTGGTGAAGACCGAAGTGTCACAGCCAAAGCGACCGGCCATCCAGTCATACTTGTCGACTCGACCGGCTTTGGTGTAGAGTGTGTCGTAGAACTGCGAGTCTTGGATATGGAGCTCATCTGGGACTATGCGAACGATCGGGCCTAGTGGAAACAATTGGATTGGTCACGAATGACATTCTTCAGTGCTCATTGATTTTGGAGAGTCAACGAACCGTATTTCCTGTGATACTCCTGGACCTTGAAGGTAAATTGTCCTTGTTTGACCACTTCATAGTAGAACTCATGCCATCTGCTGATAGCGGCATATTTGGGACCAGGGAATCTGGCTAGCGGATGAAGATAGAGACGGTAGATGACCAGACCGAGAATATAAAAGACATAGCAACTGGCAAGGCCGGTAACAGGGTACGACAGAACCGAAGGGAGAGCCATTCCTGCCTCACGATGGAGGGGTTTATGAAGAGATCCAACGAGAAGATAGAAACGAAAAATAGAAATGGACGTTCTCAGTACTTACATGGATGACCTTAGAAGTGGAGAGCAGAAAGCACGTAGCAACTGCGGCGTCCAGTGGCATAACGGCGATTGCGAAGCCCCGATGGTGGAAGCAGGCTAAAAATGGCCGGTATATCGTCACACAACTCCCCCGTCGAATCGAACTGTATGGGCTGGGGCACTAGCCCAGAAAGCACCGGGGGAGTAAGGAAATCTCGGCACTAGGCGTGGGAGAGATGCCGTGGTGGATAAGAAGAAGCGGTCGATAAGAGGCGCGTTTTGAAATGGGGATGTGCCGGTACGACCTTCGCCAATTCCTTTAGCGCTGGAAGAAATGGTATCGGCCTATGCATGTTCGGAAGCTTCTCCAAACTTGCCCAAGGGCTTGTCAGCAGTAAAGCGGATAGGAGGAGAACTCTCAGGCGCACCCTTCGTGGCCAGCTCTGGCAGTTTCGAACAAAAGGGTCATCATGTCATAAGGGGGTTGTCGACCTTTTTCGGCACTCGAAATGATGTGGGACATAAGCACAAATAATCTCTGTCATCAGGCACTATTCCGGTTTCCGACCACAAACAAAATGCCATCGTAAATATAAATGCAGACTCCGATCCTGAAATTCTCTTTTCACCAATGCCATAGTGATTTGTGTCCGATCCATGCTGTAGCCCAAAATTCTGGTGTAATAGGCAAGCATGAAGGAGGGAATTGATTGAATCATTTGCACTCTCATGAGTTTGCCAACTTCTTTCAACTTGGGATCCTTCGCCCAGGCTCCTATGGGGATCTATCATGTGTTAGCTCATCGTTGACCTGATCGAAGTGGCATGGGTACCTTTCGAATCATTTCCGAGACATTTTGAAATCCAGCATCAATCATCCATTGTCGGTGAAGATGTGCGACATTGAGTCGCTTTCCGAACATGGTACTTGCTCTGTCCACTTCATGGATCCATTCTGAACAAGCCGGCGCTCGATCCATGCCCCCGTCATCACTGTTGAGCCAACATTCATGATCTTGCATTTCCATCCATCCACCTGGCCTCAGATTTTCATATGCTTGGGCATAAAACCTGGGCCAGTCCGCAATTCCCCCACATAAAGCACGACCGTGAATAAAGTCGAATTTCTCCGATTCCGAAAAAGCCCAGTCACTTTCGGCGTCGTCGATGTAAAATTGAACATTCGGAGGAACCCAGACGGGCTGAATGGGGGATAAATCAGTGCCAACCACTATGGCCATCGGGAATCGATCGGCCATTTCAATGGCCCAAATTCCAGTTCCGGTACCGAGATCCAGTACACGATGAGGATCCCTCGGTAATGGCGCCGTATACAACTCTCCACCGAGTACCATTTTGAAGAGATGATGCAGAAGGTCAAGCCGACTTTGTTCTTCTTCATCATTGGGAATGGGATATTCACCGTCTCGAAATGCGTGGTATGTCCGTCCGTTCTCGTATCGGTGGTTGTATATGGATGATCGTAGTGAAGTGCTCAGAACTGTCTGGGCGTCGTCGCTGAATGCAGAGTCTACATCATCTCTTTGACCCTGTCGGAATTTTTGTCCATAGTAAGATGAAGTGTTCTGTCATATTCAATGGGGGGAGAATGGCAAGGCTTACGCTTGCGTCATCTTCCACGGAGACATTTTCATCTTCCTGAACTGTCCAAGGCGGTTCATCGTCGAGACACATTTTCATGTCCTTGCCACGGTGGCACGGACATGAAAAGGATCTTAGAAATGGGAGCCCGCTATTGCAACAGATCGCAACTCATTCCCCTCTCCTCCGGAAACCAGGTAACATTGATCATTTGCAGGGACTGTTGAGAAAAGATGGCATGGTTTCGAGTCATGCCTCTCACCCCAAAAAAAGAAAGTTTTGTCGCATGGGGGTGGTGGACAATAAATCCGCCCACATTTACTTTGACCTAGCTCGTCTTCGGGGAGGCCACCGAGAGTGAAGACCGCCATTCAGGTCAAGCGCAGAAAGTCGCTCCGCGGTGAAGGGTTCATGCGGAAGTCTATTTACCTGGTCGGTCTTCGGAAAGTCCCCTGCTTAGTCTGTGGAACGGATCGGAACGGGGGGGCCAGTGGGTGGCTTGAGACAAATCCCTGTTTGGGCCCAAGTAGGCTACAAACACTTGGCGGTCAAAGAACAAAGGCGGTATAGAAGAGCAATGTGCTGGCTCAAACAAGTTATTTGACTTTCTCTCATGCCCAAAAAGAACATCTGTTGGCCCACAAGGCATAGGACAACTCCGCCCTCGACACGAAGGCCGGTGGTGAATCGTGTAAATCCGTTCGCAGTCAGGGCCTCCGCCGTGCACATAATTTGGCCCAGACAAGAGACGGTGGTCTGGGCCGAGATGCTGATGAAAATATCGATTCGTGGTACTGGAAACAGCGTTTCGTCTTATGGTTGGTGATTTGATAAGATCCTCATGGAGAAGGCCGCTCTAGTGGGAAGAGTCGAGCCACGGAAGCTTGTCATAATTCGCTTTGCCACGAAGCCGTGCTGGTTTCGTGAATTCTATGTCATTGAGCAAAGTGCTCAATGGTTATGAATAAAAGATCGTTTGAAGTGCCCATGGCTGAACTGTGCTTTGGGCGAACGAAAAGCGGTGATAGAACCAATGAACAATCAATCTAGTAGCGTGGTTGTCTGGTAAACAGTCTGTCAAGAAGTCCCGTGCGCAGCAAACTTACTTCCCCGAATTCGATTGTACGGTAGAAGCGATTTAAAAGGCAGTGTGCTGAGCGAATATACACACAGATAATACCATTCCAACCATTTTCGGCTCCAGAGTGGCGGCTGTACGAATCATGTCTTTCAACACGATTGAACCATGGGAAAATATGAATGATCGACCAAGAAAATCACAAAGGGTGACGAAACGTAGCCTTTTTCGTAGGAAAAGGTAGAGTAAGGCTGAGGGTAAGTTCAAAAGCACTAGGTCATCGGAGTGCCCAACCACAATACGAACTCTTTCTCACCTTGAAGTGACATTTGTCGAGTGTTTGAATCAGATGTCATCGAGGCGGGTCCTTACTACTATGTCGCCAGAAAGCAGATAATGCTGTTTTGAAAGCTTCCCAGCCAGACACCGGGCGGGCCGCGCTGATGAAATGAAAGAGCGAAACGAGCCTGGTGGAAGGGCGAAAACTCGGAAACCTGCCCAGTCAAGTCACGCGGGGTCACGGGATCTGCGAGGAGCCGAAGCAAACCAGACTTTTGAGCTCCCTAAGCCTTATTACGGCGTAGTGCTCTTCTCTCCCCATTGAATATCCAAAAGCTTTCATTTCCTCAACATCTAGACATCATACACAGCTCCGTTCTCCCATTGACCTTCTGTTCCAATTTTCGTCTTCTTGTCTCTTCATCTTTGATTCCCTGCCACAATGTCTTTTGCACGACAGGTGTTCGGTCAAGTTCAGCGCCGAGCCTTCTCGGCGTCTGCACGACAGGTATTTTTCTCCCCCCCCCCCAAAACGGTTGTCTTGCGCGGACTTAGAGCTAATCATCGTCCCTCATTAGCCCTCCAAGGTTGCCATTCTGGGTGCCGCCGGTGGTATCGGTCAGCCGCTGTCGCTGTTGATGAAGCTCAACCCTCGCGTTTCTCAATTAGCCCTCTACGATATCCGCATGGGACCAGGTCCGTTCGTCCGCAGCGTGCGTCCCATCCGAAAGATAATAACCTAAATGGATACACAGGCGTTGCTGCTGATATCAGCCACATCAACACCAAGAGCACCGTCAAGGGTTATGATCCGACTCCATCCAGCCTCCGAGAATGTTTGGCCGGTAGTGACATTATCCTCATCCCAGCCGGTGTGCCCCGAAAACCTGGAATGACTCGTGATGGTAAGAGGAAGCTCCAATACCACCAGGACCAGGATCTGATGGCTTTGAGATCTCTTCAATACCAACGCTAGCATCGTTCGTGACCTGGCAAAGGCCGCAGCGGATGCCGCACCCGAGGCCAATCTCTTGGTCATTTCCAACCCTGTATGATTTCCTTCCCCCAAGCCAGATCATCTTCCAGATCTTTCGGTTGACATCAATGTTAGGTCAACTCGACCGTCCCCATCTGCGCTGAGGTCTACAAGAGCAAGGGAGTCTACAACCCCAAGCGTCTGTTCGGTGTCACTACCCTCGATGTCGTCCGTGCCTCCCGATTTGTCTCGGAAATCAAAGGAACCGATCCGGCAGATGAAAACATCACCGTTGTTGGCGGTCATTCTGGAGTGACCATTGTCCCCCTGATCTCTCAATCCGGTCACGGCGATATCACCGGCGAGAAACTCGATAGCCTTGTTAACCGTATCCAATTCGGTGGCGATGAAGTTGTCAAGGCCAAGGATGGTGCTGGCTCGGCCACTCTGTCCATGGCCATGGCCGGTGCCCGATTTGCTGAGAGCTTGCTGAAGGCTGCGCAAGGCGAGAAGGGTGTCGTCGAGCCCACGTTCGTCGACAGCCCATTGTACAAGGACAAAGGAATCGATTTCTTTGCCTCCAAGGTCGAGCTTGGCCCCGATGGGGTCCAGAAGATCTACGAGGTCGGCCCTATCTCCAAGCACGAGGAGGCTTTGCTGGAGGCATGCTTGGGAGGCAAGTGGCACATGATCCTACATTGAGAACGTGACTGACAAGAATCGTAGACTTGAAGAAGAATATCCAGAAGGGTGTAGACTTTGTCAAGGCCAACCCATAGATGGTAACGGGAAGTTGTGGGGGGTGAGCCTCGCGTGTACAAAAGCAAAGTTTTCGGAGCGTTTGGGACAAGATTTTGCTTTTCATGACTCGGTATTCCCCGTGGGATACTGCTTTGAGCGTCATAAACAGAGAACCATACGCTGCACTTTGGTACTTCCCTTCTCGATCTCCTCGTACCTTGTATCTTGGTCTGTGGCGTATCTTCTGCGTGTTGCTAACCTGAGGGTGTATGTAATTCACCGCTTGTCACCACCACCTACCCCAGATGCCCCGGCATCCTTCCAACCTTCTGACCAGACGTTTGCGGACGGAGTTCAGGCCCTCTTGTGGCCGGGGCTTATTATAGAGCAGAGGGGGTGAGGCGGCAGTGTACCACCGGCCCACCAACCAAGAAGCTCCATGTGTGTGTCAAACCGCAACAACAAGCTTGAGGACTTTGCTTTAGGATTTGCGAGCCCCAACTTTCTTCGCCAGTTCCTTCTCTTGATCTGCTCAGGAACGCGTTTTCGGTCCAGAATCATTAGCTGCCTGCGAAACTACCCCGCCTCCAGCCGGGACAGGGCCGCATCTCAAAAATAGGTACCTTAACACCATCTCAACTTCAGGTACCAAGCGCTCGCAGCCTGAACCAGGCACTCATCGGCACCTTTATTCATCTTTGGAACGGCCAACCTGGTCGTATATTGTCCCTGTCCTCTTTTATTTGGCTGCTGGTGATCCGTCAACCCGATCTATTCACTTTCATCCGGCCACAGTGCCTGCGGGATTCCCCTCAATTACCAAACTCGGCCTGATCAAACTCTCTCGCCATCCACGTTCTCATCTAGTTCACACTGATCTTTTGGACCACAACTCACTTCATAACAGCATGCATTATCCACCTAGCACTCACCTCGTGGATGGAGATGGCGACGTTGTCATGGCTGATGAACACCCTGACGGAGACGCGAAACCGTACCAGAACGCCCGCCGTCAAAGCTTTGCACATCGACAGGAAAATCTTCCACAGGGTTTTCCGGAGGGAAGCTCTGTTTGGACCGAAGCAGTTTACCGATTCGCGCCGCGCTGGGAGCACGACGCGATGCTCCCGGGAAACGGTAAACCGTCTTTCGCAAACTCGGCTTCGGCTGGCTCAAATGTGTTTGGAAGTATGCGACATCTGCCGCCTCCCCAACCGAGGGCGGTAGCTACTGGACAGACATTTCAACCGGTTCAACCAGAGCAAAACAATCGATCCATCTATTCTCGACCAAACCCACCGAGTCCGACCTCGATCAGCACAACGACGGGAGAGGCAACACCGTCACCATCACTTCCGCCGCTATCCTCCGTCCTTCCCAGTCTCGCATACATGGATTTAGTCGGACGTCCCCACTTTCCCTCGCAGGGACAGTCATCGCCCGGCTCCGGCATGGCTGGTCAACCACCATCAACATCATCTTCTCTCGAAGAAGGTCTTTTGCAGCCACTACCCGGCTTCGGCGAATCGGCTCGGCGTTCTGAGTCACCACCCCTGAGGAAGACACATGACTCATCTGGCGAAGCAACCGTGATCAAACTGGCTGCATTTTCAACATTTCACCGCGAGTTGTCCCCTGGAATACGTGATGCAGGCCCACCGTTTCGAGATATGCGCAACCTGGGACAATTTCCGATTCCAAATATGGGTTCTCCCAACACCAACATCATGGAAGATCAAGAACAGCCACCACCAACACCACGACCTCGACATCGCCGTCGCATGTCTCGTCCACCCATCCCCCGGGTTCGATGCAATGCGTGCATGGAAGAATTCAAAGTGGACGACTTGCTGAATCTTGCCTGCGCCTGTCGTTATTGTACACCGTGTCTGAACCTCGCATTCCGAGCCGGCTGTGCCAATATGGCCTCATTCCCTCCAAAATGCTGTGGGAAACCATTGCGAATCTCTGTCTGGGGCAGTATACTTGACGCCGATGTCCTGGATCGGTACAAAGAGATCGAGGTGGAGTTCGGCGCCAATCGCCCTCTATATTGCGCTTCACTGACCTGCTCTGCGTTTATTCCTGACCATGAACATATTCTTCTACACGACGTCGCAGCATGTCCGCGGTGTCAGAAAGTGACGTGTAAACGGTGCCGAAAATTAATGGACACACATACCCACTGGGATGCCAAGGAGCGTGTTTGCCCTGAGGACGACGCGGATTTGATGGCTCTGTTCGCACTCGGAAACGAGAAGAAATGGAAACAATGCCCGACTTGTTTGAACATGGTGGAACGCATCGAAGGGTGTAATCATATGGATTGTATCTGTGGGGTGGAGTTTTGCTATCGATGCGGAGAGCTTTTCGACGAAGACGATTCGTGCGAATGTGACCCGAATAATTGGGAGGGTGATGACGATGACGATGTTGACGACGCGAGAGAAGATGGCGGCGGAGACAATACACATGATGGTGAAGATAGTGAGGAAGATGAGTGGCCCAATTTCCGTCTCGCGGTCGATGCTCTGGGTAGACCTGCGTGTTTCCACTGGGAAACGGATTCAATAGGAAGTGAGGCTCAATTTCCGTGTCATGGATGCTTGAGATCTCGACCGTTACAAAGTTGCACGTCTTGTGCAGTTGAGCTTTGCGAAAGTTGTCTGGACAGCGTTCAAAGCAGGGGAAGATCGAGAGACGGAGTCGACGAAGACGATGGTAACGCCGACCTATGGGTTAGCCCTTCGAACGGTGATGACTAAGAGGATGATTGTGAATGACTTCAGGCGTTTGGTCAGGACAGCATTGGGAGAGCTGAGCACTGTCTGTCGAATCACCAGGCAAATCAAACACGGCCATTTTTTCAGATATCTGGATTTTCTCAAACCATTTATTCGGGTTGTGTTGTGGCTGCAACATATCCTCAATTTGCGGAGTCAGGGATGTTTCGAATCGAGACGATACCTACCTATCTAACTCATGAGAGAGGGAAAGGGAGACTCTGAGCTCATCCTTTCATATTCGGGATTTGGCTTTTCCTCCGGGCACTACGGACGCCGGTCGACGGGATGGAATAGAGACGATTTCAAAGGCATGGACAACAAGACCAGGTTATCCGCGTACGCAAGCGAGGCCATGCACGTACGGGTAATGGTGATATTGTAAAGACCCAGCAAAGCTCAGTAGGATCCCCATATATTGCACGGCGGTGCAATGTCATGCGCCGCGCACGGACATATTGCAACGCACCACAGATAGGCAGTCAGGCGTTGGACAAGATCACAATGAACCCACCCGCTTATTCCCTTTCCCCAAACTCTTCATACCCTAAGGTCTCCTCGTTTCTTCATCGTGCATGAATCCAAGAACTAAGGGTCTGCAATTTTCAAAACACTCTTACCCAGATTCTTCCCTTCAAGCATACCCAGGAACCCATCGACGGCATTATCCATACCCGCCGTAACATAGTCGATGCTCTTGAAACTGCCGTCTGCGATCCACTTGGAAACGTTCTCGTCGCGCTCCGCGCGCCAACGTATGATGTTCGGATCAGACACGATAAAGCCTTGCCAGCGCAGCCGTTTGCGGACGACGGAACTATAGTTCTTGATCCCGTACGGGTTGGTGGTGCTGGAGTTGTTGTACGTCGAGATCGAGCCGCAGGCCACGATGCGGCCGAAATCTTTCATGTTGGCAAGGGCGACGTCTAGGAGTTCGCCGCCCACGTTGTCGTAGCTTGCCAAGTTAGTCACGAGAAGGGCAAGTTGTGAGACGATAGAGATAGGGGTTATGCACTGGGGAGGCCGGGAAGGGAAGGTAACGTACTAGATATCAATTCCATTCGGGGCCAGTCGTTTGACGGCGTCGGCGATGTTCTCGGTTTTGTAGTTGAAGCCCGATGTGAAGCCGAGTTCTTTGATGATGAAATCGAGTTTCCTGTCGTCACCGACGGAGCCGATGACCTGCAAGTGTTTGAAACATGAGCTTGGTGGCTCGGAGACGAAGGGGTGGGGAGATACGTACGTGGAGACCTTCTCGTACGGCGATTTGGCCCACCATTTGTCCCACGGCACCAGCAGCGGCAGAAACCAGAATGACATCTCCGGGCTTAGGCTGACCGATTTCATGCAACGAGCCGTACGCGGTCATTCCAGTCATACCGAGCAGACCCAGGTATGCGGTCAAGGGGACACCTACCTTGGGCTCGAGGATCTGGGTCCTGGCGACGCCTGCCTCGTCGATGGCCGAGTAGGATTCTGTGTAGTGGCCGGTTACCATCACGATGGCACCTTCTTTGATCTTCTCGTTGTCGCTCTTGAGGACTTTGCCAATCACACTGACCGAGACGACGGGCTTGCCGGTCGACATGGCTGCGGAGTACGAGCGGATGCTAGGATCTCGCATTCTCCCGCGCTGGCTGGGGTCAAATGCCGCGTAGAGGTTTTGGGTCGTAAAACCATTCTTGGGCGGAGCAGCCGACTCGTCAAAGCCAATGTCTTCCACTGTCAGGTCTTTACCCGGAACCGGCCAGCCGTTGGGGATGGATTTGTAGATGAAAGCTTTGTTTTGGATCATTCTGCTCGAGTATGGTTCGATAAACAGGAAGGAAATGACAGGAGACTGTTGATGATATACTACGGTGATTTGGATGCTTCGTCATAAAGGAGACTCGTCCGGGAGAACCCTGGGATGCCCGTCATTAATGTGCTTTTTGATAGATGAAGGGAGCACAGGGAAGTCTGTTTTGTCAGCAAGGAGCCAATGGTATAGCGGGATACCCGATAGGAGAGCATATATCCTCGGTTCGTTCGTCAAGAATGCCAGCAGTAGTAATCCTAATTCCACACTGACACTGGCTAATGGTATGCCCGTTGGTTGAAGTCATCAGCGGGGCTCTCAATTTCGGACAGCGGTGGTGCCCTGACCACTGCCGTCGGCTACGAAAATGGCCTTGGTCTGACACATCATCTCCCCTGTTCCTCAGGGGGGGCAGTGCCACCGTCAGACATTTCTCAAAGCCGCTCCCGCCTCGAGGAGTAATAAGTGTGACGGCCCAGCGGTGCCTGTCACGCAGCTTGGGAAGATGAAGCGCGTCGCGAAACCCCCAGCCTTCACCGCCAACAATTTCGCACCTCGTCACCACCATGAAACTCGACTGGTAGGCTGTCTTGTTCTGAGCATGCCTTTGTGCCTTGCACTGCTTCCCGTTGCCGCTCGACCAGTCTGGTCGTAGCCTTCACCGTCTTGGAGTTTTTGCTTGATCCCTTCCAGCGTTCCATCCTCCTCCGGGGGTGTGAATGTACGCGTCATGGCCGGTCTACTCAATTCTCGCGACCTCCAACAGTGTCTGCAAAGCTATCGTGCCTTCGATGAAGCTAGACAGTCCGAATTGGAGAACTTGGCTCAAATGTGTCTCAGACTCCATACCGAACGCGTTACTCTACAAAGTGACCTGGATGATGAACGCGATATCCGGAGAACATGGAAGAGGCGCGCCGAGGACGCCGAAGCGGTCATCCAGCGCAAGTTCGTTGTCGTGCTAGTTGATGGAAATGGATACATTTTCCAGAAACCCTTCTTCCAGGCTCTTGCCACCTCGGGCGGTTCCAGAGCTGCCAATTATCTGTATGCTGAAGTCATCAACAACCTAAAAGCATCTGACGGTCCGCCGGCCATCCCCCCGGACTGTGATGTCCTGGTGAATGTTTATGCCACCAGGGCTGTCCTCGCCCCAACTCTAGCAGCGGCCGGATATCTTAGCCACCCCTCTCAGATCGATACATTCTTCGGTTCCTTCTCTCAGAGCCACAGTCTCTTCCAGTTCATCGATTGCGGCCCAGGCGAAAAGAGAGTGGATGCTAAACTACGAGGTATAGTCGATCCGGCCCCCCGCCTCCTTGTTCCCCCTCTGCTCACCATGTCATTAGATACGTTCCGCTTCTATGCTTATAATGCACAGTGTCAACGCATCTTCCTGGCTTGTAGTCACGAGGACGGTTACATTGCCGAGCTGGACAAATACCGCCACGATGAAATGGTGATGCCCAAGGTCATATTAATTCATGCCGCACAGACCGACACCACCGCTCGAGCCTATGCCGGCCTCCCATTTAAATTCACTCGATTCGATACTGTGTTCGAAACCGCACCACTGGATATGACATGCAAGGTTGAGCCAGTGTACACTCCGCCAGTGTATGATGGGACCACACGAGGATCGTCACCAATGGACTATCATGCCGGAAAGGACTTTACACCGGCTGCCATTATGTCAAATTGTTCATCCCATTCAGGTCCACCGGAAATGGTCCCATTAGTGCCAGGGACCTCGAACACAAACACTCCACCGAGACCCAACTCGCCCACACCGCCGGCAAAAGCAGCCAAGCCAAAGCCAGCTGTTGCAGGACCGCTTCCTGCAGTCAATGGTACTAGCGAAGCCAAAACCGGAATAGCGATCAATCGCCACGGACAAAGAATTGATTTGAAGATACGGGAGCCAACCGGTGCTGAATTGGACAAATTCGAGAGACGCATCAGTCATCGCAAGCTCTGTAATGAGCATCACCTTCGAGACAATTGCGAATCATACAATTGCAAGTACGATCACGACCCGATCGATGCTGTGATGAAGAATACGCTGCGATACAAGGCAAGAAGTATTCCATGTACGCAGGGATGGAAATGTCGTCGTCAGGATTGTTTCTATGGTCATCAATGCCCCTGGGGAAACAGCAAATGCGGTAATCCGAAATGTGCCTTCATCAAGACAGGACTGCATGACATAAAGGATTTGGAGATTGCCAGATTTGTGCCAGCTCAACCGGTGACTTGATGTCAAAATGGACCGACCGGAGAACCAACGTGTGCGCAATTGATGTACAACCAATGGGGCTCGGATCGGCTTTTCTTGTCCTCACCGAGTATAGGCGAGATATCTCTTGATAAGCGGAGCGGTACGATAGTATGCCATTTAAATATCAGATGGAGGATGAAGATGATCCGACGCCAGCGTTTGACCTTTTCTGTACGTAAAATCTTGTCCGCGATCGACCGAGAATCGCTTCTGGTCTTTACTGCGGAGTTCGGATGTCTCTAGCGAGTAAAATGGTAACGGGAAACAGTCCCCCCAGGCCCAGAGGTATACAGACGAGCTGAATTGATCCCTGCATGCATTCCATGTGGCCTCTATACTAGCCGATGACGACGTTTGTTCAGTGGAGTTTGGTGGCGGTGACTTTGCCCAAAGCAGCTGAAGCTTGAGTTCCTCATCAACCTTGACTTTTCTCAATCTAGCATACAGAAACAAGGCTACCAAAAAGGCTGCGATCAGGCAAAAAACTCCCCGTCACCTGTGTCGCTTGATCCAATCCGAGCTGCGCTTTACCACCGGTTTGGTTTGCGTTCAGGCCTCAGCCATCCACCACCTTTCTGCCTGCCCGTAGACATAAATCTCCGTTCGTGTTTTCTGCCTGACTTGAGTCTCAGACCTCGCATTTTATGATTTCAACTGCTGACGCTGCAAATGACTTGAAAAGCTGCCTGCGCTCGGCATTTCGTGCCTCACCACGCGTTCTCTTCCCAACCTTCCCGGCCTTCCAACATTCCATCTCGCTCCTCCTCACACCCATTCCCCTGACGGTCGAGATGGATCAAACTCCCAGTGTCACAGAAACCAAAAAGACTGAACCCTCCACTGACCGACCTCCTGTGAACAATCTCCCTCCCTCCGAACCTGTCAAGGAGCCAAAGACGTGCAAGAAACATGCCCAACTTTCCACAAAATCAAAAGTCAAGCAGAGTGGTAAGGCGAAGAAGGTAGAAAAGAGCGAGGAAGAATCCACGGACTCGGATGACTCTTCTGAAGCTTCTTCTCCTAGTGACGACTCCGGCGACTCCGACAGCGATTCCTCCATTGACCCGGCCATCAAGAAGAAATTGATGGCGAAGCTGCTAAAGGCGGAGGCAAAAGCCCGGTCGAAAAAGTCAAAGAAAGACAAGAAGGCTCAGAAGAAGGCGGCCGTCCTCCAGGAGGATTCCGACGACACGGAAGAAGACGACTCGAGAAACCAGCTGACCAAAAAGGAACTCAGATCCAAGCTCCACCAGGACTTGAACCTCACAAAGAAGGCCTTGAAGAAGTTGAATGACCCCGATGAGTCAGACACGGTCGAGATCCAGGAAGACCCCAATTCGGCCCGACTTCGCGCTCTGAAATCCTCTTTACGAGGCCTCGATTTCAATCCTCCGCCCATCGGTCAACCCAATTGGACCCTACCGAGAGGTCAACCGATCGGCCAACCTGTCTCTCTGGGTGGATGCAATCCTGCTGGAAGCGCTTCCCGTCGACAGATCGGTCTTGACGAGCGATTATTGGTCCAAGAATCCGGGGCCGTAAAGCCCAAGAAGACCAAACGGGCCTCCAAAGTGGCCTACAAGCGGGTGGACCAGTTATGGGATCAGTCAATACACAACTTCAAACTGACCGAGACCGTCAAGAGCACGGGAGAAACAGTTTGGGATCAATACATCTTCACCGTCCGCCGAAAGTTCGACTGGGAACAGAAATATCTTGCGACCGTGGTAGATATCAAATCCAAACCTCTCAAAGAATGTCTTCAACATGTCATGATCGGTGTCAAAGGTGTCAGCCTTGTGGAAGATACCCCTCACCTGGATCCTAATATGCTCTTCCTCTACCTTGAAGAGATGAGAGAATATGTCGACACGTTGGAGGACGAAGCGAGTGGGCGCAAACGCAAAGAGCGAAAGGCGCTTCTCACCAAAGCGAAGCATCTTCGCGTCATGGTCAAATATCTGGACAAAGACTATGCGGACACCAAGAAATCGTTGTATCCCATGCTGGAGAACAACACGATCACTTTTGATCTTCTGTGGGCGCTGTACAAACCCAACACCATCGCATATTGTTCGACCTATGGGGATCCGGACGAACCCCGTGCTTTCAAGATCGACTTTGCCAACAAGGAGGCACATTTCATGAGAGGCCAATGGTACACCGTTGAGGGCAGATACCTCGAGTACGATGGCAGGTCATTCGGAATGGGTACTATGCATACCGAGGTACCGACCTTTCAAGGAGCTCGCAAGATTTCGTCACTGGAGTGTTATCCTTTGCAATACCACAAGGATGCCGGGAAGCTCAAAACACAGCTGATTGAACGTGGAAAGCACTTTGTGTCCCTTCAAGGCATGAATTATCGTTATCACAAGGGCATGGCCTACACCAAACGCAAGAAGCAAGTCTTGAAAATCAACATTGACGGCCGAATCATGGTCGACCCTGCTATCCATCGTCGTATCAACCCCAATTATCCCATCAGCACCGTCAAACCGAAAGAAGATCACGAGGTGATCAATATTGATGACACCGAGGAAGATTGCGGATGTGGAATCGACGACAGTTCCGATGAGGGCCTGAATAACCAGAATGCGCCGACCGACGACACTAGTCCGGTGAAGAAGAGATTCAGAGTCGTCAAAACCTCCGATGGACAACACGCCATCGTCGAAGTTCTCTCCAAGGATGACCGGGGAGCTCCTCAGCAGAAAGAACCTCTGGCCGATACCACGCAAGAAGCCCGCGAATTCACGGAAGAAGAATTACTGATTGCCAGTCCGGTCGTATTGGGTTTTGCTTTTGGTGAGAAGCTGTGGCTCGAATTCACCGTCTCGGGAATCTCCGAGGTTGTCTACAACGACCAAGCATTCGAATCTCTTGTGCTTCCCGACAATCAAAAGTCCATCGTCAAAGCCCTGGTGTCCAGTCATGCCTTCCATGCGCATCGAAGTATCGACGATATTATCTCCGGCAAAGGTCGTGGTTTGGTTGCGGTTCTTCATGGCCCCCCCGGCACCGGCAAGACACTCACCGCCGAGGGAATTGCTGATCTTCTGAAATGTCCGCTGTACATGGTCAGCGCCGGTGATCTCGGCACCGATCCCACCAAACTCGACAAGGAACTTCAAAATATTCTCGACATTGCTCACAGTTGGGGTGCGATTCTCTTGTTGGACGAAGCCGATGTCTTTCTTGAACAGCGTTCGATCCACGACATCCATCGAAACGCGCTGGTCAGCATCTTCCTCCGCCTTCTGGAATACTTCCAGGGTATTTTGTTCCTGACGACCAACCGAGTCGAGACGTTTGACTTGGCCTTCGTTTCTCGCATTCATCTGTCGTTGCGCTTCCCCAATCTGACCACCAAAGCCAAACGCACGGTTTGGAAGCTCTTCATCGAGCGCGTCAAGAATCAAGAGAAGATGGAGGTTGCACCAATCTTGGAGTCGGATTATAATGATCTGGCGCGTCGTGATGTCAACGGCCGACAGATCAAGAATCTCGTTCGTGCAGCACAGGCATTGGCAATTCATGAAAATACACCTCTTAGCATGGTTCACATCAAACGTGTCATCGATGTTGCCGAGAGCTTTGAGATCGACCTTAAGGGCGGAACGGGATATTCGGATGCTATGAGGAGTGAGTTTGCATATATTTAAACCCTGTGACCCGCAGATAATTGCTAACTTTGAGGTCAGGTTATACTTGATCTGCTACACATGAGAGGAATTTGACAACCTGAATATAACCACGGGAAAGAACGGATCAAGGTCAAGAAGCTTGGTAATGGCAGAGGCTTTAACTTTTCGATTCGATACTGTTTCCCGTGTCTTTCGAATCCCGGGGGAAGGCTCGTTTCTCCCTTGTTCACTTTCACTTCTCCAGTGTGTAATCAGCGTTCACGTGGTAATCGATTCTCTTGATGAATCAAGAGCGTTGGAATGGAACAACCTTACGAGATGCGAGAAAACGGTTACGAAATAGACTTGCTTGATGCTCGATACGACGCATACTCTTCTGATTCTTCATGAACTCTATATTTCCGGGGCGAGGAGTTTGAAGCATTGGCGTCATCAGATTAACCTTCATAGCGAAGTAAAGCAAGCAAACAAACTATTCAGGTTGAATTCCAACCTTGGGTAATACTTTGTTCTCATCGCCTTGCGTCATGTAGCGGCGTGTCGTCCTGCACCTCATGCCACGTGCCATGTCGCGCCCCATTTCGTGATCCTCAATTACCTTTGCCTGGCATGTTTCCATGAGACAAAAGGATATGGATATTCATTCACGTGAGCTTTCTTCATTCATGTGAACTTTATCCTGACTCAGTGTATACCAACAGGCGTTAGAGATCCGTCTGATTTTCCAACACGACGTGACTAACAACAGGTGGTAGCCTGTTCCGCACAGCCTTGTCCTCATCATCCCAATCCTTCTTCCAGACCAAAATTGTAAAGCGCTCACTTCGCTTCCCAGCTGGCAAATACTCTCCTACTCCATTTCACCGTTGTCCCTTTTTCCCTCTTTCACCTTGCACCATTGCTCTTCCTCTTCTCAGCCCTGCCTTAGCCTGGTATCCCAACAAACACTACCATTGACCCCCCTCTCCCACTCTTTCCTTCGGACCACCGCTTCTTTTCCCCTTTCCTTCACGTCCTCGACCTCGATGGCCTTTATTTCTCCCTCTCTCTGTGTTTATTGCGCCAAATATCCCCCATCAACCGCCCACCCCTGGCCTGTGACCCAACTGGCACCTTCCCCCGCCAAAAAGACCGCCACCTTCGCAATATCCTCCGGTCTTCCCAGGCGTCCCCACGGATGCAAGCTCTTCAACAAATTAGTGACTCCTTCCCGTCCGCCGCGCGCATACATATCCTCCAACATTGCCGTATCCGTGAACCCGGGCTGGAGCGCGTTAATGTGGATACCGTCCCGAGCGTACTCCAGGGCTGTTGCCTTGGTGAGTTGGAGGACGGCACCCTTTGTCGCGCAGTAGGAAGATACACCTGCGAAACCGGCGGAGCCGAGAATGCTGGAAAGGTTGACGATCCAGCCTCGATGCACTTCGTTGTCCGGCCCCGTAGGACCTGGTGGCTGAGAAAGAAATTGGGCGACCGCGTATTTCGTGCCGAGGAAGACGCCGCGGACATTGACGGCAAGGGAGCGGTCGAGAGTTGAGACGTCCGTTTCGTGGATGCGGAGGGGTTGGCCTCGGTAGGAGGGGGAGTTGGCTTCGGCGGATATGCCTATACATATGTAGGACGTGAACACGAGGGGAATAAGTAGCAATGGTAAGTAAAGATTCTCACACTCCTCCTTCAAGACCAGAGGACGGAAGAGATTCGAGACAATTTCACATTGACAGTGACGGACCGGCTTCTCTGTTTTTCCCCGTTCGCTCTCCATCCGCGGAGATATACACCGACAGAAGGAGGCTTATGGAAGGTTCAGACTTACCGGCATTGTTAACCATAACATCCAATCTCCCATACGTCTGCACCGCAAACGCGACCGCTCCCTTCACGCTCTCTTCATCCGTGACATCGCAAGTGACAAAACGTGCCTTCTTCAACTCGGAGCTAGTGGGCAGCGGCCATTTCGTATTTATCAAGTCGACGGTCGGCGTCGTCAAGTCGGTGCCTTTCAGGTTGTCTGCAATAATAGGCTGAGGAGGCGGGTTCGGGCTCAAGTCTGCCGAAACGACATACGCGCCTGCTGCGGCGTAGGCTTGGGCGATGGCTCGACCGAGACCTGAGGAGCCGCCGGTGATCAGTGCAACTTTGTCCTGGAGCGAGGCAATGTTGCCGATGGGTGAGTCTGCGGTGGGATAAACAGGAGGTGCATGGGCGTGGACGTTGCCGTTTCTGTTTTGTGCCATGGTTCAACAAACTGCTTCTTCAGGTTTGAAGGAGGTAGAATTGGTGTTGATGCAAAACGGCGACTAGATAGAGAAAGCACAGGGCTATGTATTGACAAGAGCCATAGGGCCAAGGGTTAGTTTTGGATCAAGAATGACATATATGCCGACTTCGTAAATCGCGCCTCGACCACATCGACTCGGTATGTCCCACCCATGTATTGGGGAAGAGAACCTGGGACCCCTGTAAAGTTCAAATTACGGGGAACAAAACACAGGTCGAGGTTTGACCGAGGATAAGATGGAACGGCAAGAACCCAAAATTTAACAGTTTCCGGACGAATCAGTTGATCTGACACCCCCCCCCCGGGTCATGGTGCAAAACACGACTCGTAGATGAATCCCCAGATATGCATGGCATGACAGTCTCCTCATCCTTATGCAAGATAGACAAGATCACAAGATCACAACACTGTACAGTCGTCATTCCTCATAGCCACTTCCGGGCTTTCCAAAACAAACATGCGTGGGCCGGAAATACCGTCTTCATTGAACAAGTCCCGCTACCCCAAAAAATAGATTCCTCAAGTCGATACTGTAGTTGCCGTTTTGCCCTTTTCCGCAAGTCTGAGGGCCTGTTCTAATCCATCATCGCCATCGTCAGATAGTTCGTCCAAAATTCGATCAATGAGAGCGGATTTATCAAAAGAAACATCTGTCGATCCTGCTTCGGAGAATGTCACTTTCTTGGGAGACGTCACAGATGTCTGGCTGAATTGAGTACGAAGTGGTGATGGTAAAGTTGGTGCCGACCGAAGAGATGGATCTGGAGATGTCTGTGAAGGAGGATTATGTCCAGAATTGTTGGGACTGGCCATAAAGAGCAGGATCTCGACTGCATCTGCTTCCATAGCAGCATTTTGACTGGGAGTTCGTTGACTGGTCGATGGTCGCGAAGAATGCATCTGTCTCGCAGGGACCTGATGACCATTGGCAGTATGATAGGCTGCGTTAGGCGGAGGTCGACGTCGTGAAGCAGGCATAATGTCGACGGGTGGTGCGAGAGCACGACGAGATGGAACTGGAACTGGAGGACTTCCCACCATATTCACCAGTCCACGATTCTCAAGAGCAACTGTACTGTCAGATGAATCGCTTTCACTAGATTCCTGCTGATATTTTCTCGACATGACCGTCCGTGGAGAAGGGACAGTCGGATCGTTGAACCGTTGGAACCCGGAGACTGTAGAACGAGGTGATTGAGACGCCAAAGACTCGACTTCGTCCAAGGAACGTGATTGCCAACCATTCTGGACTTTGATCATTGCGTACTTGAGTTTCGTGCGCAATTGTTGTGAGAGCTAGGAGAGGTCAGTTTTCAGATAGAAATCTAGGGTGAACCAAATGCTACCAACCTCGAGAACATTTCCATTGGTCCCGTGCGAGATCAGACCAGATGTGCGCGAATGATGGACACCATTGGAATGGGAAACAACATCGGCTAACCCGTTCACGCTGATTCTCTTGACTTGGCCACTTGCTGTCCGCTTTGCACCCGAAGTGGTGTTTGGCGGCGGGCTTTGAGAAGTTGACCCAGACTGTGGTTCCTGTGAACCTTCGCTCTCAGCGGTTCCTCGATCATCCTGTGTCTTCTCCTGCGTGACCATCGAAGTCGGGGACTCTATCAGCGGCACATCCACTTGACTAGATATGGCAGATGTCGGGGGTGTCGAGTCATCTTGGTGAGGTGCGGCATTATTCGCGCTGGAAACATCGCTGGGAGATAAGTTCAGATTGGTCGGTCGAGAAGATCGCGAGGGAGAAGAATCTTGACAAGGACGAAGAGGATGAAGCGAGTCGCAGGATAGAGGTGCATCTGTCACCTGTGGCCGTGGTCGATCTGCCGCAGTTGACGCATGCGTAGAGGCATGGTGCAGATTCGTATCTAGCAGATCAGCGGTGCCGATCATGCCCGTGAGAGAAACAAACGTATGTAGAATGAGGTCGTTGAAGAAAGGAAAGGCAGAGAAGGAGGAAGAAGAACGACAGGACAGGACAGAAACCAGAGAATCGTGGGCTTGAGAAGTCGGTCGTGCGTTGGTAGTGGAGTTGCAGGGGAGCCCGGTCTCCCAGTTTGCTCGTGAAGCGCGCGGCGTGTATAAGGACTAACGAGCAGTAGGGCGAAGCAACCCTCGATGACGCGTGTTCTAATGGCCCGAGGCAGACGCGTTGTTGTGATAAGGGAGAGGGAAGACGATGCCAAAGAAGAAAATGGGGACGAGGAGGACATTCAACGCGTGTCTAGAGCAGGGGAGACTGTGAAATCAAATCCTGACGCGATTAATACCTGAGAGAAGTCCTCTGCACGCGCCATTTCTTCTTCCCGCATATCGCCCGCTGTATATCGTCGCCTCGTCTCTCTCCGCTTTCCGCCCAGCACTTTCAAATTTTCACCCACTAACGTCACCCGGTCTGCGAAAGGTCCGCATTTAGGCGAAAATGTATTCAACGGGGCACTTTTATGCAACAGGGGTATCCTTAAATATCAAACACACCACACACCGTCAGGATCGCTTCGACCGTTTCCCGCCACCTCCACCGCTACCGCCACCCTCCCCCGTCGTCTTGCGTTTGCGTCCTTCCCGTCTCCAGAACTCATCCCGTTCTCTCTTTTCTCTCTCCTCTCTTTTCTCCAGATTCTCGGCCACCTTCTTTCGATAGCCCGCTCGCCTTTCTTCCTGCTTTTTGGCACGTTTCTCAGCCTTCTCGTTCCTCAACGTCTGCAATTTCTGCATCAGATCTCGAGCTTTCTTCTCCTCACCACCCAAGACCACGGCTCGTTTCTGAAGATACGTCGGCGCCTTGCGCGCTTTCTGCTGAGTGATTTGTGACTTGAAGGGAAGATCGGCAGCAAGAGCTCGAGGGACTCTCAATGGATTGAAATGCCGGGTTGGTCGTTCAACCTTGCGGTACGCTGAATCTTTGACAAGTGGTGTGGGTATTCCCATGGCCGCTCGAACGGCACCGGTGAGACGCATGGCTTGCCATCCACTCGATCCATCATCGACACCTCGCCCTTCTCCGTCCACGACATCACCACTCCCGCTGGGTGGTGCATCTAAGAGGTTGGTCACCGGATTGTAAAAGCGATGAGGTCGAACCGGGAACCAGGCACGTAAAAACACAATATCAGACATCAGGAGCTTGTCTTCAAAAGTGGCCCGGAAATGTCCTTCAGGCTTGCTCAGGGCTCTCTTGATTTGTCCTCGTATACCTGACACCGTTCGAATACTGGCTCCTTCGAACTTGGCAATCTCAATCGACGAATTAAACATGTCGCGAATGAAGGCCGTGTTCCGGAAGATCTTGTAGGGATATCCGGTCAGTTTCAATTTCTTGACAATCTCCGTCGTCTCATCCACGTTCAATACGACACCAGTGGCGGCAATTCGAAATCCAGGGTTGGCATTGGAGAACGATTGAACACAACAGAACCCCGTATTCGGAGCAACTAGAGGCCCATAAAACGTGCCGAAGCAGTGCATATGCTCGGGGGTGTATTTCAACATTCGATTTCGCGTCCGAGAATCCGATATCGAGTACAACGGTAGTGTTTGGAACCGTCTCCAGCCCAGAGAAAAGATGAGGGGATCATTGGTTTTCAGAATCTTCTTGTGCCACCGATGTCGCTTGATGCGAACCTGCACAAATCCAAATCGATTTTCCGTTGGTGCCAAACCGCCAATGATGACGGGCAGCTTAGGATTGAATGATCGCACGAATTCACACGGGACTTTGTCCAGAACGATGCGTGCATAAGTCCCTGCTCTGAATCCTTCTGCCCGTGCTCGTGAAGTGGGGTCTAAACTGTCGAATTCTGCTCGATTGATATCGAGCTGCTTTTGGAGCATGGCCTTTTGTGCATCATACCATTCGTCTTCTCCAAATTCGTGCTCCGAAGACTTGACTTCATTCTTCGCGTTGGCCAAACCCTCACGATCTTCTTCCTCAAACCTCAATCGGAGTTCTTCTTTTCGTTTCGCATTTCTTGCCCGTTCCTCTTCCAGGGTCAATTCGGTTTGAGCAGGAGTGTCTCCGGAAGCTTCGGCTTCCAAGTCTTCGAATTCACCATCTCCTTTATCGGACTCGTCCCTGGCGCCGTCGTCGAATCCAGCGTCCCCTTCTGCCTCGAAATCCGCATTAGCTCCAGTGGCGAAAGAAGCCCTCGTAAATCGAGCCATGATAGATTGGACATGGTTATCATCTTCCCACTTCTCCGCCAACTGATCAAAATCATATCTGGGGGTCTGTCGATCCTCCTGATCTGTCTCCTGTTCCGTGTTTGCTTTTTGGAAAAAAGTGTCGTCATCTTCGTCGTCTTTAGCCGTAATATCCTGCCGGTCTTTCTCGCCCCGCCATTTCGCCAGTACCTGGGCGGGAGAAAGAGTCAGGTCGTACATGAGTTTGGAGAGATCTGCAGCACGAAAAGAAACTTTCGTGGAATGTAACTTTTGGGCATATTCCATAAGATTTTCCTTCCATCGAAGACCACCGTCATCTTCCTCTCCGTCAAAATCAGACTCATCGTCTAATAAATCTTGACTTCCCCCTTCATCGCCAGAGACGGAACCCATGTCGGAATCGCTCTCAGCAAAAGCCAGGCCGTCTTCGAGTCCGTCCTCGTCAAGGTCGTCTTCTTCAGCCACACCTGGTCGTCCCGTATGCCCAGGAAAATCACTGACTTCTTCATCTTCATCTTCCGCTTCAGAATCGCCTTCTCCACTGACAAATCCCTCATCGTCATCTTCTTCGACATTCTCATCGAAATCACCGCTCTGATTGAACGAGCGAGCACCTCTTTTGACTGTTCGACCCATATCATTGTCCGCATCATCACCCCCTATGAGATGTCGGCCGCCGTGGAATAGCCGTACTCCCGTATTCACGTCTCCTAGGAGCCTTCGTTCACCTTGTAAGCCAATCATAAGTTGCTCACCAAGTCCTCGACTGTCAGCATCTTCAGCGTCTCGATCGAATGTGTTTGTCTTCACGTCAATATAGACAGCGTCTTTGTCCACCAGAACTCCGCCAACATCAGACATGGGAGCAAACAATACTTTTTGTTTCTCGCCCAATCTTCGTTGGTTCGATCTTCCAGCAGCTTTGGCAATAGCTTGATCGAGAAAAGGCGTCGGACATGGGTCCGGTAAGGCTTCGATCTCTTTGACGGTCAAATCTCCTACGCCGGGGACATGGACTCGTGCCCCATCCGCTGGGAAGTTGGTGCCTCGAAGATAGCCATAGAGAGCGACTTGTCTATCGCATTTTTCATTTTCCTCGATCTCAGTGGGGGGGGTGACGTCTAAAAAACGGTCGGCCAGACAGTATGGATGACTATTTCTCCAAATCAACGGTCTGGGATTTTTCATGACCGAGAGAAACCGTGATAAATTATGGATCTCTCGATCAGGATACCTACCGTTGATCACGCCGGAGAGGTAGAAGAGTTTTGCGCCTTGGTACAATTCGGACCAAAACCGATGTTTTAGCCTCTTCTTCGCCATGCGGAGTGTGCTTTGCTTCTTGAATAGATCTAAGTGTGTAAGGACGCCAAAGACATTGCCCGGCATGCCGGAAGTGCTCAGGGCGTTTAAAAATTCCATTGTCTCCATCTCAAATCCATAGTTCCCGTCGATCATGAGCAAGACGATATCGGCAATTTTGGCGACATCGATCATGGCAGCGAGGGAGTCTGAGGGACATTCGAGGAAGGTGAGTCGTCTTCTTTTGGAGGTCACGACGGTTAGAGGGCCGGTGGGACGGGACAAGGTCTGCTTGGAATATCGTTTGATGAGACTTTTGATGAGGGTGGATTTTCCGACACCCGGGGGACCGACGACAGCAACGATAATGGGCGGTGCTTCTTCCGGGATTCGATCGACTTGAGGGACGTGCAGCCGTTTTTCTTTGATATCACTTGATCGCACAGCCTGTTTGGCAAGCCGGCCTGGATTGGCGACCGCGAATGCCTTCACATTTTTCTCGCCTTTTTTTGGTTTCTTCTTCTCCTTTGAGGCCCGATGAGGCCTGTTCGACTGTGACTCCATGGTTTCCACCGTACGACACCACCACCTCCTCCACCAACGGGCAAGAGAAATGAATGAGTGTAGATGTGTCGGTCTGCGAAAAGTTTTGGGGGTGGGTACAGTCGATTAGTTTCGGGAATAAAACCGAGAATCGGTAAATCCGACAGAAGCTACTCTATTCTCGGAGAAGCCTCCTGCCGCTTTGATCTCTATAAACTTTCTTCGACGAGGTTGAACCCCCTGAATTCTACCACATCCAATCAAAGAACGAACAATTCGCAACTTCATCAGACGCTTCTGGCTCCTAGGACCACACAAGCTGTCTGTACAGCGATATCACGATCTTAATTCGCTGCTCCAAATACCTCAACCAATCCGTGTAGTATCCACAGCACGTGATGCTATCACGTGATTCAGCATGACGGCTAACCCTCCGCATAGATAGGCTTTCTCTGCCGTTACGGAGCCCTTCCTGGCTCCTAGCCTTTCATCTCACTCGATTGGCTTTCCACAGTCAGCACGAAGTGGCAAGAACGATGCCGCACTCTTCATAAATTCAAGTCGTTTGTGACGAAGCGTCACTCTTCGAGAATGGCAGCGGCTATTTAGAAGAATGCGAAGAACGAAACCACCAAACCTCTGTTTCCAAGCATGGCGTTCCAGCAGTTACACCAGCTGGTGGAAAGTGCACATGTGTATACCAAACACTCCGAGGGTCGTGGTAATGGGCTATTCGCCTCACAAGATACAGCTCCCAAGTCTAGGGTGATTTTCGTTGAACGGCCGCTTCTGATTGCGCTAGAAACCTCCAAGCTTTCCACCCATTGCTATACGTGCCTCAGATCTCCAGAAGACTCCTGCTATGCCATTGTAAACGGCGGGGCGCCGAGTTTGAAGATTTGTAGTGGATGCAAAGTGGTGAAATTCTGTGACAAGGTGAGTCAAGCCTCGTGCCCCATGTCTCTGTTCCTATCGAGGACACGTGTCTGTGATTTTACTGATGAGGTTGATACCTGTGATCAGAAATGCCAATCTCAGGCCTGGTCGCAGTATCATCGCTTGGAATGTAAACTCTACGCCAGATTACACCCACGAGTGCTCCCCAGCGCAGTCCGGGCTATCACACGTCTTCTGAAGCAGCACAAAGCAGGGATGCTTACGAAAGGAGAGTGGGAGGAACTCCTTGCATTAGAGAGCCACCAGCAGGATATGGCCAAAGAAGGAGGAGAACGCTGGCAAGACTTTTTGTTAATGATCCAGGGGATCGTGTCCTACTCGGGGACTAATCACACTCCCGACGTGATACTTCGACTCCTTTGCTTGGTAAGAAAGATCAAACCGTCCTCAAAACCCGGTAATTGACGGTCCTAGTTAGCTGTGAACTCTTTCGCCCTCACGAATCCAACATTCGATCCCATTGGAATGGTTCTCCATCCCAAACCGGCCTTATTTAACCACTCTTGCGAACCAAATGCTTTTGTCAGATTTGACGTGCCAGCGTCATCGAGGCAGCCTGACATTCCAACATGCGGCAGTATATCCGTCTATGCGGTGCGATCCATTGCTAAAGATGAAGAAATTACGCTTTCATACATCGACACGACATATCCATTCGACAGGAGACAACACGAGCTGAGAGGTCGATATTTCTTCACTTGTTCATGCGACCTGTGTGCAAAGGGTCCTAACTCTCCTCGAGACCATTACCTGTCGCCACCTCCTTCAACAGCGATCGACATTGGGAATGAGGCTGAGCATATCCTTTTGCGCGTGGAGGCAAAACCAGGCCTCGAGCATACTCAAATTGACGAGATCAGAGATCGCATGGAACAACTGGCCAACACGGGTGTCTGGCCTCTCCATCGCTATCCATTTCCGCAACTGCGCCAGCAGCTGCTATCGGCACTGCTCAACTTGAACAGATTTCCCGAGGCGTTACTGCAGTCAGCTATGTTAGTGCGAATGACGCTCCCCATCATGTTTGAGCAGGACTACGATCCGACTCTCCTCATGCATATGTGGACGTTTTGGAATATCTGTGGACACTGTCTGGGAATGAAAATGCAGAACCTCACACTGACCGAGCCGATCCCATGCGATGTCCAAATGCTCGGACTGCTGGGTTGTGTCGTGATTGATGATATGCATACCGCTTTGAGTGAAGGCGTTAGAGCGAATGGCGAGCTGGAACACGTCGTAGACGAGGCATTTGAACAGGTAAAAATCGAAAGAGCTTTCTGGGAAGTATACCAGCAAACTCCCGAGGACACTCGCCAAGCTGTATGGTTATGGATGGATGGCCAACTGGAGACTTTATTGAGGAATGGGGGCGTTTCTCAAGACATTATCGACTTCTCTATGAAGAGACAAGGCTGAATTCGGTCTGGGCATCTCCTGGCCCCCACAAGTCGAAGGATTGAGGCTGTGTTCATAAAACCAGGGGGTTTAACCGGGTCGACACTGAAGCTCCTTGATGATCAGAGCCTGTGACGCTGGTGCCTGGCCAAGGATCCGAGACTCGAGCAGTAGAGCTCCAAAAATACTCATATCCCCCAACTTCCTTCCACGTATTTCTTCATACGTTCACTGTGCAACTAAGCTCAGAGTTGAGCACTCTCACAGCGTTTTCTTGGGACTATTTCAATAAGTTGGTAACGATGGACCCATCCCATCATGAACTCGATGCCTCAGAAGCCGCTGGTTCGGTTGCAGAGGCATTCTTCCGCAATGCCAGCGCTCCAAGAGTAGACACAGACGCCGTCATCCTCAACATCATTCAGAACAAACATCCAGGTGTACCTGTCACTACTGTTCCCGAGGGGAATTGCAATCTCAAAGCCTATGCGGCGGCGGGATATGCATCAATCGAGACTGCTGAGCCACAGCACCAATCGGGCTCCAACGTTTATCCTGACACTCTGAAATGGACACTTTATATCCCACCCCAGAAACGACTTGATGGCGGCAATGGTATCGTTGCCGACGAAGTTTTCTTCGAATCCTACATTTACAAGTGGCAAAACATGGCGTTCCTCGTCTACTTCGTCGACGGCCGGGATGGGGCATTCTTGGGCTCGCAAATTCGCAATCAATATATACTAGGCAACAAGGCAGCGGTACGCACGCTCGTGGCAACAGCTGGCCGGTACCAATCAATCCTCCATGACGAGATCTGGGTTTTCAACCAAGGCTTCTGGCGGAAAGACCCGCTCCTATACCGCAGCATCATGAAATCTCACTGGGAAGACGTCATCCTCGACCAGGAAATGAAAGACGACTTGATTGAAACGGCACAACGCTTTTTCGACAGCCGCGACCAATATGACCGCCTCCGCGTCCCATGGAAACGGGGCATCATCTTCCACGGACCGCCCGGCAATGGCAAGACCATCTCCATCAAAGCCACCATGCACATGCTGTATAACCGCACCCCTCCCATCCCGACCCTCTACGTTCAGACTCTTGTGAGTTTTGTGCCGCCCGAATTCAGCATCGAGACCATTTTTACCAAAGCCCGCCAAGAAGCGCCCTGCTACCTCGTCTTTGAGGACCTCGATAGCCTTGTGACCGACCAAACGCGCAGCTTTTTTTTGAATGCTGTCGACGGCCTGAGCGAGAACGAAGGCATTCTCATGGTCGGCAGCACGAATCATCTCGAGAGACTGGATCCAGGTATCGCGAAGCGTCCGTCGCGTTTTGATCGCAAGTATTTGTTCCCGAATCCGAATTTTGACCAGCGCGTGAAGTATTGTCAGTACTGGCAAAGGAAGCTGAAGGATAATAAGGGGATTGAGTTCCCCAATGAGATATGTGAGGCCGCGGCGAAGATCACAGATCAGTTCTCCTTCGCGTATATTCAGGAGGCGTTTGTGAGTGCATTGTTGACTATTGCGAGGGAGAATAAGGATGACAACATGAATGGCAACGGCAACGGCAACGACTATGGTGGGCAACATGAGGAAAGAGTTAAAGAAAAGGAAACAATGACAGAGGACGAGGTGAATGAGATGGATCAGGTAGATGAGGGGCAAGAGTTGCAGAACGAGTGGGATGTGTTAGACATCACAGACGAGTGTTCTGCAAGAAGCACTGGCATGAGTAAGGACAAGGACAAGGACAAGGAAATGGAAATGGAGAAGGACAAAGATTTGGATGATTATATCCTCTGGCGAAAATTGAAATATCAGGTTGAGCTGTTGAGGAAGGAGTTGTCAAAGGGGAGAGGTGTGAGCTTGGACGGGAACATTTGTGTCTCATAAACAGCAGTGGTTGGGAAAAAAAAAAAAAAAAGAATGGGGGTTGCTGCTCATCTTTGAGTATTTGAAATGAGGGATTCTTCATGAATACTCTTGTGAACAATTTATCTTAAATAAGACATTGAAGGTCAGAAAAGGGAAGGAAAAGAGAAAATAACTGATCAATTGAATTGGTCATACACTTGGACTATCTCGGGTCAAGGGAAATGGTCGAAAAAAACAAAGGTCAGCCTTAGAAAATAGCCAAATACTCACCCCAAAAAAAAAGTCGAATGATTTAGGCCAAATAAAACCCCACGCAAGATGACGGCGAAGATGAACTACATTGAGGGTTTCCGAGATCCGCAAGCCATGAACTACTGTTGGACTCGGTAGAGACTTCACTAATTTGGGCTTCAGGGTTGATAGTGAAGGGGTTGGTCCCTTTGACCTCAAATTGACCTGATCCAAGTCCTTTGGTAACCCATCGCCGTACAATCTTGTTACAGGTAAAGAATATATCGAGAGTCGTCAAGTCCGAGATGGGTGGCTACGGTCCTTGCCCAGCGATGAAAGCCGCTTTGCTTGGGAAGGCCACCGAGGTAGGCGATAGAAACGTCAGGCTTGGCTCAGTTATCGGAGAATTGGAGGTTCTTATATGTTTGCCAGCCATAAAATGGATCGAACCACGGATATCCATGAAGGAACTTGCCAGCAACGGATTCGACCTTGGATTTCACAATCAAGGCCGCTCGAGCCAAGCTGATACAGGTATATGTAGGAGCCGTGTATCCAAGACAAGACCAGGCACTGCTGGAACACACCGTGCCGCTGCATGGCGAGGCGTAGTTGGAACTGTTGGAGTAGGAGCTGGACTCATGAATGCAGGGTATTCAGCCTGACGAGGTACAAGGGGGTTGCTGTGCATTGGTGCCTGTAATGGCTCTTGATTTTATTACCATCTGCAAACACTTGTAATCGGATAGCGGTACCCTGCGCAGTTGTCTCCATTGCAAACTCCCCGGGCTTCAAGGAATGGATTTTCAGTCACAAGTGCTGTGGATACGGCAAAGAGATAGAGCAGTGATTGCATGATTGGCGGCATTTTGACCTGAGGTTGTATCAATCACTCAAATATGGAATGGAGTGTTTGGTGTCGAAAAAGATGACGTTGCTCGATGCTAGAACAGAATCCGGTCAGGCAGAGCTGTCAAAGTATATCTGTTCAACCACCAGCAAAATAATTAGTAGCAGAGTATAAATCCCAATACGTCATGTCCGGAAGGGTCAGAAGAGTCCATTGTAGATCAGACGTGAGAATGAGTATGGGAGGAAAAGAGGTCCAGAGCGGTGAATGTCTCAGCATTCATACTGCAAAATATGCAAACCGTGTAACATCGTGGCCATAATGAATAGCGAAGAAAGATCTACCGCAATGGATCCGACGCCGTTGGGTGTTGGCTGCATCACATGTTTTGCGGAGGGGGCTCCGCTGCATATTATGCATGGATGGCTTGCGTCTTGCTGAGGCTGGAATGCCGTGGTCTCAAGAGGAGAGGGAATCAGTCAATAACGATCTTACGGTCCACATCATTTATCAGCAGTCGTTGGTCAGGGAAGATGGACCGAAAAGACAATCTCGGTTCCGGTGGAGGAGTGAGCCCGGTAACACAATTGCGCCTGGAGGCAAATATCTCTCCGTATGCGCCTTTGTTGGTCTCCTTGAGAAAGGGGAGGGAAAAAAAAAAAAAAAAAAATTTCCCGACGCAGACTGTGACTCGAAAATAAATAATCCCCCAACTCAATGCGCCCTTCTTCTCTCTTTTATAGACTTCTGTACTCCTCAGGTAGGATTTTTACTGTTTTTTGGTCATCTCCTTCTCGCGCCCTATGGCTTTCTCATTGAGCAAGAGAGCTGCGTCCTCACCGCTTCCAAAGCTGATGACTCCCTCATACCGGGCACCTCTCTATCTCAGACGATATGCCAGTGCCGCTGCAGTTCCTACTTCCTCCAGTATCCCCGTTCATGACCAAGCTCAGATTCGACATGAAGCATCTCTGCCCAACCCAGATCCCTCTTCAGACTCTCCGACCGTCACCTTTCTCAACCAGTCTGCTCCCTATATGGTTCCCACCTATGTTCGCCCCCCTCCCATGATGGTACAAGGAGAAGGATGCGTTCTGTACGATAATGAAAATAGAAAATACCTCGATTTCACCGCCGGAATAGCCGTCAACTCGCTAGGTCATGCTGACCCGGAGATCTCAAGAATCATTGCTCACCAAGCACAACAATTGATTCACGCATCGAACCTCTACCACAATCCGTGGACCCCCACGCTGTCCAAACTTCTCATCGAAGAGACCCAGAAGCAGTCACCCGGCTCTCCTCTCAGTCAAGTCTTCATATCCAATTCAGGTTCCGAGGCGAATGAAGCTGCACTCAAGTTTGCCAGGAAAGTAGTTTATGCCCGAGATCCGGAGTCAACCCAGAGAGAGATTGTTTCGTTCCATGACTCTTTCCACGGACGTACGTATGGGTCATTATCGGCCACTCCAAACAAGAAATATCAACCTCCTTTCGGACCCATGTTACCTGGATTCAGGTATGGCAAATACAACGATGTCGCCAGTGTGGAAGAATTAGTCAATGAGAACACGGCAGGTGTCATTGTCGAGCCAATCCAAGGTGAAGGTGGCATCAATGTAGCCACACCGGAATTTCTGCAAGCACTTCGCAAGAGATGCAATGAAGTGGGTGCTGTATTGATCTTTGACGAGATTCAGTGTGGTCTGTCCCGTACGGGAGATCTCTGGGCCCATACGGCTTCGGGAGTACATCCCGATATACTGACATCGGCGAAAGCTCTCGGCAACGGTGTGCCTATCGGAGCCACTCTCGTGTCAGGCACAACCGTGGCACCCTATATCAAAACCGGCGATCACGGCACTACTTTTGGCGGCAATCCGTTCGCCTGCCGAGTTGCCCATCATGTCTTTGGACGCTTAGCCAGACCTCAATTGCAAGAAGATGTTCGGGTCAAGTCAACCCTTTTTTTCCGTGCGTTTGAGACCATGAAGGAGAAGTTCCCGGGCGTGGTCTCCGCAGTGAGAGGTAGAGGACTCATTGTTGGCTATCAATTAAGCGACGAGGCCAAAGCCAAAGTCACCGAAGTTGTCACCGCTGCCCGTGAGAGAGGTCTTCTCATCATCACTGCGGGCGACGGCGTTATTAGAATTGTACCTCCGCTGGTTATCTCCCATGCAGAGATCAACCGGGGTCTTGTCATCCTGGAGGAGGCGATGAATGTTGTTTTCCCGGCTGGTCGATGAAAGGCCAAGGCGGCATCCGATTCGTGGATCTATTACCACCTCTTTTCACCTTCAGGAACTTTCATGCCATGGACACCCCGGTAATCGGGCCTTTCTGCAGGTTTCCATCTTCCCGCCAGGATTTTATCTTCGTCGATCAGTTTGAAGATTTCTACTGTCAACGGCCTACAACATTTAATCATTTCCTTCTCGCTGTCACTCCCAAATCCCCACAGGGACAGGTCTCCTCCGGGACATGTCGACAATGCCATTAGCAGATCTTGCTCAGCGAAAAACTCAATAAAGTCTCCAGGCTCCGCAGGGCATGGATTCATAAAGTATCTTCCTTGTGAATCCAATCCGGTCACCTGGAATAAGTTGATAACGTCGTGGACATCCGATTCATGGAGACCAAAAGGCACCACTGCTCTCGTGAGATTGGAATGGCAGTGATAGTCATACGATGCTTCTGGTCCGGATAAGAGGGTGTTGATATACGGGTCGCATCTGGTGCCAAGAAGATCATGTACGCGTCCGCCCGTCTCGTCTTTCCCATACCAAGAAAGAGAGTCGGCAATGATTGTGCACAGGGGACGCATGAATGGAAGACAGGACCAAAGGCGATCGTATGTTGTTACATGGGAAGAATGGAGCTGTTTGGTGCGAGAAGCCCAGAACCTTTCTCGTGGATTGGAGGCGTTCCAAATATTCAAGTCACCTGTGGACCATTAGAAATTGACCATTTTCGAGACACTTCTCCTGCTCAGACCAACTTGAGGCCCTTCTGGTGTACTGATCCTGACAATACTCTTCGCTGGAGCCTTCCAGGCCCGACCAGAACGAATAGGCAGAGTAAATGAATCAACCAATGCTCTTGAGCCTTGCTGGATCGACTGGTACAACTCTTGGTCGACAGTCAAAGGCGACCCGGCGGTAGGCAGATATGCTGGATATGGAGTCGGGAGCGGTTTTCTCGCTCGAAGGCGATCCTCATTAGACCGTGGGCTGGCCATGTTCAAACAATCCGGCCAACGACTCTGAAATCTGATATACGGCCAAACCTGACCTATCTAGAATATTCTCAAGGGAAAAGTCTTCCGAAATTGAACCTGGGTGATACGCTTTAAAAGTCCGCCAGCACGGACATGTCCGACTATCGCAACAGATTTTCTTCCTCATATTTTTATTCATCATCCTCTCAATTTCAGTATCAGACACCTACCTTTCATGGTTGCATCCTTCACGTTGACGCGGTATCAAGAAGCGAAGAACGAAGCAAATCCATCGTTGGCTGACATGGCTATCTCGCTAGGGATGTGGGGGCCGGGGCCTGACAAAGAATCCATTTCCGACTCATCGTGAAGGAGCAGCCTCATAGCGACCCATTTTCATCAGTTGTGTTCGAAATGTATCGCTCAGCGCACCCGAGCGAGCCGTGTGCAGGTTTTGGCCTGGTAACCGGTCTAATGTGACTAGTATATCATCTCAATCGACAACTGGCAAGCTTTGCGCACAATACTATCTAGACTAAGTCTCACCTAGGACATGCAATTAGATGGCTAGGGAAGGTGGCATGGAATCAATCGCCCATTGATGGAGCGGGAAAGAGAAAAGATGCGGTTTCAGCTCCGTCATTGGCTTCAAGTTCTCACTTCATTCTACCGTAGTCATTCCCCTAGGATTCTTTCAATTTTTCGCAATTACACTACCAGGAGGCTAGACGTGGTAGAACGGACCGTTGCATAATACAGAACAGCATGGCATTGCATTGCATTGTACCAACGCGTTCGTCTTCATTTCACATCACTTATCTTCCACTGCATCAACTCCGGCCTTTCCTTGCTGATGCTGCCTCCACCCCAACTTCGAACCCACAGTGCACTCCCATCAATCAGTCGGTGAGTCAATGAAACATTTTCTTCATCGCTTCCCCTTCTTCTTAGTTGCCACAACCTTGAACGCAGCATTGCTCTCCTCCTTGACGTTGGTCGCTGGGCCTTTTTTGGCTACCTCACTCCATCCACCACCGGCACCCTTACTGTCGGCACCGGCAGGTTGAGCGCCATTCGCAGCAGGTTCGACAATGCCTTTATCGGCAAGTTTACGGCGTCGAACGAATTCTTCAGCGAACCGTCGGCCGTCCAAAGTCTGGGAGCTGGCATAGACAGAGTCAGAAATGATTTCGATCTCCGGAGGCAGTTGCAGTAAATCTTGTACGAAGTTATCGAGATTGATGTTACTGTTCAGCCCCTTTCCGAGAGAGCCCTTGATCCATTTTGTGAATTCTTCAATGGCCTTGCTCTGATTGGATAGAGTAGTGCTTCGCGGCGTTTGAAGAGACGGTCTCGTCTTGGCCGTGGTTGTTGCGGAAGAGCTGACTGCCCGGGAAGCTGGCTGAGGTGTTGCGACGACAGCAGGAGGCGCTTTGGCCTTACCACCAGAACCAACCGTAGTCCAAGCACCACCAGATGTAGCCGGGACTGCCGGGACTGCCGGGACCGCTTTACTGGCCAATTCAGCATATCGTTTACCGACAGCTGCTGAAGTCGGGCTCCCAGCATTCTGGGCATTCGCTGCTGCCGCGGCAGCGGCGGCACGTTGCTTGCGAGATTCTTCCTCCTTTTGGATTTGCGCCAAGGTCTTCTTCGCAGCGACAGGAGCCCCTGAGCCACCTTTGGTTGGATTCTGCTTCGCCCAAACCGAGATGGTCTGAGTTCCAGATGCCCCTGGTGAAGCGGAACTACCCCACGTTGATGTTGAAGGAAGGCCGGGTGCAGGAGCTGGTACTTGAGCTTGCATCTGTCTTTCTTGTTCAGCCAGAGCACGACGGGCTGTGGCTGCCATTTCCTCCTGTTCTGCGGCGCGTTTAGCCTCAGCCTCTTGGATTTCCTTCAGAGAAGGTCCTTTAGGATGTTCCGTAGTTCGTTCTGCCCAGGGTGCAACAGGCACGGTAGGTGTTTCGATAGGAGTGTGAGTTGTTGATCTAGACTCAGCCGCCAAAGCATCGGCAACATGTTGTCGATTTCGCTGAGCTGCAGGTGCGGGTAAGGGTGAAATGGACACTGGCGGAGGTTCTACAGGAGTATCTTTCTTAGCCCATGCGTTCTCTTTAGCAGCTGCTTGTTGACTGGCAGCAGCAATTTGTACTTGTTGAGCTAAAGAAAGATGCTCATTTGCGCCGACCGCTGGATGCCCGACCGAGGCAGATGCTTTTTGTGAAGAGACATTGCTAGGTTGCTCATCGGCATGTCGTTGCGCACCGATAGGTTGTGGTCGAGATTCTTCAGGGCCGAGACGACCACCCTGCATTTCCGCCGGTCCACGCAGTGTGTGAAATTCGTCCAGACGGTCGTTGCGGCCCTGTTGTCCTAAAAAAGTATCTTGGTGACTTTGCATATCGGAGTGTTGCTGTTGCTGCTGTTGTTGTAAACGAGCTCTATCTTGAAGCATCGTATTGACTTGTTGGGAAGAAGGTCCAACCTCTGGAGCAGGCCCTAAGGGGCCACTTGTAAATGGAAGGTTGGCGCGTTGGTTGAAACTCATACGATCCATCATATTATGAAGATCGTCCTCACGGCCACCCCTGGCGTCAAGACCGAAAGCGGGCCCCATCGCAGGTCCAACTTGCTGACCAAAAGGTATGGCATGTTGAGGGGGTTGAATTGGGCCTTGCATTGGTGATGGCTGATAACCGGCCGGTGAAGTAATGCTGCCAAAACTTGGTTGGCTTTGAAGTGAGTGAGCGCTTGAATGGTGTTGTAATGAATGCAGTCCGTTTTGCATCTGCATGTGCTTCATGGCCATCTGCTGCTGAGCCAGATGCTCCTTTTGCCTCGCCATCAAGTATTGTTCCTCTTGTTTTCGCCGCTCCAAAGCATTCTGTTGCTCAGCGGTCAAAGTCGTGCCGAAACTTGGGAAGCTGCTGGCAAATGGTGGTTGAGCAGTTCCAGTATTGCCACCCATGGACGAGTTAGCCCAATGATTCCCCTGACCACTAGGAGGGCCATGTGGCACACCAATTTGTGGAACTAAGAAAGGCTCTCGGGAGTTGCCAATGCGTCTGACTAGTTGGGCGAGAGGCTCATATTCTGCATCTTCAAGTTTCTTCACCTGCAATTCTGCAGTAAAGAAACCGGCCTTAAACCAGTCATGCATCTCCAATCCTGACCATGGTCCCTGTGTGTTGCCTTGAGGGTCGCGGTAGATCCAACGCATTCGGTCTGGCATGACCATTTGTCGTTGCTGGGCCGCAGGCATTTGGTTGGAGGAATTGCTGCCACTCGACTGACTCAACCCATGACCCGATTGATGGCTTTCCCCTCCACTGGCTCTCTGGTTTGCGACTTGTGGAGTCGCCAGAGAACCTGTCGGCGGTCCTGATGTTGAGGGAGCATACGGGCCAGGCTGGTTAAGGTTTCCAGCATCTTCGACACTCCTCATCGAAGGAGACTCCTCAAATAAGCTGGAGCCTCGACCAAAACCTTCTTGTCTGCGACCGGTATTATCGAAGGGGTCGCGAACAGACGGCGGTTGCGCACTATCAGGACGTGATTCGAAAGAAGAACCGGGCTGCATCTCGTTCCTGCTATCACCTCGCATCTGCTCTTGCATGGCTGGCGGAAACATAGCTCCAAGCCGACTCGCGCGACCCGCAGAGCTAAACCCGCCCGATCCGAAGAAACCACCACCCACGCCGCCAGCTCCGGGTGATTGTAAATCGGCCAGGGGGCTGAATATTGGATCACCAAATCCAGAACTCACGCCCCGGTCCATGGCAGGTTTACCAGACCCAAGCCCAGCAGCGGACCAACTTGGAGGACCACCCAGTCCACCAAACGCGGAAAGGCCGCCAAATCCGCTGCCGCTCCGGGCCGGCTGATTTCTATCCTCAGAGCATGAATACATGTTGCGACGGTGTGCGCCCAACGGCGGCAGGCCCGAAGCTTGCGATGCAGAATCATTAGGATCTTGCTCGTCGTCTTCAACGCGACCATGAGGGCTTTGATATGGGTTCGTGTTTGTCGGGCTCATCGGTTCGTGAGAGTTGTATCGTCCGTGAAGGGTTTGCTGATACAAATCATCGTGACCAAAATCTCGTGTACCAATGCTGGACTGAGGCCCAAATGCAGAAAGACCCATCTGCTCGATGCCCGGGTTACTTGGGACACCTTCCTGAGAACTGACCAAAGCCGCACTGCCCGTCCGCATCGGAGCTTCTTCATATGGATTGGTCTCGCTTCGGCCCGGACGTGTCTTGAAGTCATCCCGCAAATTCGAATGGGCAGCGTCAGCCTCTTCCTCCGGCAATTTCTCCAAAGCACCGACAGGGCTCTTGTCTTTGATGCCTTGAGACACGTCTTCAGAGCTCGTCTTGGATAGGAGATCTTTGAAACGGCTCCCGCCGCGAGCACTACCAAATCCGGGTCTCTTATCGCTGGATTCAGTTGGCGTTGTGGAAGTACCGATTGCGAAGCTACCGAATGTGCCCATTGACCCGAATCCTGATCCTGGAGTGCCGGCAGACCAAGGGGAGGCCGAAGGAGGATTCAGACCGGCACTCAATGGACCGGTCCCGCCTTTCCTCATCCCAGGTAACGAAGGCTGGGATTCAGGGGTTTCGTCAGGTTCAGGATTCTCCTTTGCCGGTGTGGCTTCTTCGTCCTTGTAGTCCGTCCGGCGACGTAGCAATGCCGGCGGGGGTGTTGCGGTGTTTGATTCGCTGCGGGAAAGAGTCTTAGTCTCCGCCGGCGACATTGGACCATTACTCATGAAAGAGTCACTCGTCTCACGACGACGGGTTCCTGGTCTTGAACTGCCAGCGGCGTTACTATATCCTGATAGCGAAGCCTTGCGACCACCGACCACTCCCACCCCTGTACTTTCTTTGGTAGGATTCTGTTGCAATTTGATTGGCGAATTGACAGAAGTAGAAAAGAGCTGCCACCCACGATCAGCCACGTTGACAGATCACGTTGAAATGTAATATTTCTCACCTGCTTTTCCTCCTCCGTCATACTTGTCAACCCAAATGGCTCCATGTTGACGTTGTAATTCCAACAAACTTCTGGTCCCAGAGTCGGCTCTTTCCCATCCCCACGAACACTTGAGTTTGCTGTGCTGCTCTTCGTCTCCAAAGGATCCCAAGGCCCCAAGAAAATGTCTTCAAGGTTGCGATCGAGAGCGGAGGATTCCTTCAGAGTCTGAAATATGTTCAGCAATTGATCCTTGCTGTAGCGAGTGTCACCAGGAGGGGGGTTTCGCGAAGATGCGGATGGGTTATTGGCGTTGAGATGAGGAGGAATATACACGCCGCTGTTAGTGGCATTGGGTGTGATTGCGCTTTCGCGTGTTTGTGGATGTGTCTGTGAAGGCGTGGTGGCTACGGAGGGTCTGCGGAAAGTTTGGGTAGCACCATTGACACGGCTTCTGGACCTAGACATGGCAATAATGTCAACCGTTGCTCATGCATATCCAAAAAAAAGAATCCCCTTCGTCAAACACAGGAGCATGAAAAAGCACGCATGTTACTGCAAACTTTACACGGCGTGACGGGTGTGTTGTGTATGCGAGGAGAGTCCAGGTCCCTCTTTGCCTACCATTCGTTTGTAGCAGCATTGTCCCTCCTATTTCCAGTACTTTCACCATTGGTGCTGGCAGCAGCAGAAGCAAAGGTTGACGAGAATGGGGAAGGCATTGCAAAGGCGTTTTGCGGGTGCTCAGTTGCTGGGGGTGGACCGGGCGGACGAATGTAGGTTTGAGACGGCCGGGGGGAAAAAAAAAGGTATTTGAGCGCGTGCGTGGTTGTGAACGGCGAGGTGTGCCTGCGGCCAAGAGCAGTGAATAGCTGGTCGAGAGATTCGTGAGTGAGCAAATTGGTCGTTAGTACAGAATATGTTATGCGACTGGCGTGGAAAGTGTGGTTGATTCACTTGCAAGAAAATAATACGTGGAAGAAGAAGCAAAAGAAGAGAGGAAGATGCAAATGCAGCCAGTCAGGGATGAGGTTCGGAGGCCATCCACATAGCGGTCCACTTAGAACGAGGGACCCAACCGTTAGTATCTCCCAGATTCCGCCTAGGCACACAGAGGTACCTAAACGCACATAATTAGCCACAATTGCAAATGCCTTTCCAGCCTAATGAGACCTGTTCTCCAGCCGCCGGAGAAAGGGGAATTGAGTGTCAAAAAGACTCGAGCGCTGTTGAGGCCCCCTTAATATGGTGAGCCTGAAGAATGTACTGTGTGTTCTGCAGCAGTCGCGGCTTTCAAAGTTCGGGCCTAAATAAAATTCCACTGTTGCATATCTGAATAGAGTACTCCGTACTAACGACCGCCTAGGCAAGTACCAGGATCCTCTGTATGAGAAACTCCTCACTAGCTAGAGATAGGAGGGCTGGCCCCCCTATTTCCCATCTTCCATCTTCCGAGCTTCATTTCTGCCTTCTACACGACTAGCTATTAGTTTTAACCAAACCGTAACCTGCCTGCATGACGAAGAGCCATTCCCGCTGCACCAACAGCAGCGAGGCTAAGCGCGGTCCAACCCATTGTCTGGTAGCTCACCAGGGATTCTTCAATCACGCGTCCAATGTAAGTACTTTCCCGTCTGACAAGGTTGTCTGCACCACTTCCTGATAGATCAAAATCGGACCAGTTGACATGGCTGAGCAGCTATGGAACAGTTAGCATCCCATCCTGGTAGTCAAGTCTGGCGCGACCACTTGCCTTCTGATAATCTACCACCGTCCGACTCCAATTGTTGGTGATTTTGCCTGTCTCCTTAACCTTGTACCAGCTATTGCAGTTAGGGTCGGCGAAGCTGCTCTTCTCCAGCTCAGACTGGATTTCGTCGTTGAACTCCTTGACTCGCTTTTCCTTGGGCTTGATCACCAAGCTACCACCTTGACTTCGGGCGTTAATCACCTCCCTGATCAATGTGTTGATATATTTGCTCTGTGACTCAATCATGAGGATAATGCTGTTGTGCCCCAGGTTGGTGTTTGGTCCATAAAGCATTCCGAAATTTGGCAGGCTTTCCACGGTAATTCCATACAGGGCCTGCCCACCTTCCTTCCAGATGCTGGCGAGGGTTCGCCCGGCGCTCCCGGTGATTTCCATCGGATGCATGAATTCAACTGTGCGGAAACCAGTTGCCAGAATAATGAGATCGTAGTCTTTTTCTTTGCCCTCCGTGACGATGCCTTTAGCGGTGATTACGTCGATCTTGCCAGTCTCCAATTTCACATTGTCGCGCTGGAATACCGGGAAGTAGTCATCGCTGATGATGACCCGCTTACAACCAACAGCATATTTGGGCTGAAGTTTCTCCCACAGATCGGGTCTCCCAGGGAGTTGTGTATGCATATGTTCGATGCTTTGAGCTTCAATGAATTGCGCGGTCGCCGAGGAATGGTCAAAGACAGCGTCATAGAAGCCCTCCCGGTAGTCCATCATATCCGCTCGTTTGCGCCATCGAATGAGGGGAATGTACTTGTACATCGTTCTCTTCCATGGAGCAATGGGGGCGTCCAGTCGAGGAATGACCCAATTGGGCGTGCGCTGATGAATTGTGAGATGTCCCACCTCTCTAGCAATTTCGGGAATAATTTGTGCGGCCGTGGCTCCATTTCCAATGATTGCGACTTTCTTTCCCCGGAGATCGTAGCTCCAATCCCAGCGGGCGCTATGCATAAGCTTGCCTCGAAACTCGTCAAGTCCTGGGATGTCGGGCAGCCTCGGAACATTCAGCTGACCAACAGCGGACACCAGGAAATCGGAGGTGATGGTATACGTGCTTCCAAATTCGGCATCTTTAGCTCCCTGAACGGATACGGTGGTTTCCCATTTCTTAGCCACATCATCCCATTTCGCAGATTCGACGGCGGTGTTGAAACGAACGTAGCGGTAGAGTTCATATTTCTGCGCGACGCCCATCAGGTACTGCAGGATCTCTTCTTGCCCGGGGTATTCTCGCGTCCAGTCAGGGTTCTGTTCGAAAGAATAACTGTATAAATGCGACCAGACTATCGAACAGTTAGAGGGTGGTGCACAATGGATCCCGGTCGAAGTGCGCTTTACCGTCACAGCAGCAGCCCGGGTATTTGTTATCGCGCCATGTACCACCAAGACCACCGCTCTTCTCCAAGATGATGAAATTCTTGCACTCGTTCCTCTTAATGAGGTCAATAGCAGTGCACATTCCTGAGATGCCTCCCCCGATGATCACAACCGCTGCTTGGGTATGATCTTTGTTGCCTACAGGCACTTGTGGCCACGGCTTGTCACCCGCCATTTTCCTTTTTGGGCAAATGGTGAAATGACCCTCAGAGAATCAAGCGGAGATATAGAAGGGGAGAGAGGCGTGAAAATCAGTACACGAAGGAGCTGCGAGTACACAATGACGGAGAGACATGGCAGATATTTAAGAATTTGGTGATCAGATCACCCAAGTAAAATACCCAACTTAGCTCTGGGAGTCGCTATTCTCATACAGTGTGGATATGTTCGTGTGGTTTGAAAGCCAATAGGATAGATCCCGCCTTCTACCGTGCGGGGAGTCTTTGCTGTTCACGCACCGGCCAAGCCAGGGATAATATCCGGTGTCTGGGGTCGGCCATAGTTTTATGACTCGGGTTTTCCTGACTCAACCCCACTCGCTGTCGACAATGCTCCAGAACTATGTCGATGTGCCACGACACGACATAGTTACAAGATCCGCTAATAGAGGCCAGAGCGGGAGAGGATCCGCATGGCGTCGGGCTTGGAGTGGTCCGAGAGCGGTCATATCGAAAAAGGGTGAATTTGTTTGCTTCTGCGATCGGTCCCGCCGGGTTAGGGCTTCCGATAGTCTCAGACCACTGGTACTCAGAAATCGAATAAAGTGTGATCTAGCATCATACCAGAAGCCTCACCCGGGGTCATTTCTTTCTTCGTCGAGCTGGTCGACTGGCGCTCTCCGGTCGAGCGGACTCGTGCCGTCCACACATTCGGCATGACCGCAAATACCGATGTCGATCGCTAGATCGACCTTGGCTGGTCTGGGAAACTGGAAGATGATGGTAAGTAGATTAGGGAGAGTAGGTGTCCTTCATTTTAGGAAATAGACGACCAAAAAGCAGAACAGGAAGAAGATCACCACACCTCCCCAGAACATCCATTTGTCTTGCATGGCCCGCCGTTCAACCATGCGGATGGTGTCCCCGCTCACTCCGAGGGTGTTTGCGACACTATAGAGCCTTCTTTGTGTGCCCTTGAGGATCTCCCGCTGCTGTCCCAAGTCGCCAAGTACAGCACGGCCTCGGTCTAGAAATTCATCTAGCTGAGCATTGGCCGTACTGAAGAAATTTTGTTCCCGCAGCGCATGGTCCTCGCGCGCGTAATTATTCGGGTCCGCCCCAAACGACAGGCCATCTTGGGTGCTGCGATGCGCCGGAGCAAACGCACTCTGGCCGGATGCGTGGGCGTATGGGTTTTCGGGAGTGGCGGCGTGATGAGGTCGTCTCCCAAGTAGTTCGTTCCTGTTGTGAGCTGCCACTGCACCTTCGCGCTCCTTTTTCAGCTGGTCAAACTGTGCGCGATACGATGCTAGATCTGCTCGGAAATTCTTTAATCTTTCGGCTGCCTTCTCTTTCTTCTCTTCATTCAGTTCATTTCGTGATAAATTTTGGTAGTCTTCCAAGGTCCGCGAGAGACTCGTCAGGGTGGTAGATATTTGTCCTTGAAGAGCAGGAGATGCGGTAGCTGGTGCCTGTGCAAACGTCTCAAGATCACGACGAACAGCAGTGGACTGCTTCAAGGCTGAATTGAATAGCACATTCTATGGAAGGTTAGATACGCATGGGACCCGGGGCTGGATTTGAAAGTGAACGTTGACATACCATTGTGGCTCTCCGTGTAGATGAAAATGACTGTAATACCAAAAGAGTCAAATGTATGTCCTGAAATTCTCGAAATCAAGTCCAAATAATCCGAGGATTCATATTGCATGAGATGTTGCAAAAGTACAGATTGTCCTTACCAACCACTTCGCCAAAAAAGAAAAAAAGGTTCGGGGACTTCCCTCGCCGTGCTCGTGTTTCAAAACTTTGATCGCCCCAGACAATTTTAATTTAGTCGGCCTGTCACCTATGATTGCATTTGAAACGTGTGAAAGAGCCTATATGGGTGAAAATATGTTTACGAGCCCTCATCTATCAATTCAACCTCAAGCCCTAAATCACTATGCAGGTCAGCAAGATCATAGATGCAGACCATTTCATAGTAGGGCGATAAGCTTCAACGGGTGAAATGATTCCATGTCTTCCTTCCTTGATCAGCAAGCGAGCGTGTCATTTATGGGCAACACGGTGGTAAAGAAGGTACCTCTTGCGCAACGGTCAATATTCTTTGCCTTGACACTTTGATCATGGCTCTTCTCTGTATTTATTTTTTTTTTTTTTTTTTCTCTCTCTCTCTCTTATCACTCATGTCAGTCGCCCATCAAAAGCACAGTATTAATTTGGGCTAATGACAACTCTAAATGAGAAATCAGTCCGTACCTCCTTACGCAGGCGCCTGTATGAACAATTCCTTGAGCTGCTCGCTCTTCGCCTCAACAATTTGACACACTATAACTCCTTTTGTCGATATCCAACGGCCGATGATCACAGCATTTAGTGCTACAAAGACCTATCCACTCTGGACGTGGAAACGCGCGGTGCCCACGAACAAAATCATGTCTTCGATCACTGAGCAGAGCTAGAAGTCCATATGCGGTGGATTTTTGTTGTGATATCCTGTTATCTTTCTCGATCTGGTACTGGTTCTTCACCTGATAAACGGTACTCTGAGCTTCTGTTGCCGAATAACGTCCGGAATCCGTTGTTCAACACGTGGATCAATCCCCATCTGGATGTCCATGCCGCTGATAAGTTTGGCAGACTTTTTACTGCCCTGATAGTTGTGCTGGAATTGGCGATTTATCGTCCAGGGTCCGATGACCACGAGCCAGCTCCGACCAATAAAGTCTGCTCGTCTCGTGGGGGATGACATGGAAGAAGAATTAGACACAGTGGTCACAAAGATACTTGAATGAGGACGTTCACCAGGCCCTCCATGCGTTGATATAAGAGGAGGGGGGGGGGGGGGGGGGGTGGTTTGGGATGTTCAGAAGGACGGAAACAGGATGCGTTCAGGAAATCATGAGGGATATCATATTCGCGAGCGAACCAAAAGTAACGGACCCAAGTTACCCCCAAAGCCGCCGTGTAAACCGAGTAGAGAGGTCAAAGGGGAAAAAAGAAAAAAAAAAAAATTACACAGTGCGATTACAGACACAAGACATCAACCGGTGCTCATCCCCATCTACTTGGGAGGGTACTTGTTTTCGAACAACCACCTAGATATCAATCAGTCGAACACCTTTTGAAACTGATTGTAGCAAATTGAATGTTGGAAGTTCAACTCACTTGCTGCCGAAGTAGTCGGCTACAGCAAAGGCGCTGACACATCCTGCAACTGTGCCTGCGAGTTGCCAGTCCAATTGGCCCTTGACGTGCTTCTGGTAAGCGCCATAGCCAATGGCGAGAGTAGCAAGACCCCAAATGATGGCATTTCCAATAATAACAGGGTTGTCTTTGTTGTCGCTCAATTTTTTACGATCTTTTTCCAAGGCATCCCTCACTTCTTTGCCCTTCGTGACGGCTTTCTTGTTCGCACTCTCCGCAGCAGCCGACAGCTTTTCAGCCTCAGCGTGAGCCTTCTCTTCTAATTCATGCTCGACTCTTTCAGCTTGGGTCTCTGTCTTGACGGCTTGTTCCTGAAAATCAGACTTGACGGAGCTAACGTGTGGCGAGTCAACGTCGATCAAGCTGGCGGATTCAGATTCGGAATGGGAAAGCGAAGGAACTGGGGCAGCACGCCTGTTGACAAATCTCAGCACATGAATCAACACCGAAAGAAGCTCGATTCAACACCTACGCCTGTGATGTGTTAGCTGAGAAATATGATCGGGACGTGTTGGGAACCTGGCCTACCTCTTCGGCTGCCTGCTTTGGGCCCTTAGCAGCGGCGTCGGCGTAACTCATCTTGGGAAGAGACGAACGTGAATAAAGAGGTGGAGGGAGTTAATGGACTGGAGAGATATGAAAAGATGTAACGGTATCAAAACGGAAGGCGAGCAAGAAAAAGAAGCTGTAGGTTTGGTACTAGTAGTTCTGTGCTGGAAAGCCCGCCTATGAAGTGGATGGTATGACGACTTTGTGGAGGAGGCACCGTCACAAGCATGTGATTGTGAATTGGAGCAATGACGTGCTCACTTATCAGCCACATCATGTGACTGTGGCTTTTTCACCCACCAGCCACGGCCCTCCGTCTCCCTTTTCCCGCGTCGCTCCCTCGATCCAATCTTAGGCCTCCAAAGCTCAACTCTCATCTCCGTTGAGGTCTCTATGTAAGCGATCTCCAGACGGCTTGTCACCTTCCTCTTTGGTCATGATGATTGATATGCTATGCCGACTCCCAGGGTCCGATTTCCATACATAACGCTTTATCTTGATTCCAATACCGACCAGCATTCTCTGTGCTTCCATGTGATGTTAACATTTTCTGTCTGAATTATCTGCTGAATGTGATTGGCATCCTCACAATGACCAGCTACGAGAAATACAGATATAATGGTCCCGGAGAAGTTGACATCGAGCCTGAAGGACTGTCAGCTACGCGCTCGATAGACCTGGTTGGTGGCGCCCCTGCTGGGTATCATGGTGTGTAAAATCCTTTGAAAGCCATGGCGACATGATTCAATTGACCACATCAAGACCGAGACGTCTTCGGGAACGAAGAAAATGTTACCATCCGATACAAAACCCTGTCGTGGCCTATGGTTGCTGTGCTCATGATTGCTGAGATCGTCAGCAATGGCATGCTTTCTCTCCCGGCAGCTACGGCTGTTGTAGGGATTGTCCCTGGGGTTGTTCTGATAGCTTTCCTGGGTGAATAGCGATTTGTGGTGGCTTTTTGAGTCAAGGTACTAACTTGATCTAGGTGTCTTCGCGTTATACACATCATTCGTCTTAATCGACTTCAAGTTGAACCATCCTGAAGTCCACAACATGGGAGACGCCGGAAAGATCCTTGGAGGCCCCATTGTGCGAGAAATACTTGCCGCTGGAACCGTGATCTTCGCCGTCTGTGCAACTGGGTCACAATTACTGGCTGGCCAAATTACATTGAGTATTTTGTCGGATAATAAGCTCTGCCTGATGCTATACACTGGTTTGACAACGCTTCCTTCAAGTTGCATGTCTACGACGGCTCACCTATCTGTTCAGGAATTTTTACTGTTCCAACACTGGTTCTCTCCTTTCCACGAACTCTCGATCAGCTCTCGTGGCTCTGCATACCATCCTGCATCTGTATCCTGGTTGCAGGGATCGTTGGTATGGCGGCAGCGGGTGCAAACCCGGCACCAGACCGACATGTGGACGTTGCACGCTCTGCCAGTTTCTACGACGCCTTCGTTTCTATCACCAACCCCGTGTTTGCTTATGCTGGCCACTTCATGTTCTTCATTCTGATATCGGAAATGAAGAGACCAGCAGACGCAAAGAAGGCAGCGTGGGTACTGCAAGGATTCGCGACTTTATTCTATATCGTATTTGCAGTCGTCATGTACGTGTATCTTGGGCCATCTGTCATGTCACCAGCATTCTCTTCCCTCCCGCCTAAATGGGCGAAAGCCACCTACGGCATTGCGCTTCCGAACTTCCTGATTGCTGGCAGCCTTTACTCCCATACCGCTGCTAAGCTCTTTTTCATTCGCTTGTTTCGACACACGAAGCATTTGCACGAGCACACCTTTCTTGGTTGGACGACATGGACGATCTTGATCCTGCTTGCCAATGGCGCGGCCTTCGTTCTTGCTGTCGGCGTCCCTATATTCGCCTATCTCGTATCGATCGCTGCCAGTTTATTCGCGAGTTGGTACACTTACGGAATTGCAGGCGCTTTCTGGCTTCATGATGCCTGGCACGGCTTGGATAGAGGACAGCTCAGGGGTGTGTCCGGCATAAGAGCGTGGAAAGAGAGTCCACTCAAGACCGTCATAAATGTCCTCACGTTCCTTGCGGGGGCATTTATATGCGTTGCCGGTAGGTGTGGAATTTCGCTCTCTCCATGTTTCCCAGCTTGGTTTTTGATTTCAGTTGGGGGGATGATGAACGATGCTGACGATCCCACTTTGTTCTGGTATCTAGGAACATACGTCTCCATCAAACTTATCATCGACGCATACAACGCCGGAACTGTCGGCTCGCCTTTCGCATGCTAAGAACTCTTGCAGAATACTTTCGCGAACGCAGGATCCTCCGTCGGCCAATGTCTTCGGCGCTTTCTTTGTTTCTTACCGGGTAACGTTATGCTAAAATGTGTCTCTGTTTCCGGCAAGATCCCCTTTGTGAGCTCTATCTAGAGTATTGTCCAGACGACACAGAAAGATATACTTTATAGATAAGTATGTAGTTGCCGATATCACTCTACATCATTAACCGTATAATCTGAGCGAGTGCTTCCATGTAGTCGACTGATCGATCGATTGATCCCGCACACCCCGCCCCTTTCTCTCCACACTCAAACGCTTCCTGCTTTCAAGGCAAAGGCAACCCCGTCATCATGAACGCTGACACGCCATTCTTCGTTTCTTTTGGTACGTTCACCTGCGCCTTTTGCACATTACTCTTGACCTCACCGACCACGTCTTCGGGTGCACCCTCGTTGACACTATCGTGATGCTTTGCCGTCGAGCCCTTGGGCCGCCACGTGCTGACGGCAGGGATATCGGCTTTGAAGCGCTCGACCTCGGTCCCGTAGGCTTTGGGCGTAAGTTTCATTAGTGTGTGCAGGGGCACTTCCATCCAGGGTGACTTTTCCTGGGGTATCTCCATGAAGTACGCGAAGATGCAGCGGACGATGGCTTGGTGGCTGTCAAATATACGATTAGGCCAGTAATCTACAAAGTGTGAGGGAGGGGAAAAGGAGTGTGGGTGTTCGCTGTGTGGGAGGGAAAAATGTGAAAATAAAGAAAGAGTAGGAGGAAACCCCCCCGCCTCTGGGCGGCGGGGGGAAAGAGGGAAGATGACATACGTTATGATAATGATATTTTCGCTCCTCTCGAGTTCCATGATGATGGGCTCAAGGCGGATCACGACGTCGCGGTACGATTCGCCGCCTCGGTAGCGGTAGTTGTATTTGTCGTCGTCACGGGCTTGGAAGTCTTCGGGATATTTTTCGGAGATTTCTCGGTACTGGTGGTGTTCATTGCCTATTAGCACATCTAGATAGACCGGCGGGGGAAAGATTGGAACATATGAGTCACAGGATAGAAACAGAGCTCATAGTTACGGTGATAATAAGAGGAGAAAAAAGAGGATGGGCACATACAGTCATACCATCACAGACACCGCTGTCGAGTTCATCGAGCGCCTTCCACTGCAATTTCTCCCAGCCGAGTTCTTTCTGAAGATACTGCGCTGTCTGACTCGTGCGCTTGAGTGTCGATGTCCAGATCGTCAGCGGTGCGTCTGTGGGCAGCCCAGAGCGCTTGACGAGCTCTGGTAGCATCTTTGCGTATCGCTCGCCCCGTCCCGAGAGATTGGCGTCTCCGCCGATTTTGCCTTCGAGATTGTACTCAGATTCGCCATGCTATTTAGAGGAGGGGGGGGGGGAAAATCGAAATTAGTATTGGAGATGGAAATAAGGTTGGAATTTGGGGGGACGACAAACCCTGGAGAGCCATATGCTGCGAGGCTTGATGTGCAGGTTGGTTAGATAGTAGACGAGTCTAGATTGGAGGTAGTCTTGAATGAAGTTGATGACAACTCGAGCACTGGGAGATTTGTGAGTCAAGGCGACAGTGTATGCGGTCATAAGAGGGCTCAATTTACCCAATGTTGATGATTTTGACGTAGGTGAGATGCTTTTCGGATTCGTCAATGGTCTGATACACCTTCTCGTAGTTGCGAATCCGGTTGCGGAAATCTTTGGCTGCTTCCTCTGGATCTTGACTACTCTCGACATTAGCGCTCCTGGACCGGAGTCGTGCTCGTCGTGGTGATCGTACCCAATGTAGTCGGGAGACGTAGTTTTGACTTCTAGGATATTTGACATAATGAGGTCCTCGTCATCGCATTTGCTCTCCACAAATAAATCTGTAGGAAGAGATTAGCACATGTCATATACAGGTGTTGGGATATCGTACGAAGGAGGTTTGCTTCAACAATTTTGTCGTAGATCCATTTTCTTCGGGACTTTGTGGAATTGGTAGCGTCGAGAATGGCGACTTTGTTGTCCTTATCTTTGAACCATTTAAGCATATCCGCAACGGCGGCTTCAGCTGCGGCACGACGAGCCTTTTCGCCTTCCGGGTTGTTGACATCGAAGAATTTGGCGTCCGGATGGGGATTGTCTGTTCGTCGATACTTGCCCACGTTAAAGACTTCAGCTTTGACGGATGTCCATCGCAGATATCGCTTAACTGCGACACCGAATCAGTGAAAAGTTCAGAACTACGGATGTTTCGTACCTTTCCCAGCTATTAGACTCTTGCCACGAGCCGGCAAGCCGACCATGACCACAACAATCTGTGTGACATCTGACTGGGGTCTCGTCAGTACATGGGTGGCTAATATTGCAACGGCAGACAACAAGGGTTGCTAAAATGAAGGCATACTCGATCGCTATTTGGAAGACTCAATGCCATGATTGGAAGAAACGTCTAACGGGGATGAGGAAACAGTTGCGTCGTTTGGATTGGTCCTGCAAGGGGGGGATAAGTGGTGCATGGAGCCGCACAAAGAACGGCCACGCCTCGGGATTTGCACCTCACGCCGATGTGGAGTTATCAATGTAAAAGATCAAACTGGCTCACGTTTTGTGGCATTCCGATAGACTTGACAGCAAATAACCCCCGATCCAACTGAATGTCTGATTGCAATGATCGTCCGAGACTCAAACAGGTGTTCGTGTCGTCAATAGTTGTCAGTCGAGGGCGTCAGAATCGACAGGTGGAATAACCAGTTGACGCCAAGCCTTGCCAAAATTGCGGTGTTGAATCCGAGCACTTGAGAGACAAAGGTGAGTCGGTAAACATGCAAGGTTGAAGTTCGAATAGGAAGATCACACCACTTCCCCTTCGGAGTAGATTGCTACAAGTTGTGAGGTCGATGGGCATGGGCAAGATGAGAATGTGGTGGGCTTGAAATCTGGTCTCGAGACAATTTTGCAGAAAGTTCCTTGCTGAGTTTTTGTTTCGGAGAAATAAGGAATCTCTTTGGTCCACATGCAGGTCTGCTTTCTCCACTAACTGGTTGGTTATTCACGGGCTACTCCATAGAGAAAGTAGACGCGGTCAAAAGAGTGTGTCGGTTCACCGGATGACATCGTCACCAGAAGCCAGTAACCAAGAATATCGTCAGCCTCACCCACAAACGCTGGGAGGCTTAAGGTTGCGGAAGGCTGCCCTCTCTTCCCCCCCATGCATTGGTCATTGCCTCGGTTGAGACGACACGGAGTACGGAGACACTGAGAGACAAATCCATGCGGATTTATTTTCTCCGTGGCTGCCCGGTTGAAAGAAAAAGGCTACCCAATGGCAACGGGGTTGGCCGATCCAAGTGTCCACGATCCTCGGAAACCGGGGGCCAAAAACCAAAGAACGAGGTCAAATCAAAAAGAACGAACTGCAAGATGACAATGCAGCAGAGAGGAATGGTACTAACTCACATCAGGCGTTTGAAGGACTCTGTTCAGAGAGCTCCTATTCAACAGAGCAATGGGGCTGGACTGGATGAAACTCATGATTGTAGGACGGCTCGAGAAAAACTTCCTCCTGGGCGGAGCTGGAAATTGGGAGATGCCTGGGGCTCCTTTGGCCTGCTTGGCCCCTCGCTTTTTTGGCTGTGGGGAGTTGTCTGTGTGACTTTCTTTCCCGGTGCTGATCGGTGGTGGTTCAGATACAGGGCCTTTTGGCGGTGAATGAAAACAGTTGTCAGCAGATATCGCCTGCGATTCTTGAGGTCTTGCTGACTTGGTGAGGAGGTCTCGGGTAGATTGAGTCTGCAGTGATTGTTGCCCAGAGGTGACGAGAGGATTGTTTTTGGGCCCGTCAGACTAGAACGCTTCGTTGTAGTAGTGCAGGACAGTGGAGGCGTAGAAACAGACGATTCTCTGTAGCGGAATCCAACTGACAGACCTCACAAATGTAGCTTGATGGGCTTATATCTGTTGTGCTGTGCTTCGAGGACTGGTGGGGGTTTCTACTGGTTGCGCGTCGAGCCTGCGAAGATATCCTTATCGCCAGACCGCTTATCAACGTCAGCAAATCGCGACGCTTGTCCCTGTAATTACTTGGTGCGATTCCCATGGGCAAATGAATACTCAACGTCCTCTAAATCCGTTCTGTAGACAATACGATGAGAGCAGAAGTTAGGGCGAAAAAGAGACTCATCCTATTCAAATCCGACTAGCGGCCTGCATAACGATCATTGACTTGGCCACCGTCCTGACTGCATCACTAGCGTTGTCCTCGAGTCCTGGTCTCTCCTCCAATCGCAGTTGATGATGTTTCTCTTCGCAAGCTCGGAGATGCTGAGGTATCCCAACTATTCCTCCTATTTTCCATGCTTGCATAGAGTTAACTTCTATTCAAGAGCGTCAGGTCTTGAATAGCGACTCGGTTCATCACTCTGCGATGATATTAGTCAGTCGTTTCCACCATCCATGGCCAGAAAAGACGTACTGAAGGCAATGTGAAGTAAACTCTCGGGAAAGAGAAAGTCCGCGTCTGCGCGAATACCATCAGAGTCACTTCGCGCAGCGGCTTCCTTGATCCTTGTGTGGCACAAATCGCATAAGACCAAGCCGCACCCCTTGTCTTTTCCATCTGCTGGAGACAGCTTCTGGCCCAATTTGTTGAATTTCTGACTTACGCAACGTCGCCAGAATGCGGCATGTACGCATAGCGAACACGTTGGATAGGTAGCGGTCTTCAAAAGCGGCACCCATTCCGGAGCAATTACTTGACCGGCGTAATAGTCCAAGTTTGCCTTGGATCTGGTTCCGAGGGGGGCAAAGATGTGAATTTTGCACCTGGAAATGTGTAGCCGATTCAGAGAACAATGGACGCACATCCGCGTTGCCTCACATCCCTTAGATCTGTGCCCATTGCCCATTTCCTCAAATTTCTCCCCATCACGGTATTGGATCACGTCCACCTCTTTAGGACCAAGTCCAAAGATGCCATATCTGAAGTCAGTACAAAAGTGACATGGAGATCTTGCGCTGGACAGATGTTTAAACTCGATTGGGTGCGCCCAATAAGTATGGATCGTCTTGATTTGGCGGCCGCCTCCGTAGAGTCCAGGTCCGGAGAAGAACGGGGTGATTTGAGTGATATCGGGTCGTCTTTCGATCCTTTGCCAGCTTTCAACTGTTCAGCAAAATCTCTGATAATTTGAATCGGTGTTATATTGGCCGTGGGGGGATGGGAAGTGGTTGGAAGTTTGGGGTCAAATGATGAGGGGTGTCTGTATATCTAGCGACGGCTCCCTTTTCCTCGTGGTGTACAAGACGCACTCGGCTTCCTGACGCCGGCATCGTACACACGGAGAGCTCCCTGTCTTCTTCAGTGAGCATCTCTTCTTAGACTCCTTACAGGCAATCCACTGCTGATCCGCAGTATTTCGATCTTCGTCCACCACTGTGTCGTTGCGAAGCGCCATCCCCTTCGTGTTCTCGATCATTTTACAATCCTCACCAAATTGTTCGAGAAACGATTGTCGAAGCAGGGCATCGCATTCATAAGGCTCCATGTCCTGTGGCCAGGCAAACATTCCAGTTTTTCTCCCACTGCCAGCGTCCTCTGGAATGGCAGGTGCGTATCCAGTGCCGTATTGTGCCACCAACTCTTGTTGAAGATCTTCCCCACGACCAAAGTTAAGTTTCAATGTCAAGAATGGGCTGTGTGAGTTGGGATTGTCGTTGTACTCTACCAGCACCTCTCCTGTTACTGCTCGCTTGAATCGTTTCTGAGTTCTAGAAGGGTTGTAGACGGTGCTTCGACGCTTCTTTGGATTAGAAGGGTTATACTCGTCTGCCGACGACTCATCCTGTCAAGTAAGAGCATGACTCAGCGTTACGGATGAAGACTTCCTTCGTAAACGATAGTCAGCGTGAAAGTGACTACGAGGTTTCGAAACACCATTGGATTCCGTTGCTAGAAGTTTAGCCTCACGATAGGCACATAAGGTACGTCGAAGTCTTGAATTAATATAAGTCATCTTCGAGATGACTAGAGCGGGGCCTATGGGTTAGGCACAAAGATAAACGACAATGAGGTGGAAGGGTAGGACAAAAGAGACCAAGACAGCATAAGAGAAGATGAAAGAACTGTGAGATGGAAAAAGTTGAACTCAAGTGGAAGTTAAGTTGCATATGATGCGATGTGTCCAACAGAGATCATTTCATGTGCCAAGTGAACAACCTCTTTCGATCTCTCGATTGGAACCACTCGAGACTCATGTCTAGCTTTCTGTGCATCAGAGTTAGCCAGATTGCCGGTTTTGGGGCTCGAAAACAATGTGTGGAATTGTTCCATTCAGATCTAAGCCCTGTCACAGGCTGTGGTCGTCAAAGCATATGCTACGTTGACCGTCGTGAAAAAAAATAGAGTAAATCATCATTTGAGGAGGAAAAGCACTGAGGTAAAAGCACTGACTTACACGACGGTTTTGAGCCTTGACGCGAACCTGGCGCAATGATTGTCAGTCTCAGGCATTAGGAGTGGCATGCATTGAATATGATTTGAGATGATCGTCAGGCCTGACAGTTTCGTCCCGGCCAACCGAAGTCGGCTTGGACATATGCTTGTCTTTGAGATGTGTCGATTCATCATACTGTAATATGAAGTGTGGCAGGTCAGGGCCGATTGATTGACATACCGTCTGTAGAGTCATAGATCAAAAATCTAAGAGAGGAATACTTAGTAGGATTCGACCAAGACATGGTACGCGGTCATGACACACGAAAGTTCAGGAAATGCATGAATGGTAGTTTGAGTGTTGTCTGCATCAGATTGACTGAATAAGACTCGTCATCTAGCTGTGTTCATCATAGATGGGAAGAAAGGGAAACAGGTTCGCTTGGTGGATACTTACTTGGAAATAGGGGGAACAGGATATTCGATCACTGCTCAAGCAAGCATCAGTATTGTCCGTTGTTGAGGTGCTCCGACGCAAGTGAGAGACTGGCAGGGTCAGTGGGCGAGGTTTTCTAGGCCTGCCTCAATGGGGCATGTCCATCAAGACCAGCTAATCTTGTAGCTGTCGGAGCCCAGTGCCATTCATCAGGGAGATCATGGGGGTAAACGGCAAGGACAGAGATCGTACTATGAAGCAATCCTCATATGGCTGTGCACCTTTGGAATTGGTTAGCAAAATATACTTATAATGTCGAGCATTGGGCGCATTGTATCACGGTGATCACAATCAGATATAGCCATTTTGGTGTCTTCAACGACTTGAAAGTCTCAGCCGGTAATTTCCAGCGTATATTTTATTTTATTTTTTTTCTTTACAATCATCCTGATAGTGTGCTGCAGAGAATGAAGGAGTAGGAGGGACGTACTGGAAGACATGGGTGAATCAACTTGGTAGAGGTATTGGACACATCAGGTGGCCTATGCTTTTGTAGTCAGTAAAAAATAATAATCCCAGGTTGACTGATAATTTGTGATCAGCATTCTGATTGATCAGACTGACGTGCGTTGCGATTCGAGTTTCATTCCCAAAGAGGATCAAAGACTCTAGTTTGTTCCGGTATGCAAATTCATCACGGTGTTGAGGGCATGTGGAATGGCTCACTAACCACGTGTGATAGTTTCCTCCAAATCCCCCCCAGCTCCATTGTGCCAATTGGGCTCGTTTATTCTCTACCGGTAGAGGAATGACGGTTGCTCATTTAATCGACCGACTAAAGAGATGTACGACACATATTGTACTTCGTTGTTATCCTCCTTGAGGGGAGGATCGTCAGTCTGCTATGTTAACACGACCTATTGGATTCGCAAACAGGGCAACAAGAAAGAGACGTGCATCCGATGTTTCTCGATGGAACAAAAAATTTCGTGGTGCATGCCATCCGCACCTCAGGCGCAGGCTTGGCGCCGAGGCTGACATGTGCCTCGATCAGGCCTAGAGTGAAATCACCTGACCGGGCCCTTCCCCATTAGTTTCTTATGGGTTCTGTATTTGGATCACGGCCTGTCCCTCGCGTTATTGGCTGCTCCATGAGAATAGCCGCTTGGTATTATCTCGACACACCTCCACACCATCCCGCATGCATCTTGGGTTTCCTGCACCTCTGTCGCACGGCCGCCCAATCCTCATCACTAGCAGATAATCCAGGCATCCAAAGATCCATCATATTCCCCGACTGGAGGGCCCCCTAAGGCTTCAACCCCCCTCCGACTACCGCAAGCGGCTTTGCTCTCGCTAAGTTGACGCCTCCGTGGCAAAGAATAGAACACAGTACTATTTACAGTCCCACTTCCATCCACCATCACCTTTGTCACCATCATCCTTACCATTTTTTGTTTGGATGGCTTTTTGTTTATGCTTCTCCCGTCGATATCTGCATTATGCCATCGCAAACAGCACTATCCACATGGCGACCTTGGCCAAAATGATATGGCACCAACAGTTGTCGAATGTGACTTGACCCGTGTCGGCGCTTAGCCCACCAATCTCGAACCTGGGGCGAGACCTCATTTTTGGCACAAAGCCTTTCAACATGTCGATGTATGTTGTCGTTTCCCGCCTCAGATTCTGTGAGGGCTAATGTTTCAAAAGCCGACCATTGTCCATACATGCAGCTGAACAGTCGCCATATTCCCCAAGAACTCCCATCGTCCTCCCTTCACCTCCGCCACCACCACCACCACCTCCTCCTCCTCCAAGGGATGGCCAACCTGCAGCCTCTCCGGCACAGTCTGGGAGATTCCCGCTTCCGCCTCCATTGACGGTCAGCGTTGCGTCCCCTCTTGGTCTATCGACACATACTCCCCTCTCCGCGACATCGTTGCACGGTCCATTCTCCCCGTCCTATATTCCTTCGCCTGGCCCGAGTCCAAGGACTGCGGCACCAATGGCTGCAAGACTGTCAGGAAATTATAACGTCCCTTATGACCCTAGAGAGTGGGTAGGAGGCAGTCGACGAACGTCTTTGGTGCTGGAGGGCCGTAACAATGGGGAGCAGGCTGAGGGTATGTTTGTTTCCAGGAGTCCCAATTCTGATGTAAGAGACAAGCATGAACATATCTGAATTTTGCCACAGAAGGAATTACCAATCCTCCTCCTCCATATTCGGCCCCTTCGAATCGTGAGCAGGCTGCCTGTACTAGTGCAGGATCGACCATTTCTCCTGCTGACTCGACCTTCACCGATGGAAACCAATCCCAAATAAACACCCCGACCAGCACAGTGGGAGTGTTATCGCCCCTCAACCAAGGGTCAACATCAATGGGTGACGGTGGTCAAAGCTATGGCAACACAAATGTTGCCCAGTACTTTGGTCCTCCAAGTCGTACCGGTGGCTTCGACAATCGGTCGTCTCATCGGAGCCTTAGCTCGCAACCACTCGAGTCACGGCCGAATTCTTCCCTGAGTATCACAAAGCCTCCTTCTGCCGTGACTCTGTCGATCAGCACCACCGCCGGGCAGCAAGGTCTTCCGCTCGCGCCGTCAAGAGAAGCCCAAATTGATGCTACTTCGCTTCCTGCCCCTCCAGCAGCCAGAAGAGCTGCTTCGGCAGGGGCAGCTTCTTCTCATGGATCATCCAATCACAGCTATGACGACTCAATGTCTCGATCATCTTCTAAACAAGGACAAGGAAGCTGGCAACCAGGAATGCCATTGCCAGGTCCCCCTCCAGGTCCCCCTCCAGCTTCTTCCCGATCACAAAGTACCGGTGGAGTTCGCAGTCTTCCTCAATCACAAAGTGCTGGACCCAGTACTCGACCTCATCATCGTGTACCCTTGCGGGCACCAATACTCAGTCCACTTCCCCCCACGCCTGCCAACTGGAGAGATGAATCCACCTCTCGGTCACACTCTAGGCCACCAGTGCCGCTGCATATTGAGACGAGCAATCTCGACCGACCCGGGTCGACACCTATAGGCCTTAGCCGCAGCGCGGCTCTTCGAGTGTCTTCAGCCAAAGGTTTGTTGGAGCGGCGAAAGCACCGACGGAGCACGCACGAAGGGCAAATGGCAGAAGGAAGTGCTCTGACTATTGACACTGACCCTTGGTTTGATGCCATGAGCCCGTCAGGATATAGCACTGATCATTCGCCAACATTCGAGTCCGCAGGAATAGGACGAGCAAGCCCAGAAGCCAGTCGCCGGGACCTTCGAACGAGCAGTCGAACAAGGCATTCTATCCAGATGTCTGACGACGATCCTTCCGTGTATCTCTCGAAATATGCTGCGGGCACATCGGCTGTAACTTCAAGCATGGGTAACCACAGTACGCCGCTTGTACCACCCAAGGCGCTTCCTACACCTCCACTGAGTCACAAGAATCCGACATCTGCTCATAGTGTCCTCCCTTCGACGTCCTCGTCAGTTTCGGAAATGGGTCGTGGGGATTTTGACGTCTTCATCACGGAGGCTTCTCGTCGACACCATGAATTTCTCCTTCGCGAGAGTCTGGCTGACACTGAACTCGAACGCTTACAGCTCTTCATGGAATTTATCGTTGAAGAGTCCAAGATCCGTCGGCAACGTTATCCAACGCCATTCACGGAGGGTAAATTCAATCCCGCGGAAGCAAAACAGCGCTTGTTTAGTGATGAAACGAGTGATGGAAACGTGAGGCCCTCCACACCGGCTATTGAAACACATCCGCCAGTTTTGCACGGAATCAGGGTCGACCCCCCTCAGCGCCCTGAAGCCATGTGGTGGAAGGACTACCACCCAGCTCTCTCACCGATTGCCAGTATGAGTAACGACGAATTGAGTTCTCGTGGTCGCACTGCTAGTCGGTGGTGGCAGTCTCAGGCCGGCTCCGAGACCGACGCGGGAACCCACAAAATGAAGAGATCGAAACGGGAGTCGAAATATATGGGTCTGTCAGCTCTGTCCGTGCAGGAAGTTCTTTCGGAGGCGGCAACACCGACCAATATCAACGAAGTTTACAATTCAGGAGGGGCAAATCCGGAAGAAAAAACCCACCCGGAAACGTTTGGCTTCTACGAAGAAGCAAATCCCATTCCGGTGGCGGATCCACCAGCTCTAAACCCAACGAGTCCACCGGCGCTTGATATCTCAAGGTTCATTACACTTCCTCCACCATACCCCAGGCATTATCCTGCTGTGAATAACAGTCACCCCAAATTGGCCACATATCGCAACCTGGTTAGAACATTGAGTGATTTGAGCGAGTTGCAAAATAGAAGATCACGACACAACCTTAGTGTGGAAGCATTGCGAGCTGAGCATAAACGAAAAATCGCAGAGGGGCAAAAGGCGTTTAAGGCTAACATCCAGGCGCAAATCAACGAAGGAAGTATCACGTATGCCGAGGCCGCCGAGGCAGAACAAGCTTTGCGGATGGAAGAGAACCGATCAGAGAAAGCCTGTTTGAAAGTTGAATTCGACACCTTGCAGGATGTTGTTATCAATCCAATGCACGACATGCTAAATGACCGAGCAGCACAGCTCAGTGCCAGCATCAGTGAATTGACCGAGAAATTAGTTGCGGAGACTCATGCTGAAAATCTTGATCGACCACAACAAGAGGGAGATGCCATGCCAGAGATCTTGGAGTATCTCACGCAGCTGAAATGGCTTTTCGAGACTCGAGAAACAATTTGCAGAGAGATCTTTGATCTTCTGAGTGAGCGGAACGACAAGTACAAAGCCATTGTGCTGTTGCCGTACCACCAAGTCAGCAACATGGACAAGATTCGGGACACGGAAGATTTCTTCACCCAAGACAGCCTGCAACGGCACAAAACATTTTGTGAGGAATCACTTGTGCGATACCAGACATTGTTTCAACTCGTTTCGGAAAATGTGGCACAGGAAGTCCAGTTGCAATCGTCTGCTTTCTGGGATATCGCCCCAGGTTTGCTAGATTTAGTTCAAAAGCTGCCCGACGAACTTGACCAGCTTGGACCGATTGCGATTCCCGAAGTCGAATATGTGGAGAATCCAGCATATCACGAGTTCCCGCAACAGTATTTATACTCACTGCTTGATCATGCTGAGAAATCAACATATCAGTTCATTGAATCACAAATCAACCTGCATTGTTTGCTGCACGAAGTCAAAGGAAGTCTGCTTGGAGCGCAATGTCGGGCTGGGAAAGCTAACAGGGTTCGCGCCGACATTGACGGTGGAGGATCAGGCGTCGACCCCACGGTCGTGCGGGAAGAGCAAGAGACATTGGCCACGGCTGAATTGAAGCAGCACGTGACGATGATTGAAGAACAATGGCTGGAAGCCTTGGGGAGTGCCCTGCAGGGGAAGAAAGCGCAAGTGAAGATGTATCTAGAGAATGTTGGAGGGTGGGATGAATCTTTCCAAGGGGCAGACTAATTTGCTGATTTGAATTTGATGATACCTTTTTGAGCGTTTTTTCCTAGAATGAGTAATGATAAATGACCAGAAGATTTTGGACCAGGAACATGCTTCTCTCACTCATGGCCGGCTTACTGGGAGCAGCCGACAACCCGATTAACCGAACTCTGGGGGGATGATGATACTGAAGAATGGTGGAAAAGTGGCCGCGATGGATACCCTAGAAGCAGAACAAACAAGGAGACCAGGGGAAAGAAAGCCTTGTGGATGCCGTGCACACGTATTCAAAGAACGTGTCATTGGAAGTCACAGTTCCACCTCTTCGCAAGGTACGAATACGATCGAAGTGCTCTCGACACTACTAGGGCCATCTACTGATATGCTACGTTGTCTCTCCCTCCCCGCGAGGGGACAGAACTAAAGTGGAGGTGGAAGTGGATGAGAAATATGGGACAGGGTTGCATAGAGGGGTGGCCTCATAATATCGAGTGCTTATACAGGACTGGCATGAAAGCAGTGGCCGCCATGAGGGCAAGTAGTGTATGTACTCCGAAGAGCGCATAGATAGTCGTCCCCGGTACGTAGAGAGTTGGTATCTCGAGGTCGAGATACGGAAATCCAGCTGGCGACGAAGGGCGTAGAGAAGGTTCCAGGTACATACTGTCCATCGGAGGCTTCTCCTCCTCCGAGCCTGCAAAATTGTACCAGCCGCCCACCAAGCTTTGACACTTGGGCTGTGCCATCGAAATCATGGCCAGGTTGGGAGTACCACTTCGGTTCCACCAAACTTCAAACTCTTCCTCTTCCTTCAAACGCCGTTGTTCGATCTGCAGCCGATCGCCACCATGCACGTTGCATCCTTGAGCTTTGTCGTCGACGATCAATACTTCGTACGCTGCCTCTGACGTCCATCTGACATGCAAAATCCGCCCATCGTCGATATGGGCCTCGTTGTGAGCTCCGCCGCTCGACCCGAATCAAACGGCTGTCCTACATCATTGGCTTGATAACGAATTCTATCCTCGTACACACACGGGAATGAACATTCCTAAGCGCATGGTTCACGGCGGCCGATCACAGGTTATGACGTTGATGGTGGTGATTGTTTTGCTACAAGGTCAAACCCCGTAGCGCCCATATCAACCAGGTGGACCCGGTGGATACAATGCAAAGATATACAAGAGTGCTTGGACTTCTCTTGACCCTCCTGTTCTCCTTGACTTGGCTTATTCCTCCGTTCTTGGTGACCCCTGCCTAGGAAGCTTTGCCCTTCTTCAATTGCTTGTCATCAACATAAGAGTTCCCAAGACATTCAAATCAAACCAACTGCTCGGCATGGCTGACAACGAGAAAACTACCCACGAAAAAGGGGACTTCAGTAGTGAGGGCACCGTCACCAATGTTGAGAATTCCTCTCGTCCTCGCAAGAAGAGCTTTGTCGACATTGATGAAGCGCACCTCAGCGCGGTGTTTGAGAACCCGTTGGCCGACATCCCTAAAGAACAACTCTTGGAAGAAGTCGAGACTTTTTGCCGGGATAACAATCTCATGGAATATGTCGACGCGTTTCGGAAGGGTGCTATGGTCGCTCAAAGACCCCGAGAGATCGGCGATATCGCAGAATTGACTCCAGAAGATAGGGAGGTGCTCACTCGAGAACACACCCACCGATGGTCTCAGCCTTGGACTCTGTATTGGCTTGTCGTCATGTGTTCTCTGGCCGCAGCCGTGCAGGGCATGGACGAGACAGTCAACAACGGAGCACAGGCACTGTATCTGAAGGAGCTCAACATTACAACCGACCGATTCTCGCAAGACATGGTTGACAACTTGACGGGTTTGGTCGTGGGAGCACCTTACCTATGCTGCGCCGTTCTCGGCTGCTGGTTGACAGAGCCCTGCAACAAGATCTTTGCTCGTCGAGGAACTATTTTCATCTCCTGTTTCATTGCTGCCGTCGCGTCCGTCTGGGAAGGTGTTGCCAACTCTTGGGTCAATCTGTTCTTGGCCCGGTTTGTTCTCGGCAAGATGATATCCGCGGTGGAGTGGTAGAGAAGGTTGATCTGACGCTTTCTAGGTCTCGGCATCGGTCCTAAATCCTCAACGGTTCCTGTGTACTCTGCTGAATGCGCTCCAGCTCCCATTCGAGGTGCACTGGTGATGATGTGGCAAATGTGGACTGCGTTTGGTACCGTTCTAATGATTTCTCCGGCATGTTTTGGTTGCTGACCTCTTTCTAGGCATCATGCTTGGTAACATCATGGGTGTTGCCTTTGGTGGACTCGACCCAGATCTGGGATGGCGATTGATGCTTGGAAGCACCGTTGTGCTTCCACTCATTGTCTGCGTTCAAGTCTACTACTGCCCTGAGAGTCCGAGGTGAGCAATGTGTCATTGGAATTGTCCGATCATAGTCTGACGATGTGATTAGATGGTACATTCAACACAATCACCCGGAGAAAGCATTCCGATCTTTCCAGCGCTTGAGATTTACGGACTTGCAGGCTGCGAGAGATACTTACTATACCTATGTCGGTGTCGAGCTGGAACGCCAGGCTCATCATGGCAAAAATCTCTTCACTCAATTCATCGAACTGTTCACCATCCCCCGTAACCGAAGAGCAACTTGGGCCAGCTGGATCGTGATGTTTGGTGAGTCCGGAAAAGGTCTCTACCTTTTTTATTACTTGTGGCTGACTACATGACACAGGTCAGCAATTCTGCGGTGTCAACGTCATTGCATACTACAGCACCACCATCTTCATTGAATCAGGCTATTCGACGACTTCTGCACTGTTGGCGTCGATGGGTACTGGTATTCTTAACTGGATTTTTGCCATACCCGCCGTCTTTACTATTGATTGGTGGGGCCGTCGAAACTTGCTCCTTTTTACATTCCCCTGGCTTGCAGTATTCCTTCTGTGGACCGGCTTCAGCTTCTGGTTTCACAACGACAAGGCCAAGGTTGGTATGGTCACCACGGGAATGTATCTGTTCGAAGTGTTCTACAGTCCGGGCGAAGGCCCCGTGCCGTTCACTTATTCGGCTGAGGCGTTCCCCGTGCATGTTCGAGACGTGGGCATGTCCTTCGCGACGGCGACGACTTGGTGCTTCAACTTCATCCTGAGTTTCACCTGGCCACATCTCTTGACGGCATTCAAGCCTCAAGGAGCATTTGGCTGGTATGGGGCGTGGTGTATTATTCTCTGGTTCTTGATCCTGTTGTTCGTTCCCGAGACCAAGGTACGTTTTCCGACTCGGAGAATTTCCTTTCCAATGCTAATTCACTTTTACAGGCTCTTACCCTTGAGGAATTGGACCAAGTATTCAGTGTCAGCACTCGAAAGCACATGAGCTACCAAATGAAGAATGCTGTATGGCACTTCCGCGTGTGGGTGTTGCGACAGAAACTCGAACCATTACCTCCATTCTATCGACGAGCAGAGAAGTTGAACGAAGCATGAATTATAGAAGAATGCTTGGGAAGCAAGTTGTCTGGAGAAGAATGATCTTCGTAGTTGGTGGCGGTTGACATGAACAATGGATCTCTGATGACGAGGCTGTCCAAGTTAGAGAGTCACGCAGAGTTGCTGTTGAGAAAAGATTGTCTAGCATTGAGAGCGATGGAAAATCCCCGAGGTTGCTCCGTAAACACCCGGTGGTGGTTCAAGCCAGCTCGGGGGTCTCGGGGTATCTCAAATACCGAGGCGGGCGGAAGGGGAAGAGCACGTGATAAGTGCGGCAGGTCGTGAAGCAATGTTTGAGCACTTTCAATTCCATCTCACCATTTCGACCCTGGTTCGCGGAGAGCAGTCTTCCTATTATGGATAACATAAGATCTCGGAATTTACATGTTCGGTTTTCTACTGACCTCACCCATCATCTAAGCGCAACGAATGTTGTGACTTGGTACCCCCCGCCGTAGACCTCGGATGCGGAAGTTGTCGGAAAGAGGTAAAGTGGGAGATTTCTAGGCGTTTCGTCAGTTTCGCCTTCTGCCCCTCCGTCAACTCAGTTGCGGGCTGCGGATTGTCTCTCGTCTCCCGTCTCCTATGGGCACTGACACTGACTCTTCAATTGGCAGTCAAACCGTACTTCAGGTCCCCTCTATCGGATCACGATGCATGCGGAGAACGTCCACATCCACATCCCTATCCCTACTCCCTTGATCATTTCCCGAGAAGTCATCGACGACTAATTGACGACTAATGTGTACAACGGTCTTCTCTGCCACAACCACCCGAAGATGGGCCTGTCGGAACAATAAGATATCTTCCTCAACAATCTTCTTGCTTTTCTCTTCATATACTGGGATACTTCTCCTGTTACGGTTCAATCTATTTCTACATCTGTTCCATCTCAAGTTTGCTCCTCGAGGCTCCTTGTTCTCCCACTGCCATCTTCCACCATCTGACGTCTTTCCTCCATTCCACCGAGGTCGACCCGATTTATCGCGTGCCCAAGTCTCGCACTCTCCTATTCCACAGTATTTCCGATCTTCCTGCAAATTGACGTGAGCAAAAGAGATTTCCATATGGCAACCAACGGGGATTCCAATGGCCACCCTACTGGCACTGGCCAAGAGAAAATCAACACCGACATCATTACCCTCACAAGATTCTTGACCGAAGAACAAACAAAACACAAGGAAGCTACCGGTGATTTCACGTTAGTCGAGTCCGTATGTCTCAGGAACTTGCAAAACTGACTGATTCCTTTTAGACTGCTATGCCATGCTCTCCAATTCTCTTTCAAATCCATTTCCTACTATATCAGACGAGCCACTCTGATCAACTTGACTGGTCTGGCCGGCTCATCAAACACCACCGGGGACGACCAGAAGAAACTTGACGTGATTGGAAATGAGTTATTCGTTGCAGCTATGAGAGGATCTGGCAAATGCCGAGCCCTGGTCTCAGAAGAGGAGGATGAAGTCATATACTTTGACGAAAGCCCCAATGCTAGATATATTGTCATGTGCGATCCTATCGATGGCTCAAGCAATCTCGATGCGGGCGTCAGCGTCGGCACCATTTTTGGTATTATGAAATTGCCGGACAGTGTTATTGGGCACAAACCCATGCCACAAGATTTACTTATGCCCGGAACTGAATTGCTTGCTGCTGGGTAACACATTTTTCTACCAACACACACAAGAAATATGTTCTAATTGGATTCAGATTTACCATGTACGGCGCTTCCGCCCAACTGGTCATTACCATGAAAGGCGGCACAGTCAATGGCTTCACCTTGGTGGGAACGCTTCATTTTAAGAAAATGTGCTTTACATCTAACTTGTCATCTTAGGACAACGCTTTCGGAGAATTCATCCTCACACACCCGAACATGCGCATCCCCAAGAAACGAGCCATCTACAGCGTTAATGAAGGCAACTCCTTGTACTGGTCCGACAAGACAAAAGCTTATTTCGAATCCCTCAAGTTCCCAGCCAAAGAAGGCGGCAAGCCCTACTCATCCCGTTACATTGGGTCCATGGTCGCTGACGCCTATCGCACTTTGTTGTATGGAGGTATCTTTGCGTATCCGGCCGACAAGAAGTCACCCAAGGGCAAGCTGAGGGTCCTGTACGAGTGCGCGCCCATGGCGATGGTCATGGAGAACGCAGGCGGAATGGCGGTGAATAGTAAGATGGAGCGTATGTTGGCGGTCGTGCCGGAAAGTATTCACGACAGATCGGGGATCTTTATGGGTAGCCAGGAGGAGATAGAGAAGGTTATTGAGGCGCATAAATAAGTTAAAGCAAAAGCGAGCAAGATGGATGGTGGTGGAGGAATTTCGTCCTGTGTTGACAGGCGTGGCATGTCAATGTTGCTGATGCTGCTGGAGCGGAGGCTGAGCCTAAGACGGGAAACGTGATGAAACTTGAGATTGAGACTTGAGCTTTGTGTTCGAACATACCTTATTCTATACGATTTGGACCGGACTGGAATGGAATGGCAGACGATTTCGCCTTGAGATCATGGAACAATCCAATCAATGAATATGTCTCATCATGTTCTACAATTTTTGATTTGCCAATCGACATCATATCATACCTCGGGTCACACCCCGAGGCGTAATATTAGCACAAAGAGTTCATTCATCCCATACTACCAGTAGAGCGTGACTGGCTCTCACCTGTGCCCCCGTCTCCCCTGTCTCCTCCTGGTGTCCAACCTTCTCGTCCTCCGTTCAATTTGTCTCTTAGCTCCTCCAACGCCCTGACAACCTCGCTTTCAACACCATTCTCGGCATCACTATTCCTATTCCCGTGTCCAAGTCCCTCAGCACCGGTAGAGCTCCCCAAATCCGAGCTTGATCTCCCGGCAAACCGGCCATAACGTAAATCACTCAATGCCCCAACGCGTTCTTCGCACTCGCGATGTATAGATTCGATCTCGGCTTCCAGACTCGTGATATCAGACTCTAAGTCTGATGTCGCTATCTGCATCGCCGAGAGGAGGCTGCTGCTCGTATGGTTCGTACTTCGTATCTTCGTGGAGAGTGTGTTGCCGGCTTGACCATGGAGATGTGTGTCGAGCTTGATTTCTCTCTGCGCCTCCGCTTCATCGTTGTCATAGTCATCGTCATCATCGGAGGTATTAACGTCGTCGTCGTCGTCTTCGTAATCGGTCCCACGCTTCCTTTTGCGCTCTGTCTTCAAGCCTTCTTCTCTCCTTACCGCCTTGCCCAACCGCCCTACCAGCACGGCGCTCTGGCGGCATTCGTCGTCAATGCGCCGACGTACGTCATCGATTGTGATGTCGCGCCGGAACTCGAGGTCGCGGTATAGGCGTCTGAGGTTGGGGTTCTGGCGGGTTGAGGTTGGAGCAAGGACTTGGAAGGCGGGCCAGGGGAGGATGCATGATAAAGGGGATGGTTGGAGGAGATAGGAGTGGAGGATTTGAAGTTCGCTGGGAGGTGTTGGGGCCATAGATTGGTTTAAGTCGACGTTGAGTGATGAGATTGTGTGAGTTGGCGCATGTACTTTCAAGCCGTGCACAGTGTTTCGCAGATTGATGATTTCAGTTCCGGACAGTGACGATTTATTTGCGGGTGATTGTAGGATAGCAATTCTGCCGCTCCCTTTACCAAAACTCTCGCCCCAGTCTCTGCGTGTCTTCGTCACCTTGGTATCTTCGTATGGTCGCAGAGTCGCATTAGCTCCGTATCTTCATCACGCTGCAGTGGATAAAGAGAGGTTCGCAGTCTGTCTCGGCTCGTTGCTGGGATTTCGGATCCGCTCAATCTCAGCGCGCTCATCCACAGACGGTAGCAATAGCACCAACCACAAGAGCAAACTATTGAACCAGGGCGCGTGGCAAAGCGGTCGACAAACCAACAATGTCGTTAGGAAAATGCCGATTAGGCAATTTCCTCTTGATGTTCAGGGCAACGGCCAGGTCAGGTTAGAGCCGCACAAGAGATGATGTGGTCAATGGAGAATACCTGGATTGTGGGCGATGATGTGAGTGCTGTGAGAATCCTTGTCGGCTGCCACTGGTGAGTAACGTCCGTACCTATATCAACGCGACACAAACTGATGAGGCTGCCAATCTGAACTACGGCCTCCCACAACTTCGGATTGAGAGGATCGTGGAGGAAGACCGTGGTGGGATGGAGAATGATAGAAGCGGACATGGAGAACGCGTCGCAGGCAGCCAATCAAAACCAGGTGCGACAGTGCTCGCCGGCAGCAAATTCGAACCTCACCGTCACCATCGCTGATTGCGAATTCCTCGTTTGACACACCTCAATCTCCTCCCTCTTGCTCAAGTTCACCTTCTTCACCCCATAATTGCACGGTCGTGTCGGCACCCTTTTTTCTTTTGCGTGAGGGGAGGAGTTAGTTTCTTGTTCAACTTGTTTCATTTCCATTTCGCTCGCTCGACATCGAAGATCAGACTTACTCATAACGCGACACAGATTTAATAATGGCGCCTCATTCGAGCGAGAGCAAGCCCATGTACCAGAAGGATGAGAAGGCACTTTGCTTCCATGGCGAGCTGCTCTATGAGGCCAAAGTCCTGGAGGTTCGCCGACAGGATCCAAAGGACAAGACCAGTCCTCATGAGTATCGAGTTCATTACAAAGGATGGAAGAACACGTGAGTCTCACTCTTCATTAGCACCTGCTTTGCTATCTGCTTGGTGAATTGAAAATGAAAGGAAAAACAATCCATTTGTGCCTGAATCTGCTGCCTTGTTACTAGAGTGGTGAAAGATTTCTCGTTGCGCTCCGCCTCCTCTGTCCAATAAGCGTTCGAGCAAGCGACTGTAAATATGGCTGTCGCATGCTACTTCGTCTGAATGTGATCTTTCTCACATTCCCCCATTGTCGCGTCCATCTGCCGACATTCACACCACCAAGACATCACAACAATCAACCCTTCACCATCCTAAATCCGCCCTCTAGACATCAAGATAGTTGAGAACTAATCGTTCCTCGCCTAGTTGGGATGACTGGGTACCTCAAGACCGCCTGCGCAAGCTCACTGACGACAATCGAGAACTCGCCGCCAATTTGAGACGAGAGCTAATTGCGGCACCTCCCAAAGTTGCCACCAAATCCAACACCAAAACTCGACGAGGCCAAGGCTCTGAAATCGGTTCGGGAAGAGGTAGTGAAGAGCGCTCATCTGTCCCCGCCGCAGGTGGTAGAGGCTCAAAACGTGCTAGAGATAACGATATTGAAAAGGTTGGTAACCCTCCGTCCAGATACTCAGTTCCCACGAGAGTCCACCCCTTCTGTTAAAACCTTATTGGAACATTCCCCTGTACTGGATAATCGTCGTGGGCCATTTTGTTTTCTGGAACCGTTTGGATTCTTTTTGGGAATAGGCCGGAATACCACTGTCGAAAATTCCCTTCTCGTAGACGACCCGCCTAGGACACCAAACTTGAATGGCCATATGACACAGCTGCTTTCTGGAAATATGGACGACAACGACGATGGCCAGGGTCAACAGGCCCTAGGTCAAAATAATGATACCTCAGCAACCAATCTCCAGCAATTCCTGTACGTGCCGCGAAGAGCTGCCGTTCAAGCCTCCAAGGTTTTTTCAGACAAGCCGTCCAAGAATATGGTGAAGAAGCCAAAGGAGAGGAAAAACGCACCTCCCACGACGAAAAAGGATGATAAGAGTAATGATACCACTTTCACACCTAAAGAATCTAGCCGAGTAGACAAGGCTGTTTCTGGCTCGGATTCGGATGAACTACAACCTCCTCAACGTCGCCGCCGAAGTTATCCTTCCACCAGTTCACGTGAATCACTCGGTCTGAGATTCTGTGCGTGCCATGAACTATGATGAAGGGCCAGAGGAAATCCCACACTCGGCTGCCTGGGCAAGCCAAAATCCCTACCTGTTGACTCTTCAGTTTCTTCTACAGCACAGCTTCCAACCAAAAAAGAGCCCAGCCTTCCTCCAAAGACTATGAGTCGTCGCAAAGCCACCAAGAAATACTCTAGAAGAGACTCGGACACCCCTTGGAGAAGAGTCCATTGACGAATTCCTGACACGACCGGCACCTCTAGATGAGCCTGAATCCATTTCTCGAACCACCGCATCTGAAAATCCTCAGCAATTTTGGGCACCTTTGATCAGCGGCACAACTATGCAAGAGAAGGCCCTCATTGAACAAGAGCTGGAAATGAATGGCAAGATTACCATTCCCGAGAAACACCATCCCAATTAGATCAAAACCAAGAACGAAGATTCAGGTAACTTCAACAAGTTGCTCTTCTACGAGGGTGTTGATCCGCCCAAGAAATACCCAATAGCAAGGGTTCCAAAAGATCCTTTTATTATCGATCCTCCTGGCTCCGGCCCTTGCTTCGACGCACTCAAATCCCCGGGTCGTCTGGTAGAAAAACTCCACCGCCACGACAGGGAAACTCTCTATGGCTGGAATGAGGCAGCGCTCATGCATATTCCAACAGAATTAATGCATCGAATTCATCCACACATCCTGGCAAAGATGCCATTGCAGTTTTGACCAAACACCCCAATTCGGTCATTGACAGAATCCCAGATGACTCGCCGTTCTGGGAAAAGTGGGCAAGACGAGAGGAGAGCTGCACGTCTGAAAAGCCTTCTACACCAAAGAAAACCAGAATAACTCGCAATACCACACATGCTGCCGGCCGTGTGGCTGACAATGTTGCTCCCAAAGACAAACCGGCTCCCACCACTCTGCCATCAACTCGAGTGCTTCGACACAGCACCAGACTAGCTACTCTCGCCAGCAATAATTCTCCGGCATCCACAACTGCTTCAACTCATTAGCTCCTCCTGCCGCAAGCAAGGACAAGTGCACGACTTGTATGGCCATGGGAATCCAGCGCAATGGCGACAAGCCGATCTGCCACTGGTGCTGTCACGAAGGCTACCAATGTAGCTTCAATGTCTACTCCGAAGGGGACGAAACACTTGTTTGGACCGCGAAAGGTCCAATGCTAAAGTACAAGACCTTTGCCAAATTCCAATCTCAAGACATCGTGCCGACTATCCGCGGCCGAGTCTCACGCGGTCGGGATCCTACAGGTCTGGATCTCCTTGTCTTCGCACCAGAGGTGGTAGAAAGTGGTATGGCTGACCAAGTTCAAGGCAACCTCGAATACGAGATCCAAAGCTTCCAGCCCAATAGCTCAAGTGAATCCGGGACTAGAGGCCCCCGTTCCGGCTACGTGGAATCCACAACCTACCTTCGCATCGGATCCAAACGTGCAAAAGAAAGTGATGAAGACGCGAAACTCAAAGCGACCTGGCTTTATCCTGTGCTGAAGGAGATTTTGTTTGCCCTAACCAACTGGATGGCCAACTAGATGGGACCCAAGCTTACATTTCATCTTCTGCACAGGAAGAAACATATTTCAATCGTCCGTCGATTCGTATTTCGATCCCCGACCACCTGAAGAACCTTCTCGTCGACGATTGGGAGAACGTCACTAAGTCGCTCTTGCTTGTTCCGCTTCCGAGCCAAGCTCCTGCCAACTTCATCCTTGACGAATACTTCAACGAAGAGAAGATGAATAGACGATTGGGCTCGGTCGAGGCTGAGATTCTCGAAGAATTTGTTGCCGGATTGAAGACGTACTTTGAGAAGTCGGTCGGTAAGATCTTGTTGTATCGCTTTGAGCGCAGCCAGTTGGCGGAGGTAAGTGATTTTCATATTTGACAAAATCTTCTCTCAAAATTGTTCCTAATGATCTACCTGCCACTGCCACTACAGGTTCGCAAGTTGTGGGAATCGGGCAGATACAAGGAATGGGAGGGCAAAGGTCCAGGTGATTGCTATGGGGCCGAGCATCTCACTCGAATGATCGGTATGTTATGTCACAACTAGCTGCCATTGACTCGTAACGAATTGCTTGTTCTAACCAAAGCATCACATCTGAATTTGATAGTCAATCTCCCCGAAATCATTGCTCAGACCAACATGGACGCAGAATCGGTGACCAGACTCAAATCGGAGCTAAGCAAGTTCAGTACATGGTTGTCGAGAAATAGTGGTCGATTCTTCTGCTCCAAGTACGAGAAGCCAAGTGCCGAATACATCGAAAACGCTCGATAAATCAACGCACACGTTGGCAATGCACGACAAAATCACCGCATTCTTTTAAGCCAGATTCAAGCAAAGTGCGAAGGACAGTTTAGCCGCAGACTGGGGTTGAAACCGTTTGCTGCGTGACACAAGGATTGAGGATGAAAAGATGAGACATGGACTGAAGTTGAGTGAGACTGATTCGGACAGGAAAAAAAGAGAGAAAAGAGCTTCATGGGTCCTCAGGCGAAGGATATCCACACACACACACACACACACACATATATATTGTTCATTGTGATGAGTAAGAGAGCAGTATCAGTGGAGAGTGACAAAGTAACTTCAAGATCCCTGCTAAAGGTATCAGGCGTCCTCAGTTAGGAGCAGAGTCACAAGACACAAGATATTGAAACAAACATATGCATTCCAAAATTTCATTTTGGTTTTTTTTTTGATTGTAATTTTGTGACCGAATATGTTCTATATTACTTTGATCGCTAAACGACTGGCGATGACACAAGAAGAATCATCTCCACTAAGAAAGGTCAATATCTGCCTAATATTCCAAGGAAATCAAAAAGGGGGGATAGCTGTGCGAGATGATTGTATCCGAAAAGCGAAACCCAGACCCAGTCAGCTAGCCAGTAATTTTCCGACCATTCCCTCAAAGTCTCTTGGTGATAATGAAATTCCAGCCTCGCTTTGATACTGTTTTCGTTCAAGCTATTCCTTCCGACAGTGACCTCTGCCTGTGGAAGAGACCGGTCAAGCCTAGTTTTGTTTTGTTATTGGTTACTGAAGCTGGGGTACCAAACCAGTAATGCAGTCTGGTCCAAATACGTCGTTGAGACCAACAAAATTGTCGATGGATTGGGTGATTCCAGGGAGCTGAGTGCCGGGGGAGGGCAGTCAAAATTGGCCAGTTCGAGATCTGTGCTGCGCACAACCCTCTGGACATCGATGGGTTGGATGGGGTCGAGATCGTCGAATGACACTGCATCAAACCAAGGCCTCACGCCGGTTTTGTTGAGAAATGCAGTGGAGCATGAACAGGGAAGAGGATCACTTACAACAAGAGGATGGAAAGTTGTTGGCGAGGCGGGAGAAGTTCAAGTTAGACTGGGGCCACAACTTAGTGATGTGTTTCTCAAGATAGTCTCTTTGCGGAATAGACTGGTTTGGTTGGGAGAAAGTAAGTGCTGACCGTGAACATATCGATCCAGATATTGCGAGAGGACGGACAAAGACAAGGCCTGTGGTTAACTTGCCTCCCAGGACCGCTGAAGATAACTTGGCTGAGGTCTCTCTAGATGGGGACGGTAAGATTTAGAGTGCACTTGAGGTCCGACGGCTCGTTGGGGATCGTAAAAGCTGGAAGCAGTGCCAGGGTCGCCTGGGGACATTGCATAGCAACCATTTTGTCTCAGCAGAGCTTTGTTGGGTTTAGCCTAAGGCACGATCTGGATGGATCCGGTGGGATTGAATGGGTAGGCAATTTGCTTGAGACTTGATGTCGCTGGGATGATAACAGGTTTTCATGTTGATGGTGGTGATGATGCCTTTTGTAAGGAAAGATTGATCAATTCACAAGGAAAAGGAAACAATATCCGGCAGCACGCAAAGGAGTGAGAAAAAGGGAAAGTAATCGTGTTCATCAAAAATGAAATAGGTGGTTTCAGAGACCACGAACGAAATTGTCGAGAACTGGGTGCGAGGTAGTGATTTTATGTGCTGGGCACAGGAAAACGCCTATCAGTCTTTGGGATATCTGATCGGTTAGTATTTCAGACTTTTGAATACGCGGGAAGCGGACCCGTGGAGAAGGCATCTCGTAGGAGTTCTCAACCCGTACTTAACTTGGAGGCCGGCCGGCTGCGTTGTTTCGCTAATCTGGGCTTCGATTCCAGGCCATCCTCACCCGACAAAATGCTTTCAAAGGTGTAATACCTGAATGCGCGTTTCGATTGGTTGAACAGGTATTCCCCTCTCTCCAGCAGCCTCGTGAGAGGATCGATGTGATTCTTGACGAGACAATTATGCCTTTTCCTGACACTATTTGTGGATTGATGAGATCTCAAATCCTTCCGTTGTTATAGCTCTAAGTCAGTCGAAGGAGTGGTAGAGAAGTGGTTGTCAGTGACAATCAGAGGATCCTAGTCTATTCCACCGGAGAGCAAATGGTCCACCGTATTACATACGGCCAATTATTACTTGGCCAAGTGCTCAAGCTTATATTTCTTCGGGTTGGGGAATATATTTGCTGTTCAGACGACCTGGCTTCTAGGCATTGCAACATTATTTGCAACCAAGCCCCGCTGATATAGATATTAAATACCATCTGTTGCCAGTTGCGAGCCTACCTCGGTATTGTTCTGTTTCATGGAGTTCCACCGGCCCTGCAACGTTACTTCTTGATAGCCTCCACTCAAGCGCCTTTTGATAAGGTACCACCGACTGGTCTTGCGATCAGGGCCAGGGATATCTACGGGTATGAACGGCACCAAAACACACTTCTCAAACGGCAAATAAGGTCTCCCGGGTGTGCCAGTAAGATTCACAAGATTCGCACTGTGGGCGTGCCAAGGTGGAGTTCTTATACCCACCTTGAGATTCTACGCCGGGGGGTGTATAGTGTCTGTCTACCTACCTTGTAGGTGTTAGTGGAAGAGCATTGCCAAGTGCCGATACTGGACAGTACTACGCTGTAAGCACAGTATGCCGGGCTTGCTAAGACTGAAAGGCCAAGCGATCTTCCTTTTCGCAAGATGAACCGCCCCGACACCCACGTAATGTCCGGTCAAGATGCATAACTATGTACAGCTGCATCTTGCGGAGGGGGTTATGACATCGCTGTCGCGGAGCCGGGACTGATTCCATTGTCAGATACCGCGAATATGGCATCATTACAACTCGTTACCTTAACGTCTCCCAGGATGGAAAGGCCTGGTGAAAACACTAAAAGAGATGCATTCGGCATACACGTTGACGTGGGCACTCAATGCCCTGCCTCCAAGTGCTTCTGTGAGAATCACGACCTATCTTCATCGCCCGGACATCCAACACGAAGCACTCGAAAACTTCGCCTTGCGGTGATCTTCGAGGTTGGGGTTAACATGGCGACGCATCAGTACACCCGAATCAGCACTCAAGACTCAGGCACAAGCTCCTACCAAAGGGAAGCAGTTTCTTCCGACAGCGACAGCAGCACTCTAGTCGCCTCCGAGTCTCGGTGGTCAACGATCCACCAACCAAGGAAATACTTGCGTTCTTCGACCCCGATCATCATCATCTTGACTGTGCTCTCTTTGTCCCTGGCGACATACCAATTCATTCGCTCTTATTCTCAGACAAATAGCCCTCCCACAACATCTTCCAAGGAGGCGGATCCGTTATTCGATTTTCGCTACACGACAGACCTGGCCTCCCAGGACTCCTACCGCGACCAGCAGCCGCATACGCATAACCGTTGGCAAACGCCATCGGGCGAGTGGCTATCATGTGGCCACTCGCCTCACGAAGCGATCGCTCGCAACTGTCAATTTGACATCATGGCGGCCGTCTGGCTCCCTCCGCCTTGCTACAACGCCGAGTTCGCCCACGAAATGGCTCAAGCCACACAGTCCAACGCCACTGAAATCAGCGTCTCCCCTAAACACTCGGTGTCCATGACCAATATGACATGGCACACGGATCAAGACCTGTCTGTCGAGACGTTCATTCCATTTGCTCAGTTGGCCGAGTACTTCGTGGCGAAATTCGATAAAGGAGAAAAGTTGATTGCGTACTCGATTGAGAATTTCCATGTCGCGCATTGTTTGTATATGATGAGAAGCGCGTTGATGGCGATGCAGAGGGTCGCGGCGGGGGAGAAGGACGTGTATGTGCATGAGCAGGCTATGGGGGCGGAACATTCTGAACATTGTAACGATGTGATTATGAACCATGAAACAAGGAAGACGGGAGTCACAGAGTTGGAGTTTGGGTTCGGATGGTGTCATAAGATGTCGTAGAGGGTCGTAAAGGAGAGACGTAAAATCTAGGCAAAATATTTCATGATTTGTTGGGTTTGAGCACGTTGCATGCCGCTAAATATGACGGGGTCGTTTTGAAGGGTGTTTCATGGTCCAGAAGAAAATAATACGATCTAACAATTGACGCTCTCAAATTGATTTTCTTTCAAATCTCATACATACATATATCCGTAAAGGATTCAGTCAGATATTTTTTTTTTTTATGGGATGTCATCCAAAACAACATCTTCTGGCCTCTGAGTCACAGCCAAAATCTCTAATTTCTTAGGATCCACCTGATGATTTACGGCCCAGTTCTTCAATTCCCAAAAGTTCTTACATTTGTGCTTGGTATTGAAATCAACGAACAGTTCGCCAGTTGACTTGATCCAATATTGACCAAACACCCCCGTGTCCGGCTGACACATAAGTTGCTGTCGCAAGATATCTATACAATGGTTGACGTGCTTGTACTGCATCTCTTCGGGGGTGCCAAAGACACCTTTTCCTTCAGCAGCGTAGTGGCCGTAGTTCCAGTGCGTGGACTGACGCAGTAAATTCAGACAGTGCAGGTGGTGTTCGAATTCGAAAAGAACAGGGAATCCACCTCCCAGCTCCGGGGATAGTTTGGCAGCGCCGGGATTTAGACCGTAGCGTTCGCCCAAGTGCTCGGGGACGATGTAGTGATGGTCTGGATGGACTGGATGGTTAGTTTTGGTTGATTTGGTCAAACGTGAGAGCTGAGAGGCAGGGTTTTGACTGCATCGATGGCATCTTGATTGAAAATGTAACATACTTTGAACACCTAGTGACATCCATGCTTCATCGACTTCGGGTCCGGGCGGTAGACGAAACGTGCTGCTGTTGGGGTTGGAGAAGGAACCCTCGAACTGCACGGTGGAATATTTTATTTTGAGATCTTGCTGTATGGGGGATGCTGAGAGACAGGGTCAGTTCCTGCTGAGATGACATGTTTTTGATGCAAGAAAAGAAGCCGACTCACGAGTTTGTGAGGTATAAAGGGCACAAACTTCATCGAGATCCTGTCCTCGTCCCACAATCTGAGTCATCACATTGAGGAAAACTGACAGTCCAAGGAGAAAAACGAGAACCCATTCCACCCACGGCCGGCCATGAGGCGGCTCCTGGATCTGGCTAGATTTGGGAAGGAACGCCTCTTCTTCTCCTGCTTCCATTCGGAGATCATGAGGTGCCTGATGGGTGTATGTCTGCTTGAACTTCAGCATCGTGGTCGCACTGAGAACTCGATCGTTCTCGGGCAAGGGAGACATTAAATGGAGAAAGACAGATGGTATGACCCAAACACTGATAGAGCAAGGGGATGAAATGAAGGAATCGAGCGAATGGTCAACGTTGTCCTCGGCATGATAGCACGTATGTGGGTCTTCTACCTCGAAGCTAGAAATCCAGATGAAATGACATTGCGATACCGTTCCGGCAAGGGCCGAGTGTCTTCGTGCTCCTATTTGTTCGTCCTATCAGAACCACGCGAATGGAATCAAACGCCCAGACCAGCAGATGCTACCATACCATACAATAGTATCCCTGCTCGAACGCCATAACAGAAGTACACCAACGTAGCGCAACGCGCGTATAGAATGAGGAGATCATTCGTTATCTGTGCCCACTGATCAGCATATATGTAACAATATGCAAAGCTTCGCTCTGCACCGATAAGTCGGTTACTAGTCAAAATGGATATGACCTTGCGAGTGATGCAAGATGACCAACTGAGTCGAGCATTAAAAGGGAAGGTGGTAGATGGTTACAGTCGGGACCGCTGAACCTTACCTGATGGCTCTCGCAACGACCTCTACTAAGAGCACAACATGAATCCTTCAGGATGGATTGTATTGTTGGTAGGTTCTTGACTAGGTCAATGATTGCGAGTCCCCAGAAACCGCTACGTGTAAATTAGTGCATTCGGATGGGTCGATGAGGGTCGATGAAAGTTAATGGGGACGGCTGTCGAATTCAGACCCAGCGAACCTTCTTGGAACGTGTCCCTTGCTCTTTGTCGGCTGGAGATGTGGAACTAAATGTATAAAAGTTAGGAAGATGATCCGAAAGACATAAATTTGGTACCTGTGCACTCCTCAAAACCCTGACAACTCAATTCAATTCTGAACCAGTAAAAGCTTCCGGGGGACATTCATTGAAAATGAAGGCATCACAGTATCTTTCCGTCCTGACGATTGTCACTATTACCGCTGCTGCACCGGCACCGGCACCAGTACGTTTTTTCTTAATAAAGTTGTAAAGTTCTGAATACTTATGACGTTGTCAGAAAGCGGAAGGCCGCTACGTCCAGAGACGAGCCGAAGCCGCGGACTACATCTATCCCATCCCTGCGGCCGATGCCCCAGAGAAACGCGCTGAAGCTGCAGACTACATCTACCCTATCCCTGCGGCCGATACTCCAGAGAAGCGTGCCGAAGCTGCGGATTACATCTATCCCATCCCTGCGGCTGACGCCCCTGAGACAAAATAAGGGCATAAAGCGCGCCAAAGAACCATGGGAGAATTTGACGCTAGACAATGGAATTTCAAAGGCTTAGGTGGAAGTTGGACCCTTTACAAGCGCGATGGATTAGGAGAAAGGGGGTCAATTGGCGAAAAGTTCAAAAAGAGCTAGCCTGTATAGCAGTTAGTCAAGCAGAACAACTAGCTCTCAGCTTCATTCATACCCAAATCTCCATTTTCTCTCTCGGAGGCTGAGTGTTACAGAGATCTAGTCCCTCTTCCTCCGTCGGGTTGGATCTCAGAATGATTTATGCGACGCTGAATTGGAAGGAGCCGGACGAAATGTAGCTCCACAAGGCTGATGAGCCAATTGTCCGAAGTAGCCTTCCGTATGGTGGGGGCTTTCCAAAAAGAGACTCAATAAATCCCTGCCCTAATTAGACAATTATAGTATCGAGATATCTCTGTAGGTACTCAGCAGATTACGGAGGTGTTTACCTCGATTCTACCACTCCCTACTGCTTTGAAGTTAGGCATACCTGCTCTTGACCCATCCTCTCAAGGTGGATACGATCGTGACACCTACATCTGTTCTAGCGAAGGTACCAAGGCATCGTACATAGCGGCCTGGGTAGATTCATAGTCTCATAGCCTCATAGCCTCGCAGTTCACTGGTATCAGACGCGTAGTAGGAAAATTAATAAATTACGTCTTTTTTTCTTTTTCTTTTCCTTCCCACCCCCCCTTCTTTTGCCCCCCGGGTTCGTTTCATACAATATGTGATGTGGGTTTCGGCTGAGATAAATGGATTCCAAGCTGGATTCTGGATTCGTACCCAGGTGTCAAACTTCTTGTGTAACTTGAATTGAAAGACAGTTGGGCTTCCTAGCTGCATCAGAAGGATTTTCTGCAGCAACGCCCACCTTTTGAATTGTACAACGTGCCTTGTAAGTCAATTTGGCAAACATAGCCTCTTAGAGCGGAAGTAAGGCATCGTGAAAGTGGCGGCGTTGTGGCTGGGATGATACAAAACATACGCACGAATATGACTTTGGTCCATTGGATGAGAATGCGGAATTGTACTCAGGACTATATCAGGGCGAGAGAGATAGCCGGGGGTTGGCCATTTAAATGAGGAAAAGGGGGGGGTGTATATGTTGACAGATGGCCCTTCAAATTCAGCAAGCTTGGCCTCTGCTGCGGAGAGGAAGAAACAAGCAAATGCTAGCATTATCAAATCCGCACTTAGTTCACAGTATTCCAGTAGCATCTTTTCTCGGACAAAAGGCGATGTTCCTCAGCATTATCCACGTGCCTGTAACCACCCAAGAGAACAAAGGCGAACACAAACTCCAGGGTCCAATCTCGATTTGAACCAAAACAAGTACCCAATACAACAAAAAGACGCAGTCCCATCGGTTCAACAGAGGTCTCATTCAGCGAAAGCTGGCGAGGCAAAAGAGTCTTTCTTCTTATGAGTTACCCCAATCCGGCAGGGACCGATTTCGAGGCCGCGTGATTTTCATCGCCCAAGGCAGAAATACTCGCTCCACTCAACACCGTCAAACAACGTGATGTCCGCCTTGATCTGCTGCAATATCCAGCTCCGAATCTCAACTGCTATCAGCAAATCCACTCCATACGAGCGCAAAGACCAAGTTTTGCCGCATCACTTAATGATTTGCATTGGCCAAGGAGGGGGCAGCAAGACTTCTTCACTGCCGCCTATCTTCTTGATAGCCTGGTACAGACCTATCTTCTTCAAGAACCAGAATCGGGTTTTGTCGTAGTAGAACGGTGAATCTGGCCTTATCGATGTTGGATGCCACCGTTAGGCAGTCCAATGACAAGCTGGGCGGGAGTTACAGCCTTCTCATATGAGCCCACTATTACTGCTCTGATGTTTTCATGGAGCTCTGCTTCATAGAGAGCCTGGCCTCGCAATTAAACCAATACCAGTCATGAGCCCAAGGTTTATAAAAACAGCTGGAAGGCCTTGCTCTCGCCGGAACTTGGCTAGTGTGTCTTGAAGAGTACTTCCAGCAGCGTAGCTGGCTTGGCTATAATTGTCGACCACGCCAGTGATGTGAACGCCCAGTGACCGGCGCCGTAGGCATCCCAAAGATGAGCCAGGCTTCGGTCCAACCCACCTAGGCCCCCAACGATGATGTATGTAGCGTCTTTTCGTAGTGACAGGCTTTCTGGCACTCGGACTAACAGGAATACGATCGCCTGCATTAAAAGTGATAATCGTCTCCCCTGGATCATCTTGTGCTTGAAGGCGTCCGAGGGCGTTAGATACTTTTTTCGGACGAAAATACTTTCGGATAAGGTGTAAACATCATCTTGGTCGTCTCCAGGAAGGTGGACAGGCTTTCTTGAACAATGGCCACTTCAGATGGGTTCTCTTTGATTTTGAGGTCCATATTGATGTGGGAGAACATGCAGATTTCTTAAACGTCGCCAAATCCACAGCACCTGCAACGTCATCAGCAGCAACGTTTATCAAGTGACCGAACGGCGATATGCAATTCCACAGTTGCCGGAGTCCGTCACTGGCAAGGATCAGGTCAAATCCTATATCGCTTGGTGAACCTTTGAGAGTCGTTTTGCAAATTTGAGTTTTGGTCATCAAAATCAAGTCTCTGGCAACATTGTATTCCTCCATCAAATCACTTTGGCTCTTTGTGCTCACCGTAACGCGTAGGATCCCTTTACAAGTCTATGCGATTTGAATTATAGCTTGTTCAACACGACCAGATGCGGCTTGGATGAGGACTCTTTGGCCATCTTCATGAGGCTTTGGTATGCCGTTGCCAATGTGATTGGCCATGTTGCTGCCGCTTCAAAAAGCTGGTGATCAGGAAATTTATATCAAAGTTGCTCAGTGAGCTGGTTGGTTGAACGATGTGGGTCTTGTGGGGCGGCCATAAACACGATCTCCCATCCGAAGACGACCGCAATCGGTTCCAGCAGCTTTGACAATGTAGCTTGAATACCAAGGCCCTAACCTCAACCTCAACCTCGTCTCGCCGGAGACCAAGACCGAAACCGTGATTTCGTCTAGTGTCAACAGTAAATAGGTCTCAGTCTCCGATGTTCCGGTCACCAAGTGGTATAATCTCCGGCGCCATCCATGATCAACTCTTCTATCATCCGACTCAGCTTATAATTTGGAGCCCAGTGACTCACACACATTTGTCCTCTAATCAGAGCCAACCCTCTGTCGACGTTGGGCTGTGTGGCCACCGTGGAGATAGTCGTTGTAAGATTATCGATGCCTAGAACGCCAACTCTTTCCCAAGTGCTAAGTACTGAAGATTGGGGTTGAGATTCTCATCCTTTACCACCCCGAGATAGTCCATAGCCGCTCCCCATTTTTGGATCGACTCCACCGCAAATCCACAATAGAGAGCTACTTCGAAGGATTATCTTTCCTAGCAACTCAAAGGTCAGCCGAAGAGTAATTGGCCAGCACGAGGATCGCCCAAATTAGGCAGAGAAATTATACGTTTGCTTAGTCGACTTTGAGATATCAAGCGAGCCATGCGACACTTGGCGATAACTACGTTTGGCTGGAAAGCTTCTTGTTCAATTCTTGGGTGATATTCAATATCTAGCTTATTTCGAGGTTCAACGATATAAAAGGCTTCGACGGCATGCATACCATTCTCCATGTATGGCTTCCAGACGATCCGCAGGGCCATCTGAAAGGAGCCTGTTACCTCGTCTAAATGCTGTGATCCCCCCAAATCATCAGATTCGTCTTCGCAATGTAGGTCTCTCAGCTGTCATCAAACGTAACTCTTGGTCACCGCCTTCCTTGCCCATCAACAATTCAATTTAGTGGCCGATGATATTGGTACCAGTCGAAACTGCTGTGGCCAGCATTGGTTCAATTGTGATTAACTCAATCGCCTTCTTCAAGCGCCGCCTCGATTATCGAGTTGACGCTTCCTGGAGGTTTGACCACCTTGACCACTTTCAGCCTCGGATCAGCCTTGACGAAAAGATTGCGCCAGTCGTCTAGGTCTCTCTCTTTGGCATTAAAGTTTGTCATCATTTCCAGGTCCATGACGCTTTCAATATTGTCAGCAATTGCGTCCTTTCTGAAGATGGTGGACTGGAGCGTTGTGCATACCGAATAAGCCGCTCCTCACTTGTTGGCATGCTGCCTGGCTCTGGTAAAACCCCGTCCATCACCAATAATCTTGAATTTGGTTTAAATGCAAGGAGCAGATTCTTCAGGATGAGCGTCGCATGGGTGTCCGAATAATCGTGCAAAATAAATCGGAGAAAGTACACATCGGCACCTTGGACCGGCTGCGGAGTGAAGAAATCATGGACTTGAAACGAGACCCGGTCCTTCAAACCAGGAGGGAGCCTTTGCTCGCCTAACGCAACAATGTCGGGAAGGTCCTGGACAATGAAGTGGAGATTTGGGAATCTTTCGGCGACCGCGATGCTGGCATGGCCAATAGACCCTCCGACCTTAAACCGTTCACTTAGCATCCCACAACGTCGGGAAAGCGAAAGGGAGAGAGGGGAAAACTCACGTCAACGACAGTGCCCAGGGTGAACTCTTCCCAGGAATAACCATTCAGTAGATGACGGACGTTATAACCGTCTGTACTGGTCAACGCCTCCATAGTTTCGGCAAACCTGTTGGCGCGGTCTGGATGGTTCGACAGGTACTCGAAGATTGGGAGCTCAGTATCGAAAACAAGATTCCAGCCAGAATGGTTCTTTTCTTCAGAAGGCCCATACTTCTTGGTTGCTTCGACCAACTTGGTCGAGGCTGGGAAGGACTCCTCTAACGTATAGCCCACCCAATTCAAGGTCCCCTTGTCGCGGATAAGAGCACTGGACGCCGCAGTATGCGCCACGAAACCCTTTTGAGGTTCGCAAAAGATCCTATTCGTCATGGCTTGACGGAGGATTCGTCGAAGACGGCCTTCATCCACATCAGCGCTCGACGCAATTTCTGCGTAACTCCTGGTGCCGTCTAACGGTACGAGGGCCGCGATGTTGAAGTGATAAATCCAACGCAGACTAGAACAATCATGGTACTGTCGTTTCAACCTGGTCAATTCAGATCATCATTGATTTACACGACAAGGGGAGACAAACGTAGCAGGCCAGCCATCTCAGATGCTCGCTTGGTCCGGTCGCCAAAGCGTATAGTTCTTGTGCGGCTTCACGCAGATTTCGACGGGCGATCTGAATTTCTTCCGGGCAGTCAGGAATCTGGAGAGCGGCATCTTTGTCAAACGAAGGTTCCGGAAGGCCGTTGGAGGAGAAGAAGTCGGTCAAAATCGATGTGGAAACAGAGATCTGCTGCGCCAGACCTTTCATGCGTGACGAAGAAGACATGGTCTCGGGACTCGATACCGTTGGAATTAGCTCCCCTCCTCAGAAACATAGGATGTCTGAGTTGGTGCGTGTGTGTCGGGGAAGACGACGGTACTTATATGCAGAACAACCTTTATCAATCCAAGGTCGGCGTCGTCTTGGCTCTTGGTGGCATCTTGGGTCAAACCCTGGCAACGGTCCACAACTGAGGACAGCATTTGCACCACGTGTTCTAGCTATCTCGCTGCGCTGTCCGGCCTGCAGGTCAGGCCACACAAGGCCCATTCAGAAATGTGCTGTACAAGTATTTGGCTTCTAAGTTTCCCACGCTAATGTAGGTTAAACCCGATTTTCTCCTTTCCCCCGGTGCCCTCCCGGCTTCCCCGGCTTATTTTAACCCCCCCCACTTCCTATGTTGTCTTTTCAAGCCGTTAACTTTGAAATCCTTCGTCTCTCTCATCGATTCTTATCTCATGGTACTGCCATCAAACAGCGATGGCGACCCATCCCACGGACGATACCGCTGTTACGGTGGAAGTAAGTCTGAATCAAACGTGCCGCACCCTCCGTTGTTGACAAGTCCTCCGTAGGAAGGTGCAGAGGATGTGGATTCTGCTTATGGAGACGAGCTGTACGGCTCTCACGCCCCATGCTCGATTGACTTTCTTTGCTCACATTTCATATCTAAGCGAGAGTTATACGACTTCCCTCAGTCATAGCGCCGTGAATTACAGATGGGAGCATGGTCGGCGGTATCACAGTTTCAGAGAAGGCTGTAAGTTCTAGCTGAATCCTGATGACCGAGGAAGCGAACGCTGAAAGACCGTCAACAGCCTATAATTTTCCCAACGACGAGGAAGAGCAGGACCGCTACGACCTGATGCATGAGGTGCTCATCACCGCGATGGGTGACAAGCACTTTCTCGCCCCGTTGAAAGAAGATATCGCCAGGATTGTGGACATTGGTACTGGGACGGGAATTTGGGCCATTCAAATCGGTTCGTTATGATGTTCACACAGCCAAGAGCTTTTCAGAAGACGAGCTTACCGTGGGACTTCAAAGGCGATATGTTCCCTTCTGCCCAAGTGGTAAGTCTTCATCGTGTTGCGGCGGGTATAGCACTCACCGGGTTTGGGGAGATTGGCAACGACCTCAGTCCCATTCAACCACAATGGTGAGACGCATCATCCATGAGGCTGTGTGTCGCTGCACCGACTTTCTGATGATCTCCAGGGTGCCACCGAACGTGACGTTTGAAGTCGACGATGTCGAAAGTGAATGGCAGTATTCGCAACCCTTCGACTTTATCCACTCTCGCTACATGGCGGGATCCATCGCGGACTGGCCTCGTTTAATGTCCGAGTGCTACAAGTTGAGTTTGGCTCTCATTCTTTCCTTGCATGGATCACGCCCCTTACAACATCGTCCTCCTCTTTTCCATATCCGTGCCACCAAGAAGCTTACGCTGGTCTCGATAGAAACTTGAGGCCTGGCGGTTGGGTCGAATTCCAAGATTTTGATCTGCACAATTATTCCCAAGACGATTCTATCCCCGCTGGGAACAAGCTTCTGGAATGGTACAATTTGATCATAGAAGGGTGCGACAGGGTGGGAAGGACCGCTTGTCCAGGCCAACATTTGGAAACCTGGGCTCGAGATGCTGGATTCGTGAATATCCATCACAAGATCTTCCAGTTGCCTTTGGGTCCATGGCCAAAAGATGAGAGATTGGTATTGCTCACCCCTTTTTCCGGGTAGAGATCTTATCCAGGAAACTCGGAATTTCCGACTCCTCCCCCTCTGTTGCTGCGCTGGACTGACTTTGTTTGGTGGAATTGACCGACAGAAACGGATCGGTGCCTTGAATCTCCTCCAGGTTCTCCGAGGCCTCGAGGGCATCACATTGGCGCTGTTCACAAGAGCCCTAGGATGGTCAACGGAGGCTATTTATGTCTTTCTGGCCGAAGTCAGGCACGATGCAATGAAGAAAGGTGCACATATGATTCATGATTTGTAAGTCACCGCTCCGCGCTGGACATGATTGATTTCCCAAAAATGCTGGACAAGAATTCTATGCTGACTGATGGTAAACTCCCCGCCGGCGTAGTCACGTCGTTTGTGCGCAGAGGCCTGAAATCGAGGTAACCTGATTCTAGTGATTCAAGGTCAAGAGGAAGAAGGGAACTATTGTAGGCGAAGAAGCAAGGCGATAAAATGGGACCGCCGGGTGGTCTGGGGCATGCCACAAAAAGCCTTGGGAGCCGGTGAAACATCCTACCAATCTCTTGCTCGAGGTCCCAGTCCCACAGCCACAAGATGGCCTTTAAATACTATTCCGCGCGGCCTCAAGTTGCAAATTGAAGCCGGCTACTACTCGTGGACATGAAGGTCCCGACGAGTGGAGCTCACTTTATGAATTTGACTCTACCTTTCATGATGTTTCAGGGAGTAACTCTTGCAAGCATGACCAAAGTTCATGGCCAGGTGGGACACCATCAACAAGCTCCCACGATAGGACCCGGGGGGAGATCCTTGTCGATCTGAGCTGATTCTTTGCAGTGCTATAGCAGTATTGTTGACCGTCGCGAGCAAGTCCATCGAAGAAGGTCACGTTTCGCTCACTGATAAGAGTCACCGATTTCAGTTCCATGTTGTCGACGATTTCGTCCCTGCCGTGCTTGGTGTCCACGGAGAGAGACGCTACACGTTGGAACGAGGTGGACATGTCTGTGAGATACAGGAGCTGCTTTTCAGATGTGTCTCGTTCCACACCCAGCTGGTGGAGCTTACCTCGGCCGGAGGCTAATTTCCGCGCTCCCTCTTGCTCCAATTACATTATCTGCCAAAGCGTGACCTCGATATCAAACTACAAAACGACGTTCCCTCAATGGAGTTGATATCGGTCTACTGGATGGGGGCTTATCTGAGTGAGTTTGGAAGTTCATCTAATAAGAAGCGTACTCTGGCTCGACCTGGAGGACTTCCCAACCATATATGCTCTCTGACATGTTCTTGTTGACGGAGTGACGTCTATAGCGAATATAACTGTTAGTGCCTATTTCGCTTTCCTCACAAGAATCTCTTCAACAGGGGTTGCTGTCACGGTCAAGCTTAAAATCCACGATGAGCCCCTGCTCATTGAACACCGCTGCCCCTTTCCCGTCGAGGGAAATCGCACGAATGACCATGTGTCTCGATTTCAATTTCCAGTAGCTTAGTGGCTCTCATATTCTGTCAATGGTTTGTTGACGACTGGTGACGGGCGGCAAGTTCATGCCTCCAAGACAAAATCTCCCTTGAGGTGCCAAACATTTCGCAAACTGCTCCAACTGTTCGTCCATCGTATGAAGGTCCGTGGCCGACATGGTCGCCATGATGGACCAAAAGAAAATCAGGCTCTGTCAAAGTCAAACGGAAACTGTAGCTTTCGGAGGAGCAGTTTGGATACCAATTCGACTGAAACAATTGAATGTTTAATTGGGAGCGTTTTCGATCCGGTCTAGAGGTCCCATCAAGCTAGTGTCAGTTCACGCACAAGGCTCCCGGACTCCTAGGAACCCTGGAAAATCTGCCCATACAAGTCTCGAGTTCAATCCCACCACATAATGGGCAATGGAAGGTGGGATGTGCCTGTCGAATGCATGGGGCACACTTCCACGTGCCAACTCCGACAAACTACTCTGCGGCGGATGCTTCACCAAGACATCATGCCATCGCGGCGTCTGCATCAGTTGGCCAACGCGCATTTGTCTGCAAACACGTCTTATGATAGCTTCTATTTCCCTCTATGTATGTGCCACAACCACGTATCCTTGTCAAACTTGATGTTTTTCGCCCGCCTTCTGCCAGCATGTCATGAGAAATGGCTCCAGGCGAATCGTCTCAACATGCGGGAATAGCCTATTTAATTCCGTCCTTTTAATGTCAAAAACCCCCGCTATCATTCCCACCATCTGCGTGCAACAGATGCCATCCAATTCCTCTTTGCCACGAGGAAAGTATGCGTAGCAGGATTTGTTGGACGGCAACTCCGTTGTCACACCCTCCCTGATGGCGCTGACCTCGTCGTGAGTCGTATCAAACCGGTGTCCTATATGTCCAACGTGAGCCTTCTTCAACATGGGCGAGGACGCGAGAAGCCGACCTGTAACTCTCTCTGCAGTCTTGACCACTTCGTTCAGGGTCATTCGTTCGCCGATGATAGCAGACTCCACGGTCCATGCGCTGTTGGGCTAGGCACGTACTCTTCTGGGGCGTCGTAGTCAATGTTGAACTCACTCGGGAGAAACCTAGTGACAGTGCCACAGTCGGCCGCGGCGTGGATCAGGTTCAACTGGGCGTCATCGGCACCAGGCCAGTGTAGGTTCAGCGCAGAGATGACAGTGTCGACGTTGCGTTTTGCAAGAACTTTCGCTCAAACCGAGCGCGAAGAGTAGTCAACCTCGAGGACTGATGGAAAAGAGGCCGATACATTCGTAGAGGTACTCCCGGAAGCTTTCTATCTCCCCGAGTCAGGTCTCAGAGAAGTGTGGCGGTCACGTCATGAAGCTATAAGGTCAAGATATCGAAAATCATACCTTCCGAGTGAGTACGTATACCCGGTGTTTCGGTGACCGATGAATTTCGTGCCCACATTCCCTAGGCCGCCAGCTACAGCAACGATCACCATGGGAATATCAAGCGGCTCTGAATAACGAAGAAATATTGTAGCAACGAGGGGCAAGTCAAGGGCAATCGGACAAGAGAATGACACTTACAATTTTGTCCTGCAAAGCTGATGCAGCAAGGTGGCTGCTCGGAAGATAATTCGGTGAGCCGAGGTTTGGTGAGCGGGATCCGAGTGGCGTTCACGTGACTTTCTATAGAACAGAATGTGACATGTGGCGACGCCAAGGCTTGTAAAGACCTTCGGAAGCGTTGTACGCTTCGTACACGCTTCGAAAGTCTATAGTCTGACGGTCCCTTGGACCCCTTCGAAATCACAATAATGGTGACCAAAAGGCTGAATCAAACCAATTTGTCGGAACTTGGATATATAATCCTTGGCGTACCCACCAATCACATACCCAGAATCATCGAGCGTGTGTGCAGGGAACTCGAGGCAGACCAATATCAAGCAAATCGGGCTGTATGGCCCCGCCTATATGCCTATTGAACCCGAAACAAAAAAAGGGGATTCAGCCTTCTCGGCACCATGCCAAGAACCATCTTTTTGGCACTTTATTAGTCTCAGCATCACCACATCCCAAGGCACCTATATAAAGGAAGCACCGCATGCGGAAAGCAACAGCTTCTAGACAGAAATCGAGCATAGGAACGTCCAATTTCCAAAACCCATCCAGCTAAACAAAGACCAGGACGGTAATCTTCCATCACCGGCACCACCATCACCGTTAACGTCTCCTCGAGCAAAGTCGGTTGCCTCCACGCCCATAAACCTCTAGCAATGAGTTCCTCTCAACCGCGCGAGCAAGGTAGTCCTCTCCCTCGCTCTGGGCCCAAGTCAAAACTGTTCCCGGCAGTACCATTGGCATCCAATTCATCGTGTTGATACAAAGCCCCGACCCCGACCTGGCCAATTTCCAATGGCAGCCGCGCGACACCAAGTTCGTGCTCTGATACCATCTTCTAACCACTTTACAATACTCCAGCATCGCCGTTGCCTTCAACGCCATGTCCCAGATCATGAGATGGAAATGGATGAGAAATACGTGCAAGACATTGTTGGTATAATGAAGGGTCACTTCCCGATCTTCAGGACGGTCTACAGTCAGACGGCCAATGGGATCGGCCTACCGAACAAGGTCGGTGGCCGTATGACCATGGCATGTGCTATTCGACACAAGCCGAGACATCCAGCAAGAGGACATGTGTGAGGTGCAAAGCCGCAGCCAAGAACGAGACGAGAGCGAGAGCTAGCGAAGACGACAACGGCTCTTCGAGAGGGGACGTGGGAAGAGCTCTTGGTCTGTCTAAGAAACCATGCTCTTCCTACTCCTCATCCTGCTTCTGCTGCTACATTTGGAACTTTTACCCAAGGTTGTGAGTCCACGGCCGGCGACCGTGTTCGGCGAAGAAAAATATTGGCCTATGCCGACAAATGTCGTAAGGATCCGAAATTTGGGGAGCAGCACTCCCCTGGGCCGATGTTCAGACGAGAACAAGACGAGAAAAGGCGAGTTGAAAAGGCAAAAGCAGCCGCTAATGGTGAAAAGCCCAACATCTCCTCAACGAAGCCACATTCATCACACACACATCCTCTAGGCCATTGAAGGGATCGACAATCGACCCAAAGATCACGATCACCAGCTTTAGCGACACGCTCAGGCGTGGCGATCCAGCACGGTGACGTACAACAACCCAAAATCTCCCAGGAAGCCGACTTGGACAAATATTTGCATTGCTAGGAGGTCGAGAAACGCTCTGGTATCTTCTCCACGAAACCGTTCGGCATACATTCTGGTTCATGACTCCGGGTCTGTACTTCGGCTACCATTCTGGAGAATTTCGAAGGGCTCATCAACATTCTGAAGCAGGTCGCCCGTCACCCCTTTGTGCTCGGTTGCATGTGTTATGGAGGGGATCGGTTCATCGTCGATGCATTCTGTACTTGCAGGCGTGCGTGCGTTGGATACTTTTATAAGTGTGGGCAATTAAGATTGAGCCACAGACTCCGACCTTAGCCATACACATCGCATATTGGGTGATGGCCGAGGTGATATCTTCGACGTTCTTCGGATATTTTGGCGGTGCACATGATGGATCTGTTCATGCGTCGTTGTTTGGGATGAGGTTCTGGGAGTGACTATGTTGTCTCAAAACATGAACGGGCGTGGCTCGCTGAAATCGACTTCAACTAACGGAGAGCTCCTTGGTGCGACGAAATATCACACATCGCCAGGAATTCAGCAACAAAGTTGAACAACAAACGTCAAAGCTCATCGCTATCATGAGCCCCACCAGCGAGCGTAGCCTCTTACACCCTCTCCAGTCTCATACGCAGACTCTTCTTCTTCAAACTTCAATCTCTCCACGACTTGACGAGCGCGATAACTCTTGACAAATTTCCACGCCTCAGTATCAGCCATGTTCCATGCCTCCGCCACGCTACGGATCCTGAGCACCGTCTGGTCCTTACTATTAATAGTCTCCCTTGCCTTACGTATAAGCGCGTCTTCGATTGCCGCCTGCTCGTCTGTAGGCGGGTCTGGGTCAGAGCCCTTCTTACGCTCGGCTGGTAGACCAGCAGGAGATGTGGCCCAACGCTCAGGTCCTGGAACTGGAGGGAGAGATTCACCATGAGATATGACCGTCCTTGGGACGGGAAATCCAAAGTGCCAATCAAGATGCTCAAGCCAGTCTTCTGGGAAAGGAGCAACCTTTTCTTGTGCCGGATGAGCGTCGTTGGTTGGGGACTTCGGAGGAGGTAGTGGCGGATTGAAAGATGCTGGGAAGTGCTCGGTCGTAAACCACAAAGATCGGCTGGAACCATACTCGGAGGCGACGGCATCTTTCAAACTCACTACACGACTAGGACCTCCACGAGCATCGCCCAGAAGATCTCGAGTAACTGCAGAAATCCAGGGATCCCGTTCCGTGTGACGTCGAATGTGAGCGACCGATATTGTGTCCGATTGATTGGTGAGAGTAATCATGGTATAGGGATGGGGAACAACGGCAATGGTGAACAGAGACGAAGTATTCCGGAAGGATGGGGCGGTGTTGATTCTCAACTTGGAACCTACACAGGGACTGCACTTGGGTCGATTGGGTGGACAAGAAGACTGCAAAATAGAACTTGGACATTCGGCTAGGAGTCGGGCCAAATCCATCGAAGGCTTGACCAGGCCGAACGTATGAGCAGCAAGGGGTTGTAAAACTGTAATTCCGGTGCTGAAAGTGTTTTGCCATATGGTGTGAAGATGAGCAGTTATGAGTTGATTGAGAAAGAGTCGGCCTTTGTTGGGATCTTGGACGAGTTGCTCGGCCAGAACAGGATACTTGTGGGTAATGGTCTGCGAATCATAATGGGCAATTGATGTCGGCTTCTCGGTCTTGAAGCGTTCTGAATCTATCGCGTCGACAATTGATTTGAATGAACTTAACTTGACACTATCCAGCGCCGCTTTTATTGCATCGTTGACTTGGGATTGCTCTCCGGCAAAGAGGCCGGACCCCAAGCCTTCGAACTTGGTGAGATGAGTATACTGTCCCCGACGTAGATGAGACAGAAGAGGGTCGTCATATGCGCCCATGGGAAGACAGTACCAGCTGGAGAGCATTCCCGTCCCCATATGACCCCACGCCAACCATTGGCGAAACTCTTGTTCCAAAGCTGCGGGCATGCCTTTCGAGTGTAGTGTTTGGTACAATGGATGACTCATAGCTTCAGCCTCCGTCAGAATGACAGGGCGAAATCCATGAGCCCACCAAGCCCGACGCCATGTTAATAGCAACTCTTTATCGGCTTTCCTGGTCGCCTCATCTCTTTTGATCGTCGAATCGTAGAACGTATAGACAGGAGATCGCTCGGCCAACGGAGGGAGGACTATACGTTCTTCGTCGAGAGTGACAGAAGAGGAAAATGGATTCAACCATTTCCAATCGCTGTACCATGAGCTATCGTCGTGCGTACTGTTCTTTTGCTCGGGAGGTCTGTGGGCTGAATGCTGGAACGAGAAACGGAAGCTTGGGACATTAAATTTGGGGATTGCCCCTCGAAGGCCTTCTGGGTACGTGAATAAGTCGCCTGCGACACTCTGAGGTGCTCTTGATGTGGAAGGTATGATTATGATGCCGATGAGCAAGACTGCACCCAAAAATATGTACCGAGAAAAATGCCGGGGAGGCATCGCGATACAAATAAAAAATTGAAAAAAAAAAGGACTGGGACAAGAAAGTGGACAGCCGCGTGTATTCTGTCAACAGACGAAAAAGATTCTATGGCAGGAAGATAGACATTATGAAAAACCGACGCGTGTTCAAACCCCTAGGGAGTGGACTCGATCAGTGCAAATTTTGAGAAAAGATGATCAGTCGCGTTGAAGGTTGCGTAACACGCTGGGACCCCCCCCCGGAAGGCCGTGCTCGCGCAGTTCGCAGCTGGCAGTTTGACCTGCGGTTGACAAGACAGGGGGCAGTTTGTGCCATTACGAAACTGCCAAGCCGCTAACATGAAGCTTGTTCCCGCTTCAACAGCGTTGGGCCCGACTGTTCTTCTGATATTGGACCAGAAAAAATAAGTTGCTCGAGGAATTATCGAGTTCTGAACGATACTCCCCTTCAATACAGCCATGGCTACGGATGCTGCTGGTAGTGACTACCTGGCCTGGTGGGCTGATCACCTGAAGAGACCCGCCGAGGCTGTCGAGTCATTGGCTGTTCTAACCAGCACCACAAATGCCTTGAGGAAGTGGTTCAGCTTGGGCTCGATCACCACTATAATCCAGACAGCTCTTTGTTGTCTTGGTGAGCAGATTAACCGGAGATGAAGATATCAGCGTTGGCACCAACGCCAGCTCAAATAGCCCAACATTTGTCTTCAGGATATCAGTGACTGCTTCTGAATCTTTCTCTCAGCTGCTCAAAAGGGTATAAGAACTTTCCAATCAAGCAGTAGAAAAGATCCTCCCTTCTGGACGCTATTCAAACCCAACTGAAGACGCCAGCTTTGTTTCGATTTACGGCTTTAAACGGCAGCAATGTTGGCGCCGTCCTCCCTAGCGGTATCGAAACGCATAATTTGATACTAACCTATTCTTGTTCCTCCGCAGGTAATCTCCATCTGACCGCTCGGTACAATCAAGGTTTCGTCTCTAGTGCCTAAAGTGCAGGAATCCAGGCACAAATGACCATATTCCTCTAACGGGCCTCTTTTAATGTTGATGCTCCGATTGGTGGGATCGCCTTTGCACGACTAAAGGAGGACAACACATAAGAAGTGCCGTTTTGGTCAGCATGTAGCCACCCTTGACACTGTGATTCCGGCCAAGACGCCAAGGACGGCGCTTATAAAACAGCCACGATTGTTCATTAGATTAGGCTAGTCTCTAACACACTTTTTCACAACACCAAGACAAACATGCCAAGCCATTAAAGCTCCCTTCGCATCACCTGCGAAGAGCATGTTACTTTTCATGCCTCTTCAAAGAGCGATTAGTCGATGTTATATTGACTGTCTCGCTGCCATTAAGATCATTCCTAACTTCTACACCTTATATCATTACGATTCCACCATGAAGCACTCTGACGCAGAGTGAGCAAGAGTGCACTGGAGTGCACTGTCAGTTGTCGGTTACCCGCGCTCACTACGTGACCGTAGTTGAAAGCAAGAATCCGCTTTCTGCTCACAAAGCAGGCCGCGGAAAGATTTACAACTGCAGATTTTTTTACACCTTGGCACATTCGACGAGGCCTGTACACATCTATCTTTGACAGCAGCCTCTCGTTCCACGCTTCCGACCACGCAGTCAAGATTTCTTGTTTGCATTCTCGAAAACCTCAATTCTCCCTTGTATTTTCTCTCCTTATTTCACCAAAACACCTGTACCTCCCACAAGAATGGTCAACATTAGTGAGGTCAAGGGTAATTCACGCGAAAACAGGACCGCCGCGCATACACATATCAAGGGCTTAGGACTACGACCAGATGGCACCGCTGAGACATCTGGAAATGGGTTCGTTGGTCAGACCGCAGCCCGTGAGGTATGGCTTGCCTTTCCAAAGTGACGAGCTCGTAATTGCTGACCGAAGTGAAAGGCATGCGGCGTGGTCGTGGATCTCATAAAGGCCAAAAAGATGTCGGGCAGAGCAATCCTATTAGCAGGTGGTCCGGGAACAGGGAAAACAGCTCTGGCGCTGGCAGTGTCACAAGAATTGGGCACCAAAGTTCCTTTCTGTCCGATCGTGGGCAGCGAAGTGTACTCAACAGAGGTCAAAAAGACAGAAGCCTTGATGGAAAACTTCAGGAGAGCAATTGGTATGGATGAATTGCAAGTCCTGCGTGCATGAAAGCTGACAAGTAGAATCTAGGTCTCCGTGTACGCGAAACAAAAGAAGTCTACGAAGGGGAAGTCACAGAACTCCTCCCAGAAGAAGCAGAGAATCCGTTAGGTGGATTCGGGCGTACGATTTCCCATCTCATCATTACCCTGAAATCCGCAAAGGGAACCAAGAAATTGCGACTAGATCCCAGCATTTATGAAGCGATCCAGAAAGAGAGGGTCATGGTCGGAGATGTCATCTACATCGAAGCAAATACAGGCGCATGCAAGAGAGTTGGACGATCAGACGCGTACGCGACAGAATTTGACCTCGAGGCTGAAGAATATGTGCCCGTGCCCAAAGGAGAGGTACACAAGAAGAAAGAAGTGGTACAAGATGTAACCCTGCATGATCTCGATATCGCGAATGCGAGACCACAAGGGGGCCAGGATGTTATGAGCATGATGGGCCAGTTGATGAAGCCCAAAAAGACAGAAATCACAGACAAGCTGAGAGCCGAGATCAACAAGGTTGTCAGTAGATACATCGACCAGGGTGTTGCTGAGCTAGTCCCTGGAGTGCTTTTCATCGACGAAGTAAGGAAGAATTTTTTTTTTTTTTTTGGGTTGATCTCCGGTTCTAATATTTACCACAGGTTCACATGCTTGACATCGAATGTTTCACCTATCTCAATCGTGCCCTCGAATCTCCGATCTCTCCCATTGTCATCCTCGCCTCGAACCGTGGCAACACTGTTATTCGGGGTACGCACGACATCACGGGCGCACACGGTGTACCACCGGATCTTCTAGCTCGCTTGCTCATCATTCCTACACACCCGTACAATGTCTCCGAGGTCCAAACCATCATTCGACTCCGGGCGAAGACAGAAGGTCTGTCCATTTCCGATGCGGCGATCGAGAAACTCTCCCAACATGGCACGAACGTGTCACTGCGCTATGCCCTACAGCTGTTGACTCCCAGTAGTATACTGGCCAAGGTTAATGGACGGCAAGAGATAGCTCCAGAGGATGTGGCAGAGTGTGAGGACCTATTTATCGATGCCGGAAGGAGTGCGAAAGTCGTAGAAGCGGCCGAGGGGTCTTTCATCAGCTGAGCCTTGACAAAGTGATCTTTGTCGAGAACCGGATGTGCTGCAATCTCGTCGTACCCAGTGGCACCGGAACACATTGAGCTACAATTCAATATGATCTTCTCGTGAGCCTTGGCATCTTTGGATGAAAAGCCACCATGGCGAGGCTTTCTATGTGAAAGTCAGTCATCCATACAAGCCCAAGCACCCTAAGTGCAGTTGCAGAATGCCGCGAAATTCGTGTTGTCCGATGCTCTGGCGCGCTTCGGTATCAAAATGAACTGGAGAACGACACGAGCACGAAGCTTTGGAAAAACTACCAGAATTGACGAGGTTTTTCAAGTAATTAATTGTTTTTGAAATTTCCATTCGTATTCAAGAGGAATAAAATCTATTACTTTTGATCTTGTCTGCACCGAAGGCGAATGCTAGGTCTGCCCGAGTCCCTCTCTTGGTTCGTATCCATCATCGAAAAATATCTCTGCATCTACAAAGGGAGGATTGGGCGGCTTGAAGGACGCAAATAGAAGTTACCTAGAGAGAGACGAAGGTGAGCATGGAAATTCCATCAATGATGAGGAAAAGTAATAGTATCAGGGATGGTTCCAATCAGACATCCAAGGAAGATTTTGCGCTCAACGACATCTGGACTTAATAGGTTCATGCCAGGGCTAGCGTGGAAACTGCGAATGTGGAAAAGGTTTTCGATCATAGGAAGAGATAGAGGTGTGAAGAAAGACGGTACGTACATTTGAGACTGATGAGGGGGGTTTCATGAGAAATCCTACATGGTATACTAACAACTGGTTAGCAAGGAGCCGCAGTGATGTTGACTGTGAGCAAATTCGTGGACAGCAGTCGAGGTCAGACATGAAATACTGGCTAGTAACAGATCGTTCAGCGATGACGATCCGAATGTTTCTTCAAGGGCGACTCAGGATAGAAGGAAGAAGAATTTAGGTTTGTGTCATCTTTTTGAGGTGCAGGGAGGAGAATGTTTCGAGCAGGGGAAGTGGATGGCTTACAATTTCAATCGCGTCTGTAAGCGAGAGGGGATATCAGCCTGCGATCACCAGGGGAATTCCCCTCATCACATAGAAATCAAGGGATGAGCGAGAAAGGGGGCAGTAAATAAAATTATTTGAATTTCTGCATGAGAGCGCAGGCGAGGCTTTTTGGGGGGGTGGGAAAAAAGAACGAAGACGGGAGAAAAACAACCACTAGCGGCAAATCTTTCCTCGGGACCACTCAGAGGCGGCCTTGGCACGTCGAAAGTGCTAATACCTGCAACTCCCGGATTGCTCTGAGTCTTTCACTGCGCCTCCTTGCCTGCCCCCAGAACCCAGCAAACTTCGCAACCCGGCGCTGGGCACTTCTGCCACCAACTCTTTGTCGCCGATCCTGGACGACACTCGCATCTTTGCATCCTCGTTCATCTACGTATCGATCTCTCCAGCGAGGAATCCCCCTAACCTTGCCTTTATTCACTGTTGTCGCTCTTTCCTCCTCCCAATTCTTGTTTCTTCTGTGCGCGAAACGAGAGCCCGGCTCCTCCCTCCGGATCACGAGCAGCCCGATAACACCGCAGGTACACGACACCAGGTCAATATCTCACCTGATCTCTTCCCTATCATTCTCGTGATCGCGTCTATTCGAACATGAAGCCTCTGCGCGCCCGTATCCTACCTATGATCCTGTGATCTTGATTGTTGCGACACAGCTGGCCCAATAATACGGGCTCCCAGACGACTGACTACAATTTTCCGACGTTTCGACCACGCTCCACGCTACTTATCAACTGCGGCAATAAGTTCCCAACCAGGCAAAAATCTTTTCAGGGTGCAAAGACTCCCTGCTACTCAAATGTGACGACAACTCACGTCGTTGCCAACATATCAGCATATCTTCGGCATAAGTGGGGCCAGAGGAATCGGAGGTTTGGAAGAAGGGGAAGATCGCAAGGATAATCACAAACCCCCCCGAGGAGAAATATTATCAGGAGACGTAGTTGCGCCAATTGAGCGCGCGAGATATTCTGGCCGTTCGGTCGCTTGTTGCTCCAAAGGATAAGCCTTGCTGAAAATGATGGCCCAAACTTATCCCCCCCCCCATGCGGGTATGGCTCCTGGACATCCAGGTATGCCCCATGGACATCCTATGGCGGGAATGCAGCATCCTGGGGCAGGTCATATGGGAGGTCAACCGGGGCCCGGTATGATGCAGGGTATGCATCCGGGGGTATCAGGGCCACAGGTCACACAGGGTCCTATGGTGACTGGTATGCCTCCTGGCGCAGGAACTCCAGCTCCTGGACCTATGCACAATGGCTCAATGGCGATGGCACATCTAGGACCGCAACAAGCTATGTTCCAACAGCATAATCCGCAGATGAATTTTGGCCAGATGCAAATGACGCCGCAACAGCAATTGTTCGCACGACAGCGCATGATCCAGCAAATGTCTCAGCAACAAAACATGCCTATGACCATGCCAAATGGACCAGGAGGCTTTAACCAAGCACAACTGGCACAGAAGATGGGAATGGGAATGCACCCGCAAATGCAAATGAATCCTGGAAACCCTCAGGTTCAGAATTTCCAACAACATCAACACCAACAACGTTTAATGCACGCTCAGCAAGCCCAAGCTCAGGCCGCTCACCATGCAGCTCAAATGGCTGCTGCTCAGAATCAGAGAGCTGCTGCTCAGCAAATGCAAATGTCTCGATCGCAAGAGCCAACCACTCAACCTCCACAATCGCAACCGACTCCTGCTCCTCAGACACAAGCTCCACAGCAATCTATACCAACCTCACAGCCACCACCAACTCCGCAACCAAAACCTCAACAACAACAGCAGCAACAGCAGCAGCAGCAGCAGCAGCAGCAACAACAACAACAACAGCAACAGCAACAACAACAACAGCAACAACCTCCACCACCGCCGCCTCCTCCTCCACCCCAAGCTCAGCCTTCCAACAATCAGCAGCAAAACCAATCGAATAATCAACCAGCCAAAACATCCGAACCTGAAGAAGAACCACAGATCAAACAGGCCCAACAAGATGTAGCCACCACCATGATGATGTCTGAACTACCAAAACAAGATATGGTCACAGGTCAATGTGTTCTGCAACTAATCATGTACCAGGATACTTTGGCCAATCCCGAACGGCCCCATGACCTAGACTACTGGGAGCAAACTATTACCCGGTTTTTTTCCCCATTCGGTTCGATGAGGCAGCAATTATTCAGTCACAAAAACGGAGTCGACAAATCCTTCCAACTCCAGTTCCCCTCTCTCGCTCGATATTACCACACACACTTTGCAAGTGGAGTGAAGCAAATCTTCTTGCAATCGTACGATCACAACCAGAACAAGTTGACCAATGGCGGTGTTCACATCTTTAGCACCAATGCGAGTCTGACATATGTCTTCAGCAATGATATCCGAGTCACAACTACGGGGCAACTCCGAGTCATCTTTGATGATACGCAGAAAATTGAACATTTGAATATCAGCACATCGGGATGGCAAGAATATATTCCCCGAAACGCCATATTAAACCCACCATCACCAGAAGTGAAGCAGAGCCCCAAGATCACGAACAAAAATCTGAAGCGAACTCAAGGCAAGGCTGGTGGTGCAAGTATGCAGCCCATCATACCAAGTTCAGGCGTGGGTGAATGGGGTGTACCAAATCACATCTTTCAATTTCTAGAGGTCAGTTGCTCGACCAGGGCTGTGCGAAGGATATGACTAACATTTGGGATATAGATTGCTGAGGTGATGACAGCTATGGGCCCGCTTATGGAGTATTTCCACAATCACCCTGGAATTGGCCCCAAAGAGTCATTAATTCGAGTGACTCACGAAAACGCGCAAAACATGGCCCAAGCCAATAACGCTCGACTGCAGAATCAGATGGCAAGAGCCGCCAGTGGCCAAGTTGGGTTTCCCAATCAGATGAACTCTGGGATGAATGGCCCCACGATGATGAATTCTCCTGGAATGGGTCATCTTGCTGTTCCTCAAGCACAGGGGTCACCGCTTATGGGAGGCCCAGTGCACACTCCAAGTCCGGCTCAAAATCCGGCCGCGGGTGGTGTTGCGATGATACATCAGATGAGCGCGCAAGGGTCGAATCTTAGTGGCAGTCAAGGTCCTAGTACCAATACCAGCCCGAACGTCTCCAATAAAAGACGACGAGCGAGTGCGGTCAAGATGGAAGAAGATAATGCCGGAGCAGATTCCAATGGTGCCCACAAAGTCAGGCCCAGTCCCAAGATTGGTGGAAAGAGGCAGAAAGGTGCTCAATGAACGACCTTTTGGAAAAGAAGGAATTGGTTTGGACAGGGTATAAGAAGACTCGGGCCTTTGCCGTCGTTCTCTGAGGGCGTTGCCGGAGTCTACAGACCAGAGTTTCCCGCTTTTCCTTTGGATTTGAAATCTGCAAACATGGTGTTTGACCGATTATTTCGGTAAAGTGTTGTTTTTGGATTATTGCATATACCTTTTGCATACCCTCAAAAGGTTTTGGTGTGGAAATCAGGATGATCGGATTGGAAAGAATCTTATCCTCTTGTTACGAACTCAAGAGATGGTAGATGAGTGAAGACAGAATCCGTCAGAACTCGAACCAGTCGTGTGTCTTGAGCCGGACTGACAGAGGTCGGAATGGAGATTGGCCGGCAAGCATCATCCTCGGGGTGGATTTGTATCATACCTTGGTTATTCAATGTCTCTTGAGATCATAGTTGGTGGGACTGGGGCTCTGGCACTCGGGGGCTTTCCCCTTCGGACCACCGTTGTTCTTTTCTGGATGTCACGTCGATGGATGAGCTAAAGAGGGGTGATGCAAATGCTTCAGCAGGTCTGGTCTGGCTGACTGAATTGAAGCGGGAGGTGTTGAGAAATAAGACATGGGGATGCGTTATGGGGTTATGTGATGGAGAGAAAAGAGAAATGGAAGGGCTGGGGGTGCTTGTCAATCGATTCAGCCACATGCTCGCTAATAGATCTGAATATCTTTATGTGAATTTCGATCCTTTAATTCATGGGAGCCCAATGTGTGTAGAGGGCACCCAGCCTTGCGAGGCTGTAGCTTTGATGGCCTATGGAGATCTGCATTTCCACGATTTCAGTGGTTTATTACTGGAACGACAGCTCCGACAAGCGGTGAAGTTCGACGTCCTGTGCCACTTTGACGAAAGTGCTATAAAGTGTTTTGTGTAGGTAAAGCATCAAAGGTGGAGGCGCACAACACTCAGAGCTGTTTCTTCCTGTGCTTGATCGACAAGTTGACGGCAATTTTCGGAGCTGATGTTTATCACATATCTGCTTCAGCTTTCACACCTCTTTTAGTGCTCGGTGCCCAATCTCTTCTCGTCTCGCCTCACAACAGAATGTCTGCTCCTTCCGAAACGCAGCGACAGAAGAATGCGAAGCTCGATGCGGAAAATCCTTCGACGGCCTCCTCTCCCTGGACAATCCTAATAGGCATCTCTGGTCCGTCGTGTAGCGGCAAAACGACTCTCGCGAGGCTGCTAAAAGCTATTTTCAACTTTTCCATCACAGTACCTAGTGGTGAAGGAGGCGCAGACGAAGAATGGAAGTTGAGTCTGTTTGTCTTGCATCAAGATGATTTTTATAAGACGGACAAAGAGTATGTTCCCCGTCAACAAGTTTGGGCTTTCTGTCTTCGAGTTGCTTGAATTTTGGCCAGTTGGTAGTGAGAGAATTCTGGTGCTTTTGCCTTTCTAATCTGTCTCCCATTCTCTCTCGCATCCCTCCCAATACCCTTTCCTCTTCCTTTCAGTGTAGAATATCCCTTACTAAACACACTCACTCCTCTCAGCGTTCCCGTCATCACGGTAACATCGCCCGAGTACGGCACACGAGACCTTCAAGACTGGGATTGCGTGGAATCTCTGGACCTGCCTCTGCTTGAGAAGACGCTCCGGTACGTCCGCGCGCGTGGCTCCTTACCCCCGGACATGGTGAGCAAAGAGGACCAAAATGCCGTCGGGGCGAGCTGGGTCAGCGATGATGAAGTCCAGGTGATGAAACAGGAGTTGGAAGCCTGGTTTGAAAATTTTGTCAAGGACAACGTAGGCTGGAGAGAGACAACGAAAAGAGAGATCCGGATCTGCATCCTCGACGGTTTTCTACTATACCCTCCCGCGCCTGTCTCTCGTATGGAGGAGCACTCAGAATCGCTACAACCGCCATCACGACCGTCGCGACAACCAAGGGAACGAGACTCCCATTATCCTCACCCTAGTTCACCTAAAGCACTAGACAATCCTAGTTCTAGTAACCACTCCGACTCAGTCGCCTATCTCTACTCGTCATCCCCAGAACTCAACCACCTGTACACCCTCAGTCACAACCTCTTGCATCCTCGCCTCTTCCTGTCCTCGACACGCGAGCAGACACTTGCTCGGCGCATCGCGCGCACAGGCTACGTCACGCTCGAGAGTTTCTGGACGGACCCGCCCGGATATGTCGAGGACGTCGTCTGGCCTAACTACGCGCGCGATCATGCGTGGATGTATAAACGCGGAGACGTCGAGAGCGGCGTTTTTGATGAGGATCGGTGTCTGCAGGAAGGCGTGATGCTGTTTCCGGGTCGTGGATCGTGGGAGATGAAGGCGTGTTTGGCTTGGGCGGTGGATAGGGTGAGGGATGCGGTAAGGGAGAAGGTGGTGAGTGGCTGAACTGAGCTCAGGAGAGATCTATGGAGTTTGATTTGGCCCGAGGCGGTTAACTAATCAGTCAAGCGAGTTGATTGTCATCGACGGCGATTTCGGCTTCCACTTTGACTTAGACTTCGGTTTTGATCTTAATGGCAATATGGATTCCGGACATGAGTAGGCGATGACCTTTGAACATGGACCAGGAAGAGAACTCTAGATCTAGACATTGCAAGCATGCAAAGAAATATAAGATGAGAGACGGAGGATTAGGCTGTGCATATGACATTCTGACCTACTTAAAACCATAAAAGCGGCCATGGCTGTAGATAATATGACCGCATTTGCATGGTGACACATTGACCAGAAGAACAATCAGATCTCCAATGGTATCAATGGCATGCAAAGGACCTTATTTGCGTCCCAATGATCTTTTCTCTTCTCTCTATTGCGCAACGGATGCGAGAACGACTTACCCAAACCATACCTTCTCTCTTAGAAATTCCCACAGCATCTGCTATCCTGCATCATCTAGTTGACGGCCATTATGCCAAAGACAGCCCTCACCTACTCCCTGACCTTGATTGTATCTCTACCCTTTCCATCTTCCTGCTGCGCAGTCGGAAATCCCAGTTTCGGCGTCTTCTTTGCCTTTCCCTTTTTGTCGCCAAACTGCTCATCGAATTTCTTGATGTCCTTCAACGAACTCATGTCCTCAGATATACTTGCAGAAATCTCCTCGAGGGCCTTTTCAAAGTGTCTCCACCCCAAAGTTCTCCGGTCCGGGTGCTTATACGGTTCGTCTCCCTTGTGTTGTTTTGCAAGTTCGTTTTCTTCACGCACGCAATTCAATGCGGCTGCGACAGAGATGTTTTTCAAATCAGATCCCGAATAGAAGGGGGTCTTTTTGGCGAGGAGTGCTAAATCGACGTCGTCGGCGAGCCGTTCATGGCGGAGGTGGATTTTGAGGATCTCTAATCTGTCAGGTTCTGTGGGAAGGTCGACGAGTAGGCGGCGTGGTAAGCGGCGGAGGACGGCGTCGTCGAGATCCATGGGTCTATTTGTGGCGACCATGATGAAAGCGCTGCCGGAGTCGTTACTCATGCCGTCCCATTCTTTTAGGAACTGGTTGAGCAGTTCGCGGTGGCTGACGCGGCGGCCTGAATTGCTGCGTGCACTAAACATGGCGTCTGCTTCGTCGAGGAAGACAACGCATGGAGAAAGCTTCTTGGCCAGACTGAATAGTGCTTTGACGTTCTTTTCGCCTTCACCAACATACATGTCATTGATGTCTGCGGCGCTCACTTCAAGCATGGTAGCGCCGGATTCTTTGGCGACGGCTTTCGCCGCAAGAGTCTTACCAGTACCTGGTGGGCCGTAGAGTAAGAGACCCGGGATCTTGTCTGAGGCTAAGACACCGTATTTGAAAGCATCAGGTCTGATGAGGGAGAGTGTGGTCAGAGTCTGAAGAGTGTCAATCGTCTCCACAGGCATATGGACATCGTTGAAGGTCGTGGCAATATTTTTTGCTTCAATGATTCCGCCCATTAACCGTTTTTCGTAGTTGGAGGCAGAAGCACGTATTGAGGCCAGTCGAGGGTCATCCTTGGATTTGCGTCGTTCTGGAATTTCGACCTTGGTTTCTTTTGTCTGCTTTTCTGCCCATTGTATCTTACTCTCGTCGCTTTCTTTCAGTCGGTGGGTGGCAACCGTGATGATGGGGTAATGTAAGACCTTATCAAGAGGTCCAGGAGAGTCCGATTCGTTCCGTAAGTCCCGGTCGTGAGTATTCCCTTCCCTGCTCCAAAAGCCAGCAATGTATGTTGCCACTCGTTGCACATATGAATAGCTCCAGATTTGTTCTTCTAGACATGATTTATCATGTTGGCAGATGTCATCGAAGAAATCACGATGCCAGAATCCAGGCTCCAGTTGTGACAACACGGATGGGTTTCGATATCGCAATGTTTCCCAGAGATGCCTCATATTGATTGTCGCAATTCGTTGTTTTCGATCATTGAGAAGCGCAAGCTTAGAAACTGTATTTGGCAACACCGGAGTAATGACGATGTTTTGGGAGATCTCATCTCGCTCCCCCGTTTGAGTGTCATTAATGCGTTCTTTGGTGAACGGTCCATGGTCATCGCGAGCAGAGTCCGTACCGATGAGTAGAATGCATTCGCCTGAGTTCCTTCGTCTCGAAATTTGTCGATAGAGCTCTTGGAGGAATTGGTGGCCGATATTGACATCTTGGATTGATTCAAGATTCTTGATATGTATAATCGAAGCATCCTTTGGCCTCTCGACTTCCCTGTCATGTGGCCGCCACCGGGCGTTGGATTGTGTTTCCTCAGTTGACCTCACCAGACCCCGCCGATCCGAAAGTCTCGATAGGAGACTATCAACAATTCCAGCAAAGAGACGAGGCGTCTCCCGAGCTTTGGCGCCGGAATTCCAGTTCAATATGTCGGAAAATGCTTTGGCAGGCGACACTGGCATGGCTGACCGATTTGGACGTCCAGGGAGTCCAAAAAGGTTCTTCAGGTCGATTGTAATGGGTTTCCCAACGATCATTGGCATACCCATTGGAGTTCCAGGGGTCGGTCCATCAAAATCATCCGCAATGTCATCATCGTCTATTTCCTCCTCTCGAGTTTGTTGTGTCGCACCAGGGTTGGAAGACTCGGAAAAGGCATCTGTGAAGACATCATAACTCAGCATACGGCCTGCCTTTGCCACACGAGATTGTTGATATGAAGTGTAGATCAGATCGGCAATGTCCTGAGCATCTAGGATCATGAGATCACAACCTAGATTGAGAGCCAAGTCTTGGACGATATGGTCTAATAATATATCGCCATTTTTGCCAGCATATTGTAAGAGGAGATGCTCTCGAAACGACTCCATTTCGCCTTGATGATTGCGTTTCAGAGTCCTTTGCATCAGACCTCTCGCGGTCAGTTCCACCTCCTCATATTGTTGTCGGACCACATAGTATCTTTTGGCCGTTTTATCGCTCAATTCTGCCTTGACAGCTTCGACCTTTCTACGAGCGGCCTCTTGCCTTTCTGCAAAAAGCTTTTCCACATCTTCCTTACTCATTATGTGGTCGGGGCCTGCGTCGCTCCTTTCCTCATCTGGCGGTCGCGAAGGGGGTGCAATTGGAGCTGGAGGAGCGATTGGATCTGACAAATCGCCGGCTTCCCAATCTGCATTCATCACTTGAATCCTCGAAGGTGTTTCTGTAGCTAATCTTTTTTCTCCATAGCGAACAATGTTGTTGTCCACGAACCATTCTGGTGCTTGATATTCTGGCTCTATATCCTTCATCATGCGGCTCCGTAGTCGTCTCCTCGTAGAAGAGCCATAGAAGCCCTGATTATGTGTCTGATCCGCATTTTCGGAGGGAGGTGGTTCGCCAGGCGTTGATTGTTGCTGGGTAGGATAGGTCTTCTTTTCTTCCAATCTGGCCTGTTCTTTTGCTATCTCCGTACGAGATTCATGACTGTTTGAGTCGTCGCCGAGGTTACGGCCACTGATCGAGCTGGCATTATTTGGAGGCTCTTGAGAAGCGCGAAGTCGAGTTATAGTATGGAAGGAGCGGGTTTTGCTGGATTGGCGTCGGGCGGAATGTCGACAAGTGGACCCAAGGATCTTTGTGAACCTCAGTTCCGCTTGCAAAGTCGAATGCATTCGAGCGAGCGACGGGTGGTAGGAGGTGTGGAGGGCGCAATCTGATGTCTTTGTAATTCAGCAAACAAAATTGAAATGCGTTTGACAAACTTGCGCCAGAGCTGAAATGGTCCGCAGTAAGGAATAATATTTTCCAATACTCCTCCGTATTTCCGTGTGGATAATTTTTCGTGGTCTTTGAGCGTTTACCCTTTTTCTTTTTTTTTTTTTTTAAATCCGAAGGTCTAGTTGAAAAGCATGCCGCCAACTGTCTGCCAGCTCTGTGAGAACACCAGGGCAGCGGTAGTCAGATCAAAAAACTCTCAGAAGATCTGCAAGCAATGTTTTCTTTCAGTGTTTGAGGATGAGGTCCATGAAACGATCGTGACTAATAATCTATTTCGCCGGGGAGAACGGGTGGCCATAGGCGCATCTGGTGGTAAAGATTCAACCGTTCTTGCTTCAGTATTGAAGACTTTGAATGAGCGACATGATTATGGGCTCGAACTTGTCCTATTGTCCATCGATGAGGGTATTAAAGGCTACCGGGATGACAGCCTAGAAACTGTGAAACGAAATGCAATTCAGTATGAGATGCCTTTGGAAATCGTGGGGTATGATCAGCTCTATGGTTGGACCATGGATCAGGTCGTTGCTCAGGTAGGCAAGAAAGGAAACTGTACCTATTGTGGAGTCTTTCGAAGACAAGCACTAGACAGAGGTGCTGCCAAGCTGGGCATCAAACATGTTGTCACTGGTCATAATGCTGACGACGTCGCCGAAACCGTCATGATGAATCTTCTGAGGGGTGATCTACCTCGACTAGCAAGAGCGACCTCTATTGTCACCTCGAGCGCAGCGAGCGACATCAAACGAAGCAAACCGCTGAAATATGTCTATGAGAAGGAGATAGTGCTTTACGCTCACCACAAGAAACTGGACTACTTCAGCACAGAATGTATTTACTCGCCTGAGGCCTTCAGAGGCAGTGCGAGGACATTGATCAAAGATCTGGAGAAGATTCGACCAGCCAGCATTTTGGACATTGTCAAGAGTGGAGAGGACATGGCTGTGCTTGTGCCTCCTGACGTAAGCGGTTCTGCGTCATGTTCTGGAGATGCTGAGGGGACCCACGGTGGTGGAACGCGAAATACCACCGGCGATTCGATGGCACAGATGGAGAAGGACTGGGTTGCGAATGAAGCCGTCGCCGAAAGAGAGACCGAGATCAAACTCCCGTCCGCTACGTCGATTCCGCACACGAAATCGAACTCTCAGACAGTAAGTATTCATGATAAGGGGCCCAAGAGACGTCAAAAAGTGATCAAGCAAGTCATGGGTCAGTGTGAGAGATGTGGCTATCTGTCAAGTCAAAAGATTTGCAAAGCTTGTTCACTGCTGGAGGGCCTCAACAAGAGTCGACCACGGACATCTATCGAAGTAGGAATTGAAGATGAAGAAGGGAGTACGACTTTGATGAGGCAAGCGGCCGGACTCGCTATGTCCGCTGGTTGAATGGTGCAACAAGTCAGGCGATCTTGCGTCGCAATGCTACTTGTCTATCAATCGTAGCCGTCAGCTTATCCCACGCCTTCTCCATCAGCGAAATCGCGATCTGTACCAGAAGGATAATCAGCCTCCGCAAATAGTTTGTCATCGTCAAAGTCGGCCTTCTCCCACGGGAAAATGTCGAGTCAACAAATTCAAAGGGCAACTGCGCGCCCAGATGGTGGATGGCTGCTGACAATCCACTGCTGAACCCATCTTCGTGAAAACCATACTTTGTCCAGGCTCCACAATAACTGATGTTCCTGGTATTTTGGATCCGAGGAAGCAGCTGCTGGGACCGGGTGGCAGCCGCATTGTATTGCGGATGGGAATATTCCCAAATGCCTTGAGCCAGCCGGGGATCGGGCATAGTCAAGGGATTCAATGTGACGAGAACAGGCCCATATTTATTCTCTGGAATATGTTGAAGCAAATTCATCCAGTAAGTCAAACAGACTTTGGAGATATTTTGACTGCCTGTCGGAGGAAATGGAGATTCTGTGATATAATTCCAGGACGACCACGCCACACGTCTCTTTGGCATTAACGAGGGATCTGAGTGTAAAACCGCAACATTTCTAGTGGTGCGGAAACCACTGAGAATATCGATTTCTTGTTTGGTGGCTACAGGCTGCAAGATCTTCAAAGCCTGATCTCCATGAGTCGCGAGGATCACATGGTCAAATTCGTGGTCTCTGCCATTGACTGTCAAAGCTATGGGCCCTCTTTCTGTGGCCGACAGAGCAGTGACTTCGGATTTGAGATGAATTCGGTCTCTGGGGAAATCCTTGAGCGCTGCATGAATATATTGCTTCGATCCTCCAGGGATGGTCAGCCAGTCAGGGCGCTTCGCGATCGTACTCAACAAGTGGTGGTTGTACATGAAGCGAATCAACGTGATGGCCGGGAATTCCAAGGAACATTTATCGGGACTCGTACTCCAGACAGCGGCGGTCATTGGGATGAGATAGTTATCCCGGAATTCTTGAGAATATCCCTCCCGGTCAAGGTAATCGCCGATGCTCTCCCGAGCGGCAGCCTCGCGTTCTGCTTCAATGTGCAGGAGATCAAGCGCAAATTCGTTGAATCGGACAATGTCGAAGATCATCCTCCATATCGCGGGTCTGAAAAAGTTTCTCTTCTGAGCGAAAATGGAAGACAATGATGTCCCAGCCCATTCAAATGTTCCCTGGTCTCGAGAAACGCTAAAAGTCATGTCGGTCTTCTTGGTCGGAATACCCAATTCTTTGAGAAACGAGATAAAGTTGGGATAAGTAGCTGTATTCATGACAATGAAACCCGTGTCAACCTCGATCTCGTCTCCATTTGGTCCCTCGTAGGTGACGGTGTTTGCATGTCCTCCTAGTCGAGATGCTGCTTCGAATAAATGAACTTCATGATCGGTGCTGATCTTGAGCGCCCAAAGAGCACCGATGCCAGAGCATCCGCTGCCAACCACTGCCACTCGTTTTCTCATTTCTGATTCCGGTCTTTGATTGAGTGGGAATTTCTTAAGAGACCAATGTCGAAGCAGGAGAGACTTCGAACACCAAACTGTCTCACATATGTTTCGAAGTTAGGGCGAGTTTGCCATGGTCACGATTGGCAAGCGCTCTCACGACCTGGAAGTGACAACGAGTTCCAAGAGCTCATAGCAAGTAAAACAAAAATCCAAAAGCTAAAAGGGTTAAGCGGTACCGTTGAAGGGTTGCTTTGAGCATCAAGTCTATGTATAATCGAATCAGCCATATAAAAAAGCGGCGTGTTTATTTTCTGTAGACGCTAACTATTTATAGGTATTTTGTAACAGGGTCCCAATAGCAGCGTGAAATCATCGCCCTAAGCGGATCGGCACCGAACGTCGGCCGGGGCTGCGCAAGATGGGTACATTCTCTGCCTTTTATTGCGCTCTACAACGGACCGTGTCTCCCTTTTTCCCTATATAACACCACAATCAACATTGAGACGAAATCGCTCGCCCCAAGTCAACGACACAAAATTTTTTGGCCGGCTTGAAACCTACCAGTCCGCGGCACGAAATCCAAGTGTCTGGAGTTCCAACTAGGCGCCACTGAATCTGGGACCACCAACGTCCTCTGCTGCCCTGCACAATGGCGAATCCCCTCGATACAGACGCTGGCTCCGAGCTATTCAGCACTTATGAAGCCGAGTTGAAACTGGTGGAGGCCGATGTAACCCAGAAATTGGATCAAATACCTGAGCTGGCGGGCGAGGAGCGTAAAGCCGCCATCCGAGGGGCAGAGAGGGCTCTTGATGAGGCGAAGGAGTTGGTATGTTTCTTGCCTTTGCAAACCTTTATTTTTTTTTCTTTTTCTCCGACACAGCACACTAATGTCGGATCCGTTGTGAAGCTGGATCAAATGAACCTAGAGAAATCCAACATCCCCACCTCCGCGCGGTCCAAAGTCAACACCCGATTTCGCAACCACCAATCTGACATTGACGGTCTGAACCGTAAATTAAAATCGTTGGCGGAATCGGATCGCAAACAGCTTTTTGGCGACAGATACACTGATGACCCGGAAGCTGGGCCTCGAGACCTACACCTCGAGCAGCGCCAACAATTATTGTCTGGCACGGAGAGACTGGGTCGGAGCGGCGAGAGATTGCGAGAGTCGCAGCGCATTGCGCTCGAAACAGAGCAGATTGGCGCCTCGACATTGGCGAATCTGCATCAGCAGCGTAATGTGATTGAGAATACGCACCAGAATTTGTTGCACAGCGAGGGATATGTTGATCGAAGTGTCAAGACTCTGAGGGGGATGGCGCGTAGGTGAGAACTGTTCTTTGAACCTTCACGCTCTTTCCTGCCGACACATGAAAACAACTTGATGGATTTTTGCAGGATCAATTGGCTAACAATACATGCTTGACGTACAGGATGGCTACCAATCGGGTAATCACAATCGCCATCATCACGGTCCTCGTCCTCCTCATCATTGGCGTGATCTACAGCAAATTCAGATAAAGACAATCCATCACTTCCAAGACTAGACGGTATTCCCTGACGATCAGATCGACTCGTCAGCCTCGTAGTAGGCGTGAAGGGGCAAGGTCCAGGGCCTTTGGACTTTTCAGCGGTGCAATAGACCGGAGAACTAAGCTCTTATTTGACCAAGCACTGGATTGGGTGGACGGGACTGGAAATGAGAGGGAAGGCCCTTCTTGTACTAAAAGAATCGATAATTTCGACCACAATTGACATCAGCGGCCACCGGCGCCATTTTCCTCCTAGCTTATCGTAGATGGATGCCACATCTTACCATCTCTTGCCACGTAAAAAGCATGAAACTTCGTTCCCCATTCATTCTCACCCTGTATACCTAATAATACCCAAGCCAACATTCAACATGAACCCGATGACAACGGCCATTTTACGGCGTTGACTCCAAATCCCTTCCTCACGCACTCCCCACAGCATACAACCTATGGGCCAGAAGAAGCCCATTGCTGTGCCCCAGATCATATCCTCCAGCATTCCAGCCATCGCTTCTTCGGGCCCACTGCGTACACCGATACCCGTCCCTGCCTCGAGTCCGTCACCGTCACCCGTCGAACTGGAATTGTCCAACCACCTGTCTTCCATATCACGCAGCGTGTTCGGCGATGGCATCGTGTCGGGCGTGTGCGTGTGTGCTTGGATCGCGAGGAATTGGAGACGTAGTTGTTGTACCTCCGCGGCTGTGAAGCCAGAATTCAACAAACGGTCGAATCCTCTCGGGGCAGGTGTCGTGGTAGGTTGCTGCTGGCCACTGTCTTTCTCTTCTGCCGACGCTCCATTTTGTGCTGCGGCTGCTTCTGCTGCGAGTTCCGCGGCCGAGAGCACTATGTCCCCTATCGAGCAGTGTATGTAGATCCGTGACTGGGATGGAGGGTCGCGGATAGGCAGTTTGCCTTTTCCATTGTCTCCGCTGTTCTGGGGCGGCCCTCTCCCGCCTACGCCGCTAGATCCATCGTATGGTCCTGGTGTTCCCACCCGACTGGGTGGTTTACTTACATTTCGCTTGAGCGAGACATTGAGCGGGACATCGTCGACTAGGGCTTTCCCCGCGTGAATGAGACGGATGCGTTGCTTGGAGTACTCCGCGGGTATTCGGGAACGGATGAGTTGTTTTAAGCTCGCTGTGTTTGCGTGAAGGGAGCCGGGCACAGAGACTAAGAGATCAGGTAGGGACGCGGAGAAACGGATGGTCATGTCAAGGTCAAAGTCATCGTCGGGTTTTTCAAAGGCAGGCGGTTTCAAGGACATAGAGGCGGTGTGGGTGGGATTTCCAGACCGCCCTCCGCACACATGCTGTGTGCGCACAAGGTAGAGAGTGACAAGGCGTTAAAGAAGGTGTAATGCTATTATCAAATGTGTGGGTTGGGGAGAGAGAGGTGTCATCGTTCAATTGGAGATGCGCGAAAACGCTGCATATGACTCGCGGTATGAGAGTATTATGTGGGCCAGCCTCGTGGCTGCGAGTCATGAATTTCTCCCACCTACTCCCCCAAAAAGTCCATTGCTCTAATATTCCGCTGCACGATGCGTTTGGGAGAAAGGATCGCTCGGATCTCTCCAGCGAAGCGACGGCGGCAGACTGATACATTTCCTAAGCCAATTTTCCCCGTCCAGCCCGACCAGAGTTGACATATTCGCCCGACAATATCCCTGCGTAGGATCTAGGCTTTGCCGCCTGTGCAACATCCGCAAGACTGCCATCAGATGAAAGATGATTTCATCCTGTAGGCAGAAAGAGTCATCTCCTATTTCTATGCTGCGACAATGATCCTGATCCGGAGATGTGATGTCTCGCGTTGGTTACAGCCTGACCGCTCAGGGGCTTGGAAAGGGGTGTGGCGTTTCGGGTCTCGGGATCCAAAACAGATTGTCGCCAAAGCATTCTAGCATAAAGATGGACGACTTTCCCCAACACCGAAGTTCGATTTCTTCATCAGCTCTAGCGTTTGCTATTCTTCAGACGTCCTTCTATTACAATTTTTTGCAATGTGGAGTCCAGGACACATTACTCGAACAAACTCCGTTCAATCAATCGCGATGTCTGTCACATCAAGTCGTTCCTCAAACTACGACGAGACCATTCCGGAACAACACTTCCCCATTGAAGAAGAAATGTGGCAGCCCAAAAAGGTCGTAGTGAAGGAATCAGACCCTCCATCAGAGCTACGACAATCTCAACGACGTATGTCCGTATCTACTGAAAACTCCAATTCGACGCTTGCATTGGATTCTCCCGAAGAAGAAGTGGATCTCAAGACACCCACAGTCCCTAAAAACATGGTCGAATCGACCACTTCGACCGTCATCGATGACGTTCACGAACCACTACTAAAACCAGAATTGGCCGGACCAATGGAAAAACTTCTTTACTCTTTACTTCGACAAGTTGCGACCGTCGAGCGAGGTCATCCTACCATCATGGCTGAGGACTACGACAAGTTACAACAGAGAGTGACCGAACTGGAAGCTGAGAAGACCAGTGTAGTAGAGAATTATCATGCTTTACTGGCAATCCGCAACGAGGACCTGTTGAACTTGATCAAAGTGCGAGATATGCTGGCTGAAGAACGACGAGAACACACAGCGATACGAAAACTTCGGGATGAGGATTTGGAGAACGTGCTCGTGCTTCGAGAAAAGTTGGCTCAAGCAACGTGGACTAAGCCGCGAGGATCATCCACGACTCGGCTATCATATCGACAATCACGAACCGAAGGAGATGACCTCTGGCAACAGGCCAAGACGGCAGCTATGGAGCAGAGAATTCTGGAGCTTGAGAATGCTAACAAAGAACTCCGAGCGCGAGCTCAAGCTCCAGCTCAAGCGTCAGGCTTGACCGGTGGACCAACTGGAGATATTATCCATCGGGTCGAGACAATGTTTGAAGAAGGTCTCAAATATCGCGAAAAGATGGCAATTAAGATCCAACAGCTACGATCGGAGAAGGAAGCTTTGCAGAAAGATGTTGCGGCTTTGGAAGATCGAAATACTGAGCTTGAAGCACTGACGGAAAGGTTACAGAGAAATCTTGACTTTTAGATACGGTCCACCTTTCTCATACCCTTGATGTGTTCCAGTCATGATCATTTCCGCACATAGATACATAGAGTATAGAAAACGGAAGTAAGAATACACCAGATAGATACCCTATACAAGCAAACCTCATTATTTGTTGCCGACATCATCTTTGGCCTTGTTGATTCCGTCACATTTGGGAATAAAGAGTGCTGCTTTCCCATACGTATACTAGCGAGATGGTTGTTGTGGCCATGTGATGAGGCTGAGAATCCCAACCAGCCGGCCTTCTGCATCAGCCTGTACCAGACTCTTCAGACACCCAAGTTCTGTCATCCAATCATCCCAATTCTTCTCAAAGTTCCTCCCATCTACTACTTCCAGGGCCTAGGACAAACCAGGTCATTTCAGAGTATGAGGAACACATCTCACTCAGAGCAATTAAGAAACTCCCTTCACAAAGTATTTACTATGCGACAGCAACCCGACTCCGGCCCTTGTCACTCCCTTGCTTCTTTCTTTAATAACCATCTCCTCTTCTCGTCCAGCATCCTCGCCTGTCCCCTAACTCTCTCCGGCACCAAACCCTCCCTCTTCGCTGTCATCTTCCAATCCTTCGACTTCTCACGGCCAACCTTCGCCATCATCTTCAACTCCACCAAACTAAACTCCATTCCATCCTCTCTATCAAACTTGAACGGCTCCATCAAGCTCACTGGCGGATTTGTAATGATCCCCGGCAGCCATTTCCCGTTCTTCGACGCAGAACGCACTGTCAATGGATGCAGCAGAATCACATCGCTGACCTACCTAGTCATTTCAGTAAACGATTCTTCACTTCACTTCCAGACAATGGTATGATAGAATTCCAGACCAGACTCGAAGTTCTCATTGCCTCCGATGGGGGCCACGTCCTCAGCGTAGATCCAAGTCCTTCTACCGTTGGACAATATGCCTGTGAAAAGCGGAATTACGGGGAATCCTTGCTCGAGGAAGTCGAGGCAGTGCACCAAAAACCCCCCATCCTCATACCATCTTTTCAGTTCCTTCGGATGAACCTCGAGGTCTTCATGCTCTTTGGTTCCCAGGACGACGATGAAACTGTCGCGTCAGATTTGGATTGTTCGGCAATTCGGTCCTCGCCATCGCACGGCTTGCAAACGACGCCGTAGGCTTCAGGAGCAAAGTCTTTGATGCGTATCTCACGGCGAGCGGGCATATTGGTGCGTTCTGTCGTCCAAGTTTCTGGGTTGTTGTGGTCGAAGCCAAGGCTGGTCTAGATGTCCTTGGTCCATCTCGCTGCATCTTCGCGAGTGAAACAACCTGGCACGCGAAGGCAGCCGTATTTCATGTATGAGTCAACCTGGTCGGTCGTTAGGTGCTTGGGGTTACGCCCTTCCGTGTTAATTCGTCTATTTATAAGGAAGAAATTCAAGAAACTGGGATTTTCTCGACTAAGTGTCTTTCGGCGATCTTTGAGTGCAGTTATTTCAGAGAAAGTAGAATGCTCAAGAGGGTACCTAAGTTCGATATAGGCAGATGGAAGAACCACCTTGCTTCGACGTCAGGTTGAAATACTCAAGAAAAATACAAACCGTTCTCTCTACCTTCTGACTTTGCAGGTCTTCACCCATCAGGTGTGAGATCCATCCGCCTTGTCAATTTAGCCGGAATTCGAAAGCAGCAAAGGTCCTGATACATCGGGCCTGGTGTGATAGTTACAAAGGGTTTGCCGGTGATCAATCTTGAAAGTCCGAGCGGAGAGCTGACGACCAGTTCCTAGGACTTACCTTAGTCTCTTTGTGCCAATTGAGGCGGTGGTTAGTGACCTACTGTCAAACTGGGGAACAACTTGAGATGTATTGAATGCTCTGTCTACCTCACACCCGGTCCTGCCAGGTTGCTGGTATATATACACGTTGGGTTGACCCCTTTTCTTCTGGAATCGATAAACCGATTCTGCAGAAAGAATCGCTAAGTCAGGAATCGATTCCTGCGAACGCTGATCTGAAGGGCCAGGAGGACTATGAAAAAGCCTACGATCGAGGACAAGTGGGCTGGTTTGAAGGTATCCAGCCTGCGCTAGTATGGCTCGGGGCTGTCTTCACGCTCATCATCATCTTCTTCTTCAACACTGCAGCCCTTTGGAACGGGACCGAACGAGTATCAAAGTTATAAGCACATTTGTCAGTGTATGTGGCTACCACAACCATTTCGCAGCTCTTCTGCCTTTTGATGCCTCGCGCTGAACACTGAATTTTATCTAGCCCGGCGTTGTTTTGCTATTGTGGTTTTTGAAGAAGATGTTGCCGCCAGCCAGCCAACGTCGTTTCTTCGTCGGCCTCAGCGATCCAGAAGATTTCAAGAACCAACTCAGACGACTGGACAGTTTGATCTACCCGATCGGACCGAGTGCTCAACGACCATGGTCATATGAGACGCTCAACCGTGATCCCAAACGAGTGACCGCTAGCTCGACTGCAATAGCCACAGAATCTCGCGTCTCGAGCCTCCGCGGCCCAACCCCTCAAACCCATTACAATCGAGGCGGTCTACGCATGTCAGTGCACGAATCAATGATGCAGAAGTCTGTAGCGGATGATTCAGACGATCCTGCATCGCCGTTGCCAGATGGAGAACTGGATGCGGCAGAATATCCTCGAGCAAACAGCGACCTCAGTGCGGCAAGCAGACTAAGTTCAGGAGGCTATGGCCGGACCCACCTGGAAGTTCCTCCTCTGGCGCAGGTAAATAATATCTACGTCCCAGATCCCGTCACATGCCCTTCTCCTATTCCAGAGAATCCTATGGCAGCAGAGATGGATGAAAATACCGGCTTCATCCCATCCTTCAATCCTGTGCGTCCTCGACCGTATGCCCAGGCCGGAGAATGCATACCGACGTCCAAGTAACAATAATTTAGGTTCTTCGCCGTATACTCCTCCACAGCCCGAAAGGAGAATGGATGATCGAATAGGCAGTTCTACGCGTTCTTGGAGTTCTGAGCTGTCGAACAAGGTCTCATTGAATGGCTGAATAGTAGCAACTGCTCCTTTATTGGGAAAAGGGGTTATCACCCCTATGCAGGTTTTAGGGGTAGAAATAGGAGAAGAAAAGGGGTCAACTCAACGTGTATATATACCAGGAACCTGGCAGGACCGGTTGTGTGGTAGACAGAGCATTCAATACATCTCAAATTGTTCCCTAGTTTGACATGAGCAATACTGCGATCTATACAACAGGATAGTACATGTGACCAATATAATCGATACTGTTATGTGTTTGCTTGCATCTCCTTGCAATCCGTGGGAACTGTTACACATTAGGGAGGAGGTGTGTGGATGTTCCGTGTCTTGTATAGTCGGGAAATGGGATTGTCGGAAAACCACTTCTAGACCCATTTCCCGCAGTTGTCAGCTTCCGGAACTGCTGCGCGATTCAATGCATGGCAGATACATACTAGGTACCAATATCTCTCCTGTATACGGTACCTATAGACTTCCTTGCATGCGGCGCAGGATCTCAATGTGGAAACAAAATTCCGTAAGGAGTCCGTATTAGTCAGCGCGCTTGTTGCTATTTTGATCTTGATGGCACAAATCGAGCAACATCTGATGTACATATATGCTTCGATGGGGAATTTCTAGTTCTAAGATTGGTCCAATCACTGATGAGCCAGAGGTTTCAACATGGGAAACTACGCAGACAAACTTCGTGGTCAGGACATTGTCCTAGTGGGTGCAAGCACAGGGTGAGTGGCAGCCGTCAATACGCAGCACTTTCGTCCAGCACCAGAAGTATTCACGACCAAGTATACAGGATCGGCTATGGTGCTGCCGCAGCGCTCGCCGATGTTGGCGCCAAAGTGACCATCATATCCTCTTCCCGGTCGAAGACTGATGCCGCGCTGAAACGACTCAATTCGCCGGATGCGAAGGGTGTGGTGGCCGACGTGCGCGACGAGGAAGGATTCACCAAGACATTGCAGTCTCTGGCACCCATCGACCATCTGGTTTTCTCGGCCGTGGATAACATTATCCGGGGCAAGCTAGAGGATCTGAGCTTGGACGATGCGAAGCATCTCTTTGGTGTCAAGTTCTGGGGTGCCGTGATTGCGGGAAAAGGTAAGCGAGCAAAATGCTGTGAAACATGGATGCAAGTTAATTGCTAGCGCTATTGAAATATGACATCGTCCGTCCGGGCGGCTCACTCACACTCACCTCCGGCACCGTAGGCTTAAACCCCGGTAAGGGTGCAGCCGTCGGGGGCGCGCTCAACGGCGGCATCCTCACTCTAACTAAAGGCCTTGCGATCGATCTTGCAGCCAAGAAGATTCGCGTCAACACGGTCGTGCCAGGGATCGTCAAGACCGAGCTGTGGGATAAACTGGGCAAAAGTATTGAAGAGCAGAAGGAAATGGTCTACCAGGCGAGTCAGAGTCTGCCAGTCGGATTTGTGGCAACGCCGGAACATATTGCAGAGGCATATCTGTACACAATCCGGGCGGATTATGCGACGGGGACATTAATCACAATCGGCAAGTCACAGCAACTTTGTTTTTGTGTAAGAATAAGTGCTGACCAGGAAAGATGGTGGCACCCTGTTGAACTAAGGAGACTCGAAGGGGCACAGAGATGATTTTGTCTGGTATCACGATCTTCACGTTCTGGACGTGGCTCTTAAGCCGCAGAGGCTTAAGAAGATCGAGTAGGAGGAGAGTCAGTTGGGCAAGTGTGTTGCAAAGAGTCTCAGGATGACGACATTGTCAATGAAGAAGGCCAGGCAGAGTTGATCAGCGTTGCCAGGATTCGAGTCCCACTAGCACGAGTCCGAGTTCTGACTCGAGTCGCGAGTCCTAACGAGTCCCATCAATTTCGCTTAGGCCTTCGTATGCTAGGGCCCAGTTAAGGAGAGGGTGCACGCACTCTTCTACCTTTCTAAGAGGACAGTAAAACGCAGCCAAAGATGTCACAGAGTATAGCAACGAGCACTAAATCGCCCTCACCGTCGATACAATCTACGCTTGCATCAACGCCAACACCTCGCTCTATCAGAGCTGATAATAAGCGAATCGGTAGAAAGCAATGGCTTCGACAAAGGCCACACAGCCAATTCTTATCGTGGATCGTCTATCTCGCGCATCTGGACACAGGGCGACAAATATATTAATCCCTCCGCGCCTAACGATCCTCCTGTATGGATTTGCGACTATTGCAATGCTATAGTTAAGTTGAATCGTGATGATTCAACGACTTCCAACGCAACTCGGCAGCTTAAACTCGTTCACAAGATATCCGCAAAACGTTCTCTAATTGAGTGTGAAGAGAGGAACGAAGATCAAAATACTTTAAGCAAGGAATCCTCATCGAAAGAGCCTCGAGTGCTTTGAAGCTTTGGTTGCGGGCGCGTCAACCCATTCTTGCATTCGTGTTAAAATCCACGAGGCGACGAGTTGCATTCGATTTCACGGTTCAGCTACATCACATATCTACTCTTACTATAGCATAACCCGACCAGGGAATAGACGGATTAAGCTGAAACAGAAAAGGGAGCCGTGTTCCGATAGGAACTCAAATACCACTAATGAATTTTCCCGTTGATTATCCCATAAGAGTTATTTTTCAAAACGTCCGTTTCCCCTTCCCTACACCACCAGAACCCTTCCTTAGAAGTTTCTGGTTCCGACGAGCCTGACTTACCAGAGACCATCGACACATACGAGCCGGTATCAATTCAATCTAGTTTGAAGAATGATGAGAGTTTCGATTCAGAACTTGTCTCCTTAGTCGGTAAGACTGAAGGGCCTATCGTACCTATCCCATAGTGACAAGCGTGCACTGTGTCCTCTAGCACGTTTATCGAATGAATCAGCGAAGCAATACACATATCGCTGTGCTCGAGATGGCTTTGGTATTCAGTGTTTGCGTGACCAACAATAGCAAGTACTAGAATCTCTGGGTTGAAGACATCGAGACGTTATTCTAATCGCAAAGACATCATTTGGCAAGAGTCTGCTATTTCAGTTAACACCACTTCTCTAGCGTCCCTGCGGCCGCTTAGAGATCTGCTTAATACTGATGTCGTTGAACTTGCTGTTTACTGAATAGGCGGAGTTTAAACAAGGAAACTAGAAGCAACATGGTTTGTCTTGACCGAAGATACTAATACTTTAGCCAACCTGAGAACAGAAAATCAATCCAGCTATGAATTCGTCTTAATTGACTGTCTGGACATCCCCCATGATATAAACAAATAATGGGCAGACGGCAAACGCTAAGTCTTCTGTGGTAGAGGTGTACGCTGGCTTTATCGCTGTACGTAGCGTGGTGCTGAACACGACAAATAGAATACTCTAATTGACTGTAGCAATCACAACCCCCGGGGATGCGATTGTCACTATGCTTGCAAATAGACAGGTCATATCCAGATACATCCAAATCAAATCATGATGCTGAATTTAGATATTTGGATAAAAATTCTGTCTAATCAGCGCTCGCGAGCAATAACTTAAGCTGAAAAAGCATAAATCGTAATCTTCTAGTTATCCCCATTTCACAGATCTAGAAGACACTAGATCTGTGAAATAGACACGATCCTCCATCGTATAGGACTTAGGGCGGAAATATCAAAAAAGAAAGGCCCCCTCCTATAGTCCATCTCTGACGAACTCATAGATGGGGCGCCACAGCCAGTGAAAGCTTCAGCCACACAAGTTCAACTGCAACGGTATGAACAAGACGACATCATCAACAATCACTGGCTGGAGCATTACGTTTACCCATCTAGGGCACCTAGAAAGCTAGGCCGGACAACCCTCTTACCTTACCTATGATTAAACACTAGTAAGGCCCCTCAATTCTATCGGTTCGACTGCAATCCGGGTGTTTTACCACTCGGTTACGTCCTTGATAGGTCAACCACGGTGTCAATTTTGAAGCAGTTTTTGGTGGAATAAAATATCAACCTGAATTTTTTGTTTTCTACTTTTTTTTTAATTGAAATCATCTGGTTGTGGCTTGGCGTTGTGCGGCGACGCCAAGACCGCCGTGTTGGCCAATCACGTTGGTCAATGGCTTGGCACCTCTCTTCATCACGTGGCTTGGTTGTGTCACGTGATAACGCGAGCACTCCCCCTCCAATCCAATCCGTGGACCATGTGGCCCGGGGGGTGCCCTAGTCGATAGAAGTCGACATCCTCGATATCAAGATGGGCCATGGATCGGATCCAGTCTGTGGGCCACTCAAGCTTTACTAATCACACTCGAGATGGTTCGTAACAGAGCGTGAACAGACGGGCCTCGGCGTCGAGATGATCCATGGATTGGATCCGATGGGTCGTGGTATTTCATCGGATCCAGTCTGTGAACCACCTAGGCAAGCTCTACTAATCACACTCGAGATGGTTCGTATAGAACGTTAACGGATAGTAATTGGTCATTTCACTTAATTAATTGTATGGCAGTGATGTTGGCCACATACCGGTTTTGACCCAGACCCATCTGCGAAGGTCGCCCCACAGGGACGATTAGTGCCTTGGTAGATGGTCGTGGGTGCCGAGACAATCTGGACGATAAGGAAGGTCCGAGACGAAGCATCGCCACGGCTCGGCCATTTTTCACTCTTCGACCTCGAGCAAGCGGGTAGTGTTAAGACTTGTCTTCCAAGCAGCGTTTTTGGCACATCGTCCCTCAGCACCGTGTATGCTCGTCTGCTAGTGCCACTTCACGCCCGCTTTGGCAAGCTATTGAGGCAGCCGTACCTAGGTGGATTTAGCATTCGTGTCGTTTAAGGTGAAACTCAATTGCTGGCACTTGAGATGAAGACACCCTGAATCGTGCCGCACTGACCCCCGAGCCAGCGAGCGAGCGTGCATGCTGAATCTATCATTTCTAGGTATTGACCACCGAACTGATTGAATCTCACCCAGGCTTCGACGAGATTGTTGAGCCTGCTGATATCAGGGCAGTCATGTGTGAGTGAACGGCTGGTCAGATGGAGAAATAAAGTTGTCGTCTGGGATTCCCATCTCTGAATTCTTCGCCCTCTAACGAGGTATTCGTGCTCGGTCGCGCACATCCTTGGGATGTCCATGTTATTGGCACACACAGCAGTCGGTGGTGACGTACTGTACTCCGTATGTTGTGTTTTTGCCCGCTATATAACAATCTGAAGTTCATGTGTGCACAGGTAGCCCACGACCAGAGCGCTCGTGCTGCCCATGCTGGGCATATGAGCTAGAACCTTACTATGATTTCCAATTACTACTGTGTTATATGTATCGAACCTGGCCAGCTAACTATAGAGATATCCCCTGTTTCGCACTCGTCTCTAGGCTCCCATGGCGATTCTCTTCTTTTAGATGAATTTACGCTAGGTTTAATGACCTCTGAGGTGGGGAAGTAGATGTCAGGAAGAGCAACAAGGTTGCTAAAAGACCTCAAGATCAGAAAATTCTTGGTGCCTATATTCAAATCCCGTTGTACTTGTTTAGCCATTCTTAGGAGACTTTTGGGGGGACCGTCTTCTTCTTGACCAAACAGCGTTTGCTCTTCGGGCTGATCAAGAAGTAGTTTTCCATCTCCATCGACTCCGGGGTCGTACGTTCTGAGAGCTCAAAATCGCGACATTCGCGAAAGAACTCGGTGATGCCATGTCGTAGCTCCATTTCGGCTAGATGGATCCCTAGACACACTCGTGTCCCTCCTCCAAACGGTCCAAATGCGTGCTTTTGTGACCCGGCAAGATCTTTGTTATAAAATCGCTCGGGATCAAAGCTACACCGTCAATATGAGTCATTTGGTGTCTTCATGGTTAGAGCCAGGCTTCGCTTACATTTCGGGGTCAGGGAAGATCGAAGGATCTCGATGCATAGTATAACTCTGGGTCGTCACAGTTACCCCCGGAGGGATATACTTACCCGTGATCTCGATTCCTTTAGAGGGAGTGGTGCGAGGTAAGGCACCAGGTGCCGATCCGTAGAGACGTAAGGTCTCTGTGATAACGGCCTTCAGATAGGGGAGTTTCTCTAAAATTGTATCATTGTAGTCGTCGGGGAGACCGCAGACTTCCTCCTCGAGCCTTTTCTTTACCGTTGGATGCGAGAGGATGGCCCAGACGGCGTAAGTTAGGGTGACTGCCGTAGTGCCTGAGCCCGCAACGATCAATGCGGAGGCTTGTGATCCCAGGTCGAAGTCCGTCATACTCGTTCCTTCAGCTTGACTCGCCTCAATCATCCCACTAATGACGTTATATCGCTGCAGGGCACCCTTCCTCGCCCTAGAGGCAGCTGTTGTTCCATAATCCACGACGTTTCGAAGGCACCTATCACACTCTCGAATGAAACTTGGGTATACGATTCGCATCAGGCTGTACAGCAAAGGTGCCTCGCCTCGAAATGCCCATGCCATCACGATGCTCTCCAAGTCGTCGATGTACTGAGTTTTCTGACCCTTTGTTCAGCTTTCGCAATGATAAAGGACTTTGGGGTTGTATGTGTACTATACACCACCAGGGCACTGTGAGCATCGGAACAGTAACTTACTTGACCGGCCTCTAAGAGACGAGAGTCTTCACCGAAAGCAACTTGTGCAATAACATCCGTAGTCATCAAAGTCCACCATTTCATTATATTGCAGTCTCCCTTCATAGCCTCAGATTTCATTTTGGAGACTGCCAACTGAGCGCGATCTGTCACCAAGGCCTGAAAATTCGCCAGGAGTGAGGATCTAGAGAAAGGACGGGCCAAAAGCTTCCTACGAGCTGCATGCTCGTGGACTTGAGTCATCGTGAAGGCGTGGAGCTCAATTCCAGGCGTGGCCAAGTCGTACCACTCAGACTTAACAAACCCGCTTCCGATCCGGTGGATTTCTCGGTAGCCATCCAAGTCGTTGACACTGACCTCGTTTGAGTCAACTCTGACTAGGGGGCCGTATTTCTTGTGAAGGTCATGGATATAGAACATGCGTTGTCCAGTCAAGATTTTGTACTTGAGCACCATGCTCGTAAACCTCGCATACCACGGGCCTGGGATGGCACGGAGAGGGTCCTGAAGCACCTTGAAAAGTGCCTGCACATTTGTGAGCTCCCTCAGATTGGTGACCAAAATTGCGTCTGACGCACTCACCCAACATATCGTGGATGCTATTGCTACCAACACCACCGGGACAAAAAATCGAGATATGTCTAAGTTGATGGGAATCATCGTGAAGGGTGCGCTCCTGGAATACAATGTGACATTGCGCTTGTCTCGACAATAGGGACAATAAGTTTTTGAAGAATAATCTAGTGTCTGGTCATTACTCTTGTTGCCCTTGGCTCTCCACGGGGGACGTAGTGAACTGGGGATTGCACGTTCTACTGCCTACAACAATGTCGGAATATTGCGTCATTGTTGACCGATGCATCAGGTTCCCCTGCTTCCCGAGCCCTCGTGAGCCCCGGTTTGGGGTACGGGGTGGGCACGCAACCCGCATGGTGCCTGGCGACTCGCAAAAGCAAAAGAAACAATGTCAATGCGATTGTGTCGCAGCGTCCTGCCAAGAGCACCGGGAGAAATCCCTCGCTGTATTCCCGTACGGAGTACTCAGGTGCATTTTGCGGGACCAATTGGTGCGATGGGAGAAGGCAACTATGTAACCGCCAGACCCTGAATCGACGTGGTTCCACCTGAAACAAGTTGATAGTTTCCCAGGCTAGTTCTCTTCAACATTCCAGACCACTTTTTTCGGAGATCAGTGGAAGTTGAAATGTGTCGCCTCCTACGTTCGCAAAAGTCCTTCCCAGTTAGGTTAGAATATTCCGCTGGCCAATGCACGGGGCCCCGGATTATTCTTGTAAGTGGGGCAGGTCTTCATATTCTGGATGCACACGGCACTGCTCTTCGGCACAAGTCAAGACTTTCTCTTTGATTTGATAATGGCAAACAATTCTTATAGGCCTTTCAGCTCGTGCAGAAGATACATCCTCGAAATCTACCAAAAAGTTCTTTCGTCTATCCAGCACCTGTCGGCTGCATGTCGATCACTCGCCCAGAGGACTTGATCAGGAAGCACCACAAGAATGGCCGCAAACAATGTCGAATTCCAACCTTCGCCTCTGCACGTCCCGACCGTCCACATCACGACGCACAATGCCGCTGGACTTGCCACTCTTCATAGTTCAGAGAAACCCAAGGCAGAGCCATATCCAGCGCACAAGTTCTCTTCCACTACTTTGTACACCACCTCAGCCATGCCCCCCAATCTCAATGATGATGTCGACCTCAAGCTGCACCAAGATGTTGTTGCTGGTGGCAAGTTGGGAGTCGTCCAACCGAAGGGAACAGTCCTCCGCTATGCAGATTTTGCGCCAAGCAGCGTAGGGTTCATGCACCGCACGCAGAGTTTGGACTACGGCATTGTGCTGGAGGGTACGGTGACTCTCGAACTGGACGATGGAAGCACAACGACTCTGACACAAGGAGACGTGGCAATTCAACGTGCCACAATGCATGCGTGGAGTAACCCGAGTAAGACGGAGTGGGCGCGCGTGTTATTCGTTCTGCAGGACTGTGAACCTCTCATGGTCAATGGAAAGAGGTTCAAGGAAGAACTTGGCCATGCCGCTGGATCTGTGCAGAGCAGTGGTAATGATAGAGAATGATACGGCATCAAACACTCGGGTTAGCTGTCGCAGGTGTGTCAGTTACAGTTATAGACTGAGAAAAAGTGTGAATCAGGAAGACTGCCGACAAGACATCAATATACATTATACAATATACAACATACAATCTGCCATCAGCTATCACCTAATCCCTGTTGGTCACCTTGTGGTAGCTGACTGTAGGCCAAGAGCCAATAGATGGCGTGCAGAATTCCAGGGCTTCTTTACCTCATTGTAACACGACAACATTTGGGTGTGCCAAATCAATCAAGTGTCGGGAGGTGCGATTCCGGAGGTGTCCCATGCTTCAGAGATGGGATCATGTGGGGTCGCTGGCATCGTCTCGAATTGGCCCAGGTCTGGCATCTCGCCATCAGGAAAGAGATCCAGCAAGGCTGGATCGAAGAACGGATGGCATAGGTCGAAGGACTGCGGCTCTTCAGCAGCCGAAGCATTTGGAAGCCTGGCTGGAAATTGTTCCTCGAGCCTGCCAGTCTCTTGCCAAGTGTTTTCGTGCGCAGGAGGCCAGGAAGTTTTGAGGGGAGTCGAGGCGCTGGTGCTGCATAAATCTGGCAAACGACTTTGAGAAGAAGCCGAGGGTGGAAATAGAGGGACAGGTAGCTCCACTTCATCTCTTTGTTCCAGGACGACGCTCGCTGCGGCTTCACTGTTACCGGATGGTCTCTGCCCCATTTGTTGTAGATTCTGACTGTCACCATCTTGGATACCAAGATCATTACACTCTTCTCCTGCCTCCACAAAACCATCTCCCTGTGACCGTAAGATCTCAACAAACCCGAGAATTGAAGTTCGAGCGTAGCGAGCACGGATCTTGAAGTCAAGGAACTTGCCGATATCCATGTTCTTAGGTTCGTCTTCTAGGGGGCTGGTAAGTGCGTGTCTCTCGTGGATCTTGTACACGCAGGTAAAGTGTATTTCCTAGATGACAAAATATCAGTCATTATCCAACCCCTAATCTTCTGTGAGTTTCACACCAGCAGTGCTGCAAATTTCCAATATGGTGCCATTGCGCGAATTATCATGACATTCGTTCTGACATTCGCAATTGCCCGACTCTTAACATTCTTATTCAAGCACCACATGAACGGGATCTGAATGGCGCACCCACTGTATGCTGCATATGCAATAAAAGAATTCGTCAGAATTATGCCGGTATGGACAGAATAGACAGCATCCATCAATGTCGAGGCTGTGCATGCGTGTTCGAAGGCTATTTGGGCGGATGATCGTCGTGCTGAAGACCAGCTGTCGTCTGCAATACTCCATGAGAACAGAGGTATCACCGATGCGTGAAGCGCACAGATCGATTGATGGTAGATGAGATTGAGGAGGAGGATGTTCGAAACCTGATCTTTTGGTATTGTTGCGATATTGGACACGTCCAGTTTCAATGTCGGTGGTACTTCCGACCACCACCTCACTACGTCGTTGTCGAGAGCATAGACCCCCGTCATTCTCTCGCTAATACTAGATTCGGGGGATTTGATCAACGAGAAGACAGAAGCCCTAAGAAAGATATTAGTCCCGCCAAAGCAACTCGGTGGGTGCCGATTACCAGACTGTCATTCCTTTTATTAGTTCGGCGTAAACTCCACCATTAGATCCACCAGATTCTAGACAGATAGGAGGACTTCGAGAAATACCGTCCTCGAAATCAGCCTTGGGCCAAGGTAGTGACAATTTCCTCACGTTGGCTATCGGTTCAAAGAGCAATAGATGCTCACCCAATTGGCACTGCGAGAGATAAGAGGCCCATAAGCGACGGCGCTGTATTTCAGACTCCAATGAGTTTTGAGTTTGAAGGTCTGTAGGTCCAAGGCCTCCAACATGGAGCAAAAGGCAAGCGTTTCCTAGAGCTTAGTCAGTTATCATTTCTCACGACTTTATAGTAGAGAGCAGCAGTGCCTTTGAAGAGGTAGCATAGCCTCCATGACCCCTGAGTATACCAGAACAAGGCCAAAATGGAGAAGGTTACAATGTTATCCTTGTGAAAATTTTGGACGTCCTGGAAGACTAGCTCCCCTGCTCGATTAGCCCATTCGATCATAAAGCCATGGTTCTTCAGCGTGGGGTCGCCATTGCAATCGCGATAGAAGCTAAAGAGAACTGAATCAGTGGACTGGAGAATGACAACGTTTAGGTTCTCTATACTTAGCAGCCGCGGCACAGATGGCTAAGATGACATGAGGAGCAGCGGTCCCGGCCGCCAGCGATTCCAGGAACTGTGTCTTGTGCAATAAAAAACTGGCATTGTATGAGGTGTGAAAGTACAACTCCACCAAGGTATACATCAGAGACTTTGAAATTCCGAGATAGGGCTCCTTAGTACTCATCGAGGACTTTAAGCTCTCGTCATGCGATTTCTCCTGCTATAGTCAGACAGGAAGCACGAATGCTAAGTAGAAATGGCGACTAACAGGTAGTCTTTCGTCAGTGTCTCCATATCTTTTCTCCCGTGGGCCTGCTGGAGATGATGGTGGATCTCTGCTCGAATGTACTGATGAGACAAAGCGAGGTGACTTTGGCATAGCCAACGAGCCTTTACTATAGGTACATGTGCGCCTTAACCTGGAACATCGGCTGCAACTGGGCCGTTCCCCTGAGCACCGGACCTATGTGATCTTTGATCAGCAATGCCCTTGATTCATTACTCGACGGGGTAATTTCGAGTCAATACCTTTTGGCTTTTACATACAGTGCAAGCACTTCTTGGGCGTCCTGCTGGATTCCACATCAGGACGAGTTGCTGCTTCTCGCCCGAAATTTGCTCGTAGGAGAAATAGTGGGCGTGCCACGGAAGTAGAGGAGAATCAGTGGGGAGCTGTGGTCAATGCTTTCTAGGTGCACTATCAAGAAGATGGGAGAAAGAGTGCACCCTTTTCGAAGAAATCAGAGCAGAGCACTTGCATTCATGTCGAGGAAAACACGAGATAGGAATGGCAGAAGTTGTGGGTTGAATGAAAGATCAAGTTTACATTGGTCCATAATGTTGAAGTAGGGACTGTTGGCCAAGCACGGCTGTCAGGTGACCCTCCAGGAGTCTTCCGCCCACTCCTCCGCCCTAACTGGGAGCCCCTGGGGCAGCCCCGGGGCAAAGGAAGCTTGGGGAAGTCAGTGCTGAACCTCAAGCGGGAACACTATTTGCAAGCAGTTTCGCACCCCGGGCATTTTACACCAAAAGTGCTACTTTTCAACCACGTTTTACTTAAAACTCTAGGCACTAAGTTAATACTATTATTTTAAAATAATGGAGTCCTTCAAATCATGAAATTGCCTGAAAGAACGGCGGTGAAACACGATTCAAAAGTGGGCCATAATTGCCACTGATACAATGTGAAGTTGACATTCCAGGTTGCTACTCGGATGTTCTTTTGCTTCGGCTACCCAATTGAGGCACAATCAGCACAAGTCAGGGTGTGCATATGGGTCAACAGTGCATAATGTCTAAACATCCGCTGTCGCGGTCTTACTTCCAATGTTGGGCCTGTGAATGGTCTTGTTGACATAGTCAGTGAGAAACTCTTTGATGTCCGTGATGAAGAATGAGGCAATCAAGCCAATTCCTGTGAAGGCTAATGTTGCCAAGTAGACAATCTGGAAAGCATGAGCATAGGCGTGCTTAGTGGCGAGTGCCATGGCGCCCAGTATTTCGTCGTTCATGCCGGATACAGCCTCCAAAGCCGCAGCAGTGCCATTTTCCATGGCAGCGAGCAGGTCTGGGAGGCTGCTCTTAGGAAGGCCAGCATTCTCGACGGCGGGAATGATTTCTTGAGGGAGGTATGCAGTCAACCTATTGCCGTAGATTGCTATATAGATGCTCACTTCAAATCTTAAGTCAGCGATGCAGGGTGGAGTGAGATTAGATAGGTCTTACCAGCGACCGTGCCAAAAACTGCTCTAGTTGCACCGAGAAAGCCTTGAGCAACACCGATATCATGTGGGGGAGCTACAAGTCCTGTAATGACGATGGTGACCAGCTCAACCCATCCGACAGCAAGACCGGCCAGGCTTGTAAAAGCAATACCCATATCTCTTCTCTCCTCGTCAACAGCAGCCATAGCAGCCCCGAAGATGGCAGTCATTGAAGAGGCGGTAACAAGTTGCCATTTCAGATGTCCGAGAGTTCTGAAGAGAGGGGCGAAGATAAGTTCGCCCATGGCCAGGGCGATTCCTGGAGCACAGGATAACAGTCCGATAGTTACTTCGTCCGTGGTAAAAAGAGCATTGATCTGGATCGGCCAAAAAACGAGAGAAACAGTCCAGATCATTTGCATCGTGGACCCAATGAAGATAGAAGCCGTGATGTTTCGAATTTTGAAGAGTCTGACAGGTAAGAGAGGCTGTTTGAGTGGCATATAAACCTCATACAAGGCGAATCCGACCAAGGTGATGCCACCCACTAACAAGGAGGCGAGGACCTGTGCACTTTGCCATGCGTATGTGCCTTGAGCCCAGGTGAATCCTAGAATAACCAGGATAAGACCGGCAAAGTAGAGCAAGAGCCCACCGTAGTCGAGGGCCTTCACCTCTTGCCATTTAGTCATTCTACTGTTGATCATATGAAAGTTCGGGGGGAAATAGCAGGTGAGAAAGAGGACCGCGGACAATCCAGAGACTGCAACGTTCAACCAGTATACGCCTCTCCATCCCACACTTGTGTGGGCAACCATGGTGCGTGCAATTGCTGCACCGAAGCCTAAAGTTGGCAGAACACTGAGCGTTACGCCAGCCTGACCCCAGTGGCGATGCTTGTTGGGTATCAATTCGTGGATGACAACAGGGTAGAGTAGTCCTGCTGCACCACCAGTTCCAGCGAGAGCGCTTCCGACGATAAGGACGTCAACGCTGTTGCCTTTAGCACAGATAATAGAGCCGATAACCCCAAATAACTGTCCTCCGATCAGGAAATATCGTCTACCAACAACATCTGAAAGACGGGCGAAGAATAGGTGTAGCACTCCCATAAACAAGGAGTAGACCAGTGTGATGAGGTAGATGTTTGATGAAGGTCCGATATCAGCGTTAATGACATTGAGAATGCCAGCAGGCATTCCATAGCCGATATAACAACTGTTTGCTAGCAGGATTGCAGCTGCGAGGGAGCCCACAAGGCGAGGCGAGCCCCAGTAGCCATTTAGATGCTTTGCATCTTCGCTGACGATGTTGCGGTGCTGAGAGTCCTTGGAATCGACCCGGTCAAGATGCTCAAGGCCGATTTCATCCTGCTTGCCGATTTTGATATCAGCCATGTTCTTCGCGCTATCGTAACGCAATCTCAGAGACGAAGGTGAGGTAGGTGCTTTATGGAATGTTCGTGTCTAGGCGAAGTGTGGAAGGACGTATGAGCATACACCTACACAGGGTCTGGAAAAGACCATTTATGAGGTATGCGGTGCATCGCTGCGAAAGGAATACCTCGACCCCTAGCTATCATTTCAAGCCGTAGACACGGACTTCGGCCAACAACTTTAGTCTTGCCACAGCCTGGAATTTGCAGCCAGACCACATGGAAACCCCATGGGGCTCGCCTCTAGCAGGGTCCGCGGATCGTCTGGGATCCAAATGAAGGTCGAGAACCGTGACAAGGCCATCATGATCCATCCAACCCGTACACCGAGATAAGCCGAAGGAATACCAAGCTTTACTTGGCACTGCTGGGGTCTTTTTTGTGTCTTCTGCGTGGCTAAGTCCGAAAGTCTAGGCTAACGCTGCATATTATTTACCGAAGGAGACTCGGAAAACATCCATGCTTCGTCCATGCTTTGTTCATTCGACCGGTGCTAACAGATCAGTAGCGTGCGGAGTAGATTGTGGTTGATTGTAGCTGCAGAATGGTCACGGCGGGTAGCGGAAATTCTGGGAAATGTTGGAGCACTGGTGTGGTGGAGGTAGCAATATATGTCGGTATCTCGCAGTGATGACAAGTGTCTTGATCTCAACGACCCAGCTTCGAGAACCTTCACGATGGCCTCCTGGGTTCCCATACCAGAGGAGTCCGACTTCTCACTACAGAACCTACCATATGGAGTTTTCAGCACCACCACCGCAGGGCCGCGGATTGGCATTGCCATTGGCAGCAAAGTGCTCGATCTCAAGGCTCTGGTACAGGAGCACGTATTCGAAGGTCTCAACTTCGATGCTACTACGCTCGAGCAGACAACTCTGAATGCATATGCTGCCCTTGGCAAGGATGTTCATGGCAGGGTCAGGAGAAAGCTGCAGGAGATTCTCAAGGAGGACACCCAACTTGGAAGCCTTCTGCGGGATAACCAGCCGCGGCGCGAGAGGTGCTTAATTCCCATGAATAGTGTGAAAATGCACCTACCTATAGTCGTTGGGGACTATACCGATTTCTTTATAGGACTCCATCATGCCACCAATGTAAGTCGCAAGCTATGCCAAAGCTAAGAAACCCGCGGGCCTAACCAGGCACGATATGACAGTGCGCAGATTTTTTAAGACCGGGTTCAGACATTGTGCAGATGATTCCCAGCTTTTGGGAAGCGCCGGTAGCATATGGCGGGCGATCGTCATCGGTCGTCGTCTCTGGAACACCTGTGCATAGGCCGAAGGGGCAGTATCGTGTCAATGGACAGGCTGTGTCCGGACTCTGCCAGCAACTTGACTTTGAGGTCGAGTTTGCCGCCGTTATCGGACAGGGAAATGAATTTGGCCAGGCAATTGATGTTGATCAGGCTGAAAACCATATCTTCGGTTTTGTTTTGTTAAACGATTGGTCCGCAAGAGACTTCCAGAAGAACGAATTTGCCACCTTCACCTCGAAGAATTTCGGAACACAGATTTCACCCTGGATCGTCCCCTTTGAGGCACTAGAACCATTTCGTACACCTCCGACAAAAGCAGGGGTAAGGCTGTGGTGAGACTTTTAAATATCTCCCAGACATCACTAATCTGGAGCAGCGTCCACTACCCGATTATTTAACCCAGAAGGAGACCAATTCGGCATATAATATACCTATTCGAGCAACGCTAGAAGGTAAGTTAAACATATTAGCTAGAAACACAACTAACCTATACGTTGCTAGTTGATTCGCAAAGGTATCATGTATCAGAATGCAACACTAAATTTGTCGTCTTCTCCTTTGCTCAGATGATTGCTCATCACACCCGTGGAGGCTGCCCGCTGCGGCCAGGAGATATTGTTGCCACTGGTACAATGTCTGGACCCACCCGACCGGAAGAAGGTTGTCTCCTGGAGCTCTCTCGCTATGGCACAGACCCCTATGAGATGGCTGCAGAGGGGGCTACCGAGAACAAGATCCGTCGAACATATCTTGAGGATGGGGACATCGTTGAGCTCACTGCTCAAGTCCAATCCAGAGATGGACTAGGTAACGTGGGATTTGGAGCCTGTCGCGGAGAGGTGCTTCCTGGTCTTTGAGCGATTGAGTGTTATTCCGAGTGGCCATAGATGATGGTCCTTTTTAGGCCTCTAGGATGATTCCCAGGCAACACGCTTAAGTAGAGTCAAGAGGGTAAATATCACGGTGTAACAAGTCTGTAGCATTGTTCTGATCGGTGCTCAGCGCGCCAATCCCAAAAAAGCCACCTCCCAGGATATGCAATCCTGACATCATTTTCCAAATCCCCTCGCCACCCACCGAAAGGTCAACAGGGCTCTCGTGTTGCTGCTTCAGCATGTGCAGGAGTGGCTATCAATTTAGGTGCGACAAGGTTCAGCTTAGTACCTCAACTCCAAGCCACGCAGTCCACCTTCATCAACGGTACTTGGCGCTTGGTCTGTTTGCTCGACGGTATAACAGATGAGGACTGTTGCGGATTACTATGTTTCCACTGGTCCTCCAGGGCTGTGGAGCGTAAAGGTGAAGGTCAAGGAGCTGCCACGGGAATAGTAGCCTTGAAGTGTGTGATAGGGCTAAGGTAGATCACGGTCACGGGATTACATGCCAAGGCCGTTTGTTAGGGACGCATCGCATTGCACGGTCCGTCGTCGCTTCCAAAATTCTAGATGGTTCTGCTCGGTAGTAAATCATAAAACAGTCTCAATGAATTCCCACGACTTGGGCGCGCAAGTACCTTGCTGATTTTGCCTTGTTTCCTCTCTACAAACCGCGGTTGAAAAGCACGTATAGGTAAGTAAGGAGCCGATCTTCTTTTTGCCCCTCTGCTCTAGGGATGAGAATTTAGCTGGCACCAGACTGAGAAAACGTGTACTCTTCTGCATGCGGATCGGCTTTACATGGCAATTAGCCTACACTCTGAACATTTGACTCATTCGAGCTTTCTGCCATTACATTCGCGGAGTCTTTCTCTGACTTGGTTTTTGCTATAGAACCCCGAATACCCCCGCCGATACATTTACTCTCTCCTCCCATTCACTATGGTCCTCCATAACCCGAATAATTGGCACTGGGTGACAAAAGACGCCGGCCCGTGGGCTAAAGAATGGCTGGAGACAGAATGCAAAAATGTGTCGGCGGAAGAGGACGGAGTGTCGGCCAAAATCACACGACTGGTGTCAATGGATGGTGATGTGGAAGTGAGCCAGCGGAAAGGCAAGGTCATATCAATTTACGATGTAGTGCTGCAATTGGAGTATGGAGGTAGACAGCTATCCTGAGATGTGATCCATGGCGGCAATCGTGCTCACTCTATGTGCAGGCAAGACGCAAGAAGGCACCGATGTCAGTGGAAGCATCAGGGTTCCCGAATGCGCCTACGACACCGAGCTAGAGGAGTACGTGGTATGTTCCCATACTGGACCCTCGGCAGTGATTGCAGAGCAGTTACTAATTACAGGGCAGTTTGAGATAGACATCTACTCGGAAACGAAAGAGAAGCAGCCAGTCAAAGATCTCGTCCGGTCGAAACTAGTCCCCGAGCTGCGAGAAATCTTTAGCAGACTTGGACCTGCCCTCATCACAGAGCATGGAAAAGACTTACAACATGAACTTGGTTCCAATCCGTCCAGCGAATTTGCAACACCTACATGGCATCCTCAGAAGGAGAGAACTCCCACATCCTCTACTCCTGTCACGACTTCCACCACGGGGAAATCCTCGATCAATACCACCACTGTGACGGCAAATGATGAATTCCGCACCACCGCTGAAGAAATGTACCAGACCTTTACCGATCCTCAACGCCTTGCAGCATTTACCCGAGCGACACCACGGGTGTTCGAAGGGGCGAAGCCAGGGGGAAAATTTGCCATCTTCGACGGCAACGTCACAGGAGAGTATGTCACGTTGGAACCACCCAGAAAGATTGTTCAAAAATGGAGATTAGCACAATGGCCAGAGGGACACATGAGCACTCAAGAAATCTTTTTTGATCAGAATGATGTGGACCGAGTGACCAACATGCGGGTGACTTGGACTGGAGTGCCAGTCGGACAAGAAGAAGTGGTCCAGAGGAACTGGGAGGGATATTATGTCCGCAGTATCAAGCAGACATTCGGGTAAGTTTCTCCTACATCCGACTTGTCATGGGCATATAGCTTACGTGGATCCAGATTCGGTACAATTCTTTAGGTTGCCCGACACGAACACCGACACCGACACCTGGTTTAGCAATGCATTTCTAAGGCGAATTCGGCGACCGGAGCAATCGAAATGTGGCCGGCAAAGCATTCCTACTCATCGGGGGTATGGGTCCAACTCTTTTAGATCTCGTTCCAGGTGATTTCTTAGAGCGGAAATCACGGGGAAATTCAAAAAAGACAAATGAGCACACGCAGAGACGGATTAGATGAGAGAAGATGAAATTCATGCAATCCGATACCACAGAATTAGTAACCACAGGATCCTGTCCTGTCTTCTTTTTACGTTGTCTCTCACCAGGTTTGGGAGTAGTGATTGCAGGGAACAGGGATCCAGGTGAGGATGAGAGAGCGAGCTGATCTTCTCAATCTTATACCGCATACGTCATTTGCTGTCCGCCCCATCATCCTCCATATTAAAATCCGGCCTTGCACCGCCACACTTCAACTTCCCATCTCACTACGCTATTCACCCTCGTCCTGTTTATCGAAGACCATTTCCTTGTCTTACTTAAACTTTCTAGCCTTCAACTTCCCATCTTCGTTTCCTGATTGTGTTCTCAAACCCATCTCGAGCATTCCGAGGCTGCCGGCTCAGCCTCGCCCAGCACATCATTCGATATTGTCAGCATTCTTTCGGTCATTATGACAGAGCAAAGCCGGTCCCAATCCGCCGCCAAAAATGGCCAGACAGACAAGGAGGGCGAAATGGACCTCACCACCATTCTTGATGAAGCTCAGCGTACCGACCTGACCCTCCTTATTGCCACTCTCACCGAGTCAATGCGGAATCTCATCCAGGATAATTTCGATTCAACGGCCGCACTGGACAAGAGTTCGCTTCGAGAAAGCATGACTGAAGAAGAGAATGATCGAGAACGCAAAATCAAAGAAGAAAGCGACCAGGATCTTGAAACCGTCAAGATGAGAACTCTCAAGAGAGACTCTCTAAGATCCTTTGATGAATGGCGTGAGCAAGTCACATTCCGGGTCAGTCAAGCTGTCAATGGCGAGCGGATTGCCCAAGAGCAAGCCCAGAAAAATGCTGGCATGGCCCAGCCTTCAAAACCTCAGGCACCTGCAATAGCCGGTAAGATTATGGAGGCCCCAACAAGAGCAGTCAACCTGAAGTTCAAGAACGTGTTCCCACCGGCCCGCACTGCATTGACCAAATTACCTATGGGCCAGCGAACCCTGATTCTTCATTCAATCCTTCTCCTCCTTTTGTCATTGGAGCACTATACTGCTTACTCTCGCATTTTAATGCTTAACTTGACCTCATCTTTAAAATTGCCTCTCAAGACGTTCGAGCAAGACGAGTATACCACTGCCAAGGGTCTCCTTGACGCAGCAAAAGAAATGACTGCAGACGAGGAGAGAAAGAAGAAAGTTGAACAAAGCAAAGATTCCCGAAAGTGGAAAGTTGGTCTTGCTACAGCAGCCGGTGCAGCTATCATTGGAGTCACTGGCGGCCTGGCTGCTCCTCTTGTGGCCGCCGGAGTTGGCTCGGTCATGGGCGGTCTGGGGCTCGGCGCTACAACCGCTGCAGCCTATCTCGGTTCTGTAGCAGGGAGTTCAGTCGTCGTTGGTGGATTGTTTGGTGCCTACGGCGGAAGAATGACCGGTCAAATGATGGACGCCTACGCTCGAGAGGTTGAAGATTTTCAGTTTCTTCCCGTCCACGGACGTCGTGACAAGAAGACCCAGGATGCTCAACAAGCCAGCGAACATGATCACAAACTTCGAGTCACTATCGGTATCTCTGGCTGGTTGACAGAGAAAGAAGAAGTTGTCAAACCATGGGGTGTCTTAGGCTCCGGTGCAGAAGTCTTTGCCCTGAAATGGGAACTTGAAGCATTACTCAACCTGGGAAATGCCATAAATGGCATGGTCCAATCTGCAGCCTGGGGATACGCGCGGAAAGAAATCATTCAGAGAACCATCTTTGCCAATCTCGCTGTTGCACTTTGGCCCATTGGGTTACTCAAGGTTGCCCGAGTCATTGACAATCCGTTCAGCGTGGCCAAGAGCCGGGCTGACAAGGCTGGCGAAGTTCTTGCTGATGCTCTGGCCAACCGTGCACAAGGTGAAAGGCCAGTCACACTGATTGGATACTCCCTTGGAGCGCGAGTGATTTATGCATGCCTGATGAGTCTGGCGAAACGAAAAGAATTCGGCATCATCGAGAATGCTATTCTGATGGGATCACCAACATCAAGTGATACCAGTGATTGGCGGACTCTTCGCAGCGTTGTGGCAGGACGACTCGTCAATGTCTTCTCGACCACCGACTACGTGCTGGGTTTCATGTATCGCACCTCGGCCATTCAATATGGTGTCGCCGGTCTTCAAAAGGTTGAAGGGCTGAGTGGAGTGGAGAATTTTGATGCATCAGAAGATGTCACCAGTCATCACCGATACCGCTATTTGATCGGTGCGATTCTCCAGAAGATTGGCTTCGAAGACATCGATATGGTCACTGTTGAGAAAGAGCAGGAATTGCTCTTGAAGATGGAAGAAGAAGAGAAAAATCAATCGATTCAGTCACAACGAAGGTGGTTGATGAGACGCCAATCCAACGGCGGAAAGGAAGATGAAGCAGCTGAGGCGGATGCGGAAGCGAATGAGCTGGAAAAGAAAATTCACGATCAGACGCAAAAAAGTTTGATGACGCGTGCGATTGAATATTTCTACAAGCCCGGTGTTCCCGGTACCGGAGACGCGGGGCGCGTTGATGGCAATGTTCGGAGGGCTGGACAAGATTCTCCCCAGGCAGGAAATGTTGTCGGTCAAACTGCCCAAGATGTCCCAGCTTCGACGCAAAGCTATGCGACAAGACTCTATAAGAGCGTCCAAAGTATGCCTCACACCAGCCGGTCCACGCCGACGACTACAAATGCAAATGCAACTTCCACCGCCGACACGAAGCAGGCCACAGATCAAGCAACAAAGGCAGCAGGTGGAGCTACCGGCCACAGTCAGAGCTACGTTCAAACAGCCTCGTCCTATCTGCGGAGCATGCCATCACTTGCCAGAAGCAGCAAGAGCCAAGGCCAAAGCCAGTCAGCTACGAGCAATGCCACAGACTCAGCAATCCAAGCGGCAGAAACCACAGCGTCAGCCGCAAAAGATACAGCAAACCTTGTCTCAGACACCGACACTCCCACTGTCACAAATACGCAGCGTCCCCGAGACAATCCAGCCGTAAAGTCTACCAAGCACACCCCAGATAAAGCGCCCATCATCCATCAAGCTAAAGACCGCACTCCCACTCTGATGGAAAACGTTACTGGAGATGTTGTGGGCGCAGCTGGCACCACAGCACAGGATACAGGGCAATCGCTGTCGAAGGGCCTGGATACCACGACTGGTGCGGTAGGTGATGTGGAAAAAGTAGCCACCAGCAGAACTCAAGGTGCAGCGAAGACAGGACAACAACAAAGCTACACATCTCGAGAAGCTGAGTATTTATCAACAGTGCCAACTATGCCGAACATCAGTATACCGAAGATAAAGTTTGGTGAGAGTGACCCGAAGAAATCCCAACCGCCGATACTTGAGGAGCGGACATCAGGAACCGGGGCCAGCGCCAGGCCTCCACCGCTAAAGCTCGATCAAGTTAAGTCACCATCACCGATCTCATTGCCTAAACCTGAACATGTCCCGTCTGGAGTCAAATCGCCGCCGAAACCCGACCGTGTTCCCTCATCTGCGCTCGGTGAAAGATTATCTGGGATTCAAGGGCGAGCGAGCGACGCAGGTCGAGAAGCAGTCAGACAAGGAAAGAGTATGATTGAGGGCGTGGGGAGGAGATTTAGTGGATTTGGAAGTGGAAAGCAACAGCAACAAAAATAGTCAGGATAGACGAGCTGAGCGGCCGGGGGTGGAAGGCGGACGCTAGCTACAAAATGGAACAACGATATGGAAACCACGTTATGAAAGCTGAATATTGGAAGGTGGAGAGATTTACATATATTTCTGAAACAGGAGATGGGCTGCATTAGATCGGGTTGGATTGGATGGACTTGTATTGAGCGACTATGGCGGTCATTTCTTTCGATTCGGGTCGCACCTGGGACTGCGGCGGTTTTACAGCTCGTTAATATCAAAAATGGTCAATGCTCATGTATGAGATGAATTGGGGATATTCTTTTTGGGAATGGAACCTCAGATTCAGTCTACTACACTGCTGCCCATATTGCTACTCACATTACTACTCACGCTTATTCTGCTCGCTGCTCACACTGCTGCTCATGCTTCTGCCTATACACCACTCTCACACAAAACTATACACCAGCGAAAATACCAAAAAAGGCCCCCTTCCTATGATCCATCTCTGACGACAAACAATCACTGGGCTGGAGCATTACGTTTACCCATCTAGGGCACCTAGACTCAATGGAGCTAGGCCGGACAACCCTCGTGCCTTACCTATGATCGAACACTAGTAAGGTCCCTCAATTCTATCGGTTCGACTAAAACAGGGTGTGCCCCACTCAGTTTCGTCCTTGATAGGTCAACTACGATTTGGTGTCAATTTTGAAGCAGTTTCTGGTGGAATAAAATATAAACCTGACATCGCCTGGTTGCGGCTTGGCGTTGTGTGTCGACGCCAAAATCAGCGTGATAGCCAATCACGCGTAAGCGCATGGCTTGGCATTATCACGTAGGCGCCTGGGCACTCCCCCTTGCCGCACTGTCATCGGATCCAATCCGTGAACCATGTGGTTGGGGGACACTCGAAGGTCGAGGATCCAATCAATGTATTCCAGCTAGCATCTAGACCCAGGTACAAGACGTAGCACGAAGAGAGTCAAGGAAGCATGCTACGCAGGAAGCGCTTGAAGAACCCTGGGTACGTCATCCTTGGCACGTGGTCCCGTGACACTCTATATTGAGATTGTGATTTTACGGAGGACTTGTCCTATTTCGAAGGGGTCCAAGGGACCGTCAGACTATATACTTTCGAAGCGTGTACGAAGCGTACAACGCTTCCGAAGGTCTTTACAAGCCTTGGCGTCGCCACAGATTACAGATGGTCCATGGATCGGATCCAGTCTGTGGGTCACCCAGACGGGTCATGTCAAACTGGGTGCAACTCGAGATGTATTGAATGCTCTGGGCTCTTCCAATGAGTGTGGGATAGAGCCCATCTATATATCTATCTACGAGGTGTATGCTGACGCTGTTGCCTGTTAATGGTGTTGCACGCCAGGAGGTGAACGTTACAAAATGAGTAGGTTTGCCATGCACGACAGGTTATCGTTTGTTCAACAGGTCATCATATCGGATCCAGTCTGTGGACCACCTAGACAAGCCCTACCGATCGGACTCTAGATGGCTCGTTAACGGACGAGCCTCGATATCGACATAGTCCGTGGATCGGATCCCAAGATATACCACCGCCATCGGATCCAATCCGTGGACCATGTGTGATGACATTTCCGTTGTCCTGTATACTGTACAACAGCGCAGCGCATAGCCCGACCCACAATGTGCCCCCCCGATGCTGCCATAACCCTTGCGATTTCCCTACTCAACGTTCTCCCAGAAGTAATCCGCCCAGGCCGCAAGATCCGCGACATTAAAGACGACGTCGCCTTCTGGCGGTATAGCGGCTCGGAGGAAGAGTTTGTCAAATTCGAGAATTAGAGACGTTCTAGCAACGTCATAGGCCGAGACAGAGTCTGGCTGAACGGTGACAATTGGCTGACCGATGGTATTCGACTGAGCAGTAGGACCTAGTTGTGGAGTGGGATTTTGGATGATAGTAAGCTCTTGGACTTTTATCGGAATTGGAGCGTTGGGATTTGGGTGGCCTCTGGTAGCTGGTCTATATGCAGGAGGCGGAGAGAGGCACCACTTTTCGACCGTTAGCATCTTCTGTGCCGGCTTTATTGAGATGATGATGGCAATCTTGACATCTCCTCCAGAGTTGACAATCCACCATTCTGCGTCCTGTCTCAGACGAGGAAGCGATTCAGAGAGTCCAGACTCAAAAACAATTGTTGGCCAGTCAGATTTCTTTTTTCGGATCGGGACGGGGCGGAATCCCATATCACCCTCTTTAGAGGAATTAGCGCGTTTGTATTTTGTCCCGCCAATAGGGCATAAGCACTCTGGTGAGAGGCCTATTGTGACAAGTCCGTCACGAAGTTTCATGGCTAATGAGAGGTGCGCAACTTCATGTTCCGCTGATGGCATCAGCTTGATAACTAATAGATTGTTATCCGCGTAATGGCTCATCCGAGTATGCTTCCCTATGCTGGCGCGCTGATGGTCAATCTTTTCAAGCTGGCCTTTTGTGACACCCCTGAAAACAAGGTACTGCTGATTCGTGTGACCGTCCATCAACGCAGTGGACTGCAAGTTGACACGTTCTTTTAGATCTCGGATCCCTTTGTACCTATACATACGAGCGTCTTTCAATCCCTCTAAGGGCGATATCTCCGGTGCTGAACTCTCCACTGCCGTAGTCTCTTTTGATGCTGCTGAGCTTGAGGATGACCTTGACATGGGTGTACATGTAGGTGCTCCATCGCTGGGTCCGCAAATTGTATTCATGTTGAGGTTCGAAGAGCAGAAGGCGCAATGTTGGAGGAGCAGAAAAGCTGGCAGAAGAATCAGACAGGGAACATTTGTTGATAAATCAGGCGTGTGCTGAGGCGAGAAGTGGGAGTACTGAAGTAGAAGAGATTATGAATGATGAACTGTATGGGAGAGAAGATTGACTGATTGATTTATCTCAAAGCACACTCTGACGAATGTCAACATAAGTAGGTGGAAAGGGTTGAGGGTATAGGTTGCCTCAGGTGTCACTATAGAGTGATAATGCCAAGCCAGCATTGGCTATTCTGGCCAACAATGAACGCTTAAGTAAATAGCTTTCAGTAGAGAGGCAATAAGTGAAAGCGGATATATAAGTGTCACTCTCTCAAGGCTGTGAGACTTGGCGTGCCGGCCAAGTGCACACGTGAGAATAAAGACGCTGCAATGTGATAATCGGGTCGATTATCAAATGTTGAACAAATGGTGACCTATCGTTCATGGCAGACCCACTCATTCTTTAAAACTCACTTACTAGCCTGTGATAGACTGTGGAGTCTAGAGAAGGAATGTGTTGTTGTTGTTCTATCTAAGAGAGAGCAAGACGAAAAGAAGGGCGCAAGTTGCCAAGCCAAACAGCCTCACGTGACGTTGCCAAGGCAACCAGTCACGTGACTGGCCAACAGCCTGCAATACCATTGACAGGCAACAGCGCGAAAGTACACCACGTAAATAGATATATAGATGGACTCTATCCCACACTCGTTGGAAGAGCCAGAGCATTCAATACATCTCAAGTGGCACCAAGTCGGACACTAAATTTCCCTGGTAGTCCTCAATAGCCTCCTCCAGACACCCCAACGCAGCCAGGCTCCATGCTTGCTGTTGTTCCACCTCTAGTCACTCATACCCCCAATACATGCACCAGTTTGTGCATTGTGTAGGCCTCCCGATCCACTCGCCATGGCACCAATGAGTATGCCTGGAGGGTCTCAAAAGCCGCTTCAATACTGTACTGGCTGATATTGGTGTCTGACAAGTTCATCACTAGCCATTGTTGACTAGCTAGCTCACCGTGGGAGTTTAGCCGGATACTGAACAGTCTTAGAAAGATATCGCCAAAGTTGATGCATGCCAGTAGACTTAGTCGACCACAAGTTTGTGTGTGTGCGTGAGATACATATCTGTCGAACGGAGCGAGATGCGGATAGAAGGGGTGAAAACTCGTGTGTAGATTGCGACTATGGGGGGGGGGGGGGGGGGAAGCCCCTATATAGGCCAGAATAGGGGCTCTTGGCACTAGGCACCGGCTGTCTGGCAATATCATTTACCCTAACCCCTCCCGATTTAGGATATTGTACAGTATAATACGAGGATTTGAACGAGACAATAAGACTGATCAAGATTGTGGGGTTTATGCAGCGTGGACCAGAGTGTGTCCCGCGTCAACTATTTAGAACACACGCGATTCAAGTTGGCCTTTGACAAGAGGTTCGCTGCAACGTTTTAGGCAGAGTTCTCAACAAGCCAAGCCGATTTTAGCAAGACTAAGCACTCGCTTGGTCTTAGTGGCGCTCGTCTCGTCTCGTCTTGGTCAAGACTTGGCAAGCCACGGTCTTGCTTGATTACAGTAGCTTGCGCTTCGCTTAGATAGATTCAATCAATCCTCGGCCCTACAGAGGGTGATCAATCGAGCTTGCCAGTGTGGTCCATAGACTGGATCCGATGGGCGACGGGGGATTTCATCGGATCCAATCCACGTCGAGTGGAAGGCCCCACCCCCAGGGGCACAGACTGGATCCAATGGGAGCTGGCGCGGAAAATATTTAATCCGACGGTGTTGGACCGGAAAATGGTTAATCCGTTAAGGATGGACCGGGAAGTGTTTTTAGCTTTGCACCTCGCTTAGATAGATTCATTCAATCAATCTTCGCTCGGCCCAATACATCCCCCCGGGCAACGTACGCCATTTGTATCAGTGTATCTGTGGGTGTATCTGCCCGGAATCAGCCTGTTAGACGATTGAACAGTTGCAAGGGCTCCTTTACCAGGAAAAGGGGACAAGACGAGACGAGCGCTTGGCAAGAGGCTAACTACTAACAAGACGAGCAAGGGGTTTGGAATGGCGATGGAATTTATCATGGTAGAATATAGGCTTCTGTGATTCAGGTCAAGCCAAGTCGTGAGACAGCAAATTGTCACTGCGACTATCAAGCAGGAGTGTCGACCTAAGCACGAGCCCTCAGACTCGCTAGGCCGACTGGTTTCTTCTCATACTTGAGATTGTCGAGATCTTGGGGCCCATATACACTGACCCGGCAACCACTGATGTCCTTATTCGCGAGGATTCCTTCATAAACTCTAGCGAAATCGGACGACTTGATCCGATTGCCTCCTAGGCGCTCGCATACTGTATCGAAGTCGACGCGATAGCAGAGATAAACTTCGTTGAAACGAATGTTTGTGGTGGCATTCTCAAGGCAGGCAGCGTTAGCCATAGAGAACAATGCCCCCTGCGAAATAGCAGTGACTCCGGCAGAGCCTGCTTCACCTGCTCCGCCCGTTATGAGAGTCCAGGTGGCATGGGGGTTGCCTTGTTCGATCAAGTAAGGAATGGTGGCACGATACGCAACTGTCGCAATTCAGAATCCAATCTGGGATGGCACGGTTCCGATACCAGTGTTGACTTACAGAAATTAGCCTCCAAGTTGATGTTCATGGTTTGACGGAAGTAGCTGGGATCGATGTTCTGCATTGGGGTTTTCGGATTGTAGATTCCAACTCAACAAACCAAACATCAGTTCCCTTCAAGCAAAGGTGGTACATAATTGAGCGTACCAGTTGAGTAAACGTGCTGAAAAGCGGGCAATTGCCCAGCTTTGACTCGGTCAACGACTTCCTGAACACCATGTTCGCTTGTCACGTCGGCTTCCACCACGGTGATGCCATCTTTCATCCCAGTATGTTGATAAATCTTGTCTGCAGAAAGCTGATTTCGCACAACAGCAAGCACGTTACGCTTGCTCCGCAATGCGGCAATGATCACGGATACTCCGACATTGCCTGTGGCTCCGACGACAAGAACAGTTTCCATTTTATCATATCATTCGGGGACCCGACATCCAGAAAAAGGACTTATGTAAGACTGCTTGGGTATCTCCGTAACACAGTAGGGGAGAGGCAGCTACACCTAAGTAGTGATATCAGTCTTCTCCATCCGGAGAGGGCCGTCACCAATGTCGCTTGCCCGTCATTTGTAATGAAATCGGAGTCATCTGCCCCGTAGCGCCGGGAGGGAGTAACAATATGCGGGGAGATCATCGGGACAACAATTATACAGTTCTCGGACTGGCAAGCTTGTTGATGCCGAGTGGATGGGGTGGACAAAATCCTTCCAGCTTCAAGGCTTGCTTGCTGACTAATTCTTAGCCACGAGAGTTCCCGGGTGCCTGGCGAGTCGGGTGAAGGTCTGAAATCCATTCCGAGACGTGGACTTTCCCCCAGACAATGTGAGAGAATGAAGATGAGCGAGGTGAATGCGAAGATCAGGAAAGAAAAAGGTATGGAGATGTGCCTATAAAAGCGGCATGTCTGAATGAGTTGCACGTGAGATCCGAACTAAGCCAGAAGCAGAGCTTTCGTAGACTTTTCCAATCTATCACCAACTCATGGCATGCGCGGTCCCTCGCCGTTGACTTTCTTTGCCTCCCTCCCTGTTCCGGACCTAGCATAATGGCCAGTGCCGCGATCACCAGGTTACCGCCGGTGAAGGCCAGTCCCACGACCCTGCAGTACCTTGAATACAAACGCAAAACATCACGACCCTCACCCTACTACAAGCCCAGGTTTACTTTTAAAACCAAAGACCGAGAGAAAACACTTTTACAACCTTGGATGCGCAAGACGGACCCATTGATGCCGCCCTATCCCTATGGCAAGAATCATACATTCAAGGAAGCAAATTTTGGACTCTACGGCGGAAGCACCATTCAATCAGGAAACAAAATTTCCAAAGGGAAAAACAAAGGCAAAACTCTGCGTCATTGGTTTCCTAATGTCCGCATTGCAAAGATTTGGAGTGAAGCGTTGCATACAGAGCTCAAAATCCCTGTCACTAGTCGGGTGCTGAGGACAATCAGAAAATGCGGTGGTGTCGATCAATACGTTTGCGGGACAAAGCCTGCACGGATAAAGGAGTTGGGTCTGCTGGGATGGAAGCTTCGTTGGCTCGTCATGACATCTCCCAAATACCGAAAACAATACGCAGAAGAACAACAGAAATTTGGATTGCCTCGAGAAGCCCTTTTGCAAAGTTCCTTTGAAGACGCGTGGAACAATGGAGAAATGAGGGCAAAGTTCATTCAGCAGCAAGATGAAGCATGGCAACATCTACGCGAAGCAGCTGCAAGATTCGAAAAGCACGTTCAGGAGAAGTGGGTAGAGAGCGGAGAGAAGAGAACATACAAGATCCCGAAACTAGAGACGCTTGCCAGGCGTAGTCCAAGCACTTTAGAGTTGCCTGATCATCTTGAACAAGGGGAGACTGATGAAGTGGCAGGGACGAAAAAGCGATGAGAAGGAGATTCTTAAGTAGAGGGTGAAGGCCAAGAAAGCGTTGATGAATCGGGCCGGCGTCGAGCAGGAGAAGAACTTCGAGGACATTCGGACTCATGATGGTGAAGACCTTCGTCCCGCCCATTCGAGAGAAACCTGACCCTAGGGCGCCATTTCGCAGGCTGAGGGGAGACATCCTCACCAGTCGCTTGAAGCAAGACCGTGGGCGTTGTTCCAGACTAGAAGGGCTGGGATACATGGGTGTTGGCATGAAAAATCCTGTTCCATCCGACTGCGACTTTGCCAAATGATGGCCAGAAACTGTATAAATAGGGACGCCCAACAACAGTGAAGCACCTAGCCATGGGGTGTCGAGAACCAATTCGGCTCAACTTCAAATCTTTTCCCTGGGAATTTTCCTTCGCCAAACATAAGCTAACGTAAGCTTTCGCAACCTCTCACTCTTCACCGCGGGTATTGGTTCAATCGCAAATGACCGAGGATTCCCCCAGTCCGTGACCTTGATTCTTCAGCCCTCTCCTTCTGTCGAAGAACCTCCATATCCATAGTATCTCACAAACAGCCATTCCCATTCGCCGCTTTCGTCGCCACGGCAGGAACTTGACCCTTTGTTTCCATCTCCTTCCAGCGCTGGAATAACTTCCGAAAAGCCAAAGGATCCTGAGCACCACTGATCTCCCAATGGTCATTGATCTCGTAGTTGGGCACGCCATTGACTCCCTGCATTCTCGCCTCCTCAGCCACCCGGTCGACCTCCTCGCCGTCCTTGCCACTCTCCAAATACGCCGTGATCTCTTCCTTGGTGCCCAAGCCGGCCTCGAGGCCAACTTCGACGAGTGTCTCGAGAGTAGTGATATCAACTTCCTGCTCGAAGTAACGTCTCCATAGTCCTAGCATAACTTTGTCCTGGGCTTCTTCGCCTCCGTGGTTCTGTGCCCAGTGGACTAGGCGATGGCCATTACGACTCACGCCGGTCATGCCGCCGAACTTGAAGTTCAAGCCTTCACCAGCCGCGGTCTGGATCATCATGGCTTCAATCTGTTTGGCGCGCTCGGGGCCGAATTTTGCGGCATAATGTTCACGTCGCGGGCGGGACGCTACGGGAAATGGTGGCGGGAGAGGCCCATTGGTGCTGGTAAGTTGAGGGGGAGGTTGAAGATAGAATGGGAGGTATTTCAAGTGAAATTTATCGTCGGGGTATGTCTTTTTGTGTTCGGCGATGGCTTTCGAGAGCCTCGTATGGCCGATATAGCACCACGGACAGACGATGTCCGAGGTAATCGTGATGTTATAGTTCGTCATGGCTGCAAACAGGCGTTGGCTGGGTTTGAATGTCATCAATATGAACAGTGAGTAAGTGGAAGCCAGTATTTATAGGTAGGGAGATTTCCGCCTCGCTTTCTTCGACATCCACAGATACATCAAGAAGAGTTGGCATAACAATGAAGGTGATGATGATGGATTGTATTTGTCAGCCAGAACGGAGATCGAGGCCTTCGGCTTCTCTCATCCGATGCCCAGTGTCGAGTTCATCTATATGGGCATAAGTGCTTCAACGGACGACTTAGCCAGAAGGGTCAGTACGCGAAAATCCCTGTCCTTCGCATTCATTATGTAATGACATTTAGTCAGTATGAGTAATTTTTGAAATACGTTTAAATGACTTAAATGACAGCTACGGTGTAGTATAGTTCTATGAAGTGTAGAGAATTTTACTAGTAAAACTTTTGATCTGACGAACGTTAAGAAAGGCCCATTACACGTATTAGAACCCCCCCTTTCTGGCGCGGCCAAGAAGGGTCTGGCTTGCAAATAGATAAATCGTATCCAGATAAATCCAAATCAAATCAAATCATGATGCTGGATTTATTTGGATAATTTGGATATTTGGATAAAAGCTCTGTCTAATCAGCGCTCGCCAGCATTCGACAATATTTACTCAATTAGTCTTAGCCTTCAGTCCTCAACGGATTAAATATTTTCCGGAACACCGCCATTGGATTAAATATTTTTCCGGGACACAACCCATCGGATCCAATCTGTGGACGACCTAGACGAGAGCTCTTACTGCGCTTGAGATGATTCGTAACCGAGCGTTAACGAACGAACCTCGATGTCAACATCGTCCATTAATTGGATCCGATGGCGGTGTCTTTCATCGGATCCAGTCTGTGGACCACTCACACAGGCTCTACTAATCGTACTCGAAATGCTTCGTTACCGAGCGTGAACGGACAAGCCTCGACGTCGAGATGATCTATGGATTGGATCCGATGGGTCGCGGGATTTCATCGGATCCAATCCGTGGACCATCTAGACAAGCTCTACTATCACACTCGAAATGGCTCGTATGGAGCGTTAACGGACGAGCCTCGATATCGAGATGGTCCATAGATCGGATCCAATCCGTGGACAGTATGGCCAGGTAGAGCCGGGGACAGTGTATGGCGCTGGCCTCGATATCTAGGTGGTCCTTAGATCGGATCCCATGATATACTGTCGAACAGTATATGGCAACATGTTCAGCCGTGATACTGGAATACTCAGCTGGATAAGGATCTCACCAATGAGCTGGTCACGGAGACGCCGAAAAGCTGTGCCAATTATTCCCTATATATATATATATATATGTCCGAGGCAGGGCCTTAGTTTGATAGAAATCAGAACCCTATAGCTAAAAATCGATGTCCAACGGAAGAGGAACACCATAATTTTCGCAGGAGCGGCAATAGAGTGGGAACCACCGAGAAGGCTATCAATAAACGCACATATGGATCCGGCCAATCTTCTAACGCTATATTACTATTATTTCGACAAAAATGTTGGAAGTCACCGACAGATTCACATAGTGTACGAACAAGGATGCATTCTGTTCCCCCCTCGTTTCGGGGAACCTCAATTAATCCAGGCTCCAGGCATGCGGATAGTACTCTGCTCTGCCACAACATCCTCGGTCAACCACGTCACTAAAGTCTTAAGCGCGCTCAGGGTCTGAGGATGTAAAGGACCCAATACCTTTATCCTCAAGTTCAGGCAGGAGGTCATTAAATCTTTAGCTTCGTCGTCATGATGTTGGTCTTTCAGCGTATAAGCCAGGTTGGCCACGCTGGTCAGCGTGGAGGGATGCTCTGCCCCCAGCACCCTCTTCCTCGTCTCCATCACTTGCACTTCCAGCTCTTCCGCCTCCTTCCATCGACCTTGATTCCGATACGTCGATGCTAAGTTGGCCATGCTGGTCAGCGTGGAGGGATGCTCCGCCCCCAGCACCCTCTTCCTCGTCTCCATCACTTGCACTTCCAGCTCTTCCGCCTCCTTCCATCGACCTTGATTCC